TGCTCGGGCTTGAAGATGTCGTCGCGCCAGCGGCGGCCCCAGGCGTCGGCGACGCCCGCCACGCTCTCGTCCGTGTACGTCGTCTGCAGCACCGCGAGGATCGCCGAGTAGTCGCGGTTGCCCGCCGCCGTCTTCGCCGGGTCCTGCGCCACCACCGCCTGCTGCCCGAACACCTCGTAGAAGATGAGCGAGCTCGACGCCAGCGGGTTGTTTGTGACTAGGTCCACGTACGAGTCGTACAGCTCGAGCTGCTGCGGGATGTCGAACTTGCCCATGTTCACCGTGAAGGTGTTGTACTCGAACCCTTCGGTGCAGGCGAGGTCGATGATGCCGTTGGCGGCCTCGTGGGGGATCCGCTCCCAGGGGATCATCGTCACGTTGAGGGTGAGACGCTCGATGTGGGTTCCGCTCGCGTTCTTGGTCGCGAAGAGATCGGTGAATTTGTTTCCTTGCTCTAGAGTACCGGCGTACACGATGTTGAGGAAGGAGACAATCTAATTGGGTTTAGTTAGTATGCGAACTCAATACTCCGACGTTCAGAAGAATATCGCTTACCTCTTGGGTGGGTGGGTCATAGTAGATGAACATGTCCAATGCGAGACCTGCGTCTAGGGTTGGGATGAGGTCGTTGATGACACCCAAAACACCGGCTAGAGAATCGCTGGTAAAGGTCATGTCGGCGTTGTAAGTCAGACCACCGTTCTGCAGAGGCCAAGTCTTGTATGTGAACTCGAGAACGATGCCAAAATTGTGGCCAGCTCCTCGCATAGCCCAGAACAAGTCGGAGTTCTTGGTTTCGGATACGTCAAGGACAGAGCCATCCCATAGAACGACTCGCATCTTGGTGATTGCGTCGACGATCAAGCCGTACTTGCCCTGGAGACGGCTGTGACCGCCACCGAGGCTGGCACCACCGACACCGACGCATGCGCAAGCGCCGAGGGCTGTAGCCTTGTGTTAGCCAGAGAGAAATGTGAGAAATGTGAAATATGTCAGCACTTACGTAGCTCTCTGCCGGCAGCATAAACGACTGGGTAGAGGTCTCCAAACAAAGCTCCGCCACCCACGGAAACAGACTTGTCGGGATTCATCGTGATCTTGTTGATTCTCTCCATGTTGATCAATACAACGTTCTGCGCAGTAGCCAATGTGAGTGTGTTGCCGTGGCCGCCGCCCATGGCTAGCCATGAGATGTTGTGGCTGGACATGTACTTGAGCTAAACACATGGTCATGTCAGTTACTTCCTAGGTACCCATGAACAATATCTGCGTTGATTTACATACAGCAACGGAGACATCACGCTCTTCACCGGGAAAGAATGCGACGCTGTACGAGGGAGCGCTCCAGGTCGACCATCTCGACGTGTCGTTCTCCCACTGAGGAGAGTCAGGGGTGACGATTGAGCCGTGAGAAGAAAATTTGAAGTTCAGCGCAGGAGCTGCCCTCTCTTCTAAGTATTGCACAAGAGCGTCGCCGCTGCTGGTACTCCACGAGGTAGGGCTAGCTGTAGCTGCGGAGGCGAAGATCGCCAGCGCGTTGAGGATGGTGCGGGAGAGCATGATTGGACGGGCAATGCAAACGGGAGAACTCGCTTTTTCCTTTTGACTGGATCAGAGAAGGAAGCTGTCGGATGATGCGATGAGGTTTCCTGTCAAAAAGAGACCCACGATACACCATACTTTATATCCATAGCTAAGCTGACAGCTCCTCTCATGGAATTGTGCCTGTCATCAAGTTGTGCGCCTCTCATCATCGGCGAACTTTAGACCAAGAGAGATTTCGGAAGTCATCAACCCCAACTAGCAATGAAGACCGACACCACCAGGGCACCCCAGTGAGGCACGCTTAACTGCACGCTTAGCTGAAGAACAAGGCTTAGAGCTGAACTGAATCTGGGGCATTTTCCCGACTCACGCCCCTCCCCTTCCACGATCCCCGAGCACCCCTGATACCAAGACTTCTGGATACTCCGTTTTCCTCACCCACGCTGCCTATATCAGCATGGCGAAAGCCTAAATATGACGTTAAAGACATTTTACGGGTAGTAGCCGGGAAGGATTTTCCGATTTCTCTATAATCGAAGATCCATGAACGTCGGCTAGCATCCCCCCAAGCCTGGACTCGCCCTAAGGAATCCTTCGTAATCGTCGCTGTGGTCATCTACCGAAAGCTTGGTTGCAGGAGACACACACCAGATTCCAGGTTCGGGTGTATTGTACTTCTGAATCGTGGAGTTTCTTACAGCCTTCTCCTCCTCCTCCCCCCTCTTGGAATGTGGCTTTCAACTGTTGACAGTCTGATTAGTTGGTCCCCGACATTAACCCTGCTTAGTTGATGAGAAATGTCAATCGCTAGCCTGCTATGGCCATGTGTATGCCTGCTGACCGACCTAGGCACCTATCCGACTAACAGCTCAGCTCCCGAGCCTACCAACCTAGGTACCTGGGCAGATTAGAGGAAATGGTCGTGCAAGGCAAGTAAGCAGTGACTCGACGTGGTGGTCTTGGCGCTTTGGAACAAAGTCCTAAGTCGAGAGGCTGTGAGCATGGTTGTCGAAATAAACCTCGGTGGCTCAAAAATCCTTCTTTTTTCATGGGGGAAAAAGGGGAAAAGGAGCTACGCCGACTAGATGCCGGTTCTATTTGATTTGTAGTCACAAAAAGGAGCAATGTAGTACCACTAATGCCTATCCCGTCCGACATAAATTGCAACACAAAAGACTTGTTGGTATAACAGATCGTCAGGCACGCATTTACGGCCCGCGTGTAACATTTTCCAGACCTGTCATAATGCGGATTTAAAGTGATCTGGTTATCCCGAGACCGCGCCACTCGCTAATCTCGCACACCCTTTAATCCCAGAATTCGCTTTCAGCCCAATTGAGCTTTTCCTCCCTATCATCGTCCATCTTTGAAACCCGACCCCGATGTAAGGGTGGTAAAACCGAGGCATGTTTACGTCGCTTATCCCGCTCCGTTATCTTATCCCGTTCCGTTATGTCCATAATTTCGAGTATTGTCTTGATGAGCTTTTAAGAATAAAAATGGAGTTGTGTTGATAAACCGTAGATGAAAACTTGGCATCGCTCCTCTCAAGTTATCCTCTAATACCCATTCACGAGATTTATTTGACTAAGATACTATCTTTACCTCACCTTACCTCCTTACTTACCCTAAGCACCTACCTAAAACCTACAACCATGCCTCCATCCCCCAGCTCCGTCTTCAAGCCCAAGTGCGCCACGGGCTTCGGGCTCATGGGCATGACCTGGCGGCCCAAGCACACGCCGGACGCGCAGGCCTTCGCGGCGATGAAGAAGGCCATCGCGCAGGGCGCCACCTTCTGGTCCAGCGGCGACTACTACGGGATGCCGGAGCCGTCGGCCGGGCTGGCCCTCATCCGGCGCTACTTCGAGGCGCACCCGGAGGACGCGAGCAAGGTGACGCTCTTCATCAAGAGCTGCGTCGACTTCAAGACCATGCGCCCGACCGTCAAGCACGACCAGGTCATCGCCTGCGCCGACGCCTGCATCAAGCACCTCGGCGGCGCCAAGAAGATCGACATCCTCGGCCCGACCCGTGTAGACCCTAACGTCCCGCTCGAGGAGACGCTGGGCGCGCTCGGGGAGTTGGTGGCGGCCGGCAAGATCGGCGGCGTCGGCATCAGCGAGGCTGGCGCGCAGACCATCGAGAAGGCGAACGCCATCTACCCCCTCAGCCTGGTGGAAGTCGAGTTCTCGCTCTGGACCCCCGACTTGCTGACGAACGGCGTGGCGGCGACGGCGAAGAAGCTGGATATTCCGCTGGTCGCGTACTCGCCGCTGGGCCGTGGTTTCCTTACCGGTCAGATCAAGTCCGTGGATGATATCCCCGAAGGTGATATCCGGCGCCGGTTCGACCGCTTCCAGCCTGAGGTAAGAACCCCCTTTCCCGGTGCAGTTTACTTGCACTGCGCAGAGAACCACAGACTAATTTCAATCTCCATTCCCAGAACTTCAACAAGAACCTCGAGCTCGTCGAGAAGCTCAAGTTCTTCGCGACAAAAACCGGCGTCACGCCCGCGCAGCTCGCGCTCGCCTGGATCCGCGCGCACAACGACTCGCCCCAGGCCGGCACCATCATCCCGATCCCCGGCGCGACGTCGCCCGAGCGCGTCGAGGAGAACACCAAGGACGTCAGTCTCTCGGCCGAGGAGAAGGCGCAGCTGGATGAGATCCTGGCCTCGTTCAAGATCCAGGGTGGGAGGTACAACGCCCAGCTGGAGGGGATGCTTTGGCGGTAGAAAGGTAAATGTAAGGGTTGGGGTTAGGGATAATGGCTTAAGCGCATTTGGTAGAATTAAAGGGGGAAGGTGGCAACTAGTCTAGTACTTACATAGGTAGCATTTAGACAAATGTAGTAAAAAAAAGTCACTTAAGCTTTAACTATTCTGTGATAGTAAGGGTGTTACGTGAAGTGGTGAAGTCGTAACGTTCATAATTGCGATGCGATGTTCTTGGCTCTAGACGCAACCTTGAAGCCCACCTGACAATAGTAACTATTGGAAGCCCCCACCAGCTAGAGATATAGTGGGGTTACAGTGGATATGCCCCGTAATCCAGGGGTCCAGGTACCGGGTTATGCCGTTCTCACAAGTCACGACTCACGAAGGATCTTAGGCCCTGCAAGGTGCCTTTTTAGTACGCTTGGGCGGCTTTTAGGGCTGCTTAAGCTTCACTTAGCGCGTAAGAATATCCAGGGCTGGAAGCCTTCAGGGTGTCCCAGGTGGCAACCTTGGAACTATTTAGCAAGCACCTAGTTATTCAACTTTGGACATTACTAACCTAACCAAGGGCTATACAATACATAGTATCTCACCATTAAACACGCCACAAGCTTAAGAGCAACAAAGTTGATAATGATTTTGTCTCATTATTTTATATCATTGATGCTTATTTCATGATTCTACTTATGCCTGCCTAACTTTTATGACTTTTAAGATATCCATTTATCTAGCCATCTCACAGGGTAACAACCAACTTCGTACCACTAACATTCGCCGGGAACCTCCCCAGCCCCTTCTCTATCGCCTCGAACCCCTTGCCCACCACCTCGATCTTGATCGGCAGCTTGAACTTGCCCTCCTCCACAATCTTGACCAGGTACTGCAGCGCGGTCGGCTCCTGCTTGAGGATGTTCTCGGCGCCGACAAGCGTCGACTGTAGCCCGGCGGGCAGCTTGGCATCGGGCCGCGTGACGACGAGCGCGTACAGCTTGGGGCCGTCGGCCTTGATCGCCTCGAAGACCGCCGGCGAGTCCGGGCCCGCGCCCACGGTGTCGATGACGGCGTCCACGCCCGCGCCACCCGGCGTCGCGGCTTTAAGGGCGGCGGCGTCGGACTGTGCGGAGCGCTCTAGGACGACGTTGGCGCCGAGCGATTTCAGGTGCGCGTGGTGGGGGGCTGAGCTCGTTGTGATGATGGTCACGGACGGCAGGGCGATGCGCAGGAGCTGGATGGCGGAGGCGCCGACGCCGGAGCTGCCGCCGAGGACGAGGATGGACTTGGGCTGGTTCGGGTTGCTCAGCTTGGAGAGGCCGGGCAGTTCGACGTTGAGGCCGACTACGATGGTGGCGGCGGCGGTGAGGAAGATGACGCTTTGGGAGCGTTAGTAGGTGCGCTGACTGACGTAGCAAAGCAGCTTTAAGATGCGGGGGCCGAGGAGAGGAAAGAAAACGGGTAGGTAGGTACTCACGGCAGAGAGACGGCCTGCTCAAAGCTTAGGCCGGAAGGCTTCTTGGCAACCTCGTGCTGTGCTACCGTGTAGACTTCTGCGAATGCGCCCTGGCCTATGATGCCGTGGGCGTAGCTCATCACTTCATCGCCGGCCTTGAAAGCGGTGACGCCCTCACCGACCGCCTCGACTACTCCGGAGGCATCGATGCCGAGAACGGCGGGGTAAGACCGGATTATGGCGCCGAATGCAAGGTTCTTCCAGTCAATCCCGTTGAGTGCTACGGCACGGGGGCGGATGGAGACTTGTCCAGGACCAGGCTTGGGCAGGGGTACCTTCGTGAGGGCAAACGGCCCGCCCTTTTGGGTAAGTTGGTATTGCTGGATAGACATGGTGAATGACTGTGAGATGCTGACTTAAAAGGTGTATTATTATTTCTTTCCTTTGGAAATGAGAGAGGTAAAGTGTGATTGAGGATTTGGCTTGGCGAGCTGTAGTTCCTAAGTAATAACTTAGGTGAAATATCATTATATGGTGATGAGCGGTCAGGCTTTGACGGAAGGGAAGGATTGCTTTTTTTTCCTCGGGCGCGGTATACCCGACACTTATCCCGAAGCATCGCCTGATCGGAGAAACGCAAGATATCACGTCACCGGAAAACGAAGTCGGTGACAAAGACCGCCGTCCTTCGCCATCGGAAATAAGTTTTAAGTCCCTGAGACTCAATGGTTGACAAGTTACACACATGGCGAGCCTGCTCTTAGGTAAGCGTGCAGCTGTCGTCAGTGGCTTACTGCAGCATATAATATGTACCTATTAGGCTAGGGAGGTATGTAGGGAAGAATTGAAAATCGTGATTGAGCCCCAAACGGAGTTACTCAGTTTGCTATGTTCGCAACACGATGATGTGGAAGTGCTCATACTAACAGCGAGATAAACGGGAATGGTGATAACCTTGGAACCGACAATGATATAATAGCGACATAAGAGCGAGATGACGAATCCCAATGGGTGGAATTGTTAGTGGTACTGCAACCAACATTTGACGAAAAGGGCAAAAAGGGGGAAGAAAAGACGAGAGAGCGGCACAGCAGTTCGAAATTCAGGGGAATGGACCGGCTTAAGAACCTGAGGGTTCCATAGAACCGATTGGTACCTAATCAATATGTCAACCTAAGTAATACCGCAATTAGAGGGCCAGGGACTAGGTATGCAGTAACTATGTATGGAGTGTATGACAATTATTGTTGATGGCTACCAGGTCCTATGGGAGATAAAGGCTAGGCAGGTACTCAAGGGCAAAACCGAAGATGTTGCCATTACATTTCGTTGAAAGGGTTCTAGGCCTGTTAAGTGATGAGACATGCGCCTTAATTAAGTGTATGGATGTGATAGAATAAAGGAGCTGGGAACTTAAGTAGGTTAGATGTGATGGATTGTTCACACTTCGTACTCCATTGATAGGTACTGCTCTCACATCTTATTGAACTATGCTAGGAAAATGATTATTGATAAAAGTCAATGAAAGTCATATCATGAACGAATATGCAATGAAATAAAGCAAACTACCTAACCTCGACTATGCCAAAAAATAAAACTACAATTTATGCCCTCTATCCAGATGATTCTAACCGTAACCAAGAAACCAGCCAACAATGTTTAAAACTTACAATCTCCACCAAGTTCCTACATTCGTAAGTATTATAACCCCTACAAGTTAGGTAAACTATTTGTTCAAGAATCCAATCTCCTTCCACACATAGATGTACTTCCTGACCACCTCCTCGCTCACCGGGCCCACCGCAGACAAGGTCTGCGAGTGCTCGAGCGTGTTCTTGGGTTCCAGCACCAGCCCGCCACACGACATGCGGAGGTAATTGCTATCGAGGAAGTCGACGAGCGCCGCAGCCGGGTTATTCCTCTGCGGCGCATCCCTCACACGCTGGGACCACTCCTTCAGGGGAATCAGCTCCTTGATCCCCAGCGCGTCCGCCAGGATGCGGTTCATCTGGCTCCAGGGCTGGCCGACGGGGTTCTCGATGTGGTAGAAGTGGTAGTGCTGCTTGTCGTGCCGCGGCAGCACCAGGTCCCCCAGCGTGCCGGCGATCTCGTTGACGGGCGTCCAGTAGACGGTGCCGTCGACGTCGGGCAGGGCGCCGAGCGTCTGCGACGACTTGATCAGGAAGCCGAAGTGCTCCATCGGGTTCCAGTACCCGCTGACGCTCGAGCCCGCGATCTGCCCCAGCCGCACCGTCATCGCCCGGAAGTGCGCCGGGTGCCGGTGCAGCGTCGCGTCCAGCATCCGCTCGCACCCCCACTTCGCGTCCGCGTACCCGACCGGCAGCAGCGCCTCCACGCCCACCCGGTCCTCGGGCACCAGCGTCGTCGTCTTCTTCTTCTCCTCCTCCTCCTCCTCGCGGTTCCCGTAGTTGCCCACGACGCTGATCGACGAGATCATCTGGAACCCGAGGCGGAAGGAGGCGGGGCGGCGCGCGACGACGGCGCTCGCGAGGTCGAGCAGGTTGCGCATGACGCCGAACTGCGGCTCGAAGCCGGGGAGCGCGCGCTTCACGCTCATGGGCCACGCGTTGTGCACGATGTGCGTGACGGAGCCGGCGAGGGCGTCGTACTCGGCCTGCGAGAGCCCGAGCTTCGGCTTCGCGCTGTCCGTCTGCAGCACCAGCAGCTTCGGCAGCAGGTGCTCCGGGAAGTGGACGCCCTTGTCCTTCATCGCCTTCTTCTGGCGCGTGAAGGGGTCCGCTTTGTTCTCCCGGTTGAGGCACACGACGGTTTTGACGTCGGCCATGTGCGCCATCTTGAAGACGAGGTGGCCGCCCAGACATCCCGTTGCGCCGGTTACTAGGACGACCTTTTCGTTGTCCGGGGTGGAGGTGGTGAGGGGGAGAGGGGCGGGGACCGAGAAGCCGGCGGTGTACTTCTCGACTAGTTCGTCGACTGCCTTCTTGCGAGCGATTAAGGCGGGATCGGTAGGCTCTGGGACTGCCTTGATCTCCTGAACTGGGGGAGGAGAAAAATAGACTGGGGCTAAAGCTGGCTTGGCTTCGACAGGTTTCTCGGTGCTCGCACTGCCTAGTAGCAAGTGCTTTAGGTCGCCGACAGTTGGGCATTCCAGGAACAGAGACTCGTGCTGGATATCCAGCTCGAGCTCGTCCCGGAAGCGGCTGACGATGACTAGCGACAAGAGCGAGTCAACTCCGGCATCGGCGAAGTTGGTGTCGTTGGTAAGGTCCTCGGCCGCAAGACCACTCTCCTCAGATATAATGTCGAGAGCGCGCTGGAAATCCACCTTGTTGCCAAGTGGAGCAGGGGCTTCGTCTATGACAGAAGAAGCTGAGCTGCCATTCACACTATCACTCGGGGTGGTGAAGGTGCCGCTCGACATTGGCGTGGAGGCTTCGCTGGAGTTGTCCGATTTGGAATCTCCCAAGAAGGCCCTGAGATCTCCAACGGTGGGACACTCGTAGAAGAGCGCGTTGAAGTCGAGGTCTAGGTCGAGGTCCTCTTTGAACCGAGCCGAGATGGTCAGGCCCAAGAGGGAGTCAATGCCCACGTCGCCAAAGTTGGTGCTGTCCGTCAAGTCAGAGATGGCGAGGCCGCTCTCTTCGGCAATGATAGCTAGAGCTCGGGTGACCTTGGGCGAGGGGACCGAGTCCCCGGAAGCTTTAGTGGACTTTGACGCATGAACAGGTGCCTGAGGCAGGGTTGGGAGGGTGACCGGCTCCTTTTGGGTAAGTGGCTGTTTCTTGGCCTTGCTGCCGCTTTCGATAGATAGGATGACCCTCAGCACACGGCGGGGGACACCTTGCATCTGTAGAGAGATATAGTCAGTAATGTTATTCTTATAAAGGTAAGGAATGATATCAGTAGGATAACACGTACAGCGAAATCTCCAAAGTGAGCGACGATCTTGTCACCATCCAAGATCATCACATCGCCCTGCCATAACCGGTCCTTACCCTCCACCATGCGTGAGTAAGTCGTGTAGTTCTTCTCAAAGCTCATTGGCTCGAACATCTGGAACGAGCCCCAGCCGTGGTTGACGTAGACATCGCGGTCCAAATCGTTGTTGTCGTTGCAGTTCATCGTGAATCCCGCACACCACGTCAGGGCGTCCATGAGGCCGGGGTGAGTGTGGAAATCGCCGCCCTTGTGGAAATTGCTAAAGTCAAGGCGACTCGTCGCCTCTAGTGACTTGCTGTCCATGACGATCTCATCCACAGCCCTGTAGTCGTCGTGGAAGCGTGCAAGTGGTCGGATGGCACGGTAGACCATGGCGCGGTTGAAGCGAGCAGTGGTGCCCGTGACAATTCCCTCGCGGAGGACGCGGATCCTTTCTTTTACGTTGACGACTTCCTTCTGGAGCTTCTGCTGGAGGCTTCCGTCCGTGAAGCGGATGACGCAGTTTGAATGCTCTTGGAGTCTCTTCTGGCTCTGCAGGCGAGGGTTAGTATATCGTATAGGTAGTATGAGACAGGAAGATGTAGAGTAAAACCGGAACTTACATCGAAAGTGAAAAACTTAATGGCCACCGAGTTCGATGACCAGTCAGCCTTTGCGTGGGCTTGAAGAAGCTGCTCGGAGGGGTCGGGTCGGACCATCAGGGCCTTGAGAATGGTCATGTCCGCAATAACCGGCGTGAGTCCTGCCTGAGTCGGCTGGTAACGCTGGAGCAGGTAGGTGCCCAGGCTGAGCGAGATATCACCGTAGACAGCCGGGGTGCATAGAGGAACCCCATCGACCTCGTGGCCTTCAATCAGGGGGCGGAAATCCTTCCGTCCGATATCTGACTCGACGATCATGTGGGCTTTGGTAGAATCGCCCTCTTCCTCGACGACCCGGTGGATAGTCGTGCTCTCAATGCGCGAGGAGTTGTTGATCACCAACGGAGGGTCTCCCTTGCGCAGCGACCAGTCGTTCACGTACTGCATCCAGTACGGCTTCAGGTCCCAGTTGTAAGCTGGTAGCGGGATGACCTTTTGGGAGGCCGGGAAGTCTTCGTGATAGGCGGTCCACCGAATGTCTGAGCCCCCGTTGAAGAGTGTCTTGAGCGCAGTCGTAAGAGTTTGGAACGTCGACCTGCCTCTCTGTAGGGACACCAGAGCGTTGCTCTGTTGGCCGAGCACTGCTTTCACCATGCCAGTGATGGCCGGGTGGGGGCCAATCTCCAGCGTCATGCTCTGGTCACCGAGGATGTGATGGCTGTTCGCCGTGAGTAGGGCCTTGTGCATGTTGACAGGCTCTCGGGTGTGGCGGGCAAGGTACTCAGGGGTAAAGCTACCAATGCCAACAGAGATGCTGCCATCCAAGGGGCAGATCACAGGGACCTTGGCCTCGGAGAAAGTAACACCGCTAGCTATCGCCTTGATATCCTCTAAGATGGGATCTACTTGGGAGGAGTGGAATGCATAGGGGACCTTGAGTGCTGTCGTCTTCAACCCAGCATCCGTAAGAATGCTCTTGATCGCGGTAATGTCCTCGTTGATACCAGCCAACACCGTCTCAATTGGTGAGTTGATGCAAGCAATCTCGTATTTGCGGCTCCTCAGGATGTTCGCAATCTCATCTACTGACGCCTTGACGACTAACATCGAGTGGGTGTCTTTAGTGCACTTCTCCTGGAGCACGGTCGCCCTGGCTCCGACAAGGTAGATGGTATCTGCGTCTGAGAGAACACCGGCGGCGTTAAGAGCCGCGTATTCACCGAGGCTGTGTCCAACCACGGCGACGGGGGTGATGTTCCACGATGCCCACAACTTGCTGAGGGCGATTTGCATGCAGACGCTGGCGAGCTGGACGGCGGTGGGGTTGAAAATGCCGATGTCTAGTTCCTTTGATTCAATGACGGGGATCGTAGACGGGAATCCGAGGCTCTGCCCGATGCGATCCAATCGGCGCATCTCGGTGCGGAAGAATGAGAAGTTGTCGTAGAGCTCCTTCGCCATTCCGGGATACTGTGCACCCTGGCCTGTGAAGGTAAAGACAACCTTAGGTGTGCTCTTGGGTCTGGTCATGCCTGCCTGGTCTCGGATGGCTGTCTCGATTTGAGCGGAGATATCACTGGCGCTTGATCCAGAGAGCATCACACGGTGCTGGTGGTGGATACGGCGGGCAGTAGTGGTGTATGAGAGTTGACCGAGGCTAACATCCGCATTCTCCTTCAGGAATCCAAGCAGCGACTTGAGGTTTCCTTGTAGGGAGACACCATTCTTGGCTGAGACAGCAACGAGGTGGTGGTTTCGTGAGTCAGGGGCTACATCCACAGACTTGGTCTCCAGGGGTGCATCCTCAATCAGCAGCGCGGTGTTTCCACCGGCGGCACTGAAGTTGTTCACGAAAACTCGTCGGGGCTTCGAAGCATCGGTGCTCCTCTCCCAAGGAGTAGGCTTGAAGGCAATGTTGACATTTCGTTCCTGAAGATCAGTCGGGAATCTGTGGTTGATCTTGGTCTTGATGCCGCAGTGTGGCACAATGGTGTTCTTCTTCATCATCAACAAGACCTTGATGAGACTGGATATTCCTGATGCGGCCTCACCGTGGCCCACATTTGCCTTGGCTGATCCGAGGTAGAGAGCCTCACTGCTGCTGCGGCTCTTCACGACTTGTCCAGGGGGAGGGGCAAAAGTCTCTAGAACACTGGACATCTCTCCAGCGTCACCGGCTTGAGTACCCGTCCCGTGCATCTCAACATATCCGATGGAATAGGGGTCAACAGCACCCTGGTTGAGGATCTTTCGGAAAACTGCTCGCTGAGCTCCAACGTGAGGTCGGGTAATAGACTCAGACTCGGCCGAGTGGTTTGTGTAAGCGCCTAGGATTAATCCCAAGATTGGGTCCTTGTCCGCGATAGCGTCGTCGAGGCGCTTGATGATTATTGTCCCGACTCCCTCTCCGCGGCAGTAGCCATCGGCGGAGTCATCAAAGGTTTTGCAGTTACCCGTCCGAGAGAGAAAGTGACCTTTGTCAAGACCAGCCGTCATGTCGGGGTTGGTCAAAACATTAGTACCACCGGCGATGGCGGTATCAATATCGCCTCGCCAGATCGAATTGCAAGCAAGGTGAATGCCAGCAAGACTGGATGAGCATGCGGTGTTGACCGCGAAACTCGGGCCACTGAATTTAAAGAAATAGTTGATACGCCCCGGGATGAAGGCCTGGTTGCCTCCGGGGATGAAATATGTATCGACATTCTGAGCGCTGTTGGTCTCCATCCAGTCCATGCTGGTGACACCGTAGAAGACACCGACACGGTCACGTCGTGTTGATGGGGTGGCGTCAGGAACAATTCCAGCTTGTTCAATCGCTTCATAAGCCGTCATCAAGGCAATTCTCTGTGCCGGATCGATTTGAGGCGCTTCCCGAGGCGAGATGTTGAAGAATCGCGCATCGAAATCAGCGGGGCTCTCAAGCCAGCAGCCGAATGCCGTCGCGCTCGTGTTCTTCCCCTTTCCTGTAGGGTCAACGTGTGTCTTGGCATTCCAGTGGAAGTCCGGCACAGGCTTGTGGACATCTAGACCTTGGTAAAGGAGGTCCCAGAAAGCCTCATTGTCATTGGCTCCAGGGAATCTCCCTGACATGCCGACAATAGCGAGCTTAGGCTTTCGGGGGCCAGAGAAATCATTGTTGTCAACTGGTCGTTGGCTCTGTGTTGGTGAAGAAGGCAGTAGCGTGCGCAAAGACGTCTGCTTGAGCGCCGTGTAGATCAGTTGGTCGGCCTTGGTTCCAACTGGAACAACCTTGAATGACTGAGGCTGCTCATGCTGAAGGTAAACCTGCAGCTCCTCGAGAACATCGCTCCATCGGATGGGCTGTAAGAGGATTTGCCCAACTGCAGCTCGTAAGAGAGTGCTGAACTTGCCGCTTTGGACCTCCCTGCCAGTGCTGGACAAGATGGGAATATGATTGGGGTGAGAGCCGGTGATGGAGAGATCGAGGCTCCCAATGATCTCGTCGACATCCTCTGAAGAGAATAAATGTGGGGCGTGATAGGGCCCGAAGATGGGGATGGTCTTGGAACCGGTACTGCGCAAGTTACCCGATCGAGTAAGCAGATCAAGCGATCGCGACGGGCCGCTCACAGTTATGCCGTTGGGGGCATAAGCACTAACGTATGGTCTAGCGGATAGAGGTAAGGTCTATATTTAATTAGCAAGTTAGGGGTAATCCAAGACATAGGTGTCTAGAAATGATATCGAGCTACTAGGTAGTAGAGCTAGCAGGCCTAACATAGCTTGTGGTAGGTAGTAGGTAGGGTAAGAGGCGGGTAAGGGGTAGATGATTCATGATCTTACAGTTTCTTCGCCGAACTTGTGTACAGCCTCAACAGATGCCAAGCCTGGAACAATAATAGACCAGCTCTGATCCGAGGAATCCGAGGGCTGAAGTCGTTGTGCCATGTCAGTCACGTGCATTCCTACCCTGAAAGCCACAGTGACGGCATCCAGGGCGAGTGGCACGAGCTCGAGTGTGTTACGGCTGCATCCGACAGCGGCTGCAGCTAGAGCTCCTGTGCAGAGACCCAGCACCCGTGAGTTATCGACGTGAAAATTCCACGTGTCAGCTTGACTGTGCAACATTGTTTAGCTGTCATGCTGATGCTGTGCAACGGAAAGTGACACGGTTCTTACCTGATGAAGGCTCCAAGTTGATACATGCAGGTCACGGCCATATCGAGAGCTATACACCTCTTTCCATCGTGCTTCCACAAGAGAACGTCGTCAAGGCAAGTGAACCGTGGGAGGTCATCCCTGATCTGAGTCGGAAGCTTGTATATCTCTTTGCGAATCGCATCGTAGGCTTTCACTAGGAAGTCCTCTAGGATGGGGTTGTGTCGATGCCGCAGTAAATCCTTCAGGCCTGACTCTATGTCGTACGTCTGGTCCCCGAAGAGATACAACTTCAATGGGCTAATCATCTTGAAGTTTAGCGAATGGTAGTTTAGGTAGGTAGGTGAAGAGATATGTGGGAACTCTGGTGTCTTTTGCTCGAGACTGATCTTGGTAGTTGACGGGTGCTCGATGTCTATCTTAACGGATGGCTCTTGAGACTGTCTGGCAGAGCAGAATGTGCTTCTTCTATAGAGACAGCTACTCCATTATTCTGTCTCAGTTTCCCCAGGTCCGGGCATACTCTGCCTCATCTCTCCCCAGCTTCCCAACAGCCTCGACCTAGCTACCAGGCACCGGCAACGGACTCATTGGAAGAGATAGCCAACATCTCCCGAGGCACTCTTCATAAGCCCCGACGATTATCACCAAATCACCCGGAGGATTCCCGATTGATAGGAAATTGTGAATGCTAAACCAGAATTGCGTACCTGCATGATACGCCACCTATCCGCTTGGACCGAGAGCCTCAGCCCCGAGTTCTAACCGATCTAGAACGTTGTCTGCAGAGCAAAGTGGCTGCTTATTTTGACCTACATGCATCGAGGATGAGTCGACTAAAAAGCCCGAGGAAGGGCGTCTCACCCCATTATCGTGTTTTGTTTAGATGCCAGTCCGCCGCAGCCACACACTGTACCAGACAATAATCCACTACTTTTCACTAATTAACATAATCAAGACACAACTTTACTCTACATTTTCTTTATTCAGGGAGTCCTAACACCCCTAGTCGGTCGATAACATGCAATAAAATTGCATCGTTAGCTCAAAAAGGTGCCTAACGGGGATGGGTTGGTGAAGGATGACAGGATATTACCTACCAACCTACCCGCTTATGTCCCCCTTTCTTGATTCAAACGTCATGACTCATGACCTATGATACGAAGGCAATAGAATGAGTTGCTGACACCTTCAAACACAACAGCATTCTTATAAATCTATAATTCGGACCGAGGGGGTTATTCCGTTCCGCCACACATAGGACGTAGGTACATCGTAAGTAAACATAGCTTGGTAGGCATTTTGTATTACATAGGTACTGGTCTTGCAACAGGCAAATATACGAGCGTAACACAAGCCACGAAGCACATCACGTCTTAGGTGCCTATGGTATATGTAAGGCATTATACATAATACATAGTAAGATGAACGACTGCGGTCAGAATTTTTGTGATACGATATCAATGGATGACCTTCGTATCTGTTTGTTTGCTTTGAAGGTGCTTAGAGCCTATGAGAAGCGTTCAATTGATCAGCTGACTGAAACATAGATTGCATGCTTGGGTTAAGTAGTAGATACTACCTGGCTAGATATTCCCGGCTTTCTATTTGGGTACCTGAGAAGACAATGTTACAGTGTTGGTGTGTCGATCAATGTAGTGAAACAAGACGATCATTTCAGTTCAGTTCTATGAATAGTATGAGTAGTTGGTATGTAGGTAATCTATAATACTGTCTCATAGCGAGGTCATAAGTAGGTAAGGTAGACTTTGGCATCTGCAGATAGAAAACAACATGCAGTAGTTCTAACGAGTAAGCGAATCAATCGAAGCTGTTAGATCTGAGATCATGCAGCTATCTATCTACAAAGTAGTATTCAACAGTGGACATGCAGTAGTCATGTGGTATGCATGTGGTATTCATGTGGTGTATCAGATATCATCCCAAGTTATCGTTGAGTACCACGAGGGACCTGAACAGCTCTGCTTACCTACCCATGGTAGCTCGAGCTCCATGCGGCGCCCACAGTTTCTCCGAATCTCTGGGACTCGGCCGATGGCTGCATGATGAGCTGAAGGAACAACACCTAGGCAGTCGCTTATCGAGCCATTGGATGGTTACACGATAGGTATATCTTAGTCGAATCAGGGAAAGAGGATGAAGAGCTGTGTGGCTGGTTTGGGGCAACGGAAAGGATGCAAAGACGGCATACAAGCCGATTTGGTATGACGATGGCGGCGGCTAGGGCTGAGGCCGTTATTCTAAAAAGCAAAAGAAAGAATTAAAAAAAGAAAGAAAAAAAGAAAAAAGACCATAGCAGTCTTGTCGGTAGAATCCCCTCATGCATGGATGAGACATTGATGAGAGGTAGGCAGAATTTCAAATTACGGTATCTAGCTCTCGATCTTTGAATATGATAAACAAATCTACCTATTTTGACAACAATTTCCTGATCACGGCCCCTCCCCCTTTACATATTGACACATTCATTAACCACCTGACACATATCTCATATTCCATACCCCTTACCTACCTAGTACCTAGTTAGTTGCGTGCAGGCGAATAGTCACTTTCTTTTGCCAATAATGATCAATACTTCATCACGGACGTCTCGGCAACCAAAATTACGGTTCAGTTGTGACGGCTGTGGTTCAGCGAAGCTCAAGTGCGATCGTGGCCAACCCGAATGTGGACGATGTATCTCTCTTGGCATCCCTTGTGTCTACGGACTGTCTCGCAAGATGGGAAAGCCCAGGAAGAGGCCACAAATCCCCAACATCCCCAGCGTATCTCGCACGCCAGGCGAACAAGCCAGCCCCAGGAGCAAAGATGGGATATCCGATGACAAGATATTCAGCCATCGGACAAATGGTTCTATCAGTGATTCAGTCTTGTCGAGGTCCGCGTCGGCTTCGAGCATAACGGATATGCACGCAACATGGGGAACGATGGACGACTACACCAGCAACGCCGTTTCGAGTGTTGATGTCATGGACGCGTTCCATCACGATCGACTTGGTCCATCGCCCACGAGTTTATCACCTCTGAATGCCGGCGAGTGGGATATGAAGAATATCGGGGACAACATTTCATCCAACAATTTAGAGACGGAACCTTTTCTTGCATTGGGATGGACAGGCTTTGGTGACTCTCCTCCCACCACGCATTTCACCGCTGCCCAAACCCTATTTGACGATACAATATACCCCGACAGCCCCTTGATAACCCATGACGACACCAAAGGGCACGACTGTTCGCGAGAGGCCTATGATCTCCTCGGCAACCTGTCCTTTCTAAGCCTCCACAAAGCCTATTCCGCAACCACCACCACAACACCATCTCCCAACGGGTTTGTAAGCCGCGTCCCCCTAGACTTCATCCTGCACATCAACCGCGAAGCGAGCGAGCGGCTCAACCGACTGCTGAACTGCTCTTGTGCCAGCCACCCCCACCTCTCCTTCCTCCACGCCTCCATCATATCCCGGATCCTGCTGTGGTACTCGCGCGAGGCCGGCTGCGCCCAGCTCTCAGCAGCGTGGAGCCCCGCGTCGGACACGGCACTGCGTCCCGGCGTCGTGTCACCGCCCCCCAGCTCGATCTTCAGGCCGCTGTGCGGCTCGCCGTCGTCGCGGCTGAGCGTGGCCACCAGCGCCAGCAGCTCGAGCATGCCGCCGGGCACGCGCGCCACCACGCCCGACCTCGCGCCGACGCAGATGACCATGGGCTGCTTCAGCATCGACGACCAGCGCGTGCAGACGGCGCTGCGGATTCAGCTGCTCCTGGGCGAGATGAAGCGCATTGGCTCGCTGATCGACACCTTCAACGCGCACAGCTCCGCCGGGGGCCTCGACGAATCTACGTCCGGGAACATGGATACCTTGTACAAGAGCCTGGGCTCCTGGTTGGGCGGCGAGCACTCGAGCATTGTCGCGATGATGCGGTCCAGGTTAAGAGAAGTTGGGATTTGAAAACAAAATGTAGAAAACACTACCTTACCCAAAAGAAAACTGATAGAATTACAAATTTCCCGTCCTGTTTGTCTATCTAGATTACTTGTATATAAAGCCTCATGTATATTACTATTACAATAGGTATTCCAAATAAGCAAAGATAAATTTTTTCAACAGCCTTCAAAAGTACCTTCCCAATGTTCGGATTTGCGTCGCGGCCTGTCTGGTTAATTCTTTTCTTTTTTTTCTTTTCGACTTTTTTGAACCAATGGTGGCTTTTGTTTCATTCCCGAAATTCGAGGCTTTACTGTAAGTCGGGTTTAGTTAATGGAATGATTCTGAATACCTCCGACTGCATGCGTCAACGCGAGTTGAGACACGCGAAATAGGGAGGTAGGTAGGTAAGGCAATTCTTGCAGGTTCATTGATGGAGACGTGCGTGCATAGGTATGACTATTTTCCCCAATGAGAAATGGGATTGGCATACCATTGTCTCAAAGGGAACTACAAAAACACTAACCCCGAGAGTTGCTGAGAGAAAGCCATCTGATGATATGGAATGCTATGAGAGATATTTGCACTGAAAGAAACCGGTTTGTTAAAAATCTCCTAAATTGTCGACGAATGTCATTTACCCCTATTTCCGGGAACATTCCTCACCGCACATTCGGTATACTAGTTCACTTGCTTCATCCATATAGGTGAAATGCACTCATAAAGGACGGAGAAGGAGATTCTGATATCATCATTATTTCGAAGTATTTAACGTGGCATGAGATGACGGTGAAATTCAAAATAACCATACAATTTGGTATAGTCATCCCTTAAATTGATGGAAAATGCAGATTTGCACATTCAACATATAGCGCTTTAGCTTATTAGCCAACTTTTGTTTCTCATCAAGTCTTGATATTTTAACACACAACGAACTCCTCACAAACGACATGTATGTGATGCAAATGGCCATTCATTCCTAAGTCTTTCAAAAAGAGCATCAAAACGCTATCAAAACAAACCTTCAACGACCCCCCATCGTGGCACTGCCAATGTGCACTTGTGCTATTCGTTCAATACCTACTTTTGCACTTTCACTATCTGCCGCGGCTTGTAACGTTGTTTCTGACAGCTAGCTACGCCAGCGTCCTGTACGCGCCGGCATCAAAAACTCTGGAGGCGTTTGCTGGAGCCGGCGCCAATATACTCACACTGTGTCTTAGTGATGACTGGAAGCGGCAGATGTGCGTTGTGAGGCTCATTTCATGTACTGGCATGTTCCTTGGTGCCGGGCGCATGGAGTGGAATTCTTTCTCTCAGCTCGTGGTCCCCTTGAAGCAGTGGCTCGTAACCGAGACAATCAGAATGATGTCGACATGATAGGCTGAATCTTGCCTAATGAAAGATGTAGAAAAGTACCTACCTACCTACCTACTTACCTAGGTTAGGTAGGTAGGCACTGAGCCATGAACATAGTGACCACAGATAGGCTATCTAGTACGTGGACTACCCTCCACCAGGACAGAAATAGTTCGATATGGGGTACGAGAATGAAGATGAGGATTCGTCTTAGTATAGCAAGGAAAAGTTCAGAGTGATGAATGTGGTCCACGTTGGCGAGTTCAAGTTAGGCAACTATTTTAAGGGATTTGAAATGGTTCTTCTTATGCTACACACGTACGGATGCTGGTACATACGTAAGTCGGCCTTTGCAGCCACTGCAATACCGATGGATGATCTTCATTGATGACTCTTCATTACTTTGTAACCCTAGCATAACGCCTTTCTACACTTTTATGAAATGATATAGATTTTTTTCACTTAAGGTGCTTACCTACGTACCTGGTCACATAACGGTAACGGCAAATACCTCATATTAAGCATTACGATTTTATGACCTGTCACAATCTCATCATTACCGAATCTACACACCACAAACAAAACAACCTACTTTTCGTATGTAGGTAAGCCTCAACAGTCGGTGTACAAGAAAGTTGACATCTTTAAAAGCCTATTCAACGTCTTTCAGTCTCTTACCCATTCAACCTACTCTAGCCCAAGCCACAGAGACGCAACATTCGTCTACCGTCTCGGCGCCCGACCTGGGCTTTTTGCCGTCATATGTTTTTCTCTCCCTCTTACGATCGAACTAATTCGGGGAGCAAAGGTATTTTCTGATTGGTCCAACCTTTGCATATGCCAAGCAAGGGTTGAGGGGCCGCCCCGGACGGTTCTGGGTGAGATCCGATGTAAGACAATGAGAGAAGAGACAGGGGGGGAATGTGAGGCTCGGTAGCTCGCTAATATGGGCGCCAAGGTCGCTTAAGAGCCCGAAAACGCGATATCTCGGCCAAGTGTAATCCCGTCTTACCTTATTCCGAACGGCTTTTCCCCCTTTGTTTGCTGGCTAGGAGGTAAGTAGTTGGTAATAGGTACAGAGAGCCATGCTTCTTGAAAGAACGCACCGGAACTAGTCATTTCCCAAACGACCCGGCGTGGAATTGCAGAGAAATGCGAATCAAACGTGTCGGTCCCGGGTGTGTTGGAACTCGTGCTCATAATATGACTTGTATTAATCTCCGTGGCCTCCGTTCACAACGAACGGCCAAGCGAATAGGCCGGAACACTCTATTCGGGCATCCTGCCAAAAGGATCAAAAGGCCAACTACTTTAAGTAGCCGTCACCAACATTCTAAAAATTCATCGGAAAAGGGGGTTACACTTGATATCATCCAAAAGAGCTCGAGACTGTTGGTAATCCTAAAAGAGAGACAGACACACAAGAATAGAGTCAACCATGTCAGCTGTCTTAGCTCTATACCACGAGCACAAGCTTGCTCTGCTGGCCATCGGCCTGGTCCTAGCCGGCCTTGTAGCATGGCTTCGACGCGATACCCGCCTGAGCAAGATGCCCGGGCCTAAAGGCTACCCGCTCATCGGTATTGGCCTCAGTCTTCCTGCGAAGGCGCACGTTAGTCTTCGAGAATGGGCCGCCTCGTACGGCGAGGTCTTCAGGCTGCGCGTAGGAATGTACAACTGGGTCATCATTAACAGCCCCCAAGCGATGCACGATATATTGAACAAGCAGGTACTATGCACGCCGATCTCCTAACACGAGATATTCCCAATCGCTCCTTTGGCGTTTTAGGCATGTAACCAGCAGAGAGACATGTGGCTGACCGATCATCTCTAGTCCTCCAGCACATCCTCCAAGATGCCGGCTCCTATAGGCCACGACGTGGTCGCGGGCGGGATGCGCATGTTCACGCTACCGTACGGGGCCAAATGGCGGACGTACCGCACCATCACGCACCAGCTGCTCTCGAGCACCATGACGGCGACCTTCATCCCGACGCAGGAGTACGAGACCAAGCAGCTGCTGTTCGACATCGCCACCGACAACGCGAACCAGCTGGACTTCAACATGCACGTGCGCCGCTTCGCCTTCAGCATCATCATGACCAGCACCTACGGCCTGCGCATCAAGACCTGGGACGACGAGGACGTGCACCACGCGCTGGCGAGCGCGCGCATCCTGGGCCAGATCACGCGCGCCGGCGCCTTCATGGTCGACGAGCTGCCGGTCCTCGCGCGCCTGCCGAAGTGGCTGCAGCCCGGCCGCAAGCAGGCCGAGAAGTTCTCCGTCCCGCTGCTCGAGGCCAAGATGATCCTGTGGCGCCGCCTGCAGGCACAAGTAGCGGCGGGCAAAGCGCCGACGTGCTACGCGCGCGAGATGATGGAGAACGACGAGGCGTGGCGCAAGCAGGGGCTGACAGACGAGGACGCGGCGTGGATCGCGGGCGGCAACGTCGAGGCCGGGTCCACCACCACATCCGTCACGCTGCTCAGCCTCCTCCTCCACCTCGCCGCGAACCCAGACGTGCAGCAAAAGGCGCACGAGGAGGTAATGCGGGTGGTCGGGCCGGACCGCACGCCGGGGTACGACGACATCAAAGACCTGCCGTACATCCGGGCGTGCATCAAGGAGGTGCTGCGGATGCACCCGACGCCGTTCTGGGGCATCAAGCACTACGCGGACGCGGACGTGACGTACAAGGACTACGTGATCCCCAAGGGCACCGTGCTGCTCGCGAACACGAGCTTCATCCACTACGACCCGGCGCGGTACGACGACCCCTTCGCCTTCCGCCCCGACCGCTACCTCGGCCACCCCAAGTACAGCGCCGACTACGCCAACCAGAGCGACCCCTACCTGCGCGACCACTTCACCTTCGGCATGGGCCGCCGCATCTGCCCCGGCGCGCGGCTCGCGGAGAACTCGCTCAACATCGCGCTCGCGAACTTGATGTGGGCGTTTGAGGTCCGGCCGCCGCTGGTCGATGGGAAGGAGGCGGAGGGGGTGGATGATAGCGACGATGCGTGGGAGGAGACGAGCTTCAGGGGCCCGAAGCCGTATCAGGCGCGCTTTGTCCCCCGCAACGGGAACACGGTCAAGGTTATCAAGGGCCAGTGGGAGACGGCGGCGAAAGAGGGGTATGTGCTTAGGGGTAATACTGTAGATGTGAATAGTGTGGTGATATTTTAAGGGATGGGGGGTGGAAATGTATATGAGATGGGAAGACTGTATTGTATGTATCACGTGTTGGTTTTCAGAGTTAGTCATCTGGGCAGGTTAGAGACGGGTGTCATATTATGTAAGTTGCTGAAGATAAAATGTGATCTGAGAGATGTTGCTTTCCAATACGGTGCACCATTAGTGCACATCCGACAAAACTTTATTTTTTATTTTCTAATTTCTAATTCCTAATTTCTAATTCAATTTCAACCAACAGCCATCAATCAATACGCTAATGTACAACTTCAACGCCTTTTATCTCATTCAAATAAATTCGCAAAATTCCCAAACTAGTTGCATCTTTGTTGCTTTAATTGTAATAACTGATAGATATATGTTTTTTCAAATCTTAGACCCTTATATTGATTGATCTTTTCGGCCGCTACTGTAGATGCAACTATCCTGAATTCAATTGAGATGCGGCTCAGGTGGCCCATGCGCCGTACCACATCAAGCTTTCAACCTATTACAACTCATCCAAACAATCTTCAAATCTTGAATTTAAGACACTAATCTAGAGCTCTCAATTCAAGGATCAGATTGAGCCCGGTTGCACGCTTTTAGCAGCCATATTGCAGAATTTATTCAAGGTTGAACTTGCAGGTGCCAGATACTGCAGATTGGGTGTTGCTCTAAATAACAATCAGCCGGTCTCAGCTCCCAGCTTTGAATCCTAATAACTTTTTGAAGTCTATAGCTGCAAATATGTAACCTATATCATTTAAAAGCTTATTTAATTTTGAACTGAATGATATAGGTTTGATTGTTGGTTGAAGAATTGTGTAAATAGATATATTGAAGTTTGTAATAACTAGCTTTAATCGGCTGTATGTTGGCTTTGAGGGATATCACGTGCGATCGAGACTGCCAACTTAAATATCTGAATAACTTCTCAACCAGATATCGCACCATAATGAAACCTATATCATTAATTTCAGAATTGCATGTGCTTTCTATTAATATAGGATATATGGTTGTGGCCTCGTATCATGGAGAGTTATTCAGCTATAAGCTGACGTATCTATTTATTAGCCTTCAATTATCCAGTGTGAATACTGGAAATACTGTATATACACACTGTGTTTTAGTGTATTAATTGATGTCTGCTGGTTGAAATTGAATTAGAAATTAGAAATTAGAAATTGAAAATTGAAAAATAAAGTTTTGTCGGATGTGCACTAATGGTGCACCGTATTCCAAGGGTACTTTTCATATGAAGACGAGTGCACGTGACTCGAAGTTTAATTGTTTTAAAAATGCATATATCATCGTTTTACTGGCTATTACTTCACATAAGAATTAATTCCCCGTCAACTTTGATGTCACATTGTCTTCATAACTATCATGACCCTTTCCTATCCTCCCTTCCCGTCCATTTCCGTGCTTAGAAACCTCTTCCATCTTGCCAATTCCGCCATAACCAAAATACACAAGCCTTTATTTCTGGAAATACCCAGTGATATCATTGTCCTCACCACACTTCCTGCACTTATGCAGCACCTTGTCTCCCGCCCTCGCACCCACCGGCAAGATCGCCGCTCCTGACCCTACTCCCACTGTACCAGTACCAGCACCTCCTAACTCCTTCCTGCTATCAGCCCCCCTGGCCGTAGTTTCCGCAACCGGCAGCCTCGACTTTTCCCGATGGGGCAGCGTGGTCGTAGCGCCGGTAGCAGCAGCAGCAGCACCTACACCAGCACCGGCAATTGTACCGGTGTTGTGATGGAGTTGTTGATGCGGCTGGTGACGGGCATCGTGGTGAGTGTCGTGGTGAGCATCCCCTTCAAGGTTAATCCCCGACGGCGTGCCAGACGGCAGCACGTTGTACTGCCCGCCGTGGCTCGAGTCACCGGACGTGGTTTGCCGGAGGCCAGTGGTGGACGACGTGTTTGAGGTGTGATCGCGCGTAGCGGATGTGGAAGTTGAGTGAGACTGTCCGTCGTGAGCGTGAGCGTGGTGGTGCGCAGCAGCACCTGCACCGGCGGCACCGGCAGCAGTGTAGGCGGCGGTGTTGACACCGCTGTGATGACCATCAGTAGCGGAAGTCGTGTTTCGCGCATTGCCGGATGTAGGCACGTTCCTCGCGTCGCCGAGTTCTTCATCGGTTGGGATGCGCTTGAGCGGAAGCCCAGCAGATTCCCTCGACGTCGACGTCGACGACTCTGGGATGGCGCCCTGTTGGCTGGATGATACGGAGTGGCGCTTCCCAGTGACCCGAGACGTGGCTGCGCCTGTACTGGCGCCAAGAGCGCCGGCTTTGGCCCCGGCGGGGCTGTCTCTTGTTGTGGTGCCGTGCGTAGTGTATGGTGAAGAAGAGGTGGTGTGACTGGAAGCGTATTGGTCGTTGGTGTTGATGCCTGATGGTGTGCCATCGTTCAAGACGTTGTGTTCCCCTTGTCTGTTGGGGTCGGCGCGAGAATGCGCTGTGGTTGAAGTGGCAATTGGGATAGAATGACCGTGGGATGAGGGAACGGCGTTGGACCTGGTGGTGCCTGAAGCAGCCCCAAATCCAGGCTCCCCAGTGGTGTGCCCTTGCCCTGCCGACCTTGTAGCATCACCAGATGTCGGGTACGACGTGTTGTTGTTGTCCTCCCTGGAAGCGTACTTGTGTGCGGCATACGCGGCACCCGCACCCGCTCCAGCACCAGCAGCTCCATACCCTAAGTTGGAGTGATGGTTATCCGTAGTATGAGTAGCCGAAGGGTTCTGTCTACTAGTCGCGTCACCGTGAGTGAGAGACGTGTCGTTGACACCCCTTCCAGTGTTCTGGCTGCTGGGTCCGGAATGCCCAATGGCAACTACAGGTATCCCAGACTGATGAGTCTGGGGCTGTCCGTCCCGGGCACGAGTCTCAACATGCTCGTTAGGGCGGGAATAAAGCGCTCCCGCCTTGTCATCTTGCGCCCCTGACGTGGACGTGTGGTGCTTGCTGCCATGCTTATCTCTGCGCTCGTGAGCACCGTACGCCACAGTCGCGGCAGCAAGAGCAGAGCCAGCATCGCGCTCATTCAAGGGAGTGTCGTCCTTGCTCGGCACTCTCTCCTTTGTCGTCTTCTCGTGCTTAGTAGTGTCCTTTTCGTGCTTGTCCTTGTGATCGCGATGGAAGAGACTGCCGATGAAGCTCTCCTTTTTGGTATCCGCTTCATCGTACTTATGGGGAGCGGGATCCTTGAGATCCTTCTCGTGCTGGTGATCGTGGCGCTTTCCAGCTGCTTCCGAGGCGGCGAGGGCGCCTCCGGCACCAACACCTGCTTCGGGTAGCACCTCCTTAAACCGTGACTCGCTATGGGGGAGAGTGTCCTCGTGGGTGGCGTTGGAGGTGGTGTGAGGAGCGGTGGTGTTAGAGACGGTGTTAGAGGTAGCGTGAGATGCGGGGTTAGATGCGGTAGAAAGCGGGAACATCCGCTGTTGCCCCTGGTTTAATTCAGAGCCTTGAGGATGAAGAGATCCGGCGACAGGTGTCTCCGCGCTACCATGCCCAGTAACACCGTTATATACGCCAGTGCCATGGGGTACCTCACCCCAGTAAGGATCGGTATGTTCGAGCTCGCTCGTCTGCCTTAGTCCATTTCGGACAACGTTGTGGCCACTGTCTGCTGATGGCTCACGCACAGTATTCGACAAGCCTGCAGCGCCCGCATTAGATCCAGACCCGACAGCACCAATACCTGTTGCACTGTCATGCTGGTTGATGCTGGTGTTGGCTCGAGAATCTTGCGTCGCCGGCACAGAGTATTTTTGGTTGTTCTCGGCGTTGTTGTTGTCGAGGCGACTATAGGCTCCGGTCATCACTCCGGGCTTGCTCTCGCCACCATAGTGGTCTGTTGACCGACCTGTGGTGGCGGAAGTTGTGCCTGGCGCGGTTGCTTGACTCGGCGCGGAAACCCTTTCTGAATCGTAAGGCCCTCTCGTCGCAGTGGGGCCACGGGTCTGAGAGGGAGTCTGATCTTGTAAGCCAACACCAGAATCTGTATGTTGATGGGTGCCGAGACCCCTTGCCTCCTCACTCCAGCCTCTAGGGTCTTCACGCTTGTGTAGTTTATTCGGGTGGCTCTGAGAGCCAGTAGAGCTCAGACCTGAGGCTTGGTTTGTAGATGTCATGTCGTCTGTTGGGAAGGATCCCGGAAGATGAGGAGGCTCTGTTTGTCCGGAAGTATTGATTGAAGACATATTTGTAGATGTAGAATATGTATGCTTGGGGTAGATATCTTAAATTCAGTACCTAAGTACAGATTGTTTTATGTTAGGATAGATGCAATAGTTAATTGAGTTTAGTTATATGTCAAAAACACAAGGCGAAGTAGTGAGTCTTAAATATCCGTCTCAAATTCTCTTATATTGTTCTATACTACTAGTATGGCGCACCGGTTAGAGCGGCTGATCGACTCATGGGATATGATTCAGGAAGACTGCATCACATCTTCAAGATCTCCAATTGCTATTCCTACGAAGCTACGTATTTGGTTACAACCATGTTGTGCTACTCAAAGGCAAGGACACCGACACCAGTCATGACATCAGACACTAATATTGATCAAGTTCAGGAGTCTCAGCTCCTTTGTCTGCCGCGGTCCGCTTTCATTGCCCAATCAGGAATCTGCCCTATCGTGACCTAAGGGGCGCGGTGTCAAGCCGTCATGGATTAAGCGGCTCCATTTCGTCATTAAAGACCCGAAGAACTGGTTGTGATTTTACAAGCGTATCTGGCTCCATGTAAAGACCTTGATTGCTCTTAAGTTATATAACAAGTGCTTGCGTAAGTGGTTATGGCTAATAGTGGGAGAAAATAGCATGAATAAAAGAGGGGAGGAATAGAAGATTAATGAAACTAATAGTAATAGCTGAGCTTGAGACATTACTGTAGATCTTCGCACCAAGATTGAATTGACGTAGCTAACAGCCGCCAAGGCCACAGGAACGAGACTCACGTCACATTGCTAGGTATGTAGGTATGGTATGTAAATGTTATAACGATACTACGATTAAAATCAACATATTCTATATTGTAAGGGTATAAGTCTGCCAAGTTCCTATGGCCGGAAGATGTAAATGTCACTTTTGGGGTAATTCGTTTACTTCGTTTCGGTTCTGACAGAAAACGGTGGAGACAAAGCCAGTGGAATTTTGTCGCATCCGCCTATTCGCCTATTCGCAATGCAGAAATCAAATCCAGTAGGTACTAAAGGTAGGTACCCAGCGTTTATACAGTCGGTAGTCGGGAATGCTGGTGCTTCGTCTCGAAATCGAAATATTGGACAGCGTCATGTTCGTAAGTATCCTTTGGCAGCATTCAAATCGCCATGGTGATAGTCATAGCAGACTTGTGTTTGGTATTTCACAACGGCTCGTCCGCGCCCAAGGCTTCATCGTCCTCTCCCATCTCATATACATCGTCTTCGAAAGTGTCCCTGGCTGCACCCCATTTCATAAATGAAGGCTTATAAATTGGAGGCGCTACCCATTTCGCGACGGGGCGGTGCTTCCGTAGTCGTCTCCTCTGTCTCTTGCGTTCCCAGATGTTCATATATTTCTCATCAAACTGTGTAAAATCAGTTCCTGTAACCCAGTCTGAGATCTCAGCTAGAAAATCTCCTATTTCCTCCCCAGCTTTCCATGTCAAAGCTCTTCCTTTACCTCCGGTGGCCCACTCATCCAACATGAATGGCATTGCGTATGGGAAATACGGTTCGTCTGGTGACCACTCACACGGTACTTCTGGAGTACAGTTATACTGAGGAGTATACAGCGAACAGAAGACCGACTCGACGATGTACCATATGAGAAAAAGGAGCGTGAATAGGCCAACTTTGGTAAGTCTCAATTTGGGTGATTTTCGGTACAAAGTGGGAATAGTAATCAAGACGGGTGTGGTACTAGTCGAATTGGTCTGAACGTGTACTTCAGACTGTACCTCAGGCTTTAAACTGGAGGCTTTTGGATCCGCAGGAGTTTGGGCTACCTTATGGTCAGTGTGTGTAACCTTGTCTTCGAGACGTTCGATCCCCTTCTTCGCAGACCGGATACCTAGAAGGCCAGTCTGCAACGATTTGCTCATCCTGTCGTAGACCTGAAGTTCACGATCTTGCTCCGAAATACCCGGAATCTCCATATCATCGTCAATCTTATTCATAGTATCCTTCACCATTTGCGCAAGTTCGTCATCGTCAATGTCCTGATCAGCGAGGATCTCGTCGAAGTCCTCAAGGGTCGAATCGTCAATCTGATTCAAGCGTAATATAGCACGAATATCATCCTTGACAGATGGGGGGTTGGCCGTATTGATTACAGGACGAAGAGGACGGCGCCTTCTGGAGTTGGCCCTGGCGCGGCGCGAAGCTGTGGGGGCTGATGAAGACCGCGGCCCTGATAACTTCTTGGTGGCTCTTGGTTCGTCATCATTTTCTTGTTTAATATAGTCCTCGTTCAGTGGATCGCTGGAGCTCCTACTACGAAGCTCGGTAGCATTCGAGACTTTAGTTTGATCATCTAAAGGCTTCTTATCATCTGAAGGACGCAGGCGCTCTTGTTTAACCCTGGTGGTGGCGGGTGTCTCTACATATGCTCCAGTGACACGAGGAGTCGGCTGTGTCAATGGATCGATCTTAGTTGGCTTGGGCGTCGCTTCTTCTGCTGGCTCTGACGAAATTGGCGACGGGCCGCGGACGGAGCCCTTTTCGGAGTAGTTGTCGAGGGGTGCAAAAAGCTTCATTTCAGCTTCAATGCGATCCGTTGGGTCAGCTTCCGAGTTAGGTCGGCTAGACCATTTATTGCGAACGGAATCACTAGACAGATCTCGTCGTAACCCTGCGAACCCTACTGTTGGTCTCTCCCTGGAGCTCTTAATCTCCAGGCTTTTGACCTCTGAGTTTTGGGGCATCCTTTCTTCTCCCGTGAAACTTGATCGACTTCTTTCTCTTTGCTCAGACTTTTCCTTTGATGGGGGATTGTCTGAAACAACTTGCTGATGATTCTTTTCAGACGGAGGACTGTCACTAGTTGCCCGGGCAAGACGGCGAAGTAAGTCGTGGGAATCGTTTCGTGGTAAAGAAACGTCAGTTTTGTCGTTTGCAGCCTTAGGTTTGTCTATTTTCACTTCACACGGCTGTGGCTGGTGGGATGTATAGTCGCTTGTACTTCCGAGCACAGTAGGCCGAGGCACAGTAGGCCGGAGCACAGTAGGAGGCGTGTCTGGGATTTGCTCCTTTTTCATGTTCGGGCTGAAGTCTTGAACTGGACTCTTCGAGGGTCTGTGGTCAAAGGGAACAGAGCTTTCTAGTTGATCGTCCTTATTGGGGCTTTTGCTAGTCTCTGGTAATGCCAATCGCGCCTCGGAATTCTTCGCTCGTATCTCATCGAGCCTACTTGAAGCCATTGCTCGCCTAGAAAAAGCCTCCCTTTCTAGCGCCCGAAGCTCATCCAGTCGGCTTTTAGCTCGCTTAGATGAAGTCAGATCTTCTTCAGGCAGAACGGCGTTGGCAGCTTGAATTTCTTTCTGCCGAATTTGATCGAGCCGGTTATTGCTGCGACGCAAGATTGGCGTGTGTCTGACTGGCGATTCCGTATCTCCCGATGACCGTCGAGAAAGTCCCCCGTCGGATCGACCAGTGCGGATACGGGGGCTGTTGGAAATCTGGAGATCACCAGCAGTGAAATCGGCATCTAATTCCCAATTCAAGCTCTTTTCTGGGGACAAGCTCGTAGGTTTCTTGACAGGAGAAGCTCGTTCATCGCTAGCGGATTCATAGCCGATAGACGGAACAGAGACAAGTTTATTATGATGCTCTCGGTTGGCAGTACCGACCATACGATCCTCTACGACGGCGTTCGCATCTTTTCTTGGACTAGCTGGCCACTGACCACTTCCGATCCGCGACGCGGAACGTTGAAGGTTATGGTCACTAACTTTCTTAACAAGGTTATTGCCAGCGTCGGAGGAACTAGATGGAATGCGAGTCTTGCCAAACAAGCCTCTAAGAGGTGCATTTCCCGTACCCAGTTGATGATTTCGGTCAAACTGATGAAGGTGCTGTCCGAGATCTTTTTTCGCGCTGGTAGTTATTCCTTTCTGTGAAGTTGACGTGTATGACTGGCGTCTCGAATGAGTTCGTGGGGCAGGGCTAGGGGAACCATCGATACGGCCGTTCATCTCGGCACTGGCCATATTGAATGCGTGTTTGATGCTAAAGGTGTCGTCGTCGGCTGGGTCGATTGCTTCTTGCTTCTGAGCCAGCGAGAAGGCCGACTTGAGGCTCATAGGCTGTCGCATATCAAGCGACCACTTGTCCTGGTGACTCAATCTATTTTGATTGTTGGTCTGTGGTGTAGGAGAGGCGTTGGCGGATGCTGTAGTTTTCGGGAGAGGTATTCGCGTTTCACGAGGTGATTCGGAAAGTTTACGTGTCGATGCGCCGAGGTACTTTGGGCCTGAGTATAGTGGGTGTCGAGACCCAGAGCTGATACTGGAGTCTGGGTCGGATACAATGTTTTCCTTTAGCTCAGGCTTACCAGTGCTCTGTCTGTAGGTAGAAGTTCGTTGGCTACCAAAGGGTTGTGTAGTAGTCTTCCCGCCCCGAATGTTTCCGTTAGATTTTGCATTCAAGTTTCCGTTGGACTTCATAGCTAGGGCCCCTAAGGCATTTGGCGAGTCGCGTTCCATGATCTCTTGGGGCAACGGTGATAAAGTTATGCGATTCAAGCTGGTAGGTGCATGGTTGTCCAGGAGAAATATATAGATGGGTTACGAAGTGTTTCATACCAAATGGACAATCACGTCCAACCTTGGAAAGAAAAGGTGAAAATGTGAAAAGAAAAGAACTAAAAAGTTTATTAAAGGAGGGGTTATCAAAATGGGTATTAAAAATCCTATGTTTTTCAATAGTTACATTGATTTGAGCATATTGTGAGGGTGTGCAGGGTAAAATGAAGAATCGAAGAATTGAAAAGTGTTGTGTTATCGCGGCCACGAGAAGAGCTACACCGAGTTGGCGTCGCGACTGACTAGTAAGTTAAAAGTAGATCCTTGTTGATTCTATCTTCCCGAAAGGGAAAGCGGTCAGCCTAGCTTCTAACCTAGGTTCCACCTTTTGCCGTTCTTTTAAGTCAAGCTCTAAGCGATATTAGGTATAGTCCGTGCGCTTTTATGTTCCTAGGGTAGGTACTTATAGCATGTATCTAAGTACCCTTCTCAAAATATTGTTAATGAGTCCACGTTCTTATCACAGCTCATAACTTTGAAACATTCAGCCGCAGTTGGGGTAAATGGAGTCACACCCCGCATTGATACTCGGTACAATATCTAATTCTTGAATGCCACATTGATGAAAGACACATGTATATTGTTCGTAGGCACTCCCAAATAGCGATGATGTCATAATACGTATGTACCTAGGATAGGTCAAGAATTAAATTGATGTCATGTCTAATGTTATGTACCTGGGTGACCTTGTAGCATTAAACTTCCAACTTTAAACATAACTTGAAGGTTTGTATTGTTTACCCAATGGAAAGTGAGACACACTGCGAGCATGTATTTAAGACTTTTTCGTAGTGGTTAGCTTTCCATACTCCATACCTTTTAATACATCATGATCCTTTTCAATATTCATTTTCTCTGTCTACATCTACATAGGTATACCTAGAGGTAGGCAGGCTACTAGTGCCTCTCTACCCTAGCATACCAATTCTCGGCTAGGTACTTGAAGTCTTGAACTCCTTAGCCAACATTGAACATACCTAACCTAATGATCAATTCGGCATATCGTCGTAGCATCATGAAATGCCGATGCGGGGAACGGATCCTTGCCGGTAATATTATCCTGCCATTATCCTTCTGTCATGGTGGCTATAATCATGAGTCAAGTCTCCTCTTATCACAACTACCATCGTCGCTACATTTTATGCATTTCTATTATGAAGCATGTCAAACTCTAAAGTAGCTATCATTACCGGCGGTGCCTCGGGGCTGGGGTTTGCCGTTGCGGAACTACTTTCCAGCAAAAGTTGGCGAGTTCACATTTTCGACTTAAATGAACCTAACAAAGCCACTGATTGTACCTATCACAAAGTTGACGTTGATTCTTGGGTCTCTCTCTCTTCTTCCTTCAATGCCGTCTTTAAAGCAGAAGGTCGGCTTGACTTTGTGTTCGCGAACGCCGGTGTTATGGAAAAGGGGAGGTTCTACGAGACACATGAAGCTTCCTTGCCACCACCAGAACTAGAGGATATGAGTATCGATGTGAGCTTGAAAGGCGTCATTAAAACGACTTATCTTGCGCAGCATTACTTCAGGGCCAACCAACACGGTGGCAAGGACTGCGTTCTCGTCATGACATCTAGTATAGCAGGCATAGTAAGTTGTTCCTTTCCCGGGATAGTTACAACGACACATGTCCCTCATTTACCTATCTTTAGTACCCACAATCGATTACACCGTTATACGCAGCGGCCAAAGCAGGCATATTAAATTTCATGCGCTCGGTCGCTCCTATCTTCTATGATGAGAATGGTGTAAGGACGTACGCCATTTGTCCCGGATCTGTACGAACAAATCTGTTGCCCAAGGAAGCATGGGACGCATATCCACAAGAGTACCTCACAAAGATGGAGAAAGTGACATCAACGGTTGAGTCTCTCGTCCATGGCGTCTCGATGAGCGATTCCTGGGGTCAGAAACTTGAGAATTCTACCGTCGGTATCGCTATCGAAATCTTTGTAGATGATGTGTATTTCAGGAAACCGCCCGATCCATGCAATGATGGCATGAGCTTTATCTTGGAGCACATGAGCCCAGTGAAGAAAGAGGATGCAGGCCAAAGGAGTGCATAGCATCTTACTCCACATGATATCCACAGACTAGGCAACTAAGGGGTATGTTCTGTTCAATTGATGGTATCGTTTCTATCAAAGTGCCTAATAGGTGCCCATTCCAATTGATACCATCTATTCCAATCATCCTTCACTCAATACCAAATCTATTTTATGAAGCTTATCACCAGGCCCCTTCTGTTTCTTACTACCTACGTACCGAGGTTGGCATATAGATCATTCCCACCACATCTCTTTCTCTACAAGACTTTCACCCCTTGGAATATGAGTCCCGCCATACCCAGAGAGGTCAAATGGCTCGAATGGTACCTTTTCCATAGCCCCCATTAACGTAACTAGATGATCATCTGGTCCAATGCGAGAATTTGGTGGAGATATTAGTGATTCGAACCCCGATACTACCAGATTATTACAACTCTGGGAGTCGCTTTGGGCTGGTGGGGAGGCATTGTTACTAGAATTCATCTCCGACGGGCTATTCAAAGATGTGCGATGTGTGGGTGGTGGCACGACTACAGATGACATGGGCGACAATGCAGATACCGGGGTGTGTTGCGTTTTTCGCCGTTTCCGTTGCGTCTTCTTTGCCGCGATGACATCCAAAAGGGTCGTGCAAATTTCCCATAACTGTCGATTATAGGAATCGTCCTCTCTCAACTCTGTTATGTCTCGGAGCATTTCAGTGAACGATTGAAAAAGTTCTATATCTGAGTCCTGCCCCTTTCCCTTCCTCAGAATGTGCGCGCATGTCTCGAAAAGATAAAGGGGTGAATGAGACGCAACAATTCTAGATACGTCAAGTCAGTCTATGGTTGAGAATAAACGAAGTCAAGGATGCTGACCGTGGAAATACTCCATGATACCCAAGCTCTGCTGTGGACCGCCATAAACGCAATAAAAGCCCCATGCATTTCTTGGCAACTTCTGTCTGCCGGGTGGCGATATCAGGGTGCTCTCGAAATGGCCACATATATAGCAATTGCGTAGAAGCAAACCCGACAGATAGCTCGATTCCTGGCGTAGTGCTCGGAGAAATAGGACTCTCGATATCTTCTAGATCAACGGCGGAGTCACTTAACCAGTTCTGTAACTTCTGATCATATTCAGATATCAGTTGCCGCACCTGATCTTCAGTTCTCGCGGGAGCCCGACAGGCGTAAATCTCAAAATGAATGGTTTCCTGGATCTCGGCTAGCTTTGCTCTCGCCACCAACTCGCCCGTACACTCGTTGTCGGACAACTTTGGGATCGTATCAAGGTATACGTCAGATGATAAGATGCATGGAGATGTACCGACTGTCCAACAGACCGCCTTATCGAGGATATATAAGCAGTAGGATACGCATTGCCTCTCCCGACTATCCTCAGATCCTACGTACCCTCGAAAGCTTCTATCCCAGTCGTGAAGGCCAATGGACTTTGCGCACTGCGCAGTTAGGTTAAAAAGTCTGGCAAAAACACCCTGGGACATATGTTCCTGCGCCACCACACACTTTTTATCATATGTCAGTGGGACTTTACCGAAAAAGAAATTCAAGTTGAGTGGTCATCGTACCAATGATAGGAGGGCCTGGACATTGACAAGCCGAGGCGACAAAAGAAGTTCTGCATGCTCAATTGCTCTCCGTGCATTTGCAAGGAACCCCTTTATGAGATCAAGATCGATAGATGAGCTATTGCGGGCCGACCTTGGCTTGCTTGGATGCGATGGAGCCCTTAACATGGTCGCTGCTAAAGTCATGAGAATCAGATTATTGGAGCATACAACCAGTCCCAGGTCTTGGCCAGAAGAGTCTATCTCTTCCAATGCCGTGGTGATGCGATTGAACGACGCTTTGGTCCAGATGGGAAATTGCGGGTTAATAGTGGCAAAGTACGGCTCGACCATAGCCTTCAGTATAGAAATGGGAGGCGCTGTAGGAAGTGTTCCGCCCCGGCTAACCACTTCTTCCCGTGATACCAAGAGGTCGAACCTTTTACGTGCTAACAGAGCGCATTCCCTTAAACCCTCATTCTCAGGCTCGCTATTGATGAGGGGCTCGAGAACGAGATCTCTCATATCATACAACAATGACGCCGTCGATGTAGGTTCGAAGTATCTTTCGCCCGTTTCACCATTTTGGCCATTGAGAAAGTGGCCAAGAGGTCTCTTGAATGTTGGTGCCTCATAAGTCACCAGAGTGCTGTCCTCAGGGGTGGGCCAGCTGTGGTTACCCTGGAACGTCTCGAGCGCAGCATCTACACTAGTCGACGTTCCCGAAACGAGGCGCTTGACTGTGTTTTGCGTCTCCGCCAATGCAGCCTCATAATGAAAATGATAAGCTAACACAGTTCGCATAAGAGGTGGAGCGGAGAGTCTAACACACCTCTAAAGTTTCCAGACGTTTACTCAAGCCTTCGATTGTATGGCTCCTATTAGCTATTAGTCAAGCACTGCGAGATGAGATCTGGGTGGTTTGGAAGCCCGTACAGTAGAGCTGTTTGATTGCCCTTCTTGCCATTACCAGACCACTCACACTTCTGGCCTAGACGTGTGCAATTGGCGCAGAAGGGCTTTTCCCTCCCACATCGGATTTTCTTGATTCGGCACTGGTCACACACTGCAGGCGATGGTGAGCTTGAGGCAGCGTCAAAAAGGAGCTCACGCTTTTGAAGGGACCCCTGCTCACCTGCGTACTCTTTCCCACTTGTTTCCCTCGACATCTGGATGAGAGCTTAACTTAGTCATAATATCCAAAGAAGAAATTGTCATGATGGAATGCATTACCTACCTCATCGTACGTACGGGCGCGTTTCTCTAGAGGAGACATGTTTAGCGAGCCAGGGACCCCTACGGCTATTACAGATATAATGTGTGCTTATGAGGAGTGAGCGTACGTTGGCTGGTATTAACCCAACTCGTCGAGGACGAGTATCCCGTGGTTATCAGTGAGTACTGTTGACACTCATACAAGTTTTTGGGAGCCTAAGGCATGCGAGCTTAATGCTCCTCTGGGTGAGGATTCTCGGCGGTTCTGCATGCCGTAAGATGCAATACTATGTATGCCACGAACCCCATACCCCCCCGTTGCTATAGGCCTAATCTCAAGTCGGTTAAGATCGTGATTCGGTACACATGGTGCCTGGGTATGCTTACTGGCTGTCCCGCTAAAATCCTTAAATACTACATAAAATCAACACGTTCATAGCCCCATGGACCCGCCATGGAGAGGGCATCCATCCCATCCTTGATAGTGGATAGAAAGATATTGGGAAAGGCCCCTGCTAGCGGTATCTGCAGATATCGTAGAAGCTAGGTACCCAGCCACGCATATGTACAGGTATGCACAGGGCTGGCTATACGGGCCATAATTTCAAAATCAAGAGAACCGGGAGTACTATGTACCTAGTCTATCGTATACTTTCCGAGTGATCGGCTCTCCAAGACACTTAGTAGGTGGAATTTCTGGTAAACCATTTAAGTCTAATCTCACGACTCCTGTTATAGTATTACCTAATACAACCTATAGCTATATCCGAATTTATAAACACTTTGGGGGCAGTTATACAATCGCAAGGATTATAAGACATGATCATGTACGGGTTGGTAAGCTGAAGGATCTCATGTGCCGAGGTGGTTGAGTTGTCATACTAAATCCTTCTCGATCTCTTTGAGCAACTCCCAAATTCTCATTGGATGTAGAACAAGAAAAGGAAGAAAAGGAAAAAGATGGAAGAAAATTATAGAGATATTATTACATACATATTAGTTAGTTCAGCCCGTCAGCCTGCCTAGGTCCCTACCTGCCTTACCACCTTGTGCTGACCAGTCCGAGCTACCTAGCACCACTTCCAACCTAGACCAATGTATGATTCATACGACGATCTGTCAGCGTCGTCGCAATCCTGTACGGCCTCTCTTTCTGCATATTGGACACTACCTAGTAGTAATCGAGACGACCCTTATGCTGACACCCATATCGCTTTCGGGGAACCCCGCATGGATCTGGCCAATGATGAACATGATCCCGCGGGGTATGTCAGATGTGGATAGGAGGCGATGGTAAGGCGATGAGAATAGGCAGCAGCCACACTGGTCCATCTATAATTATTCTGTGCATCGTGAATATGACCCTAATTTGGTCTTTCTCTGCGACTCAACTCAACTCAACTCAACTCAACCCTAACTAAGCCATTGCCATTGATCGCATTGTCCTACTTGTACGCCAAGCATCCGTGGTATAGCAGCATACTATGCCGTATGAAACTTCAATGTCTGTCTCCAGGGACCAGGTGGTGTGAGGTAATTTTACCAAGGCAATGATCGGGGATAAGGATTTTCGGTCTAGAGGAGAAGGCTCGTTCGTTGATATCTACGCCAAAACAAAACAGGAAATTTTGATAATCTTTCTTACTTACATTACCCCAGCTTGCTTATCGCCAAAACCGAGATTTATACGAACAGGACTTAGCTAATATACGAACCCCAATGATCAACGATTCCATCCCCACGTTGCTTGTTTCAAAAGCCGCGATCAATGATAGCCAACGTTCCTGTCGATCCAAATACCTAGTACTCGGTCCGCTGCCGAGCCCGAGTCCGGCAATTGTTATTGCGCTAGGTTGGCTAAGCACCTACCTAGTAGCTAGTAGAATACCAAGGAACGAGAAGCCCCATCATGAGAGGAGCTATTCACCTTACGTCGGATCCGACCGCCTTCGTCGTAAATTGCCTTCATGGGGAAAATCCAGGTATCTAGCCAAGAGATTAATACATGTAGTTCATGGCATTTTGCGACGCAAGAGATTACTAGTATGAACGGTGAAGACATTTCTCTTGTCATTTATGCGGTATCTTCCTCGCGCGATTGGTGCGATATTTGTTTATAACTACGTGCCACCGCCGTTGAACTGCTGACGCCTCCGTTCTCGACCACTGGCCAGAACATTGAAGCAAGGCACTTTCTCGGTGGTTTGATATAACAGGTTAAATAGGTATAGCTAGGTGCCTACCTAGGTGAGTACTAGGCAAATAAACTTGGAAGTAAGGGGGTAAACTAGTAGGTTGCACCACTAAGCCTCCCACGCCTACGACTACCACCTACCTAATCTACCGTAGCACCCAGCAAGGCAGCGACCTCGTGGTATCTATCTATAACAGCTAGTTAAACGTGAAGAGGGGAACATCGAAAGGCCGCGTTGCTGTCAATATGGACCCTTTCTCCACAGGAGGCTCTGGAAATCTTGAGCAGCGCAACCAACACGCATTCCGAGTATGGTGTTGGTGTTAATATAGATTTGAGCTTGAATTGACTTCACGGAAAAGGGAGTAACTGGAATTTCAATGCCATAGAGATGTTATAGAAATCTAGGTACCTAATAAAACATTTAATCAACAGAAATTGACAGAAATGAAAACAAAAAAATAAAATAAAAAATAAACCGGCCCTTTAACATGTAAATAACACCCAACACCGAATTAGGATAATTAACCGTTATCGAACCTCCTTTCCAGTACATTTCATGAATTCATCACAAAAAGTCAAGAATACAACCTTGGAAAAAGCCATGCAGGTGTCCGTCCATCACGAAGCTCCTTCCGCTTCCTTCCGCTCATTCTCCTCCGTGATCCCCCTCATCATCCCATCCGCCGCATGCTGACCCAGCGCATCCAGGGACCCCATGCCCAACATCTCCAGCACGCTGATGTCGAACCCGAAAACCTGCTTCCACCACGAGCGCAGCTCCAGCGCTACCAGGGAGTCCAGACCCAGGTCCACCAATGGCCACGACGTGTTGAGGTCCTCCTGCGGCTTGAGCAGCAGGTCGAACAGCTTGCGCCCGATCTCGAGCGCCAGCAGCTTCGAGGACTCCGGCGCCTTCAGGACCGCGGGGTCCTCTTTCACGGTCGCGAGGAACGTCTTCAGCGTCTCGTTGGAGGCAGCGGCGTCCGCGCCGCCGGTCGCCGCGTTGTGGTACGCCGCCATTCGTCGGTCCTTCTTCCACACCGCGCGGTTCGCCGCGCTGTTCAGGGGGATCGTCGAGCCCAGACCCAGGACGAAAGTATTGCTGTCGACGAACCGAGAAGCGCCATTGGCCGCTTTCGCCTTTGCCGCCTGCGGACGCGCGCTCATGGCAACCGCCATGGCGTCCAGCAGCTCCTGCTCGGTGACGCCCTTGAACCCGCTCGCCTTCATCTTGTTCATCAAGCCCGCCTGCTGCGAAATAAAGCCCACGTCCTCCACAGCACCGATGTCGACGACCGACGCCGCGAGCCCCAGCCCGTTGCGGTACTGCGCAAACGCGTCGAGGAACGTGTTCGCGCTCGCGTAGTTCGCCTGCCCCGGCTGCCCGATCATGCCCGACAGCGAGCTGAAGAGCACGAAGAAGTCGAGCGCGTCGCCCTTGCCCTCCGTCGCGCGGTGCAGGTTCCAGGTGCCCTGGACCTTGGGCGCGACCGCCGCCGTCCAGTCCTCGATGCTCATGACGTCGAAGTTCTGGTCGCGCAGCACCATGGACAACTGTATCACGCCCTTCAGGGGGTGCGTCGCGGGCGCGGCGGCGACGGCCCTCGCGACGTCGCCGGGGTCGGTGACGTCGCCGGCGACGAGGTGCGCGGCGCACGACATGCTCTGCAGCTCCGCGACGAACCCCTCGTCCGCGGCGCCCTTGCCCGCGCTCCGCGAGAGGAAGATCAGCGAGCGCGCGCCGTTGTCGACCATCCAGGTGGCGATCGCGCGGCCCAGGCCGCCGAGCCCGCCGACGAGCAGGTACGAGGCGGAGCTGTTGAAGGCCATGGTGCGCGCGCGCGGGGTCGTGCTGAAGGAGATGTCGTGGACGTCGTGCGAGGGGCGCAGCGAGATCCCGATCTTGCCGATGTGCAGTCCCTTCTGCATGTAGCGGAAGGCGTCGGCGGTTTCGGAGGCCGGGAAGATCTTCAGGGGCTGGATCGAGGTTGTGAGGCCTTTCTCGTAGTACTCCAGGGTGGAGAGGATGAGTCTGTGGAGGAGGGGGGTGTAGGTTAGTGGGAATAGCTCTGTAATGATAAGCTCGTTGGTGTAGTAGAGAATGAACTTACTTCCTCAACAGCACCGGCTTCTTCCAGAGCTGATCAATATCCACGCAGCAGTAGCTGCGGTTCTTCAAGAACGTGTTCATGTCGAGCTTGCCATTGCCGATCAAATCTCGCTTGCCGATCTCGACCATGGTGCCGAATTCCGCCACACAGGTCCAGGTGGCGTGCAGCAGCTCGCCGGACAGCGAGTTGAGCACGACGTCGATGCCCTGGCCATTCGTCTCGCGCATAATGCCTTCGACGAAGGAGTTGTTGCGCGAGTGGAAGATCCGGTTCCGCGGGATGTGGTAGTTGTCCATCAGGAACTGCACCTTCTCCTCGTTGCCGACCGTCACGTAAAGGTCCGCGCCGAGCATCTGACATACCTGGACCGCGGCGATGCCGACGCCGCCGCATGCGCTGTGTACTAGGACAGTCTGTTTCTTTGTTAGTAGGAGGAAAGAAAGAATGGGCTACTTGACATTTCCTTACCTGTCCCTTCTCAAGACGCCCAACATTGACCAAAGAGTAAATCGCAGTAACATAAGGCATGAGCATAGAAGCCGCCTCGTCGAAGCTCAAACGGTCGGGGATCTTGGTGCAGAAGATATCGGGCGTGACGATATGCGTCGAGTACGCGTGCTTCTTGAGGCAGCAGACCCGGTCGCCGACTTTCATGTCCTTGACGTCGGCACCGACGCGGGTAACGATACCAGCGGCTTCGAGACCGAACTGTCGGATGGGGAGCTCGACAATGCCGAGTGCCACCAAGATATCCTAGTCATGGCTGTTAGTACATCGGTACCTAGGTAAATCAGGGGAGTAAAAAGGGGATAGGGGGGTGAACATACTCTAAAGTTCAAACCAGCCGAGTGCACCTCGACCTCCAACTCATGGCTGCGCACCTCCTCGCGGGGCTGCCTAATCCACTGCAGCGAGTTAAGTCGCCCGGGTGTGCCCACATCCAGCACAGCCTTATCGCTCGACTCCGACGTCAGCAGCTCGTCCTTCAGCGCGAACGGGTACAGCCGCCCCATGTACACGGTGTCGTCGCGGACCGCGTACTCGTAGTCGGGCCTGAGCAGCGCCTCCTCACCACCATCACCGGCGTTGCGCTTGCCGAAGTTCGCGAGCACCTGCACGACCTTCTCGGCCACGGCCGCGGAGCCAAAGTCCTCGACCTCGCACGTCGCGAGGTCGAGCAGCATCTCGGAGCGGATCGTGCGCGCGAGCCCGATCACCTGCGCGTACCGCGGGTCCGAGCACCCCAGCTGGCACAGCGGCGTCACCCACAGGAGGCCCGCGTCGGTGAGCTTGTGCAGGAAGCCGCGGAACGCGTCGAAGCGCGACGAGTCCAGCGCTTCGAAGTACGGCCCCGACAGGTCGAGGAGGGAGATGACGTCTTGGCCGGGCGCCGGGGTGCCGTCGATCGTGCACTTGGTGATCTCGTAGCCGGCTTGCTCGAGCTGGGCGATGATCGGGACGGTCGAGGTCGCTTCTCCGTCGTGCAGAACCGTTACGCGCTTAGGTTGTTGGGCCTGCTCTGGCTGCGAGGGCCGCGCTACGATGACGGCGGTTAGTTGGTGCGGCTCGTCTGAGTCTAGGACCGTTGCCTCGATTCTACCGAAGCCGGCGGTTGAGAGCTCGGACTTCCAGGCGTTGACGTCGAGGTAGGGCTCGTTGGGTCGGCCGTCGGCAGCGCCGAGCCACCAGCTGGGCTGTGTTCCGAAGATGTAGTTGATCCATTTAGATGTCGGGCATAGCTCTTGCAGCAAGAGTCGGCCGTCAGGGCGGAGAAGCTTCCTGATGTTTTTGAGGCTTTCTTGGATGCTCTTGGTGCCGTGGACGGCATGGGACGCGACAATGAGATCGTATTGTACGCCTTCAAAGTCCTGCTCCTTGAGGTCCTTGCTGACGTCCAAGGTGGCGTACTCCATGTTCGGGAATGGCTTCTGTTGATCCTTGCCGGAAATGAAACCGGTGGTGGTGTAAGTGTACTTGGAGCACAGCACTTGGCCGTCGGGTCGAGTAAGGTTCTTGAGGATATCAGTTACGGATGAGCCTCTTCCAGTTCCTAGTTCTAGGATCTGAAGGTTGGGCTTCGAGTGGCTCAGGCTTTGAAGGAAGCTAGAGGTATCAGACTCGTCGATGAATCCATAAAGCGCTGCAAGAGTCTCGTCAGACAGGATATCCGACAAGGGCTGACCGGATAAAAGGCCGTCGAACCCGATGCTGATTTGTTGGAGAGCGGTTGCGGCAGAAGCTGCGGGAGTTTCGAGCAGGTAACTGGTAAGCTTCTCGATCCGCGCCCGTATGGATGCATCATCTAGGCTCGTCAGACTGTCCGGCATGGTTCGCGAAGCAATCCATGTAGCATATTTCTGTAGATGGGGTATGTGAATATCCTTTCCAGAGATCGCACGCTGTGCAGCCACCATGCAAAGCCGGCCAAGCTGCTCTAGCTGAAGGCCGTAAGGAGTACGGTCCGCTGGCTGTCGAACCAATTTTTGCACGTCTAAGAAGTTGATATCCGAGCACCACTCGTAGCGAGCTGCGGCGTGGGTATCGGGAATGTCGCTCGAAAGAGCACCATCCGCGAGAGACATGCGGATGCCCGAAGCTTCCAGCACGGTCTGGCCTTCCGAAATGCATCGCCCATTTCCAATGATGGAGTGATTGCTGGTGGCCTTTGCCGAGACACTGGTGACCATGTCGGATCCGCAGCGAACGATGCTGATCTTGTCAATGCCAGTCGGAAGCCAGTTCTTGACGTTGCGGGCGAGACCATTCACGACGGCCGCACTCAGGATCTGCAAGGTTGCGTCGATAACCGTCGGGTGGATGTGGTAATTAGCCTCATCTCCTTGTCGGCCATTGACCACCTTTCCGATGGCTAGGCCCTCCGAGTTGGTCGATGTCTCGATGGTGTTGAGGGTTTGGAAGCTGTTTCCTAGACCTAGGCCAGACTTTTCCATGGTCTCGTACCATTTTCGAGCGTTCACCTTTCGGGGAAGGGTGTCAGGCTCAGATGATGCGGTGAGGCCGGAAGATAGTGCTGTTATTTCTCCTGAGCAGTGCTTGTTCCATCCATGGCCATTGTGGGAGGAAACGGTGAATTCCCACCACGAACTGTTGAGGGAAGTTGTCAGACGGTGTGGGCGGAAAGTAGTTATCATTTCCGTGGGCTTTCCCTCTCCCAAGACCAGCGCCATGTTGACAAGAATGTTGCGAACACTGAATCCCTCGTTTGTTTCGGTGATCTGCCTTATGGCTTCTCCAGCCAACGCAATATAGCCAGCGAAGGGGAAGATAACGTCGTCGCCGACTTTGTGGTCGCGGATCCAGGGGGCATTGGAAAGATGGAACAGGTTCCTCCAGGTCGGTTCGAATTCGGTGCTTTCGGTAGATCGAGCTCCTAATAAATCGTGATACGGGAATTTGCGGTGACGCCACTCCTTGACGACTCGAGGTTCGTACCAGAAGCTCTCTTCGTGGTTCCACGGGTAACGAGGTAGATCAGGGAGGCACGTGCCACTGGGGAACACTGCCGGGAGATCGAGCGCAGCGTTGAGTGAATGAAGCTTGCCAACAGCAGATAAGAGTGAGGAGATGCAGTTCTGGTTTCGTGCCATCACCGCCGCGTAAGGGGCAGGCGAGGAAACTTCGGTGAAAATCTGTCGCAAGGGACCCGCGAGAGCAGAGTGCGGTCCGATTTCGAGGAAAACGGCGTTCTGTCCAACTTCGTGCTTCAGGAGACTGGTGACAGCCTCGTTAAAGCGGACAGGGGACTCGAGGTTGGACTTCCAGTACTTCGACCCGAGGCCACGCTCTCCGTTGAGCAGCTTACCCGTGACGCTTGAGAAGAAGGGGATGTTGGGCTCGTTTCCATTGACTTGCTGTCCGATTAGGGAAAGGTAATCGGGCCCAATCTCGGCCATGTGGTAGGAATGGTATGCCTTGTCGACTTGAAGCAATCTTGCCAGGACGTCTGGGCGCGACTTCTTGATGGTGGCAACCACAGTCTTGACATCCTCCGTATCACCCGAAATCGTGACACTCTTGGGCGAGTTATCGCAAGCAACGGTGACGTTGGGAATCAAGAACTTCTCAGTCTCGCCCCAACCCATACCGATCGCTGCCATAGATCCAGCCTTCTTTTGCTTGGAAGTCACGGCACCTCGGTGATGGGCGGCGGTGATGGCCTCTTCAGCAGTAAGTGCCCCAGCGGCATATGCTCCGGCGATCTCACCACTAGAATGGCCGACGACGGCACTAGGGTGAATTCCATAGGACCTGAGAGTGTCGACGAGCGCAATTTGCACGGCGGTGCAAAGCGGTTGGGAGAGCTCTGCCGAGCTCAGCCGGCTCTTCCGGGCGGGCTTGAGCAGTTCTTCCTCGATGTTATACGCAGGCACGTCTCCCATCACCGTCTTTAGGTGTCCGTCTAGCGATCGAATGGCGGACTTGAAAGTCTCGTTAGATTGCAATAGCTCTTTACCCATGAGCGGCCACTGAGCACCCTGGCCAGTGAACACCATGACGACGTTGGGTTTCTTCCCGGCCTTGGTAGGTTGTGCAGCATTCTCAACTACACCGTTGCTAACGATGGCATAAGTGCGGTGCGTAAGATGCTCCCTCCTGAGTGCTAGGGTGTACGCCAAATCCGCAACCTTGCCTGGGTTCTTCTCAATCCATTGCTTGTAGTTCTCGATCATCCGGGTAAGTGACTTTGTGGTATTGGCGGAGTATAGGAGCAATTGTGGTGTAAGGGGTGCATCACAGATTTTAGGGGTAGATGCAAGAAAGCTGGCAGCAGAGTCGAGAACCACGTGCGCATTGGCACCGCCTACGCCGAATGAGTTGACACTCACACGCTCTAGTCGGGATTCAGGCCATGGCGTTGGTTCCAATGGTACCGTCAGCTTAGCCTCCTTGAAGGGAATCTTGGGGTTGGGAGATGTAAATCGGATTTGGGGTGGGATTATGCGATTCTCCAGAGCCATTGTCATCTTGATTAGGGATACTAGACCGGATGCGCCTTCGGAATGGCCGAGATTTGGTTTGACGGATCCAATATAGACGCCCTTTTCTCCGAATACTCGAGCAACGGCTTTAGTCTCGATAGGATCACCGGTTGGTGTGCCTGTACCATGGCATTCGACCATGGCAGTCTGTGAGAAGTCGCTTATGCCGGCAACTTTGTACGCCCTTCGCATAAGTGCCTCTTGTGCATCAGTACTCGGCTGTGACATTCCAGGGGTTTTGCCGTCGAAGTTATGCGACGTAGCCCTTATCACCGCGCGTACTGGGTTACCATCTCTTATAGCATCGCTTAATGGTTTCACGTAGATAGCAGCACATGCTTCACCACGGGCGTACCCATTCGCATCCGCCGAGAATGTCTTACAAGAGCCATCCTTTGACAGAATGCCTTGTTCTGTCAACCCGGCAGTCATACTTGGACCTAATATGAGATTGACGCCACCGATCACGGCGGCCTCACAGTCACCTCTCGAGATAGCCATGCAAGCCTCGTTTAGACCGACGAGTGCTGCAGAACACCCCGTGCGGATGGTCATACTGAAAAATAGTTAGAACGCGTAAGCACAAGTCATGGGAGGTTGACATACCTTGGTCCTTTCAGATCCATCTCATATGATAACCTGTTCGAGAGCACAAAGTCTCCCGTGCCGACTACTCGATGCATACCCCATTGTTGAGACTCCTTGGCAAACATCTCAAGCCAATCTTCTCCGAAGTTTCCAACGTAGCAGCCAATGGTCCTTCCTCGCCAATTAGTAATTCCTGCGTCCTCAAAACACTCCCGGGTGACTTCCATCAACAAGCGTTGTTGCGGGTCTGCACGCTCTACTTCTGACCGCGGCAGGGTGAAGAATGATGTGTCCAAAGCTCCCAAATCCACGCTTTCGTCGAGGAAGAATCCGTGATCTGTCGTAACCATGCTGGGCTTGACGGTGGTAGAATGATGTCCGGCTAAGTTATATCGGGTCTTGGGGACCGGGCCACGAGCATCACCCTTAGCAAGAAGGAATTCCCATAACTCCTGTGGTGTCGACAGTCCTCCGGGGAGACGGCAAGCCATGCCGCATATTGCCATAGGTATAGCGCCGGCGTGAGTGGCACCGTTAACGGCCCCATTAGAAGAACTATAACCATTTGTGTCGTGGCCATTTTTCAGATTGCCGTTTGTAGCATGACCATTGGTGTACTCTCCATCTGCTATAGGGGCTTCCGAAGCATGTCGAGCAGCTCCGTTTCCATTCCCCAAAGGTATCTGGCTCTTGGACTCTGGCGCAACGACGCCCGCGTCGTCCGTAGCTGGTATGGCTGAGGGGGACATTATTATGGACCGTCTAATCTACACAAGACCGATAGAAATATAAAGATAATGTAAACGTTGGGTATGAGAGCTGAATGAACAAAAATAACTAATGCACGAAATCCAATGTGGCTTTTCACTTGAGTTATATGTCCTATCTTTACAACTACCCTATGTACCTGAATAACTGCCTGCCCCGGTACTAGGTAGACACCTGGGCATGTAGCTGAAATGCAACCTTGAGGACGCTAGGTGTGACGGGGTGTAGCTCCCGCTAGGCACGGGTTCCGAGACCGAAGCACATGTTGATTACCTATAGGTAGGGCAACGCAGATGACGATATGCAGCTAAGCAGTAAGAACAAGGTATACCAAACGCAACCATACACAATCTCATGCGTAATCATCTTGTCTTTGGGTTCGGTAAGCTATCTCGGCTCCTTGTCAGGTACGCTTCTGAGATATACGAATGGATCATAAGTTGTCAACGATCGGTATGGATAAGTACTCGACCGATAGAGATGTAGGTAACGAATTTACGGCGAAAGATTAGGGGAGAACAGCTTTGAAGATTTGGTCCAAGAATTTTTCAACCCAACTCGATTTTCGGCCTTTTTTTTTCTTTTTTTAGTTTTTGGCTTCTGAAGGATTTCATTCTTAATAGCTACCCCTGTTGTAGAAAAATGATCGACGCCTCTACCCGACATAGTCAGGTACTGTGACTCTCTGAAGTCTTGGCCTCTCTTGCTCTCAAGAAGGAGATCCAAAATAGATTCACCACCAAAAAAGATGTTGATCATTAAGTAAAAACTCTTAACGTAAAATTTAAAAAAAAAAATCAGATCCATAGGTCCAATATGTGCCTCATCACGATAGAATTTTCATCGTTCACTAGTCAAGATATACTCAATGAAAGTATCCATTACTACATCATTACATGTACGTGCCCGAGGAGATAATTATACGCATGTAATCCACCGGTAGTACTGCCCCCCAATTCGATCACGGGTGTGTACGCAGACAAACACAATCGCTAGTAACACCTAAACATATCCTCAATTTCCCAGTAGTTTTCTAGCCTCCTCGCCGTCCTGCCTGCACATACCCTCCCACCTGCGGCGCAGAACCGGCCAAACAACCCAGCCCATCAGCAGGCCCAGCAGGGAATCCACGATCCCGAGGCCTCGCTTAGGCGACGGGCCATTCATGTTCGTGAAGAGCGCCGAGGCGGAGAACGAGTCCTCGCAGATGATGAAGTCGCCGCGGTTCACCGCCGCGATGGTCAGGGAGGCGACCTTCTCGGAAGAGGGGAAGCGCTTGACGAGCTCCTCGAAGGGGCAGTCGAGCCCCTGGATGCGCTTGGTCAGCGGCGTCTTCGTCTTCTGCTCCAGGGCGAACCCCGGAGACACGAAGTCGGCGGGGAAGGAGCAGTGGATGGTGTAGGTCGAGGCCGGGCAGTTGTAGCGGAGGACTTCCATCCTAAGGGTGTCTGCCAAGGCACGCACAGCGCATTTTGCAGCTTTTGGATGTTCATGTTAGTCTGTCCGCTATAATAATATGCTTATAGATCCATTGCTAGAAATGAGAAACATACGTGTGTAGGCAATAGAGCCTGGCATACTAGTAAGTGCTGCTGCGCTGTTAATGAAGACGATCTGGCGTAGCTTTGGCTGGGGGCTTTGGAAGCCGTTCTTCTTGTCGTCCTGCGTCCACGTGTTCATCAACGACTTAGCGGCGTAGGCAGAAGCATAGTAGTTGTTCTTCATGCAGCTGTCGAGAGCCTGGGCTTCGATGTCGACGAAAAATCCATTTTCAGCGTAGTTGCCGCCGGCGGTGCAGTACAGAATATCTGCAATTCGGGGTTGGGCTTTGAATGCCGCGTCGACCTTGGAAGCGTCGGCTAAATCGACTGAGACCGAGTTGATTTCTTGCGCTTCGCTCAAGCGAACTGCGAGTATTTCCTTTTTGGCATCCTCAAGGGGTCCTTCCCTACGAGCAAAGATCGTAACATGAGCACCTGTCTCAAAATATTAGAAATGGTTGAAGCTGAGATGCCTAACCTAGGTGCCTTAGGTAGGTAGTATCTAGGTAGTATCTAGGAAGCATCAATACACACCTTGAGCAGCTAGCTCTTTTGAGATAGCTTTCCCTAGTCCTCCGGAGCCCCCCGTCACGAAAACAGTCTGTTTATTGTTGATCTGGTTAGTTCAAGGCACCTAATCATCACCATAGGAAGCCATTGCCTACCTTTCCACTCAGATTATGCGATGCCTTCATGTTGTCGTCTTGATTTCTCCCAATGCCTAGTAACTAACCTTGAATGTAATGTCAGGATATGGAAATTGTCATTATCACAAGCAAGCCCAGAACAGTTACGATAGGTATGCCTCCAGGGTTAGTACGCCTGGGTAGCTTCAACCAATCATTTCTCGGTACCTGGATCGGGTTCCGCGCCCGAATGTCACCCCAGATAGATAGACCGAACCGGACCAGAGCGGTTACCTACCATGTATAATGTTCGGTATTACAATCCGCCTCGCACTTCCAATTCTCTATTAGCGGGGTCGAGAGACGATCTTATACTACGTGCCTAGTAATGTATGTGTCTTGTACTCCCGAGCACTACTCATATAATACATCCCACCGCATTTCGCATTCGTGACACGCTTTGCGCTGCCATTGCTCTACCCGACCGTAACTCGCTAAACCTCCAACTTCCCCAGTTTCGAATTCTTCCCCGTCCCCCCCCCCCCCCCCCCCACCGTTCAAAAAATATGGCAGCCACAAGCTTCTTAACAAACTGGATGAAAGCCCAGAAGCTGAAGGCCCCTCAGATGAAAGATGCCCCCACCTTCTACCGCAACCTGGAGGAGGCCCTGGACATCCGGCGCGCGGACCACTCGATGATCTCGCGGACCAAGAGCACGTGGAAGACGGGCGAGGCGATCGACTTCTGCTCCAACGACCTGCTGTCCTTGGGCTCGACGGGCCGCCTGCGGGCCGAGTTCCTCGAGGAGCTCGCGCGCAACCCCAACTTCCTGCTCTACGCCGGCGGCTCGCGCCTCATGGACGGCAACTACGACTACATCGAGCAGGTCGAGCAGGAGATCGCCGACTTCCACGGCTCCGAGGCCGCGCTCATCGTGAACTCGGGCTACGAGGCCAACGGCGCCATCTTCTCCTCGATCCCGCGTCCCGGCGATGCGATCGTCTTCGATGAGCTGGTGCACGCGAGCGCGCACGACGGCATGGCGCACTGCCTGTCGCTGTGCAAGATGCCGTTCCGCCACAACGACGTGGATGCCTTCCGCGAGGTGCTGTCCTCGGTGGTGGACTCCCAGCCGCAGATCCGCGACGGCTCGCGCTCGGTGCTGGTCGCTGTCGAGTCGATATACAGCATGGACGGGGACGTGTGCCCCCTGGAAGAGATGATCGATATCGCGAACGAGATATGCCCGAAGGGCAACGCGGTCTTCATCGTGGACGAGGCGCATGCCACGGGAATAGTAGGGCCCAAGGGCGCCGGGCTCGTGTCCGCGCTGGGGATTCAAGACAAGATTGCCATCCGCCTCCACACCTTTGGAAAGGCGCTAGCGTCTACGGGGGGTAAGATCTCATTCATCCAGCCCCGTACTCTGATCTTGTCGTGTTAACCTGATATGCTTTATTTAGCCGTCATTCTTGGTAACCACACCGTGAGAATATCGCTGTTGAACTTCGCGCGATCAGTCATCTACACCACCGCGCCTTCATTCCCGTCGGTCGCGGGGATACGCTCCGCGTATAACCTGCTGAAAGCAGGTGCTCTTCAAGAGGTACGGTTTCTTTCCAATTTCTAATCATGTCAGAAAAAAAAACAAAAAAAAAACAGCGGGAATAACAGTTTTCGTGCAGTCGCAAGACAAGATCCAGCACCTGGTCAAGCACTTCCTCACCACCATAACGGCGAACGAGGTCTGGGACGAGGCCAACGACAAGGGTATCCTGTCGATCCCGCTGAGCGAGAACTTCGAGGCGCGCGAGTTCCTCACGCACATCGTGCCCGTGTGGACGCGGCAGCGCTACAACTACTGGCTCGTCTTCCACCTGCAGCTGGCCAAGTTCTCCGCCTTCCCCATCGACTACCCCATCGTGCCCAAGGGCCAGAGCCGCATCAGGCTCATGTTCCACGCGGCCAACTCCGAGGCCGAGGTCGAGGCCCTCGCCAACTGCATCTGCGACTGGGCCAAGGAGATGATGGAGATCGAGAAGGCCGGCCAGGAGAAGTCGAGGGTCCCCAAGGCTGCCCAGGTGATATATGCCATGATGGCCGATGTATGATGTTATATAGCAGTAGATACAAATACGACGGGCGTTAGATTCTTTGCTATAGTTGATAATGCCTTCCTGAACGAGGGTACCTTTCGGAGCTCGGTTGAAGAGATATCCTAATCGTACACAATAGAACCTCCGTGTGACCCCTTTACTACCTCTCTGATACCTTGATATCTACCTCGTGATGATTTCTATCACGCGCTGTCCGATTCATGGCATCTGATAGGTACGGCACCTATACGGACCTGCCAATATGGTTCTATTCCACCCCCTGCCCCATTATGAAATTGATCCATTAAACCACAACAGTGGATCGACAGTTACTAAGTACCGGCAGGTATAAATAGCGAACAGCCCTATCGCAGACTCCAGCCACCCAGACAGTACCTAGTGTAAATACTAGGTACCTTCTATAGCTTGTAAGTAAATACGACCCAACCTATCAACTCCATCAACCCTTATCTGGGGGGTTTGTGATAATCCAGTACCATATCCCCATATCCTGACTGCTGATGGACCCCAACCATACGATGCACCATTTTACATACCTGCCCAGCTCTGCTGATCTCAGCACTTAACCCTTCCTGCAATATCAAGTGCAATTTGCATACATGGCACTTAGTTAGTTACCAAGGTAAAACTTGCCTCTTTTGCTGGCCGGGGTGCGGATCCCGTTCGCATCCCGGTTCATTTCTCAGAGCGCGGAATCCGATTATAAGGCCAGCGTATTCCGCCGCTATTTCTCAAGCCATTTCTCGGCAGTCAGGATGACTAGTGTAGCAAAACAAGTAGCGAACAATACCTAATGCAGGATCCCGCATACTACCCCCAGCATCCCTGAATAGTAGGCTATGCTAGTTAGTGTCTACCAGTGACTACCAGTCTACCACACCTCTGCGGCACGACTTCACGGCACTCAATCGACAGTGCTAGCTGTTCCGAACCTACCGAAGCTTTTTGCAACTATTCGGTAAGCCCATATTTTCCTTCTGATAGACCAAAATCCGGAATTCTTTTCGTCCCTTATCGTAGGATCTGATTCCTTGTCATCTGGGATGGAGAATACCAAGCCATTGGGATTGCGCTAGAGAAGCAGCTGCATGACCGGACCCCGCCGGGGATGGCCTCACACGGCCAGAAGCTCACGGGCTTTGCTTCTGGGTCAGCTTAAAAAGATATATCTCTTGGAACCGAGTTTTTTTTAAACATGATTTCTGATTTGAAAGCAAGTCCAAACTAAGACTTCTAGTTCCAGGCTCCTGCCCGTCGAAGCCGCATCACATGGCCACGTCAATACTCACCCTGAGGGGTGCCACTCTTGTCTCGGGACTTGAGTCTGTCCTGATCTTCAAATCCTTCCCCGACTTCGCCGAGACATACTTCCAGAGCCTTTCCAAACTGGTACTATCGGTGTTTGCTTTCAATTATGCGCTGTTATTTCTATACTCGGCAGTCATATACCCTGATTTTGTTAGCCCCTTGCGACACTTTCCCAGACCCAAGGTATGCTTGAGCTAAGCCTATATGGCATTGACCAAAGTTAGTAGGCACTAACACGTAAGCTGTAGCGATGGCTAAGCCGAATGATCTACACTCGACTCTTCACGAAGAGGACGCAAGGCCAGCTGTTGCAAGAGCTGATCCAGCAGGTTCCCAACGATGGGATACTGGCGTTGAGAGAGCTGACGGACATCCGGCTGTTGGTCACCAAGCCGTCCGTGTTGGCGGAGCTGTTCGTGCACCAGTCCTATGATTTCGAGAAGCCCCCGAACATGCGCAAGTTCCTGGGTAAATTGATCGGGAATGGCCTCATCACGGCGGAGGGAGACAGCCACAAGTTCATGAAGAAGAACAGCCAGAATGCGTTCAGCTTCCGCCGCGTCAGGGAACTCTACCCCATGATGTGGGATCACTCCCTTGACTTCACAGAGGCATTGAGGAGCACTATCAAACAGCAGAGCGATGAGAACAATGTCGATGAGAAACACTTGACAGGAAAAGTCGAGATCCTCGGTTGGGCAAGTAGGATAACTTTAGACATCATTGGCGTTGCCGGGTTCGGGCTCAAGCTTAACGCGCTCGAGGGCGCAGACAACGCTTTCGTGAGGAGTTACAAGACACTGTTCAGCCCTAGCAAGGAGATGCTCTTGTTTTTCGCGCTCTCCGCCTGGTTCTCCGCTGGCCTAGTTCGCATGATCCCGTGGAGAATGAACAAAGTCTTCGAAGACACAGAGAATACCTTGTCCGAAGCTTGCCTTCGCCTCGTAAGAAGCAAGAGACAAGCGATTCAGAACAAGGAGGACGGCCATATCGATATCGTTTCCCTTCTTATTAAGTCTGGGCATTTCACAGACGAAAGTCTCTGTGATCAGCTGCTCACACTCCTCGCAGCCGGGTATGTGTTGAAAACATGATGTACCTGAAAGGAAAAACAGTAACTAATTTTGTTACGCTTTAGTCAGGACACAACGGCCCTCAGCCTAACCTGGGCTACTTACCTCCTTGCAATCGACCCAGCTCGGCAGACTCGTCTCCGCCGCGAAGTCCAAGAAGCACTTGCTTCGGTGTCAGATCTAGAAAAGGACGAACAGCACATCTCCAACACACTCGAACGCCTGCCCTACCTCGGCGGTGTGATAAGCGAGACGCTTCGCCTATATCCCGCTGTCCCCGTCACGATCCGGGTAGCATGCCGCGACACATCTCTCGACGGGAAGCCAATCCCTAAGGGCACCGAGATGCTCATCTCGCCGTACCTAGTCAACCGCTCCCCCGACTTGTGGGGTGCGGATGCGGAGGAGTTCCGACCGGAGCGCTGGATTGAGAAGGACGGACGGCCGAACAACACCGGGGGCGCGGGTAGCAATTACGAGTTTATAACATTTCTGCACGGCCCGAGGGTGTGCATCGGGCAGGGCTTTGCGAGGGCTGAGCTGAGATGTCTGCTCGCGGCGTTTGTGACGCGGTTTGAGTGGTCGTTGGCGATGGATGAGAGAGATGTTATTCCGGGAGGTACGATTACGCTCTCGCCGATGCGGGGGATTCATGTGCAGCTTAAGGCGATTGATGAATGATGTATACCTTATATATAGGTATTTTGTATACCCAGCATTTCCCCTTGATCTATCAACATTTGTACGACTTTGTGTGCGTAGGTACCGAGATATCCAATCAGTTTGTGCAGTTGTCTCGATTCTTAATTGTTACATACATGTATGTCATGTAGATTGATGTTGTGTGATGGAAACTGAAAATATCCATTGTGTGTTTGTGACACTCGGTAATTATTACCAGACCTATCAGTGGTTATCACTACTACTAGGTACTATCCAATCATTCCAATGTAGCTGAAGGTAGGTACATGTAGGTACCTAGACTGTCTCCAATATAGCGAGTTACGCGCTAAAAAAAAAAAAGGCAGAAGTCCGACAGTAAATTTAGGAGTAGTTTACCCCCGTATGCCAATTAATATCGCTATAAGTGTGCTACAAGTGTCGGTGTTGGAATTTTTATAGTACATATGTATTGTCTTAGCTGTTATCCACGTAGCCATATCACGTCACCTCGGTCACGGACTACAATTGTATCTTGGTAACTGTTGGAACAGATAAGGTGGTTCCGTGATCACGGGTGGGTGCAAATAAAAGGTCAGAATCATAAATGTAGTTGAAGTTGTTAAGTAGGATGGAAAGGATCGAAGATCCTTTCCCAATTGAAGTAAGCTACAAAGATGGGCACGGGCCATGTGGGTCACGTGACTGTTCCCCACAATTCCCACAGTAACTAGGAATTTTACAGGATGTGTTAGATTTTTAGATCTTGCTATGACGTATGCGTAAAGCTGGAGTTGTTATTATTATTAAAAAAAAAAAAAATTCCCTGGAGGTACATATGTAAAGGCTTTATCTTTAAGTTCAATGTTCCTCAGGACTCCAACTCCCGGTACCTACTGCGACACCCTAACTGCGACGTAGCCACTGGCCAGACCCCTTCTTTGTATGCTGACTTATCCTACCCTGGTTAGTTAACCGCATATCCGGATCGACAGTTCCATAAAAGTACTAGGATAATAAGGATAATACAGCCGGAGGCGTTACACCTCCATGCATGGTTAGCATTGGTTACTCAGCTAGACTCTGCTAGACTCTGCTAGAGGTTAGTACATGTGTACATACTATGCGCCGTAGCAACGGCATTGGATGTAAAGGGAGTCCTACCCTGCAGCTAAAAATTGGCAATGGCAGGCAAAGGAAAATCAATCTCGCTTCATCTTCATCACTCATCTCCCATTTCTCATCTCTCATCTCATCTAACCTTACTAAACTAGTAAATGTCACAATATGAACACTCCTTTACCATATTGCTGCCAATTCACCGTTTCCTTCGGTAGTCATTAATTATCCCCCAATCACTTCATTCGCCTATTTACCTAACAATCGTCATTAACATCAACAATTGAGAACAACAATTGATAACAACAATTCAGAACCTTGTTGTTCTCTTACCAAGTCGTTGCTTGTTGCTTACGACTCTAACAAATTGTCTGGAATGTGACACTAGAAGATAAAAACATCAAATCAACATCGCGATATCCCAGATATGGCCACTTCCACGGATCTATCCAGTGCGAGACCATCTGAGAGTGTAGAACTAAAGGCATCGCTTCCTAAAGCGGACGATGGACAATTCAATGAAGGATTAATTGACAGGAACGGAGTCATACATTCTAGCAGTGACGCCGACGCCGAAGCAGCCGGCGGTGACAACGACCCAAAGGAAAAGAAGTCCTTGAGTTTCTATCTTTCATTCTTCGCCATCAACATATTACTTTTTCTTTACTCTCTAGATGCTACTACTCTCGCGGTAGCCATTCCGGTATGTTCATAGTCCATTGCTCCGCCCTTTCAACTGGGTAGCAACAAGTCCTTGAAGAGGATTCAACGGAATGAGGTTCTGGACACTCTTACTAATACAGTCTAGGCTATCGCTTCTGAACTACATGGCAGCACCTTGGAATCATTTTGGGCGGGTATCGCATACTTCTTAGGCCTCGTCGTCAGCCAGCCACTTTATGCAAGTGTGTCTGATATTTTCGGTCGCAAACCCCCTCTCTACGTCGCCTTCGCGCTATTCTTTGCTGGCTCTCTCACCTTCGCCCTCGCACAGAGTATGAATGCCATCGTCGCAGGTCGTGTCATTCAGGGCTTAGGTGGTGGTGGCCTCGACGTTCTCGGTGAAATCATCGTGGCTGATATGACCACTCTAAAGGAACGTCCTTTGTATATTGGCATCATGGCTTTACCGATTGCACTTGGCAGTATCCTAGGGCCCACTATCGGCGCGTTATTCAGTGATCTAGTTTCCTGGAGGTGGATCGGGTGGATTAACCTCCCGTTGCTAGGCATCTCCTTCCCTATCCTGGCCTTTTCCCTTCGCTTACGCCCGCTTGAGTCGTCGTTCCAGACGAAGGTGAATCGCTTAGATTGGATCGGCATGTCGCTGTTTACCATTGGATGCATAGCCTTCGTCCTACCCCTGAGTTGGGCTGACGCCTTGTTCCCCTGGAAATCCGTCGAGACCATTCTCCCTCTGCTTCTAGGCGCCATCGTTCTTGTCCTCTTCGCCGTCTACGAACGTAAACCCAAAGCGCCCGTTTTTCCTTACCAAGTTTTCCGCTCTCGTACAGCAGCGGTCACGCTATGTGGCGCCTTCCTTCACGGAATGGCGTTGTATACGCTGCTACAATACGTGCCTCTGTTCTACCAGGCAGTCCTACTTGACGGCCGAATCGAATCGGCCGTGACGCTGCTACCCACCAGCATCATCAGCGTCGTGTCGGCAATGCTCTTTGTAATGGGGGTTGGGAAAGGTGGAAAAGGCTACCTACCGAGGATATGGTTTGGCTGGTTCTTGACGGTCCTAGGAATTGGCCTGTTGTGTCTCTTGAGCCCGTCTTCATCTACAGCCATGACTTTCGGTATTCCCATCATCTGGGGCGCAGGTATCGGCGCTCTGCTGCGCTCCCTCCACCTTCCCATGCAAGCCAGCGTCCCGAGTGCTGATGACACGGGCCACGCGATCGCCATCATGCTCACATTCCGATGTCTCGGAGGCCTAATTGGGCTTGCGATTTGCTCCACCGTCTTCAACAGCGTCTTCGCGCACGCCATTACCGCTGTCGGACACCTACCTGATGAACTCGCCGTCCTGAGGAACCCGCCCGACGCCATTGCCTTCATCCCGATGCTACGGGAATTAAATCTCCCCGCCGACGTCATCGCCCCCGTTCTCGAAGCGTACTTATCAGCCATGCGCGCCATCTTCTACGCCATGCTCGGTTTCTCTGGCCTCGGATTCGTCATCTCCTTCTTCACCGAGGAACTCAGTCTCCAGAAGACGGAACGCGGACGACAACAGTTTGAGGCGTAATCTTCGCTAGCAGTGTACTTACCTACCTATAGGAATATTCTATTCGATGATGACAGTGCATGAATTAGGAAAAGTCAAAAGAAAATAGGAATTAAGAATCAGATGTGAATAACACTCGACGAGATTTAGATGTAATAGACGTGGTACATAACTGCCTTACCTACCTGGGTACATATATGTGCATAGGGTAGGTATGTGGGTACGCAAGTAATAATTGTAATTAATGAACCGACATGGCGTTGGGAAATGGGGTGGGTGGATTTATAGACGGATATATGATAATGTTAATAAGACGCCAGCAACGGCGGCTGTCATGCGTTTATCTTCTTCTGCTAATTTTGGAACTTGATGATTTTATAGACTACAGCATTAGATACCTACCTAGGTAACTATATCGTGATATAATCGGGTTAAGAGCACCCTTTCTAGGTTGGTATATTTTACTAGATTATCTAAGGTCTTCATAAAGCTAGTAGATACTCGATGAAAGCATTACACACGACAAGGTTGAAGGCTCAAGTGCGACGTTCTCACAGGTACCTACCTACCTAGGTCTAGTTATATGTAGCCAGTATAGATCAACCCAAGACCAGCCCCTTCTTGAATGGCCATTCCCGTAAGGCTTAGGTTGGACATCCAGCGGCGTAGTTCCGTCTGGTCCGTAGTACATGGTCGGGTGCTACCTATGTACTAGGTTAGGTAGGTATAGGTGGAAGATAGGTACCTACCCATCCTCGGACTCCCATGATACATCAAAGCACAATGAAGTACATAGGTAACCAACACGACGGAACTATCTTATGCTAATGAGGATGAGGCTCTGAGAGAACGCGGTCAAGAACTAAATATGCAGTTCAGCTTCAGCCAGTCCGGTATACATACTAGGTTAGGTACCTAGTTACCGTAGCAGGAACCCCCCCCCCCCCCCCCCTTCTGTGAGAACCATTCTAAACTTCGTGGAATAAATCCACGCATCCTAACGATAGAAGTTGGGAGAAATCATTCTTCTGACTGGTGACAGTTGTGGTACCGGGAAGAGCTGGGGCTGTTTTGTTAATGTCGTTAGGTACCTGCGGGAATGTGTAGGACAGTTTCTGCGTTATGCTGGGACCCTTCCGCTTTGTACGCTGTACCTACAAGAGACTCGGCTATTTTCAATGGTACTTACTTAGGTAGGTAGGTAGGTAGCCGTGCTGTTAGGTCCGTTACTATCGACGTTGAAATATAGCATCGAGTGCTACGTTAGTATGTAGTTATTAAAAAATAAAATTCTAACTACTAGGTATGTTTATGGAGGAATGAACCCATAGAACTTGAAGAAACCATTCCAACTCGAAGAATCATTCCTCATCTCGCAATGGGTTCTCTCAGTTCCTATCGGTCTTATACATGGATTCATTGGATACCTAGATGACGTTTGGAATGGTTCTCGTGAACAAGAGGTTCTCGTTACGTGGTAGGCTTCCAGCAGGTAGTATCATTGCGGCGAAGCAATTCAACGCCATAAGACTTTGAGCCTGTCGCGAAGTTTCCAAGGCCTTTTGCAATGCTACAGCTACTCCTGCCTATACTCCTGCCTATCTGTAGTTACGTAGAATAGGGGTCCAAGGTACTGTACTGACGATAAAAACAGCCCAATGACTCGTGCCCGTTGAGTTACAATAGCTGTAAGGAGTGATGAACATCATCAACCTCAAGAAAACAATGGGCCCTCAGCTGCAGAACTGCGATTACTTCGTATCCACGATGTTGCAGTTACATAGGTTAAACGGTTCAGGCCAGAAGGCATTGATAGGCCCTAAGTAGGTATCTAGTTAAACACTCACAGGCTCCCCCATACCAGCGCCTTGTCGTGCTATGAGGGGGTTTGCCTAGCATACCTAGGTTCCTAAGCTCGTAGTTTATCCACAGCCGACAACCAACTGCAGGTAAACTTTCCCGCCACCAGTTGCACGGCCGCCTAGGTAACTAACTGACTGATACCACCTCGCTGGTCGTACACAGCTGATGCGCTCACCCATTGCCATGACTATACCGCACCTAACCAACCGGCACGTACCTACCAGATACCTAGATATCAACTGTCCAACCGCTTTTTTCGGTAGATAGGTACCTAGGTTAGTTGTCAGGGTAGCCCGCAGATTCCGTTCAACAGGTCATGGCGTTTAGGCGTATTTTCATCGCATCGAGAACCTCTCTAACGCCTGCACCTCGAACCTACATAGGTACCCTAGGCACACAACCCGATATCCTGCCCCTTATATTCCCACAGGCCGTGTAATCTAGCAGCATAGCATCTGGACAAGCGAAGCGAGACTGATCCGAAGCAAACCGCGGGGGCCACTCCACTACTGACAGCCACCTACCTAGTACCTAGTAAGTTAGGATTGCTTTCCGGTACCTAGGTAGGTAGGTAGGTAGGTACGCGTATTCGTAATTTTTTTCTCGGGACAAATACCTACATACCCTCACCATCCCCCTCGATACATCCAGGAGAGGCAAAACGGTAGGCTCCTTGATCTCCCAAGCTGCACCTTTAAGCCCTCCCAAATACTAATTAACTAATTATATCAACCACATCGATCCGGGGCTCTTGCCAGGTCAGGTCGGGACATTACCTAAACCAAACGCGATACCTCTAAGCACCACAATCGAGCCACCAACCCACGAAACCCATCATTTTCACAACACAGAGATGAAAGAAAGGCCATGCAGCCTGCCTGGGTACATTCAGAGAGAGAAAAAAAAGCATCGTATTAACATTAGTCAAGTAGGTACCTGCATAGGTAAGTACCTAACCTAAATGATATCGACTCCTCATATCTAGGGACCCTAGGTGGTAGGTACCTAGTAAACAGCCTTACCTCTCATCGAGGGAGGAAGGTCCATTAACATGACACACATCCATCCATCGTGCACCACCCCATCCCCCATCACCCCATCACCCCTTTCATAGGTAGTCTATAACCCTGAACCCCATCCGGGCCGTCCCTCTATCCATACTTATCTACCCTAGCACCCCCAACTCCATCATCACCTTTAAAAAGAAAGCCCCCCCTTCCATTTATAAGAAACTCAAGAGTGAAAAAAAAAGACAAGTCGTAAAAGTAAATTATTCTTCATATTCATCTTAACACCGGGGGCTCTCTGGTCAGCTTATCAGCCGTCCACTGTCCACTAGGTACCTTCCTATGTACAAGCCAAGCCCATGCCCTCCGGCTCCGCCCTTTTTGGGAATATATATATATATGTATCAATGGATTTCGTAAATAAAGAAATTAGCGATAAAAAATCAATTCGCTAAGGAACCCCTTGCCAGCACTGCCTTTTAGTGTCCTTTCCGTGTAGTCCGTGCTTCGCGGAAGTAATTATACTGCATGGGGTCGTGCTCCGACTCCTCTTCCTGAGGTAGGCCGCCGTAACCCCGGGGACCACCACCCAACATCCCCGCGCCGCCCGGCGCTCGCATGGGCCGTTCCCTACTGCGGTCTCGCGGGGTGGGTCCTGGGGTACCCACGGGCATCGCAGCAGCGTTCATCACTAGATTAGACCCACTATCGTTCCCTTGCATAAAGAACGGGCTATGCAAGCGGCTGGGCTCCGCCTCCTGGACGTAGGGAGTGCCTTGTGGGTGCGTGTAACCTCCCGGATAAGTCATCCCTATATCAGCACTAGGCGATAGCGCCCTCGTCGGCCCGGGGCTGCCTAACCTAGGAATATGTGGAATTGTAGGACTACCCGCTCTGGAGGTTGGGGCTTCACTATTGGTCCACATACTTCCAGGCGTGCCGGGGCGCATCACATCGTTCGAACGACCAAAAATATCGCCGCCACCATGCTCAGATGCGAACTCAGCGCGAGTTTTATAATACTCGAAATCAAGCCTAGATTCGGGTACTATTTCGAATCCAGGCAAGCTTGCTTGTTTCCCGGGCTTCCCGGCGTTCATCGGATTCATGACATAGGCATCGGAGTAACCAGACGTGGACATCGTATCTCCAGAGTAGGCCTCACGACCGTCTGTTAAGCGACCCTTGTATATAGACGCCAAAAGATTTTGAGCTTTCGCGTGAACCATGGGTGTGATGAGGGGCTTGTAAAGAGCAGGGTGGCCAAAACGGTGAGCAAGACCAACTGATCGCATAGGGTCTTTCTGCATAGCTCCTTCTGGATGCTTTTGAATATTGCGAGTCGAGTAAAAGTGAATCTTGGCGTCAAAGACTCTAGAACAGTAGATCTTAAAGACGATCATAATAAATGGCAAAGGTACAGATGAGAATGCCATCAGATGGGTTCCGTCACCATGCACCCAGGCCGTCAGGAAGACGACCAAGTTCGAAAGGATGGTACCAAAAACGAATCGGTTAAACAACACTCGCCAGAACATTCCACCGGACTCGGTCTTGGTGACAAAGATGTACAATAGCAGGTATTTCTTCAACCACACATCGATTGAAAAGTACAACGCTGCGGCTGGAAGGACAAGCGGTTGAAGGCCGGAGAAACATAATGCCACGGTCGAGTAAAATAAGAAGTAGTTGTAGTAGCTGGCATAGTCGAAAGCCGGGGGTGCGGTTAATTCGATCATCTCTCTTGGGGTCGGGCTCGAAAACTTGCGCATACAAAAGCTGTATATCAGGGTCCATAACTGAGCTAGATCGATAGCTGCGCCCAAATTCCTTTGTAATAACCATGTAACCCAGAACGATGAGATGTCGCACAACGAGATGAACAAAGTTATACCAAAGTTTGACAATGTCTCCCAGGCTCTCTTCGGGTCGTTAGCAACCGACGAGATCAAGTTCCACATCGTGCTAAAGAAACAGAAGACCACGAGGTTGTTGAAAACGAAGAAAGCGTAAAGCTTGGCGACGACATGGCGTTCACGACCGGTTTTCGTACGGTCACCAGCTCTGATAGCAAGTCGGCGGAAGATAATAGGTAGAACGACGTAGACAAGCGATAAGATAGCTGGAGATGCGACACCCTGGACGATAGACCAGAAACCTGTGTTAGCAGACAACTGATCCTGGAAGGTGGGCCAAACTAAGCCAAGGTTACTCAGATTGACTAAGAAGATGGCGATCATGGCGCTAGGCGCGATCCAAACTAACGTCAGTACGGAAATCCAGAAGTTGATGATGATTCTTCTCCAGCTTCGGTTTGCTGGAGTGAGAGGCATGTTATCCCAGATAATGTCATTTGGTCTGGGAGCCAAAACAACCGTAGCACCTTGTGGCTTCTTCTTGCGCAAAGCGTAGGCGATACTATGTGCCTCCGAAATGTCGTCATAGCTAGCAAAGCCGTAAGATAACGTGTTGCGCTTGTCTACGTTTGCTCGTGCCTCCTTAACCTCAATTTCAAGTTCTTTGATTCGCTGGGTAAGGTACTCGATAGCATCGACTTTTTGTCCCTTGGGATAAGTACTGAAAGAGGGGTCCTTTTTGGAAGGGCGACACACTGGTCGAGCAGCCGGTAGGCTTTGGGGATTCTTCAAGTATATGGCCAATACTTTTTCGAGCTTACGAACCGTATGATCATGTTGCACAATCAAGTCTGGCAAATCTCTGACGTTACGAGCAGCAGCTGTCCTGGCAAATGAAGCGTGGGGAACCACATCGTCGATAATCCGCGCAATACCCTCATCGTTGGCATACTTTTTGGGAATATCGTTCAACTACGCATTGGTAAGCTACAAAACCAAAACTACCCAGTGGGTAGGTATACAAGTGGGCATAGTGATGATAACTGACCATCAAAGTACGAGCAGACAAACTGCGCTGATACTCCTTGCTTTCGAAATAAATTCGCCTTAGCTGGAGAACCTTTTTATAGTTCCACCACAAAAACCCAATGATGATGAAGTTGAATCCATAAGCGGTTACCACGAGGGCCCAAATGGGCTTATCGTTGACGTTAGACGGCGTTAATCTCATGAACCATCTCTGGTTACCGGACTGGTCGCTGTTCATGGTATAATACACTGGCAGCAAAATGCAACATCCAACGACGCCAAGAGCAAGGAAGATGTTCCGGCACATTCGGGTAAATCTTAAAAATATCGCAGCATCCATGCCGGCATGGGCGATCATGTCTTTCTCGTCGGTTTTCCATAACGGAGGGATCCAGGCCAAGTACCCTTTTCCTATCGGGGGCGGCGCATGTTCCTCGTCGGCATGTTTGAGCTTTGGTGCATAGACGACGGAGTTGTAGGGTCGAACAAACGAAAAGGCGATGGCTATGAAGACCGTGAAGCCTACGGATGTGCCCAGGGCAGACCAGATAGCACCGTCTGTAAGCTATTGATAGAATTGAATTAGTAATTGCATTTATTAATCTGAGATAGCTCGCTTATATTACCGTCTGTTTAAAGGGGTTCCGCAATAAATCTAGCAGTTCTTGGACGGGGTTGGGTCCATCCCGCTTAAGTCCCAGGTGTTGGGTTTGAGTCCAGACGTCCATAGTAGCGTAGAAGCCCTCTTAGGGCTGGTGGTTGGTAGAACACCCAAGTTATGACCACCTCTCGGCTTCCAGTGTCGGCGAGGACAATAAAAGGCTGTATACGAAACAGGTTCAAGTATATATTGGAAACATTCGTAACCGTCGAATCCACAGTACCCAATATACTCGGGTAGGTTTGTTCTCTCGCAGGGTCCAGTTACGGAAATAATCTTAGCGTCTTGTATTTGACTTCGTAAAGAATGCTCGGGTTAGGACGAAATAAGCTCTTGTTCCCTGACAAAGCGGCGGCTGTAGCGAAGTACTAAGAGTGTTGGAAATACACAAAGCGAGCGCAAAACGAGCGAGGCGACGGCTGTTGTATATCGAAGATGGAGGAGGTTACACAGCGGATAATAGGAAAAGATTCTATTATTACGTTAGGTACGTATATGTATGTAGGTTCGTTGGCTCGCAGGATTCGTAATTCGTAATTGTATTTCTAGGTAAATGTATAGACAAGTAGGTACAACTTGTATAGGCAGGTAGGTAGGGATGAAGATGGGTATGAGGATGAGGAGGGTCAGGTTATGTCTGATCCAGCCGTATAAGACTTATCGGGACCTGACAGGCGTGGGGAGATAAAGCAATAGACGATTAACTACTGGGTACCCCGATTATGCACGTGTTATGTATAAGACGGTATCGTCATGTATGTATGGTATAATGTGGAGGAGGGAGGGGAGAAACGAACGTGGTGGATTCAATGTTGGAATAATAATGATTATTATTCAGAAAGTACAGTTTGTAGAAAAAGTCATTCAGAAACAAACTGGCAGCTCCCTTTCTAACTGGAGACGAGACTGTTAGAGACTGTTATCAGGATCCATGGATGACGAAAGACGAAAGGAACGTACTGTCGGTTGAAACATCAGGTCGGACTAACCGGCTCGGGCTCCAAGCACGAAAAAAATTGGAAGAATCTAACCCGATCGTATGCAATTCAGATACTTTTTTTTTTATGGAATTGCATACATAATCATTTAATGTACTAATACCATAGTTATGTATGTGTTGAGAAGGAAGGTACATTTGTAAGTAGTACATTTTGTACAATCGTTGCGACGGATTGGCCAACAAATATTCACAATGCATTAATTTAGGTTATGTACCTAGTAACTATTGTATCTGGCCCGCGTAGGTACCTACATTGTACCTACTTTACGTGTACCATCTAAAACTCACATACGTATGCCAGCAGAGATCGATCGATCCTCCTTGGCTAATAGTCCCCATGTAAGGGTATAAACAGTTTATTTAGTTTCTTCTTCTAATCACTTACATACTTGCCTTGATTTAATATATTATATACTTATTCTTCCTTACTTACATATCGTTGAAGAATAAAAATAGACAAAATACTTCAAATTCTACACGCAGTGAAGTACACACTAAGTATGTAGCTATTTGATCTAGTACGTACCTAGTAATGTGTACTTTCAGATACATGCCAAAGATCCATCTTTCTCTGGCTTACCCCTGGACAAATTCAAGCTTGAAAAAACAGTCGAGACCAGGCTTCCTAGCCAATGGTGCGCCCCAGACCGTCGGGCCCCCACTAGAACTTCTATTTTTGACTGGCCGAAGACTAGCAGTTACTGCCGCGTAGGGAGGATGGGACAGTGGAGTCCCATGGTCCATGGAGACTTGGCGGAGATCATTCCAGAATACGAGTTTTTCTTTTAGTTATTTTTTCTCTCTTTCCCTACTAACTAGTTAGTAGTAATTACATACAAATGGTATGTAGATAGTAGATACTACTACGTACATAACTAACTTTAACATGCAAAACATTTCAAGGTTGTTGGTTGGCCCTAAAAGTCGCATGTGCATGGCCCTTGTGGACAAGTCAGTGTTTTGATGTCGAATACACTGCACTATCACGCGCCAATATCTTGCGAATCCCTCCAAGACTTTTGAGCACTCGCAATATCCTTGATATATGTATGTATGTGCCATTGTGCCTACATTCGAAAAGCCTATGCACATATTGGCACACATGTGCATACATAGGTACACATAGAACTGTAACGTAGTAAGGGTTTGCTGATCCCCGAACCAGGGTCTCGGGTCTTGGGGCTTAAAGTTTATCTAAGGTTATGCTAATAGTATTATAATAAGAACTTGAAGAAACCTAAGGTCACCCTTGGCAAAACTATGCACTAGTACTCGTACATAGGTAGATACTAAGTACGTACTAGGCTATAGAGATCATTGATATACAACGGTATGTGGAAGTTTTGAGGCTGTGAAATGGCCCGTTACATGTCCAATAGTAACAATCCTTATTCTAAGCCGCACCAGGCGGCCTCGTCGCCTTGCTGAACGGCTTTCTCGACGATGAGAGCTAGGTACTTATAGAAGCTGGTGACCTACCCTAGCACTGGTGACCTAGTCCTCCGTGACATTGCGCGCCGCACGGAAGGGTATGGGGTATCAATCACGGCCAACAATGTACAGAACGCACGGAGATTATGATCGGAATTCGGGGGTCGACATATTTTCCGATGACATATAACTACCTGTAAGCATGTCAGACGTTTCATGATCATCGCATGTCCTGGAGGCTTTAAATACTTGGGTAGGCTATGTATTGTTAGTCCACCTAAGAAAGTTCGTTCTTACTAAGAGAACGTGGCTCCTTCAGGCCTCTGTAGCCTTTCAGCTGCTCAAGTGGCCAGTTCGCTCCCGTTTTCTACAAGAACGGGCTCCTGTCTAAATGAATGGGTAGTCAGCTGGAAACTAATGAGCGATAGCTTCTGAGAATGTTTAGCCTATACCCCTGACTCGCAAGTAGAAGCCCGGTATTATAGCAACCGCAGCTTGACATATAGCATCGTTATGCTAGCCAAGGAGTCGGCCAGTAGTTTTGTTCATCCGGCGCGATGAGATCGAATCTTATTATAGATTTATCGGCGTGGGGGGCGTGCAATCCTCGGGCCTTCCGCTGTTGACGGCATTACGGGCTACTATCAATTAAACCCATAGGCGTATCGGTGGCGAGACAGAAATCGGCTGTAAGGCGGAAACATAGGTATGCTTTGATTTCTGGCGCCGATATACTGAAAGGACACTCAAGATATAAAATTGTCTGTCGTTTTATATCAGGTGTAGTATGGTGACTAAGTATCTAATGGGTGTTATACTAACTTATTGAGAATACTAATATTGCCATAGTAGACACACGAACCAAGATAACTACGACCACGGGGATTCACTAACTAATTTAATTTCTCATAAAAATAATGGTTCTGATCGAGGATTTGTTTTTATCGTCCAAGAACGAATATGTACAAAAAGCATAGGCACAAGTATGAGCCTTTTGAGCTTCATAAAACAATACCCCCACAGCGCCCCAGATTATCCCAAGTTTGGAGACCTGTGGTCATCATCCAAGTTGACGTATGAGAAGGAAAATGAACGAACCGGTTTTGTCCATATTTTTAATTACGAGCAGCTCAATCGGCTGCCCCCTGGCTTCGCGTCTTCCTTGCCGCTCTACCTACAGCCGGGGCTGCCGTTTTATTCTTCTTTGGGCGTCCAGCTTTCTTAGGTAGGCCGTTGGTAGTAGCTCCGTTAGTCTTTTGCTTCTTCTCCGCCGGCGCATCTTCCAAAGCCTCCTCAGGGGCATCGCTACCGTTTGATGCCTCAGCTTCGCTCGGCTTGCGTTTCTCGCCGGTGTTGACTTCCGGTTTGCCAGATTCGGTAGTAACGGGAGCGGGATCAGCCTTCGGCGCATCACTTCCTGCATTTTCTACTAGCGGAATATCGGACACCTTTGCGGGTTGTGATAGGGCTGCGGCCGGCATATCTTGGTCATGGACTTCTTCAATTGAAACGGGCTTAGGCGGCTCCTTGGCTTCGCCATTGACAAGCGAGGACGCATCAGCCGTGGTGGTCTCCGTCCTAGTGGAGTCCACCGGTGCAGAGGCGGAATCGGCTGGCTCCTCGGGTTGTGAGGCCAATTTATCAGCGCCTTCCGACTTCTCGGTTAACTCCTCCTTTGAGCTAGTGGTGGCGTCCTTTTCAGACGCGGACTCGGAATTAGGCGCTGCGGCGCCATTGGTATCGGAAGTATTGGTGGCAATGGATGCTACCGTGGATTCTTTGCCTACGTTCACGGGCTCTTTGACAGTAGTTGGAGGATTGGATTGCGACTCGGGCACAGTTATTTCATCACTCGCTCCTAATTGGAAATTGTTAGCGCACTGTGCTACTCCATTTCGCGATTTGGTCGCACCGGCGCGGAAAGCGCGCCAGTTTTCGGGGTAACTCAATTGGGGCTGGAAATGGATCGCAAGTGCTTTTACGATTCATGTAAGATGAATTATAGGGAGTAGTACCTTTCTCGATGCCATTGGTGTTGCTGTCGGCCATGTTGATGACGTCAGAAATGCTAGCTTGAGAGTTGCGCACAGTATGAATATTGTGTATTGATATGGGGGGGTGTGGTAATGTAGAATGGAGAGTAGATTGTGTAAGCCTATGATGGTGATTTGCTGTCGAGTGTTGAGATGAAGAAGAGATGAGAGATGCAGTTAGAAGCTGACATGAAAAGGAAAAAGGAAAGAGTAGAAATTGAGAGAAATCGAGGTGAGGTCGGTCGAGCTTTCTTGATCCATCTCATAGCTAGTCACACGAGCGAATCAAAAGTCGCGACGGACCGGGAAAACTATTTGAAACGAAGCTTCTTTCCATATTTGCTTCCAGATCCTTACGCAACCGGGGGATAAGCGTGGTAAGGAACTAACCAGGTAGCATGGGGAAACAAGGTACAGGGGGGAGTTTAAGGAACACCTGCATCCGACTAACATAATGAGGGGAAAGGACGATTGCGAAGCCGTAACTAGACTTAAGACTTGAGACTTAGCCGTTTTGTAGAATTTATTCAAGACATTTAAACTCTAAGTATAACACCTACACATATTTCATCTGTGGTATGTAATGAACATCGATGTTAATGGTACATATTTCAAGTTCGAATGTTGTATCTTATGGGTCAAAGTTAGACTTAACTATGTATTTTTGGTTATGATCCTCTAATCTCTAGCCGATCTGATGATCCTGTTCAATTGTGGAGTATTTGATTTGTTTAGACTCCCAGCCAGTGATCTTTCAATATTGGATATTATGCTTTGTTTCTAATACTTACAGCCCTATTTGTGCACTGATGGAAAGCTAAAGGAGAAAAGAGTGAGGACTTTAATTAGTATTCGCGTATGCGGTAGTAGGCATTCAATGCATATTATGCTCAGTTTTATCGGCGTTGGGCGCATTCACAGCACGATGCAACGGTTCTTACCAGATGCCATACTACTTACCATAGTATGTAGTAATTCCGGATGCATGCCAAGATGCCGTCGGATTCGCCGCATCGCTAGAGAGGATTAAATGCCCCCGCTGCGAGTAACCGGGAGAGCTGTGTAACTGCTCCTCCGGCAACGATGCTGGGTGGCATCCCGTTCAAGAATTGGTACGATGTATTGGACAATTACCTGGTCTTCTGGGAGCTGGGTTAAAAGACCGTAGCTTAAGAACCAAATCGCCTATACTGCTTGCCGCCCGTGAAATACTCCCCCAAAGCCGACATCTTCAGAGCTAAATTATAAACAATCATAGGAATCAATGAAGGCGGCGTGTTGTCCGGTGCTGAATGCAACAGCCGCTACACCGACATGAGTACCTATCACATCGCTCTGCGCTGCCGTTCTCATACAAAAAGTCGCGCCTGGATCCATCAGTCCGAACAAAGTAAGCCTTCCCACTCTTGTGCAATATGTCCTTGAGTATAAAAAAATAAAAGACAAACGGAAGTGGGAGGCTAGCGCTATTCGCGATTAATATGTAAAAGACACAATTCAAGCCTTGGCCAGAAAGTCCTTGGCTGACGACACAATCATAGAATATCGCCCCTGTGCCGCGGGCAAGCGCACTAAGAGAAGCCATTCCAACACAAGTTATTCCGCACAATTTTCAGCTTGTCGACACAGCTTCGAAAATAGTTAGCCGCTGAGTATAGCATCTGACATGATATTATTTTGTTAGTAAGTACTAATTCATGATAACGGATATAATCCCTAACTGATTTTGAATACATACTTCCAATTGATACAATTATATAATTAGAGGAAGCTATGATAGAAACTTGACTTGACAATGATGCTCCTTTCCTAATAACTAGTTAATTCAAGATCGATATGACTTCCACGGGTGTTGCCACTAGTGAGCGGACGGGGAGAAACGGAGGTTTCCGATCCACCTCGTTGGAATTGAATATGGTAAAAATGATGAACATCGTTAACCTAGTAGCTTTTCAGTGTAGCTCTGCAAGTGCTCTTCAGCGGCTCTTTAAGTGGCTACAGCAAGTAAAGAATTCTGGGTCATGCGGTGCCGTCTACCCGAGATTCTACCGCCAAGATGTGCCAATCCTGCCAAGGGCTAAGGCGGGGAATTGGCCTGTCACGTGGACTGGTACCGGTGTGATTCGCACGTGCTTAACCTTTTTAATATATTAATATACAAAGGTGTGCTCCACTTCCACGCCCAAAAAGTCAAAGAGTTCAAACTAAAATCAACTTAAGCAACTTAAGCTCGAACTTTTTCCAACACCAACAAACACCAAGCCTGATGTACTCATGCGCCTCACAAACATCCAGAGCTTTCTGCTGCATAATTACAATGTCTTTCCAGTAGCCAAGTTCTTGGTACTAAGAAGCCAAGGCTTGGATTTCCTTAGGCCAAGCCCCGTGATAAGGTCTGTGAAAGAGCTTTATAGGTAGATATCGCGAGAACCCCGCCAGTTTCCATTGTTCTTGGAGCCTCATCCAAGTTCAATATGGTAACCCCCAGCAAGTCTGACGTTTGACTTTCTTGGGAAAAGTTCTCCAGTGAATCTTATAGTCTGTGTTAGCCAATGGGATGCTCTCTCTCGCTACAGGCCTAGAACTAAACATCGCCCTAACCGACTTATCACCTTTCCCAAGCATATAGACACAGCAACATGGTCGTAATAGATGCTCTTGGTTCACTTGGCACATATGATGGATTTGATAGAATGTGGGAGAAGTGGGAGAATAGTGGGAGATTATGTATCTCTCGCTGCGTGGTGCCCCACGACTGAAGGTATGATTTGCCCTCGTTCGAGATTATAAAAAGACCCATGCCCCCGGGCAAGTCCGGATGAGTAGGTAGGTAAAGTTAAGAAGTTCAGCATCGAATCATTTTCTTACAATTTTTCTTCATGGTAGATCTTGAGAGCCGTCTCAAGAATTACTAAAGCTAGAAGCATAAAACTTTTGTATATACATTGGTTTCTGTTAAGCATATCCGCCTATGAAGACCCTATCTCTCATCCGAGGATACTCGCGGACGCTCCAACTTCGATTCAATGGCTGGCCAATTTGAGCGCCACCCGTTCTTGTTGACTACTCAAGATGTCGCCAACGCGTTGGAGACAGACCTCGAAAGAGGCCTGTCCTCGGCGCAAGTTACCGAGTTCCAGGAGAAGTACCCCCCTAATGAACTAGATGTCGGTGGCGCTATCCCCTGGTACAAAATATTCCTCAAGCAATTGTTCAATGCCATGATATTGGTAAGTTCCCCTATGACGGAAGAGAGCTACGCTTGCAAAGCTAACCCGAGTTATTAGGTCTTGTTCTTTGCCATGGCTTTGAGCTTTGCTGTGAACGATTGGGTTGAAGGGGCCGTTCTGCTTGCTGTCATTATCCTCAACGTGTCAATTGGGTTCTACCAAGAGTACGGTGCCGAGAAGAAGATGGATGCTCTCCGAGCTCTATCCGCTCCTAGTGCCATGGTGCTGCGTGATGGTCGAACCCAGGTTATCCCGAAGTAAGACTTTAGTGTCTGATTTAATCCTTTATTTCGTTAAACCCAGCTAACAGTTTTATAGTGCTGAAGTTGTGCCAGGCGATGTTGTCATTCTGAAAATGGGTGACACAGTCCCTGCCGACGTTCGCCTTTTTGAGGCCATGAATTTGGCCGCAGATGAGCAGTCGCTCACCGGAGAGTCTATTCCAGTTGAAAAGATTGTCGAGAATTTGGAAAATGAAGAACTTGGTATTGGCGACCGAATCAACATTGCCTACGGCACCACCACGGTCCAGAAAGGCCGTGGCCGAGGCATTGTCATTTCTACTGGAATGGAGACCGAGGTCGGCAAAATTGCCGCCTCGACTGCAAAGAAAGATCGCAAGGCTGGTCGGTCTATGAATTATAAGAAATATGGAAAACGACAGCCTATCATTGGTTTGACGAGGCGTATCTATGATTTCGTTGGCAAGTTCCTGGGGTTGACCGAAGGAACACCGCTTCAAATCAAATTGTCTAAATTAGCTTACATGCTCTTTGGCTGTGCCCTGTTGCTTGCTGTTATCGTCTTCGCTGTCAACGAATTCCATGTCCCTAGGGAAGTTGTCATTTATGCCATTAGCACGGGCATTGCCATTATTCCCGAATCTCTGGTCGCGTAAGTTACCTCCCCGCACATATAATTACGTATCTATAGACTAATACTAATGTTCTATCTAGAGTACTTACCATTACTATGGTTGTTGCTGTGACGGTCATGCGGAAAGCCAATGTCGTTGTTCGAGACTTATCCGCACTAGAAGCTCTTGGCGGTGTCACTAACATTTGTTCGGATAAGACTGGCACCCTAACCCAGGGGGCCATGATAGTTCGAAAAGTGTGGATTCCATCCAAGACAGTCTATACAGTAAAGAACTCCAAACACCCCAGCAACCCAACTCAAGGAAATGTTGTTGTCTCAGAGACTGGCAACGAGCAGGAGCCCGAACAACGGGATTTCGATCAGGAGCGTAGCGCTGCAGTCCTCAAGTTTGACGTACCAGATGAAAAGCTGAACCCTCCTAGGCCGAAGAAGGAGGATGAGAAAGAAGCTACCATGAACCCAGAACTAGAGGCCTTCCTCCTATCTGCGGCGCTTTGCAATCTTGCTACTGTTAGACATGAAATCGATCCTAAAGAAGGCCGGCCTGAATGGCAAGTCACTGGCGAGCCCACAGAGATTGCTTTGCAGGTATTTGCTCACCGGTTTCAAAAGGGGAAGAAGGCCAAAGAAGCAGAAGGCTGGGAGCAAGTGGCTGAATTCCCCTTTGACAGCGGTATCAAGCGCATGTCTGTCATCTACAACGGCCTGAACTTGGAGCATAGCATGGTATTCACTAAAGGTGCCGTTGAGCGAGTTCTTGACCTTTGCTCTACTGTCGGTGTTGGGGATGCCCAGGAGCCCATGTCTGATGAGTACAAGGAGCGAATCCTGGAACAGATGAATGGCTTCGCTAGTCAGGGCCAGCGTGTTCTGGCAGTTGCCTCGAGACCTTGGGATGGAAAGTATACCAAAAACACTTCAACTGATAACCCCGAAACTGATGATGCTCTCCGTGCCCGTGTCGAAACCGGTCTTACCCTTCTCGGCCTAGCAGGAATCTACGACCCGCCGCGTAAGGAGACCACACCAGCTATTGCTGAATGTTCTTCTGCTGGTATCAAGGTGAGCAGTACCCCCCCTTTTCAGAATTACTCGATTTGAGAAAATATGTGCTAACGGGAGGATATCAATAGGTACACATGTTGACTGGTGACCACCCTGCAACCGCTGAGGCCATTGCTAAGGAAGTGGGCATTATCCCCAGGAACCTTAGCATCCTTGGTAAAGACATTGCCAATGCAATCGTAATGAAGGCAAACGACTTTGATAAGCTTACGGAAGATGAGATCGATGCTTTGCCAGAGCTGCCGCTCGTTCTTGCTCGCTGCGCCCCGGATACTAAGACTCGCATGATTGAGGCACTTCGTCGCCGGTACGCCTACATGGCTATGACCGGCGATGGCGTTAACGATGCTCCATCTTTGTCCCGAGCTGACGTCGGTATCGCTATGGGGTCTGGATCAGACGTGGCTAAATCCGCGGCCAAGATCGTGTTGACGGACGACAAGTTTAATTCCATCGTCGCCGCTATCCGCGAGGGCCGCCGCATGTTTGACAACATTCAAAAGTTCATCCTGCATCTTCTCACCTCCAATGTCGGCGAAGTCATCCTCCTGATCTGTGGTCTCGCCTTCCAAGATCGATCAGGGTTTTCGGTATTCCCCATCTCTCCCCTGGAAATCCTCTGGATCAACATGTTGACGTCGTCATTCCCGGCCTTCGGTCTCGGCCGTGAGCAGGCCTCGCGCGAGGTCATGCGCAAGCCGCCGCACGACCGCAAGCGCGGCGTCTTCACGAACCAGATCCTGATCGACATGCTTGTGTACGGGCTGCTGATGGGGACACTGTCGCTCATGACCTTCGTGATCATCATCTACGGGGCCAACGACGGGCAGCTGGGCGTCGACTGCAACCGCGAGTTCTCAGAGGCGTGCATCCCCGTGTTCCGCGCGCGCGCGACCGTGTTCGCCGAGCTGACCTGGCTCATCCTCATCAGCGCCTGGGAGTTCAAGGACATCCGCCGCTCCATGTTCCGCCTCAACCCCGACAGCACCTCCAAGTTCCCGCTGTTCCAGGACGTCTACGAGAACAAGTTCCTCTTCTGGGCCGTCGTCCTCGGAGCCGTCAGCGTCTTCCCCGTCGTCTACATCCCCGTCGTCAACACCAGCGTCTTCAAGCACATCGGCATCGGCTGGGAGTGGAGCCTGGCTGTCGCCGCGACGCTCATCTTTGTCGCCGGCATGGAGCTCTGGAAGCTGACGAAGCGCCGCTTCAGGCTGCTCGAGGATGCGGCGGTCGTCCGTGGTGCGTTCTCGCAGGGTAGTGAGGAGGGTGGTCGTAAGTTCCACCACACGTTTAGTTTTAGCAGCTTGAAGAGCTGGAGGAGCACGGGGAGAAGTCATACTGTTGATACCCGGGCTAGCACGAGGGAGAAGAAGGATACTAGCCCTGTATAATGTGGTTTTGCTACCTACTTAGTAGGTGGATAAATATACCTGCTAGGTAGGTACGTTGGGTGGTTTAATTCGAGGGCAAAACGAGTGGATGAATGTGCCTACCTAGTAGGTGTTACTGGAAGATGTGGGATATTATTGACGAGTAATGGTTTATGACTATAACCTGATGCACTGACATACGACTGTCTCTGTTGCAATGATGTTATGTTATCAGCCATTAAAAGATAGAATGAAAATATGAACCTTGAAAGTATTGCACTCTTTGCTATGAATTTGTGCTTGCGATTACATTGTGTTGAGATAAATGCATTAGTACCTACCTACCTACCACCTACCTTGAGGTACCTGGGCACTCGGGTGTAGATTGAAGTTGAACTTGAAGTCAAGCAGAAAGCTCGAAGCATTACGTCTCGCTTCATTGTTCAGGTTTGAGGTTTGATTTCGATTATTCTTTTTGTTGTTTACTTGATGGTTTACAATAATTTGACTTATTTTGATTCCTTTATCGGTCATGTGTGAATGAATATTGAAAGGAGTACAACTGGTAGACGAACTCATGTTCGAAAAAGGGGTAAAAAAGGGGCTAGTGCTAGACATCTGCTTAGTCACAAAACTAAGTAACCATTCGTACTAGGTACCTGTACACTTGAAAACGCCCCACGTATAGACCCACTTTAAGTTTAATGATGCACGGTTCAAGGTTGTCAACTTGTCACGTCGCATGGGTACCACTGTTGTACTTTGTACATCGTGTTCAATTCATTTATTGCATTTAACTCGTAATTCGTAATTCTTCTTTTTCTTGTTCAAGTTACGCGACAACTTTACTTCGCCAGCTTCAGTCCGCTCCTTTCAACTGCAAATAAATCAATTTCGACTCTAATTAGCGTCAATCACGATCCCTTCGCTTTCTGAAACAATCCCTTCAAATCACTATCGAAGAATCAGTCAAGATGGCTCCAACAAAAGCAGTCGCAACTAAGGACAAGTACTCTGTTATTCTACCCACATTCAACGAGCGTCGAAACTTGCCCATTATTACCTGGCTGCTCAACCGTACCTTTACTGAGAAGTATGTCATTCCGGAATATCCATGCCTCTAATGATGCTTCTTTCATCTTATATCTCGCCAGGGATGTGTCACTCTAGGAACTAACCATAGTATCTTTTTATAGTAAGCTCGACTGGGAACTCATCATCGTTGACGATGGCTCACCCGACGGAACGCAAGTGGTAGCCCAGCAACTCGTCAAAGCCTACTCGCCGCACGTGATCCTCAAGACGCGCTCTGGAAAGCTGGGCCTGGGAACCGCCTACGTACACGGCCTGCAATTCGTCACGGGCAATTTCGTCATCATCATGGACGCCGACTTCAGCCACCACCCCAAGTTCATCCCGCAGATGATCGAACGCCAACGCGCCGGCAACTTCGACATTGTGACGGGCACGCGGTATGCCGGCAATGGCGGCGTCTACGGTTGGGACTTGAAGCGCAAGTTCGTCAGCCGCGGCGCCAACCTCTTCGCCGACACTGTCCTGCGCCCCGGCGTTAGCGACCTGACCGGTAGCTTCCGCCTCTATAAGAAGTCTGTGCTGCAGAAGGTCATCGAGAGCACCGAGAGCAAGGGATACACCTTTCAGATGGAGATGATGGTGCGTGCCAAGGGCATGGGCTGCACCGTTGCCGAGGTCCCGATTACTTTTGTTGATCGCCTGTACGGTGAGTCAAAGCTGGGCGGTGATGAGATTGTTGAGTACGCAAAGGGTGTGCTCAGCCTGTGGCTGAAGGTATAGTGCGGCTGCTATGGATGTATGTGTTAAAAATACGGCTGCAGTGTTCAGTTAGTTTGGCGTTGGGGTGGTTTAGCCTGTGTACCATCAACGCTCATAATCAATACAGGCATAGGATCATAATGAATCCTCTCGTACATGCAATTCCACAAACTATTGCTCACTCCAAGAAGGCAGGTATGTTTTCTGTTTAGGTATATTAAATGCAGATTCCTCTATGATCGAATACATCTCATCATGTAGGTACCCTCCTAGACAGATAATAGCACTTGAGGGTTGGATTAACTCTGCCAGACTAAACGCTATGATATATAGGTACCTACCTAGGTAGACATCTTTATATTGATAGTTGCATACCTTCTACCTACATTACCTAGTAAACTACAGCTTGTTTTTGCCTACCCTCTTTGTGTGTTGGGCCGGACCCCGGCGCCATGAAGGGGTCACTCCAGTCTATTATGTCTTGATCTGGATATTCCCAATACTCCGTGGAGCTCATATCTAAGTTATCCAGGAATATCCGTTGACTTTCTTCCGAAACCCCCAGAGTTCTAGTCATAGAATTCTCGAAGGGGCCACAGAGCATTGATATAGGTAAAGCCCTGTACGAAAATCCGCTGCAGACACGCCAAAGCCGGAAAAGGCGATCATGGCGTGGAGGATCTTCAGCCTCTGGCAGGCCCTTTATAAAAAAGAAAACAGGATCATGTCAGTCAACGAACGTCTTTAGCTAATAACGGATTGGATATATTGGGATGGGGGTTTGTGGCAAGGGAAGTTAACTCACCATGCATGGTCCGCATCCAGCGTGCCTTGCACCAGGCTGAATTCTAGCGTCTGCGAGACCCATTCGCTGGGCCCCTTGGTGGTGTAGCCGCCCGAGAGGCGGAAGCTTGCGGCAGTAGCACGGGACAACCAAGTCCGGCACTCCCAGGGCTTTGTTAATTAAGGTCGGTGATGTCGTCGAACTGCCAAACCTCCGCAATGGTCTTCCGCAGCACTTCGTCTATATTTACCTAGTCCCTCGAGGGCATATGCTCGAGCATCGCATTTTCGTATTGCTTTGATAATTTCTGGTCCACGGTTTTCGTCGTGGGCAAGCTAGGAAGATGTTCCGCGATGCTTCTCACTGCCCCGCCGAGATTAGTATCGTTCCTTGTGTTGGCTTGATTCGTTCCCCGCTCTTTTCGGTGAAGGTGTTCGAGGGTCTCTTTAAAGACTATATACATGGTTGTAAACTACATCAATTTAAATTATGGTCAGTCGCCCGTGAGACATGTCCTTAAACTCAGCTAGAATCAGGAAGGTGGAGAAAGGGAGAAAGGGGGAGAGGGGGAGATGGTAAGAATCAGGACACTCACTCTCTTAAGATGACGCAGTGTCCAATGGGCCTCTTGTTTGAAATGGATATGGAGACCGGTGTGTATTGTGCTCAAAGGCTTGTGGATTCGGAATCGATCTCGAAGAGTTCCACACTACAGCAGTAAGAGTTAGACGAATTCGTGCAAGTAATAGGGGGGAGGGTATAGAGTACCTATAGAGTCGGATACTTACCGCAAGCGCGATGAGCTGTTTGGTACCACATTCAAGGAAGCCGTAAACAGGCGTTCTCAACTCTCCGGGAAACCACTTATATACGTGGACTATGGGAAGACTGGGATTATCTCTCGGGAATAGTTCAGGGTTTTCCGATGGAAATCTTGTAATCCTTCTCTGTCACATTTTACAATCCCACGGACGAGTCTGTGGCACATGTCCATGCTCGATATGACGGATTCATTCCATTCACGGGAAGGTGGCGGGGGTCAACCACATTCGTCTGCTTCTCCTCGTCCTCGACCCTCGCGTCTAGAACTAGCTGCCACGCAAGGGACTGAAAAAGTTCATTTACTTTATCTCTGTTTATGGAATCAGGGCAATCGATCAAAGCAGAGCTACAAATTTTATATCCAAGCTCATAAATGGTCTCTCGCGTAGTAGTGGCAAGAGAAAGTCCGGTCATGGTGTGGTGTTCCTATCGTAAAGATACATAGTATCAATGATATTGGGTAACTACATGTACTTCGTACTGGAAACTCGGACCAATAGGAGAGAAGAGAGAGAAACTCATTGGGCAAGTGGACCGTGCATGACACTAGGTTTTCTTATGTAATGATTCATGCAGTTAAGCCTGATTACTCGCCCCGCTACCCCGCTACCCCGCTAAGTTCATCTATAGCATTCCCTAAATCAATTTAACAACTTTTTCACTTTTTTGACTCTCTCGACTTATCAACCCTTTTGCTTCTTGCACATTCATCTAACCTCTAGCGATCGCTTGACATGACTTGAAAATGCGTGGACGCGGGGGCGCCCGAGGAAGCAGAACACCTTCTGCACCATGGTCTCGTCTCAAGCCAGTAGATTTGGACCCGTTGGAGGCAATGGGATTACCTTCCAAGGGAGACATCAGGTTGCTCGACTTCAAAGCCCAAGAACGATACTATACCAAAATCGTCGAGCGTTATATGACCTTCTGCTCTGATGCTGGCGAAAGAAATGAGCTCCTTCGTCGCTTCGCCTCGCTCGACCTCACGACTACTACTAGCGACGATACTCTTCCTACGAAATCTGCTACCAATACCTCTCCGACAGACTTGAACCGTCCTTCCATGGCACCAGCTACTATTCCGAGCAATACCAAAGGCTTGACCGATGTCCTATCAGCACTTAGGAAGCTCCGAGAAGGCATTGTAGCATCCAAGCGTGCCGACGACTTCGCTGTCCAAGTTTACCTGTTTTGCATTCGTCTTTCCGTCCTAGTCAAACACGCCGAATCTTACCATCCCGCCATCCTCCATCTCCTACGCCGAATACAACCTCTCCATAACATGACGTCAGTTGAAATGAGCGAAGTGGTTGGCTATCTTGTTCTTGACACTGCGTGCCGGCGGAATGACCTAGCTGAATCGTTCGCGGTGCGGTACAAGTATCAACTTAGGGACGCCAAGATCGATGCGGTGCTTGATGCGCTGGCCCATGATAACTACATAGAATTCAACCGCTTGAAAAGAAGGGTCGATGGCCACAGGGCAAAGTTGCTCGAATTCGCCGAGGAGGGTATGCGCAAACATCTGCTCAAGTGCTTCGGAAGGGCGTACCTGAACGTTGATTTGAATTTCTTGGAGATAAGTGCAGACTCAAAATGGACAAGTCTCACGGAAGAGCACGGTGTTGGCTGGGAACTGGATGGTGGTAAGGTAATCATCAGGAGGATCAAGGCTCGGTAGGTGAGCCCACTTTGCTCTTGGCTTGTTATTGATACCCTTAGGGCAATATAATTTTGGTTCTCTAAGCTCGGTTCCCGATTCTCCTTTCTCTAGTTCTCTACGCTTTATTCTTTCTTACCTACGATTTATTCTCTTTTGCCCGTACGTGTATAAATCCGAGGGTCATAACGATTCTTGGCACCGATATTTTGTAAATAATTGCCTGGTGTCAGGCACCGTTTCTACATAACTCACATTGTCATACTCCGTCTTGCCAAGTTTCGGCTTTAATAAGCGAAAAGTAGGCGATGTCCAGGTAAGTAGCCTGTAAATGACTGTGCCTCACTCCGTCTTCAGCCCGCTAGGTAATTTCATTCATTTTACTGCGGGTGCCTCTGACATTTAAACCAGACCAACTGGATATCATAGCTAAATAAATAGCTGGGGCTTTTCAAAAGGGGGCTAAAAATATAATTGCATCCTTCTCGACGTCGCTCATTTATTCAAGTCATTCGTTGATAATTATTGGTATCAGTATAGCGCGCTTTTGATTTGATTTGATTTGATTTATCCCTTTCTTCTTAAGCGTCAGCAGCATAGCATGGCCAGATACACTTACAGCTCACTAGGTCGCCTTTTGCTAGTCGCCCACGGCACGCTTGCAGCCCTGACCGTCGATGTCGAGGACGTAGGTTAGTGTTGTCCACAAAAGCCTCGACTTCCCCTGCGCTCACATTGATGTCTTAGACTCGGTAAAGGCGGCGGCTGCCCTCGTGGTAGAGGATCTGTTGACTTTCTACGGCGGTAACAAGACGGATGGCATACCGGGCATCTTCTCGACTCCCCCTCCGTCCGGTGATTATAACCAGTGGACGGGTGCCGTTCTTTGGGATAACTTGTTGAAATATCGAAACCGCACAGGGGATACTCAGTACGATGATATCATCACCGCGGGCTTCGAGAACCAATTGGGGTTGGATGAGTTCCTTCCGGCAGACTATATGAACACGATGGGGAACGACGACCAGGCCATCTGGGCACTTTCTGGCCTTGAGGCTGAGATGACGGGGTTTCAACCAGTGCCGGGGAAAGCGCAGTGGCTGGATATTGCTCAGAATGTCTTCAGCCAGCAGACGGGTCGACGTATTGAAAATGGCGGTTGCGAGGGTGCCTTGAGATGGCTCCTCTTCGAGGGCACAGAAGGGTACAACTACGTTAACTGTTCGTGGTTCCCTAATGGCAATCTGCTGTCGCGATATATATCTAACATAGGTTACCTATGAAACTAACCAAACAATGCAGCTGCCTCCAGCATCGGCTACTTCGAAGTCGGCGCGCAACTGGCGTACTTGACTGGCAACACAACTTACATCGACTTGGCTGACGACACATTCGAACTGCTCGAGGTGCTCGATTTCGTCACTGTCGACTACGCTGTTTACGATGGCGCGCACATGGATTCGTGCACGGATGTCAATAAGCTCCAGTTGTCGTACACTGCTGCGATGCTTCTCGAGGGTTCCGCATACCTGTACAACCTCGTAAGTCACCCATCCCTTTACCCCGAGGACCACCCCTTCTTCTCTCCCTCTTCCCTTCAAGCATGTGAAGCACAGTGATCTAAATCCATCCACCACGCCTCAGCGTTCCATCCGTTACCTAACCAAGAGAATTAGACCAGCGACGATGACTGGAAGGAGCGCATCGACGGGCTCCTGGACCGGATCCTGATGACGTTCTTCGAGAACGGAGTCGCGCTCGAGACGTCGTGCGAGAAGGGCAATAGGTGCAACACGGACATGCTCTTCTACAAGGGCATCATGCTCCGCCGCCTCGCATCCGCCATGGAGATGGCGCCCTACACCGCCGCCCGCATCCTGCCCGTCCTCAAGTCCAGCGCCAAGGCCGCCGCCGCCCACTGCACCGGCGGCGACAACGGCCGCATGTGCGGCTTCCGCTGGACCTCGGGCCACTTCGACGGCGAGACCGGCGCTGCGCAGCAGGCGGACGTGCTGAGCGCGCTGCTTGCCGTTATCGATGTGCACAGTGCCGGTGGCAGCGGAAATGGAAGTGGCAAAGGCTTCGATATGCCACAGGGTACGGGCGCGAGAGCCGGTATGAGTGTTTCGGCGTTCGTTGGCGCGTTGCTGGCGGGTGGCTTCTTGCTCTTGTAGAGAGTACCGTATCTGCGCTTCTTTACGTTCGTGCTATAAATACTTACCTAATTCACCTACACATTAGACGTTAGATAAAATAAAATAAAGCATCGGAGAGGGATCTAGGGGTTAGGCACACGGTTGCCGTGGCTGGCTTCGATGATTAATCCGAATCTATTACCAGTCTACCTAGATATACTTTTTTTCATGCTCCTATTTTCTATGAGATGCCCATTTCTAGGTACTATGTTTCCACACCGGTCTGCTTATATACCTGCGTACCTATATATCTCTTTATATACCTAGGTGCCTCCCTAGGTTAGGTAAGTACTTACTAAATCACAACCTACTTTACTTTACATTTACAAACACGCCTACGAATCCCAACCTTGCCCTGGAATCCATCACAACCAAACCAAAACCAACCCAACCCAACCTATCCCTTCCTCGAGCCTACCCCCTACCCTACCCTACCCTACCCGCTGCCCCTCGCACCCCCTCTGCCGCCACGCCATCTCCTCCTCCAGATACCTCATCTGCCGCCCCAGCCGCGTGTGCGCGCGGTACCGGCATATGCTGCTGTTGCGGCAGTAGTAGATTGATTTCTGCTCCACGGTTAGCAGGCTACTAATACTCCTACTACTCCTACTACTGCTGTTGTTGCTAGTGATGGTGGTGGGGTTAGCGGTGATGGTGGTGATAGTAGTAGTGGAGGAGGAAGAGGAGGAGCTGCATATGCGTCCTTCTTCGCTGTCGGCGCAGAGTATAAGGGCTGGCGGGGTGCGGCAGCCGCAGGCGAGGGCGATGATCAGGTTGTGGCACATTTTGTGTGTTTGTTTGTTTGTTTTGTGCGTGGTGGTTTGGGGTTAGATATACGATATGTGAGTAAGCTAAGCTAGGTAACTAACTACCAAGTTGATCTGATCTAGGCACGTTGATATGGATTCCTGAGATTTGTTCCAGTCGGGGTATGTATGGGTGCGTCGACGGTCTATTATGCGCCGGGTCGTAAAAGGGGGGGCTTCAACAATGACATTGCTGTGGACAAGGGCGTGGGTCTAAGGGGGCAATTTGGACAAAGGAACTCAAAGGCTGATGTGGTTGTCATAGGTAAGTTCATGATAGACGCCGCTCTGCGGTTAATCTGTCAATCTCCATGCCCAACCGTCGGATATCTAAGGAGACCTGTGTGCCGATTTCCGGGGTTGAATGCTTGGTCTTGTTGTTTTATTGGCCGTGGTTAGTAACAGGATGAGGAATAATCCAATGTTATTTGTTAGTTACTCGATAGCAGCAATCGAATTGGGTTGAAGCATTACTACTTGGATATCCATTTTTAGAGGCGAGTGTATGTAGGTTCAACCGTGCGCCCCTAAGCTTGTGATTTGTCGGCTCATTTGTAGTAGGCACAGGCAGTAGTATCTCGGCATACAACGTGATGAACAACAAAGACAGTCTGGTTCGATGAGTTTAAGCATCAGCATCATGGGCCGTACTACCCGGACAGTAGCAACATAATTATAAGATTCAGGTGTGATTCTCGATGCATATGTACATTCCGGTAGCCATGCTCGGGTAGGTAAGTTTGAACAATGAAGCTTGAAGCCAATATTGGCAGTTTTGGCTCAACTTAACTTTGTTTCCAAGTTCGTGACGTCGGACCCGAAAGGGTACAAAGCAACGAAGTTCTTCAAAGCTTCTGTGCTGAGGTCACGCACCAGCACAAGTGGCCTGTCTTAGTTTCCTTTGTTAAGACGACTCTTGAAAACAAACCCTTCGAATATTCTCGCGGACGTGGATCTTTTGAAAAAGAAAAATAAAGAACAAAAAAGGAGATAGATAAACGTCTCGCCTGCGTCTAGAAGGATATTCTATCCCCATCTTTATATACCTACTTACTTAGCATACACGAAGCACCGCGCACGCATTTCCATAATTTAAGGAAAAAAAGAGAAAAAGAAAAGACGGGAACCAAAAGGGGACCTACCGTAGCGGATATCCAAGATGTGCAAGCAACACGATCTCTTCTACATGTGCGGGTGCCGGATCATCAACGAGGAGACCGGAGAATGGATGTATGAGATCGAGCGGTGCGACAGGGGCAGGAAGCGGCAGAAGGACTGCGCAAAGCCCGAAATGGCACTGCCGATCTTTGCCAAAGACACCTATTGCGACGACCCGCAGTGTCCAGCATATGGTTGACTCCTTTAGTTGACCCCCCCTCGCCCTCGATGATTTGTTAACAAGCCCTGGACTCTAGGGCCTGGAGTCCTGCTCGAGTTTATCCACTCTGGACCTACGGAGCACGCTTTCATCGATGGAATCGAATCAATTGGATTGCTCGGAACTTCCGTCCATTCTGTATCATAGAAGCGAAGCATTCGGCATGATATCTTTTGAATGCTTTCTTTTTGACAAATAATGATTGGAGTTTTGTCTGAGGCACAGCAAGTCGGTCATGAAGAAAATATTCAAATGGAGCCGAGTCGATGGTTTAGTTTCTTATTTATTGATAAAACTGAGCGAACTCTTGGCCAATCCTCTACCTCCCTTGCGGCATCAGGCACCGGTACTCTGGGCATTGCTTTTTACCCTAACCAACTACCGACCTAGGGGCTGTCCTCATGCTTCCAAGCAAAACCTAGTGCCTATCTAGGCAGCTAGAATACATGCCAATACTTTAATCCTTGAGGCTTGAACAAGGACAGTCCCGATATCAATGGGTTGTGTAAATAAATACCTAGAGGGCCATGTATCGAGCTATGCAGCCAAGCTTTGGAAGCTGTTGAGAACTTGAGAACCTTCAAGGTCATGGTTCTCCTTGTCTATGTACCTATTTTATTCAGTGCTTCGTATAAGATACGACAGTGAACGAGGTTATGGGATAACAATATGACGATTATTATTTTTTCCATTTCTTTTCAAATATAGTTACAGGTAGCAAGGTAGTTATCCTATGTCCAATGGGCACCTAACAATGAACAATAGTGTGATGCAACAGCCAGTCCAAGATGGGTGATACGTTAAGCTATATTCTCACAGCGTGGCAATTGGCCAACGAACGATATAATTGACAACCGCTGGCGCCAGCGAAAATTTGCATTATGCATGTAGGGAGCAATCCATGATGTACTGTAGGTTGGAAACATGTACGTATCGTGATTTGTGACCCTACCTTACCTAGTTACATACCTAGGTTCTACATAGGTCCTACATAGGTCCCTAATATATCTAAATAAATAGCATTGGCGACGACGGGCTAGACCACAAAGTGCATGGCTGTGCCGAGCTGAACCATCAGCCCTATCTTTTCTCGAACTAGCCAAACTCGCTGCCTACACTACCTGTCTACTTACCTACCTAGTACCTAGGAAGCCAAGCAATGTCTATGCAAGTATTAAAATAGGTTGGCCAGACATATGTACGTATTCGAGTATGTACCTAGCCCAGGTAGGTATGTATCTACTGTCACTATAAACATGGATACTGATAGGCCAAGGCCAGAGGGTAGCGAAGCATACGAGGAATCGTTTCGTGAGGCTCCCGACTCTCAATCGAGGTTAAGACCGACAACGCAGCAGCATGGTCCCCACATCGGGTAACTGGGGGTGGCTGAAATATGGACACTCGATGTCGATGCTGATGGGCGGGATGCAGCTTGATGGGACACACTACACTGCGCCCCATACATAGTAGAGGCTGGGCACCAGCGCAGGATGGTCATTCGAGTTCACTCGGCTTGGTTTATATAATTCGCGGTGAGCCTCTTTTCTTGGCTTGCTTGCTCTTTTTCAACTCCCCATCGTCGTCGGTTTACACACCTACCTGTGTATTTATTTCCTTCCTTTTTGCTGCTGCGTCGCTTGCTTTGGCTAGGTAGAGAGAGTAAGTAGGATTCGGAGGACGTTGAGAGAGAAAGAGACAGAAAGAGAGTGAGAGTGAGATAGACTGGAGGAAAAGATGATGCACAACGACCTCGACTATGCCGGCCGCCGGGTTCAGCTGGTCGGCTCGCGGATCGTCGAGCCTGAGCAATCCGGAGGCCGGCTCCGTGTTTTCCCCATGCAGCACCAGCACCACCATCACCACGGCCACGAAGACGCGGAAGATCCCAGCCTAGAGAAAGGCCCGGCTCACACTCCCAAGTTCGCCAAGGTGAGTTTTGCATCTTGCAATAAAACATCGTCCTAGTTTGAATTAGAGACTAACAGATACCAGACACACAGTGCTTCCAATTTTGAGGTTCGCCCCCGAGACACTTTGATGATATTGTGCTCTTTGCGGTAACTAACGGTTTGGGTCTAGCTGTTCTACGACCTGTGGTTCGTCGCCAATCTAAACGTCTTCACCAGCGTATGCTTTTTTTCCCTCGCGGCTTCAACTTGAACGCGAGCTAATCCATCCCAGATACACCACATCTCCGACTGGCATCGGCTATATTCTTTCATCGGGTATATGATGTAAGTTGCTGCTTTCTTTAGCTGTGAGCTCTCTAGAGGGCAATCGATCCCTAACCGGATATCTAGTCTCCTGTGGACGACGTGGCTGTTGACGTCCATCTACGACATCCGATTCGCAGCAGACAGCGTGTGGGAGCGCTGCTTCAAGGCCGTGCATCTGGGCGTGATGATCGGGTTCGCCGAGATCGGGACCAACTTCGACCCGAACGACCAGATCGCGTCGGTGTTCCGGACCATGTCGCTGTTCCTCGCCGTGTCGCGGCTCATGCTCGCCTTCCAGTACGGCATGGTCCTGTTCCAGATCCGAAAGTACGCCCATGGGAAACGCCCGCTGTTTATCACGGCTTTTATGCACCTCTGCACGGCCGCGGTGTACTTCGGCATCTCGTTCAGATACGACACGGGCAAGAGCAGCCGCGTCTTTCTGATCTGGTATCTTGGCGGCCTCGTCGAGTGCATTGTGCACCTCTCGGTTTCGCAGGTCTCCTATGTCTTGACGTTCCTGGGGACACATCTGGGCGAGCGGTTGAACCTCCTGACGCTGGTCATTCTTGGAGAAGGTATGTTCACCGAACGTTGACGCACGGGGTGGCCTCTGACAATATGACAGGTTGTATTATCTTGGCTAAGAGCGTTACTCTCTTGGTGAAAGACACTTTCCTCAAGGATGAGACCAATACTATGTGGAGTATGTATTTTCCATCGATGCTCCTGCATACTAGGGAGTAGCTAACATACGCAGGCTCTACTCTCATCGGTCTCGTGACGGCTGGGACTGCGTTGATATATATTATCTTCCAGCTCTATTTCGACTGGATGCACGGAGAATCCTCAATGTCTAAACAGCACCAAATTTGGTGGTGAGTACCAGCTCCATACCTATCTAGTAGGCACCTGGGACTTAGCCTGCTAACCTCTAACACCTCGTAGGGCGGTATTGCATCTGCCCTTCCACATCGCGCTCGTCCTCCTCTTAGAAGGCGCCAGCCAGTTCATCATCTGGGCCCGCATCCTCGAATCCACCAGCGCCGCCATCGCGAAAGTCGTCGCCGTGCAGGAGAAGCTCTCATCCCAGATCGACATCACCTCGGAGGAGCTGTCCGACAAGCTCAAAGAAGTTGTCCAGGCCTTCCTGGAGAAGTACCAACCCGCCGAAGTCATCGAGACCTGGAAGTCCATAAAGGATCTCCTGGCGGACATTTCCGAAATCCCCGACTCGTTCTGGAAGAACCCGTCCGCGGATCCGGATACGCTGCACCACTATGAAAACGACCTGGCCGAGATCATGAACACGATGGTCAATGCGGTGTATACGGCTTTTGGGATCGAGGCGCCGGGGGAGGAAAATGGCGATGTGAATAAGTCGGAGTATTGGCAGTCGGAGGCGGTTATAGCCATTGCTAAGAGATTCATCCTCGTGGTAGGTTTTACCCCTTTTCATGCCTGCAATATATGGGGGAGAGGGCCTTCGCTGACACAATCGATAGTACATCTACGCCTTCGCATGCGCCGGCGTAGTCCTGCTCTTCTTGACAGTGATCCACATCATCTCGAAGCGACGGGGCTGGACGCCCTTCAACATCTGGCGCACAGCGATCTGCATCGCCCTGTCGATCTGCCTGGCGCTGCTCACAGCCGTCGCCTCCAACACGGAGGCGGTGCTGAGCAAAGAGCGGCAGACCATGTTCGTCGGCAGCGTCATGATGCTGCCGACCATCACCATCGTCTACTTCCTCGTCCTCGTGCTCACGCACCTGCCGCACCCGTCCAGCTTCTGCATGGGCAGCTTCAAGCGAGGCGCGTACAGCGAGGTCGAGGCCAATAAGGACCATTCGCTGAGGCTCATGTCGAACAAGAACCGCCATATTGCGGATTTCGAGAACAGGCGCACGGGCTACGAGACGGGCTACGGGGGTGCGGGGTCCCCGCCTCCGCTGCCGCCGAGGTACGAGAGGCACGAGTCTATGCATGAGTCGAGGGGAAGGGAGAGCTCGAGGCATGACCATCATTCGCGGGATCGGACGCCGAGGCACCACTAGAGAGCTGAATGTGAGTAAGAGCGCCGACTTAAGTACCTAGGTACAGTTCCGTGGTGACGTTCTATTCACACGTAAGCTGTCTGTCTTGATTTTATTGATTTGAATATGTTAGCGAATAGCAAGGAGTTAAAAAATAGAAAAAATACTTCCCATTTTGAATCGTCTTCCCCGGAGCATGGTGTTCTGAGTGAATGAAGAAGGCACAGATTCGGAAACCTACTGCCTATCCAAGTATGTCCTATAATTAGAAGTACCTACTTTACCAGTAAACCCATTCTCGTGGCAGTGGCTTATTCGCCGGGCCTAAGATAGGGGCGTGTGTGCGCAGTTGATGCTGACACCGCAAGATTGCCTATGTACAACTCCTACAATTTTCCCGCACCAATATATACCGCAATAAGGAGGCCTCCCGAGTAAGGGGCTGTCGTCATCTTGAATCCGTTGGCGGGATTCTCTAGATAAGCCGTCAAGTCCTTATACCCTGACGCGGCCGCAATGTTGTTATCGACAACAACCGTTGCCCCGATCCTCAGGTGAGGGTGAACAAGAATCAAGGTAGGCAGAGCCAAAGGGCTCCAGACTATGCTGGGTTAATTGTTTATCCAGTCCAAGGTTCTTACCTAGTGCACAAGTCGCTTCTCCTATAGCAACAGAATAGGTAAAACTCACTATCAAGCAGCAAGAAATCGACCTCCTCCGGCAAGCCCTCCTCAAGCGTCTCCCTTAAGTCTCCCTCCCTTAATTCAATCCACTCCTCCACCTCGCTCCCCGCATTCTTCCAGTTCCTCCGCGCCTGCACCGCCTTAGTCGGCTCGTTCTCCGTCGCAATCACCTTGCCACCACCGGAGCTCTTCTCCAGCCCCGCGTTTTGCCCCACGGCCAGGGCAAGGTAGATCGTGCTCAGCCCGAAAGACGTCCCAGCCTCGATGACGAAGCGCGCGCCCGTAGAGCGGAGAAGCAGGTACACTAGCGCGCACTTGTCCGGGTCGAGAGCCACGAATTTGTCCAAGGCCCCGTCGGTGGGGCCACCGCCGCCTAAGAAGGGGTCCTCGGAAAGGGCCTGCGTGTGCAGATGGTGCAGGACTTGGCGCACTTGGGGGCTGGCCTCTATTGAGGCCAGGGTCGTGTTGATGATGGGAAATTGGGACATGGTGGATGATGGATGATGTATAGTATAGTCCAGATGGTGCGAGAATGATGTGTCGTGAAGGAGAAAGGGGGCGGGGGCTTGCTGTATCTTTATACTCCCCTCCTGCCGTATTACCCTACCCCCCCCCCCCCCCCCCCCCCCCACACACACACACACTGTCCTTACCCCCTCACAAGGAGAAGAATATAAGTGAGTCATATCATCCATCCCTCCTATTTCGGCCCTCCGTCAAGCGACGATGACTTTATAACTGCCTATATCAAGCATCGAAATCAACGGCAGGTATTATTCTGCCAGAGCATTTAATTCGGGTATACTCGGTTATGCTAGGTAGGTACCTAGGCAGATGGAAATCCCGAACTCGATCTCCTGCAGCGAATCGGCCGCGCATCATAGGGCCACGCGATCTCGTTGCCGCGGAGATGCAAACTTGCACGATAACTGAGTCATGGATGATGATGCGGTGCTAGCCGACGGTCTCCGACGTTATCAGATGGGAACTAATAGGATTATCAAGTAGGTAGACATGTCTAGGGGATGTTTGAGGTAGGTTTCAAGGGAACGAAATTCAAGTATTGGCCTTGCGCTTTTCCCTAGTTGGGAGCCCCTATTTGAGGTGAAAAATGATATACATGTTGGGCGATCAACAAAGCCATGTTATAGTAAACCACCTACATTATTATTACATTCCTCCTAACTTAAATCCTATTCTAGCTATTAAATGTATCGAATCCGCTCAAAATTCGTTGATCCTCGTGAATTTATTGCTAATGTACCTAGGTACTACATATCATTTTCTGCGAAACATCTGTCCATACGCGTACGGTCTTGCAACTTGCCGTGGCTGCCAATGCCGAGAGTTACGAACACTCCGCCTACAATTCTGCGGTGGGTTGATGAACCTGTTGTTGCACGTTCCAGAAGCGTAGCCAAAGTTCCTCACAGAAATGAAATGTCCTCCCTCGCGGTAAGGATTCCACTTACGAACAATACACTCTTCGAACTCGGGATCAAGTCCCGTTGCCTCTTCACCGCCAGTCGGCGTCCAGTCCATACAGTCAACATCTCGGGCTTCGAGCTCACAGTAGCTTTCGTCTTCGTAGCCCGAGTCGCCATCCTCGTTCTCAATCTTCCATCCCTCTCCACCACCACCACCCACCGTTCGCGTCTTGAAGAGTTTGTAATCTGACGATTCCTTCTGCTGAAGCTCCTGGGCTAGCTCTGTCCTGATGACCCACTCAAAGAGTTCAAGGGTCCTATCGTCATTGTCCGTGAGATTTCTGTTCTGGCGTCTCTGGAACTTGGCCATAAGCACCGTTGGGAACCCCTTTTCATCTACGGTTACGTTGATATGTCTATGCAAGAGACATACGTCCTCGCTCGTGCCCATCTTCACCGCGAGACGGAGATCAGTACCCGAGACAAGGTACTCTGTTGGCTTTCCATCCGTGTCCCATTTGTTCGGTATCTTGCTGCCCGACTTGTCATGTATGTACTTACTTTTCTACGGACGGGGCAGACAATCCACACAACCGTACACCCAGCTCGGATAGCGGCCGTCTTAGCTATGTCCGCGTTAGTATCGATCGCGCGGTACAAATTCGCTTCGTGCTCGAACTCGGGGACCGTGACTTCGTGTCGCTGTTTATCTGTTAGCCGAGCCGTCCAGATCACCATGGGGTTGTCAAGTGTGCCTTGCCCATCCCTATGACAGGCCTTGAGGTCCTCTCGTCGCATTCTAATGTTTGGTGGCCCCCCTGATGGCAGCGGCATTCCGGGGTTCCATTGTCTTGAGTTAATCTTTCCGTCTCGAAGTGACACCTTGAAATATTTTTACCTGGGAGTTTATGGTTGCAAGTTGTTGATAATAGGGGGGAAGATATTATCTTATACGGGGACCTCTAATCGTTTGTAAATACTCGGCTTCCAATGAGACTACGATACCTAATAGTACATAGGTATATATGCCAACCCAGCAATAGCATAGGCGGCATACGTGAAAGAAAATGCATGGCAAAGCGCTTGTTGACAACCTATTGTGGTATACTTGCCTATGCCTTGTGTTGCAGCTCTGCTGCAACCAAGAAGAAGAGGAAAGGAAGAAAGCTTGCCTGATTCCTAACTACTGTGGCGGAGTGCCAAAATATGGCTCTAGTGGAGCCTATGGTGCCTGAGGCACCTGCAACACCATGTCTCATCGAGCTATTGTCTTGACCGGAGCTTTCTAGGCCGTGCGTGCTCTCTTAGTATATACCGACCGTCGTGAGCTGAGTTCATGGCCCAGGCCTTGCGAGATGAGATGGCCTGTAGATAGTAACGGTTCTCACAGGAAGACATCTATATACTTGACTGCATAGTAACTTTCTAGGCGGGTATGCGTTGAGCGTTGCTTTTCTGTGTGGCACTAGGAATACTTGTTTACACGTGTCTAGTACCTATATGGGCACCGTATATACCCATCTGTCAGTATTTGGCATGGCATTTGAAACAGGTCACAATCTGAATACATCAATACTTGGTAACTAGGTACTTAGCATTACCTGTCTCGTTAGACAAGCTGGAAAGGAAGTGTCGAACTGGCAAAGTGGCGATTGTTGATTTTGGGCATCGATTCCATATCTCGAACCCACAGAAAAACCCCTAGTGACATTGACAGTATGCAGGACCGGAACTCCAGTTTACGGAAAACCCGGGCGCATTCTCTCGGGATATTTGGGCGCTGGCTTGGATGATATATGAAATCAAGGTTCAGACACCACTGTTCAGTGAATACGAGGACTATACTTCCCTCATACGCCAAATGGAAGTTTGGTTTGGGCCCTTGCCGCAGGAGTATCACGAGATTGCAAGAACCTATCTGAACAGAGACAATCCCCAGCAACTTGGGCCCATTGAAACAGGATCTTCGTATGCCACAACAGTGCGAGAAGACGGTCAACCATTCGGTCTGTATCGACATGAATCACTGTCATTAGAGGAAACAAAACAGATGAAACGGGAGCGGAGTAGAAGCATACGAGGAGGTGTTGACTGGAAACCCCGCTTACAAGCTTCTCTTGGTAAAGAACGACGTTGCTATGTTAGTAAGAATCGCTGAAACAACCTACATGTATATGGGATATACTTCGTCGGACGATATAGATTTCGAAACAAGCAGTTCGGATACCTCGGATTCGGGTGAGGGGGAAGAGGAGGAAGAAGTTCAGCAAGATATGAGCCTTGGACTTCTTGTTGACTCGAGGGGGCGCAGAGAGGCGACAAAGACGGGGGATTGCAGGATTTAAATAAAGGAGATAATGAAAATCGAAACCGACCACATCGCAGACACCTCTTGAGTCCGCGGAGATGTCAAAACTTGAAGGTTGACAAGTTGCAGTTGACCGGCGCTGAGATAAGCCCAACCTCAGAACCTGAAGCCTGAGGATAGCGGTACGGATCTAGGCCCGCCTCCATCTACCCTTCAGTCTCTAAGGAAAAGACCAACCAGTAATTCTGCAACACAAGGAGAACCAAAGCGACAACGCACAAAAGAACCATCAAGAGGGGAAAGGGGCAAATTAGGAGAGCGAAAAGTGGTCATGCTAGTAGATGAGGTGCTTCTTCTGTCGGATATATTGGCGCACATGTTCAAACACGGTCCGAAGGAACGCATCGACATAGATGCTGTGGTCGAATATGAATTTTCGGGGCGATAGGAGAGATACTGGGCGAATTAAGAATAATGATGCTGTCGACGATGTCTCGAATGCGATACGTATCATCTCGGACTCGAAGCAAAGCCACTTAGTTAGGATGGAAGCCCCCCTAAACAGGCAGACAGGCTAGTACCCAGGCGCACTCCGCACAAATAATAGACCCAGCATATGCGAGGTACATATTTTCGTGCTAGCAAAGACCGTTCTATTTCGTGGTCCGCTCTAGAGAGTAAGCACATGACTAGGACCTACCTACCATCAGCCCTATCCAATGTACCCATATTAGACTCCGCCATGATTGGATAATCTACGGACTTTTGATGATTTCTGCTTGGCAAGTTGTAGATCTTTGGAGATCTTTTGCTGTAACGAGAGATTCTGCGGGGAGTTTCTATCCTTGGACACGGAATTATTGATGTCTGGCTTACGGTACATGCGGCTCAGCAAGAAGGAAAAGCGAAGAAAAAAGAACATACAGTACCAAGATGCAAGACAGCGAGGATATCCATATGTACCCAAATAAGTTTGGTGTCGGTTGAAGGACGTTCATCTGTACGTTCATCTGTACCTACATATGCCGTACCAACTGACCTTTGCACATACAATGTGTGTGCCTATGCCACATCGTATTCTGTTATATGCAACGATTACACGAAAAGAAAGGTGCATATGCTCGTACTACCCACCATTACACAACGTCGTACGCGGCAACGATGTGTAATATTTGCTGAAGTGTGTTTTCAAAGAGACATCTGGCAAGCTACTATTGCCAAACCATAACGAACCATCACAGTGATTTTCCTAAGATTGGCTTTAATATTAACATTATGGAAGCTCTGCAAACATACGTGCGCAGGTGGATAGCCTACCTATTGAGAATCCTTCTACCTTCTTACCTTGGGTAACTTTAGAACATACTAACTTAGGTACCTAGTATGTTCCGACTCAGGTAGAAGCTGGCTTCAATCATCATGATTCTATGTAGGACTTGTAACTTTTTACAATACATAGTTTATCCCGCTGCCTTCAGCCCAACATAGGACACCCACGTGGTGGGTTTATTATTAGACTATGCCAAGTCCTTGGCATCACCAGCCTTCTCGCCGTTGGAAGCAATTACAGTGGATAGCTACGCACTGCCACATAGTGAGCTGGTACCATTCGGTATTAGGATCATCATGCAACGTACCCGTTGTTAGGGGGCCTGCACAATTATACGGCCGCCTGATTGGTCTCCGCCTCGCACTTGCGCCGCTCTACTGTTATTTCGTCCCGTCGTTGGGGCCGTATGTTGACCTGCGCGCAGCCGCACTTCGCACTTTTTGTCAGCCAGCAGCCAAGGCTCGATATAGCATCCTTCGACCAGCCTCGTGCTGTTAGTCGTATGTAGGTATTTGCGTGTGTAATACTGTATAGGACTAGGTACATAGGCATCGATATAACAGAGCGGTATACTCGGGATTAGAATATATAAGTTCCGGTCTATTGCCCGTTCAGTATAATCGATCTCACTATTCTCATCCTCACCAACATCTCTAATAATTTAATATTTATTCGATCTCACCCTTCCTCTTTTTTTCCTTCCCTCTTCCATACTCACCACTACAAGGCATAGCTAAAAACCCAATTCCAATGTCTTCCATCATAAAAATCACAACGTCTTTGGCGTGTCTAGTCACAGCCGTCCTAGCCAATGGCGGGGACTGCCCACCGGGCAAGGTGTTCTACTCATGCGCCAACGGATATCGGGGATGCTTCGAGAAGGACCCGTGCGCGCTTCCCCCGTTCACCAGCACCACTATCATCGACCCGAAACCCACCTCCATTGTGGACCGCGATACCCCAAAACCCACTGAAACTATCGTCGACACCCCGGGAGTCGGCGCTCGCTCCGATGACCCGACCCAGTGCGTGCCGGGCAAGGTGTTCTACTCGTGCGCCAACGGATACCGGGGCTGCTTCGCGAAGGACCCGTGCGATCTCCCGCCGGCGGCCAAGACATCCCTCGTGCTGCCGAAACCCACCCAAACCTTCGAGACCAAGGTCCGCCGCGATACCCCAAAGCCCACTGAAACTATCGTCGACACCCCGAACGTCGGCGCCCGCTCCGACGACCCGACGCAGTGCCTGCCCGGCAAAGTCTTCTACTCGTGCGCGAACGGGTACCGCGGGTGCTACGCGCAGGACCCGTGCGCGCTGCCCCCGATCGCCACCACCACTCCCCCCATCGGCACCGTGACCCCGACCCCGACCCCCACCGCCGGCGTCTGCGCCCCCGGCTCCACCGGCGAGGTCCGCCAGCCCAAGATGTACAACCTGTACCCGGCGCAGCCCGACCTCGCCGACCCGCCCGTGTCGCAGCTGGAGGTGCACCGCGTGGCGGGGTCCGCCGCTCGCGAGCAAGTGGCGATCTTCGCCGGGATCCCCGCGGGCGCGACGCAATGCGTGCTGCAGTGGCAGGCGGCGGCGGCGAGCGAGCGGCACTTCACCGTGGACGGCAACGGGTCCCTGGAGGCGGCGCGGCTGTCGGGGGTGCCGGCGGAGCCGGTGTCGGCGGGCAGCGTGGCGGGGCAGGTGGGCGGGGAGGAGGGGGTGCTGCACCCGGACTTCACGAACTGGCCGCTGGTGGCGACGGCGCACAACTCGACGGCGGGGGTCATCGCGTGCGCCGAGGCGCTCGCGTATAAGTTCGCGATCAACCAGGACAGCGCTTCGGGAGACGGGAGCGTGTTCCTGGCGCAGGATGCGAAGAATGGGCTGTATGTCAGCTACAAGTGCTAGGCGCGCTGCTGAAGCAACCAAGTAACAAACGATAGGAAATAAAGACGGTGGATGGGTATTGGATGGAGATGGTTTACTTCTTTTGGATTTTTCTTCATGACGTGGGGGGGTTACGAAAGCTCTGCTTGAAAGAAATGAGAGCGGTGGTGGTCATGGTCATGGTCATGGTCATGGTCATGGCCGGGACGATTCGGATTTTGGGATCGCTCGATCGATCAATCGGTCGGGCAAAACTTAAGCATTGGGAGGAGTTTCTTCGTTTCAAGCCTTTATTTTTTTTTGCCGGCATGCATACTTACTGATTTTAACTAACTGCATGAGCATTCTGATTATAGAGAAAGATGGCGTTCATTGGTGGCCACTTAGACGGGGTGCATTCCTTTTTGCCAGTCTTTGGGCATTTACATTTACACATTTACATAGCATTACGATTGTTTTTAAGATATACCGAGATATAGGTAGCTTACTGAAGCGTTTATAACTTTAAATATAATCACCACATTCCTTTACATACCTAGCCGCTTCCATATTGACTCGCTGTGATATTTTTATGAGTGCTGATAGAAGCGTACCTTTGAGTCTAGGTCAACACTCACAACCCCTGGAGCTGGAATAGTAGGAGATATGAATCTGAACTAAGGCTCCAAGTAATAAGACATAGGTAAAACCTAGTCACGGGAGAAGCCCGACAGATAAAGTCTTGTTGAAGCATCTGATTATTCCTCAGCTATCCATATACCTAATCACGGCCAACAATACTACTAATACTCTGTACACCATATATCAATCATCCAAGCCAAGTCTAAGTTTATCATTACAATTCATATCCCAGTCTATATATTCCTCTAAGTATGTACCTAGGAAGGGTATCGCATATCCATATCTTCGTGTACGTTTACTGCCGCAGCGGTTTCTCATTCCCATTCCTCTTCTGAGCCTGCCGTTTCAGGTCATCCATCCAGCTTTCTTTCTCGGCCTTTAGACTTCGATGAGTCCATAATACCGTGATAGCCGTCCATATTATAGTTAAGACGAGCGGTGCACCCCAGCCTAAGAGATTATTGGTCAGTATTTTAAAGTAGTAAACGAGGTAGGGCGTCGACGGGAAATGGGGGGCAGACTTACCAATACCGTAGGCGATCTCCTCAGGCACCGTCCACACCACCGCCAACGAACCGGCCCCGACAAGAAGGGATCCCACACCCCAGAACCAGTTCAGGCCTCTGATCAGCCGTCTGAAGACTCTGCTGACCCTGTAGCGCGTCCATAATCTCTCTCTGTACGTCTTCCCCGCGCCGCCATCAACCGCAACAACATCCTCGATGAAAACCAACAGCACAGGCGGCATCCTTACGCCCTTCGGTCTCGAGCTGACCTTGCACGTCGTAGACATATGTCTGACATCCATGAAACCGGTGAAGAGCGCCATAGCGCCGACCTGGATGAAGAACAGGGGTAGAGGAATGGCGAGGGGGCGGACCAGGGGATCGTGCGGGATGGAGGCGCCGATCAGGATGCCAGTCATGATGGTGTAGCCGACGGACAGCGTCATGTGGGTGAAGTCGAAGCGCCAGCGCTTGCCGTCCAGGGGCCGGTATTTGTCGTCCTTCTGGATGAGGCGCCAGGAGCGGTGGGCGAACTCGAGACCGGAGACGATTCCGAAGAAGGAGGTGATTATTGCGAAGACTTTGAGTGTTACATGTAAGTTTATGTTTGATCCAGAGTAGTATAGTAGTTGTCTCTGTGCTGGGGGTGGATGGAATAAGTTAAAGGGAGAATAGGATCACTAGTACTTACGAATGCCGTGTCTAAGGGTGGTGTCAAACCATAGCGGATAGTAGAGAACAATGGGTAAAATGCTTCCCTCTAGCAATAGCATCCCGCCAACTAGGAATAGCTTCTTCTTGTGCTCCATCAACCTGTAATTCAGCAGTGGCAGGCCGGGCAATTCCTCGCTCGGGTCTTTAGTCGCGGTTGCAGACGAAACCGTCGAGTTACCGGACTCGTCCGGGGCGGGAGGGGGATCTGAAGCAACATCTCCATTCTCCAGGTCCTTGGTTTCCAAGGCCTTACTGTCCATATCGTCGCTCATCGACGTCTTCTTGTGTTGGAAATATGCAAAGTGACAGCTGCTGTTCAAGGGTTTGCGGTAAAATGAAATACAATTAATCAAACAATCAATCGTTCAATCATTAGCTAGTTGAGTCACTTGAATGGACTCTATTAGATGGGAAGTAATTGATCCCATTTCTGTTAACACGAAGATTATGAACTTTGATGGAGAATGGGATATCGGGATGGAGTACAGTGTTATTCGATCGATCTGCTGTCGGTACATCAAGCAGTATGTACACAAATAGTGTAATGCGGTACGTACCATGTAGTATTGGGGATGGAGGATACCTACATAGTAGTACGAAGACTGACGAAAGCCCAGTGACAGAGGATGGCAATGACGTTTACCATTCTGAGGCTCCATGCAGGGATTATCCCTTAGAAGGAGCTTTTGGTCCTAACAAATCTCCGAACCGCCCTGGACCCGATCTAGCACATTATGCACTCTACAGGGCGCTATGACAGTTGTATGCAAGTAGTAGATGTTTATGGCAATAATAAACAGATAAACCATATGTATCTCACTACGGGACCCACTGTATGCTTATGTAACCTTGGGACCTATTTTATGAACATATATATTTTAAATCCTTTAAGACATTATCTTAATCTACTCTTAATAAACTATATTCTTAAATATTACCGACTTATATAAATTTTATAATTTTAAAATATAAAGCTTTAAATCTTAATATAAGAAATTAAAGAAATATAAATAATTATTTATAACGATAAAATGTTAATAATTATTAAATTTAATTAATTAATTATACTTATATACATAAATTTATAAATTATAAATTACTTTAATTATTATATATTATATTACTTTATATACATATAATTTACTTTATTAACCCATTTTATTTTATTAATTTCATTTAATTCGTTTTATTATTAATTAAACCTTATTTTATTTTCGTTTATTATTTTTATTATAATTAGTTTTTTAGTTTTTACGGCTTAAAGCTAACCCTTACCAAGTAATGAGATTAATTTAAAGGAGGAGTTTAAGAAATTAATTAACTTTTAATTTAATAAAAAAATATTTAATATTAATAATTATATCGATTATATAAATCGATAAATTATGCGCCGATTTAATAAAATTTAAAAAACTCTCACATTATTAATTAATCTTAACTAATAAATAATAAAAGTTAAGGGTTAATTAAGCTAGATTTTTAACATTTTAACCCGCTTTAATCTTAACGATAAATAAAAAGGTAAACCTCACTCACCACCCTTAAGCTAAAAAAACAAACCCCGCCCACCCCAGCCATAACCACAACTATAACCACTACCCCAACCACTACCCTAACCACAACTATAATAATAACCCTTAACCTTTCTTCCTCAACCATAATATTTATTTTTCTTTCCTACTTCTATTACTTATAAAAATAACAAACACCTTCCTAATAATAAAATAAACTTATAATAAGTTTAAATAACAAAAACCGCTTTTACTTTATAAGAAAAAAAAATCTAAAATATATAATTAAAGGTAATTTTTCCATAAAAAATAACCGGTTTTAATTATTACAAGATAAAAAATAAAATCGTTATACCATTAACTTTTAAAATACTTTAAGCAAATTATACCATATTTAATAAACTTTTAAATATTTAAAACCGTTTAAAAATTACTCTCGTTTTATATAACTTATAAATAATAAAAATGTTAATTAAAATCGATAAAAATTTCTAAGTAATCGTTATATACTTACGCATTAACTTAATTATATAAGTTATATTCCTTAAATATATTATTTAAATCTTAAATAAAAACCACATTATTTATAATTTAATAACTATATTTATAACCTTATTACCCTTTTAAAATAAAAACATATTTAACTTTATATAAAAATTAAAAAAAACATTTTATAAACTCTTATAATACACTTAAAACGAATATAACTACAAAAAAATCTTAATTAACATATTAAAAATAAATATATTAAACATTTAAATTTCACTTAAATATTATATCTTAAATTTTAATATAACTTAAATTATAAAAAAAATAATATAACTAACGGAAAATATCACACATTAAGTAATTAAACTAAAAATTTATAAAAACCTTATAATAATAATTTAACTATAAAATTAAACGGCTTTATTTTACCATATAAAAATAATAAAAACAACCTTAATAACGTTAAAAATTATAAAAATACTTTAATAAAATATAATTAACACTATTTTTAACAACGCTTATAAATTAATAATTTTTAACTTAAAAACTAACAACTAAAAAATTAGAACGACCTTAAAAAAAAATTATATAATAAAAAAAAGCACTATTTATTTTAATTATAAAAAAAAAAATCACTAAGTAAAAAATTACAAATAAAAAAGAAATTACCAAAATAAAAACCTTAAAAACACCCCTAATTAAAAAAAGTAACCAAATTAATTAAACTAAACAAACTAACTAATAACCTTTAAAAAAACATTATATTAAAAAGCCATCCATAAAATAAATAAAATAAAATCTAATATAAAACAACTTTCTAAAAAATCCTTTTTTATAAATAACATTAAAAACAATACACATAATAATAACATTATTAAACTATCGCCAAACTTAAGCAATAATTTAAACATTATTAATTAATAATTATCACAACTATTTAACACACCTTTAAAAAAAAAAAAAGAATAATAAAACAGCTATATCCATTTAATAAAAATAAACATAGCTAAAACATTAAAAAAACCTCCACCATAATAATATAAACTTATCTATAAAAAATATAATAAATTACATAACTTATTTCAAACCGTCTTAAAAAATAAATAAACTTTAATTATATTTTTTAATTATAACTACGTATTATATTATATTTTTAATTTATTAGTAAAATCTTACCATTATTATTAATTATAACAACTTGTAATAATAATTAACGTTAATAAAAAAAGCCTAAAAATTAAATATAATATTATTATTAAAACATAATTTAAAACTAAAACTAATTTTATAAAATTTTTCATTATATTAATAAACATTATATCAAATAATACATTCTTAAAAAACCTTATATTAAATAAAAAAATCTTCTATTAATAATAATTATTATACCATAAAAATAGTAATATCTCCCTTAAATAATATCTTAATAATCTTAAATTATTACACATTAATTATTTTAATATTAACATTATTACTAAAATAACATTCATTACGCACCTTATAATATATTAACATAAAAAAACTTCATTAAATAACCCGTTAATAATAAAATACCTATTAAAATACCCCATATAATACTTAAACATTTTTAATTAAATATAACGATAAAAAAATACCTATTTTCAAATAATCCATTATATTAACATTAAAGGATATTAACTTATTAAACTTCCCCCGTAATAATATAATTCACATTAAAAAAAAGCTTTACATAAATTTATTTAAACATATAAAAAAAAGCTAATTTAAAAAAGTAAAAACCTATAAGCATCCCCCTTTTTACTAACATTTAAAAAAACACTTAATCAAATTACTAAACCTAATAAAAACGATATAAATGTTATATAATAATTTTATTACGATTATTATAAATTAAATAAAAAAATAAAAAAGAACGCACACCCTTTACTAAACGCTATAAATAAAATTTAAAAAGCTAATAAATATAAATAATATCACTTTATTAATTTAAAAAATAGTTTTTAACACATTTTTATATATTCCTTTAATTAAAAAAAAACCATGTTTATTACATTATTTAAACTATATAAATAAATAATAATACTTTTTAACTTATGTAATACTTTAATAACATTTTAATCGCTTATAAAAAAAATACTTTTATTATTAAAAACATTTATATTTAAACTATTAAACGACATTTTAATTTAAGGCGATATAATTAAGTAATTTAACAAACGTATTAACCTATTTTTTCAACACTTTAAAAAATATAACATAATAATAAACTTACGAAAATCATAAATATTTGTTAATAAAAATATATTTCTTAAATTTATAATCTTAGAAAAAAATATCGAAATAAACCCTAATAAAATCGCTATAATTTAAAACAAACCAAAACTTAAAACCATAATAAATATATAAAATTTCGTTAATATAATAAACTACTTCCATAACTTAATTAAAAACTATTCCTTAAAAAATAACGCTTTAACTAACTTATTAAACGATTTAAAAAAATCTAAAATTAAGTTAATTAAAACAATTAAAGCTATATGAAAAAAAATCCACAACTTTATAACCTTAACGTTAATCGTAAAACCCTTTAATTAAAAAAAACCATATGTTTTAAAAACTAATAGTTTTAAAACCCACGTTAAAATAGCATTATTATAACCATATTTACACGAAAAACGCTTAACGTTTCATTTAATTATATATTTCTTAAAAAAATTAAACACCACTTAAAAACAATACTTTACTTAAGAAAAAAAATTACTAATAATTATATTATTGTTATAACATTAATAACACTAAGTTAAAAATAATAACGTAACCGTTATAACTAATCATAAATTTTTAAAAATAATTAACAATAAAATAAAATAACCTATAAAAATATTACATTTTTTCGACGCTATTAAACACTATAATATAAAACTTTTATACCAGCCTAATAAAATAAACGTTCTCGCAAATTACTTATTAAAACCACTTAAAAAAAAAAAAACAAGCTTATTTAAAATTAAAATTTAAACTATTAAATATCCATATAAACTATTTAAATATAACCTTTAAACCGTTTTTAAATATTTATATTACAACACATTATTACCACCTATAATTAATAAAAACTAATATTAAAAACATTTTATTATTATAAATAACTTGCTTATAAAAATCACCAAATATAAATAAGCATTAAATAACGCTCCACATAAAAATAAAATAATAACCTTAATAAAAATAATCTAATAAATAATTAAACTATATAAATTATTAAAAAAATTATAAGAAATTTATAAATAATAAAATCACACATTAATCGATATAATACTTTAAAATATTAATAAAAAATTATAACACCTCGAAATAACCTTACTCGTATAATAAGCTATTATTAAATGTTAAAGTTATTAATTAATAAAAAAACTAAACCTTTTATTATTTAACCTTTAATTAATTTAACCATTAATTCCTTTAACGTAATAAGTAATAAATCATATAAACATCGCTAAAATAAATATTTTAATCATAATTAAATACGTAACTAAATAAATAAAAGCCATAATAATATTAAATATTAATTTTTTAAATATAATTCCACTTTTAATTAAAATAAAACACACCTTTAACTTCTTAAAAAAATACATTAATAATAATACTAACGCTTTTATAAACGTTAAAACCGTAAATTAACATTAAAAAAACGAAACAATTATTAAACCGATAATATTAATTAAACCATAAAACAATAATAAAATAAAAAAAATAAATAAAAACATTAAACGCATAATACTTTGAAAACATTAAATAAACTTAACTTTAAAAAATTTCCCTTAATTACTATAAAAAGTAATAACTATCTTAAACCGCATTTTAAAACAAAATAATTATAACAATTTTTTTTTACTCTTTAAAACGCAACCACCATAAAAAAATTTAAAATTCATAAAATATATAAAAAAAACATAACACAATAAAGAAATTAAATTCCAACGTCACTTAATAATAAACCACGAAACACCCCTAACTTAAAACTAATATAAAAGCTTTAAAACCTTTAAAAACTAAATATATATTTACTTGTAAAAAAAAAAAAATCTTATATAAACCTTTACACTTAAAAACTAAATTCTTAAAATCCGCTAAAAAATAAACAAGTATAAGCCGTATTATAATAACCTTTAAACGATTATAAGTTACCATTTTAAAAACATATACCGTATAAAAAGCTTAGAAAAAATTAAATTTTTATTCAAATATAACGATATAAATTTATTCCCCGCATACATAAATAACAAATATCTAATATAAAGCTTATAATATAAAAATAAACGATTATTAAAATAAGATAAATAAAAATTAAAAAATAAAATTAACATAAAATAATTAAGATAATTAAGAAATTATTAAGAGAAAAAAGGTAATATATATCCCACTACGGAACCCACTATATGCTTATGTAATTTTAAGACCTATTTTGTAAACATATATATTTTAAATCCTTTGGGATATTATCTTAGTTTACTCTTAATAAACTATGTTCCCAAATGTTACCGACTTATATAAATTTTATGATCTTAAGACATGGAGCCTTAAATCCTAACATAAGGAACTAAGGAAGCATAACCATACCTAACTATGCAAGAATTAAATCTCCAAGATTTAGATCTAGTGCTGACGCTTGCACAGCCCGGGACATTGGTATAGCCCCACAATGGAAGCTACGGGATGACGTAGGTGGCCCTTAAGCTTTTGTCCCAGAGCTGTCAAATTCAAGATATCGATCACGCCTCCCTTCATCAAAGGTATATATGTACCTAAGAAAGTCCATGCTGCTTGTGGGTTTAACGTTTAAATCAATATATTCATGTCAAATACTGTTATAAATGATGAATTCAGGTCGCCAACGACAACCAGATGTCATGATATATTGGTGGTGGTATTTGAGTAAAAAGAAACTACACAGTAGGTACAGTAGGTACTAGCCATGCAGGTGTCAGACGCCTCCCTAGAGTAATAATACACAATTTATTGATTGGATATATACTCTAACATGATGGCCCAATGCATCAAAATACCAATGCCATTCTATTATATATAATACACGTAAACCGAGACAATTATGGTATCCCCAATGCTCAACCCCCACGCCGCAAAGCGCATTCATTCACTCGCCCATTCATTCCGTACCACTCCCATCCTTCTGGCCTGATCTTAACCTCGGCGCAAGCTTTATCGGAAACTGCGTGCTCGGATTCGTCTGCCCCTCCTCAAAGATACTCCGGAGCCTCTTGCAGCACTCCCCGTACAGCTTTTCGCTCTTCGGCGGCGGCTTCATCGGGTTCGGGCCTTTATCCCAGCCGTGCGCGACGCCGGGGACCATGGTGTAGTAGACGTTTTTCTCGATCGGCGGCCTCTGCAGCCGCTCCGCCAGCTCCTTGCCCTCGGGCAGCAGCATGTCCCACTCGCAGGTGTAGAAGATCACGTTGGGCGGCAGGCTCTCCTTGAGCAGCTCGTCGGACGCGCGGGAGGGCGAGAGGCACGGGTGCGAGAGGTTGAGCTCGGGGGGGAAGAGGTACGAGGCGTCGAAGAGGTTGGTTAGGACGGGCGGCAGGGTTGCTTCCGGACGGATCGCCGAAGCGCGGCGCTCGGCGCGGCTTAGTGTGTAGTCGGTGATCGGATACCAGGTTGCGATCGCCAGGATCCGGTACTCGGGTATCTTTGCCGTCTGCCGGTGCTCGTGTAAGCGGATGGGTGCTGTGATGGCGATGTTGCCGCCCGCGGAGAATCCCGACGTGGCAATCCTGTTGCTGTCTAGTCGTAGCTCCGTTGCGTTGTTGATTATGTACAGTAGGGCATCTGCACCGTCATCTACGGCTGTAGGGAAGGGACATTCGGGAGCCAGTCGATAGTCGACTGACACGAAGACGGCGCGGCATTTCTCGAGAATGAAGCGCGCGAACCTCGCATCATCCGAAGCGCTGCCCAGCGTAAAACCACCACCGTGAAAGTTCACGACCACCGGCCATTTGCTGCTATTCGGGTCCTTGTTGTACCCCTCCGGTACATAGAAACTCAGATTGAATTGACCGGGCTGATCAGACAGAGTGGAAGGTATGGATTTGAAGAAGTCTGGATTTGGCGGTCGAGGGGGCGCGAGAAAATGTAAGCCCATTCCAATGCATTGAAGAGACCTCCACCACCCGGCAGTCATGCGCAGTGAGAAGCGCGAAGGGGGAGCTCCTGTCTTATCTTTTGCCTTTTTCGGTTTCTCGTGAGGAGGTATCGTGTCTCTCGTTGCCTCATCTGGAGTGCTCCTCGTAGGAACTGGTATTCCTTCGACAGTTTGCATTTTGTGTTGTGATATTTCGTACTTATTTGACGATTGCGCAAGCTCGATGTCTAGCAAAACGTTAGGTATTGTAAAGCTAGTTTCGGGTCAAATAGAGCTTAGAAGCTTTGCATGACAATTTGGGATTATCTGAGTAAGACAATCCATAGGGAAGATTCTAAGGATACCCATATAATGTAAAGCAATACGCAATAAGTCTATGAACTAGCCAAGCGAGTAGTGAGCATCGTCAACAAAAATTGGTATGACAGAGGATATGACGTTTATCAGCTTTATCGGCCAGGGGCTGGCTCGAGCTTTAGTTCAAGTAAGCCCTGGCAGCCCCAGGCCCCCCAGCAGGCCCAGACAAACATCATCCTTGAACATCTAATTGAACATCTAAAATCAGGCTTGGCGCATAATTACTCGCAGATGTGGCTAATACCAGATAACTACATCAAGTACAAGATACGGTTGCTATGGCGCATCTATGGCAATTATGTACATGCATACCAAGAAATTCCTATTGTGATTGCATATTGAAATAAGAGGATAAAGAAAAGGAAATCCATAAAACAAAAATAGTGCCCTGAATTCGCCTCAAGGTTCATGCTTGGGCATGTCCACGCGAATACAATTTTTTAGAACACTAACCGACGGAGTCAAAAGGGGCGCCCGGGATCGATTTCCAAATTCTTACACACTTACAGTAGGTGAAAAGATGTTCAATTCATGATGTCATGAGTCTCACCGACCCATAGAACAGACAAACAAGAGAGGTTGATTCCCGTTGAGTGTGGCGTCTCCGTCGCCCATAACCCCTGCATTAACAGGCCCATAAAAGCAACTCTAGATAATGGGGGTTTCCGAATCAGGATAGTACTGGAAGCTGCATCGGTTTCTGATTGGCTGATGTTACAAGTGCCGGTCCGGTCTAAAAGCTCCGGGTGGATGCCCCGATGCATCACTTTCGTCACATATGCGCGAAGCCGGGAACCTCGATGTTTTTTTTTTCTAACGTTGTGTATACACCAGAGTAGCAACAGGCAACCTATCATTTGGTCATACATATTCATGGATATGAATGTATGTCTTAATCATAGGGTCACCGCAACTGCCCGAAATTGCGCAAATAGAATTAAAAAGTATTAAAAAAAATAGAAGTACGTTAACTGCTAGGTAATTAGGGAGAGGCGAAGAGTAGGTAGGGCCCCTTAGGTTCCAAGGTTACCAGCCAACTTTGCGCCAAGTTCTTTTATAAACTCATCTGCGGCCCGTTCACCCATTGCTTTTTGAGAAACATATGTACTCGAGAGCGAACTGCTATACTTAAAGATTTACCTTCCATACTTTACCTCTTGTACCATTACAGAGGCACTTTACACCAACCATCAAAACACGATCGCAGACAGTTCACCATATTTCCATTTCACCCCACAAGAAATATCTCTTAAACAGATAACGCAATGCCTTCCCTCGGGCTCAAGAAGCCCCTTCTCCTACTTAATCGGATTGTGGGACACACCACTGCCAAAAACCACATCACAAAGATACACCTAGGTGACACGGATGCGTTGGAGGAAGCGTCGGACAAGAAGCAGTTAAAAGCCATATACGAAAAGCAAGCAAAGAAGGAACTAGCAAAAGAAGAGCAGCAATCAATACAAGCGAGGCGGAAAGACGAGGAGGAAGCCGCCCTAGCTTCCGAGCCGCCAGAGCTGCGGGAGAGCTACGGTACAGTGACCGATGAGACCCTGCCGCCTTCGTCCCGACTGCACCAGCTATCGGCCGACCGTGTTGGGGAGACTATCAGCTTTACCGCGCGCCTTCACCATGTGCGGCCGGTAAGTTCTAAATTAGCCTTCATCCTGTTGCGCCAGCAGATGGATACGGTGCAAGGCGTTTTACAAGCCAACGAAGGCGTCGTATCGGAGAATTTCGTAAGATGGGCAGAGCACTTGAACAGCGAGTGCCTGGTGCATGTTAAAGGTACCGTGCGCGAACCACCGGAGCCGATCAAGACGTGCAGCATACACAACCTTGAAATCACCATTGAGAGTATGCACGTGTTGGTGTCTGTGCAGGAGCCTATACCTATCGACACCTACAACATGGAGCAAGTGGAGGAAAACGAAGAGACGCACGAGAAGCAGTTGATGGCCTCGAACCGAACCCGTGTGGCGAACCGACTGATCTATCTGCGCACGCCAGTCATGCAGAGCGTGTTCCGCGTGCGATCGACGATCTGCAACATCTTCCGCTCAACCTTGGAGGAACAAGGATTCATCGAGATCCAGACCCCTAAACTGCAGCCAGCTGCGACCGAGTCGGGAGCTGAAGTGTTCAGAGTGAACTACTTCGGTCGGAACGCTTTCTTGGCCCAGAGCCCACAGTTAGCGAAGCAGATGGCAATCTCTGCCGACTTTGGCCGCGTCTTTGAGATTGGGCCAGTCTTCCGGGCGGAAGACAGCAACACCCACCGACATTTAACGGAATACACCGGCTTGGACCTAGAAATGGAGATCCACAAGGACTACCATGAGGCCATGGACGTGATTGACAACATGCTGAAGTCTATCTTCAAGGGCATCTACTCTCGCTGTCGCAAGGAGCTGGACAACGTCAAATCGAAATTCCCGCACGAGGATTTGGTCTGGCTAGATCAGACCCCGCGCCTCAGCTTCAAGGAAGGAGTTCAGTTACTAAACTCATCGGGCTGGCAAGACGACGACGGAAAGCCAGCTTCGGAAGACGAGGACCTAGGGACGCGATCAGAAATCCGGCTTGGGCAGCTCGTGAAAGAGAAATACGGCACCGACTACTACATCCTCGACAAGTTCCCCTCCTCGGCACGGCCATTCTACACGCACTTGGATCCGAAAGACGAGACCGTCACCAACTCCTTCGACATCTTCCTCCGCGGCCAAGAAATCACCACGGGAGGCCAAAGGATCAACAACCCACAACTACTACTCGAGCGCATGAAGAAAGCCGGCGTCGACCCCGACGGCATGGAAGAGTACATGCAAGCCTTCGAATGGGGCGCGCCGCCGCACGCCGGGTGCGGCATCGGGCTCGAGCGCGTGCTCTTCCTACTCCTCAACCTCGGCGACGTCCGCAACGCCACGCTCTTCCCGCGCGATCCGAAATCGCTTCCCGCCAAGAACCTCGACGCCTCCGACAAGACGCCGTTCCCGGAGGCCGACACGGTGCGGTACGCGTACGAGGAGGACCACTCCAACGAGCACCTCCCCGACCTGGAGAAGCTGATCGTCAACTACGGCGACGCGACCAACACCTCCTGGCTCGACGACCGGTACAAGATCTGGCGGGACGTCGAGACGGGCGCCGCGGTCGGCTACGCCGAGGAGAACGGGTACGCGATGATCATGGGCAACCCGCTCTGCGACGCGCGGCAGTACCCGATCGTCATCGGCGCGTTCCTGCAGCACCTCAAGAACAACGAGGATCTGCGACCTATCTGGATCCTGGTCTCGGCACAGGTCGAAGAGATCCTGGGCGCGAAGCTAGGCTGGCGGACCCTCACCTGCGTGGCGGAGGAGCGCGTGGATGTGAACAGCGCGAACCGGACGGTGAAGAAGGAGCGGCAGGCCAAGAACGCTGACATCAAGATCCACGAGACGGTGCTGGGGCAAGAAGTGCCCGAGGAGGTGCGCGCGCGGTGCGACAAGCGCATCGAGGACTGGAAGGAGGGCCGTAAGGGCCGCAAGCAGGTGCACATCACGGAGGTGCGGCCGTGGCAGGCGATGGCGCACCGGCGGTACCTGTGGGCGGAGGACAAGAGCGGCGAGATCGTTGGCTTGGTGATCCTGCACCGGCTATCGCCCGAGCACGGGTACCAGATCAAGTTCGCGCTTGATTTCCCTGGCTCGCCGTCTGGCAGTATCGAGACGCTTATCTCGCGCGCCATCCAGAGCCTGACCGCGTCGGGCGTCAGCGACGTCACCTTCGGCGCAGGCGCCATGGATGAATTGGTCATCGGTAGCAATTTGAACGGCATCAAGGCAAAGCTCCTCAGCCGCACGTACAAGGCCGTCGCGCAGCAGCTCCGGCTCATCGCCAAGAGTGAGTTCAGGGAGAAGTTCGGCGTCAAGCACGACCCCGTGTACATATGCTACCCGTTCATGGGGTTAGGGGTTTCCGGCGCCAGGACGCTAATCAAGTTCTTCGAGGATGAGATGTAAAACATGTCATTCCTTTTTCTTTCTTTTCTCTCTTGTCGGGTTGGAAGCAGGGTACCTCATAGCTTTCTTTTCTTTTGTTCTCTTCATTTACATTGAAGCGTAGCCGGGCGAGATGACTTTTGTTTCCTTTTCGATTCGATATACCAGGGTTTTTAGATCATGAACTGTTGACGATTATATTTGGGAATGAGTTGATACCCTGAAGGGCGGTAATAAATGTTGCATGAGATGTTATACAGGGAAGAAGATGCTAATAGAGATTTCGTCTTGGTATAATTGTTATGCTATATTTTTTCGAGTAAACGTGACTGTGACAGCCTTGGATTAAACAATCTTCGATAGTATCTGCCCATGAGGCTCGAAGGCACCTATTGACCTATCATCCGATTTTTATTAGTTTTAAAAGGGGTAGAGCCTACCTAACCTACCTAGGTAGGTGTTAAATATCTTTGCAGGAACCCCGGGTGAAGTCGTGGTGCCTCCCACGGCGATTCAATCTCGTATTCACAGCACTGCATGGCCGTCAAGTTTAGCCTGCACTAAACCCCTGACATTAGGCCCCGGCATCCTGCCCGATCTTGACTTCGGTGCCGTCGCCAACGTTTCATCATTGGGGCATTTACCACCCCCGGCTCTCTTAGCAAGTCTTGGATTAGGATAATTGCGAGCCTTGGAACGCTAAATATCTGGAAGCAGCCACTCTAGTAACGGTTTGTGGTGTCCTTTTTCTCCACGACGACGGCGTTAGTTCGCTACCTCCTCAACACCAACATCAATAACACTCCGTGTTTAGGCGTCGAACATCGCCCTCGCAGCCATGGTCGCCTTCAAGTCTTGGGTAATCGCATCCCTCGCGACAGCCCTTCCGGGCACATCGGCACTTCTTGCGTTCCCCGGGGCCGAAGGGTTTGGGCGCAATGCCGTCGGAGGCAGAACGGGGTCGGTCTATCATGTCACGAATCTAGAGTAAGTAAGACTAGACACGTTAAATACTTTGGTGCTCCAAAGTAAATAAATTAATCTCATGAACACTTCGTAGCGACTCGGGCACCGGGTCTTTCCGTGACGCAGTGTCGAAAGCGAACCGCATCGTCGTCTTCGACGTGGGCGGGACCGTTAAGATCAAGACGCGGATCGCGGTTTCGAAGAACATCTACATTGCCGGACAGACAGCGCCAGGCGACGTGAGTATTATCTGCCGTGTTCTGATGTGAAAAAAAAAAGAAAGGAGAAAATTGCTGATACTGTATTTTGCGCTCAAGGGCATCACGATTTACGGCAACGGCATGTCGTTTTCTAACGCGAACGATGCCATTGTACGATATGTTCGATTTCGCATGGGAAAGGGTGGCGATTCGGGTAAAGGTAACTTAGTGCTTGCTATCCGAAGATGTTGTAGGACCTAAAAGATCACACATTAACCTCTAATCATAGACGGGATCACCATCGCTGAAGGCAGCAACATGATCTTCGACCACGTCTCAGCCACCTGGGGTCGCGATGAGACCTTCTCCATCAACGGCGAAGTGCACAACGTTACGGTGCAGAACACCATCATCGGGCAGGGTTTGGAGACGCACTCTTGCGGCGGACTGATGCAGTCGGATTTTGGCATCAGTCTCTTCAGAAACTTATATATCGACAACAAGACGCGAAACCCCAAGGTAAAGGGTATGAACGACTTCCAAAACAATGTGAGTCAGATGTTCCAAGCGTGAAGTTGATTTGATTCCCCACCCCACCAGCCCATTATTTGCTAACGCTGTATAAGGTGGTCTATAACTGGGGAGGTGGCGGCGGCTACATTGCCGGCGACAGCGCTGGCCAGAGCCAGGCCAACATCATCAACAACTACTTCATCTCCGGGCCGAGCACGGGTGTGACAGCTTTCACGCGCGGAAACGCCAACTTCCAGGGCTGTAAGTGCTTATAGATACCTATCCACCGCTCTTCAGGGGCGTGAGCTCACTCTCCCTAGATGTATCGCAGAACTACTACGACAGCAATAAGGACGGCTCTCTGAATGGTTCTCCGCTCTGTGTCGAGACCTCTTGTTATAGCGATATGAGCATTCAAAAGACGCAGTTCGACTATCCAAGCCCGCAGAGTCTGATGAGTGCGCCCGATGCAGTGACGTACGTTCTTGATAATGTCGGCGCCAAGTTTCCAGTACGCGACAGTGTGGATGAGGGCCTCGTTGCGGAAGTGAAAAGCTTCGGCAAGAAAGGGGCACTGATCAGCGGAGAGGATGCGAGCTCTGTAGGAGGGGTTGGTGGGACTGCACCCAAAGATACTGATGGCGACGGGATCCCTGATGAGTGGGAAAATGCACATGGGTTGAATCCTGCCGATGCAAGTGATGCGATGAAGATCAGCAGCTCTGGATACGCGAATATTGAAGTGTATCTGAACTCTCTGGTTCCTTCCTCCTAGGAAATCAGGGCTGCGAGTTTGTTAGAACAGCATATTGTGAAGGCCATGCTACTAGGTAGACAGTAACCATAGCACAATTCAAATTCTAAGCTGACAACAAACGAGAGCGAATACCACAGCATGTATGACAGAAAACTCTCGCATAAGCAAGGAGCCTCTTTGCTCGTGGGTGGTAGTGCATAAACGTTGGTGCTCTGAACAAGCGGCCGCTTCACGAGGTCGCCGAAGTGGTTCAAGGACTAACAGCGCTCCAAAACCCTCTTATACTGGGGTTTTTTTCTTTTCATAAAGTCCACGAGATGACGATGCAAATATATACTATTATTATCTGAGAAGCATATTAGCATCCTCGATGAAGTCCAAGTTCCAAAACTTGTGAGATACTTGACTGTGATCACAAAGTACTACCCCAGATTCCAGCACCAACTATGAAGAAACCGTATACATGATCTCCATAGGTTAGTGAACGACGATCCAGTTATAGTCCGTGGCAAAAGAGTCTGACGGCAAAGACATCATGATCCCCTAATGCTTGGCATCTTACGTACTGGAGCTGTCATAATCTACGAAGCAGTAAGCAGCAAGTAAGCAGTAAAAGTTAAGAGTTAAGCCAAGCAGCCAAGCCAAGCACATTGCCTAGGTACAGTACCTTACCTGCCTACCTCTCTTAGCCGCTCTGGCCCCCTACGTAGGTTAGTTGAGTTGCTAGCCGCCATCGTACATGCATACGGCCCCCACCCACCAACGGATATTTCCCAATACGATACAGATGCACGAATCTGATTGGCTTTCCTCCACACGACCACTTCGCTATCTAGTTAAGCCCCAACCGCGGCAGAAATTTTCATCCCTTGGTGGTCTAGTTGGTTATGGCGTTCGGCTGTAATTGTTTAATTGTTTCAATAATTAGTTGTTTACCGAAATGTCACCGGTTCGATTCCGGTCCGAGGGATCGTTTACTTTTTTTGGTTCTTCTTATTGTTGCTTGCTTTTTATTTCCGAGATTCTCATTTTTGAGGTTCAATGTTTTGAGGTTCAATGTTGTTTTGTCGCATTTTGAAAAATCAAATCCAGTGAAAAAAATTAGGGTGTGGGGTACTTGGCGATTTAGGGGGGGGGAAGGGATGACATAATGCAACCGTCGCATGTAATCCTCTAAATTTGGTCAGTGTATGGGCTAAGGGTGTCCACGTGACCTCCCCCTTTTCCATGCCCCCTCTGTAGTCTCCCATGTCTAGTACCTATCCTTCATCAAGCACTTGGGCTACGATTGCGTACTGGGCCTTTAAATATAACGCCTGAGTAGCAAACGTTTTTCAAGCAGAGAAAACAATAAGAATCATTCCCACAGAAGCTTCGTACCTAGGTACTTCAACTCTGGAGAGTCACTGGAGACTCTATAATCCGAGCATCCCAACAAAAGTTATATTTCAGTCTTAAAATTACTTTTATTTACGCACTCGTTTCCGATAAAATCGCCGCCCCCGAAGCCGATAGCCATCACTTGGACGCGCCCCTTTTTACTAAGCGATGGTTATTTTGACTAGTGAAACCGTGTTGCATTTCCTCATAGGGTAGTTATCGTAGCCTCCAGCCCCTTGAACTCAGCGCTCGGCATTGAAACATGATAATCATGAACAAATGCCACATCGCTCGCCTCGGTCTTCCACAGTTTCATATCAAAGCCCTGAACCAGCGCCGCAATCACCAGATACATCTCGGCACGTGCCAGCTCGATGCCAAGGCACTTTCTGCTGCCTTTGCCAAAGGACATCTGGTATTTCTGGAGCTTGCGGCCCTCCTCGCCGAGCCAGCGTTCCGGATCGAAGACGAACGGGTCGGGGAAAACACTCTGTGCGGTATGGGCGCTCAAGGTGGTTGTGCTCATGGGAGTACCGGCGGGAATCTTGAAGGACTTTCCCATGTTCGAAGAGGAAGTTGCATAAGATGTAGGGGTGTATATAAGTGTTTCCCGAGCGATACGTGCTGTTCTGGCCGTGACGCCGAAGGAGAGACGGTGAGCTTCCTCGATGACCGCGGTGAGATATGGCAATCGCTCAAGTTGGGTCCACGACGCTGGTTGTGGGACGGTGCTGAGTTCTTCCCGTAGCTTGCTCATGATCTGTGTATTGGCCAGCAGGTGGTAGAATATCGTGTTGAGGGACTTGGCTGGCGATTCCGTTCCTGCGAGAACCAGAAGTGCACCTTCTTGCTCTAGCCGGAGCAAGGCCTTCTCTGATGCGGGCAAAATAGGATTGTCGAGCACATTATAATATACAGACTTCGCACTCGGCGAATTGCTACCGGCCCCAGAAGCTTTCGCTTTGATGATGCCTACTAATTCGGCTCGGACTCGCTGCGTCTCTCGTATTAGAACACCATGCCAATACTTTTCAGGGCAACGCATACATCAAATAGGTCTAGCATATCAAGCAATCCAGGTGGCATGATAGGCCTGCTGATGGATTCCGGGAGAGATTCCAGGAAGTCGGGAATAAACGGGAAGTGCTTGTTGAGATGACATCCCATCATGAGCTCGTAGCTGTTATGGCGTAATGTGGCGGCTTTCTGTTCATCCGAAAGCGTGTCTGTCCTCTGAGAGAACAAGAAGTTATTGACAACACTAGCCTCTGTTAGAACCATTCTTCGTCCCGTCCGAATTTGAAGGGAGCTTACTCATTGGAGAAGGCGAAGAAGAGATCTGAAAGATTGACTGGCGTCTGTTCGGAGGCATGCTTCAAAAGCAATTGACAAAGCTGTTGAACTTTGTCGGTAATCGTCGGCTCAAGGAAGACCACATTGCGTTTGCTGAAGAATGGAGACAGAGCTTCACGTCGTTTGCGATGGACTTCAAGACTAGGGGTAGTGCCAACTCCACCGGGAACCCGCAAAGATCTCAGTTGGTACTCATACTTGTCTCTCGGGGACGATGAAGGGGCATAGATGGTGTCGAGGAATCCAACATCGGAGATGTGAATCTCGTCCGGGGTGACCCGGATGATTGGTCCTACGAGGTGGATAGATCAGTGAATGCTGCGCTGTGAACTGCACGTGCGCACCTATCGGGCTTACCGTATCGTTTGTGCAGCTCCTGGATTTTGAAGACATATCGGCCGGGTTGAATGACGTCGAAATAGAATTCATACCACCAGGTGAGAGCCGCCAGCCTCGGGCCAGGGATATGAGCCAAGGGGTGAAAGAACAGACGGCGTATGGCACCTCCGATCGTCAGCAGGGCGGCCAAAAGCACTGTCGTCAAAAATATTTGAAGAACAGCCATGGCAAATTCTACGCGACACAAATGGGATAAGAGAGAAGAGGAGAGGGTAAAAAGATGCGGAGTAGATGTTGACGATGAAAGTCGAAGTAAGGAGTTAGGGAGGTTAGGGAGACGCGGGTAGGGCGGGGCTTTGTTTGCGTTGGTTGCTTTTCGCATTCAGCCCCCAACGCAGACCTACCTAGGCTAGGTACATACCTATGTATATTTACATTATTGAATACGTGCAACGTGAGGAGTATTCATATCGAAACGGTCACCGTACGTTGGTCGCTGGTTGCTGACTGCATGCCAGCAACCACCTACCTAAGGTACATAGTAGGTGTGTACCACCCACGAAGGATTCTCGTACCATTCAACTACAAGAATCTTCGGCCGCCATGCAGCCACAATATGAGGTGTGCGAGTGTTTGAAAATGTCCCTCCGGATCCCACGCTTGGATCCCACGTTTATCGTTACATGTATCAAATCACAATCTTGAGTGACTTTATTCTTCCACTTCCATGGTTCCAACGTTTTTCTGATTTTCTTCGTCAGGCTATTTCGTGCAACTGTGTTTGAGTTGCAAGCTTCCTGACGCTCGACAACCTTGAACACTTCACAGCCGTTTCCCCGGTATCACCACATCACCGTCAATATGGACGGCCCTTCAGCCATGACAGATTATTATGCCACTCCGGCAGCAGTCATCTTCATCAGTATCTTCTTTCCCGTTCTCGGCGCCACTTGTGTAGCTCTACGTTTCTACACCAGAGCCAAGGCGAAGAGTGCGTTTTGGTGGGACGATTGGCTATGTATTCCAGCGCTGGTATGCCCACGCAATACATTCATTCCATTCAGTTCAAAGTACAGACTAACTCCTTGTGTCCAGGCTTTCGAGCTTGCGATGGCAGGGCTCCTGATTTGGGGTGTTTCGAAGGAGGCATTGGGGGGGCATGTCCCTGTCTCAACTGACCCAAGTCCAGACGCATATCTGTTTTTCACCTCGCCCCAACAAATCATTCTTCAGCAAGTGCGTGTTCGGCAATCAAGATCGGGCCACTGAAAAGAAAGTATTACTGACGCTTGTCACAGATCCAATATTTCATCGACTTCATTGGAGTCTTTGCCTTCGGGTCGCTCAAGCTCAGCATCTTGTTCTTCTACCGCAAGATCTTCTGCGCCAGCAAGACAAGCAAAGATGCCTTCAATATAATTACAGCTTCCATGATCGCACTAGTTATCATCTGGACTTTGAGTTTCGGAATCGGAGCCATCTTTCTCTGTGGAGCTCGTCCTGCATACGCGTGGGCACCCGTGGCTCTCGTCGCGGAGCATTGTACTGCGCAGCTACAGTTTCTCGAGGCATATGCTATCTCGGATTTCATCATGGATTGTTTCATCTGGTCGCTGCCAATTCCCAAAATTTTGGGGTTGCACATGGCTGTCAGCAAGAGATTGAGCGTCATCGCCGTCTTTCTTGTTGGTATACTGTAAGTTGTCAGAGCCTCCTCCCTCTCCTGGACAGCAGGCTGGGGCTGTGAGTCGTGACTAACATCAATGACAGCACAATTGGAGCTTCCGGCGCAAGAATGGCCATCTACATCATCTACGTCGTCAACGCATTTGCCCAATCCGACGGCGAAAGTACAGATCTCCTCCCCGATCCCCTGCTCACCCAAGAATTTAATCTAACATCTGGCAGAAATCATCACCTTCCTCCTCTTCTGGACCATGATAGAATGCGGTCTCGGACTTATGGTAGTATGTCTACCTGCGCTACGTGCTCCCATGCGCACTTTCTTCACTGCCATCTCGCCAGGCTCGCTGATCAGCGGCATCAAATCCGCCTTCACAACGCGCTCGCTGAAGTCTGAGGGGAGTCTGGAAGCAGGTTTCTACCGGCTCGATGGTGTCAATCAGTCGCACAAAGCGTTGAACTCTGACTGGAGTCGCTATGCGCCGACGGAGGGGGCGCTGCATACTTCTGTCGTTGGACCCACTGACTCTAATCATTTGGTGAGCCAGGTGGAGCCGATGCATGGAGTAATTCATGTTCGGAGCGAGATGCAGCAGTATTGAAGGAAGCTCTCGAGGCGTCTCGAAATGGTTCTGTGCTGCCTATATCGAGCCTGCTGTGATGGTCTCCCAAACACACGCTGTAAGGTATAGAATTTCTCGCAAAATCGTGTCAACGATGCAAAACACATCTCGCAAGCACAAAAAATATTGCAGAATCCAGTGATAGCTACATAATAAAGCAAGAGCCATGTTCATATTTTCCAGCCGCTCCTCAACTACTTGAATACGAAAAGGGGCGCATCTCCCATGAAAAGAGCCGTGTGCTCGCGTAGTTTTAGACTTCAAAGGAAACCAGACGAACTGCGCTCGACCGCCGAGCCAGCCACTTCATCATTGATGCCTGGTGGTTGATGGCAAACTTTAGGTTATCTGAGAATACATTTTCTTGAATTAGGCGAGACGGGGGGGCCGCTTTCGCGAGTTCCAGTACTTCGTAACTAATGAAAATAATTGAGATGAGATGGGTATTTCTGCCTTGAACTGAGTCTAAATACCCCTTTAACCTAGGTCCCTAGTTTGTAAACCCAATCTGCTTTCTTTACAATAAGACATATCATGAAGCTACCATAATTACCTACACGCAATGTCCCCATCGCATTCTAGCTAGGTACACATTCACAGTGCTGCAAGATCCGCGCAGTGACCAGTGGGCCAACAAGCTGTATGCTCCTTCGCAAACTCGGTCAGAGCATCCCAATCCCGACACAGCCGAAACTGGCCATCCCCTGTCAGCTTCGACTGATAGGGCGCGTACAGCGGGATGTCATTGGCGCGGCATTGAATCTCTTGCCGAAGCGCATCGTAGCAGTGATTGATATGGACGGCTTTCTCGTCCACCGATTTGCCTGCCATCAGGTCCTGGATCACTTCCCGCAGGTAGATCTGCTCGCGCGTTAGTTAAGACTTTGAAAAAAAAATTCCCGGATGACTTAGGCTGTTACTGGAGGGAAGGGAGGTTTACTGGTTACATACCACGCAGTGCAGCTCGTGAAAGCCTGCCAATACATACACCCCCTTCTCCGCGTCGTCGGGAAAGTCTTCGGCGGCAGGGAGGCCAGCCCGTGCCGCCTCGCGGTGCGGAATGGCAATGAACCCGTTGGTGGTGAAGCTGCTCCATGCAATGTCGGATATGGATTGGTTCACGTTGCTGTATTCCGTGTAGGTGTGGAACTGTTTCCACGATTTGCCTCGTGAGTATATACCGGCTTTCCGGTCGTTAGTGTGCGTTTTGGGGAAGCGTGTCGAAGGTCAATAACTCACTGAAGCCATGGTCGTCGGCTGCGAGCTGCAGCCACCGGATTTGCGCGTATAGAGAGATGTTGCAGGCGACAAGCAGTAGGGAGAGGAGAATCAGTGGTGTGGGTTGGAGAAAGAATGGGCGACGTCGTAAGGACTCCATGGAGTGCTGGTTCTCCGGCTTGTGGTCGGCGGTGGAGGTCCTTTCAAAAATTGAATCTGATATTAACATCGCTTCAGGGGTTCAGGGGGGATGTTGCAATAGCCGTTCGGCAGATGGTTCCGACTCTCTCGGAACTAAGAATCCATTGCATAGCTTTAGCTGAGATAAATCCTTTTGCTTTCCTTATTAAACCCTCCGTTTTAAACCTACAATACACGCAATTCGCTGCTTACTTATAATGCTATTATAATACCGGTCAATAATCAGGATTTTCCTACAATTCGTACATGGAGCTAGCTAGGGGGTGCACTTTATACAGTGATGACAAGTGCTTCGCCGCATACCAACATTGTTACATTGCCGTACCTCTCAAAATACTACTCTTTTCGGATGCTGACATCTACCTAACCTAGGACTTTGCGTTGGCCCTAATAACATCCCCCAACGTCAGCCTCTGGGGGGTTTACATTGGAAAGTAATACCGGGCATACCCCCTCCACCTCTATAGGTAGTTCAGCCCCGAAATTTGTATAAGGCATTTATGATGGGATCACATAATGTATAGCGTAAGTGAACACCGCCAGCCAGATTGTGAGGTATGAAGGACCTACCTATAGATGGTCCTATATTACAGGACGAGGCTGCACCCATCCACAAGTCCACATGAACAAGAAACTCACCAACGCAAACTTCAAGTCTACTCTATCAACTGTCTTCTAACCTACAAGGAATCATGAACTACTTTCTCGTCACCCTCGCTAGTCTTGGCATGGTCAGTCAAGTCGTGGCTCTGCCGCGTGCAGGTATGTTGATTGTGCGAGTTCAAATTCGTATCCTTCTTTGCTGATGAGAATCTAGGAGCAACTGGTATCGCTCCCGTCGGCGAAGCCCTCAAGCGCAGTGAGGATTCTGTCGATGGTACCCAAATCGCTGAGGGCTGGAAACGCAATGAGGAAGCCGTCGACGGTACCCAGATCGCCGAGGGCTGGTAGGCTATCTTCGGCTATGTAGTCGGGGGCGCGTGGATATGATTTCAAGATCAGGATACATCACATACGAGACAGTCGGCGACAATATATTACGAGATTTTCTGTATTTTGACAAACAGGCTTGCAAGCTGTAGAATCTGTGACACATTTTATAGATCGAGAAAGAGAGAGATGTGACTTGTAGAGATTGAGAGCTGTAGACTTTGGGAAGGCCTTCAAACATTCTGCGAAAGGAAGGTACAGTGACTTGAAGGGGGGAAACGGCATGATTGGGGAGAGTTCGGGAAGTGTATGATCTATGTAATTATCCTTTGTGTTGTCTTGGAGCGAATCAAACTTTTATGACTACTATGAATAGCTGATTCTTCCTCTCTGCCTACTACTGTACAGTTTCCGAAACCAATCAAACATTCACACAAGTCCCGATATGCCATCGTCGTTGATCTCGCAGTGATTAAAATGATCAAACAGCGGAATCGGATGGTCACCGTCTGCATAGCACGCCGTATTTTCTCTCACCCACTTCTTCCTGCTGTCCCAGTCAACACATTTCCGCAGCTGCCCATCCCCCGTCTCGTTGCGACCCCAAGTATACAACAAAGTATCCCCCGAGTTACCACACATCACATATTGCAACAAGCTATCGAAACAATGCATGGAGTGCGGCATTGGTACACTGGGAGTCTTACCCGAGACGATTTCGGTGAGGGTCTTGCGGATGATGGTGAGACAGTGGAGCTGATGATATCTAGAGACAAACGTCAACAGCTGCACTGCGTTTATGAGGGGGTGGAGAGACTGACGCATCGATAATGTAGACACCTTTGGAAGAATCCGAAGGAAGGCCCATGCTGGCCGGGAGATTGTGCTCCGCAGCCCACGTATGGTTGACAGCTACAAATCCAAACGCTGGCACAATTCGATCCCAGGCCGCATTCACAGCGTCTTCGGCTCCCGGACCTTTGGAGCTATAGACATCGGAGACCCAATGAAATTGTCTCCATCGCTCCTCGTCCGATGTTAGGCCTGTGAGTATGAGCTACTATCTCCCTTGCAGAGCTGACGACACTCACGATAGTCTTGGACTTGTGCCCCTGTCCCCCTTCCAAATGGCTCCAGAGAGTGCTCGAGCGTGACGAATGCACACACGATACAGAGACCTAAAATTGCCAGCTCTCGCCAGAACTTAACCAGGTGTGTGAAGAACGGAGATCCTCGGGCCCTACTTCCAGAAGATGTCTTCTCGCCTGAGTCGTTGTCGTCGCCCAGTATGGTGTACCGAGCTGTTGGGGGTCGTATATTTGGAGGCATGATGCTAGGATAAACCGACACTCGGCACCTGAATAAAGGAGGACTGAAGTCTGCTAAGGAGACAAGCTATGATTCGAGCTCACAGAACACGTCCTTCGACAGTCCTTAGACTATTCGGGTGATAGATGGTCCGGGTGGGTACCAGTACGGGTTCGGGGGTCATCATCACATAGCTCGAAAGACTAGTCCTCGGATATATTTGTTCATCTACCGGAAATCCTAGCGCTGATGGCGCTGCCTTGGCTGTGTAGTAATTCGGCCAACAGCCCAGATCAACGGGTGCACCCTTATAAGAGGGCTGAGGAGATATGTAGTCACATCCCTGCAGCGGCACGACACGATCTTATCTGCTGCACGGCCTAAGGTATTAGCTCGATTGACCTGCATAGTGCAATGGTAAGCGCGGAGGGCTTCCCGAAAATACAATACACAGGGGCTAAAAGTCATGCACATCAGATTCACCGGGCAGGGTATTTCACGAACGTCCATAGGGACCTCTTACATGTACTTCCCTCCCAGGACTCCTTTATTCTTCTGGTTAAAGGAACGGCAGTGCTGTACTAATACTCATCCGGGATTTTTGTAAAGCAACGAAGCACTAATCAATAGCAACAAACATGCCCAGAGATAAATGCTTCATGGAAAGCTCTGCTGGGAGGCTAAGTACTGGAGATGGATACTTTCCTGATGGCTGATATGGCCGTCAGCGGTACAATCGTAGCCATATATACATCACACTCCACTTGGAGAATTGTTATGGTTGTTTCGCTGATAGCTCAACTATATACACTCCCCCATAACAGCTGCAATCAGCGTCTTAGCCCTGTGCAAATTCGTAATACCTGCGTCGCCATATATTCCCTCCACCAACCTCACACCGATGGCTGCAGTTGATAGCTGTAATGCAGCTCAATATGCCCCAAAATGTGGCTCTTAGTGATCCTTCACCAATCCTGCTAGAACCGTTGGAGCCATGCTGACCCAAACCCAAGGTCAGCATTTAATATTACCACCAAGCATTTCTCTACTCGGCAATATGCCGAATCATCGAGATGCTAAATCCTGGGCCGGTAAAAAGTCCTACATATTTACATAAAATGCAATGCTCCCTCTACCAACATATCTCCTATCTTTACTAGCCAGTCTTATTGCTATATATAGCCCCATCTCCGTATTCAACCCGTAATTGATTTGGTATGTGGTACTGCCGGTCAAAGGACTTGTGTAACAGACTGTAGGTAGGTAGGAGGACATGGTGTTGATAGGAGCGAGAAAAATCCAACAGGAAGCATGTTGCAGGTGCCTGAGGCACCATAGGCTCCACTAGAGCCATATGGCCCATATGGCCATATATTGGCACTCCGCCATAGTAGTCAGGAATAAACTAACCTTTCCTTCTTCCTTCTTCCTTCTTCTTACTTGCACTTGTGCTGCAACAAAGCACCAAGGTTAAGTACGTAAGCCACAGCTATGCAGGACTCTGGAAATGGCAACTTTTCAAGTAGACTTGTACCTTCATCTGACTCTGCCTAATGGACAGCAGGGCCAACACTACACAGTATTGCAGCACTTGCCATAGCTCTCTGATTCCGATCCTTGTCGATTTGCACCATCTACAACATACAACGTCAGGAGCCATGAAGAGCCCGCCCAGCTACGAATTTCTGAGCGAAGATGCCGACGACGAGAAACTACTGTCTCGTGATAATTGCATTCCGGAGCCCACTGCACGAGACCAAGCCGTTAGCTGGCCATGCGTTCTTGCTGGAATCTTCATCGGTATCCTCTTTAGCCTGCTTGCTTTCGGCACCGTTGCATTTGCTCAGCCCAGGAACAAGTGCACACAAAAGATGAGTGCCTGGTCTCCGGCGCTCGAGATCTTCAACGACGACGACTTGGAGATCCGGCGCTTCGATGGGACGCTGAGGGGCCCCCACGAGTTCAGCGCGCTGCCGAGTGACGAGATCGACGAGAAGTGGGAGAAGATCACTTTTGCCCAGGGAGGCCTGATGCGATTATCCAGGGATGATGTGCGCAGAATCAACGCTTCCGAGTATGCTGCCGAATATACCGAGGAGATGGGCGGCGGGTACATGGGTGCCTTTGAAATGTTCCATGGACTCCACTGCCTGAACATGTTGCGTCAAGCATCGTATATGGATCACTATCTGCCAAAGAATAAGGAGTGGAGGGACGATCCCGTGACGCTGAGATTTCATCTGGGTGGGTCCCTCAAAGTCGAATGAAGAACTACACTGACATAAGTTGCAGACCACTGCCTAGATATGCTGCGACAAAAGGTAGGGCAGGCCGGGGGACTTATTTACGTAAAATCACTGACATTTCCCTAGCTTATGTGCGAGCCTGATCTCGGTATAGTGACCTATGCTTGGAAGAAGGGCTTCAAACAAGTATTCCCCGACTTCAACGTGTATGTCCTCTCATGCTGACTTCGCTTGTACTCACTGACACTTGCTATGAGCAGAATTCACAAGTGCCGACCGTACTCAAAAGTACTCGACTGGGCTGAGAAGCACAATGTCCATAGTCTTAATGTCTCGGACCTTGTACGTGCCCCAGGAGCTCTTGAGCAAGAAGGAAGCCATTGAAAGAGTAATAGCCTCGATAGATATATAGCGGGCACAGTGACGTTTTTTATAGCCGGTTAAATCTCATTGCAAATTATGTTTATGTCACATAAGCTGGAGATCAGCCATCAGTCCCAAGAAAATAAGATCAAAGAATGTAAAAGCTCTACCCAAGTGTCTCTAAAGATACTTGGATCAAGTAGTCATATTTATACAGGGCTAAGCTATTAGGAGAGCCTGAGAGTGGTCAATCAGGGCAGTACATATTGCGACAGTTTACATATTAAAAGAAATATAATAAAGAAAATAGACGAAAAAAGTCCGACATACCATCCGGAACGGCACGAGTAAATGATCCGGATCCCCAACAGTTCTGTATCAAAGAAAGCGGTTGTCCGGCCCCATTGTAAAACGGCGGGCGGGCGCTTACAATACGGGAGGCGGCCGGGGCATATAAAGCCCGGAAGGGTAAGTGGGCTCGGGCACCGCCACGATGAGTCAGCAGACGCGGTCGTGCCGCATGTTTGATATTACTTCTGCTTTTGTTCTTGGTGGTAGGGTCACACAAGGTCGGGGTTGGTCATCGCCGAAAAGGAGGCCGCGGATGCGGCGTAGCCGTCTCGACACATGATGGTTATGTTGATAGGGGTATGACTTGGTTTGGAGGTATGGCTGATTGTGGTGATGGGTCAAGACTGTTTAGGTATATGATGATATTCTATACCAAAAAACTCCATCTACAAGCGGTGACGCAGTTCGAACAAGGGACTATGCAGAAAAAAAACCGACATGATAGTCAGAAGTGTCGTCTTAGTGTGAGGCTTGGCATCAGACTTTCCGGGGTCTTCTTGCTACGCCTCAGGCGCCCTTTTCTACATATAGCTCCAAGTATGGGCTAGTATGCCGATGTCACGGCGTAACTGAATTGCGAATGCAAGAATTTCGGTTGCCTCATGAGGTTCTGGCACACCAATGTTGCATTTGACGACTGCAGAGAGAGCTTCTCCGATTCGCATTCTTTTCACATGTTAAACAGGTTTCATACCCTACGCACCTACACAGAGTGTGCAGCCATCTATACAAATTGACCCCGTACTTCGACGCGTTCAACTACACATAAGTTCGCTAGAATAACGTCAATTGAAAGGTCATTAGACCCTACCAAGATGCAAGTTGCAGGTTATTGGAATGTACCGCCCACATCCCATCACACGCCTTGCGAAAACTGATTGGATCTAGAATGCGTGCCCGAGCAAAAGCATACAAGTTGACGCGTCCCGCATCGATGGAGACGTACTACTTACTCGCTTCACTTACCTATGAAAGTACATAGCAATGGTTTTCATAATAACCTTGGAAGTAAGCGAACATTCCCAACCGGCCGGGTGAGCCACGCTTAAAAGGTCCCGGTTGGAGTCGGTAATAATACCCGAGCACCTAGCAGCGAACGGGGCCCCGATGGCGCTATCTACCTACATACCTAGGCCACCTTAACTATTACCTACCTGGTTATAACTACACGGGGGCTACATAACTGGTTCTTAACTTCTAATATTGATCCAACCCCTGGAGGTTAATTCGCTTCCCTCTTTTTCAACCACCTAAACCTACCTCAGGTTAGCAAATCGAGCTGAATGGATCTTCGCCTCGGATTGCCGTTTAGTTAGGGAATACCTAGGTAACAATGATTAACTGGGACCTTTTAGTCAGCTACGACACTATATAATATAACTACTTCAACGCCGGATGACTGGATTTTCCCCCTCTCCTTACACAGGTAGGTAGTATTGAGCCTACTATGTAGCTGCTGCATCGTGGGATCAAATTCAAGGGTGGGCGAAAGCGGCATGCAAGTCATCCAATTCGCAAAGAGCCATGAGCCAACATCCACGCCCTGTTTTCAGGTCCCAGTTTCCAGGGAAAGGGAATGCGAAGTTAATACTAGATAATGACAGCGTGTTAAAGTTATTTTTGTCTTCACTCAAAGGTTCAAGGCTAGTCATAACCCTGGTCTCTTTTTCCCTAAGAAGGCTTTGCAAGTATATGAATACCTAACCTAGGTAGGTAGCATTCCTTGTTTGCCTCAGTTTCTTCATGACGATATATGTACAACTTATCATTTTAGCAAATCGCAATTCCATTGTCATAATAAACTGGGAATAAAGAGTTATTCTTGAGTTAGAAACTTTCCTACCATTTTTGGAATCCTGTTCAAAACGTGTCAGTCACATTGACGTCCAAATTCACAACTTCACGCCATCTCACTTACTCTGCAGAAAAGTTAAGAAAGCTTCGCGACATATTCTGTCGCAATGAAGATATATTCACAGGGGCCTTCGCTAGGTAGGTACCTATACGAATATGCGTCCAATACCGTGGTTATATGCAAGAACAAGGACTCCAAGATCGCTATCCTATGCGCTGTCATTCAACCCGGTATGCCAACCCCTGAACTACCTGTGGTAGTTTGAAATATTTTCAATGTATTTTAATTGGAGTCCTCAACTCCATTCTCGTCACTGTCTACATCCCCGTCCTCAGACCCACCCTCGCCTCCGCTCTCGTCTCCACTTCCCTCCGCATCATCTTCCTCTGGGTCTTCCTCCGGCCAGGGATCCTTTCCCGTCACTATGCGCTTCGCCATGGTGAACATTCTGGGGATGGTGTCCTCATCAATGATGGTCAATTCCTTAAATCGTTCCAACAAAGCCGACCGAAGGCCGGGAAGGGCATCCTCGCGTCCACTCTCGTAGTCTGAAAGCTCGACGAGCGCGACAGTGACAATCTTCATCGACATCCTCTGCCATTCTGTGCCGCCAACCGCGTGGGCCCAGATGAACCAAGAGCCATGGCGGAGGACGGAGTCCTCGAACATTGTCGTCCGTTCGAAGACCGCGGGGTCCGAGTCGATAAACCCCGCCATGGATTCTAAGAACCCTAATGACAAGGCAGTGACTAGGTAGAGTAGCATTACCACCTCCTCAAGTGGTAAGCTCTGGATGTGCTCGCGCTGATAGGGTCGCGCGGAATAGTTGGTGTAAGGATCCTTCTCTCGGAATCCCCACGCGACTGCCAAAGTTAGCGATGATTTTGAACCGCGAAAGTGAGGGTATACGCAAGGAGGCATAAGTGAACAGTTACATACGGTCTGGAATCTCCCAGTATCTTCGGTTAAGATTTAAATACCAGTGTTTCTCCTTCGGTTTGCAGGGCGCGTTCGCTGCGATGTCAGCGATGTGATCGCATTGCGCCAAAGCTCTCTTTAGGAGACCGGACAGGCGTATCTGGCTTTCATCGTCGAGATCTCCCAACATTGCCGGCGATCGGATATTGATGTATACAGGCGCTTTCGTGAGGATATCCTCGACAGCAGATTCCCGTCGCTCCAGCTCCTTCATCATCTCAAAGCTTCCATGGCGCAGGGGACGACGCAGGCAGAGCTCTGAGGAGAGGACATTGCCGACCGGAGGATACAAGAAACTCTTCATGCGAGTAAGCACCACGGATCGCTCGTACGCTCGAATAACCGAGCTTATGTGCTGTAGATAATATGAATCAGTTTACCTACTCTAATGCGAGAGAATGGAGTACTTGGGCCTCTGTAATGGTTCTTACCTTGCAAGTTCCGGCCAACTTCAGCGCCGACTTGACGTCTAGCTGTTCGGCGATAGCCAAGACTAAGTCGCCTGGCAAAGCATCCATCTTTGCAATAGATGATCGAAGGATAGAGGTAAGGTAAATGGGAATAAGTGAGGTTAGGTGACGCGACGATACACTAGAAGGGTTGAGGATGGTAAACTTTGATGAATACTTGGATGCGTGTATGTAGATATTTATTTTTGACGGGATGGGGATCAAAAATCAAAAATGTGTGACGGAAAGGATGCAAAATATTGCTGTAGAGAAGTACCTCAGGTGAGTATATATACCTCTCATACCATACCAAAATCGATGCGAAACGATAGTAGGGCTAATACTATTATCACGGTCGCAAGTAGTTATAGCGATCTTTGTGTGGGTGAATAGAGGTGATTTAAGCAACCTTGGAAGTAGATTTGGACTTGCGATTGCTACACCGTGCACCTTGATGGCAAGCTATTCTTATAATCGGATGACGCAAGAGCCATCAAGGTCAACGCTACTGTTACTCACTCAGTTGTGACTACCATTGTCCTTCATTCACCGTGTGAGTAGGCTCAATTTGAGCAGCTTGGAAAGGGTCGAACGCACAAGCTCCTGATTGGTCATATGAAATGCAGCTATCGCCAGTTGCCAAGCCGTCGTTCAAGTGTCAGCCGCCATAGCTACAGCTCTCGACAATGGAAAAAGACAGTGCCATTCAGCCATTTCAGCGAATGGATTTGAATAAGCCCAACTCGAAAGTCCTAAGTAAGTAAACTATATTCTATTTTAACGCTGTCCTCAACAGGGGAAGATTCACACAACCTGCGACCGACTGGAGTTTATAGTTTGAATCGGCCTTAGTTGCTCGCCTGGCCATTAAAGTTGTTGCGTGAGCCATCCAGGTACAACACGTTACCTACTTACCTAGTATTGTACATGAGCACTTGAGGGCACTAGGTGTCTAGGCCTACATATGTAGTAATCATGGACCGTTTAGGGTTCGAGTATTTTGTGCTTAACTCGTCAAGGCTCGGGAATATCAGAGGTGATTGATGCGTACTGGCAACTGATTTCTTAACATTGAAAGGTGGCGGCAAGCATTGAGTCAAGTCGCGCAGTCGCGAAGTAAAGGCAGGTTAGAGGTAGGAAGGTCAACTTGAATCCGTCCAGCGTAATACAACATTGGAATTATTCGACTGCGCGTAACCGTGGCCTACTTTATTAATTGTATATGTCTCGTGGTATATTGAGGTCACACAGGTATTCCATGGCATCGGGAACTAATGCATGCCATGCAGGATGCCGAAAAGAGAAATGGAATTGGAGAGTCGAGATAGGTAATCTAAAAAGGAGTTGACAAGTCTGAGATTTGATTGATGCATTTAATATATATGAAAGAGTGTGGTTGTAGAAGAAGGGGGCAGTGTATCTAGGGAGGTGCTGTAGGTGAGTGTTTAATAGGAGAAGAAAAGGGAAGGGAAGGAGAGGAAAGCAAGGGGGGAAAAGATAAAAACACTTTTACCCCGGATTTGCATTATCGCGACGATGTGCCGGATGATGGCTTGGAAGTTGGAAGCCATGAACCAAGACCGAACCCCCCTTTCCCCTTGCAGATGAGATCTATTCTACCTACCTTGGGTAAGTTAGGCCTAAAACTGAAGCTATTTAAAGGACATTTCGATGCTTCTAAACCATATTGGGTAACTATCTTTTATCATTTTATCTTATTCTTGTCTTGTGGCAGTACACTAGCTAGGGGATTAGGTAGGGCCTGGCAGGCATGTATGTAATACAGTAAACCTTGGCCATAACGATTCGGTAGACAACGATATTTTTATATAACGATATAATTTTGGGAACATTGCAATTTTGTATGGGAAATAACGATATTTTAACCTTAGCGATATATCGTTAATTTTTTAACCGCCACCACCAAAATCGTTATAGACCATATGTAAAAAACCGTTTATTTTGATAAAATTTTGGTGGAATAAGTGGAATTTTGCGTTTGGTAGCTAATTAAACTGCCCTTTTTTCAGGTAAATCTAATTATCGCCATGATATTTAATCGCCGAAAAATTGGCTTACTGCATAATATCTATTGTACAATATTTTTCATAAAATAATAAATACCTTTTCCAATAAAATGGCAGTAAAGATATAACGGCATTATACGGACTATGACAGTAGGTCCATTTCTACATAACGATATCTCTTTATAACGAATTAAGGGTAGTGTTTTTTCCATATCGTTATGGCCAAGGTTTACTGTATGTAGAATTCGCATGGAAGTGGCGGGCCTAGACTTGCAACTTCAATGTTGGAAATCCAACTGCCAAGAAATAACTTGCCCGCTAGCCTGTTTAGTTCCAAGATTTTTAAACTCTAAACCGTAACCCCGAAAGTACTACTACGATTGGAGTAAGTATCTTCCGTCATTCCTTAAACTATCGCTGCCACCATCACCAGTTCAACTTTCCATCTTTCAACAAAGCCTCTTTCTACTTTTTCAATTTCAACTGGTTTATTCAATTGACCATTTCCATTGGTACATTGATTCCCAACTTCTTTCCTTTTCTTTCTTTTGGCTCTCAATCCCGTATTTTGATCATCTCTCGTCTTATCTTTGATTCCTCAATTCTGTTCGTCTATGTGTACTTACTTATGTAATTGAGCTCGTACCGTGTATGCGCCGCAAGTGAGGGTCGCATTTAGCCGCTTCAATTTTGAAAATATCGTCAGTCTCCAGTCTTTGCCAGATCACCATTTCCCGCTTTACCAATCCTCGAACCATCCCCTGGCCTTTTTAAAGCTTCAGGCTTGTTTCGACCATTCTTTCTATCTTCCTTTTTCTCAACCATCCCTTTTCCATCCCGGTCGATACCTCCTTATCAACCATCGATCACAACATTTCGATCCGACCGTTGCCGATTTGCCGATATATCCTCCTCCAAGCGATACCAAGGCATGTTTGCGCCGGCCGCTCGTTAGACGCTCGTATACAATTTTCAAAGAACACAATAAACATATTTTGAAGACATTTGGACCCGCCATCCAATTACAGTCGGAATTACCTCATCATATGCGTAAAATTCTTTAGACGAGACAGCCCCTGGTTCCACTCTATCCATATAGATAGTCTCGTGCTTTATACATTCACCATGCCTTCACCTAGGCGAGTACGTCTCTTGATGATGGTGATTCTGGCCGCCGTCATTACCACCTTATTCTTCACATCTCAAATGCGATCTACAATACCTCACGATGACCGGACAATGCGAGACTTCTTTGGTAAGACCATGAATGGGTTGGGTCACCCGCAAGGAAACGGGCAGGTTGTAATGAGCGGTAAAGGTACCAGTGTTGACTCAACAGTAAAAGATAAGGATGGGGATGGCTCTGTGGATGAGGATGATGAGAAATTAGCTAAGGAGATGGCCGATCGACTACGAGCTGCTGAGCAGATGGCCAAGGATCTAGCCAATGCCAAAGCACCATTAAAACCAGACGCCCCAAGCGAGATTATTGGTGTGGGGAGCTCCGCTGGGGGACAAAAGAAGGATAACGCCAAAGGGGACTCGAAAGGCGCGCAAAATGGGGAAGAAGAGGAGACCGAGGAAGATCACAAGGTAGAAGCGACCCTCAATAGCCTACTCAAAAAGGCGCCAGGTAAGATACGACGTCTCCATAGTTCTATGTATTCTGTTGCTGACACTCACTTAGTCGTTATCTTCTCCAAGACATTTTGCCCCTATTCGAAGAGGGCGAAGGGGATCCTTCTCGAAAAATACTCGATCGATCCTGCTCCCTATGTTGTCGAGCTCGACGAACATCCTTTGGGTAAACAACTACAAGCGAGGCTGGGTATTATGACTGGACGTAAGACGGTGCCCAATATAATCATTAACGGCAAGAGTGTTGGCGGCGGTGACGAAATCGCCGAGCTCGACTCGAGGAAGACACTCATTGACAAGTTCAAGGAGTCCATGGGAGGGAAACGGTTGTCGATGAAGGAACGATTCGTCGGGAGCGCTAAAGAGAAGCAAGAGTAAGACGGAACTTCATGTTACGACATTGGTTTCTATCCGGCGGAATCAACCAGGAGATATACGAATAGGGAATGTGGTAATATGGACAACCCGCTGTGATATGCATGTATGGTGTTGGGGTTTGTTTCCCTGCTGAAAGCTACCTGGCCAGACACTTAAGTCAGGCACGCTAGAGACGAAGGAGATAGCCCTGAATATTGGGTTGGAATCTCATACCCCAAGACGTCTCTCGGTGTATAATAATATGTCCAAGCACTCACGTGTACGTGTCTGCTAGTGTGCGTGTGCATACGCATTTGGATGGGGGACTAATTATTGGAGGACTTCGCAGTTGACATATGCAAAGCCACCCCCTTTTAATCGAAGCACGTAATATACATGTCAACTGCACTAGTCACAGATCAAAGCGGAAGAAAAAGTGATGACAACTTTACACGCTAAAAATAACTACAACAAATCCTACCTCATAGCAAATTGAATTATTTGACGATACTTGAGACAACGGCCTCATGTATATCGGCAGAACACGACTCGGAAGATATCCATGTCCATGTAAGTCTCAAGTCAAATTTAGCCACAAGCCTCTACCTAATGTCGAGACTAATATAGTAATTAGTGCGATTGGCCCACGATGGCTTCATGTCTCTAAACATGCTTCGCTAATAATTCCGATTCGGTTGTTTATTGTTGGATGTCAGCTTCCTACTGGGTAACCATGACGGTAACTTCTCATAGGTTTCACCCCTTTGTTTTGGGGGGAATTTTCAGGTCGGCGAATACACAGCAGCCAGCAGCCAATGGCCACCATGACAGCTCTTCTCCAACCTGGGGACCTTGCTCCTGTTCACCCTTTGGCATGCTTGAACCGCTGAGACAGAGCCATCCACGACCGACAACCTCACGCTATACCCAGACGCCGGCTTTCAGGAGCCGGTGTACGTGAAAAACTTCATACTGGGCATCGGCGTCTGCAGGAAGAAAAGAAAATGCGGGCGTGCCCAACCTCGGCCAGTTTAGCTCGTGTTTTATGAACGGGCACTCGTGGTGTAAGTGCGGTGCGTTGGCGTTGCTTGAAATGTCTCAACTTGCTTGACGAAGGATGGGCTTTCGTACATGCTTGATGAAAGTGAGAATCCTCGCTGCGTCGCGCCCGGCGCCGTTTAAGGGCATGGCGTGGGTTTGCGATGACCAGGATAACGCCGGGGGTGGCTCATTAGTAGGCCCGGGGATGATGCGGCTTCTACTACCGTCACAACCGCTTCGGCCGCGGAGAGTACGGCGGGAAATGTTGTATCTACTACGGGGAGGTCATCCAGTACGACGCCGTATAGTAGTACCACATTATACTCCACGGCCGGAAGTTCGACTCCGAGTTCGGCATCTATCACTCAGTTCCGTCTAGCACTGTGACTACCAACCCACCGGCGCTGGTTCGGAGGGGTATCGTAGCGATGGTAGAAGGTGGGGGTTTATTTACAAGATTCGCAATGTCCTTACTACGGCTTTAATCATGGATTGTTTCATAGCGACGTCTTTTTTTGAACAGCGCATGGGTCCAAACTAGACATTCGTCGAGACAAGCACATCACTTTATCACAAGACTCACAGCTACTAGAATACCTACCTAAGGTTAATGTAGCCTAGGTACCTACATGGCATATCACGCAAATAGACAGGCACGGTGGTAGAAGAATTATCACCACCTCGGCAGCCATGCCCGTCGATCGAGGTGCAAGATTAATTCATGGACTCAGGATTAGTTGCTGCATCTAGCAACTCATGTACATATGTGTTTCCGAAATCCACCCCATCAAGCAGCCTTATAAACTAAATACGATGACCTTGTTGGTGCACATTTCATCAGCAGCCCTTGCCCAACTCCCACCAGCTCCTTACGCGCGCATTTTGCTACGTTTTGTAGACTTAGGCTTCTCAGCTGCGGCATCCGCAACCGCATCATCCCCATCCGGCTTACAATTATCCCCCGTCCCCGGGCCCCCCTCCAGCTCCTTGCACGTCGTCAGCTGAAACCTATACGACCGCGACTCCCCCTTCTTCCCCGAGATATCGATGCAGCTCGGCGCCCCGATCCCCGAGATCGCAGTGCAGTCCTGCTGGCAGTCGCACGCGTCGCCGGGCGAGTGCACGAGGTACGTGCCCGCGAAGCTCGACCCGTGCGTCTTGATCGACTTGCGCCCCGCCTGGTGCTCCAGGCATCCGGCGTTGCTGCCGCTGACGGAGATCCCGCAGTTTTGAGAGCACGCGGTGTCGTCGCAGAACTGGAACCATTGTTCGGCGGAGACGGGGAGGGGGAGGGGGGCGGAGAGTAGGGCGAGGAGTAAGAGGGTTGGGGTGGTGGGGAGGAGCATCTTCGCTCGGGGGAGTGCTTGATTAACGAATGCTGCGTTTGGATTGAGTACTATCAATACGATACGATATGTTAGCGACGATGCTCGGATGCTGTTCCCTCTCTGTTGTGGGTGGGCACTTACAAGTATGTTCTTAGCAAACCAAGTTTACTCTATGTTGCATGCTACACTTATGATGATAGTCAGGACGGCGATAGTGATGGTAGGGAGGAAAGTTTGCAAAAGTTGCCAGAACGCAGTTCTATCAATTCTTATAGACAGAGTTGTACCTCGTACTCTTCAACTTGTTTGCTGATTGTACATATCTGGCAGGCACCTCGTTCCATCCCTGTGGTAAGTAGACACAATCACAAGGTAACTGCCTCAGTAACCAGCCCAGGTAGGTTACGTAGGTACCTAGATAATGTAGTACTTAGACTGTGCGGCTGTTGGCAGCTGGCGTGAAGCTGCGACAGCGTGACTGGAGATGCAAACACATTTCGAGTCATAGGACTTCATTGGTGATTCATCAAATATTTAACGAAACGATTACATTTTTTGAGGATACTATGTAGCTCCCTCCCACCTTGAGGAGAGCATCGTGGCGGATGGTAGCATACGCGCATCAGATCGAAGCCATATCACGGTTTCCTGCAGATAGATCTCATGCGCCAACACCCGTATACTGACTTGTTTGCCACCGGTCTATAGATACCTAGGTAGGTATTAGGTGAATTAGATCAGATTAGATCAATCGATCACCGATCTCTTCTAACTACCATCTCCTTGGAAGAATAGCATTTGGCTACTAGGCAGGTATCTGAATAGCTCATCGTCGATTTCATAGCAATTAGGTACCTAGCAAGAGGATTCACTCTCTTGTCTTGCGTCAGTTGGACTACAGCCTCAAAGATAGGTCATCGTCTTTTGATATAAAAGAACATTTCTTAACAGCATCTATCTCATCCCTTAAATTCCACCAATGTGTCGAGTATAAAAGATGCGTGTCATATATAACCGCATAAGACTAAGCTTTTAGTGAAAATATTCAATTTTGAAGTCTCATTTGTACCTACCTACCTACCTAATGTACCATCATCAAAGATTAGATGGCAAAGCCTTGGATTCTATAAGTGCTATTAATCAGACATCTAGGTACTGTAGCCTTGAAGATAGCTGAAAGAGTGATCTTGTATAAACATCTTAAACTTGACAAAAAAACCCGTCGAATAACGCCGAGATATTGCTACCTGTATAATCTTGCATAATCCCATACCTGGTGTCGGGTTCGCCATCGAGGCCCCCTTAACCGATTGTTCCCCAGCAGGTCCAGCCCCCCCCCAAAAAACAAAGGAAAAATGTCGTAAAACGATCGTGAGATACCTTAATCCCATCTAGAACTCCCACCCATCCAACAGTTACATACATACGTCGCCGTTTACACCTTTAGGTAAATAGTATACAAAGGTACATGTACATGCCTCAACCAGCCCGGGTATCAAACCTCCCAACCAATCCACCGAAATCCTCTCTTCGTTTTTCCATGTAGGTAGGTAAAAAAAATAAAAAAAAATCGTTGCTAAGCGTAGCTCCGTCCGTTGGGTGCCAGCCCGTCCGCCAGCCAGCCAGCCAGCCAGCCAGCCAGCCAGCCAGCCAGCCAGCCAGCCAGCCAACCATATCCATATCCATCTCTCTCTATCTCTCTCTTTCCACCCCCAGCTAATTGCTCGAGCACGTCGACCTCTTCTCATGGACGTCCTCCTCCTGCACGGGGGCGCAGAACTGCGTCAGCTTGTAGCGGGGGCAGACGAAGTGGAAGGCGATGGAGCCGACGATGTGGCGCTCGAGGCGCGCCTCGTAGATGCCCTTGCCCTTGGTGACGGCGCGCATGCGGTGCACGGCGGCCTGGGCCTCGGCGATGGTGTCCTTCAGCACGGCGCGCACGTCCTTGCCGTCGTAGAAGGACTTCTGGCTCACGTAGTTGTTCGTCTCGCCGGCTTTTTCTTCTTTGTAGAAGCTGTTGGTGGGGGGGGAAAGGTTAGCACTGGCATAGCTGTCTTTGGAGAGGGGAAGAGGAGGAGGGGGAGGGGAGGGGGGTGGTGGTGATGGTGGGGGTGGTGGTACTTACGACAAGATATCATTCGTGAGCGCAATGTACATGCTCATATCCGGGACCGCCTCGAGGAAGCGCGAGATGTCGGGGCACTCGCTCTTGCAGAAGGTGAAGTAGGCGTAGGTGTCGCCGATGCCGTCCTTGTTGCGGAGGTACCAGGGCCAGCTGTTGCCGCCCTTGGACGGCTTCATGCTCTTGAACTCGGAGCGCGCTTCCAGGACGCACGCGTTGAGGAAGTCGAGGGAGGCGGTGGCGATGAAGTTGGCGACGACGACGTCGTAGTGGTCGTACGCGCCCCGGATGATGCCCGCCCACGCCTCGAGCAGGATCGTCGGCTGGGCTTGCCCCGTGATGTAGCGTTCGTGGAAGCGTTCGAAGTCCGGGAGGCACTGCTCGGTGACGTCGTCGATGGTGGCGCAGAGCCAGGCGTAGATTCCGACGTAGACTTGGACTTCAAGTGGATGGTTGGGAAGGCAAACCTAGTAGTCTCTCTGTTAGCTTGTGTTTGGGTGATGATGCCATGTGGTAGGTGGCAGGTACTCACAACTGCGTAGCAACCTCCTACTTGGAGGCACTTTAAGGCGTGTGAACCTTCGGGGTGAGGAACACCTATATCAGCTGCTCGTCGATATAAAGCTTCCCAGAATTTATCGTTGTGGAGGAGTTCCTGGTCGGTCATGGGTTCTACTTCATAGCCTAGGTCGGTGATGAAGGATGTGATCAGGGGGCGGATGAAGGTCTCCAGGTCATCCGTCTTTCCGGACTTCCGACCTGAGCGGCGTCCGAGCCGGCGCGGCCGCCAGCTTTTAATCATCTTCAGACAACTTATGAGTTGGGACATGATGAAGGTCCTTTACGGAGGCTTAGAATGTGTTGGTGTGTAAGCACGACAAGCTTGATGATGAATCGACTTGGGGTTCAGAATATCGATATATTTCTTGGACGAACCTACGACTATATACATGAACCCAAAGAGCGGGGGGGCCATCGTAGCTCAACAACTTTCGTAGGTAGATAGGTAGATGAACTTTTTGACTCAGCATGTGAAAAGCTTCGTCGAACCACTCTCAGAATAGACGACGATTGGCTACCAGTCTAGGGGATTCAGAGCAGGGCTATACTTACCAATTGAGCACGAAATTTGGGTCACAGCCACTTGGTGACGGCTTCGCATTCACACGCATTGAGATATCACATGCCGTGGATCACCAATGAGTGGTTCCATCGTGGACCCAATTAGGCCTCCAAGATAAAAGAAGAGGGATATAAAGCAAATGTATGTACGGCAACCAATAACGGGAATGCCCTAAACTGCCTTAGGAGAGGGAAGAAAGGTGATGGCTAACATGAATAGATAGCCCAATTTTCTAGCTCTGGAGTAGTAAGAGAAGGTGAAACGGCCGCTAGTCTTGAGAAGGAGGGTATTTCCTATGTGGAGGGTTAACGGTTGGCTTCAGTTTTAGTGGGATGGCCTACAATATCGTCACGGTAGTTGACGCGTAAAGACCTCAGTAGACGATGCTGAACAGCGACGAGAATGTCATCTGACAGCTCGCTAGGGTGTAGGAGTCTATGATTGGCCTAAGCGGGAACCTATCTCTCCATATTTGCACTTGCCTCACCGACTCCCGAAAAGTTTTCGGGTGTAGAGAGTAAAATAGGTACAGGACACTTAATTCTTTTTTCTCTTTTTTTTTTTTACGAGTTATTATGGTATATGATGAAATCATAAGGAAAGAATGGCGGTCCAGCGGACCCGTGGATCTAGACCCGGATATATGTGTCATGTATAAGTGTGTGACTAAAGGTCCGGTTGGACCAAGATACGGCCCCGACTACCCCAGCTCAGCTGGGTTTGGCACAATGGGAAAGAAAAAAAGAGCATCGTTGAAAGCATTTTGATTCTGTAGAGCAACAGAGTGGATTGGAATTACGCCACGCACCGTAACGGTTGACAAGTGTTATATGCGGGCCGGGCTTGACTGATATCGGGGCAAAATACCTACCTCTCCTTATTAATACGAGACGTCGATTCGATTGTGGCTGACAAGTATGTGCATGTAGGTGCCTAGGTATGCTACCTATGCTATATTTACACATTTCCTAAAACAACAATGGCTAAATGGAGATATACACTCAGCTCAGTGCTGCTGTAGATTATGCAATGCAAGTACGGGGATGATGGTCCCCGACTGGCAACTAATGCTGTCATCCATGGATGTATAGGTCCCTCTCCCGCATCGTGGGGATTTTCAAAATTCTTCAACAAAACCCTCAAAATCCCATCCATCCATCCATCCATCCATCCATCCATCACTTTGCAGAGCGAAACCGATAGATAGCTAGGTTAGTGTAGTCGATATCCACTCAGCACAGAAGCGCCCGCGCTCTCCAACTAGGAGTGAACGCTTGTCACCAGACCTCAAAAATGTGACAGAATTTCAGATTTACGCCCGTCTCTTTTGCGAAAACTTGTGATGTGCACAACTAAAGACTTGTTTCTTCCGACTTCCTAACTGATAACGCTCGTCCATATGGGCAGGATTCTTCTCAGCGAGCGGGGTGTTTTGTGATTACATCGTGCATACCTTACCTACCTAGGTAGGTTACTTACTTGGTATGGATGTCTCCATCCATCACTGCCCTATGCCCCATGTAAACGACCGGGGGAATGTGCACAAGTAGCATAGCCTACGGCATCAAGGCCGAGAAATTCTTCAGCTACAAACCTCTACAGTTGTCTTATTAGCTATCAAAACTCCTCTGTAATATGTAGCAACTTCCAATCACTTGCTTGGTATGTATATCCATCGCAGGCTGCTTTTCTAGAACTATGGAGAAGAGAGGGCGCGGTTACGACGGCGGCTCCGTAAGATTCGCGAACCAAATTTAAGCATAGTTAACTAGCTAACGTGCGGGCGTGAATAGTAACGTTCACATTCGGCAATATCTTTCGCCGCGGTGGGATGGCCAGTGCCAGAGGAGGAGGTCGTATCCCACCGGTTATTGCCTCGGACAGGACAGAGAGGGGTGTGATGATTTGCCTCATAACACGTGCACATATGACTCTAAAACATGATCTACGTCGGCTTTCGATCCTCATTTAGTGTATTGTACAACTCTAGCACGCGGCTATCACTGGGACGAGCAAAGGCGATCACCACCGTTTACCCAGGACAGGAACAAAAACTGCACAGCAGGAGTAAAGCCCACCAATGAGGGCGAGGACCCTGTAAGCCCCATGACGTCTAGCTATACGTGCCTAACCTCTAAGACCCGAAAAGGCCGCGGAGCCCAAGCAAGCCAATACCAACAGCTTGGGTTCCACTGTGCAACAGACCCCAGGGTTCATCGTTAGCCCAGGCGGTTAAGCAAAACCGCAAAAAGAGTCACAGAAGGTCGAAGAAACAATCCTACGAGAGATCGGTGCCTGCGTCATTGGTAACATTCCAGCACCTATCACCCTTTCTTTACACACCGTACCCAGTAGATATGTATAGTGTATGCACATACATACATATATAATATGCCCGAGCTGCCGAGTTCACGAAGCGTGGGCAAGGGTTTGTGGTGGAGGCTTCAGGGGTGCGTAGCCGAAGCCCCACCGGCACACCGACCTGGGCCAATCTGGAATTGCTGCCCATCGTGGGATTTGCAGTAAGAAACTCGGTGTAAAAGAACTTTCCTTCGCCATAGTTGATTTTAGTTTGTGTGTTTGCGTGCTTAATAGGTGTTGTATTATCAAGCTAAATGGGAATTTATTTACGGTTGACGCCCAAGTGGCACCCAGTCCGAGTCCAAAATCCCCATCGACTTTACCTACATGAGGTTGTTGAGCGCGTACTATACCATAGGGCTGATATAGTTATGGTGATGTAGCTAGCAATGGATATCTTTCCCTTGAAGCGACTCTGTTACTGCGGTGTGCCGAAGGTATGGTATATTACTTGACTGATATAGATAACTAAGTCGACAAGGAATCAAACCGCTCGATTTATGAATGTATAATCATGTGGTGAGATTTTGTACATACATGAACCTTAGCAGCAGAGGTTTATACTGCATGCGAACGCCCATAGCAGAATCATGACGCATCATATCTGCGAAGGAAGAGCTCTCTGTACCAACGAGAAGAATAAGACGAAGAATAAATTGTCCGATTGGTCATTCTGATATATCACCCCCTGTCCATCCAAAAGGGCAAATTGAGTGCTGAGAGGTAGGTAATTATGCGAGATAGGTATCAAAAAAGAATCAAGCTGACTACAAATCCAGAAAAACCGTTGAAAACATCCACACCGTGATAGTTATCTATATCCATGTCGTATAGATGTCCTCAATCGGACATGGCGTCGCGGTCACATACCCTTTAAGATCCACGTTCGGCTAGGGCTTCCTCAATGCATTTATCTACCTAGCAGCCTACCTAGTAGCCTAGGTGCATATGTAGGTCAGCAGGTAGCTCCACCATGCACCTCTTACCGTCTAAGTGTTTTTTTCTTTCTTTTCGCTATCGCGTCCTCCTTCCTTCATCGCCCGTAACCAGAAGAAAGAAAAACCAGGTTGAAGGCTGAGTGTCAATATGCCCAATGGGGAGAAGACACAACACGTGGGAGGATGAGGCATTACAGTAGTTGCAAAGGAATCGCCGACCATGCTCTTCTACCAGGCCGACTCACTATACAAATCCACTCCCATGGCCATGGATCATGGAATCTTTTTATTTATTCTAGTGGACTTCTAGTATTTTGGAAGATACTGTTACTTCGTGGTGACTGTATCGAGAGAGAGACCCATACAATATACATATGCAGTGTATATTAGGGCCCGTCCCGAGGCCAGGGTCCTGGGTACTCAGGGGTTTCAGTTCAGGGGGCTAAATTCGGCATCGTGGTTTTTTTTTCTTTTTTCTTCAGCGATTACTAATTGACTCAGGTTTAACAGAACCTCACTCAACCTCACCTTGTGCTACATGTGTCGGCACTTCAGAGTAGCTAGCCTTGGAAGCGTTGCCCATGCGTATTTCTGCCCAAAAAAAATTGGCAATATTTCAGATATTCGGATCGGTAAAAGTGAAGTGCTCCGGGATCGGAAGTGCTGTGCAAAATATTAGGAGAAGTTTCTAACCATGCTCTTTGGTCTGTGTCTTCAGTAACACGACACGTCTTCGTCTATCACATGCATTTTTCAACCCTCTTTTTCAATATATTACTTACCTAACTCGTGTACCAAGAGCATGATGGAAGGCCTAGTATAATACATGGGGAGTGCCCTTTCATCTAACCTACCCAGGTAAAGCATCCAACAAGTGACGCCTACCTACCTTAAAACTTGACATGTGCGTTTCTTTTCTAATAGTATCCTATAGATGTATCATGAACCAAGAATGGTGTCGGATGTATTGGCGTAAATTAAGGAGCAATAACGAAAGGCTAGCCATTCACCCATTAGGGCAGCGGTACAATCCGACAATTCTGCTGATAACATTGAAATCGGCAGTGTCCGTATAGCCCTGGGCACAGAAGACAGATATACGTTATCCAGTCCTCTCATATTATATGTGTCATATACAGAAACAGTGACCGCCCTTTCCCATTATCTTAACAATCCAATTATACATCCAATTATACCTACTTAGGTAGTCATCGTGACCAAGAACAAAGCATCATCATGCGAGGGCAACTCAATGGCACACTGCGAGTTCTCATAGGTGACAGACTCCCATCCGTTACGTCCATCTTTCCCGATCTGTACCTACTTTAGGTAGGCTCCTTCGGTGGCATCATGGGTACTCTAGTGCATTGGGTAGGTTACATTGATCAGCCTACCACTGATCTCATCGTGGTATTCTCCGCTCCGTTCCCGTTCCCGTTCCCGTGCGGCACAGACGATCGATTTTGCGCCGCAGATGCACACTAGGCACTATATTCGCCATTCTCCCGGTGAATCTTGTGTTTAAGGGAATATCGCTCATTACTACCATGATTTCACGGCAAATTAATAAAAAAGAAAAAGGGGGGGTTCGCGTGTGTAAATAGCAGGAGTTATTAGTCTAGTACATAGGTAACTTAGGTGTGCATATAATCCTCAGCATACCTAGGTATTTTTGAAGTCCAACAACGCCAATGTAGCCCCAGATAGGAGGCATCTACCCAGCTAGCTAGCCAGCCAGCAACCAAAATTCAGCAAGATTCCTGAATATTAAGGCTTGTCGGTATCCATGGAGCATCCTAGGTCTCCCAAGTTTCTTAGCAACTTCACCACTTAACCCCTTGACTCCCCCTTCTCCCGTTCCTACCAAAGCAAGACTTACAACCCTCCGGAATACAGCCATCCATCACTTCCTGGGCGAGAGACTCGGGGGAGATTTCCACCTATGTTGGCTCGGTGGTATGGTGCGAACACCACTGCGGGACGGATGGGCAAAGGTGCATGTTTGATATGGCCACTAGCCTTTGGTCCCCCCCAATCCCTTTTCCTTTCCTTTTCCCCCAGCATGTGTCTAGACACAGTAGTATGTCTGTAAAGTGGTGATATTCCTACCTACCTCCCTACTTTCTCAATTAACCCTCCCCCCAAACCTTTCCTCCCCCAGCCCAGCCCAGCCCCCCTCATATCCCAGTCCTACCTCAACAACTCCTGCTCGCGACCAAACGCCGCGGCCTTATACTCGCCCTCCCTCGCCTCTGGGCTATCTATGCCTCTCCACTCGCCCGCGTGTTTCGACAGCGTCAGTTTCCTCGTCATCCCCTTCTCCGCACCCCCAAACGCACCCTTCTCCTCCTCCTCCTCCTCCTTCCCGAGGTCCAGGAGCTCGACGTCGCTGTCGCTGCGCCGGTAGCGCTCGTCGGCGCGGAGCACGGACCACTCCTGCTTGACGCTGATCTTGGCGCTGGAGTTTGGGCCTCGGTGGTGGTTGTTGTTGTTGGTGGTGCCTGACGACGCGGGCTTGAAGCTGCTGTTGGGGTTGTAGGTGGAGCTGTTGGTGGCGTTTTTGGTGGTGCCGAAGACTTTGGGGAGGGCGAGGCTGAAGAGCGAGCGCACGGCCGGCATGCAGGCGCAGATGATGCCGACGGGGACTTCGATGGTCGACCAGTAGCCTGTGTCGACGTAGTCCTCTGTAGAGATATAGGTTTAGTATTTAAGGCGTAAGGGGTAGAAGGGGGGATGAATTATCGCTTACGTGTGACGTTTGTGGTGTTGCCGAATCGGATGAGGGAGTAAAGGCGGATGATACTAACGATGGTGATACTGCGCAACAGGGTTAGTTAACATGTGCTTCTTTAGTTTAAAAGGGGTATTGTGAGAAGAAGCATACAAGAAACCGACAGCAAACATAGCAATGATCTGTACTCTCTTCCTCGTGGAAAGGGACAGTCTAAATAGTTCAGGAAGCGGGAGGGTGATAACGGCGACGTCCAAAGCGATGTTGATAGCTGCTGCAGACCAGCCGAGTATGTTGATGCTGATGCACTTTGCTTCGAATTCGCCATCCCAGGTTAACCACGCGCCGGGTATCGGGTTACATTGGAAGATGAGAAGGAAGTCGTAAGTGATGGCGTAGGCCAAGTTGATGCCGATCAACGTATACGTGCAAATGCGGAACGATCTCTTCGGGAAGACTTTGAGGTAGAAGAAAAGGATCGAAACCTTCGTCAGAGAAATGGCTGTGATGTATAGTAACTCGTCGAAGTAGTACAGCTAAATGATATAAGTAAGAATCTACAACTGCCTAGGTAGGTAGGTACCCTAGCATGTTGGCTTAACATAAAGCTAGGGGGTCAACTCACTTGAAGGGCTTTGGTTATGTTGTCGTGAGGTACAAACCACATGTCCAACCCGAGTCCATTGCGAGAGACTGATTCATTATTAGCACGCCAGTCGTCGCAGATGTCAAAGAGGCAAAATCACTAGGTATGGAGAGAGCGGCAAAGGCAATTTCGAGGCACTATATCAAGAGTCAGAAAGAGGGGAATATACCAAAGTTGATTGAGGCCTGCATACCATAACCACACACATGGCCGAGTCATCGTGACCCCATTCATGAGCACCGTAGATTTTTGCAATGCATCGCAAGATGAAAGCCACCAACCCAAGACCCCCGAAGACGAATGCAAGGATAACAATAAGGGGCAGTCCTATCTTCACCTTCTCCACCACAAGTTTCGACCGAGTACTTCTTCGTGGCTAGAGTCCCTCAAGTTAGTCGAGGTTGTAGACGAAGTGATGCAATGTAACCATGTCAACTTACATAACTGATCACGAACTGAACAGCTTGCCGTTACACATTCCGTAATCTGGGCCAGGAGTACTTCATTGGTGCAGATGCAGGTGGCGTTGGTGAGTGCACAGTTAGCGTTCACGGCCGAAGTGGCGATACATTTCAACTGAAAATATCTTAGCCAACATTCTCCTCGAGCATAAGCTAGCTCTTGACCTCTCTCAGGGGACTTACACCGCAAGGTGGGGGAGCAGCATCAACGGAAGCAGACAACGCTGGTTGCAACACGCTTAAGCAAAGCAACAGCAACGAGAGGAGCTGCATCTTGCCTGGTTGCAAACCGCTTAAGTTACATCAATAATCCAGGGGGGCAAGAAATGAACGACACCACAGAATTATCAAAGACAGCACAAGAGAAGTTGGAGAAGGGAAGGAAACCCCAAACTTCATTTATCAAGAGGGAGGTCTCATACTAGACCAGGTGCTTTTTGATGTTTTATGTATTTTTTACGTAGCAGCGAACGTCAAACCCGGTAAGGTCGAGAAACAGGGCACGGAAAGATTTGCGTCGTGCTGATCCTTAAAGTCGCCTTTTCTTACTCAGCTGCCTAGGCCAGTACCTTGCATTCAGTCGTGGGAAGTCGGGTATTTTACCAATGCGACCCTGAAGACCCAGCCTTGTGGGACGATGACTCCGGCTAGTCTGTCGATATCCCCAAGTTGAGGTGACCAGACCTAAGGGGTGACACCTGAGCTAAGTTGAAAACGGCAATCCAACAGCGACTCCACGGCCCAACCCTAGCAATCTTGATCCTCATCGTAGTGTCTAAGCGGCACGATTCAGCCGTCCCGGCCTACACATTGGGACATTTGCCCCCAGATTCAGAGCCCTCCGCCCACAAGGGACGCATATGTAGGGGACTCGGAGTTTCGGGGGTATTCTGCGAACCTCTCTGTTTGGAGTCGGGCAAAGCTGGGCAAAGCTGTGACAAGACCACTGATGGCTAGGCTTGTTCATATAAGCTTCTACAAGCTTTTGCTATCTACTAGGCAGGTAGGCAGGCATGCATTGATCGCTTAGACACTTTGTTAGTACTGTCCAATGGGACCTCATAGGGTAGAAAAAAGACTCCAGGGCCATCTCTACGGCACAAGAAGATTAATCTTAGCGGATCGTTTCTTTTTCTCTCTGGTAATATCCGTAGATGTACATATTAGTACCATGTATGTCTGGCCAAATATGGCCAAAGTGCAAAAACTCGAGTCGGACCACTGAGCCATTAGAAATGGCATCAAACTTCATGCGGCTCATAAATGGTGCTTGAAGAGTGTCACGTCAGCCTAACGAGAATTGTATCGTTGGGGCTAACTGAACAGCAGGGTGATATACCAGATTGGGTAAATACCACCGTGAGGGTTCCATTTACCATGCGTCTAGTAATTTGCCATGGAGTTGCAATGTACAATTCCCTCTCGAGGCGATCCGGCCTCGGACGGTGTAATATGTGCTTTAGTATAATAAGCAACACTAATGCGAGCTTCTCCGGGAGTTGCGTTACATGATGTGGTTTGACGGTGCATACAATGCAAGGGGATACTCACTTTGTATAAGAGCTGTCCAATCAGAATCGTCCAACCGAAGCGATGATTGGTTTTCCGGTATTCTGGGCATAGTGCTACATTCTAGTGACAATACAACCTTGGAACATACCATATTATAGATTGGTCGAACTTCCCGCTTCGATTCTATGTAGGTTCATTGCGAAATCTTCATCTGAGCAGCATGGCTGTTTCATAATAAGCACCAGGAGAAGAATGCCACGCGGAAGACAGCTTCATCAACCAGTTCAGGCATGGTGCACTCAAATCCACAGACATCTGAGCTAAAATAGGTAGAATCGATGACCTAGAAGATATGAGCGACGTATGGCCGTACTGGGTAAGCTGTTCAGGAATGAATTTGACTTTAAGAATCATATCAAGGCATGTCGACACGGAGCTGTCCTACTTCGAGGTTAACTATTCGAGATTCCCTATAGCTGCTACATTACCAGAGGCTTTAGTTGTTTTGCTGAGTCAAAGGTTGTCTTGGGGATGACGCAGGCAATGAATGATAACTGATTATCAACCATCAATAGGACCAGGATATTTTATCCCATCATTGATCTCGACCAAACTTGTCTATCTAGGGCTGCTGGGGTAATTTGCCGGCTGGGGATGTCAGAAGCTAGACACGTTTAATGTCGCAATGATAGCCACTGTTCCAGGTATTGCTTTCATGAAGGTAGGTCGAAGGATTCAAGGAGTGGATTGCGTTTGTCCTGGATTGTCCCTTAAGGACATCGCCAAGTCTTTTTAACATACACTGTATCCATGGATGTATTGAGTGACCATCTTCATTAACCCAGGATGTACCTAAGGTAGGTTAGAATACTCCATTTGGAGCAACGAGCTTACATATTAACTGCCATATTGGCATGGAAGTGTGAGATCAAGAAGCTTTGCTCCACTTCAGCTCATCTCATAATCTTGTCTGGCGGGCATCTCTCGATGAAGAAGAAAGTGTTGCAACTTTTAAGTGAAGGTAAGTAATATGGTGTGGGGGATGGCGGTACTCAGCTCCGCGGGATTTCCACGCGAATACCAACATATACCGGGATCTGTATGAGATGAGATCCGCTTTCTTCAACCGTCCAATTTTGAAGGAGCTGCCCTCTTATCCTGGAAAGGCTGCAAAATAGAAATCATTTTCAAACAACTTGAATGCCATGGATAGATTGACCTGCCCAGTCTTCTGGGCCTCTTTTGAGCCGGAGCATCTCGCCCTCATCATATGTACAAGAGGCGAAATCGACGAGTACGGGCTCATTATTACCGTCAAGCATGATATTAGCAGGTGATGTTGGGACGTGGATGTCGTCTCGAGATTTCACAAATCCGGATTTCCCCTGACAATTGAAAAGCAAAATATTCCGAGACGGGCGAATCTCCATGTGTTATAAGAACTGGGGGTTCTATATAAGCATTGGGAGGTAAAGGGTCTGGTGTATGGAGGAAGCTGGGCTCGACAGCTGGGTATATGTGCTTAGCTGGTATTCTCAGGATTAGCTTCTCTTTTCCCCTTCAAATACCTTGCTTTGAGGACGGATTCCCATTATCACAGTAAATTGAGTAAATTCAGTAAATTCAGTAAACTCGATAACTATTAAAAAGTGGAAACTTTGAATGCGCTGCGAGCTGGGCTTAGCATTAGCCACTTCTCTACATAGTTAGTAGTGCTTGCCAGGGGCTAAGTGTGGCGTTGAGGTTCAACTAAATAGGCTAACGATAAGCGATAAGAGTATCTATAGTTATACCGCCTGCCTAAAGTTCATTCTTGATCCGCAAAAAAAAGTTCTGCCATTCTAAAAATTTCCTTAGTCCCCTCCAACCCAAATCCTACTATCCGACGAGACACTTCAAGATTCTCAATTCACATAGTCGAGAAAACAAGCAAAATGTTGAGACAAATGTACGCAGTAGCCTACCTAGGTACTTCAATTCTAATGAAATAGAACCCAAAAATACTAATAAAATATTCCCAGAAAACCCCGTAATGCTCGCTCGAAGCGAGCCCTCGAGAAGAAAGCTCCCAAAGTGGTCGAACATCCCAAGACAGCTCTATTTCTGTGTGTTCATCCCCTTTCATAAGAGTCACAAGTCTAGAAGGTCTAATGATGTATCTGTGTCTAGTCGTGGAACCACCTGTTCCCAAATCATACAGGATGCCCTAACCGACCTGTACTCGTTGCGACAACCACTCGCCAAGAAGTTTACGAAGAAGAATGCCATCCATCCCTTTGAGGACCCCGCATCGCTCGAGTTTTTCAGCGAAAAGAATGACACGTCGTTTCTCGTCTTCGGAAGTAGTTCCAAGAAGCGCCCGCACACTCTGACCCTGGCGCGTACATTCGCAACCAAGATCCTCGATATGCTGGAACTACACCTCGACCCAGAGAGCTATCGCCGCATCGCACAGTTTAAGGGCCGCAAATTCGCCGTTGGCCTGCGCCCCATGATGCTCTTCTCCGGCACTGCCTTTGAGAGCCCTGTCGCGAACGAATACACCATGGCCAAAAGCATGCTGATCGACCTATTCAAGGGCGACACGTCGAGCGACAAGATCGACGTTGAGGGTCTGCAGTATATCGTCAGCATTGCGGCAGACGAACCAGTTGGTGATGACGTCAAGCCGGCAATTCACCTGCGCATCTACCTCATCACAACAAAACGCAGTGGCCAGCGACTCCCGCGTGTTGAGGTCGAGGAGATGGGCCCGCGCATGGACTTCCGCGTCGGCCGCATGCAGCAACCCGACGAGGCCATCATGAAGGAAGCCCTGAAGACCCCCAGGGCTGGCTTGGAGAAGACGAAGAAGAACGTGACGACGGATACCATTGGTGACAAGCTTGGCCGCATCCACTTGGGCAGACAGGACCTGAGCGAGTTGCAGACGAGGAAGATGAAGGGACTCAAAAGAAGCCGTGATTTGGATGCGGAAGTGGGAGATGTAACTGCCGACGAGGATACCCTAAAACGTCAGAAGAAGTAGACGAAAACTAGTTTTTCATTGGACGAAATCAGACACATGGGATGGCGTTTAGGTTTGGTATTTTGCTAGGCATTGCTATGTGTACATGTACATTGTCCGACGGAGTTGGGAGTCTTCCCCCTTTTGATGAGATGATATCTACAGACCATCCGGTTTTTGTACTCCTCATCATACAAAATCTACAGTTGCGTTAATAGTACTTCCTACCAAGTTACTACTGCTGCTGCTGCTGTTGTAATTTGAACTCTTGATACAGCCTCCCTACTGCTTTTCGGCCCTCGTTGTCCCCTGCAATCCATTCTTCTGGTCGGAAGAGATCGAACAGGCCGACTCTGTCTAGTAGCGGGAGCGTCGCTCGCATCAAAGCTTCTAGCTGTGTCTTTTTCTCCAGGCCCCCCGTACTGTGCGCTTCGTTGTATGCGCGGATGTTGACGAGCAGAGCGCTGGTACGTTTGATCTTAGTGATGGGGTTCACTCATGTCGCCAATAGCAGAAATCTTAGGGAAGGTAGAGTAGTACAAAACCGCTTCAGGGTGTAGAGAAAGGAAAGAAGGAAATAATAAATAAAGAAAAAGTAAAATAGCTAACCCGACAGTTCCTGTCTGGACTTTACTCCCGTCCGGCAGGGTTATTTGAGGCATCTCAACCCCCAGTGTAGCGGAATTGAGCGCCGCGAGCTTGTCGTCTCTTTCCGCGTTGATGGTGTCCGCCATGACGAATGTTATATATGTGCTATCTTATTATACAGTACATATACTAAAGAGTAGGCAGGTAGGTGGTTACACCGTTACACCGTCTTAAGAGCCGCGGATATGAAGTAGATATTTAAATGAAAATTTCTCATTGAGGATACCTACCTAGCTAGCTAGCTATGACTTACTTGCCTCTCGCCCAACTGTCAGCAACAACTTAGTAACTATTGGTTTGGTGAGCCAGTCAGACAGCCAGCCACCTGTTGTTGGTTGGCCATGGGCTGACTGACACCGCATTGCTGAGTATAACTGGAAGACTGGTAAGGAATCCTCCTATAGATCCCTGCCGACCAACTTCCGAAATACCGAGCCCGAAAGATCGGTGTCGGGTTTGTCGGGATCTCCGAGTTTTCCGGTGTATGCCTTTTTGCATCTTGTAATACAGTAACTACCTCTTAGTTGCTTGACTACGGACTAGATAATGTCGTGATACTTATTAACAATACCGTCAAGCATTTGAGAGCATGATGGGCATGAGGAGTATCGTAGATATGAGGTAGGTAAAAACCCAGATACCCAAGGTTGTAGGTATGGATATTCTGGAATCAACAACTCTTTTATCTATAGCGCGAGGACCTATAACATCGAGTTGATGTTAGGTAAGAATATCTATCTACCGAAGATATAAATGCCCCAAAGGTGTGGAAAAAAGTTGAACCTATGTCGAGCCATGTCTGGATATTACATTTTACATAGTTCGCCGTAGTGGAACTTTGGATAACCTCGCAAGTCTTGTTCCGGACGTGCACATACAACACGGTACCTTGGCTTGCCTTGTTTATTATGTAGGTAGGTCTTAACTATAGTAATGGAGGTATTGCGATTCCTTTGCTGCTTCGTTTTAGGTACCTCAAGATCAGTAACCAAAGATCGTCTCGTCAAAGTTTAGGGAGGGAGTGAGCATGCAGAAAAGTGCGGACAAGTAACTACAGAAATGTGGTTATAGCACACCGTATGAATTTGCGAGGTTGGTTTTGATGAGTATTCGTACATTATCGCCGCCATTTGATAAATACCATGGTTTATGCAAATGTTAAATGTGAGTCTAATGTTCTGTGGATGAATGTTGGTGATAACTAACTATAAACATTGAATGTTTACATAATGCTCCTTTATGTAAGCTGAGTAATAAACGTTGCACATGAGGCCTGATAGCTGCATATGTACTGCATATCATCGTCATATTAAGCCATTGTGAAGGGTTTCCAATTAACGGTGCAACTCATTTCTAAATGTGGAACTATAATCATATCACTTCCCAAAGTTGCACGTCACGTCACGTCATACCGGCCCGTGCTTTAGTGGCAATTAAACAATCCCATCTCTAACCGATCAGAATTTGGATTCTAATCGATAAAACCACCTGCCCAGGGTACCCTGGTGTGTGCCTAGGGTAGGGTAGCAGTGATGTAAAACTGCAAAACGTTTTGCTGCGATAAAATAAAATTGATAACGCGCATGAAAGCAGGACGCGAATCTGAAAACTGCACTGACACCACTGACACTTGTAAAACCGTGGTGAAATGCCTAGCGAGTTTCTGTCTTGCACACCTACGTAATAGCTAATACACGGAATACAGATGGAAGCTTTGACCTTTTTCTATTGGAAAAATAACATTCAAAGTGCGAATGGTCAAAATGTTCATGGGTAGGTACATTTTACATACATACCTACCTTGTCCCATGTCTGGGAAGCGGTCGGGGCTGATTATTAGAGCAACCCAACTATTGAGGCTTCCGGAGAGATGGCGCTTGATTTGGCCAGTAACCATGCCATACTAGCTCGAATCGGGTAGACGGGAAGTTCAGCTGGCCAGTTCGTCAACTTTAAAAGCTGGGCTGCTGGACATTAATAAAAGAGATGAATAAGGGGAGGTTGGCTGAGGGGGGACCGTTGGGTTTTTTCGGTCTCCTTTAGACTTTCTGGCTACAGCAACTTGGGTTTTCGGTGCAGCTGGTGGACGAATTGTATTTGCACATTGCGCATGTGGTCTGCAGCCTCTATATGTATGAGTTATCGTGTCGAATCGAAGCAGGTTGGCCGACCACGTACGATTGATGTGAGCACTTATTATGCATGTACAGTACATACCTAGTAGGCATGTAGGTCAAGGTAGATGCATACTGCGTACGTTAGGTAGCTGGGTAGGTAGCAGGTATTGTAGCTCATCTCAACCTCCTGCGGGTCTCGGGCTCATACAAGAATTTTGCAAGGCCCCTTTTCGAATCTTAGTATTTGTGTGTACAACGGTTTTTTTTCCAACCATCGTCTCACCCCGCAACTCTGCAGACGGCTTGCATTGAGTTGGTTTTTTGTCGGGCGTCGAATGCTGATTCAACCAATTCACAAAATTATAGGATGTTTGCTGTGCTCTGGGGCTACATTCGTTTTGTACGTTTTGTGCTGAATCTATACATGTATTTGTCGATCCTGGTTCGTAGGGTCAGTAGACTTGCCGATCTCTATGAAATACATACGTGTATTGGGAAGTTGAGTAAGACGTTTGTCTGTATCATAATTACCAATCTGCAAGGTATGAAATTTTGTATTATTTCAGTTCAAGGTGATTTCAAGGTTCAATGTTATCCAATACTACATTATCATGTGTATACCTAGATATGTAGTTATTGAATGTTGATGTTTACATAGTTATGTATTATGACCGGTACCTACTATCCTCGTATGCGCTCTACGAGATGCGTGTGGTTGTACACATAAATGTACAATAAAATGCATCAATGATGTAAGTTCGTGGCGTTGTGTTGTGTTTATGACTTTAAATAATGTCAAGTTGCATGTACATTAATGACTGCCTGCACATGCATACATGATGTCCATTTCAAGTTGAATGTTGATGGATGCGCATAGGACCCTGAGCGCCGTGAGCGGGGGATTGATGTTATCATGAAGTACATCAATGATATTATTCCCACTACAATCACCTGAGTTACTGTGTATGTAGCTGCCTACAGTACAAGGTGGATACGGAACTACAGCTCATCCCTTAGTTACATACTAGACTAGTAGTAGTACATAGTATCCACCATGCATTGATTGATCTAAAAGTGGGTCTTTTACATAGTTACGCCTCGGCTGAGCCGCCGCCTTATTACTACATAGTACTAACTAGGTACTAAGTTAGTTATGTACATAACTACGTACCAGCTACTAGCGTAATCCATCCGCCTCAAGGCTTCTAACGCTAGGTACATAGTACCCCCCCAATCTGTCACAACCAGTCACTGGCACCAGGGCAAAACACTGATATCACCGCTAACACCCAGCGGCAACCGTCCCTTCTTTAAGCGCTAGCTCCGCTAATAGGTACCTACAGTTTGGGACCTTGGACCACTAAGACCTGAGGCGTGTGTTCAGCTTTTTTGAAACACCAATTTACTTAGCTTAGTCCATAGTCCATCCGTCACTTGGTAACCTTTTTTATTTTTTTATTTATTTTTTTGCGCCTTTCATTGATCAGTTGCGCACATTCATTTGATACTCTTCTTTTCCCTTACTCTCTCTCTATCTCTAGCCCTATCTTCATAGTGATTCTTAGGGAAGAGGAGAGAAGAGGAGAAAAAAAGACAAAACGAAAAGAAAGGAAAAAAGAGGACACTCGTTACTGATTTCTTGTCTACACCCTTCTTTTCAGTTTCATACCCTCTCAAGTTCATTCAGATATCTCTCCTAAGCGGGGATTTATTCTATATTGCATCAAATAAGTTAATGACCTTTGGTGACATCGTTGTATTGAACCTTGAAAGAACCCCCCCCCCTTCCCTCTCCCCCCCTCCCCATAAGCCCATACCTCCTTCAAGTACGTTGAACCCCCTTTTTTGATCGCCAGGGCGACAAACAGGCAGATCTATCAGCAGATCTGCCCACTGCCACTACGTCTAGCCTCAGCTGGACTGCTGGTCCACTGGGCTGCAACGACACTTGCCATGAAATGAGTGGCCCAACCCTGACTGTAACGGTTTTACCAACCGTCGAATCCGCACAACCATTACGCCCTCCCAGTCGTTCCTCTTCACCTTCCACCCCGGATCGCTTGTCTGGCCCAGACACTATTCAAGCCCAATCTCATACTGAGTCTCAACAACTGGCCCAGGCCGCACCTTCGAATACCCTGTCTCAAAGCGCTACCAGCCCCCCAGGCTTGTCTACTTTCGATGTACCATCTTTCGATTTTGGTTCAGACTTCGACGCCACCTTCTCTTTCTCCAACACGCTTTTGACGGATATCCCAGATGAGAAGCCCACGATCATACCCGACGAAACCAATATGGCCGGCCCTGAGCCTACGACAGACAAGCCGGGAAAGCGAAGAGCGACGGCAAATCGACCGCAGATATGGACGCCTTCATCTAAACAGTCACCGAATAACGTAGAAGACTCCGGAGAGATCACAGATCAGAAAGAATCTGGCAACGATGAGACTCCTAGCAACTCCAAGTTCTTGAGTCCAAGCTCGCCGCAAGACACATATAGACATGTTTCCGACTCGATCGCATCTTTAGCCAAACGGTCGTGGTTGCCTGGATCCCGATCACCTTCACCTGGAAAAAAGGACGAGCTCACAACACCGTCAGAAAGCCGACCGACACGTGAACGATCTACTAGTAATAGTTCAATCATGAAGCTTAAGAAGAGCTCACGAAAGCGACCGGTATCCCCAGCTGATAGCGACAGCAATAAGTCGACCGAGTCCCGTGGCAGATTTGGCAGCTATTTTAACAAGATCAAGCAGAAGCAGCCGGGCATATTAGCAAAGGGCAAGGTCACGCAGGACCACGATAGCCCTGCTTCCTCCATAGCTAGCCTCGCGCCTCCATCTACGGAAACCCGCCAGTCACGCGGCTCTGAGACGAGCAGCAGCACATTTCCTGAGGATATAGTCTTACAAACAAAGCTACCACAAATGCGAGATGCCCTTTGGTCAGCATTTCGGGCCCTAGACACCGATTGTCACAAGTTTCTAGCCAAGCCCACAAGCCAAAAGATGAACATTGTTCGGAGCGCACTGGTGCCATTCTTGAAATCCTATGGCAACCATTCATCCAATAAAATGTTGCATCACGAAGACCTCGAACGAAGAGCCCTAATCTTAAACAAGTGGTGGATTGGCCTTCTCGAGCTACTCGAAGGCAAGGGCCAGCAGCCAGTTGCGGGAGTTGACAGGCCCCTTTTACTTGAAGCTATGACTTCAATCATGATGCGACCCGAATGGCGGCAGTGCAATGCCAGCTTCACCCCCCTCGCAGACCGAAATCCAGCAGAGAGTATCAAACACTCGCATGACAGTTGCAATAGGTCTTCTATTTCACTGAATTCGACGGATTCTGATTATCTTGCCGAGTCTGCACGGCACAACGTGAAAACCATGTTTATCGCGAATTTAGTCGCACAGATGGCTGTAGTGGTGGATAGATTATCCCTTCGACATGCTCCGTTGAGTCTGGTCAACTTTGCCGGCAAAGCCTGCGCCTACGCCTTCTTTTTCGCGCCTGGAATCGCAGATGTCCTTGTGCGGCTTTGGTCTTTGAATTCAGATTGTATACGTCGAGTCGCAGATGAATTTGGCCTACCACGTCTTGGCAAAGGTGAAAGTGACGAAATCGTTGCACTATTTCCTCCCTTCCTGGACAAATTAGGTTGGTCCTCCAGCAAGGTCTTGTCTCACTCACTCAAGCGAGTTGCGGCGCTACCACTTACTGCATCTAGAATCGCCTGGCGGGGGGCGTGGATATCTAGATGGACAGGACGAGACGCAGACTTGTTCTTCATCTTCTGCAAGTATTATTATGCATTAGTAGAAGAATTCTTGCCGCCCGGATTGCCCCTTGTCGAGAAAGCTCGCGCCCCAGGCTTTGTCCTTGTAAACGCTCAAGTACTCTCGATCCTGGATTCGACCATACATCGCCAGGCTGCAGTAGAGGCATTATTAGGGCCGCCTCTGGCAGATACCTTGCACGGTGCCGATGCGTCAGCTACGGCTTTGCCAGCTCCCCCGAATCACAATATCATGAAAGGAATGAACGAGAATCGTCTCATTGTTCTGTTGAAGGATATGCTATGCACTGCATCAATGCGATTTGTCGATGCAAGACATACCTTTGCCGAAGCCTTCATGGCTATCATGAGATCGTCAGCGAAACGAACCTCGCAATTTGACCATAACGCATGTTTCACAATCTGTGACTTCTTGGAGGAGTCTCTGGTTGTTTATGACAACTTTGTTGACATTCAAAAGCCTCAGGCAGCTTATGTCGACTGGCCGTTCTGGTTTGACGTTTGTAAGAAGATACTAGAGTCGAACAACACAATGTCAGAGATTCGTGTCTTGGCTCTCATCTTTTCGATCTGGGAAACCATTGCGAATGACCAATCCCGCAAAGAGACAGTCTGTTTAGAGTGGCTACTGCAAGAGGATGTGTTCAATAAGCTCTTCAACAATTGGTGTCCGATGGTTCGAGCATACTATATGCGATTGTTGTGTTGGAGAATATGTCGAGATGTCGGCAATGCGAATGACTCGGACGCGTAAGTATTCCAAGATCTGTTATTGATTATTCTACTGACAAGCTTATTATAGCAAGATATTCACGGCCGTTTACTCGCGTCTAAAACTAACATGGTCCCATTATCTATGGTTGAAGCAGATGTTTGAGCAACAGGGCAAAATCCCACCATCAACTGCACCTTCGTTTCCAACTCCTGGAAAGCGATTTATGATAATCCGTACCGAACTTGCAACTGTGCAACCTGGACTTATGATGAGTTTTGACTCTACTTCTCCGAACTCGATACAATCTCATGCGGCAGCAAACCCACCGACGGACTTCGAATCTATGGATACTGTCGAAATTGAACCAGCTCCCCCGAAGAAAAAAGTGAGCTTTTTGGGCAAGTTCTTCTCATTTACCAGCAGTTCTTCCTCGGCTAGTGATTTAGAAACCGTCAGAGGTGAGACGACAGCAGCACGTACCCGTCCATCTTCTTCGTCTAAGACCAAGCCCACTCCATCTTCCTCCGATTCCGATAGTACCAGCTCGTCTCCTACTTATGAAGCTCTGCAATACGTCTTCAAATTCACCCTATCGTGGAACACCCCTGGGACCATGCCACCACCAAACCGTATCCTCACCCGACCACGGTTACCAGGCCCTGCCCAGTCCTGGGTTGCCGCGAAGGGTCAGGTAGATGGCCTGTTGACGCCTGCAGCGAGTCGACCGGCCCCAACTCGAGCCGTATCTGGAAGTTCCAGCCCTGGTCTGATAAATTCCGCGAGGAACGCGAATCCGTCCGAAGTCCTTTCCTCTACATTTGACCGCCGACCTAGCTTCGGCCAAACCAGCACTACGGATCGTAACAACGACGATGCACGGCTTAGGACCCCAGTAAGTCCTAATGTTCGAGGCGGCACGGAGGAGGCTACCCATCGGAGCCCAGTTTCACCTGCACAAGAGTCAATCAACTTGCCGGTCGAGCCAAAAGGCGTCGTGGCTTCAGGTGTAAAATATGCCGGCCGAGCCTTGGCTGAATGGAGCCTCGTGGTGGCGGAATGCAACAGCTTCATTGATCGAAGACGAGAGGAGGGTGTGATGGGGTTGGGTGAGGTTGAGGTGCCAGCTCTTGGGGTGGAAGGCTTCAGAAAGCTAGCATAGGTTGAAGAGATGTTCCCAGGAGGCTACTTTGCATACACGGCGTCATAATACTTGCGGAATTTTAAATGAATTCGTTTTCGTGGATTATAAAAATCAGTCAAGATACCTCATCCGGAGTTTGGAGTCACTGCTTCTGACTTTACGCACCTTCGACATTTCGGGCAAGTACTGGATCTCGCATTCACGATTCATATACCCAAGGGGAATTGGTAGCATTCATCTCTTTCTGTACCACAAATTTCTAATGGCGTTGGAAGGAGATTTTTCACCTTTGACAGAGGAATTTGTTGAATTTTCCCACCTAAAGATCAGAATCGGTCAGGATCATCATACTGTGGCAAGCCACTGTACATATTGAAAGAAAGGTCTGAGAGCCTCGGCCATAAACTTTGATAGGGTGGATTTGATAAAAAGCAAAAGTGCCTTTTACTTCAGGGACGAAGATAGATTATTAGAGTGGCCTTTTTTCGGCCAACGATTTCACAACTCCCCATTCAAGAAGACAATATGTATATAGTGTCTCGAGATGTTTGTGTGTAAAGGTTGTAAAAGAAAGGATGTCCCTTGAAAAAAATGGCAAAAGAGTCGAGACTACTTAATGTACGTCGGCTTGTACATATCATAGTGCTGTATTATACCCGTCCGCCACCAAACGGTTTACATAATACATGATCGATCGATGGTGGCCTTCAATTTGTTTGAGTCCCAGTGCCTTTTGTAGCCTACCTACCTACTTACTGCATACCTAACTACTATAAGTACAGCCTGGTCCAGTCTCTGCTAGTCTCTGAGTCTTGAAACGACCAGTAACCTGATATCCCAATATTTAAATATTTACATAGTAAGTTGGGCGTTGGGCGTTGCGCTTTACGCTTTGTTAAGCCAAGAAAAAGAAAAAAAAAAGAAAAAAGAAACCCAAAGCCTTAACCTAGGTAGCTAGGTAAGCTGAATCAAGACGACTGCGCGAAGCGACTCCTCATCCTCAGCCTATCGCCGTAGCGCCAGAGGAACGTCATGCCGACAGCACAGAGGACGGTGAGACCACCCAACAGGCTGACGCCGCCGCTGACGCCTATGCGCTCATACATGGGCTTGGAGAAGAGGATGGAGGCGGCGGCGAAGGAGCTGCGGGCGAAGGTGTTGGCGGCGAAGAGGGAGGCCGAGTACTTGGGGTAGCAGCGGGCGATGTAGAAGTTCATGCACTGGAAGGCGACGATGATGCAGACGTAGAGGACCATGAGGCCGATGATGGGCACGATCCAGTGGATGTCCGGGCGCGAGGTCCAGGCTGCGTTTATTTATTAGTGTTTGTGGGCTTCACTCTTCAACATACACAGGCACACCGTTCTGAAAAAAAAAAAGAATGAAAAAAAAGAAAACCCGACTTACCGAAAGTGAACAACCCAATCGGTCCCAGGAACGTAGTTATCACCGCCGGCAACAGCCTGCTCTCGGGGAACCCGTACAGCGGCGGCAGTTCCTTGCGCATGACCGGCTCGGCCTTGAGGCGGAACCAGATGATGTATCCCGGCACGGCGATCATCTGCCCAGGGACGAACGCGAGAAACGGCAACCCGGACTCGCCGAGGTTGAAACCGTGCATGTCGACGAAGACGAAGGGAAAGGCTTCGAAGAAGGAGTAGTAGGCGCCGTAGAGGACGGCGGCGTAGACGGTGGTGTAGAGGACGGCGGGGTCGAGGGCGTTGATCTGCCAGGGCTTGATGAGGGCGTCGACGGCGATCTGGCGGGGCGTCATGTGCGCGCGCTTGAGGTCGGCCTCGCACAGTAAATCGGCGCGTCCCGTGCGCGCGCGCAGCCGCGCCGCCTTGCGGTGGAGGATCGCGTCGGGGTTCGTCTCGGGCAGGCCGAGGAACATGAGCACCCAGACGGGCGCCGAGAGCCAGAAGAGCTCCCAGCCGCCCCAGCGCCAGCCCATCTTGGAGACGGCGAAGCCGGAGACGATGGGGCCGAGGGCCGGGCCCAGGGTCGCCGACGACGACCACACCGTCAGTACGTAGGGGAGCTTCCAGGGGGCGAACATGTCGTCGAGGGTGGCGCCGGCGGTGGCGAGACAGGGGGACCCGAAGAAGCCTAAGAGAAAACGGAGGACGAGCAGGCCGGCGAAGGAGTCGACGACGGAGGCGCCGAGGGCGAGCCAGACGAAGACGAAGAAGGTGACGATGTAGATGTTGGTGCGGCCGATGGAGGGGATCTCGGATAGGGGGGACCAGAGGAGGGGGCCGAGGCCGTAGCCGACGACGTAGAGGGCGATGCCGAGGGCGGCGGCCTCGTAGCTGGCGCCGAACGCGGCCATCACCATCGCCTGGCTCGGCGCGTACAGCGACGACCCCACGTACACCGCGAACGTGTACAAGCCCATCAGCGTCGTGATCCCGATCTTCTTTGCGAACGTCCAGTTCTTCGGGTTCGACGGGTCCGCTCCGTCGTACCAGTCTACTACTATCCTGCCGCCCGCCTCTCCCTCCCTGTCGCTGTCCCCTTCCTCTCCGAGCTTCCTTGTGCCATCGCCTCCACCACCGTCGTCGTCGTCGCACACAGGCGTTGATGCAGCCGCCGCTACTGTGGGGGTAGACGGTGCGCCACTGCGAGCCGGAGGCGTCTCTGTGGAGGAGGATTTCCAGCCACCCTCATGCGCCGTCACGGTCGCCGCCTCGAGGTCCTTCTCCTCCTCGTAAGGGGTAGTAGTGCCCGTAGAAGAAGGGAAGAAGGACTGTTCGGCGCAAGGGGTCAAACCGTCCTGGTTGTTCGACTTGTTGGCCAGGAGCTTGCGGTTGAGCAGGACGGCGCCAGAGCTGCTGCTGCTACCAGTGCCGGCGGCGGTGGCGCTAAGACTTGCCGGAAGCTGGAAGGACTCGAGCTCCTCGGGGTAGGGGAAGAGGTCCGGGCGGCGGAAGACGAGACGCGCGATTTGTCCGATGCTGGACTCGCGGAGGGTGTCCCACATGGTATGGTATTGCCCGGCCTTGGTGTCTCTCCCGCCTCACACACTCGCTCACTCACTCACACACGCACGACACACACACTCTCTCCTTTTCTCTCTGTCTCCTATATAACACCCGGTCCCCTGGTACCTGGTACCTCGAAGGCCTAGTAGAAGAGAAGGGAAAGACAAAAAGCAAAAGAATTGGGAGGAGACAAAAAAGAGTTTTGCCTAAGACACAACGGTTTGGACTTTATATCGATCTAGGTTAGTTTAGTCCAAGGGGGTGTTGCCTTTTATACTCTTTTTCTCTCCTTCCCCGTCTCTCCCACCTTCCACCATCCCCGTTAACCTTTTTTCACACACACACACACACACCAACACATGCCACATACAAGGTACGCACACATTCACAGAGGAATACACACACATCCTCGCCCACAAACTCTTCCCCGGATGGGATGCGGTGGGAACGTGGAGAAAGAAAGATATCGAAAAGCACAAAAAAGAAAACCGATGTCGGGTTATGTGTATCGCGGAGCACCATCATCCTCACCTCCTCGCCGCCCTTAGAACCGTGTGTCGCCCAACGCGAGGCCTACACGTAAGGTTTTGCAATTGCAACGCACAGGGGACGTCCGTTTCGTCACCGGCTGCACCCACCGACGACAAACTTGTGTTGGATAGGGATTCGTTGGCGGGCGAGCGATGGTGTAGGGGTGGTGAGGGGGGGTAGGTACATGTAAGGTTTCGACCCGGAATGGTATACGACAGGACGGCCGCTTTTTTCATGTAATAAGAACCACCATCCCGCATGCGATTGGCTTGATTGCGAGAGAGAGATGGGGGGGGAGGACCCCTTCGAGTGATAGCTGATGCCATGTACCCTTTTTATTTTCTCTGGAGATTGTCACAGGAGATAAGGAGGAGTTAATGTGGGTGGGTTTATTGTGATTGAAGTGGCGAGAGAATGCGGTCTGGGCTTGTTTATACTAGGTACCTAGGTATGGTTATGCCTAGGTAGGCATTGGTTAGGTATGTCTGGTATGATATGTGCCAACATGGAAGACGACGACGTGCGTATCGTGGATCTTGCATGGTACGGTCTGCAGTTTGTTCAGAAAGCAACGGGTCGTGTCCCCCGGGAATCACAATACCCACGGAGCGGCTGAGTATGGGTGTGTGGATTACGATATATATAAGAACGTCGGAATCCGGAATGGAATTTCATAAACTAGTATTATCTCGGAATGGATCGTCAGCTATCTTCTTCTACCGACATACAAATACGCGGATCGCGGATAGGTACGCAGTGATGCGGCTCAGGAGAGATAGATAGTCCTGATACTAGGTAGTGTATACAGATACTACATAGGTACGTTTTTGATTTTAGGGGTCCTCTGCTGCCCAATCGGCCAATGATAGATGGGTTTGAATTTCGGCTGTTATCATAGGTTGCAATTCTGATATCACGATTTTCTGATTAAACCTCACTTGTGTTTAACTAGCATGACAGTATGATTACCTATACATATCCAGGAAAGTAGGCACTTATATTTCCTTCATAAACCATTGCCACTTAGGTATAGGTACCGACCAAGTTATGCAAGCCGTTCCCGTTTTCCAGCTCCCCAAGAAGGTTTAAACCGGGTGCTCGTGGCCACACCGAAGGAGCTTCATAGGATACTAAATATGCAGGTACCTACCTACCTACTAACTCTAGTACCTACATAGGACTAGGTGACACCCTCAAGAATGTGGAGTAGGTAACTCAGTGGTCGGACGGATTAGTCGCAAGCTTCTTACTTAACAAGATCCGATTCTGTGGGGGGATCTTCTTTCCAAGCTGAATATCCCACTCTATTGCACCCTAGGTACATGTGTCTACCAGATATTTACTACACACCCCCTTTTTCATAGTATCACCATCGTAAAGCAGCATCATACACCACCAACAGCAGCAGCAGCAGTAGTAGTAGTAGCGTTGCCTCTCTTTTTCAAATCGTTATCCACCACATCATCCAAAATCGCAACATCGCGCTTCGCAGCCGCCAGCCTCGCGAGCTTCAGCCTGCGCGTGTCCCGCTCCGTCTGGCGGGTGACGTACCACGTGAGCAGCGTCGTCGCGATGCAGCAGGCGACGAGGGCCATAGCGGCGGCGAACGAGACCCGGTAGCGGGGCGCGTAGGCGCTCCGGAAGATCTGGGGGCCGATGGCGCCGCCGATCTGGCCGTAGCTGTTGACGAAGCCGATGGAGAAGGCGGACCCCGTGGCGCGGCTCGTCGTCTGCACGCGCCACGGCCACATCATGGGGAACCACGCGCTCGTCACGGCGTTGCCGATCATCGTCGCCGCGTACACGGCGCCCGTGCCCGGGTACGCCACCAGCACCCCGTAGCACGCCAGGATGATGGTCAGGAAGGTGAGAGGGTACACGGGGCGTGGTAGTCGTCCGTTGTCGGCGAAGAAGCCCGAGACGCCGATTACGAGGAGCCCGAGGATGGTGATGGGAAGGTTTAGGAGTTGAGCTTGCGCGATGGTGCTAGAGAGGTGTCAGAAATAGAGTTGCACTTCTCTTCTACTGTTGGGTTGGGCGGGATTGAATTGGTTAAATAAGGTAGGTAGGCAACTCACGTAAAACCAAGGTCCGCGATGACCGTCGGCTGATAGAAGCGTACCCCTGACGTCCCGACCGTGAAGAAAGCCCATATGAAAGTAAAGAGCCACAGCCTCTTGTCCTTCAGGGATTCCACGATCTCGCTAAACTTGAAGTCGTTCTCTGCGGCTCTGGGCGCGTTCGCAGGTAAACGGGCTTGGATGAATGCTTTTTCTTTGTCTGTGAGCCAAGATGCCGTCTCGGGGACTGTTTGATTTTCATTAGCTTGGAAGACGACGGTGGTTACTATCCGGTTAGTGATTTAACTTACAATCTGGTAAGAGAAACCAGACGGCAACTCCAACGATGATGGTAGCTATAGCTTCCACCAAGAATAGCCTATGTCGTATAATATATGAGTATTCTATGCGAAGTTGAAAAGGGGGAAGGGGGCTATAAAGTCTCACCATTGCCACCCAGATAAACCCCCTGCCCCTGATATGCGATCGAAGGCAAATGCGAGGATACCACCGAAGATACCACTCAGATTCCCGCAAATATCTATAGCACATCTTGTCAGTCTCATCTCTGGCACAAAACCGTTCCATTTCAGACATAGATCACATACAGAAATAGAGAAGGCGAAGAGACATCTCGTCCGGTCTGTACCAGTATGTCATCTGCAATATTATCCCTGGAAACATCCCCGCCTCCGCTGCCAGCAAAGTTAGCAAAACCTTCAGTGATGAAGTAGGTACCTAGCTAGATAAGTTGGGAAGATCATACCCAGCCCCAAAAGAAACCTTGTCGCAAACAAGCCCTCCTTATTCTTGACCGCGACATGGCACGCCAGCATAATGCCCCATGTAAGCATCTACAGTGACCTGCTATTAGTACTAGGTACCTGTCTTCTTGATGGGGTTGCGGGAGATATGAGCCTTGGGTAGGTACCATATCGTATTACCTAGAGACCTAACATATATAGGGGCCACTTACAATCCTCGATTGCCAATGCGAAGGCGAGAACTTTTTGAGCAACAGATTCGAAGGTGCCTCTCCAATGATATACGGTATCTGCGAGCCACCATCAGTCATCTTCGCATTTTTCACCCCCAATCTACCTAGGCTAGGCAGGTAATCAACGTAGAACTCACATAATACAGTACAGCAACTAAGGCGTATTCATCCGAAGTCAAGCCCAGCTGCGTCATGATATTCTGAGGAGTTCCTCTGTTCATGATCCTCGCGTTCGAGACCTTTTTGTTCTCATCGTTAGACCAGTTCATTCATTCATAGAGTTATTGACTTCACGCTCTGAATGGTAAAAAGGGACTCACATTATCCGCATCCAAGTTCTTAAACATAAAAATAATAGAACAAAGCGGCATCAGGTGCCAGTCGATCCTCCGGATGAGCTTCTTCTCTTCGTCGGCCGTCAGCGCCGTGCGCGCCCGCATGCGCTCCGCGTCGTACCCATCGATAGCTGTCTCATCACCCGCTACCTCGCCTCTTCTGGCGCGATGGAATCCATCATTGTCGTTTTTGCTGCTGCTGCCGAGACTCGCGGCCTCTGTGGGCTCGGAAGACGACGATATCACGGGCGTCTTGGCCGTCGGCATGATTCGTGACTCCCTACTTAATAGGTACGTGAGAAAAGAAATATCCACGATCTCGATTACTAGGTAGGTACGAATATCAGCTCGGCCGATATCAATGTAGCATGACAGCGCGACGGATACACCACATCCTTTAAGCTGAGATTATTCAAACACCTAAAGCAGCGAACATGCTTGAAAAAGAATGCTCCGATTCGCCATAGACTCATCGCCCACTAGAATCACGAATCTCTGCGCATCGTCTCGCCAAGGCTGAACACTGGGCCTGGCTGATACAAGCAACCGCAGTATTATCAAAGGGTCTAACTAGATAGTAGGCGGGTATACTAGGAAGCATATCCTGCCCACACTATCCCCATTGCTGTCAGTATACCCGTGTTATAGCTTAGGCATACAAAACGATCCCAGATTGTTCCGATACTGTGCGTGGTAGGGTGTACAAAGATTGGAGATTTGGTATATGGGGGGTCGCGGCTCTCGACCGATCAGAGCGCGTCGTTCCGGGATTCGTCATCCGCAAGGATGATCACGACTTTCCGCACCCAGCTTTCTACCTACCTACGCATGTAGTATCCGGGAACTTGGAACCGGCGTGGCCCCTCTTCTCTTTTGCAACGTGATCCGATTTGGACTTGGAGAAATCGAATCGACTCCCATCATCACGCAATCGTCGATTATATGCATATGAATACTACGTCTGGAATTCCTGCTCAGCTACTGTATGGTGGGTAGGTACCTAAGGTATGCTTAAAACCGAACCGTGCCTCCGGGTCGGTCGCGATCGCGAAGCTTGTTCCCTTGCGATGTCTAGTATTATCACCAACAACTAGCTAACCCCATCGTACACACAATTGCATCTTGGAACCTCCTCCAAAAAAATGGCAGCAGCAGTCGCCTCCAACACTGTTTCTCAGGGGAAGATAAACATACCAACCTATCACCAGATCCCGGAAACGAAGCATGAACGTAAGAACCCTTGCTCGCTATTCACTACCTACATATACACACACACTCCCCACTAACCGCCACCACATACAGTCGACTGGGCAGACCTCATAACCCTCGACCTCTCGCAATTCTCCGTCCCCGGCGGAAAACAAAAACTCGCAACACAGCTATTCGAGGCGATCCAGAAGATCGGCTTCTTCTACATCGTCAACTTCGGGCTGGCGCAGGAGCAAGTGGACCGGCAGTTCGCAATCGGGAAGGAGGTGTTCCAGCTCCCGACCGAGGAGAAGCTGAAGTACCGGGCCGACCTTGAACATGGGGGGTATAATGGGTACAAGCCGCTTGGGTTACGGGTAAGCTACCTTCTTTCTTCTCTCTTCTACAGTGGTACTGTACAGCATGCCTCTTAGGCATGTAGGTGTCTAGCTTGGGTAGGTACTTAGGCAGGTACACAAAAATACACCTTCCACTACTAAGACGAAACCCCTTCGTCTAGGAAGTTCGGCCAGGCGTATACGACAACACCGAGATCTACAACATCCCGAAGTTCATCCCCGCCTTTGATCAACCACACCCCGACGTCATCAACAGCAACCGCACCGAAATCGAGGCCTTCGCGCGGCACATCCATGACGACATCGTCCACAAGCTGCTGGTGCTGTTCGCGCTCGTGCTCGAGCTGCCGGAGGACTTTTTCCTGCAGCGGCACCGGTACGACGAGAAGAGCGACTGCCACCTGCGGTACATGAAGTACCACCACCGGACCGCGGAGCAGAACCGCGTGCTGGAGAACGTGTGGGTGAAGGGGCACACGGACTTCGGCAGCCTCACGCTGCTGTTCCGGCAACCGGTGGCCGCGCTTCAGGTCCGGACGCCCGAGGGCCAGTGGAAATGGATCAAGCCGTACCCGCAGAGCATCACGGTGAACCTCGCAGACTCTCTGGAGTTCCTTACCAATGGGTTTTTGAAAAGTAGCATTCACCGGGTCGTCGCGCCGCCCCCTGATCAGGCAGATATTGACCGCTTGGGAGTGTTGTATTTCGTTAGGCCAGAGGATAGCCTCGAGTTACGGCCAATAGTGAGTAGTGTGTTGCAGCGCCTGGGATACGACAAAGTCAAGGATGACACCACTGTCGGTATCACCGCGGGCGAGTGGGTGAAGGCTCGTGTCGCAAAGGGAGTTGCTAAAGACAAGCCGAGACATGATGTGACCGAGCAAGAGATAATCGGCGGTAAGGCGGCCAAGTATTATGATTAGAGAGTGACAGACTCAGCACCAATAATTTGCACCCATGCTAGTTGAGATGAAGATGGACAAATGTTGTCTGAATGCGGTCCTGTGACCACTGGGTGATTTATGCGTCGTCGTTGATATACTGATCGTAGACCTCGGAATAAAACTTCTTACCATTCTCACGATGACTACGTACCTTTGTCCGTAATTGCGATTCTCCCCAAGTATTATACTTTCCCTTCAAAAAGGCGGAGTCAATCGCATGCCCCTCCTCGGATTCTGTGCTGATGTTAAGACCGTCGAAATGGGCTTTCAAGGTCTCAACGGCTTCGGCTTTGGTAAGATCCCGACGAACGCCTTGGAAGAATGGTACGCTGTATCGCTCGTGCGGGCCTGAGAGGACTCGATGAGTTGTCGCCTTACATACGCCATTTGTCACCACCTCAAAAGCTTGGCCTATATTAACCACGAAAGTCCCAGGCACTACGGGAACATTCACCCAATCCCCAGCTTTGTTGAGAACTTGAAGCCCTTTCACCTCAGGAGGTGATGCTTGTAGCAAAAATGTCCACCAGCCGGAGGAATCTTTGTGTGGGCCAACGCCTTGCTGAGAAACGGTAGAGTCACCAACTGGTGACGCAGGATAGTGGACTAGCTTTAAGCGATGCTGATCTGATAAAAACGGTTGAAAGGTCCCAACTGAAAGCGAAAGGGCCTCGGCGACCAGATCCAGGAATCGCTCACCCAGACTCGTGAGCTCTTTTATATAATCTTCAATCACAGCTCGAAGTTCTGGATGCTTTCTTGGCCACTAGGAACAATTAGTCTAATGTTCAAGCCTGGCCCCTTAATTGTAGACCGACCTGATTAGGACCTCGTAGGCGTTCATACAGTGGAACGCCAGGTCGCCAGGTCGCCCCCAGCTCCGTGGCAAATTCAAATTGCTCTCTCCTGTCTACTTTCCCACCCGTATTCTCACTCCCAACCCCACTATAACCAAGAAAATGAGGCGAGTTCTCTAAAGCGACAGTGCTTTTAACCGCATCCTCAAGCTTAAAAAGTGTGGGTAGAGCATTGACTAAATTGTCGACAACTGTCGTCGAGACCCCATGGTTTGATACGTAAAGAAACCCGACCTCTATGAGAGCATCACGGAGACTCTTGAGTACTTCAGGCCTGGTTGAATTATCGTCTGCCTGCGACAGGTCTATAATGGGAATTTTGGTAAATGAAGTTGCCATTGGATTAAGTTCACAAGACAGGATATGATGTCTAGTAATGTCTTTGGTGTTTGAACTTTGATTTCATTGAAGGTGATTTCAGTCATATTGATTTCCGTGTTCTCAATCACGCCATACTCGTCGTCTATGGCAACATCCCCTCAAGCTTCAGGGTCGGGCTTCTCCACCTCTTTCATAATTCCGTGTCGGAGCAAAACTGTTGTAACCGAACACAGCAAGTTGAATAAATCTAGGTTAGGAAGAATAGAATATATTTTTAATATATTATTAAGGGTGTAGGTTATTTGTTTAGTCGTTTGGTTCTCTCAGGGTCCCTCCAAAAGAGGCACGCTTCTCGGCGAATATCGTCCAATTCGACTTTGGTATCATCGGGTTGTATAACCAGTTGGAGCGCGGCTTCAGAATCGAGGCCATATCCTTGAGGCTCATAGTTAGGCCACTCGGGGGAGCCCGGGTACCTAAGCGCATTTGGGTCGCCGGTTGCGATGAAGCTGGCCAGATAGCCGTGGAGTATATGTCCAATTTCCGGGTGTTGTGCCTTAGGTTCTGGCCATGTATATTTTCCATCAGCAGCGTGTGGAATGCCACGCCAGGCTGGGAAGCTATTGTTGGTGTTAAACCGAGCTTTCCAAACTGGTATCCCGGCGGCAGCAACTCTGTATGCAGTTTCTTGGCCAGGGCAAATGTATGCATAATCGCTCCACGCAGCAGATAGACGAGTGTATTGGGCTCCTCTGGGAGAATCCTTAAAGGGGGACGTAGCATCTGTCACTGGATCTGGATACAAGCTTGCGAGTAACTCAAGGTCTCTAGCATTCAGAGATGGAGACCCGGCATGCATATATTTTAAAAAGTCCTCGTTCGTCTCCAAATTACCTGGCATGGCGAATCTTCCCTCATCCGTAACAGTAGTTGTAAGCGTCGGTATAAGAAAAAAAGTTCGGTCATAACCAGACTGAGAGCCAAACTTTTCTAGCAACGGACCCCCCTGGACGGGTTGAAATGGCCAAGTATTATTATAATTGGAGTCGGCAAGTAGTTTGGAGCTGATCTTTCTGATATCGTCAAGTTTGGCCGAACGGAGACAAGCCATGGCTGCTACATTATCATTCAGAGGGCAGTGAAGGAATCTCATGTATTCCTCAAACTGTCGGACATAGAGTGGATAGCCAGCGCCGGGAAATGCCCGCGCAGTAACAGATCCAGATTGAAGGATGGTCCGGGCAAAATAAGGCTTCCCAGCATTCTGGCCGTAGTTGTGGAAATAGTGAATGCCCACAGAATGCGCACCGGCCGAACGGCCACCCAGAGTAATGTTTGATGGGTCCCCTCCAAAGGAACCAACATGCTTTTGCACGAAATGCCTTAGGAAGAAGTACTGATCCCGTATCCCGAGATTGAGGAGGCCTTCCAGACTGAAAAGAAGAGATGGAAGGGAGCCAAGCGAGTTGAGCCGGTAGTGGAAGCTGATCACAACTATGGGAGCTTTGGACGATGAGACAAATGCAGCGCCATCTAAGCTCTTACTGCTACCGAAGTTGAAACTCCCACCATGGATGTAAACGAAGACTGGCAACTTCTTGTCCAGCGGAACACCCTGGGTCCGGTAAACGTTGAAATTGAGGCAATCTTCTCCTTGAAATTCTATGCCAACGTATCTGGAGTCCTGGACACATGATTTACCGTACGCCGTAGCTTGCTTCACGCCATCAAAGGCTGGAGGCCAACTAGCAGGCTTGAATCGACCTTCGCCCACTGGCTGCTTTGCATATTCGATACCAAGCCAAGCATCGACGGGGTTAGGAAGCGGAACGCCGGAAAATGTAGTATTTACCGTTCTCCCGGTGAAGTCTCCGTATCCTTCAAGTGTAATCGGGGTATGTTCGACCGAGAAGAGGTTTGCAGTGCTAGCCCGACAGGATCCCAAGACGGAACACAGTTGATTGGATAGACTCGTGGTTGCGTATATTGACCGACCCCAAAAGAGTGTGAAGCATACAACGACGAAGATGGCCAGCCATCCCAGTCTTCGGACGTGGATTGCCATTTTATTAACGTTATTAAAATCCGGGGGGGTTTGGCTGGAGGTTAACAAGTTGAGAGATGAAGTTAGGGAGGCCTCTCCCAAGTAGGTCAAGTTAACCCAAGTTAACCCAAGTTAACCCCTGAAGTTTACATAAAAGCTACTAGATAAATCAGATATTTGGTTCGATAAGTAAGCATGGCATATTCCGTATAATACAATGTTCAATAATAGGAACTTTCTATCGGTAAGTAGGGATCGGGCATATTTTATTTGATGTTGATAAATTTACATGGTTGATGCATCACCTAAGGTAGGTACTATGTAGTTAATGTAGTACTACATGTCTATGTGGTATGCATGTAACCTATCTAAGCCTTCTAAGGTGCTAAGGTCAGATACGCGGATAATAATCAGGATTACGAAAATAGAATTTATGCCACTTGGCCCAGTCTCGAGAAAGTCGATGAAGATCCTTAGATTCCGTTCATAACTTTATCAAAGATTACATAAATGAACCAAAGAAATGAACAAATCTTTCGGGGACTCGGTATCATTAACAGTCCGAACGTCTTAGCTCAGCAAGTGTGGCTTAGGTAAAGTGGAAACTGTGGATGACTAACCTAGGTTTCAGCAAGTTTGATAGGATGATTCAAAGTTCAAAGTCAATTCAGTCACCCCGGATCTGCCGCGTCTTTGATGCAAAAGTAGTTTAGCAAACACTATGCCTGTGAAACGTCTAACTATCACCTACATACTGCAGTAACATAGTAATATCCATACATACATGTATGTATCCATACATACAATGGCGTACATAATACATATAATACATAAAACAAACATTGAACTGTATTAGCTACATAGTAGTATTAGCACCTACATACCCTAGGTATTCAGTATCTACCCATTAAATACAGGGCTGTCCTTGGCCACTTGGCATCGCCCCCCCTTCCCACCCCCACTCCTTTGAATATGAATAGGTAAATTCAATCTCTCCGTTTTAACTCTTCAGCCCTTCCAGCTTTGAACTTCAATTCACATGTTCTAGTGTCTCATTCGTCAACTATATTTGGCCACATCCCGTTTTCGATGGCTTCCTTTATATGTCCATATAGGAGTTATAATAGGAATATTAGCTCTAACCAGCGATTATGAAATTGCGTGCCTAGGTATCTAGGTAAAATTATTACGATGCCTCCACGAAGATCTCACAAGAAGTCTCGTGCTGGTTGCCGAAGATGTAAAGTGAGAAAGATCAAGGTATGTGACATGGGCTTGTCAAGATCAAAATCGAACATTGCCTACTCTCTCCCACAAAAAAATGGGGGCCAGCGCAACTGATGGCGCATATATTCAAATTTAGTGCGATGAAGTTCACCCTCGATGTGGTAACTGCACCAAACATGGCGTTCCGTGCGACTTTGAGCATCCTACTTCTACTTTCGCCAGTTCACTCAGCCCAATCGAGTCTCCTCGTCCCATGACATCTTCTACCAGCAACTGCGATAGTCCATCGACGATTACACTCCCACCTACGCCTTCAGCAGAGTCTAGCACTCCTCTTCCTTTTTACCGAAATCCGGAACCACTTCCCTTACCGAATACTGTTGCCAAATCTAGTCGCATGATGGAGTTAAGGTTGCTTCATCACTATACCACCATTACTTGCGAAACTCTTGCCATTTCCTCTCCAGTAAGCGAACGGATATGGCGAGATACCGTGCCAAACCTCGCCTTTAACAATTCCGGCTTCTTGGCTGATGCTCTGCTTGCCGTCTCTGCCCTTCATTTACGGTCACATACTCCGTCAGACCAGGAACTTGTACGCGCCAGCCACGCGTACATGGCATCTACCTTATCAGAATACAGCGCCAGTTTAAGCAAGGGTATTACTGAATCGAATGCCGAAACACTGTTTCTCACCGCCGCCCTTATTGCTTTTCAGTCTACCGCGTCTCGTATTTTCACCCGAAACGACGGCAACGACTCTAAGGATCAAATTGATTCTTATAACCTTCCGCTATCATTATTCCACTCTTTTCAAGGAGTCAAAGCTGTGGTGGCCTCTAGCTGGCAATGGTTGCGGAATAGTGGGATTGTGATCCCGATAATCGAGTCTCAACCTGCCTTAAACCTTGATCTTTCGGGGCAGAACGCGACTTTTTTCGGCCATTTGCTAGCAGGCGTAGAAGAGGAGATCGCTAGTTCTAATGAAGATCCACCAACGCAGATTCTTACGCGCCAGGCATACCAGCACGCCGTTGCTGTTTTAGATTGGGCACACAAAATACCTGATACGGGCGCCCCACTAGTATTTCTCGCAACCGTCTCGCGCCGCTTTGTAGAGTTGCTCGAGGCCCGTCGCCCACGCGCTCTTGCTATACTTGCCAGCTATTTCGCCCTACTCAAGTTTCTTGACGGTGTTTGGTGGTTAAAGGGCGTGTCGCGTCGCGAGGTGATGGGTCTCGTGTCTCTATTCAGCCCAAACGACGAGGAATGGTGGCCACGCTTACAATGGCCTATACGAATCGCGCTATTCGAGGGCACCAGCATACCGCCAGAGGTCTGGGGCGCGAGCTGGGGTACTGAGGACACTTATTCGGAACAGAGCAGCGACACTAGTGGCTTCGTCAGCCACATCGAATTATTAAGCCAGATGTTCACCGCTGTGCAGAACGGGCCAGCACCTATGTCTAACCCTACCGATGCCTTGGATCGGCTTTCTCATCACCAATATACAGGGAGATTAAAAGGATTTGGGTCACCGATGCTACTCCAAAGTAGCTTGCATTCTCCTCACTGAGAGAACCCCGAGAGTTCCGGGCTCACAGTTATTACGTACATAAAGACCATCCTGATGCTGGTCCCTATCCTGTTGGACATGATCGGCGTTACCAACGCGTCTTCTTTCCACCTCCTCCCTCCCTTTTCCTTCCTCTTTGGAAAACGGTTGAGCCGAGTCGAAAACATTTCGAATCTTTTTTTTCCAACCCTCAGGGCCTGCTTCACCAGCCATGAGATTAACTGCGATTTTTTCTTCCAGTAACGGCAAATTATACCCATATCGAGAGTTCAGCGCGTGAGAATTTAGAAAAATCATATATCCAGCATATACGCCAATGTATTAAGTGTACAACTAATCTCTTCCCTATTGTATCTACACACATTACCGAATCTACGAGCGGGAGTAAAGAGAGAGGGGGGGGTATAAGCAAAGGCAATTTGGAGAAAAAGTCGAACGGTTACGAACATACGAATGCAGAGCGGCCTTGGGGTTAGGGGGTATATATGAGACATGTAGAACTCGGCGTATATGTATACATTATTAGATAGTGCTTGGCTGACCCCTAGGACTACAACATCAAGAACCACAACATAACATAACATAACATGAATGAGAATAAACATACCTAACCTTTCAAGCATACACGAGTAGCATACCTTAAGTGCCTATATATCTATCTGCCTGGTGATGACATTAGTAGGTAGGTACATAGCAGACCATAAGTCCCTGATACTGAGTCTCGATCCATAAACGTACCTATGTTGTGAAATGCATACCTATCCATATATACCTTTACACATCCCCAAACGTGCCCCCATTCCAAGAGCCAGCCTACCTACCTACCTACCTACCTAGGTAGAAATGCATATTCAAAACAGCCCCTGATACTGATACTAAACGCGTATCACACAGACCCTACCCTACCCTACCCTACCTTACCCTATCCTACATAGGTAACTACCTAGTTACCAGGAATCTATTTAAGCTTATAATTAAGCTTCGCGGCTGGTAGGTTATACGTCAAGGCAAGTAGGCTACTACCTAGCTGCCATGTGCTATGTAGTTGAACCTAGTTAGTAGTTAGTTACATATGTAGTTATCCATGGATTACATGAGTATGGATGAGCTCCTAGTGCCTGCTAGCGTCAGCGTATAACTAAGTAGATAGGTATACATAACTTGAAGTATTGAAATTATACATAGTTAACTATGTAAGTATAATTCTGTCTCGAGCCTCAACTTACATAGGATATTGCGTAGACAGGTAGTGATGTAACCTTGCATGAATCCAAGCCAACAACTTTTTGATTTCCCAAGAGTTATGTAAGAATGGGCTTTGGGGGGGTTTGATTTAGTTATATACCCTGGTTGTCTTACACATTTCAAGTCTTAATTATTTTTAACCCAGCATCATATACATTAATAACTATAGCTGTATAACTGGCTTACTATACGACTTCTACATAAGTGAGTAAGTAGTTAAGTATGAAATAAGTGTATAATCCCATTTCGAATACCACCTACCTGTCTGGTATGCCTTATTCTACGTTCTAGAATAAAGGAGCTACCCCGCTCTCGGTAGTTTGCTGCTACAAACGAGGGGGTAATAGTAGTAGAGGAAGAGGAGGCAGAGGATTCAACCCCGTAACCGCCCCGTAACCGGCTTCTCCTCATAGATTGGCTCTCCGTATGGGTTGGAGTATGATACATTATTTCCCGATGTGGAAGACTCTCCGTAATGGTATTTCTAATGAATAAGCCTCTGATCAGCCGGGCCGGTATAGCAAAGATCGATGGCATTTATAAATCGAGTGGCTCCTTCGGCTAGGCGGGCGAATTTTGGTGTCAAGTTCAAATCGATTATACTCGGCCCTACTACCTGCGTGAAGACTCCGCCATTGACGAGACTATATTCCAGTATGTTGCAAGGATGTGTATTGAGGGACACGTTTGCGAAGAGTGAAAGAACTAGTATAGGGGTCTGGCAGACATTGCCTGGTCAGAATGTGTCGAGGGTGTTGGCACGAGCCGGTGTAGATTGGGTCATGGTTGACTGCGAGCACGGAAACATAGACGGTAAGACGTCTTACTTCGAGCATAGGGGTGGAACCTAGCTTCAACTGGGGACGCATATTCCAGAACGTGGGAATTTGAAAAGCTGACATTGGTTGTTGTAGATGCTGCAATGCATGAAGCTATTCCAGCTATCGCCAGCTGTGGAGTAAGCCCGATCGTGAGAATTCCAGATATGCAAGGGTGGATGGTCAAGCGTGAGTTCGAAACTGAACTGAACTCCAGCAGAATTACATGACTCACATTTATTATTCAAGGCGCACTAGATGCTGGAGCGCATGGCGTAGGTTGACGATGAGCAATTGGTTTGAAACCACACTAACAGAGCAGATATTGGTTCCGCTCCTTCGTTCCGCGGAGGAAGCCAAGAAGATCGTCAGCGCAGCCAAGTTCCCGCCTCAAGGCCAGCGAGGACTAGGTTCTCCTTTCGCCATGGAACGCTTCACCCCGGCCCCTAGTTTGACCGAATACCTGCAGCAAGCAAACGATTCACTTCTCACCATGGTGCAGATAGAGACGCAAGAGGCACTCGATGCCGTGGAGGAAATAGCCGCTATCCCGGGCGTCGACGTGCTGTTTGTGGGGCCCTTCGATTTGGGCAATAACATTGGTCATCCCATAATAGACGGGGTCATGAAGCCTGAACTAGACCAAGCGATCGACCGAATCTTATCGGCGACTATCAAGGCGGGCAAAAAGTGCGGCTTCTTCGCCACAAGTGGAGAGCAGGCGAAGGTGTACGCTGATAAGGGGTTTCATATGATAAGTGCTGCTCTTGACACGACACTGTTGCAAGCCTCGCTTAGCGTGTCGTTGAGTACTGCTCGAGGGCAGCAGGCGCCGAAAGCTGTTGGTAGATATTGATGATATCTGCCCAGTCCTTAGCCCTACTAGTTATCATATGTAGGAACGATAATTCGTTCAGATTTCCGTTTGCCCGACCCGACGTCATGGTAAAGCTTCATGTGTTTGAGATTGGTTATTGATATTGCATGTTCGTAGCCAATGGATATACCTAGTATTCGTCTCCAGCCAGACTCCTATGACTCTTCAACGAGGTCCATTTTGGCCTTGACCTGGTCGGTAGTAAATCGATGCATAAGCTTGACTGCTTTTGAAGCTGAGTCTGGATGTTCCTCGGGAGCTGAAGATTTGTTGATGTGAATCTAAGAGGAGAGATATCAGTTTCATTCTTACCAGTACCTAGTCAGATTCAAAGAAATATTTTCTCGTCCCATCTGACATACCACAGGAACATCAAACTCATACAAATCCCTCCATCTCGGCTTGAAATCAGACTTGATTATATCTATCTCCTTAAATTGGAAGGGCCGGGAGTCCCATACGTTGGAGAGAACCGACCTGGCTTCAGTGCAGAGGCCGCAGTTTTCACGAGTAAAGAGTGTGATCCTGCAACTCTGAAGTAGCCTGCACGTAGCTCTCATCTTGAAGTTTGTGTACTACCTAAAGAGCATTAAAAGAGAGAAGAATCCGCTTGTACGTAGGCCTTTTATATAAATAATAGATAAATAAGATTCGAAGGGGTCGTATGAGATTTAATCGTATGATGTTTAGCTCAGCTTCATGAGTTAATGCATACTAGATCAATAACTAGGTATGCATATCAGTCTCTTCTCCGCCAAGTGGGGCATCCTTATAGTTAGTTATCAAATGTCTTGGCATCCTTGACGTCATAGGGCAGAATAAAGTGATATCCAATTGAGTGTCTGGCTTGCTTGCAAACGGAAGGCGGTGGGGAGTGAGCTCAAAGCTCGCAGCTTCTACCACTTTCTATGTTTGTACCTACCCAAGGCACAAGGCTAAGACCACTACACTAGAAAATATTAAATATTTCCATGTAAGCTAGAAGGAAATACCCACATGTGCAGTATAAACTGTACATACTACACACTAAATACTAAATACTACATACTAAATTCTACAAACTAAATGCTAAATACTACCTACTAGTACAACATTGAAGTCTACAGCCTACAAGCAAAGGAGCCAAGTTGATCGATCAACATTGGAACTTGTGTCAGACGAAATATAACGAAACACAACGAAATACATTCCTATACGAAATATATAGGAACCCTAAGGTGCCCCATACCACACAAGCTTAACGATGGCCCAGAAGTGTGTTCACAAGGGTTGTGGAAAGGTTTATACTGATTCAGAAGAGGTCTGCATTTACCATCCGGGTCCTCCAATCTTTCACGAGGGACAAAAAGGTAACTAGAGCTAGCCCCATGAGGCCCATGAACCAAAGGCACGCGTTCCCGAGGTCACTGACATCATTTTTCACTCCACCTTAGGCTGGAAATGCTGCAAGCCACGAGTCTTGACTTTTGACGAATTCCTCGAGATTCCTCCTTGCACTGAGGGCAAACACAGCTCTACAGACTTTCCTCCCGAGATCGAGAAGAAAGCAGCGGAAAATACCGATTCAGCTTCAGCTACCCTTGCTGCCACCCTCGAAAAGGCAGCAGCAACCGCACCCACCCGTGCCCCTATTGCACCCCAGCCAGCTCCTACCGCTACCCCACCACCACCAGAATCTGAAGACGATGAACCGTCTCTAGAGATCCCACATGGCAAGGTTTGCCGCCGGAAAGGCTGCAATGCCGCTTATGAGAAGAACCAGGCTAGATCTGACGAAGAGAAATGCGTCCACCACCCGGGCGCTCCAATCTTCCACGAGGGAAGCAAGGGATACACCTGTTGCAAGAGACGGGTATTGGAGTTCGACCAATTCATGAAGATTGAAGGATGCAAAACTTCGCCTAGACATCTATTCATTGGATCCGGGCAGCAAAAGGGCAAGGCCGCGACAGCAAATGCTTCGGCAGCCGGGAATGGAGAGGAAGTGCTCGAAACGGTGCGACATGACTTCTACCAGACACCATCAACGGTGATAGCGTCCTTCTTCCTCAAGAAGATTGACAAGGACAAGTCGGCAGTCAAGTTTGAGTCTCAAGGAATTGCGCTCGACCTACTCACAAGCGATGCGCAGCCTAAGCGATATAGGACCACCATCCCCCTGTTCGCATCTATCGACATGGAAAAGTCGACCTATAAGATTCTTGGCACAAAACTCGAAGTGAGCTTGAGCAAAGCAGGGGGAACAAGCTGGCCAGTTTTGCGGAGCGATGAGCGACTGACAGGCGAGATATTGCAGATCGGACAAGCAGGTCGCGTATAGCCAAGCACCTAGCCAAACAGCAAAACAATCAAACAACCAAACTAACTAAAAGAGTTCATCACCTTTCCAAATCTCATGTGCTTCATTGATATGAGGAATTGTGACACGTCGCCTCACCGGTTGGATATATGTATGAGGCTGTAACAGGTACCAAACCAACTTTAATCCCTGCGCAGATCTCTCTCCAACCCCCATTTTCTCTCACCTTTAGTTCGGACGAAATGTCACGGGACAATGATCAAAGCTGAATCTCAGATCTCTTGAGTCTTGTCCTACCATGAACACTACTCAACATCAATTGTAGCAGCTGACGAATGTTATAATCAACACGAAAAAGCTTATGGATTCAATTCCTAGACTTTCGATATCATCATGGGGACATCACTTTGTTCTTTCACATTTTCTACCTATCTGGGGTATACCCAGTCCTGTGACCGAGGATTCGTAATACACCTCTTGGGTTAGGCTTTCCGGCCACACACACACACCGTTCCCAAAAGGACGCGCAAGCAAGCCACTCCAAGCTTTCCGCTTCCAAGACTTTTGAGGAAAGGCAATTTAATTGCATCATGAACAAACTTAGACTGCAAGATACCCCAGGTAGGTTAGGCATACATCAGGTATGGTTAGTTTTGTACTGTAAGAGGGATGTAATCTACGCCGCAGCCAACCCATCAAGGTTTCGGTTTAGCTAAGCAAACGGTCTTTTGATGCCCCTGGAAACAACAACGCCCACCCCCCTATTTTCTTACCCCAAAGATGTAATACTATGTATGTAGGTATTAAAATAAATACCTCGTATAGTTAGTGATCGATATTCCAAGTGCTTCTAAAAGGAGTGAGCCACTGTTGTCGGCCCAGGTGGAATGACCTTTTAGATCGGAGCGTTTGACCTTGTCTCCATCTTAAACCCTGCTTAAGCCCTGTAAACACCTACTTAGTTAGATTACCTATACAAATTGTGTGTTGATCATATCTTAAAGTATGAGTATCCTAGGTAATTACATATACGGCGTAGTATTGTATTTATTATTACTATCGGGCCCTAAAACCTTAAATCTAAAGCCTTTTTGGGCTGTAAAACGCCGGTTTCGAATTGATATTTAGATTAATAAGCCGGTTATTTGGATGGCATGTGATTATCTTTAAGGCTAATATATAATCGCTTAAAGCTTTACTTATTTAATATCTAACCTAAACGTTTAAAACATATAGCTATAATAATGTAATCGGTATCGATTAAAAGAGAATTTAATTATTAATTAAATGATATAAGTTAAATATGAATGCGATATTTAGTTGCAAAGTTATTTAGATATATATATCGTGAGATATTATATGACATCTTCTCATGTGACATCTTATTATGTAACATCTTATCATGTGACATCCTTAAAGGGTGATCACGTGCGCCTGCTTTTCCAGCTAGCTTATTTATTTGAATAACTTTATAACCAAATATCGCACGAATTCGAGACCGGTATCAATCGATTCCTTATTTAATGCGTTTTCGATTAATACCGGTTACACTTATATAGCTATATATTTAAGGAACGTATTTAAGATAAAAGAATTAATTTAAAAGGTTTAATGTACGTAATATAGTGTATATAACCATTCATAATTTATATTTTAAGATATGATCGCCATATAATTTGCTTGGGTAATTTAACTAAGTGGGTTTTTACAGGGTTTAAGATGGAGACAAGGTCAAACGCTCCGATCTAGAAGGTCATTCCACCTGGGCCGACTGTTGTGGTGCTTGGCAAATTCACCGTCTGGTGGATTGATGTCCCGGACCGGTGGGTGTCTACGCGTCTGCTTTTACTGATGGCTATAATTATGTACGAACATATCTGCTCTACATAACGTTAATATCTGCCATGTATGTGTTCAAGGAAGAGGGAGGAGGTAGGTATATACCTCAAGCTAATATATATATACATATAACAATATCATCATCCTTATCGAAGACTACGTGTTGTTTAGGTATGTGCATTGCCTCTATTTACACTAACCTAGGTACTCTACCTACTTACCTACCTACCTACATACTTAAGTAAGTATACCAGTCGTCAATTCCCGTTAGTTGTTAACCCCATTCCATCTAACCAAGCATCCAAGCCTCTGTCTACCCAATCCCAAGGAACCATATGTACCGTCCCCTACCCTACCCGACCATGCCCTACGCATATACCGACACGACAGCCGTGCTGCCGCGGCGAGGCAACTAAGCCCAACCGAGTAAGAACGAAGAAGGCAGCCACACATAACATGTATGTACAGTAGTTATTAGTCCAGTTTAGCTAACCCAAACCCGAACTAAAATCTACATTTTAGATTTGATGATCATCGCTAGCCGACCAACTACACTAGTGTTTTTTGTAGGTTGCATTGTCGATCACTACCTACCAGCAGCAATACTATGTACATAATCCGTAATAATGGATTACTACTTATTAGTTATTAGCTAGCTACAAGCTGCCACACACTGGCTGGAGTAGAAGGTGGCCCTTGGGCCTTGGGGGTCCTCACTTTATTAAACCTTGAACTCGCTAACTAATAATTAACTGATAACTACTACTATGTAATGTAGGTAGTAGTAGTGTGGTATGCCCAGATCTGGAGCTAGTAACGCTGATTGCCTATTTGTACCTTGCTGCTGGCACTGCGCCTCGTTATCAATTTTGTTTTCGTTGTTTGTGCGTAGGTAGGTAGGTAGGTTGGGCAGGTATCAATCCATCTTGTTCCATTGGCATCGACGAATGTTTCGTCTGCGATTGGTAACGTGGAGGAGGTATGTGTCGATTAGACCCCTAACATACTACTGTGTTAGCAAAACACTGAACTGTTACGCACCTAGGGACCTAGGCCATTAATGCGGCACAACTGTAGGTATGTTATGTAGGTACCTATGGATATCAGTGAATTGTATAGGTCAATTATGTGTATCTGAATTATTCATCACCTCCAATGTTACTCGAACTGAGGTCTCGCCTAAATACCTAGTACCTACCCGCCTATCCATAAGCAGGCAAGTAAGTATACAGGTATGTAAGTGCAAACCCGCTGAAGCCTAGAGCCTACATGATATGTGTACCATACCATGAACGCCCCGTGACTCCCCATCCCCTCCCCGCAAAAAAGAAAAAATAGAGAAATCCATAGCCAAACGCCCATCACCCCCCTAAACCCCTCAAGTAGTCCTTATGTGTATAGCCTTAAAAGGCTTCTGTACAGTATGTCCAAAATTCCAGCCCATTATCATAATAATTATCGTATCTTTTTCCGAAGCCCGCGTGTACTGTGTATATCCCATCCAAGCCCTATCCTATCCAATCCTCCGCGTTTATATGTTCTAGACCAGAGGGCTGAAACCCTCGTAAGATAACCACCTACCCACCTATCTAATTAGGTAAATAGTAGATAGTTATCCCAAGCGCCATTCGTGTATATAGTAGTAAAGTGCAGTGCATAGTGTAGTGTAGTGTAGTGTACTGCAGTGTTGTGTTGTGTAGACGCCACTTATTTTGTCTAAATCTCACGTTTGCCCTTGGGCATACCACCATCGGTGTAGACATTCATCTGCACGATGGCTCTGCCATCTGTCATACCGACAAAGGACGGCCACCGCTTTACGCGATCATCGTCGCCCACGTCTAGTGTGAGGTACACGGCCCTTCCGGCCTCGAGGAGACCAGGATCGCTGGACCGTTGGTCAACTTGTTCGACTTCTGGTTTGATTGTGGTGCTAGAAGTAGGAAGGTGTTTCGTTAGCAACTGGAGAAGGGCTGGGGAGAAAATGTAGTGGGTGTAGGATGATCCAATGTAATACAAAGAAAAGGAGAGGGGGTGTATGGGGACATACTTGGACGAAATCGTGCCAGTAACCTCTTTTCCACAATCACGACCATCTGTGGCCGTGCTTTGCGATAACCTTCGGGATTCCCTTTGGGCTTTGGCACGCTTGAAACACATTTTCATTGCCAGGTGTATTAGATGTCCGATACCAGCGACGACCAGTACGGGAGTACCTAACGCAAGAGCCCATTGTCTAAAACGCATTAAATCTGATTAGCCGTCGTTCTATCTCATAAAAGAAGTAAAAATAAGTGGAGGGAAGTTAGAGGGGTTTACATACGGATGTCGCACATCACACAAGTGATGCCAAAGCGCAAGCACAATGCCCAAGATGGCTATCTCCGAGCCGAGCTGAAGCATCGTCCACGTCGACCAGTACAGCGACATGAGGTCCTCTCCATCGCAAAATTGCAACGCGAGAAGTGCAAAGACCTCCATCACGAGAAATACAGCGGCTAATAAGAACAACCCCGTGCAGCATATTAGGCTCCTCTTCAGTTTCCTCCGGAATAAGTCTTCGCGGTATTCTGGATGGTCTTTGTACGTCATTGTCCTATAGTCTCTTGTTAACTCCGCTTTGCTTACATCTAATAGAAGGTGAAGCTTGGGTGGGATTCCACATCACTGCTTGCATGCTACTTACGATTGGAATAGCCATGATGCTATGAATAGGGTAAATATGACAAGGAAGAACATAGTCCAGTAGATGCCATCGAAGTGCGGCCTATCGAAGCCCGCGGCGAACTGGGCATAATTTGGGCATCGTAGGGGATCGTACGGTGAGAATTGACCACCCATTCTATGGAGCTTTTGATAACGGTAGCTAGGTAGCTAGGTAGGTATGTAGGTGCCTGTAGGTGCCTGTAGGTGAAGAAGCCAGCAGTAACAGGTTTGATTGTAGTAACGATCAGAGGCGGGAATGGTTAATTAATCTACTCCTATAAGATACAGATACAAGCAGATACAATATATCAACAGGCCGGTCTTGGTGCCAAGCGATGATTCTCAGAACTGGAAGCGGCAAGCGACTCTACCGTACGCCACGGCTGGCGCCGTCGGGGAACGAATACCCGCTTCTATAGGCTCAAGGGGAAAAGGAATGACATCTATGGATGTAATTGATATAATTGATAAGATTCCATCATTTTAGGGCATAGTATAGTATGGTATAGTGCCGAAAGCCAAGGACCCGGGGAGGTTTATAGCGGCCGAGAGGGCCTGCGCCGTGAAATTCATGACAAGGCCAAGTCCTTAGAAGAAGGAGGGCAGCTCCTTGTGTGCGGGAGTATGCCAGAACGGTGAAACACTTATCAGTAGCTAGACATGTAGGTAATGCTTGCACGTGTCAGTCTCCCAGTACTGCTAGAACTTTAGGGCCTCGACACGAGACTGAGACGGGACGTTTGATGTGGGACACCGCATGTCTAGCGTAGAAGTAAGAGCAAAGTTTAAGATGAGAGTGAAAGGTAACGAGTAAGCTTATCAGGTTTCCTGATTCAGGCAATTCCCACTTGCTCCTACACAGCCTCACGCTTCTCACTTCTTCACTTCTGGGCGGTCGCGATGGCGTACAACCAGAGTGTTGATCGATCCTTGGCAAATCAAAAAAGTAATCCCCCAAGCAAGACAAGGAACCCATAATTTGCAGAATCGAATCGGGCTCTTGGGCATTGTGGCTATCTCTTCTAGTGGGGATCCTTAGCAGAGCCCAACCATGGCCGATCTCAAGCTATCTGTGAATCTCAGTAACACGTAGATCATTAAGGGGATTGCAACCTTACGGCATAGATCTAGGTTAGTAATCCATCCCTTCCATCAGTTCGGTACGGTCCAGAATCATGCCCTTTTGGCCAATGTACTCTCGTAGAGAATCCCAGTCCGGCCCTTCTTCTTCACCTTGGCGCCATTTCTCCCGGAACCCCCACGCGCAACTAACTTTATCCAACGCAGCCCTCTCATCCTCTCTCATCCATCGCATCCGTAGAGGTACACCGGGAGCCCACGACACCCGTTTCATCTGGTCGTTTGCCGTCGCCATCGCCACAAAGCCAATGGACGCCGTGCAGCCGACGTAGGCTAAGATGCCGATAAAAGCCACATTGGTTGCTGTATCGTTGTCCATGGACTCTTGTAGACCAGATAAGCTTGTAGCTAAAATATAGGCGGCAATAGGCGCCGCAGTGAACGTTGCTAACGGTAGTGCGCATTGGCGTACGACTTTATTTCGAATAAATGCTTTCTTGCTGTAGCTGTTCTCAATAATCCCAACTGCCGCATCTAGATTCTTAGCTTCGATGGCAGTGTCAAGCGCCTTCTCAATTATCTTTGGTTGAATGGCGTTCGCTAGCCTGTTTGGATTCTGCTTGGCGTAGCTAATGGACCCCGCGGCTTCGCGAGGCATTGGCTTCGAAGCATACAATTGAAAGACCTGGGGAAGAGACTCAGGTCTGCCAAGGCGGGCTTGGACAGAGACGTATTTTTCCAGTAGTTCAGATGTGATGAAAACATTCGGATGTGATATCACCTCGTAGGCAGTATCTGATACCATGTCGATGATTTGTTTGACCTGGGCTGTTATGGCGGCAGCACTTGTGTCTTCAGAAAGCTCGGATGACTTGGAATTGCTCGTACTGTCCAGTGAGAGGAGTTCTGCGGCAGTCGAATCAAGCTCATTCACCATATGAGTTATTTGAGGTTTTACAGTATCGTCCATGATATAATCAGCTACGATGTAGCATGCTTGAAGCGCAGCCATCACGTCAGCTTCTGGCGGTATGCGTCGATCTGAGACGACTTTTAGTTTACTTTTTTCCAAGTAAGTCATCATATTAGTGATGGATGACAACTCGGCACGTTCTGACTTGGGCGCCGCCCTGGGTACTTGCTTCACCGGATCACCACGTTCTCCTGTAGTATCGTGGATATTCCGGGAGCCAGGTGTAGAGTTAGAGTTCCGAGTCGGCAATACTGCCGATACTAAGGGCCGTGGCTGGGCTGTTTTGGCTCCCAATTGGGGTTTTCCATAGTGTGCCCGTGACCCGGCAGGATTGCGAAATCTCAATAAGGGGTTCGTAGAGTATAAGCGACGGTTGATGACCGAATCACAAATCTGACATAGAGGCCGCGAGCGCGGGGCAACAATAGGTCGAGGCATCTTGCTACCTACTGCATGTAGGTACTTAGTAGAAAGTAACACACCCTGTTCTCAAGCTTAGGTAGGCGATGAGGCGAAAGGAAGTTCAATTAAGAATTCGGCAATTAGTAAAAGTTGGCGGGATTGGGAATTGATTAGCAAAGATCTCGGATGCGACAATTCCCATTCGACATTGCATATGTACTACTAGTACTACCTACATGTAGGTATCCATGATGGCATGATGTACTACATACTAGGTAGTTATATGTACTACCTAGTAGTAGTAGGTACCTATAGTACACATGTATTATAGGTGAAATTGAACATTGAAACAGCCCTAGAGCCTTATCGATAACTATATATGTAGTTAACTAATCACTTAACTAAGTAACTAAATGCAAGTTGTACTCTGCGCCACAACGTGACGACACAGCATGGCTACATGGCGGCTGAAGAAAGGTTAAACGCTTGTTACCTTGAACCTCGTACCTTGAACCTCGAACATTGAACCTCCCTTAAATCAATTTATCTTTAGATAAGGCTCCGAGTCACTTCGCATTGCGCGTCACTCACTTACTCACACACACTCTCTCTTACCCAGATACTTACCCAGATACTTGCCCATAACTCTAGCCATTCACTTGGAGAGAGAATTGATTTTACCACTTTGCCATATCATTCTAAATTATATCTTTCTTTCTCATTCTTGCTTCTAGTGACCGACTGACCGACTGACCGACCGACTCTATTGTCAGACTATCTCTCTCATTAAGAAATCCAGATTACCCACCAACCCGACGTTTTCGATACTCAAACCAAGACTTACACCCTCGATATTCAAAGGAGTGCCTGAGTCTTTCTCTTCGAAATGCCTCCTCCTCCACCACCACCGCCACCGCCTCCAGGTATGGGAGGGCCACCACCACCTCCTCCACCCCCCGGTGGTTTGCCTGCCCGTCCACCCGCTGGTGTTGGTGTTGGCCGGGGTGCCTTGCTTGGCGATATCACAAAGGGAAAAGCCTTAAGGAAGGCCGTTACGAACGATCGGTCTGCTCCCATAGTGGGAAAAGTCTCGGGGGGAGGAGGCGGACCGCCGATGGGAGGAGCACCCCCCGTCCCCGGCATGTCTAGGCCTGCAGCACCACCCGGTGGCTTAGCACCCCCTGTACCCGGCGGCATTAGAACGAGAAGCAATAGTGATCACGGAAATAGTAGTGCGCCAACAGAACCAGCCCCACAGTTATCAGGTTTGTTTGCGGGTGGTATGCCGAAACTCAAGAAGCGTGGTGGAGGAGTAGATACCGGAGGTAAATTCGTGGCCCCCATCAAGTCTCGAGGTAAGAATAGCAAGCTCACATTGGATCTAGCAAACCAAACTGCGTCGTATATGTCTGATACAGAATCATCTCCATCTGCCCCCAAGGTTCCATCAGCGCCAAGACCTCCCTTCGGAGCTGCTCCCGCCATACCAGCACTCCCCGGCCGTGCCGTGCCAACACCCCCGGCGCCGGGCCCCCATGCATCGATAACCAATCTAAGGAAAACGGCAAGTGATGTTCCACGACCGATCTCGACTGCATCCTTAGCATCTTCCAAAGGGCCCCCGCCTCCCATTGGAAAGAAGCCACCTCCACCACCCGGGTCCCGAAAACCACAGACTACACCCTCTCATCCGCCTCCCCTACCCGGTGTGCACGCCCCTCCGCCTCCGTTACCCGGCACCCACGCACCACCACCTCCCCCATCGTCTGCACCGGCTCCCCCGGTTCCACCTCCTCCTCCTCCAACAGCTGCACCAGCGCCACCACCCCCTCCGCCAGTATCTGCACCCGCGCCTCCACTACCACCTCCAGTTGCAGCTCCCAGACCACCTGTTGCGCCAACACGCTCGCAACCACCTCCCCCGCCACCTTCATCCGCGCCGCCCTCGAGCGCCCCATCACCATCACCTAACATCGCCTTACAAGCTGCATTGCGCGCCACTGCAACAGGAGGCCGCTCCTCACCAACCTCCATGCCACCCCCGCCACCCCCTTCATCCGCACCTACGCCGCCAGCGCCCACAAGAGAACCTTCCGTAAACCGACAGCGCGCGGGCTCGAATCTGCGGTCAATGCTAGACCCAAGCTCCTACACCCTCGCTCCAAACGGTGGCAGCGCAAAGAGCCTAAGCCCGACACCAACCGGCAACAGCGCAACCAGCCCACGGGACTCAGGTCGACTCGGAGGAGGAGGGGAACGGTACATAGTCCAAGACAGCCGGTGGCGCTTCAAGGATGAGAACGAGCTTCCCAAGCCCCGACAATTCCAGGGCGGTCCCCGCAAGTACCGCGCCGGCCGCGGAAGCAGCGTGCCCCTAGACTTGAGCGCGCTCTAGGAGGGTGAGCCGAGTTGGAGGAGAAGCACTACCCATATTCGTAAAGGAGGAGGGAGAGGAGGGCTCCAAGCAGGACGAATCAGAGAGGACGAGAAGGAGGACGATGCTGCAAGGGAAACGGGGAGCATGGCGAGGAGGAATACAAATTCGAGTGCGAGCCCGAGGAAAGATAAGGAAGGGTGGTTGCGTATCCGTTGGTGAAGCTCGCCGATATAGCCAACCGACTAACTCAAGCTATCTACCTGCCTACCTAACTCTATGAAAGGAGGTAGAGTACCTAGGTATATGGTATTCGAAACCCCCCCCCCCCCAAGGGGAAGAAGAAAAGGGTGGTTGGTGATGAAAAAAAAAGGGGGGAAAGGCGCGCATTTGTTATCGTTGCTGCTGCTGCCAGCCCATCCCATCCCATCCCATATACATACGTACGTCTTTATGTCACGCCGCCGCTTACGATAGAAGAAAGAAGAAGAATACCCCCCCACCAAATAGAAGAATAAATCCGATTAGTCTTTTGCGATTCCTGGATGGGTATGTATGTAAATTTGCATACAGCGTAGCATTATCGAAGCGGTTCATGTATTTCTCCCCCCCCCCCCCCTTTTTATTTTATTTTATTTTTCTGTCTTCTAGTAAGTAGGTGCCTAGGTAGGTGCTGCGTTTTACATGAGCGACATCGTGATAATCTATGTAGACGAAGAACGGATTTACTAGGCACCTAGGTAGCCTACCTAACTATGCTACTCCTATTGGCAGCACATGGACTTTACTTCACAGGATCAAACCAAGGCGGCATCGATTAAGGCATCCATCTCTTATATTCTTTTCATTTAGCGACCTAGCAGGTTCATGACTACTTGCAGCAATCGATCTGTTTGCCCATTGCCTTGGGACATGAAATAGCCTCCCATCCATATATAGCGAAAATCCGCCTACGCGCCTGCCATCTTACTGGAATTACCACATGGAGGTTTTGGGGACGACAGGGGTCAATGCTGTCTGAATCTGTGCAAGCTGGAGGTTGTCTCCCCGGCGGCCCACACGGTCGATTTTGTTGACCATCTCAATAGCTGATTCGATGATATCGACGAAAGCGCCGTCCCTTTGGAGCTGTTCGGGCGTCCACGTGACTTCGTCTCCCAACTCAAGGTCTCGGTTTTGCTTGAATGCCTCCTGGACGATTGTGGATTGGAAGGATGCCTCATACCAGGTCGGAAGCTGGCCAAGGTGCGGGATTCCAGGAAATTGCTCGAGGGTAATGTTCATCAAGCCATTCTCCCGCGTCATGTTAGATGGTGCCATGTCATGCACCTCGCAGATCTCCAGCATACATGAGGAGGGGAACTTTTCTTTGCCATCAATAGAGCAAGGGGAAACTCCTTCAACTTTCTCATAGGAAACAGTGTTTCTGACTCGGACCACGTCGATACCAGCTTGGTAGGCATCTACAATGGCGAATTTCAATATAGGTACACTAGATTCCTGCGGTCTATTTGGAAAGTTAGTGAAATAATAAAAGGGGGCCTGAACAAAATACGTTACTTACACGACTTCCATACGATCAATGAGGTCTTGCACAAACCCACCAAAGGTATCACGCAAATCTTGAGCCTTCGAGAGCGTGACTTGAATGTCCTTCGTGCGTTCAGGGCAATGCACAAGGAAGCGTGATGCGTCACAGTTCCGGTAGACTTCATATGAGAAGTCCATTGCGTCAATCTCTATAATGAAACTGCAATGCTCTCCGTTCTTCAGTCGTGCAAAGCAGGAGACCTCGTAGATTGATCGACGTTCTTGGCCCCGCCACACTCTTTTCCCAGATTCATTGTCGAAAATGTAGGCGATGGAATTTGCATCTGCCCCCTCCCCAGTAAGGATATTTGTGAAAATCACATCTTCAGAGCTAAAACGGTGTTTATCTAGGATCATCTTAGCCTTGCGCAACGATCTGCCTCGATCTCGAACATGTTCTGCCATCGCGCACACATATTTGCCTTTAATATTTGTGAGGCATAAAAATCCGATTTCAGCCTTGAGTGTTAGCTTGCCAGTGAAAATGCCCAAGGAACTTGTCATTCGGACGAGCTTCTGATCTATCTCTGGTACTAGCGGGGAATCAGGATCGTGCTGGGCCATGGGTTGCTGATCGTTAGTCAGCATTAACATCTGCTCGGCATTCATCTCTTGCTCGTCATGGGACTCTAGTATGTCGAGATCGAGCGGTGCATGGCTCTGTGTTTGAGTCGCCTGGTAAGTGGCCGCTTTAGCTTCGGAGTGAACACTGCTATTGATATCTCTGTTTGGTGGCAGGCTATCACCTGGGTGCAACCTTTGTTTTGCCGGAAAAAGCCATGACTCATAGGCCTCGTATGCTTCTGCTCGCTTGAGAGGTATCGGGGGAGCTCCCTGGTAGAGATCCTGGGGCGAACACAGGCTTACAACAACACCTCTCCAGAATATGTTTTCATAGTTTGAGACTCCCTCACTCAAACGATACTTAGCACGATCCAAGAAGAAGGTTGGAAACTGAGTCGTTACCCCGTGCCTGAGATACGTAAGTTTACTTCGAGCATTTTGTTGCTCCTCGGCATACACGAAGTTCTCGCAACGGTGTTCAACCTGGGGTACTAGAAACTATGATCACGTCAAATGACAGCTTTCGATGCCTCGATTAAAGAAAACAACTTACTGCGTGCCTAAGCAAAGTCGTGAGTTTCCGCTTGATCTTGTCAAGCTTCTCCTTTGATTCGGCGCCGATGTATATGACTTGTCCATCACTTGTCATCAAGCTACAGCCTGCGAGCTGCTGTAGCTTTGCCAAAGCCCCACTCGACAAGAGCTTCGTGACTGCCACGCCCTTCTCAGCTAGCTCCTTTGGCATGATCCAGGCTCCTCGGCATGTAAATCCCCGGATTTCTGGGGGAACCAAGCCCATAATGAACTCCTCGGTGGTTTGTTCGTTGTAGTCAGCGAGAGACTGAAACTGGCCAACTTTCTTGCTTGAGGCCTGGATCTATGTTAGCTACAACTTAAAAATAGTTATAGCTACTTGAAATATGCTCACCAACCCCTCTTGCACAAGGTTTTCTAAGATGAGTTTGCACGAATCCATCAGCTCTTCTTCGTCGCACGCCTTGCACTCTATCTTGACGTGGGAGGTCTCCATGTCGTACGCAATGCGGGCTTGCTATTATTGAATTAGCAAAGAACTACTCTGAGATAATGGAGGGGTTTGGGAAAAGTGAATTGACAGGGTATAAAACTTACTCTACCGTGTGCTTTTAGCTCATTGTTGAGCTGAAGGACCCCTTCTGGCTTAAGTAACCAGTTGGTTATGAGAAAGAATCCGAGTTCCTGGGGTTTCGTATCCCCAGGTGTCTGTTGCGTGTTCTTCGTCACCGCTTGTGGGGAGATTTTAGGCGGCATGTTCGAAATAATCCTAGCAATTTGACTGCTGTTAGCTTATATGTATGGTTGGATCTTAGGAGGGCATGCCAGAGACCTCAGGGCGGCGAGCTGATTTATAAGCTAGCATATGGAAAACCTCGGTTTGAGAAGAGATTTGAGCCCCAAGGTGTGCTCCAATAAAAGGGAACTTGTGGTGAAGTGTATTCTTGGATGTATGTGCACGTGTGTATCAGAGGAGATGGGGGAGGTGAAAAGGGGGGAGTGGTGGTAGACAGACGAGTGTGTAGGTACCTAGGTAGATAATAGTAATGTTGGAGGATAGCAGGGCGGGGAAACAATAGAGAATATCTTCCTCTAGATAATTTGTGGGGATGGTAGAGGTGCCTTGAAGAATGGATTTGATGGCTGGTATAGATATAGCTTACCTGTCTTGGTAGATGATGAAGAGTCGAGATACAACGTAGAATTGTCGAAGATCCACGGACGTATGTACAAGAAGTTGTGAAAGATAAGGCAATCAAGATGAGAAGTTATGAATCATATGGATAAACCATTGGACTAAGATTGAGTTGGGATGACCAATAAGTTAAAAACTGACACGGAAACAATTTAAATGGCAGTCTGTTTAAAAAAAGAAAAGAAAAAAAAAGACGACGTTGCCAGTGTTGGAGAGAAGAGGAAGAGGAAGGAACGAGTTCTAGAATCGAACAATCATGGGCCAAATCTGAACTCGCTCTTCCCGCACACAAATGCGAGGTATCTAATCTATCTAACTAGTACTATGTAGTACATCTAGGTAGTGTCAACGGTACTATGTAACTTCCAAGTTGAATATAAAGTGTGTACCTTATACTGGCGCTTGTGTAGGTCACTGGTGCCTTCCCGTTGAGGTTGATTTTTTGATATGGGCTACCTAACCTGAGGTACCTAGGGTAGGTACTTGCATTTATTCAATAATCCACATTATCAACATAGTATATACCTAGTAGTAATACAAGTTGTGGTTGATCCCTTTGCTAGATGCATACTACTATGTATGTAGGTAGGTACGCAGGTATATTTTTTGGCAGAACTCTGCAACGACGAAGTATAGCATACCTAGTACTATTTATTGTATGTACATGTAGTTTTGGCTCACGAGGGGCTGTTCCACTGCTTTGAGAATATCAACCCCTAGCATGACACTTCTGGAGCCGTTTCGTAACATTGAAGTCAAGGAAGATTTGTAGTTCTGACTGAACATGTAGTGAAGCATTGCATCACCTCTATAAACAGCTTTAATGCTGATATTATTCATCTGTACCATCAAGTAGCTTCTATGTAATTAACAGTACTAGGTACTACTGCTATGGATTATGTATGTACATGGTATATACCTAGGGTAGACAGGCAGGGGATTTCTTTTGCGTAGCGGTTGCCTATAAGAACAATGCTATTTCCATACGTGTTAATGTGATCTCATGACAAGCAGTCCGGATGTTTTGAGGGAAGGAACGGGTGTCCCATTGATATGTTGATACTAAATACCTATCTGCACTCGCCCCTGAATAGGGTAGATCTGGCCAATGCTACAGCCGTTGAACTCACTGCACTCTCCTTTCCATCTTTTGACTTCTCGATTACCCTGGATGTGATTAAACTCACAGGTCAGCCCAATTAGCTCTAATAGCCCCTACCATGGTATCTGTGAAGGGCCTCATAAACTCCCCAATGCCCATTCACAGGAGCTTGAAAGTTACCTAGGTAGATAGGTACCAAACAAATTTCTTGTGATACTACATGATACGTCGTAAGGTAGACTTGTGGAGTAAATAGGATGTGTTGCTGTGAGCTAACAACACTGTGACCTTGGAGAGGGACCCCGCGTATAAGGTACTTACTGTGAAAGTTACCTAGTAGCTAACAAGGTGATGGTTATATGCTTGGGGAGTGAGCCATCATGGGCGGGGAAAGTCATATTCTCACCAGGTTTCATTCAATACATTCGATATTTTTCGATTGATCAAGTTCCCTAACCCCTCTAGCCGTCACGAAGAACACCGAACGATAGCGAACCGTCTGATCGGCCAACTCTGTTCAAATTTCTCTAAAGCTTGCTTCTCCAAGCTGACAATCACTTCTAAGCCTTCCTCACCATCGTTGATGCCAGCTGGAGATCTGGGGAGGATGATAGGGTACCGCTTGCCCCTCAACTTCGGAAGCCTGACGGCATCGCATTTCCCAATAGCTTCGCCCCAATCAATCTCATAAGCAGCCTGGTCTGCCCAAGAAACGATGGATATACTATCATGACGGGGTCCTAGCGTGATTGGAGGATGGTCGTCAGGGGCTGCATTTAAATACTCTAAAGCATCTTGGATACTTTTCTCGTCGACTTGGCGAAGAGAAATACGTATTGTAGAGGCGATCTTGGCTAGTTTCCCGATGGAGTTAGAGCCTATGAGTTCATCGTCGCCTAAAGGACTTCCCGGCATGGCGAAGGATATAAGGTCATCCCTTGCAGACATAGCAGCTGCCATAACAAAGGCAGCACCAATATAGTCAGAGGGCAATGGTGCATTCGCCCGCAAACGGATATTCACTGGAAATCCTATTGTGCTGCTCTTTTCTTCTTGTGTTCTTGGTGTTTCTTCAGATGCTGGCCACTCGTGTTCAGCTACGAGTATTGCGCTCCATAGCAAGGCCGTAATAATATCACCTGTAGAGACCCAACCCGTGACCCCCTGCGAAGTGATATGCTCATTCACCGCGTGTTTTAAGGTCTGTAGGGTCTTCTGAGGAAAGAACAAAATGTCAGTAGTGAAACCATCAGGATATAATCGTGAGTTAGCAAGACGAGCGTGATCGTCAGGCCCTCGGATGTGAAGGAGCTTAGGAATACCGCTAGGCACCTTCCTCATGTTCATGTCATAATGTTTGAGTAAAATACTGTGATCCATCCACATAGGATCAAAAATTGTTGTTGTAGAACCGTTTGTTTGACAGTGCGAAGCCCACGTCTTAAGAATGACCCCAAATCCGGTGATATCGGTGGTGCAGTGGTGGACGGCTACGCAAAGAACTATCCCCCCCTGAACGAACGACACCCTGGCCCGAAAGACGGGCGTTGGGTTCGAAAATGGAGGCTGGGTTTCGGGAGGTGTCATTCCTGGCCCAGAGAACATGGATGGTGGAAAATGCTCCTCTCTCATGACGGTATAGTTGACTGTATCTGAACAATCTTGCTCTGAGTAGAGATCATCCACGGTTTGATATGGTTCGGCTAGTAAGATGTAGTGGTGATTCTCTTCATTGATGACAACTGCGGAGAGAAGATACGGAATATCAGCGACGAGTTTAGCTAAACCCGCTTTGAGAACATGGGATATGTTTGAGTGCGTTGTGGGGAAGCTGAGCATTTGACGGATATAGCCTCGAGGCATCAGTTTATCGAGTGGAGAGAGGACCGTCATATTGATGAGATTAGTCATCTTCCATTACTATGTGGGTACCTAGGTAACCTTAGGTAATCATGAGGCACCTGGACCGTCGCGTTAGTACGAAACATTAAAATGCAACACGCGACGCCAAACGCTGTCGTGACAACACTGTCGTATGCTAAATTAAATAAATGAAAACTGCGCCCGGTTAGAAATCCCGTTAGAAATGGCTAGACGCGTGGTATGGCAGGTACCGGTAAATTGGATGAGTGTCCCCAGTAAGCGCTAGGCTAGGTTAGACGATTCGCTGCTTAACCCACATGAGACCGATTTGTAGTGCGGAGATTATCGTGGAATAAAACTCGCGAAATTCGAAAATGCATATATGCACCTCATCCCTTTTATGCACATGCACCTCAGATCATCTATACCTATGTACCATTTATGTACTGATATTAATGGGACCTTGATGATAAAATTAAGGATCTTGTCTGTTTCGATAGATTGGATATTCATTATTAGGGATTTAGTGGAGTGGATGTCTGCTTTGTATGAGCCATGATAATCTATCATGGATGTATAAAAGAGAAGCATTGAAAGGACATTTGGAAATGTGGAAAGAATAAAAATCAAGAGAAAAAATAATATTGAATAACTAAAAAAAAATAAAAGTTGGGTTACATTGATGACATATGCATGTCTTTGTGCGCGCTGGTTGCTATGCTAGCCTTACTATTAGGTGCCTAGGTCCTTATGTATTCCAAGTTATTTTGATAATTGGGATAATTATAGCGACAATCTCGGAAACGTTGAAAGTTGAACGCGTTCGCGGGTACAGTGCCGTGTCATGGATCAAGGTATGATACAGAGGGCTAAACAGGGGACTAGCCAGGGGTCATTGGAGGCTAGCAGGGCTAGATGGACCTCAGACGGCGTGGCTTTGGCGGGGGATCACGAAGACATAAGCCACAATGTACCACACTTTGGCTAGGAAAATACCTCCAGCAGGCTCTAGGGCTAGCAGATTGTAGCAGTACAATTGTACCTAGTAATGTTACGGTACCTAGTATAAACTCGTACTGTAGGGCCTAGTTCATGGGCCTAGCTCAGTAAACAGCGAAACACAGCGACCACAAACATTGCCAGGTGAACATCCATTAATAAGGAAGATTGGGGAAGGCCCGTGATTTCTTATCCCAATGCTCATTAGCACAAACGTCCGTAAACATGGCCACCAGTCAATCCTCAATATGATTTTGTTCCATGAATAGCTAACCTAGTACATATCAAATTGGACATACGAAAAAAGAATAAGGATAATAATTTGTACAAGAAAATAATACACCTCATACTCCCCACCTGCGGTACTTACAATATTGTCTTGAATCTTGAGAGTCTTGAGTCAAAGTCTCGAGTATTGAGTTCTCGAAGTCTGGACTCTTATTAACTGAGTTATTTCACCCATTTACTGGCGCTGGCTTTTTTTCTACCTTCTACCTTCTACCTTACCTTACCTACCTACTTACCTACTTGCCAACTTGCCAACTTACCAACCTACCGATCTGACTCGACTAAGCGAATCCTGATATCTGACCTTTTGCCTCGACTGCGCCTTGGACGACATAGCACAGCTCTGCTATTGTATGACCGCCCAACTCTATATTATACAACGACCACAAGCCGAGTAAATCGCCAAAGATTGGCGAGGATTGTCCAGGCGAAACTAATTAACCATCAAAACCATATCACTGGCCAAGATTCCCATATTCGCTACCACCGCCACTACTACCACTGCTGCTACTTTCTTATTGCTAGGACGAATTCGTCCTAACACGACTTGGAGCAATAGGCCATGAGAAATGCCCAGTCGGTTGCAAAAACCTCGATCTCGTCCATACGAGCCCGAAGCCGCTATTCAACAAGATATTGAAAACGGTAAGGAAATATCCGTGGCTTACTCTCTATTACACATTAGCAGAGACCTCCGGTTCATTCTGCATTTTTTTTGCCTTTTTCTTCGTTTTCAATGCTTTTCTAAGGACCATCATGAAGTATACTTAGCTATATTTTGGTCCTTGTTGGTGCCCTGTTCAGGTTCATGAGACAAAGCAAAACCCCCCATATTGTTCTTGTACGAAATGTTGTCGAATTCAAATTAACTTGTTCTTTAATAGAATCTTCGTACTCGTTTGCTCAAGTGTTAGATGCGAGCCCTAAAACAAAGCGCCCTTCTACTTCATACAGCGTAAAAAACACCATGAATACCTACAACTCCTCTCCCAACCCAAAATACCATCCTTACGCCAGTCCTGGTTTTTCTTCACCAAACGGCAACAGCAAAATTCCTTCCACCATACGGACCGTCCCCAGCTTCGAAGAGCCTTCAGATGCCTCCTCGTTAGACTCGCCCTCTGCACGAAATAGCGGGTTTTCTAGTTCGGTCAACAGCAATATTAGCAACGGCACCTCACATCATTCACAGCAACCGCAAGCATATAGCAGCTCAACCGTCAGATTAAAACCACAATCATCTGGCTTAGACTCGCCAAGATCTCAAAGCGAAGCCTCATACATGTCTACAAGCGATGCGACGCCGCGGCGGGACGAGAACGTCGAGGATTCGACCCCATCTCTACAAGTTCCAGAGTTTACCATGTTCGAAGATCAGCAAGCAAGAACTGAACCTTCACCACAGTGGGATGGTGCCGTTGGCAAGGCTGGTCTGGGGAAGACTGGCCGTGTGATTAACAAATTGGTGTCGGACAACGAGACGCTGAAGCGCGATATTCAAATTGAGAGATTAAGGGCTGATGAGGCAAAGCAAGCCGCCAAATTAATCGAGGACAAGATGGAGCGCATGATAACAGACTACGATGCTCGGTTACACGACTCCAGCGTCAATAAGACGCTACTTAGTCGCAAGGAGCGCCAGGTGGAGTTTTTACAGTCCTTGGTCGACCAAGAGAAAAAACGTACCGCTGAAGCTCAAGAGCGCGAAAAGGGATGGATGGAAGAACTAGAGAAAAGCCGTCGTGACGCCCAAGTTCAGGTCGAGGAGGCTAAAGCCCACGCGATGCTAATGGAAGGCCGATATAACGCTATCTCATCGCATTGGAAGGATCAAGGCGAAGAAGTGAAGCGCGTCATGGCCGGTCTCGATGTTAAAATCAAGGCTTTAGTTGAGGAACGCCGGGTGGACGATGAAAAGATCAATGTTCTCCGCGATCTGTGTGACCAGCAAGATGGAAATATCCGAGACCTCCAAAAGCAGAAAGATGACATTGTCCAACAGTTTGAGGCCTATAAGCGCGAGCAAGAGCAAGCACTACGAGATATAAAGAAAATGGCCCGTGAAAGGGAAGAGGAACAGGAGAGGACACTGGAGGAGTCGAAACGAGTTCTTGGACAGCTAAGATGGGCACTCAACGTGAAGAAAAACGTGAAAGGTGCTGAGTGATAGGTATCCAATTTTTGGGCGTTTTCATTTCACGACTGACGGACTCTACCTACTCTCTTCAATGATCATATAAGTTCGTTGCATTTCATTGCCATTACCGGAAGTGGCGGGTTTTGACTTTATAATACCCTTTTCTTTCTCAATCCCGACTTCATCCTTCGCAGCTCTATATCCTCCCCCTCCGAAGAAGTCGTCATTATTCGACTTTACAATAAACCTTCTACCATTCATGAGATGGTACTGCGATTCTTTCTTCCCGACTCCACACTCCACACTCCAACTTTAACGCATGATGCATAGAGTGACTACGGGCCGGTCAGGAAACAACGCCGGAAAAAATATTATGGTCTGGATACGTTACGATACTTGAATGGCGCTGCAGGACGAACAAGATATTACGACTTCGCGGTTTTGAAACTAGAGCTAAGCTCTGTGGACCGCGTTATTTTCGATTTATTGCAGGGCAAGAACCTTTATTGTTAAGGGGACAAGGAGAAAACCCTCGGTTAACATGATAAAGCATGTATGAATATTTACATTCAAAACCCTCACTCTCTGGTTCGTGTTTTCGTTCTCCCTACGTTGCATATACCCGGATTACTCGTTGATAGAAAGAAAGAAAGAAAGAAAATATGTTTCTTGATTCAATTGTACATACATAAATGTTAAAATGTCCCATTTCAAGTTTGATCTCGAGTCTCTGAGATTCTCTTGTTTATTGTCTGTTTGTTGTTAAATTATTACCTACCTAGGCTGCTTAGGGGCCTAGATATTGTCATATTCCCCTGAACATTGCCTGCGATAACCCATGGTAGTTTAGCAGGCAAGTGCCTACTCAAAAATGTATTTAATAGGCGAGAATATTATGCTGCTATCTCATATATAAAACATAGGTACAATTTACCAGTATTGAATCTCTCAACATGGAAGTTGGAGATACCTAGTTAGCATGCAATAGGGGCAATTTTTACGCACGCATCAGTACCGTGACAAGTTCACCAAAACTTTTTCAATGTAATTATATAGGTAGTAATCTGCCTGACTGGAGAATAGAAGGACTAGTATCCTCGTTCATCACAGCCTGTCAGTTTTTCTGCACTTCTCATCTCTCCCCCCCCCCCTTCCTTTTTTTTTCCGATTTTCTGTTTTCGAAGAACACAAAGAGATATCCATGGATACACGACGAATCGAAACATCACTGCGAACTCAGACCTACTAACAAGTAGATCTACTCACAATGTCTTGTTTCCATCACATTTCCGTCCCTTTTCATTAATAGTACTCGTGCTCTTGCCTTCAACGTAAAGCATGCCTCATTCAACAGCAAATTACCTCGTTCAAGGCGCATCATGCGTAAAAAACCTCGTCGTAGTGCTAGTCCCTTTCATTAGGAGAAGGACTCATTCGTTCGTCTTTTTTTTCATCACATCACATCACATCATCTCCTACCGTTTTCCCCTTTCCACCACAAGTTCAACATAAACTTGCGTAACACTGGGTAGGCGGGCGACTAGGTATACCTACCTCCTTGAGGCATTTGGCATTTGGCCAACACCACCACCAACAAGAACAAAACAGCTACTTAACGCCAATTCATAAACCTCCCCCCCGATCCGTGTCCCGTGATCGGATTATTGCTGTAAAGCCCCCCTCCTCTCCCCTGCACCAGACGCGGCATCGCCTGCGCGAACGGCAGTCGGTTGCGACGGTACTCCGGGACCGTGATCGCAACGATCTCCGGCTCGTCTTCCCCCTGGAAGGCGATGTGGGCGTTCGGGCTGCTGGGGGGGTTGGGGGTGGTGGTGGTGGTGGTGTGTTGGTCGGAGGAGTCGAGGCGCGTGGCGAGGCTCGCGTACGCGTTGTCCATGTAGATCGCGCGCGCGTTGGCGCTTGCGTTGCCCCGGTGGGTGCGCGGGTTTACGCTCGCGAGGGCGGTGCGTTGGGGGCTGGTGGTGGTGGTGGTGGTGGTGGGTGCGGCTCGGCGCGGGGACTCGGGTGGTGCGCGGGCTTGGGTTTCTTGGGCTCGCGTGGCCTGGTTGTTGTTGTTATGATCATGCGCCTCTTGCGACATCGCCATGCTTGCCGCCGCGGCGCGCAGCTCGGCGAGGGTTCGCGCGTTGATGGAGCGATCGACGGGTTGCGGTGGCCGGCGCGCGGCCATGCTGGGCTCGGCGGAGGACTGGCGCATCATCATTGCGGTGGCTGAGGGCGGCTGCGGGTGGTGGGTTCGGGGCGCTGAGGGGCGGCGCTGCTGCGATGCGGGGAGGAATGGGTTCCAGTCATCGCTGGCACTTTGAGTCGGTACGCTTGGTCGGGTGGTTGTGGTGGTGTTGCGAGAACCAAGCTGGATGCGGATTTGGTTCTGACTCTGGGCACGGTTCTGGATGCCTCTGGCGACCGCGTTAGGGGGGCGAATGGTAACGACATTATGCGGCCCGAGTTGACGCGGCAGCTGGGTAACCGCTGTATGAGCACGGTTCTGGATACCTCTTGCTCCTGTTGTCACGTCAGGCGGGGTTGTGCCGATGACAGCCTGAGGTCTGGGTGGTCTGGGTAGCTGGGTGCCGGCACTGGCCTGGGCTTCGGCCTGTGCTGGAGCTCGGGTGCGTGGGACGTTTAGGGGGGAAATTCGGCTGCCTGTGGGGGCAGTGGTAGGGCTATCAGCTGCAGCTGTTGCTGCAGGTCCGTTGATCTCATCAATAATAACAACACTATCCTCCTCATCACTGTCATCTGTCATGTCATCTTCGCTGTCAAGAGGGGTAGCGTCATACAGCGTGGCATCAAGCCCCTCATACGAGGTGTCGTCGGGAGATTCGGTTTGGGCCTCAATTGGAATCTCAGAATGGGGTTCAGCGCCTGGTTGGGCTAGAGCTGCGGCCTGACTATTACTCTCCGTGGTGTCATTAAGATAACCATCCCAATCGAAGACAAGAGATTCGAACTGCTCCGGAGTCTCAACTTGGACCTGAGGTTCTGTGGTTGGACGCCCCTAGCGGCCTAGCACTGGACCTGGTTTGTGAACTTTAGATATGTCTGTCGTTGTAATCTCACTCCCGTTGGACTCAAGCTGGGACTGGATTGGAGGGTGGTTAGTTGTTACGGTGTTACTGTAGCTAGACTCAGGTTGAGCCTGGGTTTCGGACGATATTTCTGGTAAGATCGAAAACAGAGTCCGGTGACTATTCATAGTGATGCTCGAAGTAATATCCTCACTCACGAATGGAGATAATTCCTGAGTCTCTCCGGAAGGCGTGTTCTCTTGAACTTCGGGTTGGGGCTTTAGCTGATTGCTACTCAGCACAGGTCCAAGTATAAGTTGGCTTCGTGTTCGGGGCCGGGTCAGAGCCGGGGATGGGATCATGGCACGGGGTTTGGCCATTGTCTTTGCCAAAGCTGGTGTCCGAATGCGAGCTGAAGCTCGAGAAGCTTGAGGGTTAGAGGCTGAAGAGCCCTTGAGTTGAGCTACACGCCGAGGTACAGGCCGAGCCCTACCACTCTCTTTCTGTGTCGTGCCCGAGGAAATGGGAGCAGGTTCTTCGGTCAGATGTACCTTATTTGGTGGCGTCACTTCATCACCATTCGCTTGGCCTCTTTTGCTTGGTACTCGCGGTGATTTGACTGTAGAAGCCGGGCCGTCATCGACAGTCATACTATCAAATTTGTCATAGAGTGACCTATTGTCGCCCATATACCGACTTTTCGGAAGTTTCTTTAAAGGCATGTTCAGGTCATATAGACCATCTTTGCACCGCACCTTGATCAGATCATTTCCAAGTTCCATTTGGTGCAGACCTGGTCCGATGAATCGAGGAAACATTTGGCCATCGCGGAAGACAGCCATAGACTGTGTGAAAGCCATTCGGAACATGATAGGGTACGGCAATTTCATACCTCGATACTCGTCACCAATGTCTTTCTTGCCAGACTTTTTTCCGGGGGCCAGTACTACCGTGTATAGTCCACCTAAACCCTTGGGGCAATGCCCATCAGCCTCCGACACATGATGTGTGTCGAAGTTCATCCTGTAACCGCTAGGGCTTATCACATAATGGCTCTTTGGCAGAGCAATTTGAAATAGCATTTTGCCTTCCATGCTCTTCAGGTCTTTGACTCCCTCCTTCTTGGAGTAGGGCACGATACCAAGAGCGCCCTTTCGGGGTTGCAAAGATAGTTGTGGACCAAAAGATATTGTGCCTGTGGGAGTCGATGACATATGATCCATAGATTTCGTTGGGGGTTCAACTTCACTGTTTTCCTCCGATAGCTCGCCTGTCGCGGCAGAACTTGTCTGGGGAGTGTTGGTTAAGGACAGCTGTGGTAACTAACCACTAACATTCCCTCGTCTAGGAAGTTTGTCGGTTGGGAGCAGGTTTTTGGGATCATTATCACATATGATATACTCCTGCGGATTAGGCATCGATTCTGGTTTTTTTTCAGGCCATACAATCGTATAATCGCCGCTTTCGGCAAGTATCTTGTTGTTGGTTGGGCTAATCACAACCCATCCAGCGGACAGTCTGACCGAATGCACTCGGAACATTTTCTTACGCCTTTCACCGATCGAAACCTTGAATGAGATCGCAACTGAATCAGTTGCAAGAGGCAAGACACCCGCAACAGTCAGGTCGCGGTCTCTCTCGGCATGTAAAAAATCAACTTGTGCCATTGCGGGTAGTCCGACATTGTTTGTCTGTAAGCGCTCGTCCATGACGGCGAGCTCCATGCCGTCGAAGTCGATTTCTAGAGGCCAGGTTTGGATATGAGTAGCCTGGTACTGGAAGTCTTTCGAATAAGTCTTAGCTTTAACGGAAGCAAGGTATTTGGACCCGTGAGCAATCGACTCTTCCTTGATGGCATAAGAAAGTCGTGATGGTTCGTTTAAGTGCTTGTAGATGAATTCTATAACGTCCTCGCGAGACAGCTTCAACTTCTTATAAGCGTTCTCGAAAGTGTCAAAACGAGTTGCCACAACTTTGAGAATCAGAGCCTGTACCGAGTATTCGAGGAGCGCCCAGTTTGTAGAGCGGGGTGGGGGCATCGAAATAGAGGGGGCACTTGAAGGCGGCATGGATATGAAGAGGTTAGCAGTGGCGGGGAGCTCTCGAGCAGGGCGATTGATTAGACTCTCATCGAGCGTAGTATGGCTAAGAATGTGCTCGTCAAGAACTTCTTCGTCACTTGAATCATGCAGCTGCTTCGGGTCGCCATCATCAGTAGGGCCTGCAGCTGTCGCCCCAGAGGGGCCAGCATTAGTATTCATGGTATCAATAGAGCTTGACAATAGCTGAGAACGTATTTGTTTAGCTAGAAGGTTGTAGTGTAAGATGAGTGCAAGTTATGGAGCGATGGGAAAGCTGAGGTATTTTGGGTGTATGTAATCAAGAACAAGAAAGGAAGAAGGTGGAAAATTGGCACCTCTAGGGCTATTTATATTTACAACTACCTAGGTATCTAATTTATACGGGGCTATTATTGTTGCCTGTGGCAATATGGAAGGGTGTGTTATGTGATAATCGACCTGGCAATGAGCCTAGGTGATGTAAGCCCTTGCTTGTATGAAGTCGAAAGTGCCAGGACAGTTGATGTTGAAGGCACCAATGATATGAGGTTAAAAGTCGAAAGTCCAAGAACGATAAGGGGACTTGGAGCATTGTCATATCAGTCCCTATACTCTCTTTGTATACTTCAAAAGGTAGAGGCCTGGGAGTCCATAAGTTGGGCGGCTAAGTCATTTTTATATTCATGGGCTCGTGAAGATATAGATGCAGAGTTAAAGCATTAAAGGGAATCCTGGGTTAGTATGCGTTTAAACCACGTCGAAGAAGAAGCGAGAGACTGATTCTCCTTGGTAGGGACGTTCACGTAAGGTATAGAAAAGCCCAGCTACATTGTTGAGCTAAGACACATATAATCGAAAGATATTCCAATGAAGCCTTTGTGGCTATTCTGACGCCAACTTCTTTGATGTAGTAGGTCCCTTAAACTAAGGAGAAGATTTGAAGGGCAGAGTAGATACTAATGCTTAAGTGTCAGCGCCAAGTTCTAAAGCTTTTGCTAGAATATAGATGTTATAATATATGCCTATTGTTTCCACTGTAACCGCAATTCAGATCTCAGTTATCATGAAAGAGGCTTGTGCCCTGGGAGAATCGACTAGTACAATCATGTGCTTAATCACATCAGTATGCCATCCCTTCTTTTTCTTTCTAGGTATTGTTCTGGTAATTGCAGTTTTACGGTCAACACGAAAAAGGGGCCCACGGAAAAAAGGGGGGAAGTTAAAAAAAAAGGAGTTGTGTATAGAAATATGCATTGAATATGCAATTTATGCACACATGCAAGTACAAAATGAAGCGGACCAATCAAAGATTTCCGGTTCATAATTTTCAGATTTACCATCATTCAGAGTGGCTGATTTGCGTTAAAGCCACGAATAAACCCCTCCCCTCTACATGAGTACACTGCATACCCTAATTTTTATACCCCACCAACTTTGAACTTCTTGAGGCAGGCGCATTTCATTTTGTTGTCGCAAAAGAAATCGATCCCACTTTCCATTAACTATCCATTACCAACTCATTAACCCATTAACCTGCCTATTACCTTGTCCCGACCAATCTTTTGTTTTTTATTTCTTTTTCTCCTTTTCAACTTCTTTTCCACTCCCTTGACGAGGTTGACTTATTCGGCTTCCTACTTAATAGGACCCTCTAAAAGACCGAAACCTTGCAAGGAGAAGCCGACATCATCATTTTTACTAGCCATGGCTTCCAAGCTTACTCGGTACGCTCACCGTGTGACTCGAGTCAAATCTGCCACTCCTTTGGTTGTGCCCTAACTGACCACTCTATTTTAGTATCGCCATCGTGAACGATGACAAGGTGAGTAAATCAACATTCCACCTTCACCGTATCCACCCAATAAATTAACATATATCTTGTAGTGCAAACCTAAGGTAATCCATCTTCGACGTCTCCTGACAACCTCGTAGTGATGCTTACCTACTATTCTTTTTTTAGAAATGCAGACAGGAATGCAAGAGATCTTGCCCGGTAAGAATAACCTTCCCTGTTTCCCTTCTTTGTATCACATTGTTTTTCTTCCTAAGAAATACCCTTTTATGATTTTAAACTTTATATCACTTGTAAAACTAGTGGCTTACCTTGTGATGTTGTAGGTCGTGCGTAGTGGAAAGCTTTGCATCGAGGTTAGCGCGGAGTCGAAGATAGCTTTCATTTCCGAGAGTCTCTGCATTGGTTGTGGTATTTGCCCTAAGAAATGTCCATTCGACGCCATTACCATCATCAATCTACCCACCAATCTCGAGACTCAAGTCACCCATCGGTATTCTGCCAACAGCTTCAAGCTCCACCGATTGCCCACTCCGAGGCCTGGTCAGGTCTTAGGTCTCGTCGGAACCAACGGTATCGGAAAGAGCACGGCCCTGAAGATTCTTAGCGGCAAGCTCAAGCCCAACTTGGGTAGATATGATAACCCTCCTGACTGGGAGGATGTCATCAAGTACTTCAGGGGTTCCGAGTTGCAGAGTTAGTTTACCTCTCATCCTCTATTCCTTGTGTGAAATTGGCAGTCAGTGGCACGGAATCTAGCTAACCTATAAAAAAGACTACTTCACTAAGATTCTTGAGGATGACTTGAAGGCTGTCGTAAAGCCCCAGTATGTCGACCAGCTCCCGCGAGCCGTCAAGACGCCCAACAAATCTGTCAAGTTCCTGCTCGAGCACCGGTCTGCCATGGAAAACTTGGATGATGTTCTGGATGTTCTAGAGCTTCGCCATATTCTGGACCGTGATGTGAACCATCTTTCCGGTGGAGAGTTGCAGCGATTCGCTATTGGAACCGTTTGCGTCCAAAAAGCAGATGTGTACATGTTTGACGAACCGTCTTCTTACCTAGATGTGAAGCAACGTCTGTCTGCCGCGCGAATGATTCGCTCTCTTCTTGGTCCGGACAACTACGTCATTGTCGTCGAGCACGATTTGTCAGTTCTTGACTATCTCTCCGATTATATCTGCGTTCTCTACGGTAAACCTGCTGTCTACGGTGTCGTGACTCTTCCCCACTCTGTCCGTGAAGGCATCAATATCTTCCTCGACGGCCACATTCCTACCGAGAACTTGCGATTCCGAGACGAATCCCTTACTTTCCGTATCTCGGAAGGTACCGATGATTTCCAGGCTGACAAGGCTCGAGCATTCACTTACCCTAACATGGAAAAGACCCTCGGCAACTTCAAGCTTCGCATTGACTCGGGTGATTTCACCGATTCGGAGATTATCGTCATGATGGGTGAGAATGGTACCGGAAAGACCACCTTCTGTAGGCTTATGGCCGGTGCGCTTAAGCCTGATAGCGTTAAGAAAGTGCCCGACATGAGAATCAGCATGAAGCCCCAGACTATCACCCCCAAGTTCGAGGGCACGGTCCGTCAGCTGTTCTTCAAGCGAATTAAGCAGGCTTTCCTGTCCCCGCAGTTCCAAACAGACGTTGTTAAGCCGCTCAAGCTAGACGATTTCATTGACCAGGAAGTCAAGAACCTGTCAGGTGGTGAATTGCAGCGTGTGGCTATTGTCATGGCCCTCGGCCTGCCAGCTGATATCTACTTGATCGACGAGCCCTCTGCCTACCTGGACTCAGAACAACGTATTATTGCAGCACGTGTCATCAAGCGTTTCATTATGCATGCCAAGAAAACAGCTTTCATTGTAGAGCACGATTTCATTATGGCTACCTACTTGGCAGATCGTGTTATCGTCTTCGATGGCAAGCCTGGTCTCGACGCCCATGCCAATAGTCCCGAGTCCTTGCTTACCGGGTGCAACTCATTCCTGAAGAATCTTGATGTTACATTCCGACGAGACCCAACGAACTATAGGCCTCGTATCAACAAGCTCAACAGTCAGTTGGACCAGGAACAAAAACTGGGCGGAAACTATGTAAGTTGAATTACCTTGACATGGATTTGAGTTCTGATTGCTAACCGATATGTAGTTCTTCTTGGAGGAAGATAGTTCTACTTCTTGAAACGGTTAACCCACACGGCAATGGTCATCATGATGGCCATAAACATCATCGAAATACCCCACCAGCATCTGATACCGGCGTTCTAGGCGTACAAAAACGGAATTACACGCGCCGAGGGAACGGGGTTGCGCACGAATCATCTGAGGTAAATGCGGAGGGTGGGGAGGATAATGACGATCCGGGTGGCTAGCCACAGCGACGGCAGTCTATCCCCTGTTCGCCTGGTCCTGCAGATATGTACACACTGGGGACATATTTTACGTGTTTCTTGACAGAGTCTGAATATCGCAACATATGCTGTTGCAAAAGAATCTCGAGGCTTTGGGTTCTGCGGATCAAAGGGCAGATGGGTCAAGCGGGTGACTGCCGTCACCTTTGCGTCTACTTGATGCTATACAATGTGCTTGTCGTTGGTAAATTAGGGGATAATCGTAACTAGGCACCTGGCGTAGATATATAGCGGGTGATATCTAGAGAGTAGTAGCGGCTCGTAGACGGAGATACGAGAACGAAAATTCATCCATGATCTACTCTTCAGAACCTACCTTTTCTCCCCTTACCTATGTAAATTGGTGAATAAGTCGATATGAAAATACCATGTTTACTTTCCTGTCCGCTTTGGAATATGAGTCAACACTATTCAGATTTAGGTGCCTATCCCTAATACTGCGCAGGCCTAGATGTCCCAAATTACTACCACTGGGTAGGTCGGTATGTGGGTAGCATACACGTCACAATGAGGAGTCTGATGACGATATGGGAGACACCTAGCCTACACGTAGGTAATCGAAGTTATAGGGAAGCATCAATACTATTAATTAAGGGGACCTATACTAAAACTACGTCGCGACCGAGATTCTTTTCCTTTTTATTAGTGTGAAAAGAAAGGAAAAAGGAAGATACACACCGAAATTTTCGTATGCGGCCGCCCCCCAAAAAACCAAGCATCGGTTTTTTTCTTTTTGTATATGTACCTATTCTTCGATCCTCTCTTTTGCGCTGGACGGGGGATCAATCAATCGTCCACCTTCTTCTTCCCTTTCACCTTTTTTTGGTTCCGTCAATGAAAGCAGAAGAGAGAAGGAAAAAAAGAATCCCAACAATACCTGTGGAATGGAATGGTGATACCTCTGGTTGTAGATATAGAAAGAAAATAGATAGAGAGGAGAAAAGGTTGCCGTAGTCGGTCTGGTTTTTTAAAAAAAACATACAGGGACGCGATGAATGTTTCCCGGTATCTTCGGCGGCGGCGAAGCGTTGCTTACGAAGGCGAGATTAAGAAGGGATGGCGGTAGGGAAAAGACCGAACTGTAATCCACGTGTACCCAGTCATCAAAGCCCAAAAGACGTACTCGGAAGTTGACGCACGTACTTTTCAAATGATGCCCGGGTCTCATGCTCAAGACGAAGTTTGAGCGAGCCCTCGATAAGGCTTTAGCGCAAGCTTGAGATTTGATAATCCCAACTTTGCCCGGAGTACGACTAGTTTTCGATCTTGGGCCAGTGAGAATAAATCAAAAAATAGTATGGCCTTACGAGTCGATCAAACGGCGAAGGTTGCCAACGAGGGAGCGGAAAGGGGGGGGTAGGCATTACACGAATTAGGTCCGTTCGTTAGTCTTCCTCGATCTCACCCTCTTCACTTCCCGAATGAACACCAAGATCTTCCTTCGGAGGGGGTTGAACTACTGGCGGTGTCCTAGTCTTCTGACGAATCTCACGATGGGGGGAACGCTCACGCGGTGTTCTCTCTCTTCTAAGTCTCTGTTTGGTGGTTAGTAGGAATATCCAATAAAGGGGCTTTGCGAATCTTACCTTGGAATCTCTGGAGTCGCGACGATCAACCTCATCGTCATCAGCTCTTCGGCGTCGAGAAGAAGTCGGGCGTTCATCACCGTAAGGTAGCTCTTCTACGGGCCCTCTCTCAACACGATGCCGGTATAATCGTTCACGCTCTTCCTCGCGATCCCTTCTTTCCCTCTCATAATGACTCGGTGGCTCTTCGCGCCTAGATCGAGGTGGATAGTCCCGCTCACGATCCCGCTCACGATCACGATCCCGAACCCGCTCTCGTTCGCGGTCACGATCACGGTCGCGGTCGCGGTCGCGTTCGCGGACATCGCGCTCTCGGTAGGTATCCGATGGTCGACGATCAGACAACAGAGTTTCAGCCATACTAGACTTACGATAGTTTTTCTCGCGTTCGGCAATGGCCTTGCGACGGTCTGCTTCGTACGCATCGGGCTCGGGGCTACGACTGTGGCGAGACGGTCGCGCGCGGTCACTGCGGTGAGATCGATCTCCCCTATCTCTATCACGATACGTACCACGATCAGGAGATCGTTCACGGCGCTTGTGACGATCCCTATCTTCCTCCTCGCGATCCCGTACACGGCGAAGAACTTTTTCGAACGCGCCACGACGAGCATCCTCAGATTTGACAGCCTGGAATTCTGCCGCACGAGCAAGACGAGGACGTATTTTCTCCCAGGTATCATCCGCGGCAACAGGAGGTTCTATGTGCTTGATATAGGAGCGGAGTTCTTCAGTAGCCCTCCTCTGCTGACGTTCGGTGTGCTTGTCTTCATCAGATCGCTTAGACTTTTTCTCCTGGAGCTGTTTGAATTTGTTAGTGTCTCGTATAACTGCGAGTAGATTGTATTTCTTTAGACGTACGCGTTCAAAAATGAGGTTTAATATGTCTCCATCAATGTTAGCAGTGCGAGGATCATTCTTGACTACAGTTGAGAACTCCTCAAAAGTGGTCTTGGGGGTGAACTCAAAACGGTTGTCCTAGAATCGAAGTCAGTAAGCTGGTTCATGCACCGTTCCATAACTATTGGTAAACTTACGTCCATAACGTCGAGAACATCGTTTCTGGTGGTGCGTAGAGCACGTTCCTCTTCCTCAACAATATCCCAGAAGAGGTCGAGGGGGCTTGAGCCAGCCTGACCACAGATAGATCTGAAGCGTTCATCGTTCTCGAGTAAAGGATACACTTGACTCCACTTGGTTCCCGCCTTAATCGTTCCAGCTCTACGGAACTCTCGGAGTAGCTCTACGAAAGCATCTCGTCGCTTCCTCTCGATGCGCAGCTTCTTGTTTCTTTGATTCTGTCGAGTTTCGTTGAAGCTCCGTTCTAAGGACTTGATATGATTTTGAAATGCGGTGAGAATGTCAAAGTTGTTGAGAGCCTTGTATTTATCATCGTTCTGAAATGGACCTGTGGCTTTGAGAATATTCTGGGCTTCAGACCAACGCGTGTAGGGTTCGAGGCTTAGCTTGGGAAGAAGATCAATGAGACCATCCATGGCGCTCTTTCGTAGGCTGGCTTGGCCTTCGACGTAGGCTTTCTTCAGCTCAACAATGTAATCCTCAAATAATTGGCGGCGTTCGTCTTCGTCATTGGTCGAGCGAAAGATCGTCTCGCCTTCAATGATCGGGCGAGCGGTCTTCCATCGCGTGTAGTGCTTAATTTCGGGGTGGCTCTTGAGCATAATAGCGAAGTCAGCTCGTAGTTTTGCCATTCTGTCCTTTGCGCGCTCCTTATCTTGAATGATCATGTCTTGGCAATACTTCTCGAAGGCAGCCTTCCTATCCTTAGGGTCCTTGATTGCCCGGTACTGCGGGTCCTTGATGGTCGCTCGAATGGTCTGTTCCCAATTCCAGTCAGGCTGGACGCCACTACGTCGTAGCAGTTTCATAAAAGCAGCTTCGGCTTCTTCGGGGGTCGCATACTCGGGCTCGTTGCTGGCTGGGACAAATGACTGCACACGCAAGTCACTACCGTGAGTTAATTGGCGAGACTCGGGAAAAGTCTCTCGATGGTCACGATGATCGCGGTGGTCACGGAAATCGCGGTGGTCACGGTGATCACGGTGGTCGCGATGGTCGCGGTGGTCGCGATGATGGTCGTGATGATCGCGATGTTGATCGTAACCCGAGTTTGAAAACGAACCGGTTGGAGCGAAGGGTGTAGGCGGTCTGTCAAAGTTAGAACCAAGTATGGGTGGTAGTTGATACTTTACTTACATAGGGGTCGAAGGGGTAGCCTCATGGCCTAACGATTTTCTGTAAACTTCGGGCATCTCCCAAGAACTTTGCTTAGTCTCAGTATTGTACCAATACTTGCGACCACCCTCAGCGGTATATTCTTTCCATGGCTGATTTGCCAGGGCGCGCTACAAAAATCCAGTCAGTCCTCGAGCATGATAGCAACGGTATAGATGTAGGGGCAGGTAGGATGACAAACCTCAGCAGGCGACATCAAATCTTCTGGTTTCGTCCATTGGGTTGCCTTGGTAATTTTGTTATAGTAATAAACGCGTCCATCCTCACTCTTGTATTCTTGCCAGGGATTTGGATTTGGCTGGCCATAATGGCCATTCATACCATTCATCATGAACGATGGTCAGAAGCTTCCAAGGCTTCGGAGTTCTTGGACGCCTTTATAAATATGTTAGGAAGGATAGCACTAGATTAAGAAAGGGAATTAGAAATGCAGATAAATTGGTATCGTCGTTGCTCAAAATAGAGCAGTGACCTTTGGGTGTTCAATAGACAAGAAAAGACGTACGGCTGAATTTGAATTTTGCTCAGTTTCTTTTCAACGTTCATTAGAATTATTAGAAGGCTAACAACGGTAGGAGGATTACATAATAACCTTGTAACCTTGTAACCTTGAACATGGCTACCAGGTATTATGGAGCAGTTACAGATTGCGCACGGGCCATGCTTTACCACCTACCTCAGATAAGCCTGATAAGGTTTTACCTACCCTGTCCAAGTACCTAGTAGTAACCTAGTACCTACCTACATCGAAGCTTCAACCGCTGCAGCTGAACAGACATGCATATGGCATCCGACATCTTCAACTTTTCAAATACCGTTGATATCAACAACTTGCTACAACGTCCAACGAATTGGGTTCAAAATGTACTAACCCACATTTCAATTCCCTCAAAACAGCCGTTTGGATCTGTGATGAGGGTTACAAACTAAATATATATTTATATTCATAATATCCTCCAAGAAAATGCCTAATCCTTCCCCAATCGACTCTCCCAGACGAGTGTTCGACTTGCTTGACGATTCAACATTTACCTACTTCATACCTCTGTCTCGTGACTTCAGCGTTGAGGGGGAGTTTAATAATGGCGCAGATGCATCTAGAGAGCCGTTCGAGTCGGTAGAGTGTCGAGAGTCTCTTTTCTTTGGTATGTCTATTTATTTCTTTTCATCTCTTCCAAGAGGTCTACTTCTCACCATACTCATTGTTAGACATCAGATGAATCTGCCGATATTTACCTCGTGCTTAAATGCCCCTACACCGACGAAGACAATTTACGATCCTTTTTACCTAGTCTAGTGATATCCATCGAAGCGCAGGTCATTAACGGCGGAGTCGTGCCGGGTCGCGATGTTCAGCCAGCTTCGGAAATCATATACTCGGGAACATTAGCCCACTCAATCGATGCTACCATACTTGTTCGCTCATCGAAGGAACCTGACGCTGATGGCGAGGACGGTTACCCACAGTATGCCATCGCTGTGTGGAAGCAGTCGGTATTTCTCGGTCGACCTAGGATGCGACTACAAAGTCCTTCTGTAGTTTTCACGGCAACGGCGAACTTGAGGTCGGCAGATCCATCTCTATCTCTTGGGCTTCGACATGGATATCTCCCAGCATGTGTACCATCAGGTATAAATCTCCTCGAGCCATTCGAAGCGGATCCTTTCATGAATGGAATTAAGCCTCATTTGTCAGCGCAACGAGTTTCTCGCGTGGCTCCAGCGACGCAGCAAGCGCAGGATATTCTACGACCTATCAAGTCTTTGTCGAATCTGCCTTTGCGCATCTACCCCGTGGCACATTCGCGTATGCGATTTACCCATCTTAACACTGCGCCTTCTACAGCAACTGTTCTTGCGATGCTTGAGATAGACTTCACCCCATTCTTTGAGTGTGAGGTAATCATAAGCAAGATATCGATCGTGGTCGCAGACGGTATAGTCGAAGACCTTACGAGCCAGTCTGGGATGCAGTTTCCGGTTTCTTGCGTGGCCCACGATCACGTCACGTTTTTATACCGAATTACACCGGTCGATGCGGACATGGCAACTAAGAATCCAGTGCGTGATCTCGGCGTATCCATATCCGCGACAGCCCTGGCACATCCGAACACTTGCGAGCCAAGCCTTAGTATGGCCTGGACTGCTACAGTTGACTTCACGGTCCCAGTAAACCCAGGCTATGGCTCTGCTATGCAACCCATCCAACGCAAGCATCGCCCAAGTCAGCTTTCGATTGGAGGCGAAAGTACTACTTCTCTAATAGCACCATCTGTTGCTCGGCCAGACTCGTTGCCAACTCTTGAGGCTGCCACACGCACGGAGGCTACCGTACCTGATATAGGCATTACTATGACATTCACCGGCCCGCCCCCAAGTCAGAAGATATACCCAGGAGACGAATTTGTCTGGAATATATTCGTTGTGAATCGATCATTGTCACCCACAGCAGCAGCAAGAAAACTAGCAATAGTAGCTATTCCGAGGCGGCGGCGCAATGAATCACGAGTTACCCAGCCACCATCTATCTCTCGAATATCCGAGGCTTTGCATGGCCAACACCCCCAGCTGAAGGGAGCAAGAGACCGGAACATAGCAGATGCTGTTTTCGATGACAATGTGGTTCATGCCATGCAGTACAGCAGCGTCATTGATAACACAGAGCTAGTATGTCTTAGCGCAGATGTACGAGTCGGGCCACTTGCCTCCGGCGCATGTCATGTCGCTGAACTCCGATTTTTGGCCTTGAGAGGGGGCATCGTAGGGTTGGAGGCAGTGCGAGTTATCGACCTTGCTAATAATGAGCACGTAGATATTAGAGAACTCCCTACCGTGCTTGTTGAAGACAGGTAGGGTTAAGAAATACTCCATATATCTTCGTATTGACTTGGATCTTAGAGCATTAGTCTATGAATAATTCAAAAATAAGAGTTGTATTTACGATGAAGCTTAGCAACTGCGATTGGTGAAAGCTTGTAGGCGATTCAGCTTGCTGATGACTTGAACTGAAGTTCCGTACAGCTTGTATACTGGATCCAATGCCTTCACCCCCTTGCAAGGCGCTCTCACGATACAGACCAACCAACCCTTATCCGCCCCCAGTCTCCTCATTGTGTGACAGAACGGCGGGTCGGTAGAGATAAGTTAAACAGGATCTCCCACGGGCGGCTTCACTTCCACTGCAGCCGAAGTTGCTTGGGAGTCTGTGTGCTGCATATAGAGGTAATTACATGTACGTGCACGGAACCAGGCCAGGTCGCAGGCTTTGGCACTCTCTCTCTCTCTCTCTCTCAAGCGGTCCTTGCGTGTTTTGTAAATGTTGAGGGGAGGAAGAGGAAGAGGATGCGGACGGTTTATAGGTAAGTAGGTAATATGTGATCTATCTACTTCTGCCGCCACCGCTCCTGGTGAGTATTACTGTTGTTGAAGGCTTCCAAGGTTGGTGAGGAGGAATAACAAGAGAGAAGAGTCGTGGGTAAGTAGGGAGGATGGAGAGGTAGGCAGGCGAGGTAGGAGAGGTGGTAAGGGGGAATATACTGCGGCCGTCTCGGCCGAAGACGCATCGCCCCCCCCCCCCCCCCCCTAGCCGGGGCAGGGCAAGGCAGAGTACGTACACGCAACCCTCTAGCGGAGCTTCACGGGGCAAGCCTCGACGATATTGGGGGGTTTTCGCTTCTTCTATTTTTATTTTGTTTGATTATTTCTTCTCGTTTCAGGGGAATGAATGGTCTAGAACTTCGAGGCGAGTTCTGCATGTATGTATGAGGTAGTCTGCCTTGCATATATGAGTTTGCGTACGTACCTACCTAGGTATATATGCGTGTGAGGATAGTGTCCTACCTAGTTAGAGTCTACCAGGTCAGGTACAGTACCTACCTTCTAGGTAGGCTCCCCGACCCGGGAAAGAGGCTTGGGTTCGTCGCCTCCGTCCCCCTGGGGAACTTATTTTACGTACATGTATGTTTTGCTTGGATCTTGTTGTTGAGAAAGCGCAAAGCGCGGGATGTTGGGGCGGATAGGTAGGACATACTGAGGCATTCGTGAGATTGTCATACTTACTATCTAGCACAATGCGCGTTGTCTCTCGCCACGACAATGCTTTCATGATCGCCCATATTGTCGTTGCGATGACATAGCTAGTTACCCAGGTGGATACCTAGGTAGCTGATCTATACAACGCCTAGCTTCACTCCGTCACCGATGCCTGCCCTGCTTGGCCCAGCAGAAACAACGTTTGTAGTGATTTTTCATGAGAAAGATCCGGATCCAATCTTCACCTAGCCGTTCGCGGTCGTTTAACAGCCTCAAGCAAAGATGATAGTCACTCTTGGGTTGATCGATTCGCCAGGGGCCCTTTCTTTTCGGGTGGATTTTGACGATGCCCGCGACCTCGAGGTTATAGACTCTCTTTACCACCCAGGATTTTTGCAAACGGAATCGTCGCCGGGGAGGTCTTGTTTGAAGAACTCTGAAACCCGGGCAGATGAAAGCGATGTGTTGGGAAGGATTTCGTTGTAGTGACTGGATGCAACTTAAGCGACTATAATACACTGCCGAATTATAGTATGTACGTTGGGACATCTACCTGCACGACGGCGTTGCTGTGACCTATCACCCTGTGCTGGGTGCAAGTGTTGTGTCTTGGGTTGAGGAGAAATTGCAATTTCCGAGATAAGAGACGAAAATGTCACGCAGACATCCTTACCTACCTGAGGATCTACTCACACAACCCTGGCCGGTCTGATCGGGTTATCCTACCTATTCCCTAACTCTTTAGGTGCACTAGAGTTAAGAATGAGGTTATGATGGGTTCGTGAAGACTTCGTGATATGCAGAGAATCTCTAGGCACCTACCGGCCTATTCTACTTACCTGCCTACCTAGGTAGGTATTATCGGATGAAGACGAGATGTAGAAAATGTCGAGCTAAACCCGTTTCTATTTGCCAATTAACCTTAACATTCGTTACCGACGAGAGCTTCTGTTTCTTCTCCCTCATAGGTTAGGTGCCATGTGCCTGCGGTATGTAGGGAAAGACATATGTAGCAAATCGGATGCTGATACCAACCTGACATGTGTGTGTATGCATGTAAATACCCCCCTGCTTGGGTAGTTTGGTAACGTGTATGTAGGTAGGTAAGTGTGTGTGTGGGGTTGTGGTTAGAAGCAACCTGCCAAATACGCAAACAGCACTAAACCCTTTGACGGGTTGATCAACTTGATCGATTTGCCATGATCCGAACAAGGTTTGTGAGACAGCCGAGGACACGTTATTCGATCGCATCAGAAGCCAGGACAAGGTGCTTAATCTAGCAGTTTATCTTATGTGTATTGTATTGTACCTTGTAGGGTGAGATGAGGCACAGCTTGGCTTTCTAAGAACATACTTGGGTGATAGGCGATGGTTACCTGTTACCTATTACCTATGATACTCAGCGTATGCTTGTAGCTACCTAGCATCATGGTTATAACTAGCGTACCTGGGTAGTTGTTCGTCGGTAACCGATAGTTAGTAACAATACGTCAACGATGTCGAAATATTCGATCGTCGCGCTAAGATGTGTGGAACTCGGCAGTATTCACTAGGTAGACAAGAATCAAAAACTATTTGGACTACTACCTAGTTAGTTAATACTCTGCCGCTTTGTTGGTTGGCATACCTACCGAGGGTACCTGCGTAAGTTAGGATCTAACAGTCTGACAGCAATATTACGATCGATGGAGGAGCTGGCCGGTAAATAGATTTTGAATAGGAGAGAACAGACGAAGGATTGGACAATACAGGCGACCACAGATGCCTCGATGGGAAATCAGCATGAAAAATTACCAGAGGGAGCAAGTCGATCGAACTGAAAATAAAATAAAAATGGAGGAGGCTTGCCTGCATTCGGGCGGCCGAGCTTTTAGCATACTACCTATGCGGCTATGCCTCGTCTTATTGGCATTGATTCGGTACCTATGCACCTACCTACCAGATGAAGCAACCGAAGTGCCCAATTTCGTTCTGTGCGAGAACGGCGCAGCTGTAAACTGTGTAAGATCCGCGCCTTTCACCTTCACCTTCACCTTCACCTCCAATCAAGATTGCCTAGGTAGGGTACCTACCGGACCTAGTGACTTAACAATATCACTCGAAATTTAAACCTGACGTATAGCAATAGGCCATGGCGATGGTATCTTTCCATTGCTACGGCTAACCGTCCATCCGACCACAAGTCCCGCTGTCACAACGACGACCAAGACAAATCATGCCTACAACAGGCCAAGTGCCGGCGTTAAACTTGACAAGTGCAACGCTTGATACCAATTCTTTGACTCACGCATGCACATCGTATAACGCTTCTGGTAGGGATACATATATGTATTGCTACCTTTCTTCGTGAACTGGCCGGTTAGCTTATGTAGTTCGCTCCTTATGAAGCAGTTGAAGCCCGCACTATTACTTTTTTTACGACCTAAGAAAAGAATCCGCCCAGGAGGGTACCGTACAACATTAGTGTAGGTATTTAGTCAAGATGCAACCGGGGCCAGGGACCCTGGCTCTTATAAGGTCAAGATGCCCGGGAGAGAGGAGGGAGGGGAGGGGAGGGAAGAACCGCGAATACCTTTGCCCCGGATTTGTGGCGTCCCGCTATACACACACATACACACACATACACACCATAACTATCATGGATTCGGCCTTACGACGGCTTTTATTGGCCTGGCGCTTGTTTTGTCTAGTTGTCGCTTCCACCTATAGCAAGCAGTATATCCTGATGCACATTTGAGCCACCTCGTGTAAGTAAGAAACGAAGCAGCCACGAGGGAAACCCGTACTTCGGGACGTGACTCTATGCAATTGCTGCTGGCCAAGGTACCGGGGACTTCATCCAACCAACTCCCAATGATGAAGAGGTCCATGGGTTTGACTATCGTCTAATATGAATTACATCCTAATAACACCTACGGCCCTTGGGAGATCCTTTGTACTATGTAGTCTTATTAAGCATAGGTAATGTGCAAAGCTCCAGTATCATGGGCCCCCTGATGAGAGCCAAATAGCCATAGCAACACTGCTGCTGTTCCTTTAGTCAGTTTACTCGCCTCGCCGATCAGTTCGGAATCGAGTACACTATTACGATCCAGCATGTGCCTCCATCTTCCTCCTCCCCTTCCTGGCCCCCCCTTCCCCCCTGCTAAAGATCCGAACTACCACGGTTCGGTTATCAGGGTTGTTGTTTGGCTTCAAGATACTATACACTATACATAAGTCCCTTGTGCGCGCCCACACCCCCCCACCTCCATCTCTCTCCCAATGATCGGACTTGGTTCTCATCGGATCTTGCTGCTTGTCATCCCGCCAGCTTTAACTTTCGTGTGCTCGACCTGGCCGCAACCACCGCCCACGGAAGAGCAGTCAATATGGAGGCACAACAGACGACGGACGTGCTGGGGCCGATGATGAACGCCGTCAACTGGTCCCTCACGGCGCTGGCGGCGACTTTTCTCGGGTTGCGGATGTACTGCAAGTTCAGTCGGCATCGGGGGCTGTGGTGGGACGATCACGTCTTGATATTCGCCTGGGTAAGCGGGGGGAAACCTCAACCTTCGTCGTCGAGGTCGGAATGTTCCGTTCTTTTTCTAACGAGTGAGAGGTTTTTTTTAATATCGTAGATGTGTCTCGTCGTCGCCGTCGGTTTCATCACCAGTTCGATCAATCTAGGATTCACGAGCCCGACCGGCCCCAAATCGCAAGACGCCGCGGACCGGCTGCAGATTCACGGAGGAGTGCAGAACGTGTTTTTCGCGCTCGCCACCGTCATGAGCAAGACTTCGTTTGGCATCACGCTGCTGAGGGTCTCGGAAGGCCGCATAAAGCTGCTCGTTTGGTTCCTCACCATCACGATGAACATCGCCGTGTTCTTGTACATCATTTTCGGGTTCCTGAAGTGCAAACCGGAGGTCTACTCGTGGATTAAGGGGCCTGGGTGTTGGAGCACGGTGAAATACATCCACTACGGCATCTTCGCTGGAGGTAGGCAAAAAAAGCTTGATGGTTTCCCAGATGGATTTGATCAGATTACTAACTTTCTCTTCGTTGTATAGCATACTCCGCCTTTGTGGACTTCTCGTTTGCGATTATTCCCTGGTTCCTGATCATGAACCTTCAGATGAAGACAAGAGAGAAGTTTGGTGTCGCAATCGCGATGAGCTGTGGTGTAATGTATGGCTATCATGCATTCGTCGACGTAGCTATTTGCTAATCATCCCCCTTTAGTGCTGGAATAACCGCTATTATGCGATGTGTCTATCTACCCCTTCTCACTGTTGGGACATTCTCGAGTAAGTTTTCTTTTTTTCTGACAACTGACGAATAAACCCCGTGACTAACCCCTTATTCAGCCCAAGGAACAACACTGGTTATCTGGTACGTAGCCGAAGCAGCGGTCACTATAATTGCGGCATCTATCCCCGTTCTGCGGGCTCTGATCAAGGAGATATCTTCGTCACTCGACCGCTACCACCGTAGCACCGGTAACAAGTCAAGAGTCAAGAGTCTGAGCACCGTAAAGGGCACGCCAAGGGGTTTGCACACAAGCCACATCGTAACGACGATCGTCGGTTCTCAAAGAGATCCTCGCTCCTTCCACGGCGACGGGAGCAGCGATAGGAGCATTCTTGACGGCAGGGCTACACAGGCAAAGCCCTCGCCGGGAGGAATTATGCAGACGCAGGAGGTCAGGTTAAGTTATCACGACCGAAGCGACATCGATAGCGAGCAAGGTTACGAGCAAGGTTACGAGCTGGGAACTGTGGGAAGAGCTTCTTCGTGTTGATGTGTTGATCAATGATACCCGTGTACTTACGAACAATATCGCTAGGAGTTAGGTAAATACCTAGGAAACACTTTTGCTTTGTACGAGAGACTCTTGCGAAATACGATGGACATATATCTAATGTGAGAGAAACAATACCTATCTATCTTCAAGAGCCCATTCATGCAAAGAACCCTTGGCGGAAGAAAACAGCCTAACCATGACGGCCTGAGCAGCAGGGTAGCAGCCGTAGTCATACCCTATCTCGGTCTTAGTGGATCATGCAAGTGTGCACACGATTCCCTATCCATCCATCACGAACCCTCTCACTGGTAACAATCAACGGTACTAGGCACCCAATAGTCTAGGCGCATAACACCGCAACCGGTGAAATTTGTGCTAGCCTCGAAACCCGAAGACACGGGGACTATCTCCCAAAAAGAAGAAAAATCCCCAAAAAATAAAATATATATCTGATAAGATTTACCACGCGACATTATCCAAGAAACCCCCAAGGCCCGTCATGTCTTTCTCCTACGGGCAACGATCGGCTGAAGTGGCCAAGGACGTACATACCTATTCCAAGCAAGCCTTAGCTGATCCAAATTATGCTGGAGCGAATCAATGCCTTAGACTCGGCGCGCAATTGCGAACCACGGGCTTTTTGCTATGTAGTTACTTGTCCTAACTTACCTACATACCTATGTAACCTTAGGGGATCGACGTTATGCTAACAAACCAGTACCACATAATAAGCGTAAAATGCTAGGTTGCCAACCTATCACCTACATACCTAGTGCACGTCCTTGTGCTTGTGGGAGAGAAAAAAAACTCTTGGATTTCGGTAGTCTTGCGAAGCAACGTTATTCCTAGTTAATTATTGGCTCTCTTCTTAATATTTTTTATCCCATAACTAATACTTTTGTTTTAGTTCCAAATGGGAAGGAGGGCGTGTCCTATTCCGGGCCGATGAAGCAGACTTATGCCAGTATAGGAAAACGCAGCTGGCCGAACGAGTGCAACTCCGTCCGAAAGGGGGGGGGGGGGGGGGGGGGGGTCTTCGCTTTTCTGGACTAGTCTGCCTATTTACATTACCCATAAGTAGCACCCCTAGCCTCCTCTCGGCGGGGACGGTCGTTCGAAATCTGAAGAAGTCAGTGCCTATAATAAATACATAGAAGGTCTGTTATGCAACGTTCAATGCTCGATGCGACAGTAAAGTACCGCCTAAGTTAGGAAGGAAGGTAAAACTTATAGCCGCGCCCATCTCAGCTTAGAAGCGTTCAGGGGTGGCGGAGGATGGGGCGTCCTTATAGCCATGTGGCGTAGGCCACTGATGGCCTTTGAATGGATCCGTTGCCGTACTTACTACATACATACATATATACTTAGGTAGGTAATTACCTATTAAGTATAAAGAGGAAAATCTCACTAGGAATCGCCTTTGGTGGGTTTTGTTCGCTACCTACATACTACCTAGGCGTTCGGTGGCCACAATCCTGCCACTGGTTGCTGTGCCGTGCAAATGGGAGGCAGGTAGCAGCAGTAGCAAAGAGTTCGGCGAACTCGAAATCGCAGCCGCGCCTATTAGATTAACTAAGCCTTATGTGCAAGTCTGGGGTTGTTTATTTCTAGATTCTTACGCGCCCAGGATCTATTGGCACAGAGATCACTCTAAGCACATGAGCTCCTAACCTTAGATCCTAGCTCCAAGAAGGCGTCGTCAATCTAGAACCGTAAATACTCGCCGCAAAAGTCCGGACCAGAGCGGCGAAGCTCACTTTACCTCAGGTGGGGTATATATAAGCACCGTCAAGCTCTAGGATACAATTCCTCTCAAGGCGTTTAAGAATTCTCAACTACATAACCAGAATATCTGGCCTACCAGCACAGGTAAGATAGGGGTAGACATATAGCACTAGACTGTGCCCCTTAAGTTGTAGCTTACTGCCGAGAAATATATCGGTAGGATGAAGATATGGTCCAGGCGGTCAATATTGAACGCCAAGAAACGCTGTGAATCTGGACACGCGAGCATACGATGTCTATGGAGACGGTCTGTAGTTCAAATGGAGATTTCTATAACCCTATGTGAACGGAGGCTAGGTTTGCGTCTATCGAGCAGCAGCCATGCTTTCCGCAGGCATGTGCAAGTATCCAGACCAAGCCCATTTCCTCATGTCTTGAATCCAAAAGTGTCTTGGTAGGTAGGCATACCTATATCAAAAAACATCACTACGGTTACCATTAGGCAATGAAAGGCACTCAAACCACCGCACTGATGCAGTTTACTTTCCTACTACATACACTCTTCATACACTCTTTTTGGAGCGATGCCAATTTCAACGAATTGATATTCTGCCAAAAGCTGGGTATAGTTGTAAAAAGCAGACCAGGCACCTAACTATCTAGCCCTCCAAAGCGATGAAATCGAACCGCCTTTCCTTATAGTGAGTGTATCCCCACAAGAAGCCTGACAGGAGGCGAGTGTATTCTGGGACTTACTTCTTCCGTAGTGTTCGAGTGTTCCCATCACCCCATTCTACTCTCAGATCCATTATTTAGGAGTTGGCGAGCCCCTTTAATGAAAGAACCAGAATCCTTTCTCACTCACATTACTCTATGATGTGCAGCGAACCATAAAACTTATTCCTCCCGATTAAACGCCATACAACACTCAACCCTGCTGCGGCTCCAGCTCTGTCTTCGCCGTAGACATCGGCGCATTCCCGCCCGGCTGCTCCGCAACCGCCTGCCCCTGTTCGTTGAGCGGCCTGATAACCTGTATTACCTTTCCATCTTTCACGCACGTTAGTTTGAGTACCTACCTAACAAGAAAAAAAAAGGGAGGGGGGGGGGGGGGCATTGGAACTCACCAGCTACTTTGGCAACAGGATGCTTGCACCCCGCGCAATAGTGCGTGATCTCGAAGTAGCTGTTGCAGCAGTACGGCAGCACCGCGCAGCAGGGGCCACAGAAGAGGCAGAGGAGGACGGCTGCGATGCTGTTGCGTTCGCGCGTCAGTATATATGTATGTATATCTTCTGACTCTTTGGCGGTTTGCCGAAAGGGAGGGAGAGTGAGAGAGAACTATACGTACTGGGTCGGCCCCGTAGGTGCGTCGTCGACCGTAGTTCTTTGACGAGTCTTACACCAAGGGCAGTCGACAATCTGTGGTGTAGCATGGAGGTCCTCGAGCCGCGCCAGCTGCATTTGTGGTGCCCCCGTCCCGGGCGCTGCTGTTTTCTGCTGCTGAGTTCCTCCCACCGCCCTGTTTTGGTTACCTGGCTGGAGAGCTGGCTGCGGGACAGCGGGCAGGCTTTCTTGGTAAGGTGGTGGGGCTGCGTCGATGCCATCATGATGGTTGTCGGGCTGCCCTGACGACGGCTGCTGCGCGTTTGAGGTCATCTTCTGTGAGAGGTGATGTGGGCATTGAGAGAGATGGTAGGTAGGTAATAATGATACTGTTGGCATTAGGTGGAAACAGCAGTTCTATATATTATCCAAGTAAGCAGTCGTTTCCTTGTGTATGTATACCCATGCTAATGCTTACCTTCCTCCTGTCAAGTCTGAGGTAATCTTGTCTAAGAGAAGCTACGTCGGTCTTGGTCTATGGTTTCGTAACGGCCAACCTGCATATATAGTGCCTTGGTATTCAGTAGGCAGCCAATATGGGGAGCATTTTGATATCAAATTAAGAAGAGCTGAAAACTCCTTTAGATAGCATGATTTTACAATTACGCTGAAATGAGGCTGAGCTGGTAATGCCATGGAATTTAATTCGTAGAATATGTCTTGGGTAGCTACCTAGTTCCCAGGATTCTGATCATGCGTGCTATGCTTATGGGTTGATTAATGCATACCAATGAAGTGCATCTGCGCGACGTGAAGACTGTAGATTCAAGAAAATGAAAAAGACCAATTGCCTAGATAGACAGATGATAATCTATGCGTCACACGTGCTGTTCTGTGCCAATACTGGCACGCCGTGCAATATAAGACCAAGCAGAGAATGCGGAAGAAGAGAAGAATCACCTTTGTAAAATCAAGGCTTCTTGATTTGCGCACGAAATCATAATGGCCAAATTCGCATTGATGCTCTTGCTGCATATTCGTAACGCGGAAGTTAAGTTCGTGAATGAGTTCAACACAACCTGTCCGCTTGGAGAAACGTGGACAAGACAAGACGATGGCGTGTTCGCGAGGCTGCAATGTAACTATGTTGCATGACTCGGGATATTTATCAGCTACTGTGAGTAGTATCCGGATGTGATGTTCCTGAGCACATGGCGCGCGGCTCCGGGTCGGAGCGAATCTCCGAGACAAGTTTGCTGTACCGACCCCATGGGACAATCGGAGCGAGGGCGAATCGCGATTCATGTGATCAGGCAAAAAAGTCCCCAACTAATATAGCGGCCGTTGCTGTGTATCTTTAATAAGTACGAAATTGACATTTTGCCCCAGACTTGGATAACCGGTATCCTTCGTGCGCTGTGTGTAGATAACATACCCAGTATTTAATTGTGTGAATTGGGAAAAGATGAACCTTTGTCGATGAAGACATCGTGATCTGATTTCATACAGGAAAAAAGAGGATATTCACCACTTCAATGATTTCATTATTCTTTGATAGTCGCTTGCTAACGCGTGGGGATGAGGGGCATCTCTTACTAGGGCTGCCAGGTAGGTACATGGAAACTATTAGTTAGGTTATCCAGTTGAGCCAAGAGCTAGTTGTCATTAAAGTGAACTGGTGTGAGAGAGTATAACGTAAGTGGCTGGTTGCAAGTAAGAAAAACCTGAATCGTGGATATCTAGCTGATGCGGTGTGCCCTTATCTTGGCAGTGAAGAAGAAAAAAGAAGAAGGGGGGATAATCGATTCTTTTAAATGATCGGACTACTAACTACTAGGTACGTACTACTAGTACACAAACCTATGTAGGCTACGTACTACTAGTACATAGGATTTTGTGCGGTATGACAGCATCCCGCCTCACCCGTCAGACAGTAGAATACACTACCCTAACCTTAGGTTAAGTTAGTACCAGGTCCCAGGGACCAGGGTAGCCCTAGAGGTCAGTATGTATGTAAGTTACAGTAGCCATGTAGTTAACTAGGATTGAAACAGAAGCGCGCGACAAAAATGTTAAAATCGAAAGATCGGGGGGTCCCAGCTAAAATTATCTCTGTCCTATAATAATGCGGCTGAACTCAAGGTTGCAAGGGATGACGAAACAAACATTGAAAACAGAAATGGATCCATCTTACCAAATGGATAATGGATTTCCATCAGTTAACTACATAACTAGTTAGTTGCGGGACCCGATTCTACGGGTAACGGCTTTTCTTCCCAAACAGTTGGCGCCCAGAACCAGAAAAGAACTTATGAATCATGAGCAGTTTCCAAAGTCTTACCCTAACTATACCTATTACTAACATTACCATACGTACACACATACATACACACATACATACACACACACACACACACAACAGATCTGTTTCCGGATAGTCCGCCCCTGCCCGCAAAAGTCCGTCGGTTTCTAGCGCTGGTCCTCTAGGTTAGTAAGTTCGATACGCTCTAGGCGCCCTAGCGTGGACAAGATGTCTTTGAACGCCATCGTCGGATTCTCGGAGAGCGAACGAAACCTGATTGTGTCTTTTTTTGGGCATTCATTGTAGGTCCCTTGTGACGTGTAGAACAAAAAGAGCGCCTTTTTAGAAATCCCCTTGTCTGTCAGGTAGGTAAGGTACCTTACATAGGTAGAGGAAGGTAAGGGTATGTAGGTTAGGTATAAGTTATAATGACCTAACCTAGACAACACCTTCTTTTCACAAGGAATTGTCTGACCTTTTTTATTTTTCGGTATTATACACACCTGAATAAGTTTCGTATTTTTGAGCAGATACATACATAACTGGTCCCCGGTTGGTCCTCTTGGTATATCTCACCGCTCACCATACAGCACACACCACACACATCACACACACCACATTTAATAACGCCCCTAAACCTCTATCTATCTACCTACCTACTCGCCTCCATACATTTACATCTTACCTGCACGCAAACCCATTCCACCCATCCCACCAAGGACAAATCAAAAAAGAAATATAAAGAAAAATCAAAAATCAGAAACGCGAACAAACCACCATGGCCGACTTCTCCAAAACCCTCATCGTCGCCATCGTCGCCAGCATCGTCGCCGTCATCGCCGCGTTCGGGCTGATATACTACCTGGCGCTGAACTGGACGAAGCTGCTGCGCCGCGGCAAGCCCGACCCCTGGGACAAGGACGCCGAGAAGTCCTGGCCGAAACCGCGAAAATCCGGCGAAGCCAACGTCTCCTTCTCCTCCTCGCCCGCCTCCTCGCCGCGATCATCTAGGATGGGCGATGATCCTGTGACGGGAAGCAGCAGCAGCAGCAAGCTACAGGAACCTATTAACGGCGGCGGGAGTGAGCCGATAACGCCACCGCGTAATGCCAAACTATGAGGCGTTTCTGCCCCTCCCCCTTTTATTTATTTTTATTTTTATTTCATCATCATCATCATCGTTGTTACTACTACTACCATCACGACATATAAACTACGGCCTGCATGAGACATGAGAAGCGACGACAACAATCGGAATTATTGCATTGCATTTTTTAATCGGCGTTTTATTAGGCCTCACGGTCATTGGTCCAGGGGACAAAACTCATCATCAATTTTTTCCCTTTTTTTTTTTTTGGTTCGGCGTTGCGGGACGCTCTTTGATGAGCTGCATATACCACCGGGTGATCCGGCACACACACCGAGAGAGAGAAAGAAAGAAAGAAAGAAAGAAAGGGCGTGGAATTGCATGGAAATAGGGGGGTTGGCATGGCGTGATACACTTACACTTACACTTACACTTACATATCGGGTACCTACACTGCATTGAGCCTAGTGATTCATCCATCATTAGAATACATACATACACATAGTTACATATGTATAGAATAAGATCAGATTAGATCAGACGTACAAAGAGCATACATACAAAAAAAATCTTTTCCAACCACACATCGTTAAATCCGAGACTTACATACCTAAAACCGGCGACCATGTCCGAATCTGATCTGATAAATACAGTAATGCGCACTTACGTGGCTTGGGCTTTTCCACCGGAAGCGGCGGGGACTCTCGGACAAAGAAAGCCGAAATACGAACCCGAGCCGCGGAAACTCTGGGCAGGCCGTAACTATAATCTTCTTAAGGCTGATGTCTCCAGCCGTCCCGCCCACACGAATGAGAAGTGTGAATTGTCTTCACTTCTGGTCTTAGCCCCGATAAACGCCGTCGCGCATGCGCTGGTGCCGGTATCGACCGAGGGGGCATGTTTCTATGCACTTGCTGGCTGCCCAGCGTTGGCGAGTATGGTAGCGTGAAATATGCGCCATGGTGATTGGCGTCTGACTATGTACCCATGTAAGCGACACTCGGCCGATGAAGATACGTCCGTTGCTGCGTGATATAGTCTAGGTAAGGAGTCGTAGTTAATAGGGCAGCGGAACTATAGTTGGTATGGGCGATACACGTATTCATTTGCTGTTCCTCCTTTTCTTGTGCGTCACGTATATATTTGTTTTCGTCTACCAGTCGTATTGCACTGACACATCGAACCCTCGTCTTCTGTAAATATGTTAATGAGGTGACACTGACATAAGGTTCTTCGAGCTATTCTATACGCAGAAAGCGAGAGCGAGAGAGAGAGAGCACCAAGACTAACCTTCCTAACCTGCTTCGTACCTAACCACCTGATAGTAGACCAACAGAAAAGGGGCCGCCCAACGTACAACCTCGCATCATCCCACGTTTTCTCGATCGATCGATTCGTAAAAGCCTAGAAGCCTGTCTCATCATAATCACTCCGGAATAAGGGGGCATGGGATATATGGTCTCGCCAAAAAGGCGGTCTTGTCAATGTTCAACTATCTACTAAATAGCCTAGTGTTGAATTGCCTCGTGGCATGATACTAGCTATGCACCCAACTCTGGTGTTTTGTGTCCTTGGCCAGCCACAGCTGGCCACATATAGATACAGGTAGAATATGAATTAGAATAGAAACATTAGATGTACAATGCGAAGAGGGTCAGTAATCAAACATTAAACAAAAAACCAACGGCCATAATCGGCCAATGAAGTATACAAGAGGTGTAACGGTATCCCAAGGTAATTTATCATTACCAACGCCAAAGCTCAATCCTGAGACGTGCTGCTCTAGCCAATGTGTCCCGGATGGATGCCAGAGTCCTGTAAATGCGACAATGCGGAACTTAGAAAAAAAGTATATATCCGTATGCGTGAGTGCTAATCTCATGGAATCGTGATATGTAGACGTGTTCATGTTAGGTCGATGTGTTGACCATCCTATGTCTGCAAAGTCTTGAATCGTCCCTCGAATGCTTTCACCTTTTCGGCTTGGAGCTCCCTCTCCAGTTTCCGTGTTTGGCTGATGGCTGCCTCACGGTCTTCTTGTAGCTGCATGACCTCGATCTGAGCAGAGTTCATTTTCCCTACAACCTTCTCCATCTCGGCATCCGCATCAGTTAGTGCGTTCTCGAGCTCGGCAATGCGAGCGCGAAGGTTATCGACTTGAGTTTCCTCAGACACGCTCATGGCCGGTCCAGAACGTGTAGTACTGATACGAGGTGACCGTGCACCTGGCCCCGAAAATAGAGGGGATAAAGGCGATTTAGGCGGGAAGACACGCGGAGAACGTAAGCCATCGCGCATCCGCTTCAACTGGTCGTTGTGGCTGGCTCTGAGGTTCGATACCTCGTCCTCGTGACGCGCCATGCGGTCCTCGGAAGCATTTTGCGCAGCTTCCAATTTCTCCTCCAGGTTCCGGAGATGTGCCTCCATGAAGGTGATGCGCTCCTTGTTCGCCCTCTGATCCGACTCACCACGAGCTACGGTATCCGAGATTCGTTGCCGTAGTGTCTGGTTGATGGAAAGTTGCTGGCGAACCTGCAAAGCTAGTTCCTCGACACGACGAGCCGACTCGCTGAGTTCATCGGCAAGGAGCTTTTCGGATTCGAGGTATACGCGTTCGCCGGCTTGGAGAGTCTCAAGCTGCTCCTTGTAAGACGAAGCTTCGTGGCGGGCTAGGTCACGTTCCGAGACTGTTGCAGAAAGGCTTCGCTCAAGTTTCTCCATCGCAAACTTGGTCATTTCATCTTGCGCACTACTAGCCTCCAATTTCTTGATACGCTCAAGGGACTCCGCATATGCGTTCTGAAGGTCTTGGTAAGCAACTGATAGAGAATCAGAGGTTACGGGCACCGTCATTTTATCGCTTCCACTACTTAAGCGTGCAAGAGAAGGTGGAATGAGAATGTCCTTCTCCTTTAGTAGGCCCCTGAGCGAGGTGATCTCTTGTTCGGTTCGATCAAGATCCATCTTCAGCCCGCTGAGCCCCTTCTCAACTTGCCATTTTTGGTCGAGTGCCTCCTCAGCTCTCCGACGTAAAACGTTGATCTCGGCTCGGAGGACGGATATTTCCTTCTGGAATCCGGCTTTCTGTGGCGACTCTGTTAACAGTCGATCACGTTCCATCTCGAGAACTTTGATCTTCTTATTGTTTTCCTTATTCTGATGCTCTTGTCTCTCTAGAAGGTTCTTTAGAGCCCGATGAAGAGCATCTCGTTGCTCCTCAACATCCTTAAGCCTATCTGATAATTGATCTCGAAATTCAGGTGTCTTGACTGACTTGGCCCTTGACAATGATGGTGGCCTCTGCAGCCTCCAGGACGATGGCGGGCCGGTTAAGGAGTTGGATCGGGATAATCGTGACCCGGCATTTGTTGGGCCTTCCTCTGAAATAGTGTTTATCGAGTTGGTTTGTAGTTGTTTGAGAGAGGTGTTCTCAATTTTGAGTGATTGGAGCTCTTGCTGCATTTTTGTCGACTCGTAGTTCATCTTCTCTAGCTCTGCCGCTTGCGCCTCCAGGCCTTCGACGCGAGCTCTTAGTTGAGGTACAATCTCATCCCGAAGGTTGTCTCGTTCGTTCGAAGCGTTTTGAAGTTCATCCTTGAGCGCTGTAAGCAAGTCCTCGAAATTATCCTTGACCTGTCGCTCCTCAGAGAGCTTCCGGCGCAAAGTTTCACACGTGCTTTCCAATTCCTTGACGCGACCATTGGCGTCGACATTGTTAACATTTGAAAGATCCAACTGGGATGCTTTTTCGGAGAGCTGCTTGATTTGGTCATCTAACTCTTGTCGCCTGGACCTTTCATCCTGGAGTTTGCTCGTTAATTCGAGCCTGATTTGGGCTTTCTCCTGTTCTGACCTCCTCTGAATCTTCTCGATTTCATCTCTTGACTGGTCGTACTCGCTTAACTTAGCTGTGCTGTATCCCGAATCTGAGAAGTAGTCACTTGTCCTCTTATTTGCATTAGTCGTAGGGTTGTCCCTCTCCGCTTGTAATCTGTCAACTAAATCCTCAAGGTCCATCTCGCGCCGAATGGACGAGGCCAATTCGGTCGAGATGGCCTTCAGCTCATCTTCCATTTCTTCGATCTGGTAATGCAACGGTACCGAAGGGGTTTGTGGCGTTCCCAGGTAAGAATCGCAATATTCTCTAGAATTTGAAGACCCGTATTGCGCCTTGGGGGCGTCAAGTAGTGATTGTGGTCCGATTGTTGTGACTGGGGATGCATCGGAAATACTAGCCTTTGAGAAGGGATAGGGTGATGGAAGGGGCGAATAGTCTTTGTTCGAAGTATCAGCAGTAGTAGATGGTGAAGGAGCCCAGCCAAAGAAGTTTCCTAACTTGGACGGTGATTTTGGTAATGGTTTGTCGGTATTAGGCGTCCTTAGTTCGTTACCTTCGGCTCCTGGGCTATTTGCTGAATCATCATAGTCAAGATTTAACTGAGGAGCAGTAATCTTCCGGTTAATATGTAACGACATACTTGGGCGGCGATCAGAGTTACTATTATAGGACGACTCCGAATTGTAGCCGTCGAATATGTTCTCATTCAGTGGGTCCTCGTCTTCGTCATCAAATAGGTCGTCATAAGGGGTTTGACCGTCGTGTTGCGACAGGTCAGAGGGGTCATCCGTTTGAGGATCGGCAGGGTTGTCAGCCCGAGAATCCGGACGTTCGACTTCATCCACCTGGACGGGCGAATGAGAATCTACAACAGCTAGTGGATGTCGGGTCTCAGAGAGTTTGCTGGATAAAGTCGGTTAATTGGCCATTCTTGAACGTAGACGAGTCGCGTTGGAATGTATATGGTGAATTAATGAAACTTTGACTTACTCTTTGTTCCCGTGGATGAATCGGAAATCTTTAGGTGCTTCAAACCCAGGCCTTTGGATAGGACCAGTAGGGGGATGAGGGAACTCGTACACGGTAGGGCTGTCTACCGAGTAAGAGCGTGAAAACCGTTGATCCGGTCTCTGTAAGCCCTTTGCTATGGAGAGATACTCCCCAGAGGAATACCTAGTAGCGATTTGTGACGCGGTTGCAGACAACGGCTTCCGTCGAATAGAAGCTGGCCGTGAAGGTAGGCCAGCGGCACTATCGATGACAAGCTTTTTCGTGTTTCTTGATGGTGGTAGGACGGGAGGCGACTCTGAGGATGGCGATTGGTCTGGAAGGTCGGGAAAAGGTTGGTGAAGGGAAGAAGGTAGATGAGATGAAGCACGAGAAGTCTCAGAGTTGGCCTCGAGGGAGGGCCGGTGCGGATGGTCTTGCAATGACTGAGGGACGGACATGGTTCGTAGATTTGTAGATTTACTACTCCCTTGTCATATCACTCATGACCATGTAGGTAACTATTGGGATATTGTGTGGAGTTGGTTACAACGTTAGAACGTTAGGGGCCAAGAGATTACTTGACTCGGTCTGTCCAAGCAAGAGTGTTAATGTTTCACTGAGAATAGAGAAGGGCAAGATTCATCGAAGTCAAATTCAGTCTAACAGCCATGACAACCATGACAATCAAGAGGTGAACCAGGAAAAGAGTGAGAACGCAACAAGAGAAAGAGCAGAAACGACCAGAATTCGTTTAGACTCGGCGGTGGAAATGTTCGAAAGGGGTATGGCGGCATTGGCTACTGGTTGGTAGCGTCGCAATCGGTTCTTTTCCTCATTATTAGACCAGTTACAAACCATTAAAATCCATGAATGGGGTCTGGTTCAAGGATGTAGGGATATGTAAGGATGCTAGTTAATAAGCCCATAAAGCCCAATAAGCCCTGTTTTAATATTCAGGAACCCGTTAGGAACGACGCGGAACTGCATGGAGCAATTCAGTAATTCAACCTGGCTCTTGCTTTTGTCTCTTTCTCACTTCAATGTCTCTCTTAAGTACCTTACCCATACTACTAGTAGTACATACATAGGTATGTGTACAAGTCTATATACTTTGCAACGCGGCGCCTGGAAGGTGACAAGCATCTTTCCTAGCGTTTACGATTTCCCCCAGTCGTTCCGCTCTTTCCCCTGATATGGCTTTGGATGGATTTTGTGGTGTACAACATTGAAGTCGGGGACACAATTGATGTTCTTTTAGTCGCTAACCACACCATTGGTCTACAATTGACAAGTGTCCCTGATTCTCTTGTCAAACAGAGCTTATACCCCTGTCAAATCCTTGCACTGCTAACCTAATCACATCTGTTTTTGTTCAATTGTAATTTCACCACCCCTGCAACCTAGCATCATCCCTCTAAGCCACCGGTAGGCAGAATGAACTACCAGAACGAATTGATTGGTTGGTATCAGCTATGTAGGTACATATTAGTCGTTGATATTTTATCAATAGGTATTCTGCTTGCATTTTTACTGACGAATGACTTTTTGTAGTTTCTTAGATAGTACTACTAGTAGTATTTGATACCTCACCAAGCCGAGCCAATCCCCTCCTGTTTACAGACTCTACACTAGATCTTACTTACCGCATTCTGCATTTCTCCTGCATACTGCAGGTACCAGCATGCAATGCACCCTGGCGGCATACATGGATGCATACCTTGATAACTATGTACCTATGTAGTTACATGTAGATCGCTTAGAGCCTAGAGGCTACCTAGTACTAGGTATTAATCCCCTACTAACACAGAACAATCACAAGGCAATCTCACTTTCGCGATATCGACTTTCCCCTGTTTTAACCAGTAGGATAAAGAAAGAAAGATCGATCTTAATAAAATCTCTTGAGCGATTCCATAATAATATCAGGTATCACTTACAGTAGCACTGCCCATCGCGGCTAACGGGAAATTTTGAACGTCAATTACCAATTATAGCTGAGCTTCCGCTGTTACGAGACCTCAAGTGCTACCTCTATCTGTTGTGCCATCGCCGTAAAATAGCGCGCGGCAAGGTACAGTCCGATCCGATACTATTATTATATTAAAGAGATAGGATTGATGTATTACATCCGATAAAGAAGAAAAAGGACAGGTCATAATGAGTCGTGGGGTATTCTCACGCAATACTACTAGTAGACTACTACTAGTAGTAAGTACAAAAATGGAAGCTATCCTAATTTCCAAGGTCTTGATCCCGACTTTATTGCACTTACTGTAACTAACTTAATACAATAACTTCAAGTTGAGCCTCAAAAAGCCCAGAGGTTCAATGTATTTATCTACATACCTATTCAGGTACATACCTAGGTATGCATGCATGTATAACGTTAAGCACGTTGTATGCAAGACAGTGCTATGTCTCTAAGAGAAACCCCGAACCATATTTTAACATTCAACATCCAAGACATGGAAATATTTCAAAGGTTACATACGTAGGTGCGGTGCCTACAACATAACTCTTTCCGCCAGGGACAGCCAAAGGGAACGCGTAATCGTAATCTACCAATTAAGGCAGTTCCTTTCTATGTTTGGTATGAGCGGTTGAATATCAAGAGCTAGTTAAGCAAGTCTGCCCCCCCTGCGCGCATCAGTGGGACTATCCCCCAAGACAGGAAGCCAGCCGAGGCCAGATTCGCGATTGCTAACCCTGAATGCTTAGTAGGAGGTAAGCTCACCTAAGATGCCATTCTCGTCTGGGGAATGTAGCGGCGAAGATGACCAACTCGGGGAAGATGCTAAGACGCCCCAAATACTTGTGAGATAGGATCTAGCCATGCCCAAAGCAGTTGTAACGTCGGGTGAGTTGTACGTGATGCATACATATGTGCATAGTACAATGTAGTATGTGCTTTTACACTTCTAGTTAAACGATACACTTAAAATAGAAGACGGGTGAACAATCTCATTGCGTATTTCCCAATAGAATAAATAGGTAGCGCTTTTCCAGCTCCTTTAACTACAGCTTTTGTTACGTACGAAAACCAAGGCGCGAACAAAGGCGCTTCTGTTACTATGTAATTAGCATCTGACCTATTGATATTGTCTAATTTGTTATGTGCTTTCATATAGGGGTCCACTGGGTTAGGAAACAAATGAGGCTCTGGAGATCCTGGCAAGGGAACTGGGTCCCAGAAACCACCACTCCACAGGTCTGGTCTATTAAGGGTCCTGATTTCTTCGTGACATCCATGGAGAAGGCCAAATAAGAAGGCTATGCGGCCAGGCCGTTGTCCTACGTTTTTTTGAAGTTCGTCAGTCCAAGATTCCAGGTAGTTATCTGGGTTAATAGTAATAATTTGCAACCGTACGTTTATGTAAATTCTAAGGTTCTTAACTGCGCCTCAGTCAATGGGGAGAAAGATACCTCATCCGGCACGCCACCCGAAAAGGAGGCAGGTTTACATACCTCCCCAGGCTGCCAGGTATATTAACGTTATCCCTTATACGAAAAATGTAGCCTTGGAAGAACCCCTATCATTCTATCATGGATATTGTTATCAACGACTAATTCCAACTTCTTCTTGTTATAACTAGCCTACATAAGTCATCAAGGAAAAGGAGTTCGCACGGTGAGCGCTTCATTTCCACACTTCGTTATGCGAAGTACCTAACCTAGATAAGACCCCCATGCCCGGAGTTCGTGTTCTCTTCTTCTCCGAGTCAGGAAAGTTGCAAGTAGCTAACCGAAGAGCTATCTTTGAATCTGCAAATATCGAAATCGAATGTGTCATGATGGTTGTAGCCAACTTTTGTAATCGATCGTTATTAACCCAGGACTAAGATATGTACCTGACCTGAGCGTCTAGGGGATGCATAGAAAGCACCACACGTGATAGTACGAGGATTTCCATACTATTTGGATCAAGAAATAGAACGGGATACAGGATCTATTTCTGTATGCCTATTCAATATTCCTACTATTAATAGGTTCCGTACGTAGTAGACTTGTTCATCAATACCCCCAATAACGAGTAAGACAAGAACTGAAAATAGCCCATTGAAATTTGGGGGCCGCCGGCCTAAAATCACGCGCGTGACTCCCACCTAGGCGCTCACCACTCACCCCCCCCCCGGCCCAACATCGGCCCATCCCCCCGCGCACAAAAAAAACCCCCCGTGCAAAACCAAGGGCATATATACCCCCAAATCCGCAGCCACAACCACCAACAAAAAAACCGCATAGGGTTCCCAGGTGTCACAAGCCTCCTATCGCCCGGTTAGCTCAATCGGTAGAGCGTGAGACTCTTAATCTCAAGGTTGCGGGTAAGTCTAACTACATAACTCCCTCCCTACCTGTACACACAGAGGGTTCGAAGTAACTACGTAGTAATACATATGTTCGATAAAAGCTAACATTTCTACTCCTACTCCTAGGTTCGACCCCCGCATCGGGCTCAATTCCTGATGCTTCTCAGTCACAACTGGGATAAGCAACCACTTATTTTTTTTGTCTTTTTTTTCTTCCTCTCTCCTTTTTTTGAAAAAAAAAAAATATTTTCTTTCTTCTATTGTGATTCCTTTTGTAACCTATTCTACGTGAAAATATCCTTTGAGCCTACCTACCTACCCTGCCTGCTCTCCCCATCTCATCCCTATGTAACTACCTTCTAAAGTTGAAGAAAAGAAATTCCAACCGCTATCTGTGGCTTTGCTTGTGGCGCATTTAACTACCACTCTTCCCACTCCTCGTGACCTAAGGCCATCCATAGGTATCCCTATCCATGATTCCATATCCATATCAACCCATCGTCGTACGAGCAATTCAACTCTCCTAATAATACCTAGCCCTAGTTATATAGGGAAAAAAATTACTAGTAGTTAGTTATTACACCGTAGCACTTGTAAGAGCCTCGCCTCGAATATTCCCCTGTTTCACGGTCGACGATCCGGCAAGCCAAGCCAGGGGTGTCGCAGAACACAATGCTACATTAGCACAAACACGACCGACAGGTATCAGTAAGAGATTCTGCCTTTCATTCAAGTGCAGGTACTCCAATAGAAAGAAGGACGAGATATAACAGAATGCCAAAAAAAAAGTTATTTCTCTATGTATGCTGTCTATTGACTAAACATGCAACCCGAACCCACCATGCAATCATGAATCGTTCGTTTCCCCGTCCCGTAGTCCAAAGCCGTGCCCCAAACGCCTAACCTATGCCATGCAGTCGGTCCTTTTGATTAGCAAAACGACATTGCCTCTCTACCTATGTATCTCTCCTTGCCTCCTTCTTTCCCTCTCTCAAAACACACTATTCTTGCTCCATTTATTCTTTGCCCGGATCCTCCTCCCATAGTAATAAAAAACATACGGCACAGGGATGAGCAGGGTCGCGAAGCCAGCGAAGATGCTGGACCCGGGCCCCACGCCGATATTGTGATACAGCGGGGAGACGACGAGCGGGAATGCGGCCGCGAAGCAGCTGCGCAAAAAGGTATTAGCCGCCACGGCGCTCGCGGCATACATCTGGAACGTGTCGACGAGGTAGTTGAGGGCTGCCTGGAAGATGGTGTTGAAGCCGCAGCCGGTGATGAACAGCCCGATGACGGGGGCGATCCAAGGCGCGACGGCAGGGTCGGCAGTCCAGCCGGTGATGAACTGGCCTGCTGCGAATAGCACGGAGCCTAGCATCATCGGCGGCAGCCTCTTCTCTGGAATCGGGCGGTCGCCTGAAGCGTGGTAGGCCTTGTTGTAGTAGAGCTGGTTATACATGTTGATGGCTGCGCCGGTGAGCGAGCCCAGAAAGATGGCTAAGAAGGGTAATTCGCTGACCACAAGTGACCACCCTCTGACCTCGCCGAATATAATGGGGATAGCCCCAAGATGCATGTAAAGAATCCCATAGCAGAAACTCGCGTATATCGCGATTAGAAAGCAAATAGGCGTGCAAAGCAGCTGAATCGGGCGAACGAGGAACTTCCTCGCCACTGCAGCAATAAAATTTCGTTAGCGATAGACTTCTTTATCAACAAAAGCTGCATAGGGTTACATAAGAGCGTATCTTGAAGTAAAAAATGTGAAGATTTAGGCTTAGTTAGGGAAGCCTAACTCCTACCACAAACCCAAAAAGGGGGTTTAATGGACTTGAGAAAGGTTACATACGCTCAACGATACTAACATCCCATTCCTCGAATTTAGCGTGGAGTGCCCAGTTGCCCGTCTCGAGGCGCAACCGCCGTGCCTTGGTGACCAGGAGCCTCGGCGGATACGACTCATCGACAAAGATAACCGCTATCAGCAAAACGGCCGCCTGCAGCATCCCCGTGGTATACTCGGTCCACCTCCAGCCCAAGTTCGGCTGCACGACAACGGCAGCCGAGACGATTGGCCCCACGGTCGGGCCGCCGACTACGGCCATAGCGTAGCCGGCCATGGCGATGCCGCGATACGCGGGGGTGAAGAGGTCGCCCAGGACACCACCGGTATTGGTGACCGGAGCGGAGGCGAAGAAAGCGCCCCAGAACCGCGTCAGCATGAGCGTCTGGAAGTCTTTGGACACGGCCGAGGCGAAGGAGAAGCATATGGCGACGAACATGGGCGTCAGGACCGCCATGCGACGACCGTACACCTCTGAGAGCGGCGCCCACAGCAAAGGGCCTAGACCGAAGCCGAGGAGGAAGAGCGTGGTGCCCAGAGTGGCTACTTGCGTGCCGACGCCAAACTCCTGGGCGATCTGCACAGTGCCGGCGGAGTAAGAAGATGAGGCCCAGGTGGCGGACATGGTGACCAGAGCGTAGAGCAGGGTGGTGGTGACCTTCTTGTGCCGCGGCCAATTCAAGGGGCGGAAGGGGTCGTCGGGCCCGTCGAAGTCGACGATGTAGTCCGGTCCAGTTTTCTGCTTCGCGAGGGGGTGCGAGAACACCGGGACTATCGGGCGAGACCGCAGTCGCGACAGCGCGGTGTCCCGCCGAGAAACCGACGGCCGGATGGCGCTTGAGGTTCCGTCCACCACATCATCCCGGCTGGTCGCACGCAGCTGAGACGGATGCGTCTCCAGGGTACACGGTCGGTGGCCATCATGGTACTTTTCCGTGGGAGGGCACTCGCAACTCGATGACCTTCTGTTGAGCGCCGTGGCGGGGGAATCCGGGGAAGGAGGTTCCTGAGACGAAGCTCCGCGTGAGCGCTCCGAGTCGCCATTTTCTTCGGTTGTCGACATGGTTGCCGATTAATGATACCTTGAGGGCATCGAGTATGGTATATTATGTACTGTATAATATACAATTATAATACATAGGTACCCAGGGCAGGGGGGATAAGACGGATCTCATTTGAATCGATGATCGTGGTGTCGTCATCATCCCACATCGTAACCCGTTGTTCTGGAACCGATGCCGAAAGGCCGAAAAGGCGAAAAGAGAGGAAAAAGTATTTACTGTGTGGTAGTGACAAGTGTAGTTGATAGTTGAATCGGAGTTCCAAGGTCCAATGACGTGTGGTCTTGCCAGAATTGTTTATATCCACCTGGGCATATCCCTGGACACATGACAAATAAAAGAAAGAGCCATACAACAACAAAACTAATGCTTAAGCCCGGGTAGGCGTATCCCGTTACATTAGGTATCCATGGATTACATAAAGTCGCCCAATACTTTTGAGATTCAGCTCTATCACACCTAACACACCATAGGCATGTGCCATGATACCAACCTCCTGAATCGATAAACACAAGCAAATTATCACAAAGCGACCCAGGAGAGAATCTTCACAGGGGATGTAATCCAAGACTTATGGTAGACTTTTTCATATTATTTCAACTGCTTCCACATCGCAGTTTCATCAGTTTCCCAACATCTCAACTCTTTTCTAATCCAAGAGTCCTTAGGCGAAGCCTTGTCGCCACCCTTCATCAACTGCGTACTGGGTTCCCAACCCATCTAGGTCTAACCTGCCTGCATCATTACATGCTATGCTATGCCACGCTGTATAAAGCACAATATGAGGTATCAATCAATAACCCCAAGAGTCAAAGTCTATAAATAATACCAGACTTGTAAATAAAAACAACAAGAAGAAGGGGGAAAAAAAAAACAAGCAAAGAAAATAATTTTATAGCTTGGGGTTGAACCGCTTGCGTATGCGCTCGCCGTAGATGAAGAATATAAGCGGTATCGGGATGAGGCCCAGCGAGATGAAGGCGAGCAGGCTGTTGCCCCAGCCCAGGCCGAGCGCGTTGTACATGTCGAGGCCGCCCAGGGGCAGGATGGCGCCGAGCAGAGATCGGAGCACGGCCATGGCGGCTGTGACGGACGCTGCGTACTCAGGGTAGGTGTCAAGAAGGTAGTTTTGGATGCAGAACTGTTTAAGGGACATGTTAGAATCTCTGTTTAAGCGAAAGAAAGGGGGGAGTTGGGTTGGGTTGGATTGATAACGTACCATGACACCCATCATACCAGCGGCGAAGATCAAGACGCCGAACATGGGGACGATCCAGTGAATGCTATAGTGTGTGGTCCATCCGTAGATGAACAGGCCGACGGGGAGCGCGATGCCGCTGGGGATGGTCAGGATAGGCGGGATGCGGATCTCGGGCTTGTGGACGATGCCCTTGGCCTGGTTGCGCTTGACCATCCAGTCCGTGAGCTGGCCGAAGCCCACCACGCCGATGACCATACCGATGCCGGCGGGGAGGAACGTCAGGCCGCTGGTGCCCTCGTCGAACCCGTACTGGCCCGTGTAGACGAACGAGAAGGTGGTGAGGAGCAGGTAGAAGATGCCGTAGGTGATGGCGACGTATAGCGCCATGGACGTGACGATGGGCGTCACCAGCAGCAGCTTCATCGGCCGAATGATCGTCTGCTTGAAGTGGACCTTCGGATCGATTCTGTCCGCGAGCTTGCTGCGCAGCTCCTTGTTGCCGGTCTCCTTGCGGAGTTTGCGAGTCTTCTTCTCGAGAATGGCGGCGCCGAGCGTCTCGCGTAGGAAGAAGGAGAAGGGGATGAGGAGACCACCCTGCGTTTCCTGTTAGCTCACACATACACACAGGGAATGCTTTATGCTACTAAAGACTGAAGGGAAGAAGGACATACCAGAATGACAATCAACCAATACACCCATCGCCACCCCGCGGCTTGGATCAGGTAGCCACCGGCGATCGGGCCAATACACGGGCCTAGGAGAGGACCCAGGGCCCAAGCCGACATAGCCCTCCCGCGCTTCTCCACAGGCATGATATCGGCGATGCTGCCGCTTCCGATGGTGATGGGCACAGACCCGGCGAGGCCCATGAGCAAGCGGAACGCCATGAGCATCCCGATGCTGTTGCTCAGAGCAGCGCCGATGGAGAAGGCGACGAAGAGGATGTTGCCGATGACGTACAGCGGTCTTCGGCCGTAGATCTCGCTCAGCGGCGCCACGATGAGCGGGCCGAAGGCGAAGCCTAGGATGTAAACTGAGAGTAAAAAGGTGGCGACTGTCGTCGACGACTCCTTGAATTCCACCATGATGCCGGGGATACCTGGGGCGAACATGGAGGAGCCGAGTGGCCTATTCAGGTACCTATGTTAGCACTATTCAACCTGGAGGTGGTGGGTAGTATTATTATTGGCAACTCACGTAACCATAGTCATCACAGAAAGAATGACGATGTTCAGCCATTTCTGGTTATCGGACCAGTTCATCGGGTTTGCTTGATCGTTCGGCCCGTCCCAGTCCACCACGTTCGGGTCCTTCTCGTCCTCGACAGTGCTCTCGCCGTGTTCGGGCCCGGCTTCCACATCCTGCTCTGACTCCGGCGCGTTGGTCGACGCCGCCTTGTCGGGGACCGTGTTGAGCGACCCCTTCTCTGTCTCTTCGACGCTCATCGTTGCTGGGTCTTGCTGCACCATCCTAGGTGTGTATGTGTATATAATATTTGGCTGGTTTAACACTTATACTGTTGTTGTCAGGGGGTAAAGGAGTTTGTTGTTAAACTCAAGGTAGGTATAATAGAGAGCAAACCTATAGAAGAGATGATATTGATGGCACACTGATAGCAACATTCTAACAAGAAAGAAACGGAAACCGTTCCTATTTATTATAATTAGTTAACTCGCAACACAATTTCATTAACTACAACGGGTGCCAGCGAATCCCGATCACAAAAACGGAATTCCGGCTGGGAGCTGGTCCCGGAGATGGGATTGCCTTGGCATAATTCTTGTGCAAAAAACATAGTTATCCCTCCCTCCCCCAAAACAAAATATTAAGCCCGTTCGTTCGCTTTTCCCATGTGGTTCCTCCTCCCTCGGTGGAGTAGCCGTTAAGGTCTACTTCTTCTTCTACAAGTTAGGTAGTTAAGCCTGTTGTTGATTCTAGACCGTCTTGGTCGCAGTAAACCCCATTCGCTCATTCGTTCGAACTAGGTAGGTAACTAGTTAGTAGTTACATAGTAATACCTAAATAAATTCCCGGGTTGGCATGGAAGTTAACGAAAGCGAAGGAAGGAAAAGAAAAGAAAAAGCGGAGAAGGCTTTGGTTTGGTCTGGTTTTTTTCGTTTCGTACAGAAGAAACATTGAAACATTGAAAGGGTCCGGTGGGCGACTTTTGCATAAAGCTGCATAAATCTGTGCAATTACCCTCTAAAAGTCTCTAAAGTTCTAAAACCCGGGGTATTGTGTGGATGATTTACGCTAGGAACTAACCCCCTTTTTCCACTCGTATAAGGCTAACATATACTCGTACTCGGTCCGTGTATACGACTACGGGCTAGAAGCTTTGCTAGACAGGTTTTTTAATATCAACAACACTGATACCTGGAGAAACCCCAAGACTCTAAGACCCTCCCTTTAACTTTTAACTTAAGAACACCAGCAACGTATTTTATGCGGTAAGCTGACCTTACTTCCGGCTTGGTATGGATTTCGACAACAACAACAACAACATTGAACTCCAACCCCAACCCCAACCCAACTAATTCCGCGCAATCAATGGCATTTACCTGGTTGTATTCCCAGCGCATCACTCACACCGGTACAAATTACAATACATACAAGCATACATTAAGTACACGGATTAGCTAACACGGATGATTGACGAAGCCCATGCGTGCTGGCACTACTGAAGATGATCAGTCTTGGAAGAAGGCTGAACTGGGGGTCAGATAGAGTCCATGAATTCTCGATTCTCGGTAACATCCGTGTAATATAAAAAGATAGCCTTAGCCTTATGTATAGCGTTTTTCGTAACTTTCGTAACTTTGCGATGCCGAGCCCGGTAGTTCAAATCTTCAGTAGGGGATTTTGGGGATTTTGTGGCCCTTATGTAATTAACTACCGTCTAACATCCCTTCCGCACCGAGAGATATGCAGTAATATTATGGCCCCGTCCTCCATCGTATGCGTATTACATATCTGTACGATATCTCCGTACCATTCATTGCAAGCAGCCAGAAACAGCTACTTCTTGGTAAGTTCTGACTGGGTTAGGTAATGATAGGGTCTGAGACAAAGATTAAACCAACGAAGATAAACAGGCTGTGGTGAAAGTTTGAAACCATGCAGCTCCCCACATCCCATCTGTACAGTGTACATATCTCCTTAGCCCCAGATCAGCACCTCGTTCTGCTGAATATCGTTGACTCGAAACTTTTCCGGGTTCCTCAGCGGCGTCCAGTTCTCGCTATCGCTAGGTCGGTGCGACCTGACGCTGCTGGAGTTCGTGTGCTTGAAGTGGACGGCGTGGTCGGAGCTATCGACCCAGCGGCCCTTGCGGTACTCCTCGAAAGTGCCAGCGAGGAACTGGGCGTCGAATCTTCTCTCCGCCACATTCCATCCCCGGATTCGAGAGTGCGTGGGTTCTTGGTTGAGGAAGACGACGAACTCGCCGCTCGCGTAGTCGCTCACTTCCTCCAGGTACCGGCTCATCCCTGTCATGCGGCTGTCGAACCCGCGGTCGACGAGGATAATGTAGCTCTGCGTGCCGTTAGTGGGCTCCTCCACGGGGCGGATACGGCATCGCCGCACAGGTGGGCGGCAGCGCGTTGCCGTATCGACGATGGCACCTTGTGGGGCCGGCATCACACACGTGACGGTGCGTATGTCGTAGTTCTGATTCGAGAGTAGGAGCCCGAGGTAGCTGCCATCCTTGAGGGTATGTAGGTCTAGCGCCACGTGCCGCGTGCCCGACGGATACATCCCCCAGTTCGGCGCCACGTTGATGTCGGTAGGCGGGCGACAGAGACTCACATAGAGGATGTCTAGGTCCGGACGGAAAGCACGAAATGGCACGTTGCAGCCAGCTAGTGGCGAATAGCGAAACTTTGTGCGGGATATGGCCACCTCGCGTGCCTCACGGCTCACGTGCATGAGGGTGGGAAAGCAGGTGTCAACGAGAAAGGGCTTGAGGATCTTGGAAGGAGAAGGCGTCTCCGTCAGCACTTCCTCTACCGGCCAAGGAATGCATATCTCTGGTACATCGTCAGGGAGTGCAAATCCCCAGATGGCACGACGTAACTCGAGAGGTAGGTCCCTAAATCTGGTGAACAGTGGACGGTGCGTGTTTGTCGACATTTTGTACCGAATACTACCCGTTTTCTTGTCTAATAGGGATTGAGATGTGTTAGCATCGGATTACACCAATAGGGGTCTGGTGTATGGCCGCAGTGCTGAGTATTGATTTTCCGGAAGTTCAGACTGAGGACTGAGGATTGAGGATTGAGGATTGAGGATTAAGAAATTTGCACATTGAACTTTGAAGGGACAGGATGGATACCGAGTACTACTATACATATGTGTAAGAGGTGAAACGCTTATGTAATTATTCATTACAAACCTAAGGTATACATATGTAGTATGTGAGGTAGGTACTATGCAGGTAGGTATGCATGCATTCGCACCTGCCAACATCAATGATCAAAGTTAGGAATTATCACATTTATACTACATACTAGGTAGGTACTAGGTACTACACAGTACATTTATTCACTGTACTTCTTGCTGTCTCCCATTTACTGTTTAACTATATCAAATCTTGTTCGTTAAGTGGTGTTAATAATTAATCTATTCCATCCATTGGGATAGAAGCTGACAATGTCAAGCTCTAATGCATATAATAAATGCCTTCTAGTAGTACACATTGATCTAAATCCTGTCCTTTCACTCATTACCAAGTAACTGGGTGCCTATAAGAAGGCGACAATCCTCGTGCTTATTGATATCATGCATCATAAACAACCCGCTTTCTTGTTGAACTCAACATCACACCGGAACACCAAGCAATGCATTTTATCAAAAACCACCGACTTTCTCTACACCAAAACAGCAGGCTCAAGACTGCACTTTCGCTGCTAGTGTTTCTTTTCGAGTGTCTTCTAATTCTTTGCGGATGTATTCGTTGAACTCATCCGGATTGTCGAGGTATAAATGGTGACCAGCTTTGCTAACAACAATCACCTTCGCCGCCCCATTCTCCTTTCGCTTCTCTTCGTCGGTGCCGTGAAGAAGTGCCTTAATTTTAGCTTGCTTGAGCTTCTCTTCCGCGGCAAGACCACCCGCGACATCCATCCAATCATTCTCGCCGTACATGAAGATAATAGGATAGCCCGTTTCCTTCACGGCTGGCGATGTCTCGGTTGCAGGAGTCACAACTTGTCTCCCTACGCAATGAATACGATTGATAATTGGCCGTCTTGCATGGGCGCCGGGAGCAAGAAGATACGGTAAGACGTATTCGCCACTTCCTCTTTGCCTGAAAATAGAGTATGCATATTCATGAAGCGTTTGTTTCTCTTCGGGTGTCAGGTGGTTAAACCGTCGCGTAGTCCAACCTGAAGTAAGTCGTGGGCCCAATGGGCCCGCCAACCGTACGATGCTGAATGGCGACACGTTTGCATCCCATAGCCAGGTCAGCCACGGAGAATATGGCCGTTTTTTCGGCGCGTTAGCGTCCGCCTGTTTCGCATTAGGGGTACCACCACCATGGCCTTTGGTTGTCGTTTGCTGATCCACAGTGAACTCGTCTTGTAAAGACGAATCCATAGGTTCTGGCATGTCGGCGTTGACAGCGTAAGGATCCTCGGGAACTCCTACTGGAGAGGCGAGGATAAGCTTATTTAGGTGACCTGGGTATTTGAGTGCATAGGAAACACCCAAATAGCCACCCAAAGAATGGCCAAGAAGAGTGAACTTTTCGATCTTTCGAATTTTCCGCCACTCTTCTAGAGCGTCTATAAACCAGTTCTCTGCCTCCGTAATCTTCGCTTCTGGGTCTTTCGAACAAATCCTAAAGGGAGGCCTGGTTGAGTTGCCCATTCCTAACCAATCCAGCGCGTAAAGCTTCCAGCCTTTTGATCGACTGAGTGCCTCGAAGTTCTTGTAGTAAAACCCGAGGCCAGCTCCGTACCCATGAAGCATGACCAGAGTATCGTCAGTTGACTCTCCAACGTGCTCAACCGAAAACTCATTCATGCTTCGGTTCTTGCCTGACAGCTCAACCATCGTCGACTTCCAAGCCCTCGGTCCATAGGGGTCCATTTTCGCTGTCGTCTGGGCTTCTCCAGGATGTTCCGCTGATGGCACTTCTGTCGCGGAATTCGTCGGCGAAGCGATAGCTTCTCGAAGATAAGGAATGCATGATATGACGTTGCGCTCGGCGATCGTAGGTGTGACGCTATTCCACTACAATCTGGTTAGCAGAGATCAGGGTGATGCGCCAATTTCCAAACCCAAGAACATCAAACGGGGTAATTGCAAAATGAATTGACGCGACATACCCATTGAGACACAGCCTCTTTGTAGCCCAGGGGAAATAAACCCATACTGGGGGGTTTGGTAACCGGTCGACCTTCCGGTGTTCGCTCCCTAGAGCTCTGAGAGACCGACATTGGTCGAGGAAGTCTTCCGATAGGTAGGCTGGAGGGTACGGGAGTGGTGACAGATTCTTGGTTGTATATGTCAGCCTTATAAGAGGAGTGGGAGTTATCGGCGTATTGTGTTCGCGTAGCGGTGGTTATAAACTTCCTCGACTGTACAACGACTAATTTATGTTTGAGCATACCGGAGGGGGTTGGCAAAGCCGGCCAGGCCTGGTCTTATATGATTACAAAAGGGCAAACTCCGAGACACAGAACGGGGGGTGTAAGGCGATAGGGAACTACAGTACCCGCGTACCTACTGTACTGTACTAGGTACCAGACCAGAACCACGTAACATGTGGCACAGGGTCCTAAGCGATGATGACACGAAGTTGTGTAGAGCAGACCCTGACCAGTCGGATAATTGATACAAAATACTTTCCGTCCGATTGAATTATTAAGAGTGGCTTAGTCTCTCGAAGGCCAGATTTACCAAAGAATTTTGTTTCTAGGTAATTTGGATTAGGTTAGATCAATTGATTTGAACGAGTCAAGAGTCAAGAGAGGGCATGGGTTTAGGGGAAGGAAGGTCAAAGAAGTTTGGATGACGGATCTCGACGGGCCCGAAAAGATTGGGGCCGATAGGTAACATTTAGAGGATTTTCCTCGGGTTTTCATGTCCTTCCGCTCCGAGCAAGCCACTTTAAGATTTCATTTGTACTACTAACTAGAGTTTAGTACCTTTATACATGTAACTATATTTACCTAGGTAGGTAATATACTTTACACTACCTGCCTTATTTCATCTTATTTCCTGTTAACCATAATTAGAATTTAATGTTATAAAATTAAATAAATTAACCTGTTGGTAGAACATTTAAATGTTTGATTTGATCTTTTTTACATGTTTATGTAACTACTCCTATGATAAACCTGTAGATTACCTAGGTACGGAGTTATGGACAGTACTATCCTAACTCCGTCACGGGATCTCCGAGTCAAACTATGATGCCTACAATACTGTAACCTAGGTACATAAGTCAACCCTTCGAGAATCCTGTGCTGGTTCAGGGTCCAGGTTGTATGACCAGTCACAGAACGATGAATGCGTACCTATTATGTATTTATAGTTCGTGTGGGGTATCTAAGTCATGGCTATCCCTCCATCACTTTTTAGGCAAACAGTTACGGCAGACCCTACTAACCTACTTATTAATACTTAAATATATCTGTGCCTTACACAGACTATCCGAACATTTTACACGTGGACGTTCATAAAAGATCGGGAATAATGGCTTCCAGGTTTGCACGGGAATGAGAAGAATGAGTTTGAAAAAAAAAAAGATTAGTGATAACTAACTTGATGACTATCAAAACGGGCTATAACTAGCTACTGACCTACTACATAGGCTAGTTGACGACTGTAGGTTAGTAGATTACGGCGACTACTGTACAGGCATGTACTGTATGTGACGGCCCGCAGCCTTTTATCCCACTTTCGTCTCTAAGCCTCGTCTAGTCGCGGCTAACTCGGCCTCCAAGTTATCTTCAAAAAAAAAAATATCAAGCTGTCAGCGACCCAATTCTAGCTCGGGAACGTCCTACGTCTGGGTGTCGCATGTATGCCAGAGTTCAACATTAGCATAATCGTTAAACGCCTAGGTAGGTATCATGCAATGCCGGTTTCCTAGCTTCTCCATGATCCCACTTGACTTCTTAGCATTGGCAGGAAGCTCGGAATCGTAAAGATGTGCGCGCTCAACTGCTAGCATTCGAATGACCCTCTCGAAGAAACTGAGGAAACCCTGAATCGATACCTATCCGAAATGATCGACGCGTGGAAGTTCGGTGGTTCTGTGGAACCCATCTAAACATCCGTGCAATGAATGACAAGACATAACTGAATTGGGGTAGTTCTGACTGGTCCAACGGACTCCAACCCGAAAAGTTCTCTGTAGCGTTGTCACGCGTGTGCAAGATCTTGGTCGACGAGGCTAGGCGAGTGGGGGTAAGGGGGGGTGTGATGTGGAGGTATATCTCCGTGAGCAAACTTCCACCCCACCAAGTTGAGACACATTTTGAGAAGAATGATGTCGAAAACAAGCCGTCGAGACTACCGTGCCGTGTTGTTATGGGCTCATCGAATACTCCAGGGACTTATGAGAAGACCATGCTCAAGACAGACTGTGAGACAAGTTCGCTTATTGAGGTCTTAGGGCTGTCGTAGGTTGGCCAAGAATCAACCCTGAACAAAGTCTGGTGCAGCCAAGTGGATTCAGGAATCCAGGGCCAATCTGAACGACATTTAAAAAAATCGTCGAGATTTTTCAGTCGTTTCTAAGATGGAGAGGTTTGTGCCTGATGGCAGTAAACCCAACCATCCTCATCGCATGAGGGCCTCATTAGAAAAGCATAGACCTCTTGCCTGGTTGAAATCCCCCAGGTAAGGTATCTGGATAGTTGATCTCAGGAGTGGCTGGCTTTGTGGCAGGCTTATTACAAGTTGGTGACTTGATAATATCCTTAATACACCGAGTATTAGGATGAAACGAGACGTATCTCTTGGAAACAGATTTTCCCGGGTCCATGGCTACGTGAGATAGAGGGTGATTTGGGAATAGTCTGTTGAATGAGAAGTGAGACAAATTTAATAATGAGATAACTTAGGTAAGTAGGTAGATTCAATATAAATTTATAGACGCATTCCTTGTGAGTGGTGTCTCGATTGAAGCTTCATTGTCATAAAATAGAAATTCTCCGAGGGCGAAGAGGTTCAATATATAGTAGACCGAGACTCGATACAGTACCTAGTAAGTAGCACAGCAGATGGATTTTCTTCCGATGATCTTCAATGTGGTACGTCAGTAGCTATTCCACCCATCAATGAGCTCTAGGGTCACATGCTATAAGAGGTTAATGCTCTGAGTTAGAGTGATCACGAGGTTTGGACCTAAGGGAGCTATTCGGAATCATGCAAGGCTAATGCCTATGAAGGATCGATGTTGGATGATTTGCTTGATCAAACGTATGTTTCAAGCCACTTGTACATTACGTACATGCATATAATATGTGCGTTGTTTCTTGTTTCTTGTTTCTAGAAGCCATATATTTACTTATGCAATTTGGTGTTGTGTAGTAACTATGTATTCGTTATCAATATTCAATGTTGAATGTTAATGATCGTCGATTTCTTTGAGGGGCACTTTACTAACCTTAGGTAATGTTGAGGGGTACCTACCCTAAGTACCTAGGTATCTGGAGTTCGGATAGTCCCGATAAGAGCTTAGATAGGCTGATAAGTTGGGCGCTATGACCATTTATGGTTCCATACAGCACCAGATTAGGTACCTAGCTTGAATCTTCCACTCACTACGACCCGCTGTGGGGACCTAAAGTTAGATGGATGTTAGCACTTCTCAATACCTAAATAAATTACTTGCAAGGCTTAAATAAAAATTAAGAACTTGAAGAACGTTGAAAAAAGTGACGAAGGGTTACAACACTCAATTCTTCTCTTAATGCTAGTTACAAGTTACAAGCTACTATATCCCATGACACCCGAATCTTTCCCTTTCACACAACAACAAGTTCCAATTGATACCTACTATCCATAGATGCACCGATAGCATTTACGTCGATTTGACGCGGGCTTACGACCCAAGCCGTCTGGTCTACTTCGTAACTAATTCGTACGTACTACATACAGTGGTCAACACACCGACTCGAAAAGAGACCATGACCGACAGCATCGATTCAATCGTCAAGGGCGCCCCTCAGCCTGGCCAAAATGTCAGATCCCCTCCCATAGGAACGAGCCCCATCGGCGTAGAGAAACCTGGCGATCCTTTAAAACATACTCCGAGTTCACCGTCCATGATCTACCTCAATATGCTGATTCTCGAAGCCTCGCTACGTTCCCAATATCTCGAACTCCGAGCTCGACGGCGTAAGCATACCTTCTTCCTAAGCCTACTGTGTCTTTGGCTGGCCGGGTTCGGATATGCACTCTTCTTCGCACCACGGGAAGATGGCAGTGGTGTTGGCGGATCAGTATACTGGGTTGTTGACATGACCGAGAAGGTATGCTTCATCAGTGGGATCTTTACAGGCATATTAGTATGGGCAACCGGCATATGGGAGCGAGGTATCAGATGGCCGCGGCGTTGGTTCAGCATCTGCAACCGAGGTTTACGGGGCTTCAACTGCAAATTAGTTGTCATTAAAAGATCATGGTGGGTTGAGCTCATGTCGCTTCTCGGTTTCTTCTTCACGTACGGCGCATTTTCTAGCAGGGCTGGACAATATCGCTTCGTGGAGCCTTCGTTATTACGGGAGGTTGATCGAGAGCTAAATCTGAATCGCAACGAACACCCCCAGCTTCCGTTCGTTGGCGCAGATGAGGAAAAAGGCGGTCACGAAGAGGATGTATCGCCAGGAGGAGACTATGTCAAGCTTTTGCTATGGGCCAAACCATTTTCACCAAACTTCCGGGAAAACTGGGAGCTCTACAGAAGCGAATACTGGGAGAGAGAAAACGAACGGCGAGCTTTACTGAGAACAAAATTAAAGACACGTGATAGACAAATGGCCAAACACCAAAACGGTTGGCTATGGTGGCTACCAGGACGGCCGAAGGTGGAAGAGAAGGCCCAAGTTCATGGGTTTAGCACAGGGGAAATGGAAAAGCCAGGTCATAGTCGGCCTCTTAGCATCGGGAAGGAGAACAAGCGCACTAGGAGTGGTAGTTTTCGGCGAAGTAGTAATTCGGGCGGATCGTCACGAAGTCCAACGCCTCCAGTAGATGCTGAAGAAGGTAGTCACAGCCGAAGAGGTAGCATGACCTCGAACACTCCAGGGGGAAGACGAAAAAAACATCTCACCACGGGATCTAGGTCAAAGAGGCCAGGGGTCGAGTCACGATCTGTGACACCAGAATTTCCATCGCCACTTGCTAGAGAGAGCAGTGTTGGTAGTAACGAGGCTTCATAATGACTGCCTACCTACTACTGGTAGGGAACCGGTTAGGTCAGGTGGTTTATTAGTCATCTTTTGATAGATTTAATCTACACAACCGATAACTATTCTTTGACATGAAATTCTTGGAGTTGTCAAACCCACTTTCAACTTTCGAAGGTTGAAGAAATGCTTCTATGGTTATGTATCTCTAAATGTGTCTGGATGCTACAAGTAAATGGCGGCTAATCTAGGTATTCATGGAATATTCTCGGTATTCTCTGTATCCTTTGTACCATGTTTATCGAGATTGGGTACTACCGTCTACATAGTAGTAGAGCTTCTAGCAGCCACGATCCAATTTGGCTATTGGCATCTCATACTTACCGTAACCTAAGAGCTTCATACTGCTACATACTCAGTACATGCATAGTGCCAATAGATGATCAGATGCAATTAGCACGTGCCTATATTATGTAGTATCAATACCTATGTAACTAGTTACTAGTTATCCGTGTATGTAAGCATTTAAAAGTGAACAAATACCTGAACCTTGGAAGGTTCGACGTGATGTCCATGTACCTACATTAGTTGGGTGTTGCCCCGCATCGCGTCCACCCATCGTACCTGCCTACTTAACATCACTGTATGTACAATACAATACATGCGCAGGTGAGTACATATTGTTGATGCAGTCAGAGCCTGCCGCAGTGCCGCCAGCCTAAGGTACAACTGGTACATAAGTAACTAAAGGTACTGTGTATTATTTAACGCACGCGCGTGTATACCCAGTACCTAGTTAGTACCTTAGGTAGATTATTGATGTTACCTCATACATAATTGTTAGCTCGGACTCCGTGATGCTTATTAGCAACAACGAACATTGAATCTTCAAATTCACAAAGCTACAACTACTACACCCGCAACTACTTACAGCAACTACTTACAGCAACCATTACTACTACAACCACAATAGCCTACCGCCCCCAGGCACACTCTTATCCTCACAACATTGATCATTCAGCACCATATCACTCAATGTTTTGTGCTCTCCCTTATCTTTGAATGCTCATATAGTTCGTATTCTCATTATAAGTCAGAACCCATCAGAACCCATCACCTATCACCCACCATTCCCCCCTCATCCAAGGGACAAAGAAAAATCAACGGTTACTGATCTTCACAGATCGTTCAATTATATCGCCAATACCTATATAAGGTATTCGCTATAGCCATATTTGTGAAGGCAAGGGATGAGATGCAGGCTATGGCTACCTCTGTCTCCCCAATGACTCCTCGCCGTAGTGCTAAGCCGGCTGCGCCTTATTCTACGCGCGCTCCAAGTCCTCCGCCTATTATCATACCTGCCCCGAGTCTACACGGTGCCCATAACCGTCTCAAGGTTGTGCCCAACTACGAAAAAGTTGATCCCGTCTCGCTCAGCATAGATGACATTGCTATCATCACTCAGAGCCACAAAGAACAGTTAACTAACGACTCCAACACTAACTGGTCCTATGAGAGCCGCCATGTCGCACAACCTATCCTTGACTACCTCTATCTCGGCCCCTTTAGCGTGGTCCGGAATAGAGAATGGCTGCGCGAAACCGGAATCACGATGCTTCTTGCCGCTCGAGATTCCCAGATGGCCAGCATTCGCCTGATGGCTGTTGACAAAGTTGCTGAAGAATTAGGCATCCAGGCAACATATGTCGATGTCTCGAACTACAATGAACTAATTCGCGCTTTCCCCACATCCGTTCGATCCATCAACGACCACTTGTTAAACGTCTTTCGTGGACAGCGTATCAGTGACGTGGATGTCCAAATTGGTGATGGCCAGATGGTGATCCCTTCCAACAATCTCCGACGCGCGAAGGTACTTGTGTTCTGCGAGACTGGAAACGACCGTTCCGCCGGTGTCGTTGTCGCCTATCTCATGTCTGCATTCGGAATGGACATGATCGAGGCCTGCCAGTTTGTTCACTACAAACGCTTTTGCGTGAGCTTGCACGATGACCTCAGACAGACGCTCAGATCATTCGAGGATATCCTTCGCGCACAACGTACTGTGCACCGCTATGAGCTTGAGAGCAGCACTAGCGGTGTCAGACGCCAGAAAAGGAGTATTGATGAGGCACAAGACCAAAACGAAGAGATGGGAGAAACCAATGAAAACACGGCAACAGATGAAGACCGCTTTGTGGGTCGCACTTTTGTTCCCTTCGTCGACGACAATGACAACTCCTTGCAAAATGGCTTGTAAAATACATATTCGCGCTCAATTTACGGTTCCGGAGGCATTGCACAATGGTACTTGGCAAGGTGGAATAAAAACGCAATAGGCTCAGGATAGCATGGTTACATAGGTGGTGTTACTTACTGCTAACTGCAACGGTCAGCAAAGGCGTTACTGGATGGCATATACCCCCACACACACAAGCACAATAATGGATTTCGGTCGATGGTCATTATAGGTGGAAGGAAAAACGCATGTTCTGATCGTTATGCGTTTTGTATCGATAGATGGATGCTGTGGCTGCACACTGGCAATCAAGAATGATGAGGATAGCCTCCTATTCTAAATTATGCTTCGGCAATGATAATTCGATGCTATCTGTATCCCGTTTCCAAGGTTTATGTGAACGTGATTGCATATCTACACTTTAAGGAACATGCATATATACTTACCCAGAGGGAAAACACATCGTTGGCCTTGAATTAGGATGAGTGCTGTTCGCTTCTAATATTCTCCTTTCTCTCCCTCTTTACTGTCAGGGCCCTTTTTCTTAGGTATGCTCTCTCCCATATGTTCAAGGAACAAGAAACCAGTCGAGATTTTGGAGTCTTTACAGCCCAGGATAAGGAGACATCAAGATTGAGCTAGACTATAACACCACGAGAAAGTTCGGGAAATAAAAAGAAAAAAGGGGGAAATGATGACCATTGTCTTGGCGTGTAGAGGGGTATGGCTCCTAGTGTAGCTATCTAATGGTTAGGGAAGTGAGTAACCTAGATGGATTAATCGTGTCCGAATCTTCGGCATGAAGTTCTACGATGATCTTGTGATTTAGATAGACATCAGTAATTCTCCGTGGTTCCCCTGCCTGGAGATTGGGGAACCGTGCTATGATGGAGGTAATATGGGATAAGCACGCAGTGTCCGTAATTCTCAGAGCATACTGGAATGAAGTCGTTCTTTCCCTTTGACCTGGCGCGTAGGGGGGAGGCTGAAATGATGTGGATGATGAGTGGTGCTGAACAAGAATTTGGTGGTGTTGTTGTGGCTAGGGTAGGTAATATAGTCTTCAACCTAGAGACCGACGGTTCGGGTGTAGTAGAAGTGACACGTGCTACTTGGAGGCATGCTAGCTTGTGATTACCTGCCCGTGGAGGCTTGAGGCACAGAACTTTGACCCTGCCATGGTAAGGAGTCGTTGGAAGGTCAGGGGGTGGGGGTGTTATGATACCTACTGTACCTAGACAGACGGGATATAATGATATAAGCTGTAGAAGGGGGGAATAGGTACTAGGATCGAATCTAGTACCTACCTAGGTACGGAAACCCGCTTTGAAGAGGTCGCACTGTCAAGCTCACGTTTGTTGCCGCTGCGCTTGACCAGGGGGCGTGTCCAGCGTATGACCTTCCGGTGGTGGCTTTCTCTAACCTCCTGTCATCCGAGTGCGTGTTAAGGGTCTGCCCGGACTACATACGGGGGCTAGATACCTAGAGAAAAGACATCTTACATGTATATGTAGGTACCTAGGTTCCATATCCGCCATACCTACATAGGTAGTCTTCCGGGCGATGTTCGAGACCCCCGCCCAGCAATGCTGTTGTCCTGCGTCTTCTAGGTTCTGTATTGTGACACCAACGATGCCCACCAGCTTTGAATGAGTACCTAGTAAAGTTGTGTATTTGCTAGTGTCACTACTAGATTAGTCTTGTTGGCCTGTTGGTCCGGACCGGACGATAGAGCCGTGTTAGGATGATTGTACAATGGTCTCCAAAGCGGCCTATATGGCATCCCATGTTAGTAGTTCATAGCATAAGGTTGTCACTCAGCTTTTGAGAAGACACTAGGTAGCTTAATATGGCATGATTTGGTTGGTAACTTAAAGGGGTAAGGGGGGTAAGGGGCATTCGGTTTAGGTTACCGTACCGTACTCTTTCTAAGCTGATCGAGCGAGACGTACGTGCCATTGATTACGGAAGATACTTTAAGTGGTAAACAGGAATTGACGGCTCTACTTTAATTATAAGGCTTCCTGGATACGATAAGCTTTACCTACCAATAGCCGCGCCATAGGCTGTAGGCTTGTAAGCTTCTACTACTTAATGCTTTCAGTAACCACCTCTCTTCTCCTAATACGCATAACTAGGTACCTCGGTAAATTCAAGATAAAGCGTAAAACAAGCCAGCTCAGACTGCTAGTTTCAACTTTCATACCAAGTCGCGGATGAGGTTGGTTGTTGTGTAGTAAGTATGAACTTTGTATTATGATGTTTTCTTGAGGTGAATTAGATCACATCTTCGTTACTAAAGGGATGGCATATAAGTTATCAAGGCCTAGTATACCTCAACAAGCTCTAGATACTTTATACCACTTCTCCCGTAAGTTGTAACTATTGAGCTGAGGGACGTGGTGACACTATCTACGAGCAAGTGATACCTAGGGGTAGGTAACACGAAGTAATTCCTTTATCCGCCATATTGAGTTACCTAGTAAGAAAGGTGAGTTGAATTGTTTGAGTACATATGTAGATAGCGTTGGTACCTAGACAAACGAGAATCAACATTGAACATTGTCATTATGATCAAAATTTTGATTTGGAGTCTCAATGTTCAAAGAAGTACTTGGCAAGCCACAGAAGCCACAGAAGCCACAAAGACCCCACATATCATGTCACTTAGTCATCATTAGTGATAGTATCCAGCCACCAACGTAGAAAAGACGTTGGTCGCCGGCCACGTATTCGACCCCAGTCAGAAGGGCAAACAAAGTTTTTGAGTCCCATGATCCTTGTGTTTTATCGGTGAAATCTGTGATGGCCTTTTTGGCATCGTTATCTATTATATTCCTATGAAATGATAGTATATACTACATACTACTAGTAGTACATACTATACCTGCCCGGATACATATATATATCAATAAGACTCACTTTCAGTTCCTTATTAGCATTTGTATCCACGCGTGTATAGCAAATATAAATATGGTATTGTACAGTGTGGTGACTGTGTTATGACATTGTGAATATTCGAGTTGAACTTTGGCCTCAAGGTTGGAAGGTGAGTGTGGCTTAGACAAACACCTTGAGTTTGGCTCGGTGTTTCTAGCCAGTGTCAAAGTACTGTGTAGGTACTACACCTATTGTGACAATGACATTTGTGTTCAATGTTACATGCCTCACTGACTTACACTTGAAGGTTTAGGTAGGTACATGTAGTAAATGTGTGGTAACTACATACTAGCAAACACTAGTAGTAGTTACACTACTAGGCAATTCGATAGATCGTGAGCATTGTCGCCTTAAGCACTGATGTCACAAACTTATACAGTACATAGTATGCACTAGCGTGGTCAAAAAGTAAGAAAAAGTAAGGTGCAATGGAGTCTGGGATTGAAGATTGCCTAGGTGAAGTTGAAGGCAGGAAGGTGCAACTGTGGCTTGTGGCTTAAGAATTTGGCGCTAAACTTATTTACTACTAGCGTTTTAAAAGCTGTCATGGTAGGTACCTCCCACCCTCCGTCCACTTTCAATGTTCCCCGACCACCAATTCTTCCAGGTCGATTTCCCGCCAGTTTCTCACCACTACTGCCCACAACACGCACCATACGGGGCCGCACCCGTTCTTCATCCACCCCATAGTCCCGTATCATATTGTTTTTATTCCTGTAAAGGACACTCAAGTTGATGATTCGTAAGTATCTAATTTCTATCCCAGCGCTCCTACCGTTGCTGGGCGAGGCTGGACTTCTGTCACTCGGCCCTGTACTTGACATCCGAATCCATCTCAAAGACACGCACACGCGACCTTGCTATGGCTTCTTCCATCACGTCTGAGCTTCTCGGACGTGAGTATATAGATGGAATTCCCCGTCTTTGGTTTGTTGGACGCGTTGACGCCTTCTCGCCCGTCACCTCCACACCCATCGACTGCAATTCCTGTTTTCATCATCTATCAGCCTTGTCTTCATCAAAAATCATCACCTGAGATGCGCCAGAGCCATTGTCAAACCCATCTCCTGTATTTAGTAGCTATTTGCTGCGTTATCTTGATCGCTGCTCTCAGCGCTATCTACCAACCCTATATACGTGTAGCTTTCCAACTGTGAAAAACTGCTAACCTTGTCGTCACGTAGTGGTCAGGCGTGTCCAATACCAAAAATGTCGAGCTCGCCCGAGCCCAGCTCTGTCAACGGTCATATGTCACCGGAGACGGGAGCTTGTACTAGAATAATCCTTAATGACCGTGTCAGCGAGAGCGACTTATCAGACATGAACGAGAATGCCGCTTCCCAGGCTTCTTCTTCCTCATCCCCCGTCCAAAACGAATACTCCCAAGATGCCGAGCAAGACCACGAATCTCCCGGTGGTGCCGAGTCCAGCGATAATGGAGAACCTGTAAATGCCTCAGATGATGCAGACTTTGACATGGAAGATAGCCCTGCTCCTTCCCAGAGTGACGCGCCTCAAGACGATAGATCAACCTCCAACAGCTCTCGACGTGCCCCTAAAAGAAAAGCTGGCGTAGGTGAAGATGAATATATTCGAGAGAACCCCGAACTTTATGGATTGAGAAGAAGCGTAGGCATAACCACACGTGATATTTGATCTTGATAAGCCTTTACTGACTTGCTCTTATTAGTCTCGCCCTACGAAGCAACCGAAGATTGTAGGTTCACTTGACTGCTCCAACAGTCGATTAACATTACCAATATGATGCTAATGCATCTATCTATAGGTTGAGTCTGATGAAGAAGAAGAGGAAGATTCTGAATCTGATATCGTTCCTGCAAACCGCCGAACGAAGAAGCTCCGTGTGGAGCCCGTCTCGCGACAATGTGAGTTGACTCTTTGTACATCTCTACAAATCGGCGGTGCCATTCCAAGACTTACAAATCACATCATACAGCTTCCAAACGAGGGACACCTGCCAGACAAACTGCGGCCGATGAATCAGACTCCGATACCTACGGCGGAGCTCGCGCTCGGCTACTTATTAAGAAAGTTCGTCGCCAACAAGCCCAACCTCAGTCCCTATTGTATGCTGAGAAGCGATGGTCAAACCGACGAGCTGCTCAACAAGTCCAGACTTATCATGAAAGTGACATTGATGAGGAAGATGAGAGCGAGCTCACGCCCAACCAATGGCCCGGCGAGGAAACTGGCACGGACAATCAGTACATTGAAAAAGTTGTCGGACATCGCGTCATTGATGGTGGCGAGATGACTCAGGACGCGACCCGCGACGATTTTGAATACAATATCAAATGGCAAGGTAAATCCTACCTTCATAACACGTGGGATACATTGGAGATTCTTCGTGGGTATCGTGGATTCCGCAAGCTTGAGAATTACTATAGGCGTACTATTGAGTACGAGCTGGACCTCAAGTTTGGCGGTGATGACATACCACCAGAGACCCGAGAACAATACATGCTCGACAAGGAACGCGAACACGATGCTTTAGAGGATTATACCAAAGTTGAGCGAATTGTTGCCCAGCGAAGCGGTGAGGAGGGAAGAGAGTACTTCGTCAAATGGAAGGGGTTGACCTACGAGCATTGCACATGGGAAGAGACTGATACTATCTCCGAGGCTGCGGAAGACAAGATTGAACAGTTCCTCGATCGTCAGTCAAGGTCCTGGACGTCGGACAAATACGAGTCCAATCCTACAACACGAAGCAAGTTCATAAAGATGGATCAACAACCAAGCTACATCCAAGGTGGCGAGTTGAGAGGTTTCCAGCTTACAGGATTGAACTTTCTGGCTCTCAATTGGTGTCGGGCGAACAATGTCATTCTGGCCGATGAAATGGGCCTCGGAAAGACTGTTCAGACCGTGTCATTCTTGAGTTGGCTACGCAATGAGCGCAAGCAAGAAGGACCGTTCCTAGTTGTTGCACCACTAAGTGTTATTCCTGCTTGGTGTGATACTTTCAACCTATGGACTCCGGATCTTAACTATGTTGTTTACCTCGGCAATGCTGAGGCGCGAAGTACAATCCGGGACCATGAACTCATGTTCAACGGCAATCCCAAGAAGCACAAATTTAATGTCCTGGTCACCTCCTACGAATACATTCTCATGGACGCAGATTTCTTGAGAACCATTAAGTGGCAGGCGCTAGCTGTTGACGAGGCCCATCGTTTAAAGAACAAGGAGGCCAAGCTTTACGCGGAGCTTGTTAGTTTCGGTGCCCCTGCCAGAGTTCTGATCACTGGCACACCGATTCAGAATAACTTGGCAGAACTATCCTCACTCCTTGACTTCTTGAATCCTGGCAAGGTTCAAATAGACGAGGACTTGGACACCCTAGCTGCTGTGGATGCTCAAGCAAAACTTCAAGATCTGCATGCCGCTATTTCACCCTTTATTCTGCGCAGAACCAAGGAGACGGTCGAGTCAGACCTTCCACCCAAGACCGAGAAGATCATTCGTGTAGAGCTCTCAGATGTTCAGCTTGAGTACTACAAGAACATTCTTACTCGGAACTACGCCGCTCTCAACGAGGGCAACAACGGGCAAAAGTCGTCCTTGTTAAATATTGTCATGGAACTGAAGAAGGTCAGCAACCATCCGTATATGTTTCCTGGCGCTGAAGAGAAGGTCCTCAATGGCAGCGAACGTCGCGAAGATCAAATCAAGGGTCTCATTGCTAGCAGTGGGAAAATGATGTTACTTGATCAGTTGCTTGCGAAGCTGAAAAAGGATAACCACCGTGTTCTCATCTTTAGCCAAATGGTAAAGGTACTTGACATACTTGGCGACTACCTTCGTCTGCGTGGTTATCAGTTCCAGCGACTTGACGGCACTATAGGCGCCGGCCCGAGACGCCTAGCCATCAATCATTTCAATGCAGACGAAAGTTCCGATTTCTGCTTCCTACTCTCCACCAGAGCCGGTGGCTTGGGTATCAATCTGATGACTGCCGATACTGTCATCATTTTCGACTCGGACTGGAATCCACAGGCAGATCTTCAGGCTATGGCAAGAGCTCATCGTATTGGTCAGAAGAAGCCTGTCACTGTCTACCGCCTTGTCTCTAAAGAGACCATCGAAGAAGAAGTCCTCGAGCGAGCTCGGAACAAGCTTTTACTCGAGTATCTTGCCATCCAAGCTGGTGTCACAGACGACGGAAAGGCATTCAGGGAGGAGTTCAGACAGAAGGGTCTCCGGATCGACGAAGCCAAGTCAGCAGATGATATTCAATGGGTGCTAAAAATGCGATCCCAGAAGATGTTCGAGCAATCTGGCAACCAAGAGAGGCTAGAGCAACTTGATATCGACTCGATTCTTGAGAATGCAGAAGTTACCAAGACCAAGGTTGATGACAAAATGAACCTGAGCACTGGTGGTATCGACTGGGACAACTTCATGCAGTACACTGATGTTAAGGTTGATGACCTAAATCTTGACTGGGACCAGATTATACCAGCAGACCAGCTAGCAGCGATCAGGGCTGACGAAGACAAGAAGAAAGAAGAGGAATATCTCGCAAAAGAAGTGGAGGCCAACGCTCCACGCCGTGCAGCCTTGAAGAGCTCGAGATCCAATGGTGACTCTGAAAGAGCCGAACGAATTGCGAAGAAACGAGAGCGTGAGCAACAAAAGCAGGACCGTCTCGAGGAACAGCGGGCCATGCTCTCGGATCCTCGTCGGCCGCTGAATGAGAAAGAAACTCGAAATCTCATCCGAGCCTTTATGCGATACGGCTTTATTGAAGATCGTCCGGACGAGCTACTACGTGATGCACGGTTGAGCGATCGGGATCGAGACTTCATCAGAGAAATGCTTCAGGATCTCGTCGATATGTCTCGGGAGGCGGTCGAGAAGAACAATGAAGAGATCCGAAACCAGGAGCAGCAGACGCAGAAAAAGCTGACCAAGAAGGACATTAAGGCAGTGATGTTTGATTTTGGCGAGGTTAAAAAGATCAATGCCGAGACTATCCTTGATCGTCCGCCACAGCTACGTCTCTTGCGGCGTGTCCTGAATGAATTACCGGACTTTCGAACGTTCCGTCTTCCAGATGCCACCAAAGCAGCACATTATAGCTGTGAATGGGGTTCTAAAGAGGATGGGATGCTTCTCATTGGAATTGATCGATATGGCTTCGGCGCCTGGCAACAGATTCGCGACGATAGAGAACTCGGTATGCAAGACAAGTTCTTCTTGGAGGAGCATCGTATCGAGAAGAAGCAGGAGAGAGAGCACGGCGAGAGCAAGGGCGCAAAGGCCCCCGGAGCTGTCCATCTTGTCCGTCGCGCAGAATATCTGTTGTCGGTTCTTACGTCGATTCATTCGGATGATGTCAATGCCCAAAAGATTGTCGAAAACCACCATCGCAACAACAAGAAAAATACCCATGGGATGTCTAATGGTCACCGCCGTCCCGAGAAAGGTGGATCTATCTCTGCCTCGCCTGCTCCCCAAAGTGCAAAGAAGGCATCGCATCGCGATAGGGAAAACGACCGTTCTCATTCCCGTGGGGACCACCATCGCTCCCGTAGCAGTATTGGGGAAAGCGGCACGCCGCGACCAGATGCGAAGCGAAAGCATGGCGGTGAGGTAGATGATCGTCGACACAAGCACCGCCGAGTTGAAGAACTCCGTAGATCTGATGTCAACCTCCAGCAAGCTGAAGACGACGATGACGAGAGAAATGCACCTGTTATCCAAGCGCTCATGCAGCCTATATGGACACACGTCGAAAAGGTTGAATCATGTACCAAGGCAAACATACCGGTTGCCAAGGCTAGAGCTAAGGTTCTCAAGTCTGAAATAACCGCTATTGGTGATTTTATCGAAGGCCTCCATAAGTCATCAGGCTTATCACTTGACCAACTGGAGGAGCTGAAACCCAAACTTTGGTATGTAACGGTCGTACATTAGTTATAGTAACGAAAATTAAGCTAACTATATCGTAGGAGATTCATTTCTAAGAGAATACCGGCCTCCGAGAAGCAATCCTCCAATAAACCAGAAAAGGATAAATCTGTGTCGCAGTCCTCCGGTATGACTGGCCCGCGTTTAGCGGCATTATACCAGCAACTGAAAGAATCGGACAAGAACGGCAGTGTCCAGAAGCCGAAGAGTACTAGCACGACTCTTGTTAACGGAGCCCCTCGCAATGAGTCGTCTAAGGCTATCAAGTAACGACACTATCGGGAATCCCTGAAGACCCCGCCGACCATGGGGCATAGGCCATTTGGCCAATCTATTATATTGCATTGTATGGCGTTACGGTTTGGCATCTTAGACAGGCGAGGTTGGAGTCGACGAAATCATACCCAACAAAAAGCATCAACGTTACAGGACACCAGGAGTTCCATGGTCGGCACGGCTAACTATCTCCGTCTTGTCTATATCCATAGGCCCCTGATCTTGATGACCATCAGGGTACTCTAGAAGGGGGAGCAAAGAAAGAGAAGTGGAGAGAGGAGGCAGAGTTATAAAATCGAGTTTTTAGTATGGTTTGGGCACCATTCCTGCCGTACCCCGTACGCGATCCCATAGGTCTACTAGGCCTCTGATTCATACGATTCAGTGACTTGGTGTCTTCCCATCTAGAGAGAATAATGGAGTTATGGGATATGCGAGTTACCTATGGACAGGTCTATAATATGAACAGCCTTGCAGAGAATCGTCAAGTCGTTTTGCGGCGGCACGAGGCTTTTCACCTTACTCCTCGGGGGGGTCGGCTTTAAGGGGGCTAAGTAGATGACAACGATCTAGTTAATTTTCTACCGCTCGTTAGCTCTTAAAACTAGGTAGGTAGATTACCTTATGTACCCTACCTAGATACTTACAGTTCGTCTGAAAAGGTGTGTGTGTGTCAAATGGAAGTTATTATTAATATGGAAATGAAAATACCTAACCTAATGCATTGCCTTCGGGCACGTGACTTGATAACCTCTTTACTCTTTCTCCTCCCCCTTATGTATGTAGGTGATGTCGAAGTAGGCACCGGTGTGATGCGCCACCTTGCTAGGTAGGTACCTATGTAGGTAGATAGATAAACTTACATGATGCGCAGGTGGTACTGTAAAATATAGAAGTTGAGTAGGTAACCTAGATTATATATATGTACGAATGTACGTAGGCCTAACACGTAAGTAACCCGGCCACGTGGCGTAAAGACACCGCTAACCTAGGTTAGTTCCTGCTGTGGTACTGGAGGTGACTGACTGACTGACTGACTCTTACCACCTGGAGCCCTGGAGGGGGGGAGGGGGGGAGGGGGGAATCTACGGTGAAAATGTTAAAATGTTTGAATACATTAGGTTAGGTGCTTAGGAGGTAGCTAGGTATGTATATGTAAAATGTAAAATGCAATAGTTTTTATTTCGAGGGTCTTGTAATTATTCTATACGTGGATTTAGGTAGTTGGCAGGCAGGTAGGTGAGAGAGAAATAGCAGGGTAAGGGGTAAGGGGTATTTTGTATTAATTTCACCTTCTATGCTCTGCTCTGGCCACGGCCACCTACTACGTACCTAGGTAGGTAGTTTTGATTTCCCCCTAGCTATTATATCGCCATGTCTTTCAAAACTGTTATTGAATGTCTGGCTACCTAGGTAGCTAGCTAGCTACTTAGTTACCTAATTACCAACTCACTGCCTGGGTCAAGCAATGCAAAGCAAAGCAAAGGATAACGTAGTCATGATTCCATGATCACCTACGGTCAGGTTACACGCATGTTGGCACGTTCCTTAATTAGGTCATGCATGAGAGTGCAATGAATGTGAAGAAATCATGGCCAACAGTCTCCGCGTAACCCATCATGATACGCTCCTTCTAGCTCCAGTTGTCCGATCCCATATGCCGCCGTTCTGTGAGTGTCCTGGGAAGAGCCTATCCGGAAGCCCCCTCTATGCAATAGTCTATTCCCGGCGCATGCTGCAAAGTATGTGTTGAAATAATATGTACAAGTTGTCATTAAGGCGTTTATTGTGACTAGCAGATAGAGTTGGGTCCCTAAGATCCAACTAGTCGATGAGGGACGCGAAGCCTCGGGGTTTAGACGTAGGAGAAATCGTGCCGGGAGAAACATGTGTAGTATGTTGTGTTGGGGTAGTGGGTACTGCCAGCTCGACATTTTTCTGGCCTTCCGTAGGCTTTTCAGCAGCTTTTCCTCTTGGGCGTAATGAGAATTCCTCCCGCATGACAGCTCGAGGGGATGGAATAGTCGGTTCAGGTTCAGTTTCGTACTCGCGTTTGGCGGGAATTTTATTTATAGGGGCGGTCGTCGATGTTTTGGTAGCTTTGAACGTGTTGTTGATCGTGACCTTAGAAAGCTTCTTCGGCTCCGTCTGCTTGCTCTTCCTAGGCTTTCGCTGTGCTGCCTTCTTGGCCTTCGGGCCCGAGCTACTATCTCTAGAACTGTCTAGGCCGATGAAAGCGAGCTTACTCTGCTTCTGTTGTGGCTTGGCCGTGGGCAGGGCTGCTCGTACCTTGGGACTAGCAGAAGGTGTCGGCATGCCCTGGACGTTCTGAATAGACTGTGGCTTGGCTTCGACAGGCGAGCTGTCACGTGACTCCTGCTTTACCGACAAATTTCCTCTGGGTGCAGTCTTCCGAATCTCAACCTCAAGCTTGATACCGCGTAGATTTTGCTCATATTTCTTCTCATCAACAGCCACAGTATCTTCAATGCTTTCATCATAATGAGGAAGATGTACCAGCGATGCGACATCGTCGCATTTACCTTTGACTACTATATCCCAGCAGTTCTTCAGGTCGGCGCCGGTTGGTTCAGGCTCTAGATTGATCCAGGCAGTCATACCATCCTTTCGCCCTCTTGTTACACGGCACATATCTTTGACCATGTTACGTACACCGGGGATCTTCATGCTGGTGCCGACAACTAGAACGGCGTCCGGTCGGGCTCGAATGTCGGCTCGGACGACATTAGCGATGGATTCCTCATCGGGGTTGTACTCATTGTAGAGAACCATTCGCGGTCGCAGTCTTCCAATACCATGGCTGCGCTTTCCAGCATGAGATGTGCGTACGTTGTCGGTTTCTTCGCATCCCTTGCAAAGGGGTGCTTCAGGGCCTTCGAACAACGAGCCGTCGAAATCGCTGATATCGCTGCATTTAGAGCACACCATCTTGGCCAAACCGCCATGCAACTGAATAGTCTTGGGCCATGGTCCTTTAACGTTCAGGGGAACAGTCGTAGCAAGAGGTGGCATAGACGTATCAAGACCGTCAACGTTCTGGGTATAGAGACGTAGCAGGCGACCTTCCTTGGCGAGTGAGGCAATCAAATGGTGAAACGGGGTAGGCTCCGCATTCTTCGTAAGGTGCGATAGATCCCGAACCATTGTATGAAAGGACGAGGTGGTGGAGTCATGTTTATAGACAGAAGCGTCGAACAGGTGCTTGCCAGAACCTTTGAGTCCGTGCTCTTTAGGTAGCGTCGCGAAGAGACCTTTGGACGATCGGAAATCGGGAACTGAGAAAAAAGAAGAAAAAGGTGCAATTAGCACGTGAGTTAAAATACAAAAGGCATTTTAGAGGGGAAATACATACTTCCTGCAGAGACCGAGATTCCAGCGCCGGCAATTATCACAATTTTCTTCTTCTTGCGTAGTAGACTGGTCAGTTGTTCTAGTAACCGCTCATCCTTCTCGCTCTGTTCTGAAGCGGCTTTCAGATCAAGAAACTCAGTAGTACGGGGTTTGCGCTCGACACGGCGGCGCTTAGCAGGTGGAGGGCCATCAGGATTCACTGTGATCTCGTTCTCGACAGAGACTTGGTCTGGGGGCTTCATTGGCGATGCGCAGCCTGAAGAGGCAATAGTAGACGGCGGGGAAGGTAATCGGGTTGGATCATAAGAAAGAGATGTTCGTGGTGATATGGTAGGCGACCTTGAAAGTATGGACAGAGGTGAAGAAGGTGGGTCGGAGGGAGGAGGGTCTGAAAGATCCGAGATTGATGAGAGCGACGAAGTATCTGGATCCATTGTGTGGGGTCGTTCTATGACAATCATGCGAAAGTAAGGCAAGTGCGGTTGAAAGAAGAAGGGGAAAAGTCAGTTAGGTAGGTAGGCAGGTACTGGGATATGTCCTTGGTATCTCCTGCCTTAAGTAGGTAGAGTAGGTAGAATAGGTAGAATAAATGAGGAATGAGTCGCCGCAAAAAAATAAAATAAAATAAAATAAAAAATGGTTTGACAGTTTGTGCTGGCGGTCAGTCACTTATTCAACCCTATCTAGGTATTCTTCAATAGAAAGCAGCTAGAGCCAGTGACTTGCAGTAATGATGAATGCGACAGCGAAATAGCAATGAGTTAAGACGAGATCCTCATGCCATAATTCGGTATCAATTGCATTACCTGCCTAAGACAAATGCAAATGATACGTAGTATAATATCCCAAGTCGTAAAATTAAATCATAAAATCATATGAATTTGGCACTATAGATAAGCGGTAGCATTTCTATATTGCTGTCGTGAGCAAATCTCAATTCTTGTTCTGGTGCGGCGGCCTTTGTAGAAGTGGGCGGTGGATGTCTAGGTTTGTTTAGTTTAGGTGAGGTTGAGTGAGGTTAAGTGAGAACATTGAATAAGAGGACGTGTGAGAATGAGGTAAGGCGGAAAATGGAAAAATGGCCTGGGTCCTTTATGGATCCTTTTTGGGAACTTGGGAACTTGGGAACTTGGGAGGATAGAGCGACCTTTTAGTAGGGCGAGCAAGGCACTACCTACCTCCTCCACCTCCTCCCACTTCCTTCCTGCTTTATTCTACTTTCGCTTAAAATCCACCAACAAGTCAGTCAAGTCATCAAGTCAGGCTGTGTGTAAGTGCTAACTTTAAACTTGATAATTATGGGTTATGGATTACGGGCTACGGGCTACGGGCTACAGGTCACAGGTTACAATTATAGCCCTGGGCTGGAGGTGTTCAAACAATCCATGGATGTTAGCAACATTGAACTTCAATGTTAGCATTCCCTTGAAAGTACTTGTACATTAAATAGGTAGCTAAAACTTATATGCACTATCAGTAAATGCTGTCCAAGTCCAACAATAGTTCCATATTCTACGGAAAATGTTGTACGGAAAACCTCCCTTTTCACAGCAAGCTTTCCCCTCTTTCCGCGGTTTGCTAGGTACTGTACCTACGATCCTATATATACTATGTTATATTCAATGCTAGCCTTGTTAGCCTTTTTAGGTCTTTGCTTGATTGCATACGTATATAAAAATTTCTCGTCTACAACTATTTCATACTCAAACGTCGGGACTCGGTAGAAGGTAGGCATTACTTAATAATAGGCATAGTATTCAAGTTATTTGTTGATGAGACTCCACCTTCAATGTTTAATGTTTTCTTATGGATGGGCATCCTTGCATCAACTGTTATAATCGAATCAGCCTGACTCATCCATAACTGAAACGGCCCTCTGGGTCAACGCAATTGGATGGAAACGGCAAGTAATTGATTTATATATCTACCCACACTTATTACTTATGATTTACATATGTACCTAACCTAGTAGGTGTCTATTAAAAGAATTGAAGAAAAAGGTAGATAATACACACGGAAAAATGTCGACCAGTTTTAATCCCCATCCTTGTTCTGGTTGCTCTGCCGTTGCCAGGGATGCCAGGGATAGAATTGGTATGTGGGCTTTTGACTTGAGGCTAATAACATTGAAGATTTAAAGATTTTAGCTAAACAATTTATTTTACGCTAGTATCAAAAGGGCTGAGAGTTGGGATAAGTACCCAAGTACCAAGCTAAAACCCCAAGCTTGAACATTTTAATGTTGAAGTTGAAGCTTCAAGGTTCCAATGTCTTCACATGTACATACGTACATTGAACGCACCCCGGCCCCATGGCACCTAGCAGCCCTAGTACATCCATACATGTAGGTGCAAGCTAGGGTCCTGTACCTGGACATCGGAGTGTGTCTTCAAGAGTTCTTACTGGTGCCATGGATATGATTGGCAAGCACTGTGCACAGACCATAAAATTACAGTCTGGTAGGTACAGTACACTGAGTACCTAGTACACAGTAGGTATGCATCAGCTTTGCCTTGTGCAAGGCAATTACCAGCCAACCAACCATTCAACATCATGTGAATCACGGCTTCGATCATAGCTGGAGGCGTCAAAGAAATAAATATTAATTTATTCCATTCTGATTTTTGCTCTTTCCTTAAGGTCAAGACTACGGCGCTTAAAAAGGTTTTCTAATTTTCCCATACTTTTCCTTTCCTTTTCAATACACCGGATCTTGAAATATAGGTATTCATATCTCACATGGCTACCTATATAGCTAGATGACTTATCCAAAATATACTTGAACTCTAGACTATAAGCAATATCATAGTCCATCTTCAACGTACAATCAAGTAATATCCTTGATCACGAAGTCCATTTTCCAAATGGCAGCTGGCAAGATGCCTCTCATTCTCGATAATCCTATGGGCGGAGAGGCCATGCAAGTCGACTTGGACGACGTTGATGATCTATTCGGAGATGGGACAGCCCTCACTCTACCATCACGACCTCCAAGCAAACGCCTGAGACAAAGGCTAGATGACCTCCGTGTGAGAGGCTGCTGCCAGTAATTCCTCATCCTTTCCTGCCATTGTTCAACCTAGTCGCTAACCGCTTCTTGAAAGGGGAATTGCCTGGTCTAAGGGAGGCACCATAGCATCTATTTCATCCGATGGCCAACAGCTGCAGTTGAGATATATACACGCGCAGAGTAAAGATGCCACCTTTGTCTTAAGCGAACCCAATTCCATATCACCATGGGGGAATCTTCCAGCCGGACCCCTCGTTCATCTCAGCTGGGGTCCCTCCAACACGGAGCTCGCTGTCATCGACGCCGTAGGAAGAGTCCTGATTCTCAACTTCAGCGTAAATCTCAACCGTCCCTCGCTCTCTAGAAAGTGGGACGGAGATTCCCTTGACGATTTACAAGCCATTGTTGGTACCTATTGGCTACAGAGTACTCCAGTACCAAACCCAAGAGTAGGTTTGATAGATCTTGCTCACCGCGTTCAGTGCTGAAAAGTATCCAGTCCCCTCCATATGTCCCATGCTATGCGCCAGCCGTCAGAAGTGGCAATTCAAATAACTACAACTTCGGGATGTCCCCGATCATCAGCACCGGCCCTTGGCACCCGCATCCTAACAAATCTGCCTTGATTTGTGTCACTACGACCGGTATTCTCAAGATGTTCTGGAGCCAGAATAATGGCAGAATTGAAGAGACAACGCTGGAACTTGAGAATGTTACTTTGGCAGATGATCTAGTGACCCATGCCTCGGTGTGCTCAGACAGAAGTAAGTTGATCAAGAATACCCAGATTTGGTATGTTATTCGCTAACTGAACAGCAAAAACTCTCATGATCTGTATGGCAACTGCATCGAAGCAACTGCGAATTGTCCAGGTCGGCATTAATTGGGGTATTCCCAAAACCGAGGGCGCACAAAATGCACCACCTGGGAGTCACCAGTTAAGTCCCACGCTTACGAAAAGACATGTAGCAGTTGCTAGCTGGTTCCAACCGAGCTCTAACGTATCACACCTTGATTCATCTATGACGAAACTTACACATATTGAATTGTTGCCTGCTATACTCAACAGTTCAACTAAAGAGTGGTCGCCTGTCATGGTCTTGACAGTGCGATCTCTCATACCGGAACCAAACTCACCCTATGCACAAGAGGTCCAAAGCATCATTGATCGGTGGGAACTATTATCCGATCAACAGCAGACGCTTCACCCAGCCTTTACCCAACTTGGTGCTAGGAGAAACAGTGTTGGATCTTCACCGCCGGTAAGGATGATTCTGCCTTTCTTCTCGTGTTTGAAAACATTTATATGTTGACACATATTTTAGAATGGCGGTAGACTTAAGAAACTCGACTCTGTAGTCGTTAACAAGATCGTGATCGGTGTTAACCCTGTTAACTTTTCGAGAGCTCTTTGCTTCAGTTACCACGACGGCAGCGTAGAATATCGAGATCGGTTCACCATGGCCGAATTATACCGAGAGCCTAACTTAGACCGCATCAACTCAATTTTTGACGTTGGTTTCTCTCAAGCCGGAGACTCGTCATGTAAGTTGTGTCCCGAAAGACTTGCTTCTTATACTTACAGCTTACGATAATTCAGGTCTCCAAGTGGCCTTTTCACCCACAAATTTTTCCTTAGTTCAGATTTGCGAGGATGGCCAAGTCAAATGGCACAGCATAAATTACACTCTAGCAGATCTTGAGTCTATGACTGACGGTACATATTCGCTGCCCATTTACTCATAACATCGCCCACTGACATTTACGCAGCTCAAGTGTCTGCTCTTGTCGCTTGTTTTACCATTTCGACTGCCCAGGCCGCTTCTCAAAGCGTAAATATCGACGATATTTTAGCTGTCGCTCGGAAATTCGTTGGCAAGGACGGTAAGACTTACGGATAGTCGCTATTCCACAGAAGACCATCAAACTAACATTTCCTTAGCTTTTGCGGTTGAGTGGGTGAAAACTATGGTACAAATGATGAAGATCACTGTCGACTACACAGAAGATGCTCCCCATGACCATCTCATTAAGAATAGCATTCTACAGATGTGCCTTAGTGTCACTAACAATCTTGGTTGGAGAGGCGATTTCCAGCCACGGCAAACCTGGGGGAAGTTATCTATGATAGCCCTTAACCTACGCAACATAGTCATCATGATCACGCTTTCGAGTAATTCCATAAACCACAACAAGACTACCATGACACCACTTGATGAACCTGGTAAGTTCATAATCCCTATTTGAAACTTGAAGACGTCTGTGTATCTAACATGGTCATCGTTTAGATGTTGTCAATGCTTTGGCCGGCTGTGTCAAGTGGTCGACTGATCTGCTTTGCTGGCTGTGCGACTCCTTGTTTTGTCTATTGGATGACGCCAAGTTCATGAGTCTCTTAAAGCAGCCTCAGTTGGCAAACATGACGGCGTATTTACACTCAAAAAATGAAGTCGCCTTGCATTTAGTATTATGTTCAGCAACACGCGGTCTTCTCTCGGCAGTGTGTCGCCGAATTTGGCTCCTCGACTCGTTTTCTACTCGTGCAATCACCTGGTATGAAAACCGCGAGAAGGCTAACGCAAATGCCGCCCCCGAGCCTCGGGCTACCGCTCACCCAGCTCTATATGCAGCATACCAGAGAGTGCGGCGGTACACTTCATCCTCGCTCATTAAGGCCGATGAATTTGACAAGCTGCTGAATAGCCTTAGTGCTGAAGTTCGGTCAGCTTATAGCGAATCGCTTGCGGTACTTGGAGAGCAAGCTGCTAGAGCTGCAAATAACAGTCAGTCGCAGCAAGGCCAGAATCCCAATCGACCTGATGTGTCCCAAGAGGCCATTGCCCGCGGGCGTCAACACTGCGAGTTAGGCATGCTTGTAGTGCAAGCACCGCCACCATCCTTCGTCTCTGTCGTCGACAAGTTCTTCGACAAAGACTTGCGGGAATTCCGTGCGCATGTCAACGTAGCCAAGCTATATTTCGCCGACTATTCAATCCTGGAAATCAACGACAGCCCGCGCAGTCTGCAGAAAAGGAGGGCAAGAGGCACCAGAGTAGACCTCTTCAAGAGGATTGAGATATCGAGGAAACCAAGCACTGCCAATGCCAAGCCTCCAGCATGGAGATCTTGTGCTAGGTGTGCCAGCGTCATGGAGGACCTTTCCATGATAAATAATAAGCCGGGTCTCATGTTTCTACTGCGTCAACAAACCCACTGCTCATGTGGGGGGCGTATGGCGTTATTACAGGAAACGCGAGCATCCCACTAAAGGTGACTGACTCAGCGCCTCAAAATGGTGGCTATCATGATACCCCCTTACCGTGCTTACCGCTATACCATGGGTGTTAAACTATACGGATCGGGTTACTTCCAAGGAGCCTCTCGGGAGGAGCTGACCTTGGTAGATTCGACTTGGATAGTTCATCCTATAGCACCGAGAGAAGAAATTAACACTGCTATGGAGACAGATGATAATTGGTGGGCTCTGTTGAATAGACTCCTTCAGTATAGTAAGAAATGCTTCTAATTCTAAGCTTATCTATCGTTTTCGTCCAACTGATTGATATCTGAGATTATCGTTACCCAATATCATGCTCGTGCTGTCTTTCCGTTTGTGCTACTCCGGTGTTAGAAATGAACGTGTGCCCGTAGTTAAACCAGTCAATTTCATAACATGTTATCTATCAAAACCTCGGGGGAAGGGTCACTGTTCATGAAGTTTGAACTATACCCTTGCCCTACCGGTCTCGGCATACTGGTGCATATCAAACATTTAAGCATCTCACCTAAGAATCATACGTGTAGAGTCAGTATCGGGATCCCCGTTTTTAGAGTTGCGCAAGCAAGGAAGTGGGCAAGAAAGCGGATAAGGGACGGCGGCCAAAGAGCAGAACCAAACCTCCAAGTCTAAATATCGTCATCTTATCTTTCCTGTTTCTTTACCTGGCTCGGGAGGAGCCGCATGTTCGCTAAAGAGACACAACGATATTTCATAAGCCACTTATACGACGGAAGCCTCCGTTCCAAGTTTTGAAGGTTTTGGGTTCAAAATCGAGCTACCCTGTTCATAATTGCTCACGGTTACGACTATGGATGGGCTATGGAAAGAAGAATATGAGGTTTGTTCAAGCGAGAGTGGAGCGCATACATGAGGCATCATGTAGTCTCCGTGGCTATCTAGTAGCCAATGAGTCTTCAAGTCAAGCAAGTCAAGTATACAGTTTCAGCTCTTACATTTATCTGTGGCATCAACACGGTGCTAGCCGACTTTACACGGAGACAGAACTTCGGCGAGTAAGAGTTCTTCATCTCGGTGACGGTGAGGCTTTCTCCAGAATGCAATGCATACCGCCCTCACCCAAGCCCATCTACCAACATGAGCAACCAAGCATTACTGAGCAACAGCCAAGCAATCGTCAACTGTAGACTGCACTGAGGTTGCACTGTATCAGTGCGAGATCGCCCATCGTAGATAGCATCATGTTCAAGTATAAGTACTGTCAGTCTCGCAAGGACAACCTGGGATAGATGGACCTCCTTTTTCTTTCGTCAACACGCTCTCTCAAGCCACTTCTTTTTCAACTCAGAAAACCCTCATAGTAATCAGTCATCTCTTTATCAGCATGCATAACCAAAACGAGAAGGCTGCTTTGGCGGAACGGCTCAGAGGCCAGAAGCTCATCATCCCAGACCTGCACCCAGTCTTTGCGCACTGGCCTTGCGGACAGAATAAGCACTACCAGGTGATGAAGGAAGTGCTCGACAAGCGATTCGCCGAGTACGTGGGATTCTCCCCCCGCCCCTTTAATGCTTTGCTAAGCATAGGCACTGACCGAGACAAGACAAGGCCTTGACGAGAAGACCATCAAGGGCTTAAGTGCCATGAACCCGGCTTTGCTGGCGGCAAGGTAAGTTTACATCGATAGACGATGAGCCCCCCTCCTCACCACGGGCCCACCTTAGGCACCTACATAGGTATGCAGCTAACCAACGAATAGATGGTGGCCAAGAGCTTCCACGGACCAGTATACAATCCTGGCCGACCAGATCGTTTGGTTCGGGCACTTTGATGATCTCATCGAGGGCATGATACACGACCCAAGCGCTGCGAGCGACTTGCGTGCTGCGACCAAGATTCTGGTCCGTCAGTCACTCGGTCTTGTAGAGCCGGGAGAGGGTGACACTTCGTGTATCACCAATCCGCTGGTACTTGGCTTCAGGAACATTGGGGAGAGGGTATGCAAGTATTACGATGAAGGTGAGAAACTGCGATTCCTTCCTTTGCTTTGGCGTTTCCCCCCCTATCAACGGAGTACCTATATTGGGTGCCTAGTTTAAAACTGATTCTGATTCTTGGAACGGTTTATAGAGCAGCGAAAAATCCTCGTAGGGCATTTCGATAACTACATCGATTCCACCGTGCTCGAGGCGCAGGCGGACTTGAGCGAGAATTTGCCTAGTCTGAAGAGGTACTGGGAAGTCAGGATCTTGACGAGCGGGATGGGAACGCTACTGGGGTTCACCGAGTATGTCATGAACAAGAATAACAGCAACAACATCGATTGGGTGGTGAAAATGGAAATACTGACAGAGTTATTATTATAGATTAGCCGCCAATGCCAAATTGCCAGCTCAGCTGGTACGTTCTGCGGCGTACGATACTTTGTGGACGACGACGGTGGTGATCAATTCAATGTACGTCCCCCCATGCCTACCTACCTAAGATATGAATCCTCAAGATCCAAAATAAACAGACATACTGACATAGAAGCTAGTGTAAATGACTTGATTTCGTTTAAGAAAGAGATGGTAAGCCTACCTACCTACCTATATATAACTGTTCCTAATGCAAAGCAAATCATATCTCACCACTAACACCAATAACAGAAATCAGGCAGTGTCCTCAGCTCCGTCGCGATACTGTACCAACAAGTCGACAACCTCGACGCCGCCGTGCAGATGTCCATCGCCCACCTCAAGATCCTCGTCCAGGAGTTCGACCGCACGGCCAACATGGTCCTGTCGAAGTTCCCCATGGAACCTACCGAGATCGAGGCCGTCTCTAGAATCATCGACACGATGAGAATGGTCAACACGGGGAATCTGGAGTGGAGGTTCGTTGTTGCCCCCTTCCCCCTTCCCCCTTCCCCTTCTTTCATTTGTGATAGGTACGTTGGTGGCTAACTTTTTCTCTTTTCTTAATACTTCTTAGCCTAGAAGCAGAACGTTATGGTGTCTGCCATGCCATGACGAGCACTGGGCAGATCGAGTTAGTCTTGTGAAAAAGAAAAAAAGAAATCAGGCAAATACAGTAACGAAATGACGAGATTAGAAACACCATAGATGGATATCACTCTTTTCATATTTTCACAAGAGAAGGGGGGAAAATCCTGAGTAGATATTCAACAATACACGATCATATTTCTCACGATGCAATAAGCTTTGACTGCCTCATTCTTCTTTGCATAGTATGTACCTACCTACTAGGTACCGGAATATAAAGCTGACGGAATCCTTGGCATGCATGCCATGCTTCTCCATGTTGATTTGCGGCCTAGCCGAGGTGTCTCGTTTAGGTATAGTATAGTATAATACCTACCTAGTACCTACATACAGTACCTGCCATGTTGCATTTCATATGCATTGCACTTCTTCATGTTCAGATAGAGCTATGTACTATACATCGAAGTCGCTGATAGGATCACTCGGCGCCGAGTCCCAGAACAAGCTATCCTAACTTCTTTTATCCAAAGAAGCCTAGGCGTCTTTACCAGAAAGAGAACCACCTACGTACGTCAAGTAGTCGGGTTCCATAAGCAATGCAATGTAACGTAATGCCGAAAATGCGACGTTCGTCTCTGGAGCCGCTGATAAGCAAGCACGGCACAGCATAGGTAGCTGTATATACCTTAGGTTATGTAGGTAGATATCAAAGACCAGAGATCAACAGCGTGGCAGGTGGCCAAGCATGCTGCTCGCCATGGCACATTGATACATTGATGGTATAGGTAGTGGTTCGTTGAGGGGGGTGATGAGGGGGAATCGAGCAGCCAACTTTACCTGGGGTAAGATGGCAATCAAGCATATGTCAAAGGAGGTCAATTAAGATCATCGTTAAGGTTCCCGGCATTGAAAAACTCTGAGGGGAACCCAGTAGAACCTTGAGCTAATTGTCTATCTACATGACACTATCTCCTTGGCAAAAATAGACATCATCGTCATTTATTCGATTATACTATTCCCCTAGCAACATCCTAACGACGTACATAGTAATGGTGTTCTAGTTCCTCCAATCTGCGAGTGGTAAACTGAGAATGTCGACTCTTTTCCCGAAAAGGTTCGTCTAAGCTGCCGGAGCGATGTTACGGCGGCTTGTAATAGCCGGGGGGTGGTGGGAAGGAAGAAGACAGAATACATGTACTATGGATGCATCATGACTGGATGAGCTACAACTCCCATGTGGACCCTTGTAATCGACGTTATTCCTCGGTCGTTGCGTGATGGGTAGATCTACCAGTATAGGATGAGGAGGAAGAGGAGAAAAAGAAGAAGAATGAAGATCATATTGTGCTATAGATAGTGTAGGTAGCTAACCCAACCTCCATATTAACCCAAGCGCCCAGAAGGCATGCTCTATATATATTATCAAAACTCAAAGGTTTAGAGTTGACTGAGGCGTTCCCCTTGAGTTCTTCGGGTGTTATAGTCTGCATGTGTGTGCTCGTGTCAACATTGAAGTAAACAAGCTTATTTACTTGTCAAAGGACTAAGAGAGTTCTCCTTATAAGCTCAACATCAGAGGAATTTCTTCTTTCGTGTTTCTCTCTCTCTCTCCCTCCCTCCCTCTCCTTCTTAATCTACCTTTGCTTTCAAGGCTACCAAGGTTTCTGCCGGCAGCAAATATCAAGGAGAAGCATTTCTTCGCCTCCCACCCTCCCAATTTCTCACTGCCTCGCGTAGGAAACTCCCGCGCCGACCCAAAATCACATGATGAAGTTCCTCGGCGCTCTGCTGGCCGCTCCCCTCGCGGCCCTCGCGGCCCCTATCTTGGAGGCTCGGGGGGAAGCCATCCCGGGTAAATGGATAGCCGTGCTCAAGCCTGAGAGCGAGGCCCAGAATTTCGTCGGCTCCATGAGCACGCTGCTCGGCGGCGCCGTTCCCAAACACACATACCAGATCGGCGGCTTCCGCGGGTACTCGCTGTCGGCGTCCGACGATGAGATCAACTCGCTCGCTGATCTTGCTGAGGTTAGTTATTTCCTCTCTCTCTCTCTCTCTCTCTCTCTCTCCCTCCTCCTTGTTTACTTTACCCCCAACCTCCTTTACCTTTGTTGTTGTTGTTGTTGGTAAATAGAGTAGCTCGGCGCTAGTCGAAGCCAAAGAAAGAACAGACGTTCGTTTGATCTATTGACTTTAGGCCAACTAGTCTAAGCAGACTATCAGCCAACTAACCACCCTAACTAAACTCTCTCTCTTCCAACTAACCACTAACCACCCCACGTGACACAACAGGTCGCCTACATCGAGCCAGACTTCAAGATCAGCATCGCCGCCCTAACCGTGCAAGGCACCGCCCCCTGGGGCCTGAGCCGGATATCGTGGCGCCTCCCCGACACCACCACCTCGTACGTCTACGACGACAGCGCCGGCGCCGGCACCTTCGCGTACATAATCGACACCGGGATCTTCGTCGCGCACCCCGAATTCGGCGGGCGCGCGGTGTTCGGCGCCAACTTCGTCGACGGCAGCACGAATGACACGGACGAGAACGGCCACGGCACCCACGTCGCGGGAACCGTGGGCTCTGCTACTTACGGTGTGGCGAAGAAGGCGGGCTTGGTTGCGGTGAAGGTGCTCGATGCGAGTGGTTCTGGGTCGATTAGCCAGGTTATCGCGGGGTTGCAGTGGGTTGTAGATGATGCTACGGCGAAAGGGAGTGAGTTTTTCTGCCCCTTTTTTTTTCTTTTCTTTCTTTTCTTTCTGCTCCCCCCCCTCCCCCCCCCCCCCCCCCTTTTTTTTTATCCAAGAAACAGCAGACAACTAACCATTTCCTTTTTTTAAAAAAACCAACAGGAATAGGCAAAGCCGTCGCCAACATCTCCCTCGGCGCGCTCCGCCTGCTCTCCTCCTCCGTCAACACCGCCGCCGCCGCCGCCGTCACCTCGGGCGTCTTCCTCGCCGTCGCCGCGGGCAACGGCAACGCCAACGCCGCCCTCTACTCGCCCGCCTCCGAGGAGTCCGTCTGCACCGTCGGCGCCGTCGACGCCGCCGACGCGCGCGCCTCCTTCTCCAACTACGGCGACATCGTCGACGTCTGGGCCCCCGGCGTCAACATCCAGAGCACCTGGAACAACGGGTCCACCGGCGTCATCTCCGGCACCTCGATGGCCGCCCCGCACGTCGCCGGCCTCGGAGCGTACCTGCTGGCGCTCGAGGGCCCCCGGGACCCCGTGGCGCTGTGCGAGCGCATCCAGCAGCTTGCGACGCCGGACGCGGTCGCGAATGCGCTGTCGAGCCACAATTTGCTGGCTTATAATGGGCAGGAGTGATGGATGTCCTCTGCCTTTGGGTGTTGGGATAGGTGCGCACTTGGATATGTGACGGATCGATGGGGATATTTTGGGTGGTTGGAATTTTTGGATTGCTTTTTGGATATCACGGATAGTTACATGCGTTGATTTTTTTTTGGATATCCATTCCATTTATTGTATATTGTGTGTGTTCGCACACGTGAAGAATGGACCAATCTATGTACCTTCACGGCTACATGAGGGCTCGGGAATGGGGGGTTTTGCTAAGGAGATAGGTGTTTACCTAGGTAACCAGCCTACATCATAGCCTAGGATCATATAGCATCCCACGATCAATTACCCAATCAATAATTATCTGTTGAAAAATAAAAATAACTATGCCCTCACTAGCCTAGGTACCTACCTAGGCGTGCGAAGCAGCGTGCTCTCCCTCGGGTACATGCATGCCATGCATACCCCTATACGGTGCCGGCTCGGCCGGCTTCCACCCGCTTCTCTGTAGCAGGTCTTTGTCCTCTAGCGTGTATACTTGCACCTTTAACGGGCGGCAGCACTTGATCATTTCTTTCTCGCTGTCGGCGCCAAAACCCCAGAGGGATAGATCACCACCAGGACATGTGCCTTTTGTGTGTCAGTAATAGAATAGAGATGGCCAAGTAGGCACCTAGGGAGATACGTAAAGAATAGCAAGGAAACTCACTCAACGCCATCAGCACATCTTGCTCAGCCAAGAACTCGATATAATCACCCTTCTGCGCCGGACATGGGTTCATGAAGTACCGGCCCTGCTCATCCAAACCCGTGACCTGGAATATATTAATCACATCGTGTACATCGCTCTCGTTGAGCCCAAAGGGCAGCACCGCGCGAGTGAGGTTGGAGTGGCAGTGGAAGTCGTAGCCCGTCCCGGAGAGCACGCTGGATATGTATCCGTCGCACCTCGTGCCGAGCAAGTCGTGGACGCGGCCGCCGGTCTCATCGACGCCGTACCAGGAGAGGCTGTCGCCGACAATGGTCACGAGCGGGCGCATGTACGGCAGACACGACCACAGCTTGTCGTACATGGAGACGTGGGATGCGTGGAGTTGCTTCGTGCGCGCTGCCCAGAACCTCTCCCGCGGGTTGTGCGCACTCCAGATGTTCAGATCGCCGACTTGAGGCCCCTCCGGAGTGCTGATGCGGATAATGGACCCGGCGGGTGCTTTCCAGGCCCTCCCTGACCTGATGGGGATCACGAACTCCTCGAGCAGGTTTCGGGGAGCTGATGCGATGGTAGAGTATAGAGATTTGTCAACTGTGAGCGGAGATCCGGTTACCGGCAGGTAGGCCGGTTTCGGCTTCGGGATGGGTTTCCGGGCCTTGAGACGGGCCTCGGCTTCATCTTGGTTTAGAGACATGATGTGTATAACTGAAATGTGATATTTCAAATTTTGCTATATCTCGAAACTGCGTAAAGAGGGTCCTTCAGGGGTTTCTGTTAAAAGTTGAATAGAATACAAAAGATACTCAAGGTGATAAGTAGGCAAGTATGAGTACTAGGTAGGTAGGTTGTACGACCGGTGTAATATCCGGCTTGATTCGGAGCGATGCGACTTGGAGATAGACTAGCTATCGTAGCTAATGCATCTGAGTATGAATAACGTAACCCATTTAGTGCTACCAAGTTCAAAATGTCACTGTCTCCTTAATGACTGCTGGGCACTTACATATGTACCTAACCTACTCTGTTCATGACATCTGGAATTTGAAGATTCAAGACACCCTACTAGGTACGTTTAGACTTGCATATATCAACTTTGAAGCATACCTAGGGATGGATGTGTGCTTTTGAGTTTGTGGTGACATGTGAAGTAAACTGGTGACAACATTAAAGGTGCCATTCAACCTTGGAGATGCAGAGCTTAAATACGAGTGAAGTGAAGTGAAGTGATGATGATGATATTTCTAAAAAGCCGAAGTTCGGTTTATATAAGAAGACGAAATACCTCTAAGTTTAATGTAACTAATTGAATTGATGACCGTTTGTTTCATGTATATAATAAATATGCACATAGTTACCTAGTACTGTATTGTAGTACATGTAGTTATGTAAATCAGGGGCCAATGGACCTAGGTTAGTACATAGGTAGCTTCCTCCCTACCCAGTATTTACTAGGCACCTACCCCTAGGTTAGATATGTAGGTAACTTCTTGAAATGATATAATGTTCGATGCTCGCTCCTTCAAATACTATAATTCTTAAAATTGATGAAGCTAGCTGCCACATTCTTTACATTCGTTACATAGTATTATTAGGAGGAAAGTTCAAGTTAAATACATAGTAGCCACTAATTATTCGGAGGTTCAAGCTAGGTACTTCGTAACTCTAGCCATGTTTAAATCCTTGTTCCTTTTCTTGACCCTGACCTACATAATATCCATAATTCATCGGAAATTCTATCGCAAGCCCAAGCCCGTTGACACACTTGTCACAACTGACAAATGGACATCCTCACAGTCCTCAACAACAACCAATTTACAAAACCAAACAAATACGAAAACACCCTATACCGATTCCGGGACAACACCGTCAGGCAAGGGCATGATGGATAGCCTTCCGCCTGAGATCATACTTCAAATCCTCGAGTTTACTATCGTCGCCTTCTATAACAACAAAAATGGCCTTCTCAAGTTGCGCACTACTTGCAAGCTGTTTAACGAGATTCTGAAACCATATGTCCTTCGAACCCTCCAGCTAGAGTTTACTCGCTTAGACAAGTACGAAAGGAGCTTGCGGCCGCCTCTAGACGAAGATGCGTTGCGTCGCATAGGACCCTTCTGCCAGGCACTCTACCTCGACATGATGGTGGTAAGAGATGACGGTATGTACTATACATAAAGTACCTACATTTGTGGGAACCAACAATATTGAATGGCACAAAAACTGATAATCCCACAGGTGAAGCTAGGCTTTTAAGTGACATGTTCTCCAAGGTCCGCGCCATGGATCAATTCGTTGCGAGAATACGGGACGTCTATTGTATGAACGAATCATCCTTCACCGAGATCGAATACCGCCGCCGCCTCGGCTCTATGCTCGAACACGCTCCCAACGTCACTGCCGTGAGACTGAACCTACCCTTCCAACTGGTGACACGAGGACAATACAGCGCCGCCACTTTGATCCTAGGAAATAGCTTTGAGGCTCTGGCGCAAAGACCTGAGGAGTCCGAGACCCTCAAGACCTTGGTGCTGGAGAACGTGTCAGACATTTCGATAGTGAGCCTCTGGCGTAACCCCCAGGATGTCAAGAATATTATTGGCACTTTCTCCGACCTCCGCCACCTATTCATGTCGGTACGGCGGAATGAGGAGGGCCATACTCACACCAACAACTACCGCAACCGCTTGTGGGAGATGATAGGAAAGGCCGAAAATCTTGAGAGCCTTTGCCTAGTAGACCTGGAGGCTGACGAGCATGTCCGGAAGAGTATCAAGACGTCATCAGAGCGTAACATGAGCCTGGAAAACTGGGAGTTCCGGTGCATGCCTACCATTCGCAAGCCACCGAAAGCTGTGCTCCGGAACCTCACCTTCCTCGAGCTGCGTCAAGTAGAGGTCATGGCGTCCGGCTTACTATCCATGTTCAACTCTTTTGAAAGTTCACTACGGGAGTTGTATTTAGAGGATGTCTACCTCAAGACTGTATATAACACCGAGGCCCCCGAGGACGCGAACGACATACTCTGGATCGGCCTGCCTAATGTACGTCCCCAGCCTCATCATCGCTGGATCGCGACCTATCTGCGACAACTACGAATGCAGTTGCGGGTCTGCCGCGTCGCGAACCTAGGTTACGACCAATATGTCGTGGGCGAGGAGCCCTCTGTCGAAGACAACAGTGTCGGGGCCACGTACGATCTGCTGGACCCGACCGGACTCTCGCGCAGCTTTTCGCAGCGCTTCGTCGAGGTTGCCACCGGAGTCAGGCAGCCATTTGCCAACGACGGCACACCCGTGACCTACTACCCGGAGGACCCATCGCAGGATTCCTGGGCGCTGGCGGACCGCGAACCCTCTGGGGCGGGGCTGCGTGCCGAGGACTGGCACGCGCCGAGCTACCTCGCCTCCCGCCGCAGCCCCACGTCCGCCTGGCAGGAGAGCCTCGACGGCCTCTTCCCCAACAGCAACCAGTTCGCCATCGACATCCTGCACCAGTTCGCCGATGGCGCGTACAAGGGCATGGGGTTGCTGAATAGTTTGCACGATCTCGGGCTCATTTGAGCCGAGGAGGGGAGCTAAAAAAAAAATCAAAGTAAAAATCAAAATCAAAATCAAATTAAAGGCAAGCCTAAGGTACTATACAAATATAGTACCGGCTTCTTGGGTTGGGTTCCTGGCAACATTGAACGATTCCCACCTGAGCTTTCTTAGGTTATGTTGCAAACATAAGGAGGGGGGGAGAGTTCCTGGAATGTCGAGCATTCCGTTTATATTGATTCATCCAGTATACACCCGCACACCCGCATGTCCCGTTCTTCTTATGGTATGGTACCTATCTTGAGTAGACCTAGTATGTACATACTTCCTTCCAACTTTTTCATGCCCCGGATAGTGGGAATGGTACTGTAGAGACGATAAGTAGGCTAGGCTAGGCTAGGCGGCAGTTAATTAGAATAAATGAGATCAGAGAATACTTGTTTGAATATATGTACCTACCTTTTATGCAGGTGTCTATAATATGAATGACATGTAGTTAGTTAGTTACCTTCTAATAGTAATAGGTATGTACATAAGTGCTGTTAGGTTACATTAGGTGCCTACTGGTAGGCACATTATTAGTTAGTTAGGTAGTAAGTAGTAAGCATAGTAGCACCCGTGGACGTACTGTAATGTGACTCACCCACATACCCACCATACTTACTTCTATTTTATGTCACGACAAACCAATATACATATTCTTGCATCGAGGGTCAGGGGGGTTCATGTATTTCATTCATCAGCTTACTCAACAAGGCATTATCTGGTTATCTTCCGTGCAAAGGTAAGAAGGTAGGCAGGCAGGCAGGCAGTGCGAATGTAATAGGGTTTGAGGATTCGGGGGGTTTGTGGTTAACTTCGCGTAGGAACTATAAAAGGGGGGGCAGAGAGAAACTAAAGAGAAAATAACTCGTTCCATCCACGTTCCATCAAAGATCCCATCATTTCACATTGTTCATCAACGAACCTCCGAACTAAAGGTGCAAAACTGAGGGTATTTGACCTTGTTGCTAGCGGCCGTTACCCCCTTCCTCCTCCTCCTCCTCCTCCTCCTCCAAGAACGACAACGACAGCTGGAATATCCACGCATTTCCCCCTCTCTGCTCTATTTACAACCCCTCCAACCCGCAGAAGTAACTAAGACTTCTCTTGCCAACTAGAACGTCGAAAAGGGAACTAGGGGGTACGAGGTTTTGTACAGAACAAGTATAAGGGAGCCGATGGATGGAAAACTGTGGGGGGTATTATATGCACGAAGATGAAGTGGAAAGCTTAGTATTCAGCCTCGGTCTCGTCCGGCTCGAAGCTGTCAGCGGCGACCTCCTCATAATCCTTCTCCAGAGCCGCCAGATCCTCACGAGCCTCAGAGAACTCGCCTTCCTCCATACCCTCACCCACGTACCAGTGCACAAAGGCGCGCTTGCTGTACATGAGATCGAACTTGTAGTCTAGGCGAGACCAGGCTTCCGCAATGGCCGTTGTGTTGGACAACATGGAGACGGATCGATCAACGGAGGCCAGGCCACCGTCGGTAGGAGACGCCGTGGGAACAGCCATTGGCTTCTGGTAGTTAATACCCAGCTTGAAACCAGTCGGGCACCATTCAACTAGGTTGAATGAGGACTTGGCCTTGAGGGCCGCGATAGCGGAATTGCAATCGCGAGGGACGACATCACCGCGGTAGAGGAGGGCGACGGCCATGTACTTGCCGTTTCGGGGATCGCAAACCACCATCTGGTTGTTGGGCTCAAAGCCTAAAATCATATCAGTCAACTGGGCTATTTTCTTTTCTTTTTATTTTTTTTCAAAAAAAACAAGGGAAAATGATATGCTTAGCTTACATTGGAAGGTCAGGTCGTGGACCTTGAAGCTCTCATGCGCACTCTTGGCGGCAGATATGACGGGTGCGTAGCTGATCAGCGGGTAGTGGATACGCGGGTACGGGACCAAGTTGGTCTGGAACTCGTTCAAATCGACGTTCAGCGCACCATCGAATCGCAGAGACGAGGTGATAGAGCTGACAACCTGAGCTATCAGGCGGTTGAGATGCTCATAATCGGGACGGGGAATGTCAAGATTGCGTCGGCAGATATCGTACACAGCTTCGTTGTCAACCAGGAACGTGCAGTCGGAGTTCTCGATAGTACTGTGAGTAGATAGAACAGCGTTGTAAGGCTCGACAACGGCTGTGGACACCCGAGGGGCCGGGTAGACAGCGAACTCGAGCTTGCACTTCTTGCCGTACTCAGTGGAGAGGCGCTCAAGGAGAAGGGCACCGAAACCGGAACCAGTACCACCACCGAAAGAGTGGAAGATCAGGAAACCTTGAAGGGAGTTGCAGTTGTCTGTCGAATTTTATTAGCCAAGCTCAACTAGGCCATTACCAGATAGCTAAAAGCATAGCTCTTACCTGCAACACGTCGAATTCGGTCGAGGCAGTTGTCAACCATCTCCTTGCCGATGGTGTAGTGACCACGGGCGTAGTTGTTGGCAGCATCTTCCTTTCCACTGATTAGGAGCTCGGGGTGGAAGAGCTGACGATAGCTACCGGTTCGGATTTCGTCGATGGGTGAAGGGTCCAAGTCAACGAAGATGGAGCGGGGGACATATTTGCCGTTGCTGGTCTCGGTGAAGAAAGTCTCGTAAGAACCACCATCGAGAACATCCTTCGCGTTGGGGTCTGGTTTACCATCGGCTCCGAGGCCATGCTCAAGGAGGTACCTGAACGTTGTGGTTAGTCCGGGGGAATCTAGTGCGACGGGCAAAGTTGGGTTTCCTTGGTTTAGGAAAGCGGTGTGGTAACACTTACAGCTCCCAGGCGCTGTTACCGAGCTGGGTACCAGCCTGGCCCAAGTGAAGGTGGAGGATCTGAGTGAAGCATTATGTCAGCTAGACGGTCGGGCTGGTTATGGTTATGATGTGGTATGAATATGATTTAAGTGAATGGCCGACGTAAGCTTACGACGCTACAGGTTAAAAGGTAGAGAATGGGTAAGGTGAAGCACAGAAGTGAGCTTCGATGGGTAACAAGGTTGTTGGTTTGATAAAGCGGCGGTCTATAAAGTGAGCCCGGTAAAGTTATAACCACATACCTCGCCCTTCATGATGAAATCGTAGTATCGTAACTAGGCAGATTGAAATACTGCGACGTGAGAGTAGAGATCCGATCTAAGACGAGGAGAGTGAAATCAGGTCGGAAAGATATGCGCACAGCGCTCGATGGCGGTAATGGGAAAGAAGATGAAAAAAGGAGGTGTGGTTGTGGTTTTTGTGGTGGAGTAGGCGAATTAGTATTCAATTAGTATTCAAATCCCCAATCCGCAAGATTCAAGTGCTAAAAAGCTGTAGAGTCCAACCTTAGGTTACTAAGTACGTACTATAAATGCACTACTAGGTATAAAATGTACTTACTTTAATTGAGCAAAAGATTGAGGGGCAGGTTTCAGGGGTCGTCCAATGATGTGACACCGTGGGGACAGAATGGAGTGCTCTATTGGGACAGTTAACAACGTTACCCATGCAATACCGCCCTTAGGTCTGTGTAACTAATCCCATGCTAGGGATAGATGCAGATTAGAGGGGGGCTTCAGATATTCTACAATGTACAATACATGTTACGACGTACTTGTTTCCCAGGTACTAGTAACTACATGTAGGTAGTTAATTCGCTATGGGAATTGCCATGATAGTACTATCGTCTGGTGTACCCCAAGCATCAACGTTGTCAACTGTAGGAAACGACACGACATCAACGGCCTGACTTACATACATGCATATAACTATACCTACATATGTATGCTAGTAGGTGGCTAATTATGTATGTATTATGTATCATGCATCTAACTAAACATGCAAACCAATTTTGAGCCAACTTTCCAACCTCACACCGCCCCGTTGCTGGGCATGTACGCATAGTAGTACACACATCGTACAATCGTAGGTACATCGTAGAAACCAAGTGAGAGGGTAGGCAAGGGCATTGCCTGATTTGTATCCTTGAATGTATCTACCACATACATACATATGTAGTAGTGCATGCGGTTGAAAGATACATATTATATATCGATATATCTTAAGTTCATCTAGCAGATAGGCAGTAGGCAGGTATCATGAGTATTATTAAAAGAAACGATATAATCATCGTCGAGGATGTAGGCATAATAGTACATAATGCTACCAATGCCTATGCTATTCACTCCAAGGCCACCTATTTTCCACCCTTCCTCCACTCAGCTGCTCTCCTGGCGCCGCGATTCTTGGATTTATCCTTCACTACCACTTTCTTTCCCCTAGTCTTGCCAAACTTCAAGTCTTTCGGCTTGCCGTCCTTCGCACTAGCCCGGCGACCTTCAAAGATAACCTGCTCCGGAGACCTAAAATTCTCGTTGACGGGCACTTCCTTTGTATCTCTGCGCTGCCTCCCTTCGAACTTGTCTCCGTGTCGCTGTTTTGCAGCAGCAGCTCTACCTAGGAGCTTTCCGGTTCTTCCTGCTTGAGACAGCTGCTCAGGGGTCACCTTTGGTATATGCTTCGTGCTCTTTGACTTCTTGTCACGACCATTTGAACCTTCGAATTTCGATTTGACGTTTCGTTCCATAGCGAGAGCTGTCTTACGTGGGTCCTTGGCACGAGACACACGCATTAGCCGCGGCAACATCGGAGGGAATTTCTTCCCGTTTAGTAGCAATGCTGATTCGACATCATTGACATCGTAGAACTGTACGTAGGCGAAGCCCTTGCCAACCCGTGTCTTGGGATCCCTAGGAATTCGAACGCTTTCTACCTTGCCAGCTTGTTTACCAAAAGTTCGCCATAGTCCTTCCTCAAAATCTGCTGGGACCTTTGTGCGTTTCTTGGTCGTAGTCTCCCCCTCAGGGGTCATGTTGAGAACGGTTTCGTCATCTACGAACCCGAGATTTCCCACAAAGACACATCTTCGGTGGTCTACTGGGGTTGGATGTGCTACACTATCCACCCGCATGTGACGGTCAAGGACGACCGAGCCATTCAGAGCCTTGAGTGCAACCCGCGCGGCTACTGGAGTTGAATAAACAACATAGGCATTGGTAGACTTTGTCGTTGCAGTCATGAGAGATTTTGTGATATATGCTGCGCGTTTGGGCAATGCGCCTCCTGCAAATGCGGTGGAACGAAATCGTATCGATTCGACTTTGGGTGCCCCGTCTAGTGTTGATAATGGTGATGAAAGATGAGCCAGGAGCAGCTTCTTTGCCTTGGATGATGAGATAGCCTCGATTGAAATATTGCCCAAGAACAAAGTGCGATTTGCCTTGTCGACTTCGATGTCAGCATGGCCATCGGTCTTTTCAAGAAGCGTTTCATGGACCATTGGGACCTCATCCTCCTCGGAACCTTCTGAATCATCCGGAGTCGCACCGTCTATTACCAGACCAGCTTCGCCTTTGCGACGCTTATCGGCTCGCGCGTCTTCCTTCTCCGTATCTTCGACTACCTTGCGCATGTATTTTTCCTCTAGGTCGTCATACGCATCTTTGCGCTTCCTCTTGCGATCCTTCTTCGGGGGACTTGAAAGCGCTTCAATAGGTTCCGAATTTTCAGACTCCTCCTCATCATTGTCTGAAGGAACATCTTCTTCTTCTTCGTCATCATCGTCTTCTATATCTTCGTCGATCTCGCTCAACACTTCATCGTCACCATCTTCGACAGAGTCCTCGTCTACGTTTGATATAGCCTTTCGTGACTTTTTTGAAAAGTTTCGCTCTTTCGGTGGAAACAAATCGGAATATCTAGATTTTGAAGGGACTTGTGCAGGTCCGACCTTGTTCATCATAAGCTTGGAAACATGACCACGATCATGGTATCAAACTTACACTACTTGCGAATAGAGCATCGAGGGTGGGGTCAATGGCTTTGGTTGAAACGGCCAGGCTATTCGTACTAGATTTTGTTAATATGCAGATTGTGAGAAAGGGATAAGAAGAGCATATTATGTAACTTACGATTTCATCATATTGGAGTTGCGACTTGAATGTTATCAAGCGCAATGGCAAGGTTAGTGAAGCTGTATTGTGAGTTTTACAGAATGGGTGCTTGCAGCTTCAAGTAGACTGAACGAAAAAAAAAAAAAAGATTGACATTGAACTTCCTTATCTTATCATGTAAGTTACATAGGTAAAGTTACATAGGTACATTGAAGCCGCTTCATGAAAACACAATTTTTCTTTGCGGTGAAGATGGCTTGATTTGTTATGCGGCTCTAGTTCGGCTATTTCCAAAGTCACAAGTGTCCGATCTAGCAGCTATCACCTAGGCAATCGCGTTTGGTTTGCATTTGCGTTCAGCTATCGATAAGCGGTTTTGATCGGAGTTGGCAGATAATTACCGTAGGTGTTGTGTAGGTAGGTACATTTGTAGCGTTCGATTGGGGTCATTTTTGGGGGGTTACCTCAAAGTGCTATACCTAACAAGGCACTACAGGCTGTAAAGGCTTCCATACCTAGACCTACCTAGGTATATAGTACCTAAGGTTAGTACCTATCTGTACGATATCTGTACTACTAAAAGTTGTTGTGGTACTAGCATGTAAGTACCGTGGACCTATGTTGCTCGCGCGCAAAGCGAACCCTTTCCCATTTGATCAATACCTACATTTTCCTCTCGATGACCTCTTTAGCAACCCAACCCAGCAGCACACTCGTTTTGTAATACATATCCGTTTCAAGTCGCCTGGTCCATATCTTACTCTCTAAAGACGAAATAGTCTTTTATCTAGCATTTCATCTACTACAAGCTATTCATTACTAAACTTTACGCTTCTTTGAGCTCTATTTACTTGACTCTTCTCTGACTCTACACTTCTAACCTACACTACTACCATTTCAATATTCTACGATACCAACCCTAACTACGACAACTTTAACTAAAGAAAACGCCCTCTTCTTCTCCCCACATCCTCTTCTCCTTTTTCCCCTTCTACTCTACAACATAACAACTCTCAATTAAATTCAAACAAGACGAATTTACAACTGTTACAAGAAGATGGCAACTGGAGACACGGCGCCCGCGCCGCTTGCAATCCCTCCCCCGCCAATCGAACCGCTCTCTGACGACGACGGTTCAAGTCCGCTAAGTGATGTTGAGGACAAAGACGGCGACCCAGATGACCTGCATAATCTCAATGATGCCACCCCCAACAACCGCGACGAAGAAGCCAGCTCTGTCGACGACCTTTCTGACGCGAATGACACCGAAGCCGAGACCGAACGCCTCTACGACACGCCTCGAAATCCCATCCGCCATACAGACGTCATTCTAGATCAGCCAGCCGGCATTCAACCTTTTGCGCGTACCCCGACTAGACTCCGACGACATAATAGAAGGGCAAAAGAAGCCAAGGATGATGATGACGGGCACTTCTCCGAGGAAGATTTTTCGATAGCTTCTAGCCCCCCCGCGCGAGAGAGAAAGACAGCGAAAAAGCGCCAATCACCCGTGTTAGACATCCTAGTCGAAGCAGCGACCCAAGACAACGAAAGCCGAAAAAGAAAACGAGCCTCTATGCCTGTCGAAAAGCCAGAGCCCACGCAGCTACCACAAAAGCGCACCGGCTCTGTTCCTGCACCCAAACGGCAAGACTTGGACGGCGACACGTCGATGGTTGATGAGGAAGAGGCTTCATTACCCACCAATAGCGGTGAACATTCGGCCGACGAAACCATCAATCCCACAGTTGGCGAAGACGAGCATGTTCAAGGGACCCCTTCAGATCATAAGGTCATACCGAAGAAGCAAACGCGCAGCGGCTCGAAAAAGCTCAAAGCTGCAGAACAGCCCGCGGAGACCGACGAGCCCACAGAAGAGGGTAGGGGTGCAACACTGCCTCGAGGCGATGGTAACAATGCTGGCGAATATGAACAAGCCGAGGCCGACATAGAAGAGGCAGAAATAGCCCATAGAAATGAAGAAGAACGTACGCTATTCCCACATTTCCTGAGGATACTGACTAGCGCTGACCGAACTCTTGCCAGTCGAGAGGAAGAAGGCCGCTTTCGAGCAGTTGGCAGCAATCGAGAAACGGTTCACAACTTTCCGAGACAGGTTTGTTATTGTACACCTCATTGGTACCAATAATCATCTAACATTGCTTCAGATTATACGAGGAGCGTCTTGAGCAATTGAACCGAGAAGAGGCAATGTTACGATCCGACAACCCAACCCATCCCGAGTACCTAGCTATGATGCAGTGTATAGACGCGCGAAGAGACGAACGAATCCGCGTAGCAAATAGAGAACTAGAGCTCGGTACAGAATCTCTGGAGAGATGGGCTGTAGCTAGACGGGCGCAGGTTCATTCGCAATACTTCCAGTCGGTTAGAGAGTCGAGAGAGACGATTCTGGCAGAGTTAGGCCAGCAGTGGTACGACATTCAGCACGAGCGTCGTAAGCAAGCCAACAATGTACCCGAATTTGGACTCCGATTCCCTTCAGACCCGACACAGCGTACCAGAAATGCGCTAGCGTATAATAAGGAGGTTTCCATTCTGTCCGGTGTCGCCAAGTACGAAGGGATGCCTGCTGCGCCAGAGATGAAAGGGGCGACCATGCAGGATTTGGAGGATGATTTCGAGGCTATGAACGTGAGTTATTCGCCCGTACAGTTTCACTTTGCCAGGTAGTTATGGTGTTACTAACTAGGACCAATCAGAGGAATCGACAACCGCAGCCTCGACATTCAGTACATAGACCCAACTACGTAGATTATGGGGGCCTCCCGTTTGGTCAAAGCCTTGGTCCTGCAGGAGAGCAGTTTATCGAGCAGACCCCATGGGCAAATCCCAACCACCCTTCAAATGCTCATCTTCTCCAGCGACAACATTCAGGCCAGCACGAGCCTCATGCACCGTCTGGATCTAAACGACATTCCCACCAGCCGCACCCCTTTTCTAGTGGGCCAACTTCCAACCCCTCTAACGGCCCTACGAAGGCACACAAAAATACACCAAGACAACCATCCAACTCTCCCGAAGTTGCAAGAGCTGCAGCTAGTTTATTAGAGCATACTAAAGCGCGTAGTATGAAGGCAGTAGAAACGTCGGCGCAACGTGAAAGCAGCCAGCCAGTCGGCGGCTTTTAATTACCCTTGACCCGGGAATTCATCATTCCCCTGGGGACAGGGACAAACAGACGAGAACGGGGGAGGCCAGGACTGAGTGATGAGATGGGTGGCTACGTCATATTATCGTCGGGTTGAATAGATCTGCGGGATAGGAAATAAGGACGTTATACCCTGTGCATATGTTTTGCATTTGGCGTCACGGTTGGCGATAGAGGCTTTCCGGAAAGCTGAGGTTGCAGAGCCGTATGGCGTTTAGCTGCCAGCGTCTTCGAGGCGCTCTTAGAAGAGAATGGGGGTTGTCTCTATGATATATGATGACAGGGTTTTGTGCCTACAGCGAGAGACATACACATGTGTGTGGCGTTAGGGGATTTGCCATTCATTTAAAGGCCCAAAGTAAGGGCGCGATACCAATACCATCTAGTTCAAATTCATTCATGATCATATCAAGCGGGACTCAAACGAGACCAAGCGAAGCAGACGAGAAGAGTGTAGTTTTAAACTCTGTGAACACTAATACCATAGCTCTTATATGCTTATGCCTACAGCTTCGTTTTCCCCTTTTCTCCGTAATCTCTTCTTGGGTGCTGCCGAGCATGTACAAATGTCGCAATGGATATGAGTAGGTACTGGATTGTATTTATTTCTTGGCGGATTGCGTTGGCGCATCAGGGACCTTTACGTCCTCGAACTCATCTTGTCCGACAACGCTGATGGTGTAGGCATCTATATGTAAAGGTAGGTAGTTGGTATATGAGTACGAAACAGGCCGTGGCCCATTGCCCGTGGAGACAGACAGAGGGGGACGGTAAAATAATGTGGTCTCAGTAATCAACTTACAAACACCAATAGCAAAGGCGCCAACTAAAGAACCGACAACGGCGTTCTTAAAGATGTAGGGCCGCCTTGCTCGGATGAGGGCGGGTGATTGTCTTTGTCGCTTGTCGTAGTATGAAGAGCTTCCGAATCTGCAAGGGAAAAGTAAGTTAGATATAATGATGGTGATATGTTATAGCATGAGGATCGGATCGATATACCCAGAAGCCATCTTGGTGTCTTGCTTACCGGAGGGGGCGGTAATCCTTTAAGATGCGGCAAGTTGCAAGTTTGAATATACTAAGACCTAGGTTAGGTGGGTAGGTGGTAGGTACATATGTATAAGAAAGCTGAGCTGTGAGATGTGAATGAGTTAATGTGAATGTTAATGTTAATGCTATGTACAGCGCCACAAGCCTTAAAGAATCTTGAATCATGCGCCTGGAAGGTGCATCCTACATGCCTAACCTACAGTATGTAGCACCCTATTATACATGAGCTAAAGAAATGCTTATCAACTTATCAAGATCTGACGATGCTGCGAGTCTGCGACCACACCACCACTGCTTCAGCACGCTTAGCAGACGCTATGCCCAAGTAGGTATAATACATAACTAGGTACTTAGGACAGTATTATTGGTGTAAGTGCAGTGGACATTCCATCGGTAAATCATCGGCAGATAGGGGAAACCCCTGCATTCATGTACAATACAAGCCCATGCTAGTCTGGTACATAGATGATAGTACCTAGTACCTAGTAGTAACTAGGTTGTACAAAATACTAGGTAGGTACAACCTATGGTATCCGGCATCACATCAACTACAGAGAGCTCCAAGCTTTGTTCATTGTTCTTTTTTAGCACATTTTAATGTTATAAACTTGCAACACCTTCGTTTTGATCTTGCTCAGGTCAAGACCTTTCTAGTCGCTGCAATTGATCATTCAATTCAATTTCTCAATTTCTTTCCTTCTTTTTTTTCTTTCATACTAATTAATGAAACGACGAAGTAACTACACCTCAAGTTAATTCAGGTCTGCTTTACATCAACCACCACATCACAGCAGCCCGATAATTAATTAGATTTATTAACTTCCAAGACTCCAGACCTGAAGAACAAGCAAAGGGGACCCTTCAATCACTCACTGGCGCGGGTTTTGGTGTAGAAGATGATGCTAGCTAACCCCCGGTGATCATCCAGCAAATTGACATCACCATACACGAACACCTATAATTCTTAGGTAGACGACGCGACACACCACACCACGACACGGCACGGCACGTCGCAACAACTTTTACCTCAACTCTTTTCACCTCTTCCCTAACTGCACTCAATCCCTTTCTTTCGTACTGCTATCTGATACGCATGATCTCTTGCGACGCCTTCTTTTCCCTACAATTAAAGAACTGCCGTCACTTTTATATATCTAAACTTGGCAGTCTGCACCGGACACTGCGCCAGCCTGTGTCTAGATTCTAGATTCTCGACTCTACCTATAGACAACATTGAACTTACATACTTTAGTACTTACCTACTAGTAGGTAGGTAGTTGATTCACCATGACAACAGCACAGCTCTCCGTGCAGGACCAGATCAAGCAGCTAGAAGGTGCGCGCAAGCTTGTTCTGGGTAATGCTAGCTATTATACCCAGGTTATTCAAGCTACACTCCCTATTATAGGCCCCTCAGCACAAGTTGAGTTCCGACGATGGGGCGCAGAATTTCTTGCTGAAGCATTCGCGACACCTGCTATCGCACCTGGCCAGAAGGAGACTTTGTCTCTAGTAGTCCTCGAAACTCTCCGCCTGCTAGTCGAGGACCCCGACCAAGACATCTTGGTCCTGAGAAGTGTTATTCAAACTGCTGCTAGCATCTACCCACTGGCTCTAAGATGGATGTACGTTTCGCCCAGTTACTGTTGTAGACCCCCCTTCTCCTCCCCCTCGTAGACTCCTATGCGCCCATTGCCTTTACCGGTCATGCGCTACGGTTATTATTGAAACTGGATGCCTACCTGCCTATACCTCGAAATATGTTCTATAGGCTACATTACTGACGTTTGTTACTACATTAGTATAAATAACTCGTACGACACACATACATGGGAACGAATGACAGCTATCAAATCGAGAATCCTGCGCATCTGGGATACTGCACCATCGACTGTACGAATATGCTGTATCAAGTTCGTTCAACGGGTAGTGCTTGCACAGACGCAAAGTGTAAACCCAGAACCAAGGGTATGGATGAGAGGAACCTTAGGCTTGGATGTTATGTTCGGTGCTAACAATAGCTACAGCGTGGCGATGTGCTCGATATATCACTTGCTATGATCCCGCCGAACCACCCCGTTCTCGACCCCCCAAAACTCGAGGCTGAGGCAACAGCCCTCCTAGATAGAATGCTCGGGATTCTACAAGATAACAGCAGGTAAGGAAATATCGCCGAGTTTTGCGAGTGCCATGGGAATATTAGTACTAACAAGGCCACTCGTAGTGATGCTCTAGTTGTCGATGCTACCTTGAATACACTCTCTATCCTTATCCGCAACAGACCGGCTACTTCCAATAGGATTCTCAACATCGTCCTCAACTTCAATCCTCTAAAACTTGCCAACTCACCCATGACACCAAAGATAAAAGTTCTAGTCAAGTCGATGGAGAAGACAACACGAATGTTACTCATGCATCTGTCTAGGCGGTAAGGTCTTTAAATGACTATAGTTTGTCATGTCACTAATTCATCATAGTAACCCACAACACCCACTAACCGGCCGCATACAACAATACATTGAACGGCTTATGCGCTCTCGAGCTGAAATTTTCGACGAAGGGACTCGAAAGCGGGCTATGGTAGAGCAGCAAGTCAATGGCGTAGATGCTAAGCGCCAACGAACAGGACCTGTACCGTCCCATCCTCAGATTGAGATAACCCCGTTGAAGCCCGGACCTCATACGTTGGCGGATCTCTTCACGTTTACTAGCAATGATGGATTGAAGAGCTTTAATGTCAGCGAGAATGTCCCGGCACCCCTTGCCGCCAGAATCAGCGTTACCACTATATCGCGTATAGATCCCCAGTTACTAGAACGGGCTATTCAGGTATGTCCTATGGCACTTTATATTGGTTGAACAATGTCTTACATTATTATAGGGCGTTCGAGACCGCTTAGCAGTTCTACAAGAGGCTCACAAAGAACCGATCAATCCCGAGACGGCACCCCTCGATGTTGAGGAGGATGAGGACGACTACGAGCCAGACTATTATGCCGGGGAAGATACGGAACAGATCCTGAATAAGCTCGACTCTTCACTGCCAGAAGAACCACGTGAGCTGGCGAAGCCTGCCTTAGGTGGACTTGCATTGCCTACATTCCGATTACCACCGCCCCCTACACTAAACGCGGACCAGGCTGCAAAGGTCGGCCAAGGCTCGATTGCAAGAGTGTTCGGCACAATGCGAACTCTTGAAGACCCTGCCGTCAAGAAATCTAAGGCTGGCATGAACAGGCTTGCAGCTAGCTCGTACGACCGAGATTCGTGGATCACGGTGATAAGTCGACTCGCTACCCGCGCGAATGCCGGACTTGATGATATCACGGATGAAGACGATGACAGCCAGGTGACTTTTACTGGCGTTCGACTTAGTGATGTCATTCGAGAGCAATTGTTCAACTACGTCCTCGAGGACTTCCGCAAGCGTATCGAGGTAGCTGTGTCGTGGCTGAGCGAGGAGTGGTATAACGACAAGGTACAGCGGCAATCAGCGGCAGCGGCGCCGGTCCCGCGTAGCGTTCCAGCGCACTACGAGAAATGGACGCTGCGTCTTCTGGATGGATTCATCCCTTACTTGCATTCACAAGATAAAGTCTTGACACGGTTCCTTAGTGAGCTACCGGAACTCAATACTAGTATCTTTTCACGAGTAAAGACATTATGTCGAGACCCGAGCTTGGTAAATCTTGCTCTTACGACGCTGTACTACTTGGTGATAATGCGACCCCCAGTAAGGGATCTTTCACTGGATACCATCCAGGATATCTGGACGGACTACGAAGATGCGAGACCAATGGCGACAAAATACCTGCAGCGATGGCGACTTGGCTTTTTAGAAGGAGCCCAGCAAGCTCTCGCCGGGAACGTAACACCTAATGGGGCTGGTGTGGGCTCGGTAGCTACGTGATCCTACCTCCCCCTTTGTTGAGAATGATTTTGCTAGGAATGGAAGGGGAAAAAGATTATGTTATTAATACCCGGGGGGAGAAAACAACGATAGGTGAAAATATGATGCTCATGGGATCTTGCAACTGCATCTGCCGGTGGGTGAATAGGAGGGCGTTTCGGAAAATGTCAATAGGTCCAAAGGGTCAATTTAGGAGTGTAATATCGCTTGGGTGCGCACGGCATTGAGGGATGACGACTCTGGCACAGCTTGCCTGGGTGAATAATGAATTATCGGATACCCTGTGATAATGGTTATCTAGCATAGCTAGAAATATCAATACTTCGATTGTAAGCAATTTTTTAATATGGCTTTAGTTGTGTGTTGTGTGTTGTGTGTTATATGTTGTGATGTTCATGATAGTTCTCCTTTTACTATGTAATGCTACATACATGACTAGTTACAGGGTGACAAGCTACTAACTTGGGTAACATTAGCTAAGCCACAAGTGACGCGCGACCCCTAAGCTTCGACGTTCAACTTTAACGCTTAGTTAACCTTGACTGAAACTACTTAAAAAACTACCCAAAGCTGAGGGACTTGGCCCACTTAAGCCGCCCCGGATCACGGTTAGTTGCATGTCTAAAGGTTACATTAGGTTAGTTACCTCATACTACATAGTACATACATACATACCTACATACCTACTTCATCTTTTAATTATACAACATTGAAACATTGAACATCGAATATCACCCAACCGAATAGACAACCTGGAATTGAAACCTGCGAACACAAGATCGTTACCGAGTTCAACTTCTAATCGATTGACTCTGCCATTGGAATGAATTAACCTTACACTTCAGGAGGAGCAACTACATTATTATCCTCACGAACACAGCAGTCAACCCCTTAGGACGATAAGACAGGGCACACCTTCGCAATGGCACCTCGCATTGAGGCTCAGGAGATCGAGACGTACTGGAACATTTTCTCGACACGAACCAATGGCGGGAAGTTCTTGACGGGCGAGCAGGCCGCACCTTTACTAAAGAACAGTGGTCTGAATGACGATCAGCTCGAGCGCGTCTGGGATGTCGCTGACGTTGACAACGATGGAAACTTGGATTTTGAGGAGTTCTGCGTCGCCATGCGCATCATCTTCGACATAGTAAATGGTGTCAGTAGTATCCCCGTTCCTTATCCCCCTTTTATTGGGGTATGCTATGATGCGGTACTTCATACTACGAGACAAGGAACCAGAGACTAAATGGCTTGGGAAATAACAGGAATACGCTGAAGTACCCACGACACTCCCCGACTGGCTCGTCCCCGAATCCAAAGCACATCTCGTCCAAGCGACCCGCGCCATCACGGGGAAACAAGTCCAGTTCGAACAGGTTGACGACGACTCGGATACCCCGGGCTTGAAAGACGGCTTCGACTGGTACATGAATCCTCAAGATAAGGCCAAGTACGAATCTATATACCAAGAGAACCGAGACATGCGGGGGGAGATGGCCTGTGAGTTTATATGATTTTTACCTTTTTACTACCTACTTGGTACAAAAGTGATCCGAGAAAGGGGAAGAGAAGAAGGTATGTGTGCTAACGAAAGGATGAAATCAAAATAGTCAATTCACTCTCCGACCTTTATGAATCCCTCGACGTCCCCGACACCGACATCCGATCCGCCTGGAACCTCATCAACCCATCAGCCTCATCCAGCATCAACAAAGACGCCTGCCTCGCCTTCCTACACATCCTCAACGGCCGACACGAGGGTTACCGGATCCCGCGCACGGTACCAGCATCCCTGCGCTCCTCCTTCGAGCGCAACCAGATCGACTACCAAATCGACAGCGCCCGCAACAACCCAGCAGCCTCCCGCTGGGCCGCCAAGGCCGACGACTCGACGACGACAGGCCGCAAGGCCAAGTTCGGCGACCAGTACCTCACGCGCCTCGGCCGCGGCGGCTTCAAGGCCACCGGCACCGACTTCAGCAACGCCCAGAGCGACGAGCAGTGGGAGGAGGTGCGGCTCAAGAAGCAGCTCCAGGAGCTCGAGGACAAGATGGCCAAAGTCGAGGCGCAGGCCGCGCAGCGCAGCGGCGGCGGTAAGCGGGACTCGAAACCGGCGCTCGTGAAGCGGGAGCTGGAGCAGTTATTGGACTACAAGCGTCGCGAGCTCCGGGAGCTGGAGGAGGGCGCGGGCAAGGCAAAGGCGGGGAATAGTCTAAGAGGCGTCGCGGAGGATCTGCGCACGGTCAGGGAGCAGATTGATGGGCTGGATGCGCATTTGGCGGCCCGGCTGCAGGTGCTGGAGCAGTTGAGGAGGGAGGTGGAGGATGAGAAGGCTGGGAGATAGGGGGGAGAGAAAGAACGGTATGTGTTTGTGTGTTTGTTTGTTTGTGTGTCTGTGGAAATTAGGGAAGGAAGTGGAGAGAAAAGAGGGAATGTCACATCGCGCTCAAGCTTCCCATGAAGGAGGCCGTAGAAGACGCAGAAGAAGAAAGCCTCGATGTGATTACCTAGATCTTGCCTGTTCTGCTGTGTATGAAGACAGACAAGTACCTACTAGGTACGTACCTAGGTAGGCAGATGGAGGGAATGGGGATAGGTGATAGGTGATAGGGTAGGTAGGGTCGGATAGGGGAGGGCAGGGCAGGATAGGATAAGATAAGATAGCTGATGGGACCTTAAGTCTGTGATACAACAACTGTGATATAATACAAAAGTAAAGTAAAGTAAAGTACCTTACCTATCTAACCTTGAGAATTACCTAAGCAAAGTTGTCCCTAGATCACGGAAGACTTTCTAGAAAGCAGCTCCTATCTATACCAAGTAGAAGGAGGTAACTAGGTAGGTAGGGTAAGGTAGGGTAAGGAATATCATATATTTCTCTATTGCAATAAACGCTACCGTTAAGAGCCATCAACCAGAGTTATTAAACTATCAAACAATCCATCCGTCCGTCGATTCATCCATTAGGTTAGTCGAACAACATAAAAGGGGGGGGGTATCTTGGGGGATTAACATTAATTTGTTTCTCTCCCTCGCCCCTTTTGTCGTTCCGTCGAACATCATCCGCATCCGCATTCACACCATGCCATTATGGCCAGTATGCATTCCTTTCCACCACGTACCATTAAGTACCTGTTATAAGCATCGAGCGAGAGATTAGGAGAGGGAGGGAGGGAGGTGAGTTTAGAAAGCACTCCCATCAACATAGCCGGGGAGCGACTGCACGCCGAGCGTCTTGCCCTTGATGAGGTACACCATGAGGGAGAAGACCTTGACGGGGCCCATACGACCCACACCACGGCTGCGACCCGTGGCCACCATCAGGACGTCCATGGGCAGCGTCTTGACGACGGTGGGGGCCTTGCCCTTGAGGACGAGGTCGATGTTCTTGGCAATGCCGGCGGCCTGCTTGTCCGAGACCACGAAGCTGCCCCGAGGCTTCCACACGACGTCGCCCGCGGCCCAGACATCCGTGGCGTTCTTGACGGCGTAGAACTCGTCGACGTCGACGAACTTGCGGTCCGTCAGCAGGTTCGCGGGGAGGTACTCGGTGTTGGGGGCCATGCCCATGGTGGGGAGGTACAGGTCGGTGACGATCTTGTCGCCGCTCTTGAGGACGACCTCGGTCTTGCCGTCGGGGAGCTCGTGGGTGCTCTCGACGCGCGCCGATTTTTGGACTTGCACGCCCAGCTTCTTGAGCTCGCCCGCGACGTTGGAGGAGAGGGAGTCGCCGTCCAGGAGCTCGGCGGAGCCGGATAAGAGGACGACCTCCTTCTGCTTGCCGTACTCGAAGGCGAGCTCGGCGGCGGCCTCGACGCCGGTGGCGCCCGCGCCGGCGATCACGATGTGCTTCGCTGTCTTGACCTTGTCCTGGATGTTGGCGATGACGGCCGAGACCTCCTCATACGTGCCGTTGCTCTTCCAGGGCACCGAGTTGTCGACGGCGCGGGTGCCCGTCGCCAGGACGAGGTGGTCGTAGCTTAACACGCGCTCGCCGCCATCGTTTGTCGTCGATATCTTGACTGTCTTCGCAGTGACGTCGACATCCTCCGCGCTGCCGACGATGAACTCGAAAGAGTCTGCCGGGTACTTGGCGAAGCCCTTCTCGATGGGCTGGCTGTACTGCTCCTCGCTGAGCACGCCCGGGACGATCGCACGTACTGAAGCTAAGTTCCAGAAAAAGTGACTATTCTGTAGAAAGAGTGGTGGGTTAGTTTCACATGTCTTGCCGATTTATACCCGTTTGGGACAAATCTTGATTCTCAGCTCGCAGCTGAAACCATGTGGGTATATATTGTTGTGCGCATGTCTGCATGCTACCACAAGGTAGGATCTGAATCACGTGTTTCATCTTTTTCATGATCCTCCAATGTGATATTGTACATATACTACCGTATTGGGGAATATTGATTGTCTTTTCTTACCTTGGAAACGAGAATAACTTTGAGGTCCTTGACTTGAGGTTTTGTGTATTTTAGGAGTCTGTGTGCGACGCCGACGCCTGCGTAGGCACCACCGAGAACTACGATTGTCTTCGTCATGGTTGCTGGCGAAGTCCGGTTGTTGGTATTCAAAGAGTTTTGTTGTATACCGACGCTAAGGTAAGAATCAGACTTTCGATTCTCCCTTAAGTAGATAGGTAGGTACTAGACAAGTAAGTAACCGGTTAGGTAGATGGGTTGAATGTATCGTATATTTTCAATCCTAAAAAAAATAATAAAATAGAATGCTTGATACTTTCAAGATGAACAAGTAAACACGGAAGAGACAACTTTGAACTTTGTGGTTTTATATGTAAGTGAATCCTCCTTGCTTCCGTACTCCTTGTTACAACAGGGAGGAACGGACCCTGACCAGATATACTTCGAGTCCCTATTTTTTTGGGCGTTTCTCAAACGGAGACCCCACTGACGCCGGGTCCAAGAGCCAAGTAACTCGAGACTCGGGGATCTGGGTCAACTGTAGAGGCCTGGAGTTACGGGGGCTTAGACCTTCATTAGGCTCGGTAGATGATATCTCCGAGCACTAGATTCCGAGCCAACGGTCCTTCAAAGGAAGCTATCCGCGGATAGGTAGGCACCTACCTAGAGTAAGTAAGAGAATCAAGACAAATGATTGCTAAGAACAGACATCGTTTATCATGTGATTCGATACTTGCTGACACAATTAACAAAACAACTTGCTTGTTGCTGTCCTGCTTAATTTGTCAGAACTTGGGGAAACGTGGACCTCTAGCGAAGGTTCCACGACAATCAATCCCATGCCATTGCATAGTAAGGCACCTAAGGTTAGTAGTGAGGTGTGTCACATTTAGGAGACTCGATGGCCATTGATTACCTAGTAAAGGTACCTATAGGAAGATATCCATGTGCTGTCCGGCGGTCGTCCGAACGGTTTCCCCAAATGTGCATTATTTAATCAAGCGTGGTCCAGCCTAGTCTAGAGCAGACAAGCAGACAAGCAGACAAGTTGACTGACTAAACAACAAAGATTCGTTAGTATTTAAGATGAATAATCTGACCAATCGAATGACTAATGTCACGAGAAGCTCATTGCCAGACACAAATGCCAGGCACTAACCTAGGAACCTACCAAAGTAGGTAGGTGGCTGGGTGGTTAGTCGTAGTACATCAGTACGCCGCATAGTATCATGTATGTAGTATAAAAGGATTCCTATGTTAATAACATTGGAACGCATTACCTACCCTTGCCCCTTATGTCCTGCCCCTTACACTACCTACCCTAGAATCCGATATTAGCGATTGGCTGCTAGCGTCGGTATTTCATGTGCATAACTGGCCAGGTCGGACTCGGCCCCGAGAGGAAGGCTTGAAGATAATTACCCAAGTTTGGTTGCAAAAAGATCAGACAAGCTGACCTATAAGACACACGTCACATCTATATATATCTCGGACTTCTATAGGTAAGTATCGGCATAACTAATAAAATCAGAAAATGAAGTGACAGATGATGCTTATCTTTTTCTCAGCTGTGATATTCAAAACGCCGACACCCGACATCTATATAGACCCGGGTGACTCGGAGGACGGTATATATTTACACCGGCCTTCATAGGCTTCACAAACACATCCCTTAAATGCTTCCTTCCGAGGACATAATGTTCCTGTTACACCTAGGTAATGGTGCTACTATGTAGCGGGTCCTTAATAGTAATATAACCAATCATGGGATGTAAAAGGTGATAGATAAAATCACCCCGCGCGCTCAACGAACGCATGACGACGAATTACCCCGCCAAACCTTGAATTCGTCTCAACACCTGCCTTACCTCTAGTTAGCTACACCTCCAGCTACCTCTCTCTAGTTTGATTAATCTTGACAATTACAACAACTGTAATAACTACAAACAAATACGACATTAATTTGGAAATTTCTGCACTTTCCCTCTAAACTAGGTAGGTAGCCATTTCTCAAACATCATTTGGTCTTTACACAAACGAAGAATAAAGATATTTCATAAACTAATACAAGAACGAGTTAGATATCAGAACAGAAAAGAAAAGTCAAGATGGTCGCTATCAGCCCTGCTTTCACTCAAGCCCAGGAGGACTCCAAGAAGCTTACCTCCAAGCCTACCACCGACGATCTTCTCGAGCTTTATGGTACTTACTCCGTCCTCCTTCCTCCTTCTCCACTCCCCTGCCGTATAAGCGAATCATCTCCGTGTGGTGTGGTGTGGTGGTTGCTATCAACCCTATCAAGCTCAACACGAAAGTTACACATATGAACAAGAAAGCTAACAATGATCTAGCCCTATTCAAGGTCGGCAACGATGAGGATTTCAGCAAGGCTGAGAAGCCCGGCATGTTTGACTTGAAGGTATGCAAATCAGGCTCCTACCATAACCCAACGCTATGCATATCCAATGTGCATAACAGCATCGGTACAACTAAGTGAACTCGAACTAACCTGCGCCCTTCACATAGTCCAAGTACAAGTACCAAGCCTGGGAAAAGGTCATCAACGAGGGAATCAGCCCCGAGGAGGCCCAGCAGCGCTACGTCAAGAAGGTCGAGGAGCTGAAGGAGACGTTCGGCTTCGACGCCAACAAGGTCCCCGAGGCTGTCAAGAGCTCTTAAACTCGCTCCCTTAACCCACCCCTGCCATATCAGCCATATACGCGGCGCCGGCAAATCATCTCTCATCAAAAACCTGTTTGGCTCCTTTTAGGTGGTGCCTTGGGGCTTTCTAATCGAATAGACTTGTTTCCCCCCTCCCTAGCGATAGCCAGCGAAAGAGGAGAGATCATTTTCAAGTTAACCAGCCAGCTTACTTACAACACTTGAAAGAAAGTTAGTTGGGAAGCATGCTCGTGCGTTGATATCTATGAGCGACGTAACGCTGCGGGCGAGTTTATAGCAAGTGATAGATTAATTGATAGATCCACTTGAACCTGACTTTGGCCGAGATTGAGAATGGCTTTGGATGTGTGCTATATGCTACGTAGACGTTGAGTTGGGACGACAGTAGTAAATACCTGGGTAGGTACGCAGCAGTACTTGGATATATTAGTTCTGCCAGGCCGATGAGTCGGTACCTCCTGGCACTAATCATCCTCCGATATGCGATGTTTACTACCTAAATAGGTCAGTATACACCCAAGCCCTTCAGACTATAATCGCCATCCACAAGGGCAATAACCCAATTTTAAGCTTGCCAGGCCTACCCTAAGTACCTCGTTCTAGTAACCCCCCCAAACCTGTCCCAGGCAGTCAGGCTCGGTATAACTCGCGGTCGCCACCCACGGGCCCTCGGTGTCTGCGTACTTCTGCAGGGGGAGGCTATACGGGACCCTAATCCCGACGAGGGTTCGACGACGACTACTACTACTACTACCTGGAGCACGATCGACCCCCTTCTCTCCGTCGTCGTCCTCATCCTCCTTCGCCTCGGGGACGTCGGTGCCAAAGACAGCGACCATGCCCGCACTGTCGCCGTCACCGAACAGTGCAGGCCAGAGCAAGACGCCGACCTCCCACGACGCGATGCGCAGCTGTCCGGCGCCGTTGGGGGCCTCGCCCCACGCTTGCCTCGACATGTTGGCCGAGGTGAGGAGGGCCCAGTCGATCGATTGCTTGGGGCTTGAGATGTTGGAGGTGGAGGAGGAGGAGGAGGAGGTGTGGTACCGGATGTAGGTCTTGATGTGGGGCGCGGCGCGGTTGCGGCCGCTGTTGTGGGGTGGGCCTTCTTCGACTGTTGTGGTAGAGAAGGGGATACGGTTAGTTATTTTCTTTTGGGTTCTTTATCAGGGGAAAAGAGGAAAAGGGGGAGATGGGTGGGTGGGTGTGGTAGGTACTTACGCGTTCCCATCTCGCAGTCGTTCGCCCAGTGTTGTAAAAGGGGCTTCATGTACTGAAGCTGCTTTGCCTGCGCTGCTGACTGTGTCTTCATGTGTATCGAGCCGCCGGATCCGTAGCCGTCCAAGGATCGCCGTATCTCATCCGGCGTGGGGAATACGACTTTGAATTCAGGCTTCGATGTGTTTTCCTTCGTTGACGATGATGAGGATGATGATAACGCAGTGAATAATGTGCGTTTAAGCCAGGTATCGGTCCCGCCCAGGGTCGCGATAGAGGATATTTGGACGGCGACCTCCGACTTCCCTGGCTGGACTGGGATGGAGCGAAGGGCATTCTTGATGCCGGACCATCCCCAGTGTGTCTTGTCAGGGTCGTCGTCGTATAGTTCATGTTTCCCGGGTATGCTGGCGACAAGAGCGCCGACTACGGCAGAGAAGTCATATTTCTCAAGCTCCTTGATCATGGGCTTGCAGATTGTTCGTCTGGTGTCGTAAGCCCATAGATAGTTCAGCAGGTCAGCTTTGAACCTCGGTCCGCTACCGAGCTTCATGTCTGTCACCACATCGGGGCTTCTTTCTTGACTCTTCAGAAGAGGAAGTCGAGGTGTCTGCCATACGCCATTGGTCATGTTTGTCCAGTCCTTAGAGATCATGTTGGCTGTGTGTATGATGACCTGGGCGGTGTCATCATGCCGGAATAGTATGAGCATCTTGGAGTGATGTGTGCCGAACATTTCGGGCATGAACGCCGAATGCAGAGTAACATTGCCATACAGGGAAGATTGTTGCTGGGCCGAGCATCAGCATTGGTACCTATGTTTCATTGGGATATGACTCAAAGCAATGTAACGAAGAAGTTTTCCATTTCTATTCCAAGCATATCACACATAGCTATCAAGACATACAGGGTACAGTTACCAATTCACAGCTTTAATATAAGCGTCCAGATACACAGATCTACTAAGAGCCGTAGGACCAGGCATACAGCGCTTGTCTTGGTTTACTCAATATCTGGCAACATTCATTGTACTCCTTCGATGTGACGAAAATTACACAAAACCAAGCGTGATTATGTGGCACAGAGATGATGGGGGTTCTGGATCAAAAGCAGAAAGCAAGTCAAGTAGAGAAGAAAATACTAGATGCCTTACCTCTAACAATAATCTATTAGAATCTTCTCTCTTCCAAAAGCCGTGGATGATATGAACTTTAACAAGAGATCGCGTATCCTCGTCAAAGTGTCTCATGAGGAAGTCGACATCGTGTAAGTAGTTGAACTCCCAGCACTCGGCGATAAGTGGATCCCCGAGGAGGTCGTGAAGTGACACGGCGCCGGCGTTAGACTCCTCGGGCAGATCCCTGATGGTTGTGAGTTGAATGGGTGAGGGTATAATAATAGGCTTGTGCTCGTGGGGCCTTCTTCGCCCAGGAGGGCTGATCGGATTTGAGAGTGACGCCAGTGTCTTACGGGGTTTTTTCATAGTGTGGTCCTCGTTGGTGTCCTCATTGGTGCTATCTTCACTGCTGGTACTACTCAGACGGCGGCGTTTTGAAGGAGGTTCCGCCATGTTTGAGACATAGGGTCTGTAAGTAGTGTGGGCATGCAATTGCAGACAAGTTTGAGGCCTGAAGGCCTGTAGAGGTAATACTCCACGGACGATATATTGCGTGCAATTGGGGACAAATATATGCATTAACCCGGTGTTTTGGATTTGGATACTAAAGAATTGTATGCATCTTCAAGCTTAATCATAAGCCAAGTTCCCAAATCTGCATGGGCTGACGCGGATGATTAATCTGGTGTGTTGATATTTCGTGGCCAGTGTCGTGATGGTGCAGCTTGGCATCTGATAGATCGTCAGAATTTATAGACTGCTTTCGCTGTTTTTGGGGATGCGCATAACACAATGGATCCCAAGTTGCACTGCATTGGGAAAATACGAAGACGCTGAATGATACGAAGAATGATCAAGTTAAGTCAAATTCCAACTTGAATATTGGAATCTAAAGTTGGCATTACAAAGCCACATTTTGTCTTCAATGCCTTGAGTTTGTGGCTCACGCAAGACTCAGCTACATCATTGATCATTCAAGCTAGGACTACATAATTAACCGTTGACCTAGGTTAGGCAATTGCTATCGTTGATTGATACACTAGGCAGCTGTAAGGGGTTCAAACTTCAAATGATGTTGAATGTTGTGGAGGAATATGATAGGACCCATTTATTGCTTTTGGTTAAGGAAAATGGCTTGCTTTCATTGGCTTGTTCAAGATAACCTAGGAGGCTAGGAGTACTTACATATGTACTAAATTCTTACGTACCCCGTACAGTCTATCCAACCGTCATAAACATACAAAACGGCACTGTATAATGTAGTGCACTGTCCTTTTTTCTTCAAGTTCAAACGGTTAAAAAAAGGGAAAATTGTTAGAGTGTAAGGGCGAATAAGTCCCATTTTTCGCATCCTTTCCTGACCTACGTGCCATTTTATTATCCTAAACGTTACAAGTGATACATAACTACATAACTACACATACAATTTCCATAGTACAGATACTCTATTACCAAATCTTGAGCCTCTTTGAATTTCTTCCTTTTTTTCATTTTTTACCACACTTTTTGCTCTGGATTGGGCTTCTTAATTGTGCCGACGTAATACATTATACGTCTGCTTCTTTTTTCTACTCGTTGTTTTCCGCCTCCTATTTTTATTTACATACATATATCTCTTCTTCCATTGAACATATTCCGAATGCAATACAGCCGGTGACGCGACTCGGCTTCGCCCCCTTTCTCCAAATTACGTTGGAAAAGGTTCTTGCTAGTCTCTTTCACTCACAATAACCCTTCTGTCTGAAGTCGCACGCTTGGTCAAAAAGTCAATCGATTACTCGACTACGACTACCTACATTTATTTGACTGGCATTGCTCATTTACTCTTGGTCCCACGATCGAATCCGTGCCGAGATACTATTGGTCATATAATCATCAACACGTTCGTTATTCGTCTGCGACAACAAATCGCAATCTGCCCGCCATGAGGCTCGCCTCTCTTGCGCTGTTTCTCAGCGCCGCCGTTCTTGGGAGCGCGCAAGCTGTTGGTTCCGAAACATATGATAACCCTGACCGAGAAAATACATACTTTAATAACAAGAGAGTCCCCCCAATATTGGAATTAACCGCCGACAACTTCGAGAAGGAGGTTAAGCTCACCAAATTCCTTGTCGTCAAATATTATAGGTATGTTATTGCCTGCCTAATATTTAATACCTAAATCATCTACGTGCTATTATAAATCTATCCCTTCGCACACCTGTTTTTCTGACAGCTAGCTACAATAGTCCGTACTGTCCTCATTGTATAGATTTTGCTCCCACCTACCAAACGTTGTACGAATATTACTACACCTCCAATGCGCCGACCGATAAAGAGTCCACGGGCTTGACCCCGTCCTTCGCCAAATATTATGATATCAGATTTGCCCAGCTTAACTGTATCGCCTATGGCGATCTTTGCACCAAGCATGATATCATGTCGTATCCCTCCACCTTGCTCTACAAGGATGGCGTCGTTGCCGACTCTGTTCAGGGTGGTAAGAAGATGAGTGTTCTCTCGGAAATGATCGAGGGTGCTCTGGAAAAAGAGAAGCCCGGTACTCGCCCCACTAAAGTCATGCTCCCCGAACCTGGCGCGACTACCTTGCCAGATCCAGCTTCCGATGCAGAAGTTGTTGAAAAAGGCCAGAAGTCTCCGAAGGAGGGTGGAAAGGACGACGCTACCCCCGCTAAGAAAACGCAGCAAGAAGTTGAGAAATCGAAGCCAGCGAAGCCTGTCAAGACTCCCAATGAGCAAGGTATCTCGGTCTCGTTGACAGCTGAAAGCTTCCAGACCCTGGTTACCATGACCCAAGAGCCGTGGTTTATTAAATTCTACGCCCCCTGGTGCCATCATTGCCAGGCCATGGCTTCCAACTGGCAGCAATTGGCTAAGGAGATGAAGGGCAAGCTCAATGTCGGCGAGGTCAACTGTGATGCAGAGTCTAGGCTTTGCAAAGATGCTCATCTTCGGGGCTACCCCACTGTCCTTTTCTTCAAGGGAGGCGAGCGTGTTGAATACAATGGCCTACGTGGTCTTGGTGATTTCATACAGTACGCCGAGAAGGCCCTCGACATCTGTGGTGGTATCCAAGATGTAGATGCTGCGTCTTTCAGTGCCCTCGAAGAGAAGGAAGATGTCCTCTTTGTCTACTTCTACGATCATGCGACTTCAAGCGAGGACTTTATGGCCCTGGAGAGACTACCCCTCAGTCTCATTGGACATGCTAAGCTGGTCAAAACGAATGACCCTAAGCTCTCCGAGAGATTCAAGATTACAACTTGGCCTAGACTACTCGTGTCCCGAGAAGGCAGACCTACATACTATACACCTCTGACACCCCGAGAGATGCGCGATACGCATCTAGTCCTGGGCTGGATGAGATCTGTGTGGCTACCCATTGTCCCCGAGCTCACTGCCTCGAATGCACGCGAAATCATGGATGGCAAGATTGTTGTACTCGGCATTCTCAACAGGGAGGACCAGGAGACGTTCATCAGCGCAAAGCGCGAAATGAAGCGCGCTGCCAATGAGTGGATGGATAAGCAAATCCAATTATTCCAGCTTGAACGACAAAATCTCCGAGATGCCAAACAGCTTCGTCTTGAGGAGGCGGAGGATCGCAATGATCAGCGCGCTCTGCGGGCTGCCAAAAGCATACGCATCAGTATGGACATGTCTGACCGTAAGGAGGTTACTTTTGCCTGGGTCGATGGCGTCTTCTGGCAGAGGTGGATTCGTACCACTTACGGTATTGATATTAAGGACGGTGAAAGGGTTATCATTAACGACGAAGATGTAAGTCTAGAGACACACTAACACCATTGAGTTGCATTCGACTAACACAAGCTTAGAACCGACGTTATTGGGACATGACTATCACAGGCAGCCCCATCGTTCCTTCGCGAGTATCGATCCTAGAGACCATCTCGAAGGTCACCGCCTCTCCTCCCTTGATCAAGCCTAAGCTCACGATTTCGAGTTTTGAGAAGATATTCTTCGACATACGAGTCACTTTCTCCGAGCATCCTTATCTGTCTTTTGGCTGTGTGGCCGGCATTGCGTTAGGTTGCGCGTCATGGTTCCGAGGACGTATCCGGAGAAATAATTTCCGCCTAGACGAGAATCTCCCTATCAAGGAAATCAAGGAGGGTCTCCTTGGTAGCACCGCTAATGGAAAGAAGGACTGAAGAGGAAATATTTATCAAGCAAAGAAAGAAATAAAGACGTAAAGCATTGGCATTGGGGAAGTGATGGTTTACTGGGATTGATATCATCCGGCGGGAGTTTCTGTATAATACTCTTGTGTGTTCCTTCCGCTTTGCACATGCCTACCCATACATTTGTCCACTGTCGTCTTCTTTTTTAGATTCCGTGTCTTGGTTACGGACACGTTTTATATCAGCACAGCACACAAGAAAGCCACGACATGGTAATGTCATGGCCCGGCACGAAATTTAGGGGAATCATGGAAATGAAATGGAAGGGAGGACACAAAGGGAAGGGGAGGGTTTTCGTCGGGGGAAGGGCAAGAAGAGTATTATAATGGATATATACTGAACTGGGCCCTTTCCTCTCACGTGCCCGTAAGGGGAGTAGAGTATCGTCATAATAATATCCTCTTTACTACGATGTTATGTTAAATTATTGTTATGTTGCTCTGTGCCGCTTTTTGCTCTCCTCCCCTACATACCTAGGTGTCTACTTGGCTGTGATTTTCATGTGCCAGGTACCTAAGCTACGCACGTTTTAGATACCTGGGTTAGTAGGTATATGAGATACGATGGCTTTGGGGTTGGTGGTTTTCTTTAGGGGTCTTGTTTCCCCTCAACAGATTCTTTGATAGGTACCTATATTATTCCTGCTACTTGGGTTGGAATTGGTAGGTAGGTAGGTACTTAGGTAATCTGAATCTGGATCTGAATCTGATAAATAAGTTCGAGTAGAAGCCTACGAATAGGTGTGTGTATTATGTATGTATGTAGGTAGGTACTGAGTAAATAGATGCCTAGGTACCTACCTACCTACCTACCTACATAATCCAGGTAAAACTACATGGTAGGTATTGGTGATTTCATTGGCGCCGATTCAAAGAATCCAGCTGGCTATACGATTGGACTTGGGGACACTGAGACGTGAAAGGGGCTAGATGAGTGAGTTATTTACGAACGACGACGGCATGGATTCGAAATTCGGAAACAACAAAGAATTAGGTAGGGAGGCTAGGTAGTTTATAAAGTCAACGTGATTCATCATTTAGTCTATGGGGGCTACCGACTACTATGTAGCTAGCAGCATCCAACACCATGGCTCATAAAAACGGCTATCCATCCTAGGTAGGCTAGGTACAGCAGCATTCCTTTCCCGATGTTTAGGTACTTAACCTACCACTTAGGTGTAGATCTCGTCAGTGAAAGTATTGAAGCTAAGCCCCTCCTTAGCGAGGTCCTCGACCTCGATCAAGAACTCGAGCGGCATCTCAACAAGCGTGCCGCGGATGCGGCTGAGCCAGTCCTTGACCTCCACAACGCCATCGGGGAACTCCTCGCGCACGACGTGTCCGTAGTCGACCTTGCCCTCGCTCCTCTGTTTTTCTTCTTCCTCCAAGGCCTTCTCCTTGTCCTTCTCCTTGTCCTCGTCGCTGCTGGGCATGATGAAGTAGCGGGTGAAGAAGTCCTCGTACTGCTCCCAGGTGCGGACGCGGTCGTTGGGGACGGGGTGGAAGACCTTGGTGAAGACGTCGGTGTTGGTGCGCGCGGTCTCGGTCCAGAGGCGCCAGAACTCCTCGCTCATGGGGTCCTCGACGAGCCGGTCCGAGGCCGAGCCCCAGTCGTAGTCCTGCGGGTCGCGGTCGACGGGCGTCCAGTTGGCGTTGGGCTGGTCGCAGGGCTGGTCGGGCAGGAGCCCGAGGTGCTTGCGCCAGAGCTGGCGGCGGAGGGAGGTGGCGAAGCGAGAGGCAGAGTAGGATTGTCCGTTCATGCAGCTCTCGACGGTGGTTGGGTCCTCGATCACCACGGCGATTTCGGAGTCGTGCGTGCCAAGCTGGCTGCGGTCGTTCAGGTTCGCCGAGCCGCAGATCACGAGACGGTCGTCTGCGATCAGCACCTTGCTGTGGATGTACAGCTCCTCCGATACGAAGGCGTCAAACTCCGCTTCGGGGCTCCCGTTCCATGGCACGTCGCGGATATCTGTCCCGCCTTCCATGTAGCAGCTCGACACCGTATCCCACGTGGTATCTGAGACCTTGGACGCTGCGGCTTGGTACCGCTCGTAGTTCCTGCCGAGGCCGGTGTAGTGGCTATCGTCTCGGCCGGAGTCACCGTATCCATCGTTCCTTCTTTCGTAATCATCGTATTCGCCTTCCTCTCTGCGCTCGCTGTAAGGGTATCCGCCGACCCTCTCGTCGTGGTCCTGTCGGGCATCCTCGTAGGACACGCCGCTGTCGTTCTCTACTTGGCGCTGGGTCGAGGAGGTGTTGATACGATCGTAGCTACGCAAGTTGTAGAAGCCAATGTAGCGACGCCAGTCATCCACGCCTTGCTGCTGCAGAGCCTCGATAATGCTGTGACCGCCACGGTTGATACTGTTGTACTGGAACTCCATGATGGCACGAGTTCCGAGGGCGCCCTCAGAGTGCAGGTCGCCAGCGAAGGCGGGGACGGCAGGCATGAGGACAATGACGCGGAAGTCCTCGTTATTATTGTGGGCGCGGACAATGCGCGACACGATGGTGGCACCGATCTTGTTCTCCACCGGCTTCTGTTCGTCCGAGGTTGCGGTGATGAAGAACTATGACTTGTTAGATGCACATATTCTTGTATAGACCTAGGCTCCCCTTTTCTCCAAAGTCAAGAACTTACCTGGTTTTCAATATACACGAAATGCTGAGCATTCTCGATTGCATTTATATACGCATTAGCAATCGAGTGCTCCGTAGGATGGCCACCAGACCATTCGCAGCAGCTTTAGTTAGGTTGTTAGCATGATGGGTTGAAAATGGTTATGTTACGATATGTTACTCACCTTCGGCAGAGCTGAATTTTCACATCACCAGAACCGTCATAGTTGTTACGTTCTGGGTCACGAACTCCTCGATCTTCGTCATCACCTCCACCAACAAGGTGTCTCAAACCGCGATTAAATTGACCCTGGAAATCGTCTAGGAAGCCATGGTGCTCTTCTTCTTCTTCTCCACGGGGGCGTTGGGCAGGGCCACCGAAGCCAATCTTTTCGTACTTGCCGGCATCTCTCTTGGTATATTTCTCATTGAAGATAAAATTCCTAAGAAATGGTTAGGAATTACCCAGGTAGTCTAAGATGTGCTAAAGGAACATACCATCGATCTGTGAAGTGATCGACAAGACTGCCGACGATTTGCCCCTTTAGGGAAATGGCAATATCAGACCAGCCCATTCGCGAGCTCTTGGTTCGATCGACTATTTTGGTGTAAGATATTTACTCGAGTGAATAAGATCAGGCCACTTACGTTTGTTGTGGTCCCAGTTGTTGACGCCCTCAAAATCGTAGACTCGGGCATTGTTGAAATCCTGACCGGGGAATACGATAGCATCCAGATTTCCGGGATGAGCATCGGCGATAGGGTGACCTATGATTATTTAGTATGGGTGGATGCTTTCAAGGAGACCTTTATCGTGCTGAGCTTACTGTTTGTGTCATATCTTCCAAAGCCTAGTTACTTCTTATTAGTAAAGGTAACTGGTTGAGGTGTTCGGGGGTTAGTTATGTAACATACACATATCGAGACCGCCCATAAAAGCAATTCGTCGATCAACAACACAGAGCTTCTCGTGGTGAGCCCAGTACAAGACCGTGTCACCGAACGAACCATATAGCTCCTTTAATGCATCCCCTGAAGTCTTGGCGAGGTTGAAGTCGTTCAGGCGGAGTGTGTCTAAGGATAAACCGGCAAAGGCATTCTCCAGCTTCTGTCGATCCGTTGGCAGATGATCTGGGTGCCTGAATACTTTGATATTCGTATGCAAAGCCTCGAGGGCATGCTTGGTGTGCTGATGGAGCGGATTAGTCACATTGGTGGTCATAGGGTGTCTAGAACCTTCTTACCGCAGAATCCACTGAGCAAGACGGAGCAAGTTAGTTGATATTATCATAGTAATAGGTGAAAAGGATTGGGCCATACAGGTCAAGGCTTGAGTAACCTCCTTGTACACGATGATGCGGATTTCAACACCTCTCTCGGCAGCCGCTCGTAGCATGTTGTCAAGACGGTACTGCTCATTGCGCGAAGGGGGTCGACGGAGATAGAGCTCCGGTGTCAACCACCAATCCAGGATATAGACACTTTCCTTAGCCTCTATTTATCAAATTAGTCAAACTAGCCAGATATATATTAGGGTAGGTAAAGGCCAGTTCTTGTAGAATGGCGTACCTTCAAGTGCTAGAGACACAGCATAAAAGTAGGATGCTCCATCGACATACCACTTGGCAGCGCCAGATGTCTCAGGCGCAAAGGATTGGAAGCGGTATTTCGTGGTACTTATTTGCTGCTGGTCAACGCGGCCACCGTCATTATCGTGAGGTGGTTCCTGTTCCTGTTCCTGTTGCTGCTCCTGTTCCTGTTTGTGTTCACCTGTCAAGGCTTCTTTAACATCATGTAGGGCATCTTCCGCCTTACGGAAGAAGTCCATATTGGGGACGATGAGGGTGTTGGATACCCGAAACTAGTAGATGAGAAGAATCAAAAGTATTGAATGTGAATCTATGTAAAGAATATATCTACCCAGCACTAATTAACTAGGTAAATATGAGCAATGGGATTTTAAAGATAAGAAAAGAGGTGGTCAAGTTTTATTCCAAGTTTTAAATACTTCCAAGGTACCAACTAGGTAAGGTGGTAAGGTGGAAAGGGAGTAAGTAGGTAAGTGTTGAAATAAAGCATCAACTAACATGTAGGTAGCTAAGGCATTCAAAAGAAGTTCTACATAGGACCGGATTAAACGGCCATACTCACATGTGCAGGGTTGAATCACGGTTTCTTATGAGGGGTGACAAGTTTCCTCATGTGGGACTCAGGACGGTATTCAAGCTGAATGCTTGGCTTGCATCAGCAGCCACCTATAAAGGGGATTTAGTTGCAAGAAAGTACATAGTTAGTACTATATTAGTATATGTAAAGGTAAGATGTTGATGGGAATAACCAATGATGATGGATTTGAGTGAAGTAACAACTTACTAACAAGTCCGTAAGGTACCGGGATCCTAAGTAGTGCTATGTACGACAATGCCCCTCCCCCTCCACTAGCATTTGGTCCATGAATATTGGACACAACCTTTTATGCACTGTACAAAATTGGGGAGAATACAAGGAAATCAGCGATTGGTGTTTGGCTGTGACGTGAGAAGTGGAGCACGTTTCAAGGAGTAACTTGACCAACTACAACGTAGCACACTGTCGCGTGACACTGTATTACCTACAATTGCACATGTGTGCTGTATCAAAGGCGGTGAATCCCCCACCGCCTTCAATTGTCCGGACAAATTCATGATCCACTAAAATTTTCAATTGTCCCACTAGCGCAAAACTCCAATATGGTTTCAATCTCATTGCGACAACAGCTACACCATAATTAACTGTTAGCCGACATAATTCAAAATGCCGAAGAAACAAATGAAGAAGCAGGATGCCTCGTCGGCTGCTGCTGCGGGCGATTCACGATTCGCCAATTTCGAGTCCGATCCACGCTTTCTCCTTCCATCTAAAAATCGCACCAAAACCACAATCGACAAACGTTTCTCTCGCATGCTCAAAGATGATGATTTCATCGCCAGTGCTAAAGTCGACAAGTACGGTCGGAAGTTAAAATCAGATAACAAGAAGAAGGCCCTGCAAAATATTTACAAAGCAGAAGACGAGGACGAAGATGAAGACGACGAAGACGCCAAAGTAGACAAAGATCATATCGTCGAACGGGAGCTTCGAAAAGCCAATACCAAATATGATCCGGCTCGTGGTGGTGGATTTTCCTCTTCTGAGTCAGAAGAAGACTCTAATCTCGAGGACGAGGAAGACGAAGATGACAAGGAAGCCGAGGTAAATACATCTTCGAGCATGCAAAGACTTCGCGATGCTCAAGCAGATGTGGAAACGGGCGAGGTTACGAAGCGCATAGCTATTGTCAACCTCGATTGGGACTACATCAAATCGGCAGACTTGATGGCACTTTTCACCAGTTTCGTACCTAAGGGCGGACGCATCGAGCGAGTCTCTATATACCCAAGCGAATTTGGCAAGTCACGAATGCAACAGGAAGAACTGGAAGGGCCCCCCAAAGAAATCTTCAAGAAAACTTCGGATTCGCAGGATGATGAATCTGATCCCGATTCTGAAGATGATGACGAGGACAAGGACGATGATGACGATGACGATGAGAAAATCAAAAACGAAATCCTACAAGAGGGGAATGATCAAGATTTTGACAGCGATGCGCTTCGAGCTTATCAGCTGGACAGATTAAGGTATTATTATGCTGTCATGGTATGCTCTGATACAGCCACATCAGAAAAGATCTACCAGGCCACCGATGGCACAGAATACCAATCCTCTTCGAATTTCATGGACCTACGATTCATACCCGATGATGTTACTTTTGACGACGAGCCGAGAGATGAGTGTGATTCTATATCATCAGATTACAAGCCAACCGAATTCACCACCGACGCTCTACAACACTCCAAGGTCAAACTCACGTGGGACATTCATCCTGAAGAAACATCTAGACAGGAAGATATAAAACGAGCCTTTAGTGGTAGCCGCGCAGAATTAGAAGAGAATGACCTGCGAGCATATCTAGCAAGTGACAGCGACGGCAACGACGACGAAGTCCAAGAGGAAGAAGAAGAGGAAGTTGCCGGAGTAGCAGATGACCAGCCGAAATTGACGAAGAAGGAATTGAAAGCTAAAAAGCTCCGTGAGGCTCTTGGTTTGGGTTCCGAACCAGCAGCTCGACCCTCAAAATCTAGACCGGTTGGAGATATGCAAATCACTTTCTCGGCCGCATTGATGGATGATGGCAAGAAGAAGAAGGAGCCAGAGGCTGAAGAGACTACGTTAGAAAAGTATAAGCGAAAGGAACGAGAGAGAAAAGCTCAGAGGAAGGAGAAGGCGCTGGCCAAACGCGGTGAACCCACTGAGGAAGTGGATGACCGCGGGTCCGCGGAGTCTGGAAACGATGATCTTGGATTCGACGACCCTTTCTTTACTACCGATGAACCTGTGAAGAAATCTAAGCATTCGGAAAAGAAGGAGGAGCGGCGCAAGCGGCGAGAGGCCAAGGAGGCCAAAGAAGTTGAGGATGCGGCACAAAAAGCCCAACTACAGAAACTTATGGCAGATGACTCCAAGGAAGCTGTTGAGCATCTTGATCACTTCGATATGAATGAGATCACTCGCGCAGAAAAGCTGAAATCCAAGATGCATAAGAAGAAAAAGGGGAAGAAGGAATTGGCCGACCACGGTGGCCTGCAGCAAGACTTCGAGATGGATGTTGAGGATAATCGTTTCAAGGCCGTATTCGAGAGTCATGAGTTCGCTATTGACCCCTCGAATCCGAGGTTTAAAGCTACCCCGGGAATGAAGCAGCTGATGGAAGAGAGGCGGAAAAAGAGGAAAAACGAACCTGGTGAACCTGATGGCCAGGAACGACAAAGTAGTAGCAAGTCTAAGAAGCAGAGGAGATAGGATTGTATTACACTGGATACCATAATGTAGACTCGTCTGTTGGGGTCCTTCACCACCGGTTAATAATAAAACTTGAACTGCACTCGGAAGGTATCCGATAATGGCATGTCTGTGAAAGACTAAACGAACTAAACTAGATCTTAAGTCTGGCAAGGGACAATAGGAGCAACTAATAGCGGCCGAGTACCTAGTCATGCTCGATATATTAAGTTGGCTACGACCTCACCCAGGTCAGACTGCTGAAACTTCACATACCTAGTACATATGAGGTAGACTACTCTAATAGGTACCTAGGTTAGCTTAAAATGTTGTTGTATTCCCTACTTGAGGCTTATATTCACAAGATATTCAGATGATACTCCAAGTCGCTTTCTTGACTTTCTCTGGATTGCAATTTTGATTACCCAGGTGCCTATTCGCTGATCTCAGAAAAAGTTGACGATTTCTAAGTTCCATCACCACCTCCATGAAACCCGCTTCATCACGATTTTGCCCTTAGCCCTATCCATCCGGCGATGTCAACCACGCACTAAAAAACCAACCCAAACCTTTCCTCGATCAAACATACTCCCACGCATCGCCCTCATCCGTGTACGTCCGCATGCCGCTGTACAGGCAGTCCTCCAGATCGGTGTGGTCGACGAATATCTGGTACGTTCTCTCGCGCGGCTCGCCCTCGCTGACCGGACACATCAGCCACGCCTTGCCCGCTTGGCTCAGGGTCACGGGCGCGCCGAAGGACTCGCTGCGCTCGCGCTGGAAGCCGGTTGCTGAGGCGCCCTCTGGTAGAGCACCGGAGTGCGGGACGGTGTAGGAGAGGGAGCCGTCGGCTGCTACGTAGACTGTGGGGTTGGAAGGGTTAGTTGGATGATAGGTATGTAGGAGTCCATAGTAAGAGCTTTATGCTTTTTTCTCTTCCTCTTCCTCTTCCTCTTCCTCTTCCTCTTCCTCTTCCTCTTCCTCTTCCTCTTCCTCTTCCTTTTCTTTTCTTTTCTTTCTTTCTTTCTTTCTTTCTTTCTTTTTGGAATGGGGGAAGGGATTCTTACCCTGTTGTCCACCCGGCACGGCGGCATCCAAGAACATGGTGTCGTTGCCTCCCCTGAACACCGTCTTGGTGCCCGGGTAGGCCGAGCAGTCGAGGTTCTCGACGCCCGACGGGCAGTAAGCGGACGTGTTCTTGTTGACGTAGAACTTGCCGCCGCTGGCGTTGATGCTGTCGCCGACGAAGAATATGTCGTCGTTGAGCGGCTGGCGCCACACGCCGGCGGACCAGGGACCTGCGGGCACGGAGCCGGCTCGGCGCGCGATGCTTGCCGCGAGTGCGAGGGCTGGGAGGGATAGTAGGGCGGTGAAGGCACGCATGGTTAGGTATCTAGGTACTAGGTTAGGTAGGTATGGCGAGGACTGGGAGTGGATGAGTTTAGTCTGAAATGTGGTACGATGGGGATGGTTTTCCTTTTCCTTCTTCTCGAATTTATTATATTATGCTGCTGACCTTACAGGAACATATAGGTAAAAGGAATCTGACTTATTTTATATTACTCTTATACTTCTTACCACCCATTTTGTTTTTGTTTTTAGTTAGACGGCTGCAATGCCATGCCACGTTACTTAAGAAGCAAGCGTCCACAGTCCACATCTCCTTCCCGAATTTCGAACGGCGTAAAAGGCTAGAATGCGACGTCGCAACTATAAAGTCGTCGTCATTGAGAGAATTGATCCAGCAGCTGTTGCCCGGCTAATATAAACCATGCACCTAAACGGAGCAGGTCCTGTATATTAATACGAAGTATACGAAGAGATATATATAGAAAAAGCCCCGTCTCGACTCTGGACTATTGGCTTTTCTTTTTTATCCTTTTTCTGCATGCCCCGTTTCGATGCGACTTTGGCACTAACTTTAACGTTACGTGATCTTTTAGGTACTGCATGCAGGTGGTTTATGTAAATTGTTGAGGCTCTAAAGTGCAGGCTTTGGTCTTTCGCGAGACTAATACCTATCTATGGTTTCGAACTTTTTACTTTATTTTCCCTTTCCCTCGCGTGCGGGAGGGGGAAGAGGAAATCTTAGGTAGGTAGGTATCATGCCATCATAATACTATCTACTAAAGTAATTCACGTTTAGCCACCTATGCAGCTATGGTGGCCATTGGTCGTGAAAAGGGGGTCGGACTTAGGCGGCCAAGTCTAATGTCATATCTCCGACTGGATAGCTGACACATCTCGTATCTGCCGGGCCTAGGGCTGAAAATGTGCTTTTATTCCAGCCTCTAGCTTTTTGATTTATATCGTACTATGGATTCGCATCGTCTTTTGAATGGCTGAAAGAAAAGGGTGGCAATACCTATAACTCCAACGAGACATCGAAGGGCCAAGATAACAATGGAGTCCACGAAGCCTCGGAAACGCCACTGTTGGGAATGTCGCCGACGATATCTGGTCTGTGATTCTACAGAACCCACATGTAAAAGGTGCTTTACATCTGGCATTGAATGTCCTGGGTATAGTGATGTGAAGCCCACCCACTACAAATGGCTCGCACCCGGTAGGGTTACATCTCGGGGTCGAAGACGAGATAAACCTCGGAGTGATGCGACAGACAAGACGAATACGAAAATAACGATAAAGCCTATCAAAGAAGCGCGCTGCGCGACCGTAGAGACTCTACTGGTGATCCCACGACTTGAGATGAGAACTGAAGCCTGTGCGTTAGCTCAAGCTGCAGAGTACTGCAAGTAAACGGTTCCTTCAAGGCTTCTTGTCTACCATATGCCTACCTACTACTGACTTGAACCCGTTAGACAACTCTTGCATATACCGTGACCTGGTCCCAGTCTCGGAACTTGGACCAACGCCGTGTATATATCCACTTTCGGCCGCAGTGCTTCGGGTGGTGCCCGAAGCCCCTGACTATCTGCTATATGGCATGCTCTGTATGACGCTGAGCCATCGGATCAACCAGACGAGGAACGACCCTCAGATCAGGACGCTGTTTGAGAGGTTCTATCAGTATTGGGGTTTCGCTCTTCACTCGCTCAGTCGACATCTCGATATAGAAGATGGGCGGAAGGGTGATATGGCTATTGCCGGAATATTGACACTGATGCTTACCGATGTATGTACTTATATAAGTCCATGCTCTACGAACTCGTGTTGATCATGTCCGGAATAGATTCAACAGGGCACCTCGCTCAACTGGCGATATCATTTAGAGGGAATCCATAAACTGATTGCTCTGCGTGGCGGCTTCCATGTCGTAGCCAGCCGAAAAAGCCTAGCACCGCTGCTACTTTGCCACTGGTTGTACGTGCCTACTCCTGGCTCCCCACTGGCCGACAGCGTCCAGGAACTAACCTCGGTACAGCATTTCCGTGATCGGAAACACAACTTGTCCAGCTTCCGACCTCTCCACGACCGGCTCGGAACTCGACGCGCTGGATCTCTTGCTAAAGCGATATGGCGATGCCGTCGCTACATTTCAGATGTGCCCCTTACCCCTGGTCGTGGAGATCGTCAATATAAACCACCTTCGGGCAAGAGCGAATATAACTGGGAGTTATGGCACCGCCGCTGGAACCAAGGACCATTGGCACCACGAGGCCTACGAAATACTAGAGCGTGTTTCTACCTTCCCACCTGAACAATGGGCCGACTCTAAGCTCTCGTCTAGAGAAGACTGGTTGGCTATAGGTAACGCGTATAAGGCCGCTGTAGCGTTATACTGCGTCTTGTCGCTCCAAAGCTCGTCTATTCTTCCAATCACCCCAGACTTAAGAGCCGCGTGCACGATACACGGCCAGCTGCTGCAAGTGTTCCTGGAAAAGGGGCTATCATCTCCCAAGACCAAACGATCTATGATTTGGCCGCTCGTCTTACTCGGTGTAGAAGCTGTCCATGGCGATGCGGCAACGCGAGCATTCGTCGCGAGGCAGCTGCCAGAGCTGAGCCGTGACGTCGGCACTTGTGTGCCGCTCACGGCAAAGCGGGTGCTGGAGAGGTTTTGGGCTTCGGGGGAGACATCTTGGGATGATTGCTTCGACCGGCCTTATGCTTTTATGTCGCAAATTGCTGTTGACACTAGCCGGTTATACTCTGTACATCCTGCTGACGTACAATAGGCTAAGGGGAGAGTTATTTTAAACGCCATACTATGAACCTGGGCTACTTACTAACCTCGGTACCTACCTCCATTTACAGCTTGAGAAGAACAATGCACAGAATCAACGAAAATATAGGTACTATTAAATTTGTCTACCTTCGTCTTATGGTCCCACCATCTATGGACAATGAGCACCCGCTGACCACTGCGATATAAAAGTACGATCCCTACCTAGTATATAATGCGGCTTCGAGTCGGGTACCAACGAATCTATACCTTCTCCCTTCCTAATCATCTTATCTAACAGCCGCATTGCCCTTCAACTCTTACCTCCATCATGTTACATGGCCAAGGGGCACATCACCAAATACCCTCAGGCAACCTAAGAGGTAACAGCCGGATACTGCTCGAGCTCCCGAAACCCCAGCCCCTTCCTCTTCTCGCGGAACAAGATGCCAAAAGTCGCCAGACTTGCAATTCTCACCATCCACGACCTCCCATCCCTGACCTCCTCTCCCTCGACCTCCGTCCCATCGCGTGCCAGGTACACGTGGCAATCCCTCGGCAGAAAGCGGCCCGGGTTCCAGACATTCCACAGCGCAGAGTTGAGCAGCATGAGCGCCGCCTCGAAGACGTAGAAGAACACCTCGTACCGCAGGACCGGGCCGAGGCTTCTCAGCGCCTCGATATTGTCGAGGTCTATGTTTGTGTGCCCCGTCGTGTGCTCCGCTAGTCGGTACACGCAGCGCGCGAGGATCAGCGCCATGCTCGCGTACAGCGTGGCCAAAAGCGTCTTGACGGACTTTACCTGCACGCCAGCTTTCACGCAGCGCCGGTGGAAGAGCGCGGCGAGGCAGAGGAAGACGAGGATCACGACGAGCTGGATGACGAGGGCGGCGATCGTCAGGCTGCTGCCGAGTGACTGTGTGGCGGGTGCGCCGGATGGGTTCGCGGAGAGGGCGACGCCGACGGCGTTTAGGGCCTCGACGAGACCCATTAGGCCGCCGAACGTGGTGAGGACTTTGCCGGGAGGGAGGGGAGAGCAGTACGGGACGTAGTAGAATATACGGCCGAGGACGTGGTAGTTGGCGAGTTCGAGAAGCGGACTGGTAACAGCCGTGAAGGACTTGGTTAGTGGATCTCACAACACTAGTGTGGTAAAGGGGGGGTTGTTCGCTTACGGACATACGTATATAAAGACCTGGCTAAATATGAAGACGAACAAAGGTACCTTGGTGGTAGTGCTATACAGGTAGTTATATGATCCGTATTCTCGCAGCGCGTACCCGGCTGTCAAGAGCATAGCACATAGGGGATGGAGTCCGATTAGTTTAGAGGCTTTATAACGACTGATGGCAGAAGTTAGGCTTCGATTTCGTCTGTCTGGGGAGGGGGTATGAATACTTACTAGCATTGCCAGATGTGGAAGATGGCCGAGATGGCGTAGGCGATGGCGAAGAATATAGGTGCTCCCTTATTAGGGACGTAGACGTATAGACTATACAAGACTAAAGACGATATTAGTAGGTATATATGCCCTCTATAAATCGAATTCCTGGAGACTATATAGCTTACTTGGCTCTCCTGCTGCCATGTTTGGAAAAGAGTATTCTATCGTAGCAAAGCCAGTTTCTAGGTAGAAGGTAGATGGCAGGTACCGGTATGAAATAGGGGTAGTCTCCTTTCAACGTTCGCCCAGAGTTGTTGCTATGAATTAGAAAACAGGAATGACATTTCACGAGCATACGGATCTTATAAAGAAGAGAAAATGAAAGAACTTCACACACGAAACGCCCATCCCCGGGCTTCCATCTCTAGGACTCAGCTAGCTGCTGAGCTCCCTATCGTCACTTACACGGGATGACGCTTAACCTAAATAGGATAATAGAAATGCCAAGACACTAAGCCTTGTGGACTCGTCGTCGTCTACAGTGTTGGACATAGTATCAGACGGTATGACTTACTGTGTTCCATCACATGTATGTCCTGCCGCCCGGTATAGGTACACCGGCTTCCCCACAGTCCCCGAGGATGAATATATGTACAACATTGAAGTAATGTCCCGATAACTCTGTCCGCACTACATAGGTACTAGGTACAGACCTACATGGCAGATATCTAGATGCTATCTTGACCAACCCGAATATACTAGTTGAAAATACCCACATGGTAGTGTGTGCTGACCTGAGGACTAGGTATAATGAAACATCTAAGTGTAAGTGACATAAACCTAGGAACTCAAACGATGGTAATGATGCTATACTGCCAAAGGTCTGAAGGTGACCTTCAAATTGCATACCTACCTAACTAGATGCTTCGGAGATTATATCTACCCCTGCTTTGCTTACATAGCACTATATATACTAGTATAAAACGTATCGTCATATATAAAGATATGCCGGCAGTGTTATAGATAGCTAAGGACTACTCTCTATCTATAGGATAACAGGATTACAGGTTATCAATTACTCGGAAACCATTTGCCGATTCTCGAGCTTCCCCCATTACACTATCTACCTATATGTAGGTAGTGATCGACAGCCCGTTCCCATATATCGTTATGCCGACCTCGCAAAGCAGTATCGTCGTTTCCCCGCACAGACAAGCCAGAACAAAAATAAAAGCACAGCTTACCTTACAGTACCACGATGGTCGACCTGCCTCAAAGCTGGTGAGATCAGCATTCCCCTTCTCCAACCACCTGGACACCTAGAAGCTATACTAGGTTAGAAAGGTAGTAAGAAAGGCACAGTGACCGAATCCTTACTACCCATTGATTGTTGTTTTTTTTTATCGAATCGAATCCCGTGAATCTCGTATTTTTTTTTTGTTTACCTAAGTAGAATATGCCTTCAGACAGGAGGACGCTGGATCCTGATTCGCAAGCCGCCTTTCCAACCAAGCAACTTACTATACTCGGTGCGCAGCCATCCCATCCCTCACCCCCAATCCATCTTGACACATCCGTACATGCCTTCCTAGGTAGGTATCTATCTGCCTAGGTTAGGTAGCTCAGCCAATTACTAGATAGAAAAAAGAGATTTATAATCAAAAAAGAAAAGAAAAAGAAAACCAAGTCATCCAAGTCATCTAAGCCAGTCATCTTTCTAACCCACGCTCATCTCCTCAATACAGCAATATGCCGCTTCTCGGAGCCCATCGCCTTCAACTCGATCCTCGCGTACACGTACGTGATGGTGAAGGATCTGCACGACGGCGATGACACCGACGCCTCCTTCTACGCGGGGCTCCTGGTCTCGGCCTACGCCGTCGCCGAGGCCCTGACCGCCATTGGCTGGGGCGCCCTCTCCGACCGCTACGGCAGGAAGCCCGTCGTCCTGTTCGGCCTCGGCGGCGTCGCCATCTCGAGCCTCATCTTCGGCCTGGCTCAGAAGTACTGGGTCGCGCTGCTGGCTAGGTTCATTGGGGGCGCGTTGAATGGGAATGTCGCTGTAGGTGATTTTCTTTTATTTGATTTTCTCACTGTATCAACTACCTGCCTATAATGCCCCCTTTCTCTGCTTCCTCCTATTTTTCTTCTTTTTCTTTTCCAACCCCCCCCCCCAATCTTCTATTTTCCCCTCTGTTCCTTTTTCTTCAAGCTTCCCTATTAAAGAACAAATATGAAAAAGAAAAACGGAAGAAAAAACCAAAAAGCTAACACCACCCCAGGTAATGCAAACCATGGTCGCCGAGATGGTCAAAGTCCCCGAGCACGAGCCCAAAGCCTACGCCACGCAGCCCTTCGTGTGGACGCTCGGCGGCATCATCGGGTCCGCCATGGGCGGGTTTCTTGCCCAGCCCGCCATCTTCTACCCGTCGCTGTTCCCCGCCGACGGCCTCTTCGGGCGGTACCCCTACCTGCTCCCGAACCTGGTGTCCGTTGTCGTCATCGTGCTAGCCATCGCGCAGGGCATTATTTTTCTCGAGGAGACGAATCCGGCGATAGGTGCGAAAGGAGTCGACGAGGATGTCATCGAGGAGGACGATGATGTGGTTGATGAACGCACCTCGCTCCAGCACGGTGTCGGCACGGCGAGGAGCCAGTCCCGCGCCGGCAGCGACCGGCCCCTTTTCGTCGAAGAGAGCCTGCCCGTCCCCGTCGAGCAGAACTTCGACCTGCGGCGGACCTCATTCGGGACCGTCGGCTCGATCCAGCTACCCCCGCCTCCGCCTCGATCACGCTCGCAGCCAAAGCGGACCGACAGCTTCGACGGGCGCCCGTTCAACTTCACCATCATCATGGTGACGATCGCGCTAGTGCTGGTCTCGTACCACCAGATGGCGTTCAGCACGCTGCTGCCCACGCACCTCCTCGACAAGCCGGCCGCCGCGCCGGGCGAGATCGACCTCGTCGGCGGGCTGGGGTACACCGTGCACGACGTCGGCGTGTACCTGTCCGTGAACGGGATCCTGGGGCTCTTCGTGCAGGCGGTCATCTTCCCGATCTTCGTCGACCGCGTCGGCGTGTGGAAGTCGTTCGTGCTCAACATCATCTTCTACCCGCTCGCCTACGTCGTCATGCCCTTTCTCTCCGCCGTCCCCAGCAGTCTCGTGTCCCCCGGCATATACCTCTCGCTCATCTTGCAGAGCTTCTTCGGCATCCTCGTCATCCCGTGCGCACTCATCCTGCTGAAAGACGCTACGCCGTCGCCGCTGGTCCTGGGCAAGGTCAATGGCTTGGCCATGTCCGCGTGCTGTCTCGCGCGCACGCTGTCCCCGCCCTTGGTCGGCATCATCTACAGCGCCGGCGGCTCCGCGGCCGCTTGGTTCAGCTGTGCCGGGGTCGCGGTCCTCGGCGTCGTTCAGCTGCTCTGGGTGCCTCGGAAACATATTCACAACCCCGTGGTGGGTGCCGACGCGATGAAGAGCAAGATCAGGGGAGACCTGCGGAACGATGAAGAAGAGGCTGCCGCACTTCTGACCGGTACTAATTGATCGACGCCCCGTACCTAACTGATTGTGGAGGAAGCGCCGATGCGTTGCTTTTTATCATTTATATGCCTAGGTACCTAAAACTCATGATTTTGACTAGCCAACCCCTTTACCTACATCGAATATCGCAAACATGAAAACACGAATAATTGTTGGTCGTCTACCTAGGTATTTTCATTCGCATTGCATAGAAAGCTTAGGCGTTTTGACATAAAGGGGATTCCTAATGAATGAAGCGATGACTATATGATTTCCTACGCACATACCTAACAACTATTATGATTATTATGTTCTTTATTCAGGGGCTTCTTGACACATTCTGCGCATTGATAGACTGGATATGATAGACTGCGCTTAACCTCTTTTTATAACCAAGTAGATAGGTACCTGCCTAATACATTACAGTGTGCATGTTCATCATCAACATCGAAACTCATTACAAGGTGACTAGGTGTTTCCCTACTTTATACTCCCCTCCTTCACATACAACTTCTGTACAAGTAGAATATCGTAGTTGAAACGACCTCCCAAAAACCAACTCAGCCCTACAACTTACCCCTAATCCCACCCATAAGCAGCGCATCGACCTTCGCCCCCTTCCTCAGCGGTTCCGTCCCGCTCGGCAAACACAACAAGCAATTCGCGCCCCTCAGACTTCCCACCCTCGAACTCCTCTGCCCCCCCGTGCTCGTCGCCACTAGAACCCCACTGCTTCCGACCGAGACGATAGCGCGGTGGTACTCTGGCCTCGACTTGTCCAGCGCGAAGTCGTGCGCGAGCGTAACGGAGACCTTCGTTAAACTAGCGGGAGTGATCCCAGACATCTGGAGAAGGGAAGGGAGGACGAAGAGGTGGAAGGTGACGATGGCGGAGGCCGGGTTACCGGGCAGCGAGAAGACGACCTTGGTGACGCGGGCGCCGGCGTTGTTCTTGACGGGCACGGTCGCGAAAGTCGTCGGTTTTCCGGGCTTCATGGCCACGCGGCCAAAGTGGATCGTGCCCCCGAGCGATCGCTCGATCGTCGGTTTTAGGAGGTCGAGCTCGCCCATCGAGACTCCCCCTGTAGTGATGACGAAGTCGACGCGCCGCAACGCCTCTCGCAGCGTCTCCTCCAGCGTACCTGGTTTGTCCGCCGCGATGCCGAGATCATGGACTTCGTAGCCGCATTCCTTCGCCGCGCACATCAGCGTGATGCGGTTGGTGTCACGCACTTCGCCTAGCCGTAGGTCGCCGGGTCGGTCGTGTTGGACGATCTCGTCGCCAGTCGATAGCACGCCTATGACGGGCTTGCGGTATGTTTTTACAGAGGCAACACCGACGGCGGCGAGGAGACCAATTTCGCCTCCCACGGCGGAGATCTGCTCGCCTTTGCTGAGAATACTGGACTTGGCCTTGATATCGCTGCCGACCTCGCGGATGTTCTCTCCCTCCCGCACATTGGCCGCAAGAATCTCCACCTCCTTTTCTTCTTTGCCGTCCTCGGTCATAGTCTTTAGTATCGTATCTTCCACCATGATGACGGACGTAGCCCCTGGTGGAAGTGGAGCTCCGGTGGTTATCCTAGCAATTTCACCCTCTTTCAAGGGTTTAACTTCGCCTGGGGAGGCGTGGGACACGGAGACAACAGGGAAGACTCCCTTCATGTTTCCGTCCTTGGGCACGACAACGGCGTAGCCATCGACAATACTAGCTCGAAAAGCGGGCACGTTTTCCCTCGCTTGGACATCTTCAGCTAGAACGTGGCCAGGCAATGATCTGTCAACCAAGGAGGTGGTGATTTCTGGTGACGGTGTATGCTCCTTTATCTTATTCAAAGCATCGTCAACCGATAGCATCGGAAAGGGGGACTCTCTGTTCCTCCGACTCGGGCCGAGGCTCGGGTCGTTAGACATGGGGTTTGAGCTAGGCGCTGTATATCTTACTAGACTGCCATGACCGTGGCCGTGACTATGACCATGGCTATGACTATGCTGATGAGTACTTCCGTGGCTATGGTGGTGGTCGTGAGTATGAAAGTGCCCGGGCTCCGATCTTATACCAGCTTCTGCTTCAAGTCTTCTCACCCCTCCAACGTGTAACGATCTCGAATCCATACCAGCAGCTTGGATACATGCGTGTGGTAATGTTTTTAAGACTGCCTGTAAGTTTTCCCGAGCCCCTTTTGGAGAACCTGGAAGTGTAATGATGAGAGACTTATTTCTGACACCAGCCACTGGGCGAGACATCATGGCGACTTTTGAGAGTTAATATTTTTCTACATGAAAAGGGGGTAATTAATGCCTTTACTAACAAGGGGTAACATTCAAAGAGGCCGTCAACATGCCGTGTACTATGCCAGGTGCAGGCTTATGGAGTAAAGCTGAGACAGCCTAAGCTCTGTTAGTTGAATCATTGCATCTACGGATGCTTTAATTTTGGATATTGTAGTGTATACCTCTGGAGTGTTGTCTGCTACTGCAAAGCCAGTGCCCCCTGTAGTCAGGATGAGGTTGATGGTGTCCGCCGCAACGTCGGTCCATAACATGATCTGTCTTTGGATCTGAGTGGCAACATCAGGGACAATTTTGGTATCAACCAACTCCCAGTGACCACCACCTTCTTCCTCGAGTACATCACTTAAGACAGCTTGAGAAGCATCTGTTGAAGGGTCTTTGGCTGCTGTTGTAGAAACGATGAGTAATACGGCTCTTAGGGTAGTGCTGGCCATCGTGAGCGAGGAGAGGATTAATGATTATTACCCAGGTGAAAAATACGAACAAATACCTAGGCTAGGCAAGTATGAATATATCAGATTATCTTCAACTGAGCGTATATACAAATAAGACTAGAGTTTATACTAGGGAATGAGTTAAGCTCAGTATAGGCAGCGAAGAGAGATCCAGTGGGAGTGAGGCCTTAGACGACCTGATTTATCACTTATAAGTACTTAAGTACTAGGTACTAAATACTAGGTATAGTGCAAAAGCGGGGCAGTACCTACTAAACTTGAATGCATACAGGTACATGCCATTATCTGCTTTGCCTTAAGGTTTGAAGCTATCTAATGTACCTAGTACCTACCCTCCATCATGAAGTAGAATCGGAAGGTTTATTTATATATGCTATTCACAGCCGTAAAAAGCTGCTTTTACTTCCACAAAATTGTATCACAAGTTTAGTTAAACTTCAATGTTCTTTTATGCACGTCATAAGTTGCACGGGTACAGACCCCTGTAATATCCACATAAATATCACTGATAAGATAGATAGAGCTCCGTTAAGTTTCCACTTAACGATTCGCGGTTTACAGTTGACAATTCTCACTTTCCTAGCCAATTCTCATCTTTAGATGATATATATAAGGAAATATTCTTCTTGTTGCGTCACAAAATTCCGAAACGGCTTTAGATTAGGATATAAATATCCTTCAACTTTCCAAAATGGTCCGCATTAAGGAGCGCTACCTCTTGGTTAAAATTCTCTATCCCAATGAGCTTGGCAGCCATTCCGACCTCCCTGACGTTGTAGTCATAAACCAACCTACAACTGACCAACTCAACCCTGCCGGTCTTCTTCGGGGTATAAGAGCCGAGGTCGCCAATCTATTCGGGGACTACGGCTCAGGGACTGTTGATGGCGGAAGCTTAGCAGGTGAGTCAACAGTGCCGAGCCCCCATCGCAACTTATATGAGACTTACGCCAACTTCATTTAGTCAAATATTTTTCTCCAGCCACCTCTACTTTCATATTGCGTACTTCACGATCATCATATCGCTTAGTATGGGCCGCCCTTGCCTTCATGAGCACTGTGCCTGTGAAGAATGGGAAGCCTTGCATTTTCCGTGTAGTCCATGTGAGCGGTACCATGCGCAAAGTCGAGGAAGAAGCTATACGTCGCGCTCGAAATCTCATTTTTGCGGCTGAAAATGAGCAAAAGGAGGTAAATGACGGTCTCCTTGACAATATATTCGGAAAATCCGAACGCCCGAAGCGAGAAATTGCCATGACGGACTTACCGGACGTTGAGTATGATAATAGCGACATAGAAATGGGTGAAATTATCGATGGTTGAAAAGGGGCATCACTGTTTTTTACGAACTACCTTGATCCCACTATCACCTCTAGGAGGTGGCATTCCGTCGTACGGGTCATCGCCGTCATCCGGAATTAAATCTGGCGTCGTAACTCCAGTGCCCCCTCCCATGGTCTTGCGCTGCGCCTCTTCCTCTTTCTCTTCTAGGGCATCGTATTCCTCCTTCAAGTCTACCCAACGCTCTTGGATATCTTCCACCTCCATCAAAGAGCTCTCATTACGCATGGCTATCTGCCATACCGTATCGTTAGCTCCCTCTGCACCGCCGAATACATAGCCTCCGGCCCTATCGATAATTCGCAGAAGATGCATCATCGTCTTCTTATTCTCGACAGATAGGACTTCGAATGAAACCAGACCAAAGTTCTCAATCAGGTTCGCGACAGCTTCGTTGAGTCGACTAAACTTTTCGCTACGCATCGCGGGCGCCTCTTCTTGGAGATAGGATACTAGATGTGACAGGTCTTGGACATCGGTATAGTATTCGAGGTTGAAGGGTAGGGGATCATATGATGAGACCTTGTCAATTTTGGTGAGGACATTGACATGAGGAAGGTCCATCTGTAGCATGGCTCGAAGAGTAAGGAGGAGGTTGGAAATGTAAAGGGACGGCTGTGTCAGGCAGAAGCTATCGGAAAGGTGAACAGCTACGAGCTGTGCTCTGTCAGTAATCAAGTAACCTAGGAGGCAACGTCAATGGAAAGCCATACCCGGTAACCCATCTTTTGGAGTTTGAAGAATATGTTCCGTAAGGAGTTGTGATGCGTGTATAGTTCTACTTGGCCAGGGCAATCGAAAATAACGTATGAATCTTCCAGTCTCTTCAAGCCTTCCTCAAGCCATTCCATGTTATGTTCGAGCTCTTCGAAAGCGTACAGCACACCACCATTTGGTCCAAGCTGGTCGTCGGCCATGATATCCTCCAGTTTGATGAGGTCGCGGATGTCGAGGGCGCAAGGGTAATTCGTTTTATCGTTGGCAGGGTCGAGGTTCACAACGGAGCATTCACGGCCGATTGCGCCCATAAACTGATGCACTATATTGGTCAAGCATCATTAGCGACCGAGAAACGACTGGAATGGATATGCAAATCATCTTGAAAGGTAGCTTACTGCCGTCGCAATAGGTACTCTTTCCAGAGCCTGGACTTCCCAGGACAAGCTGGGCGAAAGGCATCTTGTGTTAAGCTATTTGTACAGTAGTAGGATCACGGCACAAGAGTGGGAAGGTAATGTGTTGAAAGGGTGAAACTTAATGTCGGTGAATACTAGGTGTGATGAAGAAGTCTTGGAGATTGTTTTGGGAGTACTTTCCAACTACCGATGAGTGTACGATGATCGATTAGAAGCTACATACAACATTGAACTACCTAGTAACATGTAGGTACATACATAGAATTGCCCCTCCACCCCACGTTCCACAAGCTTCGGGAGAACGATAATTTAAGCGGTGGAAGACGGCAAGATAAGGTACCTAGTACCCAGCTTCTAGCTTTAACTTGACCGGTTATCACTGTAGTAATCTATACCCTTGCAATTAGCACCCCTGTCCAACTATTGATATTTACTTTGAACGAGTTTAACTGCAACTGCAACTGCGACTACAACGCCGAACTACACTATAGCAAATGCCTATCTACTAGGTACCTATCTACCTATTCTCTCTCACCTCACCGCATAAGAACTATTGGATCATCATGGCACCGTCAGGTACGTTAATCTACCCTTTAATTGAGAATGAAAGAAAGAGATAGAAAGAAACAGGAAAAAGAAAAAGAAAAGCGAACCATATATCTAGTACCCAATTAGTTACTACTTACTAACATGAAAAAAAAACTAACTACAGCAACACAATTCGAGCTCGCGCAACCCCCAAACGACGCCATCTCCGCCGTCGCCTTCGCGCCCGACTCGCCCTCGCGCCTCCTCGTATCCTCCTGGGACAAGAACGTCTACCTCTACGACACCCTAGCCACGAGCGGCAGCAGCGAAGAGGAGAACCCCAGCCATGGCGCCCTCCTGCGCACCTTCGAGCACCGCGCCCCCGTCATGGACGTCTGCTTCGGCGCCCACGGCCGCGAGGCCTTCAGCGCCGCCGTCGACTGGCAGGTGCGGCACATCGACCTCGAGACCGGCGACCAGACCGTGCTGAGCAAGCACGAGGCTCCCGTGCGCAGAGTCGTGTATAGCCGCGAACACTGTACGTCTTCTATCTCTCTCTCTATCCATCCAGACCGAGGAAAAGTTTTCTCTGACATCTAGCCAACAAAATAACAGCCATCCTCATCTCCGCCTCCTGGGACAGCACCCTGCACATCCACAACCCCTCGAACCCGTCCCTCGCGACCCTCACCATCCCCCTCCCCGGCAAGCCACACGCCATGGCCGCGAGCCCGTCCAAGGTAATCGTCGCCATGACCTCGCGCCTCGTGCACATCTACGACCTCTCCTCCCTCGCGTCCGCCCTCACCGCGCAGACCAACGACCCGCCGCAACCCTGGCAGCAGCGCGAGTCCTCCCTAAAATTCCTGACCCGCGCCGTCGCCGCCATGCCCTCGGACGCCGGGTACGCCACCTCATCCATCGAGGGTCGCGTAGCCGTAGAATGGTTCGACGCGTCGGCGGAGTCCCAAGCGCGCAAGTACGCCTTCAAGTGCCACCGGCAGGCGGGCGGCGACGGCACCGACGTCGTGTACCCCGTCAACGCGCTGGCCTTCCACCCCGTGCACGTGAGCACCTTCGCCAGCGCCGGCGGCGACGCCACCGTCGCCCTCTGGGACGCCGACGCCAAGCGCCGCATGAAGGTCTACCAGAAGTTCGCCGACTCCGTCGCCGCCCTCGCCTTCAGCCCCGACGGCCGCTACCTCGCCGTCGCCGTCTGCCCCGGCTTCGAGACCGGCATGGAGGACTACAGTGGCGAAGGGCGCACCAGGATCTTCGTCAGGGCCCTCGGCGAGAACGAGGCTATGCCTAAGGGCAAGGGGAAGTGAGCATCGCATACGGTAGGTATTCAAGACATGGAAGATGATGAAAAGGCCAAATTCAAAAATGCAACGAAAGTCAGACAGGACAGAGAGACGATAAAAAGCAAGCTGCGGGGTTTTGTGTCGCTAAATTGTTTGTGTATCGTCTATCAACTTGAGATTCTCTAGGAACAGGCTCAACCAGAGCCCGGAGCTGGCTGGCGTTTGTTAAGATATTAGGAAGGAAATATGTGAATTCTACAAATGAGTGATACACTCCCGCCAGCTTCTCTCTAAATTTTATGAAATAACATGATTGACTGTTGATATGTCAAGTTTTCATCTCTCTAGAAAGGGGCAATGAAATACAATGAAGTTTCGCCGGATTTTCTTGCCTTAGGTGATGCTCTCCTCTCCTTGTAGTACCTCTAACCCTAAAAATTCATGTTAAGGCCCCAACTTAGCCCTCTCACCAAAGGAGTATCATCTCCTTTAGCAGCATGGCTGTGTACCAGACGCGCTTTTCGATGGAACGGTCTCTCAAAAAGCCTCATTAAATTAGTGTAAGAATCAACTAAGCAGCTACATCGATCTCAAAGCCTTGGCCTTTTTAAATCTCTAAACACGGAGGTAGATGCTAAGTGCGATGAAAGATCGTTAGGAAAATGCCGAGTTAGGCGGACATTAATATATCGTAAGGGTCCTGTCTAAATTTCTGTGGCTCGTGTTCCTCATCTTCTTGAATCGAGATAGCTGAATCGCCGACACTTGACTCTCGGCCCCGGTGGGCGCTGGCCGATTCATTCTCTTCGAACTCGACGTCGTAGTTTTCGTGTCCATTGTCCACCGAGGACGCGGATTCGTAGGACAACTCTGTTTCATATTCTTCAACTTCATATTCCTCATGATCCTCTAACCTAGATTGCACAATAATTGAATCTGGCATGCTCTGTGGCATTGAGTCCCTAATAACCGCAATGTCGCTGCTGCGGAGAGGCTGCCCAAAATTCTCAAAATCCGAATGATTTCTTTTACGCCATCGAGGTGGGCTGTATCGTATCGCTTCTCTAGTTTGGGCTTCTGGGGAAGGCTGAGGTATTATAGTTGAAGGAATTGTCTGCTCATTCCTTGGCACTGTATGTTTCGGTTTCCGTGCTCCCAGCTCTTCTACGAAGTTATCCTTAGTTGGCCAGACGTCCTTGATTGGGCTGCGACGATTATTCATGTAGTATCGGGATACTCCTCTGGCCTTTGCGCAGCTGGTCCCTGATCCATGCGGCTTTTCTTGGGACGAAGTTTCAATTTCTAGCTGAAGCTGCCCTATACCAGATAAAGAACGAGGTCTGTTCTGTTTGTGTGTTCCAGTCATCAAGAAATGGAAGTCTGGTTTGGCCTCGTCGTCAGAGAATCCATCTCCTGCGCGCCAAATTGGTTCTGGTTGACTCTGGGATTTGGGAAAGCGAAATCCAGCCTTTTTTCTAGCTTTTCTCAGCCGAAATATGCCTTTCTGCTCGTAAGAAACTTGCTCATCGTTTGCGATTTGATTCACGTCCCCAGAAAGTGGTAGCTCCCCTGACGCCAGTGTCTCTGGACTGTTGGTACCTTGAGATGATTCATCAACACTTGCCCTACTTTCGTTAACAGGATTATCTGTCATATTTCTCTCGCCAACTCTCAGACGTTTTCGCGATCCCGTATTATGGAGATAGCGCGTCGATCGCATCATAGAGCGGCTACGTGGGAGACTTCTTCGCATGGGAGTTTCATTTAGTTGGGTAGAAGCCCTTGCTGGTGTATGATTGCGAGGATGTGGGTTTCTCTCGTCAGAAGATGTAATAGAATTATTTCTATATTACGGATTAGATCTCGTCCCGAATGAATTGGGATTGGAGAAGAGATCGACTGGGCACAGTGAAACCCGAAGCCCAGGTCTTGTAATTATGTACGGTACTTACCTATGTAATTGACCTCCTAATGGATCACCCGGGGCGGAGACAACAGATCTCCTCCGTTTGACGTTGGCACGAACAGGAGACGCCGACCTACCTCTCCTTTCTTCGAATAAGCCTGAGTGCTCATTATTTTTATATATGGGCTCATCATTGATATTCAGTGACCTAGTACGGGTTGGAAGGACAGCGGCAACCCTGGCACTAGTCAATGGCTTGTGGCTTATGGAAGAGTTCAAGTTGGGATCTAAGGAGGACGGTATCGTGGGTAATTTATTGAGTTGTATAGCGACTGGTCCAGCAGGCATGATTACAGTGAATTTAGATCCAAATGGGAGAACAAGTACTTGAACTATATAATTGGGGGGGAAGAAATAAAGATCTGTAAACTTGTCCTGTCGAAGATTTGTAGAAGAATTATAGAAGATTTATAATTGGAAAGGTGAGTTGAGTTTAATATTTGAATTTCGTACACTGAAAAAATACCTATGTGGGTATCTGTGTGAGAGAAAGGGGGGAAGGAGAGAAGGACGCAAAAAAGGGGGAAACCAAGGAAGGCGTACCTGTTGGGTTTACCAGCATACTAACATTACCATACTTCCCCTAGCCAGGTCTCATCTGGCCAACTCCAAAACACTGCACTATTCCCTACAGCAAATAGGGAAACTTCCGACTTGTCATAGTACACCTAATATTTGTTGACACACAAACACACCCCGCGAAACATGGACTATCTACCTAGGCATCACACGAGAAAGCAATACCATAGATTAGGGTGTCACGTGTAGTACCATTGATAGTCTTCTTAAAAGATCGCCAACTCTCCACCAAGACCGAACCCTTATTCCAATTCCCCAAAGAATCCCCGCGCCTCCACGACGCCCCAACTCCTCCACCGATCCCTAGCCCAGGAATCTAGCTAGGTAGTCCACGCGCATAGGTACTATCTACCACGTGAACTCGCGCTCCTCCTTGGGCCGCTCCTCATTGCACGGGAGGCACTTTTCTTTCTTCGTTGTGGTCGTCACGTTCCCCCCGTTGCAGTTGCCCGTGGCGGCCCCCTTGCACTTGGTCTCGCTGGTCACGACCTCAGATGTCCGGCCGCACGTAGGGCACTCGGTCTTGGTCTTCTTTTGCTCGCACATGGTCGCGGTTTTGTCTGTTTTTCTTGGATAGGGAGGAACTGTTAGCCCTGTTACATATGGGGAGGTTTACAACTCGACGACGTGTCCCGGGGAAAAAAGGGGGGAGGGAGAGGGGAGGGGGGGGGGGGGGGGGGGGGGGTTGAAAGGACATGTATTAGCATGAATCTTCCTCAATTCACGAAGGTGAAGGTGCAGGAGGGCTATGAGCATTAGGAGAAGACGATGATACATCAACGATGTGCAGGTAGGACGAAGCCACCATATTCAAGCAGCAGGAAGAGGTTTTCGCAAGGAGGCAGAATAACAGTTCAACATAGAGCATAAGAAGAAAGAAAAAGATAATGGCAAGATGAGAAAAAAGGCCGAGCGCAGGCTCTACCCAAAGGCAGTTGGCCTGATGAGTGCGCGAAGGGGTCATTTAGAACCGTCGAGGAGGTCGAGGGTGCCGGGTGCTTTCTTTTTGAGCTGTATAAGTTTCACTCCAGGGCGGTAAGGGTGTAAGGGTGGACGGGTGGGTAGAGGGCGACAGCGAGGTTTGGGATAGCTGCCTTCGGTACGAAAATCGTAATCGGCTGCTTACCTGACTTTCTTGGGTTTGTTGCTGTCGAGTTTTTTCTTGAGTGTTGTTGTTTTGCGGAAGCTTGATATCTCGAGTGCTTAAGGTTCGTAGGTATGCTGGATGTTTTTGGTATGATATAATGAAAATTTTCCGCTCTCTCTTGGGGAGGTAGCTGGTGTTTATATATGAGGGAACGCCGCCTTCGGGGTGACAACTATGACGAGAGAGGTAGCATACAGAGTCGAAAGGTGACACGGTATCTGGCATAATTCCTAGTCGAGACATATTCCTTTGGCATTAGGGGGTTCACAAGGACTACAGTCAGATATTTGCCACCATCCACGACTACCCAGAAGCACAGCTCAGCTCGCGGTACTGATTCGCAGCTGAAATATCTCATCTCAAGACTTGATGAGGCCTATGCTCTGGCCCTGTTAGTCAGGGTCACGGTAGACGGCCAGGCAAACAGCCCTGAGCATGGCAACCTGCGTTGTCAGTTCTACATATCAGATTACACCGCAAAGACTACTTCCTTGACAATAATATTTGCTTACCGAATCATCGCAACTGACTGTATAAGTGCCCAGTACTTAAGGATCTATTCTGAGATAGCAGGACAAACACTCCGACCCCCTAAACGGCCTCCCAGCTAGACGCCAGGCATCTTCTCCAGTAGCTTTGCACCTACCTAATTAGATAGTACTCACTGAATGGTCAATACTGACTACTAACTACATAGTTAGAATTACACCTAGAGACGCCGTGCCGTAACTCTAGGACAATCTTCTTACACAACACAAGCAACATAGAGGACGACATTTTGTATTATTCATCGACCCACCGACCTGTATAACAGTGAAAAGGGGCGAGACTGCGATGAAGACTTACAAGCAGGTAAAGAAGTAAGAACATATCTAAGAGTGTTACAACGGTTGTTATAATCCACACACTAGTCATACTTCATCATTCACTCACGACCGCACATTAACAAGCTAAGGTAAGACCCATGGTTTCCTCCCATTGAGGGGGAATATATATATATATATAAATACTATCCTTGACTATATTTGCACTCTACCATCAAATCAGTCCAAAGCTTATTGGAGTAGGGAGTATATAACAACTGATGTTGGTAGCATCGAAACTCGCCCTGTCAGAGCAGCTTCTTCCAACAACTCATTCCGAACCCGCCATCGAGTATCGTCAAAGGGAACTGCTTCCGCAGTTTTTCAACTTTTAACTTGAAGTACAAGTATGACTCAGTATTTTCCTGAAAGCCACCTCCACGAGTCAAAGAAAGAGCGGGTGCTCTACTCCCCGATCTTCTTCGCTGTGATGGGCTTGGGGTTGGGAACGTAGTCGGTCGTACCGCCCATGGACAATAGCCAAACTTTGCCATCGTGGTCGGTGCTCTGCCCCTGAAATAGGAAGCTGCGCGGGAAGCCATAATCGAATGGAACAGCACCCTCAATCTCCGCGATGTCGTCGTCATCCAGCGATAGCGTCAGGGCCTCAATATTGTCCTTGAGTTGCTCCTTGGTGCGCCCGCCGACGATGGGGAATACGTACGGTGCCTTGTGGGTAACGTACGCTTGCGCCACACTCGTAATTATGGTGCCCTTACGTCTAGCTACCGCTTCTAGAGCCTGGCTGACCTTGATCTCGGCCTCGGTTGGATCTCTAGAGCGACCACTAGTTTGCACCTGGCGCTGCTCCTCTGTCTTGAATTTTCCTCCACCAAGTGCGCCCCACGGCGCTAGGCTCATGCCCTCGGCCTGAATCATGGGGAGAATCTCGCGTTCAACATCGCGGCTCGCCGCTGACCATCGCCCTTGGTACACGCTGAATTGGCGTAAACCGTGATTGCGAGCGTACTCATTGGCCTTGCTCACAACCCAGGCGGGTGTGTCGCTGATGCCTAGATAGAGAACCTTACCAGATTGTACGAGTTGGTTCAAGGCCTGCATTACCTCGGGGATAGAAGTACTTCCGTCCCACCAGTGAACATAAAGCTACATGTCAAGCAGTGAGTACTAATGTACCTAGGTCTGCAATATTTGAAGCCAAGGGGAGGACTAAGAATCACTTACAAGGTCAATATAGTCCGTCTGCAACTTTCGTAAGCTGGCATTGACGGACACGTGTAGGCTCTTGGTGCCATTGCCCTGGTTATTGATCATAATCTCATCGAAATGTCCCGTACGGAAGTTACTGGAGTATTTTGTAGCGATGACTATGTAGGTGAGGCAGGTTTGTTAGTCAAAAATCCCGGGAGGTAATGGTGAGGTAATGGTGAGAAGTAAGTTACCCATCTGGTCACGAACACCACGCTTCTTCATCCACTCGCCAAGCCATGCTTCGGACTGCTCGGATTGGTAGTTATTGGCCGTGTCAATAAAGTTACCGCCCTGTTCGTAGAAGAAATCCAATATCTCCTCCGTAGTCTTTTGATCACAAGTACCCATATAATCCTTCCAGGCCTCGCCAAAATTCATAGCCCCAAGGCATAGTGGGCTGACTCTCACGGAAGCCGTGGGGGATAGGATACGATATCGAGCGAGAGGGCTCTTCGGTGTTGGGGGGATTCGCCAAACAGACATTTTGAGGAATTATCTGATGTAGTAGAAGTTCGATGAAGGTGACTCTTGTCAAAGACTTTTTATCGTTGTGATTTTTTTGTTTTTTTTTTTGTTGGACTTGTAAACTTTATATACCTATGTAGGTAACAAGCAATGGAGGTAGGTACAGTTCAAGATCAAAGTTGTGCAAGTTGATCTCGTGATGTCTTTGTCGCTCCTACTCTACCCTAGCTATGTGTATTATATAATAGTAGTAGGCAAGGTGGGGGGTGTTATTGGAGGGTGAGTGAGTGTTAGTCCAAGAAAGAACCTTTGAATGGGATCTTGACGAGCTTTTAAATAAAAAAGAACCCCTTCAATGGTTTCGACAAGAATGATTTCGAGTATATTCTAAACCCTTAGAACCGGCAAACCAGGTACCGATGTGATTGGCAGAAACATGGACGCATTCAATGTTTTCGAGAGGGGTTGAATCCAGAGGAGTTATAGGAGGTTGATCCTTAACTCCGTCTAGATGCATTCAAAAATGAAACCGCCTTCATTCTGATACATGCTACCCTCCTAGGGTAGGAAGTATTGTGCCTAGGACAATAATTGGCTTTTAGAGCTTGCTATCTCCGCCAGATCCGTTAGACCAGGCGAGCATCATGTTTCGCTTTTCTCCACCATGGTAGTGGATATAGGATGAGTAGCATTCAGTGATGCTAGGTACTAAGGTAGGTAGGTAGGTAGGCTTTTCTTGTTGTATAATGCAATTGCATGGCGACTTGGCAATCCGAAATGCAACATAGGTAGCCTAACCAACATTAGTAGTCATCGGAGAAAGAGATATGTCATCCAAAAGAGGATATCACACCAGGAGCTGACTAATAGGTCAGTGCTTCGTATCTACCTAAGTTAACCTAGTAGATATACATACCTAGGTGTGCGTATTGGCTTCAGTCGCCACTGAAGTAAAATAGGTACAGATTCATGCAAACCCACAGGCTCTTGATAGCTCGGGAGCTTACATACTGCTAAGTCCATTTGTTAGGATTTAAGGTCTGGATTTAAGGTCCGGATATAAGGCTTATACGTTGTGAATTGCATCTGAAATGATATGTCGTAAATATTGACGAACCATTCATGGATGACAAATGGATAAATCAGCTGGGTAGACCGCCAGCAACCCGCGGACACGAGTCACACGATCTGCCTGCCTATATAACGTGAAGATCATCTAGTACATGGAAGACTGGAAAGGGTCAGGGATGAGGATGAGATTTGGTGAAGCGGGAGGGAGTTTACTGCCGTCGGGCTAATAAGTTGGCCCGGCGAGAAATAGCGGTAGCGCGGGTAGGCGAGAGAAAAATGAGAGAAAAAGGGGAAATGTGTTTTAAAAAAAGAAAGATAGAAAAAGACGATGGGAGTTACGGTAGCTCGACGGCGAACTGCATGGGTCATCATCAGTCAGTTCTCAGCTCAAGGTCTCAAGGTTCGAAGGTGAATCATGGCAAGTCGAACCCTCGCGAGGGTTGTATGGTGACGCTGGCTATTCTTTGCAGAATATACCTATGTACATGATGGAGCGGATCTCGAGAGGTTACTATGGTCTAGCAAGCCCAAGCGCCGACGATACCATCTCGCCGACCTTCGACTAGGAAGCCGTCCTTAATCCGGACATGCTCCACAACCGCCGGTGCCCGGCCCCCATCGGCCTCAGTGATGCCTGCACCGCAATCCCATTGCCGAGACTCCATCTTATCGTATACCTTTACCACGTCCTCACCGGCAGCGCTAACGATCCGCCGGCTATCGAACATCATGCTCGTGATAGGGTTATCGTAAGCATAAGCATCGAATATGGACCCTGTGCGGAGATCCCATATCTACGAAATGTCATGTTAGTAAATTTCGGGGTTATTTCTTCTACGTAGTATTCACGCGGATAGGTACTCACACGAATGCTGCGATCCAAGCTACCCGTCACAAGATGCACATCGTCGAACTGGAGGCATGTTACTGGTCCGGTGTGGCCAACAAGGCTACGATGGACCTGCCCACTTCTCAAGTCCCATAACCGAACCATACCATCAGCTGTACCACAGGCTAGGGCAGACTCGAAAACCTGCAATGAACCTACGAAGTCGGCTGACCTTGTCGGTGGCCGGGCCGTTTGTCTCCAAGTTCCCTCGCCTGTGCCGATAGAGACGGAAGCTTGTGCCGCTGCCCACATCACATCAAGTGTCTGTACGCATCGTCCCTTCACTAGATCCCATTGGCGGAGTGTCTTATCTGCTGAGCCTGACACAAGGACATCGCCCCTGAAGTGAAGAGCTGTGATTTCGTCCATATGCGACTCCAGCGTAAATAGTGGACAGTCTGCCATGCTACCCTCGGGAGGGTCTACCGGTTGGTCGTCAGGGTTCTCGAAAGCCATACCATCGTCCTCGTCGTCATCTCTTCCGAATTGACTTCCTTGCGGATCGTAATGCGCTTTGCTGAGATCCCACAATCGAATAGTAGCATCCATCGATCCGGTGGCGAGGATATTATCCTCTACTTGCAGTGCTCTTACCGAAGCCGTATGACCCTCGAGTATTCCGATGCAGCGCCCAGCATTCAAATCCCAGACTTTGACGGAGTCATCCATCGAGGCAGATGCCATAGTGCCAAATGGCACGTCAAAATCCATGGCCGTGATGTTGTCTGCGTGAGCTTTAATTTCCCTTATCATAAACCCTGGTTCGAAATGTTCGTGCAATATAGGCATCGTTTTCCGCTTCACGGTTTTGTGTCTCCTTTTTGATGGCGTACTCGAAGCAGAAGGGAGTTTCTCGTATATAGACTTGGACATGAACTCGCTGGCATCTTGGTCTGTCACTAAGTCATCATCGTCGTCAGATTTGGTCGGCGTATCGGCGGCAGCAGCTATTGACTCGGCTTCATCAACAAGTGATTGAGCGTCATCTATCCGCACCTCCACATCCCCAACTGAAAGCTATGTTAGTAAAACATTGTGTTGCATGATAGAGAGATGTAAATCCTTACTATCGTGTTCTAATAAGGTCTCTTCTTGTTCTAGGCCTGCCAACCTATCGAGTATGATGCGTCTCATACCAGCTAGATTAGCAATTTTGGTATCTATCTCGTGGATCTCTCTGCTAGCCATATTCTTTCGGATCCCGAGCATTTCCAGTTCATGCATAAGCGAAGACCTTTCATTCTTCAGCTTGTGGAGATGATGCGGGCTGTCCGGCGTTGACGGGATCTCCTCGAGCATCTTTCTCCCTCTGGAAGCTCTTCTCCTGTGCTTTTTGCCATCGCTGGTTAACTCGGGAAAGGTAGCTTTGAATCCCTGAAATAAAGAGTACGAGTTGTCGTTTTCGGGTAGATCTTTGAGCATGTTGTCGGGTAGGTATGATAGGGCGCGGGATTGAATTTCGGTAGTGGAGAACTTGGAACGGACAAGATCGGTGGGGGTTGTCTTCGCCATGGTGAACATGCCTCGTTGGATACCGGGTTTCTTTAACTGTTTCTGTACTTGAGCCATGGCGTTGTGATAGTGGTTTCCGGTTGGGTCAGGACCGGGCCCTACTAAATGGCTCGCAGTTGTGGTCACCTTTCTACCGAAGGCCTCGATACCTCGTGGCTAAATAATGAGATGTTAGACAACGAGCTCACGTGCACAGTGATGAAGGATATATTAGTAAAGAAAAAATTTAGAAAAATAGAGGCGGTGAGTACCGAGAATATCGAGTCCTCGCCCTTCTGGGCATCATCATGAACGGCATTGTTTGGGTCTGAATTGGCCATGCGCGTATCTACACGTATGTAATGATTACTATGGGCGAAGAAATGGTGGGCGGTCGCACGGTGCAAATGCCACACATTAAAGTGGTAGTGTACAAAAATTGAAAAATTGCCCGAAAATCCGATATGGATCTCCTCATAAAGCTATCCAGTAGGTTAGCATGAGGAGCTCGATATCATAGGCTGGTGCGAGATAAGATGAATAAAAAAAAGCGCGGAAATAAAATGGATAACTAGACGTTTTTTTTTTTTTTTTGGTGGGTTGAAGAAGATGCAAGTAAGGCAAGGCAAAAAGAGGCAAGGCAAGGCTTAACAAATGCTTTGTAGGTCTTCAAATTGATTGGATTGCTCTAAAAAAATTAGCTCTTGCATTCTTACTTGCTATCTTCATGTATTTCCTCATTCGGTTACACGAGTCTGGGGTTGTCATTGGTAAGTTAATTTTAGGGTGTATTGGTTATCATCTGCCTCAAGTGCTATACCTAGTGGTACTACGTATGGATTATGTAAGCATTTTGGGTTACGCAAATTACATACAACAGCTATGATAAAAGCAACTCAAGATTGGTTCATCTATCTATCTTATGTATATATATGTATAGATACAATATATGTACGTAGCTGCAGCACACTCACGCATTACATGTATGTACCTACGGCGGTACACACCATCTACTCCAACTCCAGCTGCAGGGTTACAGCGTTATGAAATAAAGTTTGCATGCCGCAACCGTCATTCCTTCCTTCTTTCAGGTCGTAGTGCCGCGTTGCGACATAACATTTGCTAGTATCAGGTCTGTATGCCACATGTATCCATATCACTTGAAGCTTGCTCCTTCCTCTACTCCTTAGTACATGGAAATCTTATTCAACACATCAATAATTGATTGAACACATACCACATGCACAGGGTACACAGGGAGGTAACACGGGCATTTCAGGTAGCGAATCTTAAAACTTGTGCTGCCCGAAAATCGGCTGCGACAAAGGAGATATTCTCCCTTCACCCTTCAGCCTTGTTCAAATGTTTGTCATTTTCAGCTACTTACACAGTAGTACCCAACACCTAGGTTACTAGCTTAAGGCAGTAAGGTGGTACATGCCTACTACTATGTAAGGAGCCCCTCTTTCATTGACAGAAACTCAATTCATTGACCGAACTTCATTGACTTCAAAAACTGCCCCGCCTCTTTTAAGTAGCCTTTTTAGTAGCCGTGCTATAACCGTGTCTACCAACCTATAGTTACACAGCATGCTCTTTGTTATCCAGTCATAAGCAACATTTCTTATATCCTATATCCCTTTACTGGCCAGAGATTCTAATAGACTTCCCTTTTCTCATTTCTAAGTTCATGTCCTAGTCGACGTTTCTATATATACGGAAGACACGGAAGATATACCAAACGAAGCGAAATAGCGCCTAAACATGGATGCCATAATCGATCTCAAGGATGCCTCCAAGGCCCTGGACCTATCCAACATTCGCTACCAGCTAATGTATACAAAGCTCGCCCTTCTCACGCCGTGTAGTAGCCGTAATGCTAACAAAAGGTGTCTAGTCGGCTAGAAGATACCATTACCTTCCACTTAATCGAGCGAGTCCAGTTCCCACTAAACAAGACCGTTTACACCCCGGGCGCAATAGAAATCGGCCAGGACAAGACTCTTAGTTTTATGGATTGGTACTTGCAAGAGCAAGAGAAGCTACAGTCTTTGATCCGACGCTACGAAGCTCCTGACGAGTACCCGTTCTTCCCCGGAGCCCTGCAGAAACCCATCCTGAAGCCCCTCGAATACCCCAAGATTCTCCACCCCAACAACGTCAATGTCAACGAGCAGATCAAGAAATTCTACATCGAAAAGTTCTTACCTGCTGTGTGCCCAGACTTTGGCCCGGATCGTGGCGTGTCGGACGAGAACTACGGATCTTCGGCTACTTGCGACATCGCATGTCTCCAGGCCATATCACGAAGGATACACTTTGGCAAGTTCGTGGCCGAGTCCAAGTTCCAATCGGACCCGGAGACCTACACCCACATGATCAAGGCAGGCGACCGAGACGGAATCGGTGAATCCATTACCAATGCCGCGGTCGAGAAGCAGGTGCTAGCACGGTTGGCGTTGAAGGCGCGCACCTATGGCACAGACCCATCTACGAACGGCTCGGATAGCGCCGGCAAAATTAACGTCGAGGCTGTAGTCTCCATGTACAGAGACTTTGTTATTCCGTTAACCAAGGAAGTGGAAGTCGACTACCTCATGCAACGGCTAGAATAAAGGGGTGAAACTCATGGGACATGGGATTAGAGGCATCGGAATGGTAAGACGGAAGAAAAAGGAAAAGAAATGAAAAGACGAAAAGCACTGGCTTTGACAGAGTATTTTTATATTTGCGTTGAATTGATTCATCTAAGATGATGGGCTTAGATATTCGCTAATTGCCTTTGCGGCACCTACAAACTTGCTAGCCTCAATTAATATCATGAAGCCACGAGGCATGACACCCATTTCTTGAAAAGCGCGTTTGCTATCTGCGATGGCCTCGTCGATCTTTGTGAAGTCGTAGCTGCCGTATGCCACCGCGTGCTTCTTCAACACCTCGTCCTCGGGGTGGAAGTAGAAGAGCGTCGCGTCCTGCTTCCCCTTCTTCCTCTTCCTCTCCGCCACGTCCAGCGTCGACTCCATCTCGTTGTATGTCTTGGAGATGATGAGGTAGTGCGAGAACTCGTAGGGCTCCTTGTCCTCGACGGCGGCCTCGATCTCGTCGATCAGCATGCCGTACATGGGCGGCGAGATCTCCGAGGGCATGTTGATCAGGCGCTCCGAGAGCACGAGCCCGACGTGCTGTTTCCCAGATCCAGGCGACAGCAGGCTGGGCACGACGTCGGCCAGGGCCTCGTTCGTCCGCGCCTTCTCGCAGATGTACCGCGTCAGGTCCGCGATGGGCTTCTTCTCCCGGTGCTCGTGCAGGTTCAGCGCCGTCAGGAAGGCGTACGCGTCCGTCTCCTTGCCGTCGACCTTCACGGTCGACCCGATGGTCGGCTGGGACAGGATCAGGTCGGCGAGGCCCGAGATGTCGAAGAGCGGGGCGTCGACGTCGAGGAGCTGGCGCAGAAGCGACTTGGTGCCGTGGAAGTCGATCTCGGAGTCGAAGTTGAACCACTCGAAGTCCACGTTCACCATGTCGAAGTCCTGCGACACACACCACTTGGTTAGCTGGGATGGTTTGTGTGACTGGACTGGACTGGCTGGCTGACTCGGCTGAGTCAATGCGCCGTCGGGTGGGTGCTGAGTCCTAACTCACGTCATCGTCTGAGCTGTCCCCATCTTCTACCATCTTGTCGGGCGCCTCAGCAGCGCCGTCGGCTTCTCTAGCTCGCTTTTTTGCCATTTTGCTTCTTCTTCTTCTTCTTCGTCTTACTGATTTGAATGTGTATTAGGTAGGATACGTAAAGTAAATACTTCGATAGTAGATAAGCTATTTAACATTAATTAAATTATACATATGTAGTTCAGCGGCTGAGCTGAGAACTTGATAGTCTAGGGCGGTGTGTCACAAAAAGAAAAAAAAATATTCTGCCGTTTGGCTGACTGCCCCTCACTAATCCGGTTTGGGTTTGATAGCTGTATGGCCCGTATCTAGCGGCCTACGTACCTAAAGGCTACTAGGTAAAGTACCTAGTACTATTTATTACAGTACCTAGTACCTTGTAGCAGGTACCCGTGGACGCTTTACAGTTCTGTCATCAGTGTCATGGCGGCATGGTAGTTGATAGATAACTTGAAAGGTACCTAGTAATCAATCAACCTTAAGCTTCTGCTAAAGTCTGACGCTCAAGAAACTTTGAACGAACGTTAATGCTTATTTCATCTATCATTTCTCGTATATCGTCGAAATCATATTCAACTATACTCTTGTTTCAGAAGATGGTGGGCCTACTAAGGTTGGGCAAGCGTTCGTAACCTCTTAAGTAGTTAAGACTATTGAAATATCTAGAGGTGAAAACGAAACCTAAAATATGGAAATGTAAAAGAGATTACCAAGGAAAATAAACCTCACGAAGAGATATCAGCTGAGACTGGGCAACTTAGGAAAAGGGAAATACGAAGAAATGCTCACTGTCAGAGAGAACTGCCGTCCGACTTGGCATTGTCGTCAGAGCTCGCCCGCATTCCGTGAAGTCACCTTTTTCTTTTCCCTCCCGGTCTTGCGGCCTGATTCCGTCGCAGCGGATGCCGAGGTATTTTAGCCAATTTTATGGTGTACGCGTGTTCTTTAATTTTTTTTTCTTGATTTCTATTTCTATTTTTATTTGTGCTATTCTTATTATTACCATAGCATAAGAAGCTCCGTCGATCGATCGATCAGCTTGATTTCGAATGCAAGCAAGAATGGCGTCTTCGATCTCGCAGCTTTGCGTGATCACCATCAAAATATACATCTCTCTAGATATAGAGTTGTAAATATATGCAGACAGAGAGGTGTGTGACTGCATGACTCGTGCTACCTCGTGAGTTCCGGCGGCGACGATAGTAGGTTGCTTAGCACTCGGCCAGCCCAACCCTCCATTAACTTGCCTGCACCTACCTACCTGATAGGTTTTAGGCATTGGTGGTGAGAGTAGATCGAAAATCATCAGGATCGACACACCCCTTGGTTGGACCTTGGATAGCATGCAGCCCACTCACCCCTTCCTGTCCGAGTCGAAAATCTGCCATGCCTATTCAAGAACTCCGGTAACTATTTCATTGGCCAGGAAATTTTCCGATTCATGCGAGCTCATGTGGCCTACATCGTTACCCGGCGAATCATAAAAATCTGGGGTATAGGGGGGAGGGGGGGATGATAGAACGAACGCCTTACGAACTCTAGCGATGAGTACTACAAGTCGGTTCAGGCTGATAAATGGGGATCGAGATATAATCAAGCACGGTATTTCCTCTCTAACCATATGCACGTATATGCTCCTCGCCGCAATATAGATTTATATAGCACGCCATTGCAATCAAGACAGGCATTGTTGATGCCATCAAGGTAAAGAACGGTTTCGAACGACCAATATATTACTAGTGGGTATAATTCCGTAGGACGCGTGTCCCCCCTTATGTGAGCTCGTAAGCGAGAATGCACGACCAGTACTCCTAACCCAGGACCCGGGCCCTTTCTTTCCCATTGAACTCCCATTCCCAAAAACTCCCCTTGGTCCGGATGGAGTTTTTTAATTCGAACATGAAAGATTTTGAACTAGGATTGCCAAAAAAAAAAATGTTGTGTAAAAATTCAATGCAAAATTGTCTTTTCTTTTTGATGCCGAATGAAACCACAAAAACCCTGGTTTCACGCAAGGCCCCCCCAATCCATATAACATGCTATGCAGATGATAAAAAAAGCAATTGCTTGGTTTTTGCAAAAATTAAAAATCCTGGTTTCACCGAGGAAGAGACGCTGAGGGGAGACACAGGTAATCGCTTGGCAGGTCCGTAACGCTGAATGCGTTCTTAGTGGCTTGGTCGAGGGTTTGAACTGGACTGAACGGGGTGATGGATTCTGAATTGGGAGTCTTGGTAGGGGTAAGTTGCAGGCCCAGGCCTATCACAGCCTGGCCTGAGCTCATCGTCTTCGTGTGTTTCGGCTGGTTCTCGTGGCACACGAATTCCACGCCCTCCTCAAGCAATTCCCTTCTGGCCATCTCGATATCGTGCCTCGCTTGCTTGATAGACTTTTCCTCCCACAGCGGCAAAATGCGATAGCCTAGGTTCTCCATGATACATCGTTCGGTGAAGTTGATCTGCTCGCATGTCCAGACGTCTCGGCCCCACGCCGAACTGTAGTATTGAATCGACTCCTGTAAATCCTCTACGAATTTATCGGCAATTATTAACGAGGTCAGGATGATGATCTCGGGGAACACGCTGTCTATGTGCAGGGCTTGAACAGCTCCAGAAGGGAGCGTGTGGCGCTTCGGCAGGTCGGCATGCTTATTCAGGGGGAAGGAGATTCGCCAGCTTCGAGAAAATCTGGCATTCAAGGAGTCCAAAATGCAGACCGCCAGGGCAATGATGTCCATTGGCAGGTTCGCACGTGCTAAGATTCCCTGCACCATAGGGATAGACGGCGTCATAAATGAAGCTCCTGGTGGTAGCATTCTAGCTAGGTGAGCAGCGGGGCCTAAAAAAATTGATTAGCTTAAAGCATGTAATTGCTGAATGTCCCACTACTTACCAAGGTACTCAGAGTTAGCACTTTCGACATCTTCAGCCAAAATTCGAGGACTTTGAGCTGCAGATGAGTTTTTGGAGGAGGGCGGCGGTGTGGGGAGGTTAGACAATGGCTTGTAGAATTGCCTAAAGTAAGCGTCGTCGAATTCGAAATCGTCGTCGTAAGTCGAGATACACCTGGAGTGACCCATTGTGGATATAGTTATGAAAGTGGTGGGCAAAAAATATTTCAATATTTCAAGTATTTCAGGGAGCCAGATAAGAAATAAACCACGATGTGTTCGTCGAAGAACAGCTCATATTTAAATCAACCCAAGGCTTTTTTAAAGGTTCAGCTGAAAATACAATGCCTAACCCTAAGAATTGTATCACGGGGTTCAAGCTACTCGCATAAGTTTTGCTAGTACCGTCAGGTCGTGGTCGTGAATCAGGGAAAACGACCGAGGGGGATGTTATATACGCAAGTGAAGGCGCTAATGAGTACAAGCGCCTTCGGGTATTCGGCGAGGGTTGAAACGTCAATCAGTACTTCCTCGAAAGTGCATACGAATATAACCAAGATTTATATATGGGAATAAGGAATAAATATATGTTTGAAGAGATAGGTGTGGATGAGGCGAGGGGGATCGAGCTTATTATGCAAACGAACGCACAGGTCAGAAGCAAAACCGAGCACTTGCAGCCAGGGCCTGTGTGATTCCAGGGTTGTCCATGTAACTATGTAGTGTATGTACTACTACTATGTACTACCAAATCTATGGAGTACGGGGATGAGGTATACGATACATGACATTATTACATGTATAGGATGGATGGGTAGACTGTGTGTTAGCTGTGTGTACGTTGTATGTACAAGTACCTCACGCGAGCATAGCCGTATTCTAGTATTCATACTTGACAAGGTACCTACTTACCCAGGTAGGGAGGTCCAATCATACGTAGTAAAGTCTTTTTAATCTTTACTACCTATGTAACTTTGCGGCTACCTATAATAGTTATACTATTTGTTGCATTAAAGAGGTGGTTATTAGAAGAAGAAGAATAACTATAACTATTAGTTAGTTAGGCGTGAAATTTAAAAATAAATAGACGGAAAGGCTGAGTCGTAAGCGGAATAATTAGTAGAAAAGAAAGAAAGACTATTTGTACGATATTGATACGTATCAATAGAGTGCACAACAGGTGTCAATGTATGTATGTGCGTAGTCAAACATGTCGTTATATGTAGAACAAAGTTGAAAGAGGCTTGATAGAAAGTAAAAATCATTAACGTCTTTAGAGATCACGCAAGCTTCCTTGCAGCTTGCTCATTCTACATAGGTACCTGTAGGCTAGGTACCTGAATATTATTCGAAATAAAGATGCCTACAGACAGTCCTGGTTCAATGCTTATACCCATCAAATGGAACCTTGGCTCCAGAGGGCGAATTGGCTATCTCTTTCTCTCTAACCAAAGAAAGAGAGAATATAATATCTAAGATTAGATAGTTGGAGAACAGACTCGAGCAAATCACTCACAGATCATCGGCGATTACCTACCATGCTGCCATCCATGAATTCATATCATCTTCAGGTTGTCAGGCCATCAGATGCAGCCCCAACCCCCCGCCTAGTGTTGTCTTGAATCAAGTAGTGTATGTAACTGGGGAGGGGGCTCGAGTTCTTCGTCCCGTCGTTCTTTGTCCTGACCTATCCAGGTTATAAACCCCACACAGCGGCATAGCACCACAGCTAAGGACATCCGTTAAGAAGGGCGGAAACAGGGATAAAGACTAACGAACGAACGATGGCGGCAGAGTGGCATCGATCAAGAAAGGATATTTTAGGTAACTAGATGTATGTACCTTAGCGAAGGGGCTTTCTATGACACATGTACAGAGTACATAGCATCCATAACTGGCATACATGTATGTACTATGTAGGTATGTACACAAAGTATGTTCAATACATACATACGTATGTAGTGTAGGACTGTAAGACCAGTGTAGGTAATAGGTTGCTGCCGAAACTCCAGCGGTGAGTGGGTTCAATGTTGGGATGCAAGTATCAAATTGCCAATGGATGGATGGAAATGTTAAGTGTAAAGTACAAAATAACAAACTAAAATGATAAAACTGGTAAAGTTGTAGCTTTGAGCTTGTCCCTTTCTGGGTTTAGCTTTCCAAGGTTGCCTGAGCGGGGGCTGAGCTGCTCACCCACTTAATTCAAGTTAGTTAATGGATAGTTAGCCAACATCAAGAACATTGAAGGCACCAATGTTAGTTAGGTGGTACATGTAGGTATCCATGGACCCTTGTATTTTCTTATTTCATGGTACAGAAACTTAAGCGAGACAACGTTAAAGTGCTACGCCTCAATCAAAGTATCTTTTGCTACTTCACTTCAATATTCTTTCATTATTGATGTACCATGGGCCCCCTTTCTCTTCAATCAATGATGTTCAACTTCAATTCTTCAACTTCCTTTTCAACCTATCCCCTTCCCTTTCCTCCCTTCTACCCCTCGAAAACTATGAACATCATCTAAAATCATCGTCATGATTTTCATCAGCTTTCTACTAACTATGTAATATACTAATATGTAATATGTGCCGAGACCTATCTTACCTACCTTTTTCATCTACATGCATTTACTATTATTTCATATTCATACTCAAGTAGCCTATCATCTAAGCTACACTAACTAGTGTTTACATTCTCATGAACCAACTCAACTATCATCACCACCATTACACAGTCCAAACCCATTGTCTTCCTTAAAAGTATTATGACCATATGTAGCCCTGCGCCAACATGACAAGCCTCCCTTAAGGATGCATAAGCCTTCTCTGGGCCTTCACCGCTTTCTAAAAATCACGTACAGCTATGTAACTAAATATTTATTTACCTACATTGTCACGGCACGAAGTGACGTATAATATACGATCGCCGGCGTCTCCTCGGATTTGGAATTCTCGGATCGGCTCTCCAGGCAAGTAAGGAACCCATTGCACGCTTTTCGGTCGATACGTTGCATTAGTGAGTGGATCACCTCATTTCCGCTGTTCTAAAAGTGGATATTCAGGGTCTTCGCCACGGAACGGGTCTTGGTTGTATTCGATTCTCTATTTGTCCGGCCCTCGCGAGGCAAGGCCCCCTCTTTTACGAGGCCAGCGTGTCACCACATAGTTATATCTCCGTCGAGAGCTCGTATGTTTAAATTGTGCAACGGTTATCTGACTTTAAGAGACATGCATATTGCACCCGCGCTTCCCGAGCCTCAACTGCGTCCGATAAAGGTAAAGATGAGTGATGGTGATGGTGATGGTGATGGTGATACTCGAAACCACATCGACTCACTAATCGTCGACCCATGTGTTAGAGGGCAAAATCGACGCTGAGATTTGTCCATTCTCCTCTCCCTATCTCAATGTTTTATCCTCTTAAATCATGCATCAAGAACTCTTCTATCTTCTTCTACGGATAGCCTACAATTCTGCGTGATCCATGGTCCATTGCTGGCCAGGCTCAGGTAAACATCGTGCGCGAGTAATGATCGACAGGGACATTGAGCAAGGACAAGAAAATCAGTCTCAGAATCTCCACAACCCGACGCTGTGGTTCTCAATCTGCCCATGAGCTATCGGTGTCGATCCAAACAGATATTTGCCAACTCGAGAATCAAGCAGCCTTTTGATGTAGTATTGCCGTTAACTATACGGAAGACATGCAACGTACCGCGCGACTAGTCTTGCAACATCTAGTCTCAAGCCGTCGAAGAAATTCTGCGAACGCCTAAAAGTTACTATAAGATGCTCTAGCTGCATTTCCCAAGGCGCGCGCGGTTGGCCACCAATAAAAGGGCTTCTTGGTATGCCATAGCCTTTTCAGCTCCTTCAGCCCAACGCTATGTACTGCTCGCTTCGTCGATGTACTTTTACATTCGAGCACATCCATGGTAACCTGGGTTGGTTTTCAAACTTTGTCAAACTCCGAATATGAAGTAATAAAGACGCCTACTTTAATCCGATTTAGTCCTATCCGGCCCTGTTTTCAAAACTCGAAGCAATGTCGAAAGATATAGAGAGACCAAGTTTTAAACAAGTGAAGTAAGAAAGTCTATGCTATTTTTCGTTTTCGCAGACTAAAAGACAGATGCGATCGATCGAGTCAGTATTCTGCATGAGATATCTAACTATTTGGGTTGTGAGCGACGTATGTACCTGAATACCCCAGGGGATCATCTCTCGCTTGCTAATGATGTGCCTACATACATATTTATGTTGCTAGCGGTACCTGGTTGATGGCCCATCTGTTTTAAATCTAAGAAAATCTGAGGCTAGGCCCAGAGTGGAATTTGATCTTTTTCCCCTATCGAGATTCGTTTCAACAATATGACGTTAAAGTGTATATGCTCCAGCCTTAAAGGGGGTCTTAAAGGGGTTCAATATTTGGAAAGAACCCTGGTGTCTTTCACTCAGTATAGCAGCAAGCGATATATTACCAACCTGGGTAAGTAGGTGCTTAAGCATCTCATCCTCTCAATTATCTATTTCCAGTGGACAATGACGTTCAAGGGCTCTCTGATTTGTGGGCTCTGGCTGAAGCCAAAATCAGCTTCGAAATTCGCTTGACTTGAACTCAGTCGTGTTCAAGCTGTTGAGCCTGGGATTTCTCAAAGCGCTTCCGCAAAGTCGCTGACAAACATATCCGGATACCTACTCCAACTTATCAAGGCAGATTTGCGGTGGAAATTTAGGCGGTGGAAAGTGGACAGCGTTATATGAGCGGCGTCTGTGCCTTGTCCTGGACCTCGGAAGGAAGCTGCTCGCGAAGTTGAGTTGATTGTACATGTTGCACGATCTCTCCTTCATCCTCCACGCGTTTGTGGGGAGACGGCGTTATCCGTCGACTCGTCTTTTTGGACACGGCGTCGATCACGTCACGCGGGACCACAGAGACCCGCGTCGCCACTTACTTCTTATCCTTGTCCACGCGCGCTATGATCAGGGCATTCTTCGCTGCGGCCGGCTGGGCCGGCTGGGCCAGTTGCTCGGGAAGGGCACCGCTTGCACGAGCAGTCTGAATCGGCGTCTCCACTTAGCCGATGGGGATGATCGGCTCGTAGCAAATGCACTTAGCAACTGTTCGCGACCTCCCCATTTTTGACCAGCCGTCCGAGCTGCTACAGTGCACCACGGGTAAGCGAGACCCCGGCATCACTAAAGATGTAGACGGTGTACAGACAGCTGTGGATGTCCTCCGTGAAGAGTGGGAAGATACATATTGACACAGGGATGGTGGGCGTGGTATACGCCTCGTTGCCACGGCAGGCGAAGATGATGGCGTTGGCATGGTTGGCCGTGTCGAAGGCATCGCGCTCGATGCCACAAGAGCCGCCGTAGCCAGGTGTGTCGATGATGAGTAGCGTCTTACTCTGGGAAAAGGGGCAAGAATCGCCGGATGCGGAAGCAGATGACAATCAATGTCACTGACGCAAACTGCTTGGCACCACGATCGCCCACAACCAAGATACGTGCGTGATCGTCGATCTCAATGCGAAGCAGGTACAAACGACAGCGCTGATCTCGGTGCTCTTGTGACTGTCAGTGCACGCAAACACGGCCACTACCTATAGTATCGTCTTGGTCTTCAATCGGCATAGCCCCAAATCTCGGGCTCGAGGTCGACGATTCGCGCGGCAATGTCGTCCTGGGACCGATGATACGCGGTATAATGCCGAGCTGCTTCGGTGAGACCGAGAAAGAGTGTTATCGTGTTACCAGCCGAGGCGTATAGGCTCCATTGCTTCCTTCGCGGGGTACCCCCTTGCTTCACGTTCTTCTTAGGAACCGCTCTAGAGAGATTGTCCCTTGTTCTTGTTAAAGAGATATATCGTCCTAGAAGCTACCATTAGCATCATCTAGGAGGAGGTTGAGCCGACGGCAGTATTTAGTGATGCAGTCTATCGTCGGTATAGCCAGCTACTCGGTGCTCGAGTTTCTTGCGCTCTTGAAACCTGGACCATTTTCATTTCTTGCCCATCGACGGCTAGCTCCGGTGTTCATCTTCGTGATAAACTGCTCTGCGAACTCAATGCGCTGCTGGAATGGAAGAGGGCCACAACTGCTTGGGGTTCAGCAACCTTGGCATTCTCATCAATCGTGCCGTCACGCAGTTCAGGCAAAGGTTTGTAGCGGTGTCGCAGTCGTCTTGATGACTGAACTGGTGTCGATGTTGCGTATAAAGCGGCTCACATTATCGTCAAGCCCTCAGTGGCATGAGCGGGTAATGGAGTTCGTTCAGCCGTTTTGCTAGCTTCGTGGGCATATCCACCGCAACGCGGCAGACGTTTTCTACTTTAGACACTCCTGACCATTGCGCCGCTATTCAAGATCTTAAGGTTCTTGAACACAGATTCGCCTTTGTCTGAGAGATTCGCCTTGGCGCTACCGTTGATCGGGGTCTTCACGATGCTCACCTTCAGCCCGCCCGTGAGCTTCTTAGCCGCCTCATCTGATGAACAGGCCTAAACAAAGCTGAGGGTACCGCTGAAGAACTACGAGTTGTGGGCTTCGTACGCAGACCGAGCTATACATCCTGCCCGATCGTAGGCTCGGATGGAGCCAGTTCGTTAGAGGAGCCACCTTTTTCTTGGTGGGAGCCAGGTAGACGACGACATATGAGGGTCAAGTCTGGCCAAAAATTGCCTCTCTTTTTTCTATCTATGGATACCTAAGTCTTAACAAACGACTCAAGATTTCAATTTGGCACTGTCCTCGATCACCTTCGTCAATTTCGTCTCCACGTCTTTCAGATTATCCAGTCCCTCTTGGACCTCGGATTTGTCCTTGTATGTTTCTTTGACGTCGTCAAGTTTGTTCCACGAGAATGTGACCCATGCGAGACAGTTTCTGAGATCGTCTGCGCCTGATTCATTTAGACGTTTCGGCCCAAGGTCGGATAGGTTATCCGCCAACTCCTTCAGCTCCAAGACATTCTTCACAAGCTTGTCGACATCGTCGGCGCTGTTAATGTTGATGTAGTAGAGGATAATTTTCTCTGGCATGTTGATATAATATTGGAGGTAGGTGTTCTGCTGGGTATTATTTTGTTATTGTTTTTCCTACGTTGCTAGTATGAAATATTGAGTTAAGTCTTTAAGTCTTAAAGAGACCGGTGAGGCCGTATTTATATCCTACAATATGAATCAACTTATTGGTACGATGACGAGACCTAATGTTATGTGTGAAAACTCTCCACAGTATGGGATGGGAAGAGCATGCGTCATCTCAAGCTATAGCCACCTCAGTCCCAGGACTGGACTATGAAATGGGTGTGAGGTGCTTTTACTCATATCACTCAGGTGTTTTTACCGCGCCGATTAATATCTGACTTCATTCGAATCATGGCATGACCTAAGGTAGATGATTACATTAAAACAGCACATCTAAAATATACTTCTTGAATTATCAGATGTTACGTACCACTTCAGAGATACGTAGTGACTTATAATTTGTAAATGAGCATATTCCATTTCATTCGACGTACTCCCTATAGATGTCTTCGTGCACTTGCTATGATACTTGCTCTGACATGCTGGAAATTTCTGACTGTAGTTTTCGAGACACTTCGTACATAAGAGTAGAGTAACTCGGCGTTTTCAGGACAGACATATATATATAGTACTGTCTCGGCTCGAAATTTGTGGTTTTGGACTAGACTCGATATAACTGTGACAAAGAAAACGAACTCAAATATGGATCACAACAATAAGAAGCCAGATTTCTACACCATACTCAATGTCAGCCGTGACGCTGATGTGAGTGGCATTAGGGCCGCTTACTTGAAACTGAGCTTCAAGTATCATCCAGACAAGCTTGGCGTGTCCTCCGAAGCAAGTCACGGCAACTTTGTTCAGCTGAGAGAAGCATATGAGACTCTCATAGATCCAGTCCGCCGCCGGGCCTACGACAGGGAGCTTCCTCCACGGCCACGACCACGACAGGAGCCCGAGATGCCAAAGCAACGCCCACACTGGAACCCACACTGGAAGAGACCGCAAAGAAAAGAAAGCCCGCCGTCAGCTTTTAGCTCGTGGAACATTTACTCGATACGGACCGTGCTAGATCGCCAGGAGCCTATAGCAAGACTGTGGGATGCATGCCTACGGTTTCGATCGATTCCACCCTGGATATTTCCCAGAAACCACTCCTTCCTAAAGCTTGAGAGAAACTTTTGCGCGGAGCGAAATAACTGGATTCGGCTGAGAGATGAGCTCAATATGGCTATGCGTGGAAGCACTATGAGCGAACCGGCTGATAGGCATTCCAATATCATTGCCAAGTACTCTCAGCTTAGCAGCAGAATAGGGACCCTGGACTATATTGTTAGAAATGTTCTGGTTATTGTTGATGCGCATTGTCGTAGCCGTGGTACGCCGTTTTTGCCTCCCTTTTTTCTGTGGCAAGACTACCGGGTACACGTGGAGCTTAGCAACAGAATGCTGCCGTACTTGGCATGGTATTATGCTGAATCTACCGAAGGGTAGGTGCTTAAGCAGATAAGTTTGGCGGACGTCGACAACGGATTTCGATCCAAGTATATTGGCATCGTGTCCTGCAGACGATACGGCGTACAGCAGGTCGAACTTTTGTTCAGAAGCTAGACCTTTCCGGCTTGATGCGAGCCCTTATGTGACTACCGAGGTATTCACAGCAACATTGAAGATATAATTAAGTTACACAACCAGGTACATGCAATACTAGACTACTACATAGTACAGTGCTGGACTCATACAAATGCAGTTGTCCGTATTCAAGATACACGACAGGAGACACAAAACGGACAGAGTCGGCCAGTCGGCCGAATCTTACAAGGGTCACCATGCTGTCTATTCGCTTCGATGCTTCCGAGACATTCAGGCGATGCGAGTCGCTTAGAAAAGACTCAAAAGAGACATGAGGATTCTTCTGTGTAACAAGTTGGCCAAATCAACGCTCTGCTCCGTGCCATGAAGCGCCAGGGGCATTGGCTGGGCACGGGCTAGCTACATGTTGTGTATTACCATATTCTTGATTGGACATTCGAATTGATGATCTAATATACACTTATTACACTATGTAGGTAGGACCAGGTAGGTAGGTAGGTAGGTAGGTAGGTAGGTAGGTAGGTAGGTAGGTAGGCTGGGAGATCAGGGATCCTTAGTACAGGCTATGTTGAATATTCAAGATTTACTATTACACAGAAACGCTTTTTGTTTGCTAATTATTGTGTTTATGTGTGTAGAATGTAGATATGTAAATCCAACCACCTCGTGATACACTGATACCACAATATGCATACTTTCAGATGTCAGTTGTCACCTCATGCCTCCCTCAAATAGGCACATATGGCGAATATTGTTCCACGAATCCTATAGAAAATCCGGTCTCAAATCCTTCAAGGGACATCGTGATCAATCTACTCGCCCCCCCTTACTACTTAGTACTAAGTATATGATAAGGTTAAATACCAAGCTACCTAACCTAGTGAGGAAGCCTACAAGACTTGGTGAAGAAAACCAGCAACGCTACAGACATAGTACGATCTATATATACGTAGACTAGAACCTTATCATTCCCTTGGATGCTAGTTCTATCTATACACATATATGACATATGCGTAGTTTGATGTTAGCTCCAGCATTAAGCATTTCGGATTTTTTCCCAGGCTATCGGGACTCGGGAGCTAAAACAACTTGGCCAACATTCTCATAGCATCAAACACGAGAACATACCTATGAATACGAAAATACGAGAAGATCAACTAACTTACATCGACGTACATGGAGCATTTATAGGCAGCCTCGATGAAGATAGACATCCACATCTATCTACATACATAGTTAACCTTAGACTATCTCGCTCAATTCAAGTATCGGTCGAGCCCGGTCCAACCCCCTGTGTGCCGTAGCTGTGCGTGCTTCTTCGCGCGCGTGGGTGGGAGCTGGGGAAGACGGGTTCAGGGTTCTAGAATGTAGGGATCCATGCACGCCATTAGATAGGAATATGTTATCATGGGCTCCTCTCGATATCCTGAAAAACTACCTAAGGTTAGGTATGTAACTAACAAGCAGAGTATGTCGCATCCGTAATTTTCTTCGACACCATTTGTGGGCCAACGCCATCCACCTGCCTTATCGTCTCAAACGGCCCCCCCAGAACGACCTACCTAATGCAGTTAAACCTGTTATGATATGGTTAACTCCCCCCCTGCAACATCGCGGATACCCTCTCTTTCTGGTGCTAGTCGTTAGGCACGTTCCGAGGAAGCGAAGACTTGGAAACCTCCAATATCCCTTGACGAGACAGCACTGGATCCTACAAGCACGAAATCAGAGGGGTCACCCGGCCGGATTAAAGAGAGGGAAAGATCGTATAGTAAGTCTCTGCCGCATCTCTGGCGTTTTTTCATTGGCTCAATTGCGGAATGTTTGTCTGGGCGTCGGCCGGAGGAAGGATTCTGTAAATGAATTTATCCTTAACTACCAAGACGCTTGGCGAACTGCCGTACCCAGTTGTACACCTAGAAAGCTTGCCTGCCCCGAGGATCATTTTCATAGGATCATGGTCCAGGGGGGGGTGAGAGAGGAGGGGAGGGAGAGAGATTAGTTAGCCAAGGTGCCGGGTCGCCTTCTCATTGGCCGTGTCCGTTGCGGATAACCTCATTTAGGATATATCAAGATTGATATGGCGGAAAAGAAAACCAAGCATCGCGCGCCGCTGATAAGCAAGCTGCAAGTGATCTACCTACCTACCCTAGGTAGTCTAGGTCCTGTAGGTTACCTAGTTAACTTAAGACAAAAGTCGTGATCGCTTAAGGCGAATTTGGCTATCATGACCTTGTCGGCTTGGCCTTTGCCCATTGCATTTTATCTTGGTTGTGTGTAGCGTTACATTGACATGTATGTATATTGGTCCAACACACCGATGATGGATCCTGTGTGTTTTGTGTCTCTGCTACCGTAGTGCCTACCTATACATAATAGCGCTCTCCCATAAAATTCCCCTTATCTTGGCTGCCACCCCAAGTCAACAGGTCTGCGTTTTTGTGCCTTCGAAGTTCCTACAGTTTTCTTCATGCAAAGCTGATTTCTTCCAATGGGTGAGTTTTTACGTGTGTGTGTGTGTGTGTGTGTGCCTTGCAGGTCCTAACGCCCCCCAAGACCTGCGAGATCGACACCTAGGTGCTTAGACATCTTGGCTTGCAATAGTTCGGAGAGCTAACCATTACCGCCTACACCACCAGATACCGGCACAACTATTCCCACGCTTGCGGCTCCCGTCAGCGCCGTGCGGGCTTCTGTCGACGATGGCGCGCTCAACGAGAAGACCCAGCCAGATGTCGTAGGGACAGATGTCTTAGGGAAGGAACACAGCGTCACCAGCGATGGCCATGAGACCTTCCATGGCCTCGTCCTCCCGACGGAAGAGGAGAAGAAGACGCTAAGGCGGGTGGCTGGCAAGATGCCCGCGGCTTGCTACTATCTCTGCGCCGTCGAGTTCGCTGAGCGTGCTTCTTACTACGGATGCAATCAGGTTAGTAATTACGACGATAACCGCAGTCGAACTTCACTTTGAAGGCTTCCCCACTCCTTGTAAATTAGTAGGATAGGGATCCATCACACGGGGAAAGGAAAACGGGTTATAAAGATCTCTCGAGATAGAAGGGAACTACGTTGAAACGTGCTACGGTTGACTAACATCATTATCCATAACAGGTCTACAAGAACTTCATCCGCGCCCCTCTGCCGCCAGACGGAAACGGCACCGGCGCCACGGCCCCCGGGTCCGAGTACACCGCGGGCGCTCTCGGCAAGGGCTCCGTGGTGGCCTCGGCCATGACGGAGGCCTTCAAGTTCCTGGCCTACGCGCTGCCCATCTACTTCGGATGGCTCGCGGACACCAAGTACGGCCGCTTCAAGATGATCTGCTGGGGTGTCGGGATCTGCGGTGTCGCGCACATCATCATGATCATCTCGGCCTTGCCGCCAGTGCTGCTCTCTGGAAACGCCATCGGTCCCTTTGCCTTGTCTCTGTGGTATGTATTGGAACGCTCTTTACTCTTGTCAATGGGAATGCTAACGTTTATGTAGTATGTTGTAGCATTTTCTTTTTTTACATCGTTATTCATTATGATCTGGCCCTTCGGGCTAGTCAGAACGAAAAGGAACACATAAAAGTGTCTCAGTGCACGAGGTATCTTTCTATGAATGGCTTGCTAATCGTCTTATAGATATGCTGTCAATCGGTGCTGCTCAGTTCAAGCCGAATATCTCGCCCACCATCATCGACCAGAGCCCTCACAAGGTCGCCCACGTCATCACCGACGAGAAAGGCGAGAAGGTGATCGTCGACCCCGAAGAATCTATCAACACGATCATGTTGTGGTTCTATGCGCTGATTAACTTGGGAGCTTGCTTCGGTAAGTGTTTTGTGATATGATATGGAAATTTGTCGATCCGGCATTTTTTCATATAAGCTTCCCCCGATTCATTTTTTGAGAATGAAATGAGAAAGAAGAGAGATCTGGGTTACTTCTGGTTCTAACGCATTCAAAGGTATTCCCACCACGTACCTGGCCAAGCTCGTGGGCTACTGGGCCGCGTATCTGATTCCCACGATCCTTTACCTAATGCTTCCACCACTACTATGGTACCTAAACCCCCGCCTCGTCAAACAGCCTCCCGGAGGCTCAGATCTCGGCAACGTGTTCAAGGTCCTGGGCGACATCTTCGCGCACGGCGGAATCAAGCGCATCGGCCGCAAGGGGTTCTGGGAGGCGGGCAAGCCGAGCGTGCGCAAGGCCGCCGGCAGCACCAAGGAGTACGAGTACGATGACCAGTTCGTCAACGACGTGCGCCGCACCTTCCAGGCCTGCGGCATCTTCCTCTTCTCGCCAATCTGGCAGATCAACGACGGTGGTCTCGGCGCCGCTGCTAACGCTCTTACCGCGGGCATGGACACGAACGGTCTGCCCAACGATCTGCTCGATAACTTGAACTCCGTCTCTATCGTCTTGGGTGAGTAATGCCGTCTATGAAATCCGGTATACGTGCGCGCGCAGGTTGCTAACAGACTTATCTCATACAGTTGTACCTCTGATGAACCACGTCATCTACCCGCTCCTCCGCAAGCGCGGCATCAAATGGGGCGCCATCTCGCGCATGACCTTCGGCTTCGCGCTCGGCACCATCGGCTCCATCGGGTACCCCGTGCTGCAGTACTACGTGTACAAGACCTCCCCCTGCGGCTGGAACGCCACCACGTGCGCCGAGATCCTGCCCGAGGGCGAGACGACCGTCTCCCCGATCTCGTACTCGCTGTACGCGATCCCCGTCATCATCACCGCCATCTCCGAGATCTTCGTCAACGTCACCGCCTACGGCATCGCCTACTCGCGCGCCCCCAAGAACATGAAAGGCCTCGTCGCCTCTATCAACCTCGCCATGACCGCCGTCTCCGCCGCCATCGGCCTCGGCACCGCACCCGCCATCCGCGACCCGTACCTCATCTGGGCGTTTGCGGCGCCGACTATCATCGGCGCGGTCTCCACGGTCGTCTTCTGGTTCACGTTTAGACACCTCGACCAGGAGGAGTTCGTCCTCAACACGGACTTTGCGGACATGAAGAAGGACTCGGATCGGGAGAGTGACGAGGAACGGGTGCCGCCGCCGAAGACGATCGATGAGAAGAAGTCTTAGGTGCTGATGGATAGGAGGGTGAATGATGTGTTGGATAGGCACTTGGAGGTGCTTTGCTCATTTTGGAGACGATACCTATGAATTACCTAAGGCCATTTCAGGGGGGCAGAGAGGGGGAGGGGCATCATATCCCTAGGCTGACGATATGACGATGTTTAATTGTAGCTGAAATACAACTATAGTTTGTATGCAATTCACAACATTGCCCTGTGACTGACGAGGTAACTACCTAGGTACGAGTCTTCGATAGTATTGTTACGTGGCCGAGTAGCAGTAAAGAACGAAGTATCTAAGTTACCTACCTACGCAAGTCACATAGGAGATCAAATGAGCAGAGCTCACAATGTAATATCAAAGTATCGGAAACAAGTCGACGATTGCTGGAGCTAATAATTTTTAAGCTGGCAAAGCCATATACGAGAGATATGAGAGAACACAGACAGAGGTTAGTGGGCATATTTCACAGTTTTGGTGAACTGGAAGGGGAAATCTCAAAAGCGTAGACGGGCTGCTGGCGTTGAGTGCCACTTACATACATAGTACACTTCGTAATCTAGTGACCTAGAGTAGAAAGGACCGGAGAAGCGCTAAATACCAGGGAACGATAGTTGGCGATAGTCTTTCTACCTAAGGCTAGATACTGAGTTTGATGATCTTATCTGGAGAGGCCTCTATTGAAGAATCGAGGGTCAGCTTGGATGCCCGGTTTAAAACAGTTTTGCGATGATCTGGAGTTTGGGTGGTCTCAATGGCGCTAGAAGTAACTGGATGACGATTTCCTGATACATAACAGGTGAGGAGACCTCCCTAAAACGGTTCCAAGCGAATATGGCAGGGGGGTAGCCGGGCCAATCATTTTCAGGGATATAATGTACTATAATCGTCGATGATGCGCTTCAATGGCTGTCGTAGATCCGTTATCAAGCTTTGGGTAGGTATACCTACCTACTGTAGGTAGACAGCTTAGGCAGATAGATAGCTATGATTGCCGCCCAGGGGCGAAAAGGCCTGGCGCATGCAGCGGGCGCTACACAAATCGTTGATGGCCATCTGTGTACCAATATCCCCCCGCCCCCCATCTTATATCTTGAAGCGCAATACTGAATTTGCTTGTGTTTCGTGTGTTGGACATTTACTGGGCTGACTTCGGTAGGTAAATGTTTGGCGAAACCAAAACCAAAACCCCCAACCCAGTGAACCCACCCTTAGGTAGGTACCTAAAGTTGATATAGAGAATATTGAATGGCATTGATATTTTAGACCGTGGTCGACGAACGTACTGGTCGATTTGATGGCGTTAAGCAGCTTCGTTGACATCACACTGTCACATCCTTAGCGCGCGCGGGGGAAGCGATGCAACGACACGGCTGCAAGGGTTGATAGGGCCCTTTTTCGACTGAATGTGCCGAAGATCAGCTGAGAGAGGTTCATGCTGGCTATCTACTAATTATGTTGTAAGATTCAAATCGAACATGTACATTTCAGTGAGTATCTCGCATAGATCGAGCATTACACTACATACATGTAGTTAGCATACAGACCTAGGCCCCGGACCTTGAACTCCTACTATGTACGCATGTGCCTTAGTAGGTATTATCATGTCCGTTTTCGAATGAACTGATGTCGACTATAATTCTTGGTAATGATTAACAGCAGTCCGATGACATGGTGGCATGTTGGTAACTTGAGTGTAAGAGATAGGTATCAGATAGAAACATTGGCCAGGTGAAGATATTGTAAAATATCCAATCAACTTATGATGCCGAGGCTCTAGGTAGTTACTACTAATAGTACATAATGTAATAGTTAGTAACTTGTGACTGATGAAAATAAAAAAAAAGCAGGTGGCGGGATAAATATTATTGTGCAACATTTTGTGCAACATTCATCTTGAAATGCATCATTTCAATAAAGTTGGAACTCAAAATGTTGGACACAATTGAGGTTCCGACGCCGTGGGAAGCTACTGTGTTCCAATATAATTGATGATTGGCAGTTGCCGAACACTTAAACATGCAACTCGGGATGGCTCACCAGGCTCAGCCCCAATTGCTGCGTGTACATATGTAGTACTTGCAGACGGATGTACTGTACGAAGTACATAAACGGGTCCAACGGGTCAAACGGGTGAAGGTGGGATTAAACATTGAATTTATTAGTGGTTTTAGTGGTCCAGAACTTGGAAACTGCCCCCCAAAAGTCTCCAAAAGCCCCCAAAGACCAACGCTAACTCTGCACGCTATTACGCTGTACATGGATGGATACATTGAAATGCTTGAATAGCATAATCAATGTCGCTACGTACCTGAATATTTCGTAATTGCCCACATGTTTTGCTTTGCGCTTGTACGAAGTATGTACTACATGTACATACCTAGGTACAATTGTCGTCCGGGAGATCAATTAACTACCTAGTACATAGTTTTCTTTGCTTTTTGCTTGTTCTTGTTAATAACATTAACAGTTAACTAGTTCCAATTGTTAGTTGTAAAGACTTCACAGACCCAAGACCCAAGACCCAAGACTAGGCGAAAAGATTCTTTTACACACGTCAGCGTCAATGTTGCTCGTTTGTTCCTTCAACAAAAATCGTAAACAATGAACATTGAACAATACCCTCTATCAAATTTAATACCAACATCACGTTGAATAGTTGAACATTTGAACCTCGGGAAAGATATCTTCAACTCAGTCAGAGAACCGAAGCCCTCCACTTGCTTGACAAGAAGCCCTTGTTACTTATATTATCCGTTTCATAAACCAGCCCAGCTACCTATACTACATGCAGGCCGGCCTAATAATTCGGACTACATACCTAGTACATACCTGCTATCTAACCTAGCGACCAACTACCCAGTACTCCTAGCCTCTTGCTCCCACAACTATCGTCTCATATTGAACACCCCCTACTACAGACAGACAGACTACATACTACCTACATACTACTCTACCGACCTATCTACTTCCTACCTAGGTATTCTTGACGTGACCACACACGTTTCCAACTAGGTTCACATTTGTCCTGCTGTGCCTTTGCTAACGACTTTGGAATTCTTTGGTTACCTCTTACCTTGCTAGCTTGCTGTTTTTTTTTTCTTCTTCCTTTTTAGTTTCTATCGATGAACTGGATATTCATCGTTAACTTTTGACTTTGTCCTTGAGCTTGGACTTCCTAATTACCGTACTTGCATAGAACTCGGTCCCCCGTCGAGCCACGCCCATGTCTTGGTACCTAAGACCTTTACCTACCTACTAAATCCTATAATCCCGTAACCAGTACGAAATAGAGGTTTCTCTTAAAATCCGAATTCTTGGAGAGAGTATTGTATTGATCTACTACTCTTCTCATGTCTGAAGAGTTCGCGCTTCACGAACTTTGTGACCTACCATCCCAATTCAACTATACCGCCCTCTTCGACCGTTCCCTTGCGCTCCGGCAGTAGACAGGCAGTCAAATTGTTGAATCCGAATACAAATTTACACGGCGACTCGTCGCCAATCCCGCGGCATCATCATGGATCAAACGGGCCAGATCCTCGCTACGGCCAACCAGATATATGCCAGGGCAAACGAAACCAGTACCGACCCTACTACACAAACTCGACCACCTACGTACAAGGCTATTGGTATATCATTGGCCATCGCATCTGGCTGCTTCATCGGAGTATCTTTTGTGATGAAGAAGGTCGGGTTACTCAAAGCCAACGAGAAATATAACGAAGTCGCTGGTGAGGGTTATGGCTATCTCAAGAACGCCTTTTGGTGGGGTGGCATGACCTTGATGATCATCGGCGAGATCTGCAACTTTGCTGCGTACGCTTTTACCGATGCCATCCTAGTTACGTCTCTGGGCGCCCTATCCGTCGTTATCACCGCCGTTCTGTCGGCCATCTTCTTAAAGGAAAGGCTGAGCATGGTAGGCCAGGTTGCTTGCTTTCTTTGTATAGTCGGATCCGTCATTATCGTCTTGAACGCCCCAGAAGAATCGTCTGTGGCCAACATACAGGAGCTACAAAAATTCGTCGTTACGCCGGGTTTTCTGTCTTATACCGGCGTCATCATCATCGGTGCCCTTTTTATAGTATTCTGGGTCGGGCCACGATACGGACAGAAAAACATGTTTCCTTACATCTCAGTTTGTAGCTGGATTGGGGGATTGAGTGTCGTCGCTACCCAGGGTTTGGGCGCTGCTATTGTCGCGCAGGCCGGTGGTACTCCCCAGTTCAACCAATGGTTCCTATATGTTGTTCTCGTCTTCGTGATAGGGACTCTGTTAACGGAAATCATATTTTTGAATGTAAGTCAGCCGTATGGAGGCTTAAACTAGGCGTACATGTAGGTACTAACCCTTCTTTTAGAAAGCGCTCAATATATTCAATGCGGCCATGGTCACCCCGACATATTATGTATACTTTACCAGCACGACCATCATCACCTCAGCGGTTCTTTTTCAGGGATTTAAGGGCACAGCAATGCAAATTGTCACGGTAGTCATGGGATTTCTTACTATTTGCGCAGGCGTTGTTCTACTCCAATTATCGAAGTCGGCTAAAGATGTTCCGGATACGGCTGTGTTTACTGGAGACTTGGACCAGATACATACGATCGCCGAACAGGAGCAGCCAGAAACGGAACCCAAGGCCGATGCTATTCGTGGAGCCGCCGCGATCGTTCGACGAATCTCGTTTACGCGGCAGAAGATGGAAGAACAGGAATTCCGGCGACTTCGTGAAGAGAAAGAAATGGAACGTCTTGCGACAGTTAGTGAAGATGGCTCTCAGGTATACGAGTGGGATGGATTAAGGCGGAGAAGGACTACTACTATCAGCAGTCACAGAAGCCGTAACATAGCGACCCCGAGCCCAGTCAACACTCCGGCCGCGCATTTACCCCTAGGCAGATCAAGATTCCCGACGGAAGATGAATTGGCCGAGGAACGCAATCGTCAGATGTCCCCTAGTATGTTGTCAAGTATCGCAGGCACCATTCGAACTCGGGCCAGGAGTGTTCTACTTCCAGGGCATCCGGATTTTCGTTCATCGGACCATGTCCCCCAGGTTCAGAGCCCAATGCATCCGATGCAATTGACTGACATTGCGGTTCCAGGCCAGAAGTACGGAAACGAACCCGGAATATACGGTGCCAGTGCAGATCATGTTTACGGACTCCCGGATGCCCTACGGAAGACGGAATATGTTGGCGCCGGGAGCATAGCATCTGGTAGTACCGGACGACGTATCCAATTCGCGGAAACACTGAAGCCAAGCGCTAGCATCGAATCTCTGGCGCCGCCAATACCGCCACCTCACGCGGAGGCACCCTCAGCACGTCGGCAATTCTCGTTCCAAAATGTGTTCCGTCGGCACCAAGCTGACAGTGGACAGGAACCAGCACTACCGATGTCGAGGGATCTACCGCCGTCACGCCATGGTCTGGGCTCACGCGGTTATTCGGACCGTCAGGCACGGACAAAGAATGCGACTGAAGAGGAACGACTAGGTCTCGTTAAAGGTGATTCGAAGTCTACGCCAGCACTACCGCAATACAACGACGTCAACATCGACGACGATAGCGACGAAAGCGACGATGATACATATGTGGATGATAAGAGAGCAGCCCGATACGGAAGGGGTATCACGAACAGTCCACTTGGTAGGGAGAGGGACGACAAAGAGGCCGAACTCGACGATTATGAATCGGGCCAAAGAGGTTGGAACGAGAGTCGTCGTGAAAGTAGAGAGGTCGCGCCCCGAAGTTTACCACCGCTGCCACCGCTGCCACCGCTGCCACCGGGACCACCAGGGCCACCAGGATCAACGGGACCACCGAGACCAACAGGACCGCCGGGACCACCGGGACGACAGAATCCACCTCGTGGCGGTGACGGGGCTTTTATCTAAGGGCCAGACAGACAGAAGGATAGAAAGACAGAACGACAGAAATGTCCATGAGATGAGACATGAGCGACACGCATCTTCCTTTATTCATCATGAAATGATTACTTGCATTCCTTGTTGGTGGTCTCGGTCGGTTGTACGAATACTCGAGTCACGGCGCTTATCATAAGTTGGCTAGAGTCAGGAAAGAGATACAAAAGTCGTGGTACGGCAGGCTGCATTGGGTGACGGCTATGGATAGACACGAGCTTCCGTCACTAGGAGTTGGATACTTTTCGCTTTAGGAAAGGAGTGTATTATATGTTATAGGTCATACACAGTACCTACCTCGGTCGGTAGGTAGGTAGATAAGGGGTGCGTAAGAGAAGAGTGTTTGTATACGAGACTTTGATATCTGCCTGTCGCGGGCATTGAATGAAACTATTCATAGGTATCCATGGATTACGACAGTTGTATACATCATCATCAAGCTCACCTCACCGTGAATATTCTGGTCCATGCTCAGCCTTATCTACTATTAGTTATACAATTACGTTGCTTAATGGATGCGATATGTGTGATTACGAGTCTTTGCTTATTTATACTTGAGTACCATGGTAGATGATATTTCGTCTCAAAAGTCCACCTCACACCTCACAGTTTGGAGTATACAGTTTGCTATACAGTCTTGCAGTTTATATGGATAGATAGCTAATAAAAGTGGTTTATACCTTACCTAAACCCACTTATTACTGTGTATGTAGGTATGCTGCGATGTTGTTGCTATACGGTGACGCAGCCTGCAGCAGCTGAGGACCCTCCGTTCTAAAATTAAGATATACGCAACCTGGGTCATTCAGGTACACGATGTGCCCAATGATGTAGGTAGTGCAGGGGGGGATAGTGTCGGTGTTGGATTTCTCAACGATTGTACATCGCATTCTCCCCTATTCCCCACCGTATACGTCAGGTTTGTTAAAGGTAGATCGGGGAGTCGTCATGATATTGGGGGGGTTTTGGGGGGAGTCTTTTTTTTTTTTTTTTTTTTTTTCGAACAGACGGTGGAGGTTTTATTTTTTAAGGGTTGAGGTTTTGTCGGACTAGTCAGTACGTAGGCAGGTTTTTTTGGCAGGTTGGTTTGGTTTTGGTTTGGTTCGCTGGTTGGTTACCCAGCAGTCTGGTACCGAAATAGGCAGGAGAATGAGAATGTCAAAGAGGCGTAGAATGTAAGGTACCTAGTTAACCAGGAGGTAGGCAACTACACTAGTGTAGATACCTACCTACCGACATAACCTCAGGTATACCATTGAAGTCTGTGAGTAAGAAAGGGAGAGGGAAGAAGAAAAAAAAACGAAAGCTTGAGGAGTCGTACTTACAGACTCTTTTAAATCTGCAACTGCCAACTGATAACGAATCAACTAACATGCATACCTATGCTAACTTCGTATTCTCTTCAGCAAACAAATCTCTTTTTGTCTTATTAGAATGTGACCTCTTGTAACCCTTGTAACCACTGACAAACTACGGCATAGTACTAAGCTGCCAAGCAGATACTACATACATACACAGTAGCCAGAGTAGTTAACTACCCTATTAGTTACCCTTCCCACTTCTTGGCTCTTCAGGGGCTATTTAGTCCGGGGCTTGGTTCTGCGCGGTTCTGGCGTACCACAGCCCCATGTGCCCATCCATTCCATGGGCAAGCAAAGCTGACAGCCCTCACACCCCTTGGCGATATTTGAGAGAGCGGAGGTCCACCTTAAGACTGTTCCTGGGCCAGTGGGAAAAATATGGCGAGCTTCCGTCCCGTCTTCCCAACCCAGTGGTACTTGCATTCCGGTCCGTTTAAATTTGAACTGCACATGTGCATTGCCATGTTGGCGAACGGACCATCCTTCTTGCGAGTAAAAGAAAAGGAAGAGAAGGAGAAGGAAAAAGAAAAGGAAGAGGAAGAGTAAAAGGAAGAAGAAGAAGAAGAAGAAAAGAAAGAAAGAAAAGGCATCATCACCGCTTTCGCAACAATTTAACAAGTGACGTTGGTTCTTCATGAAAAGCCCAGTTTCGCGCTTCCTGTCCTTGTTCGGACGGTCCAGCTAAACCGCACCGCACTAATACTAATACCCGCCGCTACCGTTCGCTCGCTCGTCGTCGTTATTGTCTATGGGAGAACTACAGGAATCAGATCAGTCGACGTACGCTAAATCGGCACGGGACGAGGAGGAAGAAACCATTGGCTACTATCAACCTTCACATCATCTGCAGCCACCTAAAGAAACAATCATCATGGGGGTGCACCAGGACCGGTGGTATCACTACGTGAACATGGGCTTGCTACGACGGAAGTTCGACCTCAAGCGGACGGTCGTCATCGTCACAGCCGTCCTCACCTTTCTCATGCTCGCCTTCGAGATCACGCATCACGAATTATACAGTCTCGTCCCCTTCCGGTCCATCAGCGTCCCGGGACAATGCACGACCTGGCCCGTCGGCCACGACGGGCGGTACACGCCCGAGACCGTCATGGCGGCTCAGAGCAATGAGACCTCCTCCACGACCTCCTCCGCGCCGCGACTCGACAGCCTGGCGCCGCCGGGCGGGTGGAAGAAGCCCGAGGGGATCAAGGTCGTGGCCCTCATCTTCTACGGCCGCAAGCGCACCGTCGACTTCCTGGACTGCTACATCCAGCAGAACCTCGTCTCCAACGGCGGCTACCTCGACGAGGTCCGCTTCATGGTCCACACCAGCAACAAGGAGGACCTCGACTACCTGCAGGACCTCGTGGCGAAGAGCGAGGGCTACTACCACGTCGTGGACACGGGCGAGTGCGAGGGCATGAATTTCAGTTGTATTTGGGATTCGGTGGTCGAGGATGATACGATATATGTGAAGATTGACGATGATATAGTAAGTTACTTGGTGATTCGAAACCCGTGGAATACGAAGGAAATGGGGTGGAAACCAAAAAATAAAATAAAAAAATAGCTAACACATGCTCTCTAGATTTTCATACATCCAGATGCGATCCCTCAGCTCGTGCACACACGGATCGCCACCCCCCACGCCTACGCCGTGTCCGCCAACCTGGTCAACAGCCCGCTGACAGGGTACGAGCACTTCCACTACGGCGCCATCCACCCCTTCCTGCCCGACCCGCGGGCCAAGCCCTCTCACCCGGCGGCCGAGTCCTGGCGGCCCTCGGAAAGGGGCTACTTCCCGAACTCGAGCATGCCGACCTTCAACGTCAGCTCGCTGAGCGACGCCGAGGTGGAGGAGCTCGTGTACCCGAAGCGGCCGTACTTCGGGCACCCGTTCCTGCTGCTGTCGGACAACCCGTTCGACCTGATGAAGTCGCCGATGGGGCTGAACCACATCCGCGGCGCCAAGGTCGGCGTCGAGACCGCGTACCGGGTCGCGTGGGAGTCGTGGGCCGTCGCCGCGCAGCAGCAGTACTCGCTGCTCAAGAACCTCGAGGAGAACGCCGTGGCGCGCTACTTCTTCGGCTCGCCCCAGAGCTTCCCCACCACCACCACCACTGCCCCGAACGGGACGAACCAGTCGACGGCGGTGCCGGAGCGCTTCAGGCACCACGCGCTCAACGCCGGCGGCCCCGGCGGCGAGCAGCTCTACAACACGCAGTACCGGCGGTACAACCTGAACTTCATCGCGGTGTGGGGGTCCGACATCGCGGCCGCGCTGCCCATCGCCGGCGACGACGAGCAGGACATCACCGTCGACATCCCCCTGCGCACGCACCGCCCCTTCCTGATCGACACCCGCGCCGTCGTCGGCCACCTGAGCTTCTTCCCCCAGCACGAGGGCGTGCGCGAGACGGATCTGCTGGACAGGTGGCGCGCGTTCGCGAACGAGATGATTTGCGCGCCGGGTAATCGGAAGAGCCCGTTTGATAAGCGGTGTCCGGGGTTTTAAGAGTAAGTCGGGGAGGTGGAGATATGTAGGTAGGTAGGTAGGTAGGTATAATAATAGGTATACCTGTGTATTGGAGGGAGGGCATGGAAAGGGAAGGGAGGGGGGGAGGGGGAGATGGGGGGGTTAATGGAGACGCGTAACGAAATGATTTAGATCTGGTTTTTTTTTTGATTACACTTAATAGATATAATATGCATTGCCACGGGTGTTTTATCTATTTATCTATTTTATTATATATTTATTATCATCTGTACCTAATGGAAGGATCTTGGGGGTTCCTTGAAAGCTACATGGTACGGTCTGCGTAGGTACCTACGTAGAAATGCGCATGTTATGAACTGCATAGGTCTGTGGCTGGAACGGTTCCAAGAGAGGATTGGTTGAAACTTCCTAGAAACCTGGTGTCACATAATCACATACAACCTTAGAACTTGGCATAACTTAATGTATTGATATATATAAATATGTTCTGTGGTAGTAACCTAGTAAGCTGTCGCGAAATCAGCCTCGCCCAGCCCCTGACAACTCCCTCAATGATATTCGCCGCGAACGGCCCCCAATAAACCTTCCTTATGGCCTTGAATTGGTTCCAAGGTTGTTTCCAACTTCTTGTGTCTTTTCGTGTAATGGTTTTGGTACCTTAGGTAGGTACCTAGTATATATATCAAGCCCCTTTCTGAAGCCTCCCCACGTCATATGAAACCGTCGCTGATGCTTCCTACGGATTAAAATAGTGTAGGTGTATATATAAATCCTCTTCTAACAGATGCATTTGAGTACCTAGGTAAGGTGATTTGCTTCGTCTTTTTTCTTCCCTCTCTTCCTTTCTTTGGTTCCATCTCAGGTGGAGGGCACAGTTGCTTTAGCCCCCCTTTCATGGTATCCTCGAACTATATAAAAGAACCTGTTCCAGGTTACGGTTTACCTCGGTATATAGGCATGTACATATATGTGTGTGTAGTTAGATGTAGTAGTTCTGCGTTATGTTTCCTCGGAATGGCATAGCTAGAGAATCGAAAAGGAATACATATAATGAGTTACCCCCCGACGAACCCACCCCTCTTTATAGACTTATAGATCTGAGATATACCTACCTACTTGGATAGGCATGTCTCCTATTGCGTTGGTTTAATATATAATAAAATATCGTCCTAAACCTGGAATCGTTATATATCCCCTATTCTTAACCCATTTCCTAGGCATGTGAGAGTTACGAATAATGTCCGCAGTTACAACCTGGACTACGTTTTTTCCCTTTCATGTTAAGGACGAAGAGATCACGGTGAACATTGGAGGTAGGTAGGCAGAAATGGTGATCTGAGCATGAAGATGACGGGTTCACGACGAGAAGTCAGTAGCCAGCAGTTTAGGGTCTTGCCCGGGACCACTTGCACACACACACATTCATCGCTACAAGATAACCAACTTCTCTATTTGCTCGAGAGGAACATGCACTGGTTGGTGAGCTCCCTCATCGGCTACTCTCGCGTTTATCAGCTGTCACTTGTACATGCCTTGCTCACCGGAAGTTAAGTTAAGGAATCCGAAAAAATCTTAGGAAGTAGGCGCCGAATCATTTATTAGACGGTCGGGCTGCCACCGGGGCGATACAACTCATGGTAGTTACTAGGCATGACAATCGGAGGCAGCCCAGAAGCCTCATTTAAGGGCGGGTCATCCACGCCCGCGGGCCCGTACCCAAGCCGGTAGTAGTAGAAGGGCAGGTCGTCGCCCGGCGCGCCTCTCGCAAAGCAGCCGCTCCTCGTCGGATCACGGCACATCACGCCATTGTGGACGCACGAATCGCAGGGCCGTTTGCGATCGCAGTTGCGGTTATAGGCCATGCACGTCTCGCAGCGGCTGAACTCCTTGTCCTCGGGCAGAGCGCGGCCGCGGAGCTCGCCCGTGGGCAGCGCGCTGTCGCCTAGGACGCAGATCAGCCCCCACGCAAGACACTGCTGGCAGCCTTGTGGCGGGTCCACGCTAGCATCGCAGGGCCGCTCGGACGGGTGAAAGCGCAGGTGGCATGTGTGGCAGCGGTCGAGACGGGTTGCTATCCCCCACTCCCTGTCTAGTGCTGGATCTGGCCCCGGATCTGAGGCTGGAATTTGACGGCGATGGGGTGTAGGGCCCGCGACTGGGTTTGCGCGGTCTTCTCTATGGATCTCTGCCCGGTTCGGCGGAGGCGGTAAGTATTGTGTTATTTGGTGATGGCTATACCCCAGCGCGGGAAGGTGTCTCGGCACGCCACCTTCTGCCATAGGGAAGCCGTCGATCGTGCAATTCTGGCCGGGTTTTGCCCTGCATTGTCGACATGTGCGATACCACGGTTCCGTCGCCGGCCCTTCTCGCCAGGAACAGGTCTTGATGCCCGTTGGTAAACATCCGTCGCAGCACATCGGATCCGTCATCCCGTCAGGCCTGTCCCGCAGAGTCTGGTGATGGAAAATACATGGAACATCCCGCCTTCTACAATTAAGGCAGCCCATGTCATCTGTGAGGCTTCCATTGCAATTCTGCAGTCCCATCCGCAAACATTCGTTACAAGCAACCTGGGGGGCTCGATGCACAGGTCCAGGAGTAATAGGAGTGTTGAGTAGATTTGCTGGATTCATTGTGAGGAGTGAAGAGTAGACGAACACTAAATTATCTAAGTAGTAATAGAAGTAGTGGTGAATCAAATATCCATGGTGGTTGGATTATCAGCCGAGCAGGATTGCAACAGACATTTATGCCTGAGAAACAACGCGGACAGGAGCATTGTTGACTCAGTTTTTTTTTTTTTTTTAGCACAAAGATGGCAAAAATTGGACGAGTTAGTTGTTGCTCGATTTTTTTAAACAATTGTTAGACATTGAAACAAAATCGACTGATTTTCTTTCACTCCGAGGAATATCATCTAATTTACAGACATTAATGTAAACATTGAAGCTATATCAGTCGACTTGGCAAAGAGCAAGACATCTTCAACAGCAGTTTACTTCATTAGACCGTCCCCGGACTATAGTTTTAGGTTCATGATTAGGAGCCAACATGCACAAAGACGGATTTCTGGTCGATATCATACAAACTGAGAGACGCCTGAACTTGAGATTGGGGAATCTATGACATCGAACCACTGTAAAAAAAAGGATGAAAGTAAAATGAAGAACATTACAAGTAGTGAAATGACCAGCAGAGAGATCACCTCCCATCTCATCTGCGACGATCTAGACCCTGGAGGCTCTCACGCGAAGTATTCTGTATCTTAAACGCATGGTGCCACAAGTCCGCATAGACATTGATGTCTTCCCGAGTGGCGGCAGATTAACCACTCGATTTGCCCCTTATTCCTTTTTGGTTTGGATGCTGGTGGTTGCTCGATACCATGAGCTGCAAGACCCCGACTCCCATTACCATGCAACAATTTTGCTTCGATCGGACCGACATGTACGACTCGAAACCGCCGAAACCGTGCTCGTTGCGATCATTCGGATCCACGCCCTCACACGTATAGATGAGGAAAAGCCTACACCATCTCATATGCATTGTTCCAACCGCCGCTGAAACCGTTTTGTTCTTGCGCCACCTTTTATACGCCTCATAGGACTATGCACTTGGCGCAGCAGCCAGCCTCGGACTCGCCTTCGTTCATTTCCATCTTGCTAATATTGCCATTCGCGCCACCGTTGCCACCACTGTTTGTCGATAGACCTTGCATGTTGCGGTTGTAATGGCGAATTTCCCGGACGAGGTCGAAGAAAGCCTTGTCGACATTTGTTCGGGATTTAGCGGATGTCTCGACGAAGGGGCATCCGAATTGCTTCGCAAGCGCCTCGCCATCTGAACAGCACGTATTAATAAGATGACCCAGGATGAAAGCAGATGCGTAGAATGCTAGTATGTATGTATTTACCTTGTCGGGGAACTTCTCGTTCGTTCTCCAAATCGCATTTGTTGCCCACAACGACCATCGGGAAGTAGTCTGTGGGATCCTTGTCTTTTACTCGCAGAATCTGTTGTTGAAAAGTGCGGATCTCTTCAAAACTTTGATCGGACGTAATGGAGTAAACTAGGAGAAATCCTTCTCCAGTGCGCATGTACTGTTCTCGCATAGCCGAATACTCTTCCTGGCCGGCCGTGTCTAGAACGTCGAGTAGGGCAACTTCATCGTCAATGACGCATTGCTTACGGTATGAGTCTAAATGGCGATTTAACGTTAGTAGAGGGGTCGCCGGCAATAACAAGTGAAAATGATGGAGTTTGACTTACCTTCAATGGTAGGATCATATTCGTCGACGAAGTGGCTCTGTATCAATTGAATGGTCAAGCAAGATTTGCCTACACCACCGCCGCCAACTACGACCAGCTTATACTCCCGTAAAAACTAAGAAAGCATGTCGAGTAAGCAATCGGGACAGCATGTAGATGGGTAGCGCGCAACAAGTGAAACATACCTTTGATGCCATTGTGCGTTCGCCAATGGCAGCAATGGATTGACTGGTGAATGATAAGAACCGGTGTGCGAGTAGAAGAACCCGGTAGAAATTCTAAATCAAAGGGGGTTAACTCGGTCTGGAGTAGAACCGCGCAGCAGTACGACTAAGATTGTCTCAAGAGGCGAACAAAGGATTATTCGATGATGGGATCCTGGTAATGTGTGATGATAGGACAAGCGAAGGAAGTAAGTAAGTAATGAGGAATAGGGAATAGAGAATAGGAAGAATGACTATTATGATTTTCCGGCTAGTTGCCCGGCGATGATGGAGTTCGGTTGGAAGAAGTTAAAAAGCCACACGCACAAAGGGATCTGCCGTCAAACCGGCAAAGTCTTGCGAAAAGGAAAAGGAACGGGGAACGGAACGAAAGTGAAACGGGTTACAAGAGTGGAAAAGTTTAGAGAATAATAGAGAGAATTGAGAGGAAGCAGAGATTGGTACAAGGTAGGGAAGGAAAAGGGAAGATATTCCGTCGTATGCGTGGATATGTGGATTTGGGTGTAGATGTGAAAGTGGATGTGGATGTGGATTATCCTAATGGGATAGGTCCGTGTGTTCTGTTCTTGTTCTTGTTCTTGTTCTTGTTCTGCTCTGTTGTGCTATGCAGTGCTATGCGGTGATGTGCTGTGCTTGTGTTGTGCTGGTAGGTAGGTAGGTGGTAGGTAGGCAGATGGGTGGTTGGATAGAGGTAGAGGTGGTAGAGGTAGAGAGACTGGAGGAGCGTGCCTGTGCCTACGTCTGTCCGTGGTCACTGGAGATGCAGTGTAGAATGACGGCAAAGAACATTCATTAGGCAGGAGGGGGAGCTGTATGGTTCGTAACTTACAGTTGACTTTTTTTTTGATACCCTTTTGGATGTAGTAGTAGGCAAAAGAGGTAGGTATTGTGAAGGTATTGGAGGTATTGGAGGTATTGGTAAGTTAGTACGTATGTATGTGTAGGTAGGTAACTTGAAGAAAAATAAAAATAAAATAAAAAGAGGAACTTCGGGCGCTTGATTGCTTTCATTGCTTGGCCCACACAACAGCCAAAGGGGTGGGTACCTTAAGGTACTAGGCAGGCAAATGATGGGGGATAGCTGGGAACACTGAATACATAATGTTCAATATGTATCTAGCTATGCATGTACCTACGTAGTAGCATCCATGATCCCATGTGTATTACCTGTATGCATTATGTATGTCAGGTTGTACATGTATGTACTTACATGTACGTGTTATATACATTGAACATAAATAGACCGATGTACTGCGCATGTACTATGTAGCAATTGATTGATCATTGAATTGAGGGTGGGGCGGGGCGAGTTGTGAGGATCACGGACCAGATGAGATTGATTTAACATTGGCTGTTAGAGTTCTCATGCGATTCCAACGTTTTAATTAACAAAGCACGGACCACAAAATCATTCAACTCTTTGATAGAAGAACGGGCCTCTTCTAATTCGTGGGATGGGGATACGCTAGTCTATATCAGGTGAAGGCCGCTAGCCACTTAAAATCAATACTACCTACTAAGTGCTAGCACAGGCTTTAAACGTTCTAGGTGGTCAAGCAAGGTAGGTGCAATTACATGGAGGTTGGGCTGGTTGGTAATTTTGATCAATTCAATGTTGATGGTTTATGTTCAATGTTTATTATTCAACATTGATGTTGCTATAGGGAAGGATATCTCACGTATATAAGTGGTTCTATACCCAGGGCTGCCAGGCTGTAGGCTGCAGGTTGCCAGCCTAGGAACTCTCGTAATTAGCATCACGTCTCATACAATTATCTAGGTACTCCATGGATATCTACCACCTATCTTCAAGTGCCTTCTAATATTAGTTAGTATATTCGATGTATCAGATGGGTATTTGAAAACTTCAAGATCCATTATCGAGATTGATGATTACCTAGTACTATCTTGCGTCAGCTTCGATGTTATGTACTTGTGTGTACATAACTATCCTAATCTACAATCTAATCGATAGATGATGCTAGTAGACGAGGTTGAGTTCAAATGTTATTGAAAGAACTTCACCATGTAGAACATCCGAGAATCATCTTCAATTTCCCACTTACATACAGACCTTCAAGTATTCATCAGGGCAAGATTATATTTTATATTTAAAGGCAGCACGGAGCTCATTCGAGGTGCTTCGGCCTTCTGCTAGCAAACATTGGACACGCTTAGCACGTAAACTGGGATAGCTCCATCAACCTTAAAATTGGAGGTTACATCTTATGTATGTACATATTAGGGGCCACCCAGCTCTGTTTTGCATTTACTTGATTTAAGTACTTCAACATTCATATCAGTAACATCAATGATTGATCCATTAATACCTGAGGTCTACGACAACATTGAAGTGTACCGCATATTTTCGCCTTTCTCACTTATATCTTGACCCACCTTTAAATGCGTTTTACCCTTTTAGGAAGATCTACCCCAAGGATTATTCAACAACATCTCAATTTCTCCCTTTTCCCATATTTATGCACCTTCTCTTATATAACAAATCCTATTAAATAAAATCGAGGGAATTAAATGGAATGGCTATTCTAGCTAACATTGAGATTATCTGTACGTATCTTATTTTTATTCATTTTCTTTTTAGGAGTAACCCATATCTGGCAACGCGTTCAAACCATCTTCAAATTCTTCGTTGAAAGTATCAATTTGAAGGGCTCAGTTCAAGGATCAAAATGGACCGGGTTGCACGTTTGTAGCTGCTCTTTTGCAAGAGTTATTCAAGGTTGAAGTTGCGACCGGTATGCCGCCTACCGCGCATGGGCCGATTTTGATAGCGCTAAGCTTGGAGCCTCAGCACGAGAGTAGCCTAAAAGGGTAAAACGCATTTAAAAGTGGGTCAAGATATAAGTGAGAAAGGCGAAAATATGCGGTACTAGATGCACCTAAAATTCTAATTCTTCTTACAAGCACTCCCCATAAGCTTTTTTTGTCTTTCAATGTACGAACAAGTAGACACATGCTCATCCATACATAGCATGTAGTAATCTTCGGTCTCTACTTCGTAATGCACCATCCTCAACCATAAGCCCAAATTCTACATAAATTTATCACGAAGTTAGGCCTACCTTCACTTCAACTATCGCAACACTGGAGTACACACTACATAGGTCGGTGTTACTATGGTGTTAACTATATATATGTATGCATGTGTAGGTATTGTCAACGCGATATCGACATGCCATGTCAATAGTATGTAAGTGATATGTTCCCTAGGTACATATTCCCCAGCTCCCAGCTCCCAGTTCCATGTAACTCTTATCTTCTATGGCTTCTTGAGCTACCCGTATATGCAAATGCGCAAGCCACCATGATAACTTGGGCAGCATATTATTAGCTCTGATTACTTCTCGTCTTCACTTCGTGTGCAAAGAAGTACATGCATACATACTTACATACGTATGTATGTACATACATACGCGCATACATATTGTCACCCCAATCTGACATCCACCCATAATGCTACCTTAAGCGGTGAACCGAATTGGAATTATCGACTTTTGCTAAGCTTGGTCGGCCTGTTATATTCAACAACACAAAAACAAGACGAGGCCAACCAGCTTCCCCGTACATAGATCAGCATCCTACAGGCAGGCATATCGCACACTGCGTCTTGGGGGAATCACCGGCCTATCATTCTAGCTTGCCTAGCATCGTCGAGACCCTTTGGCGATGGAGATGGAGCTCCTCGGCCTTTTTCAAACCGGTACATGTAAAGGACCACTAACCCATCTAAGGCAGTTTCTTCATTTTGACATTTCCTTCCTTGGATATTTGTTTGTAGGTACGTAAAACGAAACGATCCCGCTGAGATTGTAATAGAGATTGTAATATGACAGAACATCCCTTGTCAAATATCCCGTCCAAGTCCATTACCGGTTTATGTATGTGAGTGAGTGCTATCGTGTCGGTGAACGCCGAGATCACGGAGATACCTACCTAGGGTAGCTAAAGAAGAAAAAGAAGCCTTAAGGCTACCCTAGGTAGGGTAGATAGAAAACTTTGAAATTTCAATCAACAATGGCAATGTGACGCGGGTCTGAATCTTGAAATGAGACTCATTTCCTTCCCCCACGACAAGACCTTTTTAGTTTTTGTCCCAAGTGTATTTTCCCATATAATTGTAATTTGTGTAAGTTGTATTATTGCATCTGACAAGATACGCGCTCATTTGCATTGGCCAGTTTTAACTAGCCATAGTAGTTCGTACTAACCTCGTTGGTTTTAACTGTACATACATACATGTACCTAGGTAGGTGCTTACCTCCAAGGGCTACTCTTCATTGGGCCCCATCACGCCTTTTATTTCCCTGCTTCTTCTCCAAGTTCTCCTTCTTCTTTTATGTACCTGCCTATTTTAGTTGCCTTAGCTGTTGCCCGTTGTGCCCGAGCCTAGAATCAGTGCCATTTTAAACTTTTCTAGAAGCCTGACGGAACCTTAAAATCTCCGCCCGTTAGATACCATAGGGTCATGACTCGGGAGTACCTAGATACATAAGATCCAGATTTCCTGTTTAGTGCTTCCAAGTTCCTAACCAGTAGTTACTAGGCAGGTACTAAGTATCGTTCATAATCTCGTTTTCCAGACAGGGGGTGCTTGACCCCGCAAATGAACGTGCGTTGCGTCTGTGGATATCTGCATATCGTTGAAAAGGAGATAAACAGATAAACATGCATCATCATACTGATTTTATCTCAGCGTGGCTCAGACTAGGAGGACGGTTTTGCTTTGTACCTTTTTATTTTCAGCCAATCAGATCCAAGACCCACCCCCTCCCACGCAAAACCGTCTCCTAGTCTGAGGCACGAGTGTGATCGTTTATATAATAGCCCCCTACAACAAAAATCAAAAGTATCAAAATAATTATTACAATCAAGAAATAAACATCCAAATTTACTCTAATACAAATAATTAAAATACTGCGAATTCAATACAATTTTTTTTGTATTTTTACGGCGTTTGGTAGTTGGTATATTCCACAAAGTTAAGTATCGTCACTCCCATCAGTTGCAACATCAAACTTACGCGATACGCCAAATAGTTTCCCACGCATAATAATGGATAAACAATTGTCTTTTTATAGCCTGTCCAGGCCACGAGAATAATAACGCGTCGAGACGAAATACAGCGCGTTGAACCCAGATGGCACATACCGTACCATCAATCCAGTCAAGCCATTCAAAGAGCCATTTAAAGAGCCATTCAAAGAGCCACGCTCTTAAATAACAATACGAGCGTGGTCGAGGCTAGAAAGAATATGCTTTAAGCTATCAACAAAGTTTGGGATTGATTGGAACATTGTTGGTTATATTATCGCTGAGTGTCAGTGTTATATAATGGTAAAAAATTGGGATTTTCACCCCTCGAATCAAATAATACATCAACATCACGCCAGAGAAATCAGAAAAAATGCTAACGGGCTTTAGAATATCTATCACTAGCCCTAAGAGCTTGTTTGAAATGGATAGGGCCTTTTGTTGCTTCGCTGTCGCTTAATAGGGGTGGTAATTGGTTTGGTTTGGGAAGGTTGAGGGAGCAACCTAAATTTAGGTTTTTGTCTATGTTTTTTGAATCTTTCCACTATAACATATAAAAATTATATACAGGGCTTGATATGGAATCTATCTACCTCCGAGCGTTTAGAAATTCAGAATATCTATTTTTGTTGTTTAGTTATTGATTATTTCGTCGCAAAGATGAAAAAAATTTGTATGGCGTTTCAGGGAGCAACCTCAAAAATTCACACTCGTGTCTTAGACTTGAAATTTTGACACGACACGCACAGCCCCACAGATACATTGGCACGGTCCATGTCTGTGGTGGCTGTGCGTGTGTGGCGTAAAAAATTTCAAGTCTAAGCTCGCTAAGATAATACTGATTCATACATGTATGTATGTATGTATTGATGCTTTTGAAAGTTTGAATTAGTTTTTAGTTAACAGTAACATTTGAACTATTTCTTTCATGTTGTTTTTTAATTCTTGATGGATCAATCATCCTGAAGGAAATGTCAAACGTTTTACGAGTAGTATGATGATGACCTTCTCGGGTTTTTGTTTTCCTTGAAACGCGGAACTTTTTTTCCCTTTTTCCCTTCTTCCCTTCTTTTTTTTAACCCCCCTCCCAAAAAAAAAAAAAAAAAAAAAAACCAAAAAAAAACCACCAACCCATACGCGATCCCTAATCTCATACGCGTTTACAGATCATTAGCTAATGACGAAGTTCACTCTTTGAAACTGCCCAGGTATCCTAACAACTTTGAACCAGGTAAACTCCATTAGAATCCACATATGGTCCCGTAACTTCACATACACTAACCATTATTTAACGAATAAAGAATGCACAACTTACATACCTGCTGCATACCTGCCTACCGCCTGGCAACTCACACCTACAAATCTACGTTGACCACATGCTAATCTAAAGAAAGGACTTTTAACGGAGCTACCGAATCAGCTGCACGATCACCGACGATCTCATTGACACCTTCTCCATTGATATACACAAAACGTGGGGAGGGGTTACGAAACAATCGGCCGACCTTTCAGCCTTTGTAGCTGGTAACTATTCTCCATACCGAGTAATTGAAATATCGCCAATATTAGGCATATCAGCCACATCAGTATCGAAAACAACCTACCCAAGCCACTGCCTACAGTTAATCTTCCTCATCCTCCGAATTCACTCGCTTCCCTCGGACGTTTTCGATAACCTCCGGCGCAATGCTTTCAATATACTCTATGTCCCTTCCGACAAGCGTGACGGAGTTGTTTTTCTTTCCCCATCTTGGGTAGCTTCCAACTTTGACTCCTTTCGGCTCAACTTTGGCCGCCAGTTCAGTGAGGTAGCTAGCAACGGAGCTCTCGGACATCGGAGTTGAGATAATCACTCTGTGGATGCCTTTCCCCTCCGGGTCTACCAATCTTTCAATTATGAACGGCTTGAGGCCTTCAAGAAGGCTTTCAACTGGTGCTTGTGTTAGCATTTGGTGTGTAGGGTATGAGCACTGATGATCCCCATCAACTTACACAACCTCGGTACACCTGGGAGAATATGGACGTTCCCATTTACTACACATATAGGAACCCAGAGGGTATCTCGAGGAAACAGGGCCTGCTTAGCAAGGTCCCGAGATTCGTCCGTAGGTAGTTGGACCATGCGGAGCCGGGCTGTCTTGGCCGGCGACTCCACATCCCAGCTAAAGTTGGGGTGAGAGTGGTGAGGCTTGGTCAGCTTCTTCATGCGCTCGTAAGCCTCTTGGTGTAAAATTAGCTTTAACCCGAAGGCTTTGGCAATAGATTGGTAAGTAATGTCATCATGCCTAACATGGGTAAGTTTTCTACAAGTTCTACAAGAACGAGGGCGAAGCTCCTAACTTACGTCGGTCCTATACCTCCACTGGCCGCGGATTAGCTCGGTCATACAGATCAGGGAGAAGAAGACGGATGGTTTTTCCTCCTTGGGGTTTAGGTGCCTACCTAGTCACAACAAAGTCATAACGATCGCTCATCCTCTGCACAGCTTCTATAATCTCGGCCTCATCGTCCTCGACAACCTCAACCCTTTTCAAGTTCTGCAAAACGTGTGAGCTCACTACAAGCCTGAGTTGTGTAGTCAGGGGTAAGCAAAAAATGCAGGAGCCCGTACTATGCCTAAAGAAAAACACCACTTAGCCATATAGGCCGAGTTTGTCTATCACCATAATTTCTAATTAGCCATTGGCATGGTTCAAGACGTGACTATCATTAGGTAGGTGAAATCGCACATCGGTTGTCTGGGACGAATTAGCATTTTGTAGCAAAGCAAGTATTAAATAAAATAAACAATAGACTCACCTTTCCCCCAAGCACCTCATCGCCAATGATCAGACATGCCGCCGTATGGATCGTCCGCGAGTTGCGCTCATCTGCCGAAGCCATCGCTCTCGGTAATACCCTCCCACCGGATGAGCTGGAGCTGGAGCTGGATATCGCAGCAGTAGCAGGACCTAGTAGTCCCGAACGAGATCCTACGGAGAGGTGGCGCGCGAGCTGTGAGAGCCGCGAGATCATATACGGTACCTTGGGTGGGTAGGTAGGTAGGTAGGTAGCCTCCGAACTTTGCCTGGCTGCCAGGATAGGAAATCGCCGATAGGTTTGGGTTGGTAGGCAGGTGACGTAGTAAGTAAGTAAGTAAGTAACCTAGGTTAGATACTTAGGCCAGACGTTTCTTCAAGCCAAGTTGTGAGTGTGCACGAGAGAATCAGAATCAAGTTCTCCGAACCTTGTGGTAGTGACAGGCGGGCGGGGCGGGCGCTAAGACGGTGGTTGGGAATGGCTTGTGAGGGAAGCTGGCGGTTATGAGGGCTGGGCTGGTAGGTGGGTGGGTGGCCTTTTGTAGCTCTGGAGGTATGTAAGTGTTGGCAGCCTTTGATGTTGGAAGTTCAGTGGTTAGTGGTTAGCGGTTGGTGGTGGTGGTGGTGGTGGTGGTGTGTGGTCATTGGATGCCCCTCCTTACCAACCAACAGCGGTCCACTATTTACCTAGGTTAGGTAAACTAGTTCTAGGTGTGATGTAGGTAGAGGCCGGAAGATCTTCGGGGGGTTAGTTGGTAGTTATTTGAATAATGAATGGATCTAGGTTAATGTGCTAGGTTAGTAAGTAGTCTTTGATTCATCAGCTTTTCCCCCTTAACCCAACATTGAAGCTAAAGCGTCATATGTCTTAGGTAAACTCGAGGCCCATATGTATAGTTACTTACTACTTGCCCATCCAGGGGAGACCACTAACAACAAAGAACACCAAAGGCAAGACAAGCAAGTGTAGTCTATTGAGTCTATTTATTATCCATACCAGATGCCTACCAAGGTATCGTATCTACAGCAGGTATGGAAAACCAGGCATCTCTATGTATATCACTATTCTACCAAGACACCTAACCTATCCCATCTATGGAACTTTTTTCTTTTTTTTTCGTCTATCCCGGGAACTCCAAGCTTTGAGTACCTAGGTATTCATCGAGAGTCTGCAATTTTGCATTAAGCACCTCATCACCTCGTCTTTCTCATGCCCCTTCCCCTTCCCCCCTTTCCAATTCCAAGCGTTACCGTTTGTCATACTAGGTAGGCAAGCAAGCCTACTTCGCCTTCGCAGCGCCAAACTTCTCGCTGATCTCCTCCTCGCTGAAGCGGCGGGTGCAGCGCCTTAGCATGGCGGCGCGCTGCTCGATGGTCATGGCGATCTGGCGCTCGCCGATGGGCACGAGGCAGCGGGCGAGGTGCTCGTAGTGGTGCAGCATCAGCCGCACCGTGATCTCGAGGTAGTCGATGTTGTGGAAGACGAGCGCGTGCTCCGAGCTGTACGTCCCCTTGTTCGCCAAAAAGTGCACCGGGTGCTCGCGCCAGTGCCGCCGCGGGTTCAGGTGGTGCGACGTGTGGTACCCGTCGTTGTAGCAGAATCGGTTGCTCTGTTTGTTGGGTTAGTGGGAGATAAGTGCTGTGTCTATGTTTTCTTGTATGTTGGGTGGGGGAAAGGGGGAAGGGGGTTGAAGAGTATGTGAATAGGGAAAAGAGGTCATGACTTACAGGGACGTCAATCAGGGTGATGCTAGATCGGTAGTCGGAGTCGGGCTCATCCGCATCTACCAGAGCATGCTGTCCCCAGTTACCGACCATCAACCCGGCGCGGAGTAATCCGAGAGGGAGCAAGAAGACGAAGAACGTGGGGCGGCTGTTAAGCAGGAACAGGATCAAGAGACTGGAGTAGTTCATGAGCTCCCAGAATGCCCCCTTCAGAGCGAACGTAAGACGCCCCTTGCGGAGAAAGTACAGGGGCAGATCTAGCCACACCAGGAAATAGAAACGCCCGATGTAGTGCAGGAAGTGCCAGATGTTGTCGCGCTGGTAGCGGATCGTGGACGAGAGGTCGTCAGGCCCGTTCCCTTCAACGTGATGGTGCTTGACATGGTGGTAGTAGTAGCTGTTCCACGTATGCCCCATTAAGGGGTCCGTGATGTACGGGAAAACCGTATCGAATACTCGAAGCAAAGGTCGCTTCTGCAACACACCTCCGCCATGGATGTGCTGATGCATCATTAACGTATACGTCCCCAAATAGTAGAACTGCATGACGAAGTGGATAATTCCATGGAGATAGGTGAAATGGTAGAAGAGGAACAAGGCGCTAGGGACAGAGGTGGTGAAGTAGATGATCAGGTGTGTGACCATGATTACATCGCTGATTACTCATTAGCAAACTACTTAGGGATTTATTCATCTTAAGCAGGACTCAAAATAGTCTCTTTAAGAGAAAAGCAAGATCATGAAATTGAAAAGGCCAAGTTGAATATAGAAGTAAATGGCGTAGCATCGTACTGATAATCTGTTAGTATACATGTAGAATTGATAAAAAGCACCCCTTTTAGGTAGCCAATAGACGCCATCGTACTCACCCTTGGATGTCTGGCAATACCCTGAGCCCATTTTATATACGGTAGCAAGACATGCTTGTAGACCACGGGGTGCAGCCGGGTAGCCAGATCCCGCAGGTCGGCGGAGCAGATGACCGACGGCTCAAAGTCTTGGTTTCCCGGGTCGTTAGAAGCTCTCATCCGCTTGAGGTCTTGCTCGTCCCTGGACGGCGAGGTGTAATGGTGGCCAGCGGCTAACAAAAAGGAATCCAAGTTAACACGAAAAATCCCGGACGCCGGGGTGGCTCCTTGACATCCATCTGCCTTGATAACTTTCCCCCGTTCATGTTTTTATAAAGAAGTGGGACCTACATCCATTGGCATCTCCTTGGCCGGATGCCGACGGCTTTGCGGAGGTCGGGTCGGCGTTTTCTTGGTACCGCTGAATGTCGTCGGCAAGATTCCGCAGCACGATCACGTCGTTCGGAGGCAATTCCGGACTAATCTTTATGGAACTCATGACAATTCCAATTCCAAATCCCCGTCTAGCTGGAAAGGGGAGTTTTTAGGAAAAAAAAAAAAAGGATAGGTTATGAAGCAAGGCAAAGCTTCTGAAGAGGAAGGAGAAAAAATAAAACCGAAGAAATTAATAATAAAAAATAAAAACTCTAAATGAACTAGCAAGGAACAAGGACGGTGTAGTAGACAGTAGTAAAAGGAGGCTGCATGTGCTAACTACCAGGTACCTTGTAGCTGATCTTTGTGTGACTTCAGGTAAGAGATAGTTACAGGACAGGGGAAATTCCTACTAGTTACCTAACCTAGGTATGTAGGTAGGTAGATCGACAGGCAGGTCTCAAGTTAAGACAACTGTATACTGCATCTGGTCTTCTTTGTGCTTTCCGCAGTTTATTCCATGAATCGAATAAACTCGGCTTAGTATAATGAGTAAGAGAGAAGACAGAGAGAGAAACCGAGTCAGAGTAAGTAAGTAGGTGTGAGAAGGATAGAAAATCGGATGAGCAGATCAGATGGAAAAGTTAGGTGTTCTGCATGCTCTGCTGTAAAATCAACCATACGACCCCATTTCGCGTTGGCGCTAAAGGGGGTTTAGTGGCAAAGAGGAACCCATAAAACGCTGGGGCTCTCACTCCGTCCGCCTGCTTAACGGTGTAATGGCGGTGGGAATACAGGTACCTAGTACTATGTAGGTTGCTAATCTACAGGGGGTTTAGCCCAACTAATATAAACTCCGTTCATGGATACTCAGGGGTAAAATCTGGGATATTGATCGCTTGATGCGACGTTAAGTTGTTGAGCCGCTTTATCACATAACCCCTAACAAACCCCTAAACCCCTAAACCCCCAAACCCCTATTACAGTCCGAAGAGGTTTTCTTAATTGTCTTTTTTTCTTCACTGAAATCTTTCAATTCTGATTCATTCGTAATGATAAGATACTTGGAGCTGGTTTGCTGTCTGAGACGGCAATATACCTTATCTCGCATGAATTATTTTGCGTCGTGTCTTTTCTCCAACTTCCCCTTATTTTCTCACCCGCTGAATACCTCTGGTGTATTACTCGCCTCCATAAATCATAAGAGAAAAAAGAAAACCCCCCTCTCAATACTTCATTTCAAAATCGTCATCTTTCATAGCTAAGGGGTATCGTTGAGATATAATGCGGCACAGCCTTTTTGAGCCTATCCCTTTTCCAGGTTATCATTAACCCATAAACCTGTGCTCCGATTTTTTGTTGAAAAATCTGGACCCCGTTTCCAAACGCCTGGATATATGCTTGTTGAAATCGTAACTCCCGTCACCCAGTGTAGCCAAATGCTTGTTGAAAAGTTCAAATGCGCCGTTACCTGCCTATACTGTCGCAAAAGCTCATGCTACTGCGACTGCTCCATTTTCGTTGATGGATGAATTGCTGTTTGACTCCCCGTGAACCCCATTAGCCTGACCATTTTGCCCTGATTTTGCGGGCACATTAATGTCTTTGACAGCCAGCCCATCAAAGAGCTCAAAAATAGCTCGTGGCTGACGGAAGTCATTATTGACTGGCCTCTTGTTAGCTTTGCTCATTGACGGGCTTGACGGACTTGAGATTTACTAACCAATGTTAATCAAATACCACTCATTCATGACTTTCTCAATCAAAACGCGACTGGGCGAGTTGGCGTCGTGGCAATGAGCCCAGTCCATGCCAAGCCTGAAGGCCTCGTCTTTCCAGGCTAAGAAGCTGATGCTCTCGACGATCGTGGGTTGAACAATCTCCTTGCCTGGGAAGACACCCCATGTAACCGCGTTTGGTCCTTCGGATGGAGTATTTGTCTCGATCTTCCCGGATCGAGTCACAGCATAGTACGACAGATCCGGATTTGCATCAATCCTCCGAATGATCTCTGGGTATAATTCAGGAGACACTAGCAGTTCTAGATAAGCCTTTTGATACACATACCCATTCGGGGGGCCCCATCCATAGACGGAGTGCGTAGACTTAACACCGTCTACGGCTGGCTGAGAGTTGATAGTCAGCAAGCCACGTTGGTTTAACTTGATGAGTTCGTCCTTGATGGCGTCGGATTCAGAAGTCAGGGGCGCTTCGCTCCAGGGCAAAGAAGGAATCTCTCTTTCGATGTACCTGACGAACAAGTTCGCAATCTCTTGCACGGAACTAGGTTCACCCCATCTCTTCCGGTTGGACTCGTTGGTACCAGTTAGGCCAATGCCATACGCATCCAATTCGCCAAAGGCTGGGGAACGCGAATCACCCCATCTGCCGTTTGGAAATTCATCCCAGTCCTGGGTTCTCGAAACGTAAGATTTGTTACGATTGCGCCAGAATATGGGACGGACGTCCTCTTCGCGTCGGCCAAGGGCAAGAGATTGCTTCCACGGCAAGGGCTGTTTTCGAGGACGGTTCGTAGTCGGCATCCAATCTAACTCCTCCAGAACCATGCGGGTTGCTTGTGCCAAGTTCATCGTATAAAAGTGAAGATGGACAATGCCGGCGCTCATGATCTTTCGGCACAGTTGAGCGACCAACGTTTTCCCAACCTCTCTCACGGCAGCATCATCATTCTTTATCGGTTCAAGTGCTGTCATCCAATCCTCAGGCACCTTGCAGTTCATGTGATTCGCTCGTCGGATAAAGCTAGCGTAGGTTGCAATGGGCATAATCCCGGGAATTATGGGAATAGTGATTCCCCTTGCTCGCACCTTGCCCACCCACTCCACGAAATTATCAGCGTCGTAAAACATCTGGGTGACAATAAACGTGGCGCCCATATCGACTTTCTCCTTCAAGTGATCTAGCAGCAAATCCTCATCCTTGTTGTCGTCGCAACCTTCTGGATAGCCGGCAACACCTATGTCGAAGTGATTCCCGTAGGTTTTCCGTATGTGAGCGACAAGATCTCTCGCATATTGGAAACCGCCATCGGTCGCTACCCACTTCTCTTTTTCTCGTGGGGGGTCTCCTCGTAATGCCAGTATGTTGGTGCAGCCAGCTTTGTACGCTCTCCTTAACGCATCGTTGATTTTCTCCTCCCCCATATCAGTGCAAGTCAAATGCATGCAGGTCTCGAGACCAAAATAAGCTTGGGCCTGAACAACCATGTCGCAGGTCAGTTCAGCGATACGCCCTCCAGCTCCCCATGTTATGTCGATAAATTTAGGCCCGAAGTCGTACATACGTTCCATTCGATCGTACAGGTTTTGCACACCTTGGACTGTCTTGGGAGGGAAGTATTCAAAGGAGAAGGACGGCTGACCAGTCCTCTCGGCGTCCGCGAGCATTTCGTGGATATGCATCTTGGTGAATAGGGAAGGGCAATACAGCAACTCCTTAGATGGGAAGCCCTAATTCAAGTGTAGTACTTTACGAACAAAATCTACCTACGTACGAAGGACAAGTTAGCCGGAGCAAATATATAGGTACGACCGTCACATGTAGTACCACAGAAAGGGAAGGTAGAAGAATTGAGGCTGGCGTAGAAACATATGATTCGAAATAGCATTGGGGGAAAAAAACATCCAAGAAAAAAAAATCCAACTAGCGAACTCACCTAGCTAGCTACCTAGCTAGCTACCTAACTTAGTATCTTCCTTCTCACACCAAGGGAAACATAGGAAATGCCTCTCAAGCTCAGAACGTTATTAATTATTTTCCCTGGGAGGAAAAAAAAAGGAAATAATTTGGAGTTAGCAATCCTTTTTCCCCAAGTAAAATAAACCGTAAGAAAAAAAGTTTGTGGGATGGGGTAGGAGAAAAGATGAAAAAAAAGGAAAAGTTATGAATATGGATTGTTCAGAATTGTGAGAATTGCGGATGGATCGAATCCCTTGAAGTTGCAATTCTGGAAAGTCCCAAGGTTCCCGCCAACGCTCCCACCCGTCATTCCGAGTCTGGAGTCCTTCTGATTGGTCTAATCACTCGGGCCTAACGCCATTGGGCTAATTCGAGCTTTTACTGCTTATAGTACTATGTATGTAGGCAGCTACGGTCGACAGATACTCCGCCGGGTGCCCTGACTCCTGCCCTGACTCCTGCCCTGACTCCTGCCCTATGTACCTTAAAGTTCACCATTCATATGGGGCTTATGTACCTATACCAAAGTAGGCACTGCTAGTGGTACGACATCCATGGAGGTGTATGGAAGATGTCCCTGATCGAGGGTTCCACGCTTGTGCTGTCGGTACCTAGTAGGAAGGTACTATTCAATGTATGGATTAGTTGATCTCCGGATTACAACGGATGCAAATCCGGAGATATAAGATATCTAGGCACCTATTGGTATGCAGTAACATCGAGGGTAACATTTCTTGCACGCAAATTGAATGTTACTAGTGACTACCTAGTAGCTACGGTAACTACTATGTAAACGTAAAACACATGCATAGTGTTCCAATTGCTATATTCGTCTCTCTCGGCGTTCATATAAAAAAGAATTAATACCAGGTTCCCGGTATCTGATATCATTTGCAATGGCCGCTACAGCATAAAGTTAAAGCCAGGAACTAACTACCCCTCATCGCCACCCCTCTTGGTTGGAGTAGGTACCTATTGTAACTGTAACCCACATGTGCACTTGCTCCCTTGCTCCCTGTCTCCGATCGGTAGGGCTTGCCCCCGCTTCACCGCTAGAGTATCAGTTGAGTTTCTATTGGCCTCAACAGAATCAGCTGACCGCCAGTGCCAGAAACTCTAACCACCTCACCACTGCAACTTCCTCCTTGCTTACATACGTGTACACAGAGATTCAAATTAATAGATGATGCCCTATGTATCGTTCTAGGCAAGAGCATTTGGAGAAATATGCTCTATTGAGGCTGATCAGTTCCATGTGTGGTAGATGCGTGCTTGACTATGTCCTAGTTTATGTCCTGGCTCTTACGGGTTAACTATATAATAACCTCAAAACATTTCCAAGTTCAATGCTCGGGCTATGTACCTACTCAGCTTACTCATACCTACATGTAACTAGCCAAGTACACATGTATAACATACGTTCAATGTTAATGACGACATGCTTCAAGTGGCTTGGAACCATCAATGATGTACAGCATCTGTAGATGCATCAGATAACAGTGGTGACTGGCATGTTGCTGTCGAAATCTCTAACAGGTAGCTAACCGCTATCACAGTACATACATACATACCAAATAAAGAGACTCGGAATCAACCTTGCTGTCGCACGGTGGCCGATGGGCCTATAGGAGCGGTGTGTTATACGTTGTTCATAATTAAGAAATATCCGCTTATTTAAGATCTATGCTCAGGTACCTATGCTAGTTTATTAGGGAAACAGGAGAGAACAACTACAAGTCAATGGACGGTGTTCGAAGAAAATATTAACTGTAATGACTTGTGTTAGCCATACTGAAATACTAACTGAGTTATTTGTGTCTATTTCAAAATGTATAGTTGGACTACCTAGCGCAATAACGGCGTTGTTCTGCGCCTTCTAGGTCCCGCCTGATGACACTTTAGAAGCATGAAAGCCTGATAATTATGTAGGTATGATTTGGTATAAATCGAGTAAAGTCTTATATTCATGATTTAAAACGGAAACAAAAACCTCTGACTAGTACCAATATCGCCTCCTAGGCCGATGAAGTTCTTCGATTTATACAGGATTGATGTTTCCGCGCCTTCTGGTTTAGTCATGTGACACCCCTTCGAAGAGAGTGGGCTTACATAGATTCTACGACGCAACATAGGACCATATTGTCTTATGTATATGTGAAGCCACGTTAGGTAATATTCAATGACCGGCAAAACTACTATGTTCATATGTTTTGATAGAGGATAAGTGAGCAAGCATGTGCTCACATTATTGTACCCCAAAGACCCAGATGTTACAATAAGCACTTAATCATAATCATATTTAGTGAAATTTTCTAATGAACGAACCTGACCAATGGTAGGAAGCGGCTTGCCCTCCAGATAACTATAGGGCTGGATGTAGAGTGCATAAGGGCGTAAGGGGTTAAGGGGCCCTCCCTCTTTCAGCTCGGGATAATCGTTAGCCGCATGATCCTGTAATGTCAAGTCAAGTAACTATGCCATAATACCACTCCGATGTCTGTTCTTGAATAGCTCTCTTGGAGGTGTAGCGCCCCTGCGAGGAGCTGCTTCAAATTGGTATAAGGTAGGTGGCTATAGTGCTCTCGGGAGGTGGAAGTGTGATATTTTGAAGAGGCCTACCTGGATGATCCTAATCTACCTAGGTAATTTATGAGGCACTATTGGAACTCCCCCACAAGATCTTTGGTATGACATTGATATCATGTTTTCTGTGTGAGATACTCCTGCTCAGATAGTGGAGTAGGCAAGGTCGGATGTATGATTGCCATTACAACTTACATCTCCTGGTAAGTTTGATAACATCTACTTCGTCCCAGCATTGTAGTACGACACTGCCACGTGGTAGTATTTTTTGGTTCTACGCATGAATGAGTGTCATGGAAAACATGTTGGGGGCCATGAAGCAATAGCGAGAAAAAAGAAGGCCAAAGAGAATAGGTGCATGTAATTTAGGCGCGGCATGTGATTTCGGGTTTACTGGGCACCTGGGCAGGCTGGGGAAGTGGCTCCAGGCGCTATTAATGATTTAAGGCACAGCTCCCAGCGCTAGTTCAGGGATTAACGGCAGCTGTGCAAGTGCTAAGCTTCTAGTGCTGTGGAGTTTCTCCGGGGCTTCTTCTGTTAGGCGGGCTATTCTCTTCTTTTAGCCTTGTGGATCCCCCAAGGACTCCAGTGTTCTAGGGCTATGACAATATTTGGACAATCTGGCTGGCGTCAGCATTCGTATTCAATGCTTGCAATGCCTATGTATGCCTTGTTCAATGTTGTCTGTATTGTGACTCTGTGTTCTTTTGATCGCACGATTCATCCATGTTTCAATTATCAGGTGCTTGCTTAATAAGAGAATCACTAAATTCTATACTACATCTATGGATGTAGGAATGAGTGTCTAATAGCCCTTTCTAGCATCCAACTCCATGTCGGTAGGTACTAGGTTAGGTACTAGGTTAGGTACTAGAGAGCCCCTATGTAGTTAGTTGCTACGATTTCCAGGGACTTATCGGGTCTAGCCGCTTAATGTCTGTGCCTCCAAATCGCATCTTGTTCAGCCTCTTGGAGCTCCTTTGTGCATACAGAGGTACCTAGGTTAGGTTGGGTAGGTAAGTAGTTGTTTATTATTAGGTATTCTACTTGCCTTGATAGCAATTCATAATAACTCCTTGATAGATGGATTCATCCTTTTATGGAGGGTTCATTCTATAGGTTTTCCTTCATTATTTTTGGCCTTCTTGGGATTCAATATCCCAACAGTACCCTACTACTACTAGTAGTACGTAGATGCAGTACGTAAAGGTTATTACAATAAATTTCGTCACACGCGGGATCTGTGTTCCTGAAGACCAGGTACATGTAGGCAGTGTAGGTAGTACCCTTCTAGCGCATTTTGGGGGCCGGGGTCCCTATTACTATGTACTAGGTTAGGTAACTTTATGTATACACCTTTTACTAGCCAACTTGGAACTTGGATCTTGGAAACACATATCCGAAGGTATTCCGCTTGATTCATAGGACCGTGTTTCCAGGTGATAGGTGCTCTTTTTAGAAAAAGTCAGCCATTGCTGGTGATATCTCAATGTCCAAGCATCTGCTAGGTGGGTATCGTGAAACTGATCCTTTGAACGACATACTGACTTATTGATCATACTGTATAGATCTGTATTGTGTTAGGTTAGGTAATTACTTAACACCGATCAAGCAGGTATGTAACTATCGAAGCTACATACATATATGTACTAGACCATGCCACCATGGCTGTAAAGGGTTCATTCAAATTCCGCAGCTGGGCCGTTGTAACTCTCCAGCCCTCTGCTAGGTTGCATCTGGTTACGGAGGCCCCGGTCTTCCCTTCTTCATGCAAGCCTGTCGAAGCCTGCCGAATCGCGTGTCGATTTCGGTACCGTTTATATATGGGACCTAATAGTCAGAGGCTGGATTGTTTCCGGATTGGTTAGATTTCGCAGATATCTATTATCTGAAGCGCAAGGATGGACCTGAGGGACCTGATGGATCCGATGGATATTATTTGGACCCTAACCCGCTTGTATACATACTACTACGCATGTGTGTGTGCTAGGTAGGTATGCTGTATGTAATTCATTAATATGCCGTCACCCGCCAATATTTCTAGCTCTGTTTTTTTTTTTCATAAGCACTGACTATAAGCTCTCTTTCTGATCGTCATTTTTAGGAATTGTGGTGGTTCTAGGGAATTCCACAATATCCTCAAACCAGAACACTAGGTACCTATCGTCGTCCTTGTGACTGCTGTTCAAAGATGTCACCAAGAGTAAGGAACTTCCTGTTGTCCCAGTTCAAGGGGTTGTTGGGGGCAAGGACTTAATAAAGAAAAAATCACTTATACTTAAGTAAATATACTAATGATACTGTAGTACGATGAAGCGCCTGAGTTAGCACCTAATAACTTTCCAGAGGTTCATCACCCGCCTGCTGTGCCAGAAGTTGCAGGGTATGGACAACCAACACCAACACCGTCCGTAAAGCCAGAAGAGTCTACAAACCCGTCAACGATACAGCCGAGTTATGCTCCATACGAAGGCTCAGCGCCTGCATATCAGCAAATGGCATATCTCCCTCAACCGCCATCTGAGAAGGGGACAGCACGAAAACGAATCCTAGGGTGTTCGGTCTTGGTGTTTATCTTATCCCTCATTATTGCGATCCTATCCGCAGCCGTGATAGGATTAGCAGCGGGAACAGGAGTGGAGGCAAGTCGCGCCAACGATGCCGAAGCGCGATTGGCTGCGATGAGTGCAACAGCAGTTTCCCCGGCGACTGTTACCGTGACCGCATCAGCAACAGCATCGGCTGATAAAGGATGCTCAACAAATTCGGCTGGAGTAACAGGAACCACGTACTGGTCACAGTGTGAGTCTTGAACATCTCACCAACACTCTAATATATGAAGAAGCAAGCTCACTGTTAGATCCCAGTCTACCATAGACCTACATATAAGATATACTGCAACAGCGATGCGCCAAACACCCCCCTCTCCTCGCTTTTCGTGGGCAACTTCGACGACTGCATGGACGCCTGCGCTTCTTTTTCCTTCTACATCCCTGCAGACTTCTCCATCAACTCGACGGCTACAAACGCCACGTGCGCAGGAGTCAGTTTCGTCCCCGCGTGGACAAACCGTACCTTTGCCTACGATGGGGACGCGCCGGGCAATTGCTATCTCAAGCCTGGACCGCAGAACGAGTCTGCGTTAAATAACCCCAACATAGGGGGCTCCGCAGTACATGCTGCGATATTGGATATATAATAAGGCCCTGGTGGTGCTAGAGAGCATTTTTCTCTACGACTTACGGATGTCCATGCATTGATTCGGACACGGAGAGATGATACATACAAAATATATAATATGATACCATGGATACATAGCCGGAGTTGGAGGTTCGGTTTGAAAAAAAAAGGGGGGGCTCAATTGTTTTACACAATATTTTTATATGGATAGATGGAAGCGCGTGCTGTCGAGCTTTGTATGATGCGATTTTGATTCTAGGAGCTATCGAACCTCATATCCCCCCCTCCCCAGATTAAACGAGGTTTAAACGATTACCTACACACATATGTGGTATTACCTCGTATCTGACTTATTACCTAGGTAAGTATTTGACTACCGAGGTAGCACCTATCAACGGCGGATAGATGGATAAACCGTATTATAATCAGCATCCAGCATCGTCTTCACTGAAGATGCATCCATGCAATGGAAAAAGCGCCCCTCCCCCAGCACTGTAATCCATCCAACTTCTTCTTGGGGCGGTGCTGACCAAATGTCAAACTGTAAGCTGATTCAGCGGGTAAGCACACTTTTGCGCCGCTCAGCGGCATACCGGAGACTTGGGTAAATGGGCTGTTGCTTTATTTGACGAATAGCATTACGCAGACATGGCTTTTCCTGAGACGCTGCATATATCTGACAGCTTCTGTCGCATCGCGCGCTTCAGTTTGGCTGCGGGCCCGAGGCATTGATGAGTGTTAATCGAAGTGCCTGGCACATATGATAGATATCAAGTACATTGAAACTGCCTACCAAGGTAGGCAATCAGATCAGATTAGCATAGGCCATCTACTTTAGAGCCCTACTTAGAAACATGATGTAACCACGCTACTGGATACCATCCATCCTGTCAGGATAGGGTATTCCTCCCGGGTTCTTGGGGTGCCGAGCCCACGCGGGTGCAGGGACATTCCGCTCTGGCGGGCGCAGGTAGACTGTGGACGTATTTACAGCGCATAGACTAACTCGATGTTACTGGGCCGGCCCTTTATAATAACTCCTTTCGACTAGTGCCTTTTAGGTATGGATAGGATGAACATATAGACTGCCAGCTGGTGTACTGGGTAAGATTTATACATTTCAACCAGCAGAAGAAGAAGCTTCTTACATGTATTCCTGGTGGCAAACCACTCCCTATATTCCAACGATTCCTTGCATTCTTCTACACTTCTCAACGATGAAGGATACAGACATATGTGTGTATATTACCGTAGGTATCTACGGCAGGTTGTAGTATATTATGGGTAATTCGGGGCTTCAATGCAATTTTCCGTGCGGACCTGATCACCATGCGTACTACATGTAGGTAGGTATCGTAGGTACTAGATGTTAACCTACCTAGTAGGTACATGTACGACAAGCGTTTGATCGATAACTCCGAACGCGTTTGCATGTAAATCAAGAACATCATACACTTGAAATCTGTCTAGCTATTATATTACCAAGGGACGTCGACACGTTATAATCAGTAAAACCTACTGTCAGAACAAGGTCATGTGATTTCTGGTTGATCAGGTCAACGTGATATCTTAACGGGTAGTGCGTTTGTATACTATGAGACAACACGATAATTGAGGTAAAAGTTATATTAATCAAAAGAAGAGAATTTTATAAGAGTCTTACTATTCGTACCCTATGTACATTAAAAAAAAGCGGCTTAAGGTTAGGGTTAGGGTTAAGATTAAGTCGCATGGGTAGAGGAATGAAAGACAGCGGTCCTAAATGTACTTCTAAACAACCCAGAAATCCCCGACGAAGACCAGTTCTGGCTTCCAGACCTCAGTCGTGCCATCGGGAGGCACCTGCCTGACTGGATATGTTACTTTGAAAAAAGCCAACGAAGGTCTCCAGCTCAAGGGCCAAGATTCCTTTATGTACACAGCTACGTCTCTTCGCGATTGGGTTCAAGATATGCACCTTGGGTCAAAGAACCGTGAAAGCCCGTTCGAGGGATCTGACGAATACGATGAAGAGTCGGAGGATGAAGAACAGAACACCCTCACGACTGGCAATAGCGGCCCCAAGGACAGCAAGAGAAGCAGAACCACGAAGCGCAAAAGAAGCGACACTGGTGGTAACATACGAAAAGGAACTGCTCCAACCCACACTCCAGAGTGCCGGGCATGCTACGGGCGTCACGAGCTTTCAGGTTGTTGGTACTTGTACATTTTTGCTGACAAACGCCCAGCTAGGCGCTGGTATAATGAAAGTGTCGGACGACTGGTAGGCGATCGAATCAAGAACTCAAAGGCTCTGAAAGAGGAGATTGAGGCTTTGAAGGACAGGAAAATTAAATGGCTAGGCACACGGTTGAAACTTTTAGCACGCAAGAAGTCTGCATAACGAATTGAGGACGAGATGGAAGAAGCTCGAGGAAACTGGTTTGGTTTTCACCCACACGTACCTACCTAGTCGTCTAGTTAAATCAATCACGAGAGGGTCATATTTCACGTCTTCTAACCTGCCAAAGTTTATACTTCTAATATTTTGGGCCTGAGCACGTGTGAACAACTCTGAATTTCCTTCACTCTATGAACCCTCAACTTGCAATGCCTTCCTCAAAGAGCCCTCTAGTGTATCCAAGATTCCCACCATGACAGCCTGGTCGTAAAAGGCTTCGTTGTAGACCAGATTCAACTCGACCCTCCCTCTATACGTCCAGAAGACCAGGTACGATTCCTTGGATGTGCTTTCAAGCCCAAGGCTGAAGTCCAGAACCTCTAGTCCTCCTTCCCTCCCACCCCCGAAGTAATGAACCTGCGTGACCAGCTTGTCACCATCTTCAATACTTGATATGTCGACCTCACTCCTCGGCGGCCCCAGCTGTCCAGTGCGCTGCAACAGCCCGTTTACCTGAAGTGCGAATTGCCGGCGTGCTATCAGGAATTCTCGACTCAGGCCAGCCGTGTATAACTTGTCATACTGCGTCGCGTTTTCTTCCCAGGAACTGTCTGGCGCTACCTTGGCCATGTAGCTACCTGTGTACAGAGCAGACGCGTATTGAGCCGAGTCGAACGGCTTTCTCAGGTATGGACGCAGGCTGAACCGCATGGTACTAGTATAGTGCCCGGTCCCATCGGGGGACGACGCGCTCCCAGCAAAGTTTGCTGCCGCCAAGGAAGCATGGATGGCGGACAGGGGCTTGATGCCTCGCTCCTTGCAGCGAGCCAATATGGCATTCGATGTTGCTTCCGACAGTCTACGTCGAATCATGTTTGTCCTTCCGGGGCGGATGTCGGGATCCGCGCGGAAGGGCAGGCCGATGGAACCAGCTACCAGCGCACCGCTCTTGAGACACTCGGCTGTGGCAGCCTGGATCTCGGGCGTGGCTTTCTCGGGAAGCTCGAGCACCTCTTCGATGCTAGGGGCTAGACGAACGTGTTCTTCACCCCAAGCCAACGTTGCAGAGTCTTCATCGGATGCAAGCGCCACGAAAAAGGCGTTCAGGAGTTGCAAGGCACCAGGGCCGTCCGTGCGCCAATGTGCAGTATGTAATACGAACTCCCCTGTGTGTGGGAGGAAATACCCAGTGACATAGGGAGACGGCTTGAGATCAGGAACCAGATCCCCAGCAGTGATGGTGGCATCCGAGATAACGTGCAGAGTCTCGCTGGCCCATTGCTCCAAAGCCGTGTGATCCGGAATAAGATAATCCAAGACATCCGTGCCGGCTGTAGATGCTATGCTGGGGTGCTGGAAGCGGAGCAACTTCCACGCATTGCGCACTTTCGGCAATATGTCACTATCCTTTAATGAACCCCACAAGGTGAAGGTCCCGATAACCGTAATCGACCAGTGCTCGCGGTCAGCTGGGTGGGATCGATCGCCGATCCACTTGATCATGCGTTCATTCTCTCCCAAAGGTCTTTGCCAATGTCTGGGCTGGACCTCTGACCAGGACATGATGTATATCGTCTGCACGGATGTGAGTAAGGGGTTTCCTGCGGCCGAGAGAATATAGAAAAGGGGCTGCGAATCAACTACTACTCACTAAGAGGGATGTGATCTATCTGCCTGGTATACTGCCTAATTCACAAATGAGACCGGTCAATCTAAAGGAGTATTGATAGTGCTGCTGTGTATGGTTTACAGGCTCCCTTTTTTATTCCACGCTTGCGGAGGATTAGTTGTGGTGGTGCTTCTATATATCCATCGGACTTTCAACACGGAGTTCATGTATCGGATGAGGAATAAGCAACTCCCAAAATCTGAAAGATTCCCCTAATGTTGAGTTCGAATAAGAGTTGGTATTATGTCTGTCTAACTTACGCACAGAAAGCTGATAGGTTTGTTGTGTTGTATTCTAAGGGTGCAGTCATCTCATCAGTTTATTTTTTTCTGACTCTGGAAAGAACCTCGCAACGATGAACTGGTCCGAAGTATCACCAGGCGTGTTCAGCAAGGAGCTGGACGGGGTAGAGAAGATATATCACCACGTCTCACAGATTTTCAAACCTATTGGCCGTGAACATTGGGGCCTCTATTGCGCATGCACCTTTGAACTTGGCCCGCGCTTTTCGCAGAAGGATACGGCTACGGCACTGCGGGATGCATGGAAGGCACTGCGTTATGATTTCCCAGCACTGGCTGTCACTCTAGACGGCGTCCACGCTCGCAAGACATACACCGTACCGGATGCATCCTCGGTCGAGAAATGGGCCGACGAGTCATTCGTTGTGGACTGGACGACCGATCCCGACGGTGTGCTGGCCTCGTATCCAGTAAGGGATACACCCAGCATGTACTTCTTCCCCGAGTTGTCTCAGATTCTCTTCCTATGCTCGCACTGGCGCATCGACGGCCTGGGGACCTGCTTACTCATGGACCGTTTCTTCTCGCTGCTCGCAGCCAACACCCCTTCACCGTCTCCAGAATCCTGGACCAATGACATTACCAAGATCTCCCCTACACTTGAGGATGCGATCAAAGCCCCAACTTTGGAGACACCCGAGGTCCAGGAACTGGCGCGGAAGCACATCGAGGACCACCACAAGAACGTCGTGCATGCGGGCGGTCTGCGGTACCTAGGCGATGCAACCACGCCACCAGGCAGCCCCGCCCGCAGCACCGTCACCTTCAACGAGACCACCACCGCATCCCTGATCGCGGCGTGCAAGCAACGCAGCATCAGCGTCACCTCGGCCGTCTACGCCGCGCTAGCGAACGCCGTCTTCGCGCTCTCGCCCGACGCGTCCCTGGAGAAGTACGCAGCCGTCATGTCGATCAACATGCGGACGTACATGCCGGCGCCGTACAACGGGAAAGACCACGCCGTGCAGGTGTACGTGATGGGGCGGTCGCCGACGGTGGAGCGCGGCAGCTCGTTCGCCGAGATGACCGCGCAGTTCATGGACTACAACAAAGGGTGGTACAACGACGAGTTCCGCAGCGCGTACCGCATGGCCACGCGCCACCACTACGAGACGCTGTCGAGACGCCCCAAGGGGGCGGCGCCGCTGAACCCGCCGAGCAGCGTCACGCTGAGCAGCTTGGGCATTATTGAGAAGAACATGCCGAGCCAGTATGGCGGCGGCGCAGTGAAGTTGACGGATTTTCATTTCGGTGTGAGCATGATGACGCGGCAGATGCTGCTGTATGTGTGGACGTTTGAGAATAAGCTGAGCTTGTCGGTCAATTATAATGATGCGTATCATGATGTCTCGTCTATAAAGAGCTTCTTGGAGTATATTCGGCAGATATTGAAGAATGAAATAGGAGTCTCCCTGGAGCTATAGGGGAGGACCATGGGGATGTGGGATTTGGTGTATGAGAGATGATTTCAATTGATGTTAGCTGAGCACAGAAATATCTACATAGGTACCTCCTAGGTACGCAGTATCGAATTGTGCGTCGTCAAAGCACGTTTCAACATATATGACTTAAATGGCATTCGATCTCACGTGGAATAGTCCGACTGACTGATGGCGAAGACCAAGAAATCACGGATAGTGAAGAAGGGACGGATGATGTGTAAGCTGAGATCACGAGTAGAGAGAGAATGAACCCCAAACCTAGACGGCGCCTTGCGCTCCGGTTGCATCACAAGTCAGAAATACGTAGAGACCCAAAGAGTACGTGGGCTATCAAAGTTCTCAACAGTTGGGTAATATTGCCTCACGCCTGAGTCGCCAAATTACCTCACATATTGTGTTAATATGAAATACACGCCGATATCTGAAGCCATTTGGACAAGGGTATAGACGATAAATAGTATCTTGTTAAGGTACCTAAGGTAGGGTAGATCACGAGAATTTTTGGAAATCTGGAATCTTCAAGAGTTGGTGCCTGAAAGCTCAGGGGTAACGTAACGCGGTCGCAACGCTCATGACGGTTGGCGGTTAACGACGCAGCAAAGGGACAAATCGCCTGTTCTCTCTTCCAGAGGGTTCGAGAGTTGAATGTCTTTGGTCCTTGGGTTTTCAAATTGAATGTATTGGATTACAAATTAAACAAAAGCTTTGGAATAGGGGCAATCTCCCCCTTTTCTGCATTTTAACCTCCTTGGAAATGGACACCAAGATAGACCCTTGCTCGTTTTTCATTCGCGTTATCTTATATTAGATCTAAATATCTAATTATTCTTATCCCAAGACATGAGTTGGGGAAGGCTTTTTGATGTGGTCGTTACCTAGTTACCTACGTGATATCTTCAGTTAACTCGTAGTGAAGCGAAGGAAACCTGAGAGGCTTGATCCAACACTTGAAACCCAGCACATAACAAACAAACTTATGCAACGCCTACGGACCACCAACCAGAAGAACACCAGCCTTTACAATACCTAGCTGACTACGGGGATCACCTTATTTTTCATATCCACACGTACCCCCTCGGACGACGAATCCACCATCGCCGGAAAGTGGCTCTCGTACCCATTGTGAAGCTGCTCCAGCATGCCCTCGATGTCAAAATACCACAACTTGTGCGACCTCGCCGTGATCTCCCCCAGGCACTTGTCCCAGTCCCGCTGGGTTCCGGGGTAGACCCACTCGTAGATGTCGCAGACCTCGCGGCTGCTCTGGACGAGCCACTGGCTGCGCGGCGGGCGCACGTCGTTGTAGATCTGCAGCGACGCGTCGATGACGACCGACCGGTCCATCTGCGGGCTCTGCGCGATCGTCCCCATCGCCTTCTCCAGCAGCGTGCACAGCGCCAGCGCGTCCTCGACCCCGATTCCCGCGCCGGCCCCGTGGTGCGGCGCGGACGCGTGCGCGGCGTCGCCGGCGAGGCATACGCGCCCCTGCACGAACGTCGTCGCCGGGTGGTCGTACGTGTCGAAGATGGCCCACTTGTCGATGTTGTCGGGCAGCAGGCTGACGATCTTGCGGACGGTGGGGCCCCAGCCCTCGAACGCGGCCGCGACGTCCTCGCGCGTCGCGGCGCTCGTCATGTTGCCGACGCCGTTGGGGTCGCCGAGCGGCCAGTCGCTGTGGTCCGTGACGAAGGCGACCACGTTCAGCAGCTTGCCGGCGGCCACGGGGAAGTGCAGGATGTGCGCCCGCGGCCCCATGTGCATGTGCTGGTTGCGCGACTTGAACGTCCCGATCACCGGCTCGACCTGGTCCATGGGGATCAGGGCGCGGTACGCGACCTTGTGCGTGAAGTGCGGGTAGGACGCTGGGTTCTCTTCCCCGAGGAGGAGTTGCCGGACCTTGGACTTGATGCCATCGCAGCCGATGACTGTAATGAGTTTCACAGTTAGCTTAAGGTCGGCGTCGTGAAAAAAGAAGGGGGAGGGGATACTTGCCTATGTCTGCTTCGGCTGTCTTTCCATCCAGGAACTCGAGCAGCAACGGCTCCTTTGGCCCCCTGTCCTTGTATCCCGTAAACCGCTTCCCGAATTCGACGGCATGGCTTGGGATGGACTTGACTAGCTCATCAAGGAGGTTCGCGCGGTGACAACCTTGGAAGCCCTTGTAGCCAGAGTATAACAAGAATAACAACTTATCATCGGTGCTTTCAACATCATTCGGGTCCCAGTTGTAGCCGTCATGATAACGCAGATAGTCGTTAGGCTTATCAATGTCTTCGCCGTTAGGGGTAGCTACTGCATTGACGCAGTCAACTATGACGGGATCTAGAAGAGACATGCATTTTAATGCATTTGCCGTGAAGGCCACACCGGCGCCGATTTCACGAAAGGAGCGTGCTTGCTCGTAGATCTTGACGGGCACGTTTCGTTTCAGGAGGCCTAGGGCTGTGATTAGCCCAATGATGCCCCCGCCGACAATGGCGACTTGTAATTGAGATGACTGTCGCGTTTCCATTTCTTGACTTTGAAACGTGGGGATAATTTCGGAACTGAATGAGATAGGTATGGTATTGGATTGCAATCTCCTCCTGAAAATGCTTTTGGCTTGCAAGTATATCTGTTGTCTCGTTCCATCTAAATCATAGCTACCTTACCTGCCTAGGTATTCAGAAATATCCCCCAACCTAAAAGGAGTATTCCCTCATCCCGTTAATCCCAATGTGTGGTATATCCTGGTACCCGTTGCTTTTTTCAGCCGCCGGAGTTTTAAACCGGAGTACCCAATACCCTCGGGGGGTTGAGCCGTCGTCGTACCATGCTCTCACCACGTCAAAAGGATCTATCGAAGTTACCGATATAGAGGCGTCAATAAAAAGCATTCAAGCGTTCAAGATCTGCTTTCTAACTTGGGTATCTTTCTGCGAGGAGTACCGAAGAGCCGACCTCGGACAACTATGTACATGCCTTTACACCTACCTACACATTACGTGGTCGGAGTCATCTAACGGAGCACGGCGTTTAGCTCACGACGAGCTGGCCTCTCTCTTTCTGACCGCCTACGTGTCCATCGTGGAAAGATCACTGTGTTGTCTAGGATATCCGGGACTCCGATTACCCTGTGAGGTAATGATTCTTACCACCTTCTCCAGCTCTTATGGCGAAGGAAGATCCACGCCACGATACGTACTACTAGAGTGGTTGTGGTCTAGTTCTAATTTACATATACTCTAGAGGCAAAGTACCTACCAGTTCTTTTTTTGGCTCATGTGAGTGTAATAGGAACTCGGAAGTCTGTAGGCCATTAGATGGCCTTGAGCTTGATTTATTACGTTGGGAGGGTCGAACGATGAGAAGGCCTTTGCAATGGCACGATTAATATATTGACGCGGTATGAAATAGTAGGTAGGTAGTATAGAATGCTCTCTTGTTATTGCACGCGAATGCCCATGTATACCTATCCTTACCTACTCATCAACCGATGTGCTCAACATATTTCGTCCACTCTGGGTTTGCACTCAACGCCTCGAAGTCGGCATCAGTAAGACAGGCGATAGCGTCACAGTCGCCTTCCGGGGACCCCGGGTAAAGAACCAATGTACTTGGAAAGGGCACGCTTGGGGGCCGTCGAATGAACTCAGGTTTCCCCAGTTTGCCGAATTCAGGAAACACCCCAGCAAGCGTGCGGATGGACGAGCACCCAATATCAACATCGGGATTGAATTGTCCGGCCCATGTAATCGTTGACTTGTCAGGATCTCGTGCGATGAAAGTAGCGAAGCTTCTCAGATGGTGCAGGTTGTTCGTTTCGTTGAGCCGTTTACGCAAATAGGAGGCCACCGTCGAAAGGGGCGCTTCGGTGAGCTGCTGGAAGGTCATCCACGCAGACATGGTGTGCGCTACCTCGCCCATATAATCCGGCGGGAGCCCAACAAGCTTGCGGCCGTCTATCTGCCTCCCAAACCGCGACATAGTATCGGGGGGGAAGCGGTCTTTGCGAATGGCAATAAAGTGCTGCCAGCAAAACGCGCAGACAGCATCGTCGGTGGAGATGAAGGGAACCTCTGGATCAAAGCCCTGACGCTGATTCGCCATATCCTTGATTTTCGCCATATTTGCCGGCGTGAACCGGAACACATGGTACCTCGCATCTTTGCGAGGCACAAAAGGCGTAGAGTCAGTGACCGGCGGGCGCTTGTGATGACTGTGGTCTAGTACAGGTTCATTCGGGCCTAAAAGAGGTATGGCATTTCTACGGTCTAGATTCGCCTTCTCGAGGAAATAGGGCGGAAATTCTTCGCCGCGCATCGCTGTTGCTATCAACTTCACGAAGCCAAAGTGACCGCTCGCATCCCCCATGTTGTGCTGGAACGCGAAATCCACCACCACACCACCGCGTATAAAGCTGGCCTGTAGCCGGACAACATGTGCGGGATCCTCGTCCGAGTCCTCAAATTTCTTCGGAAATCCAGACACGGGTGTTAGTCTCTCCGTGTCGATCATGGAGAGGGGTGCCCTTTTTGCGCGGATTGCAGCATATTCTGGAATTTCATCTGTGTAGTCTGCGACATCGATGGCGTTCTTCGGCAGAGGACATGCGATGGGTTTATAAGTCCCTGAATTGGTGTCTGTTTTGCCGACATTTACAACTCGAGCCCCCATCCAAGGCACCTCCTGTCGGACCTTGGTGATAGCTGCTTCGAACTCTTGAATAATATGTTCGCGAGATACGCCATTGGGCATGGGGAAATAGTAAAGAATGTGAGAGTAGACCTGCAACATCGGCAATTGGCTGATGGCCGGGTCCCGGTAGCGATCAAGATCACAGTAATCTGCCATGGTGTAAGTTCGCGACGTTGACTCAAGATGCGAAAGGGTTCACTTTTACTATCCTGGAAACACGGGCACTCAGAAAAATCTTGGTCTACGTATTTATTATGTCTAGCAATGAATACCTACTTAGGGGGGCTATGCGATATAATACACTCGACATTTGGTCGGAGATATCTTCAACTAATCTTTGCAGACTTGTGGACCTTGATTTATGCTAGGTTTGTGGAATCGTTCGCCGGACTTTTCACCACGGATGCCGGAGTGATAGCCAACCCTACATATGTAACTCCTGAAACATGGAAGCTGAATGGATTACCTATGGGATTTACTTGATACCTGAGGTACTTTTTGTGTAGACTGCCACCCCCGAGAGGTAAAGCCATATTGTGAAGCTACCTACCTAACCTAGTATCTAAGGGACCAAGAGCTCTAGGATTGCACGTAAAGTTTACGGCAACTATGGTAGTCTCTCTCAATTCCGAACATGGACTGACTATTTAGGTACCTAGGTAGGTAACTATCCTTTCCTTTTTCTGTGTCGGCACGTTTGGCAATTATTATCCAATATCTGACCCCTTTTCGTCACACAAAGTGGCTTAATTGGCATTTGGGCGCTCACCCCTTACCTCATTCATAAAAATTTCAGTCTGGCGTACTCCCCACCCTTTCTAGATCCAAATCAGCTTGTCTCGACTAAACATCGGTGTCCGCTTGGCATCACCAAGAAGTTTATCTTTGGATCCATCTCATCCTCTGTCATTCCATACTTGTCTGATAGCTTTGCTGTTGGAAATGCTTTGAAGAAGAAGGCCGTGCAAAGCCGGAGTTCCATCCGAGCAAGATTGAGGCCGATGCAGGCTACATAGTAAACTTCAGCAAAGAGTTTAACGGCACGGGATGTTTAATAGTAGATAGATATTTACCTCGAGACCCTATGCCGAAGGGCATGAACCCGCTCTTTGCTTCAGGGGATGGGTTTGCCCAACGTGAGGGGTCAAACCTTTAGTTATAAGTCAGCGAACCAGTTTTGACAAGAAAAGAAGTAGGATGAGGGAAGTACTTTTCAGGATCCGGGAAAATCTCTGGGTTCCGGTGTAAGGTATAATTCTGTGTCGACACCACTGCTCCGCCTGGAAGATAATGGCCAACAAGCTCACTCCCTTCCCGAGGAACAATGCGAGGAAGAGCTCCTGCTGCTGCGCCATACAGTCGGAGAGTCTCATCAATCACTTGATTTAGATAGGTGAGATCTCGTAGGTTGCGATGATTGAAATCATGGGGGAGAGATTGAATTTCCTGCAACAACTTTTCGCGGATATGCTCATCTTTCGTGACGGCGTAGATGAGGTAGGTCAGCGTAACCGCTGTCGTATCAGTTCCAGCGGTGATGTAAGATTGCGACTCGTTTGTCAAGTCCTCCTGGGAGAGCACCCAGCTTTGGGCGCCAGAAGTACTAACTAAGCTGGAGAACAGCGTCCTTCTACCGCCGCCCTTGGTTACTAGCTGAACATACTTCTCGGTGCGTTGGATCCCATATTCGATGATACGCTTTCGAGTGTTGCCGATGTCTTTGAATTGGGAGAAGATAGGGAGATACCCAGAAAGCCAGATAAGTGATGGGAACGCACCACGGAGTGGTAGAAGAGACCCCATTTCGGCGATGTCTTCGGCGTATTGGTTTTTCTACGAGCATAAATAAGTATATTTGCCTTCTAGTCATGGACGAACTGCATATCTTTCACAATACTGACCTTGCCAACCTCAAGCATATGGAATGAATCACCGAAGCAGAGCTCGCCGATCACATCCATAGCGAACAGAGTCCACCAGTGAAGGATATCAGTACATCCATTGGTCTTCATGTCATCTCGCATCTTCGAGATGGCCAGTTCTGCCTTCTGGAATACGGTGGGCTCGAGATCCACCATAGAAGTCTCGGCAAAGCATCGCTCTATGGTACGCTTCCGTTGAGCATGAAAGGCGGGATCTAGTGCAGAGAAAAGACTTCGAACTTTTCCGCCGACGTAGAATTGAGGGTCTTTCAAGTACTTCGACTTCCCTCTGTGAATTTCTCGAGCCCCTTTGACGTCACTGACGCATACTTCACGAGGGCCGAGTCGGACGATAGGACCTATGGTTCGATGAGTATAACCATCTTCATTTCTGTTGGGGAGGATAATGATGAGATGATACCATATTGCTCATGGAGGGAATTCACATAGCGAGCCTTAGTTCCGGATAGCAACCGGATCCTCACATGTAGATCCGTCCACCTGGACAAGAGAGGTCCTGGAACCGACGATAGAGGATCCCTGACAGCACGAATAATGGTTCGCTAAAGATAGATGTTAATATCAGGTGGTTCTGAGTTCTTTGGGTTTCACTTACCAAGACATAGAACCCGATAACACCCCATATCAAATTCGCTGTTGTCAGATACTGGAAAGGGGAGGGTGGGGGTTCGTTGGAGGTTGCCATAACTAGGTACCGGTACGTACTGGAGAGGCAATTAGGTCCAGAATGACTGAAAGGTGATAATTGGTATTTGTTGCGGCTGGATTAGATTATGTTTCTCGGTTGTTCACTCCAACACGGGTTCTTATTACCTTAATATGATCAAAAACCAGGATTGAAATTGTGTGATACTCGAGTTGACAATAAAAAAGATGTCTAGCAGGAAACAAGCCCGGCGGCGGCGGCGCCACCCGTAACGCCCAATTCCGGAGTTACTTCATAGGACATAATCTCCAGGGCTTCCTATTTAGAGACATAGGAGATAGGGAGAACCCTAAATCAGTGACCCTTTTTTTACTCCGCCCCATTATTGAATGCCATATGTCGCCTGGTTAGGATATCAATATTTTAGGGATGAGAATCGAGCCGCTTTAGAGAATGGATTTCTCAGTAGGGCGTGGATCAACGGAGTTGATCACTGAAGTTTTCATGTGAGACTGTTGGCGCCGGACTTATTTGGCGGAATTTCTAGTCAATGACTCCAGACAGCATGTAAATAGGCATAAACAAGCATAGATGGAACACTTCGTCTCACATACCCACGTTAATTCTTTGAACGTTCGCTACTATCGAGACCAGGATGCGATGTTTAGTTGAGCCTGCTAATCTTTACTAACTCACCTTCAACACGGAACTAGATTCAACAAACTAGGTACCTACCTGGGTGGATAGGACAATCACATTTCTGCATCGTCACGCTCATGGTCGTGTTCTCATTTCGCCATGACGCAAGATAGTCACCAAACCGCCGCTGCGGCGGTATTCTGTCCGCAGAATAAGCCGCCAAAGCCAGACTACATGGCGTCTATACGCCGTTATGTGCGCGGCAACCCTCTGCTCGAACCTCTCGAACAAGCGATTCTCGACCTACCTAATACCTGGAGCATTTTCGCAAGAGTAAACGCAGACATCGCTAACCTCAAAGATGGGCCGGAATACGTCAAGAACATGCACGACTGGATGGTGGACGAAAAAGTGCCCCTTCCCATCCCAGAGATCATGTCTGGGACACTGGCACTCCCTCTCCTCACCATAATACAGATCGTTCAGTACTTTCAATATCTCCAGTTCCGGGGCATAAGTCATGGCCAGTTCTTAAGTGAAATCCGAGTAGGAGGCGCACAAGGGTTTTGCGGTGGATTGCTACCTGCGATGGCTATCGCTGCTTCTCGTGACGAGGCAGAGGTGGTGCAGAATGCATGCAAGTCTATACGGATAGCTCTCGGAATTGGCGCATACGGCGAACTTGGTGACGACGAGGATGCACCAGGCCCAACAACGCTTGTTCTCAGGACCAAGTATGCGGGACAGGCAGATGAAATGGCTTCCAAGTTTCCAGGGGTAAGCTACGAGTTCTTGCATATCCGCTTTCTAGTCCCCCTGAAGAGTTAGTATTGACATCAAGATTGTTGAATAAAGGTGTACGTATCCGCGGTCACAGATCCCCTGTCTATTAGTGTCGTAGGGACTGTGCAAACTCTCGAGAAGTTCAAGTCTTTTGCCGAAGCAGAGGGACTCCCCGTCACACGGGTGAATCTTCGCGGCAGAGTGCACAACCCAGCAAACCAGGATCTCTCTCAGGAGCTTTGCCAACTTTGCACCGAGTATCCCGAGCTGCGACTCCCCAACTCTGACGAATTGCAAGTCCCCGTCAGATCAAATAACACCGGGGCGCTCTTATCTGCAGGAGTCCCTCTGGCTCACGAAATCATAACAGGCACCCTGGTGAAGAGATGTGAGTGGTTCACTTTGATGGGGGAGGTGGCACGGGATCTGAAGGAACAAGGGAATCAAGAAAACCTCTTCGCTATGTTCGGAACGGGCCGAAAGAACTGTGTTCCGGCCAGCCCGTTTGAGGAAGTAGGAGTGAAGATGACCAAACTCGATGTTATGACTACTGTAGCAATTGGGAAACTACCCGGAAACTGCTTACCGCCAGATGCTTACCCTGAAGATGCCATCGCAGTAGTGGGTGCCGCCTGTCGCCTGCCGGGAGCGAACTCTATCGATGAGCTATGGGATCTGATCAGTGCAGGGCGGTCGAGGGCACAAGAACTACCGGAAGAAAGACTGAACGGAAAGTTAGCAGCTCGTGTTGCGTTAGATAATAAGAGGTCACCACAGGACAAGTGGTACGGCAATTTCCTGGATGATGTTGACTCCTTTGACAATGCATTCTTCGGCGTCAGTCCCCGCGAAGCCTTGTATATGGACCCCCAACAGCGTTTACTTCTAGAGACCGCCTACGAAGCACTGGATTCAAGTGGCTACCTTCGCCACCATCGCCGTGAGGACTTCGATAACGTTGGCTGCTTCATTGGTACCACATACACCGAGTACTTGGAAAACACGACAGCATATGGCGCGACGGCATACTCGGCTACAGGTACGATACGAGCATTCCAAAATGGAAAGATCAGCTACCACTTTGGCTGGAGCGGTCCCTCCGAGGCGATTGACACAGCATGCTCATCCTCACTCGTTGCCGTCCACAGAGCTTGCCGAGCCATACAAGCCGGAGAATGTCCGATGGCATTGGCTGGCGGTGTAAACATCATCACCGGTATTCAAAACTTCCTCGATCTCGGAAAAGCTGGCTTTCTCAGCACTACGGGTCAATGCAAACCGTTCGATCAGACCGCAGATGGGTATTGTCGAGCGGACGGCGTTGGGCTCGTTGTGCTCAAATCACTCAAGGACGCTGTCGCAAATGGGGATGACATCCTCGGTGTGGTCTCGGGAATAGCTACCAATCACGGTGGCTTATCGTCCTCCATCACGGTGCCGTACTCACGCGCGCAGTTTAACTTGTTCAACAACGTGATCCATAGATCTGGGCTGAAGCCACGCCATGTGTCGTATGTAGAAGCTCATGGCACGGGTACGCAAGTTGGTGACCCTATTGAGATAGGAAGCATCCGGGAGGTCCTTGGGAAGTCAAAGCGGGATGAGACTCTATATCTCGGTTCCCTCAAAGCCAATGTCGGACACAGCGAAACTGCAGCCGGTATAGGCAGTCTCCTCAAGGTGATATCGATGTTGCAACACCGAGAGCTGCCGCCGTTAGCTGGATTCAAGTCTCTCAACCCCAAGATCCCAGCACTGGAGCCAGACCATCTGCAGATTAATCGCGAGATTCTTCCATGGGACGCACCGTTTCGTGCCGCCATGGTCAACAGCTACGGCGCCGCTGGTAGCAATGCTGCGCTTATCTACTGCGAGGCTCCACGGGATACCAGACCGTCAACCTCTGATTCCGAAATGAGCTATCCTGTTTTCCTGAGCGCAGCTACCACCGAAAGTCTAAAAGGAAATGCGACGAAACTGGCAGAATACGTTCAGAAGGTTAGCAATGGTAGTGTTCGAAGCAACTCGTTGACTACGGAAAATATCGCGATGACGCTCCATCAACGTCGAAAGCATCATAATGTGCGTTGGGTCGGTACAGCCAGTGGACTTGACTCCTTGGCCAAGTCCCTGGAAACCGACGTCGACCATGGGGTATTCGATACTACAACCTGTTCTAAGAAGTCAATTGTCCTGACATTCTCCGGCCAGAGCAAGCAAAACATCCAGCTGGATCCTTCTTGGTATAGCTGGTTTCCACGACTTCGCTTTCACCTTGATCATTGCAATGAAATAGTCAAGAAACTCGGCTATCCTTCCATCTTGCCTGTATTATCCCAGCCCGAACCTATTGACGACGTTGTACTGCTGCAATGCGGCACCTTTGCCGTGCAGTATGCTTGCGCCATGTGCTGGATTGATTCGGGTCTCGAGGTACAAGCTGTCATTGGCCATAGTTTCGGAGAGTTGACGGCCATGACCGTGTCTGGTGTACTCTCTCTAGCCGACGGCCTTCGTTTAGTCGCTTCTCGGGCAGCCCTCATGCGCAAGAAATGGGGTCCTGAGCGCGGAACCATGCTCGCAATCCATGCAACCCATGATATTGTCTCCGATGTCATCTCTTCTGTGATAGGCACTAACCGCAACTCCAAGAAAAGGCTGGAAATCGCCTGCTTCAACAGCCCCAAGAGCCAGGTCATAGTCGGATCAGCGGCTGACATAGACATGGCTGAAAAGATAATGCGCCGTGACCAACTTTTCCACGATGTCCAACATCAGCGTGTTAACACCAGCCATGGATTCCATTCCGTCTTTACTGAACCCATCTTGGAAAGTCTGGATGCGGTCGCGCGAACCCTAACTTTTAACCAGCCGACAATCCCGCTTGAGACTTGCACCCAGTACCCCCTTGAAAATACTCAGGCCGATAGGGTTGTACAACATACCAGAACACCGGTTTATTTTCACGATGCTGTGGCTCGCCTTGAGAAACGCCTGGGGCCCTGTATATGGATCGAGGCTGGATCAGACTCTCCCATCATTCCCATGACGAAAAAGGCTGTCAAGGATACCGCGATACACACATTCTTGAGCAACAAAGCTAAGGGGAACAGCAATGTCATCGCTACTACCACCGCAGCACTTTGGCGTGAGGGTGTAGCTGTTGACTTCTGGCCTTTTCTCTCACCTAAAGAGTTGGGCCTCAAACCCGTTTGGCTCCCACCATACCAGTTCCAACGGAAGCGCCATTGGCTTAAGTGGATTGATCCAGCAACTGAGGAGCGGAAAGCTCTGATCGAAAATGGGTCGACCCAACAACAGGCCATGCCTCCCAAGTTAGTCACCCGCTTGGGCACCATGTCAGAGTCGTGGGCTTCGCTAGAGTTCGCTGTGCATACCGAGACAAGCCGCTTTACAGATATTGTCTCTGGACACGCCGTGCGCGGCTGGCCCCTGTGCCCGGCCTCCATGTACATGGAGTGCGCGGTCATGGCGGCCCAGATGATCAAGCCGGAGATTGCGGTCAAGACATTCAAGTTCGAAAACATCTCCTTCCAGGGAGCCCTGGGCCTGAACCACGGTCGGAATGTGTCACTCACCATGGAAGGGGCTGGGGAGTATCTAGCCTGGAGCTTTGCCTTCTCTAGTTCCTCTAAGACCGACCCCAAGGCACGCTCTACGACACACGCGAAGGGGCGCTTCAGCGTGACCTCTCGGACGGATTTCCAGTTGCTCGAGCGCATGATGGCGGATCGGATCCAGCATCTCGGCACGGATCCTCGGGCCGAGAAGCTCAATGCAAACCGAGCGTACGCGCTCTTCTCCCGCGTGGTGAACTACGCGGAGGTGTTGCGGGGCATCTCGCACATCACCATCCTAGACTCCCACGCCGTAGCGCAGGTCAGACGTCCCACTGCGTCAGTCAGCAGCGCCGAAACGACCGCTGCCAAGATATGCGACACGGTGAGCTTGGACACATTCATCCAAGTCGTCGGCCTGCTCATCAACAGCAGCGACGCTTGCCCGGAGGGCGAGGTCTTCATCGCGACCGGGATCGACGACATCGTGATGCAGGACTGCGACTTCTCAGCCTGCGACTCGTGGACCGTGTACGCCATGTCCACGTCCAAGGGCGAGATGGAGTCGGCCGGTGACATGCTCGTGTTCACGGGCGACGGCAAGCTCATCCTGACTGGCTCTGGGGTGAAGTTCACCCGCTACCCCATTGCCAAGCTGGAGAAGCTGCTGTCAAGTACTAGCTCCAGCTCCAGCAATGTGGCCAAGTCCGCAGCCACCAAAAACGGGCCGTCGCAGCAGTACGTGGCCGACAGCTCGAAGCAGTCGCGGGACTCGGCCGAGAAGACTTTGGTCGCGACTGACTCGGCATCTGCTGCCGCCGCAAACCACCACGCAAACCCCAAGTCGCTGTTTGGCCCGACGACCACGCACGACGCGGGCAAAGAAGGCCACTCCCCGCCAACACAGAAAGACTTCACGCCCAGCGGCTCCAGCGTCGACGAGCTCGTGATCGTGAGCAAGCCCTCGGGCGATCCGACGGATGCTGCGTTGGCGGCGGGGTCACGGCCAGGCGAGAAAGATCAGAAGGCGGCGATACGCATCCGGCAGCGCGTGCTGGAGCTCATCTCGGAGAATTGCGGGGAGCCGCTCACGCACATCGAGGACAGTGCCAGTCTCCAGGATGTCGGGGTTGATTCGCTTTCGGTTATCGAGCTGGGCTCGTCGATGGAGGATTCGTTTGGCGTGCAGTTGAGCGATGATGATCTGCATGTCCAGTCGACGATTTTGGATATCTTGGGGTACTTGAATGCGAACGCGTCGACGGGGGTGGCTGTCCATTAGGTTAGGTAATTGTGTCGGGCGTTTATGGGTAATATAGGTAGGTAGGTAGGGCAATTGAATTGGGTATTTGGGTATCTAGGTAGTTAGGTATGTAGAAGTAGGAAAGGCTTTCGGTCATGTATAACTTCATAATCAGGATAATCAGGATAATCAGAGAATAATTTTGATGTTCGTGTTTGCTGTTCCGATCCGTTGGATGTGCCCCCTGTAAGACGTCATATTTACATTGTGCACTGAACCACTCACTAAATTACACCCCCGGGCTGCTAGCCAGTGCCATATATAGCGGGCTTTGAGGCAGCAATTAGCTACTTTAAAAGTAGTTAGGTACCTACAAAAGAGCCACACCACCTGATAAGCCAACCTTGAACACATATGAGTCCATGACATCTCACAAATGGCCAAAAAAGGTGTAGGGTTTGAAAATAGATACAATTCATTAACACGCCATGATTCATTACCTAGACACCTAAACTACCTAGGCAGCCCTTACATTACTACTTTTTATAACGTCTCCTCACGCCACTATATACTTCCCAAAAAAGTCCATCATCGTATCCGGCGCCTCCTCCAAGTCCGGCAGCTCTACCTCCGAGAAATCGATCTCCAGCCGGCCTTGGCACAGCCCGTTGACGCCTTTCAGGTCTTGCAGCGCTTCGCTGAGCACGTTTAAGTCGTCAGTCATCGCGTAGTCGTTGTCTTTCAGCACGAATAGAAATTGCCGGCATAGGAATAGGGGGATTGGCGTGAAGGGGTGGACCTGGGTATAGGTTAATACTAGTCAATTCCGGGGATTCTCGTCATTAGGCTCGGGGGGGAAGAGGGGGAGGCGGGACTCACTTTGAAGTAACTGAAGTACGGGAGATACTGCGCCAGCCGGACGACCTCCTTCGCCGCGCTCGACGCTCTCTGCTGGTACCTCGTAATGAGATCATGGTTCCCCGGCGTGTTCGGCGGTATGGAATCGGCCGCCTTACACAGCAGCAGCGCAGCCGTCTGCGCGATCATGCTCGTGTAGAGCAGCATGGAGTCGAGCTTGACAGACGCGGCCACGTAGTCCTGCTGCAGCTTCTGGATGCGGCGGTTGAGGATGTCGTCGAGCCAGATCTGGCGCTCGTAGAAGTCGCGCGACGAGTTGCAGAACACGGGCTCCGCGACCAGCTGCCGCTGGTGGATGAAGCTGCGCCCCCAGAGTGTTGTGAAGATGATTGACTCAGCGAAGGAGGACATGATGTTCGGTTCTGTCTCTGTGAGAACTTCGGAGAGGAAGGGCATTGCGACGGGGGTCCCGCGCTGGAAGGCGTCTTCTGGGCATGGCAGACGTGTGGAGATCTAAAAAGGGGGGGTGGATTTTAGCTTCATATCCTCACAAGTTCGATTGTCGATACGTCATGATCGTCATTATTCTCACAGTCCCTTCATTCCACGCCAAGCAGACATACCTCTTGCTCATTCAAAGTCAGGGGCAGTCCCTCCAGCACGCAGCTGCAGCGGTCAAGACAGAAGGCCATCCAGAATGTCCGTCGTCTCTCCTCCTTTTCGACGAAAGTCTCCGGGTCTACATCTAGGTCGGTGACTTTGTCAGTCTCGTTGAGCCGCATCAGCTGCACCAGGCGTATGGCGCGCCCAGCGCTGATCCATGCCCGTTGGAAGGGGGCTTGCATGAGCTCGTACACGGCGATGAGGATCCACGCCTGCGCGTGTTCCAGCCGTGAGACATCGTCTTCGGTAGGGCTGTGCGCGAGCTTTTCGATGGTGTCGTGGTATAGCGGGTCACGCAGATGGTGGAACTGCGACGACAGCGCTGCCGCCATTGTCCACATCGCGTACTGCAGACATGTGTGTGATTGTGTGGCAGAGGAGGATTTGGACCGTATGAAGTAGCGGTATTGTTGTATTATGGGTATAAAGGCGTTGGTACGGTCAAAGAATAGCTGGTCCCTGTCGTCTGTGTTAAAGGCGAGTGCAATTTTATTTGACGAAGACAGGCAGGCGGCAGGGTCACGTACAGGTCGGCACGTGTCAATGGCGGTGGTAGAGACAGCCCCGTTTGCCCTATATAAGCTTGCCCTGATACGAAACCGCAAGAAGATGGGAACTGCGATGGAGTGGGTATGGAAAGCCCTACTGCTCCGGCTTCTTCTGGGGGCGACTGGCCCATGGTAGTACTCGGCGGAGGCGGAGGAGCTGCTGAGTCTGCGACGCTGTTGTCGTCTAAGTTGAACTGAGACTCTGAAGCAGCGGGAGTATAAACTCCCATATGAGGGTCTTGTTCACTCATCCGTTGCTCCAGTGCAGCTATATTGTGGCTATGTTAGCTTCAAGATACCATCACCATCAGTCTCTTCCATTCTATGCTTACCTATTCTTGATCTCAAGACTCCTAGATGACCCCGTTTAGGCCCTCGTTGTGGTGGAGTTAAATCGGTATGGCAAGAAACTCCAGAGTCGATGCATCCACGGCATGGAGTTTGCCGGTCGCAGCGTAACTTGCGTATTCTACATTGTTGGCACGCTGGTCCTGGGTTTTGTCGAGGCTGCTTGCCGGTTGTGGTAGATTTTGCTGGTGCCATTTGAGTTGATAGATAGAATGGAACAACGTTGTAAGTTTCGTGATAAAGGTATGTAGTTAAACCTGGGCTGCGTCTTGGAGGGCTTTATCATTCAAAGTAGCCACCCGCGTAGGTAGCCAATCGATTCCAGCCACCGTCGAATAGATGACTAGCTTGCCAGAAATGCTCCAAGTTCAAACCATCGAAGGCGATATATCATAGGTCGACACGAGATTTACATATATTTTCTTTTCGTATACTCTAGTGTTTAATTATACCACAGATAGCTACCGTGCCTATGACGACAAACCAATATCAGATCTATCCGCCGACAAGGGGAGGGGACAGAATCAAGCGGCAGCCACTTCGCGGGTACTCCCACAAGCTCTCCCAAAACTGAAAAGACCCTAGGGTTAATCCGCTTGGCAAACGCCATAGTGTAGGTAGTAGAGGCATTTACCTAACCCAGTCTGGCTTCGCTCCTTGGCCCAGGTCGCAGTATGGCGTACCTAAAGCTGAAGCAGCGGTATTCATATGCTCACTATTCGTAAGGTCGCAGTTACATATGTAGCATCATGGAGAAATGTCAGGTTTTCTTCACTATGACGGTGCATCGAGATACATCTAACCTAAGTCACTTTAGGAACTCCGTACTCTCGAATACCTGGGACTGTATATCACTTTCCCTTTTCATGATATGGCTGAAATAGTTATGCATAAGCATAAGGATATATTGACCTATGACGGCAAGCCTAGCGATTATGATTATGATGATATTTTTGGACATGTCCTGATGCCACTCCAGGAAAGCGCGGTACAGTCATCCGGTGGTCGGTGGTGTATCCCACAATATAGATAGTCTAGGTCCTGGCAGACAATACCTACATATGTGTTGGGACCTACGGAGTTGATCGGCGTAAGGTTAAATTATTCCCGTTATCCACCATTCCCGGGCTTTCCTGGGGTTTCCTAGATGTCTATTCTCTATTATCTCGCAGGATAAATTGGCAAAATACTAGTGGTCTGCTTCTTTGACATTAGTGAAGGTTGAGGCTCAGCTGTGATGCTCAAAACGGCATTGCGCATATGGCCATGGTAGTCTAAGACAAGCCTATCATGAGGCTAATCCCGTTCTTCAAAATAAAACCCTGAAAAAAAATAAAATAAAAAGCGGTAGTCGTCAAGGCGTACATAGGCACTTTATTGTTTTGTATCGTGTGAAATTCGATCAGTGTCTCTGAATTATCAGGAGTTATGCAAGTTGTCCCAAGGTTATATGCAGGCTATACGCAGGGCGCTTTCTCAATCAAGGTTAGGGGAACTCTATTCTTTTCCTTTTTCGGATTTTCCTGTTGTATGACTGGCTGCGTCTAACTAGGTATCAAGCTCGCCTGGTCTTGGCTTCATCATTGGCCGGCATTTCTTTAGGGTCGGTACCTAATGGGATATTTTATCTGCAGACTCAATTTTTGAATGGAAAGACGTGCCGGGGGGCTTGCTTAAGGCGCCCTGAGAGAAAGAAAAGCAAGAAAAAAAAATAAGCACCTAATATTATTCAGTCAACCTAGTCCTGCCACAGAAGAATGCTGGATGAGACAAGGCGTCAACGCCTTTCGGGTGTGACCATAAATATTCATCTTACTTACCTACCTAGGGTAAGGAGTCTATCATCTCGTACCGTGGTGGCGTATACCTAAACCGATACATGCATGCCAAAAACACCGAGACATCGAACTCATCGTGTATCATAGGCTTGGGACTCATGGTGCTGAGATGGGAGAAAGCCAGCTACTCGAATGGTAAGACAAGGGGTTTCTGGGCTTGAACCGAAATAGAATAGTCAACGGCATGCAGAATAATTATCAATACTAAGAATGTTTGTTGATGTAATACAAGGTGAACTCTGCCTATGAAGTAGGTACGAAGTAATAAAGACTTTATATTCCAATTATTAACTGAGCTCTATAAGTGACACAGTCCCTTAGGCTAATTAAGTAGCTACATTGCCATATACTCTAATAAAGTACGCGAGCATGGAAGTGAGTGGGAAGTGAGTATCTTGCGATGCTGTCCATGAGTGCCTTCATTCCCAAAATTCGTTCATTACATCGGACAACCAGGGATCGCCCCCAAAGTCTATGGGAAACCCGCCTCCCTGAGTGCCGTCGACCAAACTAGCCTCGCGGGCCGTAGTAGTCACCGCATCCATGTTTAGTAATTCATTGTGCCATGTCGCCCTCATTTTGCGGAAGACCCCGAGACCCCAGTTGTGTGATTCATCCTCACCGCCATCTGGCGACACTAAAGCTGAAGCGGCCTTCAGATATTCAAAGGTGCCAATGATCTTGTCACATATCGGGATTAGATCAATGCTTCTCCTAACGGCGGCTCGATCCCAAGCCGGGTCCTGTACGGTGGTGATCGTATGCAGGCACCTTATGACCCGGACGAGCTGAGGGTAGCTGGTGAATGGCATGTTTCCAAGCAAGGCGATGGGTGTCGAGAAGAACGTATCCAGAAACCCTTTAATTGATACCAGGCAGCTCTGATAGACTTCGAATCGTCGCAAGTCTGGGTCGTTCCATAGGGTAGTGGACTTACTGATTGCAGACTCATTTATGAGGAGCTCTGTGAAGTGATACAGCTCCAATATCATAGCTGATGGGTCGGTGTGATTAGAGATACCGTTCTATATGGCGGTTAACTAAGAATCCGACTTACGATGATTTCTAACTGCAGTTCCAAGTTTCTCCTGTCTGGTTATCTCATGCAGCTGCGATCGAAGGGCAGAGAGATAAAGGGGAGGAGGACCACCCCCACCACTAGTCTGCCACGAATCGTCGTATGTTTGGTTCACGATCAGCTGCATCCTCACCTGGGCGATCAAGGCCTCATCTTGAGATACAGTGCTATCTTGGGCAAGATTCAAGAGATAGCCATCAAGCTGGGTAGACCAACGAAGCCCTGGTGCATGCTTAAAGACGTTTGATATCCTACACAGCTTATCAGACACTCACTTATACAGTTAACTCCAGGAACGACCAAATTGACTGACATGGAAGTAAGAACAAAGGCACCGAGCACAGCCCTTTGCTCTTCATGGGAGCGCCGTCTAAAGTAGCTCGGCATGCGCATATCGCTCTCCTTGCTGGGGGCGCAAAATGTAGAAGGGCCATCGGGTGGGGGCCTATGAAGGCCCAAATCGCAAACCAAGGTAACGATGAGCTGGGAGAACAATGTCCAAAAGGGCTTATCCCTTCGCTGCAAATGCGACCTATGTACCTTATAAGTTAGAATACCATGTTGTGAACCTACGATACCCCGATAGGGGAAGCACTAACCAGCCCACCAGAGTAAGGAGACCTAGTAGAAGATCTAGACTCTTCTCCCGCTCAACCACTACCTTCTGGATGATGATGCTCCTCGCTTGGTCACCTAGAGCCGTCCGCCTTCGTGGTGACCCCAAGGCCGTGCATATGATGTTCAGCCATAAGAAGGGGTACAACTCTCGAAGCTGCTGAGAGGTCACGTGTGGGGGAATGTAGACGAAAGGGAAGAACCCCTGTCCTCCCGGGTCAGCGCTGTCACATATTACATTTAATATAATCAATAAACTAACTATTGTTTCCTCCCGGAACTTCTTCAGCAACTCTTCGGCCTCCGGGGGTGATGGCTCGTCAGAGTAGGAGATGCTGGAATCCGGAGTTTTTGCTGCGCTAAGGAGGGTCGTGCCTCCGAGGCTATTGGTGGCTGTGGCCGGAGTCAAGGCGGCAATCGAAGCCGTCTCTGCGTCGGATTCATATTCGCCTTGCTCGCCCGTGTCTTCGGAATCGTCGCCTGGGTCTCTTTTCCCAGCGCCTCGCTGGGCCTTGAGGCATGAGACAAGTTCATCAAGCTTTTCCTCGAGTCGAGCTGTCCTGGAGATCCCACGACGCTTTGCGGTGCGACGACCAACCGATGTTGACGGCGTGCATTCTTTCTTCAGACGGTGGCACCTGAGAGGTATCAGAAATTTGCTGTGAGGGATATATAGTGAGACACCTAGGGGGCAGCGAACGGCCTTGGTGTAGTGCCTAGAAGCTAGACCACTACCTAATACCTAGTAGGTAGCGAGGAGATCAGCTATAGGTAATAAACCTACCTTTCGCAGGTGGCGCCATCGGCCCGATAGATGCATTTACATTTCACTTTAGCGCAGTTCGTACAAGCTCTACTGCCTGGTGCAGGAGGAGCTGACGTAGGTTGAGGTTCAGCAGTGTTTGACGGTAGTACCGTGACCGTTTCCATCTCTTCTTAAGAGCCGCTCTTTACTTGATCAGAGGTGTGTCTACCAAAAATGAATATGCGCAGGGGGGGAATTAGATCTCAGACGTGCGGCGGCGGGAACGGATAGAGGAAGAGATCAGTGAGAGAGCTGAACTTGTCGCTGACTAATTTTCTCCGCGGCGGATTCAGGTAAAAAAGCAATGCGCCGGGACAGGACAAACAAAATGCTCACCCTGTTCCGGTTTCTCCGGAGTCCGAGATATCATATCTTAAATCAACATTGAGCCTCCCTACATCATCACACTACCTATCTACATAGCAGACACAGTACCTGACTTAATGTATTTATAATACATAACATTGAACATCAATGACATATCAAATGTAATATTGGAATTTTCTCAGCCCCCTTCGAATACATTATGTACGTACACGTCAATATTTATTAGATATCAGTACATACTTCCCTATCTTGGTACTGTGTAAGTAAGACGTACCTACATGTAGTGGCCAGTAAAAAAGAAAAGAGAAGTATCGGGATGAGTCCAGATTGCAATAGGAGGGAAAGAAAAATTCAATCATTTTGTTTGCATTTGATAACCAAAGTTCTCGTTTGTGATAACAACTGCTTTTGACCATAATTACGAATCCATCTATCATGTGTGTGTAGAACTTACGATACGATACATCGATACATACAACCTCAGGTTCACGTTGAAAGTACGACACCATATCAGCCAATCTCCATAGTACGTTCGGACAAAGCTGTAGCTCCATACGCGCTTTTGCATGACATCAATTCCGTTGCAGGCGTAGTTACTAGGGGGTTAGGTGTCCCATTGTACGTGAAATTCTGTTGCTCAAAACTCTTTGTTCCAGTAACACCTGTACTCATTATAAGCTACCACAGAATAGCCACTATAGGTAGCTCCTGATAATACGCAGAGACTGAGCAGCATCACCAAGATGCAGAACGAACGCGAAGAAGGGGCACCCGTAGCTGAAGGGCGACGAGAAAGCGAGAAAGGGGTGAGGAATGATGAGAGTCCCGAAAGCGAGAAGCACTTCTTCCAAGGCTCCCCTGAGTCCCCTGACGACCCAAACGCGGCCGCCGCTGGCCATACACCACCCGAGGAAGATACTACTCAGTATGTCTCTGGGGCGAAGCTGTATGCTATCGTCATCAGCCTTGTTCTCGCTTCATTTTTGATGCTACTCGACACTTCCATCGTTAGCACGGTACGATAAAATGTCTCCTGGTTCTAGTGCTATATTAGCATACTGACCTGCAAGATTAGGCTGTGCCAGCTATTTCGGATGAGTTTCATGCTCTGCAGGATGTCGGCTGGTATGCGGCAGCGTACAATCTTGGATCGTAAGAATGCCCGACAAGCAGTCTATGCTCTCCTATTCTAACTTCATATTTCCAGAGCCGCACTGCAACCTCTCACTGGCAAGATCTATAACTGTTTCCGTCTAAAGGTACTTGGTCCACCTCAGCCATTCTGGATATCTACTCTAACACCATTTACTAGTGGTCCTTCTTAACCTTCTTCCTCATCTTTGAGGTCGGTTCTGTGCTGTGTGGAGCTGCGCAATCGTCGCCAATGCTCATTGTTGGTCGCGCGATAGCTGGAGCCGGAGCATCAGGTTTGCTCAGTGGATCCATCATCATTGTATCCAGCTGTGTGCCTTTACGGAGACGTCCACGTAAGTTTTCTGTGTTACTTGTATAGCTTGGCTTTGAGCTGGCTTGGCTAACCTTTCATGTCATGTAGCTTTGATTGGAACAATTCAAGGAGGTAAGCTCACCACAACAAAGACCTCTAATAATATCATGAACCAAGGCTAACGCTAGACCTTTCCTAGTTGCCCAAATGGGAACTGTCATTGCGCCCCTGGTTGGAGGAGCCTTCACTTCCGGTGTAACTTGGCGATGGAGTAAGTTATTCTCTGTTACATAAATGTTAGTATGTACTTACAATGGTATAGGCTTCTACATCAACCTTCCCTTTGGCGCCATTGTGTCTATCCCAATAATATTCCTCCGTATCCCTGAACAGATACAGAAGAAACCCGCGAGGGAAATACTCTCCAGGCTTCATCGGCATCTAGATCTTGTGGGATTTGCGCTTCTTGCTCCAGCTGTCGTGCAACTTCTTCTTGCGCTTGAATTTGGCGGGAACCAGTTTCCTTGGAACTCTTCTCAAGTAATCGGTCTCTTTGTTGGCGCTTTTGCCACCTTCGTCGTCTGGATCTTCTGGAACAGATACAAGGGCGATGAGGGCTTACTCCCCTTTTCTATGATGAAGCGAAGGGTTATCTGGGCAAGCGCTTTGAACTACTCTTTCCAGATGGAAACACTCTTCGGCACATCATATTGGCTACCGATTTACTTCCAGGCCGTCAAGGGTGTGAGTGCTATATTGAGTGGAGTTTATCTCTTGCCTACTATCCTAGGTCAGCTCCTTTTCACCGTGCTAGCTGGAGTTCTTGGTAAGTCACTCGCTACTTTATTCCATAGTATTCATGGATGTAATACTAACTACCTTTACTTAGTACCGAGAGTCGGCTACGTCCCCCCATTCTCTATTTTTGCAGGTATTCTCATACCAATTGGAACCGGACTGTTCTCAACACTCCAGCCTGATACTTCAACCGCGAAATGGGTTGGATATCAGTTAATCGCTAGTTGTGGCAGGGGAGCCGGCTTACAAATGGTATGTTCACTCTTTTTCATAAATTTAACTTGAATGATATTGACTAACGTACGATATAGCCCATTGTTGCTGTCCAGAACGCGGTTGATCAGAGGGAATTATCTACGGCTATGGCATTTCTCCTCTGGGCGCAGTACATTGGCCCTACCATATTCCTGACGCTGTACAACACCATTTTCTCCACCAGTCTTCGAAGCCTGGTGCCACAGATAGCACCAAACGTTGATGCATCGGCCGTTGTAGCCGCCGGTGCCACAAGCTTCCGTGATCTCGTCAGTCCTCAAGACCTCCCAAGTGTTTTGGTCGCCTACTCGGACAGCATAGATAACGTATTTTACCTTGTTGCCGCTGCCGGTGTGGGAGGATTCTTTGCCGCTTGGGGCATGGGCTGGTATGACATTCGGCAGAAGAACCGAGAATCTCCTGGGGAGCCTCCGGCCGTTGAGGGCTAGATTCTACATGGCACAAGACCGGTACTTACACTACGTTGGCATTAGAGGGGTTGAGTAACAACAGCTGTATGATAAGGCCAGTTGAGCTGTCTATGGCCTTGTACGAATATTCTACGCTTTCCTTTATTCCATCTCCTATAGACCTCTCAGATACGATATTATCATGACCATAATAATAATTGCTATGTATAATTACACTCCGGGCTCAAATTCAAATAGAAAGTCTTACTCTCATACCATCCCACACGCGCTTTAAGACATTCGACTCTGCGCGTACTCATACTAATAGTATAGCATGCGAAGCTACTCATAGGGCCTCAGACTATCAGCCTTTAAGATTACGGTTCCAGATAAATGGAATCCCATCGAGTTAAGTACCAATTTGTGTAGGTAGTAGTTTCTCATCAACGAGACCACGGATAGTTCCGCCAAGTAAGCAGTGCATCTTCCGAATAATCGTGCTCATTATTACAATAGCTTCGTCACCTTACCGGGGAACTACTAGGTAGCCGGCACGACTTCCTAGCCAGTAAGATCTAAATATGCCGGAGTTTTTTTGGCGGAGATTCACCGGATCTCACCATCTAAGAAGCAACACGCCCAATTCAGGTGATGCTATCGTCTCAATGTGGTTCTGGCGCTCGCGTGTCTCACAGGGCGGCATCCCAATTCGAAACTACAGCAACGTTTATCGACGAACTCCAGCTAGCCTCACCAACGTCTAGCAATAGTCCGAATAAACAAAGAAGTTTGGTATAAGCTCGTGGTTTTCTGATAAATAGCTACCCTCCAGCTGCCATGTAGTACACTGCGACAGGAAGAGGACCATCTAATTGACACTCGTTCCGTTGCTCCCAAGGCCATTGACCATGCTCCGCTCACTATTTCAAGGCTTGCTCCTCAGCTCAGGAGCTCTTGCAGCCAGTCCTGACTTCCAAGCTCTCTTTGCTCCCTCTCTTTCGCCAGGAGTAGAGATAGCCTCCTCGTCTGATGCCAACTTCAAGCAGGTAGCTTCTCCTCGCTGGTCGGTCTGGCATGCCCCAACATTCGAAGCCGCCATCAAGCCGAAAACTGAGGAAGATGTGCAGAATATCGTAAGTGTTTTCAATTTGTGAACTCATCTTGTCTCAGAGACTAGCTTCCAAGGTTCTACTCATGTACACATCATTAGTATATGAAGCTAATAGTATGATTCAGGTTAAAATAGCAGGGCAAAACAACATCTCATTTCTAGCGACGCTTAACGGACACAGTTCCAATCTTCTATACTCCAACCTTCAAAATGCTCTCAACATCAACCTTGCGAACTTCAACTCGGTTACAGTGGATCCTGTCACGAATCGTATGACTGTTGGCGGAGGCGTCACGTTTGGGAACATATCCGACCCCTTAGCTGAGGCTGGAAAAGAAATGCGTTCGTACCTATAACCACCAAGAAAATCTCTTTCTTAACTAACGAGATGCCTCCAGAAACCGGAAACGCCGTCTGTGTTGGTCTCGTTGGTGCCACTATCGGCGGTGGCATCGGCACCTTGCAAGGTCTTCGCGGCCTCGTTCTAGATGCCCTCGAGTCTGTGCGAATGGTGACAGCAGCGGGTGAGATCGTTACTGCTTCGAATAAAGAGAACCCGGAGTTATTCTGGGCGATCCGTGGCGCGGGTGCCAATTTCGGCATCATCGTCTCAGCCACTTACAGCGTCTATGACTGGACTAACCAGGGACGGGTGACTCTGGCCAATTTTGGCTTCCACCCCTCAGCCAACCGCTCCGTCTGGGAGCTGTTGAAGTCTTATGACGACTACATCCCACAGAAGCTTGCTCTCATTCCCTCCATAACGTACAATCGCACGATCAATGAGACAAACATTGGATTTGGCCTAGTCTACTACGGCACCCAACGTGAGGCCCAACCTTACCTGGATCAGCTTGCGGCGCTGAACCCAGCTACCAGTACTGTTCAGAACATCACGACTGCGGAGATGCACGAGATCTTTTCTCGGGGTGCGTGTGATGCAGGCTATCGGCGCAACGTATTCACGATCGGCCTGCGGAAAACGGACCCTACTACCTACGAGAGGACGTTGAGCGACCTGACAGAATTCTACGAGACGTATCCCGACTACAGCGGCAGCTTCGCGATCCAGAGATACAGCAATGAGGCCATGTTGCAGGTGCCCGATGAGTCGACGTCATACCCTTGGAGAGACATCGGTGCTTACATGTAAGTTCACTACAGCAACCTTGCCCAACGTGTTTACTTCAATTTACTAACCGTCACTAAAGGCTATTTGACAACGATTACACCGATCCTGCCTTAGATGACATTGTCGAGAACTTCTCGCGCGGCATACGCTCTAGGTTCGAGGCTGTGAGTGGATTTAAAGAGCCCCAGGTATACCTGAACTACGACCACGGCGATGAACCCCTGACCCAAACATTCGGGGCATCGAAACTACCAAAACTCCGCGCCCTCAAGAAGCAATGGGATCCGCTGTACCGCTTCGGGTATGCCAACCCCATCTACTAGGCATGTGCCTTCAGAAACGGATACTAGATACGAATCAAAGGATGGACTAAGCTTTTTGTTGATGGAAATACCCTTCCTGCATATACTTATTGTTTGTATACCACGTCGCGCTGGCTTAGGCCAGGAAATGTCCCACATAGAGCATGTATATCGAGCATGTAGATAGTGGAGGATGTGTAAACATATATTATAATACATTGAACTACATTAATCCACATTAAACCTGAAGCCTCTTGGAACTCGTTACATATTCAAACCATAGGTAGTGGTTGGAAATGTTGCATGGTTGCCCGTGTCGTGTTAGCCCCTGAAATGGGTTCACGCTCTGGAACAACATTAGACACCTCAGGTATACAATCACGAATTACCTACCCAAACGAGATACCGCAAATGACATTAATTTCAGTCAATTTGTCTTTATTTCCATACTAAATTGTCCTGGATAAAGATTGAACTGATTCTAAGTCTTGAACTATCTTTACAGAGGATAACTAAGAGTCTACGTGCATAGGTGCTACTCTATATGCTCAACTAGATTCATTTTCAACTACCTCCTTTTTTTCAGCTAACAGTACATAATATGGCACCTATCACCGTCCCCATATGCTCATCCTAAAATGCTCCTCTAGTCCTCAAACCCCACGCTTTCCACCAATCTCTCGTCTTTACCTACCTAATAGGCACTTAAAACCTTATGGGATGCTTCGACCGCATAGCCGCACCATACACATACAGATAGACCAGCGCCAACCCGCACACCCCCGCCAGAAGCGCCAACAACGAATTTCCCCATCCCCAGCCGAGAGCCGCGAACAAGTTCCGTCCCACCAGCGGCAACAGCGTGCCCCCCACACTCCTAATAACCGTGTTCGCCGCGATCGCGCTCGCCGCATAGACCGTGAACGCATCGATCAAGTACCCGATGATGGCCGTGTTGAACAGGACATTGCCGGCGCCAATCAACGCCGTGCCCGCAATCGGGAGCGCCCAGTGCGCATGCGCCTGCGCGCTCCACCCGTACCACAGGAGTCCCACGGCCAGCAGCGGCGCGCCGACCAGCGCCGGTCCGAGGCGGTGCTCTGGCTTGAGGCGATTCTCCGCGGCGCGCCTGCGGATGAAGCGGTCGGAGGTTGCGCTGAAGGCCGCGAGGCCGGCGACGTTGCCGAGCCCGAAGCCGACGAAGGCGAGCCCGACTTTGCGCGCGGAGAACCCGTACTCGGTCTGGAACATGACGGGCGCGGAGGTGAGCAGGAGGAAGACGACGCCGTTGACGTACGCGGAGGCCAGCGACAGGACAAGGTTGATGGTGGAGAGGACGGTCATCTTGGCTGGGCGGATGATGGCGCGGGTGAGGATTTGCTGGGTGGAGAGGCCGGTGTCGAGTTTGGAGCGGAGGGATTGGGAGCCCGTTTCGCGCTGCAGACGCGCGGTCTTGGCTTGGAGGATCGTGGCCGGGAAGGTTTCGCGCATGAATGCGATTTGAGCTATGGTCATGGCGCCGTACTATTGTCGCGTTAGGATATCACGAAAATCGTAGTTCTGAGAGTAAGGGAGTAAGGGGGGAAACCTGACTTACCACAACCACGAGAACCCAGAAAATCCACCTCCACCCCAGACTCTCCGTCAAAAACCCACCGAGCAGCGGTCCCACCGACGGCCCCAGGATCGGGCCAAACATGTACAGCGACAGCGCGAGGCCCCTCTGCTGGATCGGGACGAGATCCGAGATCGTGCCGCCGCCAATCGTCAGCGGCGTCGACCCCATCGTGCCGGCGAGGAAGCGAAAGACGACTAGCGACCCTAGGTTCGGCGCTAGCGCGCACGCCGCCGTGAACACGACGTACAGCACGTTGCTCCCTGTGTACACTACGAGCCGGCCCTGGACCTCAGACAGCGGCGCGACGACGAGCGGGCCGAGCCCCCAGCCCAGCACGTAGATGGAGACGATTAAGGAGGAGACGACGCCGTTCGTCGACTCGAAGTCGCTCATCACCTGCTGGATGGCCGGCGCGAACATTGTTGCGCCGAGGGGGCTGCGCACGCGTGTGAGCGATTACTGTCACGAGGGTGAAGTTAGGGCGTTGGGACTTACACTAGGAACGTCAGGAGGGAGACGATGGTGACGTGGCCCCATATCTTGTTAGAAGACCAGTTTGCAGGGTTCTCGGGGTCGTCGGGGCCGTCCCAGTCGACGACATTTTCTGCGTCCTCGACGGGCTCGCGCAGTAGGCGCGTGGTTTCGTTAGATGCCATGGTTCTGATCTGATGCCAGCTCGCTGCGTTTCGTGCCTAAGAACGCCGACGTAGGTGTTGAGATTTTACCTTCAAGTTTTAAACGCCTTCTCTATCACAAAACAAATTCATGAACAAACTATATGTCTACAAGTGAGTATCTCTACTGTTTAATCTACTCTCGCACCAGCATTTCTAGAGGCGACTATGTCCGGTTGTCTCAAACGCCCTGTGTTGTGCTGTACTATTACCTCGGAACCCTGGGTTTCTCTCCGGCATGTATGTATTTCGATCGCCAAATAGATATATTGGGCGCTATCTGTCCGTATTACAGCCCAGGGGTGTTTATGTGATATTGGATGGACGGAGCTTCTATATCGGACTTTGCACGTCAAGCCACCCGAAGGGGGGGATGAGAGATGTTCATTACAATGGTAATAGTAACTATTTCATACTCCCTTAATAAGCACAAGCTCGATGCTTTTCTAGTCAGTACTCAATAGTTCGTCGTTCGGAAGGGAGTTCCATGGCTGTCTAATAAATTGATCAAGACTTGACCATAGAGCGATCTGTCTAACCAAGATCAATTGCTTCTTGATTATTTTCAGTGCGTACTAGGTGCTGATTTAGGTACTGTACGAGGTGGGCTATCACTGAGTCCTGACACTATGAATATGCCAATGGAGGTATGTGGGCTTTTAGGGAGCTGAAATGACCCTGCCAAGAGTTAGCAAAGTAACCCTTTTTTCAGGCCATGGAGAGCTGACTTCAACCTCCTACTAGCACACTAGGGCGGGTAGTTGTCCGGGTCCGTCCGGGTGGCTTGTTTGACAGGAACAAAAAGAAAATACCCAGAGCCGGTTCACCACTTCCCACTTCAATATTGTTGCCCAACGATCTCGGGGTTGGCTGGATGCATTGAGGAGATCTAGATGGAATACGATCGTTGACGTGGAAATCGAAACAAAGACGACAAGTGTTGGCCACTGTCTCGATCGCTATTGGTAGATTCACTGAGTCAATATATCTTTATTGGGTTTCATCACTCTGTGGCTCATCTACAATATGCAAGAGTGCCTGATAGGCTTGAGGCGCAATGCTGGGAGCATCCTGGTTCAACTCCGACACACATCTGCCGTTGGTAGTACATAGTAAGTTGCGGTGAGGACACGGGATGGGGAAGAAAGTCTACCGACCGAACGCTGAGTTAGGTATATGCATCCCTTATGTGCCTAGGTAGGTACCCACCTACTTAGTATACAGTCGGGACTCGGTACACGGCTACCTACATCTATTTGTACATGATAATATTGAGGCGAGGATTAGGTATCTAAACACTCTGTACACAGGATATCACAGTATAATCATGGGAATTAGAGTGCAAGTTGTTAGGTAAATGATCGTGTTAACTATGTTAGGATACCGATATTATCGGTGCTCAAGACTATCTACCCACGACACCCCTTTTGGTGGCTAACTCGTCACAATTTCCATTCAGGTATCTTTCCTTCCCTTCATAGCGTAACAACCAACTTCTGGCACGACGCACCGCCGGACTTTCCTTTGTCAACCGCAGTCTGGATGTGCTCGAGGCCGTGGCCGACGATCACCGGCTTGGGCACGCACTGGTACTTCTTCTGCGCCAACGCGGCGGGGAGGAAGTGGTCGTAGATGGCGGGCCCGACCTCGTTCTCCTTGAGGGTGCTGCCGAAGACCATCTTGGCCTCGATGCCCGCGGGCGGGTCCTGGACCTGCATGGCGCACGCCACGAACTTGCGGCCCTCGGCCTTGGAGATGATCTCGAACACGGGCTTGTCCGAGCCGGGCTGAATAGCATAGCCACCAACGCACTCCTTACCCTTGATGACGTCCAACACGTCCTGGACGACGGTGGAGCTCTTGTAGTCGAAGACGTGGGAGGCACCCAGCGACTTGCAGTGGCCGAAGTTCGGGGGCGACGAGGTCGTGATGACCTCGTAGCCGGACGCGACGGCAAGCTGGATGGCGTTGGTGCCGACGCTGGAGGCACCGGCCCAGATCAGGACAACCTTGCCGTTAGGCTTGGGGTTTAGAGTGGGGAAGTCGAGACCGAGGAAGTCCTTCTGGTAGAGACCGCAAGCAGCCGTGGACAGACCAAGTGGCAGCACGGCGGCGTCAGCGTAAGGTAGGTGAGCGGGGATAGGGGCGACAACGGCAGCCTCTAGGACAACGTATTCTTGGAAACCGCCGTTCTTGGGGGCGAAACCGGCTGCGAGACCAAGCACACGGTCACCGACCTTGACCTTGGTTACGTTCGGGCCAACCTCGACGACATCTCCCGCAACGTCGCTGCCTCCAACATAGGGGTATTGGAGCCAGGAGAAGAGCTTCTCGCCCAACAACTGGATGTACCAGTCCATGGGGTTGACGGCGGTAGCGGCGACCTTGACGATGATCTCGCCAGCAGCGACGGTTGGGTAAGGTGTAGATTCAACAACCATGGGGTGAGCTCTGGGCTCAGAGAGCTTAGCAGCTTTGTTAGAGGGGGCCATGGTGGAGTGTTGTTTGGCTGGTGCGGTGGTGACGGGTGAAGTGGTAGCAGAGGTAGATCTGGTAGGACTGGCAGAGGAACGAGAACCGAGATTTGTGAGACGTTTAGCTTTCAAGTTGAGGTTACTGAAAGCTTGAAATAGTCGATTGCGAGAAGCCATATGGAGCATGTAGCCCTTGGGGAGGGGAAGAGGGGATGAGTTTGCTTAATATCTACACATATGTACTACGGCGGAGACAATTCATATGTGAAGGTTGTGCAACCTTGGCCAGGTGGCTATACGTACTTCTCTGCAGGAGCGGTAACATAGACTTCCCGACGGGACCGGGGATCTGAGGGCTGCACATGTGGAAGATCATTGATCGTTTCAACAGCCGTCGGGTAACACAAGAATGTCATATCATCACGTATATACTTACTGCCATGTTTGTACCTACTATTAGGCTACTAACCCAAATAGTGGGCATGAGGTACATATCTACGATACGTGTATACTCCGTTCTATACATGTATGTATAAAATCCTCGGAGAGACTAAAGTGTAAGTACAAACCTTCACTCCCGGTATTACTACATAAAGATACATGGGATGGATGGAGATATGGCTGAAGGGATAACTTACATATACCTAAAGAATTCCGGCCCGACCCCCCTATTTCCGCCCCCTTGCTTATCTCCAGCAGTTTTAATCCACTTAAATCCGCTAGTTACTACATGTAGTTTCTCTTAACTCCGTACTTCTAAGCCTACCTTACAGTACCTATGTAGGCCTTGATATTACCAGATAACCACCTAGGTTACCTAAGTACCGAGGGTATTACTGTACATTTCACTTCTTATGGAAGGCTTAGTGTTAACGAAAGCCACACCAGGTGAAATGATGCTTATTGATCAGTGTTCCCCAACCACCATCTCTAACACCGGAGCATCGACCCGGCCGGCTCCCTTAACAATGGGCCCGGATGTTCACTCCACATCCAATAGATCCCAATACCGGAGTATCTATCGGACTTCGATATTAGCTTCTTAAAATGTATGTCAGTACATCCAGTTACACTATAGACTTAGGAGGAAGAAAGCGGATTTCCTCCTGCGGCTTCAAAACTGGCTGACGTGAACCCCATAACCCAAGCTTCAGGTTTCTTATCTGTCTGGCTTGTTTGTTTGTTTCCTCAAAGCGCTACGATGTTCTTTGACACGACCTTACAGAGGGCACTAGTTGCGGCGGCGGCGGTCGCAACGGCCCCCAATGTCACCGAGCTTTTCGGCCCACACCTCTCTTCGCGAGCCTCCATCTACTTGGCCTCGGATTCAAACTACACCACCTCGGTCACGCAGCGCTGGACGGACTACGCTGCGCCCGCATACATCGCTACCATCCAACCCGCCACAGTGCACGATGTGCAAAACATAGTAAGTCATTACCCACATTGTCACAAATAAGACTTAGAACATGAAACTCACAGGCTGCAAGGTGAAAATTGCTTCGTCACATGAGATACCCTTCCTCGTGACCGGCGGTGGCCATGGAGTTTCCGTGCAGCTTGCGAACCTCAAGGAGGGCATCCAAGTTGACCTCGGAAAATTCAACAATGTCACATTTGACAGCGACACCCAGCTCCTTACCGTAGGCGGCGCAGCAAAGTTCTCCCAGCTGATTGACCCCCTATACGAATTGGGTTACCAATTTCGTAAGCTATCATTCGGGTCCGTGTTGAACTTTCAATACTAATTCGTCAACTCTAGCTCTCGGCACTGCCTACTGCGTTGGAGTAGTCGGCGCCACCCTAGGTGCCGGCGTTAGCGCAAACCAGGGGTACATGGGCCTTCTCCTCGATCTGCTCGAGGAAGTGCAGGTCGTCACGGCCTCTGGCGATGTCGTTATAGCTTCACGAAGTACCAACGAAGACCTGTTCTGGGCGCTCCGTGGCGCCGGCGCGAACTTCGGCATCATCACCTCCGCTACGTACAAGGTACCGCGCGCCGTCAACGGCGGCAAGATAACGAACATCAACTATCTCTTTCCGGGCACCAAGAGCCGGGAAGTCTTTACCTACCTCGCTTCGCTTGATGACGAGATGCCCGCCCCTCTGGCGCTCAACATAGGAACACTAGTCGAGCCTAACTCTAAACAGCTCGTCCTCCTCGTAAACGCCAACTTCGCCGGCCCAGTCGAAGCCGCATTGCCGCACCTCGCCCCCCTAAAGGCTCTCAACCCCCTCCGCTACGAGGTTCTAAGCGTAGCCTGGCCCGACGTCTTCTCTACCTCGTACTTCGGCATCGAAGACACCAAGGCCTGCGGCCGAAACCAACACGTCAACATGCGCAGCGTCGGCGGGAAAAGCACCGACCCCGACGTAATCGTCGGGTTCCTGGACGAGCTGGAGCGCTTCACGAAGGCGAACCCTGACGTGTTGACGGCGATGATGGTCCACAGGTTCGCGACCGAGAAGGTGCTCGAGGTGCCGGATGCGGAGAGCGCGTACCCGCATCGCGAGCTCAAGATGCATATGTGAGTTTAGGCTGCACCGCCCCTTTATACTTACCTAAACATGTATCGCGTAACTAACGAGCACTTCAGCCAACTCGAGAGCGAATACGACGACCGACGAAAAGACAGCCTCGTCGACGCCTTCCTGCACTCCGCGCGCCACAACCTCACTTCCGCCAGCGGCTTCGACGAGCCCGTGGTCTACGTCAACTTTGCTCACGGCGATGAAGGGCCAGCGGCTTGGTATGGGGCGAGGAATCTGGCGCGGCTGAGCGAGCTGAAACGGAAATGGGATCCGCGGGGCTTGTTCAACTACTATAACGCTGTCCCGATGGGCGTGTCGGATGGCGAGCTATGATGTAGGATTATTGGTTGGATCTAAGACTTGTACGATATGATCGGCATAGATACAGGTGTGGTGTTATGTAGGGGTGATACTGGGTATGGATTAATGTGGCGAGAAAATATAGAGCACATTGGATAGAAGTTAATATAAAAAGGCGTACAGGGAGTCCTTTATCGAAATCCGGGTCTACGAGATTCGAGCACTTAGTGAATCAAACTTGTGTACCATTTAACGTCATTGAACAGGATGTGTCATGTACGCAATAGGTTGCCCTAGGTGTATATTGAGTAAGTAATGAATAGGTAATACGAATAGATACTAGTGGGTACCCATAAAGCACCTGATCACCTACATAGGTAGGTAGGTAAGTGGTTCAGTGAGCGTTCGACAAAGCCAGTAGTGAGTGAGGCTTGTTCTAAAATAGACTTCATAGGTACCTAGGTTGCTATGCTTATGCTTCACAGAACGGTATACATCCTATACAGCCAGCTTTCTGCAACCGCAGAAGACTTCCCAATAGCGCAGTTATGTAGGTCCCTAGTTATCCACCACAAGCTTCATCTCTCGGTTGCGCTTAGGGGCAATTGCACACGACGAGTTGTCCCTCACGCGCTACACATTCGCCTTCGCAGTTGGCCTTGCATACATTTATGTCGTAGAATGTGCCACAGTCGCTATTCATATATATGAAATGTTAGCCTTGTTCTTGTACGTCCGTAGTGAGCTTTGCCCATGAAGGTACTGCTGGCTGACGACCTAGGGGGCCAACAATGACTTACGCTGCGGTCGCTAGGCCAAACATCATGGCAGCGGCGAAGACGGTGACTTTGTAGAAATACATAATTGCGTGTTTCGTTTGAATATTGAGTAATGTATGCAAGATTTGTGGATGAGTGTTGATAGTATGTATTCACACAGACAAATCCTTCCTAATTCCACGGATATGCTCGCCCTTTTATATCCCTTTTCGCTTGTGCTGTATCACATTGTCTAATTTCAGTCCTCCGTAGGATTCGTACACGGTCGTATAAATGTGCTATATAAATTCTGTCTCGTGTTGATGACTGCATCCCATTCGTAAGGCAGTCCCTCAAGGTCCATGTCTCCTATAAGCAGTCAGATATGGCGACGATCTCCTTACGACGAGGCAATAGTCGATTTAAGACTTCTTGTGAAAGCCTATTTAACAAGTAACACAGTTGTGCTCTGCTTACACTGATGCAACCTGTCTGTTCTGATCATCGGCGAGGCTTTGTTGGAAGGCTTACCTCATATGATTTACGAGTCGATCGTAGATCAATCATCGAGGTTACGTTACTAGGTTAAGGCAAAGCCCATCGAGGGATTCCTTGGCTCGCCAGAAAGGGCAGCTGATAAAAGCGAGTTTGTGGCACAGAGTCATTGGCTGACAAAACTAGTCCTAGTTGTTGTCACCGATTACGTGAATGTTGTCATTCATTATCCTGTTTGAACATTTCAGCTGGGATACTCATCTGAGATATAGAGTTGAGATGTCTTTTAAGCTTAGATATTTTGTTGTCTATGAATACCCCCTTTTAATTGTCGCTCCTATTACCCCCGTAAGGTTGGCTGGTGGTTATTAATAGCCTGTAATCAACTTTATGTGTCTAAAGAATTGAATCAGATTTGAATTTTCACGCGATTTCAACTGGGGCGCAGCACGTTCTACGGATTGAAATAAACAAGTTGAATAAGGTGTAAGGTACGCACATGAGCCTCTGCCGACCATCTTATCACAAGGTGACCTGTAAGGCCACTAAGGCTACCGACATAAATGAATGGTACAAGGTGAGGATGAGGAAATCCATATATCCATATGCTTCATTAATATAATTCCGGATATAGATACTCATACAGTGTTATGTCCAAATCGTCCAAATATGCATTACAACAGCTCTCGATACCGGCCGTGAGCCATGACCAGCAGCCTGCTGCGGTTTATTAGTTGGGCTATTACCTTGGTGACGTTGTTGATTGGTTCGGGTAATAAGCCGAGGTCTCTTCTCCTCTGTCCTGTCCCTGCGGATTCTCGTGCTCATGAATACTAATGAACTTCGTTAAAGCCCACCCCTCTAGTGTTCAGCATCCCGTGCGTGTAGCACAACTCAAATAGCTAAAATAGATGTCGAGAATCTAGGCACCATAAAGCTAGGGTTCTCTGAGTCCCTGGCTGTTGTAGGGGTGAAGCCTAACAAGCGCCTTGCTGCTTAAGCCTGAGGAAAAGCCTCAATACAGTGGCGTGTGGACTAGTAGGGGCGGCCAACAAAAAGGTATAGGAGTGTAGCCGTACCCTCTGCTCGTCTGAATATCGTAATCATTCGTTCATTCTCTGTGGTAGCTATGAAGCACCCTTCGGCTTTACAACCCTCTCCGTCTTTTGGCAATGCTTCACAATCCAGGGGTGTTGGATGACGTTATCGAGGGAGAGCCTCTTTTCAGGGTCAACGACAAGCAGCTTTATAGCTCTGTTAACTTTCTGTCAACAACTCATAAGGGCCGAGTAAACTCACTTTTCTTATCAGATCCGCAGCCTCAGAACTCACGAACAACGGCACTCTCATATCCCCGCGCGCTATCCTCCTAGTCGTCATAACGGGAGTGTCTTCGAACGGCGCTTCGCCAACTAGGAACTCGTAGGTTAACACACCTAAGGACCACAGGTCAACCTTCTCATCGTACGAGTTGTCCGGATTCCGCGAGACGATCATCTCTGGTGGCAGGTAGTCAAGCGTTCCACAATACGTCTTCCGGCGGCAGCTGGGCGCATGCACGCTCCAGCCGAAATCCGATATCTTGATCTCGCCATGGATGCCCACCAGTATATTCTCGGGCTTGATATCGCGATGGATGACGTGCTTGCGGTGGAGGTAGCGCAGCGCGTTTGCCATCTGCGCGATATACTGCGCCGCCTTCCACTCCGCAAACCGCGTTTCCTTGCGGAGGTGCTTGTACAGCTCTCCGCGGCCGGCAAACTCGAGGATCAGGAAGATCCGGTTGGTGTCGTGGAAGTGGCCGTAGAGCTTGAGGATGTTGGGGTGCCGCAGGTTGCTCTGGATCTCGATCTCGCGCTGCACCTGCTTCTCGACGCGGCCCTGCTGCAGCTCGCTCTTGTAGAGAACCTTGAGCGCGCAGACGAAGCCGTGTTCGCGCTCGCGCGCCAGATACACGCGGCCAAATTTGCCCTTGCCTAGCGGCTTGCCGATCTCGAACATGCCCAGGTGTAACCTTCTGATGACAGGTTGCTCGATGAGAGTCGCTACTGCCTTCGCCTCTGCTTTGGATTCATCTTTCGATTTCTCTTCGGTGGGGGCAGCTTTTGGAGGTGGTGGCGCTGGTATTCCTACTTCTCGCTTCGACGCGGCGTGTGTCTTTTGCTCTCTGTTTTGTAGGGCAAGTCTGAGGAGGCTTGACTGGCATTGGTCATGTGAGCTTGTTGTCGAGGTGACTTTAACCTATTGTATACAATGGCCCTGTTAGTGAAGATTGGGTGAATGGGGTGAGGTGGATGGGAATATAAGACTACCTAGGTAGGTAGATACCAGGAAGTCTACATCGGTTCTACATTGAATATGGTTTACTTCTATGTGTCGTCAGAAATAAAATAATGAAATAACTACTACAAGAAACTAGATGCTTTAAATAACATTGTAAGAAATATAGGTATAATAGCTTTAGGAAAGATGTGTAAAGTTGACCATGTAAGGCCTAAAATAGTAGTCACTTGATAGCGTACCTTTAGCTTCTGCTTCTCGCTGTCTTCCTCGCGAACCGACATGCGCCCAAAGCGAGCCTCGAGGTTGTTAATTGCCATTGTTTGTATTACTTATAGTTTAGCAGGCGAGCGAGAGAACAAAGTATCTTGGATGATATATTGATATTGAAAACAGATCACCACCGTCGCAATTGAGTTATGACTTCTCAAAGACCGGATTTCAATGGAAATCCGCAGTTTGATTTGTTTTCCTGTGGTAAGGCTGTCGTTGCGCGGCAACCCCTGTCATATTTACATGCATGTATCTGTTGGTAGGTACTCACGTTAACTATTTGGGAATGCACGTTGGGAGTAACTATGTAGGTACCAAAGTATTGTGCATTGTAAGGCGCGGGGTACCAACATATCATATGTAGATACCTCTAAAAGCCCGCGCCTACCTATACATACCTAGGTAGATAATAGATGATACTGTATGATATTTTCCTAATACATTCAATGTTATTCTCACTATCAAACTCAATTGGTTCAATGCTCTCTTCAAAGTTACATGTACTACAATATGCAAGCTTCCAAGTTGAAGGTTCAAGGTACCGTAGGTACATATCCGTAACAAGGATTATTTTTATAATGCGGGGTACTAGGTAGTAAGAATGGCAATGGAGCAAAATGTAAAGGCGTTGAAAGAGAACGGCGGCTGGATAGTATAATAAGCATAAAGCTATATTAAGAACATTGCTAAAGTTTAAACAGTCTCGGAACGTTGGCTAATACGTGCTATGTACCTACGTCGTACTGAGCCAAGAGCCACGTGACACCCTTGAGCGCCACCAAATCCTACGAAGAACTCTTTAGGTAACCAACGAATATAATTGAATGGGCACGTCTCGTTTTGACACACACATCAACATTAAGCTCAAACAACTGAGACTTTCTAGCTGATTATTACCTATATTTTGAACCAATACTCACATGGAGCCCAGACTTTGAGGCAGTTAACCTAGCGTCACTTGCCCAGAACCGACCGCTACCTAGTTATATTAACATCAACAATACCTGATATCACAGAATCTTCCACCTATTCAAAAGGTTGCCTAGCAGAAGAGCCCCTTGGGCTTCGGGGGTGCAAATAGACGCGCAATACATCCAAATATCATCATGAACTTGCGCTTCGATTAGCCGACGAGGGTTATAGAACCTTTTACTTGCAAACTTACCACTTCATCGAAGAATCGAAAATATAAGGGCAACGCTAGATACGTGTCCCAGTCATGAAATGCCCTAACGACGTGCCAGAAACTTCCAAACATCCCCGTCGAAAGCACGTCGTTGAAGAACCTATCGTGACGCCCAACGTGGTTAGCGTCGATATGGGCGAAATACGTGTCAATGGGGTAGGGAGCCTCTGCCACCTACAAGGCTTTATACATGCCCGCGGGGTCGGGTCTTTCCCGTAAGACAAGTCTCTCGTCTCGAAACCCTTTGATGCTGTGCACGGCACGACGTGAAACGCGTACCGCAGGATCTCCAGCTTTCATAAGGACCTTGTCTCCGTTCAAAGTGATTTCCACCCTACCCTCAATGACGTGAAGATACTCCGCATGGTCCTAACGACATTATCCACACTTTAGTATCTGCATCCAATGATATCGAGCTTTATTGCAACTCTTCCTTCACTGACCTTGTGCCAATGAGCTGGGATATCGAGAACCTCCTCACCGGTACAGATCGTGTCCATAGCATATCTATTGATCGAATCTTCCGGCTCGGCCTCGTTGATGGTGATGTCCATGGTGATGCCCTGCGAACATTAGTGGAGATTTCTCAACCGGTCCGCTGTTTAACAATAGGTACCTTTCCCACCCGTAGAGTTTTTAAGATTTTGATGGAACCCATGGTTGATTGATACCCTAGTAAATAACCAAGTCTGCCCAGTAACTAAGTGCTTCCCGATCGTCAGTGCGTCCCCGGTAATTTATGGAATTTACCTTTTCTGTCCGTAACTGCACATGCTAGACAGAAGAATGAAGAAAGATGAAAGTGGGTGGACGACGCCTAGATAGAAAGGGGATAAAGTTATCAGATAGATCGGCACCGTATGTTGGTCCATATACGGCGCAGCAAGTTGGTTGACGAGCCAAGAAGCTAACCCTACAGACAGTAACATGCAAAGGGGAGAAGTGGACAAAAAAAGGGGGGGCAAGGCAAGGGGCTAGAAGTACCACGTTCCGAGTGGATAATGATATAAGCTATTGTTAGTTAAAGCAACCAAGACACGGGAGAAGAGCAGGAAGAAAGCTTACTTTATTCCTAACTACGCTGGCGCAGTGCCGATATAAGGCTCCCCATATAAGGCTCTCAATATGAGCCTAGCCTAATGGGCTTAGTGGCCCATGCAATTTCAGCTTACCTGGGTATACCAACAGTGATATAGGGACCATTATTAAAGATATGGATCTTGGCATAGACTAAGTCAACTACTACTAAATCCTAGATATATTCCAACACTTCAAGTCAAAATAGCTTCATTTCCATTGTTTAACACGCTTCGCTCTACAGAGTTCGTTACTCTGTGCAGACCTTCATTGAGATGTCTTGTTAGGCCCAGCTCGTAAATCCGTCTTTCACCTAGTTTAGTCTGCTAGATTATTCAAGGAAAAGATTTTAGACAACAAAAGAAGAAAGGCCAATGACCGTCCTTCAAGGGCCCAAAGATAAGCAGAGATTCGAATAAAGCTGTGTATACGTCTGGCTTTGTCACTATACTTATAGAACGAGGATATGATTTCGCTAGTTACAAAGGACTGGCTGATCATGGCCAGCAACAAAGTGATTGTTAGCACACAATGCTGTAACAAGAATTTATCTTTTAAATGCTGAACAGATACATATATGACGGCACCAATGGACATCATCCGCAAATTGTTGACCTGTTCACGAACGATTATTTACAGTAGAACTGTTACATTCCCAAAAGACTCGCATATAAGAGAGCGTGATCGGCGCATCACGTTTGGTACGCCCGTCGGCAACCATGCGAACTAAAGTGATATACGGTTCTAACGGTAGTATTCTCGGGAAGATACCCATCAAAGTAAGCATGGCATCACACTCCGATACCAACGGCGAAAGCGGGGAGCTCGGCGAGCTCGGCGAGAACGCGGCGGTGGCTACTACTCCTGATACCAGCTCACCCCTGTCACCCCAGTCACCTCATAGCGCTCAGATCAGAACCCGATTCGTTCAAAGATCTGCGATATCAGAGTATAGAGAAGCTCTTATGTTATATGAATCTTGCAGGTCTCGGTGGGCAGAGGTAAGAAAGCGCTGGAATGTAGGCAAAGACTCGGTACAGAATGAACAGGGCCTATACGACCTAGTTCGAGGGTATCTCCAGACGATGGGTTCGGAGAGTGGCGGTGATGGCCAGTGTAAATCGTTCACTGAACACGACTCTTATGTCCCAACGCCGATGATAACGTTCCTTATCGATCAGCCCACGAACCTCGTGTGCCAGATCTGCAAAGAGGTATCGCTTACGATGGCCGACACGGCAGACAGTCTCGACCCCGAGACTCCCGCCATCACGCCCTGCGGGCATGTAGCGTGCCACAGCTGTTTAAGCTATTGGATCAGGATGCACAAGAACTGCCCCTTCTGCCGCCAGGACTTGCGATACAAGGGCTGTGGCCACATGTTTAAGCCGCGCTTGATCGCTCAAGACACCATCCTCTCGCTTCCCAAGACGCTTGAAGAGGGCGGTGAAATGGACGATGGCTGTCCCCGCTGCAGTCGAAAGAGCAATTTAGACTCTGCTATTAAGGACTGGAAACACCTTGCGGAGACGTACAAGGAGCGGCGCAGGGACGCTGAGCTCCTTCAAACGAAAGAGTCTGTGAGCAGCATGCGGGAGGCGCAGGAGGCGTTTGAGAGTAAGGCCGTTGACTGTCATATTCTCTACATGTCGCCTCAGATCACACCGTGGTGAGGAAGAACTTGCCTGTATCTATTAAGTTTCTCTCTTGTAATTTTGGCTATAGGGGGCTAGGCGTGTATTTATTTAGAGCTTATTACGGGCCACCCGGCACATGTGATCTTTGCTATTTCATTCAATAGAACCTCAGATAGTACCTAGATTTATATCATTGGTGATCGGATTGTAATATATTCGATCCATTATTGTTTAGTGTTTAAAAAAGAAAATGTTTGATTATCATGCTAACAGTTCAGTTCCTTCACTACCTGTGAATATCACAGTTTGACCTTTATGACACATGATTGAACTAACCTAGGAGATATATCCCTTTATTCCTGATTCATTTTGGCTAATACCCCTATAAGGAACGGCGAGGGATCTTACATGACCTCTGCATAGGTTAGATGCCCCTGGATTACATAAGGTGAGAGCGAAGGTACCTACGCATTGCCTGTATTTCAACCTCATTTATTCACATGTGTTAATTGTAAATAAGACCGAAGAAAATGAAAAAAAAAATACCTATTCGAGTGAAGAAGATCTTGCATCGCTTCTTGTAATCAAAAATGATGTAATCGCATCACGATTGATGAGTGTCCTGTATGGCAACTCTCTGGAATGCATCTCTGTAGGTAGGTACTCATCACTTATATCGTGTCTCATTGTCGCATACCTCAGCAGTCTTGCACTGGGGTTGTCTTAATTTGCAGGCAGTAATAATCAGGGGTAGATCCAATAAAGTTCACAAGTGTGCTATTCGTCAGAGAAATTTCAGGGGATTCTTGCCATAGTTTCAACAGGTAACCATGGTCCATGGTCTTAAACTGACAACTGGAGAACTAAAAGATTGACTCGATACAGACGAAATCCTATCCTTCTTATACTTGTTGTCTCCCTCTATTGATATGTTGGATATCTCCGGGATAGAATATACATTCCCTATCCTTCAGGGGGGATATCTTTTGGATATTAGATCAGCTCAATATCCATGCCACGTAGTGTTGGACCGTGACTAGAGAACCCTTTCGACCTATTCAACGAAACATCTGTCTCCTTTACAAGACATGGAGCATTCTATTTTGCTAACCTTTACATCTGCCACTGAAGCAATATCCGCAGTTCTCTCCACCGCCCTTGCCAGTATCAATGCCCTCCGAGCCGTCCGAATTCAATGCACAGCATTTACCGTCCTTATTTTTACTATTCAGCTGGATTTAGTTACTTTCTCTTCCAGCTGGAATATTTATTTGCACCCACCAGTTGTGAAATGAGTTGTATTTTCCATAAGACTTTCCCGAGCACGTGTCTTCTGGTAGTCGGCTGCCGGAACAGCCTTTCCTTGGTAAGAGTTCTTCGTAATAGCCAGTTTCCTGGCCGGAAGGGATAGCTCCTACAGACCCAATGGCTGCGCAGAGGATAATGAATGACAATCGCATTGTAGCGGAATATTGAAGCCGGGCTCGATTGGAGTCTCTTAGATTAACCCTAGATAAGGCTAACAGAAGCTAGATTTGGAGGACATTTAAGACTGGGGTTAAGAGGTCTTCTAATTCCTAGGAATCTAACGGCATAGATTGGACCGAAGGTTGGATATATATAGCGAGGTTCAACATCAAATGTATCACATACTAACCTAGGTCCTAGGTGTCACAACCTGTTAAAATGGAGCTCTGGATCATTGTTGAACTTGAACATATGGTAAGTGGATGTGATATTAGATCCATGGATATTAATTATAGTAGCAGTGATCGGTTTAGGTTTCATTTTTCTTCGATCGATACAGCGTTACACGTACCTCAATATCAGATCCTTCCTTCTCCTCCTAGGTAACCTGGACTGAGACCTGTCCTACACTTCATCGCACCTTCCTGCCTAGGCCCCTGGTAGAGTTACTACCATGTAATACCTTACGCCGATGACTATCCTAGGTACCTAGGTAGTAATTGTGGAGCAATCAGCAGGTAGGGCCTGGTAGGCAGGCCAGCCCACCTATGTAATACCTAACTGACTACATGTACAACTACAGCGAACAACATCGAACAACATCGAACATTTTTCTCCACGCCCATCCATCATCCATCACCCCCCCTTCGAACCAAGTCTTTTACCAAGAATCCAGCAGCTACTGCGACCCGGACCCCTTTAGTTCCCCCCAACAAGCCCAAAGTCCATACAACTCAATAGCCATGGCAGAAGACAGAACATCCGTCTCTACCCTTGCCCTCCTGGCAGAACAGGATCCGCAGCAACTCCAGCATCGTGCTAACAGCCTTCGCAGCTTGGAGTTTATTGCCGACGATTCCATGTATCATGGTGTTTTCAAAGACATCAAGTTTCCGACGCTGGAGCGCCTTGCACTCGATGCATCGAACCAGAACGAGGAACATTTGTTAAAGCCCTATCTCCAACCTGCTCTTAAAGCATTCATTTTCTACGGAGGACCGATTTCTGAAAACTTTTTGGTGACACTTCAGGTATGCCTGTTTCTCAACCCGAGTACTTCTGGGAATGAGGAGAATCCATGGCGCATCTCCTTGAACTTATCGAGACGAGAGAGATTATCCACTGACGAAGTTCTCACACTAGGAATCTTGTCCACAGCTTGAGGAGCTTCTCATTGACAACGCACGCGGCAAAATCACTCCAGAGGGGTTTCTTCACTTCCTCGAAGGCGCCACCTCCTTGAAGAGAATAGCAATCATGTATGGCATGGATCAGGTTGCTACTGATGAGGTTTTCGTCGCTCTTGCCACCCGGCCTAGTCTGCAGTCGCTCCAATTTCAGCAAACGATAAATGGTGATCTCATATCCTTGGCCGAAAGTCAGCAGACCAATCAGCATGATGAAGCGCAACTCTTTCCATGTCTTGATAAGCTCGTTTGCAGGGCAACCTTTGGCGGGCTTGTCCGCCTCCTACCTTACTTACGCCAAGTCACTCACTTAGAGGCTACCATTATGAGTGACGGCCATACTTCTACCGGATCGGATACCTTGCTTGAAGCCATACCCGCCTCCAGTCCCCATCTGTGCATTCTAAAGCTGGAATACTCGGGGGTGAGGCCTGTGCCTATCAGCCCCAGCGGGCTGGTCCATCTCGCACAAGGGCTTCCGCACATTCAGCAACTAGAAATTTCAGGTCAAGTCCGAGCTCCCGAACTACAAGACCACCACATGTCCAAGATTGTGGAGGCTTTGCCTGACCTCAGAAATCTGCATCTTGCATTCGAGTGCTCGTTGACGGAGGCCGCACTTATCGAACTTGGCCATGAGCGCGGGAGTAGTATGACTGACTGCGAGCTCTGGGGATCTTATGCCTTGCGAAATCTCCGAGGAAGCGATGTATCCTTTCCTGTGTTGCGGGATCTTGTCTTAGGAAAATTAGTGCCGCCTGCATTCGGCGATACTAAGAGCGAGGCCGCTTCGGCTGCTCGGGTGGTGAAAGGATTGGCACCCAACCTCACCTCGTTTGACGTGGTGACTGGAGACGCTTTTGCTAGCTTGGTCGATACGTGTTGGGCGGATTTGATTTAAAGACTACAAGTCGATATATTTGTCGAGGCTCGGTGAAAATTGATGTGTCTGTGGCACAGACGGGCGTAACCTGTCACATCCATCTCACCTCAACAGGAGAACCTACCACCCGTTCAAGGGATATTTAGGATTATGGCAGCATCTGTGTTCTTCGAATGAACCACTCAAATTTCCTACACCCGTTAAAATATCTTCGACGACGTCTCAGTGGAGATTGGTCTCTACGTCAACCCCGATGATGATTCCGCTACTTGTTAATGATTTTCCGTTTCACCAGGAACGTTGCTAAACCTGGCTGACACCGGTAGTTGCCTATATGTTTCACGTAGTCATCTGGTAAAATACACGCCGTGTCTTAAGATAGGAGAAATAAACGAGTATGAAAACGGGGAAACATAAATTGGTCCGGAAACAGCCCTTCTGGTAACATCATCGCTCATACCCGCAACGGGAACTTACAGAATTGGCAGTGCCAAAGTCCGTGGCACGATGGCTTGAAGATCGAAAGACGTTTAGTGGATGATCATCGACTCTATGAGATACAAGGACGACTATTGTGTGCACTTCTCCTTGTGAGCCATCAACACTGTAAACCCCTTGAAGCGTCATCCGATAGAACATATCCAAGCTGGTAAGTATTAGAAGGAAGAGAATCGGTGCTGCACGTACCGCATATAAAGAGGTAGCTAGATTCTTATATGATTCTCGAGAGTTCAATTCCAGTATAGCCACCCCTCCATCTTCCGCAGAGAGTTCCTGATAGTATATCGTTTTCCAAACCCAATTGTGTCTTAGTTAACCCCTATTATTCAAGCCAACAGCATGTCTACTCACACTGAACTTGGTAGAGTCCATCCGCTTTTGCAATCGACCAGTTTTGCTCAGTCTAACCCCATCATCAGGTGCCATCATCGTCGTCACCGAACCTAAAGAGGGTGACAACGTATGGATTGCCAAGCAGACCGGTCTGGGCAAAAATCAACCGCCCCGTAATGGCGATCCCCGCTCCAACAAATGTTTCGACTGGTCTTTCGAAGTTGTGACGGTAAGATAACAAATGGGGCTCAATACCTACTGAAAGCAGCGTGTTGATTTGATTTAGCTCAGTGGTTGCGTGGACACCGACAATTTTGGGCTGACGGTCACTGTTTCCGTCATGGGATTCAACCTCGGGACCTTTGGTGGTAATCTGAAGGACGGGATTGTGGTGAAAGTCGATCTTTTTCTCGTCTCGGGCGAGATGAAGTTTTACCTCAAGAATAGGAATGAGCTCTGGGTCCATTTGAACCTGAAGGTCAAGTGGGATGGCAGTTGGGACACGGATTTGAAGATCCTATCGTTCTGAAGTTTCGATCAGAGAAGGAGATATGGGGGGGGGAGAGAGGGACTCACATGGGCTCGCCTCATCCGATGGTTCATTCTGTTCGTTCACTTGAAATTCTTACCATTTCAATTTTGTCAGGGCTTTGTTAGTAAGACTTAGGTTTTACAAGCCCGTAACATTCATTAAACACCTTACTAAATCAAAAATGATATCTGTGTCTTATATACGCAGAGTTCCTAACCTAGCATTGAAGATACTGCTTACCCACCCCGTGACTCTATGCACCGGCCTTGTATTCGACAGCCCCTGAATTGACTAATTTAGGCTGTTGGCTAACCGTTGCCGAACACATCCTTTCTATCATTCAGGGACTTATACTTGTTTTTCTCCATTAACATAGCCCTACGGTAGGTTTAAAGTCCTCAATGTGTAGCTCCTCAAGCTGTCTCGCTTCAATTCTCTAGGGATAAGCGTTCACCATCAACTTATGTTGCAATAGTATTGTTACAGCATAAACAACTACCCAGGTACTTATAAAATAAGGTCTAATATGGCCTTTCTGTGATCTTCTTGATTGATATGCATTATTAGATGGCCAAGTTGGCGACGGTACAAGTAATAGCCTGGCCGGCGGTGCGTGTGCATTCGGGCTGGTGGGCTTAATTTGATTCAAAAGGGGTCATTTTAGTGCACCTAGTTAATTTGAAAACGCTATTATTTCTGCGATATTTAATCAACTCGGTGGTTGAGATGCCTTTTGTTCTATGTGGTTGTTAAGAGTGCCCACGTGACCCCATTTCATCCAATACCCTACCTTTTACGGTCGCCAATAGAGCTGCCATGAGCTGTGACAGTGTATTACTTAACTGGTGGTACTTAAACTGCGATATCTATATATACTTTTACCGTTAGATGTAACATTAAAATGAAGTTGAGATGACTAGGGGTTGCTTGAACCCCAAGATACCCTAGGATGAAAGGCCTAGTGATGTTTCGACCACCGAGCCGATTGAATGGAAAAGAACTGACAGCCTTATTAGATTAACTAAAGGGGCTCACGCAAATGAGCCCCGTAGCTAATAAGGAAGCAACTAGTTTTGGCAATATAGACGAGGTAGAGCAGAGCGCTGACGCCTGAAGTCATACCTAGGCGTGGTAGCAATATTGGGAAAGACAGATTCCGCAAAGCGATGATCTGTCAAACTGCCAAACCTACCTAGATGCTGTCGTTTCTACATCCGATGATTCATATGAGATCTAGGTAGACAACTCACATACGGTTAGACGGACAGACGAAAGCAAACTACGCAAGTGACTTTGGGCCCTCTAAGACCCTTGGCTTCAGGGTTAATGGATGAGCGCGGCATAACTCCAAGAACGAGTAAGAGCATTTCTGTGTTTTTTTTTTTTTTTTTAAAAAAAAACCCCCAATACAAGAAATAAGAACTATCAAAGTCCTGCCACCGGTAGATAGGGATGGAGCCAAGGGAAGAAATGCCTCAGAAGCCCCAGCGGGATGGCCAAGAGGCCGCCGCTGGGAAACTTGGCACCCACGCCACGGGTCGCATTCACCACGCCAACATTCATGCCATCGTACCGGCCCTCCTCATCGTTCACGGCCTCGAGCATGCCGGCCGAGAGGTCCAGGTAGCTGAGGAAAGACTCGTCCTCGTCGAGGGTCAGCCTGTGGCCCCGCGCGACATCCACGGACAGCCCCCCAGGCTTCATGAAGATGGTCGACACCCAGTCGGCCTGCGACCGCAGCATTTTTTCGGCGAGTTGTAGGTCGGCGTAGACGTAGGAGACGGCGGTGCGCATGAGGGATCGGAACAGCCAGGACCGGTTGCCGGAGAGGCGGTCGTCGATGGTGGAGGAGCTAAGCAGGACTAGCTTCGGCAGCTTGGACGCTTCTGGCTTGGCGCGCGACGACGACTCCGCTCTGATGGCTTCGAGGGCCCGGATGACGGTGGCGGCGGTGTCTTGATTCAGACGGCAATCAGGGACATTGTCATTGGTGGTGACGGCCATGAAGACAGCCTTGGTGCCGCGGACACAATCGGTGATGAGATCGACATCGTGGATGCTGCCCTCGAAGACGCGAATCTGTTTATTGTCGACGACCTGGGGGATGAGGCGGTGCAATTTGGCCTGGTTACGGCAATATGCGTGGATCTTGTTGGTCGGGGATTGGAGAAGGGTTTGCAGAAGAGCAGTCCCACAGTTTCCGGTGCTGCCAAGGACGGCATAGGTGGAAGTGACGGGAGGGAGACTGTCGTTGCCGGCCATTGCTGGGGTGTTAGACGCTAAGTCGAACGGCGTGGACGGGGATTATGTAAATAGCGTCGCCGATGGATAAAGATGGATAAAGCTGGAAAGAAAACTGCCTAGTAAGTAAGGAACGGGTGGGACAAGTTCTAACCTGAACCGTCCATTATCTGCTGAGCCATATGTACGTAATCCGATATGTAATCTGATGTGTAATCCACCGGGGAAAATTCGGAGGGGGAGTCAGAATAGGGATCATTGATTGGCGCGTTCGGGTTGGCGGAGACATGCATCATGTACTGTACATCTTGATATACATCTTGATATACATCTTGATGTTAATATTCAGGCCTACGGTTAGCCTGCCAGCACAGGATGGATTTACATAATACGAAGGACGTGATACGATTCAATGTTCCTGAGAGCCTAAGACATATATGGAGGGTCAAATGGAAAGTTGATGGGAGGAGCATGCAACATCAAACGCATTTATATCATATAGAGACAACTCAGGCACATAGCACAGCAGACCGTTACTGTGTAACCACGCCACCAGCCCAGCCAGCCACTATAGCTTACTATCCACCCAAACCGGTTTCCGTCTCTCCACAAAGCTCTTCACGCCCTCCACCGCATTCTGCCCCGTCTCGATCCGCGGATACCACCCCCGAATCAGCAAATCGGTGCACTGCTCCGGGCCCACCCCCTCCCAGCCCAGCTTCAAGCCCTCACGACTAACTACCACCGCATCGGGGCTATTCGCCGCGATCCTGCGCGCCCAGTTCAGCGCCGCCTCCAGCACATCGCCCTCCTTCTCCACGACCTCGTTCACGACCCCCCAGCCCTGCATCTCCTTCGCCGCGTAAGCCTTCCCGGCAAGCGCCATCTCGGCTGCGCGCTGGCGGCCAACGGTGCGGACGAGGCGGGGTAGCGCGCCCGCGAGCGCGATGACGCCGATCGTGACCTCTGGCAGCGCGAACTTTGCCGTGGCTGCGGCGATCACCATGTCGCAGTTGAGCGCCATCTCCATGCCACCGCCAAAGCAGGTCCCGTGGACCGCGGCGATGATTAGCTTTTTGCCGGGCCGGTTGCTCATGCCGCCGAAGCCGCCGCGGGGGAACCTAGCCTCCTGCGCAGAGGACAAAGACGAAGACGAAGACGAAGTCGAAGTCGAAGTCGAAGAGGAGTTGACGCTATTCCACTCCTTCAGATCGGCGCCGGCGCAGAACGCGCGGCCGGCACCGGTGAACACGGCGCACCGAAGCGAGGGCTCGGCGTCGTACCAGTCCCACAGGCGCTCGAGGGCGAAGTGCTGCGGGCGCGGGATGGCGTTGAGTTGTTTGGGTCGGTTGAGCGTCACGAGCAGGATGTGCGGGCTCGGAAAGGAGATGAGGGTGTGTAGGACATCTGGAGGGGGTGTGGTGAAGGTTGATGTATTGGGAGAAGACATTTTGAATCTTTTGTTTTGGGAGTTATCGATCAAGGTATGTTGTGCGGAATGCAATGCATCAATGAATGAATGGACAGCCCATGAATGTGAGTCGAGTAGACACGATAGACGGCGGTTATGGTTGGATGAAATCTCACTTGGGGTTGAGTGTAGTTACATTGATTAACTAACGAACTAAAATCCACTCGATTGAAACAAAGTGTCTTAAATACCATATAGGTAGTACCAGGTATCATCATATGGGTAGGTACTAGGTATATTTGAGATCAAAGCAGCTTCAATGTTCGTGGAGAAGGAACTACATGTTGACATAGGTAGGTAGTTACACATATGTACCTGACCTAGTAACTACTAGGTAATCCAATAAATTATGGGACAATGCCTGCCGAATTGGTTGAGTGCCTCGGCCTAGGCTTACCGTAGGATCCGCACTAAACAAATAGGTACGTACTCCGCAATCCTTCAAGTTATGACTGGGAAGTTGCGTTTGATGTGGACGGCAAGGAACAATTCATTGCACCTTCAATGTTGGAAGTCACTACCCTAGGTGCCTTTGTACCTACATTGTAAGTACTAGGTACCTACCTATGTAGTACTACATAGTAGGTACCTAGTAGTAATCTACCTAGTATGATTGATGTCCACGGTATATAGCAACAAGGCCCCATTGCCATGTGAATAGTGTCTTCATGAACAGCCTTGGTTTTTGAAAAAGCCCCCCGATCTGGTACTATGTAATGTTTGAAAGTCCATGCCGTTTCTCTTCCAAATCCACCTACTATGTACTATATAGTCATCTAGATACTGAAGTTTATAAAACTAATGTTACTACTAGGCACCTCTGTACCTATATGTAGGCACTAGGGAGGCAAGTAGGCAAAGTAACCCTTCTGATAGTACTATGTACGTATGTTGCTTCTGGGCCATTATACCTAATACTATGACGACCCGGAAACCAGCAATATTAACCTGTAAACCCCGACTCAAGGCCACAACCAGACGCCTTCCAGCATCACCCAAGATTTGTGGTGAGATCACATAGTTGTCCGAAGGAGAGGTAATTATACATCGCACAAAGCATCGGTCCTTTGCATGCTTTGCTCAAGTTTATGCCTATGCCTAGGTATGTTACCTATGCAGAAAGGCCGCGCTTCTCGCTCTCGGTGAAAAAGATGACCATTCGCCAGAGCTTTTTTACAAGAGCTTCCGCCTCGTCGTCCAGGGCCTGTATATAAAATTAGCAAGTTGCTCATGAAGTATCTGTTATTGCGTAACAAGTCACATACCTCAACTAATTCCTCAACAAGTTCTCCAGGCTTGCCATGCTTTCTGAGATGTTCCTCCACAACTTCAATAAGTAGTTGTTCCTGCACACCCAGATACTCGACCAGCTTCTTTTCAACAAAAGGCCTAAGCTTATCTCGGATAACACTCTCATCCAGGTAGTCCCATTTGACATCCCATTCCCATAGTCCTTCTTTTTCATTAGGTATCTCCTGGGCTAGCGCACGTACGGCTTGGTCGCGCTCTTCATCGGACATGGCTGCTGCAGCAGCCGGCTCGAATTGGATAGGGACAAGTTGACGCCTAGAGGTTGCATCTTCGTCATCATCCTCAAGCAATCCTTCAACTTCGGCAATAGTCTTTCGCTGTGGAGCTGCACGTTGCGCTTGCGCCTTCTGTGCCGCTGCACCAAGGGATAGTTTGAATGGCTGCGGTGCAGCAATTCCAGCCCTGCTGGTTTGCCGCTGTTCCATTTCCTGGGCTTGCCGTTCAAGAAATGAATCAGCCATACCTCTGGCTTGTTCACGTTCTGCTTCTTCCTTGACACGTTCGTGTTCTTCTGCTTGTCGATCAGCATCGTCAGCAGCAATTTCCCTAGCCCTAAACGCAGTGCGATTTCGAATCCAGGCGCTTCGATCCTTGTAATATTCTTCAACCTTCCGCGACGCCTCTGCATCATCGTCGAAGTGCTTAAGTCGCTGGAGCATCTTTTCCTTGTTCTTGGCGAAGTCCTTCGCGTCTGATTCATCGCGATCCTGCTCACGTTCGAGAGCCGCTGTCCGAGACTTCTCCCGGTTAAGCCAGCGACGTTCGGCATCAAGATATAGCTTCTCGGTCTCGGCCTTCTGCTTGGCAATTCGTCGACGCTCTAGCTCCCCGTCACTTGCAGAGTCATCTTCATCGTCTCTGTTGTGATTTAACCCGCCGTTGGTCGTCCCACCGTTTACGAAGCTGATTGATCTATTGTAATCCTTGCCTAAATCGGACTTCTGCCCCTTAGGACCCGAAGGCGCATTAGGCATCCCGCGTGGACCTAGAGGAATATTATTTGCGTTCGAAGGTGGCGGTGACATGAGTCGAGAGGGCCTCTGGGCACCGTTCCGCTGGCGCTCCATGGCCTCGAGTTCTTCTTCGCGCTTTAGACGTTCTAAATCGCGCTTGATGCTTCGTTCTCTGAAGGCGGCGATCTCGGCGGCAACGGTCTCGCGCATCTCAGCGGGTATGTCGGCTAGCTCGTCCTCCTGTGCCAAGGGGATATTAACCACCTCAACATTCTCTCCATTCTGGGCCGAGCTATCGCCCATGGTGACATCACCATCTGCATCCGCTTTTGATCGCGACGTAGGATAGAAGAGATTCTTTATGGTCTGCTTCAACGCACCTCTGGCAGCTTCTAGTCTTGCTTCTGCACCTGAGTCATCAGGTCTACTTTCCTTATACGCCTCAAGATACTTTGTCGAATTCTCATCCAGACGGACTTGGAGAGTTCCCTTCTCGAACTTTGCGTAGCTATCGTCGATATCTGCTGGCTCGTCTGTCGGTTCCTGCTTTTTCATTGGAATCTGGATATCTTTCAGAATTTCAGAAACAATCCAGAGCGACTCCGCATCTTCGAATTGAGCGAAGCCAAAGCTCATGTCTTTCCCACCAGCATCGGTGGCACAGTCCCAGCGACGTAACTTGCCTGCAGCGCTAAGAATCTCTTCGACGCCCTTATTACCGCCAACGCCAGCTGTGATGCCACTCACAAAAACGGTTCGTACAATTTCTTCTTTAGATGGAGGGACCAACGACTGCATATTTTCTCGTATAGCTTGGCGAGTCTGGTCCAAGCCACGGTCCATACCTATGCCGGCCCTAGGCCCAGCGGAAGTCGGGACTTCATTATCTTTGCGGCCTGGTATTCCCGGGGTTGAGGGCTTCGAGGAGGTGGTACCGAGACGGATTACAGGGGCGTTGAAGTTAATGTTAGGCATATTCGGAGGAGCTTGGAAGGAAGACGGCAGACCGCTAGGTCGATTAGCTTGATTGAGGTTGTGCTGCTGAACGCCAGGTGGTGGCGCCGTTCCTGGGGCAGACATGCCTGGAGGAGGTCCTGTAGGTGAATTGTCAGTATCACGAAGAGCATTAGGTAGATAGACGTAGTTAAAGGGAATATAACAAAGGCTACTACATACCTAGACCAGGAGCAGACGGGACACCTGGAGCGCCAGCGGCACCAGGATATGAACTATAAGTGGGAGGCGGGCCGAAGCCAGGCACTTGAATGGGTTACTATCGTTAGCATGATTATGATCTCTATGAAGAACTCAAATATATAATATGAAAACTAGAGACAACAATGACTAACCTCCACCGTAGGGATTATATGACATGGTGGAAATATTCGATAGCACTAGAATAGACAGACGCGATTCGGGTTAACGAGTTAGTGGGGCTTTCGCCGATAATGTCGACGATGCCGACTGTTTCGGTAGTAAAAAGTAGGTATGCACGGACAGCAATGCCTCCAAGAAAAGGGACGGTTGGGATGTGCAGGCAGATTCAGATTCAGATTCAGAAAATTATTTGGCGACGGTAGAGAAATTATGTAGTAGTGTAGATTTAAGATGGCGGATTTGAAGTTGACAAGGTTTGTTACTAAATACTAGGCTAGGTAGGTACATATTTAGTACTACCTGCGCTAGTACAGACAGAGTATGGGTAACAAAACAGCCCTCCAGGCTTTCCTCCAGTTACCTAACCTCCATAGTAATTAGCTGTCTAGCTGGATCTGATCCACTCCTATCTCAAGGCTCAAGCAGCACTGAGCTATGACATGGTGGGGTTTTTCAATTCGGTAAATCATCGGATATGCAAGTAAATGCTCACTTTAACAAAATCGCATCCTCTTTTGCCATCAGCTACAACTTTTTTTTTTTTTTCAAGAAATATATATTATCATCAGATATTTGATCCGAAGAGCTCACTAAGCTCAGCCAATTATTCAAAATGTAAGTAAATCACCATCTTGTACATTCAATATTCTTATTTTCTCCCTTCTGGTATTACCAAGCACTCTGCCTGCCTATACTTACTGATTCACATAGGGCTGAGCTATGTCGCGCTGCGCAAGTCGCCTTTCGATCGACTTCCTTATTACGAACAGCCACGCCGAGATGGTCTTCATTCCCGTTATCAAATTTACCCACACCTTCGACAACCAAAATACGACAAATATGTACAACCCCGATTCTTAGATCAGCTGGGGAGGCCTATGCCCCTACTCCCAACTGGTACAACAAACTCGATAGAGAAACACCACCTAAGTCGGCAGAAGAAGTCGAGATCAAGAAGCCCGTCATGGATGTTTATGAAGACCCTTACCTTGGCGATTTCAGCGTTGCGTTTGACAGTGGCGAGCTTCGCAATAAGCCCATCGAAGACCGACCGGCCCCTGCGCGACCCACCCTACGCCTAGTTCCCCGAACTGGTCGTACAATTCATGTTGGCCGGAATGTCGATGTTGCGAGATCCTTCAAGCTTCTGGCCATCCAGGTAGCCCAAAACAAATTGCGGCAGGATTTCCAGCTTCAAAGATTCCACGAGCGCCCTGGTTTGAAGCAGAAGAGGCTGAAGAGCGAACGGTGGCAAAGGAGATTCAAGAAGGGCTTTAAGGCATGTGTTAGTAGGGTCAAGGAATTAACGAATCAGGGATGGTAAAATATCCTATCCAGCTCACACTGTACAATATATCCATCGATTCCGACCAGATATTTCTCATTGTCTCAGATTCCAAGGTGACCCAGATCTTACAAGGCGCATCATCATGAAATCTGCCCTTTCATGGAAGAAAAAGTTCGTCTTTATTATTCATCTTTGACTGGTCGGCCGGATTGATACTAGGTAAAATACCTGGTTACAATACCTACCTGTCTAGGTAGGTATGCTAAATAGGGAAGAATATATCAAAAGAGACATTTAGACAAAGGAAAACTCAGCGCGTACGACATAACAATCACTCAACTTGTCTTAAGTAGACATTGGTAACTAAACTCTCACAAATCAAGTGACTTCACTAATGGATAGTTATGTACTTTACCTTCAATTGGGCCTATGAGGCCGGGGATCATCAATTAGACCGCCATCAAATGGCAAAATCAAATCAGCGTCGTATGTTATCATCGCCCAAGTCACGCCTCGCTTCGGAAACTCGCCACGATGCCGCTCCGTACACGGACACAGGCTCTCAATCAGCGGCATCCCAGACGGTCAAACCACGAGACCGTAGTCGCAAACAAAATAGGAGTAAGGAGCCCAATACTGAGGTTTGATCGCGGAAGCTTACATAGACTTATCAGCTTCAATCGATCATGATCAAAGAGTAGAAGGATTTGACAAAAGGATGCATAGTCTTGATGAACAACTTATTACAATTCAAGGGATGATTAACAGTACTTTGAACAGCCACAAGAGTATTCAACAAGGACTTCAGTTAGCCGGAGAAACAGGTGAGTTATCCAGCAGAGGTAGCCTTGAAATAATGTAGCTCAAAGATTTACATACAGCATTGCTACAATTCAAGGACCATCAGCGCAGCCTTGAATCAAGGAACTTGAGTCTTCAAGATGCGTTGGACGCAGCACGAGACAAAATCAGGGATTTGCTAGACAAGCATCGCGATGAGAAGGTTGCCATCGAAGACAGGTATCGGGAGTTACTGGAATCAAAGAAGTCGGAATTTCGTAGCGAATATGAATTGGAACGTTCAAAACTCAAGAGCTCAAATATCCCGGATCCTCAATTTCAGAAGATATCCCTCGAGCAAGAATACCATATCGAATTGGATGCAAGGTATACGGCGTTGCGCGTAGAGCTGGACGAAGCAAGAAAAAGAATTGTCGACATCTCGAATGACCAACTCCAAAATATGAACATGCAACAAGAATATCGCACAGAGTGGGTATCAAAAGTTTCGAAGCTCCAAGATGAACTAGAGGAGGCCAGACAAAAGTATCATGATCTCTTTGGGAAACAAACTCAGGAAGAAAAAATAATAGAGGAAAGGTATAAAGCAGAATGGGAGTCGAAATATGCAAGGGTATATGAGGAATTAGAAAATGCACGAAAAAGAATTCTAGACTTATCGACAGCCCAGATTGGGGTAGAAAAAAAGGCATTGGAGCATGAATTCAAGGCAGTATGGCAAACGGAGAGCCTACAACTACGCGAAGATCTCAACACGGTGCGGGAAATGATTCGAGAGTTGTCAGAAGCCCAGGGTCAAGTTTCAACAACAGTCGAAAATAAATATCAAACGGAATTGTATGAAAAAACTACGAAGTTGGAGGCTGAACTGGCTAAGGAGCGAGGAAAGAATATGGAGCTTTCTAATATCCAGCTAGAAGAGAGACAGGCTCTCTTCGAAAAGTACCAGGCAAGTTTGGAGCTCAAAACCGACAAGCATCAACAAGATCTAGAAGATGCGCGGAGAACCGCCCAGGCATTGTTTGATATGCATTCCAAGCAGCAGAGGGAGCTGCACAGGGAACGACAGGATGAGTGGAAAGTGAAACTTGCTGAGCTCCAAACACAATTGAAAGAAGCAGAGAGAATGTATCGAGATGTTTCGAACACCTATCAGTCTGAGAAGGGGCTAGACAAGGAGAAACTAGGACAACTACGCGATGAGCTGAAAGCAGTGAAAGGTAGTAAGGATCTCGAAATAAAAGAACAGCTCCTACATGCTCGAGAAGAAATACGTAATCTCGAGGCTCAGCACGATAAGAATGTTCAAGAAATACGTAACTCACTAAGAGCTGAGCTTGAAAAAGTGAGGGAGGCAGGCAAGGAAGAATTACTGCATGAGCTGCAAAAATTTCAACAAGAGTCCGAAACCAGGCAACTGGAAACGCGCACAAGGCTAGAGACAGATGTCTCTAGGCTAAAACAGCAGCACGAAGAAGAAAGGAGGATTGAGGTGCGCAAAGTGCAGACGGAATATGAAACAAAAATGATGGAAGTCCGTCGAGGCTTTGAGGACAAAATAACACAGTTGAAAAGCACTTTTGAAGAAGAGAGGCAAAGTGAGCGACAGGCACTACAGGCCAAGTCAAATGCTGAAATTTCAACGTTGCAATCCAAGCTGGAAGCCGAGATTGCTGCACTGACGGAGAAGAATGAGTCTATCAAAAAGCATATGTCAGGCGAGCTGCAGAGAATACAGGAAGAGTCTAACGCCAAACTTGAGAATATGAATAGAGAGCTACAGGACACAGTATTGAAATTGAAGAAGTCGAACGACGATAGATTGACCGAGCAAAGCAAACTGCGGGCAGAATACGACAAACTACGAGAAGCACATGACGCCGAGGCAGGTAGCCTCAAAAGTTCATACGAAGAGAGACTAGGCCACCAAACCCAAGCCCGGGCAGACACCGAGACCAGATATCAGACTTTACTCGGTGAAATCAAAAATGGGAAATCAGTTCTTCAGCAACTGAAGCAGACCTCGGCAGAGGAAAAAGCCCAGTTTGACAAGGATCGCCAGGAGCTGGAGCGACAGAAGCAATCCGCCGAGGATGCTGTTCGGCAATCAAATCGCGAGTTGCTTTCAGCTAAGACGGAATTGGAAACTAAACACCAAGAGCTCGAGAGACTACGACAGGAGTTAGAACAACAGAAGCAATCTGCCGATGATGCTGTTCAGCGATCACATCGCGAGCTACAATCAGCTAAGACAGAATTAGAAACTAAACGGCAGGAGCTAGAGCAACAAAAGAAGTCCGCTGATGATGCTGTTCAAATGTCACATCGCGAGCTACAGTCAGTTAAGACAGAATTAGATACCAAACGACTGGAGCTGGAGCAACAAAAGAAGTCCGCTGATGATGCTGTTCAAAAGTCACGTCGCGAGTTGCTTTCAGCTAAAACAGAATTAGCAACCAGCCACCAGGAGCTCGAGAGACAACAACAGGAGTTAGAGCAACATAAGCAATCTGCTGAGAATACTATTAAGCAATCACATCGCGAGTTACAATCAGCTCAGATAGAACTAGAAGCCAATCGCCAGGAGCTCGAGAGACTACAACAGGAGATAAAGAAAACGGATGAGCTCAAGGGTAGCTATAACGTAGACGTCATCCGAGAGATAGAAGAAAAAGATGCGGAAATTGCGCGCCTTAAAGCGAAAGGGGAAGAGATGATGGCCCTAGAGAAAGAACTGGAGCTTGCGAAGAAAGAGGTAGAGCGCGGTTTTGGAAAAGACAGAACAATTGAATCATTGATGCGGGATGTGGCTACACTCAAAAAGCGTTCGATAGAGCATCTCGCTGCTCTAGAGAAAGAGAAAGAGCGCGCCGAAAAGGCAGACAAGATAATCCAACAATGGATGGACAAGCTGCGGGTGGAAGAGAACAGACGACGCATACTTTTTGAGCAATTACAGAAGCTCCGAGGTGCCATCCGTGTCATATGTCGCATCCGGCCAGTTCCTTCAGGCAAATTGTTAGAGTACACAACGGAGACAGGGGAAATGCACGATTACCCAGCCAAGCTTATGATAAAGGAGGTAGAGAACAGTGCCCGTGGCGTAACATCGACAAAATGGTCCACAACATATGAGTTCGAACGAATCTTCCTACCCCATGAGACAAACGGCGACGTATTCAGCGAAATCAGCAGTTTCGTACAGTCTGTCATAGACGGTAAGAAAGCCTGCGTATTCTGCTACGGCCAATCCGGGACCGGTAAGACATATACGATGAGCAACCTAGAGGCAATCCCAGGACGTGAGGAGGGCACAGACTATCCCAATGACGGAATCATCCCGCGAGTCAGGAACATGATATTCAAGGAGATGGCGCGGCTGGAGGAGCTCGGCGTAAAGATGGATGCACAAGGGTGCTGCTACGAGATCTACAACAACGAGCTACTGCTCCTACAGGCGGGCGGCAGCGTGAAGAAGAAAATATCCAAGACAGACCGCACCGTTATCGACCCCCAGCTCATGCCACTTGAGTCGCCCGATGACTTCGACGCGCTAATAGACATGGGAATGCGGAACCGGCACTTCGGCTCGACGGACCTAAACGCAAACTCGTCACGCTCGCACTTCATCATCAGCCTCGAGACGAAGGCGACGCTTCAGGCCGAGGGCACGGCGGAGCCCGTGGTGCGCGAGGGTCTGCTCAACCTCGTGGACCTCGCGGGATCGGAGCAGACGCGCGAGGCCGGCACCTCGGGCGCCGAGTTCCAGGAGGGCAGCAACATCAACAAGTCGCTGTCGGCGCTGGGCAGGGTGTTCGCGGACCTCGCCAGCAACACCCGCCCGACGTACAACGGAAACATCCTCACGGAGGTGCTGCAGCGCTCGCTCGGCCCCAACTGCATGACGCTCATGTTCGTCATGATCAGCCCCCTGCAGAATTACTGGCACGCGACGAAGTACACGCTGGAGCTCGCGTTGATTGTAAGTCCCCTTCCCCTCCCCTCTTCTCCTATCTGTCTAGGCACATATGTAACTCTCAAAGCGCATTGCCAATTCGCTCATTTCGGTTTTGCTTTTTCTTATTCCGTCTCGGCTATATGACGGCATTTAGGGGCGCAGTCGAAGCTAATCATGTATCGTGCTTTAGGCCCAGAACGCAAAGAAGGCGGTGCAGAAGAATAGGCCGAAGGCCGTCGCCGGACCATCATCAACCAAACCACCAGGGGGGAAGCTTCTCCAGAAACCTGGGCAGAGAAAGTAGGTGGAACGAAGGTAGGTATGTATATTAGAATCTCGGTGGATAGATATATCAGGACTAGTGAGTGAGCGTCTCGGTTAGATAAAGGAAATGGGGTTATCGCGGACTTCAATGGCGGTACACAAAATGGGCTTTTTCAAAATTTGTATAATAGATGATTTACCAGTGCCAATTAGAATCAGATATCATGTAACTAGGTAGTTAGTTATTTTTTATCTTCTTCTGCAAGAGCAAGATGCCGAGGGAAAGTAAAAGAAATGTCTTGCCACGGACGGCCAACCCCTGACCCGCCCCGGTAAACAAACAGCCTCTGGGCTGCTTTTTCTTGCTCAATGCCAGCTGATCCGACATCTAGCTGCGTACGGGAAACTCCGGACCTTAAGAGGCAGGTCCATGTCATTGAATGCACATGACATCGGAGTGATGTATTAGTAAAGGGGCCAGTCAAGCCTCAATATAGCACTGCCGTGTTTTGGTGGCACTCCCGTTGTCAGAACGCCGCCCACATACCGCCATGCATCTTAATGATAACCAGTGATAGATACGTATAATCCAACGGCTATTGCCACTAGCCTTTCCCAGTGACGGCGTTTTCTGCTCACATATTACGAAGTACCTATAGGCACCTGGGCACGTACCTACTCCTTAATAGATACCAGCCTATGAAAGTCCCTAAGGTTAGTAGGCAGGTATAAGACGATTTTTTGGCGAAGTCCCCAAGGCTTCGATTGGATGCCTATCAACGGCTTAGCTGATAGGTACCTGCCTAACCGCCACGTATTCCAACAAGGTTAGCACACGGTCAAGAATGGGGGTTCCGGGAAAAGACGCCTTCTAATACCAACTAACTACCGTATTCAAGATCATTATCATATCGAAACGTGTCCCCCCACTCCACGTAACTTGCGAGCTTCCCCTGGATATGTATTGTACCTAGTAGCGGTACCTCCCCTGTGCAGAAAATAAACGACGTGGGGCCTGGCGCCTGTCACGCTCAACAGATCAGGTTGATATATCTGTGGGGAAGCGGTAACGGTCTGGGAGGGAACGGATCCGGCTCTTTGTGTCCCAGTGGCCTGGGTCTAACCCCCCTTGACCCTGCTCACTGCACTCAAGCGTACCTACATACCTACATACATACATACCTACCCTACCCAGGCAGGGTACCTAGCAAGCTGGCAGCTTTCACGAGAACAGTTCTTGGTTTTTTTTTTTTTTCTTCTCCTCCCCTCCCCCTTCTCGTTTCACCTTTCCGTTGACGCTGGTTGCTAGAGGGCTGGGGCGGCTCGAGACGTACAATCATAGGGTAGGTAGTCACGCAGCAGGCCGCTGTGACTCGGGCTGCCTGCCTTCCTGCCATTTGATTGGAGCCCAGGAGCTCGATGGGAAGGAAATTTTTTTTCTCTTTGCGCAGGCACGGTCAGCAGGGCAGGGGTGCCCACCAAGCAAGCTTCGATATATGGCCCAACCCATGCGCCCCCTCGAAGCCTTTGCCGTCGGAGCTTTCTGCGTTGAGATTTTCTTGGTTTGTCACACTTTGGTTTGCTTCCCGGTGGGGTGATGATGATGATGATGATGACAGATCACAATGTATCTAGGTGTGTGTGTAGTATGTACAAAAGGAGAAAGAAAGGCGTAGATGGGTTCTGTTTGCGTAATGGAAAAATGGGAGTGGTGGTTCTCCATGACGAGCCGGCCGGCGGTAACTCCTAGGTTAGCCAGGTTTAAATCCCATCCATCCTAGAACCTGGGACTTGGGACCCGGGATGTAAGGGCCCGTCCCGCCCCTATATGTACGTCTTTTTGGGTGAGATACATGACCAGTATGCATACTTCGTGGGTTCTTCCCCCAGTGGCAGACACGCTGTGACGCCCACCCGTGGGTAGCTACCTATGCTATCCTTGGTGGCGTACCAAGAATGCTAGGTAAATGCCTACACTCAACTGACTAATGATCATCATGCCATTGACAGTCGACCCCTACACTTGACCTTTGGATGGTGGGAGGGCCCGAAAGTTGATTCGTCATAATGGGGGCGAGCTGTAGATACGTGTCAATCCGACCCATATCTGTTTTCTTTGGAAAAGCTTGGTTATAAGTTAGACGTGTTGTGAATCGCGATGACTTGCTCGTATTGGAGGGCTTGGGCTCCACCTCGAAGAATTATAGCCAGATATACCATCCCGTACCTTGGTTGACAGTTTTCGTGGAAATACAATAATTACTACGTGTATGTATGTAACTAGGTAAGTGTATCTTAGGGTTCCAGGATAGCTTGGCTTTTGTTGGGGGGGGGGGGTGTTATTGCTCGGACATCTGGGGTTAGGACATTGGGATATTCGAGATCGTGATTGCTACTAGGTAGGTGGCCCTTAGATAATAAGTGCCGAAGAGCTGCATTAGTCATTATATTGGACTTGAAAAAGAAGGTGTTTCGTGAGGTATTAACAGGTATTATCACAATATAATAGCGTGTATAGGTAGTTCAAGCTAGATGAACAAGTGTATGCACCTGGGTAGGTGCTTTTCGACACAGAGGTCATTTGTGAAACCCCTGACTTGCAGTTGACGCGTATTCCCTCTCTTTTCCAATATTTTCATTGGACACAATCTACCTGCTCATGTAGGCAGTACTATGGACAAAGGCTTGGGTGGTGAAGCTAGTTGACACTTTTCTTGGTGATATTCACATATTTCTCCTACCATGGAAAACCACAAAAGCAGGGTTACTTAGGTAGGTTGCCTGCCTGAGATGCCTAAAAGGGCTCTCAGAAATAGCGAGCAATTACGGTATATGTCTCTGCTCTACGTGGAAATCGTATGAAAAAAAAGAGCATTCGTCGTTATCTCTAGAGCTCGATTAAGGACAGTCGTTTAGCAACTATCTACACCTCCACTAGGATCTGCTCTACCAGTTTTACGTTATCGTGGATCGGCTAGTCTATGTAGGTACAATGCTGTGCATAATTGCGTAGGTATGGCTTAATTAGGTAGAATAGATGCCAAATATGACAACATCTGGCGGTTCAGGCTATTCGTACGAGACTGGGGTTTTCGCCAACGGCATTCGTGGTCTGAGTTTGTCATTCAGCGCAAACAAATAAGCAATCTAGAGACTCCCAGCTTCGTTAGCGAGGTTTGTGACAGGAAAACATTATCATGGGAAAGGGTCACGTACGTACTTACTCTCACTAAAGCCAAAAGAAGTAGTCCGGATTAGCCGGTGTGCTGTCTTTCATGATGTATAAAGGGCCCAAGGCTGTACATAATATAACTTGAAATCTTGGTACCCAGTAACTATGGGCATGTTACTGAAGTAGCATGCCCATCTTCTTGAACGACTGAAATAGGATGAAGGACACCTGCCTACCACATCCTACTTATACTAGGTGGATAGAAAAACAGCTATACAATTTCGATCCGTGGTGTAAGAGCCAACTATCATTGTAGACACAAGATTTTTTCACCTTGCTTCTCTTGCGCTGATAGCACGATCGCCACGTATAGGCTCGCTTACGTCTGCGGCGAGTGATGCCCAAGTTTCAAGGTTAACATTGAAGGTCATAGCTCAGTCTTCATTAATCATACGTTTGGGCATGGCCACTGGTCAGGTACCTAGATGATAACTATTATGGCACGGAGTCCTGTTGAAATTTACGACGAGGAAAAGGATACCCTATGTGGTTCAACACAAGGTGTCAAAATGAATGGTGGTAACCCAAGAAAAGACCAAGACCACAAATATGATGTGTCACTTGCATCCGGTAAAAGTCGTTATGGGTAACGTCATGTTATGCTTCGACCAGGTTTGATGTCCCCTTAGATGTTAAGCAGAAATTCACACTACTTTGGTTAGACAGGTACTTGCTTATTATTAGGCAGCTATCATGGTCTACGGCGTAGGGTACCCGTGTGGGGATATATATATCTTAGTTGTGGCCCAAATAGAGAAGTGCAAAAATGGCTAGGTATAGATAGTTAATAGAAGGAAAGGAGTCTAGACCACAATGGATAGCCAGAACTTGTACTACCGTACGTCAGATTCAATAAGCAGACTTTAGACGATATCATCTGCCCCCTTCCCCCTGTAATAGAGAATCCCGCGGATTTGGATACCGTAGTGATGGCGTGCAGTGTTCCTGGTCTGAGCTTTCACTAATTCGTACTACTTCTTAGCCCTATCTCCTTGCGGTGGTAACAGGGATGGTGAAACGAGACCACTGTGGAAAGTGAGGCGGGAGAAATTGAACACACGATCTCACAAAGTTTTGTGATGGTTGTCTATTTCTTGCTGTTGCAAGGAAGCATCATGTCTTCATCTATACCTATTAGTTTGTGTATATGTTTATGTGTATATGTATGCCAAGCACTTTCGGATATGGAAACTTAGCAATATATACCTAGGTAATTTTTGTTAAGGGAAACGATTTTCGTGGAGAAGGTCTCTGCCGAAATAAGGTAGCGGACCTGTTAACAATTTACACGTTTATCTAATCATAACAAACTGCTTAATATACCTTCAAACATGTCCGTAGCCGGCTGTGTTATGTGAAGGTGTCTATCCTGTACAACCTGAAAGTAGTTACAATTTCTCGAGTGGATGAGTCCGCCGCCACCACATCAGAACCCAAGCAATTTCCCCCCCTCCCCTCCCCTCCCCCCAGATGGAAACATGATTCAAAGATGTGGATAGTGTTAACTACCGGTGTCTCTGCATGCGTAGTTATGGATGGCCCTTCAACACCCCCCCCTGGGATATATTTGGTGAATCGCTTCATCGTTTTGATTGTTTTATATGACGCTATTACGTAGCAGTTGTATCAGATTCAATATCAATAAAAACTGCAATCAGGAGCCAAGCTGTCAGGTGGCTTGAAGGAAAGCTCTGCGGATCCAGGCCAGCCTGGTTTGCCTTGCAAGTATCGCAAAGGGCGCAGAGGGAACAATGCGATCATAGCCATGGGGCCCACCCGGCCACACGTGAAGTTCGGCTTGCACGCCGCCCTCCCATAATTTAGAGGCGAAAGCCACGATTTCGTCCCGAAATGGTTCAGCCGACGCGCAATCGAGGAAGGTCGGGGGCAGCTTCGAGAGATCTCGCGCTCTGGCAGGTGCTTCGTATTCACTAACGGAGTTGCCTCCGGCGCGTTCGCCAAGGAGGCATCTCCAAGCAAATTTGTTCAGAGTTGAATTGTAAAAGGGGCCGGTGGAGAACTGATGAGATGAGACTTTCTCATTTCTGTCGTCGAGCATGGGGCATTCGAGAACCAGGCCGCATAATTTCGGGCCACCTTTGTCGCGTGCCATAAGAGCGGTTGCCGCGGCCAAGCCACCTCCAGCAGAGGTTCCGTAGAGAAGCAAACGCTCGGGATCGATACCCAATTCGGTCAGGTGCTTTCCAGCCCAAAGCAGCGCTGCGTAACAGTCTTCTGCAGGCTGCGTACCCGTATGCTCTGGTGCACGTCCGTACTCCACACTCATCGAGATGGCATTAAACTCCTTTGCCCATACCACGCTGGTATCCAAGCCAGCGAAGCGATCTGCCGCGACCAAGGCACCGCCGTGTATGTAGAAGATGCATGGGTGGTTCCCACCCGCTGTGGTCGTCGCTGCTGGCCGTACGACGGAAACCGTGAGATTTTGTTGTCGGGGTCCCGGTACTGAGATGTCCTCGACGCGGACGGTCTTGTCTGCGAGCAAGGCATTCGTGAGAGGCTGGGTCCTGGTCGATGCATCCTTTCGAAGTCTCTCAACTTCATATTGTTCGGAGACCCCTCCCAAGGCCTTTAGAATAGCGTCTATCTCAACATCATATGGCGGTCTTGGCAAGCGGTCCGCTGGCCCCGCCAAAACTTTGCGCATCGTGAGGTGAGCGAGCGGTTTAGTTTGTGAAATGCACTCCAGTAGTTCCAGTAGTAGTCCAGTGGTAGTCCAGTAGTTGGGTAGTCCAGTGATCCAGCAAGTCGGAGTAGGTGCCAAAGGTCAAGTTTCGAGGATCTTCCAAGATACTATAGGTAGTTTACGTCTCCATGTTCGAGGAAGTGCACCGGCAACGGAGACGTTTGACATTTTATGTTGGAGCTTTGCAGGTACAGGGGCCAACTCGATGGCGACAGACTAGCCTAGCGTGTCTTCTGCAAGGGATGGAGAGCCAGTTGGCGATCTCTTAACCAATAGTATGAAGCAGAGCTAGGAGTCTCGGCAGTCGGTGAGGGTCAGTGAAAGGTGACTGGGACATCGATTCCACAAATCTGGGTGTCGGATAAGCGGCCGTCTTGTATTCTCCAAACGACTGGTCATGTAGGTGTTGACTGGTCAGAATTGCATCTTAGTGACTAAGATAGAGACGAACCATAGAACCATAGAAACATGCGAGAAGATAGGGGAGGGTGCCTATCTATAGGGGGATCCCGTGACACGAACTGTATGCATGCATCATGCAAGCTGCAATCATCCATCCATGAGTCTATACCTTATATAGAATCCGAACCGTATTGTACGAGTACCATAGTGAGTAGAATATGTACCGATCTGCGAGAAGAATTCTGGAACCATGGAAAGGGACTAGAAGAAGAATCAACTAAGCGAAATATGCTAAAGTAGAGGGTTATTGCAAGTAAAGAAGATGTAATGTTATATCGGGGTGTAAGAGGGGAGGGGAGGGGGGGGGAAACCGATTTTTTTTTTTTTTTTTTTTTTTTTTTTTTTTTTTTTTTTTTTGGTTTCTTTTTCTTTTTCTCTTTTTTTTTTTCTTTCTTTTCTTTCTTTTTGGGTTTCTGTTTTGGCTTGGCTTAGTTTGGTTTGGTTTGGTTTGGTTTGTTTTCTTTCTTTTTGCCTTTTCGGACTTGTTACTCGTCACATTTCTTCCGGAAGAAAGTTTGAGAAAAAAGAAGATTTTAGATCGTATCATCTTACCGATCTAGAACGCCACCATCACCATTCAGTGGCATTCACCCTCACCAATCGTCAATCACCCTACCACCACCTTAACACCCAAACATCCTGACAACCATCAGAAACCAAAATTCAAAATCCAAAAATAGAAAAAAAAAAAAAAAAAGAAAAGAAAAGAAAAGAAAAACACCAAAAGGATAAAATAAAAAATGACCAATCATACAGTTCCCAAAACCACCGAGGTCATTCCAGGTGCACATGTAAATATCGTTCTCAAGGCTGACCAACGCACAGGCCGTCAAGTAAGCGGCGCTGTTTGTGATGTCTTGACGCGTGGTGATCATCACCGTGGTATCAAAGTGAGGCTCACTGACGGTCGCATTGGACGAGTTCAAAGCATGGCAACCAACATGGCCTCTGTTTCCCCAGCCTCGACTTCTGGATCCAATAATCTGACACCAATCGATAATTATGCGCCACTCACCAACGAGACAATGATGAATTCTTCAGCCAATGCGAGAATTTCTCATCTTCCCCGCGGACGCCGCCCGCGTTATCAAGACATGCGGCTGGAAGAACAGCCTGAAGTTGCAACAGAACAAGTTGAATTAAGCGCGTTCATTGTACCGGCGAAGCGCAAGGGCAAGAAGAAGAGAAATGGAAATGGAAATGGCCCAAACGACCCAAACGAGACTGGTCAACCAAGTGGCTCGGCCCGAACTGACGACCTCCCAAGCAATACTGGGCTCAATCCTGTCATGGATGTAACATCGGCCACGGTGACTTGCCCGGTTTGTGGCGCATTCGAGGGAGATGAAATGGCCGTGGCTCATCACGTCGCGGAGCATTTCGAATAGGTCTAACCAACCAATCAACCCTGAAGCAACCTTGAAAATAGGAGAGAAAAACACCAGGCACAACTTGTACCTGCCTAGTAAGTAGGATGTAGGCATCCCAGGATGGCATATAGGTACATTCACATTCAATATTTTGAATGCAACGACATCTCTCACGACTCCTTTCGAGGGCTTATATTCCGTCATCACATTTGCGATCGCATAGGTGCCTACCTAGAGACTCGACTTACTCGCCAGTATGAGGTATAAATGCGGAATACTGACAGTTCACACTGAAGTGCCTATTCAAAACTATGTGTTCGAATCAGTTGCATCCACCATTGATGACCTCAATCTCGCCTACTATGGTAAAGAGGATGCCATCAAGGTGTTCGCCTTCGCCATCAGGGTTCCCTCACCCCGGCACATATACCACTATTCAACCCGAGCTTTTCTTTCCTCTTGTTCTCCTCTCGGGTCTTCTAAACAGTAAAGATGGCGTTCAATCAGACAGGTGATATTCAAGTCCATGATGTTCTTATCGTTGGCGCTGGCCCCTGTGGCCTGGCAGTTGCAGCTCGGTTGAGAGAACATATGCCAGCCGCCAACTTCTCAGATGACGAGCACCAACGTTACCACTGGATTCAAAAGCACAGGAATCAGACTAGTATCAAGAACTACAGGACCGGGGCAGAGATACGCCCGAAGAAGTCTTGCACTTCCCCTTCCAAGGAAGCAGAACTTGACCTTCTAGTTCTCGATGCCACCGACAATCGCTGGATGGCACGATGGGACACGCTATTCAAGACTTTTGACATCTCACACCTCAGAAGCCCCATGTTCTTTCACGTTGACCCCTCCGAGCGAGATGGCTTGCTGGCGTACACATATAGGAATGAAAGAGGTAACGAGCTAACAGAGCTGCGTGGGTGTGTTGGGAAAGAGATCAGCAAGCATCAAAGAAAGAAGAGAGAAAGATCTGGAAGACAGTAAGGCTTCCTTCCTTACCTTGCATTTCACTTGTCTACCAGTGTATATATGCTCAAAATGAGACAAGACCTAGGACAGAGCCCACGGTTGATGAACGTGATCGAAACGATTACTTCGTCCCCTCGACGCCGCTGTTCGCTTCGCACTGCGGTTGTCTCATGGATCGTTACAGTTTGCAGGAGAATATCGTCCGCCATGAGAAGGTAGAAGATATTCAGTTCGATTATAATGAGGACATTTCAGAAACCGACAAGATCTTCACCGTCCGAACCAACAATGGCACCCATTACGCAAGGACTATGGTGCTAGCTGTGGGTGGCAACCCGCCTCAGATTCCCGATATGCCCAGTGAGGGGATTGAAGCAATCACCCACGCGATGCACATCAAAGAGATGCCATCTCCCCATGTCCGCGCGAAGCTCAAGGCCAAACAATCAACGCACATTGTCATCGTTGGGGGCGGACTAACCTCAGCCCAGCTAGCCGACCTCGCCATCCGTCGCGGAGTAACCAAGGTGTGGCTCCTGATGCGCGGGCCTCTCAAAGTGAAATACTTCGACATCGGGCTCGAATGGGTCGGCAAGTTCCGGAACTTCGAGCAAGCCGCCTTCTGGTCCTCCGACTCCGTCGAGGAGCGGTGGGAGAAAGTCCACACGGCGCGGAACGGCGGCAGCATCACCCCGCGGTACAAGAAGATCCTCGAGCGGCACATTGCGTCGGGACGGCTGTGCATGCTGCAGAACACCACGATCAAGGAGAAGCAATGGGATGCGGCATCCAAGACTTGGACGGTGGACTTGTCGGACGAGGCACAGACGCCACTGCCGCGCATCGATCACATATACTTCGCCACTGGCGTGCAGAGCAACTTCGCCTGTCTCCCGTTTTTGCACTCCATTTGCGCGGATTATCCTATCCAGGATTGTGGCGGGTTCCCCTGCATCACGGAAAACATGGCCGTAAGTACCTCAATCTAAATTTCCGGCTTCCACTCCCATTCCTCATTCTCATACCATATCCACTTTCCGCATTACTGGCCCCCCTTCCCCCTTTTCCTCTTCCAACCAATCACCCTATCCACTCCCCATTTCTCCCCTGACTAACACGGCATCTCCGCCACAGTGGAGAGACGACGTCCCGCTCTTCGTCGCCGGCCGATTCGCCGCCCTGCAGCTCGGCCCCGGCGCCCCCAACCTGATTGGTGCCAGGATCGGGGCGGAGCGGATCGCCTGGTCGATCCAGGATGTCCTGGGCACGAAGGACAGCGCTAAGTCGGGGGGCGCCGAGTTTGATTATCTGACTGGGAGGGGGAGTCGGTTCGATGCCTTGGCTGAGGCTGTGTAGATAGATACCTGGGCATGCAGACATCAGGGGTATCGGCTCAAGGTTTGCTGGTTAGGTAAATTTGCAAGGCATACCTAGATTACGAAGTAATTTAGGCAATCTATTGCAATGTGTTTGCCATATTTCTGCTCTGTCACTCGCGGTGCGTGAAGCGCCCGGTCTGTGGTCTTGAGCTGGATCTGGCGCCGATCCAGTAAACACATCAGGACGGTGTATAAGCCGTGATAGCAATGAATGTTTTTCCAGGCGATAGAGACACTCCTTTGACGCGGGTCTCTGTAGAATTCTACCCCAAGGCAGAAGAACTTCGTAGGCAATCCCACCAACCACCATACCTACGGATCCCCCCCCCCTTTCTCACCTTTTCTCGATCCCGTCCCACGGCGGCGCCAATCGCAGTCAATCATTTCAATACTCAATACCATTGAAGGCGACAAGGTTTGATTGAGTACCTACCACCTATACCTACACGTCACATATCAGATTTGCCACAAGAAACAAGTCAGGTCCAGGTTAGTTTACATAGGTAGGTAGGTAGTAAAAAAAAACTGTCATGAAATCCAGGGCGTGTTTCGGAATAGGTAGTTACCTAGCTCGGACCAAACGTGATATAATAATATACAAGTGTTTCTGATAAATTAACCCATCGACGACCAAGTACCCTGCCTGCCTACCTACTTAACCGAGGGATATATATATATGCCGTTTCATTACCATAACTTGTCCTGTCCTGTCCTGTCCTGTTCCATCCACCCGTCCGTTCCCCCTCCCCCCCAGTCCTTCATAGCCACGGTAGAATAGAAACATACCTACCTAGGCTACCTAGGTTAGGCACCGACTTTATTCCCCATCCCCCTCAAAAAAACTCCCCATCCTCCTCAAAATCGACAGGTCAATCAGCCCCATGGCCCTCCCATCCAGCCTCCTCACGTTCTCGTCCCAGTACCAGTACACCGCACACGCCAACACCGCGACGCAGATCTGCGCGACGCCCAGCCCCGTCGCCGTCATCTTCAGCCCGTTCCACTCCGAGATCGCGTTCGGGATCGACTGGATGAAGACCCCCGCGAACAGGCTCCTCAGGCACGCGAGGCCGCCGTGCATGTCGGCGGTGTTGCGCAGGCCGACGGTTAGGTTCGCGGAGATGAAGGCGGTGGAGCGGTGGACGACGGGCTGGACGGTGGCGTCGAGGGCGAGGGAGCCGAGGGCGAGGAGGCCGAGGAGGAAGGAGGCGACGGGGATGCTGACGCGGCTGGGCCCGAGGTCCCACAGCGTTGCGCCGGCGGAGGGCATTCCCGCGACGTAGAGGCCGAAGCCGAGCGTGCCCATGGACGCGAAGGCGGTGCCGACGATGAGCGTGACGACGTGCACGGTCGGCGTGAAGCGCCGCTGGAAAAGGGGCAGGGCGAGTGCGACGGCGACGGGGGGGCCGAGGATAAAGGCCGCGGCCATGATGGCGCCGAGGGAGTCCGTAGACAGCATGAAGGGGAGCGGGGAGAAGATTAGCGAGAGTGAGCTGGCGAGGCTCCAGAAGCCGGCGTAGGGGAGGAGCGTGATCACGAAGAGAAGCCCGGTCGTCGGGGCGAACATGGCTCGGGGCGCCTGCAGGATTAGGAGCAAGTTGATCTTGTTTACACGGTAGGACCAAGGCTTCATCTTGGTCATGTACGCGAGAACGGCCTCTTTTGTTAATGTCACCTTAGGCCAGGTAGACTGGGAGCGTGCCATGGTGGGCGGTCCCTCATCGGAGGTCGCTGGACGATCGTAAGTGGTCTCCGGTGCGCCAAATACCAGCAGTAGCATGGAAATCGCCAAGAAGGCACTCAGTATCTCGAACTGGGCTTCGTATCCCCTGGCCCCAGTCGAGACCACGCCGCCAAGCAGAGGAGCGCCCAACATCATCGCAACGGATACGGCGTGGTGAATAATGATTATCGGTTGGCGCTCATGTTCCTAGAATACCTAATCAGCACACAGAACCTCGATCAGAGCTCCGAAAAGACGGTTACTAACAAAATAAGTATCTTGAATCGACCCCAGCACCAAAGTATCAAACGCGCCCCACCCCAGGCCCTGGAACACCCTCGCGGCCATATTCTGCCCCAAATCTCCCCGGACCCGCGTATTCCAGGCCACGCCGATTAATATCGCGACCATCGAAACCAGGTACAGAGGCCGCTTGCCATACATCCTCGCCAGTATCATGGAAGCCAGCCCAGTCGCAGCCGACACCATTAGCGGGACGGCGGTCAGGGCCACCGCGGCCGTGTACGACGAGTCTTCCTCGATGGCGATCACGCTGTTGACGCTGATGTACGCCGTCTTCATCACGCCTATGAGGGAGACCATGGATAGCAGCGCGACGGAGTTGAGATGCTTCTTCCATAAGGGCCAGTTCAGCGGGTCCTCAGGGTCCTCGCTGGGCTGGGGGGACAGCTCGACGTTCGCGTATCTCCCTGTGCCATACTTGATAGTCCGCTTTGATAGGGTGCTGGAGAAGGATGACGCAGTTGCGGTGGTCGCGGTGGTCGCCGTCGTAGCTGAGGTTGTGGGCCGCGACCTCGGCCAGTCCTTGGATACTGGTCTTGGGGGGCGCTCCTCCGGCTCCTCCGGTAGCTTCAATAATAATTTATCATATTTCTCATCATCATTTAGCGATGTTAGTATCGATTCAATGGCGCTTGATATCGACGGTTCTCGGTCAGTATTACTCGTTCCCGCACTTTTCTCGCCGGACTCTGGGATCCTTGGCAGAGGCGACTTTGGTGGTGGTAAAGGCGGAAGCGTTTTCCGATTGTTGATAGGGGGCTTTGGCGGCGCAAGACGACCTGGATCTATTATTTGAGATATTTCAGGCGCTGCCGGCTCCGTAGACTCGGGAATCGCCATTACGGCGGCTTTCCCAATTATTTCCACCCCCCTTCCGGATGCTATTTTGAGATTTTCGACTAAACCAGATCAACCCAAGCATATAATGGCCGAATACAAAGCGGAAATTATCGACGTCGATCGTATCATTCACGGCATGAAGCAACAAGGTAATAGAATTGTACACAAGAAAAAAGTTTGTTTGAATAAGACAGGCGTTAGAAAGTGAAAAAGAAAGGGCGGCCAGGCCCACGAAGTTCAACTTCGACGAAGCGAGAGTATGTATGAAAATTAGGATTAAAATTCAGACGACGAAGAGAAATACATTAGACGAAAGCTGTAAGTAAATGAAGAGAAGCAGTACCTACCTACATAATAGGTAATAGACATATCCTACTACACACTCAGGACGGATTCCCCTCAATACCTACAAGGGGAATGGCACGGACGGTTTGCGAGTGAGATCGTCATTCCCTAGTCGGGGCCATATCACAAACACTAGCCATCCTTACCAGAAACGTCAACCTACCCAAAAGTCTTGGTTCTTTCTCACGAAACAATGTTGGATCTAGTTTTCTCGTGACAGTAGGGCCAAGCTATGTCGGTGTGCCGGCATTTGCAGCTAGATAACTACCTACATCTTTGTGTCTGAGATTTCTTTTTGGAAATCTCTCTTCGAGTGTATTAAGGTGAAGCTGTACATAAGTCGGGCGCTTTAAGGTGATTGTCGGCACCCTATATTGTACGGAGTAGAACTCTAACTTGGGCGGTTTGCTTCATAGCAGGATTTCAGCGGTGTCTTGGGTAAGGTGAAAGCTGTTTTCCAAGCATGAACATCCTAGTTGCTGTTCGATGCGATGCGCGGGCGATGGACAGATTTACCAGATTGACAGAACGTAATGCGATCTGCCAAGGCAGCAAGACAGCAAGGTGCCTGAGGTATCATGTATGTAGTTTAGCTCGATCTAGGAACAATCGGGCGTCTTCGGAGTTGAGTTGCGTGGTGAACAAAGGATGGATGGATGGATACTATGTACTTGTACGAAGTAACTAATAGTTAGTGTACGGAAGAGAAACTCGGCACCTTCCGGCCGACTGCGCTCAGACTCCAGGGCTAGTAACTAGGTAGTTAGTTTAGGTTAATAGGTAACACCTAAACCACTGCAACTGCTGTAGAAGTACTACGCTGTAGAAAGAACTGGGCTAATACCACAGTACCCTAACACCACTTGAAACTCGCCTGACGCAGGGAACGTGTCGCGGATCCTCCCGCACTGCAACGCTAGAGACCTGTTCTCAGTCAGAGTCAGTCTACACTGACTCTACAGTACCTAACCTAGTACTCTCTATTACTTTGGCTCGGGTGGCCGACATTAAAGTTGAGCTTGGGAGGCCTGGTACTGTAAATTATCCACTGTATTTAGTTACTTTCAACCTTGACTCTCATCATTACCACCGAGGAAGAAAATCTTGATGGTTGAGGCCCCCCTACATGTAGGTTAGCTGTATCTCAATTTTAGTGCAGTGCTGGGCATGTAGAGTCGGAGAATTAACACGATGCCAATTTCTATAGTAACTACTAACTACATAGAAACGAACCGCTAGCTACATATGTCGGTACTACATATATAGTATGATATGTACAGTAGCATCCACCTTTTGCATACGCTCCTATCGGCATACCTGGTTATAGCTCGGTATATGTAGGCAGGTATGCAATAAGCCTACTCTTATTTCATGCAGGAACACGATGCGGTCAGCAGCAGCCAACAACTTTTATGTGCGTGTGTGTGTGTGTGTGTGTGTGTGTGTGTGTGTGTGTCTCGGCAGAGCCGAGGAATTAGGACGAATGGCAGCCAAAGCACCCACCGGCAGGTTACCTCCGTAGAGCCGTAGTGCCGTAGTGCCGTTCGAACTCAACTCAACTCCCTCTCCCCGCCGCACTCGCATGGTTGGTTTTGTCGTGTGCTCGCTCGTGATAGTTAAATGTGATGTAAAGCCATGAGAAGAATGAAGATCATACGGCGCAACTTGAAGAATGGGGGCGGCATTGAAGATGCCGAAAGAGTGTGCTAGTTCTAGACTACTGTGGAATTCCAAGTTTTTTCTTCTTGCTGGTAACTAGATGCAACCTTGAAGTCTTGCAGTCTCATCACGCCCGCATGTTCAAAACGCCACAGCTCGTTCTAGGCCATCCTCTGCTGTTAAAAATTATCACATGCAACTTCAAAAAGTGTCACAAAATACCAATGTATAATGTAGGTAGATAGATACCACAAGGTAAGTAATATTCTATGTAGAAAATATTCTACTATTCTAATTCTAATTAATCCTGATTTAATCCATCCAAGAGGCAAGACTCCTTAACCCGATCGATCGATCTATCACGAGTGTAGTATTCGATTCGTCGCTTAATATGTAGTCAGACGCCTTGTGCCAACCCCAGACCAGACCATGTCAATTGCCATACCCATAACTCCCCATTTGACACATGTTCGCCTCCAAATCGCATAACCTTGCATGGTCGTATTATCCTCCAGCCACATCGCCCCGTGCCGTGCCCATCACATAACAAGCATAGTAGACATCGATTTAAGTGCCTGTGCCGACGGAGCCCCAAACTGCAAGAAGGCGTTGCAGGGCTGGTAAATGATGCCGCTTCCTGGGAAGTAAACAGCTCCTAAAACCGTAAAAATCATGTAAGTCAATAATCTTCAGCAAAACAGATGTAGTAGATACATATCCGACCGAGGGCAGCCGAAGATATCATGTAGATACGGCCAAAGCAGCCAAGGCAACTCGCATTGGTTGTTTTTCTCCGTCTTGGTTAAAAAAATTCCGTCCACTAGGCCGGCATATATCCTCCGCACCAATGGTGTACGCTCAACAGCTTTGTTGGTCCGGTCGTCTTACGGTATGGGCCGTGATTGAATCGGATATCCCGGTGAGGAAGGTTGACGACAACCTCCCTTCTACTATGTGTAGAGGGATGCGGAAGATCTAAAAATAGTAACCGAGCCCGAAATTTACATTCCGAAGAACTCGTAAGTTCGGACTTTGCTCTTTTACACGGATGCAATTACGACAGCTTTACCTGCATGGATGACTTGCTGGGCTTCCGACGTTTCGAAACTAAGCAGCAGCCAGTTGGCTCTTATAAGCAGCTCTGTGGAAAATAATGTAAGCATATGTTGGTCTGTAGACACGTATTCTTCGAGCTATCTCACCTTCATATTCTAAAGAGAATGATACCGATGGCTCATCGTCACGCCCGAAGAGGACAGGCGCGGGTATGCTTTCATCCTCGACGACACGGAATTTTAAGCCAACGGTCTTTGAAGAGTCGGTCCATAGAATGGACGGATCATCCGCACTCGAAATCGATCTTGCTCGCTGTTGTGTCCCTGCTGCAATTGCTGCCTCGCGCTGAAGCCAGTCGCGCCACACACGGATGACGGTATCCGTTACATTGGCGATGCTAGAGAAGAGGCCGTTTCTCGGACCAATCTTGACCAAGTTGGTCACCGTGCAAAGTTGGGAGAAGAGTTCACCAGAGTCCAAGTTAATCTTGTGTGAAGGTAATTGGACTGCGGGCTGTGCTCCTCCCAACATGCTGGCTGATTGTCGTGGTCCACGGTCCTCGTCTCCGATAAAGGGGCGAAATCGTGCGTAGACACTGTTGAGTTCTCCGAGGTTGGCAACCTCGGCGGCTTCAGCGAGTCCATCCATGCCGAGAAATTCGCAGAACAGTGAAGGCGTGGATATTTTTTCGCTCGGATGGTAGCACTCAAGGATCACTTCGTGATCTCGCAACCTCGAAGCTTTGACCAGTCGTGCGTAGTGCACACGGCCCACAAGTCCATTGAACCGACGGCAGACAGCAGCAAGGGGTAACAGCGAGCGAGTCGAAAAGGAGCTTAGGATTTGGATGATGACCTTCAGATATGTCAGTACCGGTGAGCTTCGTAATTTTTATTGAAAATGGACTCATACCTCGTTTGGGAGGGAGTCTATGGATAGGTGTGAGGGCGCCATGACGTGAGACATGGGAAGTACAAAAGATACGAAGAAGGGGTCAACAAATACACAATACACGTTGTCAGGGGTTCGAAGGAAAAGAAAACCCGTCTAGACATGTGCTGACAAGAGCTATGGACTTTATATATCAAATTCTTCTCGACCCCTGGCTAAGATTGTTGGGTATGCGGTGGATCTGAGACCACCCACGACAGTCAATACACGAGAGCGACTTGGGCCAATGAGCTTGGGCGGCAGCCCAACATGGAAATCTGGACCACGCCAGCTGCTGAGATGAGGCTCAGATAATGGTCGTCTTGAGATCCTTGATGAGATCAGCTGTTGTATATCCACCTCTTTTCCGAGAGATGGCCGACGATACGGCGGCTCAGCTGTTATGGAACACGCCAGATCAGATGATAACCCGTTCTTAGATCCTCAAGCGCATCCGGTTTGCTCCGAGATATAATTATATTGGATCCCTTGCAAGATGAATTTTTTTTAAATCTTTTTTTAATCCTTTTGTTGATTGATAGGATGAGTTGATGATGTTGAAGTTTCGTTTTTGCCCTTTAGTTTTGATTAAGATGTTGATGTATGGCTATTCATGAAGGGGTGATAGGTGAAGATGTTTGGTAGTGAGTTGGTTGATGACGATAGGTAATGATAAGGACGATTATGATATCGGAAAGTTAATGTGTTGTCGCCACAATTTTATTGAGTTGTTCGGTCGCGACATGGAAAAGATCCATATAATTACTGTACTGATACTACTGTGCTGTACTGTGTTGCAATCCTTCCGGTCTTCTCCGTCTAGATGAGTCATCCTTATGCACAATAAGATTCAATTTGAAAAATTTCGATTCGTATGATGAATTTCATCTTTTGTTGAATTCTTCTATTTCATTTAGCCTAATCAATGCATTTATAGGGCGTACAATCCCCTTACACGTTGAAGTTTATTGGCCAGTCTTTGGACAAATTCAATAACGCAGCTTGAGCTTTTCGTTATTTGCAAAAGTGTCATGCACTACTAGGGGTTCTTACTGTATCGCAAATGCCAAGAGCTGTCGATAGCTTCGAGAATTAATTGTGTTTTACGGTGTTTTAACTTGTTCAACATCAATTGGATCACTTCAACCTAAGCTTATGCTATGCTGTATTCGTCAACTTTCTTGTTTTTCTGTATTACATTACTTATAACGTTATATAAATTATATAAATTATCAATCATATTGTTATTTCCTAGGTGTCCTGATTATCTCCAGATGTCTTCGGAGTCAACCTGAAGCGACACAATACCCTACTCATCAGTCAAGTCGGCTGTACATGGCCAGTTTGGTTTCTGCTTTGATTTTCTTTAACTTCAAAATTCCCCAATTACCCAGTAGAATAAGAGAAAATAAAATCCAGTGAACTGTACACTCCCAAGCCACCGGGATCAATTCAAAGCCATGCATTAAACCGGGTTCTAGTTACAGTCAGATTGTCATGTCCAAATGGAAGAAGATCACCAGAGAGACAGAGCCTTGCCCAAGTAGATTCTTAGACATTATGTTAGTCTCGCCTTATGATTAGAAGTTGCTGTTATGACTACTAGTCTTAATATGCTGTCTCATATTGACAGATGTCGTTTGTAAGGTGCATCATTCCACATTTCTGTAGGTATTACAATGAGTACCCCTTTTCGAAGACTTACTCTCAACCATCTCGAACTCGAAGTCAAATCAGATGTCAACACACCTCACTCATTCAACAACTAGAGGACTTTTTCAGACCACACATATGATATGGCAAGATATCATATTATCAAGTACATAGTTCATTTGTCTTTCTGTTTTCCTTTTGAAAGGACTGCAGCCATCCCAGATGATCGAAATACCCGACGTGATTGAAATAAAGGCGCAACTCTGTCGAATCAGTCGCTCTGCATACTAGTTGTCTTGCATACCAAGGCTCGCAGAGTGATGCCAAAATCTACTAGGCTATCATATCATGTCTGCATCGTGGGAGTGTTGAACAGCTTCAATATAATAGCTCAACTGCAATAGACATATGCCAAACTATTACCAAACCGTATGACTTTTGCTTGTTCCTCCACACCTAGGCAAATCGATAGACACATCATATTTCGGAGTCTAGACAATGGACTCGTTCTTCGGTATTGACGAGGATGTCTTATTATCACCATTTACATACAGAATTACCTAGGTTAAGATTAGGTATGTAAGTAAGAAAATCAGTTCTCTTTTCTCATCGCCCTATTTCCGGGGAACAGTGCCGGCGTGATACTCTCAACCCAAACCCCCATTCCGTCTCCTCGCAGGAGGTCTTATCGATTCCATTAAGCCTGGATTGGTCAATACTCAGCACCACAACGGCCGGTTGCCTCGCTTAAAGCTGCAAAACCTAGTATCTTTCCCGGCCCGGATCCCCCCTCTCGATGTACGGTTTCGATTCCTTCTTGATGTGCAAATTGTTGTTGGAGTGGCCTGAATCCTCGGCTAGGTCGCTTCGAAAAAAGAAGCCGAGAGTAAGCACTTAGCTCTCCTATTTCCCGTTTGGTCCGTTTTGACGTGAAATAGAGTGCGGCTACTTCGCTAAGCAGACATTGGAGTATAAGATAGGATTTCCTCGTTCGTAAACCGTGGGACGGAAGTACGTTAGTGCCAAGTGCCTCCCTTGCTGGATTTGCATACCGTTGGGCATCGTCATCTTAGAATAGTACCGATATAGATGGCTAAGCGGTTTGCATTAGTGTTGTTAACCCCTTACTGATTGTGAACTACATTTTTAAGGCTAACTTCAAGGATCCTCGGTCTCTAACCATATGACAGCTGAGAATAGGAGAAGCTGGACTCCCGTTTCCCTGGCTTCAGATCGATCATGATAACTATAAAGTGCTGACGGCAGCAGTGGCAAAGATGGCTAAGATTATTATGGGCTATGCTTATGGTATGCAGACTTGGTCTGGAGCACAGTATTAAGGTAAAGGGCAAGAATATGGCAGATTTTATTTCCTTCAATATTCTGTGCCTATCTAGGTAGTAACCTATAGGTATAGCTGTGGGCGTTGATGTGCAGCTAGCATGCATACACTAGTCCATCCGCCTGATAAACAGATTAATGCCGTGATGGGTGATCGTACTGGTAGACGGGGACGGCAAGATATCCTTTCGGCAACGCCCATGTCAATATTGTCACCCCTATAGTAGATATCATATCTTGTAGGAGGGGTTTTCTTCTTTAGCTCAAGACTATCCATATATGATCAGAATACTTCCTGAACTAGACACGGGAACCCGGATACACACCCACCCCCCGACGTGGCACTGGCATGGTGCCACAATGAATGGCTTGCTTACTGCATATCCTCCCTCACTATAGGGCATACCCATCGAGTTTAGCAGCCCCCACACCACAAGCAAATGCCGTGTTACTGGGCAGACCCCGAGACCAAGGTATGTCTTCCCCAGAATGAGCGTCGCATTGCAGGGGCAGCAAGCGCAAATATCATATGGATATATACTAGGGGATGAATCCCATGTTCGCGGATAGTTGCCATACTTTCGGGACGGCATAGCGAAGCAAGCTAATAGCCTTTTTCTTCCCTCTCTCTCTCTTTCTTTGACCTAGTGCCCCCCCCGAGTAGCCGAACCAGAAGTAAAGATAGTATGGCGAACGAGGAATCTATCACATTCCATCTTCTTGAACCCACACACCGTTCAATTTAGAAAGGATGCAATATACCTACCTACCTCGGTAACCCCAAATGACAATATGGATTTGTCATGGCTGAAAGGTGGTCAACTCGGACCAATGTGGTGACGAAGAGACCGAATGTGTTGATTTCTGCTGATGGCGAAGGAAAATAGGAGAGAAAGCGTAGGTAGATAGCCTTTCGAAGTCATTCTTATTCCCGAGAAATTGCGAGATAAAAAGCAAAAGTGACTTGATAGTGTAAGCTGAAAGGCTCGCACTTTGCCTGAAGGCCACTATGAATAGCAGCTGGCTATATGTTAGTCAGTATCAAGGTTCTTTGTCAAAGAGTAGGTGAGAGTATGTACCTACCTGGTATTTATGTATGTTGCTTGGAGGTGAGACCTAAATATCAGTACCAACAAATCAGGAGGCTCTTAGCCACAAGCAGACTGTTAGGCGCTGAGCCGCAACTGCACAGGTCAACGGTTATTTGTACTATGTATGGATTAGGTACCGTTTCATTGAGGCGCATTACGTGCCGTACCAACGCTAACGTGCCGGCATGTACATGTACATGTACATATACATATATATACGAAGCTTCAATGTTGCAAGTGCTACATGCACATACCCGTGACATGTTGCTGTACGTACGTCACGGCAACTACATGTACAAGTACGTGGTATTGTACAATACATTCAACGTTAGGGTTGGGCCTACAACCTGTGCTACCCACCAATTATCATCCCCTTGTCACCGTCCACCCTGGTCATAACCCCTTGTCCCGCTAGGTGTCGCCTTATGGTACGGGTATCTCCCTATGACGAAAGAAGTTCACCGCCTAGTTTTCTGCCTATCAAACCCAGTCATCGATTTCATCGCATTGCCCTATCGTTGGTCAAGATTCATCCCATTCTTCTCTTTCCACCCCGCCACCCGTATACAATTCTATATCCGAACCCAATCATTTTTCTCTCTTGGCACGCAAGCATACTAACACAAAATCCAAAAGTGTGGAAAAGCTGTGTCGCGAGGAGGGGTACCTAGGTAGGAAAAAGTTCTTGCAAGTGCACTGCACTACTGTTCCCATTCACATCCATTCACACCTGAATAATGGGGGAAGGGGAATGAATGGCCTCCTGACTCCTTCTCCAATGCACGCACTAGGTGACTTTCCCTGACATACGTACCTATCTTAACCTGACTATATCGACGAATATATAAAGACGAGCATAACTCCCAGTTCTCGACGCCCATCCCGAGTCTTCTTAAGCGCTGTAGACCACACCCTAAAGTCGCTAGTCGGTCTGCCTATACCTAGTATCCGGCTGCATTTGAACCCCTAAAGTTTTTAGACCTATCAGTTATAGACGCTTTATCGTTTATCGTGTATCCTTGATCCACTTCTCTGTTTCTTCGAAAGCCATCATAGCAACCCTCCTAGCGTCCACCGCTATTAGTTTCCCTTCCACCATTTCATCCCTATCCGACCCGCATACACCGCGCGCCACAACTCATCATAACCATCATGGGCTCAGTATACGTCCCGCCGACGCGGCTCGCCATCCTTGAAGCCGATACTCCCTTACCGGGCATCAAGGCCAAGTACGGGTCGTATGGCGGGGTCTTCACCCACCTTTTCGAACGAGCCTGCGCCTCCCTCAACCCGCCCCAGCCGCTCCCGGCGCTCCTCGAGCTCTCGTCCCACAACATCGTCAACGACTTGAACGCCTACCCGGACCCCGAGACCATCGATGCCATCCTCATAAGCGGATCTAAGTTCTCTGCTTACGAGAACGACGAATGGATTATCCGCCTCGTCCAGTACACCCGGCGCTGCCTCGAAGGTGGCCGCGTCCGTGTAATCGGCGTCTGCTTCGGCCACCAAATTGTTGGCCGCGCCATGGGTGCCGATGTCGGCAAGAATACTCGCGGGTGGGAGCTCAGCGTTGTCGACCACAACCTTACCGAGGACGGCAAGAAGATCCTTAACGTTGAGAAACTTGTGAGTCCATTTGCCATTTTCTTATCTCAACTGCTTCCTTTCGTGAGTCCCATAAGTGCTGACAAATATTCCCCAAACCCATAGGCAATTCACCAAATGCACCGCGATGCCGTGTTCACGCTGCCACCAGGCGCCATCTCGCTAGCTAGCACCGACATCTGCGCCGTACAGGCCATGTATGTGCCAGGGCGTGCCATCACAGTACAGGGCCATCCCGAGTTCACCTCAGACATGGTGAAAGAGATCCTCGAGATGCGTCGGTACGGCGGCATCATAGCCCAGGACGTCTTCGAGGACGGCATGCGCCGTGTCGCTAACAAACACGATGGCGTCGCTGTTGCCAGGGCTTTCCTTCGATTCTTGCGAGAGTAAGGCCACGCTGATTAGAATAACAACAAACTAGAAAAGGGAAGGAAAAAAAGAAAAGGGCAAGGGGGCTCCGCGGATGCAGCCCATTTTTATTTATACCTATGCAACAAGCAGAGGCCAAGGGCGGTACTTGTACGGCCCAAGTTACCTATCAAATCAAATGTTACCGTAAGCCCAACGTAGCCAACCGGTGCCGTCAGCATGCATGAAGCGTCATCATTCACGTTGCATTTTTTTTCTCGTTTACTGGAAGGGGGGCAGAGAGAAATGATGAATGACATTGAAAGAAACATTGAAGGGGATAAGATGGAGGGAAGGGGATGGGGACACGGCGTCTTATCCACGACGGGGCAACGTGGACGGGTGCATTCTTTGACTTATCACAAACACATAAACCAACAAGCCAACAAGCCAACAAACAGCAGGCAAATAAGCATATGAACAAATGAAGGCCGTTGGACAAGGGGGCATATTGAAATGGAAACTCACCTCACTTACCACCCTAACCTATGTATGCAACGGGGAGCCGGGTATGTATGTATGTACATAGATGCACAACTGAAAACCAACATCGAGTCAGCTTTCCCACGATGATCTACCTACCTACACATGTACCTAGGCATGTAAGCGTAGCGTTCGCGCATTGTGTTACCTAGTTTCTTGGTGTTTAGTTAGCACTTATGTAGGTACATAACCCTAAAGCCAAACCTGACAATAACTAGGTAACTATATAATAATCTTGGGATTACATAGTTTCACAATGAGGATCAGGTAGGTAGTTAGGTAGATCAGAAGATTTGATTTATAGAGTTGATGAAAGAAGAACATTTTGAATTTCTCTTCTCTTCTCTTCTCTCTTTCCTCTCTTCTCTCAACATTCAACAACATTGAGTATCAAAGAGTGAGTGTTTAGCTAGGTAGTTCATTATACGAGTATGACTGACCTGAGTCATATCACGTGTTTGACCCTCTCTCTTCCTCTCTTCCTCTCTTTCTCTCTTTCTCTCTTTCTTCTTTACCCAATCCCAATGTGGTTGCCCAGTAGTCAAAACCACCTATCCGATCCAAACCATTCCATATCCATCCAAAGTCCATCCCACCCATCCACCCATCCATCCATCCTCTGGTATCAGCCAATTGTATATACACGATACGAAACGAAACGACTGCCTCCATCAATTACTCGTATCGGCAGCCTCGTCGCAGTGGCCAATGTAACGCAATGCTTATAGTGTAGTAAACGCCGCCCAATGCCCAACGCCCAGGGTTTATTTGACAATGCTCCCCCGTCTCGCCTTTTACTCCCATTCAATAGTATAACTAGGCACCTCACCTACTGGGTAGGTTACCTATATAAAAAGGTCAACTTGCCCCCTCCCCCGCCCACTACCACCACCCTGCACACACCCACGACTTTCCCGGACCCAACTCCAATGGATGGTCGAAAATCCATGTACCGTAACGCGATCGGATGCAAAGGAAAAAAGTTCGTTATCATGACCGCCCTCGTCCCCTTGACCCCGTGTAAATGCACTTTTCCAGAATGCCGAACCCCAATTCCAGTATACCGATTCAAGTAGCCCGGATCTGTAATGCCGTTGCCGTTGCCGACGCCGATACCGAATTATAAATGATTATTTAGTTGTTGATGCGCTATTCCTGCCCTCCAAATCCGGCTCCGGCTCCGTGCTTGTTGGTGAGGAATCCGCCGTGCTTGATTCGTGAGATGAACAATCCACGTCCAACACATCCCACCATTCCCGCACTGTCAAGTTCGGCTCTGGTATACCCTGAGACCTCCTCCTAATCGCAGCTGCAGCATCGTTGCTTAGATTCTCTAAGTTCTCCTCTTGTTCGCGGCGTGAACGTGCCGTCCTCGCATCTAGAAACATCTCGTCGCGAGTACGGCCTACACCTCGCCTCCTATGCCGCATTGGCCTTCGGATTCTCAGCCTCGAGGCCAGACCTTCCCAGAACCCGCCGCGAAGGTGCAGCCATGGCTTTTCCCAGGCACTAAAAAAACAGCAGTCGACGGCAGCTCCGATGGATAGGCTGCCGATGCTTATGATTTGGAGAGCTAAGGAGGGCAGTGCGAGAGATAATTCATTTCCATCCGCGTAAGCTTTACTATACCGCACAATGTGCGATGCGAAGGGCGCGATCCACGTTAGCATATAAACGGCCGGGTAAACAAGGAGGAGGCGAAGTTGTCGTAGCTGCTTGTCACGCAACCGACGCATGGTTTCTTCAGTATCGTCCTCGAGATTGACCGAGTTGGACGAATCAGATTGACTGCCGCCCTCAGGCCGTGGGGGGCCGCAACGGAAGGCGCCTAACATCGTGCACACAGGACTGGGTATGTTCCGTGCACTGACCGACATCGATCGTTTTCTGTGGGACCTCGAACGACTCGAACGACTGCGTCCCAGTTGTTGGGAATTTCTGGGTGATATCGAGCTGTAATAGACTGGCTCAGGTGCTTGAATCGGGATGGTGGCTTCCGGACCCCGTACTGACGACTTAAGGCTCACGAAACCATTTAGGCCATCTTGCCCTGCTCCAGGCTCGGTGGGGCGGAACTGGCTAAAATCTACAGTGTTCCATCTGACTGAGCTTCTCCGTGTCTGTGTAGGTGGCCTCGAGGGCATTGCTGTTACCACGCCAGAGTCCAAGGCGGTGTTACCTGAGCTAACGGAATGCCGACGACCTCTTCGATCATCATCCTTCGCTAAACTGTCTCGTTCCGAGTCCAAGTGATTATATTCTGCCAACGGTGGTGTTGATGTGGAGAGTATATCGCTGCTATCGTCACGGCGGTGATTTTTTCGGCGTCTCTGGCTGGGGTGATCGCTGTATGCTGCGCTAGCACGTCTTTGGTCCCTGCCAAAACGTCGAAGTTGCAACGCAACGTATATGTAAAGGCACACGTAGGTGACAATGATGATGGCAAAAATTATGTAGCGAGGGATCCAACTGAGGGCGCTACGATACCAAAATGGGTGGAGCGGTAAGTAGCAATGCGGGCCATTGCTCACAAATTTACCTCCAGTGAGGGGAACAATAGCACCCAGCACGACGGGGATGATGGCCCAGCAGGCATACGCTATCCGTCGAAATGGATAGAGACCTGCCGCCCCACTCGAACTCCTCGGCCTCAATATAAACAAGGCTGTGTGTATGGCAATCAGAAGTACAGCGATATCCGAGGCCTCGATACTAACGGTTAGGAAAAACCCGGAGGCTTGACAGAAAGCCGATCCCGAGGTGATGGGTACATTAGCAAAAAAGGCAATCGGGCTGATGACGAGCCACAATGCTTTGATCATATCGCTTTGAATTAGAAGCATTATTAAGCTGGATACATGGTCAGCCAAGCTTGAGTGGGTGGTGAGTTCTGGGCATATTCATGCAGTTTGATCACTCACTCGTGTCGGAAGCTCCTCCTCATCCTGACAAACCAGTAGAAGGCACATAGGGCAGCAAGCACACTGACTGAAGCGAGGGAGAGCGAGACGGATGCAAGAGCCACGAGTCCCGGGTCATCTGTAGTTGCCTGCCTTTCAAGGTTGCGCTTCGTGAAGGTAGTGATGTGAAATGCAGGGTATTTGGTAAACCGAGATAAATCCGGCGGTATTGCTATGGGAGCCATCTCTGCTGTTGTGGCCAGAATGGAGGCTTGGGATGCGGATTTGGGAGTCGATAGTCTGTCATAATTCTAGAGTGTCTATTATCTGGGTCGAGATTCGAATTTCATAATGGCAGGCGTTGGTGTGAGCTTTTGCTATAGCCCAAGAGCTCAAGTTGAGAAAGAGCTTGAAGGCTGGTAGTAAGTAGGTGTACGGATTAAAAAGATTATCGACGGCAACGAAATAGGTTAGAGAGTTAGTCTGCCAAGGGCAAGCAGCAACGGCTCCTCTCTAATGCGTTCTATAATAGCAAGAAGCTAAACGTTTAGGGATAATTCGAATCCTTGCTCCAAGGAAAGTTCAAGCTCACATTCACATCCGGACATAAGTGTCGCAGCAATGCGAAAGCATATTCTTTGGTAGCAAGTTTTGGTACAGGTATAGGTCAGGAATAGGTGGTGCGTTCAGGTCTATGTAACGCAAGTGAACTTAGAGAGTCATGTTGTGCATCTTTGAAAGGGTTGAGATGCACAAGGAGACAGCGAACCCGGTTCTGCAACCAGTGATAGTGTGAATATCTAGTAGATGGATCCGATCCTATACAGGGACGAGGTCAAATATTGGGTGAAAAGACGGTAGTGCGGTAAGTGCGGTAAGTGCGTTAAAGTGTGTTAAGGTGCATTGAAGTGCGTTCAAGTGCGTTCAAGTGCTTGAAAGGGAAAATAAAAACGCAGGAATGCGGTAATCGACAATAACACATGCCAATCTAAACAATTAAACCTGGGTAGGGTTAAAACGCCAAAGCAGCTAGAGGTGGAAGATGAACAAAAAGAATTAAAATAAAATAAAAAATCCAATAGGATAGATTAGTATGTAGCATCCAATGTTAGGTAGCTAGCTTTCCTTCTAGTTATTTCGTACAGCAATTTGCCCGAGTAAAAAAAGAGAAAAAAGAGTAAAGGCAGGCAAATAAGTGCCTAGTTGCTAGGTTAGGGCATTTCCATTTTTTAACGTTTTAATGCTTGTAGCCTATTCTCGGAACCACCGTGGCGGTGAAGGAGGAGAGAATGGAGCATCAAGAATTAAACAGAAATGGGAAAAAATAGATATCGGTGTAAGGGGCTTGTAGGGGGGCTTGTAAATGGGGGGTTTAGGTCTTGATGATCCCTAATGGAGACAGGAGACAGAATTGAGTTGTTGGCATTCAAAAAGTTTGAACAAGTGATGAGCCCCTAGTGACGCTACGGCCGCACCGGACGCACTATCCGATGATCTTTTAAGTACTAGGCAGTTACTAGGTAGGTATGGTCCAGTGGATGGTCCAGTGGATGGTCCAGTGGTTGGTCCAGTGGTTGCTCCCAGACGCGCCAAACCTGGGCGCCTGTGTGACATCCCATTAATGATCCCCAGGTAGTTCCAACAGGTCCCCATATTAACCCCATAATATCCCCGTAATGTCATCTCTCCGCTTTCGTCATAGCCCTAACCACGTAGCAAGAGCAGTCAATGTAGCCGCGTAGGTGCATGCAACCGAGATCTGATGACCGCTGCCCCGGGACAAATTCCAGCCTGCTGACCCCCACAAAATACCACCCCAAGGCAAGGTTACAGTACATTAGGTTGTAGCAGTCCTGTTTCTCCTTTGTCTTTAAAAATTCCAGCATTTCCCCTTTTTTTTTTCGTACGATGTATGTAATAACCTAAATAACATTAAACATTAAACATTGAACAGATACCTACCACTTTGTAACCTCCCGCCTCATAGGTATTGTTTTAAAGCGGGGTTATCCCGATTACTTGGGTTGACACTTAACCTTTTTCTTATTTTCATTGTTCCTGTCGGGTCAAGACCGTTCTCTGTGGTCGGTCCCTTTTTTAAAGATAAACTCTTTGTGCCTACTCACCTATTCGACGATTTACATACCGAAGGCGTATAAAAATTTCGAGTTAAATACTAGTGTTTCCCTGCTCGGGAGTTTTAAAATCCCGATCTATATGTCCTATCGATTACGAATACAAAAGTCCACTGAGCTGCTAGGATGCAATCCGCATTGCTATCGACAATGATATTGCTAAGGTCAAGCTTCGGGGTTAGTTCGATCCGAAATGTGTGGCAAGTAGATTCCGGATTCAGTATCGTACTGAGATCGGTGGTTTGCAGCACAGTGATTAATCGAATCTTGCTTCTGGCCTCTAGATATGAGAGCGCATACTTACTAGGTTAGGTAGTATTGGGCCCATGTGTTTGATAAGAGTATTGCCATCTGTGGGGTGAGGTGGGTGAGATGTTAGCTAAGACATTCAATAGTATGGAGGTAATATTGAATCAGCAACACAATTGTGCCGTGTCTAACAACTCATCTTGGCGATTCGCAGGCCCACCTACTTTCCGGGTTCTATCCGCTCCGGCCCGCTCCCGTGTTGTACCTTCCGGTCTCCGGTGCGTGGCGTTGGATGGCCAGTTTTGTTCGAACAGTCTCTCCAGCGCCCATTTTATAGCCCATCTCATCACTACACTTCCGATGGATGATGGCGATGATAATACTGTTCGCATCTATTGATACATTCGACCGAGATAGAGGGAAGCGTGCCGTGACGCATGGGACGTCTATAGTCATAGAGGCAGTACACTGGCCACTCCTAGTCTCTGTAGACCCCGAGGCCAGCCCACAGCGAAAGCAACACCGTGCAGCCCTCCTTTCTAGCCAAGCAGGTGGGCTCTAGAGCCGTCGCAAAGCTTTATGTTATCGAGAAGGGTGTTCAACTCGGCGATGAATAATGGCTCTTGCCAAAAGCCAATGTATCCTGCTATTTAATGGAGGTAGGCTAAAGTGCTACAACCGATTTAGTCAGGACAGACTCCAGGCTACTAGGAGGCCATACCGTAGCAAAAATTCTTTCAGAGTCACACAAACCCGGCAGACTCTAGCAAAGGGTTTGTGCTACCACCATCTAGTAGAAAGGAAGGTCTCGAGCCTGCCGATGAGGATTAATAGGGGTAAGTATCTCGTACCTAGCGTAGGATGTAAGGCCCGTCCCGCAGCAGCCTGCTTTACACTTCAGCCGAAGGGCTTGTACTCCGAGATGTAGCCCCCAACCTGCGACCCATCGAGCCACGGGAATACAACTGAAAGAGCCTTATTCGCCATTCAGCTTAGCCTTTTGTCGTTTTCTTTAATGCAAAGCCTGCTAGGATGTATTCAATTCCGTAGGTAGGCAAGCAATCATGTGACGAAGGAAGATATAATTGTTGTATACCTACTTACTGCGGTGTATTGGCTTCGATACCTATTAAGTAGAGGCTGTCTTCTTATACATGCATCCATGGCTTTGTCGCCCAACTGAATACCTCTGGGACTACATGAATGGGGTCTCGAGCTTGCTTCACGAGTAGAACATATATACCATATAACCTACGAGCGCGTAGACCGGGCCGAGGAAACGTGACTCGTCAAATTCTATCGCTACACCCAAAGATGAGACGGTTGATCTCTCATAAATAAGGTTATCTTGAGTTTATGTCAGTATGTCTGACATGACTGTTGGTTCTGGTACATGTGATCGGGAATGATTGGGTTAACCAGGTAGGTTGGTGGCACAGCATGATCGTGTGTCCTTGTCAACCATTGAAACGCAATGCGCGACCTGTGACTACTTTATCGTAGCCGCCTCAATTTAAAAGATAATGCAGCCGATACTTACAAGTACCTCTGAAATAAAGCTGTATGGGTAACGTATCGAGTAGTGATGCTCACACGGGGCTTACAATACGTCGTCGTCTACGAGAAAAGGGGTAAACTATACACCACATAGCTAGCTAGAGATGAATACTAAAAGGGGCTACAATGAATCGCAGACATCAACTACTGGTGTGTAATTAATGAGTCGCAGTACCTGGAGGAATAATTCTCAATCGACGAGATGATTACAAGTTAGACGGAATGAATCTTTTTATCGAGGATTAGTTCTATCTATTGAGGATTGACTTTAGGTTAGTTCTATGCATGAGATCAATAGAAACTAAGAGAAATTATCACAAGATTCAGAATACTTGATGTAATAGAAGGAGTCATAAAGATAGAATGATTCTTTAAGTTGGAATAATTTCTCTCAATTTTATCGATCTTAATGATTGGATTCATTGCATGAAGTTTAGAACGATCCTCGCGAATATGGGGTTCCCGCTACGGTAGCTAGTACTTAACATACCTAAGTATTATCAAATATACTGATATAGACCAGAGACATTTAACGAGAGATCAATCATTCACCTTCTGGTGTAGCGGTATGTTCTGATAATTAAGAGTCTCATTCGCTTGATTTTGTTTGAGTGCAGATGCCGCTACCCGTTAGGTGTAAGTACAAACAAAGCCACAAAGTAGACAAAAATCAAATCCCATAATACCTTAGGTTCGAATCCAGGCAAAAGAACCCAGTGTATGAAAGCGAGCAGTTTTCGGTGCTATGCCTCGAAGCTTAAGGAGGTGTATCAGATATACCGATATAAACGAGAGACATTTAATATTCACTTTTTGGCGCAGCGGTATGTTTGGACAGGTATGTAGAAAGTTTTGACACAAATTGGCAAGTACTTTGCTCATTCTGTTATATATAATAGCAATCACGGCGTTCTTAACCATACTGTCATCGATTTGAAGATCCAAAGTTAGTAGGTGGTTCATTTTGACTTTTTGCCAAAGGTTACCTGTTCGTCGAGCGAGCGAGATATGGCCAGTCATGGTGTAGTCCAAAGTGCCAACGGCATACGATACAGTCAACGGCGTGGGTTTAAATTTCTTTTACGGTTGACAGTAACAGCATCCTAATCAACCTCCCCGGAATTCAGATGGCCAACACACCAATGGGTCAAGGACAACCTGGCGGTGATGGTTTCGTGAGATGTGCCCAGCAGTGTCGTTTGACGGGTTTAGGAGCCTCAATCGCTTGGCAGTCTCCAATATGACCTGGGACGAATCAGAATCTCAGCCTGTCGAAAGCTGTTTTCAGTGCAGATGATTTAACAAATTTCAACACGATTACATACTCGTTGGCAAATTATCTCCAGCTCAACTACAATAATAGAGCTGTACTGTAGGTCACTTACCTAGGTAAGTAGCTTAAAGCTTTGATTGAGTTGCTGTCTACCTGCCACCAAGACGGGCCAGATACTAATAACATGGATAGGTTAATTTCGGAGCCAGCTCCGGGCTTGGAATAGATGGTTTCCAATGTGTTTTTAAACATACAAAGTAAATCGAGAAATCAGTCAGTTGTAAGTGCCTCAATACTTTGTTATGGCTGTCTGTACTTTACATGCGAAGAATAGGGGATTTTGCAGCTGAGGAATGCAACCGTGGGAATCTAGGCACCGGGAAATAGCCAAACTTCTGCCTGGAGAAACTACTGAATTTGTTGATAGTGAGTTGTCAACTTATTTCGGCGGTTATGAAGCTAGCGTTACCAAGAAGCATTTCAATGTGGCTAGCTAGGTAAAGGATCCAGGTGATAGTTTCCATATGTGACCCCCCTCCCCTCCCTAGTCCATGATTGCCCCTATACTATACCTTAAAAGTGAGGAGCCTGGCCAGGGGATGTCTACCTAGGTACTTACGGAAGAGTCGAGTATGCCACTCACATTGCTATTATGGATTGTGAAAACCAATTTCAAGGACTACAGCTGGAGGGCCAATGAACTTTGGCCCTATTTGGGAGAATTGCTATCTTTCTATCGAAACAGACGGGGGACAAGCAAGAATCAAAAGCTGGGAATTACACTTATAAGGCTTTGAATTAGACGTCTAGACAGCTTTTACGCTAGGTTCATGATGAGAGAGCGGAAGATATTCACTGATGTTCTAACAATGATACCTACCTTAGTAGGTATGAATCTTTATGGATCAAGAGCCGCCCATAATTGTATTACCGGGGCTGTGAATAAAGTTGATTGTGTTGTATGTATCCACATACAATATAAACTGCACTCAAAGAAGAGGAAACATTCCAAATGTGGTGTGAATGAGGTATCTGGCCGGCCATCAAGATGTTAATGTTATGAATGGATTCCAGCCCAATTTATACATCTCGTTCCTTGCGGAGAATCCAGTTCAGGCCTTCCTGCTTTTTTTTTATCTACCAGTCCATCGCGTCATTGGTGTTCAGCCCATTCTTTTTATATACCAAATATAGTACAACATTTGAATCTTCCAACTAGGTAGTCTTTTTTCCTAGACTCCGTAGCATTATCCGATCTTATTTTAGTCCCGAGTGACGGTCCATTGGGTTTCAACGGCGATCACATTTCCTGATCCCTTGGAAGGCATCGTTAAATTCTTCTCCGATCCGGACTCATCGCCATACGTGGTCGTCACCGCGGCATCGAATTTGCTCCTATCGTTGTGGTGGTAATCGTCCATTTCCCAAGTCGAGAGGTTCTCGGTGTCGTTGCCAGACCCTCCCTTGCTTCTCTGCTTGGATCGGTTCGGTCGAGATCCAATCGTCTGTTCCTCCGAAAACTCCTGCAGCTTCGAAGCACCGCGCGTTCGCTCCTTGTGTCGAATCCAGAATGGCCGCAGCATGGGAATGCTGACGCAGAGAATAGCCAGATTCGGTTCCAGCGTGAATAGGAAGACGGTGGGAGGCATCGTGCCAGTGATGTTGACGTTCAGGTCGACAGTGGAGATGTAGATCAATCGGAAGACGGCGCAGATGACGCAACTTGTGACCATGTTAGTAGGGTCGAGCTGTTAGGTTAGGGGGAAGGGGGGGCTTTACGCAATGCCCAGAGTAAAACACCCTGTTATACCGATCTTTTCCGTCGTTCGTGTTTGTAGGGACCAGATGATGCGCATAGGTAGCGCCATGATGATGATATCACCGATTGCGTTGGTGGCAATGAGGGACTGAATCATGGAGATGTAGGCACCGCATTGTCCCATACCGGTCCACTGTGCCGAGACGGGAGTGCAGATGAAAATACATGTTGCAAGATAGGTAACCATCCAGCAGCCCACGAATACCAAGCATATTTTAGCAGCCTTTTGCATGAAAGGCGTGGCGAAAACGCGTAGGAAGAAACATAACATGCTCGATTTAACCAATGCGAGTAAGATGACATATATAATTTGCATGCAAAACGTCAACTAGCTACTTGTGAGTATGATGTTGTCAAGATATAGAAAGTGGGTAGATCTTTATGGATTTCATACCTCGAGGATGAACGGGATGTTAGCGGCCACTATTGAATCACCCAGAAGTTAATAAGCAATATTCGACATGTTTGCCCCAAGATGCAGACGGGTGTATTTGCAACTGCCTTTGCATCTGTAGCCTGCACAGCGTGTTCCGGTGCTTGACTTACGTTCTGGATGTTCGGGTAGGTCGTAACCATTTCCAACTGGAGCAACTATATGATGAAAGATCGAATTAGCTTCTCTTTTCGATCCTTCATACCAAAGGTTGTTATAAAAAAACGACTTACAAAGACCTTGGCATATCAGCATGCCAACTCCCAGTGGCTACATAGTCAACCATTAGAATAAGCTTCATCGTGATGAGGTAAGATGCCTATAGGATACCACCTATAGTATCTTATCTGGTGAAGGACGAACCGTTGCTGCCATTATAAGCCTATCATCCCAACCCAGGCCCGGCCCATTTAATCGTCCTATGACTCTTAATATGACAATTGTCAAAACCAGAAAGACAAAGATGCAATTAACGATGAGCTCAGCTCGGACGAAGCCCAGTATAGGCAATAAGACCTCAGGGACTGGCATGATGACTGGGAAAAAAGTTCAAACATTCAACATCATAAAAAAAAAATCAAATCCACTTCGTAGCCTTAGAACAGTGGTCTGCTGTCTTTCTTTATAAATAATAATACCTCTGTTTTGGCAGAATCCCAGGGGGTGATAGTGGTACCACAGGTCCAAACCTGGGGGGGTCCATTAAAATATTAAAATCGATCCCTGAAGAATGTAGTTGGTAAGTACCAATGCTACCTTGAAGATTCGCTCCATCTATGCAGCCCTGAAAACTTGCAGAGCCCCCCGTCATTATTTTCTCTTGGCTAGTTGTTTCCTCTCATGAACGGTTTACCTTCCCATGGGGGGGGAATCATCGCTAACAATCGACAAGGTCCTTTGCAGTGCACGTTTTCCTACCTAATATCCATACGCCCAGCTTATTCTGATGACTGTAACGGTACTAGGGTATTCTAGAACATTGAACTTGATCAAGCCCTACCCCTAATGCTCTAACAACACACTCTCCCCTGACTGCTTATAATACAAAACCTGGTTCTAGTCCAAATACGTCAAGCTTAGCTGTGATTTTTGAAACAATTGAAAAGTGATGAAAATTTTTGTGAGGTATAACTAACACCATGTATATGACGAAAATTAGGCATCTATGTATTTTCACCAGTGGCGAGCGTTGGGTAATAATTCTGGGGTTCTCAGGTACCAAGGTTATCTATCATCTTACATACGAGACTGCGAGATCAGAGCACTGATCTAGATACTGTATATTTTTCACTGCCAATCACCTATTCATCCTAGCATTGATGGAGCTTGCCGAGTCGATTTGCACATCTATAACGAGAGGACAAAAAAAGCTATAGCCATAGAAGTTTCAACTCTTGAGCCACAAACGGCTTTCAGCTCGTCTCCCCACTGTTATATAACGGCTCTTAAGGTCGTGCTTCCCCGGTTTAACTATCCCATACCAAAGTTTTTTCCCTACCACGATGGAACCTAGTTACCGACCTGGGATTAGATGCTTACATGTGTATGTAAGAACCACGTACGGCGTATAGTATACACTATATATCTATACATACATACTATGTAGGTAGTAGGTTTTGTATTATTGGACCTTCGTAGTGGTGTTTATTTTCCTAACCTACCTAGGTAGGTAGTTAGTTAGTCTAGACCAAGTTGAAATATTTCGTAGTTTCTCTACCGCCTCACTGAGAATTAAATATTTTTCTCGTATGCTGCGATTTATGCTGGCCTGTTTTGGTGCTAGTTGAAAGTTCTGTCAAGCCATTGTGGTTTCTAATCTCTTTTAAGACTGCACTACATGCGTGTGTGGTTAGCCAGCGGAGATCAGTATCCCTACTCATTTTAGCACGAGGGAACTTTACGTACCTGTATTCAAGCGGAATTCAAGCGGGAACTAATAGGAAATCTTCCGATGGGATGATTGACCCGTCTATGCCTAGTAGTCAGACGGGTGGATAGGCCCGTCACGTTAGTGTATCATTCATTCATTCATCATTCGTCTGCACAACATATGAACTTAGCATTGTTGACCGCCGTGTTTGAAATCTCTTGAATTTTATTAAAGTCCCAGTGGCCGGCGGATGTATTTGAACGAACCTTGAATCAGGATGGGTCTTTTTTTTTTCTATTTTTTTCTATCTTTTTTTCTTCAAACTTCTCTCTCAACAGTTTGGCTTTATGGTGACGGTGAAAACTCCGACATGAATCTCTCTCGATGGTGTCTATCATGAGGTAGCAACTAACTATTTAAAGCTACCTACCTACCTACCAGGTCCTACCTAGGGGGTTGGGTATTGGTTATACCTTAACCATGACCTCGTCATTAGCTTTTGGTAAGGCATTTGATTCGTTCGTGTTTTTCCTTGATTTAATCAACAACATCTTGCTAGTGATAGGTACTGAATTGCCCCTTATCATGAGCTTCAATTGAACCCGCATTAGGGTGGTGTCCTACCTCCCGGAGCTAACACAACTCGTGGAATTCTAGAGGTTTATATCTTATCCCGAGAAGAAGGGCACTATGACTAAATAGGATCATTCCGCATGGTAGTGGATTAAAATGTTGGCTTGGCTGTTTGGAGGCTATAGTAGCGAATGCCGAGACATAATCTCTTCGGGCATATACCTCCGGATTCGTGCTTCCCTACAGACTACAATCAGATTCGGACTCCAATGGCAGGCTAGCCTCTGGAATCCCTCTCCACTTACGCCCGCGGGGCTTACCATTATCAACAATCATCGTCTTCGAGCTCAGAGGCGATGAAACTCACCTAAGTTTTAAGACTCTATATAACTGAAAATACGGGACTTCGTGAGGCGGTCAACCTCTGAACCTCGGTCCGATTATATTGGGTCTTTGAAAGTGAGAAAGTGAGCTGCGCATATAATAAAGTATCTATCGCAAATCGTAAAAAGATTACACGAAACGAGTCCGGTTCCATAGCAACTATCGTGAATCAACCATGGCCTCATCTACGACCCCCCACACCACGAAGCAGTGGATCCTCGCTTCCAAGCCAACCGGCGCCCCGGTGCTGACTGGCCCGGACGCGACATTCAAGCTGCAGACCGTGACGCTGCCCCCGCTAAAGGAAGGCCAGCTCCTCTGCAAGGTGCGGTACTTCTCCAACGACACCGGCCTGCGGAACTTCATCCAAAGCACCGTCGCGCCTGAGCGGTTCTATGTGCCTACCGTGCCCCTAGGGTCGCCCATGCGATCGGGCATCATTGCCGAGGTCATCGAATCTGCGTCGCCGACCTACAAGCCCGGCGATCTGGTGATGGATTTCCACCTTGGCACGTGGAGCGAGCTCGTCGTGCTGGACGCAGCGACATCGCAGGCGCTGTCCCCACTGCCCAACAACCTCCCCGTCACGCACTACCTGGGCGCGTTCGGCGCATCCGGGCTGGCGGCGTACACGGGGCTGGCGTACGCGGGTGGCTTGAAGGCGGGCGACACGGTGGTCGTCTCCGCGGCGGCGGGCGCGACGGGGTCGATGGCCGTGCAGATTGCGGCACAGCTGCTGGGCGCCAAGCGGGTGATTGGGATCGCGGGGTCGGACGCAAAGTGCGCGTGGGTGCGCGAGCACCTGGGCGCGCACGCGTGCATCAACTACAAGAGCCCGACGTTCGTCGAGGAACTGAAGGCCGCGACGCCCGACGAGGTCGACGTGTACCTCGACAACGTGGGCGGCCACGTGCTGGACGCGATGCTGACGCGCATGAAGCGCAACGGCACGGTCGCCGTCTGCGGCGCCGTCAGCAGCTACAACAGCGGCGAGCCCATGGCGCTCAGCAACTGGTTCGAGGTCGTCTCGATGCGCATCAACATCCGCGGCTTCATCATGCTCGACTACATGGACAAGGCGCCCAAGATCCTTGGGGATCTCATTGGCGCGGCGGCAGACGGGAGAATCAAGTTGGGAGAGGGCGAGACGGTGGTGGAGGCGAGGATTGAGCAGCAGCCTGAGACATGGATGAAGCTGTTCAGTGGCGGAAACCAGGGAAAGCTACTGACGAAGCTGATAATTTAGAGATAATGAGATTTTTTGGTTGCCAAGGTAGTTAGCGAGAACAATATTGATATATCACTAATACTTGACGTCCTTTTCGTTCGTTCTTGGTATCGTTTTATTCAAGACAAGGTCTCACCGCTGCGGTCTGATCTCGCTTAGAAAGCCAGTAACTCCGGGGAAACGCCCAGTGGCGCTCCGCCGAGCAACGTGCACTCGCTCTCTTCAAGGTACAGCACGTAACCTCCCCATAACGATGCCAGGTGCCAAGCTACCTGGAGACTCTGGGAGGCTAAATCTATTCGACAATCTCAACGCTGGCTTTGTCATTCTCTATTGTCCACTCCCATACCAGCTGTCTGGGATCTTCACTCAAAGCCCATCTCCCTTCCCGGGTAAAATCCTCACTTGGTGTCTGCTCAACATTCGACTCACCCCACGGATAGAACTTGCAGTCCTTCAGGTTGCCTTCCAAGTCCCCAAAGGCCCACCATTTAGTGGGAAAAGACCTCCCGCCCGACCTCAACCTGTATCTCTCGCCAATATCAAAGTAATCCTTCGTGCGCCCATCCGCGTACCTCAATATCCGTTCCCAGTCCAGCTGATGCGTGACGGTGACCTCCGACCCATCGCCCGGAATAGTGAGAAACCTGCAGCCACGCTCTTTGAGATCCAGCGCATCGCTCGTGAAGCGCTCGCTGATGCGGAACATACCAAAGGAGATTTTCTTCCCCGTCTCGTTGTAATCACTATCGACGCCGACGAGGCCGCCGCCAAGAACACCGCGGGCAAACATATCGATCCCTCCCTCGCCTCTTTCAAATACGTCGAAGGGAGTCCGATGCCCGCAAACTGTGATGGGCTCGCCTGGACTCGTCGACTCGATAATCCGTGCGCTCAGGTTCACGTCTAATGTTGCTGCGGGGTCGCTGAGGGAAAGGGTTGGGGATGTGGTCATGGTTATATGTACCTTGGCTCGTCTTGGCTCTATAGTAGGAGTTTTCGCTACTGAAGACATACTGACAGTAGTTAGATTATAAAGATTTTCTATTTGTAGTATTATCAGGCGAACATAAGGCTCAGTGATAATAATGACTTTCTAATGAATATGGCGGCTTTCGATTATGGAATACCTTTTAAGCATAGCATGAGTCATTCATATCTTCTCGGCATATCCCTGGCCTGTGGCCGTATACTGAGCCAGTCGCAGTCCTCAAAGGAGGAGGAGTATATCTCAGATTCGGAGACCGCGTTAGCCAAGGGAACATAGTCGATGTAATTTGCATCAATTCGGTCTGCGCTTATAAATATTATGGAAATAATAAGATATGGGCATTCAAGACGATATTTGCCTGCTAGGTATATATAAAATTATTTGCTATTAGGGGCAGCACCCCTTTTTGTCAAGTTCACATCAATGATATATGTACTCGCCTTCAGCCATAACAAGCCTTACCAGATACCTACTGACACAGGAACTTAGAATAGAACCCTCTCTCATTTTTTATGTCATTTCTTTTCGTAGTTCATATCGTAGGTGTCTTGGCTTGATGGCATAGTGTATTGAAATTTGGCTGCTGAAATAGACGTAGATAGTACATAGGTACGTACATCCAGTTAACACCGACCTAACCTCCAGATGTCATTGAAGGAGCATAGCACTTGCCAGTGTCCACTAGTTACTAGGTAGTACTTAGTAGGTAGTGAGCTCGTGACCGGAAAGTGCGGCCCTGAATTTACTATGCCACTCCTTCCCGACACTAGAAGCAACTAAAGTAGTGCGTCGCACTTTCCATTCTGGCGGGCGTATTCGTACCTGCCAAGTATGATTGAGATATTAGAAAACCCCGCCCTGAATGCCACGTGACCCGTGACTCTAGAGCTTCGCTACCGAGGTTCCCACTCTTGCACCTTCCCTCTGTGATTAAGTTTGGACTAGCACGCGCTAACTACTCTGCACTATCTGACTAGCGGAGTAACATCGACGGACCGCTAAATAGGCGCAGTAAAATATTACCGACTAAAGCTTGGCTAGGTGCGCGGATGGGCCGCACGTGATATAACCAGCTAGCGGCGTTGTTTTAAGCCCTCCCTTTCTCTTTTAGCCGATTCGTTTAGGGCACAAAAGCTCGGTAGTGTGCAATACATAGGGGGATATATCGACAAAATTCCCCAACACCCGCCCCTATAGCTCAGTGGTAGAGCGCAGCACTCGTATCACGTGTTTCATCCCAAAAAATGCGAACATGCGACATGCTGAGGTCCATCGTTCAATCCGGTGTGGGGGCAGTTGCAACTTACTTTTTGGGCATCTTTCTCTTTCCCAAGTCACAACGCAAGCAAACTTGACTTCTTATTTATTTTTATTTTTTTGGTGTTAGTAAATTGGAACTTTACTTGTTCTTGTTAGTTTTGGTGTAGTTCGAGGCTATTTTCATCATCAATTAAGCGGTTTATACTGCCTCGTCGTGCCTATTTTACAGCCCACCGGGAATGTCCACCCCCCTCCCATGTATACTACTGGCACTTATCGCATCTCGTATCCTCCCTACGGAATGGTGAGGGCTGATGTCCTCACCATTCGTACATTAAACAGTATTATAGCAACAGCGATAGCAACCATAAAAATACCAACCCAACCCATCCCATCCCATCCCATAATCCATAGAAACTGCCACCATACGTACAGATGGTCGTTGTAATTTTCCCCCCGTAGCCACCCAGGTGTGGCTGCCGAGATTGCATCTGAACCCGAGGTACGTCGACTGAAGGAAGGCAAGCAAAGGGTATCATTGACCTAGTTCAATCAATCCATTAGCAACCGTGGCCATTCGAGAAGACAGAGGAGCGACTCGAAATGTGTTAAGAAAGAAACCCTTAGATCATGGCCACTGAGCGATGTAGAGAAGGATGGCAAAGGGGGAAAAAAAAATACTTACAAAATGAACTCGTAATCTCTCATTGCATGTTCTGAATGGCCGTTAATGCCATCCATGGTCTCGGTTATGGTGGCCTTGGTAATACGGATAAGCGCCGTGTCCTTGAGGATGCTGTGGCGCTCCCTGCTGCTGTTGGCCATAGTAAGGATGACCTTGAGGACCTTGCGTGTGCTGCGGTGCTGCCTGTTGCTGGTAGTAGCCTGGCGGAAGATGACCATCGGGGCGAGCTCGCGTTTGTGGGCCTGGCGGATATTGCGGCGGTCCCGGCTGCTGCTGGCGGTGGTCTTGGTAATAACCATAGCCGACAGTGGGAGGCATAACAGGACTGGGGCATGAGTATTGGTAGTTGGGTTGCCAAGGCCTGGCAAGCGTGTGGAAATCGGCGGGTGTATTATAATGACGCTCCATGCTCTCTGGCGGAGCGACGTCCGCTGCGATTCTGGCGTGGGCGAGGGGGCCAGGGTCTCGTGGGTCCGGGCGAAGCTGGAATCCGTCGGCTGGTAGAGCTTGTTTCATTGGGGGACCAAGGGGTGGGCCAGCTGCCGCTACTTGCTGGGCGGCAGAGGGTCGTATCGGGAGAATCTGAGGGGCCGCGCCAAATGATGTCGTATGGGGGATGGGGGAGGGTGTCGGTGGGTTGACCTTGGGTACGGAGAACATCCCCGATGTGGGCGGCATCTTCTTGGCCGTGGCCTCATAACTTGAAGCTTCGGAGGATGTTGCAGGTGGCATTTTCTCGGCAGTCGTAGCCTCAAAAGAGGATGACTTAGACGATGGCGAGGGCGGCATCTCCTCAACGGTCATGATCTCAGGATGAGAGGGCTCCGAAGGTGGAGAAGGAGGCAGCTTCTTGGCAATCACAGTCTCAGAATCAGAGAACAACGGGACGGGAGGAAGCATCTTCTTAGCTTCCGGGGTTCTCTTTCTCTTGCCGCTCTCTGGAGGAGCAGGCTTAGGCGTCGGGGGGATCTCGCTGGTCTCTATGCCGGCCAACTTCAATGCTTCCGAGGCAATATGCGCCAATTCCTTTTTGTGAGCTGCAAAATCTGCTACTGAATCATAATGGTACAGTCCACTTTCTTCATAAAGCTTTCTTACTTTACGATACTCTTCCTCTTCCCCGTTTGCCATCTTGAAGGATGTGGCTTGTGTGTAATTGATTGGTGTCAATCAGAAGACATATGGCCGTGGTGATGAAAATAAACAAAAGGAAATAAGCCTTTGGGACGGCAGACTGAGAATGTTTATTGTTAGGAAGAATAGAACTGGGTCCAGTTCGTGTCCGCCTTTTTGGGTTCTCAATTACGAAGAATCTTTGGTGGGTGACGAGAGAATCGAGGAGAAGCACATATGGTGCCTAACGGTGTTTCTTAGATAGTAGTCATGTACCCATGGACAGGATAGATACTGGTGCTACTGGGAACTTAACTAACAAGGTGAGGATCTTTAGGGAGGCATTGACACCTATGTACTTTCGAGTCAAGAAATATACACCAAAGGTATTTTACGGATGGAAAATATTCTGAACGCGTCCAGAACCTCCAGTGAGCTCCTATCAATTCCGTACAATGATTCTGTATATAACGGTGGTTTAGACATCTAGCATGAATAGGCATTTCAAGCACCATTTATCATTTCTTTATAGACGATTGTTTCCCCCTTTACTCCTTAATTCTACTTGATGAGGTGATCATGATCGAGTTTCTCGAACAATGTATGTACTTGGAGATGTCTACATATAAACCTGACGGCAGGAAACCGTGAAATACACGGTATTAGGGAACAATAATACGGTATGAATATGATCATACAGTATGGATATGCCTTAAGACGAGCAGTACCCTTTGAGAACTGGAAGGAGCTAGTGGAGATTGTGGAATGGCAAGAACGATATTTGTACCTTGTATTTAAGGGGTCATTTATTCTATACATAGTAACATGTTTGCAACCACCTAGGTTACTTCTTTCCTTTCTACGGATTACTACCAGGTATGGGCCAAGGCTTTTAGGTATATAAAGAGTACATGTCTGTTCCTATGTAGGTATATCCTGCCTAATCTTAATGAAATATGCCTACCTAGGGTACCTAAGGTAGATACTAGTAATTTCGTCTTTGGCTATCCCCCTTGAAGCATATTGTTGCTTTGTTGCTCGGCGGTCTCACCACCCGCTGGCGTTATGCTTCGAAAGGAAGTATCGAGATAATAATCCAAACTACCCAGGTGGTACAATAACACTCGGGAGGCCAGAGGTAAAAGAAGACTGGGTGGATAATCTCCAGTCGCCAAAGTCCAAACCGACACGGAACTTAAGATGCTTCCTAGTTATCTTACATTGGTAGAACAAGACCAAGTATTGTGCAGCCTAATACAGACAGAATCATTGAAAGAAACCCTATCACCAAGCCAGCCGCGCTTTTTGGTGAAAACATGGGGCGAAGTTACCCACCCAATGGAACATGCTTCGCAATTACATGACAACTAAATCAGTACTTACATGCCAGTCTTAGACTATGGCAGTATGGCGACTAATCTATTCTATCGTCCTGACAAACCTCGTCCACATGTTCCACTTCCGGAATATAGAACGCAGCAATAACGCTAATAATCAGGACACAACAGGAAATTCCTACACTCAATTAACAGCGGCCCCTATAAACACTCATGGAAATGGGTATATACGTACCAAATGCTTTCTCGCTTGACGATATGTACGCGTTTAGAACGATGCGCTGAACTTCTGGAGGAAACTCGCGGATAGCGCTGAAGCTTTCAAGACTTTTGCGAATGATCTAAGCGACGAGATTAGCATCCAATGCCAGCCATTGATAACTTGATATAATTCGATAGGAGGGAATCATTTACCTCTTCCTTATTAGGGTAGCCCATCATTCCAGATTCAAGGCTGGACCGAATCATGGCATTGGTCGACGCTAATGCAACAGCTATACCGAAATTCCCCGTATTGGCGCGCCCTAAATCAAAGAAGGCGTAAAGAGAGGGCTGGTCTAGTGGGCTGTCAGAATGCTGCGTGTGCAATTGGACAGTCAGTCAGCCTTACCTTGAGGGCTAGCCTGGGAAAAAATAGAGACCAGCCAACAAGAATCGAGTACACCCACATTGAGTCCTACCAGGAGAAGGACAGGTGTGAATGCTGGGTTTTCCGGATCTATCGAATAATAGTATAATCAGCGGTCATTCTCAGCTCTCCTTAGATTTAGACTTACGGATCCAGCCTGCAGTAAAGCACAGATAAGTTAATAGGTTGAGAACAGCTACAAAGCGCAGCAGTGGTTTGAGCGCCCGGTATCTTCGAATTATTACGCCACTGATGAAGCTTCCTAGCGGTATCCCCAAGAAAACACAACTCAAAGCCCAGTCGGAGAACGCAGACGTAGAGCCTGTACTCATGGACCGCGCTTGAACATATTGCCCAAGTCCGTATTTAAGCTGGAGAAGGTCAGCGGGGTTTTAATTAGCGATATAAATGTAGTAATTACCTGATCCCAAGAAAGCCAGGCGGGCAATCCACAGGCAAAGACGACAACTACGGACTTCTTCCGGAGAAACCGTAATGGTACGAGAACATGGCCCTTGCGGTGGATTTGCGAGTAGAAAAATAACCCAGTGAGGGCTGGGGTCGCAATATAGAGAAAGATCATCACCGGGTGGCTCCAAGGTATAACCTGTCCACCTAGATCAAGAGTGAGCAGTGAAGCGGCAACGGCAAGCAACAGAAGCCCCGCCCCAACGTAGTCCATAGACTGTCTGGGGCTTTTGGGGGCGGAGACTCTTTTCAAATTGGACCTTGGTGGTCTGAGAGTGAGAATTATGCCGATGGTCCCGACGAGCATCAATATAAACTCTAGTCCGAATACACTGCGAATATTATCATCTGAGAAAAGTGGCAGAAGATGCGGGTAGAAGCAAACTTACAACCGAAAGTTGGTAGCATCTGTGATCACGGCCCCGATAGAGGGCCCGAGGAAAGAAGCCACAGTCGATACGACAGTAACTACGGTCCTCCATAGGGGTAGAGAGTAAAGGTCAACCAGATCTGACTCAAAATGTCAGTGTCAACTGCATTAGATTTGAATATAGAAGGTGGCATACCATTAATAATGATCAAAACGAGCAAATCTAGGCCCGCGGCACCGAGCCCAACAAAAGCTCGAGATATTGCTAGTTGCCATAGATTCTGACTGAGGGAGCTATACGTAACGGTTAGATACCCAGGCACCTACCACAACATTGGGATCCAGGATAGGCATACCATAAAAATAGTCCAAATGTCGTGAACAAGGCCGCAGCCACCAGGGACATCTTGTGTCCATGATAAGAGCTTAGCTGAGCATACTAGCCGTCGAGATTTAGTGATGTGTGTCAAATATAGGGGATGCCAAACACCCACCATGGGCTGAAAAGCCGACTCAGTAATGAGATAACCCGTTACCAGCCAACTTGCATTTCCAACTTGATTCAGATCATCGGCTGAGATACTCAGTATTCATGCGCTTGTGAATAGGAGTTAAAAATTTCCTACCAATGCTTCGGCTGTAGTTGGCTGCTACGTAAGATAGATCTATTGTATTCACAAAAGTACTACATTGAATATATATCAGCACGCGAGTATGTAGATGGGCTGCATGAAGTTGCACAACATTATGCCACATGATCGGAAGACCTTACATTAGCAACAGAGCCGGGCCAGCAAGCAATAGCAGTCGCGAGCTTTTGCTGGTCGGCGAAAAATGTCCTTCCAGAAGTGGCATGTGGTCATCCGCAGCTTCACGGTCAGTTTCAGGGTTGTGTTGGAGATCGCCCGAGGCGTCTAAGAGTTGCGGGGAGCTCATTTGGGAAATCCGTGTTTGGAAGCAAGTATGTAGGCATTCGTTGAATTAAGGTGCAAGTGGTGTCAACATCGGCTATACAAAGATCTATTATAAGGTGAGGAAGATGAATAGAATAAAAACGAAACGAGAGGAATGATAAGCGATGCGGCTCATATCACATCTGTCTAATCTGGGTCAGGGTACTTACATAGCAGTACATACCTACATAGTAGGAGGCAGGTATCCTCCTACCTTAAGTAAGTACCTACCTAGGTTAGTAGTATGTATGCACATTGGATTGGATCACATTTGAATGGATGTGTAAGGCCGGGGATGTATCCTGCTACCTAGTAGTTAGTACTAGGTACACTGGGTATGTACATTCAATCATGATGCATCCCCACTTGTTTGCCAAGATGGCCCCACGGTTAGTTGGCCCCACTAGATCTCACCGTTTTCCTTTTTAGGTTACTATGTAATAACTAGATCGAAGCGGCCCGCGTCCTTAGTTTGTCGCTACCTAGTAGGTACCTAGCGCAAGACCGGCCAACGGCAGCCCTGTTAATCCCACTCATTATCCATGGACCTCCAGCTGATAATCCCGAACTGTACAGAATTACAACTTGAATATGGGATGCGTAAAGCACAATGCGGCAAGAAAAAAAAAGGACTTCTATTGTTGTGATACCCCAGGTGAGTTACCTACCTTATGTGTCTCTGCAAGAACTCCATGGCTCTTTAACAGAAATCGCACCGTATAACCCAAAAAATCCTAGATTCTAGACCATCTACCTGTACCAAAGAAAATCTAGGCTTATCCTGCAATTCCGAACTGCATACTTGATTCACCCAAGTCTTACAAGTCTCATCTATGCAAGTCAACTGAACGGCTTATGAAAGTATGAAATCCTTCTCCGTGCATGACAGAAATATCCCCAAGTATGGCATATCCGCTTTCCAGTCATCAAGAAGCAGCTGATGGCACCAAAACATCTCATTTTCGTACATCGACTTATTTCTGAGAGTCTGTAATTCGCCGTCTGCAACTCGTTAGAATAGGAATAGTCAGGTGCTAAGTAGAATGATACTTACTCTGTTTGTCAAGTTCGTCTTTGAGGTCACGCAAGAATTCGATCTGTCTATGGGACATGATAGACGTATCTGGGCTAGGGCTGTGCCAGTTGAGCGCCAACGGAGCCGCGCCACCGGATGCAAAATGGAAGTAAGCAAGCACCGTCTTACAAGCATGGTAATATGCATGACTAAGAGAACTCTCGTCATTTGAACTCGGTGCAAACTTGGGGGACGTCATGTTAGCACTTTGAACATGCAGGAAGCAATTTCAGATAATTACCGAGATGCCATATCGTTTGGAATAATCCATGACTTGGTTGAGAACGATCTCTGAGCTATGCAGGATTATGAAGCTGGCCAGGAATACCTCGTACCAGTTGTTCTTCTTCTTTCCAAGAACTTTTTCCTTGAAGAGGCGCAAGACCTTGTTTTTTAGAGGGATGAGAACGTGCTTGATTGCTATTTCGTCTAGTTGTGTATCCATAATTGGAGTCACAGGAATCGCTTCGACGAGGGGATTAAATCGGCATGGCCCAATATTTCCCGTCATAGGCGAAAGACCAAGCGTGTCGGGACCAGTAATAAGCCAAAATCTTTCGATCATGCGAGTTGCCGACCAAAGCATCAGCGCACCAGCTACCAGCTTACTCTGAATATTTGATCAGAAACAATGAAGGTTACCACTGAGATTCCAAGAGGGACCCACCTTTGAATCAGCATAGAATCTTTCTGCCTCCATGAATACCTTCGAAACCACTGGATTGCTGTTGACCAGGAGAGCTCGAGTGAATTCTCCTCTAGCTTTCCGGACATATTGACACATATTTCGACTTGCCTCAGCCAAGTCCAAAATATAATACGGAGGGAGCTCATAGCTGCATTTATGCCCAGCAGCATTAGCCCAAGAATATCCCGTTCTTTCGTTTGGACCTGGCTGATAGCGTGATATGGTCACCTCGAAGGTGGTTGTACAGACGTCATGGGTGAGCAGTACTTTTCGTGGAGGCTCAAAGCTAGTGATTCCATCCTGTAGGAGAAGAGTGCTATTGGCGGGTACTTTTGACTGCATCCAAGGCGGAAGTGTACTAGCAAGTGGGTCCAAAGTCGTCCCTGGTTTTAAAATGTGGTTCAGTAGGTATTACAGGTATTACAGATATTACAGAAGATAGAAACTAAATGAAAGTCTCTTTTTTGGTGTGACTTACCTAGTCGAAACAATTTGATATCGATAATATCAATACGACAACAAGGCGAATATAAAAGTCGCGCCGGCATTTTAGCGCAACCCCCGCAAATACCAAACTGATTCTTGGGTTGGTCACACTAGTGTACGTACATTAGCCTACCTTAGATACCTAAGTAAGGAGGTAGTAATGGAAACTGTTCTCGAATCAAACTTACACGGATCTTCTTCTTGCGGCAAGGGCCGCAGGCTCCAACCTCTCTAGTACGAGCAGTTAAGTTTCGTGACTTTTCATTGAACCGGGCTCTTTTCGCACCGTAGGCTCGAAATACGATTTGGGCGGGGGCGGGGACGGGGCCGTTTCGTTTCTTCTTGCCTACTAGTGACTACATAGTATGTAACATCTAGGTTAGGAATGCAATCAAATCACCACGGTGAGAGACATACCTGGTCATCAGACGCATCGGAAGAGTGCGATTGCTGACTTGCATCTGGAGAAGAGGACTTGCTGATCGTAACCGCGTCGTCTGTCACCTTCCCAGCACATTCAATGGTCCCGGCATTTCCTAGTTGAGCTCGAGGATGAACAAGCGCGTCCGCTCCGACAACTCGGAACGCAGGCGGGTCGGAAACGGGTCCCAACTTGCCTCTTTTTGTAGCAAACCTACCAGGTAATCCTTCCGGGACATCGTCTAGGCCAGACTGAGATGATTTCACCCCTTTCCGCGTTGGCGCAGTAAATTCAAAAGCTGTAGAAGTAGGCAACGGACCTAGCTGCAGAGTCGGGGATGTTATAGGTAGTTGGGTTACACAAAAGTCCAGGTCCTTGTCCAGAGTCGGGCGCCATTCGTAGTTCTTCGGCGGACTCGAATCCTTTGGTGTGGGGAAAGTATCAATGTTGATGTTAGTATGGCTGAACGGTGCAGTTGGCTCAGACCGGTCAATATCATCAATGATCTGTTGGAACGTTTGCGGGTATGACGAAGCAATAAAATCTAGATCTTGCTGCGGTAGAACGAGATCACGAAGCAGAAAAGGTGGAACAGGAACATGCGTGGTCGCTTTATCCGATATTGGCAAACGGGACGGACCGGCGTGAAAGAGTCCACCAGGTGCACTAGCTGCCAAGCCATCCAAGAAGCCGGTGAAATAGTCATTCCCAAGTAGATCAACTTCGACCCCGTTTACATTACCGGTCTGATGTCCCTCATCCTCGTATAGAGTAAGCGTTTTGGAGTGTGACATACTTATAGTGCATTCGTGTTACGAGTTATCACACGTGAGAAGTTTTTTCATGACAATCAATGAGCCATCAAATAGTCAAGGTTGGAGTGAAGGTATGCGACAAATATGAAATCTTTTTTAGGCGGCCTCGATACACTCCGGTGAATTTGAGGCTCCCGGATATAGGCACTTACCTAGCAACAGGGTAGCTGTGAATATGCATGTATCAATGGGCACATATGCACATAATGGTACCTAGTAAGCTGCAGCCTATAGCCTGCAAAGGACACATGATGCAGCTACTATGTACTACATAGTACCTAGTAGGGTGCTACCTATGTATGTAGGTACATCAGTGATACTATTGAAGTCCTACATAGTACATACATATGTGCCTAATGCATCCGTGGATATTGGAAGGTGCGTCTATCCATGTATGCATCGTTCAGCAGCGACAAGGAGCATATATGTATTGTACCTAGAAGTATACCCAGAAGTACTAGGCCTAATACAGTAATCGGTGAATGTGCTAAGTAGTTGTTATAGGTACCAATGTACCATATATCATTTTAATTGATTTTGTATCGATTACTATACTGCAACTAGACGAATCTTATTAATAGGAAACAATCACATCACTTTGTCTGCCTCTGTCTGCCTGTCTGCCTTTGTCTACCTGTCTGCCCCTATCTGCCCCATTCGTGTTCAGTCGTGTTCATTCGTCTTTTCCAACTTACATGCATGCCTACCTAAGGCATGTAAGCAGAATCAGTACCTAAAGAATGACCAACATCTTTCCACCCCCTCCCTCAACTCAGGGCTACAGCCTTCGAAAGGCCAATGAAAATGATCTTGATGACATCACAAAAATCCACATCGAAGGATTCGTGGAAGAACCAATGGATAACTACTGCTATCCATATCGGTTTGATCACACCGAGGACCATTTTAGGTGGATGAAGGAAGAGTACCAGTACTACTTGGACAATCCGGAGAAATTTGCGTTGCACGTGGCTGAAGCGCCTGAACAACCCGGAGGAGCTGAAGGGGCGCGACCTAAGCCTATGGCTATAGCTGTCTGGAACACTAACGTGTTGGCCAAAGCTCCCCCGTTAAGTGAGTTATTCTTGTTTCAAATACGATACAATCTCGCTACTGCTGTCTCACTGAGCTGAGATTTGACAGATCGTGGCCTGGACCAGCGGAAGGATGCCAATAAGAAGCATGTTGAAGCGTACGCGAAAGTATCTGGCAAGAGATATCAGCCTCATGGGTTCTTTTACGAGTGGACTGAGAAGCAGATCACCCTCTCTGTCCTTACAGTTCTCCCAAAATTCCGACGCCAAGGAGTTGGTACCATGATGACGAGGTGGGGGATCGATGCGGTTAAAGAAAAACGTTGGCCCGTGACTGTATGCGCAAGTCCAATGGGACGACTACTTTATGCGCATCTCAAATTTGAAGTTATAGGCATTGAGGTTATCCAGGCGGAGGACGAAGAAGAATCATTCTCAAGCACAGTCATGGTGTTGTTTTCGGAGGTCTGATTACAACGTTAGCTTTACGTGAGTTTTAACGTATTAATGGGCCAAGCATTAGCAAAACTCGAAGAAAGTGCCGATGCGAGGAAATGAAAACTCCGAGTCTAATCTTGCTAAGTATCTATATGTCTCCCTACTAGGTAGATATCAAGTTTTATAATGACCGGGTATAAGCGTATACGACTTGTATCAAACGGCCATGCAGATCGAGCCAGGAGAACGAGCAAAGATGCACCACATCTTTGCGAACAGCAAGTGAGTGATTACTGTCAAGAAAGACGGGAGAATGAAATGAGATTAACCACTTAGTCCGCAAAAGAGCAATTTCGGCACTATATTTGACATATAGGCAATACATCATCTGATCAGCCGTTGACCGGCGAGCTTTCCTCCAATCCAGGCTCGTGAAGAATATGCCATGTCTCTTCCCTGGTCCCTTTATTCTCACTTGAGCCATATACATTTTTCCACTCATTTTCGACGGACGAAGGTATACTCCATCCCTGGTCAGGATCCCTGAAATGCATCTTGATAAGATGCCTCTTCATGACACCTTTCCCATCGTCAAATGCCTCGCGAGCGTGAATCAAAGCCATGTCGTTGGCGAAGAGGAGGTCGCCTTTCTTGGGGTGAAGCTTGAACGCATTCTTCATTGATATGAACTGAATAGCGTCCGCGGCCTCGATTTGGGCCTCCGTCGGGGCGGGCAGGTCCGGGTTGCGTTGGCGCTGCCACCCCAGTATTCCGTATCGTGAGAAGCGCAACAAGATGGGTACCTTATCGGAGGCTAGCGTCCGAAGGGGTTGGACATGACGAGGTGGCTGCAAGTCATAGGACTTGAAACTACTACATTGTCAACGACATAATCCCCGAGCATAGGTACCAAAATTTCGAATTCCAAGCAAACATCAATAAACCGAAATGTGCAAGTTCGAGATTGCCTCACCTGTCAAATACCCAAGGCCTTGCCAGCGTATGCAAGACATCTGGTCGGTTGGCTGCCAGCTCATTGTAGGTTTGCCACAAGCTGCTGAGGAGCGTTTCACCACCGTTCAGGGCTGGCTCCATGTAGAAGAAAGCCATGACTTCACAGTTGTCCGTGTGGAATGACTTTCAACTCCTGTCAGATCATGCTTACGTATAAGACATACATTAGGAACGACGTACCAGAGGCGAGTCAGTAAATGCAGGCGCTGTGGTCTTTGGCCCGTCTTCTGTAGCTTGGACATTCACAATGTGTGCTACCGTTATAGATAACTGGTTTAGTAACTGACTGACCGACTCACTGAGCCATACGGGTAGAGTAGGACGGTATACTCACCAACCACACCTTTGCCTTTCACATCAACAAACCCTCGCTGGGGGCAAACGTGAGCACTGACCCCCGCATAAACGATGAGGCTCTGTCTCGGCGTATAATTGGAAGGATCAAGTCCATGGATGAGTTGAAACCCTACACCTTTGTATATTTGATCGGAGAGCTTTCTCAGGCGTTGGGAAAACGCAACTGGCAGTTCAAAAGTTGATGCAGACAGCTCTGAAAGGTCATGATGATTGGCTAAAGCAGGTGCAGTTGATTAGTATAAGATGTGAGAGACGAATCCGTAATTAGCGGAACTCGCCTTCGAACTTTGCCAAGGCATCGTTGATAGCGACGATTTCCTCCGGCGTTAGGTTAAGTCTCCATTCAGATTCTTTCGCTTGGACTTCGGCTCCAGTCCATGCGAGAGGAGAGTCGATATGTTTTGGATATCCATCAGGAACATCCAAGGTGGTCTTCTCCCGAATGGCTTCCTTTTCCCAGAAGCGTTGAATGTAGTTGTCCGAGGCAACGTAAGATGCACTGAGGCTTGCCATGTTGCAATTTGGGTATTCACGTACTTAATGTGATAGAACAAAAAATGACAAGTCGTTATTCATACAAGGTTACAAGCGACGGCGCCGGCCCAGTCGACGGCTTTATCTTGATGCCTTTTATCTTGTGTTACTTGTTGTGTCACTCTGAATATTGTGGATCGGCCGTTGAGGCTCTGCGGGTGACGAGAGTGCGTAGCATGGGACGGAGGTGAAGAACTTGGCATGGAAGCGGGCACCAATGAGTCTCGAGATTGCTTCCCCTTAACTACCCGACCGGTCTGCGAGGAGCTTGGGGGTAATGTATCTGCAATAGGAGAATGTTTCATAGATAAAGTCGGCTGTTCTCCATCTGGCAACATTCTTTCCAAATGAGGTCTCCCCCGTGCCCCTCCAACTCACTCATAGAAGGATGTCGGACTCCAAATCCATCCAGGACTCCATGCGCAACGGCTGGAATTCGCTGCGGTTGGTTTATCGTGCCCTGCAAGATAACGATGCTGACCACACTTTCATGCACGATGCCATCGCCGGTGATCCAGTTGGATTCCCATTGGCGTACCCTGAGGCGTTTCGACCCCAGTCGAAGACTATGACTGCCGGGCTTATTGCCGGGTTGAGGAACAAAAGTCTTTCCGTGGTTATTTGCCTGCCGCCAGGCAACCCGAACGATGAACCAGGTCAACGAAAACAATTGCCGCCGCAAGAGAGAATAATTATGATACCAAGTCAGGCAAAATCATCGATAGAGGTGCCCATCGGGATCCTCACACTGACTGCCCCCATACCAGAGACCCATCAGCATCGGAAGACCATGCTAGGGATCAGCATCGTTGATGCTTATCAGGGGCACGGATACGGTCCGGAGGCGATAAACTGGGCACTCAATTGGGCATTCAAGTTTGGGGGTATGCATCGAGTAGGTATATCGTGCTTTGGGTTCAATGACCGGGGACAGAGACTCTACGAAAAACTAGGATTCGTGAAAGAAGGGACGGTCCGAGAGTGCCTCTGGTTTAACAGAGCCTGGCATGATGAGATCTACTACGGCATGCTAGAGTCCGATTGGGAAAAGCTTCGGTCACTGAAATAATGCATGTACAACGGACACTAATTACATCGCAATGGTATGAGCATCACTTTGGTCTGAGGCGTTAGTTGTCCGGGATCCTGACATTGTCTAAGGAACGCGAAATCTGGATATAATGAGATTTGGTGCTTAGACGATGTCATGTCCGAGAGAACAGAAGCGATACCTAGTTAAGATAACACCAGACGTCTCCCGGACACTAGGTCTATTGCAGTCTAGCATCCGGGGACACCACCATTATTTAATAAACCTCGTCTGGCAAGTTGGCCACCTGAGTAGCTAATAATACCAATATTATAACGTGATATAGTATCGACCTATAGACTGTCCCATCACACGTTTAACTAATCTATTACTACTTTACTGGTCAGATATGATATTTGAGATAGTCGTGCCGAGCAGGTGCTTGAATAGTCCGATGGATACCGATATGTCCCCGATATCTACCTCTACATAGACCCTGAATATTGCCCACACTACGAACTAATCTATCTAAAATGATGCATGACTACTTTTCAGCTGTCCACCTACCTACTATATAATACTACTTAAGTCTATACTATGAGCTTTAAACCGGCTGAAGCCGGGACGTTACACCCAATACACTAATGCGAGAGCCGCTGTGGGATTGAAAAGTGCCTGATCCTACCTAGTACACGAGAAAAAAGTAAAAGTCAATAAATGCCTGTTTAGGATGTGAAATTCTTCAGCTTTACCTACATGTGATATTCGCATATCCGTGGGGTCTCAATCCTCGTCATCGTCATGGCTTTATATCTGGCTAAACGTGTGAAGTTTTCACTGATTATACCCTCTTGGAAAACATGAGGCGGATTAGATTATTGCAGAATCCAATATGAGTTTCGTGACATCAAAGACAATTCTGCATCATGCCGAAGTCTACACGATCATTCAAAGTGATCATTGTCGGTGGTAGTATAGTCGGGCTAATCACCGCACTAGCTCTGGAGAAAGCTGGCATCGACTATGTCGTGTTAGAGAGGGGTGAGATTGCACCGCACCTAGGTGCCTCCATATCCATCTTCCCACACACCCAACGGGTGATGGAGCAACTTGGCATATGGGAAGAAATCAGGGCTGGCATCATTCCGCTGAAAGACCGATATCATTACGATCAATATGGGCAATTATTGGAGAGTTCTGCCGTTTTGCGGGAGATATCGAAGATGTAAGCCGAATTTATAACCTACACCATCGCTTTAGAGAATTAAGCCGCTCACGCAAATGATAGGTCACTCAACAGGTTCACCTCGTTCATGGAACGTAGATTCTGGCTGAATTGCATCTACAATGGGATCCAGAACAAGCCCAAAGTCTTACCTCACACCAGCGTGACTTCATTCCGTGAAACAGAAGACGGCGTTGAAGTAACGACCAAGGAGGGCAAAATCATCCAGGGAGACATACTCCTCGGAGCCGATGGCATCAACAGCACCATAAGGAATCTCATGGCATCCCACATTGCAAGAACGGACGCCACGACATCAGAAGAGATGCGTTCTGGCTTCACAGCCGACTATCGCTGCGTTTTCGGAACATCCCGGAACTACAGCCCGAGTGATAAGGACAAGCCGCTTCTGCCAGGGGGCATGTGCCATAACGTCTACTACCGCGGCTTCTCCGGCGCTTCCGCTGCCGGCGCGGAGGATCTCATCTTCTGGTTCCTGTTCGTGAAGAGCGATCACGCTACCAAAACTCCCAACACCCCGCGGTACACGGAGGAAGAGTCCGAGGCTACCATCAACAAGTATGGTGGCTACGCCGTCGGCCCGGGTTACACTTTCAAGGATCTATGGGAAAGCCGAGTGAGGGCGGCCATGGTGCCGCTTGAAGAGGGCGTGCTGAAGCCGAAGTGGAACACGGGTGGCAGAGTGGCGCTCATGGGCGACGCGGTGCACAAATCCACCGTCAACCCCGGGCTCGGTGGCAACTTGGCGGTGGAAGGCATCGTCCATCTAATGAACGAACTAGTCCCCCTAGTACGAAAGTGCGAATCGGACGGCGGAAGGAAGCCAACGAAGAGCGAGCTTGTTGCGGTCTTCGATCGGTACGAGGTGAAACAGCGACCGCATGCCAACTTCATCGTTGCGTTCTCGGCATACGTTAAGAAGTACGATGCTATGGAAACGTGGTGGTTGAGGGTTCTGCTCCGTGTGTCGCCGTGGATCAGTGATAAGTACAAGGCGGGCCGCCTCGTTAGCTATATGAATGAGGCGCCATGGTTGAACTTTTTGCCTAACCCGGATGAGAAGGGGAAGGCTAATGGTACACAGTAAACCATTAGATGGACTAGATGAATGAACGAGAGTAATATAATGAGTACTAGGTAATTGGGTACCTACATAGGTAGGTATGCAGTCAGTAATGTTTAAGTACATATAATGAGACACCCCTTCATTTATCTACACGGGTCAGTTGTAGGTACCGAGGGATCTATTATCTCCTACCGTCAATGACCTCCAATAAATCCGTAACCTAGGTACCTAGGTAGGCAAATGATATTTGCAGCAAATTACATTACCTATTATCACCACGCTGCATCCTATCCAACCTCAATTACCTGATCATAAGCCCCTTACTACCCACCCCCCATTTCAAAACCCCTTTCACAGTTTCGCCCCCGTCCCTCTCCTCTCCGGCAGCGCCGTCGCCCTCCACAGCCCAACAACCCCCTCCCCCGAATCACCCAAAAACGGATCCCTCTCCGGCCGCGGCACATCCCACGAAGCCCTGAAATCCCCCACATCATCCCCCCCAACCGAGAAGTCCCAGTGCCCGCAGTTCTTCGGATACGCGCCCATCATCGTGAACCCGTCGCGCCGGATCCCCACCAACGCCTCCGGGCCCGGGATCCCGCGCCCCTCCCCCGGCGTCAGCAGGCTGAGCGACGCGGCGGGCCGGGCGTCGAACGTTTTGTGCGCGACGCCCGCGGGGATCACGAAGACGTCGCCCGGCTGGGCGGCAAGCTCGACGCCGCCGTCCTCCTTGGCGCTGCCCCAGGTGTTGTGGTGGAGGTCGGGGGACGTGTCCGCGACGCCGAAGCGGATGGTCGCGGTCCCGGAGAGCACGACCATGGCTTCGTGGATGCGCGAGTGGTAGTGCGAGGGCTGCGTGGCGCCGTACCGGTATATCCACTGCGTGGCCCACGCGTTGCGGTCGAGGGTTTCGTGGATGAGTGAGGGGCAGGGGGAGGGGAGGAGGTTGATGTAGTGGAGGAGGGGTTGTGGGGAGTTGGGGATGAGGGGGGTTGGGGGCAGGTGGTATTGCTTGACTTGGACCATATTGATGAGGATATGTTAATGGGTCGTCACTTTTGAGTAATAACTGTTCTTTATTTTGATACTAGGTATGTAATATCTCTAAGGACTAAATTAGAGGGTTTGCTTGACGAGTCCCTCCATGGTAGATCAAAGTGTGGACGTAATCTAGAGAAGTCAAGCCCCGCACTGCGCTATCATGAGATAAACGATGATACCCTAGGTACCGAGGTATTTAGCGTAGCACCTATTATCAAATCATCTACGAACAGAGACGCGACGGTAAGATTAACGATACCCTCATTATAGGCCTTCAAGATGTTTATAGATTGTGTAGGTAAGTAGTAAAAGCTTAGGTATCCACATAGTAATCAGTAAGGGTGTCACGACAAATGCATGTACATAGAAAATAGGGGCTAAACACAAAAAGACATACACCAACCGAATTTATTTCACTGGTAGGTAGTATGTATCTCTTGGATGTTTAATGTCATTTCTCAGATATCATATCCTACGCAGATCAGAGTATCTCTAACCACGTCATTCTTACTGCTACACCCACTGGTGCTGCATCCTAATCGCATGTGGTTCCCGCAGCGTCCTAGTTAGGTAGGTTTCACGAGGGTTGTCAGACTTTAGGGCCGGGAACTGTCGGATCATATATTGATATCGTTAAAATAGGAAGGTGTCCATACATAAGGCAGCCAGTAGAAAGATCATCCCCTCCCCCCTTTTTAAGATCACATTGTGTAACAACTACCGAGACCAAGCATGCTCAAACTTCTTGGTAGAGCCAATAGCCTTTCACAGATAGCCAACAGATATTGAAAACTTCCTCAAGGATTCCATGGCAGACTCTCCTGTCCTTCAGGTTGTTTCCACACGAAGCCAGGAGGGATCTCGACCGCTCGATTTCGCAGCCACTCCTGCAAGGCATTCCAATCCACGCACTTGTGCATCGCGTTAGAATTCGGCGTTGGGTTCTGATGCTGGAGCACCCAATCATACGTGATCAAGCCTGTGTCAAAGTTGCACATGATGCTCTGCCTGATGTAATCTACACAGTGCTCGAAATGCCGCTCGTACAGCTCCGGCACTTTTTCCACCTTCCGCAGAACCTCCGGGAAGTAGTCGCGGTGGTGGTCTTGCCAGAGAAAGTGCAGACAGTGCAGCTGGTGGGTTCCGACCGCGGACGCCATGTAGCCGCCCCCCGCTTCAGGGGGGAATTGCACTGCGGTGCGGACTGAGTGGTTGGCCTTTTCGTAGTCCGACGCTGCCACTGAAATCATCCCATATTGCATGATCGAGTGCCATGCCTCGTTGACTGCTGGTGTGGGAGGTCCTTTGAACGGCGACTCGTACCAGAGGGACCCGTTGAACCGGACGTTGATGTAGGGCCGAGTGGCCAAGGCAGCGTTGACTGGAGCTGGATCCAAAGAGTCAGCGTAGCAATTGTCTTGTAGGTAGGTACCCTAGGTAGGTAGATAGCTGAACACCTCAGGTTGGTAGAGAAGGGGAAATACTCACAATACCAGTTGTACATATCCCACCATCTCGCAGCCATAAGGGTACCATCATAGATCTGCACCAAGAGGACTAACAAGCTCGCAATAACGACTAAGCTGCCCGTATGAGCAATCCAATGAATCCTCCGCATCCGCTTGTTACCGGCGCAGCATCCACATTCCGCAAGATGTTCCCCTTTACTTTCGATAACAGGCGAATCCAGGGAATGGCGCGAGACCGGCTGATATGCAAACTGCGACGACATAGTTACGGGGTGATAGCCTTCATGGAAATGAAGGAATGATGTCGCAATGGAGATCTGCACAGTTATATCTAGTGATGGAGTCTTCAAACATCAACTATATGTGATGGAGCTTATGAATAAGGAGGAGTTGGGTCGAGACATAGGATGGGAGTACAACATAAATATAGTCGTATTGCATCTTCAGCGGAACCATGCATAATCTAAACTTGACGTGATGTTCTCCCAACATCTAGACGTCGAGATCGATAGGCTACATCCATCTGCGGGGGATGTTACAAGCCGAACCTTAGTAGCAAGCAGATGACCTTCTACCGCATTTGAACCATATGAGGCTACGAGGAAACCCAGGAGAAGAGAGGAGAAGAGTGCCCAGGTGTGTAAGGCAAAGATATAAAGAAGGGAACGCTCACAATGCGACATAATACAGAACCTACCGTACTCACGTTCTCGTCAAACCGCACATTTCTATCTGCAACCCAACTCATACCATTTTAAAACATTGTTTTTTTACCTACATCTCATCCATCCACCATGAAGAGCTTCCTCCTCCCCTTGGTGTTCGCAATGGCAGTTGCCATCCCCACACCCAAGCTGAACAGTATGGCTCTTCCAAATAGTAAGAAGTCAAAGGAAAAAAGTACTAATTGTACTACCTAGATTTCGAATCCGACCCTCTCCTAAGCATTGGGACCCCCGATGAGTCGTCCTATGCGACGAAGCGGGCTACCTTTGAATCGGACCCATTGCTCCAAGTTGGAACCCCGGACGAGTCCTCGTACGCGGTGAAGAGGGAGAAGTTCGAGTCCGACCCTCTGCTCCAGATCGGGGTTGAGTCTGAATCTTCCTACACTCAGTAGAGAAGATCATCGGTTTAGGAATTCGGGCGCCAAGGTATCATGCAATGGAAGTGTAGTTTGCTATGGCTGATGTTTACATGTGGTTGGGTTACATCTGGTTGTATCTATGGACGCTCGTTATGTTCGACTCCAAATTGCTCTAGCAATATTATCCCGGATGTTGAGTCTTTTGTTTCGCGCTGTGGTTTCACAGGATGGGCATAGTTACATCTAAATCTATATCTATGTACTACCAGCCTGCCTACATAAATACTTACCTAGTAGGTTAGCCAGTTGCATAAGAGCCATTTAGGCAGACTCTAAGTGGCGTGTCAATGATTATGCCTACTTCCTACCTCAATTACTGGCTTATATCTACATCGGATTGCGTTATGTGACTTACCTAGTGCCTATTTGCTTCCTTTCGAGAGATGACTGAGTGCCACTGCAACGAAATTCAATTCTTAGGGGGTTTGAATGATACGCCATCAACTGTAAACAACACGTAGTATTACTACTAGGTATGGAGTTGCCTACTTAGGTAGGGCTGTACTTTTTCTCTGATCCTGGTAGGAAAATAGTGACGGTACGAGGAGAAGAAAATAAAGGGGGGGGACATAGGGAGGGGAAAGGGGGAAGATCCATTCCTCTCTCTGCCCCTCCCCCCACTCTGGGTGGAGGCTCCACTATACCACTATAAAGTTCCCACGTAAGGTAAACCTTATTTGATTTCACGTTGTATCTGTGCACACTCTGTCTCACCTAAGTCCTTGGAGTTTGTACTGTACCTACTGTAGGTACTACCTACTGCCAAATGTCAAATGCTACTTCATTTACAGCCCTAAAGATCTCTGTTTCAAGGATTAGTTAGTGGCATGGACTCCATAGCGGGAGCTAATGCAATGCTATTTAGCGGATCCCTGTAGGTATCCAAGTACACCCCTTGTCGTACACCCCTGTCTACAAACAACTTGAGGTGTCTTCACTAAATAGAAACCCCTAGGAAGTGCTGTAGTTCTGTTGCTCTATATATGTACTATGTAGACATCGAATAACCTCGCTCATGTTTACGTTCGACGTATCATTGATGTGGGTTGGATTTTACCTTACGCCTTCGCCGACCGACGTTACTCTACTACAACTTTAGGGGTATTTGTCCAATCCATCTCGTGTCACCCTCCCCTACTACAGAAATCTTTATCGAATTTATTATTGGCCAACATGCATATGAACGTTCGTATCTAACGGCACTGATGAAACCATGACCTTTTGGCATATGCATTCTAATTCGTTCTGTAGGATTGTCTATTTAATATATTCTAGATTGGCGGTCTGAAGTTAAGCCGCTATGCTTCCGTCGGCTCACCAACGACGCTAGTATGCCAGATGCCGCTGTGCATGACTTGTACGTATACAGTATGATCAGATCAGATCTCCAAGAAAACGCCACCATCAACCTTGTCAAATCGGAATGGCGCCCTCGTCGGTTTCTCGCATACGTGCCAGCTTCTGGCAGAAGGAGCTGCGCCTCCTCAAAGCTGGCCCCCACCGGATGAACGCAAACGGGATTGGCGTCAAAGCAAGGCACAAGCACCCCAGCAACGTGCAGGCCCAGTTGGTACCTAGGTTCTCATACAACGGGTACGTCGTGAGCGGGATGAGGATCGCGGCGAGGATGTTGCGCGTGAAGACGCTTGACGCCAGAGCTGATGCACTGTATATGTCGTACGCGTCTGTGAGATAGTTGTTGAGCGCCAAAAAGGTAAGGTCGATGCCCACGCCCAGCGGGATACCGGACAGGGCTGGAACGGCCCAATGGATATTTGGCCGAGCCGCCCAGCCCAGCCAGAACTCGGAGATAGCAAACAGAGGACCCCCGAGACATGCGAGCGGGAGGCGTCGGTACTCCTCTTGCAGGGCCCACGCCTTGCCTTCTTTGACGCTTTTTCGATGGAACCTGTCCCAAGCCACAAAGATGCCAATCGCGATTACTGCACCGATGCCGGTGGGGATGAACATCAGGGCAGAGACGCCATCGGACATGTTGTATGTGCCACGAAATATGACTGGGTACATGCCGAAGTAGAGAAAGAAGATGACGTATTGGTAGAGGATAAACAGGTCGGTGAAGAACACGAGTGGCTCGGAGAGAATACGAATGGGACGGGCAATCACTCTCACCTGCTTCCATAGGATGAAAGGTGGCTTCTCTGACCTGGTGGTATCCTTGATAGCGCGAGCCTGCAGAACCGGTGCTAGTGTCTCCGGCATAAGTAATAGCATGGGCCAATTAACTCCCGCAAGTATCAGCGCGCACCAAAACTGCCACTGCCAGACTCTCGTAGAGGTAAACCCGGAGATTATTGGCCCTACCAGTGGTCCAACATTGCTTGTGAGGCCTAGCATCGTCATGGCCATACCACGTGGCCCGAGATCCGGGTAGATGTCGCAGAAGAGCCCCCCTGAGACCGTCTGTGGTGCTGCTGCACCGCATCCCAACATAAAACGGAAGAATAAAAATACTTCCCAGTTAGGCGCTAGAGCACATCCCAGAGTAAATGCCGTGTATATGGCGAAAGAGACTAAGAAGACTGGACGACGACCCCAGGACTCGGAGAGTGGCGCAAATACGATAGGGCCGAAAACTGCGCAAGAAAAATGTAAGTGGCTAGAAAACGAGATTTCGATGTATGTTGGTTTCTATTATTGGCAAACTGTTGCCAACTTTGAAGTGCATGAGAATATCATTGGGTGTGTACATGTACACGGGCGGGCCAAGGAGATAGATGGTAGGTACTTACTATATCCGACGAGAAAGACCGCCACGGGTAACGGCTTCTGAAGCTCAGAGGTTACCCCAAAGTGGGCGTTCAATGCAGGTCCAGCGCCGCTGGGGAGGGACGAGCCCAGCGTAACATTGAAGTTCAGTAGAATAACGGTCGTGGAGATGAACAGTTTCCGTGTCTGCGTGCAGAGGATACAATGAGTACTGAGGGGCATAACTAATGGTTGGGGAGGTGAACACTTGCCGTAGACATGCCATTTGCAACCACGGTAGGGGTTATGATAGGCCTGGTAGACACTATCTGGACTGCTACAGTTAGCAGCAGGTTCACTGGAGTGAGTGTGGGGGTGGGCATACCTTGAGCGTCCTTCGACACGACGCCTGCTTCAACTTCGCTATCCATCGGAGCAAATAACACGAAGCGCCTTGTGTATAGTAGCCGGTACAACAACAACAATGTAAGGAGCCTTGAATGCAATAAACTGAAAAGAGATCATTCGAGCCCATGGGGATGTCTGTTTGCTGGGAAGTACGGCAGGTAGATTTTATATTGAAGCGATCTTCAATGCAAGGGATGGTGCTGCGACCGCCGAGCACCACAGGCAGTGCTACACTACCTATCAATCTGCCTACCCACTACCCACCATGTATGTAGGTTGGCAGACACTCTACACCCGTGCTACCCTACCAAAAGATCCGACTCTGACAGCCCGCCCGCCGAATGGAACCACCAACACCCACTCACAAAAGGGCCGTACCTAATTTTTACAGGGCAAGCACATGCTGTGTCCCACTACCACCACCACCACCACCACCACCACCACCACTGCGCCTCCCACGTCTCCTCTCCCTCAACACCAACCCCGCGTAGCACAGTGCCGCCACAATCCCCAGCACCGCAGTCGCCATGCACACCGCGTAGCCCGTGCGATAGTACGGCGCGTCCCTGGCCAGAAACGCGAACGGCGCGACGATGCCGCCCGTGTTGCCAAAGCTGATCATCCACCCGGAGCCGATGCTGCGTTCCTTGTGGCCGTGGAGGTTCATGAGGTACCAGCAGATGACGGTGGGGGCGGCGCTGAAGGCGCCCATGCACACGAGGCAGATGCCCGCGTACTGCGCGGAGAAGCTGGCGTGCGTGGTCATCAGGATCGCGAGCCCGGCGACGAGCAGGGCGCCGGGGAACACGACGCACGGGAGCCGGCTGTCCGTTTGGTCGGAGAGGTAGGCGAGGACGAGGCACAGGCCGAGGGCGGCGGCGAATGGAGGGACAGAGTGGAGCTGTGTTTGCACGACCGAGTAGCCGAGGGTCCGCACGATGGTCGGCGTGAAGTAGGCGAATGCGTAGACGGGGACCACGACCGCTGGCAGGAAGTTTTTAGTTTGGTTCCGCGCGTGGCAAAGATGTATACGTGGGGGAACTACGAGGCAAGTACTTACAGAAATACATGATCGCGCCAAAGTAATTCTTGGGGTCCTTGAAGAACCGCGCGACATCTCGGCCGGTAACCTTTTCCTCTAACCCTATCTCAGACCCACCAGCCGTCTTACTCAGCACAACCTGCTTCTCCGCCTCCGAGAGCCAGGCCGCCTGGCTCGGGAAATCGCTGACCAGGAAGAACGCCGCGATCGCAACCAAGATCGTCAGGGTTCCCTCCAGAATAAAGATCCACCTCCAGTTGCTCAAGCCGCGCATGCCGTCCATCTTCTGGATGGCCGAGGCCAGGAGGCCGCCGAACGCCGACGCGAAGATGACGGAGCAGAAGTAGACCGTGAAGCGCTTCTGCGACTCCTGGCGCCGGTACCAGAAGCTGATGAGGTAGAAGCTGCCGGGGAAGATGCCGGCCTCGAAGAGGCCGAGGAAGAAGCGGGTCGCGAGCAGGCCGCTGTAGTTCCGGATGAAGCCCTGGGCGAGCATGACGATGCCGAAGCCGAGGATGCAGGAGGACAGCCACACGTGCGGGGTGAACCGCTTCATCAGGATGTTGGAGGGGATCTCGAAGATGATGTAGGGGACGAAGAATACGGCTAGCGCGATGTTGGGTTGCTGGCCGGTTAGTCCTAGTTCTTGGGGCAGGCTCATGGTGAGGGCATTGGAGATGTTGGCTCTGAGGAGCCATATCGGTTAGTGGTGAAGAGAGGGAAAAAAGGATTAGATAGGAAAAGATAGCATGTAAAGCCGTACCGGTCTAGAAACGCGGCGACGTAGATGAGAAACAGCATAGGAAGCACGCGCAGATCAATCTTGCGCATCAGCTTGGCTGTCTCTGCCTCCGATAAGGTATCCTCCGAGGGTAACGTCGAAGTCGACCCGGTCACATCACCATCTGAACATGTTAGTTAATCTGCATAAATGAGGACAGGTAGGTATGGTCGTAGTGGCACACCTGGTATACCCATCTTCGAAGAGGGTAACTTCGGGGCTGAGGGTGGCTGTTTGAAAAATGGTGAAGTCACAGCAGCAAATTAATTTAGAGGCCGACAGGAAATTCCCACGTGGGCTACGAGAATAATATGGAAAGCGCGTGATAAAACTGCAAGGCAGGACAACCTTCTAATATGTAGGTACTTTGCGCTCGTATAAACGAATAGTCTGCGAAGACCGAGTAGCAGCCGGTAAGTAGGATTGGGAGCCGGGGCTTTCAGCTGTGGAAATGCGCTGCAGAATATGAAATGGAGAGCGTTAGATAACCCTGTTTTATGCTACCACGCCGTGGTTTTGAGTGGTAGGATGGAAGGTTGCTGCAGGCGGCTTGCATGTGGAAGGTGGTCAGCTCATGTGTGCTAAAGCCATAAAGGAGCAATCCTACCCCGACGGCCTCAAGGCTCTATCCTCCTCGCGACCAACACAATTATAGGTTATAACTGGAGCTGGACACCATGCTCTCGCGTCTGTAGGCACACATCTTAATACTTCGGAATCGCCGAACAAGTGATTTTACTTTACCATGGCATCCCTTGCGCCATCAAGTACACTATCGCTGACCCCTAATCCTACCTTTACACCGTCCCTGCAACCGCCACACAATGCTGTATCGAATCCCGATCATCCAGAGACTCTGATTCCGCTCGCCGACATAGCAATAGGGATATGCCTTCCTTTAATCACCATATTCTTCGTCCTACGATGTTATGTCCGTATATTTATCAAACGCTCCTGGATCTTTGAAGACTTCCTGGTCACAATCGCCTGGGCAGGCACCGTGGCCTACTGCGGCATTATGAGGGCCACCATGTCTCATCACGGTGGCCAGCACGGTTGGGATATCACCGTAGATGAGCTCCACCAAGCCTCCTACTGGTTCAACGTTGCCGCGATCGAATACGGAGTAATGATAGGCATGACCAAGCTCGCGGTGCTGTGGCTCTATCGGCGCGTCTTCTCGCCGATCCGGTGGAGTATGTTTGACATCGCGATCGTGACTCTAATTATCCTGATTATCGGCTTCTACGGGAGCACCACCATCGTTAAAATCTTCGAGTGCAACCCGCGCGACAAGATCTGGAACAAGGACTTGCCCGGAAAGTGCGTAGGAATGAATTGGATACTGAATGTTAGTGGTGGCTTCAACACGGTGACGGATTACTTGATCTTGCTGCTCCCCATTCAAGCGGTGCGAAAACTTCAGGTGGATAGAATGAAGCGACTTTTGATTGTATTGGCATTCACCTTTGGTCTATGGTATGCGCCCCCTTTTCCCCACGATGTGCTTCGATCTAGACAGTCATACTTATTGTGGCCAGTGCCCCTATCTTTGCCACGATCGGCTTCGTCGTCCGGTTGAAGAATAGCAGTAACCCTGATACATCGTGGAAACAACCAGAGATCCTTCTCTGGGGAACGGCAGAACTCGCATCTAGTAACCTGTGCGTCTGCTTCCCGGAGCTTGCCGTCCTGTTCCGCAAACGCAACCGGATCCGCTCCACGCCCCGTCGCCCCACTGCTTCGGAACTTATTCGCTGGAACGAATCAAACCACGTACATGTCAAGCCAATCCAGGACCCGTATCTGCCGAAGAGTCTCATGAGCACGATGTTTAGCACGAATGGTGATGGGCCGTACATGGAACTGCAGGACCATGGTCACGATGTTCAAGTCACAGCTGCAAGGGCGGGTTCCCGAGGAGAGAAGCCGGAGGAAGGGGTTGTGGTGCTACGAAATGAAGTGAAGGTTGAACGTCAGTGATAATGTTTCGGTACTTGTAATTGTTCGTTGGCCATATTTCTTGTAAGGGTTGATGAGTCGGCTTCTTCGTTTTCTTTTCCTTCCCTTTCTTGAAGTCAGCGTCGCTTTTGTCTAAGAATGTAAGTGGTACATATGTCTACTTACATGTAGGTACCCGAGTGACAATGTACAATACATAAGCACCTATAAGTTATCTGCAGTAGCACAGCGAATGCAGGGATGAAAAGTGAAATGTGACATCCATGAATAGCCGTTGAATTGTTGTAGCAAAGGTGGAAATCTTGAATTTGATTGGGTACTACAAGAAGGATCTCAATGTCATTCATTGTAGCTCGTCCGTACGGCGGCATAGTACTGCGCCGAACAATGTTACTAGGTAGTTCCAACATGGAACTTTTGAAGTTCAAAGGATGTTATAAATACTTTTACCAACGTTGTAACTCATCCCTTTTTTCACTTTTAATAACTTACTTACCTATCTCCTACATATGTAATACCCGTCTCCTCAACTCGCTGTTTGGAATGGCTTTTCGTAATTCATTAGCGAGGATATCTTATATTTCTACAAGATATACTTCTCGAAGCTTGTCAGGCCGCTCGAGTGCACTGTCACCAACCTTGGCGCCTCTCTTACCCTTAACGAATAGGTCTTGTATGTCGCTACCCTTCACATCCAATTCCGCCTTTTCAACTACAAATCAGAACATGCAGCCTCCAGCCAACAAAAATACAGAAGTAGCTTCGCCTCAAAACAATGCCGAATCGTATGTAATTTCATCATTACACGCTGTGTGTCCTACGTGATTGATATAGGAGATTTATCTTTTAAGTAGCTATACCACTGCGTTTGCCCTGTTTGAGGCACTCTGGGAAGTATGCAGCCCCGGATTCCCGTAATGTGATTCTCATGCTTATCCTATTTCAAAGGCCGACATCACGGCATGTTTCGTCAATGTTGGCTCCGATCACCCCTCCATAATTGAGGCTATCGTTAAAGGCAAGCGAGAGCGGCCCAACTCTTGGCCTAGGATGATCACATGTCCTTCCGAAATCACTGCAATTTCGATGGCCGATGGCTATGCTCGGGTTACGGGACGCCCCCAAGCCGTCCTGGTACATGTCGACGTGGGTACACAGGCTCTCGGCCAAGGTGTTCATAATGCCAGTGTCGGACGTGCCCCGGTATTCATCTTCGCCGGCCTGTGTCCGTATACAGAGTCAGGTGAGCTTACCGGCTCGAGGACAGAGTATATGCACTGGTTGCAGGAAGCGCCAGACCAAAAGGCCATCGTGCGACAGTACTGTAGGTATGTAGGTGAAGTTCGCACGGGGCTAAATATCAAACAGACAATCGGGCGCGCACTCCAATTCGCAAGTAGCACTCCTAAAGGCCCAGTATACGTCGCGGCCGCGCGAGAGGTTTTGGCACAAGATATTGAGCCATACTCATTAGAACAAGCACAATGGATGCCAATTGGTCCCAGTGCGCTTCCAGTGGACGCGATTCACGATATTGCCACCGCGCTCGTAGAAGCCGAACGCCCGCTCATTATCACAGGGTACTCTGGCCGCGATCGCCGAACACCAGAGCTTCTAGTGGCCCTGGCCGATCTCATTCCCGGGATACGCGTCCACGATACCGGCGGCAGTGACCTGTGCTTCCCCTCCTCGCACATCGCATCCGAGGGCTTCCGTCTCAGCTTCGATGACTGCACCAAAGACGCCGACGTGGTCTTCCTCCTCGACTGCGACGTCCCCTGGATCCCGTCTCGGAACCCTCCCCCGAAGACTGCCAAGATATATCACGTAGATTGTGATCCACTAAACCAGCAGATCCCCGTTTCCTTCTTCCCCGCCCACGGACGCTGGAAAGCGGAGAGCTTTACCGCGCTGACGCAGCTGGTCGACTATATCAAGCACGACGCCTCGCTTCGAGTAAAGCTCCGAGATCCCAAGTACGTTACGCGCGGAGAAACCCGCGCCAAGGCCCACGAGGCCCGCCTGGCCAGCATTACTTCGCAACCTCGCTTGAGCGACGACGCACCGCTGGACGCCCACAACATCGGCAGCCTCCTCAAAACCTTACTCCCGGACTCAACGACCTTCGTCGTCGAGGCCGTCACTGCCGCGCAGGGGATATCCGACCAGCTGCAGCTAGACCGCCCAGGGAGCTGGATCAACTGCGGAGGAACCGGAATCGGGTGGAGCAATGGCGCGGCGCTAGGCGTGAAGATGGCGCTCGCGGATCTGGAAAGGGGCGGAGGGGGGAAGCCGAGCCTGGTGTGCCATATAGTCGGGGACGGGAGCTTCATGTGCGCGGCGCCGTCTAGTGCGCTATGGGTCGCGAGCAAGTACAAGATTCCAGTTTTGACGATTGTGTTGAACAATGGGGGTGAGTCACGTTTTCTCATAACCCCATACCCCTTTATATCCATACCTAGGGAAGCATCTGACTCACGCTGAGGGGCAAAGGCTGGAAAGCCCCTCGGAATTCGACGCAGCTCGTATACCCCAACGGCCTAAACAGCTCGGCAACCGACGACGAGATCAATATCTCTTTCCGCCCGACGCCGAACTATGCTGCTCTGGCGGAGGCGGCGGCGGGGTCGGAGGTGGGTTGGGGAAATGCGGATGATACGAAGGGGTGGATGAAGGGTGTGCGAGCCAAAACGGTTGGAGATTTTAAGGAGGCTCTTCAGAAGGCAGCTGTAAGGGTTGCTGATGAGGGCAAAGGAATGCTAGTCGAGATTTTGATGTAGACGTAATATCTACATCACCAGGTAGGCAACTAAGTATGAGGTAACCTTGGAAATTAGGCACTGACATTAATGCCACCTAATATTGAAAGTTCTACGCGATTAAGATCTAGTATAAATGATTACTACCTGCATATACTCAACCCTACCATGCATCTCACTGTAGACTCCGTACCTAGCTCACATCCACAACCACCACCTCCGGAAACTCCCCATCCGGCCCCTCCAAAATCCCCTCCTCCCTCCCCCCCAACACCGTAAAATCAAAGAACGCCCTCACATACGCATTCAGCACCTTCAACATCCTCAGCCCCTCAATCGTCCCCGTATCCTGATCCGCACCCGGCTGCACCGTCTTCCAGAACGCGTCGTCGCAGAAGTCATGGTGGCTCGTCCCATTGACCAGCATCTTCCACCTCGGGCCCGTCTGCCACACCGGGAACGAAACCCACGTGTAGTCGCCGCCGTCCTCCCCGCCGTGTCCCTCGTTGCCCAGCAAGAACGACGGCCTCCGCACGTCTGCGGCGGAGCTGTTCAGCGCGGGGGCCCCCCACATCGTGCCGTCGAGGTTCAGCCCCGCCACGAGAAGGCCGCCGCCCTCGCTCTGCAAAGAGCCGAGCGCCGCCGCGCCCCCGAGCGAGTACCCCAGGGCGCCGACGTTCGCCGTGCTGAGCGGCAGCTCTCCGCCTCTCGCCAGGGCCGGGAGATGCGTGCTTAGAAAGGCGGCGTTGTCGCCGACCCGCATGTCGTAGAGCGCCGTGAGAAGGTCGCCGGAGCCGTAGTCGATGTCGACGCCGAAGACGCCGGTGCCGTTCGGATACCGGATGAACGGCTGCTCGAAGGGGTGGTCGAGCCCGATGACGGCGTACCCGTGCGACGCGAGCTCGGACAGCAGGATCGTGCTTGCTTCGACGGGGGGCCCGCCGCCGCCGGGGCCGAAGAGGATGGTGGGCAGTGACTGGCTTGCCTTCCCTGCAAGCTCCTTGGGGTCGAGGATGGAAGCATTGGGTTGGAGGGTGGAGGTAATGGATGCCAGGGTGCCGTTGGTGTAGTTCCAGGACTGCTCGAAGGACGCGGCGGTCTCGGGGTTCAGGTATGGGAGGAGCGGGCCTTGGTGCTTTTGGAGAGTGGGGTAGAAGATGGTGGCGAGAAAGGCCGTGCTGACGTTGTTTGGGGCTACGGGGTCGTGGGTGTTGAGGTGCTCGATGGTGTACTTGCGGACGCCGACGTTGTAGGGCCCGGTGGGAGGTGGGAGAGATGGTGGGGTTGCGGTAGAGCTGACAATACCGGATATGTAGATGATGGAATATAGCGTGGGGGTGAGCATATTCAAGTAATTGGTCCTCCAGAGACCCGGAAAGTTGGGCGCCATCGTGAGTTTTTGTGGTATGAATGCTCAAATGATGGAAATTGACTAGAAGGTTGAGAGTGTTTTGATGATAGTTACATGCCGTCATTATATACACGGAACTCGGTTCATGTGGTCGTGTGACAAAGAATTGGTGGCTTGAAGGAGTCGAAAATTAACGCTACTTATAGAATATTCACGTGTAACATCATCGAAGTCAGCGTCATTGAAGAGAGAGATTGGCTGTATGTAAGCTCTATATGCACCCGATCGAGCAATACCCCTGAAGGCTAATCGGCTCCGAATTTTCAGGAGACCATCATCACCACTTCTCCGAGATGTCCGAAATATCAATGTGTGAATGTTTCACAAGCGTTCAAGACATAATAACCATTTACAATGAATGATAGATTATTAGTTTGCTTCCTCAACGAGATCCTCTCCCTAATATTTGTTCATGATACCGACCGCGCTTGTAAGCCCTCACTCCCACCTTACTCTCCGCATAGTAGCGCAGCTGCAAGCTTCTAGATTCCCAAGACATAGCATATCAAATGAAGCCCAAGCTAGTCACTTCGCTCAATATGGAGCAGGCTATTAGGTCGCAGCCTGGACGTGGAAAGGGATGAGGTACGTGGCCGACATGATATTGCCACTCGTGTACGATGCCTCCCACCTATACACCCACTTCTCCCCTTCACGGCCTTGAAAGATTTCGATCGGCCAGGTATAGCTCCCGTCGGCGACCTGTACAGCTTCTAATGATTTTCAAAACGATCAGCAACCTCATACTTATATAGCAAGGTCCAAGTCACACCAGAAGGCCACAAGAATGAGATCTCAGCACTCACCAGCGATAAGAGTATACACATCTTGGAAGTCGTAAGTGTCATTCATGCCGTCCTTTACAAGGATCGGGACCATCAGTTCGGTGACGAGCCTCAGCCTGAAGCTGTCCACGTGGTCTTGTCCATCGGCTTCGAATCTCAGCACGTAGTTGGTGCCCTCGGTGAAATATGTGCCGGCCGGGTCATCGTTCAAGAAACGGATGGCTTGTGCGACTCCGGCGAGAAAGGGGGTGAGTGTCAGGAACTTCATTGTGGATCGGATCGATTATTGGTTGCTGTCTTTCGTTGACAATGGAGTGAAGGCGATCTGGCAGCTTCAGCATCATAAACAATGAAGAAGCCAAAGTGCTTTATATACTTGGCTTGATATATTCACTTGTTCGGATCTTTTCACCATAAGCTGGAGGCTGTATAGTAATCTACCACCTGCGAGGTACCTAGATTGCCTCCATACCTTGGGCTGGTGCGTAGGAATAGCGACGGCTCGTCCCGCATCAAACCCACCTACTCCTATTCTTAGATACTAAAGGCTTGGCATGCATCTACAAAAGACCCAGGTTTCCATTTAAGGCTGAACCTAAAGCGAAGTTTGCATGCTTACTACTAGGTTTGCGTATATAACCGGCCAAAAGTTCGTTACATAGTGTCGAGATGATGAGGTGTCAATTGGTACTACTAGTAGTAGTATGTTCAGAAAAATGCCCGAGTTCAAGAAGAGTTACTAATAATCTTGCGACTGGCCAAGTTCTGGAGGGTGCCCGAGTGGTGGGTTACAAGGTTACATCCATCGATTTGTATTGCTGTATTGTAGATGTATTCTCGTGATTAGAACCCCTAAACCAAAGCGGACTGTCCGTAAATATAACGATACCTATGTCTACAGCTAAGCTTATATAATGCCCAATGTGATTAACAGAGAGTTCAGGGAAATGGAGGACAGACTAGTAACTAGATGCTAATGGCGTATCTTCGGGCTACCTGAACAGGATGGGTAAGGCAGAACGGGAGATATTACTCAACGCGCCCTCCTCTCATCAACCTACCTAATACCTCTAACTTGGTACGTTACGTAGCTACCTTTCAATGATAGGTAGACTAGAAGTCTTGTCGTCCAATTCCTCCTATGCTAGAGTGAGACGTAGTTTGTCATGGAGGAGGGCACCGCCTACAGTTGGAGACGAGAACAATTCTAGGGAAGACAATGATTCCAAAGACGGCAATAAGTACCAGTGTTCATGTTTTTTCTTTTGAGATACTAGTACGACTAAGCCAGGCATATGTGTGCTTGAAACGACATCTCCATCATGATGTCTTTCTATAGCTCTAGGCTTATCTACCTAGTTTTTGACCGTGGTTCATAATGGAAAGCTTATCATGAACGGGCATGAAACATCAGTACGCGGAACCTGGAAGACGCAAAACAACATCGTCGTGGCGCGAGGATCTGTAGCATCTCCTCGGATACTAAGGGGTCGACATATATATAGCCAAGCTTACGTAATCATACAAGAGGAGGTGACCGAGATACTGACTTCCCTAGGAAATTACCCAACAACGATTATCTCAACGCGCCTCGGTTGCTTCTTGCTTACAAGTGCTTGATGCTAGAACGTGGAGATTGCCAACGATGTCAGAATTGCTCTACAGATGTGTATTTATCTAATACGTGGGTACGTACATACATAGTAGATACTAGGTACTAAGGCAGGCATCCATTAGCACGCTATATATCCAGTACCATAGTACATGTAGGTAGGTACGTCAACTGGAAAGCGCACTTTAGTGTAACTAGTAGCATATGCGTATTTTGGGTCTGGATGGATGCCTGCCTGCCTTCACAGGTTGGACCTTCCCACATACAATGTACAGATGTATGTATTCCAAGTTCCAGACCTGAGACTTCAATCATTGATCCCTTTTAGGTACCCAAGTACATATGCAGACCCTAACGAACCTTAAGGTTAAGCTCCTAACACGCACCTTCCTATGCTGCCTTCCCTGTCTTAGGAATCAACTCTTGGTGTTTGGCGTTTGGCATCTCCCTGCCTTAGGTGCCTACCTAGTAATGTACACCACACACTTCCCAGTTCCACCTCTCTTCTCAGCTCAGTCATTACCTACTATTATCCTTCCGTTGTTTACTTCCATCACCTCTATTTAACCTCCAACGTCAAACTACAGGAGGACTTTCCTCTATCCACGTACACATAACTCGTCCTTTCCAATCTCACATCGTCAATATGGCGACCACCAGAGAATGGGGTTGCATAATCGAGCATGAACAACAGAACATCATAAACCTCAACAAGTCTCTGTTGGGCCAGAAAAATAAATCGAAGAAATCACGCCCAGAGCTTGAAAAGGCATTCGAATCTTCTGTAAGTTAATCCTCTTATACCTACACACTAGGTGATCGCCGAGCTCATCATTCAACTCAGCTTCCTTTCACCGAACTCGTCGCTCGCATGCGAGATGATGACATGTTTCATACCAACATGCGCCCATGGCTGATCGATGACACCTCGCATCAGCCGTCCGCGCGTCCAGCCGCTATGTTGAAGCCGATCAAGATTAAAGACTTGTGTATCGGCATCACCCATTCGCAGAGTGTGGCAATCTTGAGAACTTTCACGAACGCCAAGTTTGACCGCTATCTCTGTGCCGGTGTTGAAGACTCTTCTGCTTCCGTCGACTGCATTTTGTTGCACAACACCGACCCCTTTCTACGCCCGAACCAGATCTTGCCCAAAGGGATCGTCATTGCTGTCAAGGAGCCCTGTTATCGTGTATACCCGAACGGCATGCACGCCATCGTCGTAGAGCATCCTTGTGATCTGATCGAGCTCGATGTCGGTAGCCCTTTGATGCCTCCAGCATGGAAAGATGCCGTTTTGTCCCTTGTCCCCCGCGGCGCTGAGAACTGGAAGAAAGAGGGAAACACCGCACTGAAAAAGGGCCATTACTTGAGCGCCGCCCGAGCCTACACGGTGGGAATTTCGATTTGCAAAGACGGCGATTCCCAGATTCGTTGCGATCTCCTGCGTAACCGAGCCCTGGCCAATCTATCTCTTGGGCGATTCCAGCAAGCTCGCGAGGATGCCTTGGCATCATGTATTTCGGATGATCACAGCGATAAAGCTACAAGCGCTCTCAACATGAAGGCACTTTATCGCGCCGCGCGAGCCTCTTACGAGCTACGTCAATTCGAGGAGGCTCAAACTCACCTGAAGAGTGCGCTCGCTCTTGCTCCAGAGAGCCCTGACAGCAATGTGTTGCAGGAACTCTCTCGAACCGAGGCTCGTATCGCCGAGGCCGCAACGGGCAACTACGATTTCGAAGCCATTGACAAATCCATCAAAGTGGGCCACACTCGAGTTGACGCTGCTGATTTCATCGCCAACACCAAGTTGAAGGATCCGCGAGGCCAGCCGCGCCGAGGCTTGGTAGCGACCAAAGATATCCAGATGGGTGAGATCATCCTGTGCGAGAAGGCGTTTTGCGCCGCCTTCTCTCACGATGGGCCAGCACAAGCCCACAACAATACGGTCTACAATGACAACACCAAGCAATCCTGGGTCGGTGCCTACGCAAGAATTGTTCCCATGGTAATCCAGAAAATCATGCACAACACATGCATTGCCAAGCCCGTCTTCAACCTTCAGGAGCCTCGTCCAGCGGGCCGCCGCAAGTGTCGACGTATCGACGGCCAGACCGTGAGCAACAGCTTCGTCGTCGAGGCCATCCTCGGAAAGAACAAATTCGGACTGGCGGGGACGCGCACGCGTGATGAGCTGCGACGCTGGTTCAACAATGGGGGGCGGAATTACTGGGATCCTAATGAAAAAGGGCCGCAGGACATGTACAATGCCGGCCACTTTCCCTACGCCTGCTTGCTCAACCACTCCTGCCTACCCAATGGCATTCGCTCATTCATGGGGGACTTGATGATAATTCGCGCGGCCAGAGACATCAGAGAAGGCGACGATATCACCATCTGCTACAGTTTGCCACGACGGCCCAAGACTAAAGACTATGCAAGGGTACTAAAGCTTCTCTACGACATCACCTGCACGTGCGATATTTGCAAAGCCGAGGCTCGTTGTCCAATGGATCAGCTCAACAAGCGAAATTCCTTCTTTGACCGGTACAGAGTATTCTTCATGCGGTTGATGATGAGCTTTGTGACACAGCCATCGTGGGGTGAGGCAATATATCTTAGGGCCGGATTGAGAAGCACGTACATCCCGTCAGTCTACAGCAGCCGCCTCCCGCGTCTTGCGGCTCTGAATATCGGCACGGTGATCATGATAAACAGCTCAATGAAGCCACACGGCGTGGACATAGTAACCTTCTATGGCCGCATTCTCGCTTTCTTACGTGACTGTGGGTTTGCAATTACCGTCTACTCGGAAAGTGAAGGACTAGAAATTAACGCGTCAAAAGCTGTGCAATGGGATTATGTTGTAGATGCGTTTGCGTATTCGAGCGTGCTATGCCAGAAGATGAACAAGCGCGTTTTAGGTGAGAAGTTCGGCGATTTTGCTGAGCTGATGTGGCAAATATACACGGGAACCATGTTGGGATTCGACAAGATGTTTCCACATGTTCGGGATTTCAACAATGCAAGTCTAGGGTCTTTCTATCTCGATGATCGCTAGGCTTACATTTGGCCATGGATGGATAATGAACAAATCGGAATGCAGATGATGATGATGATGCGGTTGTAATAACGTAGGTTGTCAATGCTCAGGAACTCAACTCAGAATTGATAATTTAATGAAGTGTTTGCGTCTGCACAGGCGGGGTTCGGCATAATCGTAGGAAGAAGTCCGAATCGGACTGCCGGTGATGTGGAGTATAGCCGTTCGATCACGACGGGCTACTAGACCCAGTTAGTATGGTGAGATTACTAGTCAACCCGGCAATAGCTTCGGAAGGTGGGGTTACAGACATTGATTAGAAGGATTCAGGACTAGGCAGCTATTTACCTAAGGTTAGTTAAGTACGAGCTGAACTCGGATACCGTAGAATATGGAATCGCCTATAGTATAAAGGGATCTCTCATTCCAGGCAGGTAGGGGTATTAAATCTCACTTTTCACAACACATACCTACCTCGTTAGCACAATTGATATATCATCAACTTAACCACCCACCTAATCCACAATGAGCGCCCCCTCCCCCACCAACGACCGCGTGGTCATCACGACGCACAAGCCAGACGGAACCTCGGTGTTCCAATCCGACCGCTCCGTCGCCCCCTTCTCGCCCTTCGGGGCGGGGAAATCGTCCTTCTCGGTGCTAGACACGCGGGCCTCGGTGCCGGTGAACAATCTCGAAGCGGCGAAGGAGTTCTCTGAGACGCTGCCGCGGACGCCGAGCGGCGGGGTGACGTTCTGCGTGACGAACATGGCGCCGGGGAGCAGCGCGCCGATGCACCGGACTGCCACGATCGACTACGCGGTCGTGGTGTCGGGCGCGGTGGTGCTGGAGCTCGACGGCGGGGAGGAGAAGACGGTCAAGGCCGGAGAGTTCATCGTGCAGCAGGGCGTCAACCACGCGTGGCATAATCGCACGGGGGAGGTGTGCAAGATTGCGTTTGTGATGGTCTCGGCGGAGAAGATTAGGTTGGGGAGTGGGGTTGAGTTGGAGGAGACGGTGTTTTAAATGAGTGCAGATGAGGGAATAGGGGGGGGGTAGATAGCTGATGAGCTAATCACGTGTAACTAACCTCCAATTTAAAAGGCCTAGGCTCTCAGGGTCCATTTCCTTCTTAAACAATTGAACAAATCAAATAAAGAGATCAATTAGAAAATAAATCATCAACATTTCAATTGACTTTTTAAAGTTCCGCGATGTGACGTATGAGGCGGAAGGGTCATCTTAGTTATGCGGGCCATCGAACAATAGTAGATCTTTTCAAGATTTATTACTCGATTAGGTGCTGTTGATGGTGGTGTGTGGTGTCGACAGCGAGGGTGAGATGGTTTATGGTTGGAGATAGCTCTCTCCTCCCCGCATTTTAAATGTCAGCTATTTTCCCTAGGGTGGTTTTTCCCCAGACGGACGAGAGTGGATCGACAGCGTATGACGTCCGGATGAACAAATCCAACAGAAGGTTCGAGCGAATCGAATAGGCAATGGGATGGATGCTCGACACTTATTCATTCCCATAGCGTCGCACGCCTGTCGTCAAATATGAAGTCACCCCATCACGAGACAGTCAGCAGTTTGGAGTAGGGTGGGTGACCTACCTTTCGGGGGCGAAAGAGCTATATAGAGCTCCCAAGCTTCCTCTAGTTTCTCTCCAGATAACTTTCAGACATACTCAAACCAAAGCAAAACAAACCAACAACTAAATCAACTATCTCAAGACAATACTTGAACAATACTTGCAATCATGCCTGCGGACGAGCACGGATTAACCGACAACGCTGTCATGGAGGCCCACGACATGATACATCATGCCGAACAAGAAGAGCATGAGTACGAGGCCGCCATGAAGCGAGGCATCACGGATGAAGCCGCCGAGGCTGAATATACCTTCATCCACGGAGCTGAGCAGCGAGCCGCTCGAGAAGAGGTAAGCCCCCCCCCCCCCCCCCAACATTGCTCAACTTAGTCCCTACCATTGGCTAAAACTTTTCAGCAAAGGAGACGTCACTCTATTAGCAAGGTCAAGAAGACCTTGGAGCGGTTCATTCCGGGGAAACATTAAACAAAGATGCTTGGCTAGCAGAAAGAGAAAGAGATTGAAACATTGCTGTGCTGGGCGGTGGTGGCGGATGATGCATTGTACGATACGTTGTTATGGTTTACAATGATGATATCCCCGTGTACTTTGAATACCTACCTAGGTACTTTTCATTACCTACATGACTCCTAGGGAGACTTGTGTATGAGAGCATACGAATATTAATTATCCCATGAGTATACCATCGTGGGCGCTGATATTTATCTACACGTACCTATGTGCCTGTATAGCTGATAAAGCCCATTGCCACTCATCAACACTTTTTGCTGCATAAATTTGCCTACCTACTTACCTATAGTAGGTAAGCAGGCAGGTACTCAGTAATGTCCCCATGCTCAAGACAAATCATTCCCAGGACCACCATCATGGCAGCACCAAGTTTAGGCTATTATTCAACACAACAACAACAACAGCACCACCACTGACTTACTACATTAGGACGATGCCAACGCGCCGTCGCCCAATCTGTAAAAATGACCCCGCATCTAGTGATTCGATTGGCAGCGTTATTGAGTTTAAAGGCACCTAGGTACCTAGGTAATTATTGATATATATTCCCAGGTGAAGTTGAAGGTGTCCATTCCGCGAAGAGCTTCCGCATCGTCACCGTCCATCGATCATTACCTAGGTACAAATCATCTCCTAGAACTCCGCACGCAAGAAAAAAAAGAAACAAAAAAGAAACATGATCGCAACCATCGCGCCAACCCATCCACCTCCCACATGGGACCCCCCCGCGGACAACCTCGCCGCCCCAACAAAGCCCCAGCCTAACCGCCACGACGTGTCGACAACCATAAACTACTACAAAGACCCAGGCGATGGTTCGGCACCAATGCCCATCGTGATCGCCGAGTCAGTTCTGACCACTTCTCCACCAATCCCTCCCCCCTTCCCTCCCTCCCTCCCTCCCTCCCTCCCTCCCTTTCTCCACCTCAAGCACTAACACCAACCCCAGCAACACAGTCCGCAACGAACGCCCGCACACCCCGCGCCCCACCACCGTGCGCGACGTGACGGGCTCCGAGGCAGCCTACACCCTCGACGCGCAAGGCTTCCAGTACGTGCGACACGCGAGCAAGCTGCGCGGGCTAGCCGACTTCCAGGACGACGCCCTGGTGAGGGGGGAGTACTACCCGGAGGCGGTGCGGCTGTTGAAGGATGTGTGAGTTTTACTCCTTACCTCCTACCCCCCCCCTCCCAAAAAAAAAAGGGGGGGGGGGGGAATCTACAAAATGAGATGAGACAAGGTAGGTAGGTACCCAGAAACTAAGGTCTCCAAAACAGCACAGGCGCATCCCGCATCTTCCTCTTCGACCACAAGACCCGGTGCGGCCCCTCCAACTGGCACAAGCTCGGCAAGGGGAACCGGTCCTCGCGGGGCCCCCTGCTGCGCGCGCACGTGGACCAGTCGTACGCGGGCGCCGGGCTGGTATTGCGGCGGTGGTTTGCCGATGAGGCGGACGAGCTGGTCAAGCGGCGGTATCAGATCGTTAATGTGCGTTTACTTACCCCTTCCACCCCTTCCATCCCCCCCCTCTCCTCTCCCATTTGCCCCCATCTCCTCCAATGTTTCCATAGGTACCTCCTTCAACAAAAAAAACCAAAAAACTCCATCTCTTCTCATCCGAAAAAAAAAAAAAAGGAAAACGAGAAGTTAACCGAAAAAAAAAACCAACCAGCTATGGCGCCCCATAAAGCCCATCTCCAAGTCCCCCCTCGCCGTCGCGGACGCCACCTCGATCCCGGACACCGACCTAATCCCCGGATCGATAATCTACGGGTCGCCAGCAGTGGACCGCGACGAGACCTGGACCATACTGCCCCCGTCCCCGCACCACCCGCACCGATGGTACTACAAGCACGGGCAGCGGCCGGACGAGGTGCTGCTGATCAAGTGTTTCGACTCCTGCGAGACGGCGGCGGCGCGCCGGGTGCCGCATACGGCGTTTGAGGACGCGGAGGCGGTGGATGGGGAGGATAGGGAGAGCATTGAGACGAGGGCTTTGGTTTTCTACGACTAGATGCTTTACCTAGGTGCATACCTACCTAGGTATTTAAACCATCTGGGTACCTATTATAGACAATATGATGAGTTGAGTGAGCTAGGTTAGGCTAATTCGTGCTGCTGCGCTGATCAAGTAAGTTATATACGTGAACTGATATGTGAACTGGGTTGATTAGCAATTCCTATCCATAGTTAAACAGCGTGAATCCAGACCCAGATAAGTAAATAATTATACACAAAAGAGTATTGAGGCCCGGTATGCAGGTACCTAGACTAGAAGGACATCAATTTGGTATCATCAACATCAACATCAACATCAAACAGTGTGTGCAATCTAGAACACGAAGAAAAAAAAAACATCAGCATTATCAATTGAAAAAAAACTTCTCATTTCGCGATCTTCACTGGCCCCACGTCTTATTAGGACTTGGCAACGGACTCGTTTGAATCCGTGGTCGGCTTTTGAACACAGCCTCATAATCTTCCTCGCCGGCCTCGATAAGCTCCTCGGCGATGGAAGTGTCGTTAAAGTCCTCCTCTTCCAACTTTGGGAAGTAACTGTCCTTCCTTTGCGCTGTCTTGCTTTTCCTCTCCGACCGTTTCCTTTCTAGCTGTGCTTTCTGCCGCGCGGCCTCGAAACCAGCCATGGATCTTCTAGTCCTGGCTACCAAATCTTCGTATTCTTCTTTTTCTGGCATTATATTTTCGGTGGGGCTGGTGGTGTCACGTGTCTTGGTGATTTTTATAGGTGACATATTGGATAAATCTTCGTCGTCGTTGTCATATGATATTGTTCGGGTCATTGACATACGAGTTCTCTCCGCTAAAGATAATGTGTGACGATGTTTTTTCATGGGCGATGGTGATGCGTTGGTCATGGATGCCAATATCTCATCTGCCATGGCTTGGGTTGGAGACACCGAGTGGGGCGTCGGAGGCGGAGGCATTAACTCGGTTCTCTCATCCGAGTGCGACAGCTTGCTGGAGGGGAGATCTGCAGTGACATGGTGTGAGATCGAGGCTGAAGGTGGTGGATCAACGTTCAGCTCAGTCGACCCTCTCCTCGTACTGGAAAAGCCGGATGAGACTAGGGATGGAGATGTTGAAATATCTTCTGGGCTGTCGACAATGGGAGACTGGATCCTATTCGTCTCCCCGTTTCGATCATAGGCAGGGGCGGTTACAGATAGTTTCGGTACTCTTCCCTTGGCCTCTAAGCTAGATTTGGGAGGTGCCAGGCGATACCGGCGCTCGACAGATGGTTTTGTGGGGATTTCCATTGGATGAGGTTGTTCGTCTTTGTCGTCTTCCCATTCGCTAATATCAGATATTGGGTCTGCGGTTGGCTCAGGTTGAGCGGGGTGCGAGATACTATCAATAAATGAACTTCTCCTTGGACTTCCCAGTAGACTCGAAAAATCGGGAATGCTGGGCTTTCCAATAGCTTCCAATTCCGCCTTCATGCCATCAAGTAGCTTGGCATACTGTGGAGGCGGCGTATCCAGAGGCATACGGTCTCTCGTCTTTACCTGGTCTAGGCCCAGTTTTAGATGTGCCGTGAAACCCAAGTCCACGGCCTTGGGCTTCGTCTTCTCCTTTACTTCCTTGATGGGCTGCAGTGGCATATTGCCAAACATCTTCTTCCGGAAATCATCCCATTTCTCTAGCCTCGCCCTCTGCATACGGACTCGGTTATCTAGCTGTTCCAAGAGACCGGTATTCTGGTCCGCAAGGTTTGAAATGGGTCCTTCCTGAACACCTGCCCAGACATCGTCGAAATTGCTGGCTAAGAGGCCATCCTTGCCGAGGTGTGTGTCGTTGAGCAACAGGCTGTTAGTCCATTCATCATTACCGGTCCAATTTGTCCTGATAATTCTGTGCACTTCAGCCTTCGACTTTTCCGATGCCTTGGCCTCGGGTTTCTCGGCGGCGAGCTTGGCCTGTTCTTTTCGTTGCACAAGACCTCGTTCCTTCGTCGCTAGAACTTCCTCGAATTCGTGATACTTCGTACGAGCGACATTCTTCTTTGATAACAGAGAAGTCAAGGATACTTTGTGGGCGAGCATTAGAGCATTGAGCTCGGTGCGATCTCCCGAATATCCCCAATTCTCCAACGAGATTTTTTCCGAGATGGTAGGACGGTACTCGTGTCCGGAATTGAGGGCGCGTTCGGCCACTAATTTCTTCAGGACGGCGGAGGAAAAGACGGCGAGAACTTCTTCGAGACGGTCGCCTCTGCATTCGTCTAACATGGTCTTCCGCACGACAGCATCTCGACCGAGAACTCCATTTTTCTTAGCTTGCTCGAGGCTGCGGAGCAAAGCAGCTCGTAGATTGACGGATTGAACCTGGTCGATAGGCGGGAAGAAGGGACGGAGTTTCTTAGAGAAGGTCAGTATGTTTATCTACCTTGCCACGCGACTGAATACCTAGTATCTGCTGGGTGGTTTGGTAGATCTCACATTTTGGGTATCATCATAATCCCACAAGGCAAAAAGCTGATATAAGGCCCATTCGACGCATTGTATACGCTTCTTCTGTCCACTAGCAGCATCCTTAGCCGAGAAGGTAGCGAGGGTTATACCGGGCCAATCTGGTTCATGATCAAGCTCTAATAGCCGCAGATTGGTGAGGAACAGAGCAACATTGGAAGTTGAGCTGGGTATTTGAGTTGTCGAGGTGGTAGACGAGGGGGCCTGAGGGGCGGTCAAGGGTGTTTTAGAGGGGATGCGTAGCGATCGTGTGCGTGCGGCCGTGGTGCTGGATTGCTGAAGCGACATGGTGGCATTGTAGGCAGTATCTTTGACTACCTCTCTACCTGTGTAAGGTACTATGTATCTAGTAGTGAAAAGTCGAAATTGGAAGCCAAAAAGCAAAAGTTGTTTAAATAAGCTGATAATAATGCTATACCAAATGAAATAAATGAATGGTTGGTTTCGGTGGAGCGTACCTACTTGGTGCAGTCCTTCCTACTTGGTACAGTTCATTCAATGTTGTTGACTTCCATCTTACTTGCCAAACAAAGTTCCATGCATTAACCCTGCTTAATCGCCTTCTCAAGCTTATCGATAGAAGCAATAACCCATTGACTTTATCCTCTTTTAGACATAGCGTCAGCCTTTTTAATCCGCGGTCCAATCATAACTCTCTAATCTTCAATTCTCCGAAAACTATCTGAATTTAAGACCTTGAAAAACTCCACCACGTGTCTTATTGCTGGTTGAAGAATATCCATTAAACTATTAGTTATGTGAATGCAATTGTACGAAGTAAAGTCGAGTATTTTCACTACATGAAGTTCTTCCAAGGTTATTGAAGAAAGAATATGATGTATCCTCCTTCCTTACCCATCTCCTTCCTCATCCCCCAAGCGCCATCCATATATATAACCTTCCTACCTAGTACCCATCCAAAAAATACCCGCCTGCCCATCAATCCGTGACAAAAATAAAAGGACATCATCCATAACTAAATGTCTAAATTCACCTACTCCATCCCACACCCCCTAGAGCACTGATCCGCACTAACACACCTGCATCCGGAGCACGTCCCGGCAAGAATAATGGTCAGGTCGCCCGACACCGGGTCGCAGTGCGCGCCGCTGTTGCTGGCCGAGCACAGCGCCGTCGTGCCGGGTGACCCGCAGTCGAGCCGCCACGACGCCGGCGCTACTTGTTGTTGTGTGTCGATTGCGCTGCTTCCCGTGGCGGGCTCGACAGGTGCCGCGAGGGTAGAGGAGATGAAGGGTAAGAGGAGGAATAAGGGGTAGATGATCTTGAAGCAGTGTGTTAGTATCTATCATGTGATATAAAAGCGTAAGCATGCGGCTGGTTCGTCAACGTACCTTCATCTTGGCCATGACACGAAATATGAGAGTAAAACAGAGCGTCTGTTATCGATTCCAGGCAATAGTATAGGTATTTACCCAGTTCTTGCGTCGTCAGGGTTGGTGTTTGATTTGCAACACCACAAAATGCAACAACACCGTACGCAGTAAACGAAGAACAAACAAAGTTAAGAAGAACGTCTAACGAATCCGTCCTTCCCCCATCAAAAAGTAACGATCGGCCTTGCTTTTAACTTTATCGAGCTTCGCGATGATGCTACCAAGGCCAGTATCCTAACGTAGCATAGCATTCGATAGTACCACCTATCAAGGTTCTCTTCAAGAAAGGGGGAAGAAACTAGGTAGAAAGAAAAAAATTTGCCGCCGCATGTGCATGCTGCTTTATGTACCTACCCGGCCACCACCATCCCACGAGCCCGGTCTCGAACTTTCCTCGCCCTGGGCAAACTACTCCCTCAGCATCGCCAGCAAGTGCGAGACTTCCTGTATTCAATGGCCCCGGATACAAGCTCGAGGGCGGGCGGGAGTGCCGAGTGGCTGGCTAAGTCTCGAGTCTTCATTTAGAAATGGAGACGGATTCCTTTTGAAAACTCTTACTAATTACCCGGATACTAAGCCCTTGATATAGGTAGGTAGGTGCCTTGCACCACCTGAAGTGCATATGACATGTGATAAAATAGACCATTTCGACGTGGATGCTAGGGCGGCGACTTCTTCGGGCAGCTAACGAGGTCCATTGATTCAGGATGCTAAGCCCGGGTTTACATGAAGTCGTGTAGGAATATAGATTAAAGCCTGCCGACGACGCCTTTCGGCAACGGAGTGTCGTTTTGTTGGCCATGTCCTAGGTTATAACCGGGAGTTATAAATAGGTAGCAAAAACGCTTGCAACTTACCAACACTACCTAAGACAATCCGATTCTTTCTGTAGGCTCTCCTTAACTGTTGTTGGAAATAGAACTATCAAGAATAGTGCAGGGGTAATAGTAATTGGGGCCATTTGAAATTATCCGGAGTATACTAACCTAGGCCGGTGTTCGTATTTATCCATATTATATACGACATTCCAAGTCCTCGGACTGCCTTGCATTTGCAGTTTAGTAAGGTATATCTGTCGTTATTCGGACATAATGTGTCATTAGTAGTGGTTGAACATTTACTATGACTTCACAGAATAGACAATAGCTGATCTCATCATCAGCCCCAATACCGGTATAAATACCAAAATTAGCATTAGAATTGTCGGCCATCATCTTGTTGCTGTAAAGTACAAACATAACAAGAAGATGAGGCTCTGGGAGCTACCAAAATTATCCGACTTTCGTACATGTACAAGTAGCCTTCGTTAGGTGTAGGGTTTATCATACGCAAACCGTGCCATACTCCTTAAGCAATGACATGTTCCTTAACCAGTCCACCGCCAACATGCCATCTAACCCAGAGTCGTTAGCCTAGCCATATGAAACCCCTACAGAAAGAGTACTGCAAGTGCGCAGTAGCAGTAACATCTCACTAGGCCCCCTCCTCGTTCTCCGAACTAGCAGCCAAGAGACGGCCGTATGAAGATTCCATGGAATAGAATCAAGACGTAGCAAATCCGAATAGACCCATCAATTGTTCTCGATCCAATCGACCAACGCCTTGGGCACCCGCCTCGCTGAGTGCTTCATCGACTAGATTGCGTTTCTGTTCCTGCAGCTCGCGAATACGATCCTCAACGGTTCCCGCGACTAGCATGTGGTATACCGTAACCTCCCTGTGCTGCCCGAAACGATGCGCACGATCGATAGCTTGCTCTTCTATGTATGGGTTCCAGAACGGCTCCATAATGATAACCTGACTTGCTGCAGTAAGGTTGAGCCCTGCGTTTCCCGCTCTCAAGCTGATCATCATGATCTTAATTTCGGGGTTGTTGACGAAGTCTTGAATGGCTGAATCTCGCTGGAACTGACTCATGGACCCGTCGTAGCGCCTGTATTGAAAGCCTTCATCTTGAATGGGAATTTCAAGCAGATCGAGGAAGGAGGTCCACAAACTGAAAATGAGCGTCTTCTCTCCGGGCTTGTTCTCCTTGATTGAGCGTAGAATCTCCATCGTCTTGGCAGTCTTAGCGCTGGGCTGCCACTCTTGTCGTAGGTTCTTCATGTATTTCTCTTTCGCAGCTGTGTTAGTTGAGCTGGCCTTTTTCAAGTCTGCAAGTGACGTGAAGCCTTTCTTCTTGCCCTTGGATTTTTTCTTGTCTTTTACAGTCTTCACAGCCGTGAAAACCTTCTTCTTCTGGGCAATCTTATTGTTTCGCACATCGCCTCTTCTCTTCTTTCCTGGAGCAATAGCACTGTAGCTACGAGGCAACTTGCGTTTGCGACTAGAACGAGATGACTCTTTGCCCAAAGATTCATCATTAGTACCGGAATTGTCCGCGTTCCGCTTCGTTGCTGCTGCTCTATCAATAGCTGCTAGCATGGACTCAAGGGAATCAGAGCCGCTGTCCTTATCTGAGGATAGAGGGCCCTCAGCAGATTCCTTCTTCTCCGCAACATCTTCCCACAAATCATCCATGGACGCGGTGCCCTTATAGTCATGATCGTCATCGACGACTGCCGCTTGGTTGATAGCGTCCATATCCTTGTTCTCTTCAACTTCATCAACTTGGGAATCGGGGCCCACATCCGTGTTCTCTTCAACTTCGTCATCTCCAGAATCGGAGTCTTCATTCATGAAGTCTTCGTCGTCGTCATCTTCGGAATCGGTTTCTTCGTCTTCTTCGGAATCAGATGCAATAAAGTCTTTCAAGTTCCCGCGAGCATCCACGTCGTCGTCCGAACTATCCCAGCTCTCGTCACTATCTTCATTCTCATCATCGCCGTTCTCTGACTGAAGCGTCTTAATCTTGTGTGCTTCCAAGAATATGGCAAAAACAATGACCTTCTTAGGGTCTATTTTGCCCTTGCAGTGGAGGCCAGGACAATTGTTCTCGGCGTTAGAATCGGCAGCTTTCGCCAGCATCATCGCAGCTTCAAAGCAAGAGCTGCAAATCAAGTGTCCGCATGGGTATAAAATAAGTGGACATTTGGTTTTTTCTTTACAGATTGGGCATCCGAAATCTTCTTGCGCTTTAAGTCTTTCTACCACTGGCTCTTTGAGCTTCAGGGCATAACTCTGCATCTGTTCGGCTGTGGCCTCCACATTGTCTGGAATGTTATGATCTGAGATAAGATGCGGGTGACAGCAAGCTTGGCGGAGACGAAGCAGTAGTACGAATATGTAAGTGTACGCCTTCATTGAAGTACCGGCCCGGAGAAATTTGTTTACTTCTAGTCGCTGTTTCTGTTCGAGCGCGTCGTAGTACTTCTTTTCCTCCTCTGTCATTTTGACCATGACGGTCTCCTTGATAAGCCGAGGTAGTTTTAGGATCGGCTCACCATCAATGGTACTCGTTTTGGTCCTACGAAGCGTCATGCTTCTAAACAAGACCTGAAGTCTTCGCATACCTTCGCTTCGCACACCCTCACGTTGCGAACGATCAGAAGTATCGTCGAGCCTGCGGATGATGTGCGAGTGAAAAGACGGCCAAACATCGTAAGGCTTGATCTGAAGAAATCGTATAAGTGGGAATATCTCTTCCGGTTTGTTCATGAAGGGGGTTCCTGTCATGCAAAGTCGGTAGGTTGCCTTAATTCGACTCGCGGCTTCCGAAATTTGAGTCTTCTTGTTCTTGATATTGTGAGCCTCGTCAAGAATCACACGGTAAAAATGGCTTCGGTCAGCTAGAAATAGAGCCTTTGCTTTTCTCCTATGCGAATGCTCCCATCCGATTGTGCCGTATGTAGTAAGGACCACATCATAGGTCTGAAGTTTCACAGGGGACATGTTGCGCTTTGTGGCTCCATGTACGATGATCGTCTTCAATTGGTGGCTTGGCCTAACCTTAGTCAAGATCTCTTGCTCCCATTGCTTGAGTAGGGAAAGAGGTGCGACAATGAGGGTTGTCTTATTGGCACTGTTGTGCGATGGATGTTGCAGTATCAGCGCAATAGCTTGAATAGTTTTGCCTAACCCCATGGTGTCTTGTTGAACTGTTAGTTGGCATCTTTGTGGTAAATTTGTGGGAGTATATGAATTACCTGCTAGAATACCTCCCTTCTTGTGGTCATCCTTTTCTTGTTTTACCAACCAAGTCAGGCAAGCCTTTTGGTGTTCCATTAGGGTACACTTCATACCAGCTGGCGTGTTCGTCCGTTCACTTGGCGGGATGTCAATATCCGGCATCGACAAGAGTCGTGTTAGCTCTTTTTGATGGGAATTAACCGCGCCGCCTTGTAGCTGCTGGAGAATCACCTCGGCTTCTTCCATGGCATCATTGTTGTTGTCATTGGCGCTGCCGCTATGACTTAGGGCGTCCGATTGGGGAGTAGGGGGTAGGGTTGAGGGCAAAGGGAGGGGCCGCGAACGGCTTTTATCGATGGCGTCCATCGCTGATGTGTATTCTTGAACAAGCTCGCGAGCAGTCCTGAATAAATCGGTGATATCAGGTAGCAGATCGCGAGCAGGAACCCTAAGGTTCATATATTTCTTGAATTTATCGACGATTTCAGGTCTACCAGGGAAGCGGTCCTGTATTTTGATTGATTAGGAAGTTGAATTATTTAAAATTGAAGTAGAGAGAAGGGCTTTTATAGTAAAAAAGTTTTTGGGGGCTGTGTGTGCGTGCCTTAGGCAGTAGGGGAGGGTGTAGTATTTTTGTATTGTTTACCTGAATTTTAAGGAGAAAACTAGAGAGGTCCGTTGCTTTCAGATCAGGCTCTGGTTTTATTATTGGTCGGTATTGACTCTGAACTTGCAACTGTTGCTGTGGTTGCTGTAGTTGCTGCAGTTGCCGTTGTTCTTGAAGCCGAAGCCGAAGCTGCTGGCGTGCTTGCTGTTCAAGACGAGCTCTCTCTGCAAGATCGCGCAGCTTTCGCTCCTCAAGTTGCTTTCTTTTCTCGTCAAGCTGTTGCTGTCGTTGCTGTCGTTGCTGTTGCTGTTGTTTATCTCTCAGCTGAAGTTGGGACTCCGTCTGTTCTGATGTGTCCCGAGAAATGTTTGGTAGAAGATTAGAAGGGTTCGGATTTTTATGTAAGTAGCTCGATGTCGAGGATCGGGCAAGTCGGTCCTTCTCTCTTTGGACACAGTGCTTCTGTTGTACTTGCTCATATTCTGCTCGAAGTTGCGCTTCCGAAGCAAGCTGATCACTAGTGGGCTCTCCGAAGATAGATTTATTATCGACCTTGATACCTGAGGCTTCAGGTCTGGTGGATCGCCGGTTCAACCAGCTCGCACTGGGCGAAAACAAAGGAGGCGGCATGATTCCTGATATCAATAAGGCAACTATGCGCACATGAGTGCTTGACTAATAAATAATCAGCCTCACTAGGTGCCTAAGGCTGCCTAAATCCAACCACAATGAATAATCGAGGTACGTGTAACAACGATGAGTCTATGCGGTACTCTATGCGGTAGGCTACGCGCTGTCGTCTTATTTGGTGACTTGAAAGTCTAAATAATCTAGTAGATTTGAATGATACGATGTTCTTTGAGATACCATATTGAAAACGATGCTAGATATAAAGTGCAAAATTGTGATGATAATCATCTAATAATTTTTACAAATACAGTATTTCGTTTGATTGTGAAGGAAAGTAGAAGATGTAAGCATGGGAGATAACGCGATTGGTGATAGGAATACTATTAGGTACCCTACCTAGGGTAGCCTGGGTAGGTACGTCAATTGAACCCTGAAGGAATGATTCGATCCATTACGTCGGGATCAATCTAAATATGTACATGTACACTACCTAGTACCTATCCTGCTACATGTATGTACCTAGTAGGTAGCAGGGTAGAGTCGGTAGACATGGAATAATGTACAGGGTACGTACTTTGCAGATGTGAGTTCAAAGGGCTAAGAATCTTCAGAAAATCTTGAGATATTCTTTGGATATTCCTTGGATATTCTTCGGGTATTCTCATAACGCGTATCCTTGGGACACCACGTGTATGAGTTAATGGATTCATTAACCAATTGAATACATAGTTACCCAGGGTAGGTATGTAACATTGTAACCTGCTTTTATTATTTAATCTCACCTAACCCTCATTCACACACGCGTTTCGCTTTCAAAATTGCACTACCCTAGCACGGCGCGTTTACGCGTATAAATTAGAGAAGTGCACGTGGCTAACTGAAGCAAACAACATTGAACTTACCTACGTTAGGGTATCCAAGTGTATTACATGTATACCAGCCTGCTAACATGTAGGTACTCGGTACCAGATCAATGATACATACAATACATACATAGGTACTACATATAATCATGAACGACAACACGCTTTAATTCAACTCCAGGTTATGTATCATTCAAGTTGCAACTTCAATGTTTGACACTATTCAAGTGCACATGTGTTTACAGATACCTACATAGTACATGTAGTATGTATGCACCTACCCGCCCACTTAACAAGCTTCACGTATTATGGTGCACATGGAAACAGATCCGTTTGAAGAGGTGCATTGCCGGACTTTTGATCGATTCCCCACCTATTTCCTAAACCAGATGAAGATACTTTTCCATAGGTGCGGGAGAAATGGAATGGATTCGTGCTACTGTCAGTCTGTCAGTACATGTGTTGTATTGTACATCTATCTCCATTCTCCAACTGCATATGTACCTAGTACTAGGTACCTAGTAATAGACTAACAGTACATACGTACATATGTAGGTGCCCACTTCAATGCAGTCACGGCAATCACAGATGCATCTAACTATACCCAATTGGGCGGTACTAAGCTGTACTAGGTCCATTTTCATGCATGCTCTTTAACTTGAAGGGTACTAGTGACTGATGTATCCATGCATGTCTCAAATCTCGAATGTGCTCCAGGGCTGTCTGTCGAGTCACACACTCACCCTAACAATTTTGAACATCAACAGCAAACACCGAGACAGGAGGCACTCAACATTAAACTATCGATATCCAACACACATAGTCACTGCCTACTGCCTACCTAAATACCCATACATGGATCGGATTCAAGATTCTCAATTATGAATTAACTATGTAGGTACCTATTCACAGTATACTTATTATAGAGGTGAATGCTACTATATACCAACATCAATCACATGAAACTACCACATGCATACATATGTATGTACAGCACCAACATTGACAATTCGAGCCTATAGCGTGAAACTTCTTCACGACGAGGCTTCCTGCGCAGCCGCATACGTATGGAAGCTTCCCGCCGCTCTCGGGTAAGTAACCTTCGCCCCATTATTATTCTCATGATTCCCATTTACTCCATTCACTCCATTCACTCCAACCGCACCGTTTGTCACCGAACCAGAACGAACCCCATCGAACTCAGAATCTTCTTCCTCCATGTAGTCATCCGGCACGCCCCAGCCTCCACCCCCGGGCGTATGAATAACACAGCGGTCGCCCTCTTTCATGTCGACCTGGCCTCTCGACCCTATGTTCACCCAGCGCTCACTGCCATCCTCCTGCTTCTGCACCCAGTAATTGGCGCCACATGCGCCGGGCTCGCCCCCCATCATCCCGTAGGGCTGGTGGACCCTGCGCTCTGTGATGAGGCCGTACGTCAACGGGTACCTGCACTCCCAGTCGCGCACGATGCCACAGCCACCGCTGAACTTACCACGACCCCCGCTGCCCTTGCGAATCGAGAACTCGCGCACCAGCACTGGGTAGCGCTTCTCGATGATCTCGATGTCCGTCGTGCGCGTGTTGGTCATGTGGATCTGCACCGCCGACGCGCCGTGCCAGCTAGGGCCCGCGCCCTCGCCGCCGCAGATCGTCTCGCCGTAGCTGAAACCGAAGCCTGACTGCGGCGCCCCCGACTCGTCCTTGCAGTTGCCAAAGAACCCAAAGCAGTTCATGCAGCCTTGCGAGCCAGAGGCCGCCCGGAATGCGTTGAGCAGCAGATCGACCAGACGCTGCGAGGTAAGTGTGTTGCCGCAGCAGACCGCCGGCCCTGATGAGGGGTTGAGGAAGCAGTTCTTGGGGAGGAGCACTTTGGTCGGCGCGAGACAGCCTTGATTCAATGGGATGTCGGAGCCGATGAGAAGTCTTAGTGAGTAGATCAGCGCTGAGTAGGTAATAGCCGGTGGTGCATTCATATTCGACAGCATCTCGCAGGTCGTCCCGGCAAAGTCAAAGGTACCGAAGCCACTCTCATCTATCGTGATTGTTACTTGCATCATAGACCCATTGTCGAGGAATTGCTTTGCCTTGAGTGGCTTTGATCCATATTTCTTATAGGCAGACTTGAGAAAGCCGCGGACGGCGACCTCGGCATTCTCCTGGATCTTGCTCATGTAGAAATGCACAGTAGGCTTGCCGTACTCCTCCATCAAAGCCTTGATGAGGTTGCTGCCCTTGGTATTGGCAGCTACCTGTGCCTTGAGGTCCGACCTGTCGTCACTAATCAGCTTTCGATACCTGGGGACCTGTACAATAGACATATAGTAAAGACTTACAAGTTATCATTCAAACGTCTTGACCCGCTGCAATTAGGATACTTCCCAGGCTCGAGCAGAATCTTGACGATCCCTTCTTCGTCGAAATAGTTGTCGCGCACAAGGAAGAAAGACTTGATAGCAGCGCCTTCTTGCCACAGCTCAGTGGAGTCACTAGTAGCTTACCGTTAACCACCTATCACCAAACCATATTAAATCGGTAGTAGGAAACTTACGGTGGCATGGAGTTTCCGCGGTACCCGCCAATATCCAAGTGGTGGCCACGCGAGGCCGTGTAGAAGCAAATCGTCTTCCCATCCGTATCAAAGACGGGGGTGATGACAGTGATATCTAGATCTCATCAGTATGGCGAACTGGCCACGAATAAGGCACGTATAAGGGGGTTTCATACCAGGAAGATGAGTACCACCCGACTCGGGATGGTTCGACACAAGCACATCGCCCGGGCGCAGATTCCCCCTGTGAAGGTTATGCTGGTACTTAACAGCATACGACATGCTGCCCAGGTGCACGGGAACGTGTGGCGCGTTGGCGACTAACTCGCCGTCGGGGCTGAATATCGCGCACGAGAAGTCGAGGCGCTCCTTGATGTTAATCGAGATGCTGGTCTTCTGCAGCGTGCGGCCCATCTGCTCCGCGATGCTCATGAACCGGTGCCCGAAGATGCTGAGCTTGATCGGGTCCACCACCAACTCCTGCTCTTCCTGTTCCTGCGCCGGCTTCTCGTCGAAGAGGTCGATGACGACGTGGGAGGAGAGAATGCGCGCTTGTGAGCCGGGAACGACTACGATGGTTTGTGTGTTGTCGATTATTATGGCGGGGCCGGTTACGATGCTTCCGGGGACGAGGGCCTTGAGTAGGAACACCTTCGTCGGCTGTAAGCCGCCCTCTGCGAAATAGGCTTGCGTCTGTAAAGTGTTAGCACTTTGCAGCCCAGTCAAAGCTATAATACGGCGATTAGGCGCGGATTATCTCACCGTTCTATCTTCTCCGCCCTCAACGTTTGCAAACGTCTGAGTCTTCAGCTCCGTGACAAGCTTTGAGTTATCCTGGTTTACTTCCGTGCTCTTGCCCACTCCCCTCACGCGAACATCATCGATATGAACTTTCTTGTCCTTCGGGAAGACGAACGACAGCTCCCTTAGATGCTCCTTCTCGAGCGCCGATCTCCAGTCCCCGTCCGCGGGCGCCAGGATCATGAAATTGGTGTCGGTGCCCTGGTATCTCAGATTCAGGTACTCCTCATGCTCGATAGCATCCTGCTGGATTTCCTGCGCAAGAAGGCTTTCAGTAACCTTCGCTTTGAGATTCTGCATCCGCGCCTTCACCCGAGCCAGGGCTTCATCCGATAGGATCTCGGAGCTTGGCTCTTGGGCTTCCTGAACCACTTCTGCCAGCGCCATGCCGTACGCCGAGAGAATGCTCGAGTACTTGTGGATCACGATCCTTCGAATGCCTAACTTTTTGGCAATCTCGCAGGCATGCTGGCCGCCAGCACCGCCGAACGTCGCTAGGTTGTGCTGACCCGTTTCGAAGCCACGGGCTTCTGTGAGTGCGCGAATGGGCCGGCTCATCGACTCGTTGGCCACGTCAATGAAACCATGCGCAACCTCGAGCGGAGTCATGGAACGTCCGGTGTCCGCGTTGATCTGCGCTGTGAGCTCCTCGAACTTTTTTGTCGCAATATCAATGTCCAGCGGAAGATCCTCAGTAGCACCGAATATCTTTGGGAAGTAATCTGGGATTAATCGCCCAAGTAACAGGTTTGCGTCAGTTACCTGGATGTAATCATTAGAATCGTACTCCATTCACAGCGAACATAAAAATGGAGAAAGAAAATAGGAGACATACAGTAAGGGGCCCTCCTTTCCGATACGAAGCCGGGCCCGGATGTGCACCAGCAGAGTCCGGACCCGTCTTAAAGAGCCCATCTTTCCAGAAGAGCATCGAGCCGCCGCCAGCAGCCACCGTGTTTATATCCAGCTGCGGGGACTGGATCGAGACACCCGCCGTCGTAGTCTCGAAGACATGTTCGAACGTGCCTCCGTATCTCGAAACATCGGTCGAAGTGCCTGCAAAAATCAAAATCAGTCAACGGAACCAAGGCAAGGCACAACACAACTACAGAGAAACTCACCGCCCATATCAAAGCCCACAAGCGGCGACTTCCCATCATACGACGTCCTCGCATGTCCCACCACGCCGCCCGCCGGGCCGCTCAAAATACCCTTCAACCCATTAAACCCCTTATGGCTAACCAGCCCGCCATCCGACTGCATGAACTCGCAAGACACGCCGTCCAAATTGCCACCCGCGAACACCCTCGCAAAGCCCTGCACGTAGCGCGTGATCTCCGGCGTGAGGTACGCGTCCGCGGACGCCGAGCTGCCGCGCGAGATCATCTTGATCATGTTCGCGCCGACGGCCGACGACGTCGAGACGTGGGAGAAGCCCAGCTCCCGCGCGACCGCCGCGACGCGCTGCTCGTGCGCCGGGTAGATGTACGAGTGCGCGAGGCAGATGGCCAGCGTCTCGATGCCGTCGCGCTTGAGCTGCGCGAGCTTTCCCCGCACCTCGGCCTCGTCGAGCGGGTGCACGATGCGCAGGATGTCGCCCGTGATGCCCCTGACGAGCACACCCGGGATCTCCTGGAGCGGCGGCCGCCGGTCCCGCGTGACGTCCTCGTCGAATTCTTCGACGGTGATGCGCTCGGAGATTTCGACGACTTTCTCGTATAGTAGTTCGGGCTTCTTGATGCCGAGGGCGAAGAGCTTCGGCCGGGACTGGTAGCCAATCTCTAGCAAGTCGCGGAATCCTTGGTTGACGACGAAGGCGTGTCTTGTTCCTTTCCTTTCCAACAATGCTGTGGATTATCAGTTTTAAAATCCCTCCTATATGTAAAGAGGAACCTCTTAGTCTCGCGCGCTTACCATTAGTCGCCACAGTCGTTCCCATGCGAATTGAATGGATCAGTTCCTTGGGTATCGGAGCTCCTCTGGGGATTTTCTGGCCGGAGAGGGTCTCCAGCACCCGACGGATGCCCTCCGCCGGCGCATCATCGTAGCTGCCGGGGTCAACAGACAACAGCTTCAGAACTATGTCTTCTTGACCCGGCGCGCTAGCCCAGATATCGGTGAATGTGCCGCCACGATCTCGAGGATTAAGTTAGTTTAGACTCATGGAATGAACGAAACAAATGAGAGTCAAGACATACCAATGGCGAACTTCACACTCTTAGGCTGAACTATCGGGGGAATGGTTCCGACAGTCATCTTAGCTCGACCAAAAAAAATTTATGTAGATAAATATATCTACCTAGGTATGTTTTGGCAAGCTGGTTCTATATCTTGTGATGCATGGATGCTGATAAGACTGAGGAAGCACCAATTGATATACGGCCACACAAGATCGCGAACTATAGGGGTTTGGTCCGGCACCGGAAGCGGCTTACCGACCGATGGCAAGCTTTCCGAAGAGTTGGATCGTCGTTTCGAGCTGCCTGCCATTTGCCGATATATCATCTATCAGCAGACACATCCTGATTGGATTAAGTAGGTATGCTCCATCATGGCCTCCATCGTAGGTAGCCATTGAAGATGTCTACTACCCAATGACCTTGGCCTGCCTTAGGTAGTACATAGTATAACTCGATCCGTTCGTTCGGGACTATCCACCTACCTACCCTACAACTAAGCTTGTGTTGTATGTGTACTATGTATACTTTCAAGGTTAGTATTAATCTTTTGCCGCCATGACCCCCCCTTTCGGTCCCCTCCCGTTCTAGTATACTATATGTTACTATAAATGCGCTCCCCCTGACAGTTAGTGGATCTGATCCTATCTCCAACCCAGCCAGATAATTTCCCCGCATGTCTTTACAAGGCAACGTGCACAGTGTAACAGTCCAATATTCCGCACGCAGGACCTTCGGAGCACAAAGCGTACCCTCGATTCGAACTTCCTTCTGAATTGTTTCGCTCCGGATTACGAACCTCTCTTGGCCAATCATGCGTTTCCAACCTTTCCCCAAACCAGGTTTCGTTCAACAGGGCAACGTACTTCCCTTGCCAAGCCAGAGATCGTGTAGTGGGCTTTATTTAAATGAAGCTAGGGTAACGCCTATCTATCGTTTCTTTAGTAAATCCTCCGTATCTAGGCACCTAACAATGCTAGTTCCAAAGTAAATTCCATTATGAAGAATATGTATAGGGCTGGGCCTATCTTTATGTAGGTACACAAATCGTAGTTAGTCGTTTGTAAAGATGTTGGCAACATGGCTACCGATGGTTGTGGAGACTTACGTACCCAGGCACGTACAAGGAGGTCATACATAGTCTTGGTTCCGGTAACACCAGCATTAGGACTGATAAGCTGCATCTGCCGTCGAGAAGAATTCTAAACCTGTCTCGCCTATCTCATCTATAAAGCCCTGAGGTGAACGGAGCCCATCATCCTGAGACGACCGAAGGCGCATCGGACTTTGCGACTTTCGGAATTTGGCTCAAGCAAGCCCTGATAATTATTTACAATTTCAAGTCTTCGCCAAAGCTACCATGAGTCAGGACACGAAAAAGGATGCGGAGGTCCTCCCGACTTCGTCAGACGCTGTTATCAGTGAGACATCGAAGACCATAGACGATGGCGCTTTAGACGAGGCGGCAAAGTATCTCGCGAACCATGAAGAGTTCGGCCCAATGACTCCTGAGCAGGAGAAAAAGATTGTCAAAAAGATTGACTCTTGGATGATTCCATTGGTAGGTCTCATTTCGTCAAACATGGTTCAATACGCAATGGAGATCGTTCGAGATGTGATCTTGTGAGATCGTAACCCGCCGTAAGCAATTGCTAACATCTCCACGTAGCTAGTATTCTGCGCGACTCTCGCGGCTGTCGACAAAGTTCAAATAGGAACCGCATCTTTATATGGGTTCCAGACCGACAATGGGATGGTTGGCCAAGAATATTCCTGGCTCGGATCTATCCTACCCTTAGGAACCTTGATCGGACTCATCCCAGCGTCATGGTTGATTCAGCGATTTCCTCCCGGAAAGCTTCTAGCAACTGGATCACTTTTATGGTCGATTTGCACCTTGTGCTATGCGCCAACTCGAACCTGGGCTGGCTTCATGGGCTTGCGGTTTCTGCTAGGGTTCCTAGAAGCAGTCTCTGTCCCCTGCTTTACAGTCCTAGTCGCGTCTTTCTACAAGAAAGAGGAGCAGCCTCCTAGAAACGGCAGTAAGTAAAAGGGTCTTGTATCATAGAGAATGTTTTCTAACCAACCCAAGTCATTTTCGCCTACTTCTCATCAATCTTCAATGGCTTCTTCGCTTGGATTATCGGCTATATCCCCAGTTCCGCCCCGCTATTCAAATGGCAATACCTGTATCTTTTAACAGGGTCCATCAATGTGCTATATTCGCTTTTCTTATGGTTCGTCCTTCCGGACTCTCCCATGAACGCCTTTTTCTTCACTCCAGAGCAAAGGTATCATGCGACTCGAAGGTTGGCCGGCAACCGAACTGGTATTGCTAATAAGGTATGGAAGTGGGATCAGGTTTTTGAGGCCTTATTAGACGTCAGGGTCTGGCTTATTGTTTTGTTCAACGTTGTCATCAATATCCCCAATGGCGGTCTTCAGGCTTTCGGATCAATCATCATCAACAACCTCGGTTACACCCCCTTGGTGTCTAGTCTGCTAACAATGCCTTTTGGTGTACTGGCTACGGGCGGCGCTTGGGCCTTCTCATACATCGCGGCAAAATGGCATAACCGGAGAGCTTTGACTGCATCCATTGCATTGCTGCTTCCCATTCTTGGAACTGCGTTGGTATATGGTTTGCCGCGGACGAATGTCGCTGGCCAGATGGTTGGTCTATACTTTATGTACTTCTATTGGCGTAAGTTACCTATTTGACTCTTGTACCCTAGGGGAAAACACTAACTGTAGTAGCCCCATATGTTGTTGGCATATCCCTTATTCAAGCAAACACCGCTGGTAGTAAGTAACTCTTGTCGATGCTTTAACCAAAATCTACTATTAGGTATATTCTTCAATGCTAATACGCCGCGTTATAGTGACTAAGAAAGCCGTCACGTACTGTCTCGTCACCATCGGGTACGCAGCAGGAAATCTCATTGGACCACAGACATTTAGGAGCAAGGAAGCACCCAAGTATACCACAAGCGTCATAGCAATGCTAGTTAGTTACTGCGCATGTATGTTGATCTTGATGGTATACTGGCTGGTTGGCACCCGGGAAAACAAACGTCGGGATCGGAAATATGGCAAGCCAGACGGAGTGCATGAAGGTACCATCGAAGCCTTTGTCGATATTACAGACAAGATGCAGCCCGCCTTCCGCTACACTACTTGAAAGCAGGGTTGGCTTGTAGATAGCTAGAATGAAAGCAGGCCTAGGAAGATTGAATGAGTATCAGTGACGAGGGTAAACTTACTGTATGCAGAACACGGACTGTGGGCACAGCGCCATTCCTAATAGATTGTGGTAATACATCATGCTAAACTGATGGCACCATGTCTCCTCCCTTGCAATATGTTCCACCCCTGAGATATGTTAGGTTGTAGATCCCGTGACTTCCAAACATCTTCGATTATTAGTCTAGCCTTCTTGACGCTTGCTAACTGTCTTGTCTGCTGAAGTTCAGCAAGTCGGCTCAAGATGAGCTTCCTATCTGCATCGCATTCTGGGCGTACCCCCAAAGTCGCTACCATGAATAGGGGCCAAAGACCCGTGTGTGTACGGAGTGAAATACTAGGAACAAGTGACATTATCTGGGACGTGACTCGGATCATGTGCGGATCATGGGGTCCAGAACCATCGATTCGAGAATATAGATACAGGATTGCTGCGAGACGTTTCACCTCGGCAATGATAGCAAATTCGGGGTTAGACGATTCACAGTCGGGAATCTCTTGACGAAGTTGATGGAGGAGCCTTTCGACATTATCTCGACGTTGCCTTATTGCTAGTGGATGCCCTTTCTGGCCTGATTGGACGATTAATGTGCTAATCTGATTTATTTCAGAAATGAGTATGAGTAGATCCCTCGAGCATCCGGTCAGTGCCATCACAGTTGGCTTGTCCACTGCTTTACACATTTCGGTGACCATCGGGGCCGCTTCCATGAGTGTGCCCCCAGTGGCAGCTAGGATATCGTGTGAGACGAAATAGGTGACGGCGAAATAGAGAAGTGCCTCCTGTTCTGCACTTAGGCCATCAACATCTTTTAGGCGGGATGATAAGAAACTTCGCGCAAAGTCCGCATGTACAGTCCATGAGTCTGAACAATCTTTTGATATCTTTGCGATTCTGTTAGTATAGCTACTTAATGTTAAAGCCGTAGCATTTCTTGCTGACTTGCCTCGAAGAATGTCAACATGATAGTGGACGCAATAATCTGGTCTTGTGAAGTACCACCACATACTTCAGGGGGTTTGCCCGAGGCTAGCTGGCCGATTTGGGTTCTTAGGCGACTTAATGCTTTGGCTCGATGCAACCACATAACTGGCTTGTATTCATTGCGGCCAATGCTCTGTAGCTGATTCGCTGCCGCGGCTAGTATACACTGGAATAAAGCGCCTTCTTGGGAATACATGGCCATTTTTAGTATAATATCTCTATAGGGGTTGAAGCCGGGATCCAGCACAATTCGCGGGGAGATAAATTCGTAAAAATAGGACCAAAGATAACCCTCAGCCTCCCCGAGGCGGAAGGGGGAGAGATAGCGAGGGTAGGGGACAGTATCATCTGACTGATACCTAGCCTTGTTACTTTGTGGTAAAGTGGTATTTAGCTGGTCATCGTTCGTTTGAAGGCTATGTGGATTAAAGTCGGCCTGGTCCATGTTCAGGAACATCCAGCTGTGGATAGAGACCATAAGATCCTCAGGTAGCTCTGCTGCAGTTTCATCATCAGGCCGAAACAGGACAACATCCTGCCAGTTCAACTTGAGTTCGTACCGACACGCGAAGCCGAGCCGTTCGCAGTGCCCACACGTGGGTCTCTGCTCCGGGCATTTGACCCGCCGTTCTAAGACGGAGTGTCAGGGGCGTTGGGAGCGTATCAAACAGAGGAAGTTGGTTAAAGAGGAGATATCATACCTCGACACTTCCGACACCCACTCCGCGTTCGCAGCTCCCCTTTCGTACGGGTTCCCATTGTCCTTCACGTGTACGTAGGAGACAGGGGTCGACAAGTTGATCAGCAACGATCTAATATTATTTGCATGCCACCAAAACACGTTACTAGACGTGCAGAGATAGATGGACCAAGGACTCGATTAGTCAAAGACAATAATATCGTTACCTAGCAGGTAGGTAGGTAGGTTAGAAGAGGAGTCGTTCAAGTCGGGGTAATCCGTTTGTCACAACCATAACCATAACTCCACTCGTTTAATACAACCTTGGGCTTGGGTTGTTGGAGATAAGGTGTATGCACGATAGTAGAGTAACCTAAGGTTAGGTACTACTAGTATGTAGTAGAGAGGAGAGAAGGGTGTAGATCCGATTCTGGCTTGGGACCCAACCCTGTACCCAGGTATCTAATCTGAAACGTAATCAGACAGAAACATTTGGAGATAAGCTTCATTAGCAAATCAATTATCTACTACGTCGTACCAGCTGAGTTCAGGCAGGGACTCTGTCGTGTCGCACTGTGATTACTTCTTCAGGAATAAAGTGGAGAACATATCCCCAATTATCAATTCTCCACTTCCCCGCGTTACCTAGTACCTACCTAGGTACCCATCCTGTAAAATGCACATCGCTTATCCTTTCCCTCTTCCCATGTAGCAATCGTAGCAATCGTAGCAATCGTACTAATTTGTAATCTTCAACCAACATCGGAAGACGTCGTTCGAGATCGTGAGAATGGAGCACCGAAAGCCCTCCGATGGAAGACGCCCGGTGACTCTTATCGACCTGCTTCTCATGTTGTAAAAGAGAAAAGATAATCCAAAATGAGGTTCTCGTCTGTCCTGGATGGCTCTTTGGGGTGAGTATTGTAGTTGTGACTTTATACTCAATAACCTAACGTGAAGGTGTTTGCCATAATGGACAAACATGCCTCAATCCTCATTCTAGGAGCTGGAACTTTTGGAATCTCAACCGCTTACCATCTTGCTAAGGCTGGCTACACCAATGTTACGGTGCTCGAGAAGTCACCAACTTTCCCTCCCGAGCTCTCCGCCGGCAACGATCTCAACAAAATCATACGCGCTGAATATGAGGACCCTTTCTATGCTGAGCTAGCCCTGGAGGCTATGGCAGCTTGGAAATCTCCCCTCTTCGCGCCTTACTACCACGAGACGGGTTATCTATTGTGCAACTCCGCTGCAGCGTTGGAGAAATCCAAGAAATCCCTCCAGAAATCCCTGGACTCTATCCGGCAGCGCCCCGAGTTCAATGATAAAATCACACCCATTGTTTCGCGTGATGATATTCGAAAGGTGGCCCCCGTCTTCGACGGACCTATGGAGTGGAAAGGCTATTTCAACAGCTTCGCCGGGTATGCTTCTGCCGGCGACTCGTTAACGGCCGTGTATTCTGCATGTATCGCATTGGGAGTGACGATCCACCTAAACTCACCAGTCAAATTCCTGAACTACTCGGGGGATGTCTGTACAGGCGCTGAAACTACCAGTGGCAAGTACTACAGCGCCTCTGCAACCGTGTTGACTTTGGGAGCATCCCTTGGCTCCGTGCTACCGCATATAAAGCGTCAAGTTATTGCCAAAGCCACACCGGTCGTCCACATGCAGCTTACCCCTGAGGAGGCGGCAAAACTGCGCGGCATCCCCGTCACCTATGCACGGGATCTAGGCTTTTTCTTCGAACCTGACCGTCGCACCAATCTGCTAAAGATTTGTCCAGCTGTAGCCGGTTATACAAATTATAGCACACCGTCTGGCCTATCGCTCCCGCCGGAGGACAACGAGTTCATCCCCGCACAGGACGAAGTTGTGATCAGACGGCTACTGCGGGAGACGCTTCCCGCATTAGCAGACAGGCCGCTTATTGGGAGGAGGATTTGTTGGTGCGCAGACACGGCAGATAGCGAATATGTGATCGACTTTGTGCCAGAGAAGAAAGGACTAGTGGTAGTGACTGGTGACTCAGCACATGCATTCAAAATGCTTCCTACTATAGGGGGCTGGGTCAAAGACGTGTTAGAGAAAGGTAGACAAGATAGCGCCAGGTGGCGGTGGAAAGAAGGGAACGATGCGGATGTGGATATAAGTTGGAGGGTTGGCAAGACTACAGACTTTAGTGATGTTAAGGAGATGCGAAGGGATTCAGATCTGCCTAGAAATCATGAACAGCCTTCCAAGGTTCTTTAAGTCGCATTTCTCATTCAATAACTGAAGCCCCCGCTTCTCATGTTTACCGAAGGAACCGGAAGACATGTTCAATATTCCCAACACTGGCCAATACGCTTCATCTTCGTTGGCAAAATCCATTTCTAGTCGCCCAATATCCCAACTACAGCACAGCGCATCTTTAGCAGTTCAAATCTCAAATACCTGGATGACATAATTGCATTAGTTAGTCTGCGTCCTCTGTCGGGGATAGCTGTACGACCTGTTTCAGCTTCTCGGCGGAGGCAGGTGTTACATCTTTCTGTCTTTCCAATATTTCTTCGAGCCACCTTTCCCAATCCCGGGTACGCTTTTGTAATGGGTTGCCGAGAAGGATTGCCGAACAGTGGTGGATTGCCGATGTAGCTAAGGTAAGCCGCTGTATCTCCATCATCTTTGAAGAGAGGCAATGTGTATAAAAGGAGAGAATATTCGACTACGTCGCGAATATGAAAATGTCAAAAGAAAAGCCACGAGTTCCCTCTCGCATCTATAAGGATATTTTAAATAGTGTCCAATATAGACCCTCAGCGACCTCTCGACCATTGCGCTTTACTGATCAGGGATAGCACTTGTCTCACAACGGCGATGCGGATCCCCGGCTTGGCCCGGGAACTCAGAGCCAACCCCGACATACAAAGCTGCCATCCCCGTGATCGGTATGCCTTATGTAGCATGATGCTGCTGCTATACTGTTTCAATGCCATACATATGCTGTCAGCGCACAATACATAAGCTTACGTTTTCAATGTTCTCTTAATCACGTCCCCACGCCCATAGCCCACGCCCGTCTTCCACCTGATCTTACGATTTCATCTAGTTGCTATTTCCACCATGCCGTTGGTCAACATAAAAAAAGTTCTTCTAGACGGGCAAAATAACTGGTCCTCTCAGACCACCATCAAGTTTGCTGGAGATGATGGTTTTATAGGTGCTACGGAGCGATGGACGACGTTCAACCCTCCCACCTTCGTAGCAGCCGTCAGTCCTGCAACAGAGGAGGATGTGGTTAAAACCGTATGTCTTGAGCACTTCTCAATCAAAGCCCCTATTTTAAACCAGCATTACAGATCAAGCTTGTGCGCTCGCACAACATCCCCTTTCTCGCCACAGGGGGTCGTCATGGATATTCTCCCACCCTTGGAAAGCTCCAGAGCGGTCTGGCACTGGATCTGAGCCAGCTGAATACGATAAGCGTAGACAATAATACAGACACTTTGACCATAGGCGGCGGCACCACTCTGGGCCAGGTGTTCGACCCCGTGTACGAAGCTGGGTATGAAATGCGTAGGTTTCCCTAAACCCATAACTCCACCAGTACTTCACAAACTCGACTAATTATGAGCGATCTATATAGCATCCGGTACTTGTTCAGGCCCTGGAGTCGTTGGGGTAACTCTAGGCGGAGGCGTCGGGCGCTTCGGTGGAATCTACGGACTGGTAGCCGATACTTTAGTCTCAGTGCGCCTCGTCACCGCCAACGGCGAGGTGGTCGACGTATCTGAGACATCCCATCCCGATTTATTCTGGGCTATCCGGGGCGCAGGAGCCAACTTTGGGGTGGTGACATCGGCGACCTATCGCCTCCACAAACGAAAGCCTGGAGAAGGGGAACTGACCAACATAGACATGATTTTTCCTGCTGAGATGAGCTCGGCCTATTTCGAAGCAATGGCGTCGTTTGGGATTTTCCCTGCGCGGTTGGCTTCTCTTTCGGTGACGCGCTACGACCCAGAGAGGAACCAAGTAAGTTATTAAGTACATAGATACCAGCTCGGTTTACACCCTCCCAGCTAATATTTCCAGGCACAAATTCTGGCGAACTATGTATACCTCGGCCCTGAAAGCGAAGCCCGGGAAGTCATGAAACGGATCCTGGACCTGAACCCGCCAGTTATAAAAGTTACCGTCGTCCCATGGAACAAGCTATTATCGGTCCATGGCTTCGGGTTCGACGCGGTGGTGAACAAGAAAGGCATCGTCCGGGTTATTTATTCAGCCAATATACGAGAGTTCTCCGGATCGACATACTACAAAGCATTCCAGAAAATGAACGCGTTTTATGCGGCCCATCCGGATGGCAGAAACAGTGTCCTCGAGTTCGAAGTATTCCCAAACCAAGCGAGTGCCGCCGTGCCCAACGAAAAGACTGCGTTTCCCTGGAGAAGCGCACAAGCGTATATGTAGGTCACCTCCTTCTTGTCCCAGCAATTTCCACCTCAGACATACACCAAATACTAATATCAATGTCTCCATTCCCAGGCTAGCATTTTTCTCATGGACCGAACGAGGCGGCAAGACCGAAGAATTCGTCAAAGAATTAGGCCCTGAGCTTCGCGAAGACGTCGTTGCTACGTCGGGGTATTCCGAGCTGCAAGTCATAGTCCCCTACGCGTACGGAAACGAGACGATCGAGCAGATATACGGACGGAACAAACTACCTCGACTGGCGGCTTTGAAGAAGGCCTGGGATCCTGATCATGTCTTTAGCTACCTCCATCCCCTACCGACAAAGTACCCCGAGTCTAGTTAAGGCAAACTCCCCGCTTAAACTAGTATTTCAGATGATGAATTGTGATGGATAGCTTCGAGAGTGAAATTCCTGATTTACCCATTTCTTGGTAACCTGTCTGGAGGTTTTATTTTCTTTATTCGCCCTAGATACCAGGTAGTTAAGCACAATGAACAATGGGACACCGCGACGTGGAATGTATGTACCTAACCTAGAGGGCTTTAGCATCGAGAAATTTGCGCTCTTTCCCACAAGCCTATCTTTTCCCCTGAGCACTTTTATATACCTCAGGCACCAAGGCATACATATACATTGATCCGCACCCGCGCTAGAAAGCGATGGAAGTAATAGACCGTGTATATTGCTCGAACATGTAGTACGCCAGGCATCAAACCCTCATTTCACACGTTGCTGCCTTAGCACCTCAGGAACAAACACCCTCAAGGGCACCCTTAACGCCTCACCTACAGCTGTCAGCTGTCTGTAGCGCGTGCACCCACCGACGCGCCCGTCCAATAACCGCTCACCAGCGGCAGAATAATCCCATTCCTTGTCCTCCCCGTCACCGCCCTGCGACTATATAACACGCCCTCTCCTCCCTCGAATTTCCTTCCTTTCCTTTCCTTCCCTCCCCATCCCCACCCAAATTTTGGATAACCAGGGGGCGGGGCCTGGCCTTACCTACCTACCTACCAGGTTACTAGGTAGGTATGTAAGGTCAAGGTTTTATGTCCCTTTGGGTGGGGAATGAGAGTAGAAGAGGGTTCAATCCCACGTTTTCTAAATTTTTGGAAACAGGACAACGTAAAGGTATCATCAATTTTTGGAACCGGACTACACCCTTCGTGGTGATTCGATTTTTTTTTTTTTCGTTGAGCTTCTTGGCTGAGTGCTGGGACTTGAGGAAGAAGTGAAGTTGTTGATGCCGTGTCATGGCATAGATAGATAGGTACCTTCGTGCCTGTCTGCCTACTACTTAAGCATGCGGTACATATTGGGTGATGCTGTACCTATCCTGCGACATATTTTTTGTGATTTCTTCTTCTGGGTATTCGCGATCTTTGTTTACTTACATCCAATCTCCCTCTCACATGACAGTACTCGCGACACCTACCACCTCATCTAACAATCGATCCAAATGCAAATCAAAGCTTCGCAAAAACCGTCGCCACGCTCCCACTCATCTCCACCAGCGTGCTCTTATTCCTCACCCACGCCTCCAGACCCTTCCGCCCATTCTCAACACCGACGCCACTCTTCTTCCACCCTCCCACCGCCATCTCCGCCGGCGACTCGCCCCACGTATTCACCCACGTAATCCCCGCCTCGAGCCTCGCGATCACCGAATGACACGCATCGATATCCCTGCCGACGACCCCCGCGGCCAACCCCAGCTCCGTCGCATTCGCGCGGCGCACCGCCTCGTCCACCTCATCATACGCCAGCACCGCCATCACCGGCCCGAAGATCTCCTCGCGCACAATCGCCATCTCATCCGTGCAGTCCGTGAACACCGTCGGCCTGATCCAGTACCCGCTCTTCAGGTGCGCGGGCAGGTTCGCGGGCTGCTCGACGCCGCCGCACAGCAGCGTCGCCCCGTCCTCCTCTATCCCGCGGCGCACGTACCCGCGCACCTTCTCAAGGTGCGAGCGGCTGCTCAGGGGGCCGAAGTTGGTGGCCGGGTCGAAGAGGTCGCCGGCGCGGACGTGCTGCATCTTGTCGAGCAGCGCGCGCTCGAACGGCTTCTTGAGCGAGCGCGGCACGAAGACGCGCGTGCCGTTCGTGCAGACCTGGCCCGTGCTGAAGAAGTTCGCGAGCATCGCGACGTCGGCGGCCGTGTCGGCGGCCGCGTCCGGCAGCACGATCAGCGGGCTCTTGCCGCCGAGCTCCATCGTCACGTACTTCATGCCGCCCGCCGCGGCGCCCGCGACCCGCATCCCCGTGCTGACCTGCCCCGTGAAGCTGACCTTGGCGATCGCCGGGTGCTGCGTCAGGTGCGAGCCCGCCTCGCCGGCGCCGTACACGACGTTGAACACGCCGTCGGGGACGCCGGCCTTCTGGTATATGCCCGCGAGGTACTCTGCGTGCAGCGGCGTGAACTCGCTCGGCTTGTAGACCATGCAGTTGCCCGCGGCGAGGCACGGCGCGGACTTCCACAGGGCGATCTGGATGGGGTAGTTCCAGGCGCCGATGCCGGCGCAGACGCCGAGGGGCTCCTTGGACGTGTAGACGGAGGCCGAGGGGCGCAGGCGGAAGGACTCGCCGTTGAGGCCGCCGCTGGCGACGAGGCTGGCGAAGTACTCGAGGACGTCGGCGCCGGTCACGATGTCGACGGTGGAGGTCTCCGAGAACGGCTTCCCCGTGTCGAGGGTCTCGATGCGCGCGAGGTCGTCGTTGTACTCGCGCAGCAGCGCGACGGCCCTCTGCAGGATGCGCGCGCGCTCTATCGGCGGCGTGCTAGACCATGAGGGGAAGGCGGATTGCGCGGATGCGATGGCGGCGTCGATGGCTTGGGGGGGTGAGTTGAAGATCTTGCAGATGGGGTTTCCGTTGGACGGGTCAATTGACTCGAAATGGCCGGCGGACGTTGGTGACGGTTGCGGCTTGCCCGCGTAGAAGGAATGACGGTCTATGTCTCTAAACCCCATGGTGCTGACTGAGTATTGACGATATTAATTAACTATATCCACACTACTTATGGATTATGATGATGGATGGTAATAAGAGGTGTTGTATGTAAATCGAAATCCAATGGCTAAAACTCTTTACTTGGCTTTCTAAACTAATTAATCGTTCCCTTTTCTCCTTACGACGTACAACAAGCTAACGTAAGTAGCTTATGGACCTCTTGCCTCGTTTTCTCGTATGAGAAAGGCTGGGCAGTGAGGGGGGGGGGGATGCTTGCTTCCTTGGTAGTTGGATATGAATATTCATTAGGTATGTACCTATACTGTACTCAAGATAGTTTTTTCTGCCCTCTGGGTATAGTAGGTCGTGGGTATTAATGAAGTTTGTCGGTGAAAATGCCCAGGTTAGGATAGTTGCTTGAAACAAAGATCCTCGGACGTGGAGTTCTCCTTATTTGGATCGGCTCGGAAAACAGTTCACGTCATCAGGTAACTAAAGAAAAAATTATGCGGAAAGGCGGGTTCGGCACTTTGCGGCTTTCTTCCAAAATTATCTCCCTACCGATTGGTAAACTTGTACGCCGTATTAGTGACGACCTTGACGAACTTATCCCACAAACTACGACAAACTACGTATGATGTAGACGGGGGCCGCCTTGACTATCTTTAGTTTCCATAATAGCGCCGTGGGATCCATGCTAGGCTATAGAATCTGACGCCGACTTGACTCCTTTTATGCTAGTGTGGTACGAGATATTGCTTTTTTGTCGTTTTTGTTAGTAACTGCTAGCAGCTCTATTAGGCACGGAGATTCGTTGAATCAAGAGGTTACATGCAACTTTTTTTTAAGAAAAGCTACACTAGAAGAACGGACGCACCTATCTCCATCACCTAGGTTGTCTCGTTAGTGCACAGTAGCCTACTAGTTATGCAGTCTTTATAATAGGGTAATAGGGTGGCACACTTAAGGTGGTGGGCAGCGTGGGCTAAGGTCAGTTTATCTTTTTCCTATCCAAGGAGTCCTCTCCTATCTCAAGCCAGGGTCCAGCCACCAAATAAGACCAAGAATCTTCAAGTTTTGCATACAGCTATCCCTAGACCACGAGTCATCAGACCATTCACCGCTCGACCCACGAGATTTGCCTGCACGTACAGGGTCCCAGACTCCCAGGAATACTACGAACCAATAACTTGGTGATAAGGGTCCCCATACTAAGCGAAAGTGAGCTATCTTGGACCGATTTCCGTACCGGCTTGGCAAGTTTGCTTGGTACGAAACTGTCCGAAGTTTTGCTCGATTAATAGGCTTGACTCGCCCGCATGATCGCATGCAAAGCAGAGCAGGTCTTAGAAAAATTAAACGCCTTGTAAAATACATATTCATTTTTTTTTTTGCATATACCAAACCATATTTAGGTATAGAAAAGGAACCAACCGGCTATCGAATCGAAGATGACTACTAATCAGCTCCCCGTCTCCGACTCCGATAAGTACGATTATGTGATCGTCGGCGGTGGCACAGCCGGCTGTGTCGTTGCCGCAAGGCTCGCCGAGTATCTTCCGCACAAGAATGTACTCCTGATTGAGGCTGGTCCCAGTGATTTCATGGATGACCGTGTCTTGGATCTCAAGAAATGGCTGAACCTTCTCGGTGGTGAGCTCGATTATGATTATGGCACCACTGAGCAACCTAATGGTGAGTTTTGCGCATTTTTACATCTAAATCGCCTTCTAATCTTACCTTTTTCTGTGTCTAGGCAACTCATTTATTAGACATTCAAGGGCAAAGGTCCTAGGAGGTTGCTCCTCTCACAACACCCTCATCTCCTTTAGACCATTTCAATATGACATGGATATTTGGCAATCGTTAGGGGCGCGAGGTTGGACATTTCCTACTGTCATGAAAGCGTTGGATAGACTGAGGAACACTGTTCAGCCGGTTCACGCCAAGCACCGCAACCAGCTATGCAAGGACTGGGTCAATTCGTGTAGCACAGCTCTGGACATTCCGGTTGTAAATGACTTTAACAAGCAAATTTCGCAAACTGGATCCTTGAAGCCTAGTGTTGGGTTTTTCTCAGTGAGCTACAACCCCGACGATGGAAGACGATCCAGTGCATCTGTTGCCTACATTCACCCTATTCTCCGGGGCGAAGAGAAGCGATCGAACCTCACGATCCTGACCAATGCGTGGGTATCCAGCATCAACGTCAATGGAGATGATGTCAGTGGCGTGACCCTGACCTTGAAGGATGGCTCAACTCGCACGGTCAAGGCGAAGTCGGAGACGATACTAAGCGCAGGAGCTGTAGATACCCCTCGTCTTATGATGCTTTCAGGCATCGGACCCAAGAAGCAACTGTCAGATCTCGGCATACCCGTTGTTCGCGATATTGCAGGTGTTGGTGAGAATCTGCAGGACCACCCCGAAAGCATCATCATGTGGGAATTGAATAAGCCCGTACCGGCGAACCAGACAACTATGGATTCCGACGCAGGCATCTTCTTGCGCCGTGAGCCAGCTGGGGCTGGAGCCAAGAAAACGGCTGCGAACCCAGAGGGTCTTTCTGATGGAGACATCGCTGATGTCATGATGCACTGTTATCAGATCCCTTTCACACTCAACACTTTGCGGTTAGGATACCCCGATATTAAAGATGGATACGCGTTCTGCATGACGCCCAACATCCCGCGGCCGCGATCCCGGGGCCGACTTTACCTTACATCTGCGGATCCAAAGGTCAAGCCCGCCCTAGACTTCCGATACTTTACAGACCCGGAAGGGTACGATGCGGCTACTCTAGTATTCGGCATGCGAGCGGCACGCAAGGTAGCAGAGCAGGCGCCATTCAAGGACTGGATCAAGCGAGAGGTTGCCCCTGGGCCGCAGGTACAAACCGACGAGGAATTGAGTCTCTATGCGCGCAAGGCAGCACACACTGTGTACCATCCTTGCGGAACGACCAAGATGGGCGACACGAGCAAGGATGAGCTAGCGGTCGTTGACGAGAAGCTCAAAGTAAAGGGGCTAAAGAAGTTGCGCATCGTAGATGCTGGAGTGTTCCCTACCATTCCCACCATCAACCCTATGCTGACAGTATTGGCCGTTGCTGAGAGGGCTGCCGAGCTCATTGCCGAAGAGGCCAATGCTCAGAAGGAGAGGGCCAGACTATGATCGGTGAACTCTTGTCTTACCGGTTGGATGTTCATTAATGCCATAGAAGGATGAAGTTGGTGAGATTAAGCCGCGGAGTTGGATATAAGAAAAACAAGCTGCCGCACACGTTGGAAATGCCCCCAATTAGAATGAACCGCATGGATACCTGAAAACCCAACCATGTATTTTGTAAGATTCCTGTAGCTACATCAAGAACGATAGTTATAGCGTTATGTAGATCATTTTTTGAAAAAAAAAAAGCACAAGCTGGATAGTCAATATTATATATATCTAGTATATATCTAGAAATTTTACTAGAATAATGTTATGAAATCCCTGGGCTAGAGCGGACGTACGAAGTATTGCTTGAAGACTGGTATGTAGATGGCAAGATTCAGTTCGTAAACAGATGAATGTGATTTTGGGATTTTGGGATTTGGAGATTTGCTGAACCTCGGAATTATTTGTGGCGGTGCCTGCCCCGAACCATGTGGCTGAATGGCGGTCAGTATTTTGTCAGCCACAAATTGGCAGAATTCCCCTCTGGTCCCATTTCTTTTTTTCCTTCCCGTTGAATATTTCCAAGGCGCCATTCACTAAATTCTTCCAAAAATTATATGTAGCAGCAATCCAAAGACGCAATGGCCGCTGCTCGTACAAGTAATCGCGTTCCACAGAAGCAGCAGAAACCGAAAGAAAATCCAAAGTCGCTAAAGAGGAAAAGAGACCAAGAAGACCTTGTAAAATTACAAAATGCTGTCAACGAATTTGTACGTATCTGACTTACCCTACCTACCTCCCGACAGCAGTCCGACCTAACAATATTCTCTAGGATCCGAAGCCAGAAGACAATACCAAATTCTCCACGTTGCCTATCTCCAAACCGACTGCCTCCGGCCTCGAAGCGTCGCATTTCCAAAACCTAACCGATGTCCAAGCTCGAGCTATCCCTCTCGGGTTGAAAGGTCGTGACATTCTAGGTGCGGCCAAGACTGGCTCCGGAAAGACCCTCGCTTTCCTCGTCCCAGTCCTCGAGAAGCTCTACCGCGCGCAATGGACCGAGTACGATGGACTGGGGGCCTTGATCATCTCCCCCACGCGCGAGCTCGCAGTGCAAATATTCGAGGTCCTGCGCAAGATTGGGAGACACCATACCTTCTCCGCTGGCCTAGTAATCGGCGGGAAGAGTTTGCGCGAAGAGGCTGAGCGGCTGGCGAGAATGAATATCCTTGTCTGTACTCCGGGCCGGTTGCTACAACATCTCGACCAGACAGCCGGGTTCGAGGTGGATAATCTGCAGATCCTAGTCCTAGATGAGGCCGATCGAATTATGGATATGGGATTCCAATCGGCCGTTGATGCGCTCGTAGAACACTTGCCCAAGTCGCGGCAAACGATGCTGTTCAGCGCTACACAAAGCAAAAAAGTCTCAGATTTGGCTAGGTTAAGCCTGAAAGATCCCGAATATGTAGCTGTCCACGAAGCTGCAGCTGCCGCGACTCCAACGACGCTTACACAGCATTACCTCGTTACGTCGCTACCCGACAAGATGGATACTCTATACGGATTTATCAAGGCTAATATCAAGAGCAAGTTGATCGTATTCTTATCATCAGGAAAACAAGTGCGCTTTGTGTACGAGAGCTTCCGCCACTTACAACCCGGTATTCCCTTACTACATCTCCATGGCCGACAGAAACAGACAGCACGCATGGAGATTACGTCAAGATTTGCGGCATCTAAAAATGCTTGTCTCTTTGCGACTGATGTTGTCGCTCGTGGTGTCGATTTTCCTGCGGTGGACTGGGTAGTCCAGATGGACTGTCCCGAAGATACTGATACTTACATTCACCGAGTCGGAAGAACAGCACGTTATGAGAGAGATGGAAAGGCTGTACTCTTCCTAGATCCGAGCGAGGAGGAAGGGATGCTCAAGCGATTAGAGCAGCGAAAAGTACCCATACACAAAGTCAATGTGCGGGAAAAGAAGAAGCAGAGTGTGAAGAACATGATCCAAGACATGTGTTTCAAGAATCCGGACCTCAAATACCTCGGCCAAAAGGCCTTCATCAGCTACACCCGCTCCATCCACTTACAAAAAGATAAAGAAATCTTCAACCTCAAAAAGTTAGACCTGGACGCATATGCTGCTAGCTTGGGTCTCCCAGGTGCACCACAGATTAGATTCCAGAAGGGTGAAGATATCAAGAAAATAAAGAATGCGCCGCGCGCAGGGCAGTCTAGTGATTCAGAATCAGACTTTGACGAGAATGGGAAGAGGCGAAAGAAGAAGGATGAAGTCAGGACGAAGTACGATCGCATGTTTGAACGGACGAACCAGGACGTTTTGACGAATCATTACACGAAAATGATTGGCGAAGGGGAAGAAGCTGCAGGTAGCGAAGACGATGATGATCAAGACTTCCTTTCGGTAAAGAGGGTACTCAAAGGCGATGACTTTGATGATGCTCAAAAGAACAGCGAGTTGGCCCCTGGAACCAAGATTATAACCGGGCTGGGCGGCGAAGAACCATTTGTGGTGGATTCGAAACGCAGGGAGAAGCTACTAAAGTCCAAGAAAAAGATGCTGAAATTCAAAGGCAAGGGAGACAAGATAGTGTTTGATGATGATGGAACAGCGCATCATCCGTACAGGATCAAGGACGAAGACGACTTTATGCAAGACGGATCTGCAGAAGCTCAGCGGCTCAAGTTTGTCGAAAGTGAAGCAGCCAAGGTCAAGGAGGTCGATCTCGACGACAAGCAACTCGCTAAAGACAGGCGAAGGGAGAAGAAGGAGAAGCGAAAGGCCCGAGAAGCGATGGAGAATGAGGAGGCAGTGGGTGGTGTGCCCAGCTTGCCAGCACCGGCTGATGGGGAAGATCCCCTCGCCTTCCTTGCGTCTTTACCTATGGCAGGGAAGGATAGGGATAGTGGGAGCGAGGCCGAAGAAGAGAGGCGACCTACGAAGAAGGCGAAGAAGTGGTTCCAGGACGATTCAGAAGACGAGAGACAAAAGGCCAAGAGTAAGAAGGGCAAAGGCAAGGTTATTGAAGTCAGTGAGGCACCAGATACCCTAGAGGATTACGAAGCGCTTGCTACGGGTTTGCTTGATGATTAGAGGGTGGTTGGTTGTTGTTGTTGTCGGTGTTGCAATTGGTAACACAGTAGGATACCCTAGGTACCTAGGTATACTTGTGCATATAAAAAGATGAAGTTGTATACTACTACCTACTAGGTAGTACCTAGTAGTATGAGACTGATATCATTGATGCATGTTCCCCAAAAGTATCCCCTGTCGATAAGATATCGGGGCGATGTTCAATGTTTACCGGCTATAATAGTTAACGTACAAGTACTAAAATAGCCCCTCTATAGAAAACCCCACCGTTACTTCTTACTTCTTCCACCCCTCCTTTTTAGTGCTCGTATGCAAGGGGAGGAGGGGTTCTACTACTTCTTGGACTTTCTTGGTCTCGGACTCGGCGTAATCGACCCATATTATTCTTACTGTATTCACTATAATTCAGAACCTCAACACCAACATCTTACTTTGAAACTGCTGCGACAACAACCCCTATACTTACTCATACTAACCTGGATCTTGATCGGAAGATAATCTTGCGCTTCCCTTTGTCCATGTCGCTGAACTCCGTCACGACTGAGACCACCGTCTTCTAAGACGGAAAGCGATTACCTATGAGACACATCTCCACCTCCATATCTCAGCCCTAAGAGGTAGTCACATCAGGCTCTATTCGCATAATTGGAATACAAAAGAAAAGAAATTCAGAGATATAGAAGAATCAAAAGAAACTAGGGCTAAGAAACAATGCCTGGTCCTCAGAACGGGTCGCCTCCCCTTACAAATGGCACCAGCCATAACGAGCTGGAGGCATTATGCTGCGATATGAAGGCCAAGGTCGACAACTTCCTTGACACGCCGACACAGGACGAAGTACTCAATTCAGTAAAGAATCAGATTATAATCGCCAGGGGCGTCATTGACGAAGCATTGCGGCGGTATAGGTTTGCTACCCCCTTCCTATCTATTCTATTCCATTAGTTGTGACTGAACCAATAATACTGCTGCCTAATCGTCATAAGATGGCTTCATAAGCTGTCGCACGAAGCGGCGGAAATCACCCATTCTAAAACTTGAATGTTCTGGTGAAACAAAACAAATTAACACAATTGCTATAGACCCGAAGAACTCTCGCTATCCTACAATGGAGGAAAAGACTGCCTCGTCTTGCTCATCCTAATACTCGCCTCGCTACCCTCCTCCTCCTCCCTTCAGTCTACATCCTCGCCGGCGCATCAACAACCACCCAAATCAGACACTCCACTCGTACCGCCACCGCCGTTTCCGCAACGCCTACAAGCCCTATACATTCGCCCCGCGCTCCCCTTCGCCGAAGTCGACGATTTCGTCGCAACAACCACAGCTACCTACCACCTAGATTTAACGCAATCGAACCAATCTATGAAACCTGCACTAACGGAATACCTGCGCGATCGCCCGACGGTCAAGGCCGTGTTTGTTGGGACTCGGCGCACTGATCCCCATGGCGCCTCCTTGACCTTTTTCGACGAGACCGATGCCGACTGGCCGCGCTTCATGCGCATACACCCTGTGATCGACTGGCATTATCGCGAGGTGTGGGGGGTACGTTTCCAGTCCTTCCCCTCTTCTATACTTATTTCTCATGTGCCCCTTTTCCCATCCCCACCAAATATGTGAAGGAATAGATAAATTGGTGCTAATTCCAAGCCAACAGTTCATACGCGCCCTAGGAATCCCATACTGTCCTCTGTACGACAAGGGATACACATCACTCGGCGGCACCGATGACACGCACCCAAACCCGGCGCTAAAAGCAGGGGGCAAGGAGAGTAAAACAACGGAAGGGCCACAGTTCCTCCCTGCGTACGAGCTGATGGAGGATATGAAAGAGCGGCTGGGGAGGGATCCATAATGTTGGGTGCAACATAAAGGAAAATAAAAGTGTGTTCTAGATTCGCATTTTGAACTAGTTTGTAGATCTACTAAAGTAGAGAGTAGAGTATACCACCTAGTTAGGCCTTGAAGTGGTTCGGATGGACCAGGATTTTTGGGATATTAGACGACTACGCATAAGTAGTGTTCATATACATACCTACCTTAAGTACCTACCTAGGCACACGTATCTAGGTATGGATAGGGGGGATAGGGGGGGTCTGAATTATAAGTAGATACTCGCTAAAATACTACATTACAATCTAGGACCTAGGGCATTCGAATATAAAAGGCCGGCGGTGGTTTCAGATAGTATGCGCGATAGCTAAATATTAGATTTCTTCTTCAGTTCCTTACCTACCTGCTGCTGTGGAACTGCGGTTGATGAGTGTACATAGGTAGAAGCGATATTATTCATATCAAGCTCATAGCCTGCCTACACGTGCCATCTAGGTAACGAATACAAGTAAATTTTAGGTATGTGCCAAACACGGTAATTTCACATGATCGTGGCTAATGTAACTTGAACGACGGAAATTAGGTAAGTGGTAATTGCTCACCTTTTGACGGTATATATTCTGACAACTGCTATATATACTATGAGGTGCAAACGAGGTAAACATCCCAAGCAAAGCAAACCCAGAGAAACGAAAAAACCCCCCCCCAAAAAAACAAAAAAACAAAACGCAACTGTGATGACCAGGTATATCTAGTAGTCTATCTAGTCTCTACTACTGTGTAGTGTACAGTAGGATATCCTACCATACTTTACCTAGGCATTGCCTTCCCTAGGTAGGTAGGTGCCGACTGATCTACTACATCAAACAAGAAACAGAACTCTGTAATGTGTAGGTTGGTTTGTTATATACATACGCGGTGTGTGTGTGTGTGTGTGTGTGTGTGTGTGTGTGTGTGTGTGGTATGGTGTGGTGTGGTATGGCATGGTATCAAGTCATCCATAGGTAAGTCAGTCCCTCCGATACGCCCCCTTATTTTGACTCCGCCCAGCCACCGAGACCAGGCCACTGCCGATATCACCGTTATTTGGTGAGGAGAGGGGGTGGGGATACAGGAGTATGAACCGAACCAAGTTCTCGACCCGCCACTCCTAGTGCTGCCGCCGCAGTTCTCTGGTGTAGGCGTGAACGGGTTGGCTGGCTGATATGTTAGGTGGCTAGTTGATGATTATCCACTACCTAAAGGTGAGGCTTCTGCTATTACCCCCTAACGCCATCTCTCAATCGGAATGTACCTCTCTCCATACATCTCCCCCCCCGCCTGCTCGTTCTGTATAAACTTTTCCTTTTCTCTCTATAGTAGTTTTCACGCATATCGAAGCCAGAACTCCATTGCTTTGCTTCTCCTGTCTCAGCGTATTATATATCCTACGTAATATAGGAAACTAAAAACAGAAAAACAAGAGTTTGCATTTGCACCCACTCCGCCATATGTGTGTATGAGAGAAGGAAAAGGAAAATCATTATAGTCCACCCTAACTAGTTCTCAACACCGTCAGCCTCCCATGGTCTCGTGTCCACGACCTCGCCGTACATCCGCAGGCGGTAGAAGCAGGTGTGGTCTGCGCCGTAGTTGCTGATGGCACGTACGAGGATGTTCTGGCTGCTGGCGCCTAGCCCTATGAGCTCGTCGCTCAGCTTGAAGACCTGGAACGGCTCGCCCCAAGTCCTGTTCTCGTACGTGAAGTGGCCGACCTTGACGAAGCCCTCGTTGAGTACTGTCTCCTTGGGCGTCTCGGGGAAGTGCTCGTCTGAGAACGCTTTGACCTTTTTCCTCAGGGACATCTCCTCGATATATATCCACACTTCAACGTCTTTGGGCATCGCACCGGGGTCCAGGGTTGACCCGGGGAGGATATGCTCTACGACAAGATTCTGCGGAATGATTACGCGGCTGGTTACCACGTGTATCGTGTTCGTGTTCACCACCCGTTTCAGGACGCTCGGTCCGGCGCAGAAGCATTCACCCTCTTCGGACCACGGGACCAATGCAGATAACCGAGGCTGGGGTTTGTAGCCGTCACGGAGATACCATGCCTTGCTCTTGTACTTGAAATATCCCCTGGGGACTTGCCAGACCGGAGAGGTATACGACGGATCAAGAATAGCTCCCGAGCCAATACTAAAGAAGTTGACCTGGTTGACTAACGAGTCTGTGTGGCCGCGTATACGACCACTAGCTATGCTGTCGAGTTTTGCGTTGTGGATGGCCTTGTTCACCATGGCGTCTATAATAGCCCTGACTTCGTTTTCACTAAGCCCCGAGCCTTTGGCCGAGCTGCGGAGCTTAGCCACACTACGGCCAATATCCTGAATACGGCTGTCTAATGTCGCGAATTCTTTCTTGATGTCCAGCTGATATGATCGAATCTCTTCCCGGAACAGTTTCACGAAATCTTCCTTATTAAGAATCGTTCCCCCAACCGACTTCTTCAACATTTCCTCATTCTGGTTGAGCCAGTTCAACCAAGAGCGGCTAGCCTTGCTATTTAGTAAAGCATCCGTATCTTTAGGATCGACGTTCGGCACAACTTTTGATCCGGCACCGCTCCCCGAGGGCTCACCGGGCAACTTAAGCCCCTCAGCTTCTAAGCGGGATCTAATGGCGAGCCACTCAGCCTCTGAGAGATGTATACCTTTATCCTTCGCCTTTTCCACCGTTAAAGCGATAGGGTCTCCCTTGATCATGTCCCGAATTGCATGCCAGAAATCTTGCGATATTTCAAGTTTGCCATCTTTGCCTACTTTAGCATAAACCTTGTCAGGAATCTTCTCGTGGAGATTTTCAACAAAATCTGACGGTGGGTCATATGGTCGCCCGTATGTCGATTTCGCTTTAGGAAGTTTTATCAACGGTTTTATCGACTTCGGGATTGATGGGACGAATCTGTAAACACTTTCCTTGATATCATAGAAAGAGAATGAGCGGTTTCGAGTAGGGAAGGCGTCGCTTTTTAAAGAAGAAGACCCAGGGCTAAGAATGGTTAACCCGGTCCAGACGATGCCTAAGACCATTAGGAATACAACCAGGGCGCTTTGCCAACCATTTAAGGCCCCCAGGGTCCAATCTCGGCGCCTTCTTCGACCCGACGTCGCCGCCTGTGGCACTATCTGAGGTGCAATTTGTTGCTTTGTAGAAGGAGGAACTCGCGGAGGGGTTTGGTCAATGAAATCAGATTCAGACTCAGATCTCTCATTTTCATTTTCTTCATTTTCTACATCAGCTTCATGGCCATCATCAGCGTTAAAGTCGATGGGAGGGTTGGTTGAGTCGAAATCGTAAGTGATACGGGGAAGGTGGTCACCTTGCGGTAACGTGGAATTGTACATCGCTGACTGGTTCGCTGACGATTGATTTACCGCCGGTGGGTTTACTGCTTGCTGGTTTACCGCCCGTTGATTTTCCACTGGCTGGTTTACGGCTGGTTGATGTGCTGCTGGCTGCTGGTTTACGGCTGGTTGATGTGCTGCTGGCTGCTGGTTTACGGCTGGTTGATGTGCTGCTGGCTGCTGGTTTGCTGCTGGCTGGTGTGCTGCTGGCTGGTTTACGACTGGCTGATTTACAGCTGGCTGATTTACGGTTGGCTGATGTGCTGCTGGCTGGTTTATCGCTGGCTGGTTTATCGCTGGCTGTTGGTTTGCTGCTGGCTGGTTCATCACTGGTTGGTTACCTGCGTTTGCCTCGGATGCATTCTTTTGCTGCGTTTGCGCTGCGTTCACAGCAGGCTGGGGACTGGAGTAAGGTTCCGACGTGGCTCTGTTCTGTGCTGGTGTCTGGATTGTAGCATCATCAAACAATCCATTTTCAACAGTGAAACTTCTCGATGAGCTAGGGCGGAACTGTCCCGGAATATACCTGCCTTGCCCTGAAGGGATGGCAAAGAACTCACTGGTGGCGTAAGGTGGTGCTGACGGGTAACGGTTATGAACCAGTGAGTAGGGATTGGCATGTCTATAATCCAGTGTCCTGTATAATGGTGGTATAGCGGTGTTGTTGTGATGGTCGTCTTCAGAAAAAAGTTTCCCCAGTGTTGGGACCTTAATGTTTACCCGGATGTCTTCATGGACAGCTTCAGGGTCAAGGGGTGGAAAACCATTGCTGACAGGTGGTTGATATTTCCCAGCAGGGCCGGTCTTTGGCGTAGGTCCGCCTGGGCTAGGGTTCTGTTTTGCTGTCTTGGGAACTCCCCTCTTGGCAGTTCCCTCCTGCTCGTGACCTTGATCGTCGGATTCATCCACAGTTTCCTCAACAATCTTCTTCAGGTCATCACCCATGCCAAAACGCTTTCCATCTCCACCCCGCAGAGTTTTGGTAAAACGCCGGTCATCATCCTCTTCATTGATAAAGCCGGCCTTAGGCTTTTTACCACGCCGCCTCTTTGCAGAGTCCACATTGATAAATGTATTCATGCCATATGATCCGTCATGTACCGGATATAGACTAGGCAGATCTGCTGATGGTGGTTCATGGTGAGATCCTTGCTGTGCGGAATTAGGAGTGCCATTCACGCCGTTTGTGCGATTTCTCGCCCGGGTATTGCGCGTGGAAGACATCTTGATAATGAATTTCGTTGCTCTCGGCCAAATTAGAAGCGAGAACCAGAGGTCTACATATAGAATTAGCGCGTGACAGAAGCGTAGACTGTGTAGCAGATGTAAATGAGAGGTATTGGATGGCTAGACGAAAACTGATAGTAAGGAAACATGAAGTATCTCATGCGTTTTCAAGAGACGGAGAAAATAGATGAGATAAGCTGATCACATTCAATGCCGGTTGTGAATGTAATAACGACTACCAAAATATTAAGGTAGAGTAAGAGATGGACATTCATACATACCAAAGTTCACCCCTGGTCTATAGACTCATATAATAGGTCGAATGCTTTCACCGAGTCTAAGTAGATGTGGCACGTTGATGTGATACGGCAACGAAGAGGGAATGATTTAGGTAGGTAGTTGATAGAAGGGTGATGAAAAAATAGAGATGAAAGTGGTGATGTTGATTTAACAAGTAGATGGAGATGACTAAAATGTGAATGGTTTCGTTCATTCCCCAGCCACTGTTCCTAAAATAAAGCCTTATGTTTGGTGAATCCTGTGATGCTGAAAGCGTCTGAGCGCGCAAGTGGTACTAAGCCTTTGTTAAGAGCTTGTTAACAACTTCAATGTTGTTAACAGCTGGCTGCTGCATACACGCGGGAGATGACCGGGTGCGGCGACACATGTGGGCTACGCCTGGGGTGCATAAAGCGTTGCCAGCCGGAGTTGTCGAGATGAGATATGACTTATCAAGAAGTTTCCGAAGACGGTATAGAGCATAGAGAACATGGAAGACATGCACATGTGGATGAAACACAATTCCATCAAGTGTTTCTTTTTCTTTATTCACTGTTCGGTTAGCTCATCATTGATCATCATTGGTGCAGACTTGTCAAAGAGAAAGGCCACGGGGAATGACTGGAATGGGGACTTGAAGACCTTAGAGACCTTAGGGACCTTAGAGACCTTAGAGTAGCCGCAAACTTGATAATAAATTTAGCGTTGCTGAATCTAGATTGAGGAATGCAACTGGGGAGTTCACCCGATCGCGTCGCGTCGTCTTGCCTACTATGTACCTGTTTTAGTTTAAGAGGCTTGGAGCCGCTTGGTATGTATCGCGGGTTTCGTAATTCAATGTTCAATGTTCAATGTTCAATGTTGTACAACAGTTGTACATGCAGGCACTAGTAGTTAAAAGAGACTGCAGTGGAAAATTCAATTGGATCAATGATTGAACTTTGAACCTTGAACATTCAAATGTGCCAGCACTGCAGTGAGCATTGGGCACTGAGCACTGAGGTGAACAATTCACGTCGCCACAAATAATCTGAACAAGCCACATCTCTTGGCAAAAGCCACATGCAACTTTGAACTCAATGCCACATGTGCACTTGCAGGCATCAAGACAACTTGAATTGAGGATAACTATCCATGATGCATGTGGATGCATTCAATCTAAAACTCGGACGTACAACATTGAATGAATGTTCCTATGGAACTACTGTACATGTAACTACATATGCATATCATGTATCCATGGATATCATGCGGATTATCCGTTTCCATCCAGTCAAGTATAATCTTACCTCTTCTATGCAACCTGTCTACTTATACATAACTACATGCCATGCGAGCTTAGCGTTAAAAGAAATGAAACAAACATAAATATTCATCCACGTCCATACCACTAGGATCTCCAAGCCTTATCTGAACCACAGACCAAACATACAAGTATGGAAAATGCTAAGGCTCTACTCCATATCGGAAATTTCGTCATTATACCTACGTCAATAAGTACACGATCTATTGCTGGAAATTCGATCGTTATGATTCCCGTTGTGCTACGAATAGATCCATATTTGTCTAGACCATACATACATGTGTAGCACATACTGCCATGATACTGGACTCTGGAGGTTACATACTATACTCATCCATCCATCCGGCTTTCCAAAATAGGGTACACATGGCATCTATTGTACTACCTACCTATACTATAATAGCCTCAGTGCCTGGAATACAATGGAAACTACTGAATACGGTACTATACTACGCTAAGAGCGTTGCCCTGAACTGGACATGTGTTCCAAGGCAAAAAACGTGCGTCTTAAGCCTTTAAGGTGGGCAAGTTGTAGTTACGTAGCTGCTAGCCCTGGAAGAAATAAATCATTATCTATTTTAACCCCAACTGCCCCTACAACTGCCCCATCATTCTCCTTAACTAAGTGCAACGGACTATGGAGGTACTACCTAGTGTACCTGCCCATGCAGCTACCATGTTAATCGGTATGCATTTTATTAGGCTAGCAAGGTTTTTATGCCTACCTGGGCCAGCATTGTAGCAACATATTGCGGAAGGAGGGGCAATCTGCAACCCCTCTAATTTCGTCCAATTTTAAAAATGGAGATCACTTTTGACCGCCGCACCCTCAAAAGTCGCGACTTTCCATCCCACTTACAGAATAACTAACACTTTTATATTCTCTCCTTCCCATACCTAATATCTAAATAGACAGCCGCGATCTTTTTCTGTTTCGCTTCATAAAAATTTCCAATCAAATCAAAACACCACTACCAACAATAAAAAATGGCCGTAGGAACTGTCCTGATCACTGGGTAAGTCTTTTTCATGCGGCGCGCATTCCAACTCTCACACAAACCCCCACTATCTCATTGCGCGACGATGTCAATTGTCAATTGTAATGATAATGGTCCTTTCAAACCAAAACATCCTGAACCGGTTTGCGATGAATATTAATACAATCCAAACTAACATGCGCAAATAGTGGAACGGGTTATATAGGATCCTTTACCTCGCTCGCTCTGCTTCAACATGGCTACGAGGTCATCATCGTAGACAACCTATACAACTCGTCCGAAGTCGCTCTTGACCGTATCGAACTTATTTCTGGCAAGCGACCTATTTTCCACAAGGTTGATCTCACCAACCAAGATGAGCTCGACAAAGTCTTTGCTGCGCATCCGGCTATCGATAGCGTTATTCATTTCGCTGCGCTCAAGGTAAGTTCCTTGATCGCAATCTTCTCCATATCGCATCGAGTACTAATAACATACAAATTAGGCTGTTGGGGAATCTGGTGAGATCCCTCTCGAGTACTACCGTGTGAATGTCGGCGGTACCATTTCCCTTTTGAGCTCTATGAAGAAGTATGATGTTACCAACATTGTCTTCTCTTCCTCTGCCACGGTCTACGGCGATGCCACTCGCTTCGAGAACATGATTCCTATCCCCGAACACTGTCCGATCGGCCCGACAAATACGTATGGCCGCACTAAAGCTATGGTTGAGAACATCATTGAGGACTTTATCGGTGCCCAACGTCAAAACTTGAAAAAGGCAGAGAAGCCATTTGAGCAATGGAACGGCGCCAACTTGCGTTATTTCAACCCGTGTGGTGCGCATCCAACCGGCATTATGGGCGAGGATCCTCAAGGTGTGCCATACAACCTGTTGCCGTTGTTAGGCAAAGTCGCGACTGGTGACAGACCGAAGCTGCTTGTCTTTGGTGAAGGTATGTGCAATCATTGTTCAAACTTTGAAGCATTATGGAGGGGAATACTAATGGAGCCATCACATAGACTACCCGTCCCGAGACGGAACTGCCATCCGCGACTATATCCATGTTGTTGATTTGGCGAAAGGCCACTTAGTTGCACTGAACTACCTCAGGGAACACAAGCCTGGTGTCAAGGCCTGGAACTTGGGCTCCGGCAGGGGCAGCACCGTTTTTGAGATCATCAACGCATTTAGCAAGGTTGTTGGTCGAGATCTACCTTACGAAGTGGTACCACGAAGACAAGGCGACGTGTTGGACCTGACAGCTAACCCTACGCGAGCGAACCAGGAACTTCAGTGGAAGACAGAGCTCACCATGGAGAAAGCATGCGAGGATCTCTGGCGGTGGGTGTCGAATAACCCTAAGGGATACAGACAGGACCCACCTGCCGAGTTGTTGGCTGGTATCAAGGGCGAGACCTCTTGATCACCTTTTAATTGATGATTGGATCGGCCGTGTCGAATCGAATCGAATTGCTATTCAAGTTTGAGGACAGAAAGGAGGCTTCCATTTTTCCTATAGAATAGATGAATATTCCCACATTGGCTTTATGCTTATGGGCACATTTTGCAATGGAATTTCAGACGGGTAGATAATGACGATACGAAGAAGGAAAAGAAAAACTCCCAACATGAAATGTTGATGAATTAGAAATACATACATACCTAACCTAGTACCTACACATGACATGTTAATCACTGCAGTGTGCATGTATGGTTTTTCGGTTACATATCCTTGCCGTGTGCTGATCCAAGAGACAATCACTGATCAACATGAACCCAACGAGGATCATCCTTTTCTTCAAGTTCATTCTTAATTCTTAATTTGTACATACATAGCCACTCCGCCTTCTTCACATTACACCAACACCGCGGAAACAACCGAAGGTGCTTCCCAAAACTCGTCATCATGGTTTATAGAACTAGATCGTTTATGAAACTATATGCAATAGGGGCGCAAAAACCTACATATCGTAAATATTGCATCCAGATGAACGAATAGAAGATTGGGTTGTGCGTGGCAGTTCAATGCAGGTCGAGTTATAACTGGACAAACAAAGTTAAGATGCGCCGTCAGTTGCGCAATGTCAACTGGGCATCATGCTGCCAAGGCCAGTTTTTTTAGTACACTGCATATTGAAAATCTAATGATTTAAGTACATACTCTATGTAACTACGTAGGTGACATACATAGCCGTAGAGGCTGAGGCTGTGCATACTATGACGGTGGCCCTGAAATTGAGAACTCCACTGAAATTATGGTTACCTATTCGATAATAGATCCCTGGATGTGGCTTAAGCTTCTTAAGGTTAAATGTTCTTAGGCTTGCCTTGGACTTTGGACCCCCTGGCTTGTCTCAACTCAACCTCAAAGGCGCCATGAAACATCCCGAGCTGTCTTTCCCTTTTCCATATTTTTCTTCTTATTCACATTAGGTGCAATTCATATCCTACGAGCTCTATTCATTTGTACATTTCATCATCTACTTGTCCTAGCTTGGGCAATCTATAATTTATCACTTTGCATCAATTGGAGTATTGGATTTGCACATTTGTTACTTAATATTCTTATATTGTTACGTGTTTTGTTGTTACTTACCTACCACTAATTGAGCGCTCTCCTCATTCACATCCCTTAGCGCTAAATCACAAGACCGAAGGCTTTGATATTCTTATAGAAGTTCTGAGAATTATAGCTTTCTTAATGACCAAATTCGTAACTGGGTTCCGTCAACAATTCAGCCTTCATTGTGGCGAAGCTTGGGTTTTTGGAGGACAAGCAAGCATCACACCAGCAAACTAGGATTTTGGCCAACTTCAAAATTTCCCAAATAGGAAATCTTGACTATTCTGTGCTGCATGCCTAGCCTTGTTGATAACATGGAACATGCTGCTTTCCAGGGTGGTCAGCAAACACGACTTCGACAACTTGGCGAGGAATGGGGTCTCGTCTCCCAACCTCCATCATCGCCCTCGCCAAGACCAGATGTAGCACCATCGTACCGTGTAGAAAATGACGAGTTTACCGCGGAAGAACTTCTCAAGAGGCAGCGTATTGCCGAGTCTCAGGGGCAGCAGACGAAAGGCGGCCTTTCTCGTGCCTTCACAACCAAAAAGAAGACATGGGAGTATCGCGAGATATATAATGCTCTTGTAGCTCATATCCAAAACCAGGGGTCGCCGGGAGTTGCGGAATGTTTGATAAATAAATTGAATCTGGTTGGAGGCAACCTCAATTTAGCCCAGAAGAGTCGTACCGGGCTACTTAGCAGAAGGAAAAGTCTCGACCTAGCCGAACGAAGTCAGGTTTTACAGATTGCTGTGAGGAATGGGCACTATGAAATGGTGGAGGTCCTCTTGCCATATGCTGACGCTTTGAGTCTGGATACGGCATTGCCGACCGCAATGCGGAACGGAAACGTGTCCATCACAAGACTACTCCTGAGGTACGGCGCAGATGCATCACAAACGGCCGATGGACAGGATGCCTTTCGACAGCTTTGCGCTGTAGGTGGTCAACCAGAGCTCATAGCGCTTATCGTCGGTTCCGAGGGGCGACCTTCTGTAACCTGGATCTCGCAATCCATGGTTGAGGCAGCAAGAGCTGGGTGTCTGAGTACCGTCGGGCACCTAAGCCAGTCAACTGCGGACGGAAATCATGATGGCGCCGCGGCACTGAAAGCCGCTGTTGCCCTGGGCCGGAGAGACATCGCTCTTGCTATCATCCTCGGCAACAAGCCACCTACTCAGCCTGGCTTGAATGAGGCATTCGACCAACTCATGACCCATCCAAACATTAACCCAAACGAGAAAATAGCGATGGCGGAAATTCTGCTATGTGCCGGAGCCAATGGCGATTCGCTCGCAAAGGCTTTACTTCAGGCTACTGCTACTTACTTCCTCGAGATGGTGCACCTTCTCGTCTCCTTTGGAGCATCGATTGAGTATCAGGATGCCATGGCCATGCGTAAAGCGGTATCGAAAGGAAAAATTGATCTGGTACAAGTCATGCTAGGTGGGAAGTCCAAGTTTAGCCCTCAGTATGCATCTGAGTGCGTAGAGCTTCTGCCGAAGAAGATGAGATTCGAGGAGAGACATTCATTCCTAAATTTGCTGCTTCGTAAAGGTGCATCGGGCCCCCCTTTAGATGAGGCTCTAGTCGATGCTGTCGAGGCCGGTGATATAGAGGCAGTAAAGCTGCTTCTCACCCCATTGTTCCCTGGCGGGAAAATTGTTGGAAGCAAAGATATCCGAAAGGGGCCACGAAGTATGGTGTTCGAACGACATGAGACCGCGTCAACGGACCACAAAGGCGCATTAGCGTTGCAAATAGCAGTGAAGAAGGGGGACACAGGCATTGCAGACTTGATTCTAACAAGCAGGCCACCCAATCCAGTCGCGCTCGCTCAAATTTTCCCTAGCGTAAGAAATCTCCCAAGTACTGAACGATATCAAATCGCCGAATTATTCCTGAGAGCTGGACTTACGGGCCCTTCTGTTCACTCTGCCTTGGAAAACGCCATCGATGAACAGCCACCGCATCGTGACGAAAAACTTATATCCCTCTTTCTTCGTTATAATGCAGATGTAAATTTTAACGAAGGCCACACTATCACCGCAGCCATCGCACAGAAAGATGTCCGGCTTCTGGAAAGATTGCTTAAGAGCAAACCCACGATTCAGGTAGCAGCCAAGGCAATCCCCAAGGTGATGGAGGTTCAGGATGGTTCAATACGGCTTCAAATGGTAAACATGTTACTTTCAGCCGGTGCCTCCCAGGGTGGCTCTGAAGTATCAGCAGCAGTCGAAGCAGTAGTGCAGGCCAATCCACCGGATAAACGACTACTTAAAACATTATTACAACAAGGCAATGCCGATGTCAACGTCAATGGAGGGGCTGCTGTAGAACATGCTGTGCTTCAATCCGACTCAGAAATTTTAGAGATGATTCTAAGTTTAGGGCAACCCAACGCTGAAAGCCTTGATCGAGGATTGGCAAGCGTCGGGAAACTTCCGGCATCTCCAACCAAAACCGGGAAACTAGATTCGTTATTACGTCGAACACGGTCAAAAGACATCGTCACAAAACTTCTCATAGACGAGGTTATATGCATCTTGAAGACACCTCCCCAAAATCAAAATCTTTCGTCGCTAAAAGTCCTGTTGGCAAACGGCGCTGATATCAACGCTATGAATGCCGAGGCATTATGTAGAGCAGTCGCGGCAGCAAACATGCAATTAGTTGAGGTTTTGCTGACGGCTAATCCAACTCCCGCCTCCATGGCCTTCACCATGCCTCACGCTCTCCGTATTCGCGATTTAATGGATCGACTCACATTCGCGCGAAAAATCTTGGAAGGGGGTATACCGGAGAGAGAAGTGAATAGGGCTCTTGTCTTTGCGATTAGTACCTACCCCGACGACATACCTCTTATCAACATTCTCTTAGCTCGTGCTGATACTCGAGATGGTCTTGCCTTGCTCGAGGCTATCAAGAAAGAGCAACAGGATGTTGTGGAGCTCATACTAGGAAAGAAAACATTTCCAGTAGAGATTCTCAACACTGGCTTTGCTGAGGCGACGAGGGGCAAAAACAAAAGATCGAGAAGTATGTCGTCGATGAGTCTGTTGAAGGCTGGCGCATCAGGAGACGTTGTGTCAGATGCACTCCTAGCAGCGGCTACTGATGGCGATGTGGACTTTGGTACGATTTTAGTTCAGAACGGTGGCTGTGTGGATCACAAGGACGGTCAAGCTATCATAGAGTCTTGTAAGTCGGGTGCCGTCGATATCTTAGCAATGCTGCTAGCGGGAAATTTGAAGGTTGCTCAGACAACGTTGCAAAGAGGATTCCAAGCCGCTACACAAATCGGAGACTTAAAGAGGAGGGCAGAGATTTTCAAGCTATTGCTCCAAATGGGCGTTGCTGGCGAAGAAGTTGATGCCCAGCTTGTGTCAGCCGTTAGGTACGGCGACAATGGGAAGAGCATCGTCGAATTACTGCTGGTATACGGAGCAAGCCCTGACTATAATGAGGGAGAAGCCGTTGTGAAAGCTGCCCAAAGTGCATTCTTGGGCAATCTCGAGATGCTATTAGGGGTCATGGATGTTGGTGGGCGTCAAAAACGGCCATCTTCTCATACGTTAGTCCGCGCCATGGATGCATGTTGGGACCTCAAGAGAGACACTAGATTTACTGTTATTTCTTGGATATTCCAGGCTGGAAAGCCTGTTCTAAGCGCTGTCAACTCATTCCTCCTTCGTGCGGTCAATGAAGAAGATCCCGAAGAAAGATTCATCGAACTTCTCGTTAAGAACCGAGCATCGCCTACATCAAACGGCTGTCGTCCCTTAATTGATGCAACTCGAACTCTATCAGTCTCTGCATTTACCAAGCTTCTGGATTTTGAAATCAGCTCCGCGGATGCGACAACAGTGTTTTGTAACGCGTTCATATCGGATAATGTTTCCTCTTGGTTGTCTGATAGAGGATACCAAATCGCCCAATGTCTTCTTGAAAAGGGCGCCACCGGTGATGGTGTAGGATCTGCCTTCGCCGTAGTCCTCGGTCTATATATGGAGGCACACGGGGAATTAGCTAACAAATTCGTTGACTTACTTCTAAGCCATGGCGCAGACATCAACTACAACCACGGAGAGGCATTGCAAAATGCAGCTGCCCAAGGTGACCCCGACTTGCTGCGAAGGCTCTTACGTGAGAATCCTGACTCGCAGGCACTAACATATGCGTTTCCTCGAATCTTTGACGCGACAGCATCAGAAGACGACATACATGACCTGATAGCATTATTCATAGAATATAACCACGGGGAAAGCCACATGGATGTTGCATTCACCCAAGCAGGTTCAGAGCCCGTCCTCATCAGAGCATTGAATCAGTTTCCGAGATCAACAAAGGTCCTGAGCGCGCTGCTAGATGCAGGCTTCTACCATGACCAAATAACGAATCATAGAGCTACGCCGGAGGCCGAGGAAGAAGAGCCCGTGACGTTACTTATGTGGTCTCTCCTACAACCTCAGAAAAAGGTTAGCAGCAATGTTATCAACCTATTGATTGAAAGGGGTGCCAAGGTCAATTACGAGACACCCATCTCCCGTGTCACTCCCGTGATGCTTGCCATTGAAGCTCGCCGCCACGACATTGTCAAATCCCTCCTATTAGCAGACGCCGAGGTTGACGTAACAGATGCTATTGGAAGATCCCCACTATCCATGGCATCTGCCATTGGCGGTGACCTAGCAATTTCAATGATGTCAAACTTATTGGCTGCTGGCGCCTCAAGGAATGATGGGTCTCTTCATAATGCGGCACGCGAGCTGAATCTACAAGCCATGCAGGTTTTGGTCGAGTATAGACACGACCCTGATTTCCCAAGCCCGTTGCACGGTGGGCGTAGTGCACTCGGCGAGTTATGTCTACACTCGACTGATTCAATTGAAATGACTCCACGTCGGGAAAAGGCGATGGAGAAGGCAATCAATTTCCTTCTTCAAAGCGACTCCGACATCACTCTTCAATCGGAAGGGAAGTCTGCACTTCTTCTAGCTTTCGAGTCGAGCGATCCGTTGACTACGACGAAAGTCTTGCTCCGCGCTGATATGTGGAAATTCATAAACAAGCCCTTCAACTACTACACGGACGGCAAATTCACATATTCGCCTACGATGTATGTTCAGCGCGTAATGCCGGAATTTGACCACAAGCCACAACTATTGGCATTACTACGGGCGAATCGGGGCACCGATGTTTATTACGCAAACACTGGGCCGCAGCCAGAAGACGCCATTAATATGCCGACACATATCCAAGTCGAAGAACAGGAGCGCAAAGCGCGCCTAACGCGAATTCAAAAGGACGACCAGGAACACATTCTCTCCATACAGCGAAACAAGGAACTTGCAAGTGTACAGGCGCAAATTTGGGCCAATCAAGCAGAGCTTGAGGATGCCCGCAAGAAGAGGGCACACAATGCAGATCTAACCGCGATGCAAGAGCGAGCACGAGTAGAAGAAGACCTCTTCAATGCGGCGATGCGACTTCAGCGCACGCGGCACAGTGTCGAGGTCAAGCACCAAGAAGCGCTCACACACGCAAGCCTCACACGCACTCAAGCTATCGCGGACGCGGAGCTCAATGTCGAGTCGCAAAAGCGGTCGCGCCTCCTCCAGTGGGAGCGTGAGATGGGCAACGAGCGCGTGGGAAATGCCAACCAGCTCAGCAGCATCCGCCTCCGCGAGAGGGAAGATCTTGAGGTCCTCGACAAGGCGGCGGACGCTCGGCTCAAGACTAGGATCCTGGAGCAGAAGAAACTCGTCGATAGCCAGAGCGCGCTCGCGGCGAATATTGCCGGCGCCGGGCCAGCTGCCAGGAGGCAGATTGGATTTGTTAGCGGGGAGCTGGGCCCTGATTAATTGGATCTATTTGGATTTGGCTTCTTGATAGTTTAATACCTCCGTCGCGATTTTTCTTTGGTAGCATTGGTGAGGGTTTAGGATGTTGGAGTTGACCAGGAATACGTTGCTATATTTTGGTACCTAACTAAACTTTGGAGTAGCACTTTGGTGATGGTACAAGTCGTATTGGACGACGTAATTTGGAATATCGCAAGGAAATATGCTATATTAGTGCCTTCTCATTGCCAAACTCTTTAAAATGCCTAGACATCCCTTTACTACGCTCTAGTCTCATTATGTAATCTACATACTTATCCCCCCTATTCTGTAGCATAGCACAGTAGTAGCCCTCATCATCACTGTGAATATACAACATCATACCTTCTTATATACCCTTCCCCCCTTTTTTTCTTTTTTTTTAGGATCATCATGTCACTCTGGTCCCAAGCAACCCTCCCCATGAAGACCAAGTATATGATAAACACTCGCCCGTCCATACTAACCTAGCTTTAACACTTTCACAGAAAGAAAACCCGGTTCGTGTAATCTGACTGTGTAAGTGTGTAAGTGTGTAAACTGACGGAGTTCAGCCACCACTATGCCAAATGTAGTAGGTATAGCATTGTGTATACCTATAATTTACAGTACGCCACTGAAAGAAAAAAAATTGTACCTTTTGTTCTAATTGTTACAAGGCTACAAAAAAACGTGAGGCTATCCCCAACTTTATTGCCTACCAACACATAACAGAGGACTTTGAAAACATGATGGTTTTTTTCAGTTTGTTCATGACATACCTAACGGCCCCGAACCTAGCCTACCTCTCGAGCCCCCCCGGCGAGATAAGATGAATAGCAATACAAGGGATGGATCCATCGCACGATGAGCTAGCTACCTAACGTAGGCAGTAACGACGTGTTCAGGGGCTACCGGTAACTACCCAGGGCAAAACAACAGTGAACGGACTAGTGCCACCGTCTGCAGCGCCAGCAGGAAACGGCGATAACAGCTTGGGGTAGGAGATTAAGGGGCCGGCGGTGAGGTTGGGGATAGCCACACATGTAGCTTTATAACAATTAAAGCAAAAGGTACAAATTTTCTTTGAGTGGCATGCTGCAAATTAGGGACCTACAATGTTATAGGTACTACATTTGGCATACCGTCAGTTTACGCATTTACACAGTCAGATTACACGAACCAGCGGACTTGGGAGATGGATATGGTATAACTATGGGACACTGGAGTTGTTATCATTGTCTGAGAAACACCCCAATGTATCGTCACCCCTGACAATGCTGACATTAATTTTAAAAAGCCCAATTCGAGGCATGCTCTACAGTCAGCCGTTACGAGTGGTTGGGATAGGGACTTTTGTAGCCTTGGCCTTGTTCTTATTTGCTGACATGACACGGCATTGGCTGAGCTTACGATAGGCTTCCGGGTTGCGAAGAAAGGGGGGTTTTTTTTTTTGGTCGCACGGTATGAAAAATGCTGTCTAGAAAGATAGTATGACTAACATCTTGCCAATGCCAATGCTGATTGGCATGGGAAACACCCCAATAGCTTGCAACGGCGACGAACCGGCCGTAACTAGTCCCTAACAAAGTCGGCTTCGTCTGGATATTTCTCCTCCAACGCCTTCTGGATTGCATCTAGGCATTCTCGTTTGCGATAGCGATCCGGGTCAGGCCAGCCATGCTCCTGATAAATCTCTCGCACCATGGATAACATGTCTTCTAGCTGTTGGGTCCATAAGTAGTAGACACCGCTCACGGTATACGGGCTAATGGGGACAAATTGCAGCGTACGGAACTGATCCTTCAACACCTCGAAGAAATCCGCAATGGCCCAAGTTTGCCTATCATGACGCCAATCATCACGCTCAGTCCCATTCCTCGGCGCGTACTCATACGTGTCGTCTTCTATAGGCTCTCGCGACGGGTTGTCTCTGATCCCATCCGGACAATTAGGCCAGGATATGACGCCGAACTTCGTGTCAAGCACGAACAACGGAACGTCGTAGGAGCCGGTAGTAAGACTTATGATATGTGGAGGCGAAATGTCGTAAAGGTAATATTTTTCTGTGATCATCTTGAGTCCATCGCCAGTGCTCTTGCCTTCGACGAGCCCCCCAATCATTTCGCGCCAATCGGCGAAATAGGAATCAAAGGTGCCATGTGCCAGATAATTTTGATCTCCATCGCTACGTAAATAGGGTAGGTGTGCGAGTAGGCTCAGTACCTCATCGCTTTTACCCAGCTCTGCCAGGCGACTTCTGTCAGCACCAGAGATGCTTGGCCAGCCCTCCTCAGGTGGTGTTGCGATCGCATCCTCGTTAAGATACATAGTAGTAAGGAAGGCGTAGTAGTCTCGCACAGCTTTAATAGTCGCGTCGCGTGAGTAAACTATCGCGTCAAGTTTCGGCATCTTGGGAAGTCCTGTGAAGTAAAATGAAATAGGTAGGTTAGAAAGAAGTAGTTGTTGGTGGAAGAAAATTAAGAAAGACAATCCTTTGGAGCATTTTAGACCGGTCGTGGGAATTATAGTGGTCTGATGGATAAAGTGACAGTACAACGCCACGTTATAGACCAATACATGGGACTGGTGAGTCAGACGTAGAACCCCTGAATAGCTTGGCGGCTCGTTGCAAGATATGTAACCAACATCCGCAAGCGAAGTAATACCTACCTAAGTAGGTAATATTATGGGGCAAGTATTCGAGTACAACTTTCTCAGACCGCCAATATTTCTTGTTGCATGAAGATGCAATTTGCTCTGGCCTTTTCCTTCTTCTCTTCTTCTCAAAAGATCTAAAATCTCGTGCTCGTGTTAGAAAGAGCTTGTTTCCCATCTCCTGGGCCGAGCGTCCCTCTGCATTCCTCCTTCTCTGGGTTCATTGTGCAGCGGCAGCTAGATTCATCATCTAGCACCATGAAATGAAAACCTTCCTCAGCGGGCTTGCCTCCCTTATGGCTTATTCCAACGTTTGGGCTATGAGCATCACTGAGATGCCCAGAGCTGAACCGACGAGCACACAGCCACAGCCTGATCCCTGGACATGTGTGACGGAGAACATCACACAATACTTTGATGTTCCCAGGCCGACTGGCACACTATTGGATGCCATCCTATCCTACGGCGATGAACTCATCGCACCGTGTGTAAGCACCGCAACGGCATTGGATATCCTCTCCTGTACAGTCTCGGAGACTTCAGCGTGGTGCGGTTTCGCCACCGCCGCACCGGAACCGGTCCTCGGCGACTACTCATCGTACGGAAGCGCCGCGGCTCAATTCTGGCAGGCGAAGAGCGAAACCATATCCATAATTGCCTCCGAATGTCCTGTTGGGTGGTCAAAGCCCGGCTTAACCGAGCAGGCTTGGCTGAATCAGACTATCGCCCACGCCGAGTGCTACATTGTGGCGCATCCCGCAAACACGACGACCGATTCTTCGACACCTACGGCCCCTTCAACTGCTGTTGGAGGAGCAGGTCCGAGTAGTCCGACCTCGACTCCGAATGGAATTATTGGTCGAAATCGGGGTACCGAGGCGTTCCTACTTGCAAGTATTGGTGTTGCAGCTGCTATAAACGCAATGTGGTAGTAATCGAAGGCAGGCTGAGATATTGAGGCTATTAATGGGCATTTAGATTCTAAGTGGTACATTATTTAAATATTGAAATAACATCGAATATCAATGCTTTCGGGGAAAATGGAAAAGGGGGTTGAGGGGTTGAGCCTTCCACTACCAAGTCTAGTCTATCCCATATAAGTACCTTAAGTAGCTGATCTATACATAAATGTATATCATACTCTATTTAAGAGACAATAAAGAAATGTGGGTTGAAATTCATGCCACCATGGGGCGTTTTATGGCGTCAATGGCGGGCAATGTAGGTACTGATTCGGTCTTGTGATGGTTATGGACGACACCCTTTCGCTCCTCCTCGATCTCGGCTTGCCGATTTAGGTAGCTCAGATAGGTCTGCCAGCCGACCGCGACGACACCAGCGCAGACACTACGATACTCTATTGGGACGAAAGTAAAATTGACAGCCATTACGGCGGGCCAAAGCTTCCACGAGTTCATCCAGCTGATGGGCACAGTACGGCGCACTCGGTCCCAGGTTTCGGCTACGCTATCGCCTGAGAGCAATGCCTGTGCGCCGAAAAAGTAGCTGCTGAATATGGGCGTAAAGACTGTTTGGCTTATACCAATTTTGATGCACAGAGAGAGCACGTGGGAGCTATAGTTAAAGTTGCGCGACAGCCACACGAACCTGTTGGTTGAGGGTTAGAAACCATTGCTGAAGGAGACCCCTTGGCTAGCATGTTAGGCATTAGACTGGACAGGACACTCGCCATATAAAATTCGGTACGGCGATAACGCCTCCGATTGCCATATTCCTGATCGTGCGCTCGGGAACATATTCCTTGCCACCTATGCTCTGCGCGCTAACGTCAGCGGCCAGGTAGATTAAGAGTGCGCTCGCGATCTGCGTTGCCCAAGGCCGTTTGCGATGGGCGTGGCCGTAGGCCTGGCCAATGCGGGTCAGGGGGCCAAGGCGTTGCCATAAAGGGAGCGGGACGGCGGGTGTACTCGCTGGCGGAATCGGGTCGCCCGCTTGTGACTTCGGCTGCGGCTTTGGTACCTCGGCAGGATTAGGATTAGTGTTGGTAGACTGAAGACGGCGCGGCGCGGACTTCGGAAGCCGGCTCATGCGCAGCTGATCAACGTGTCTCCGGAACACGGCGCGAAATAATGGGGATGGGTAGGGAACGGGAGGCATCTTGAATTATACTAGGTTAAAGGATATGCGCCAAGAATGCTGAAAGCGGATTTACGTAGGTTAGATCTATGGACTGTACACCTTGGTGTTTAACCGATGAAGTGCCCAGGTAAGGACTGAAATGAAAGTGAGAACTATACTAAAACAAGATTATAGGAAAGAAGAACATATAGATTAGGGAGAGATCTAATTTTTATAATTTAGAAGAAATGTTGACACATAGAGAAATGGAATAGTTAAAAAAGAGAAATTATTGTTGGGTTTGAGTTTAGAGGCGGCGCGCAAGGGATACTCCGGACGCGCAGTTAATTAGCCGAAGCGCCGAGCGGATATCCGATCCTCAACATTCTTGGTTAGTTACCTAATCTACTGTACCATGTCACATGATAATTATCAGCATAGTAACTAGTACTTCTTGATCCCCCTATTCTACAGTTCCATGTTCACGACTGCCCCTTTTCGACTACTTGGAATAAGTTGCATCTGTTAATGTTTATGCAGCACATAAGTATGTTGTAGACTTACCTACCCCCCGAGGCTATTGACAATGTTAATACATAGCACATACAGCAAAATTAGCTTATGTTATTTCCTCATTTCCTCAATGGTCACGTGATGCTTAAAGGGGGCCATTCATTGCAGCACCTCAACAACACGTTAAATATACTTATATTACACTCACTACGGATTTGATATTCTGCGACATACATTTCACTACCTAGGTACACAACCACACCATAGCCTCTGAATATGCGGAAGCCTTTAGCCAATCGAGGATGACTCGGAGAACATCGACGATCTGATCAATGATCTTCCTCTAGAACAAGATCATCTAATCAATCACATGACTTTATTCTGGTAATTAATGATTTTGTTGCCTTCAAAGTTTTAGTTTCGTCATGTGATACTCTAAGTGACATAGATAGCATCGATAAGCCACATCATCTAAGCCACGTCAACACCCCAAACTTGGATGAATTTAGCGCTTCCAGCGTCTCCCAACATTGAAATACTTATAAATAGCCCCCTACCCCCTTTCCTGTTGATATCCATACCATACTATTTAGCAAACAAAACAATTGCAAGTAACCCCAAACTACAAACCATCATCAAAACGAAACAACGTTTTAGCTCTGTCTATCTATATTACAATGAGCTTTCGGCTATCGATAGAAAACTCGAATGTTGGCAATTCGTTGAGAAGGACTGCCTCCTGACTTAGCCTACTGGCTTCCAATAATTTCTCAAGATGGCGGTACACTATCCCCTGAATGGCATTGATTTGGATTTTCGCCGATATAATTATAGACCCATTGGTGTCCGGGATATTATGGCCAACCAAATCATGGAAGATTGTATGAAGCCAAGGAGAGTGCAGCCAGAGATCTATACACGCGTGCTTAATCTGCATCGACCCTTTCATGAAATTAAATCTCGAGATCGCACTATAGGTCTTCACCTGCAGCTCTTGTCAAAACTGGTTGATACCCAACCCAATTGGACATTCGATGCAGTCCATGCACGAGTAAACATTAACTCCAGAATATCCGTCTTTGAACCCGCATTCCTCATGGTTCCTGGACTCGACGAGGAGTATATAACTGTAGAGGATTATCTTTTATACCTTATCGAACGGCATCTACTCGAATCTCAGCCTTCTATGCGAACTCTGGTAAAGGCTCTCCGCTATATTCGTTTAAAAGCAAGCCTTGGACCCGAGCCTAGCCTGAAGAAAGACTTGCACCAGCATCTAAAGAGCTTCCAAGCCCTTTCGATAAAGGACCCACGCCTTTGTGTGTACTCCAAGCGACATTACCTGCCCATCAACGGCTCCTCCGCCGTGCGGTTCTGCATCGACCCTTGTTTCATTGGTACACCATGGATCAACCCCGTTACCATGCGACTCTGCCCGAATCGTGACTGGGACCTACTTCTCACCCTGAGACGCACCCCTTATGGGAGGAAAAAGAATCTGCATGCAGTGAGCCTACACGACAGAGCATACAGCAACACGCCATCGCGGTCCCGCAGCACGCCCGCGCCTAAGGATTGGGGCACAGCCGTCATTCTCGGGCTCGACCGGTTCGACCCGACGGAGAAGCGCCTCCTCTACTTCCCGCGCCCGCGGCTCTCTGAACTCGACAAGAAGACGCGCCGCAGGAGCCTGAGCCGGACACACATCCGCGCCATGTTCAGCGACGTGCCGGAGCGCACCATAACCGCGCGCAGGCTGAGGAAAGGCCCGCGAAGCACCAAGCACCCCTGCGCGAACTGCGCGCAGTACACCCACCTGACCAAGCACTGCGTCCTGAACTGCGGCTACTGCAACTCGCCGGACCACCAAGCGACCGTCTGCGCCGTCCAAAGCAAAAACCGGTGCAAGTGCCGCCCCTTCCCGCAGTTCCACACGGCGGCCGAGTGCTACGTCCGCTGCAGCCGGCGGTGCGGGTACCCGAACACGACGACGCGGCACTTCTACCACAAGAACGCGATGCTCTGCACCTACCGCTGCTGCATGTGCGGCATCCGGCACCACTCGGGGAATCAGTGCGCGCTGAAGCGGTGCCCCTGCGGACTGCAGCACCTCACGCAGGACTGTCGGTGGAAGGTGGAGTGTCCGGCCCAGGGCTGCGACTTCTATCTCTGCCATCTCCATTGCCGGGAGTGCGGGACGCAGAAGAATAAGGAGACGAAGAGCTTGTTTGTGGGCAGGACGTGCCCGGACTGTCTGCGGAATGGGAAGCCAGTGTCGGCTAAGGCTGAGTGAAGGATAGGAGGTGCTAAAGCGAAGTGGGCAAGCATGATACCCGAGATTCCCAAGGCCATACATGCACATACTATAGATGCCTTAGCATGACACTTATTTACGGTAGCTTTCAATTATATATGAAATAAGGATCTTATGAAATTAATCGATACATCTCTGACAACTAGGTAACACATAACCCCATTTCGTAGACCTAGTTTCATTTCCAGTACTTAGGTAGTAGGTAATAGGGGTGGTTGAGAAGATCTAACGTTGCACAACGCCTGGAGCCGAGTGGAACCCAACCACGAGCACGACTCTGGCCGGGCTGCATGATAGGGGAAGTCTAGTCATTACTAAGTGGCACTGACTAGGTAGTATGAATACTGCACCTTTGGCCGTGAATATTGTTAGACGCCCCTTTTCCTCAGTGGAAAGGCACTTCTCTCCTAACGTTGGAGAATATGTATCACCCCCCCTCCGCCCCTTTTCTACAGCGCCCTGGAATATTCATGAAGGCTAGGGAAAGGGGGTGTGTTAAGATAGCTCTTGGCTGCAATATTGTCAAATGCATGGCCTTAATCCAGTAGCGTCGTGTATAAAAGAATATAGGAAAAAACTGTTGGGTATCAACATAATCGGAAGTAACATATCGTCAATCAATATCGCATTCATGCTTCCTTGGCCTTTCATGATACCTCCGTAGAGAGCTTTGTACAGTAGGAGTAAAGGTTATTATGAATGTTTCTCATACCACATCAACAAACCCTATAATGTAGGTAAGTAGCGACTGCGTCTAAATAGGAAGGAGTGTATCCTTCATGAAGTTTAGACCCTCGGATCTGCTTTTCTTGAGTGTGATGTTATGATGAAGTGACAAGTTCTCAAATAATCCCCAGAAGGTCAAGAATCAAGAATTCGTTCCCTCAATCTCCCTCTTCCTACACACCACATGCAGCCCTTCAATGCTCATCTCACACGTTATCATGGCTATCCGTTACTGTTGAACCCCTTTCCCTTGTACTCCCCATGATCATTGTCATTAACCTCGATCTCGTCTTCCATTTTAATGATGCCTAGCTACCACCTCGTATGACTAGATACTCACACGAAAATACTGTCGTATTTGTTCCTATCACAGTTAGATATCTTACCATATGTACCCAAAGTGCCGAATAGCCTCTGCCACCAATACCATCTCTTACGCGAGTCTCGAAAAATAATCTCCTGCGACGTACCGGCATATATATATGTTCCAAATAAGTTAGGTATCATCCTACATACTGAGTAGTTGTACTAACGGGAATAATACATACCATAGTAACTTGCTTGACGGCGATCTTGAACAACCTCTGCTCCCAGTGGCGCACTCCTCTCAAACCGGGAATTCCCATTCTTTAAAGCACTTGCTTTATCAGACCCCCTTGTTTTTCAGTATCTCAGTCTCTTTAGGCGTTTACATCTATAGATGTGCCCTTGCTTGTCATCATTGATACTACGGCCCTCGGTTTCTTGCTAACGAGCGTATTCTCCCAGTTCTGGCAGAGACGATGATGAATAAATCCATATAAATCCATACTGAGTTCGTCTCTGATGGTATCTCAAAGGATCTGTGAGTCTGTTTAAGCCAGCATGGCCAAAGTGACCACACACCTAAGGATTTCCATAACGTGTAAAACGATAATGGAAATCCGTACGTCGAAGGATCTTTGATGACAGTAACAAGGACACTGTCTTTTTCCAAGCCAGCATGGTCAAAGTGACCACACACCGAAGGAACTGCCACATGTATAAAATGATGATGAAAAGTCCATACTGATTCTGTCTCTGATGAAATTTAACACGAAGGATCTCTGAGTTTGAACAAACTTGGCCAAAGTGACTGCACATCGAAGGATCTGCGAAATATTTGTACTTAACAATGATGATAAAGTCCGGCATATTGAGTTCACCTATGGTGACTCGTTGGAAGGATTTCTGAGTTTGTTCGTCGAACTAACCGCACGCCGAAGGATTCAAGTGTCCATGCACCTATCATGACCATAGGCCCAAGGAGGCCACGCATTGAAGGGTGTCTGAGCTTATCAGTAAGTGCGCGATTAGTCTGGGTTAGTAGCTCGTGGTTGACGCTCGCCATGCCAAATCGGGGTACCCACCAACCTCATTTCCTGGACGTGAGGCTTCAGGTCGGCGATTCATCCCCAAGAGAAACTCATCAGTGATGAACAGTCTACACCTTATTCCCTAAGACGCCCTCATCACTAGCCTTAAGTAAGTAAGTTGAGGTATGAATGCCCATATTGTAGTTTCACGTCATCATCTAGGTCTAAAGAAGCTGCCAATATCATGACCGGGTGCAACTATTGAGCAAGCTAATCAACAAGCGCCAAGCTCTACATATTGAAACTCGTTGGCATTTTCCAGCTATACACTCGTACCCTGTCATATGTCGAGAGCCAAGTCTGGTCCGAAAGTAAAGAGACCCGAATCAAACAACAATACTCAATTGCCCCGAAATGGCAAATACTCTGACGTGAAGGATCATTATTTGGCACGATTCTGCTTCAATTCTGTACGGAAGGTCTCCTAACCATCGGTCCCACGGCTCAGCCATCGAACGGAGCTGTTATTTCTCGGGTATATAAGCGCAGGGCAACCACATTCTTAATTTTGACGCCTCATCACTTGATGGGTGGAGAACATCGAATTGTGGCTATTTTGATGCCGGCTTCAGACGTAAAGGGAGGAACCTGTGCTGAGAAGCTTTCTGGCGTATGCTTCGCAAGGGTCGACATTTAAGATATGAAAGGAACAAGAGATGATGGTCGGTAACTCTAAGGAGTACTAGGTGGCATTTTGTCTTGGGCGGTAAGTGTGTGCTTATTTTGATGGTGGGTGAGAAGGGAGCTGGTCGCTAGTGTTGTGAAATTGATGTTATGAAAATGATGTTGTGTGGGAAGACAAACAAAGCTTGTGGCAGATTAAAAGATTCAGTACTTGAATTCAAAATTTATTTAAGGGTTCCAAACTTGGTCCTAGATAAGTTCTCCTTAGGAACGAAAGTTTTTGGTTAGAGGCTGTTTGGGAGCATAAGTTTTGCTTATACTTATGGTCCGTGACACTTTAGTACATAAGTATGCTGAAGTGCGTTTTGATTGTGGGGTTATTCTCCACTAAAACCACGACCAATCAACGCATTTCTCGATGTCGATAAGTATTGGTATGTTTGTGTTATTACCTACATTACTTATGTATGAATATTAACCTACATGTATGCTGTGTGTATGGATTTTCCAGGCGCTAACAGGAGGTACGGTAGGTCAAACCTAAATTTACTGCACGACTATGTACCTTTTGATATTCCACAGATGTTACTTGAACAACTTCTTCAATACTATCTCAAATCAATTGATCAGGGCCTTATTTGAATCGCATCAATTGACTGATCAATAAACTCAGTTTGCAGCGTTTTAATTGGCCCGGTGCGGGTGGTATTTAATAAAGTTAGCCGCCGCCGCTGTGTGTCAAGCTTAGGGTGCCCACGTGACCGCCTTTGGAGCAGCCACGCCGCTACATCGGGTCTTGAATTTAGGACAAAGGGCTTTATTAGAGCCTTTCAGGGCTATTCGTATATTTTAAGGCCCCTGTGGCCCCTGTGGCCCCTCTATAAGTAAGGACATAAGTAGAAATAAGCACCCAAATAGCTGCTCATGAAAAGTCAATAAGCATAAGCTATTTCAAGAAAGATGATTGGATAAAAAAAAAAGTATTATGGTTCGATCCACAAGCAGAATTATAGTGGGTTTCAGAAAAATTATACCTCACAAACACTTTACTTATCCTTTTGCTGAAAACCCACTAATTCCCCATAAGTCTTTTTTTACTTATGCTCCCAAACAGCCTCTTATATTGTCCAGCGATCAATTAATAGAAAAATACAGTTGTACAGCGCCCATAATTACCTAATCATCCCATGCTTGCAAACCGAACAATACCATAAATTCATCCCAAAGGAGTCCTCACACTATATTTAAAGAGAATAATGTGAATTTCATTAAGCTTGCAATATTATAGCAAGTTCCAGATATCCATCAAGAAATAATATAGTTACCTACTAGGTAGGTACACTTACAATAACGCCCGAGTACACCCATTACCCCTATTCCGCACCTTCCATAATCTCGGCGCGATCTATCCTCACTGTTGAATTTCCTCTTTCTGAAATACCCCTATAATAACGTAAGTAAATCAGGTACACTGCAGCCACAGTAATACTGAGCAACAAAGTATTAGGTACTAACTTTCAACCTCTGGCATCCACGGATCCCGAAGCCGGCAGAAGAACTCGCCTTTCGGCTCGACCTGGCCGCGGGCATGGTCCTCCATCGTGCCGTAGAAGACGTATATGTAATCACCTGCATTGGCCTAGACACAGCGCTCGCTATCAGTAACTATATCTCACTCTTCCTTCATGTACGCCCCGCCACCTGACCAGCAAAAAGGGAGGGTAGGGGGGGGGCGGAAGGAGCAAGCAGAAAAGAAAAACGCACGCCATACTCCAGCAAAGGCCCCCCGCACGTATCGCAGAACTCGCGGTGTAGCACGACGCCGGCGCCGTTGTCCGCCTCGTGGACCTTGACGCGGTCGCTGCCCCGCGTGATGCGGAACGCGGATCTCCGGATCTTGGTCGTGATGCCGTGCTCGCCGCCCGTGAACTTCTTGCAGTTGCCGCAGTGGCAGATGCTCGTGCGCGCCTCGGTCTCTGGGTCTGTGAGCGTGATGGTGTAGCGGATGGCGCCGCAGTAGCAGCTCCCGGGAAGAGGTGTCATTTTTTTTTCAGTTACCTAGTTGGTAATATATATCAAAATGGTAAGTACCTGGGTAGGTAGGTATGTTTGGGAAAACATTTCGGTGGCGGTGGTGGGGTAAAGGGGGAAGATATACACGTATCAAGGGAGAGTATGGGATATAATTGATATCATGACGTTAACACACACCTCAACTGATGATCATACCACCTAATCAGTTTTTCTTTGTTATATCTTTTTAAAAAACGAAATAAGGAATTCTCCACCAAGTTCTCCAAGTTAAATTTCATTCAGACATTTCAATGAAGATATTCCCATGGTAACTTGGGAATGTCTCTCTTCGCAAATTCTTATGTAATCCCACTGTCCATAAGGGCACCACGTGAACGCGTGAGTACCTAACTAATATCACCAGGTAATGAGTCACATGACTCTATTCTGACTAATGATTGCTTGAAACTCATCGCTGACTAAGTCGACTTCCGATCTAGCCCCTATTAACACATCACCAAAAATCATATCCAAAAAGGTCCAAGCCATTTCCCTCCCTCATCACCCTGAGTCAAATCCAACTTGTATCCCATCACAGTCAGCCATAATCACCGTTCCCGATCGTCATACATCATAAGCGCAGGCCCATTGCCACCAGGAACCACCAGCACCTCCTCATCCAGCAGCGGGTGTCTGCCGTGGCGGCGGATATACTCGTCCAAAAACCTTCCTTCATAGTAATCCTCCCTCTTACCGCCGTCGCGGATGTAATGTTCCACGGGATACAAGTCGCACGCATGCGTGAACACGTCTACGGGCGCGTAGGGTATCGTGCTCGGCACGACTATTCTCGGGTTTTCTGGCGCCTTGTACATATCCTTGATCTTCTGTCTATGGTTGAACGGCATGGATCTGGGGCTGGAGGATGTGAGCTTTTCGTACCCGGACCTATTTCTCGAGCGAGCAGCCTTGAACGGCGTTGCGAGGCAGTTTCCCATCGCGCAAAGATTGATCTACCTAGGTAGATTTTGTGTTGTAATATGCTGGCTTGCCCCGGAACTGGATGATGGAGAGGGTGATGTCTCGAAGTTGAATATCGTGATGTAAGCTTGACTTTGGCGTATGAGGCAATTTCGCCGGTTCGAAGCATATGAGATTATGAGTACCAACTAAGGGGGGCAGTCTGCTTATAAAGACTTGGCACAGTCCAGCTGCGACAAGTAGATTTGGCAAACGCATAGAATCACTAATCATATGCCTGGATTTGAAGAGAAAGTTGATTATTTACGTCTGTGATTATAGCATGTGCTCAGTTCAGTCACTGCTTTGACGATATACTAGATGAAAAGTAGGCATGGCGTCAAATTAAGAGTAGCTAGTCTAAAAGTATATTTCCAGTACATTTCAGACGAACGACTACTTTAGCAGATCCTAGTTTACTAAACGGGGCGTGTTTTCGAGAATCATTCAACTCAGACATTTCAATACCTAGGGTACGTTCGCACGGAAGTACAAAATATGTATCTAGTTACTTTGGAAGACGGTTCAACAAGATCGAGTGTAGGTTGCTGAAATGATTGTCTAGGGACTGCTCTTAGGTACAGTACATGGAGTCAGGGCGAGGAAATGTATATAATCTAGGTAGGCATGCCCTCATAGCTCATAAAGCTCTAACCTTAGCTAAGTTTATCAATTACACATCTAAGCTCATATACCTTATCTTTTAGCATAGGTCACGATAATTCATATCTACCTATTAGGTAGGCAGGTAGGTAGGTAGGTAGGTAGGTAGGTAGGTAGGCATCTACATTGAATGCATTGACATCTAATCGAATGTGATGATAAGATAAACATGCTTGTTCAAGTTGCGTACTTCTCATAATTCACAGTATAAAACTCATCTACATATGGAGAGAGCCCCCTTTCTAACCTAAAACATGAATCGTTCGTATAACAGTCGTTATAATCTTAAGCAAAATCAGCCCATCCTAAAGGCAAGGACTGGTGTATGATACGCAGGTATCAAGACACCGTAGTTCCAGCCAAAAGGGGAAAACAAAAAGTTTTGCTCAGTGGGTGGTATCAAGTTCAGCGTCGAGCCAGAGCGCCTAGAGTCGAGAAAACAAAGCTAGAGTCCCTCCCAATACGCCTCTCCCCACACCCCTTTTTTTCTTCTCAATTCCACATTATCAGTCAGTAGCATGAACGTTTGTCGTAGCAGTTAAAAGAAAAGTTCCATTGGGAATCAAACCATCCCATTTGCAATCCCTTCTCTCTCCCTTCGCTCATGCATCCTCCCAAGGATCCATACCTCCATTATGATTACCTGCTTCTACTTCGATAGTCGTACCTAGAGCTTCCTTCCCTTGTCGGATCATGTCCATGAGCCTGGCATTAAGATCACTCATCCGCATATCAGCCTCCATTTCCTCCTGATACATTTTCGCAGCTAGGTTCTTAGCCTCGGCATCTAGTCGGGGGCTATTATCCTCAAACTCATGTATCGAGGACTCACCCCTTCTTACTCTACCCGGTGTCATTGATGCGGCGGACGCATTACTATGGTTCCTCCGATGGCTACGCTTCGGCTGGGTGCTGCTGGGGGTTGGGATAAGCGAGGGTTGGTGTAGTGGGCGGGCAGGTGAAATTCTAATCGGGGTTTGAGGGCAGCTCGGAACGGGAATCCGGCTAGTTATATGCGATGGGGAGGGTGAGTGGGGCCTCGGAGATGCAAAGCTTGCAGGTTCATAGTTAGATAGGGAAATAGACCCAGTAGGAGTTACTCTACTCCCTTGACGTCGGACAAAGCTAGGCGTGCTGGTACGATTGCTCACTCGACTAATTGGTCGACTGATGCGGCGATGGGGAAGCGGTTTAAGGGTCTGCTGCTCTGGAACATGGCTCGTCGGCGCTCGCGAAGCCCTGCTTTGTGGCCTTGTCTTCTCGGCAGGCTCTTGGACCATGACCCAGTTTTTGCGAAGTTCATCAGTGTTAAGAGCCCCTTCATAAATCTGGCGCCGTTTTGCTGCCGGGGGCGGCGTTGATTCCGGCGTCTCTTGCTCATAATGGTATGGAGAATAGTCCGACTGGGGAAGACTGTTCATAATCGTGGTAGCGTCGAAACTTGGAAGGGTTGGAATATCGTGCTCATTACACCAAACTTGGCCGGATGTAGGTGTCTGTTGTATAGCAGGTGCGTTCATTTCGTATCCTTTACCACCGCCTGCATAAAAACCACGGAACATACCCGATTTACAGAATTCAAATACCTTCCCAACAACCCCACCTATCGTACTTAAAGCAAGTGATCCCCATCCATTTCGTCTCGTTTGAGGCGACGGGGGTATGGCCCTATCTGAAAGATTATAATTAGATGATTCGATTTCGGAGTGCGGGCGTCTAGAAGCCAGTACACGTCTATAATCAATATCAGAGTAAATGCTATCATCCATTGCATCTTGAATATCGGAGGGGGCCACCCCGTCCGGGGTTGCGATCTGGCCAGCCAAAACGTATCGTCCCTCCCCCTCTCCGCTCCATTTATCCGTCTCGGATTTATCTTCGCGCGCATCGTCGGTTAGCCCTGCATCGTAGGTAGGCATAGCCCAACTCCTCAAAGGCGTCGACGGGTTAGGTCTGTGTCGCTTTCTCTTCGCGTTTGAGATTGGTGTTGACGTATCCGAGTATAGGGTTCCGCTGGATCTCCCGAGGCATAATGAATCTGAACTAGACGGTGATATCGGCGGTCGAAACATTCCTGGATTGACGCCAGATAGAGAGCCGTGATGAGTGCCTTCGAAATAGAACGCACCAGGCATGACGACCTGTTGTCCGAAAGACATATTATGTAAAAGATCGGCGTCGATTTGTTCGAGATGGCCCTTCGAAGCTAACAGTCGACAACTTGTCGCAAAGTCTAGGAATATATTGCTAGATCAAATAGCGACTAGGTCGGGTACGAAAGACCGTAACTTTGTATTCTCCCGGCCCTTTGAAAGCCAGCGTTTGCTCGCAAGATTCGATCGGGCGGTGTGACAATGCGTTTGTTATGGGTTCATGACGAGACTAACAATGCATTACGTCGGTCAAAGAGAATCGAAAACTCGACAAATGGGGCTACTCTGGGTCGTTTGTTGTCGATATGCGCAGTATGGTATTGTCTATTGATGAATGAATGAATGAATAGATAGATTGTAGCACAGAATATTGCTCTTTGCCGGTCGGATGGAACGACTCGAAGAGAAACGTGATGGAGGGTGGCTTAGATTGTTAGACTTTTGGAGCTCGTGATCACGAGCCTCTTTTTTTGTTTAAATTCGTATGGTGTGTTCAATGTTGGGTGGCCCCCCTTTGAAATGTCTTGCTTGGATGATGACGCGAGAGCCCCAATTACGAATAGTTCAGTATCCAGTTATCGACGCGTTCAGCTCTGATCTCAGTTGCCGGTAATTCGCCGCTTTTCGATGATATCGCAACCTCGCAGTTGTAGATGCATATATGAAGCGATGCTGCCGTCAGCTTAACAATAGAATGTAGATAGGTAAGTGCCTAGGTGGTAGGTATGTAATTGTCATGTAATGTGCATATATGTCCACATGCAGGTGTACAATACTTGAATACAATACATACAATACCTATTACTTGGTGCAGTACGTGTTATCTAGCACTGAACGCTAGTAGGTATGACGAAAGGAGCCCCGGATGGGAACGTGGCAATGCGACAGCTACTAAAACAACGAATGCTTGTACTGAACTGGTTGGATGAAAGTTGAGTTGAGCAAACATAAAATGATAGTTAAACGTGGAATCCTGTTTATTGGTCTTAGACAACCAAGACAGCTAGACTGAAGTCACTGGACCCTGATTGTGGTAACCTTGAAAAATGAATGAGCATACATAACATAAACTTTTGGGGGAGTTTCTTAAGCTTTGGCGGTAAAGTAAGGCCGCGTTGCCGGGTCAGAATTGCTTCCCTGTAAAAAAAAAAAGAGAAAAAAGAGCACTACCCAGGTGAAATCAACAAAACAGTGGGGCATCTTAGCATATCATTAGGTACCTAGTACCTATCTGGCCATGTACTAATCCCAATTCTGTTAGGGGACTCGGGAAGGTAGGCGGCTTTGTACCACTACGGCGTAGTACAGAATGTATTGGTGGGGCATAACGGTGGTACCTGGGAAGCTTCAAATAAAACCCGAGTCTTTGACTTGTTTATTCTCTATCTTATTGTCTTGATTTTCTTTCTCTAAAATAGTTATCTCCTTCTCAAGTCAAACGCATCTAATCACAATCATTGCAATGACCATTCACGGCCATGCATAATAAACATGCTGTATCCCTTTATGATGTTGACCTTTTCCCATCCGTCGTCTCAGTCTATCTGCTTGACAAGATGAAAATCGTATGGCGGATGCGAAGGAAATAGCGGCCGAGGCTATATCGAGCTTGATGTGCAAATGCGGTGTGCATTCGTATAGCGTGCAGTATCAATTCTCCTTCCCCTCTCCCTCTTTGGTGTAATACGCAGCTTGGCCCTTCACCGTAGTCTCCTTCACACCGCCATTCGTCCCAGCCTCTCCATGAATATGCGATTTCAGGCCCCAGAACTCATCTCGCTCTCTGAGAATCTCCTGCGCCCACTCTTTCGTCTCTGGTAATACCACTTTAGTCGCCACATAAGCGAACTCGCCGAGGTCCAGACACTTATCAACTCGCTTCTCGTACTCAACCATCTGCAGTATAAGTTCCATCTTATCTATGTCGTGCACAAAGTGGCTGTCTATCGTCTTCGAATCTTCGTACTCCTGCCAGATTGCTCGGATCTCCTGTCCTGCTAGACCTCCATAAACTTTACCGAGTAGACGGTTGGAAATGTAGTCCATTGTCTCCGCCTCGCGACGACTCTTCTCCGGTTTCGGGATGCCATCTACTGGTGTGATGTCTCCTACAATCGACTCGGCCATGTCGTGAATAAGACACATTTTCATGCATTTGTTGAGGTCGAGTTTAGGTGCAAGCGAAGGAGGGCATAGGAAGGTCATCAGGGACATCCGGTACATATGGTCGGCTATTGATTCGCCTCTGCCTTGAGTATTAGTGTAAAGTATCGCCTATGTGTTAGGAGAGGTGTTCTACCTATTGATGCCAAAGCGGCGCCATCCTTCTCGCTTTCCCGTCTTCAATCGCTCGATGAGGTGAAAGAAAGGAATTGGCGAATTCGATCCCTCAGCTGGAGCTTCAGGATGGATCGTTGCGAGGACCTTCTCGACTGACCATGGATCCGATACTTTGGTGGTTATCACAAGGCCAGGGTCTATTAAGGTAACATTTAGCGGGAAAATTTCTTGGTATTTCATAGGTTGCTACACTCACCAGGAAACTCCTTGCCACTGTTTCCAGCGTTGTGAGACATCTTGTCTTCGTACAGTGAACACACTACGTAGGTTGTCTGTGTCGTCGTATATTGTTCGTGCTGTAGAGATCAAGTCTTATGTGGTTGGATTTGCCGCTCACATGCAACAAACGGAGGGAAGGGTAGGAAGCTCCCAGTTTAAGTACGGGATGATCAGGTCAAGCAGGCAAACTAATATATGCCAAGCTATATGTAGTCAACAGTCAAACCCTGCCTTGCGTATGAGTAAGATTGACAAGACTCAAAGGCGGTTTACATGAAAGATACATGCACTGGAATGTGTTGGATAGATGATAGATGATAGATGATTGATAATTACCTTGATAGTATCTATCTGTTTGAGATGACTCCAGGTGTAAAAAGCGAAAACGCCTGCGCACATGCGTGGTGGGGAACGCGCTGCATGCGGCTAGCAGAATTCAGGGCACCCCGGCAGCTACTTGTGCTAGGTTTGTCTCTAACACATGTGGCTCTTTCCCACCTAGCTACCTTGATGAGATTATGCTTTTGATTTCCAAGCTTATCCATTGGTTACCGGCTGTGATACTGGAGATCTTGCCTAAGATCCATCCCATTTTCAATCTCATCCCCTCTCATCCCTGAGTCCTAAACAGCGGATTACTGCTTCTGTAGACTGTGGCTAGTTATGTATCTGGCTGCTGCCAGCCATCCCACTTTGTTAAAGAAAAGAAAAGCTACCTACTAGGCCGGCAGAGATGTGATGTCACATGGCACTTTTCCTTATTTACTCCAAAGTTACACGGTACCTCTATTATTTCATCATTTCTACGTACATGCATATGCACGTGTACAGTCGGGCTAGCTACATCAACCTCGGCGAATCAACGTGCAGTACCTACATGTATGGAACCTTGCCCGAAATGCCTGAGAAAATGAACAAATAGGTGCCCATTTCTCCAACTCCAGATATCATGTCCCTCTTCAAACGCAGGTTAGGCCGCTACGCCTTATCAGCAGTGATGGTCCTGATATAGTGAATTATCTGCGGCTAAGTCCCCAACAACGAAGGTACCCAAAAACAATCCTCCGAGGACTGACAGAAAATATCCGACATTCATCGTCATGACCGCAAGCATGCTATATTATTAATCAGTCACAGGGTGAAGTTTATAGAGTCCTAGGCTCAAGCCCTTAATCATAGACTTACAGCAAGTATCCTACTGTTGCCAATAGAAGCTCAAAGATTGATCTTTCTAGACTTGTTCTAAACCTCCATATTGACCAACGTCTTCGTACTATATCGTAGATGCGGTTTGTGGGTTGTCGGGGCGCCATGTCTTCTTTTTGGTAGCCACCATCGCCGCCTGGTACTAGGACCCCCTCCCCATCAACCAACGGATTCCACATTGACTTCTCGAGGATCGGTTTCAGCGCCAGCATGCCGCGCATAAGAACCGCAAGGACAACTAGAAATATGCACGTGCCAGAATACTGCGCAGAAGTCGCAGGCGTCCAGGCTTTCGAGAAGAGCGATGTTGAAGATGAGAAGAAGAATGTCATTGACATCGGGGAGTCATCCATTCGTCCCATATCCATTTCAGTCGACACATTCGTCATATTCATCTTCACTTGCAGCTTCCTTCGATAATTGCAAACGCGAGCTCTGGTTTGAGATGGAAACAGCCCAGTGTTCCAGAGTTGATGCCAACGAACTACCGCTGATAAGTGCCTTAGGTTAGGTACCTAAGGTAGACCGTTGGAATCTCCTTGGGGCAAACCAAGACGGTTTTTTCAGAGCGTGTCAAGTCGGGAAGGTGCGTTAAGTTGGATTTCATATGTGTGTATTCACTAGAAGATATATGCACGGGACCGCGCCTTAAGAAACGAAGTTGATGGCTCACGCCGACAGCGAGCGACTTTGAGCAAGTTTTCGCAGGTCCGTACACATGAGGTCACGTACTAGGTATGAAGTGATATCCGTTATACCTACATGTAGTAGTACATACCTAGGTTTAATAGGTACGTTTCGCTACTAGGTAGGTACCTAAGGTTCCAGGCTATCTGACTTACAATATTGGGTGTAATAGGTCTCGTGGCACATTAAGCTTATATCACCTCGTACTAGGCTCGTAGGCTGTCGTAGCTCCTACCTGAAACATAAATGTAGCCTTGTAAGGCGACTTCCTTGTTTGATTCCACGCACCGAAATGGACTCGTACATCTAATCTTAAACAGTTGTTACACAAAAACGTAGAATTTTGCGTTCCGGTTTCGCAAAAGGAGTGTTATTGGAGCATCGCACCTTCTTTGGACACACGTTAATACTTACTTACCCCCCTTCTCATCACTTCGCCCGTCTTCCTATGAGCCCTCGTCTTCTCATCTTCTCGTTTGACATGATATCTGTATGAACTCTAGCTTACGTACCCCAACCTGCAATAATGCATACATGCCTGGTACACAGCACTACCTACGTACGTATGAGTGTATTACACACATGAAGGGAGATCAGCCAAATAGTACCAACGCAGTTCGTCAATCTTGTCGTCGTCCCATTATATTCAAACCGAAGCAAGTCCCTCATAATGATCCCAGATTTTGTCAGTTGGTGCCTTAATACGTACTAGGTGCCTACCTACCCTAGGTTAGATAGGTATCTAGGAATGCTTTCTATGAAGCAGTTGAGTTGCCCATGTTGTTGTTTCCCCTATGGTAAGTCGTCGCCCTTTTAAGAAGCCGATATGATTGTGTGAGCATATGCTGAGTTGTACATTACCTACTACTTAACCTAGTCACAGTCCTGGAGCGTTGGTAGAACCGATACGCAACCCAACGCGCCCCTTGCGTAACAGCAAAAGTTCAACTCAGCCAATATGTATAAAACATGCTAGACCCCCAAAATATCCCATTTCCACGTTTTGGCCATGATTTGGGTCCACTTGAGTCCTTGCGGCCACTCCCACTTTATTGTTAGCAAACTTCAATGCTTGGACAAACTTGAACAATAAATTTGCTAAGACTTCTATACCCGCTTGAAATATCGTAACCCTAGTCATATATCCATCTTTTGGGGGAACATCGCAGCCGTTCACCAAGAGCCACCATCTGGCGTAACTCCCTAACATCTATATGATCTGACGATGTGGGCGATACAATATTTATCCTCTTCTACCGAGTCTAGACTCGGTTAGTTGTAACGTTATCGAGTTACACGTGGGGTCACTATACCTAAGGTAAATGCCGTGCGGGATACCTGGTTTTTATTTTCTAGCTTTGTTAACACGACATGGCGAGTTTCAGTGTTGTATTATACAGTGTAACTTTTCTGCTGCCTGAGGCTCCGTATAATTTTATATTTAACAATACTGTCTTGGAGACAGATTCCTCTCCACTACATCCCACTGACATGGTCAAAATCGAGAAAACATGAAATTTTACCTCAGTATTCTCGCCTCTGCGCCTTTGGTGGCGGCGATGGCGTCGACCGGTTATCAAGGACATGGCCTAGTTGGGTACGGCATATCAATGTACCACCCTACGTGCGCCTTTGCCTGCCATGACGCCTTGAGCAGCTACCAGCTCAACTGTTCTACGTCACTCAATCATACTATGACCGGAGGGCACCTAGGTGATACGTCGATGCCGGCGTTCATCACTTCGCCAGATTGTTATGCAACCGACGATAACTTTCTTAGCAGTGTTGCCTACTGTATCAGCACGCATTGTTCTCATGAATCCGTTTCCGACATCGAGCATTATTGGAATGCCTTTCTTGTTGGCCGTATTCCTGACCAGCCTATTCCTAAGGAGTCATATTCAACCGCCTTGCAACACGCTGTTCCATCTCCAGTCACGGTTGCGGACCCTACGTCGTTGCTTAATACCACTACGTTAGTTAGTGAGTATATATACACGGCTATATACAATTCCGATTCCTATTTTGAACAGATGGAAACTAGGCAGAATGACTTCGGGTTCGTCACATGGCAACACCTTCCCCTTTCTCGCCGATCTCCGTGCTGATTAATTTTAAAGGTTGACTGTTCTGATTACCGGCGTCGCAATACCAGTCGCATGCTCCTTATTGCGATTTGTTCCCTTTCCGAAGACATGGCAGAGTCGCTTCAACGCCTACTTCATTGATCCACCTATGTTCGGACATAAACACCGCGAGCCATTCCGAAATCTCGCCCTCGTTCCTACCCGTGGCCAAGCATTGCTGATTTCATATTTTGTTCTCATAAACGTCGTCTTGTCTTGTGTTGACTATCGACTTATCATGCCCAATCTCTACTATGGGGCAAAAAAGGATCAGTTATTAGTCTACATCGGCAACCGACAAGGAGTTCTTAGTTTTGCCAATATTCCGCTCCTGGTTCTTTATGCTGGTCGCAACAATATTCTCCTGTGGATTACTAACTGGTCGCATTCAACTTTCCTCCTGCTTCACCGCTGGATTGCATTGATATGCACTGTCGAAGCATGCCTACACTCGGCAGTTTATCTCCAGATATACGTCGCTCTAGGCCAGCATTCCACTGAGAGCAAGCTTCCGTACTGGATATGGGGAATTGTTGCTACTTTGTTACTGTGTATCCTGCTTCCCGCCAGCATTCTCCCCTTGCGACAGAAGCTTTACAACGTCTTTCTCGCCTCCCATTTCGTCTTCGCGTTTCTCGCCTTAATTAGCTGCTACTTTCACATTTACTACCGATACGCAAATCAATGGGGTTACGAGACGTGGTTGTACATCGCCTTCGCCATGTGGGGATTCGATAGAGTCTTGCGTTTTGCTCGACTGGCACGAAACGGGGTCAGAAAGGCCGAGATCACCGTCATTGACGAGGATTACATCCGTGTTGACGTACCCGGTATTGCTGCCTCTGGAAATGCATATCTCTATTTCCCGACGCTAAGCTGGAGAGTGTGGGAGAATCACCCGTTCTCTGTCATGGGAACTATGATGCCCCAGGAACAGCAAAAGACATCCAGCGCGAAGCCTACATCAGCTTCCTCCCGGATCCCATCGAGTGAAGTGGAAAAGGCACCTGCTCACGCCTCCGCACGCGCCTCTCTCGATGTCGACAGGTCCCACGATGCACCTCTCACAGACCCCTATTTCAAGCCTGGCCTAACGTTCTTCCTACGCACAACGACAAAGGGACTCACTGGCATCCTACGGGGCAGAAGCACGCTTCCTGTTCTCGTCGAGACCTCATACACATCATCTTCCCTTGACGAGGTGCGAACGGTCCCGAACTGCGTCGTTATCGCAGGCGGCGTTGGCATCACTGCGGTGGGGCCGCTTCTCCGCTCCCGTACCGCCGGCCGCTTGCGTCTTTTCTGGGGGGTACGGAGTCGGCCGCTAGTTGACGCTGTGCGGAGCGCTTTAGGTGCCGAGGCCTTGGCGCCGAGCATCGTGGGCGAGATCGCGATAGAGAAAAGGCTCAACCTTCGCGCGATTCTCCATCGCGAGGTCTTGGAGAATAGCGAGACGGTGGTCGTGGTTAGCGGTCCTGTCACGATGGCGGACGAGGTGCGCGCAATTGTGTGTGAGCTTGGACGAAAGGGTCGGGCTGTGAAGCTGGTTGATGAGGCGTTTGGTTGGTGAGCATGCAGGGAGAAATACGGGATTCGACGGGCAAAGTAGTATGGGTGATGCACCAAGAACTAGTATTATGCCTTGACGAGTCTATGGACTGCTAAGTAAAGGTGCGTACTGCACGTAAGATAGTTCATTGCACACCGACTATAGGAATATTAATCCCATCTCCTAACAGCAGCTCATGGATTCCTATCGGTCTCTTAAACCCTCGATGACTATTAACTCCACAGAAACACGGTCTAAAAGTCTCTCTTTTGCAAGTATGTCCAAGAGATCGTCTCGATAGCTCTCGTGGAAATCGCTACCTCTGGCTATCTGCAATGATTCCAAGCTTTTCCTGAGGCGTAGAATCACCGACCCGAGATCGCTTATCGGTATAGTCTCATTGCTGTGGATTTCAAGACGAGTAATGCCTGGGACTGTTGGTTCATTGGCCAGTCGATATAGGAGGTATTCAATATTACAATCAGCATCCAACTTGAGGGCTCGGAGACTAGTTGTACTTCTAATTAATCCCAGTATTATCCAAGTTTTGCTCATGTAAACGGGGTAGGGGGCGACTTCCCAGGCGATACACAGACGACGTATATGTGAGAATGCGACCAGAAAGGGCCTTGACTTAAATACATCACTGCAGCTTGGAACCAGATTGGGGTTTACTGCTATGCTATTGAGGTCTAGACCTAAGGTTCGTATCCGCAAACTTTTTGGAGTGGTCAAAATTAAACACATTAGGATAATTGCATGGGAGAGTGTAGGTTGAACTTTGCTCTCCAATGCATAGCCTGCCACTTCGATAGCGATCTTTGTGCACCGTGACAATTCATTCAGGAGCACCAGGATGTGATCAAGTAATGGATCCGCGATTTCACGGGGATGCCTTGCCATCCCAATGTCCAAGGTCCTAATATTTCCACAATGGGATGCAAATCGGGCACCAGAAGAGCTAAGCCCAGGATATCGCGGGTCGCGAGAAGCTTCATAGTATATCGAATGATTTTCAGACATTTCTTTTAGGACGCGTTGCTGGCATGCAACGGTGGCTAATTTCCAGCAGCCTCGTGCTGTGAACCATAGTGGAGTGGTCCTGAACTAGGTGGCACCGAACACTTTGGAGGTTGCGTTGTTAAGTCGCCGGCAGACAAGTCGCAAGAGAAAGACCCCCGGTGGGTTTTCAAGAAAGTATGCGATTTGCTCTATGAGCTCGGTGGGTAGTTGATCGAGCATCTTACGATCTAGAAAAGCTTAAGTTGATTCGGATGGGGATTTTCACTGGGAAGATGAGAGACGAGGGGTGGGTTGTTGCTAGAAATTCAAGTGGCACCTGTTAGTTATAAAGGAGGCGCTTCAAGCTTTCGATCAGTTCGATCAGGCACTTCGTATCTAGGTTAAGGTAATCTATCTACCTTGCCCATCCGGGCAGGTACCTAAGGTTAAGCAAATGTCTCTTTTCAATGAACAATGAAAAATGTGGTAACTTGCCTTGCATTTCCTTACCTTCAAGTGAAATAATCAACTCTTTTGTTAAAAGCAAGACTGAACACCATAATTAATAACCTTGGGTATTTCTAGACATGGGCCTCAGCCTCTTCTATGATTAAAACCCGCATATAGGAGCCTTTTACTGCATACGCATCCAAATATCTCTTCGTCTTCTAGGCAAGGAATACATCAGAGCAGGCAACATCGTACTGATCGCTTGTTTTGTGTAAAAAAATAAAAGGAAGAAAAGGATAAAAAATAAGTTAGGGGAAGGCGATTGATACAATTATTGCCATGATGTCCTGTTGGAGTTGGATGTCATCCTGGACGCTTCAATTAGCGAGCACAAGATTGGTTTCAGACCCCCTTTCGAGACTGTCGCGTTACCACCCAATTTCAATCGGCACCCTTGAGGCTTGTGGCTTCTGGTCGCCATATTCGATATTGTGACACTATTACGTTAGTAGAGATCGAAGACTTGAATTATGATCATCGAATGGTATTGGCGATGAGATACATAAACCAATCTATACCTCTGCGATAGGAACTGCGGTGTAGCTTCATCATGCTTGAGGTTTCGATTTCAACGGAGTCTTTAGTCCGTTTGGAAAGGGGTCAGAGAGTGTGACCCCATGGGCCAAGTGGCTTTGGGCTAAAGTTGCCAAGATTCTGGCATGATGGCATCTTATGACGGGTCTGACGGTAAGTACGTATGCTACATTTTTGGGTAATGGAGAATAAATTTTTGATTAATCCTCAATAGCTAGCAATGTCTATCAATACCACTGTTATCACACTTCCGTCTGCTAGGTGGACGAGCTTGAGAGTATCTGAGATGTGCACCACATTATCACCGTGACTTTCAGAGCAAGAGCGCCTAACTTTGAGGGGAATGGGAAGCACAAGGCTCGCAGAGAAATATGCTACTTTCAAGATGAAGTGCCATCACCACTCAGAGTTACGGGTCATAATGCAACCTTTACTGCGGCTAAGCGTCAGTGCAAGCTCAAAGTCTGGAACTGTACTGAATCGCAGATCCTTATCGGATATCCTCACGGCGTTTTTTCTGAGACCCGACTTCTGCAATTTTTATTTAATATATTCCCCGTACCTTTTGGGCTGAAGCAACCCTTGGGCTCACAACAAAGTTGATGATTGATGCCAAGACATACTCACTAGACATGGGTGAGCTCATTAGTTTTGTTCATGATTGGTTTAACTCCTTTGCATATCTAGTGACGGTTTGAGCCTTTCGTTTGATATAGGTATAGACATTAATACTAGACTCCTTAATGTTTTTGGAACCATGGCTAGAGTCTCATAAGCGTTTAGATAATACAACGTCGGGAGATGACTAGCTCCGTAACCTAGGTGTAATTGGGCTGCCATTTTCACATGCTCATGATATATCTATCATATCATATAGACTAGTAATAAAGAACCTGAAATACCGACAGAACTGAATTATAGAAATCTACCTAACCTAGGTACCTTACATAGTAGTATTTATCGTGTGTTTCTCGGAAAATCCGGCATCATGAGCGGGCTGTAAAAGCGGAGCGGAGCGGAGCCGCTAGAAGACGTGAGGCGGTCCGGAATGGCAAAATAAAAAGGGGAAGGTAGCCCGAGACATTGCAGGTAACGAGCTAGTAGGAAGTTCTATAGTATTACATCTATTATGATATATATACATGGTAAATTTTTTTATGGAATTTTTTTTTTTCCAAATTTTAGTGATTTTCTAAGGCCAATTGTGTAAGACTTAGTAACTAACTTAAACAAAAACTACAATACTACGACCGTAGCCCGGGTCAAAGGAAGTAGACGAACGGTGGGGCGATACCTCGTTGGTCAATATAGCTCGCTAGTAGTAATATAATATGCTAAAGCTTTCTAAGTGAGTTGTGAACCAGACAGATGGAACAGAACAATTAACTATAGAAAATAAACATACCTATATTTTGGTGTTTTGTTCTAGTTCCCCCCTAAAATAGCTTTAGCTTCACACTCACATGTGCTTGGAGACTAGATACCTACCTAGGTAGGTACTCATGCGGGATTTATAGGATTAGTATTATTAAGTGGTAAAGCTGAAAAGAAGGCTGGGCCTAAAATAAAAATTCTCCTTGGCGAATGATTTAGTGTTTAAGGAAGAAGAGGCGATTCAGGGATAAAACTAACTGAAACTTGACCTGATTATGGTCAGACTGGCGCAATTGTTCTCGCTTATTAGGCACAGCAGACCTTGGCTAAAATAGGTAGGTGGTCTTATGTCTACCTACATAGTAGTCTGAATAGCACGGAACTCATCCGTTTTTTCGCTAACATATGCCGCTCTCGTCACTAGACAACTTCAGGCCCTTGCTTGAAGTTATGGATCTACTCCATCAGATAACTATTGGATCTAGGTGGAACCTCAGTTTTTGATTCTCATCGCGTAATCAATCGTGGAAATAATTCCATGGGGAGGTGTTTAAAGCCGTAGCGCGGCCCGATATGTTGCGCCGGCAGGGGTCCAAGATGTGAACTTATATTGTAGTTCTTCTAGTATTTAGCAATGAACATCAGTGGAAACGAAGACCCAGTTTCGTAGTTGCCGTGTGTGATTTCTCCGAGACCTTGTAGAACTAGTGACCTCGACTTAGTTGACATATGTGAATTCTGGAGGAGAGTAGGCTTGAAGATATACAGTACCTAGAAGTAAATTGGCCCCTACCAGTATGCGGCTCTTAACCGGTGGAAAATGAATCAGTTAATATTAGTGCTAATCCACACGCATGATTGATAGGTACACCTCGGCAGCTAAGAATCCATATTTGTTGCTTGCATAAAAATCCAGGGTCCATATAATCCAGAGCCACGTGGACTGAATTAGTTATAACTTTAGCTCTAGGTACGGAGGCAGTTAGACTAGGCACTGAATTCAATCAGCCGTGCTAGATCTAACTGGGATTTTCTGCCCTGAACAAAGACGATACATGATGCCTTTGTCTATTGAGGTATTTCATTATTCGGTGAGCCACAGTAACCGGCGCCCGTACCAATTCAGACAATGTATCTACATTGCATGACCCGATGATACTGGATTATGGTGGCGAGGGTTGCATGATAGTCCCTTATGTAAGTAACTGTCTATGTGCTTGATCAACTCAGGTGCATTAGTTTCCCCTAGATCAGAGGCTTAACCATCGGAACCTTCCACCAAAACATCGTAGATCGACAGGGTATACACAGTAGATATAAGTCTGTCACGTCAATTGAACGGCGTGCCTGACCAATACCTACGCAATAGCGTTTCGCTAATCTGGGGTGTCCAAGCGTGAACCAGCGATACTGGGGCTGCCCTGACAGTCGCATACTCCAGGGATTCAGTTATGTACGCAAGTGACTGACCTTTTAATATCCATACTTATCAATGTAGATTGTCAGGTATCGAGGCATACTTGACATCGGTCTTTGTCATCGACCTGATTGCGACTCGAGTCACAGAACCGACTATACAGGACGGCTTTACTAAGATCGATGAGCGAAGGGCGATCCTGCGAACTGAGACACGATGCCTAACAGCCAGAACGATATCCAGGTGGCCTCCTTGGCTGCTGGCTTTTCCATCGGCTTTGGGATATTGACGGTATGGGAAGCAGTTAAGCAAACACGCCGGAACCGAAACCCTCTTCGCAGCACCTACGTAAGTAGACAACACCTCTGTTCGTTTAGCACGACATCAAAGACGTTCTAACGGCATACATCTCAGATTTATATGATATGGGGAGAAATATTAGCGAACGTCCTCATTCTCGTCGTCGGTTACCTCTGGATCGATGGCATTTTTGGAGACAAGCCAACGTACGCTACTGTTTTCTATCTGATTAGACTCTTCATTAACTAATTCCCGAATAGAGTACCGCTTCTGTTTTTTATTCTGTTCTTCTGGGTGTTCGAAATCCAGCTTTTGATGCAGATTATCATCAATCGAATTACGGTCATTGCAGAGCGCCCGGACACTATGTGGAAACTCAAGTATGGAACTGCCATCATCATCACAGCTATCAACATTGCGGTCTTCTGTATCTTCATTCCAGCTCACCTATCACCTCCCGTGAGCGAATTGTGAGTAAACTTGTGTCAATTCTTCTCCAAATCAGCTACTAATGTTCAAAAAGGTATGTCAATATCAACAAGTACTGGGATAGAACCTCCAAGTGCCTTATCTGCGTTGTAGATGCGGGTCTCAACTTGCATTTCTCAAGAACCGTCAAGAAGCGACTTGTTGAACAGCATGGTCTGGTCAAGTACGCCCCCTTGGCCAATTTCAACGACAAACTCATGGTTATCTCGATTCTTATGGACGTAAGTGGCAATCAAGCCATCCCCGTAGACCCCCAATTTCGCGTACTGACAACATATATTTCAAAGGTCATGCTTATTTGTCTGATGTCTCTCCCAAACCCAATCGTCTTCGTCCAATTTCACCCTGTCACGTACATGGTAAAACTTAACATCGAAATGTCCATGGCGACGTTGATTACTAAGGTCGCAAAGGGGAGTGGCGAAAGTGACGAGACGACAGAAAGCCACAATGTCTCCCTCTCATACGCGAAGAATCAAAGTAAAAGAGGAACTCGATTAAACATTCACCACACTTACAACGATAACGTTCCAATGAAAACGTACCACACAACTGCTGTGGGCACCGGAGGATCAGAAGAAGATCTGGAAATGCTGAAGGGAAACTCCAATGGAATTCACAGAAGGCTCGACGTCCGTGTCGAAAGCACTACAAACTCAGAGACCGAGTGTCACGATTTCGAGAAGGCATTGGCAAGATCTTTTGACAGGAGGGAGGACGAGATGTCATTGACACACCACCCGGGCCATCCAAGGGGTACCATCAAATAATACAGAACACGACTCGACCACCCTTTCAACATTTGCCTTACATGATTTATGTGTTAATATCAAAAGGAGGCATGACGAGAATGGAATACATATTAACCTACCAGTGGTAGTTACGAAAGAGGAGGAATTTAGAGCGGATGATGGTTCTTGTATTACACACAACATTAGTGGAATTAGGTGGTTAGATACCATCGGTATACGACTATACCCTATAGTTGGAAGTTAACGACCCTGATTATCATTATGATACCCCGAGCTACTAAGTAGTCTGCTTAATGAAGCTAATATAAGATATTTGCTCTGAGTTCGCATTTCTACAATGTGATTGACCATGTTCTTTTCCCACATTGACTGGGAAGCTCATTCTGTACCATTTTCAATCTTGTTGCAAAGACAGTTCGGCCATTCCTTGTATTTTTACTTCCATAATGGCCGAAGAGCCGTTTGACGATAACTAAGTAAACTCCTAGTAGACATGACATGAGAAAGGCACGTAGCCAGTTTTAATTAGGTAAGTAATGTTGCAAGCTTAGCTGCTTCGGAATTCCTACCTTCAAGTTGCCAAGGGGATGAGACACTTAGCGCATCCCGACATTCATCAAATAAGTCTAGATCGTATGACTACCGTCGAAATAAGACCCATATGCTAAAAGATACAGTATATGAGCTAAGATGTGTACTTAATTGACTTAGCTAGGTAACCTAGAGCTTTATGAGCTATGAGGGCATGTCTGGATTAGATACATATTCTCGCCGTAACTCCATGTACTGTACCTGAGAGTAGTCCCTTGGTAGACATTCATTTCAGCACCAGGCTATCCAGGTGAATGAAGAACGGCTCACAGAAGCTGCAATGTCTGAGTATCTACTGGGTATGTCCACAATACATTTTGCCTCTGTCGCTCATGTGTAAAGGATTTCGATGTTTCTACTCAAATCTACAAAATCGTACTCCAGACCTCGGCTTCCTCCCAACCTGAGTTTTTATTGCCGGGGCACGGATTGGGATCAAGCTTTTCTATGCTGGATACACGCGTGCCATATTTCCTGTCACATGCTTGGCACAAACCCCCCTTTCTGTCCCTGACCCACTGGAGTTACTAGCGTGTCTACCTAGGTAAGTATAACACCCTCGTCGCTATTAAATCACCAATTTTAGCTCTCTGATTCTGGGGATTATGTATTCAAGGGTAGTTTGATAGTAGTAATTTGACATATAGAAGATATAGGACCTGCCGAATACACGCAAGCGGTCGAGAACCTCGTCTTGTACACTAGGACATATTTTGTTACTGCAGTAAGCCAGACCCTATCATCATAACCATCCAGAATAAACTTTCCCTTCTTTGAACATGTACTTTGTGAGCGGTCTGGCATACCCCAGAAAAGATTTCAGCCGAGAGAGGCTAGGCTAACGCTTTCTACTCTGGTCTGTCTTTGTGAGATGCATGATGCTTGCAGATATATAACTTCAAGGCTCGATCCTTTCAAACACCGGATAGTGTGGCCTTGTTCTGCACAAAGAATATAACAGCTAACTCGAACAATACGGCGCCGTTGCCCAAAACAATGTCGGTAAGTATAGGCTAGTTCGAAGGCATGCTTAATGGCTGCCTCTTCTTTTCCTAGATGGCATAGCTATCTCAAATCCTATTGAGGAACGTGAAACTGTATGTTCCTGCGTTAGCGTTTTCTTTATGACCTAAATAACAGTTCTCCCATCTACTCAACTGACATTCATCAAATTGGGCATATCCAATGCATCTGGGGGAAAGGGGGGACAAAGAAACAAGGGTCAGATTAGTAATCATAAAGCCAGTATCCGAGTTCTGGGAATGCATTTAAAGGATATAACCTACCCCTTTTCAGATAAACCCTCTTTTGCAACAAACGAGATATAAGGTGCATGACTAAGCATCATTACCCCTGAATTAGGTACGTAGGTATGTTATAACTTGTGAATAATTGATATGTATAGGTGATTAAGTTAAAAGCACGGGTGTTCATGGAGTTGAGGGTAGCAAGCCCAGTGCTTTAACTGTTGCTGACTGGCTAAGGGAAGGCTACTCGATGCTACTGGGAGATGCCAGAGAAGAAAAGGGGCAGATTCAGTAGATGATTCTTGGCATCAACAATGAACATCTTGTGAATGATAGAAAACTCATCATTTCATGACTAGGTAGGTACACTAGAAAGTTACTCTATGATCACTGCATTCACGTGCAACTGCAGGCTCAATAGCAACGCTAAGTAACGCATTATGAGTCCGCGACCGTCAGTTATCTTTTCAATTGCTGACCAGCTTATGCTAGGTTTCTCCGTCACGAGCATGAATAGCACGGCTCCCCCGCGTCCCTTTATCTTGCGTCATCCAGATTTTGTGAGGTTGCATTCAGTTGACCCCTCATAGACTATGGGGGTCGGCTGCAACTAGACGATGGGATAAAGTTGGCGCACAGAGACTTGACGTTCCTGATCAACATGATCATGAGCCCTTAGAGCACCGACTCTCCATATCCGATACGAATGAAGGATTCGTCTAAAGAAAATTCGGACCAGGACGTCAAGGCTTCATTCAGATCATAAATTAATATATCTTAGGACTGAATCCCCCGCTACGAATCTGAACTGGACATGGACAAGCTTCTTCATAGAAGGCCTCGATCAGGCCCATCTCATTCCTATGCCCGTATTCCAGAGAGCAAGCAAGTCATCACTATGACTACTAGGTAGATAATGACCCCTCAGAGATGCCGGCCTATCTCCTACCTAAGCATACAACAACAGAACCGAGAAGTTACAATATTGACTGCAGCCTGAATAAAGGAACAATCGCGTAGATGTATGGGCACAGATCTTGTCTAGGTGAATCTCACGCCACAAGCAACAACCCACGGTTCAAGGACTGGCCAGAAACACAACATCGCTGTCATTCCACTCGAGACGTGATGCTAGGGTGCACCTACCTACACATATTGTAACTACATCTAAGTTGACTCTCAATCAAGCTATGTGTGATCAATGACTCGGCACGCTTCGCGAAATAGTAAGTTCGGACCCCTGTTTGATACCTATTAAGTACTACATAGTCTGGTACAATGCTCATGAACAAGTCATAAACAACGGAATAGACGCTTGATATGACAATAGTCTAATATATGAGAGAGTCACGACGGTCCTTGTAATGAGGCAAATGAGCAAGATCATAGCCCAAAGCGTGGAATATTTAAAGAGTCCATCCCCGCCCCTATCTTATTCCAACATACTTTTCCAGATCATACAACTTCAAGAACCTACCGCATACTCTTGATTCCGGACATACCTAAAAAGAACCCAAAGAACCCAACCGAAGGCTCCAGTATCGATAGGGGATATTGTTAACGAAAAATACTAGCCACACCACCGAAAAGAAACTTACACCTCGGAATACCCTACGTCAAGAATTAGAGATACCGTCGACAGGGTGCCAAAATGTCGACAGCGCGCATCAGCACCATGCGCGCAAGAATCCGTCAGATCAACGCAGAGCTTGTAGAGCTTCAAAAATCCTCCACTGTCTCAAGACGTGAGCGTCGGCTCGTAAGAGAGAAAGCATCACTAGAGGCGGCTATAAGGCGAGAACAACGCCTAATCGCAGAGGCGGAGGAGGCGAGACGCCGAGAGGAAAGGAGGAGATGGGAAGAGGAACAGAGGAGGATGAGAGAGGAAGAGGAGAGACGGAGGCGGTGGGAAGAGGAGGCGAACAGGCAGGCTGACGATGCCTGGGAAAGAGATGCGAGGAGACAGGAAAGGAAGCGGAGGGAGAGGATGAACCGGTAAGCAGGATACGGATGGACTTGCAGTTTATTGGGTACGGGGTTTACGATTCCGCGATTCAGGATCATGTGAGGATGATGGCGGTTAATTGGCGGTATTTTCGGTAGGGTAGTTGGTTATTATAGGTAAATTGTGGTATTATCACAGTAGAAATAAATTCGTTTCTTTCAGAAATGTTAATTTTGAATTACAACTAGGCAAGAGTAAATTATAGACCTGAATATTGAAACGTAAATGCGTAGGTATCATTGTTGCCATAGCAGGTTGATCTAAGCAGATTGTATTCTCGTCATGTATAGAACGAAACAAAATGCTGTTATTTCTACCTGCCAAACTCATTGTATTACCCATTAGCTTACAGGTGTTACTAACTTAGGTATAAGATAGGTGGTATTTATCGGTGATCCTGCCCAGGGGGCCATAAACTACAGCTGGACTTGACCAAGTCTCGACAATTATCTGTCGGTTTTTGGCGTGGCTGGGAATGAATAGTTAATCGGCACTGAAGAAGATTAAGATCTTATATGCAGGTACGTGAAAGGCAGCCCAGGTTAGCTCGATGCCACCTGCACCGCGTCTATCAGGCACGAACAAGGTTAAAGCCACGTTCGGCCGGCTGGAGGTCCTGCCGTGCAACAATGTGATTATCGTTATCGATCACCGAAGAGACCCCTCAGAGCCAATGACCTTTGCATCCATGATCACAGCTGGGTGCTTGCTCTAAAAAAGAACCTGTGCCGCATGTACGTCTCAAGGGGGCAGGGATAATTGACCCTGCGTCTCGACCCAACTTACACGAACACGTTCTACTGGATGGCCAGGCCTGGGCTAAAACACATGCCGATAGTCTGCACGAGGCATAACTCGGCCGAGTGCAGTGGGCTTGCAAGCCCTGAAGGTCTCCGTGTCTAACCCTGCGATTTCTGCGTGATGGTTTCGCTAGGACAGAAGGATCCCGTTATGTAGTACTGACAGGTGCCACTACCTGTTAGGCGTACAACAGACAAAAATTCACGAAATGCCTTAGGTTCAAATATTGGCGAAAGCATCTAGTGTAGAAAGCTAGCAGTTCTCGGTGCTATGTTTCGAAAGCTGAAGGGGCGTGTTAGATATATAAGGTTGGCTTAAGCCAAAGACAATTAATGAGAGATTACTCATTCATCCATTAGTGTACTTAGCAGTAAAGTCTGACATGTCATTGAAGGGGTTACGGGAACCTGAATATAACGCTGCAGCCATTATTATTTTAGGGAAGTACGAAGCATGCCCATGTGGCGTTGTTAATAATAGGAAGCTCGGAATGGTGGATCTCCGCGGCGACGTGGCCCTGTAGTGGAAGGCCTTTCCCATTTTGCGAAGCTCATACAATAGCAACCGGATGAATCATTTCCGCAATAAGTGTTTTTACGATTGCATGGTAACTAGAACTCTACCTATAGGAGTGACTTCCAGAACAGCTGTAGGTAGGTCTGAGACAGTCGTACTCCCAGAAAAGCAAATGTCGAAAATCACCAACAGGATCAACTTCGTGCTTGATTCCATCATCAGTAAAGCCCATGATAAAACCAACTTGTGCTTCAAATGGATCAATACAGTGATAGAAACATCAATCGTATTGTCTTGTCCCTGAGCAAGACTGGCCTGCCCGCACCCAGACATAGTTCCTGATAATTCCACCCAAACCGTGGGATCATCTATTAATCTGTTATATATATACTAGAAGTCTAAAAACCCCGATTGTCGGTCGCTAGCTGACAAGCAAAGTTACAACGATTAATCCCTCATGTGGGTTAGTAGTATTATACAATCACCCAGAAAACAACTTTGGTATCATCCGTGTTAGCCCCCCCTTTAGACACGATTCCAGTCCTTATTTAGCTGATTCTCTCACGTCGGTTATCCTGGTAGCTGTCTTGCTCCTAACCTGTGAGCAACAATCAATGGCTGCTCGTGAATTTCCTTTTTTTTCTTTTCCCTTTACGTGTCCAAGGCTGTCCACCAATCCATCCCGTGATTATTTCGAAGGTAATTCGTACATCGTGGGCGGCACGGCACTTAGCTCGGAGGGCGGCTCGTAGTATGTGGGAAGCTCACCCCCCCGCGAGTACGGCATCTGGTGCATGTTCTGTTGTTGTTGTAACTTTTGAGCTGCCTTCCTTCGGCGCATGATGAACCATGCGAAGACTGCTATTAGAATAACCCCGGCCGCCGCACCGATGCCGACACCTGCGGCTTGGGCGGGACCGAACGAAGATGAACTTGAGTCCGAGTCCGAGCTCGAACCAGAATCAGAGCCGCCAGTTGTTGTCGGGTTCCCTCCACTCGTGGCGCTAGTTGTCGAGATACCAGTAGTCGTAGTCTACAGCAGTCAGTATGTGTCTGAGAAATGAAGTAAGTAATAGACTAACCGGCGTCGTATACATCAATGCCAATGCGAATAAATGCTCGTTTGTAGCTTTGACCCTCGACTCGACAGCGAGCGTATTAGCCGTCATCGCGGTTCGTGTCACGACTATATTGCCGGCAGAGGCGTGCCTTGATTGACATCGGAAATCTTGAGCGTGTGGCCCACCCAGCAGAGACACGGCTAAACACGTGTAGGCGAATTGACTGAAGATTGTTAGTCGTGTAATGTTTATAGACAAAGGAGCATCGTAAACGTACGTTGGACAACATGTCACGGGTGCATTTGAGCCTGAGCCTTGACAGGCAGATGTGTATGATGGGGGACATGCCGACCCTTCGTATACTTGGGTCCCAGCCCACGAAGTCGGAAGACAATCAGAAATCTGCGATGGGCCTCCTAGGACAGTTCGCGCATCACCGGCCACCTCATAATCCCATATCCAGAAGTCACTTGTTCGAAGGCATCCGTCTTTCGTAGGAGTCCAGTCGGCTGGTAAAGTTGGTGTCGCCATTGCTAGAGCAGCACTGATAGGGCCAGAATGAGGTTGATTACATGAGTTAAGTTGGAAAAAAGACAGTTTTGTAAGCAATGGAATTGCGAGAGGGAGACTCCCATTTTTGATCAAGATTTCACTCAGATGCTGGTTAGGATCTTATTACCCCTGTTTGCTGAGCCGCACACTTGTGTCATGGAATTACATGACCTATGTAGCCAAGCTGTCTTGGGTGTGGATCATGGCTATCACGCACAGATACCATTACAAGAAAAATGATGTATTTCCAGAGATATGCTAAGTGTGTAGCTGGCGCTTAAAAACAGTCCGGCTTGATTTACTTCTATGTATGGCATTGGAAATGGTATAGACATATGGCGACAACATTATAGAATACACTTTAGCACATCGTGAAGGTGAAGCTACCATTAGCGCTGGCCGGATTAAGATCAGAACTACAGCGCGAATGAGCAAATCGGGTATCGATTAGCAAGGGGCAGGAAGTATTGTCCAGGGATGAAACGAAACAGCCCTGGTGGAGGGAATACGACCCATTACAAGTAGGTATCTGTATAGGTTGGTATAATTCGCAGCTATTTACGAAAACACCACGCGACGAACCCTGTATAAGTTGCATAAGCGCCACCAGCCAAGGCGAATAAAATAAAGGCTATCTATTCTGCCATCACGTTGTGTAGTAGATAATAGATATAGTACCTATAGTATTATACATAATGAGGTACTTAAGTCTTACACAGCTAATGTTGTGATACTGGAATGAACAATTTCGCGGATAAAAGGGGGCTTGAGTAAATGCTATGTACACCCATGTGTCATTATTATATATTACTAGGACGCTGGAACCAGTATTTTTGAACTCATTCCGAGTGCAAGGTCGATTTTGAAGATGAACCGGACGATAAGATCAATGCCTTCTCTCCCCACCGTTAAGATAGTATTGATGGATCGAGGATTGAAACAAGCCAGGAACCTGTCTACTAAGCTACCCATTGAAATTCCGGTATGTATAAAGGCTTAAATGCGACGCTACCAGAATCCTTCAGACACCATCTGCCCAATACACCTTAAATCAGTGACGAACTTCGACACACCAGCGGAGGATCCGTCAATCTCCTCATCCCACACCTGTTTTATGCAAATATTGCCAGACTGACTGTTCGACTGGCACATACAAGAACTGGTCGTCTCTCCAATACCTATTTACCGCGATACTTCCGCCACACATTCAGAGCACCACCCCCCATCGGAGCGGAGCTAGACGGAACTTCCGCTTTCTAATCCTAGATAGTATGTATGAACGTTCAAGCCCCAAGAAGTTCTTCCCCTCTTTGACGGCGCCCTATTTGTGGGGGGAACGCACGGAGCTGTTCAGTGCCATTGCCGTGCCGGGTTCAGACTTGTACCGATACCAACCATGCATGTCCCTTTCGACGATGCTGGCATTCCCAAAGTCCTACCTACGGGCTCCGCGGACTCAACTACATAAATACTACAAAAAAGCATCTCGGACTTTATGATTGCCAAGTGGTGAGTAAAATTGGGTATGCTCTCCCTGCTTACACGTTAATTTGGTTGAAGGAAAATACCATCTGCCCTACCCGCCTGCCCGCATGTGAGGAATTATCCACCACATCCACCACATCCACCACCTAACTACGCCTTGTTGCCTGCGATACTCATTTGCGGTCAGTTCGTCGTCGTCCAAGTTCTCTTTAGACCCCAAATGTTCGTGTCTTCTGTCTGCGCTCGAACAATTCTTCAGCCTCATAGAAGCCCTACATGGCTCAGCATTTCTAATATTATTTGGGGTTGCAGTTGCAACACAGCCGTACTAGGTCGCATCGGCCACACAATTGGTAGGCAGTTACCTATGTAGGTAGGTAGGTATACTGCATATGCACCTTGGTAAGTAAAAGGTACGGTACCTATCGAGGCCATCTTGTCGCCCTGCGCGTGATCAGTCCTAGACTTATGGGGCTTCTTCCGCAGGTCGGATGGTGGGCGAAGTTCATGGCACCACCAGCGCGGCGGCGTTAATTATTAATGCTATTTAACCGCGAGAAATACACTAGACACGACCTACGCCGCAGCCAAGCGTAAGCTCGGATTTTCCCCGTATGAAAACACTGAGAAGCGCTGTAGCTAACCCATGTCTGCTATAACTACCTATCCAGGTACTGCATAATATACTACACCAATGTCCCTGAATACCTACTATGGTTAGGCAGGTATCCAGGTATTTTTTCTGCCCCCAAGAGCCTAACCTAGCATATTTAAGTGTAAGCGTGGGAAATTAGATCCAAAGCCGGCGGCCATCTTGGCCAGGGATGTCGCTGCGCCGCGGGCGTGCCGTAAATAAATCCTGAACGGCGTAAACCCGATGAACTACCGATCTGGAGAAAACTTGTTCTCTAAAGAGGACGATCACTTCCCCCAGGGAGGTCTTGCGGTCGTCTACTATTACCTACTTGCGCAAATTCTCCCACCGAGCACGTATTGCAGGTCCGTGTAGGTTGTTGTCGGTCAATTTTCGTCATCGGCCGAGTACATAAGTTAGCTTTGGACCCCCTCGTCATTTCGAGGAACGGACATACCTAGATCGTAGCTGTTTTAATACAGAGTAGAAGAAAACAGATCGATTTGGTCAGGCTTATAGATAGTTATTGATGACTTCACCAAAGTTACCTAGGTACCTAGGTAACAAAAAGGGGAAGTTGCCCATTAGATGCCTTTTAAGCATTCAGATACAGACGCCTCCAAATTTAGGTGCGCAGTCCATTTGTGTTTATACTGATTCGTTGCTACAGCTAATAGCAGATAGCAGACTAACCTAGTAGATTATAGCATCCACCCCCCTATAAATATAGTGGCTTTAATCCGATCATTAAGCCTTCAGGATACCATCCATGCTAAAATTTTACCCCTTTTATTTTGTGTCCGTAGCTCTCGTTTTAAACCCTTCGCATATCAAAATACCCAGTTCCAAGCAAAGCCTTTACGCAGAAAACCGAATCAGAATCTCCTCCCCCACAACCCGGGAGTTAAACCACTCCAGTATATCGATGCTGTTCTGGACCACCGTAGCCCCCTTGAGCAAGTCAGCCTGAGCCAGCTTCGCGGTGGCGAGCGTCAGTTCGGCGGTCCCCAGGTTCTGCGCGATGCACGCGCGGTTTCCCTTGCCGAAGGCAAAGAAGTTCGTCAGCATCTGGTCTGATGGCTGCAGCCACCGCTCTGGTAGAAATTGTTGTGCGTTGGGGAAGACGCTCTCGTCCTGGTGCAGCTGGAAAGCAGCGACTCCGACCGATGTGCCAGCCGGGAAGAAGTAGTTACGGTAGTGCCATCCGTTATCGGGCACGACACGGGGTAGTCGGATCGGGTTTGCCCAGGATAATCGTAGACCTTCGCGCACGACGCCGCGCAGGTACGGGCCCGTGGTGGTGTCCTCGCCTTTGGCCACTTTCTCGAGTATCTCTTCACGCAACTTGGCGTATCTACAGCGAGTCCCCACATTAGCATTATGTACGATTGAAGTATTGGAATACGGGCTCGGCTTACTTCTCTGGACTCTTAGTCAAATACCACAAGATCATCGCCATGTTCATGCCTGTCGAATCCGTGCCCGCGAAGCACAAGTCCTTGAGCTCAACCTGCACCTGGTCTCGAGGGATCGCCCGTTCCAGTAGACGGCTCACGTAGCTCCCGCTTCCCGGCGACGCTGTCTTCACCAAGTTGCCCGTATACTGATCCATGGCCTTCATCGAATGGGCAGTCTCGTCGTCAGAGGTCCACTCTTCGATCAGCCCCGAAATCTTGTCCCCGAGCCAGCCAGGTAAGAGGTTGAAGAAGGCGCCCACTCCGACGTAGGCATCGACAAACGGTGACGCTGACATGTGGGAGGTGTCCTCCGAAACGGCGCCGTACTGCTCCTGGAATAGGTACGCGCTCACAGCGTCCAGGGCCATAGAACGGGTCATGTTGAGCACGTTAATCGGTTTACCGCTCTGGCCCTCGCGTTGCAGGCGTGCTATGAACTGGTCGATGACTGAAGCCAGGATTGACTGCGAGTTCCGGATTGACGCAGTGGAGAAGAGCGGTACCACGGCCTTGGCACGGCCGGCGCGCGCCGCGAGTGTTTGCGTAGAGAAGATGCTCGAGTGGCCGTCGATGTTGAACTTGGAATAGGCCTCTGTCTTCTGGAATCCCCCCTTCTCGATGTAGATGTGCTCAACCGCGTCGCCATCCGCAATGTCGACATCATTGGGGGCTATCCGTAGCACTGGACCGTATATCTCGTGCAGCTTGTAGATCGCCGTGCACTCATCCCCAACATAGGTACGCCAAGCGAGCCACAGCGATGTGCAAGCAGCGAGACGAGGGCCAGGGACCCCCGATAATGGGTGAAGGTAGAGACGAAAGAGGCATCTACACAACAATCCCACCACGAGTAGGCCGGCTAGCGACGTCCATAGACTGATCGACAGCCCGAAAATAATACTTGAAAAGGCCATAGTAGTAGGTTATCAACCCTTACTAGGTACCCAGTAGGCAAGTAATTGCCTTGTTTGACAGAGCTGCTTATATGCGGATTAAAACGACTACCTTGACGAAGAGGCACACTACCTACCTCTAGGTACCTAGGTAAGCTTTATCTTTCCTCTTCAGCTCCGACTCTGTGAGAGTCTAAGGTGGGTGTGACTCCTCCTTATCTCAAAGTTATCTTTCCAGTTGGGGCGTTATCGGACTCTCCGACCGTACATCGTCGGACGGCCCGTCGCTTAGCGCATCCAAGCGGGAACGCTGGAAGTTGGAGGGGTTCACCACGAGGCCTACTGCAGGCTGTTGTAGCACACGCCTAGTACTTATTAGGTACCTAAACTAAGTAAATATTAGCGAAAGTTCAGCTGAACTACAGCCTCTTACGTCAAGATAGCTGTCCCGCCTACAGGCCTTACTCTCATCTCATAGGTAGAGATCAGGATTTGGTCATACATGATTAGGTATTCTGTCATGAAATGAAATTCGACTAAAATCTCTTAAAGTAATAGGTTGGTTAATTGCGATTTGAGACTTTGGAACATTTATTAAAGCATCTAGTTATAGCAAGACGTCACGCTGCATTTGACTCTTCCCTCGATGGAACCCTACAACGTGCGCAAGGGCCGTCCCCTTAGCACATCTACAGTACCTACATCAGCCCTAATTGCTTACTGCGCGTTTCATTTTGATTCCTTCCAACCTCACAATCATAGGTATTGACAACATGCCGAAAGCCGGAAAAGGGAAAACATTGTCTTTCAGATTCTCTCATATTATGATTTGATAACTCTATAATGAACTAGCTACTAGAATAGCTCGGCAATTTATCAACATTCTAAATCGCCATCTATCTATGTACCTAGGCACCCCACATCATCCCCTAGTCCCTTCTTTCGCTCAAGCATCCTCGGCCGATACGCTCCTAGTAGCAGCATCCTTAGTAACCACAACGTTGTTTCCCTTGAGGATTAGGCCGGGATCCCTTCCTTCGATGACATCCTGGACGTGGATAGTATGGGCGGCGTTGGGGCCGTCAAAGTTCTCGTCGATCTCTTCCAAAGTCTTGCCCTTGGTCTCGACCCAGTACACCATGATGAACACGACCTGGAGCACGTCCCACGCACCGTTGATCATGTACGTCTTCCATCCGATTGCCTCGAGCGCGATGGGGAACGCCATCGTAACCATCAATCTGTTGTGATGTATGTGTCAGCTATGCAATGAAAAAAAAAATATTTGTCGGTAGGGTTGGTAACTCACCCAGCCCCGTTCCCGAGGAACGTGCACACACCCATACCCACGGATCGGATGGAGTAGTTAAGAACTTCTGGCGGATACAGCATCGTGAGGGGTGTCCATCCCAGACTGTAGGCTCCCTGGAACAAGAATATACAGGCCACCGTGCCGTATACACCTGACGTGTTTTCGGCATTTCCATACACTTTCCAGAACAGACACATGTCAGTATTATGGTAGCACTATATGGGGAAAACTGAGTACTCTACCTTTAGTCATAGCGCCCACGAGGAAGAGGAACACTGTCATCAGCGCCGAGGAATAGATAGCGAGAGGACGTCGTCCGACGGTGTCGAGCATGAACGTGCCGGCTATCGCAATCACCAGACACCAAGCGTTCAAGATGATGTTCTGAAATTTGTTAGTCAGATCACGTCTAACCCAGGGTAGGTAGATGGGTAGGTCCTTACAATTTCCAATTGCGTGGTGGTATCAGTGACACCAGCATTGTTCAGCATCGTGCCGAGATAGAAGGTGATGATATTGTTTCCTAAAACCCCGACAATTAGTCGCCACACAAGCCATCAGACCAAAAGCAGATGCCTCTCCACTTACCAGAAATCATAGAGAAGACAGCAGCCGAAACAGCCAGCATAAGCCTCTTCATGCTCTTCTTCGACTTGACAAGATCCACATAGCTCGTCTTCTGCCCAGTCTCCCGCTCGTTCTGCAGGGTGTCGATGATCTCCTGGTACGTCAGCAGCACGACCGGGTCGTCGACGTTGCCGTCCGCCTGGGTGACCGCGATGGCCTGGAGAGCCTCGGCGTGGCGGTCCTGGTACACGAGCCATCGGGGCGACTCTGGCACCCACGGCAGCACGATCACGGCCAGCACCATGAAGAGACCCTGCAGGACAGAGGGGAGCCGCCACGCCCAGGTCGTGGGGATCCTGGCTGTGCCGTACGTGATTCCTGAGGACAGGAGTCCGCCTAGCGATCCGATAAGAAAACTGATTAGTAAGGAGCCTTGAAGAAAGGGGCCTAGGCGCAGGGGTAAATCCTATCTATATGACTAGGTAGGTAACATACCGACGTAGAAGAAGTCCATGAATAAGGCCAAGCCGATGCCACGCCACTTGAGGGGGAAGATCTCAGCGAGGTAGATGGGGCCGCAGATGAAGGTGGCGCCGTTGCCGATGCCGACGATGAAGCGGGCGATGACGAACATGGCGATGTTCTGGGAGGCGGCCTGGATGACGACGCCGACCAGGGTGATGACCGCGCTGATCCACATCGCCTTCTTCCTCCCCACCCAGTCGGTCAGCTTGCCGTAGCCGAAGCCGGCCACCGCGCACCCAGCCCATGACATAGACGACTGCAGGGCCAGGGTCACGGTCGTCAGCTCGAAGTAGTCCGTGTAAGAGGGCAGGATGTTGAGCCCGGACCTGCCGTGTCGCGGTTAGTCATTCATCTTTTTTCCACAATATTGTGTACCTAGTATCCATATCATAGGTAGGTGGGTAGGTTACTCACATCATAGAGGAGTCATATCCCAATGACTGTAGAAAGACAAGATGTTAGACGTTTGCGTTGTCTCACGAATAAACCCGACCCGTCATCTACCATCTTATCAAGACAGTGAGTGTGCACTTACTGTTGACATAATGCTCGAGCACCATAATAGGAGCATGAGCGTGAGCTTGGAGTTCGCCATGGCTCACTAATACCAGGAGATGACTATTTGCAACGAACAAGGTAGGGGGTCGCGGTAGCAATGAAGGCCGAAAGTCGCGTCTTCGATCACTTTTGACTCAAGTCGCATTAAGAGAGAAGAATACTACCTAATGATTTTTTTGCGTTCGGATGGCAGGTATTTTACTTTATACCCATTACGCAGGGTATCAGCGCAATACGATATATGCCCATGTCGTCCTTATCTCGATGATTGGCATCTGGCCCAGCAAAATTGGCCATCTTGGCAGATATGGGGGAGCGTAGTGCGAATAGTTGCGGGGGTGGATATCTACTAGAGTCTCTTTAGCTTCATCTTAACCCAGCGATAACTTCACCTTGTTCACCGGTTGATTTTCCCAATAGAGGGAGGTGGACGTTGTGGCTTTGACGGGGGATCCGAAAGAGTCATTATTTAGCTATTCTACCTTATATGCCTCGGTAGATATGGACAAGAGGATAAGAGTCAATCTGATAAATGGCCTACGTACCTAGTAGGTATACGTATACGTCTACGAAAACAACTTGGAGTTGTCGGGCCCGGTACCCACAAACGAGCTGAGAGAGATACGTAGATAAGCCATACGCTTGATGAAAGATAACCCAAATGGTCAAGCAATGTCACGTACCTCGGGGTCGGCCCCCCCGACTCCAACTTGGTCAATAAGAGCGCCGATCTAGTACCTATCCCCGTGCCCTTTTCCCCCAATGAGCACGATACTCAATTCACATGCAGAAGTCTGGCCGCTCATTTCCATCCTAGATCCCAGCCTCATTATAATCATCCGAGTAAGAGTCTAGACGCCATGTCTGGTCCTGGCGATGAGTGGCCCGATTGGCCTGAAATGACAGCCGAGACTGGCGAGCTGAATCCCGATAACATCAAGATCAAGAAAGAGATCGCTGCCGCATATGGCGAGGCGGCGTTGCGAAAGAGCTGGCTCGCTGTCTGCGAGAGGCTGAAGGGCTTGACGGACGAGATCGCAGCCAAGCGCACCAGCATCATTCCCGAGCTGGCTTACGATGACTTCTTCAAACTCGGCGAGGAGGAGAAGCAGCGCCTGCGCGATGTCGGGTGCTTCGTGGTCCGGGGTCTCGTCCCCGAGGAGACCGCGAACGGCTGGTTCGAGGACCTCAACAACTACGTGCAAGAGAACCAAGGGGTCATCAGTGGTAGGCCACCACACCAAGAGGCTGTTTGCGTCTCATATCCCATCATCTCGCTAATCTCCCGTTAGGGTGGCCGGCCGAAACCCCCTTCATACTCCAGCTATACTGGTCGCGAACGCAGATGGAGGCGCGCACGCACCCCCGAGCGATGGCTCTGCACCAGGCTCTCAACGAGATGTGGCACGACGACGACGACGCCGGCAAAGCCTTCGCCTCGCCCCTGGTCTACGCCGACGCCGCGCGCATCCGGCCCCCCGGCGTGCCCTTCCGGGGTCTCGGGCCGCACATCGACGCGGGCAGCCTGAGCCGCTGGGCCGACCCCAACTACCGGCAGGTGTACGAGAAGGTGTGGACGGGCAGCCCGGACGAGTACGACGCCTACGATCTCACGGACCGGAAGCGAGCGAACCCGGCGCACTTCCCAGGGGGCGCGCATTCGCACGTGCTGCGCCTCGCGCAGGGCTGGACGGCGCTGACGGCGGCGGGCCCGCACGAGGGCAGCCTGATGCTGTTCCCCGAGGTCAAGACGTCCATCGCGTACGTGCTGCTGCGGCCGTTCTTCCAGCCGCCGGCGAACGCGGACGACGTGCTCGACGCGGAGAAGTGGACTTTCGACACCGAGGACCCGTGGTTCCCGGGCGTGTGGAGAGACGACTCGCAGTATCTGAGCCCGGACGCGTTTCCCCATCTGCGGCTCAAGGAGTGCTTGGTTCACATCCCCAAGATGAACCCGGGCGATACGGTGTGGTGGCATTGTGACGTAAGTTTTTCATCCTCCGGACTGATTCAATACCTAATGATGAGTTTCTGTGTGCGTGCTAATATGCTTGTTTGTTTGTTTTGCTGTCGCGTAGATGTGCCATGCAGTCGAGATTGAACATAGGGGCGAGGGGATCTCGAGCGTAGCTTATGTGGCAGCCACTCCGACGACAGAGATCAACTCAGATTATGTAAAACGCCAGCTCGAAGCATTCTTGAAAGGGACGTCTCCCGAGGACTTCCCCGATGGGTGTGACGAGAGCAAGCTGAAGGGTTATCCCGGCAGCGATATCATCCTCAACGGGGGCATAGGTAGGAAAGCTGTTGGTTTCGCTGTCTAAGTGCCTACTGCACCGAAGATCACTCAATCAATCGATAAATTACTACCTAGGTAAACAACGCATTTGTGTGACAGTCTAAAAGCGCGTACCGTTATGCTTCATTCAGCACAATGCCAATCTCTCTTATAGCATGCAAGTCCTAGGCTGACATCTCACCTCGCTCTTCTTTCACCTTTTGCATCCTAGGCAGCCAGTAACTTTCCATGAACTGTTGTAGCGGCACGTTCATCTCAGAAAACTTCACCTCGAACTCATCCATCAAATCCTCCAGCAATTCCGCCATGCGTCGATCTTCCTCTCGTATTTCTTCGATTTCGCCTGCGTCCATGAGACGGAGTATCCCATTCTGAACAACCCTTTCAAATCCCCAAGAGATCTCGTAGCTACAACAAATATGTGACATGCCGAGTTGGCTGAATGTCAAGGCCCGAATCATGTGCAGAGCAGCTACGCAGCCACGAAACCCGCTCAGTAAAACAGTACAAAGGTACTCAGAACTACTGAATGAAATCGATCACAATTATGAGCAAGGCACTAGGCAGTCTTTGTATAACTGTAATGCTTCAACGGCCCCTTTGTTCACAAGGACGTTGCTAGACAGGGCCATCTAGGATACCCTTTACCAATGCCTGTATTTAACCTAAGGGGGTTTACCTTCGGCGCCTACATAAGGGGTAGGGGGCCATCGTTGAGAAACCGGGCCCGGTACTCAGTATCGGACTTCAGCTGCTACAGTAACTGTTTAGTTAGGTAGATTGCGCAGCTAAGCAAGATGGACATTTCAAGCCATCCATAAAAGATTCTCGTACATTGCTATACTGAAAATGTCTCCGTGATGTGTGCTGTATACAAACCTACCTACCTACATAGGTGGGCACTGACGAATATAAACAAGCATATGGCTCCCCTTCTATCGATTCCATTCTATCCGTACTAAGCCATTCACATGTAACAATTGACTGAAAGGCATTGTTCAGCTCATTCATCGACCAGCACATGGTGTTTCCGAGGTTCCTAGGCTATATAATATCCACTTCCCTCGTAAGCTGTGTAGACATCTTGCCCAGCCTTCACCATCCCCACCCCCATACACCTACAAACTGCCCTTTCGAATCAGACGAGACACACAACCCACACAACCGATAACACTCCAGCGATGACAACCCAGAACCTCGCCGGCGAGGCATACCCAGCTCATCAGCCAAGCAATGTTGTTGCGATGCCGCTCCCCCATTTCCCCGTGTCAGCAGAGATCCCCCAAACGAGCGACGTGCTGATCATCGGCGCCGGCATCGCCGGTCTCGCCGCCGCGCTCGCACTCGCGCGCTATAACCACCGGGTCCTCGTCCTATCCAACAACAAGCACCCGGGCCAGGGGCCATACAGCGTGGTGCGCGCCTTTGCGGGCGGAGAGGACCAGGAGCCCCGGGCCATCCGCCAGACGATGATCGACCACATTCACGAGAAGTATCCGGATAACGTCCGGTTTGTCCACGCCGAGGTAACCACGATCCGTAACCTTGACAGTAACCCCTGTGGCGGTCGCTCCAGTTTCGAGGTGCGCGACAGCACCAATGGCATGTACTGTGCTCGTAAGATTATCTTGGCTCTTGGCATCACGTACACCATGCCCGCCAGTCTGCCGGGCTACGATGCGTTGTGGGGTACTAGCATGTAAGTTATCTTCCCCCCTTTTCTTGTCTCATTCCTCCCTTTTTACTCCCCTACAATAGCTAACGCCGGATTTTCCCCCAACTAGTTTCCACAACCTCCTCTTCAACGGCCACGAGCACCGCGGCGTGTTCCGCGCCGGCATCCTCGCCACGGGTCCGTACGTGAGCGGCGCAGCCGGCGTATCGCGCGTGATGACGCTTGCGCGGCAGGCCGGCCGTTTCGCGCGCGTCGTCACCGTCTACACCAACGGCGACTACACGCTCGGCACACACATCCTGCGCGAGTTCCGCAACATCGGCAGTCCGCTCAATCTCATGTTCGAGAACAGCCCCATCAAGAGTCTGACCCCCGCCCCGGCTTCTGCCGAAACCAGTGGTGCCGTGGTTGTCACGTTGGAGCTTGGAAAGCCCCTCGAAGAAGGGTTTTTGGTAAGCACCCCCCTCTCCCCCTTTCTCTCCCAATCTATCCAGTAGCCGAGACAAAATGTGACTAATCATGTGCCCCCCCTCAGGTCCATATGCCCAGCTTCACCGTGAACGGCAGCGACCTCGCGACGCAGCTGGACCTCGAGCGGGACTCCGCCGGCGCCATCGTGACGCGCCTGAACTTCAGCACCAGCGTCCCGGGCGTCTTCGCCGCCGGCGACTGCGCCAACGTCTCCGTCCGCACGTACAGCGTCGCCAACATGTCGGCCAACGCCGCCGCCTACGGTGCCGCCATTAGCCTCCTAGAGGAGGACGGCGGCCTGAAGTGGGCTGACGCTGGTCAGTGAGAAGGCGTGTCTGTCTACCCGACTAAGTACCTAACGTTTGCGCGGAGATGGCTTAAGGAAAGATACCTATATATGACTGACACGTAGTAGTAGTAGCGCCTAGTAGTGGTAACGGCCACACCTATAGTGATGAGATACTGACATTTGACATCTTCTAGATGGAGATATTTAGCCAAGTACCTAGCAGGTATGTTGTCACATGAGATTAAGTGTGCTTAGTCAATAATACTAAGAAGATCTCCAGGTCTTAGAAAGAGCGTTATATTATTGAGTAAGAGATGGACGAGGGGAGCTCAGCCATTAGGATTGAGAATATATGCTCAGATCCTGATTAAGTAATCCAGTGACTGATCACCTGACTGGTAGTCATGTTGGGCACCCTGCGACATAAGTATGTATTAGATTCCTCGATGTAGCCAAGAGGCAGTTGACTGCGACATAGGCATCATGTAAAACATGAACTCATGCCCACCATAAGTAGGTAGCTAGCTATTCCGCTTTAATTGAGAGCATTCACGCCTACTTTACCTGACTAAAACTTTCCCTGTGAATTTCTCACACTACTTGGAACAATGACTCTTTCCATAAGAATTACTTAAGTATGGGATAGAAGTAGAAAGTATCTGGGGATATCTTACACAAAGCCTTAAATACCTACTTACCTATACAAATGAGAGATTATTCATTTGGCGTAGCGATAGAATCTTATAAGTGTAATAGGTGGGTAAGAAGCCGTCATGTACGGTGCACCATTAGTGCACAACCGACAAAACTTTATTTTTCAATTTTCAATTTCTAATTTCTAATTTCTAATTCAATTTCAACCAGCAGCCATCAATTAATACACTAAAATACAGTGTGTATATACAGTATTGTTAGTATTTATACTGGCTAATAGAAGGCTGATAAATAGACACGTCGGCTTGATAGCTGAATAACTCTCAATGATATAAGGCCACAACCATATATCTTATATCAATAGAAAGCACATGCAATTCTGAAATTAATGATATAGGTTGCATTATGGTGCGATATCTGGTTAGGAAGTTATTCAGATAAATAAGTTGGCAGTCTCGATCGCACGTGATATCCCTCAAAGCCAACATACAGCCGATTAACCTGAGGGATATCACCACTTACTTAAAGATCAAAAAGCTATCCATCTAGGTATATCACCATAGTACAACCTATATCATTCAACTTAGAATTAAATAAGCTTTCAAATGATATAGGTTACATATTTGCAGCTATAGACTTCAAAAAGTTATTAGGATTCAAAGCTGGGAGCTGAGACCGGCTGATTGTTATTTAGAGCAACACCCAATCTGCAGTATCTTGTGGCTCTAGTACAACACCTGGCACCTGCAAGCTCAACAGCTGGCACCTGCAAGTTCAACCTTGAATAAACTCTGCAATATGGCTGCTAGAAGCGTGCAACTGGGCTCAATCTGATCCTTGAATTGAGATCTCTAGATTAATGTCTTAAATTCAAGATTTGAAGATTGTTTGGATGAGTTGTAATAGGTTGAAAGCTTGATGTGGTACCGCGCATGGGCCACCTGAGCCGCATCTCAATTGAATTCAGGATAGTTGCATCTACAGTAGCGGCCGAAAAGATCAATCAATATAAGGGTCTAAGATTTGAAAAAAAACAAAAAAAACAAAAACAAAAACATATATCTATCAGTTTTTCCAATTAAGGAAACAAAGATGCAACTGGTTTGGGAATTTTGCGAATTTATTTGAATGAGATATAAGGCGTTGAAGTTGTACATTAGCGTATTGATTGATGGCTGTTGGTTGAAATTGAATTAGAAATTAGGAATTAGAAATTAGAAAATAAAAAATAAAGTTTTGTCGGATGTGCACTAATGGTGCACCGTAGTCATGTGATTTGATTTGTAGGATGATCACGTGGACGATCTGACCCCACGTGACATGCCTAGGTTAGGTACCTAATGTTTGATGAAAAACAGATCAAGTGCTAAGATCACATACCAACTTGAAGCTTAGCAGATATAGATGGGATGAAGTCACTGATCACCGCTATGTCTTATGCTTTTACGGATCTCTAGACTGGCTTGAATAATTATAACCTCTGTAAAGTATATCCTGTCTTCTAAACCGACCAAAAAGGGGGGAGGCGGAAGAACTGCATTATGTGTAAAAGAAAAGTCAAAATTCAGGACTCCCGCATGGTATGCTCGCAAAAGCATCATATCTATACACTATCCGGACTATGTCCTCGCAAGCCCAGATGCCTCTCGTTGTTCGGATCCTCATCATTCCCACCTTTCCAGTCGGCGGCTGGCATCTGGGGCACAGGCGAGTCTACGCTAGGCATGGTTGACCCCTTCGCCTCGCCCTCCGGCACAGTAGACCTCCACACCACGGCAATCTTGTCAGCTGCTCGTGTTCCCTTTTGGCTTGACCCCTTGATCCCATCCATCTTGTCCCAGTCTATCTCGAATACCCCGTTCTGGTCTGGAATGCCGTCCTGTTCCGGACCGTTGCCCTCAAAAAAAGTATTAAACCATACGTGCGCGACGGCGGTTACCACAGTAAAGCCCATGGAGGTAGGTGCGCGGTTGCGTTTCTCGATACATATATTTACGTCGCTATTCGGTAACTTGATCGGATTTGTAGGCTTGAAGATGACGGCCATACCACCAGGCTCAGCATCCCCATCGTTGTTGATAGCTGACGAAGAGGAGTTTGCGGAATTCTCTAGATTTTGCTGTGTACTGCTTTCTGGCGCAGAATGGACAGAATCAGTGGATGAACTACGGGAGAGTTTAGATATGAATTTGGGGCTCGGCTTTGGTTTGGGATTGGTGGCCGATGACGGCGTGGGTTGATCAGGAGATGTTGTTGTAGAGCTATCATTAGCCGGATCCTCTGTTTTCCTTGCGTCGTCAAGTACTTCTTGTTCTGTTGCAGTGTTAGATCCGTAACCGGCCATATCATAGAGCATGTCCAGGACTCCGTTATCGCCCGGCGCGTTACCTTCGACTACCAATCGCTCCTGTTTCGTGAACGTGTGTACGACCTTGATTTTCCTGCCCTCTTCCACAAACCCTTCCACTGAAAGCTTCACGCCGGAGCGTAGTCCCCAAACGTGAACCTCAAGTATCTCCAATTCCCGATCGACAAATTTCTTTCCCGTCTTAGCCCAGCGATCGACGTATCCTATCCACCGAAGCTGGCTCGGGATAGTCACACCAGCACCAAACTTTGGACGCATCCTCCGCTCGGTAAACCTGGCGAGGGCTTCCTCTGGTGTCCAGCCACATTCAGCAATGAGATAACTACAAGCCATAGTTCCACTACGGCCTTTACCGGCCTTACAGTGTACAACCACCACTCGACTATTTTTCTTATCTTTCCATGATTCCAACACTTTCCCGACCAAGTTCTTCTTTGCATTAGCTGCGTCGACGCCATCGGCATCGAGATCATTTCCGTGAAGCCAATTCCGCATACTTGCAATAATCATAGGCACTAGCCTAAACGGAGGAGGGTGATGATCCGGCCAGGGATAATGTCTGATCCGATTGTAAACGAGCTCGTCTGGATAACCAGTGCCCTCGCCACGGAATTCCCATATTGCCCAATTCTTTCCATGTTTCGAGTCAAGAAATTCAACGAGACGATCGAGCGGGTTGCGATAGGCTCGCTGGGGGTACGTTTGAGAAGGGCCCGACCTAGTGGAAGGATCTATCAGCCTCAATGCAGTAGGAATAAAACTGGGGGTTATGAGGATCATGTATACGTTGCGATTATATTATCGGTGACATAGCATAAATCCAGGCCTGCCTCAGGATGCCTAGCACGAGGCCCTGCGACTATCTGGCGCAGCAAAGAAGCCATTTTTTGGAAATTGGTTGATTAATTGATGTACAATTAGTTGGCATTATGGGAGCCTTTTCTAAATTCACATGCTGCGTAAGGTTTCTTTTAAAAGCAAAGCGAGGCAAAAGCAAGGACAAAAGTAATTGGTCGGAAGCCAATTGTAAAGAAACGAGAAGCTCAAAAAAGAATGGAGACGCCAGATCTCCGAGCTAACAGAAAGAGTGGGGATACGGGATTAAGTCAGCATTTATCCCTACATCATTTATCAGCCGCTTACCTACTAGTAGAGCTTTGTACCTAAGTACCTACATTGTGTAAGAACTTGAACATTGACATGCTAACTACCTAGTACTACGGCGTGTGTAAGGGCTGGATCGAATTCACGATCAAAATACACACCCGTTACATACATCATACTAATATAATCATACTGATATAAGGAGTTTATTCGTCTCGTAAATGTCTTTGGCTTTGGCTTCGACTTGGGTAGTTTCAAGTATAAAGGTTATATGGCGATACCGTAGTGAAGTCCGTACTAGGTACCTTAACTACATATATGCCTTTCTTACTACATACATGTACATAGGTACGCAGTAGAGGAATACCAGTGACATTACCATGAATTAGATATACTCACCACCCAGCCTAGGTATGAGATAATTAGTTTGCAAATACTTGAGGTTCCCTGGATCAATTTATCTCAGAGTAGCAACTTTAGAAGAAACTAGTATGTCAAAGGTCCCATTAACCGTTCTGATGTAATACAAGCCACCAATTTCCACCCATCCTGCCATCCTTCAGCTCAAGAAATAGGACCTCTCAAACCATTTACTGCGTAGAGCATCCTTCTACCTCTCATCATCTGCCTCGACTGACCTTAACTTGACTGCGTCGTCTATCCTCCCTTGTGAACTGCAACCTGATTTCTTCTCCACCCCAGATTCTGCTTCAGAGTCCTCGTTTATTGTCTTAGAAAACCGCCCATCCCCTTCATAGTCTGACATGTAAACATGTCTTTACGCCATCTCACCGTAGGCACCCAACTATGATCAATCTTGCTCGTGGTAGGAATTACCGCATGCAGTCTAGGAGGTCTTCTTAGGTACAGCGGATCCACCCGTGTACTTGCTAAGGTCCGTGATGTCATGGAACTGACGCGTGGCATTCTTGACAGCATCCCAAACAGTTCGGGCTGCTGGTGGAGTTCCTTGAGCACCAACTAGTGAGTCGACGCGAGATTCCAATATTCTGAAAGAGTCTTGCACGTGGGTGCTCTGGGCGAAACGAGTTCGGAGAAAGGCGGTATATACGCTAATTAGGATCCAAGAGCGGCTCTGAAAGAGGATTGCAGAAAGGAACAATCGGAACCATAGCAGAATCTCCAGAGCGGACACGATGGACATGGAGGCATCATAATACTGCTTGACAAAGTTGCCGATAGCCTCGGCAATGGGGTTGGCACTCTGCTTAGCACCAGGAGACGCGCCAGCTGGGGTCTTGCTGGGCTGGATGGTGGGAATCACGTTGTTACGAGTGTAAGTCGCAACGTGGAAGACGGAGTAGATGCCGTACGGGATCATAGCAAGCGAATATTGGGGGGCGAGAAGCCAGACCAATGACATAGCTGTTGAAGGGATTAGTTAGCAGGATAGTCGATTGGCCTAGGGATGAAGAATGACATACCGAGATACTGAACGTTCTCATCGGCTAGAACTCCCAAAGCTCCACCTGGATACTTCGCGCCGACCTTCTGTCGAGCTCGCCATGTCTTGTAAACAACGATTCCATATGTAAGGGCTGCGGAGACGAAAGCCGTGCGATAAGTGAAGCGAGCCCAGCGGGTGGTATAACTAAAGGCGATGAAGGAAAGGGAGTATCGGAAGATACATAGGAGGAGGACGAGGTGTCTGTAAACATAAACAATCCATTAGCGGTCAAGTCTCGTCAAAAAGTCGGCCTCGAGCTGCCGAGCAGCAACAAAGCAAGACAAGGCGTCGAGGTGTTTCCATTCATAAAGAAAGCATGACGTACCCGCTGAACCAGGCGACTATATCCCCTCAAATATTAGCTTAGCTACAATGAAGTAATCTAGAGTGAAGATAAAAAATGAGCATGACTTACATTGCAAGGTTTTGGCGAGTGCCAGAACCCTCTCGCTCAATGGCAGACTCGCAGAAGGCGGAGGAGCCATATTTTTCTCGGGTGTAATGGAGTATTTCTAATAACTCGTGGAAATGATTGAGGTGCCGCAAAAGATATCAAAGAATTATTTTGAGGTAGACTGTGGTCGCGTGCTATTCTAAGGCAGATATAGGTGTTGCAGAATGGCTCGGGGGTTGACGAAGTCGTATTGGTGAAGAGGAATGTGCAGTAGAAGCTGCTGAGGTGGCTGGATTTGTATGGAAAGTGGGAAAATGACGAATGATGGGCCACTGCTTTGCTAGGGTGTTGTACGTACTCTCTGTCCTTGCGCCCGTTGGTAACGTTGGTACCTAGTATCTCTACCTAGTACCTAGTACGCTAACAACGGCGTGGTCGGTGCGTCATTCAAGGTTAGGATTTTATGGGCCTATGTACTGAATAGGTAGTTTCCGGTACTGAAGTTGCCTAATGTATTTCGTATTAGTTATGTACCAAGTGCAAGCTGGAAGAGGCCAATACATCGGATGTATGGATGTCGGTTAGTACTTGCTTATCGCCCACCAGTACTTTAATGATCGCATACATAGTATTGTACAGTACAATACTATCCATAGTTGTGCAAATAATGGGGTTAGTTATCCGTTGAATCTCTGCGTCATAGCGCTTTGAACAGCAAGATATCGCAACAACATCAAGAACAAATCTACATATACATTACGTCCATTACAATCATATTCATCATCCTATTCAATTCTTCAGTATCCATATGTATCTAGACCAACATGAGTAATTCTATATTAGCACCATACTACTACAATGGATATTTACCCATTTCTTATCCAGTTTCCAACACTTGAAAAGATTCCGAGCCATCCTACCTACCATGATGCACCTATGTGTACTACCATGTGCCCCCAAACGATCAACCTATTTGAAAGGTCTACCCTAGCTACATTACATGCCTCTCGTTCGCCTCAACTTGTCCGAAGATCTTGACAGCTGTCAGTAACTAGGCAGCCAGGTACCTGCTGACTGACTGAATCCTTGCCCAAGATGCCTTGGCATTTTATCACCTGCCGATGCTATCGTTGCCATTTATCCATGGATGCTTGACGAGTGACCGGTACGATTAGCACCATTGGGGTTGATTGCTCTCATGACAGCCTCGTAGACACGTAGCGCCTGACAGCACCAGCCAAGACACAGCTGAAGTCGAAGGAGGAGGGGAATAACTAGGCAAATATTAGCCCGGCTCGGCCCGGATCCGACACCCATGAGGACTCACTATCATCTCCTAGGTGCACATGGTTCTAGGTATTCTATTATTTCCATATAACATTAAAATAAGACATGGCATATACCCCATGCTCACGATTTTCTAAGAACTAGGTTTCTCCATCGATGTTAGTTTACTATGTATTATTTACATCCTACATTATCAGCCCCCCAGCTCTACATATATAGCTGATAATACATATCTCTCTCCCTCTCTTTATTCGCGATACGTGTTCAAGCATATGCGGTCTTCCGCCTCGAGGCATTGTGGGTATCGTGACATGCAGATGCACTGGGCAGCTATGCGGAGTCACTTGCTTCACAGGAGAATTTCTGTTAGCATAAGCACTCTTTCAAGATGAACTCTGATCGATCTAATAATTGGTACCTAGCCACTACGTAGCGTCGATGGCCTTGCCTAATCAAAATCCGAGGCTACTCTGTTTCAGCTCACTACAAGTTTCATCCTTGCCAACTTCCTATCTATATATATTGCTAATAGGTCCATGTCGGGAAAACATTGAAGCTACTAAGTGCGATCGCTAGATTCACCCTATGACCCAGGAATCGAACAAATACTGCCTACCTAGGTAGGCAAGTAGCTTTTAGAAGTATTGTATCGCCAACGGAAACTCCGTTGGGGATCGTTGGCAGTTATCGGTTGATTTTTGTCTTCCCTAGATACCCTTAGGTACTTCTTTATACGATGAAAATACCTACACATTTTTTACTTTACGCTTCAACAAAGAGTACTATAATCACTAAGTGTACGAACTTGATCTCAATTGGATAGGTAGGAAGGTCCGAAAACCCCCCTACCTACCTGTGTATTCCTTTTTCTTTTCCTTTTTTTTTCCTTCGCGGCGTGAACAGCGCGCAGTAGGTAGCAAGTAGAAAAATAGAAATTAGCCACCATTCCCAGTAACATTCTTACCTACATACATACTCTCGCCGGGTTATGATTGGAAGACTTCTAGGTTCATTACATAGGTAGTTACCGGCTAATTACATATGCATGCATGCATGCAGGTACTTAATCTATAAGTGCTCCGGCTTCTTGGTGGACAAGACCGCCGATCTGCTAGAGAGCCATTCCCTTTCGTCTGATTGGATAAGAAAGCTACCTAACTTTTCCCGCTGTTTCTTCCCATGATAAGTTCAAAGAAGAGACTTCAAACAAAATCAACTTACAAGCAAGTCCTCAATACTTTCACGTCAGAGCCAGTGTTTTTTTATCAATGACTTCTGGGTTCAAAGATAAATAAAAATTCTCGTGACAAACAGGGGTTATTATATTAGTGCTAGTGTCGAAAGAGCGACGACGACAACAAATGATCAGGGATAACCGATAACGCTTCATACCGCAAGCCATGGAAGGGGACACAAAGCCCGACCGCTTCCCCAGCACGGAGCAAGTCCGTGTCTTTCCAGTTTCTGCGCCGAACAGCGACGCGGAGAAAGTTGTCGGTGCCGAGGACCAACGCGATGTCTCCACAGCTTCGCCGAAGCAGTCTGCGTTCAAGTCGCTCGGCTGGCTGGACCGCTTCCTCGCTGTGTGGATCCTGCTCGCCATGATCATCGGGATTCTTCTGGGAAACTTCGTGCCGGGGACCACCGATGCCCTGCAGAAGGGCCAGTTCGTCGGTGTCTCGGTGCCGATAGGTATGTCGCCCCCCATCTCTCTCCCTCCCTTGGGTACATTCGGGGATGCTCTAATGTTGACTCGCCACCTACGCCCGCAGCGGTCGGATTGCTCGTGATGATGTACCCCATATTATGCAAGGTCCGGTACGAGACTCTGCACGAGATATTCTCCCACCGGGGGATCTGGAAACAGATCGCGTTCAGTGTGTTTATGAACTGGGTCGTCGCTCCGTTCCTTATGGTATTGTTATCTCCGTCATTACCACTGCGCGCACTTGGCTAATTTCTACTCTTTCATCTAGCTGGCGCTTGCATGGGCGTGTTTGCCGGATGAGCCCGAGCTTCGTACCGGGTTGATACTCGTGGGCTTGGGTAGGTGTATCGCAATGGTATGCAGTTTTCCAAGAACATTCATCTACTTGCACAAGGCAGAGCGAACTTGAAGACTAATAGGTATATGTAGGTCTTGATATGGACGAGCTTAGCTGGTGGCGATAACGAATATTGCGCCATTCTCGTGGCCGTCAACTCCATCCTTCAGATGATATTATTCGCCCCGTTGGCCGTCCTCTTCATTCGTGTGATTAGCCATGAATCCGGAACCCTAGATATATCGTATGAAGTCGTTGCCACCAGTGTGGGGACCTTTCTCGGTATCCCGCTCGGCGCGGCCATGTTGTCACGTTTTGGACTGCGGGCTTTGGCCGGCCCTGGATGGTACGATCGCGTCTTTTTGAGATTCGTGGCGCCTTGGTCTCTGATCGGTCTCCTGTACACGATCCTGGTTCTGTTCGCGTATCAAGGTCAGCAAGTCGTCCATCAGATCGTATCTGTCTTGCGCGTCGCCGTCCCCCTGATCGTGTATTTCATCATCATCTTCTTCGTCACTCTATGGGCTACACATCGATGTGGGTTTGGCTACGCTCTCGGCACCACCCAGAGCTTTACTGCGGCGAGCAACAATTTCGAGCTCGCTATCGCTGTCGCCATTGCGACTTACGGTCCTAACAGTGATCAAGCTCTGGCATCTACCGTTGGGCCCTTGATCGAAGTTCCCGTGCTACTCGGGCTTGTGTATGTCGTTAAATGGGTCGGGAATAGGTGGGCCTGGAAAGACTGATTTGCAAGATCTTGAACACTTAGTCCAATTGTGATTCTTCTAAGTTACTAGGTATCAAAGACGCCTAGGTTGAAGATATCCGAAAAATGAGTTGCTCATACACAAAGTGTCTCTCATCAAACCATACACTAGGTACTCAGGTAGCTTTCAAAGAGTATAACAACGCGTTTAAAGTAGGTATCACACAACCTTCCTCGTTTGAGCATTGATACCCCCCCTCCCACCAGACAAAGCTCTAGCAAAGGTGCTCCGGAATCAGGCAAGTCGCGATAGTCTGGATTTCTATCCAGAATAAGCCGGATTTTATCAACCAGCGATTCGAAATATAACGTATTAGCTAGAAGTAGCTGAAGAAAGCTGAGTATGCCTGGGTCGCATGGGCTGTTCTGTAGCAACGCACCATGATCGTAGTAAATATACAAACATCTCATAACTTGAAATTCTTCCTGATCTTACGTGTAAGCTCATTTCAAGGTCTTTACAAAAATGGTGTATATCAATTTCAACCGGCATTATACTTGTTAGGGCACTCTTGGGGGTGATCCAACGCAAGCGTATGAGGGATTCGGTTGAAAAGGATTTCTAACACGGTGTGACATAAATCGTCCTCCCAATGGAGCATATTGATTGAAATCAAGTAGATGACTTTGCCCAAGTATTCGTAGGCATCAAACGTCAATGTAGGCACCGAAGACCCTATGAATGAGGGAACTGTAGTTGTCTAAGAGTCGATTAACTTCCGCTCTGGCCTGGTACTCGTGATATTTTCAATGCTTAATAGACTGTCTAGCGTTTGACTCGGTACGTGTACTTCAGTAGTACGGGCCAATTATATTGCACCTGTCAGTTTCTATCCTGCCGTTTTCATATATATGAGCAAATTTATGGCACTTACGAGGCATTTTACCTAGTACCCAGCAACGCGCTGGATGGAATATCACGCAGTTCACGTTGGTAGTGGTTTATAGCAAGTCCAATAGACACTGAAGCACTGGGTTCGTCTATCTCAAAGAGCGAACGATCCCGGTGGTATGAGCCATTCGGAAACGAGCCGGCTATGCTTTGGGCATTAAGAATGAGTAAGAGCCCCTGAGTTTGGTACAAGGGATGGCATAGATGGCCCTGGTGGTGCCATGGTGATAGTCCTTGGTGGGCTGGTAGAGGCAACATGGGTAGACGTGCCACCGGAGAAGGGGTTCTCACAACCACGCCTGGCGGAAGTGCAGTATTTCTTGCTACCTAACTATTAGACACCGGCTTAAAGTAGAAGTGCCTAACTAGGGACTTACCGTTGCTTATTTTCTGGGCTCCAGATCTTCTAACCTCCTTCCACACTTTACTCCACGGAATCTTCGTCCCGTTGAGATATACTGCTAATTCCTTGCTACCTCTGCTCAAATACTGTTGGTACACTGCATTTCCATTCCTCTTTCTTCAGCTTCTTTCGCACTCCAAAGCCATCGCGAAGCTTTGTTTCATAAGTTGATAGACTATATTTAGTATGATGAGTTTATTGCTCGCGTACATTAAATGATAGAAAGATGGATTCGAGGGCTTCCAACTTACGGGATGATTGGAAATTCATGTTCAGTTCCATTATGTGCTTCACGTCTCAAAGTGTTTTTCTTTCGACTTCATAGAGTTGTCGAATGGCTGATTCATTTTCTCCCCATAGATCACCTCCAGAATCCGGTAGACGACGTTTGACGGGTGGCATACTGGATACTGTACTGCTGTTGAAGGAGTATAATGGTCAATATGAGGTTTACAGAACTTGAAGACTAAAAAGAAAAGAATGGAGGATTAAGTCAACTTTTATGGTCAGGCTCTGAAGCCTTGAGGTGCTTGAGTACATGGATGGGGGTAGTATCTACATCATGCATGTACTGAGGTACCTAGCCCCCTATTCGCTGGTATTATGTATTGTATGTTGCTGCGGCTTGGGGCGCATGCTGTCCAATTTCTGATGGCACAGCTGCTATATCTCTGTCTAATTTCTAGTTACACAACTCCAATATGTATCTCCATGGACGTTGTCCAATTTCTGGTGAGGCATACCAGGAATTTACCTAGGTCTACAGGCCGTCTAGACCAAGCGTGTGAATCCAAGAAACGAAGCCAGAAAAAAAAATAAAAGAAAAGAAGAGAGGAGACAATCATCACTACGAGACCAATTTACATAAGCTACAATAGTTATCAACGTAGTTTCATTGCATCTGTCTGCCTGTCTGTTTGCCTGACCAATCGTGCCCAATCGTGCCTATCGTATGGACTGAACTCTCAGGGGGCTGCTGTTAATTTACCCCTCCAAGCTCAATGCTCACTCACCATCACCACCAACAGGATCTTCAAAAGCCTGCAATGCAAACACCGCAGAAAGCCATTTGTAGACGATGTAGTGGCGACTGTTCAAAGAAAGGAGTCATATCGATAGCTAAGCCGACGCGCAGAATCTCGCGTGAAATAGAATTGTAGCCGTCGACGGGATTTTCGAGATGAAGGGTGTAAGAAAATACACCATGCAAGTACATGTATATGCCCCATACGGGCCTTGAAGCGACAACTACGCGGATTCAAATGCTTACCGCGATACAATCATAGAAAAATTGGGTATCATTCCGTTACTCCGTCCGATGCGTCTAAGGGATAGAGCCAACGTGTCATCCTAAAACACTTTTCGTAGACTGAGAAATCGGGAAAAAACAAACGGGTCAGGTGCATTATGGTCCGGATCAATAAAAGTTGCCTCCACGACGACGGCGGTCGTGACGGTTGCGAGGGTTCCAACCAGAGTCGAAACCGCCCCGACCACGTCCGTGGCCGTGACGGCCTCCTCTGGGGCCGCGGGGCTCTTGACGTCGGTCTTCACGTGATTCGGGAACCTGTTCCTCAACTTCTTCAACCCATTCCTCGTACTCATCCTTGGCATAATCGTCGTAAACCTGTTTCTCTCGCACTGCTTCATCAGCATCGAACAAGAATCGTGTGGTGCCACCATCAGGTCCTTTAGGCCCACGCTTAGTGGAGCTGGTACCAGCAGCGGACGGCGTGCTCAATGACATTGGCGAATCCGTTGCAGGCGTAGGAGGAGGTATTGCAGACTCGCATTCTCTGCATTGGTTGACATGACGTGAGAGGCCAGCGCGGTCCACGGATTGGTTGATCGTGATTTGGGTGTCAATAAAAACCTGCAAATCAAAGATTGGACCAACCTTGGTCGTCTTGCCGTGTTGAGTATAAAGATCTAAGAGATCGAGACTTGCTTCAGCTACACATTGCTTATCTGTGTGCCAATCAAGAGGGTCAAGTGCTTGAAACTCGTCAATGAACTGACCGAGAATCAGTGCAGTCAGCTGCGCAAGGACAAAAGCACAAGTAAAAGAACTATGCTTGAGAGGAGCATAGGTCTTGTACATGTCGATGGACATATTGAAAGCTATGTGAAAGAACGCCGGGGCGTTAACTTGATTTCCAAGGACCTTTTTAATGATCTTGGCAAGAATCTTCTGAGGGTACCGAACACGGAAATCAAAGTTGATAGCTTCCACTATGAATCGCTCAAGCCCAATGATTACCTTGGATGGCTGATCGAAGATCTAATCGTATATTAGCTCACAGTATCAGCAGTGTTCAATGTCATAGATCACTGACCTTGTCATCTTGCGTTGTGGGATGATCCAGGTTCTTCAGATTGTGATGAGCACACGCAATCTCGCGCGACTTCTTTAAGGTATCCTCGACCTTGCAGGCTACAAATAAAGAAGCCAGAGCAGCTTCAGTGTAGTTGTAATCCGTATTAGGATGTTCCAGACGGAATCGATGATAAAAGGTGCACGCGGCATTGTACGTCTTCACCGGTCTAGAAACAGATAATAGTCAGAGTCCCTGGAATCTACAAAAGCCCAAGAATAACCACTTACAACAACAGAGCCTCTCTGGTCGACTCGATGACCTGAACACCTTGTAAACGGTAGTTGGCTTCTCTAGCGGCATCTAATCGTTTCTCGGTGAGCATGCGGCGAATATGAGACTCGGAAATATACTGGTGGCCGACTTTGATGGTTCCCAAATGTGGGCCAACAGAAGTCCCATCGCGAATGTCTATCGCATCGTTCTTCTCGATATGGCTGGGCGCCATATTCTTATTCCCGAAAGCACCCGAGGATAAAGTCTCGTTGCCGCTAGATTCATCGACTAAAGCCGGGGGGCTTTGGGAGAAACCAGCGGTGGAGAAACTGGTGAAAGGATCGGACAATTGAATCGCATTTAGCGGGTTTTGGATTCCATTCGAATTTTTGCCTCGAATAGTCGTTTTCTCTTCAAATGCGCGGGATGCTGATCGAATAGCGACCGAAACAGGTGTGATAGTTGCGTCCGAACTGTTCGAGCTGTCCGACTTGTCCGCTTTGTCCGACGGACAATCGCTGTCCGAATCGCCTTCCCACTCGTGTGGATGGGCCAAATCTTCTGAATTGTCCAAGTTAAGGAAAGTATCGAAGTGTTGAACCGGGTCGGTAAGGACTCTGCGTGGTCGGATTGGAGTGTAATACACCCCGGCGTTGCTCTGCTTCAAGTTGCTGTCGTCAAGTACGGTAGGAGAATTCTTTCGATCAGCTTTCGAATTCACGTAGTTGGCATCTGGAAACACGAAATCCTTGGGAAGGGATGGCGAGTGAATCACATCAAACTCGCAGTCAATACTATCCAAGCGGCAGGAGTCGCGTGAAATCGAGCAAAGGTTAGCGGCCTTGGTCGGGGTACCAATGGTAATCGTCGCAAACTCTCGGAGTGAATCTGTGATGGATTTCAATTCGTCGGAGCTTGAACTCGAGCCCAGACTCGGACCCGGGCCCTGTCCTTGGCCCTTTATCGCATTATAGTTAGTCCAGTCCGAGGAAGCTTCATTCAAGTTGGATGGTTCAAGCTCAAGCTTCAAATGCGATTTAGGTGGCGTCAAAGGTGGCGTCAAAGGTGGCGTCAAAGGTGGCGTTGGTGGTGTAACACGGACCACCTCATCTAGCTTAGGTAAGTCCTTTGCCGGTTCCATCTTTGCTAGGTTAGTGTAATTCAATTCCAGAGTGCAAACAAGTTTCACAACTTTGAAGCTTCAAGTTCAGTCTGTAAGTCAAGGTGCTTAAGACAAGAGCTGCACAAGATTAAGAAGAAAAAAAGGGAAGAAATCAATATAATGAAATGATCACCATCAATAGTCATGTGAAGGAAAGCTCATAGCAGTGAAGCAAATGGCTAATGGAAAGTTGAGGGCTACACAGGTCTGCATGTAGGATCTCATTCCCATGTGCTGATTGAGGTGGAGAAAAGAAAGGACAAGAAAACAGAGGTAGTTATTGGAATGGAAGAAGGAATAAAACAGTGCATCCATGATGGCTGAATTATTCTTAATTTCGAGTTCATCAATCCGTAAATCCATCGTCTATGAAGTACGAATTCGAAGTCAAATTGACGATATGGGATGTATGTATGAAGCCTTTGGCTCTACACTGGTTCATCATTCAAGGGGTGTCATACATACCCTAGGTAACTAGTTACCTAGTAGTTATACACTGCATATGTAGTACATACATAACATGGCAATTTCAATGTTGTATTGTACGATAACCAAATAAGTCGATACACTTTGGGGGGACCTCGAACCTTCAGCCAATAAAGAGTGAAAGCTGAAGCTTGGCCTCCATTAAGACCAGGACCTCGGAATGAAAGGTTGCAAGTGCTCAGCCACCTCCAAGTCTCTTTTCATAGCACTATTGTAACTGCCATGTGCTTGCCTACATATAGTAGGGGTATGCATGCTAGTACCTAGCTTGACGTATCCTCCTTTCCATCTTTAACTCTACATATTATTTGCCATCCTCCTCTTCGTAACTATCGAACATCATCTCTCCTGTACTTTTACGGGATGATATGATAATTTAACTTGAACTAGACTCGACTTGTAAATTAGTTATACCAACATACAAAGTAACACGATTGCCCCCCCCTCCCATTAAAAAGAAGATGGCTGTACTACAGAAACTACCCGTCTTCCTTTCTTTAATCTCAGCCCTCCATCCCATTCTCGCTACCCCCACCAGCCAGTGGCCAGTCTCCTCCACCACCTCCGATGATGAAGATGACACACCATTACCTGTCATCATTTGGCACGGACTGGGAGACACCTTCGCCGCCGAAGGTCTACAGTCCGTAGGCGCCGCAGTTGAGAAGATCAACCCGGGCACCTTCGTCTACTACGTGCGACTCGACGAGAGCCCCTCCAACGACCGAACCGCGACCTTCTACGGCAACGTGACGGAGCAGATCGCCAAGGTCTGCGACGACCTCGCCTCGCACCCCATCCTCTCGACCGCCCCCGCCGTTGACGCCGTCGGCTTCAGTCAGGGCGGCCAGTTCCTGCGCGGGTACATCGAGCGGTGCAACTTCCCGCCCGTGCGCAGCCTCGTGACCTTCGGCAGCCAGCACAACGGCATCGTCGACTATAAGGCGTGCTCAGCGGCCGACTGGCTGTGCAAGGGCGCCATGGCGCTGCTGCACGGCAACACCTGGAGCTCCTGGGTGCAGGGCCGCCTCGTGCCCGCGCAGTACTTCCGCGACCCCCGCGACCTCGACAGCTACCGCGAGCACTCCAACTTCCTCGCCGACATCAACAACGAGCGCGTCCTCAAGAACCAGACCTACGCCAAGAACATCGCCCGCCTCGAGCACTTCGTCATGTACGTCTTCGACGACGACACCACCGTCATCCCCAAGGAGACCGCCTGGTTCGAGGAGGTCAGCGACGAGAAGGTCACCCCGCTCAGGGAGCTCCCGATCTACACGGAAGACTGGATCGGCCTCAAGGCTCTCGACAAGAAAGGCGGGCTCAAGTTCAAGACTGTCAAGGGTGCGCACATGGAAATCTCAGACGAGGTACTGGAGGAAACATTTGATGAGTTTTTCGGCCCCCTGAAGAAGAGTGCCCCGAAGGATAGCTGGGTGGAGGAAGAGTTGTAATTATACTAGGTCTTCACTCACACATGTATGCATCTTGTACGTTAGGGGTCATAGTTAGGACGTAAGGTATCGAAAGTAACATTTATTATCGCCGAATTTCCTTTTGCTGCTACGAGCTTTTTTCATCCATCCCACCATACGCCGTTGAAGAAGTCTTTTTCTTTTATTGTAAGAACATGCTACGGGGATCCCAACTCCTGTCGTCATATGCATACATACAAAACGTCTACACTTCCAAAGCCTTCTTGGCAGCCTTCTTCTGCTTCTTCAGCGCCGCCTTTCGGTCCGAGATATCCTGGTCCAACTTGGAGTCGTCAGCCTCGACTGCCTTCGCGGCCTTCGCTTTCTTGACCTTCTTTGGCACAGGCTCGGACTCTTCGGGCTGGCCCTCGAGCGACTTGCGCTTCTTTCCAATATTCGCCTTCTCCGTAGATGATATGGCCTTGGCCTCCTCGGAGCCGTCGGCAACGATGTCCTTGTGGTCTAGCCACAGCTCGTCCGTCAACCAGATAGGCAGCGCGGCGGTTTCCATGCCCTTGATGTAGATACTCTTGACGTTCTTCCACTTGCCCGGCACGAACTTTTCAACCAAAGTTTTGGCTACCACATTGACGTTCTCGGCAATCTGCTCAGCGGATAAGCTGGCAGTGCCCACGCGGATTGCGGTGTTGGTCGAAGGCGAAAGGTTGACCAGGGCCGCACCGACAGCCCTCTCGACCTCTCCGGCTAGCTGAATGGGAGTGCAGGCATTGACGGTGTCTGCGTCCTTGGTGCGCTTTACCTTCTTCCCATCAACTTTTTGAACGCGAGCCTGGATGTCAACTGGGATCGGGCGCTTCGCGGTTGTCTTGTAGAATCTCGTTCCGAGAATAGCAGGTAACCGGTTTATGATTCTGGCATCACCCAAAAACACATCGTGCTCGGACAGAAGAGCGCGCTGCTGCTCAAAGGACTTGAACTTGGCCTTAAGATGGGTCACGTCGATAACCCTCGTGATGCGCTTGCGCATATCGACGGGGAATTCCTCCGAAGCAACCAAGTTCTTGTACGCGCGCTGGGGGTCCGCGGTGATTAAGCAGATAGTTGTCTCGGGGTCATTGTTGAGAGGATGGGGGAGAACGATCTTAGCGGGCTTAAGTTTTCGGGAATCGGCTATGTGACGTTTGGTGGTGAGGGTAAGGATGATCTGTTGTTCCTTGGTACCGGCTTCATCATCGGGATCGGCCAAGAGGTCTTTCTTCTCGGTATTGGCGGCTTTCAGAGATGAGGCCTTCTTCATATGCGCCAGCAGAGATTTGGAGGCCTTGAGAGTCTAATGGTGGTACAATATTAGAATGTAGGCCCGATTTCTCAATAAAGACATACATACCTGATCAGGGTCTACGAGAGAGACGGCAGTCTCACTCCGTGTGGTGACATTCTTAGAGGGGGCCATCGTGATACAAAATTGAATTTAGAGAATGAAGCTGTTTCTAAATTCTCGAGTCGCAAATCGATAAATGTTTTTTTTTTCTTTAGATCAATCCTTTGCAAAGATAAGATTTGAATCTTACCTAAGTAATTTATATGGGTCTGATATTCTTAGTGGCCCGAGCGCCCATGAGTTCGGGAAAACTATCCCGAATTCTTGGAACATTGAACAATTGTTCAACATCGAAGTTGCTTTTACATATCTGTCCAAGAACCCAAATTTCCAAAACACAGTCAAATTCCTATTGTCCCTAGTATACGTGCTTATGCCTTTTATTTTCTGAAGAAGACTTTCGATATACTATTTATATCATACTTGGGAAAATGATATTTTGTGTTCTGGAATGATTTCCAAAATTCACTCTTTAATTAATCTAGCCAATCATTGTTTAGTTTTCTCGAATCAACTGCCCTTTTTGGACAGAGCCTAATTAACCCAGAATGAGAATAAAGCTAACTGTTAGGTAGATTCTCGCAGACTCGCATACATGTAGTCATGATTGCCGTCTTTTTCCAAAGTTCAACATAGATTTACGAAGGTACTGATCAATGCATTGAATCTTAGATACAGACCGAATACTTATAGCCCGCTTTTGGCTGAAACCGTGTACATATGCACTAGTCGTACAGTGACGTATCACGACAACAGCGATCTGCTTACTCGTACCACTGTGTCGGATCGCGAAAATCAGCATGAGCAAATAATCCAAGCAATCAACCTTTCAAAGTGTGATTGTGATCATCATGAGAAGAAACATGGAAGCAAAAGCTTCTAGGCCGATTGGATCCCAAACGACATGCTGATAATGCCGCATTTGGGGTCCAGTATAAACTAAACCGCTAACAACGACGGTGGTTTCGCAAATGGCAAGAAGCCGATGACCGCACCCAGCCGGTGACAATTTATCCGGATAGCGATGATGATACCATGAGCACTCCAGAATCATCACGCTCATGTTGGTATCTTGGTCCAAAAAGTGGCGACCGTATAAATAGGTAAATACCTACATGGCACCCTTTTGACGCTTTTTCCCTAGGAAATCAGGGGGTACGTATCTCTCTAGTTGTCAACCCTTACACAAGTAACCCTTGACGTGCCAATGATGTGCGCTTACCACAAGTCAATCCGAGATCATTGATATATCTACCCGATCTGCCGGTTAGCCGTTGATCACATCATATGTAGGGTTGGTCGCTCAGGCTATCCTGTTCGTCGGGATCCAGGTGATCTCTCGCGATGAAACAAGCACGGATCCAGGGTATCTTGGATGCTTACATCGATTTACTCAGTATGCTATGTTATAAAAACTACTTCATACCTTTATACCACAATGCCTACCTATTGTTCGATTTTCGGTGAGTTGCGAATATTAAATCCCCCTTTATTGCTTGATACATATTAAGGATGATGGTGAGTTCTCGGCGAATCTTCCAAGCCATCACGCATATATAATTGCATCCGAAACAATATTATGTATCTAGGCATGTAAGTATGTGGGCTTAGTTATGTATGTACATACGTAATACACACCTGCCAAGCTTAGATATGATAAGAGTTTGATCGTCAAGTTGATCCGAGCACACACCGTATTCAAGCATTGGCACTTACTATGAGGGATCTCATAGATCTAAATACTTGACCGATCACTAACAGACAGTGGGGAATATGAAACGACATCCTGCTGTGAGGAGGCTGCTAGAAGGAACAAGTGGTCCGTGAATGACTGAACTAGGTACATCTCCAGGAATAACACAAGGGGGATGAGCAAAGGAGCGATTTTATGAGATAGGTGTTGGATCTGATAATCAACGACATGCTGGGGTCGTCGTAACTTACTAATTGCATTACTGAAGTTTTTTTATAGAACGTTACGGGCTGCCGCAAGAGGTAGCATAAGCGACGGGAACAGAAAGAAGCCGTTTCGTTAACTCTTGCGCCGCAGCAACACCGCATGCCTAGACTTCTGCACCTCTCTCTATTCATCGAGGGATCTGAGGGCTTCCACTAACGACGTTGGCCAATAGTAACAAATGTAATATCTGCATGCTAAGCGTTGAAAGTGGACAAGATTCGTTGTCTTTTTTTTTTCTTTACAGCGTAGTATTGGCCTCTTTAGTTCCCTTTAGCTATTATAGTACCTGCCCTAGTTAGGGGGGTCGTTGGAATTCACTCACAAAATCAAGTTCAAGCTTTGGGTAGTACATGTTAGTCCCTATCAAACTCTCCATATACTACCGTAGTATGTAGACGAGGACTGGAAGCGAGGACACAATACATATATGGATGGGCTCAAATCCTTCTCGCATATGTTATCCGATCCTGCTGTCCAACATGTCTATGTATAGCACCAACTGTCATTTTAAACTATTGACTCTGCCGAAAATAAAAAGGCCAAGGATTTGCAACCTAGCCAACCACCTACCGAGTAGGGCTAACTATATGAAATAGTGCATACATTCGACGTACATATTGTTTTGCGCATTGAGGTGGTTCCTCGCCATGGACCATTACTATGCAGTACCAATATCTCTGCTAGTCACTCTGCCGTCCATCACGTCCAGACTCCAGACTCCAGAATCTTTGCCCCCCGTGCTAAGGAAAGGGCTTACGAAATATCGAACAAGATCCCTGTGCTAACAAGTGTCAAATCCTTCTTCTTCCGATTGGGGGCTAATTTGTAATACGGAGATATCTTTATAGGTTATCCCCTTTTTAGAAAATGCCCGATAGACTCTAGCCAGAACTGGTGGCATATACGTTAACTAATGCCAGCCGTGTCTTGAAAAGTCTTGAAAAGTCTTGAAAAGATAGAAGGGCCCAGCAAATAAGACAAGAACCGGTCACACACCAAGTTTGACAACTTTGACAAGTTCTTGGGAGCATTTCAGCAATTCTTCAAGGTTGTCAACCAGCCAAGCACTACATATGTACTAAACCCTACCTAAGGTACATATGTAGGCTGCTAGTAGAAGGGTAGGAGTGTGCTACAGGAGTGTGCTACAGGCTTGCATTTACTGTACGGTCTGTACCTGTAGGCTGTATGTAGTCCCTAATGTAGTGCAACCCTAAAGCTGAATGATCTTGAATGTCTGGTGGACGCCGGTTAGATACTTGATTGGCCCGTCACTTTCGATGTCAGCTGCAAGCGATAAAGCTTTAAATGCTAAATTATCATGTCGCAAGCTTTTCCCACCTAGACTCTTAGAGCACCTTGTAAGTACAGGCTGTACAGCATCTATCCTGGTCAAATCTGCAGGTGGTAGCGGGGAACTTAGCTGCACAAACAGGGGGATGTTACAAGAGGAGATTGGCAATGCCGGGGTGCCCCATGTTAAACTCACATGACAAGCATCAGAAGCATACCCGAGTTGGTACTAGGTAGATACGGCACGGTAGAAAGAACGACGCTATCTCATTAGCTTGATCAGAAGATCATTGGAAATAACGAAACGGTTCCTTGAACTTCCTTCACCTGAAGGGTCCTGAACAGCTTTATTTAGCAGGAAGGTCACTTTTTAGGTTACATATGTCATATGTAGTTACCTCACATATGTACCTCACGCATGTGTTGGGTTACTCAAGTGACTTCCGAGGTTGGATTACAAAATATTAAAACGGTACTACATATAACGACCTAAGGTAGGTACTAACCTAACCTTAGGTATGTAGGCTCTCTCTCTCTCTCTCTGTGTGTGAACCCCTCCATCTTTTCCAAGATTTTAACTATTGCATGTAAATGCAACCCGAGCCGCGGCCCCCAGTCTATAAAACATGAAGATTTATTCCGTAAAATAGGTGATAGCCCCCCCTGTCCTGTCGCTGACGACTAAACAAAACTACCTATTCCACATTCCACCTATACAACCTGCGTGTATACCACTCTTTGCTTTACCATACTGGTGGTAGGGAGTGGTAGGTAGGTAGCTTGTTTGATCCCGGGCTTTCTAGCCGGAGTGAGGAAGCCTTCCCTTCGATCCCCCCCACCCTACAACTAGTACCTACCACACCGACTGTCACCTTTTTATCGAGCAAGATATATGTGGCCGATGCCTTGCGCTTCTGGAAATTAATTCCTCGGACTTCGAAATACTACATACGTAGTGTGGCCGACTACGGGTAAATACCACAATGGAGCCATTGTGGGTGCTCTCCCGTCAAGATTCTTCTGAACGCCTTTTTCGAGCATCCGAGACACTAACATGGATGATCAAAAGGTCCATCACCGCCGACTGTATCGCCCTAGGTGATACAATCACTAGTGCCAGTGCTATACTCGATGGCTTCGTTCGTGATGTTCGCGAGGCTCGATCCGACGTGGATGGCGTTTCGCGCGAATTACACTCGATGCAAAACGTGTTAAATCTCCTCAAGGAAGATGCTATGCTTTTCCCTTCTGAACTAGCAAAACAAATTCCAACTGTCCTCGAGCATTGCGCCAACGTGGTCAATGAACTAGATGCAAGCGTATCCGCTATATGTTGCAAGGAAGTACCAAAGCAAGACAAACGATCGCTATGGTTAGCCAAGGGGCGAAGAGAGGTCGCCTCGTTTAGGACCTCCTTGGAAGCACATAAGGGCATTCTAGGGATTGCGTTGGATTTGGTCGGAGCGTACGTATGCTAAAATTCTACGAGCTAGTTGGTAGCTAACAGAGGCTGTAGGACAACAATTCGTGATGTAACCTCCGACGTAGAGCCAAATAAGCGAAACACGATGCAGAGATATCAGAACAATGCCGACGTCGTGGATGATGTTTCGCGAATTCTAGTCGACATGAGCCAGCTGCGAATGCGGTTACCTGGAGAATTCGACAAGAGGGAGGACGACTTCAGCTTGTATAGCTTCATGGCTAGTTTAAAGTTGTTTGCCGAGAAAATCATCGACAGCAAGGAGAGCGAGCACGAGGCCGAATTTAGTGTCCAAGAAGTCGATCAAAGTTTAGATCAGGGCGCATTCGTCGGAGACAATGGGCTATTTGGAGCTTATGTTGGAGACAACCCGGATAGCGCCATCGATGTCAGCGTCGAGCCTGTTTTCCAGACACTCAGGAATGCATTAACCAAACCCGAAGATGAGGGTGAGGGTGAGAAACTCCCGACTATCGAAGAGTTGATGGCTAGCTTCGTAGGCGTCCCTAGCCGAGCACCGACTCCGCCGCCCAAGGATGTCAAGAGACTTGAGCTCGCCCGGAACGGTATGGTCTCACCATTTGGAATTCGTCCAAAGTCTCCGTCAACTGTTTATGGCTCCGTCACCGAAATAAGTTCTGAACGTCGATCGATGGACTCGTCAGCTTCCTTAAGGAAAAGTAAAGGGTTTAGGAGGTTCTTCACGCCCATGAAGCAGACAATCTCGGAGGATAGGCCTCAAACCCAGTCGACTAGCTCAATAAGTGAGGAAACGACAATACCTGCGTCTCCCATTATTCGAGCTAGCTTGGTAAGGCGAAGCAGTCATAGGCTATCGGTGTCCTTCAAAAAACTACCAATGTGGAACGAAGACCCAACCGTGGACGAGACTGAAAGCCTCAATTCCAACGCGGTCTTTGGTGTCTCGCTCCAGAAAAGCATGCAAGTTATTAAGGGTACTTCTAAGACGCACCACGCTGGTAATGGAGGATCTTCGCGGCGAGACTTTCCCTTGTGCATGCAAAAATGCGCCTTTTTCATAAAGAATGAGGGGGTCCAGGCACCAGATATATTCGCCGAGCCAGGGGATAGCTACCGGGTTCAGAAACTCAAGGAAGCTTTTAGTAGTCCTCCAACGTACGGTGAAGAGCTGAAATGGAACAATTTCAGCGTGTACGATGCCGCAGATCTTATACTGCTCTTCCTTTCACAGCTTCCGAAACCACTCATCAGTGATACTATCGCCAAGCAATGGATATCGCTTTCGAGGCAACTGACACTTTCCGGCTCCGATTCAACGCGACTTGATCAGTGCATTGATTTCTGGGAAGAGGCCCTGGGTGGCCTTCGAGGACCAAGCCGCACCCTTTTTAAGCTACTTCTCAACCTGTGGGCCGATATCTCACAGGCGGCAGAGAAGAACGACATGACGGCCGAACGGTTGGCCGGCGTTCTTATCAAGCCATTGATGCATACCTCATCAACGAAACATGAAACCGATTTCATGCTTTCGCTCGCCTTTCTCATTCGAAGACGAGCGGAGTATATTGATTTAATAAAGAAAGACCAGTCGGAGGTCAAGCGGATTAGCAGAGCAGCATGGTGATATGGTGCTGAACTCATTCTTATATGGCGTGCCAATATATTCCGAACACTTCGATTTGGACTTACCTTCCTTATCTTATTGCCTTTCATTACCACCTCGAAAGATTCGCATATACTTTTTACCTTACCTTTTAACTTATTTATATATGAAGATACCCGGCGCATTTCTATGAAGATCGCCTCATACTTTTTTCCCTTCCTATTTTCTTTTTCCCTCTTCCGCTTTTAGGACTTTTAAGAAGTCGGCCGAATTACATAACTGCATATTAAGAGGCTTGAAGAGATCAAATTTTAACCGCGACGGTGGAGAGGAAGTGGAGACGCGCCTTGGTTAGTTGGTTGGGAGCTGGGAGGCTGGGACGAATACACGAGAAGACGTTTGATATCCACTGCTATTAAAAAGCATTTAACTAGCAACTTTTTTTTCTCTCCTTTACCCCCTCTCCTCATCTTAGCATATACTATGTAGCCTTTTTCCCCTCATGTGTAACAGCATCAGGTGGGTTTGATGGATGTTGAATGTTTGTCATAATACCAAGCGGGTTTATACAATTTAGAACCACTCATCATACCTAGTTTTTAATGTAGCTAGCTAGCATTGGTGCTACTCTGTAGGCGGTTTCGCATCCCCTTGTTTTCATTGTTATCTTGATTCCCGACGATGGCATAGCATAAATACCTATAGTAGCTAAACAATGAACATAATACGCAGTACCTGCAAACACGTCCAAATGGGTTAGGTTAATGCCTGGATGACTACGCATGATCGCGATAGAGAGAATTTCGTGTTCGTTTCAAGTGGTTGTATCACGTCTAGTAGGTATTGTATGGACTGGACTCGATGCAAGGCTTTTCCCCCCTAGTTACCTAGTCCCGGTTCCATCAGAAGTGGAGGCGTTGTTCGTCTTGGCTACCTACCTAGAGGGGATGGCCGATAAAATCGGGGGACTTGCTATTAATTAGTAGGGCTCTTTTCTTCAATGGAAAGAAGATCTCCTCGTACGTCATTTCTTGACGCGCTATTAACTATGTAGGTAGTTAGGTAAGTTATTGTACGATGGCGTTTGTGTAGTGGTGCCTAGGTATTGTATTGTATTGTACATACGGCACGATGCATATGCCATACACCACACTGAGGAGATGGAGGGGCTGGTTGGTTGGTTGGCTTCGATTGTATTATAGATATATCACCATCATAGATCGAGATAGTTGTAGTCATTAGAAAAATATTGAGGTACATAGTATTAATAGGCCGATTATGTATGTATGTATGTATGTATGTATGTAGGCATGGATGGGTATTAAAGGACCTATATACGTGCCTCGGTGGGTAAAGTGGCTGTTAGCTACATATGTAGGTCCCAGAGAACAATCACGACTGCATTTAAAATTTTCTGAATCCAAGATCTGTCTAGATAGGGATACCCACACAGTTACCACCATGTATGTGCAGATTCAGGTACGTACGTCTTAAGTAGGTACCATGCACTACATAGGTTTTGTAGGTGAGTAAAGTCCATAGTTACTAGTGAATATTGAACATACCTATGTGAGGTGGCCGTTAGGTGGCCGGGCTGACAGAGTAGTATGTAGCCCTGGAGATATAACCAAAGTAAAAGTGTAGGCAGGGCAATCCACTTTCGCAGTAGGTAGGGCAAAGATTGCCCTTTTTAAATGCGGTGATGAGGCGACAAATAGGTTATCGTTTTTTTTTTTAAACACACCATTATCCACTAAGTATTAAGGCACGATAGTAGTGATAGGCGATCCCACTAACCGGTATTGCCCAGTACCTAAAAAGACTAGAGGAGACTCAGGGGCACATGTCTTGAATCAAATGTTCAAATCTTGTTGCCGAACATACATAAGTAAGATGAATAGATGGATAATACATATACGACCGACGAGGAATGTGTCCGCCTATATATTTGTAAATCAATTTATACATATACATATTACATAGGAGTCACCACTGGCTTCACAAGTTTCACTTACTCACTCACTCACTCTCATCAAGCGGTGAACTTCTTTCCAGCAAACCTTGATGCCCAAGCCCGCAGTAGAAGGCTGTGGCTGCATGGCATGGCATGGGATTGGGGGTTGGGTTCAGTTCAAATATTGAATATTAAGGATGGATGGATGAGAGAGAACAGTGACTAGGCTATGTAGGTCAGTCAGTCAACGGTACCTAGTATTATTGTATTGTACCTAGGAAAGGAAAAAAGAATTGAAGGGCTTAAGGAAGTAAAAACGCGGTATACAATCAAATCAATGCATTGTTACATACATACATACATACATACATACATACATACATACCCTATGTAAGTAAAAAGGAGCCGCGACGGGACTAAGGGAACGGTTAACCTCTTAAAAAACTGGATTAAGTAATCCGAGGAACGATACCGCGCAGCACCCTGCCGCGTTTCGAGCGCCTAACTAACTAACTAACCTTACACTATTCCTAGCGTAGTACAATACAACTTGGAATACAGTACAGTACAATACAATGCTACAATACCACTGCAATCGCTCATTAATAACCTGGAACTTGAAGTAGGCCATCTGGGCAATCACGTTGAGGTGGATCCAATTCAATCCGCACCATCCAATAACCACGCACATAGCACATAGGTTTAGTTTAGTTAGTTACCTATTCTAGTACCTGCTGTAGATATTCGAATTTATTCAATGTTCGTTAAAATACTTAAAAAAAAAATCTCGGACTCTGAACTTCTGAACCTCTTCCTTATACTCTTGAACGCCAGTCAGTCAGTCACTAACGCTTGACCGCATCACATCACATCACATCACCTGTTGTTGGGCTTTTCTCAGCCACGAACGAACTGTCTTGTCCTTCGCAAATCCTTTTAGTTACCAATCTCACTCACTCCAACCGCGAATCTGACTAACTGACCAAGGAAGACCCGGCCACAGTTAGAACAGACAAGACAGATCTGGCCAACATTAGGACCAGGCCGGCGACCTAACCAGATCACACACAAATTCAGCAGAATTACAGTCAGTCTGGTTGCATTTAAGTGATTCTAGAATTCAATTTTTGACTTTCACACACGAATCATCAATTCTTTCTTAAATCATTTTCAACCGTCCCTTTTTTGCCCGCAACTCAATTCGCCAAATACATATTAGTAACAAGGAAAAGACCCCTGCAAAGAGACATCGGACTTTAGCAAGGAACCGGTACATCGGTACAACATTTATCGTGTAAGTGCATCTAGACAGTGTGGAGAAGGGGAGGAAAAAAAAAGATGCAACTAAAAAAAGAACCGTGTACTGAACGCGCATCGCGAATCCAGGTCCCGACATAAGACGCGCAGAGAGCCCACACCTTTTTAGTAGGGCGTCCCGTGCAGCCGTGATACATCCGATTTCTCAAATCTCTTAACCCACAACTTTCCAATCCTTTCTTTTTAATACTTCAGTACACTCATTTTGTTTCACTCCTATCCTCATCATCAATTACCATCATCACCATAATTGACCATCCCTCTCAATTCATCATTGTTATGCCTCTTAGTATTGCACCTTGAATCTTTCTTTCCTCCATCATGTCTTCGTCGCCTGTCAAGAAGATGGACGGGGCCACGAAAGAAGAGCCTACCCTTCCCCCTGCCTCTGTATCTGCCTCTTCATTGAACGGAGTTGGTACGAAGCGTCCTGCACCATCTCTCTTGCCACCATTTGAGCCACTTTCCTCGTCGCCAGGCTTTCCGCGTCCATCAAAGAGACAGGCTCTGGATAGACCCTTCGACTCCAATGCCTTTCTCAGGTATCCCACGCCGATCCCAACATCTACTACAGGCATTCTATCGTCGTCTCCCCTACGGGCTGAGTTCTCGAGGCCTATATTGGCACGCTCGTCCTCGGCAAATGTACTGGGACGCCTCCCATCATCCGTATTAGAGCGAGCACCCCTTACCACAGTTCCTTCCATCGAACTTAAGGAGAACGGTGAGACGGTTTTGATGGGCCGATCCAGCAACTCGTCTCATTATCAATTGTCAGCCTGCCGCCTAATCTCTCGGGTCCATGTCAAAGCCCGATATATCCCAGCTTCGGAACCCGATGAGTCGAACAAAATGGAGATAGTTTGCTGTGGTTGGAATGGAGTCAAGCTGCACTCTCAAGGCAGAACTTGGAACCTGGTCAAGGGTGAGATCTTTATCTCGGAAACCGAGGGTGCTGAGATAATGTTAGATGTGCAAAAGGCAAGAGTCATGTTGTATTGGCCTAAGAGAGATCGTCATGATTGCCTTGCAAGTCTATCTGACGATGAGTCTCCGCGTTCCAGAGCTCGTCGCGCGAGCGTTGGATTGGAAGTTCTGCAGTCAAGCCCCCTCCGAATGCAGACACGTATCAAGTCACCCGAGTCTCCTAGTCCGGCTGGAAGATCGTCCAATCACCTAAATCGCCAACTCCTGGACAGTGATGCGAGCGAGGCCGTTGAAATTTACGAGGATGTCAGTGGAGACGAACAGGAGCTCCCCAATCACGGGCCCAATGCGGATGTTTCATTTGCGCAAACTGTGATTTCGAATGATCTGTCGAGTGAGTTGAGTGATCCCGAAGACGATGATCCAGATGAGGAGAATGATTTTGTTGTACACTCCTTTGGTCCTTACGGTGCCAACCTCTCAAATCGTCTGGCTGCCTTTCAGGCTGAGTCCCCTCAGCAGCCTTCCCGTAAGCAATCTGGGGTAACAACAACCAAGCCATCGGCGGAGCCCGAAGAGAAGGTTGGAAGCCATGTGGACGTGGCCGCCGTTCGAAACCATGTTGTCAATCAGCTAGCATACTCGCGCTTAGCTTCTAACCCTCTCTCCACAATAATGAACAACCTGCCCGCCGAGGAGAGAAGTGACTTGACCAAATCCCAGCTTCGTGGAATCATTGAGGCAACTCCATGTGTCGGAATTATCGCTCGTCAGGGAAAGGATGCCGCCGGCAAGCCACTCGAAAGCGAGTACTACTACGTACCTGAGCACGATACTGACGAGTCTCGACGACTTGCGGTGACGGATGGCTTGCGAAAGCCAAGTCTTCGAGCTTGCCGCAAGAGCCACAAGGTACTTTTTGAGTTAATTCCTGCCCTTATGAGACATGAGATATTAACAGTGTTTAGCAATACTACTGGAAGCGGCCCAAGACGCCTTGAGGCTTAGAGCAGCCGGCTGCCTATACGCTTGACTGGGCGTTTTGATCTTGACCAAGATCATACGGAATGACGAGACCTTTTCTCGATGACGCTTACCCTTCGACGACGATTACCCTTCGACGATTTTTACCCTTCTACGATATATTGATTCTGGTTCGTGCAGCCGCATTAGCACAGTCGATGATTTTTAATGCATAGCTGAGGGCGTTTGACGATTTGTTTGCTTTCTGTTTTTTTTGTTTTTTTTTCAATGGCGTTTAGGATGCCTGGATGATATCCCGTTACAGTCTCGAAGTGGCATGAACAGGACGGGAGAGGCGAGGTTCGTGAGCCGCACCCGGGTACCTCACTATTCCGTTATCCAGAAGCCTCATGTATGATGGTCGGCATTGGAGGGTTGGAGGATAGAGGGGAAGGGGGGTGCGCGAGACTGCACGACTTAAAAGAGGCTAGGATGTGTAGGTGCCTATGTAGGTAGATACCTACCTATTATCAGGTAAGGTAGGTACATAAGGGATGTAAATAATGGGTAAATGGGCAAAATGGGTAAAATGTGACACAAGTTGATGTCTTGATCTATTGGGCTTGCATTAAATTAATTGAATGCAGCATTGCGTATAACCTGATGTGTATATATATGGCATCAGAGTGCACATAATGTGGTGTGTGATGTGGTAAGTGATGTGTGGTAATACGGTAATACGGTAATACGGTGATATGGTCAGGCAGTCAGGTTGTAGTTGTAGTTGAGGTGAAGTTGAATAACAAGTACTTATCAATTATGACGATAACATAAGTGGAGTAGTTATGTGGCGGAAGTGCGGGGGGCGTATCAGAAGGTGGTTTTGCCACATTGATAACGTTTATTACCTAAAGGTCCAAGCTCCAGGGCTTTATCGGTCAAGGCTACCCCGCATTATTGCTTTAAGCTTGTCCCCATTCAAGGATTTTGAGGCTGCTAGGGGGGTTACTTTTCAGGTTACCAGGTTTACCTACCCATATATTTATGTATTGTATGTACTGTACATAAGAAAACTGGTGATCGGCACTGCAAGTCGTATGCTTCCATCGCGATCCAGAACTAAGAAAGGAAACATCCCATCCATCATAGATATTTGGAGGTTAGTTTTTTATGTCATAGAATGTAGAATGAATCGTTTATAAAGAGCATTAAAGGCTTTTATGTTCCACGCGGTTTCACACGGTTTCACATCTTTTCTCTATCAATCAACTTTGAGTGAGACTTGCAGTTACAATCAATACATAATCAATCAAGACATCAATTATTACTACCTACCACTTTAAGCTTGAAGTTTAAGTAATCAGTAGTAACAAACCAAACATACCACTCACAATGACATCCCAATCCAGAAACATGACAAACCTCATCACCACAAACTTGCCCTATTTCATTCCAACGGGGCCTACAAGCCCACAGCATGAAAGAGAGGCTGCTCGTGCGATGAGCCGCACAGATAGCTGGACGCCGTCCTCTACGCGTAGATACAGTGTAAGCATACACTCTGATATAGAAATACTCATCTATGTACATACCTACACAGGGTACATGCATAATTAGCTATCAGAACTCATGACTAACATTGAAATTACTACACCTAAAAATAGTATCACCGAGAAGACCGGAAGCACGTGCTGCAGATGAGCGGGGTCCTGGATCTCCAAGAGGGTCCAGGGTTCACCGAGCGAAAGTAATACAATACAATATTTCACATGTTGAACCGACCGACCGTTTTTATTCCCTCTTTTTCCTTCCTCGGCAAACAACATCTTCTTTGTAATTCCCCGAAAAATTTGAACATTACAAGCGGGAATTAGGTAAATAAAACTTCATTGGGGGGGCATCTTGGGATTTCTTTTTTCCAAAAGAATGCTTTTTTAATAACAAGGAAAGAAAAAGAAAGGATGCGGCTTGGCAACAACAGCACATTTTAGATTGAGCAATATTAAGCAATAACTTGGGTTCAAGGTCAGGACTCAGGAGTTGGTGGGATTGGAAAAGGGGGTAATTGGTGTGTTGGCGAAGCAAAGAAACGCAAGGCAATCTACCTAATTTGATACATAGGTAGGTAGGTACAATACAATACCTAGTATTTAAGGTACTGTAATGAATCTAGGTACTAGGTACAGACTTAACACACCACATATTAATATGTACAATACCTACCCCAAAGTCAGAGTGGATCTTTGTCTGTATTCATCACCATACCTCCTAGGTAGCTACCTGCAAACAACATAGATTATAGATACAGCAATACTACATGGAAGATCAGTTTGTTTTATGATCTGCATGATCACTAGCTTAGCAGCATTAGCGAGCATCTCATTGCCGCAGAGGCAAAGAACGCCCCCAAATAGTTGGGTATAAGTAACAAAGAAAGTCGGCCGAGACTACGACTCATGAAATCAATTTTACCAATCATGTTCTACACATACCTAACTAGGCACCTACATGGCTATGTGAAACCAACATGACAAGTCAAGAAAAATGCATTCCGCGATCCTCTACCTAGTCAGCGGTCTTAGTCTCCAATCATCTCATCATGTCTCCGCACGTCCCAGCTGGGCGGGGTCAGCCAACCCAACAGACTACCACGCCAACGCCGGCGTCCTGCAATACGTGAACCCCAACATCGGCACGTCCAGCATCTCCGCCAACGACAACGGCGGCATGATCCCCTCGGTGTCCGTGCCCTTCGGCATGACGCGGTGGACGCCCCAGACCCGCGAGAACTACATCTCGCAGGTCCCCTACCACGACGGCGACGCCTACCTCCACGGCTTCCAGGCCACGCACCAGCCCGCCATCTGGATGGGCGAGCTCGGGCAGATCGTGCTGAGCCCCGGGTGGAGTAAGGGGGTGGTAAAGCCGCTGTTTGAGCAGCGCGGGAAAGCGTTTCGGAAGGAGGACGAGGTTAGTACGCCGTATGTGTACGAGGTGCTGCTGGATGCGGATACGGAGGGCGAGCATGATTGGGATCTGACGGAGGAGGCAGCGGGGGAGGGGCCTGTGCCCGGGGGTGCGGCTGGGGCGCCGGGGGATGTGCGGGATGGGGCTAATGGAAGGGTCAGGAGAAGGGGGGTTGCGGAGGGGAATTATACGAGGGGGGTTCGGGTGGCGATGACTGCGGCGGCGCATACGGGTTATTTGCGTTTTGACTTTAGGGGTGAAGGTGTCGAGGAGTCTGGGACTGTAGATCTAATAGAGCCTTACGTCCATATCCAAGTATCTCGCCGTAACTGGACTGGACAAGTGCAGATCGACCCGCAGCGACAGGAGATATCCGGGAGCAACCCCCAGCGGCAAGACTACCGGTTAGGCCCGGACAAGCCTGCTTCTTTTCGGGGGTATTTCGTGTCCCGGTTCTCCGCGCCATTCTCATCGTACGGAACATCCCTCGGCGCCAATCTCTCGGAAGGAAACGAGCAGGCCTCGGGCGAGCTGCTAGGTGCGTACGCCAAGTTCCCCGCAAACCAGACCCGCGTGGAAGTGCGCACGGCCATATCCTTCGTCAGCGTAGCGCAAGCGCGGAAGAACCTCGACATCGAGAGCCCCGACGGCACCTCGTTCGAGGATGCGGTCGAGCGCACGAAAGCGGCGTGGCTAGACAAGCTGGGCCGCGTAACCATCGAGGGCGTCAACGCCACCGACGCGGACCACGACCCGCGCACCATCTGGTACACCGGGCTCTTCCACGCCCTGCAGTACCCGAGCGACTTCTCCGAGCCCACCGACGATCCGAGCCGCGCCCGCACCTTCTACAGCGGGTACACCGACAGCGTGCACACGAGCAACGACTCGTACTACCAGTCCTGGTCGCTCTGGGACACCTACCGCGCCGAGCACTCCCTGCTCACCCTCTTCGCCCCCGAGCGCGTCAACAGCATGATGCGCACGCTCCTCCGCATCTTCGACTGGACGGGCCGCCTGCCCATGTGGGCCAACCTCGTCGAGACGAACATCATGATCGCGACCAACGCCGACGCCGTGCTCGCCAACGCCCTATCCCGCGGCTTCCGCTCCTTCGACCTACAAAAGGCGTGGGCCGCCGCGCGCAAGGACGCCTACGTGCCCCCCGAAAACGACACCCAGCTCCTCTACTACGACCGCGAGCCCGACACCCCCTACGAGGCGCGCGCCGGGCTGACGAGCTACATGCGCCACGGCTGGGTCGACAACGACCGGTGGGCCGAGTCCGGCTCGCGGACGCTGGACTACGCGTTCAACGACGCGGCGTGCGCCGTCGTCGCGCGCGCCGCCGGCCTCCCCGCCGAGGCCGACGCGCTCGAGGCGCGGAGCAAGAACTACGCGCACCTCTGGGACAGCGGCACCGGGTTCATGCGCGCGCGCAACGCGAACGGGTCCTTCGCCGACGCCGCCCGCGGCTGGACGGAGGGCGACCGCTGGGCGTACACGTTCGACGTGCTGCACGACGCCCCCGGGGGGCTCGCCGCCCTGTTCCCCCGGGGCCGCCGCGGGATGAGGGAGAAGCTCGACGAGCACTTTGGCGGCGGCCACAACGTGCACGGCAACGAGCCGTCGCACCACATCCCGTACCTGTACGCGCTGATCGGGTACCCGGCGGCGGCGGCGGAGACGGTGAGGGGGGTGGCGTGGGAGAACTACAACGCGACGAGTAGGGGCTTGGCCGGGAACGAGGATCTGGGCCAGATGAGCGCGTGGTACGTGTTCTCGGCGCTGGGGTTCTACCCCGTGAACCCGGCGGGGGAGGAGTATGTTGTGGGTTCGCCGTTTTTTGAGAGGGTGAGGATTAGATGGCCGGAGGGGGCGGCGACGGGTGGGGAGGTGGCTGCTGCGGATGGTTGTGGTGGTGGGGGGAGGGGGGAGACGTTGGTTATTGAGGCACGAGGCGCTGCAAAGGGTAAGCCGTATGTAAAGGGGTTGAGCGTCGATGGGAGGGTTGTGGATCGCCCGGTGCTGAGACATGCGGATATTGTGGGCGCGAGGTTGATCAAGTTTGAGATGAGTGATACGCCCACGGGATGGGGCGAGGAGGGAGAGTTGTGATAGAAAAGTAAGTGCTGAGGATGATTGGTCTATATGGTATGCCCATGTACCTAGGTAGGTAGTGGTCTGACCAACCTGATTATGAGCTTCTAACCTACGACGTACTGCTTACCTATGCGCCTAGGCTGTAGTATGTGGAAGGAGACGGCACCTAATGTCAAGCTACGTTCTAATATGTGACCTCTGTGTAGGAGGTACCACGTAGGTAGGTAAAAATCCTGACGTGGAACTAGGTAGAAGAAAGGTAGTATAGATACGTTTTCATGCTTGTAGCCAGCGTCAACGAGTAGTAATTTCACCTAGCGAGCAATGGGGATGTAAATTGTTAAACTAGGCAAGTATCATATAATAGGGGGTTTTGTCTCTAGTCATCTCTTACTTCTGCACGCATTTCTTCCCGGTGCCCGTTGGAATCGCCTCATCCTCCATAATGTCAAAGGAGAGAGAACACACACACACACACACACACACACATTCACGATGCTACCTTCTTCAAAGCTCAGGTCATTTTCCACCTCAGAATGACATCACCTACCACCTATATCAACCTCCTTCAAATGGTTTGCTGCGTTTTGGCGACGAGCACTCGCCACGGTAGAGCACCTACTTACCTACCCTTGGCCTTGAAGAGTTCATATCCCTTAGCCTTCTTAGACATCAAGCCCACCAATACCCTGCTTCCCGGCATCAAGACTAACCGTGCTACCTACTACGAAAGTAACAGGCTTTTCAAGACTCGGCATGTTAACGGTTCATAGACAAGCGTTTGGCAACTCGCTTCACTACAGTCGTTCCGGTCCAATGAATTTTACTTCTTAAACCACGGCGCTATGCATGCCCCCTAAAGTTCTCTCTAGGTGATATTGTGCACTAGGCCGCCACCGCCGCAGGTGTTGGGCAGATGCTGCGGTGCTGATCTAGTATCTCAAGCTTTGTGTATTAGGTGCGGTGAACCCTACTCTAGGTTAGTAAGTAATGCTTAGTCTAGGGGGAAAGGCATCAAGCGGTTATTAGGTAGGTACCAAGTGGAGTGTCTCGACTGTCGATGAGGGTCCAGCGCGATATCCTCAAAACCCAAACTGCAGTCGACTCCCTCTCAGGCTTCTGCATGATCTAATGGGACTGGGAGCCATACGTGGCTCGAACGTATACGTAATTGACAAACTTGCTCCTAAAATATAAGGTCGTGGTGGATTTTCCAACGAGTGGCACCTAAGTTTCCAACAAAAAAGGGGAGGGCTAAGGGGCGGCAGGCCTGCAACTACACAGTCATCACTGATACTCCCACCGAAATTATGTCATTCCTCTCAAGAAAAAAAAAAGAAAACAAAAAGTTTACTGGTTTAAGAGTTCCAAGAATTGGTTTAGGAATGAAGTTGGGATGTTGGTTTAAGTCAGGTGATCCATGATCAGGTGGTCTAGTATTTAGCTGGTTGAACGGTTGGTCTCCAGTTATTGTAGGTCACATGACCTAGGGGCTGACTGCAGGTCTATCTGCTTGCTGGCTTCATGTTAAAAAAATAATCACCTCGACAGCCCTGGGGAAAAGAAAACAATTGAACAAAGGAACAACTCTATCACCACTATCCAGAAAGATCTGTCCACAGTCTTTCCGCCCATGAATTGATTTTCCAAAAAAAAAAAAAAAAAAAAAAAAAAGGGGGGGGGGGGGGGGTTTGCTAAATACTAGGTAACCTTGGAGAAAGGATAATGAGAATCCGCCCTCAATGACAGGCCTGAAGGGATCTTCTATCCTGTTCGATGCATAAATGGTAATGGGGAATGCATGATGATAATATATCGTGCAAAGGAAAGAAGGAGGGCCGTGTACTTCAGAACTTCACTGTGAGCAGTACCTGAGAAGCCTCTGCGTAGAAGTAGCGAATATACATGTTATTACAGCAAGTGTAAGTTGTTCATTCTTGCACTTTCCTGTCCAATAAGTACCTGATAGACGAAAACTTGGAACGGTACATACCTAGGTAGTAGTGGGTTACCCCAGCCTCAGGTTCATGCAAGCGCCCTTATGTAGGTACATGCCTCCCAATAGGCATCCTGTGTGTCTCCATATGTACCTTGCTCAGTTGAAATAGAAGTCGCGACTTAAGTATAGTGAAGGAGCGGGTTACTTAGCATGGCACATTAACAAAATTACTCGGTACCTACCAAAGTACCTACTTGGGACCCTCAGGGGCTCATGTACAGTTAGCGCCAGGCGCCATCCCTTTTCTGGTATTCTAGACGAGAGGTGGGAGGCAAGAGCGATGCAAGGCGATACAAAGTGTAGAGATGCAATTTTTTTGGGTTTTAGTACTGCCTACATAGAAGGCTACATCTGGTCTTGAACCACCATACTTGGTACCAGAGAAGACCAAGGTAACATAGTACATAATCTGCGATAGACATGATATAATCCTTCACCCACTCCTTCATGATACCTTTCTCCTTGCTGTTAAAGCCCAATCAGAAAGAAATAACATAATGCTGTGCTCTACTCCCACACCCCATAAGCCATGATACATGAGCAAAATCCATCAATAACATTAACAGCCAGTTCCGTCCATGATCTCAGACATAGTCCCAAGTGACAGCAACTCTTCCGGTTGATAACGGGGCCAACTGGGTAAATACGGCCGTGGAGACATCGATGCTGTCCCCACTACATCCAGGACATTTGTCCACCACAGTAGCGGTGGCCGTCTTGCCGCTGTAGTTTATTTTGATAAGTTTCCCGCAATGGCCGTTTTGATTAGGCGACATAGCGACTACGGGATCCGTGTCCTTGCTTACGGCACCACAAGACCCAAGGCCTGTCTTAAAGTATGTCATGTCGCCAGAGAAGGCAACGGCGGAAGCCATGAGGATGCCGCTGGCGACGAAAACTTTCGTGATTGAAAGCATCTTGAACTGGGCTGGGTTCTAGATTTTGGGTGATGGTGTGGTAGGTGAGTTGATGGTGCAGTTTAGTTTAAGACTCAGACTCAAAGAAGCAAAGTAATGTGAGCAACTTGGGACAGTTATGATGTTATAGGCTTGTGTGAAGCTGGATTTATTGTGGTCTTGTTATCGGTTTGTCTGAATGGGTGAATTCAAAGAAGTGAAGATGGTAGCTTTGTGGTGAGAGAGAAGAGAGAAGAAGAGAAGAGGAACTAGATCTGGGGAGATTTGGGGGATTAAATAATTTTAACCTCCTTCCCGTCGACACCTTCATGTTGAATACCACTTACCTCGAAGGCTAAGCGTGCTTTCCAATGTTGGTGATGAACTCAAGTAGGTACCGTAATGCTCTCATGTATCTGCGTAGGTACCTAGCACTTACCACCACTTCTCTGCACGGCCATAGGTGAACGACTAGGGCCCCTTGTAGCACTACCACTCACTGATTCTCTTAGGTGAGTTCGTCAAGGAAAGAGCGTAATGTTGTATCAGTGTATACCTAGGTAGGTACCTACTTGACAGGCAAGAAGCCCAGTCAGGGGGGACAGCTCACCCCCCTAGAACTTGCTCATTATAATGACGCACGCAAAGTCGCTACTGCATGCAGAAGGCGTTCGCAGGGTGCTCAATAAGTTCCTGTAAAGTACAGGCCAAGGTACCGTAGGTACCTTGAAGCTCAGAGCCACATAGCTAAGGTACATAGCTTAGGTAGGTAGATACCTACTATGTACCGCCAAAACGAGGGAATACAAGGCAAGAATGAACATAGTTAGCGTTTCTGTAGTCGTAGGTGGATGCTGGCGCTGTCATAGGGTCCTAGGCCCATCAGTGAGTGCCTACTATGTACCTAAGGTATCCATTCACGGGCAAGCTATGCCCCCAGATGCTTGCTGGGTACCCAGGTATCAAAGGTGGGATATTGGTTTAGTTTTTCACTAAATGAATTGCATTTCTAATGAAACTTATCAAGAGAATGTTATCTTGATCATGCTTCGAAATCTGGAGGGCATATGATCCTAGAGTCGAGTAGTGGGAGGCGCCAGCCCGCTTCTGCCAGTTGACCTCTGCTAATTATTTTTCTGCGCAAACTAATGTGAGATTATACATGCAATGATTTCGTACCTGCATCCTTAGTTCATTTCAATTTCAGGAATAAATCATTTGAAGGAAAGGTGTTGCGCCCTTGTTCGACGGTGGGTTTGCTCCCCCCTTTCTTTCCAGATCCGAGGTTATAGATGGAGCCACGAGTAATTGACCTTTCGAATGAAGAAACATCCATTAACATGTCGTAAGTGCCTCATCACCAAGTTTGTCCGAATTCCAAGGTGAAGAATTGATGACCATCGTGGCTGTCTACTAACCTAGGTCCCCTGCCAAGAGATGGAGGATAGAAAGGTCGTGGTTACAGAATGATTGCTCAGCGACGCGTTTCATATGCAGCCGCAAATGCACCACAGCAATGAGTGTAACAATCGAACGGCCCAATCTACGAATGCCACGGAGTGCAGCAGCCACGCATATACCTCCTTGCCGTGCCGTCAACTGTCGATCGGTCCGTGGCTGACTCGGAGTTTTGAGGCGTGCATAACCGACCGACGCCTGTTGCCTTTTCCGATCTTAGAGGCATTTGCGAATATACCGACCGCCCTACCTTCGAGCCGAATCTTCGTCGTGATGTATATACACTTGACCGTAAGCCTTAGGGGTGAAGGGATATTCCTGACCCTGATCCAGTACACTTGGAACTTCTGGAACATCGCAGCAGTCCGATGGCGTCCAAAGTCCCAGTTGGGGGTCCATCGGTAGGCTGTCAAGCAAGAACTCCAAGAAGCGGCATGAAACGATGCCGCGAAACCTGCACATCATATTTGCTATGCGTCGCTTGTCGGCGATGTGGTTAGGGTCGAGAAGAACTTGCTGTCTCCCAGGAATTGTGGCATGGCCGATTCCCAACTATGATCTGCAAGTTAAAGCTGGCACCTTGCTAGAATTGACAGACTTGGTCTCCTCTTCTACACCCCTATTCCCCATCCATGGATAGCTTCACTCCCCAAAGGATCGAATGTTTTTGTCAACATGTCCCAAGTCACCTATATGGCTTGATTATGGTGTCGTAGCATCGTTTCAGCTAGCTAGCGGTGGTGGGCTTATTGCTATACACATTGAAAGGGGTTCTGGGTCAGATATGTTTGGGTACGTTTATCATCTCTCTGGCTTGACTATCCCCCTTTCTCTTATTCTTAAGTAAATGCTGACAACATCACAGGAGGTGGCCAGTATCCTATCTTTGTGTACTAGGTAAATATCTACCACCATGTAGAGAATAGGTACACAATTTTTATCGTACGCCATACTAAAGCGTTGTCCCGACACTTGATGAGTATGATCGTCATATATAATAGTATATGCAACTTCGGCGGGCACGGTATGCAATTATCTTCATCAATTATTATATTGGCCATCTCTCGGCCCAACCGTTTCCACGGACTATCAAGCACCAGTATTTTTATCACTGACTCTAATCAGCCAAACCATACTCGCTACTGGGATGGAATCACCTAGCCCTCCAAAAGCATTGAGCAGATGCAAACCTACTTGAGTGTGAGGTGTCATACGAAGAGCTAGTCTGAGTATCTGCTTAGCTGATGGGTAGCGGAGCAAACGATGACGGGGGCGACACATCCCTTCTCTCCGATTTAGAATAGAAGGGTGGGAACGTCAATACAGTTTTCATTCCCATTATAACCCCTAGCTTCTATCTAGCTACTGGGCTGCTTTATACACTCTCGTGAACGTAGGAATATAGGTTAGGGGGTACATCATCAACCCTGGCGCCCCACGCTTCCAGCGATAGCGACGTACAGATCCACGGATCTTCAAAAGCTTCTCATGGACTTTCTTCGATGTTGAGCAACACGTCTCTCCTAATATGACTATCGATGTCGCCGCCTACTTTGCGCGCTTACACATTTCTACCAACTTTTTACTTGGTAAGCCAAACAAACGCGCCATAGACGATGACAAGAAGGCTTACGCCTTTACCGTTGGCCTAGGCCACAAGACATCTGCTGTGACTGCCTACGTAGAGTACCAGGAAAGTTTCTTCGCTCATACTTTCTACCTACGACAGTCTGATCTGGTGGAGTTGGAAGACAAGCTCACGAAACATTGGAATCCTTGAATTTGGGAACATGCCTAAAGATTGACGCCCAAACCCAAGAAATACTTCAAACACTCGGTGCTATGCAGGGGTTCCAGGTAAAGTTCTCTTTCCTATCAGTAGGCGACAAAGTTGACGGGGGACGATTATGGAGGGCTAGCTCCTAGTAATTGGTTATGACAGCTGACTGCATCGATGAAGCTAGCAACAGCGTGCAGAACCTCCATGGATAAAATGCAGAACCCATTAACCAACTATATTTTCCCGCATAGATAGGTTCCTTTGGGTTAGGCATGAGATGGCACGTCTCCATGCCAAGCAGGGTGAAGGGTATTTGAGGTGCAGGCCGTGAGCGACGATGCGTGACTATACTGCTGTAACCTAGAATACTAACTGAGATAAGGTCTATATCTTCATTGCCAAACATGCAAATCATACTGTGGGGAATCAAGATCAGGGGGAAAGATTGGCTAAGTAAGGTTAAGCTGTAGAATCTAGTTCTAGTAGAAGGAAAAGGCAATATGGATATGTCTACGAAGTATCCATCGTGCCGTTTGAGGTTCTGTGTGTCTACCTAGGTAGCTTGAGATACAAAGTTAGAGATCATTACACAGGCATGTGGGACATCTGGATTAGGATCACATAGAAACATCTTCTCGCCGGCTCCACGGTAGTGAAGTTCAGATATGCATGCACGCTGACTAGCTTACATGTAGGTTGCGTAGTAACTACCTAGGGTAGACACCTATCTGGGGTACCTAGCACCTACCAGCTGGTACGTAGTAGACATGCTTTGGATAGACGCGGCTAGAGGTATCCATTTTCATGCAAGCTACCGTTGGTGGCTGCTACTACTTCAATACGTGCTTGTAAAGAGGTGAATTTACATTTGTCACAAACTTGATTTTGCCTTTGCTTGCTGTATGATGCTTATCATCATCAAACTATAAGCCTGTGGTAGTCTCACGGAAAAGCGTTACGAAGTTGGCAGCTCGTCACGGCGTTGCAAGTAACCCTCTGTTGCGGCTGCTACCCCCTTTAGCTCTCAGGCTTACTACTATTAGTAGTACACATGAGTTTGCTGACATAGTAGACGCGAACATGAAGGTGGATAAGGCTCGATGGTATGCTGATAATCAGAGCTGATTTTATCATCCCATGAAGTTCTAGATAATCCTATTTTACACGGCACGATAAGTCTTAATCGGGGACGACCCCGCAAGGGGCTGCCAATTGTAGATTGAAGGGAAGGTCAGTGATCGCCGAGTACGGGAATGAGGAATCATTCGATCGATGCTGACAATCCGGGCTAGCATAGAAGGTAGGGGGGAATGAAGAGTGGAAGAATCTGGGGAAGTATGGGGAGTTCCGAGGTAGGAAAAGCGGATAGGAGGATAGAAGGAATAGGAGAGCTGGGGAATAGGGGAAAAGGGGGTGGACACTGGGAGCCACATGCAGATGAGATGGATTAACTAACTGCGATAACTTAATAAGTATTGTGTATGTACATAATACTATGCATTACATAATGCACTACAAGGAATGTACCTAATAGGTAGGGTAGGGTAAGTACGCACATATGAACGGGAAGGAAACGTGCAGTTGCAGCTTGAAAGACTGGAAAGGAGCATTGAAGCTGGACTGGAACTTTAAGATCGGCGATTTACTACTAGGTATATGTATGTACTAATGTACTATGTACGTACTTTTGAAGATGTACATAATCGAACGTTGTTTCTTATTTCTCTGTAGCCCTAGTGGCTGGAGTGGGTGGGTAACGGCACTAAAAGTGATCCATCCATGGATCCATTTCCCAAGGTAAAGTTTCCGTGTAGCCCCAGTTATTGAGTGTAACAAGCCTAACAAAGTGCCTAGCAGCTGCCTACCTACACACGACGTACACTTGTCACTAGGTACCTACTAGGTAACAAGCCTAGGATTTACAGGGCAAGTGCAAGCTGTACATGCTGTACATACAGTTGGCAACGCACAAGCCCCCCTGTAGTTAGAGCCTATCAAAACCCCTCCATTTCTAAAGACTAAGAAACCCCACCTGTGAAGTACATTGACATGAGTAATGGTTACCGGTCGGCGGTCGCGGTTGGGATAAGTCGTTACCCGGGATTGGCCGAGGGGTTGAACAGAATCCTTGAACTTCCAGGTTGACTTGCAATTTCCTAGGTACAGAAGGTACAATTCAGAGGTATTAGTGCACATGCATGGCTTTTGTTTGCATGCAATCGGCTTCGACGTCAGGATTTTCTGATTTTCTGATTTTCTACCTCGCACAAATGAAGCACCAGTCAGTGAACGCTTTCATATATTCGATCCACAACACCACACCCGACTCATAACTTTGGATCCCTTCAATGTTAGGCACAAGATAACAAATAGTACAATACCTATATTCATCGTCTTATTTTTCATCTTCAACCAATAACCAACTCCTACCATCATCGTCATCATCATTCACTGGCCATCCACTGGCCATCATCAACCTGACGTACCTAGATACTGATCTTGGGTTAGATATAACGGAGGATCGCTTGTCATATTTTTCACCTGCTTCCATTGAATCGAATTAGCATTAAGCGCCGGTCGCCGTAGGATCCAAAGCGACACATAAAAGGGTACCACAAGAGCACCACAAGAGCACCACTCCCCTGTAGTCTATATCCTCGGCCATCCTGAGATATATCCTATTTACCGTCCGTACGACCGAGCGATTTCAAAACAACTACAAGTTGTACCAATAGACATATCCACATCATTACCAATCCCTTCTACTTGATCAACACATCAACGTACTGTGGTCTTAGACTATTCTATTCTATTCACCACTCTAACATTCATAATTGCGGTACAACTCACCCCACGACATTAACCGCAATACACACCGAGATGCCTTCCTCTCAACGTCCATTCTTTCTCTCATCCTTCCTCGCCGCTTTTCGGCAACAGACACCTCCGGCCCTGTCAGCTTCATCACAACCGAACAAGCATACAACACAACCGTCATCGAGTCCATCGACTTCCGGTGCCCGGTCCATGTCGTCGTCCTCACACTCGCATTCTCAGAGCCAATCATCGACGCCCCAGCAACAAACAACGCAGCGCACAGGAGGTGTCATGAACCAACTGCCGATACAGTCGCCACCGCATAGACATCACCACTCCCCACAGCCACATCGTCCGGGCATGCCGATACCAGGGTCCGGTCGTCGGCGGGGTAGTGATAGCAGTAGTGAAGGCTTCCGTGAAGTGCTAGGCGCTGATAAGTGGTATATCGGAGGTCGGACAGCCGGAGGCGACGAACGCTTCTTTAAGTTGGGCGTCGTAAAGAGAGTTCGGAGTCAGGATCGACTAAGCCTGGATAGACTGAGCCTATGATGGCCCCTTTCGCGCTAGCCATGTGGCTGGAAGAATGATGATTATTAAACGGCAGCCCATTGGATACAACGAATGCGATATTGCCCGTTGAATTGGGAAGTCATCTAGACTTAGGATTGGAAACGGCAAAAGGATCTTGTAGGATCTAAGGTTACCTTTCCCGCGTATAGGAGGACCTACAAATAGGATGGAATAGGATTTATGGGAATGGAGGCATGCGACATAGGCGCTGACTTTACACTGCACGGCGTTTTACGGCTTGTTATTGAGGAACGGCGTTGGCATGGCGTAGCTTGGGATTTATATTTTCGAAGTGAGCATGCCGGCGAGCACACAAAAATAAATCAACTTAACTCGGGGAGGAAGCGGGAAAAGAAGATAAAGAAAGACAGGAAGGAAGGCAGGAAGGAGGTTGAACACAACCAACCTCAGTATAGAGAGCTAGGATTCTACCGTTTTATAGCACCATCTCCACTCACCACACGACAATAACACTACATCAATGACAACCTACCCGAGGTACATTGACATTTGAAAAATATACTGCATGGTATCCCCAGGGAATCGCGACGACTTTGACATATTCGCTGCATACCTAGTATGCGAGTCTTGCGTAATAAGAAGAGATTTAGGTATATATTCCTAATATTCTTTTTTTCTTCTCTTACTTTAGTTAGGTACCTACCTACCTACCTACGCGCGTATGTCTAGGTAGTAGTAGTAGTAGTAGACTATGAAAATAACAAACAAACAAACAAACAAGTAGATGATCGATCGATACTAAAAGTACCCGGAAGTTGAGGGAAGTGCTTGTATTATTTGTTTTTGTGACTTGCGTCTCTTGAGCACGTAGGTAGGCACTATATTATATATATATATATATATGACTTACATACTTACACACATCACCACATGAACCTCTGCACCCTGCCCCCATCCGCCAGCTCCCCGTCGGGCGTCCGCCAGTAGAAGGGGCGCGTCACGAAGATGTACATGGTCGCTGCGTTGATGAGCAGGAACCAGGTTGTCTCGAGCGCGGGGACGAGGTACGGCAGAGCTTGTGTTGGTGCTGGTTTTGAGTTTGAGTTTGAGGAAGAGGCAGGAGGGGGGACTTGGAGACGCCAGAGGACCCAGGGGAGGATAAAGTACCGTGGCTCGACGAGGGGGGCGGTGATGAGGGAGAGGGATGTTGAGAGGAGGAGAATGAGGAGGGAGGAGGAAGAGGAAGAGGAAGAAGTGGGAGGTGGGGTTGTTGTTGTTGTTGAATCGGAGGGGTGGGCTGGTTGTGGTTTGGTGGACGTGGAGGTTGTGGTAGAGGAGGAAGAAGGGTATTGGAAAGTCAGAGTGGTCCAGCAGAGCCATCCGCAGACGACGTACGCTGGGACAAGCGCATACCGGACCCACCAGGCCCGGAGGATGGTATACCGGAAGACATAGAACATGTAGTGCCGGTTGTCGGCGAGGGTGAAGGGATGGATGATGGTGTTGATGTGTGCGATTAGCGATGCGGCCACGAGAGATCCTAAGAGGATGAGGATGGTGTGGGTTTTGTGGCTTGACCCGAGGTAGTTGAATACTTTGAGCGCGTTGGATTGGTCCAGTTGGGCTGCTTTGCCCGAATTGCCCTTTGTGGTAGGGGCTTTCGGTGATGTAGTTGGGCCTTTCGGTGATGTAGTTGGGCCCTTGAAGATTCGAAGGAGCCGTGTGGCGAGATTCAGGAGGGTTGGGATAAAAAGGGGCGCGGAGAAGAAGGCGAATAATGGCCAGATGTACAACATCTGGGCCAGGTGCAGCGTTGCCACATGATTCGATTTGTCCCCTATTCTTAAGTTAATGTCTAATACTTCCATGATGACATATCATTAAAGCTTACCTAGGACAACGCCTCCATTCCAGGCAACGAAGCCGACAAAGGCGCCAAAAATGACTAGGTGTGGCCAGATTTGTCGTCGCACGATTGTGAAGAGGTGGCGAAGAGTTGCGACGCTAATACTGACGACGCATAAAACCAAATCTATATCATTAGCGGGAGTACCGAATAACGAGTTACAAGACGTACCAATTGGATTCGACAGGCCCGCAGGAGGGTCATGGATTTCACCAAGCGAGTATCTCCAAGCATAGAACCTGATCTGCGCCGATAAGGTAGCAAAGGCCGGGGTAGGCACAACAGACTTGGGCCTTATTGCTTTGATGCTATGGACGACTTCCTGGCCACCCATGTAGACGACGACCCAGAAGATGTTGGTCTGTCTCATGCATAGAGCCAGAAGGCCAAGGATAATGGTATAGACATCGTTAGCGAATGATGTTTTAGCTTGACTCACTCGGCCCAAATGGTTCGCGTAAGCGAGCAAAACGACGAATGTCGAAATGATATCCGTGTAGTATAGGCCAGAGAAGAAGAACAGAACAGGAAACAGAGCAACATTAATTCCGGTCCAAATGGAATAAGCCGAGCAAGAGTGTGACGATTGCGCCTCTCCTGATTTGGATCTCTCAAGCCGGGCTTTACATATGGTGGCCACTAGAGAGAGATAGGAGATGACCTCTACGTTGAATAGCCGGAGGTGGTAAACAGAGCACGGAAAGGCGCTTAATGTGTTCGCCAGTATTGTCAAGGCATAGCTTCATGATTGTTAACTTTGCTGTTTGACTTGGGAAAATGTTTGACACAACTAACAGGCCAGGGGGCGTGGTGATTTTGTCATCCCACACGGCATATTTGCCATCACAGTACACCTGAGCTTGAGGGATATGGAACACTTCATCCTGCTTTTGAATTAGACAATGATGCTAATGAGAGCAAGGTGAGGAAGGCCACTCATACCAGGTAAGGCTCCGGGGCGTGCTGAGTCACTAAAGAAAGCCATTGACGAGCAAGTAGCCCAATAGTTACTAAACACAGAAATATCGTATAGGGAATGTGTCGAGGTGTTGGAGTTGTATTGTTGCGGACCGTGGAGAAGTAAAAGATTGTAGATACGAGGCCGTAGCGTGTAAGCTGGAGAATGAAGGACGGATCCAGTCCCAGCCTGGAAGCCATTTGATACCAGGTAGGTAGGTAAGTACTTGGTACTTTCGAATGAATGTAGCCTCAAGTGAAAGAATTAATCCATGAATGAGAAGAAAGGGGGAAATATGTCTGGTAGGAGTATTGCTACCACGTAGACTGCTACTGTGTGTAGGCGCATGTGTGTAAGTAAAGTACGAAGTATTGAATTTATGTATCCTACAGTAGTAACTTACATGTAGGTAGTACACATGCATGCGCGATGTACGTGTACTTTGTACAAGTTCAAAGTAAGTCACCTGCCGACCTTCTTTGACGGACCGGTCTTCATCTGCAAATGTGCCCCAGACCCATAAATTAGAAAAAAGTGACGAACCGTTGGGCCCCTGTGAGTAGCGCCCACTAAACAAGGATTGTACTACTACACTAACCTCCAGGGTTTGGAAAGTTTCAACGATCAATGTTCAATGACTTTCACCTTTGGTCCTTTCCAAGTTCCAAGTTGTATGTCGATAGTAGTGTATTCGTATGTACATAATCACCAGCTGGTAAATGATCGATACCAACTTGAATCACTTATATCGTAACCGCAACTACACGGCATTGAGGGCTACTATGCCCATCGCCAACCCGTCGCAATGGCTTCTTCACATCGAATAACCAGGCGTTTATTCACCTCACCAACTAACAACCCATTATTTGCCTCTAAACGAATTCCAACAACACAGCATCTACAGCTTTATACCCGAACTGCTACTCGCCATGCTTCCTCTTCAGCCGCCTCCTCATCCACGTCTTCTACAAATTCCTCCACGGGTTCAGGGTTAAGAACGCTCTTCTACACGACTTCGCTCGCAGTATCCGGCTACGTAGTCTTCGTCTACGCCACCGACACCCGCGCATTCGTCCACCGCTATGTCGTGCCGCGGGCGCTGCGTTTCCTGTACCCGGACGCCGAGGAAGCGCACAACGTCTCCGTATCCGCCATGAAGAACCTGTACAACATTGGCTTCCACCCGCGTGAGCGATTCTCCTCCTCCTCATCCGCCGGCCCAGATATATCCATCTCCGTGTTCGGCTCCCGGCTCGCCAATCCCATCGGCATATCCGCCGGCCTCGACAAGCACGCCGACATCCCCGACGCCCTGTTTGCCCTCGGCGCCGCCGTTGTCGAGGTAGGCGGGTGCACGCCCCGCCCGCAGGAGGGCAACCCCAAGCCCCGCATGTTCCGCATCCCGACGCTCGACGGCCTGATCAACCGGTACGGGCTGAACTCGCGGGGCGCCGACGACATGGCGATGCGGCTGCGGGAACGTGTGAGGCGGTACGCGAAGACGGTCGGCCTGGACGAAGCAAGGGTGCTGAACGGCGAGGCCAACGTGCCGCCGGGCAGCCTGTTGCCGGGGCGCCTGCTGCTGGTGCAGATCGCGAAGAACAAGGAGACGGACGAGCGCGACGTCGAGGCCGTGAAGCGCGACTACGTGTACTGCGTGAGGCGGCTCGCGCCGTACGCGGATGTCCTCGTCGTCAACGTTAGCAGCCCCAACACGCCCGGCCTGCGCGATCTCCAGGCCGTCGAGCCCCTGACGCGGATACTGAGCGCGGTGGTCGATGAGGCGCAGAGGGCGGAGCGGAAGCAGAAGCCCAAGGTGATGGTCAAGGTCTCGCCCGACGAGGAGGAGGATACCCAGATCGAGGGCATCGTGCAGGCGGTGTGGTCGAGCGGCGTCGACGGCGTCATCGTCGGGAACACCACGAAGAAGCGCACCGGGCTCATCCCGCCCAGAATCAGACTCACCTCCAAGGAGCAGGCCACCATGACGGAGACGGGTGGATACTCGGGCCCGATGATGTTCGACCGCACCGTGGACCTCGTCAGGCGGTACCGCAAGATGCTGGACGGCCAGTCGTTCCGATCCCCCCGGACGGAGAAGATCGCTGCCGACGAGGCCGTGGATGCGAGTATCACGGCTCTCGAAGGCACCATCACTGGGTTCTCCGAGACCGAGCTGAAGACTAGCTCCACCAAACCCACGTCCGAGCCCAAGGTCATCTTTGCTACGGGCGGCATCACGAACGGCCGTCAAGCCCTGGAGGTGCTGAATGCGGGGGCTAGTATTGCCATGGTGTATACGGGTCTAGTGTACGGTGGCGCGGGTACGATTACGCGCATGAAGAGCGAGATGAAGGGGGAAGTGGGCGTGGGCGTGGGAAAGGGTATTGAGGAGAAGGTATTATAGAAGATACGTAAAAGTAAAAATAAAAAAAGGGGGCAGGAAGGAAGTTTTCGTATGAGATTCGGTCTGTGGACAAGCACGCACGCACGAGCATTTGTATCATCACCATACCAAACCACGATAGACAAAATTCATAGATGAGGGGTGGCCCAAGTCAAGTCAACCTTGGAAGTTACTCAAACCAAAAAAAAAAGGGGGGAGAGAGAAAAGGGTCATAAGCATAGCATGGCATACGGTAGAGTTTACGTTAGAGATAGAAGAACGACCAAACGAAATTATGATGACTGTGGTTCAACAAAAATCTATTCGGTTTATGCGGTGATGCTTTCTTTTTTCTTTCTTCCTTTTGTTACAGAATCAAAATGCGGAAGTTGAAGTTCTATATCGCGCGCCTTGCTGCTTTCTACACCCCGAATTCCACCCAACTGTCACTGGTACGAAAACAATACTGGGCAGTGATGGCTGGTTATTTAGAAGGGCTGTCCGGGGGGCTTTATTAGTATCTTTCGTAGGACGAGGTGTGTACCTAGGTAGGTAGGTATAAGAGAGACTCACGTTATCGGATGGCGGGATCACCGTGACGAAGTGCTCGCCGATGATGGGAATCTTTTGTAGGATGTCCTTCTTTACGCGGGGGATGCCCGAGGCGTAAAAGATGAGGGCGAAGAAGGCGACGCCGCCGAAAGCGCCGGCTTTAAAGCCGCTGTGTTGGGGTTCGTGATGTTAGTAAACGATTTATTTCTCTTCAAGTGCTGTTTCTTTTTGTCGTGGGTTGGTAGGCAGGTCAGGAGGGAGGGAAGAGTTTCGTGGGTGGTGCTTACAGATTGGCGAATTCCTTGACGGTCCATCCTGCGATGTTCGGTTGGTAGTGGTACCTATTCGTTGATTCCGCGGTCAGTTATGTGCCTCGAATGACTTCGTGGGTGGGAAGATGCCCCGCGACGCATAGTCTTCCCGTACGCCAAGGTTCATATTGTTCGTGTGGAAGAAGGTATGCTTGAGGAGATCGATCGGGCTGTTGTATTTATTCGGTGTAGCACTCACTTAGGTCCGTAGGGGCTCTTGTAGGCCGGGTAGTTTAGTCGTCGGATGGGAGTCTGTGGTGGTCTCGGGTTAGCTATGATCTTTCTTGGGCGTGCTTCGCAAGTGAGCAGAAGCAGAGGAATGCGCAGGGCCTAGAATATAGACAGCTGGGGCTTATCATACTTGGAAAACCATCTTCACTTGCAGTGTATGAAGTGGAAAGTGGAGAGTTCAATGGCAGGACTGGGTATCTGGTGATAATTGATTTTTTTGAGCGCAAGATTCATTAAGTGAAGTGAGTAAAGTGCAGCGCCCAATTGGTTGATCGAGTCTCGGGCGATCCCGGTTCCTGCTTAGCCACGTAATAAGCCACATTAGATCAAATCTGACCTCGGAAAGTTTGAACAATTGCTTAGGTACCTAGGTTAGGTACCTAGGTACTTGAGTTTTACATTCACCTCACTCACCTTAACTAACTTCTCTTTACCTTCCTGCTCGCTCCTATGAATCTCATTTTCAGATAACTCACTCCCATACGCCCATGCACTGGCAAAAATGGAAAAGCAGCTGGATGCCGGGTTTGATCGGGTCGAGAAAGCGCTAGGCACGCTCGTCGACTCGATCTCTAAATATCATCCCTCAGTGTCCCAAGTCGATGAGCTTGGTCTTGCCGATATCGCGCTCCAAGAAGGATTGCGAAAGCGTATGTGAATCTTATATTTTATTCTTTTTTATTCTATAAACCTGACTGTCTATCCTAGTGCAAGTACACCAATCCAACTATCGCCGCATCCTCCACCTTCGCGCCACCACCGCAGGCCTCGACACCCAGATCAAGGATACCTTGCGCCTGCTAGCCAACACCCGCAAGGAGCTCGTCAGCGCCCGCGCCACCGTCTTCCCTAGCGATGTTCCTACCTACGATATCAACTACGACGAGATGCTCGCCTACGGACGTCGCATCAGCAAGACCACGATGCCCCCTGCCATCAGCACCCCCATCGAGATCCAAACCGAGAGCAACGGCGGAGCCGAGACAACTGCTGCCACCACACCAGCTAGCGGGACGCCCAACGGCGCCTCCACCCCCGCAAATGGTACCCAGCAACAACAGCACGACCCCACCACCTCTCAGGCGCAACAACAACAAGCCGGCGCCACACCCGCCGTCTCCCTCAGCACCAACACCGCCAACCTCCCCGAAGACATCCAATGGCACCTAAACCCGCAAGCCGGGCTCGAGTTCATCCCATGGCCCAACGAAGACCAGGTGCGCAAGGGCGCGCTCGCCTCGCTGGCCTTCATCTCCGAGCAGGGCATCGACGCCGAGAACTACGACCCGGAGCAGGAGAAGCTGCGCAAGGAGCGCGAGGAGGAAGAGAAGCGAGAAGCCGAAGAGCGCGAGGAAAGAGAGCGTCGCGCACGGGAAGAGCAGGCGAGGGCCAGGGCCGAGAGGGAGAGGGAGAGAGAGCAGAGCGAGGCTTGGCGGCGCGGGAGCGTCACGACGGCGATTGGAGGGGTTGCTGGTGCTGCTGGTGCTGCGGGGGCTGGGGCGGCGGGAGGAAGTACCGTGACTGGCGGAGCTATAAGCGCGTCGCCGACAGGCGAGAAGAAGCAGTTCCAGTTTATGGCGGATGATGACGACGACGACGACGATGAATGAGTGGATGGATGAGCTATCTACCCAGGCATCTATCCAGATAGGCACCTACTCGTGTAGACAAGGAGCTATTCATGGATGCCGTTGTCATTGTATCAAAATCCAGCATGACTAGGTAGGTGTTCGACAGCTCCAAGATTGGATTTGTTGGAAGGGGGGGCTTGCACTGAATAGGGGTTGCTATCAGAAGCTTTTAATATCCCAAGCACCTGCGCAACACCTACTTAGAATTATAGGTACATGTCTACTATGTACTTGCCTAAGATTGGTAGAAGTGCTGTTGAGAATTACATCAAAGATACCTGCTTGCCTCATCGCCTGCAACGCCACATAACAACGCGAACTTCATGTCCAAGCCTCCAACCTAATAGCCTAGGTTAGGTGCCTTAGTTACATTCACGCACATTTGCGGGGGAAACAGCATCTACCTACCTAAATTTGTAGTAATCAAGCAATTGCCCAGGTAGGTAGGCGTCTAACGTAATAGCATTAGTATAGATAGGTAGATACTTTTTATGTAGGAACCATTCCGTTCATTTTTAGTATTTCTACATGAGCCATCTCAAGCATAAGGGCAAAGCACCGTCACCCTGGAAGATGGAAGGGGAAAAAGGAGACATCATTTAAACGCCTTCCAAGAGAAAAAACGTCGGCCCCGTTTTTTATGGTTACTTTGCAGAACCGCCACACTCTATGCAACTAACTCATCAAGATATAACTTCTCGTCTCCTCTTTCATTCCCACTCCCGTCGATGGAGTAATAAACGATACCGCGAAGGTGGTGGCTCGTTTGTATTTATAGTACAAAAAGCGGGAGGGGGTGTGTTGCCGCCTCTAGGAATACCTCCTGGCCCCTTTTTTCCCTTCTCGACACTTGTATTGTTCAGTCGATTTTGATGGATTTGTAAATCTTCTGCACGAACCACCAACTTGAGAAGAATCCAATGGACCCTATAGCGGAGTGTTAGTAGAGTGTGCGAAATGGGAGAATCACCTGGCTAACATACCTGTCAGGATGAAGAAAAGGAATGACAGCAGAGCGCTGTATCCGATATACAAAACAGTACCGGATAAGCCGCCCAGAGAAAGCTTGCTGATCAGGTATATTAGGGCATTGACAAAGATATAGCCCGCGCTCATGCCCGCGGCGAGGAAGGACCGCCATTGCCAATGGTAATTTTCGGCGCATAGCAGGAAGTACACCATAAGAACCGTGACTGCAGCGCAGGTAATGATCATGAGGCCATAGCAGAGGAAAAGGAAGCCGAACATGTAGTAAATCTTGCTGAACCAGATCGAGCTCATAATGAAGTAAAGTTCGACGAATATAGCACCGAAGGGCAGAATACCAACAAGTAGCATGCTGGGAATTGGCTTCAGGTAAGTTGTAGCAGGAGGTATTTGCCGCGGGATCTGGTTTGTTCGGACAGGGGGCTCGATAGCTGCAGCACGGAATCCAAGCCAGGAGCCAGCGATGGATAGGGGGATTGAAATGATAAACCATATACCAATAATGACCAACATGGTAGTAAATGGAACGGCCCCGGCAGCTCCATTAGCCCAAAGGAAAAGGTTCAGGAAGAAGAAGGTGGTGAAGACGATGCCAGGAACCAGGAGAGGAGTCAATCCAATATTTAACTTCCATTGCTCGCCATTCAGCGACTTGTAGACTCTGGCAGAGACATAGCCACCGACAAAGCTAAGAAGGGTATAGAGGATAATCATAATACTCCCCAAAGAGCCGCGGTTTGACGGCGACAAGAAACCTAACAGCGCGAAGCAGATGGTGAACCCTGTCATGACGAACAGTTGAGCGCCATTCCCGAGGAAAACGGAAAGGAGTAGAGGGCGAGACGGAGTTCGAAACACGTCTCCGTGCACCAACTTCCAGCCAGAGTCTTCCTGTACGCCATCTTCTAGAGCTGACGTGCCTGAAAGATCGTCCAAGTTGATCTGGTCGAGTCGGTTGTATCTAGCAATATCCTTTTTCAAAGCCCGGAACAAAACAGACGTCACAGTGACAGTCAGAAAGATGACAACAACTGCGGAATTAACAAGGGAGAACCAATGGATCTTGGGGTCGAAGACATGTAAGTATTTATCCCATCGGGTAGCCCAGGCAGTTGGCGACTCAGTCCAGAAGACACTGTAGGTAAAGGTGACCTCGGTTTCGGCATTCTCATCCTCCGCGAGGAAAACAGGTGGTGTTTGGTTGTCGTAGCAGTCAAGATTATCGTCTTTGTATGCTTTGGAACTGGGTTGGACGATGACGCCTACAACCCTTAATTGGTCCGTCTTTCCACTCACTTTGTGATATTCGATAAGGATGTCGTAGTGGTTATTGAAGAAAGTTGGGCTTTCGTATCCAGGATCCGCACTAGAGTGGCTACCCATAGCGAAGCCTGGGCTGTAAAAAGTTGTTCCGGTGAGGTCATCTAGGAGGTTCTGGCCAGCAGGTAATCCGTCCACCAACCAATTTAACGCGTAGCCCTGTGTGATGCGTTTGTTGACAAAACGTGCGGCCGGCTGGTCGTAAGAAGAGCTGCAAAGTTTCTTGCATGTTTCGTTCTTGTTCATGTTAAGCTCAAACGGCGAGGTCATGATCCGGTCGCCAAACAGGATGCTCCCAAGACTTTCGGACACGTAAGAGGGACCGCCTTCGGGCTGGCAGAAGCGAAAGTGTGGGGTATAGTAATCGTAAGACATGACGGAGTGAAGGAGAGCATCTTGAGCAGCGACGGGTTTGATGCTGTTGACGTAAAGGGGGACACGGTCGCCTTCTTTATATGACGTGGGCGCGACTCCGGGGAGGTAGAAGGCGGCAGCTAGCTGCGGTAGAGCTAGCAGCGCAGAACATAACGCCGTCGGGGGCGCAAAACTTGTGGTCTTCATCGTGAAAAATTGTATTTATGACATCGAACTTTTTATACATGTCAACCAAATTTTATCAGATAAGACGAGTATAGATCGACAAAGAAGGTGAATAGGACACGGAAATTGATATTATTATTACCGTAGTAGTAGGACTTACGTATGACAGAAAGGCGCAGGATTGGGACTCGAAGCCAATCAATCATAGGAGCACAAAGGCTCTTCGGTGTTGGTTGCTGAGTTCGATGTGTTGCTATAGCTTTAGTATCTAGTAGTAATAGCAATAGTTATGTTGAAGCCGAAGCCGAAGTTAAGAGAGCGTTAGAACGCTACGGGGGCGAATATGATAAGTGAGGTAAGTGAAGTACCGTTTCAAGAATGATAATGGTTGCGCGCGTCGTTTAACGGGGTTAATTAAGCTTCAACGATGGTTTCCGTTTTCACGGGTAGTTATTGTCCTACTAGGATAGTGGTAGGTTAATACATAAATATGAAATATGAAAATGAGAATAAAGTTGATAACTATGGTTTGGTTGGTCTGTCTTGTCATACCTGGCACTCGGAGTAAATCAATACTTTAATACTTAACCATGCTGCTTTAAGCCTAGATTAGCTTGGCTAGGGAGCCTACAGGTTCAATGCTGTGGCTTGTCGTAGTTACATGTAGTTAATGTCATGTAGTACCTAGTACTATGTATGATGCATAATAAATCCAGTAGTTATTTCAAAGCAGCGATCATCAAGATATTGCTATGATGTTGGTTATCCAGTCATTAGTCAGCCAGTCGGCAACATTAAAGTATTATCCGTCAATGAGCAACAGATGCGATACATGTAAGTACGGTACTGTACATAGAAATGCGCCTTTACCTCGTTACGTGATGTAGTTTAACTACATGCAACATTACTACTAGTAGTAGTTAGACTGGGATCCAATGTTTGCGGCTGCAGCGGATAGGGCCACCAACGTTGAAACTCTACCAGGATCATTGCCTTAGCACGCTCATGGATCTTATCGTTATCGCGCAACTAAAAAAAGATTTATTAATTTTTTTTTCTTTCATTCTTTTTGGAGTCTTCAACCATTTGCTCCCAACAGCACATATCAAACAGCAAATATGGCTGTTCCGGCCTCTTTACCAGCTTTGCTCGACTCATTGACAAACTCCCTTACCTCTGCCTCCGAAGCCGCCCCCAAGATTTCCGGCATCGAGCCCACCAAAGATGGCGTATCCCTTCTCGACGTGAAAAACGAGCTTCTCCTCTCCTACCTCCAGAACCTCGTCTTTCTCATCTTGCTCAAGATCCGCAATGCGAAGAATGGAAAGTCCCAGGACGCGGAAGACGGAGACGAGGCAGATCTGTCCGATACCGTGGTAAAGAAGCTAGTTGAGCTGCGCCTGTACCTCGACAAAGGCATCCGTCCCCTCGAGGAGAAGCTCCAGTTCCAGCTGGACAAGATCCTGCGCGCCGCCGACGACGCCGATCGCATCGCCGCGCAAGCCATAAAGGACGCCGAGGCCGGTGTAGGATCCGACTCCGACTCAGCTTCCGGGGAGAGCGACGACGAAGATGACGGCCCGCGCAAAACACCCTCAGGTATCTCCGCCAAGCAATACGCCCCCAGCTTCGGCAACTTCGCGCCGCCCTCTCAAGCCGTCGGCATGGCCGCCGCCGCCGCAACGCAAGACAAGACCGGCGCCTACCGCCCTCCCAAGATCACGCCCACCGTGATGCCCACCGGCGACCGGCAACAGGGTCGCGACCGCGATGACCGGCGACAGATGAAGTCCGCGACGATGGACGAGTTCATCTCAAACGAGCTCTCGGTCGTTCCGCTCGCTGAGCCCAGCATCGGCACGAACGTCGTGTCGGGCGGTCGCAAGATCAAGACGGCGACGGAGCGGCGCGAGGAGGACCGGCGCCGCGACTACGAGGAGTCGAACTTCGTGCGCCTGCCTAAGGAGAGCAAGAAGGACCGCGCGCAGCGCAACAAGGCCGAGGGCCGCACCAACAAGATGAGCTTCGGCGGTGAGGATTGGCGCGACCTGGGTGAGGGGGTCGATCGCATCGAGCGCATGACGCGGCGCAAGGAGGGCGGTGGCCGCGGGACGAAGGCGCTGCTGGACAAGAGTCGCAAGCGAGGCTGGGATACCGCCGACAGCAACCGTCAAAGCGGCCACAGCGAGAGCACGAAGGAGATAGGCGACAGGTTCAACAAGCGTGTAAAGGTCATGGAAGGCGGCCGTAGAGACAGAGGCAAACGTTGATACGATTATGGCTCATTTAATATACCCTAACTACCCATCTCGTTTTATGGTCTATCTAAAGATACATAATCCCAACTAGCAATTCGGGCACATACTCGCGAGCTCTAATTCGGTTCATAAGTGCGCACTACAGCTATACAATGGATCTCCCATCGCTGATTCCAGCTGTCTAATAACGTCCTATGCTCTGGTCATGGTCTTAACTTATGAATCGATGATGTATTTTAAGTAACCTTCCAATACTTCTTCACCGAATGATACCACCAAGCCAAAAATCTATGATATCCATAACCGTACACTCCACACCGCGCTTTCCGAATCATTGTGCGACGACGCCTTATGTGACGGCATGTTGTATGGGATATTCAGCGTCGGCGCCGTTCCCATCAAACTGCAAAATGCGATCAACGGAACTGCTTCGCACACGACCATTAGCGATGACGGGCGTTGCATTTGGTATTGTTGAATTATCCACAGGAATGTCTTGAACAAGATCTGCCACATCATAGGGTCCGCCATATGAATGCCGGTCCTTAGTATCGGAGGACTCCCAAGCGTGGTTCTTCAATTCGTCGAGTTGAGCTGAAACATTAAGAGAGCCGGTACTATATCGCTTGTAGTGGTGGGAGACGCATGAATCATCACAACGGGGTTCCCAGTTAAAGGGGGAATGATATGTAGAATTCGGGTCATGTTTGAATACCATGTAATCTTTGAAGATCGTATCCGACGTGTAGTCAATGATCGTATTTTTTGCTTCTTCGAAGTCCAGCCAGAACGGGGCCTCGCCTGAAGATATATCGTCATGTCGCCTTGACGACTTCAGGGTATGAGACTCGTGCGACAAACATGCATCGTCAAAGTTCTCCTAAAAGCTCTTGCCGGTATCTCGGCCCCGTTCATCTGCCCCGTCAAGCCCTATTCCGTTGCGGATATGCTCTTCGGCAACGACTATTCGCTTAGGGAGAGCAAATCCTAAGCCGAAGAACACGAAGAAAGCCCACTTCCATCGAAATGGGTTGATTGTTACACAGAAGAAAAACCACCAAACCAGCTCTAGATACGTGAAGAAGTCGAATGCACCAGTTGGGGATGTGGCTTTCAGAAATTTGGTCATATCAATCCAACGCTCCATCCAGAATGTAGACGGTCTTGTTAATGGGTCGACGAGGAACATCAGAAGAATCCGGGTGTAAATACCGATATGCCAGTTCCCGACGGTTCCAATTGCCGACAAGTAGGTACAATTGATAGCCGAAATAGAAGGATGTTGTGGAGGAAAGGTTTGGAGATACCAGTTTGGTGGTCCGTAAGGTTCTTCGAAGCTTTCATCGGGTAGAAAATTGAGCGACGGTCTCTTATATCCAGTTGCCATAACCACCAAATCGCCTTCAAGGTTTACTTGCCGGCCAGGTCCCCCCGCTGGTACCCCCTTTTCTCTCTTATTGATGAGAACGCCAGTGTTGGTAAATCTCTCGATGTCACAGCGTATATATTCGACTTGGCCAGAACGAAGTTTTTCCATTACGTCCGAGTTGACCATTGGCGTATCCGTGAATATACCCTTATCACTCGGTGCTAGATCTTGCAGATCTCGGTAGAACAGTTTTTTTAATAGCATCTCTGGAATAGCAGACAATATCGTCTCTTGGCCCCAGATGTTCAAGGAGAGGAGGACATCAATAACCCAGTTACGGGGAATAATCCATTTATCACTGCGCGACAGAATATAAGCTTTCGCTGCTCCCTCGTCCTAAGTCATAAGTAAGCAGTCAGCAACTACTATGACAACTTGAAAGCTACTCGGGGTACCGTAGATGGCGATATCTCTACAGCTCGAACGAATTATCAATAAAATAACACATACAGAAGCATACTCCAAAGCCTCAACAGCAGAGGCGCCGCCGCCGATGATTACCATCGTTTTGTCCTTGACATCGACCCTTGAACTCAGTTAGCAACAAGAAAATAAACCAATGCGAAATCACACATACCCGGTCAATTGACTTGAATGATAGACTGGGTTCTTGAAATTGTCCATGCCATCCATCCGAGGCATCTTGGGGTCGCCGCAAGTCCCAACAGCGGCTATGACACCTTCAAATCTACCATTCGCAGTGTTGTTGATTATCCAGCGACCTTGATCGTCCTTATACACCTTGTCAACCTTGGTATTGAACTTGGTTCTCGTGTCCAGGCCGTATCGTTCCCATAGTTGTTTGACCTGGCTAATGATCTGCTGCCGGTCTGGATAGCCGCGGTTCCATTTGACTGAGGGGTGAAATCTGTACATGAAAGAATGGATCTGCAGGCCCGAAGAATTGTTGACTTTCTGTTTAGGTACGTTTAACACTGTCAGCGCTACAATAATCCCAGCTTTGGGTTTGAAGTCAGGTTACGTACACTCCAGATGCCTCCTAAGCTGTTCTCATCTCCAACCTCAAAAATCGTAACATCGAATCCATGACCGATACAATGAGCGGCGGAGGTGACACCGGTGATTCCAGCACCGATGATGGCAACCTTGGGCTTTCCTAAATGAGTGCTCGGACCTGGAGGTCTTGGTGAAAAGACCTTGTCGGCAAACCATTGGAAAATAGTAAAGAAAACCAAGCATTGCCAATTGAAGATCTCGGAAAGAAACCGAAAGGGGTAGAATATAGGGTTGTCCAGCTCGTGTAGTTTTTTCATCAACTCAGTTCGAGCTCCGACTACGACATCCCTGAGTTGGGATGCCGTTTGTTGGGATGGCATGACGGGACTGCTGCGCCAAAAATTCGAAATGAAGAGTATGATATGGATATGCCTTGAGCAATACTATATCAACTCGGTTTCCAACAATGAAGTGGAAAAGGGGCCGAATTTCCAAGCTTGCTTACGTGTTTGTGAGAAACTAGAAGTGGTAGTTGATCAAATGGAGGGAATAAACAGTAAGAAAATATAATTCATTTATTAAATTTCCTCAATTTCCTCACACTCGAATGACGACAATGTTCGCAAGCGGATTTCATCATGTCAATTACGTCACATAACATTGAATGCATGGTAGCTAGTACCCGAGAAGGAGGGAAAGCTCCATCTACTGTTGCTACAGTTGTACAATACCTGGCATGTGAACTTTGTGAAGAGAGCTAGGTAAGCTACGTACCACTGGGTAGGTAGGCACCTACACTACCTAGGTAGATATCTAACTATAATAGGTAACATTGAGGCAAGTAAAGACCAATCATTGGATAAGAATTGACTGGATACAATTTAAGAATCGAACAAGCATGAGACACGGGAAAGCACTTGTAAGTTGTAACTATTTGTACCTGCATTAGATTGAACGTTGAATTCCAACATTGACCCCTCACTACCTAGTACTAGGGTACACATCCTCGTAGCTGAACTGTTACGTACATACATGTACGTCTCCTATTTACACAGACGATACTTCCACCTCTCCCATATCATTCACCCCTACTTTGAAAACAGATTGTGGTTGATCCTCGCTGAATTCGTCGCCATCCTCCAAATAATAACCAATTAACGGTCTGGCGATGGTTTCATTAACACCATGAAGAATACTACTCGCCGCAAGTTCCGGCAAGTAGTAATTCTTCGCGATACTAGAACACACTGTAGCATCCTCCGTTATCTTGATACGAATATTGCCAACGAGCCTCTCCAAGATCGATGATGTTACGACTGGTTCACTAAGCTTCGTTTCTAAATCCATTATGCATTTGTCAACGAGTACAGCTTGCTCAGCCTCATCAAATGCCTCAAATGGTATCATCTCGGTAATACTGTTTGCCAGACGAGCTCCATAACTTTCAGCACACTGCTGGCGGAGTCGGCGGCAAATACGCCTATGTCTGGTTGATGTCGTGAGTTCCAGGTCTGGATCATCTGTATTGTGCCCACCGACAGAAGGCATGTTTTGATCGAATTTGCTTGTTGAAAGAATCCAAATCGTTTGGGAGCAATCCACTTTCTTTCCGTTCCGACGATCTATGTACTCTCCTACAGACTTCGGTTTCAGCTTGTACGAACACGGACGCGAGCCAGTGAAGCAACGCACCTTGATAAAACGCCATTAGCAGCGTATTACAGACTGCCTCATCTGGTTTGTCGAATTCATCCATAAAGACAATACTGCGTTTGCCAGTCTTTGTAGCTAAGAAGTAATTCAATAACGAGCCGGCTCCGTCCGCTTGAGAGGATCCGAAGAGTTTATCGTCCCGCCTCACGGTAGAACAATCAACATATTCAGGTTCTGAATGTAGAACATGGCCTAGTTGTTTAGCAAGCTCTCTTTTGCCATGCCCCCGCGGACCTGCAAAAAGAAGAACTAGTGGCTTCTTGTTAGGCATAGCAAGATACCTAGATATTCAAGATCAGTTTTGCCAAATCCAAGATAAAAAATTAATACTAACGTAAGGAAAGACTTTCTCAAGGACCATGTTGCTACTGCTTGTCCGATGATAGTCATTCGAATGCCAATAATTGCATCGGCATCCTTTCGGAAAGCTAAGGCTTTCTCGCGACCCGAAGCCGGCTTCAATATTCTCGCCTGCCAAAGTCGATATCGTTGAGTTAGAGTCAGTTTAGAACCCAACAATGGCCGAATTTCTGGAGTGCACCACATTCTATGGGGATCTTCCATATTGGAAAACTCGTCCTCTTTGGGCCCGGAAGGCCCAAGGTCTCGACCGAAGGGTTCATAGTATGCTTCCGGGATAACACGAGGCGATGCCCCAAGTCTAAGTAGCGTCACGATAGTTTCTGTCGCTTGTAGACGTGTATCAGCGCCACGCAGGATCGCGAAGGCAAGCACGGGAAAGTGAAAAGGCCCATGAGTCGCGTTCGGGTCACCACCGTACTTAATCCACTCCCGGATATAGTCCACGTTGTTGGTCTCAACAATGTAGAAAATTGCTGGAAAGCCTTTCACCTCTTCGTTCAGTCTCTCTTTTAACTGCTGAGGATTTCTCTCATGGTAATGCGTAAGATAACTGCTGAGGGATGCTGATGGACGGTGGGGATCATCAAAAGAATACTTTTGAACACGGCTAAGGATATATTCAAGGTCGAACTCGTCATTGGTATCCAACTTTAGCTCCCCGGAGGTAAAAAGGCAAGGTAGTCGATCGTATTGTCGTAAATCAAATGTTGGAGGTTTCGAAATAATCTGTACTCTGTTTTCATCGGGCAAGTCGGTGAAGTCAGATTCAGCAACAAGGCTTGTATGCTCTGTTTCCAGATTCTCAGTCACGCGGTCCTCTTCCTTGGGACTCTTCACATTCTATGTTCTATGAGTTAGGATAATGAGGGAGTGTGAGGGTGTGGATTGATGCATCTGCAAACCTCTACGATTTCATTGTTCACATCGGAAGCCAAGGACTACCGAATAGGCGTTAGTGAGATACACCTTGAATATACCAGCCCAGCTGAGGTTCAAATATTCACTTACTCCAGAAACCGGACGAGGCTCCTCGACCGGAGGTTCCGTGATCAGGGATGTTCTCTGCTTTTTCTTCTTCGCCATCTTTGAAGCGACTAGCCCTAGGTGACTGACGAGGAGGCTCAACTTATACATGGTAGGCGACAAAGACGATATATAAATGATAGAAAATCCCTGCCTACCTGCACAGTTTAGACCGAGACTAGGTATGTATAACTAGATACTTGAAATATCTGCCTAAGCATGACGCCTAACCGGTCGCATCGAGTTGCGTTTGGAACGGGCTGCCGAGATGCTCCTTGCATCGAGATCGCCTGTGCGGCCACATGCGTTTAGTGCCAATAGGAGTGTTCCAACATGCAGACAGCCTAAGACAGGCATCGCCTTTTTTACGCTCGATTCGATGGTAGGTAGGTACATACCTTCCAGCATGGTCTTGGAAGGTTTATACATTGACAATGTCTATTTACCTAGGTACCTAGGTAGGCAGGCAGCTATTCGAATACCTAGAAGAGACGAGAGAAGTTGTATATCAGCGGTATTATGGGCTTCGATTCCACTCCAAGTATTCGTAGATGCCCAGGTACCTAACCTAGTACATGTACATTCAGGTAGGCAGGTACGCAAATGCGTTCCCGAGCCCGAGATCAACAAGCAGAACACATTGTATGGAATCGAGGTCAAACGCCCGGCCTGTATGTTGGTATTGTAAGCTCTGTGCACTGCGAATGAGAATATCGGGCTTCAGGCCATTAATATATATACCTATACGTGGCATGGCATGTGTGACTCTTCAAGACCCCTCCCCCCTTCTATGTCGGCTTGATGCCAATGTAACCTCACGTACTAAGTATGGACCATACACAACTCACCAATTCCAGGAGATGTAATAACAGGTAGGTACATAACCTGTCACATCTCATTCCGAGATTAACGAAGCCACTGCGCAAGAATTTATTTTTATTTTTATTTTCATTCGGGTATCTGAATCTGTGCCCGCGTCTTGTGTGGTAGCTCACATGCACTCATCCCGGCCCACACACCCATCCATCATTTAGCACCTACATGTAGGCATGTATGTACATGAAAGCCGGGGAAGCAAAACCCTCTCCGGTCTACCACTTCAGGTACCTAAGTACATATACAGGGCAGCGAGACCTGCAATTACGACCATTCGTCGCGATTAGTTGCTCGTGAAGAAATTCACCGCTAACACCGGACCTAGCTGGACCTCCCTCACCCACGCATCGTAGGCAAAGCGCATGCGCTGCGACCTGGCGACGGGCTTGCCCCCGCCCCAGCCCTCAAAGCCGGCCGGCTGCTCGTACAGCAGGAATATGTACCGGTGCGGGGCGCTGCCCGGCGGCGGGCCCGGCGGCGCGTAGCTCGCCACCACGGGTGCCTTGGACTGCAGGGTGGTGGTTGTGGTTGTGGTTGGGGCCTGGAGTCCCGGCTGCACCCAGTGCAGGATCGGGCTTAGGAAGGCGAAGGAGGCGAAGGGCGCGTCGATGTCCACGCTCGTTGCGAGGTAGGTTTTCTCCGGGGAGAGCGGCGCAAAGGTTAGTTCGGGCGGGGATTGCGCGTCTGTTGTGGGTGGTGGGGAGATGGAGGTTAGTATGAGATGCTTGGATACTTATATGCATACCTCGGTAGGTACATAGGTATGTGTATTCATTCATTGAGAATCCTCAACTACTAGTTCTGGGCGTGCTCCTTCTTTCGGCTTACCGGCTCGTGGGATGTAGTCCCCGGGTTGGACATTGGCATGCTTGCCGACGGTCAAGCCAAGTATCTTGGCTTTGTCATTCTCGATGAGAGACAAGGCCTCAAGGACGTGGGAGCTCTTAGGCATCTCGAATGAAGGGATTCCGGGGAGTGGAATAAGAGGTGGTTAAGTTTGACGTTTAGAAGATTAGCCGAGAAGCCCTTATATGTTCATCTGCATAATGCTAGAATGACTGTTTCGTTTTATTCAAAATAGCAATTTGTTGATGCAGGTCATGAGTCGCGCCATGTATGCGCTTGGTTCGTCTGCGCGGGGTGGTGAAAGTTACCAGCCACTCAAATTCTACCCATCATCCAAGGTTAGTAGGCCAGACGGAGAATATAAAAGAACCCGGCATTCCGATTTACTCACGACAAGGAATCGTTCGATAGTTAAGAACCCTTCACATACCCATCATACGACCGCAACATATACTTACCTAATCAGATTATTAAGTACAAAAGAGGTCAGAGAAGTAGAGATATTCAATTCCTGTCGGGATCAAGATCGGGATCTCCCGGTGGTAGGCCGAGCTATGATGTGCTTTCTCCGTCCCGGGTCCGGAGATCCGTCATTGCCAATGCCGTTCAGACTAGTTAGTCCAAAGCAATAGCCTATAACTACATAGGTCTATGGGACTTTTGATCCAATGTAAGCTGCCCAGATCAGCCAAGCCACCAACCCAAGATAGGATTGCTCAGCAGCCTGGATGACATGAAGTTTGATCATGTGTGCTGTATTTCAATACACACTTTAATAATTTCAATTCAATCATAACAATCTAAACTTCCCCAGCATTTAGACATCATGTCGATATGTGAAACCTTGGTAATTGTTAACACTTTGACTGCTACGTGTGTTGGAAGTGGTCAAGTTCCTCGATTAGGTTAAATGTTTGCTTGCCTCTGGTGAACTAGACGCATTTTCAGGGTTGTGATCGCCGGAAAGAGGTGTGATATCAATCGTAATGCCGACGAACTGTATCCCTTGAAACAAAAGTCCTACCTAGTTGGGCACCCTTGTTGATTGGCACGAGCCAAACGGTAGAACTAAGCGGGATGTGGAGAGGAGGGAGCAGTCGGTAGTACGATCTAAATTGTCCTAGGGTTCACTCCAGCTGCTCCGGTACTGTTGGCGCAACTCCAACGGTCAAGTCTTGTTTCGACTATATTGTACCTTAATGCTGTCCTTTCGGATGAGGGTTTTTTACAGTGCCTGTGTATGCACGTAGACTTGTAGAGTGACCTTCGTAAATTACTCGATACTCAAGTACTAGGTGGTGCCTAGTAGGAATAAACAAAAGGTGCAGGTGGCGTTATTCGACTTGATCACTACCTGTTCCTGAACGATGACATGATGTAATGCTGCATGCAAAAAGCAACGACAAGTGTCGGACCGGACCCAGCTACCAGGCATGAGAATCCATGGCACCCCTTCCTCCATCACACAGTACCTACTTACTAGGGAATGTCAAGTTTATGACATGTCTCCTATTTTACACACTTGCAGAATATTAAGTACCAAGCCGAGACAAATGAGACAACTCAGCCATTGTCAGTGTTAGCCAACTACTATTCTCGATAAGCTTAGGTACATCGTCGTATATATATGGCCATTTACGTTACATTCCATAAAATGATCCCTTAGAGGCATCATTTGCCTCGTAGCTTTGGCCCGTGAGAGAGGCTCACGTTGAAGAATGTATGTGATATGGGTGGGCGCAGAACCCTCGTGTTGTGGCTGTAACCTACCTGTTATGGCTACTGATCACTTTCGTATTGCTCCAGATGCCACGCGTGGGGTTGTGGAGGAATGAGGCGTTTCGGTACTTGACCACATCGGCGATTACATTAACACTATAATTTAAACATCCTATACTATAGAACAACACGTTTTGGGCTAGGTCATGCACAGTACTACCGGGCCATTTATGACACCCCAGAGCTACTCTATCCAGTCGTCCAATGGAAGCCCTAGTCTAAAGACATGAATGTCACATCATGTTCGTAGAATAGCCTCGATAGAAACATCCATGATTGTTTCAAAGGCTACCAACTGTCCGGAAAGGGCAGGTGTACCTTGTCTGAAGGATCTATATCCGATCGACCTAGTCAAGGATAGGGGGGTATGTTGCCCTACGCCAAACAGGCCTACAATTACGGATGGAGCTCCCCATGAGCCCCTATCATGTAAGCTTAGTATATCTAGAGGCTCAGAGAAAGCTGGCCAACAGCTAAGCAAAGAACCGGGGCTCGTCAGTCTAAATAGGTATCGTCACCTCCATTGCCGTGTAGATAAATAGTTCTAGCCACGCCTTATTTTCTTGATGAATCCGGAGCCCTAAACATCAGCATATTTCTTTCCTTCCTTCTTCATTTCTAGTCAATATATTATATCCCAAAATGCCATCTTTCAACACCACACTATTGGCTCTGGCAGCCTCCCTCTCCTTGGTGTATGGACACGGTCATGTCCGTAGAGTCATTGCTGACGGCGTAACCTACCCGGGATTTGAGCGTTGGGAGAACCAAGACCAGAGCAAGGTAGTTACGTGGCACTTCACAACAGAAGACGAAGGCCCAGTTCCGATCTCCAGCATCAACAGCCCCGACATCATCTGCCACAACGGTGCTACCAATGCTCAGGCCTCCGTCCCGGTAACTGCAGGATCTCAGATACAGGTCGTGCGTTTCAACACCATTGGTGGATTCGAACACCCAGGCCCTCAGATCGACTACCTCGCGCCTTGTGGTGATACTGGCTGTGCCAATGTCGACAAGAACAACTTGAAGTTCTTCAAGATCTTCGAGAAGGGCCTTGTTAAAGGCGGCATGGCGGACAGCCCTACCTGGAACACGCAGAAGTGGGCCACCACTGAGGTACACAAGAACGTTCAGTCGGAGGGCGAAGGCTTCATCGACACCTTCACCATCACAATCCCCCAGAACGTTAAGCCCGGCCCTTACGTCCTCCGCCACGAAATCTTCGGTCTTCATAGGGCCCACCTTGGCGACGCCGAGTTCTACCCTCAGGTGAGTACCGAGTAGAGCATGAGTGCTTGGGGATAGTTTTCCTTCATAAAACTCCTCGCTAACCCCATATAGTGCATCAACCTTGATATCAAAGGGTCTGGTACCCAGCAGCCACAGGGAATTCCTGCCACCCAGCTATACAACAGCAAAGACGCAGGAATCGACCTCGATATCTGGGTAGACCTTGAATCCTACAAGGTTCCTGGCCCGGCGGTATCCAAAATCACGACGAAGCGGGATATCATTGGGGAGAGCGCTGCTAGGCGACACCCGCGAGATCTTCACCACTAGCCTAACTTAGCTGTCTAAATTTGTTGCTTGAAGCTATCCGTCACATGTTCTTCGACGTTTGAGACGTTCAGGGGGAAATGCTGCAAGTTGTACATACCTACCTACTTTCAAGACTTTCTTCCATGTTCGGAATTCTATTCTATCTGTACATACCTAGTTATACTTGTCATAATTAACCAAGTACATTCGTAAACTCTTTCTTGATATAGAACTGCATGGTTTCCTGCTTTGGGTAGGTAGAGAGTAGTTACTTTGTCTGCTGTAAACAGTAGACTATCTGGTGACTGAGACATAGTAGGTATATAACAAGATGATTTGAGAACCAGCTATAGCTCCGTAGATTATACCTAGTAGTCACTTTGTTCTCGATTTAAATACGACGAAGATCTCACCGCTGGTTAGGTAGGTATTCTTTGTATCTTCCAACAAAGCATGAGAAACGGGACAGGAAACAAGTGTATTGATAGCTTCCCAGTGACAGCAAGGAGATGTCAGGTATATATTTCTTTGTTCGCTTCGCATATACATAACTCCATGCGCACGTTTCTGCTTCTTTGTTAGCTCATACACTCCGTACCGAACCTAGCGTCCGTCCGTTCTACGACATCAAATGCCGTATTCCTCAAATTCCACCTAGGTAAACCTCTGATTTAAAGAACACACTTTTCAAGTAGCTGCAATCACTTGCTGAAAAGCAGAGGGGTGAAATGGATCCATCAACCCGCAAACAGCCTCGCCGCGCTGTCAGGGACAAGTCTCGATCACGCCCGAAGACAGAACTACCCCCGACCCCCAGACACGCATTAATCTCGGGGGATCAAAACACCACCGCAGCAGTTGCAGCAGCCGGCGCGAAACGCAAAAGCAGGGGGGAAGCAGAACAACAAAAGGGACATTCCAAGAAGAGATGGCATTCCCACAAGACCACGGAACCACCGCAGGAACCCATCACGCCGGCATCGACGACCCCCGCGGAAGCAGCGCCAGAGCAAGCCAAGGGAAAGAAGCCAGCCCGCAAGAAGAGGAAGCGGGCCCCGCGGAAGTTCATGGACGACTTCCTCGCGTCCGACGCCGAAGAGCCCGAAGAAGAAGAAGAAGGATATACCGATGTGGAGCGAAGCGACCAGCAACTGCGCCGGAAAGACCGCTGGGTCCCCGATATGGAGCATCGAAGCCGTCCGACGACGAGGCCCAAGGGCATCCCCCACGCGCTCTGGATGTCGTACTGTCTCCTCGACGACTACATCTACCGACACTCCCTGACGCCTGAGGAGATCAGGACACACCCGCTCATGGACGACGTGTACATGTTTCAGAGCGGTGGCCCGCAGCCCGTGACGCCGGCCGGGTTCCGGTGGAACGATTACCAGAAACTGGAGCCTATCAGGGATTAAAGGGGCGGGCGGGGGCGACAACCAAAAGTTATTATGTGTACCTAGACTATGACCTATGACTAATAAGTAACGAGGCGCTTTCGTCAACTGTGTTTCTATGATGAATGTAGCATGGAGGTGTTTGTTTAGTAGAATGGGTGCATTACAGAACCGGGTGGATGGGACGAATAGATAGGTACCTAGATAGAAATATAGATGCGCATTGTTATAATGCTGTCTTTCTGTTCAAGTTTTATGCGAGGCATCCCTCCCTATCTCCTACTATTCTAAGCTTAGGTTAGTAATTTTTGCTTCTAGGGGGCGGCAAGAAGGATCAGCCATCTCTTACGTAGGCTGGCCTTCCAGCATCAATTTGCTTCCTTGATTTAGTCGATGCTAGTGTACGGACGTAAAGGGATGCATCCATGAACATATATATACCTACCTAGGTATTCTATGAGATGAAAAAGGGGTGATATAGGGGGTGTCACGTGACACTACACCGAGATCTGATATGAACATTGCTATGATAGATTTTCGCAGCTAGATCGACCACAACTTGACTGAGCAATCGTCATGAAGTAGGCCGCCTTGTGAGCCATGCAGCTGTCTAGTCTGCAAGATGACACCTTTCTCAATAGCTTTTTTTCGACGTTCAAGAATTTCATCATCTTTTTGACCGCTTGTTCATCCCCCTCCACCGTGCCAGTGGAGGTTGTGCTGAGCTGGAGAACTGTGGAAAATGGACAAAGAAATGAGTTGGCTGTTGAAACCAAACATAATATCAGCACCGTCGCCGTCACCAGTATGGATTTCATATACACGCATATCGTCCATGGTGTCCATTTCATCCAGCTGGGTGGTATACGCAACGAAGAGGATGAAAAGTTGGAGGGAGGGGGACGATTGTGAGCTGCTTTGTGCTGGACTGTAGATAGAAAGGTTCAAAATTGTATCCATGTGAATGAGTAGGAATCGGGAAATCACCGGAATAGAAGAGCCTCACAGGTCCAAAAGGACAAAACACTTGTGCCACAATTCTTGCTGGGGTAGGAATGGCTTGTTTCAATTAACATTGAATAGCGTTGAATTACGTGAAGCTTCACCTAGGCCGATGACCTCTTCATCCAGTGAAATGCAATACAATACTATTGAAATAGTATCACTCAACCATATATACCTATTTATATCGGTTATGCTATAAACTCATGAGCTAATGGCATATCTTTCATATCTCTAGCCACCCCCGTCGAGAAGTCCATTTTATTGTGCTCTTTATAGGCACTATAATCCATGCTATCAGTAAATATTCATGTGCTGGTGGGGTTTCTAGGAGTCTGATTCTTAACCTACAGGGCTTCGATCAAGAACCTAATGTTGTCCGCATTCCGGCAGGCCCTTTCAGGGTAATTCTTTGCCAGGTTTAGTGCGTGCTGAACGCCGACTGCAGGCACACCCAAGGGACGTCCGTCGTAATCGACAGCCTCTTCTATGATGAAATCTTAGTAGACGTGGCCAACTATAGTCGACTTTCTTTGGTACTTACGTATTCCGATTTTGAACTCTTCGCGGCCTTCGAACATTATTTTTTCTTTCCCGTATAATTGGGCCCTAGAATTCCAAGAATCAGCTACTACTAGTAGTTTATGATATTGACACCGCATTTTAGATTTCAGATAGGAGCACAACTAGCTAACTTACAGTTGACGTAGCCAAATTCCGCTTCCAGTCGTTTGCTTGTCTAAGCTATCACCTAGGTTTACTTCTACATGAAGCCATCTGGGCTCCAACTGCATACCAAATGGGCACCATACTATGAGATTCAACTGGGGCGCTACCCCTGCAGAAACCCCCTCAGCACACCAGCCATGGTCCGTCTCGGTATTGTGATCATACATGTACATGTGCCATGCTTCGTATAGGTTGGAAATCCACGAACTGGGGTAGATTGGTTAGCAATGTACCGCGCTTGTTGTTATGGCAAACAATCGAAATGGGAAAGGATGGGAAAGGGAAGATCCTAAACCTACCCTCTTGGCCAGTTCACCCCTATAACCCGAGAGATCGGAGTCGATGGGTCCTGGGAGGACGGGTAATAATATTCGAAAGAATCAGGCCCGAAATATAAGTAGTATCTCTCTCCATCTTTACGATGACCGTTCTGGAATCCAAAATCCATATCAAGCAGAAGCTAGGAAGGGGAGTTGAGAAATTAGTAACCGTAATTAAAATGAGTTCATTAAAATAGTGAATAGAATCATGGGCCGTGGTACGCTAGATTGCTAACTTACGTTCGAAACTATGTCAAAGCAATACTGCGATGTAGTTGCCGGCTTTCCAAATCTCTCCATGTGTATCCCACCGAATGCTATTATAAAGTATCAGCCAGCTCCAATAGACATGAACCAAGGATATTCAATCAGGATATTTGTTACACTTACCGAAAAATACCCTCTCCACCCTGGACCAATAAATCGCAGGGAGCAGGCGTAGGGGGTATGGCTTCATCATTTTACGCATATTTTCTACAACTTCCTTAACGTACTTGTGTAACAATTAAACGCTTGCTCAAGAAAACGAGAAGGAAACGGCTGGCTTACTGATCCGCTAGCTTTATAACCAATGGAAAGGTTTCTGTACTTCTGTTCCATATTATCAACTTTTGGATATGCTTTTATGGCATCAGAAAGCGTTAGTTGGAAAAATTCGCTCATTTTGTTCGAGGGTTCTGCTTCAACACCTATGATGGCAACTAAGTAGAATACCAAGATTCTGGATAAGAAATTACGGTAGATCATTGTGATTATAGTGGTTTGGATTTGGGGTCGAAATAGTTGGATGTGAGGGTATGAAATGCTATTTCCTGTTATTCTATGCCTGCAATTCAATGAGATTACGCTATATATACCTACCTAGTACTCTCCCTAACAGATGTCCACCTACCTAGGTATCTAGGTAGATATTCAGTAAACGTCCAATGTTGAGCACACAAAATTTTAGACTTATTAATGAATTCATGATGAAAATTTCACCCAATGTATAATGGCGGCGCTCATGTTGATTACATGTCGTATCAATGTACTTTTTAACCTACTAAAGTCCACGCAGTCTTTAAAGGATAACCGACGGTTTTATTCATAGATTTGTGAATCCTACTGGGTAGATAGGTGACTCTAATATGAATTACACCGGTAAAGCCTCATTACATAAACTGTAAGACATAAGTCCCCCTATTCCCACACACCCTCATCCAAAACTGGCCCCCCGCTGGGTACTATATTTTAACAATAACCGGCAATTGATTTTGAAATTTAAATAAGTACCTAGAATACTGTTAGAGTCATGAACCTTTCCTCTCTCAAGACCTACCTAGGTTAGGTGACTTAGGAACTTTGACTTACCATTCATATCATTGTGCCGCGATGGATTCCGTTCGGCGGTGAACATGCCTCAATCTCTATATATTCTTAGATTATCGCTTTCGAATAAGGCGTCTGACCACGGCGAAGCGCTCGTCTGCTTTCTTCTGAAACCTGGCTTTGTGCGGCCATATCTTCAAAAGTTCGCGGTTATTTCTGTATTTTTCGGCAAGTTTGGCTCTATCTCCTTGGCGCCTAATCGCAATCAATCAGAGGGGGTAATAATCTTAGACCAGTTGATTAGGTCAAGCGAATTGACTGGAATATTTGTCGTCTCTGTTCCGAAGGCCTCTGCGAAGGCTTGGTGCTCGACGTTGTCGCTCGACCAAAAGCGGCTTTCGTGGGCTTTGATAGTTCTCAGAAATTTGATTCTTGTCGGGCTCATTTTGGTAGCATAGTTGTGCTATTTTCTTTCGTAAGGAGTAGCTACGGACGATGACTGGTCATGTCATACCTCGCACAGGCACTCTCTGGGGACCACCAATGGGGTTTTATAGCTGTAGCCCAGGCGGCTATCCTTTGTCGCATCCCAATGTAATCGCTTTGGGTACCTTCAAGGTCGTGAATTAAGCCAGGCACTTGGCGGAGATATCGTAACCCTTGGCAAGGGCCAGAGGTACTCGAAGTGTACGAGGGCTTTAGACAGCCACCTCTTCCTGAGCTGTCCTCGTTGTTGTTGTTTGGGCTTTCTATATCGTCACATTGCCTAAGTTGTGAGGTGTAGCTATAGACCAGTCTTTATAGGGTTATGTTCCACCAGCTAAGGAGGAGACTGGTTACACTTAGAAAAGACGTTAGCTTTGAGAACATGACTAATCATATGGAAAGGGGAGCTGTTTTAGATGCAAACCAGGCTTGGACATACCTCTTAGGGCTTCTTATGCTTGCCCTTTTTATTCTTCTTGCCATATTTCTTAGGCTGGTTATCTAGAGCTTTACTCTTCTGACTCTCTTCCCTAGCCTTTCGATTGGCCCGGTCGGTGGCTCGCTGTGCCGCAATACACGACATGCAATCCTCTCCGATCACCTTGACAGTGCCCGGATGTACTGCGCACAATTCCTGGTGGGCACTGCAGTAAGATGAGGCGCGGGAGTGGACCATACGGCAGTTTCCCTTTCGCCGGCGGAGAGGGCAGTGGTGTTGCGTGCCCCAAACTGTATGGGGCATCGTGGCGACTATGTGTATTAAGTATAGTCGTAAGGAAAAGCGAAGTATGTTGGTAGAAAGACGAAGTATTATCGCGTAGTGAAATGAGGTACAGTACGCTACGAAGAATAGAGACATTGAATAATGTTGTTAGGTATGTGGTTGCGATAGTTTGAAGAACGAATCTATGCGAGAGGAAAGGACAGGCGTGAATAATTGTGAAAACAAAAATCAACATATTTCTTTCTATTATTTTAATAGCAGAAAGTCTTCTTATCAAGTATCGCCTAAGGAACCAGGTGAGCACATTAGCTATCCAGCTTACAGTAAATCCTACAGTTCTGCATCAAATAGAGAAATATTACTGTGTTAATTCTATTTACTAGTCAACATACTTACATAGGTAGATTATTATGATGCGTATCTCGCACCGTTCTTGTCCTTCTTTCCATTGTGTTGATGGCCAATGCGCGCCATTTGTCAAGTACACTCACGGATGTATCGCTAGCCATTATGAAACTGGTCGTTATTCGTTGATTAAGCAATTATGGAAAAGAAATGGTTCTAGTTGTAGCCGTTTGTAAACTATATAGGTGTATAGATGTCTATAAATCTGAAGGATTTGGTGATCTATGGGTGTTCCATCTCTTCCCCCTTTTATATATCCACTTTTCTCTCCTTTAAATAATCGGATGTGTTCTATCCCATAGTAGCCAAACACCACCACCCCTCTTGTTTTTAGAAACATACATACCTACTCAGTAAAACACACAATCTTTAATGAATAGTGACTATGTACCGAATGGGACCAAACAATTGTCAAGAATACCTAACCTAGTATTAGTTACGGGAGAACAGGAAACTGACCCCTCAGAAGAGTTTCTCAATGCTGAATACTAAGTACCTAGGTACCTATGAAGACTACCTGAGTACGCAGCTATGCTAATTTTCAAATCCTAACCTCACATTTAAGGATAGTAAGTACTCTCTCAATAGATTGGTGAACCGGATTCCCGAGCTGTCGCGGAAGGTGATAATCCTCACAAGAGATTTCTGATGAAACCACCTTGAAAAGCCGCCGTACATACTTCACATTGTTTTTCCCATTTTCGTGGAGACGGAAACTTGCTCGTCAAAGTCACAATGTTTCTCCCTAGATGGGTACGCTTGATAATGTACCGTAAACAATCACAGTGCTTTTGCCAATTAATTAGTAAGAGTCAGAGACAGGCGCAAGCTCACCTACCAGGCAGACAAGTACCTGAGGCAGCTAACTACTAGTTAGTATCTTGATATCGCTGTTGCAAGTTTCAGGCATGCTGTTGTTTGTTGACACTGATATCGACGTCTTTTAAGCCATCTAGTGGTCCCACTTTTCTACCTACAAATGCTAGATAGATGCCTCAGTAGAGAGGATGAATAGGTAATATAGGATACCTACCTTCTAAACAAACTGATCTGGTGTATTGAAAGCTTAGTAAGATTAGGCACACAGACATACAGGCAAACAACTGCTATCAAACCCGCCACGCCTTAGTCTGTGAGGGCGAGTGGTGGGTGTAAGAGGAGCGAAATTGGCCTCACGATGCTGCCAGTGGAAAATGTGAAGATAGCCCCGAAGAAGATCTGCGAGCCATGTTATATACCTGGAAAATACTAGGTAGTTCATGGAAAGCATTTTATACAAGCGAATCCTAACGTACCTAGGTACCTACTACTACTACTACTACTAGTAGACTGAACTAGCTACAGGTAGGTTAGCGACCACAGCATCCCTCAACGGTTCAACCCCTCCCTCTCCCTACTCAAAAATCTCAAACCCAACCAAATCCGGCGCATAAGCATTGCCACTCGCCGAGAACACCACGCTATTCTCCTCACCCTGCACAAACCCATCAACCTCAATGAACATCCTATCGCTCTCGAACCAGTCACCCCCCGCAATGGGGAACGCCCACCGCTTCGCGCGGCCGCCGTTGACGGCGACCGTCATGTTGCGCGTGTTGGAGCCCCAGCCCCAGGCGCTGTCGAGCGCGATGTCGTAGTTGATGAAGTCGACGCCGAGGACCTTGGAGCCCGCAGACCTTGCGGCAACGGAGTCGAATGCTGCGGTGGCCGCTGTGCCTAGAATGTTCCCCACTTTGGCCCCGGCGGGCGCGCACTCGCTCGCGTCGCAGGAGACCTTGGCTGCGCCGCCGGCGAGTGTCGCGTTCGTCGCCGCGTAGTACGTTCCCGTGGACTTCTCTATCGTTGCGGTGGTGGCAACGACGTCGCTTAGGACCAGGAGCCGCATCTCGTGGCCGGCAAGCTTAAAAGTCTGGACGCCGGAGACGACGCCAATGTCTTGCGCGGCCCAAACGTCGCGGGCCTTCGCCGACGCGACACCAAGCACGGCGGCAAGGTCGACCTCGACAGTCTGCGAGTCGTTGCGCCAGTTCGCGATGCCGAGTACAGTACGCGCTCCGGAGAGTTCGCCCGCCCAGATATCCCATTCTTCCTCGGTGTATCGCCGGATCAGGCGTGCTTGCTTGCCCAGCGGGTCCTGGTTGATGGCGATGACCTCTTCGTTGCGGAGCACGTCGAGGGAGGACGCCGGGATCAGGCTCGGGTCGGCTGGGGCGCCGATGTTGAGAGGAGACTTGTTGATTGCCCACATGCTGAAGTGGAACTTTTCTTCCTCTAGGGACAGGGCATTGAGACCGATGCTAGACATCATACGTATTAATCGGTGTTTGAATGTAGGTAGGTGGGTAGGTGCTGGGGTAAGTGTACCCCTTAGACAACGCTCAGGGCTTAGAAGCACTCACATCAACATATCCAAGTCGGGATAGGCGCCAACCGTAGTGGTCTTGTAAAACGGCACAGCCTGGTTCGTGATTCTCCATACACTCCTCCACGAGTTATAGATATCGTTGCTGATTCTATAGATGTTGCCGATAGGCGAGGCCCAAACACCCAGGTCCTCGCCAACACCCCATTGGCATATGAAATAGGCTATGTCTCGATCTACACCTTCCAAGACCGCAGCCATCTTCTGGTGGCGCGAGGGCGAGGTAGAAGCTGGCGATGTATAGTCCGCCATGACCGTGCGGGAGGAAGAGTAGCAGTTATCGTACCTATGTGTATAAGACTTGAATACGACCGTAGACTGGAAAGGTGCTTTCTAAAAGCTCTGAAACTTACTTTAAAGAATCACCTTCCCACTCGGCAAACGTTTGCGCGTCTATCTCCTCGAATCCTATATTTAAACTTAGAATACAGCTCAGAGACACAAAGATCTATTTCCGCAGATTTCATACCAAGAGAAGCCGGTAGATCCGTCGAACCACATTGGTAATATCCTGCTCCGGAGTAGAGTCCAAACTTCAAACCCAGGCTATGAATATAATCGCCCAGGGCTTTCCCTCCAGATGGGAATAGGTTAGTATCCCATTGTAAACGGCCGTCGGAGTCTCTATCTTTTGCCATCCACCCACAATCGGTCGTGACATATACGTAGCCCAAATCTGCCAAGCCCAAATCGACGAGCCCCTTAGCATTGGTCTTCATGATCTGCTCGCTGGGATTGCAGTTATAGTGGTTATAACTGTTCCATCCCATTGGCGGAGTCTTAGACTTGTACAACCCAGCTTCCACCGCAGCCACCAACAGCATCGTTGGAGCGATGATGCTCTTCATCGTGTACTAATCCTCGACTGTCCTACTTATGAAGTTTATATAGGGTGAGTTGGCTGCATAGAGACTTTGGGTATCAACATACGTATCCAAGACTCATGAGCGTCACCGTACCTTTTGTACACTCGTGAAAGAGCCAAGCCAAGCCTCCTCGGTGTATACGAGCCGATGACTACCAGTGCAACCGGATAAACCTCATCAAGCTCCAAGCTACCCCAACTGAGTCCAGGCTAAGTATCTAGTTGGCATACAATTCATACCACACAGCATCCCTTGCCCCTTAACGCATCCACCATCACTACTACTATTAACATTTACTACTAAGGTACTTTACCTAGGTGCCTGGGCAGTATAGAAACCCCTTCCTCGCAGAACAAGTTTCTCCATCACCATTCCTTGGTATTCTCCAAGAAACGAGAGTTATTCTCTGCGGGGAACCTAGTCTGCCTGCACCAAGGGATACTCTTCCGAGCCTTCCCCACACCCGCAGTTGCATGAGTTCCAATGTAACCGTCCAAGTGGGCACTAAGCGACAAGGTTACAAGCGGCCCTATGAGGATAGATTCGCGGTAAGGTAGCCTTAATAGACTAAAACTTGTCATGGTGAATGCACTGGATGGGTTGCTGGATAGATACATCATAGAGATACAAGACTTAGCAGTGGAAAAGAGGGAGGTGGCTGGCTGCTAAAAGGATGTATCGCTCAATCGTACGAATACCCAAAGACGCGAGATTCCGATGCTGTAACGTCTGTTTGACGCATATTGAAGCTAGTCTTGTTTGTAGGTATGTTATGTTAAAAGTCATCCAAATATCCCCATTCCCCGTTAATAAGCCAAATGCGCTCGTCAGTCCATTTGAACGCCTTTCCATGCAGACTAATATAGGTAGTACACACTAGCGTTCCTCAAGCTATGGAATTTCTCATGAAGAGATGTGACCTTTTCGTCCTTGGCTACCTATTCGGTTTTGCCATGACGAAAAGGCTGTTGTGCAGTGCATTGTTGAGTCTATTCAGGAATGTTCGAATTTCGCGCCTCGTGACCCCGAGCCCCCCCTTATGAGAGCTTCGACGTCAACACCTACCCATTTCATTTCTCGTGGCATAGTTGTTTGGACATTCTGCGGTGGTGAAGAGTGTTGTTTCATCCGCTTCCTCAAGCGTAGGCGATCTACTAGGTCGCTCGATATCATTTCAAAGGTCCGTTGTAAGGCCACGCACGTATCCCACCGTTCGCCATACTTCGCGAGTGTGCGTGCAGTTCTGTCAAGGCATACTAAGCTCCGATTAAGATTATCTACCCCAGGGCCGCCAGGACGTTGGGGCAAAGGAGGCGGTGGTGCTTTACCGAGTTCGACCAGCGGCAACGGTGGGGTAACACCTGCGAGAAGCAGGTCCTCTGCATCACGAAGGACAGCAACAAACTGACTTGCCATAAAGAAAACACGCAAGGCATCGTGATATGTATAGAATGCTGTTTTCACCCCACTATGCGAGACATCATATATACGATCAAGATAGGCGATGGCATGTTCGAAGATGAGCAACCTGCCATAATCCGTCATATGGGGAGCCCTGGCTGAGGGTGCCACACAGTAGACAAAGCTATACCGCAACTCGAGATCGAACAACTCCCTCATTCCAACTGGAAGTGAGGTAGGAAGCGCCTCAGCCCACTCCCTCATGTCTTGGCACATTTGCCAGATAAATGAGGATGAGTCGGGCAATGGCGTTGGTTCTGCCTGAAACAGTGCCTGATACCAATGAGACTGACCTCGGCGTAGTTGGAAAAGTAGGAATGCAGGCTCGGAACCCGAAAGCATCTGACCGGTGATCGAAGCCCGGCGACTGAAGGATGAGGGTCTTGGCCAGGCAACATTTGTAGCAGCATCAGTAAACGAAAAAGCGCGTGCATGAACCATGCTGATGGATCTTTGCCGAAAGGTTAGCCTCTCATTGGAAGTGTAGGAGATCTTACATACCTGTCTAATGAATACACGCAGTAGAAAGCTTTCCGCCTCATATCTAGCACTGATTTATCTGAGAGTTGCTCCGGCGGAGGGTCTTGGTGAAACCCCAGGTCGATCACCGCCCTAGAGGTAAAGCCGATTAAGTGCCAGCTGTCGAAATGGGCGGGATCAAGCATTGAGTATATGGTGAGGAGAACCAAAGATTGGATCTGTGTTGTGTAGCCCGGCATCAATGCCTTATCTGCATGTTGCATTGCCTGTGCGACGAATCGTACTCCGTTGATATAATAATCGTCGTTTTTGGCCCGACTCTGAGCGGCAGATCCGATCGCCAATACCATATACACTAGCCAGTAGTCGGCATCTTTTATCATGCGATCCTGGAACGAATATATTTGTTCAAGAATGGTGTAAAGCATAGTCTCTGGGAACGCAGGATACAGAGACCATACATTAGTCATGTAATGTTGAACGAGAGCAATAACATCCTGTTTGGGAGGCAGTGTCCAGTCCAGAACATCTGGAAGAGGGTCATTAGTAGCAGCAGCCAGCACAAGACGCGCGAATGTCATGTTGCTCATTGATGGCTCAAAGTCTCTTGTCGTGGCATTGATTGACCTAGTCAAGTATTAACATCCTACTGTCCAGACGATATTTATGGCCATCTACTGGCTCGACTCACAGATAACCAAAATCAGACATCAGCGAGTTAACATCAGATATTTCTCGTTTCCGCGCTGCCTTGCGATATATGGCAGCTTTGATGGTAGCAAGCGAGTCCTTGCGATCCGATTCAGGTGGTGCTGGTGGAACTTCAGACTCATGTTGAGCGACGGACGCCTTTCTTGATCGGGCGTACGCTAATCGCTTTTCCAACTTTTCTATGCGGAGTTCAAGCGCAGCAACGTAGCTAAGGAAACGGTGTAAGCAGAACGAGGCTTAAGAGAGGGGGGGTGGGTGAGTGTGAGATTATGAGAGTGAAATTTCTCACCTTCGCTCCTTGCCTCTCGCAAATTGATCGTTCGCAGCTGAGCATTCGTTTTCGCGGCCAGCCTTCTCGCAGGCTGTACACGCAGGCAATTTCCCATCACACTGGTAATTCTGTCAATATTCGGGCTCATCTGAAGATTAAGTGGTGAGGGGCTGGCTACCTTGACTTTAGCAGCTCGACCTATGGATATCTTAGCTACAGTGATTACTAAAGCAACGTATAGGATACTGCTTATGAGAGTACTAACATCTAGAACAGGCTGACACTGGTCGTGATACACGCAACAATGGATTGTCCGAAAAGCTGGATCGTGGCATGCTTCCAAAGTTGTGAGATTGTCACCCGTCTTGGAAAGAAGGCTTGAGCGCGTACGGCTTCCCGGTGGCACTCCACGATATCTACCTAAGTAGGTAGACCCTCAGACTGTTTGAAAAGGAACACGATAAGTACTTATAAGATAGTGCGGCTTCAAGTGGATATGTCCCCAATTATGGCAGTGATCTATTAATTATTCAGTCTTCATTGATATGATATTGAGTATGAGCGTATGAGCATATGAGCGGAGTACGTGCTCGTGGGGAGATGTGGAGCCGAGGCGGTTACGATTAACTTGGCTAGTTGCAAAGACGTTGTGCGCAACCCGAATAGGACGTTTAGGATTAACTACATGTAGGTCAGTAGGTAGGGTAGGTATGAGGTTCAATAGTATAGGTAGATAGTGGTATGTAGTGGTAACGGTAGCGGTGGCCGGTAGTGAGATTAAGATTTTGGGCCTGCACGTGGTAGATATGCCGCTTTTAGAAGTCTTTTTGGGGGGCTGTGGTGAGCAATAAGTTGAAAATAAGTAGAGGGAGGCTTACCAAAGTAGACACATACATGTGCCCTAGTGTGTAAGTATTATTGCAGTGGCGTTAATAATACAGACCAAACGAAGGAGCATGCAGCTCTATGACGGTGGGTCGGTCCGTCATCATAGCCAACTACATAACGATCAAGTACCCAGTACTAGGAACTAACTTATGTACCCCTAGGGTAGGTTAGAGAGGTCTTATGTACATAGGATAGGGAGGTAGGGAGGTTGGATGTATCACAAGTTACAACAGAAACAGTTGAAACCATCCATTGTGAGGAGACTCGGAATTTCACAACGGGTAGGCTGCGGTAGGCTGCGGTAGGCTACGGCAGCTGTACCACAAACTGTGGAGATTCAGTATTCTAACGTCTGCTGGGCGAACGATCTTGGGCTCTCCGTTTAACTCTCCGTCTGTTAGCATCATGATACTTGCACATGGATGCCTACTCCTTTCAAGTTTTACCTTGGGGCTTTGTTATCAATGACTCGCGGGGTTTCTTTCTTTTCGTCATCAAAGGTGTATATACGAATGGATTATGGCAAACTAGGTTGTGTCGTAGCATTAAAAGCTCCTTCATGCGTCGGGAAAGGTATCTATGTCGGGGTTTAGGCCTCCCCACGTTCCTCCCACGTCACCGCGATATCGCGGTAAGGCTGGAGGGTTCCCGCATCTAGTTGGTGGGACAGAACTCGTTTGTGGCTTACAAGCAGCTACATATCGTAGCCTGCCTAGGTCGACAAGGAGAATCCATCTGTGTTTTGTCTGCGACAGTCGAATCAAACATAGTGCTTGCATGATAGCATGGGTAATAAGTCGCTAACCTTAGTTATTACCTACGCATTCATGGCAACTGCGGCATCATCAACCCGATGTAACCATCCAGAACAGACTCAACCAGGAAATTTTGCAACTACATGTATGTAATCAGTAGGAAGAAAACAAGGGGGAAAAAGTAGTCCAAGAATAGTAGCGGATGTTTGCAGTTGGGCCAGGGAAGTAATCCTTAGGGCGTTTTTGCAGTGCTCGCATGGAATATACGTTGTAGTTGCAGTACAATTGCATTTACGTAGTAGCAAGCGAATCTCAGAGGAGTTGCTTGCGCATTTAAAACAACATTTGAACCTTGGAACTAAAACAATTGCGCGATCAAACAAGACCACAATATCATATCATACGGCAGAGTCTGGTAAATGGATCGAAAAGTGAAACAGGCAAAGCAAAAAGAGAATGAATGTCATTCTAGATTTCCAAGATTACAAGCTTGAAGCCTGGAAATCACCCTACCTAGTAACCTACAACATTGAATAGTTGCGTGCCTGCCTACCTAGCATCTAACCTTACGTACCTGCCTGCCTACATATAACATTAAAACTTCAAAGTTACTACATAATATGTACCAAGGCTAGCAGGTGCGGATGGAATCGCTTATTACTTCTTCATTAGCCATTGATGAAGGTCCATGTGATCGTATCCATGGATTGCCATGAACCATAAAGTTTGATGAAGAACCTTAAAAGTTTCCTGCTCTACGGCCGCAGTGTGCTGTTGTCCTATGACCAACCAATATTGAAGAAGACTTAATCCCCGTGACGGAAGCTAAGAAGGTAACTAAACCACATGTCTAACCTTAGTAAGATATCCACTTACCCACTCATCATCCACTTGCATACCCACTTCGCGCGTCTAGGTACATAGATACTTGCGATGATAGGTACCTCTACCGTACCTGAGACCTGAGTACGTAAGAATGTGTTCTCAGAATCAAAATGCTGCATGCTTCGCCTTTCCAGTGGACGACTCTCCATTCTACAGCAGAATCTACGAAACATTTTGCGGCGGCACTCCAAATATTCGAGACCATGTTAAAGTAAGAACACTTAATCGGAAACATCAGCAGCAGCATAGTCGGTTTGCTCAACTTCTTCGCCCCGCTTTCACTCCCGACGCCTCGAACCCGAGTCTTCGACGTTACGTGCGACCGACAAGTGCTGCTCTCCCCCACGTCTCTGGGGGCCAGATAGAAAGCCCCGGATTTCCTAGAACAGAAACAACAGGATACTTCATTAAGATTCCCTATGGATGCATCAAGTGTTTTTCGCCAAGTCCAGGCTTTTGGGACCTATGGCCCAGGACTTTCGCAAGGATTTCATCACCAGCCGAAGAGGCCCATCAAGGTTGAGGATCAAGGCGATGGTGAAGCCTCGCATCGCATTGCGCATACCCTTACAGCTTGCTGTCGGTGTCGTCAGGTAAGTTCTACTTTGTATAGTCGAATAGAAACAGAAATATATGTGTCCTTCTAGAGTGCTCAAATTGACTGGCCTATCTCTAAAGAGGAAGACGCGCTGTGATCCTACCTTGCCCCGTTGTCTACCATGCGAACGATCGGGCTCCACCTGCGAATACTTTGACACCACAAAGAACAAGAAAATAAGTCGCTACTATGTCGTCAAACTGCAAGGGAAAGTTCGAGACCTCGAGGCCGAACTTAGTCAGTACACTAATGAAGATGACTTGCCTAAGAATAACGAAGACTTTATTCGACCAGGCGGCCTGGTTCGTCTAAATGAGACAGATGAGACTCCACGGTATCTTGGTCCATCTAGTGGTATCGCCATGACGCGCATACTTATGGAAGAAGCTAAACGACATACCGACTCGAAGCAGATAGCAGAGCTAATACCAAATGTACGAGGGCGACGTCCAGCTGAACCGCCTGGACCCAACTATCCTGGGATGCGGTCGCAGTCCTTTGCTATGCGGCCGCAAGCAACGAGGAAGAAGAGTTATCCCATCATTAGTGCAGTTGCGGCGCAGAATCTTCCAAGTAGAGGTATTGCCGACAGGCTGATGGAAGTTTTCCACCAACGAGGTGAGTTGGTATCCTTTCGTACCTTGCCTAGTAGAGAGAATCCTAGCCTTGACCTTTTTTTCAGCTCAAGTATTCACTCCAACGTTCCACGAGAAGGCATTGCAAGCCACTCTTGAGGATGTCTATGCCGGGAGCCAAGACTCGTACCAAAATTTTGTGGTGCGATTGGTTATAGCAACCAGTATGCAAAAACTCGACGCCACGTATGCAGGCCTCGCCGATAGTTATTACCTCGCTGCCATGGAGTACTTTGAGGACGTTGTTCGCCCTAAAGATCTCAAGACCCTCCAATGTCTTGTCTTAATCGGCCAATATTCTTTACTAACACCCACCCGGACCGCCGTATATTACATTGTTGGCTTAGCGACAAGAATCTGTCAGCAACTTGGGTTTGCTGACGAGAAGACGATCTCCATAGGCGCTAATGACCCGCTCACCCTTGATATGCGACGACGATTGAGCTGGATCGTCACCAGTATGGAACTTGGCTTGGCCTACAGCATGGGTCGTCCGAACGGCTTTGCCAAAAGTGACGATGTAAGCGACGTGAAATTCTTCGAAAATGTTGGTGATGAGAATATTCATGAAAGCGGAATCATCCCCGGACCTCCCAATGAGAAGAAATTGGTTGCTATACACTTCTGTAAGATGCGACTACTTCAAGCGGAGATCCGCCGAGTGTTATATGAGAAGAAGTACTCGGAACCTAGAGACGACCGCCATCCGTGGTTCGCAAATATGGAGGCTAAGATGGATCAATGGTTAAGAGAGTCTCCTGAAAACCCTCCGTGGTGCAAGCCTTGGTATGTACATGATGCCGACAGCTACCTCCCAATATATATCCGTATTATTTGTTAACGTATAACCATAGGTTCTCGGGACGATTTCATACTATGATAGTAGCACTTCATCGCCCTTCGCCTCAAGTCCCCATGCCGTCCGTTCAGTCAGCCACAAAATGCTTTGATTCGGCTGCCTTTGTCATCAATATTTCTAGCAAACAAATGATGGCAGCGGCTGTTGATATCACGTGGATTTTTATACTAACACTATACATGTCGCTCAACTCTCTTCTATGGGCTGTCACGTATCCCAAGGTCCGAGCCTTACATCCGAAAGATGAGGTTCAGGAACTTGTCAATATCTCACTTGATATAATTGACCAATGTGTCGAAAGATGGCCAGGTACAGCAGCAGCATCTCAATTATACGCTACATTCACCAAAGCATGTCTTCAAGGTTATGATTCAAATATGACATCCAATCACTCGAGCTCGAGCTCCTTTGACACTCCATCCCAACACGATACAAACTCACCCTCATCCGAATTTTCAAGTGCCACGACTGTGTCAAAGGCTGGTGCTTCAGCCTTCAGCCCGCCACAATTTGGCTATGTTTTTGGTTCAGGTCCCGAAGAGATGAACAGTTATAAAGTCGGCGACTATCCTCCACAGCCTACCTTTAGATCTAATTCTATCTTCCTCAACCCAGCTTCTAGCGATCACACCGGGCGCCGCTTTAGCTACTTTCCTCCAGATTTTACCCAAACTGGAGACCTACCGCTCATGGAAGAGAGCAGTCCCCAAGATACCGATTCAACTGCTTCTCCTCCTTTCATGTCTCCTGATCAACATCTACCGACCCCTCCGGATTCGATACCTGCAGGCAGTTCCGCTACCCCAATCATGGAAAATTCGCTTTTAGCAACACCCATGCTCTCAAATTCGAGTCTAGCCCAGACCCCTTCCGATATAGCAACACCAAACACGATGCATCCCCAGCAACAGCACCCGAGCCCGCCTAATTTTACCATGTCTTCCATGGCACATCATCAACCGCAAGGACAAAGGCCTCTACCCCAATCAAGTACATTGGCAGACTGGTTCAACCCTCCGCAACCATTCATATCACCATATACTTTCGGTGGCGGGTTAGGTAACAACTTCTGGGGCGATTCGTCTAGCACGAACGGTCTTGGTAACGTTGGTATGGGCAATATGCCCATGTCTAACGGCTTCTCACCCGATCGACAGGGAAGCTTAAGCCAAGAGCAGCAGATGGAGCTCATGGATGTTCTAGAACACGAAGGCATGACGGACATAGACACTTATCTAAATATGGGACTGGCATATCCAAGTTATGTCATGGGCAATACTGGCCAAAACATGAATTGGAATGGGAGCTAGTGATTTTTATTGGCACTTTAGATACCTACCTGGATAAGGTACATATATGGGACTATATCAGGAGTTGTTCTTTGCATTCGTCATCTATGTTGAATGGGATGGCTTTTCATATTACGTCATTGGATATATAGGTATATTAGGATTGTTCACTGATAGATACCACTTTCTTTTAGGCGTTTAGATATAGCCAGACGGACATGTGAATAGGGGCGAATGCAGGTCGGGTTTTTTTCGTTTGAAGATCGTTTTCTATTATACTCTATGATGATCACGTTGAATATCTCTTCTAGCTGAGCTGAGGGAGTTACTCCTACGATGTGTGAATAAATGGGCTGGCGTTGATTATATCATTTATTGATGGAAAGCAGAGAATTTATTATCCTTTGCGGTAAGCTTCCCTTTTGCCTGGTGAGTCAAACATAGTGTAGATACTTACCCAGTAGCTAGGCTGGCAAGTCTAAATCGTGGAATACTGCTCTTTTTGGCTACTTTCGTGATCTTCGACTAAGAATCCTACCTTTAGGGAATCACAATGTATAACGAAACATGAGCTGCGAAATATGTCAGACACGCGATGTTCTCGCCAAGTAGGCAGGCAAGTAACTCACATTATCCCTATCCGTGACATCCTCGAACCCCTGGACATCGCTGAGCCTCTTCATCTCGGCGATCTCGTCCTCGGACTTCCCCTCGAGGGCGCCATCGCGCTTCTTGTTCTCGAGGACGTAGAGGAGGCGCAGGACCTGGTTGAGGGCGAGGTTCAGGATGAAGCCGCACAGCATGGCGACGATGCCGCTGTGGTAGGCGGGGGCCTCGCTGCTGCGGAAGAACTGGGGGCCGGCGATCTGCCCGACGCAGTAGCAGATGAAGACCCAGCCGGAGGCGACGGAGCGCTTGGTGCTGCCGGCGATGTTGGTCGAGAGGAGGCCGAGGAGCACCATGAAGCCTACGGGGTACGAGCCCTGTAGGTTGGGTTCGTTAGTACTAAGACTAGACGACTAGGTACTTGCATCTATTATCTGAAGATATAGGAGGTTGTAAGTGTAGAATGAAATTGCTACTCACCAAAAGCCAGACCCCGACGAGCCGGCCCCATCGATTGGCTGGTTGGAGTTGGTTGATCAACACCGTCCCCACGATCTTCAGCAGGCATTTAATTAGTTCTCTTTGCCCCGTTAAAAAGTAATGCTATCACCTAGAGAGGGATAATCAGGTATATAGTTATATGTACACACCGGAGGTATCATAGCCAGCGATCCGATGTGCAAGCGGGAGCCACTGATTCTCGAGGCCGCGAATCCCGAGCCAAGCTGCGCCACGACCTGGACGGTGGACAGGGGCAGGTTCAGCAACGTGGTCTGGATCGGGGTGAAGCCAAAGCCCTGGATGATCAGCGAGCCGAACGAGAGCCCGCCCGACGCGATCGCGTTGACGAAGGAGATCAGGCCCAGGACGATGATCTTGGGGTCCGTCACGGCTTCCACGACTTGCGCCTTGACGAAGCGGCGGGACTTGGTACCCGTCTTATTCCCGATCACGCGTTGCACGGCGATGACTTTTTCGTTCTCGTCGAGCCACTTGACGCTTGCTGGGCCGTCTGGCACCCAGAGCGTGAAAGCAACTCCCCATACGATAGTTATGCATCCCAGAATTAGGTAGATGTACTTCCTATAATAATGTGTTAGAGCCATGAACTGTCTGGGATAAACACGCGCCAACCTCAGCGAAGGCTCATAAATCACTGGTTCCACGTGTGTACATACCAAGTAGACAGGGCGCCCTGAATATGACCGATCCCGAACGCCAGCAGGGTTCCGACAAAACTGCCAACACCAAGGAACGAGATCCAAAGAGCCGAGCGACTCGCCTGTTCCTGCCTAGTCCACCATATCCCGGTGACGGCTACAAATCCGGGCGAAATAGTTGCCTCTACGACACCCAAGATGAAGCGTACGGTAGCAAGGCCGGCAAAGGAAGAGCAGGCGGCCGTGGTCATTAGTATCGCACCCCATAGTATCACATTGACCCCGAGAAACCTAGCGACGGGAAACCGCTGCAAGATTGCGATGCCGGGGTATTCAGCGAAAAGGTATCCTGAGACGAGACTATCAGCACTTGCACTTGCTATCGATTACTACTTGTAGAGCAGCTCTTGAGACAGGTACTCCGCACCGAAGTAGAAGATGGAGCTAGCCCACGAATATTCCTGGCCCTTCAGCCTGTTGTCGGGGATAATCCCGTAGACAGACGAGTAGCCCAAGGACGTCTTGTCGATGAACTGCAGGGCGTAGGTGATGCACAGGAACGGCAATATTCGCATGTCGATTTTCCGCCGAACTTGGCGGGACAGCTCCTCGTCTACGACGCCGCCGATCGCCAGCGCCTTTGCGGCCAGGTCGCCGGTCTCATCTTGTATTTTCAATTCGGATCCTACTTCGATGTCCACCGGGTTCGGAGAAACCACATCTTGCTTTTCTGAAGTCATGGCCAAATAGTCCCAGTTCTAGTTGGGTTCGCACCGTATGTCATTCTTAGCTAGCTATTTGGAACTCGGCGAATTCAAGGAATATATACAGCTCGCGCACTTCGAGATAGCAACATTGAACTCGGCGGACCGACCGCTTGGATCTCGGCATCTTCTTATATACTATACCGAATTACGTACTCAGCTGGTAGGTATCTTGATGTTGTAGATAGGGCTCGAGGCACTAAGCTGAGTACAGTATTTGATACGGAGGTCCCCGCCTCAAAGAGATAAGCAGGGGAAGCAGCTAATATCTCCGATGTCGATATCTCTTGTCCCAACATGGAACTGATTCCTTCGTCCCCGGTTGGGAACCATAACTAATGCGGCCTGGACCATAATAGCTGTCCTAAACAGGAAGTTTTTAACGTATGGTTCGTTATATGAACGTATGGGGTAGATGTAATGATTCTGTATGCATGTAAGTAGGTCGGTGCATGTTACACCGCAGTTGTTCAATGGATGGATAGGCTAATTACGTCTCTCCTTTGACGCCATCAAGGTTTATGCACTCGCATATTCGAGGACTCCTTATGCAACATTGAATATTATATATAAGTGACTACCTAGGTAGGTAGCTATTCCAAATATTTTATACTACTTCCATGTATATATAAAGCCGCCGCTGTGTGAACCATCTGTGTACATATTCCAACGATGGATCTCCCTAAAACGATGGACGAACTAGTCGATGATTTTATCTTCGTCACATACGCTGACGCTAGCATATCTCAAACGAATGTCGGATACCTCGACGAAATTAGCGATTTTATTGACGGCATTACCGACGAATTGTGGCCCGTTAATAAGAAAATTCACGATAATCCAGAGCTCGGGTATGAAGAGTTCATCGCCCATGACACTTTGACCAAGTTTATGGCCGCTAGGCCGGGATGGAAAGTAACGCCGTCCGCTTACGGACTGGCTACTGCGTGGGTTGCTGTGTTTGATAGCGGCAAGAAAGGCCCTACGGTATCGTTCAACGTAGAAATGGGTGTGTGATGTCCTATTCTTTGGTATAAACGCGATCTGACCCCTCTTCGTAGACGCACTGGACGGTATCGGGCATGCGTGTGGCCACAATCTCATTGCTACTGCTTCCGTAGCCGGTGGACTAGCGACAGCTGAAATAGTCAAACAACATGGTCTATCTGGGAAAGTTGTCATGTTTGGTACACCTGCAGAGGAAGGTAAGACATAGCTTCATTGATCCCGTCTCCTCGATATATACGATTGAGGGATATCACTTTTGGTGAGCATTTCGTCCTAACTTCTCGCAGGTGGAGGCGGCAAAATCAAGCTCTTGCAAGCTGGTGCTTACCGAGATCATAATGTCGACATCAACTTGATATCACACCCTGGTATCACCCAAGACACTGCTTTAATGCGCACATCTGCGTATACCGCATTTTCAGTTGAATATTTTGGACGCGAGGCCCGTAAGCATCACCACCTTCCCCTTATTCTAGGCAATTGTGGGAAGAAAATCAGAAGAAAAGAATAGGTATGTGAAGACAAGCTGACTTTGTGGGTTGTAGACGCCGCGGCAAACCCTTGGCTAGGTATCAACGCGCTTGATGCGTTGATCACGGCTTATAATGCCTTGTCAGTCCTTCGCCAACAAACTATGCCGGGCGATGTTATTCAGGGGAACATCACGGATGGCGGTGTTCGGCCGAATGTGATCCATGCTCACACGGCTGGGAACTTTGTTGTCCGCGCCAATACTCAGACGAGAATGAAGGAATTAAAGGAGAAAGTGGACAGATGCTTTGAAGGGGGAGCACTTGCAACTGGTGCCACGCTCAAGATGAAGCCGGTGCAGACTTACGCCGACCACGTCCCCAATCGAGTGCTTGGCGCTTCTTACCGGAAATACTTCAACGCATTGTCGCCTCCACAACCAATCCCAGGAAACGACGACGTGGATGAAATCGCAGGCCGGACAATGGCTAGTACAGATCAAGGTGATATCAGTTACGCTATGCCTAGTCTGAACGTAGGGTTTGCTATTCCACCGGGGCCAAACGGGAACGGGCCTCACAATCCGGAATTTGCGGAAGCGGCTGGGAAAAGGGTGGCGTTTGAAAGATGTTTACGGGTAGGGAAAGCGATGGCAGGTACAGCACTAGACGTTTTAACAAAAGATGGCCTTTTGATGGAAGTGAAGAGGGAATGGGAAAAAGATGTGAAAGGAAGTAAATAGTAGTACATGTCCTACATGTGTAGATAATATATATTATATCACTAATCAATGTGATGAAGGAGCTTGCTAAGCCTTGCTTCACGCATAACAGTGAAAGTTCAAGGTTACGTATTATGTATCAATTGACATATACTACTAGTAGTATATCAATAAACTTATCAATAAACTTTAAATCAGGCTAACTACGTTGTACTAGGTACATAACACTAACTTACAACTTACAAGTCATATTGCAGTTGCGAATTCAAATTGACCATTTCAATTGGAAACATTTAGGGCATCTCTTACGGTTGTACCTAGTACAGAATCCATTAGTATCCGATTATACCTAGTACCTAGGTACTACTAGTACTGTACACAAGTAATTACACCCCACGTTCCAGCCACGATCTTCAAGCGCGCCACAGACCAATTCAACCTTCTTTCTCTCCCGGGCAAAAGAAAAAACGTCGAACGTCACAGCAAACCGATTATTTTTTTTGACGAATCGCAACAGCATTATTTCTCGTCGTGATTCGCGCTCCATTTACGCCAATAGATGCAGTAATTGTGGAATCGAATCATACCTATCTCACATACTTATTTACTTTGTAAACAGTTACATTAATTAACATACACCGAATAACCACATTCTACCTACCGGTACGCTACCTACGTACATACGCTTAATACTACATATACTACTTAATACTGTTGGCGCTATTCCACCACCAACACCCAACACCACCACTACCAATGCGCGATGGGCAAAAAGAATAAGAAGCCCGCAGCGGCCGAATCTCCTACTTTGGAGCCAGAGCCCTCGGCATCATCTTCGACAACAAATAACAAGAAAAAGGCCGCTGCTTCCTCCGTACCGCAACCTCCTTCGGCCGCGCCACCTTCTTCTGCGCTTGTGATTTGTCGAAATAAGTAAGATATACAGTCATACCATAAAATTCCCATTGCTTTCCCTACTACCTCTCTACTGCTGTTTGCTTCATTGCGCGAAACATTATATGTGCAAAAACTTACATGGATATATAACTCTCTAGACATTGGCGCTACATATCATCCTTTCATGGCCCATGGCTGCAGTTGCCACTCGAAGTCCTCGAAACCCTTGCCAACGCCAATTACTATATGCCCTTACCCCGTCCCGTCGATCCGGCAGTTTTTTACGATCTGGTCAAGATAAGACAACTAGTAGACGGTGCTACGGATTTGGCCGTACGCGCTGCTAATGGCGTCGCATCTTCAACTTTGTCCAATTCCCTGGCAGGCGGCGCCGCGCATCACATGCAAGCATTAGGACTTGGATTCGGGAACAATGCCGGCGCAAAGCTTAGTCCTGAAAGGAGATTTCGGATGCGAGAGCAGGCAACCCAGAAATTGTCCCGCGCTTACCATCTCGATGAAATAGCCTCTAGTGTAGCTACAATGCAGTCTACTTCGACCCTGGAAAACGTCGCTGGCCTCGTCCTACAAAGAGCGCCGAACGACCCCGACGCCAACTATGTCCACTTCTTCCACGAAAAGATACCGTCGAGACAGCTAGCTGAGTGCACCGACTTTCGAGCGCTGAACCTCATTATTGGTCAACGACCTTCGGATTGCGAACCTCTGAGGACTCGCGCTATCGTTCGTATGTTTAAAGAGGACTTTGAAGGTGCTGTTCAGGACCTTTCAAGCGGTTTGACTGTCTATCGTCTCCAACAGCCACGGCATAGGCCCACGATGGATGAATTAATACCCCTAGAACAAAAATATCGACGACGGCGAGATAACCCTCCTCTAGACGAGAGTAACCAGCCAAGTAGTACCGAGGTACAACTTTTGTTTCAACGCGCCGGTTGCTACCTTACCTTGGCCTGTGATCATGTTCCGTCTGCACTCCCCGAGTCGCCTACTGAGCGAAATGGAGCGTCACAGGCCGATGTGAACAGCGCTAGCAATGGCACATCTAATGGCGTTTCCATGTCGCAGGAGCCAGACATAGAGACAGAAGCAGGTGACAAGGAGTCGGCCAAGAGGCAACTTGATGCGCGCAAAACCGTACGACTTTATGCGAAACGCGCCTTGCGAGATTATATGGAGTATCTCAAGCACTTTCACTACTCGCCCGACTATCCCTTCGAAATATCGGACGACTTTAGCCGGCAAGTAAATCAAGCTACGCATCGCACTAAGAAGTATTATAATCAATCTCGGCACGCATCCCAGGATCCAAGCAGTCCTACTGGGATACCGGCTGCTCACAAAGTATACCAGCTGGCATCACTATTCTCGGCTACACCTCCGGCAGATCTACCCCCTTATCCGTCAACGGAGATTGTTTCAACCGGGTCCGCCGCCACGGAGTCAGCCCCAACGGCCAGTGAGGTGGTAACCTACCACCCACTATTGACAGATGCCTTGCATTCGCTCCTATTATGTCATGCCCTTATCCAAACATCGGCCAAGGAGTTGCAGCGCCATGCACACATGGCTGCTCGTCTCGCTCGTCTTGCCGATGGCTACCCGGTATTTCAGGCTAGCAGGTCTCCCGCACGGGCAGATTGGATCGAGGTTCTCCGTAGAGCCGAGAACTGGATCGAATTATCTTCGAGCTGGGAGGTTCTCTGCGCCCCTGCGCCATTACCTTCATCGATATTGTCGAATGGGCTTTCAGCGGCCACCGCTGGCATCAACACCCTTTCCATTAATGGAGGCGCAGCTCCCGTGGAAACGGAAGAGCAGCGAAAGGAACGAATGCGTCAACAGGCGATCATGGAGGCACTTGAGGACGAGCGTGTTAATGACGAGGCAAGCTTTAAGGCAGCGATCCTAGCCCGGCAGCGCAGAGCTGAAGCAGATCACGCGTGCATTTCTAGCGGCGGGGTTCCTAGTCCGAACACCGGCCCGAAGCGGTGGGCTGTTGACGATGGTAGAGAGTATCCTATTCTCACTGAGCGTGCGGATGCGATTGCGAGATGGATACGTGAGGCCCCGATGGGGTCTGGAAGTGGAAGCAACAAACGTAAAAAGAAGCCGAGAGCTGCCAAGAAGCCTGTCGAGCATGAGCCGACGGATGCGGCCGATGTAGTCGATGCGGTCGATGCGGTCGATGCGGTCGATGCGGCGGATGTGGTGGATGCGACCGAAGCTACGTAGTATCATGGCTAACTGCCAGTTACTAACCTAACCTAGGTAGGTACTTACCTAAGGTGACCAAAGAGTAGGCAGTTATTTGGAGCAACTACTACTACTACTACTACTAGTATGTTAATACATAGCGATCAAGGCCGTTCGAATGAACACATCCAGTAGTATTGTAAAAGGAAAGCCAGTAACGTTTTTTTTTTTAAAAAAAACGTAGTCGAAGGTGAAATCTTCGACACGTCGATCATGGCAGAAATGCATGGGCACTTTGCTACCATTTGTGTACCTTCTCTCCAATCATGGCGTTACGTCATTGAGGCTTGTGCGCTGAGATATTCATGTAAAATCCTTCCGAGTCTAGATCCATATCATACGCCATACATAGGTGCCTAGGTACCTAATTAGCCCCCTAATAATAATTACAATGTACAATACATATGTATCCCACCTGCTATTATGTACTAATAGTGCCTACATACTGCCTACATACTAGGCATCTCCAGGGGTGTCTTCAATGCTCTGTATGCTACATACATATGTAGATAACTCAGTTAATGCCGATACGATATGGCCTTATTATTATCTGGCTAATATTATTAATTTTACTTCTACTTCTGTATTCTTTTGCATAAAGATTCCAAGTCCGGAGGATATGGTCCTCACCCCGTTTAATACATAAGATTATGTAGGTACTTAGTAACGTTGAAGGGTTGAAGGCAACTTTATGCGGGGACAAAGTTCCGGCTGTCCTTCTAGATCCCTTCCTCCTTATTCCTCTCCCTTTTTCTCCCTCTCTGTCACTTTTCTCCCCTTCCTCCTCATACTATCGCGATGCTTACTACTTACCTAGTTACTATAATATAATGAACACCTCTTATGGTTTTCATATTTGTCTGGTTTTTAGTGTTATAAGCCCCTTATGATGGTTTCGACTCATGGCCATCCTTGGTTCTTTAGTCTACCCCTGGAAATCCAGTGGTGGATCCTTCGATGCCTTGACCTCCGTGATCAAGCCGTGTTTCTGCGGACCTGTCGTAGGGCCCAGGGCATCACAGAGCCGCTGCTGTATTATAGAATATACACCAAAACCCGCACACATAATGATACAGTTGGGCTGTTCGAGTTCTTACTTAGGCATCCTCATGTCGTCAAGTTTGTGCATTACCTCGTTCTGGACGAGTTTCACCCCGTCGGTTATAGACAGCTCATGGCTTTCGAGTTTCCCAACCTTGAGAGCGTAATTATGCAGCATGAAGGAGATCCTCTCTTTATTAACGACGAAAAGCGTCGTTCTCTGAACCAGCTCGTCCGAGAACAGCCCAGCATGACGAATTGTAAGTCTTTTTACCGGGACCGAATAGTAAACAGGTCACTAAAGGGCCACAGTGACCTTCTCGATCGAGCGTGAAGACGCGTCTCCCGTCATACTGGATGAGGATGACGCTGTCCTCTTCCGCCATAGAAAGATGCGGCGGATCCGGCTTTCCTTCATTGATTTCTCTGCCTTTGCCTACGCAGACGCGGACTATTTCCAGCATGAGGGCTTGAGAGTACTATCCGTCGAATTATGCCGGTATACCTGCGAGGCACTGAACCGGCTTGTTGCTCCGAGTAGGAGCTTACAAGATGTGCATTTCAGCCATAACGGACAGGTGCCTTTCTCGGAAAAGCTGTATCCGATCGTGTTGGCCTCGTCTCGGGAGAGCTTGCGCATACTGGACCTGACGTGGCGCTGGAAGATCCCGCACGAAGGCGAGGGTATGGATTTTACGCGGTTCTCCAATCTGCACTTCCTCCGCGTGCCCCCTATTTACCTCCTCGGCAGCACGTATATGGACGAAATGGCGCTCCCGGGTCTCGTGCGCACGAAATTCCCTCCGAACCTCAAGATGTTGCTTCTAGAGAACATCGTGCCCCGCTCCATCCGGGTAATGAACGAGCGAGGCGTCGTGTTCCCCGGCTTCCCGCCGCCGGGGTACACGTTGGAACTGACGCTCATGCCGCGGGACTACCAGCTCATCCGGTTCCTGATCTCCGAGAAGCACCGTGTGCTGCCGCGGCTCAAGTACGTGCTGATGTACTACATGGAGTTTATGAGGGACCCTTCGGACCTGTACCCGTTGGCAAAGGAACACGGGGTTACGTTGGGCCCCTTGTTGGCCACCGACTACTTAAACCCCTTGCTAAATTGGTTAGATGAACTATAGAAGGCGATAAAAAACTTTAAACAGTCGCCGCACTTAAGATTGACTTTATTCTTGGCGTGGGACTTTATATATATATATTTGATACAGACAGTTGATACATGGTTGGTGTTTGCACGAAGATATCCAGGAGAGCGAGGCAGCATGTACGTAGGAGGCTTTTTGAACTTGTCTTTTCTTAGTATATAATTCCATAAAATTCCACTTCCCTCATCATGGTTCTACCCAAGCAACTTACAAGCTTTTGCATACTACCCAATATTCCCCTAAACAGTCTATATCTTGAAATACCTACCTTGCTCACCCAATACACTGACTAGCTTCTGAGTTTATGAAAGCCATACCTATGTACAGCCAAACAGAACTACCTAAGTACCTATTATATATACCAGCTCTTCGGCCCTCCCCCAAATTATACCTAATCTCGCCGCGTTGCCCACTAACCGGACTTCCGCCTCCGAGGCGCGTTTCTTTCCAGCACGACCGATACCTGGATAAGTATTCAAGTGTATAGCTATGCTGCTAACACGGCAAGGTTTTCGAATACTCTAAGGGGGGGTATAGAGATGAGTAAGGATGCATATATAACTTATACGCATCCCCTGCCTTCCTTCCCCCTTACCCCCACCTATTCACGTAGAGTATACCTACCTACATACTCAGGTATCTACCTACTTAATACTCCAACAAACCAAATAAAAATAAACGAACAGCAAGCAAAATAGCCAAAGAAATCCAAAGCCATGTCCCCCATAACCGAACTCGCCCACCTAACCCTCTCCCCCACCATCCCCGACTCCACCATCGCCTCCGTCCTCGCAACCAACACCCGCGCCCTGCTCTCCCGCCCCGGCTGCCTACGCGTCCGCTCCTCCCTCGCCACCTCCCACCCCTCCCAGCAACAAGCAGAAAAGCACCTCCGCCTCTTCATCGACTGGACCTCCCTCGCCGCGCACGCCGCCTTCGGCACCGACGCGCCGGCCGAGTACGCCGCGTTCCGGAAGCGGTTCGCGGACATCGTCGCGCCGTCGGCGGGGATGCGGCGGCCGTTCCACGTCTTCTTCCAGGAGGGGGAAGTCGCTCGCGATGACGACAACGCTAACGACAACGATAACGAGGACAGCGATGACGATTACACCGGCGCAAGCGTTCTGGACCACGGCGCAAAGACGCAAGTGGCAGAGCTCGTCCACGTGTACTACCCCGACCACGAGAAGACGGGCGAAGAGAAGGGGCGGGGCTTGCAAACGGCGCGCGACGTGGCGGCCGCGCTGGCGAAGCTGGCGCTGCCTGGGTGGACGGGCCAGTCGGCTGCGGGGTGGTCGGTTGAGCGCGACGTGCTGTACCAGGGGCGGCCGTGCCAGGTGCTGGTGATGGTGTTTGGGTGGGATAGCGTCGAGGCGTGTGAGAAGGCGAGGGGGGGCGAGGGGTTTGCGAGGGTGGTGGCGCCGGTGTTGGGGAGGTTTGGGAAGGAGAAGGGGGAGAAGGGGGTGGTGGGGATGGAGGTTTGCTATGTGAGTAACACCACGACGGAGAGTAGTGGGTGATGGATGTTCTTACCTATGTAGGTATACTATATACGTGGGTGAGGGTTGGTAGATAAGGGGTTATTAAGATATTGGGAATTTACGGGTTGAATGTATTGCATTGGCTTAATCTACTTATGAATCGCCCTTATATAAGTGCGGTGACTCGCGAATGGGGCAAGCATACGGCTTATCAAGAAGTGATAGGTAGGGAGACATGTTTAGATCTCTAGTCTTTAGAGTAGAAAAGGGGGGCGATGGATCAAAACGATACCCGGCCTTTTTGATTTCTCCCCCTATATCGGCCAACAGCTCATGCAGTCTTCTACCTCAACAGACTTACCCCTGAACGAGCATCCTCAATCTCACCCCAAATCACCCTCTTGTTCTTCTCAATTCATTCTTTTTCCATCACGATGAGCACAACAAATTATAAAAACGTAAAGTAGTTACTGTCGGTATAACGACTATGATGAATATTACTCTATTTACATTACCTGCTCAGTGCCTATCTACTGTGATAACGCTTTGGGTATCTATCGTATCTGTTCTAGTTGCCAAAGATGAACCCCCGTAAGGGATAAAAGGAGAGAAGAGAGTCCAAAAGACAAAACCCGCAAAGACCTCCCAAACACACAGCCTCTAACCTAGATGGATACCTACCCAGGTCCCTATGTATAACCTAGATGTATGCGTGTACCTTATATATACCCAAAAAAACGCCTTTCAATGCCCCCCTTTTACAGAATTTTAGTAACGTCAACAGGTTCAAAATCATCCATCTCCACATCCCCTACCTCCTCGTCTTCCAAACATGCCCTTCGCAACCGTTCACGTATGACCGGGTCCTTTTCCAATTCTTGCCAAACCTCCAATCCCCATTTTTCCAAGCTGTCGTCGTGGCTTATTTTCCTCCAAGGAGGCCATCTCCACATACCCGCGACGACCAAGCTACGTTTGATCATCTTGTAGGCGACCTCTACCGCGATGAGCGCAAGCACCACAATAAGGAAGGTCAACCACCATAAGGAATCTTGGCCGAATGCTTTTGTGAAGCCACTTCGAGCTGCATAGGGACTCGGCTGTAGCGTATAGATACCCGAAAGAATAGCCTGCCACATCCACCACCCGGCCAATGTGACTAGAAAAGCGCCTAGAACAATCATTGTTTTGTGGTTTGTTTCGATCCCGCTGGAAATCCAGTTAGCAGTTACGAACTTACAAGTGTTTAGGGAAAAAGTAAACTCACAAGATCTTGCAGTTGATCCAGACCACGCCTATAGTAAACACCAAGTTACCCAAAGCAAACAGGCCATCGTCCCTTGCCTTGCCAAACACGCTGTAGGAAGCCCATACTCCAAGCCACACCAATATGCCTTCTGCAGCGGCTGCAGCCATCCAGCGCACGAATTTTGCGATATTCAACTCCCTATTTCTCTGCCCGTGCACGTATAGTTCAGGAACGGCAAGCAGCGTTTCCGCTCTCAGATCCTGCTCCCATATTCCTAGGCATATAACACAAAGGCTCGTAAAGAGGGTGTTAAACACAGTCAGACTCCAGTTCTCGTAGAGACTTGTGCCCGTGTATCCGTTGTAGCGTTGGTACATCGCCGTGGGTATGTAAAAGAACATCTCCTTCCAGAAGGTGGCGAGTATGAACTTAGCCGTACGGACATAATTCCAACGACCATGCACGAGAAGCAAACGCTGCAAAAAGCGGAATTGTGCAATGGCGTAATCTGCAACACGAGCAGCCTGAAGCCCTTCCTTGCCCGAGATACCAACCCCCACGTGTGAGGCAGAGATCATTGCCAAGTCATTTGCACCATCACCAATAGCTAGCGTAAGTGCGCTCGGGGCTCGTTCTCTTATGGCTTTGACGATCATGGACTTTTGAGCGGGAGATGCACGGCAACATATGACTGAGTCGATCAAAGGGATTAACGTGTAGAATAAGTCGGTTAATAGTGGTGACTGCTCAATAATTGATAGGGTTTCCCCATCGATGACGACGACGCTGTGGGCGCAATTTGTCTTGATGTCTTCGGATATATCATTGATCTGGACCTCTATGGAGCCCTTGGAGCAGTCGAGAATGAATATGTCAGATCCTGGACGACAGATTCGTGCAGAATGAGCAATATTGATAGCTGTCTCGCGTTTATCTCCTGTCAACATCCATATCTTGATATTGGCGCGGCGAAGCTTGTCGATAGTCTCGGGCACGCCAACTTGCAACTTATCTTCGATCGCTGTGGCGCCGATTAGGTCAAGGGATTGCTCGATCAGCTCGCCCGCTGCTTCGATCATGTCCTGTCGATTGACCAGACTCGTCGTTGCATCATTATATATCTTCTTCCACGCGTCATACTCGCCTTCTAGTATGAATTTCCTTGCAAACACCAATGTCCGCAAACCCTCCGAGGCAAAGTCGTCAAGGTGTTTGAAGCATCGGCTGAAAATCATTGATTCATCATAAATAGAGGGATCATCAAGAAATCCAAATTTATCATATGATGGCTTGGGCGTCGATGGGCTTAGTAACGTCTTGCTCACGTCAAGGGATGTGGTCCGTATGCCTAGTGACGGACGTGCTTTGTCTTGTGAGGGCCGCGCTTTTGACCCTTCTGCAGATCTACTTCTCTCAATCATGGGTCTTTTGATCACAGGAACAGGCTGGGTAGGTCCTATACTATTCCGGTTTGCCGAGATATTTCGTCGTAGAGTTAAGCTCGGGCGACCACCGAAACTATTCCTCACTTCCAAATGTTCGCTCCTTCGAAGGAGCTCGCGTTCAGTCTCAACACTTTGTCGAACTTCGGTCGCTTTTTGCATCGCCAAATTTGCTAGCTTTAGTCTAGGAAGGATCATTGAGTCTGCACCTTTGCAGATTATGCAAAGTCTCCCATCCGGACAGCGTACAATGATTGACATACGTTTCCGCTTGCTGCTGAATTCAATAACGTCTAAAATCTGATACACATCCGTCCTCTGATCGCCATCTCCGATATCAATTCGTAGCGTCACAGCTTGAGATGATCGATGAATAACCAAGTAACCAAGTTCGTGGGCAGCACGAACTAGTGCCAACTCGTCCGGTGAGGAGGCTTGGAAGTCAACCTTTCCATCAGTTACCTCTGGCAAACACGTATGACAGAGGGCCATGCATAAGATGTAATCTTTGGCTCGCCTCGCAAAAGGCGATGTCGGCCTGGCTCTGATATAGTTTAATAAGTCGACGGTTGTTACATCGGGTTGTGGATGATCTGGGCGGCCTGTTGACCTCCACTGTGATGATGACCTTCTGCCCGACCGAGCAGTAATAGCCGACGTCGGTGAGGACAAGGGATATAGTTCGATATCTTCGTGTATTATGCTAGAAACCTCCCTAGACTTCCGTGGCACTGCGAGACCTGTATCAACGCTAGGATCAAGATTAGTTGTGACGGTGGCTTCTTCGGACTGAATATCAGGTTCATGTAGCCATGAGGTCCCCGAAATGCTCAGCTTCCGAAATTTCATAACATTTTCCGTAAGCGTGCCTGTCTTATCGGAGAATATATAACTAACTTGTCCCAGGTTCTCCAGGATAGTATTTGTATTGCACCGGGCTGGTGTATCGGTTGCCTCATCATACATCTCCATATCATTGTTCAGCAAGAGCATTTGGCCAATTCGCGTTATCTCGAGGGTGACATAGAGCGCGAGCGGGATGACATTGTTGAACATAATCGCGTAGCCAATGATTATTTGTTTGAACTCGACGGTAGCCATAGATATATACCAGGAACCTCGCTCAGTAGACCGCCGCCAGATAATATACCCCATGGAGCACCCAACCGTCAAGATTATAACGTAGAGTGCAAGAGTGATAACGATTTTGTTAGCGATATATTCCAAAGCCGGCTTCTTTGCAGCAGGGTGCTGATTCGCATTCATGCGGATTTTGCACTCCTCTCCGGTGTTGATCACGATGCCGAAGGCACAAGAGGTATTTCTGAGTGTGCTTCCTCGATATATAACTTCATTCGACGTTAAGGGTAGTGTCTGACCGTGTACCGTGACACGTCCATCAAAGCGGTACAGATCCGGGTTCGGATCTTCAAGAACAAATTCGGCTGAACAGGCGCGAAGACCAGTGATGTTGTGACAATGTTCAAAGCCAGGGAGCGACTCTCTACTCTTGAGATTGGTCTCTCCGTCTAGATCCATAGTGTCGATATAAGCTATCCCATTCTCGCCCGTGGCGTGTAAAAGAACCAGGTCAGCAGGCACAGCCTCATCCCGGGCTAGCCTAACGATGTCGCCAACTCTGATATCCTGCCATTTGACCCGTTTCCATTCGTATTCCCCATCATTTTCATTTTCATTTTCATTTTCATTTTCATTTTCATTTTCATCGTCATCAGATTGGGCATCCGCCTCTTTATTTCCAAATTTACTAGAAAGCCAATTCCGACTTGATGAGTTTGAACCTATGTCTGCAGGAATTCTTCTCAGAACTTTAGCGGCATTTGCATTCTCTAGCTTGTCTAACCGATGCCGTTTGTAGTCATCGTAGCCCTCCTTAACAATAGTCAGGAGAACAAAGAAGAGCAAAGGTAGGATGGTGGTATAACTTCCGGTGGTACTCAAGCCGGGAATTGCTTGGGGAATACCAACACAGAGAAAATAGAAGTTGGCCAATCGCGTGAATTGGAAGATGATCTGTTTCGGTACAAAATCGTACAGGGTATATCGTGAAGTGCGAATCGTATTCGATATGTACGGATAGCCACGTCGATCGTCAATTAGGGCGTATTCGTGCTCAACTTGTAACGGGACGTGCCGTCCATCTTTAGAAGGCTTCAGAGGTTTTTGTCGCAATATTAGTTGTAATATATATGTTTTGTACCATTGTGCAGCGCACTCCTGCACAGCTTCTCCAAGTTCTTCTAACTGTTTCCGGGCGTTCCACGTATCCCGAGTGTTCCGCGCTGTGGTCGGGAAGGCATCTATACTCTGTTTTTTTCCAACATCATATTCTAAACGACCGGCCATTCGAGGCATTATAATGCACGAGCTCGAGCGAATATAGCTGCATCGCCAGGCGATTGTGCGCGTATCGACAAAATTCCAAAAAGGGCGACGAGAACCTTGTCATTGACAGCCGGAGCTACGATAGTCAGGTACTAGGTGATTTTTTGGGGTGTTTTTCAGACGACGGGCCGCAGCGGGAAAAACGAGCGTATCTTAAAAGGAACAAGAACAATCTAATAAAAGAATGGAAGGCCGTGAAACCGTGAAAACGTGAAAACGGAAATCAGCCAGCCCTATAAAAAAGTATAAACCAAAAATCAAACCTCAACAAGGTTATAGGCACCTTTATATCCTCCGACCGGAACAGAACTCGGGAACTGGGAACTATGTAGGAATCTCGAATCGCAGTTAGAAGACAAAATCAGTTAAAAAAAGTAAAATCCAAGCAAATCCAAGCAAATTTAGTCGTTGAGAATGTAACCTGGAAACGACCAAGAACGCCGGGCGCAACCCATATTGCTTTAGCGGCCGAGCCTACCGGTACAGTTGGCTTGGCGCCGAAGGTATCGTAGAATCCTAGATACAATAGGTACTATGTACATTATCCTACCTGTAGTTAATACATTTATGCATAACGTGCATCATGCGAGATGACGTTTAATGTTTGACCAATCCTATTCGTGTAATTGCCCATGAGCTTGCCATCGAGTTTTTGCTAGCATTATCCCACTAATACAGTTTTCTAACTTTGAAGGCTTACATATCAGGACAAATGTAGCATGTACTAACTTACTACTAAGTACGTACCTAGTACTTTACATGTAATTCTCACCGTTGAGAGTGCTGCTAGGTGCCATCAACTAGGTACCTAGTAATTACTTTATACGAAGTACTTTAGTAGACAAACAAGAAGCTCCTTGTTATGCTATTTGAGACCACATGCAGCAAGTCTTGGACTTGCATGACCTACCAAGTATAAACCATATACAATACGGCAGCATTGAAGCCCTTAGTACTGTATAAAAGTGCTTTGTAACTATCATAGATCTATTACGATCATTGATGTAGACCAATGCATCAATGATGTATTATCCGGACTTTGGTACTACTATCTACTGGGGTGTAAGGTTATTATTAGTAAGGCGGGGCGGAAATAACTTAGCACCGACGCATGGACAATTTTAAACCCTTTAGGTAACCTCGAACCTTTCTTATGCATGTGCACAGTCCATGCAATCTTTAACACATCTTGTGTGTCGAGGAAAGCGATAACGATAAACCAGGTATTAGTTACCTATGTAACCTTGACCTTGCCTGCCTACCTACTACCTACATACCTATCGCCTATCTTTGTACATAACTCATTATTTCATTCATTCCTCAACGCAAGGACGATTAATTCATTAACTCCCTACACTTATCTCTCTAAGAGATCCGAGCTTTCATGCATGCCTCCTCCTGAACACCTCCTACCACAGTCCAAAGGTCCTCTTGCAAGACCAGAGGTTGTTATAGCGTTCGACCATGACCCCGCCATGAGCGATCAAAAGCCCATAAACGCCCCCGATACTACGCCGACCCTCGCAACTATCCCCCCAGAGTCGGACCAGGTCGATGCTCAGACCCAGAAAGAGGATGGCAAAGTTGAAGGAGAGCTCTCTCAGCCAAGCGGCCTGGACAATCAAACTGTCCCGAACCAAGCCCATAGTATCTTAACAGATCTCCTCGAAGATCAGGGCAAGAGTACAAAAACGGAAGATGCCTCGGTAGATAAGGTTATTCAGCTTGATCAAACTGCTTCACCTGATGGACCAGCTGATGCTATGGAATCCTCTGTTGCAACTCTCAAGCCCGCGAAACCGCAGTACTTGACAATTAAGCCCGCCCCATATGTTGACCCGACTCCCCCGACTCCAGAAGGCTCCCAGCCACCATCCAGAACCAGCTCCACCCATCGATTCAAGGGTCACGGCCCTGAACCGTCACCGACTCGATCAGATGCAGGATATGATGAGAGACGGTACCCTAGCGAAGACGAGCAAGAGGGGACTTCTCGCTCGGAAATTCAAAGTATCATGGAACAATTCCCGGAAAATGGTGGTGGTCCTGGAGAAGAGGAGGTCATGAGTCCGCGACTCGAGATCACTTCGCCTCTTCTAGGTACTTCCCCAATTCACCACCCGCCGAGGAAATCTAGTCTCGAGCCCCCTACCCCAAGTCTCGCCCAGCAGTTACAAGACATGCAAAACTTGAGGCTCTCGAGCACGTCGCCGATAAGCATGCGATCAAAGGATAAGCTGAAGGAGTCTGATGACCAAGGGCCTCCCGTTCCGCCAAAGGATAATCCATCGGATGAGAGACTTTCCATCATAGATCCGCAGGCCTCTTCTACAACCTCATTACACCGACCACCGCCTCCCGAACCTGAGCCTGAGCCAGCTCTTCCATTCGATTTCCACCGATTTTTAGAGCAGCTGAAGCACAAGAAGGCTGATCCAGTAGCGAGATATCTCAAGTCCTTCTTGTTTGAATTCGCAAAACGTCAATGGATGGTCCACGAGCAAGTCAAGATCATTAGTGATTTTCTTACATTTATAGCCAATAAAATGGCCCAATGTGAGGTATGGAGCGAGGTTTCGGACGCGGAATTTGATAACGCACGCGAAGGCATGGAGAAGCTTGTCATGAACAGACTGCATACGCAAACCTTTTCGCCTGCCATACCTCCTCCCCAGCCCATTCCAGGCGCGAAGCCAAGGCGTCGCGGAGGTGATCGACCCATGGGACCTGGACGACGCGGGCAACATCAAGAGGATGTGGAAAGGGACGGGATTCTAGCACAGAAGATCAATATCTATAGTTGGGTCCGAGAAGAACACTTGGATATTCCCCCTACCAATGAAACCGGTAAAAGGTTCCTCACATTGGCTCAACAAGGTGCGTCTTTAATAAAACGTCGTAAAGGGAGAGTAAACTAAACGACTGACAATTCTAGAACTTCTTAAAATCAAATCTTATCGAGCACCTCGCGACAAGATTATTTGTGTCCTCAACTGCTGCAAAGTTATATTTGGTACGATGTTTGAGCTACTCATCACTTGGTCACAATGCTAATCGACCGTCTAGGGCTCCTTAAACACAACAAAAGCGACTCATCAGCTGACTCTTTCATGCCGCTTCTGATATATGTTGTGTTGCGGTCTAACCCCGATCACCTGGTTTCTAATGTCCATTATATCTTGCGATTTCGAAACCAGGACAAACTAGCTGGAGAAGCCGGATACTATCTTTCATCTCTGGTAAGTCAAGGCCTGGTCCCGGACAATATATATACACTTAAGCTAATTATGCAACCAGATGGGCGCCATACAGTTTATTGAGAATATGGACCGTACCACCCTAACAATTTCTGATGAGGAGTTTGAGAAGAACGTGGAAGCAGCTGTATCTGCTATTGCGGAAAGGCATCAGGCGGAGGAACCACCTACTCCACCTCAGCCACAACAGACAGAAAAGCCTGGATTATTTGCCTCGGGCACTTCTTCGGCACGTCGGTCGCTAGATCTAGATGGATCGAGCACGCCACGTCGGTCTTCATCATCTAACGATGATAATGATTCCGGCGAAGAAGCTCCGGCAATCTCTGGCTTACTCCGTTCTATTCAGAAACCTTTGTCATCCATTGGCCGTATATTTTCAGAAGACGGTGCGGGTCCTAGTTCGCCTGCACGTATAGCTCAGCCAGACACTCCACGACTCAGTCCGCGACCCAGCACCGAAAATCGGCCTTCAGTAGATGGGCGTCCGCGGTTAACCGCTGAAGAAGCGGCGGCACGGCAGGCGAGCGCTGATGTTGCTGAGGCGCAGAGAATTCACAGAGCAGAGCACAATAACGTAGTGGAGACACTTTCGGCCATGTTTCCGGGTCTAGATCGGGACATCATTAGCGATGTTGTCTACCAGAAGGAGGGAAGGTCAGTTTTGCTCATCATATCCCTGTTTTTCTTGCCGCCAACGTACTAACACATTTCTTACAGGGTTGGTCTGGCAGTTGATGCTTGCCTTGCTTTAAACGCATAATTAGGTAGGCAGGTGGGAGGTTACTAGGGAGGTATATTCAAGTGGGATTGGCTGGCTATAACTCCTAAAATTTGCTTGCTAAAGGAGGCAATTCACAGATGAAGTTTCAATAAGTATCCATCATTGATGGGGTACGAATGCCAAGAATTCTTTAGTTGGCCCGCCTAAGATGTGAAAACTAAGCATCGTCGTCCGTTAGTCACTTGAACTCAGTAAATACTTTCCCGTGATTTTCTTTCATGTTGGACTGGCCATCAAACCTATTAACCCCTCAAAGCAATATTCCACGCTTCCCAGTCAGTAGGGAGTCAGGCAGCCTAGCATATCGCCATAGCTGACTACCTAGGCACCCAGTAATCTGTACAACGTGGTGTGTTTAGTTGATATATTCTGCCTTCGTCCATCTCCTTTCGAATCGGTGATAAAATCACAAGAATCCCTGAAATCTAGGAACCTTTCATAGGTACTTAAGTAGATGTAAAGACGGGAGATGCACAGCATGTGCCGTAATCCTGGGAGGACAAATGGTGTTGGGTTTATGAGTATGGGTACTGCTTCCTTGACTATGGTATATCTTAGGTAGGTGTGTTTGTGTAGATAGTTGGAAGGGAAAGGTGAAATTATCATGTATTGAAGGGTCAAGGAAATGATAAAGAAATCCGGTATTGTTTACCTACCTAGTGGGCTACTGTTGTTTCACGCATGTTGCTAACGGTTAGAGACATAGAGTTATCGTCACCTACCTACCTATCTCCCCAGATACCTACCAACTACTTACAAAACATCATGCCTTGCATCCTGAATGCAAGCCCTTTATGCGAGCTCGTCTCCCACCCCCCACCCCTCTACCTTAGGTACCTATTAATCGTTGTTTACAAACTCTATCAAGGGTACCTACTTCGCAGACGGCTTTGTGATACCATGTCCTCATCTCATAGTCAAGGGATTCCAACGCAGTTTACCTACATGACAAGAACTGACTACCAAACCTACTCATTCACCCATATCTCTCTAAGCTCTTCTGACTGCCACTCCCAACGTCAGTCCAGTCAGTCGTGAGTCAACTGCTTTCCAGCAACATTACCATGGACATCTATCTCTTCGAGCTCGATCTGTACTTCACCCCATCTTCGTGTTTATTTAAGCACGTCGCCCTGCCATTCTTCTTCCATCCTCTCCCTCGCAGCCTAAACCACAAAAAGAAACTATGAAGCCTCGATTCCTTGTCCATATATATTCAGACAACGAACCAACTCTTCACGTCTATATACAAGACGCTTTCACTCGGCCTGTTCGCCTAATATATCGCTACCGTCCCACCTTGACGAGCAAGCGAACGATCGATCTAACATGGCCAACAACGCCGAAGCTCAATGCAAGCCCACAACAACTGCCGCCGGCAGTAGTAGTACTGTCGGTACCAATAACAACCAGAAGCCGGCCGCGAAGCCAAAAGGTGATAATAAGCCTACGAACCCAGACGCGAAATGGATATGGTAAGGATTTATGTATAGATTCTTCTTCTTCTCCTTCTTCCCCCTTCCCTCCCTCTTCCCCTTCTTTTCTTACCATCACCCAACCAAAGCCAAAAGAAAAACCAACCGCTAATCAAACTGGGCCTGACTACATAGCTGCCAATGCAAACGCAAGTACGCAGCAAGCTTGGAAGAGTGCACGAAGACCCGGTGCTACCACCGGCGATGTATCAACTGTGGCAAGATAGAGTGGAGTTAAGGGGACGGACTGGCTTGCCTGCCTGCCCCTTTTCTTGACTATTAATGTAACCTAGATGGTTGTTGTATGGGAAGACCTGTTATGCAGTGTGTAGGTAGAAAGGTAGTTACTTTTGTAAGTGCCTAGGCCGGACTAATATAAAGAGAGATTCGATATTCCAATCGGGGTTACTTGGCCTCATTTCATATTTCTAGAGACGTTATGTAGGTAGGTAGGCAGGTAGGTATCTACCTAATACCCAATTGTTAGTTGCTAGTTACTATATGCCATTCAAATCATGTTCATCACAGCTTATACCTAGGTATACATCCCTCATATCCCAAAAACCAACCCCTCATCCGAGCCAACCTCCCCCCTCGTATACCTCTCCCACCCCTCCTTCACAGCCTGCATCCCCTCTCCCCACGTAACCCTGAACCCCTTAATCCCGGTCTTCCTCATGCCCTCCCACGACTCACCCAGCCTCCTAAAGTACTCCCCCTCGCCAAACTTCTTCATCGCCATATCCTGCAGGATACCCGCGTGCGCGAACGCGAAATCCATGACCTCCGGATCCGGCCCACCTTCCCCCTCCCCCGTAGCCGTGGCCGTGGGATCCGTGACCTCCCCCCCGACAGCAACGTACATCGTCCGCGGGAACACCGCCTTGATCGCCCTTGCCCACTTCCACGCGACGCCGTTGCGCCCGCCAAAGTCGCATATCACGACGCGGCCGTCGCGGGGCGCGCCGAAGCCCTCCAGCACCGCGAGCGGCTCCTCCGTCGTCGCCACGACGTTCTCCTCGCCGCCATACACCCCGGTGCCCTTCACAAACGCGACCGAAGCCTCGCTCGCAACCCCCACAACACGGCGGGGCCTGCCCCCCCCGCGCCCCTCGCTCCGCAGCAGCATCGCGAACGCAAGCCCGACCTTCGACCCCGGCGCAAAGCTCAGCACCGTCGCGCCCGCCAGGTCCGCCAGGTGCGGGGGAACAAAGCCGTCCGCGCCGTCCGCGCCCTGCGCCTCGGGGGGGAACATGACCTCGGTCATGACGAACGCCGTGAGGTGCATGACCCGCAGCAGGCAGTCGTACGCGACCGCGTCGCTCCTCTGCCTGACCTCCGCCGCCACGGCCGAGCCCGGCGGGTACACCGCGTAGCGGTTGTAGATCGCCAGCTGCTTCTGGCGGTACCCCTCCGTGACCACGACCTGGCCCCCGGCCTCCGCCGCGGCCTTGACCTCGAGGTCGAGCGGCAGCGTGCCGATGGGGAGGTAGCCCCACACGTAGCTCCCCTTCTGCACGTCTGCGAAGGTGGAGTCGACGACGCGGGCGTAGCCCCAGCAGTTGGTGCGCCCGTAGGTTGCGGCGTCGGTGTAAGGGGATGGGGCGGAGGGGGGCAGGGGGTGGACGTCCCACCAGCCGAAGAGGTCGCCGACCTTGCAGTAGCTGAAGTTGTTGGTGGAGAGGCAGAGGGTCTCGGTGCGGATGCGCAGGGACGAGTCTGCGAGCGGTGGTAGGGGGAGGGCCGAGGGGAGGGGCACGAGGGCTTGCTTGAAGTAGTTCTTCTTTTCGAGGATTTGGATAACTGGGATTTCCGCCATGATGAACGCTGAATGATGAATTGGGGGGTTGAAAAAGGAGAAGAGGGGGAGAAAGAGATAAAGGAATGGCAGAGGTGAAGAAGTACCTAGGTTAGGTAGGTAGGTAGGTAGGCAGATATAAACTAAGTGCTGACAGACATATACGTGATACTATATATAGAAGGTGTACAACAAGTAATTGGATCAGGGCATTATTAGCTTGTGAACTAATGGATTCGGAGTCCGAGGTCATTTATATACTAAGTAACCAAGGTGCATACAAGAAGAAGGATTTCGTCAAAAGTCCTACATATGTAGGTATTGTATTACCCCGACTTGGCTTTATAGAGTAATCATTATCAGATCGGCTGGTTCCCATCTGTCACTAAGCAAGATTGTTGATATTAAAGCAGTAAAAACAACTTGGTAGGCACCTATGTAGTACGCAACCCAGCACATGTGCACATGTCACCTCACTGCAAAAGAAGAGAAACAATGTCTGGGTAGGTACATATTGGACTTATATACCTTCAACTAGGTATGTGCACAACTCATGTATCCTACCAGACACTCCATAAATATGGTAGCGTTTTTTTCTTCATTTCTGTCTGTCTCTGCTATCCTTGCATCAGTAATCTCTAGTATACAAAGGGCGGCAACAGCAGCTAGCGGCGGCGGCGGCAATGGCGGCAGCGACGCAACCTGCAGAAAAACACCCAGTGCCTATAGGCCCGCACTGAAGCTCCAGGGCTGCTAGCACGAACAGCAAGGTCCTTAAATTAATGCCTGCGTCTCCACATGCAGGTCTCCATGGTATGAACCGTAGCCAACGACTCCTGACTAGCAAGCGAGGGGGAAATAATTACTCCTTTGATATATCGTCGCCCCGCCCGTAAACGCCATTGTCGAACTCACAATCCAGATAATATGCCACTACTACTCGGGCTTTGTTGACCTGCGTCTCCTCCTCTTCCCCGTGCCTGGCATGTCAACTGGAGCTGGAGTCGCATTGTACTAGAACGGACGTGCGTCCGCCATATGCAGGTTCTTGGCCCATCGAGGCAGCTTCTTAGTTTGTTCATATAAACGACCACAATTGGCACAAAGGGTCTGTGTAGATGGTTAGCGAAACATTCCATACAGCGTGACCCGCGTAACTTAGGTCTTTACTCACCCTAGGACCCCGTGGCCCATCTCTAACTGCCCAGACACTCGTGCCCCAGATATAGCAATGGTGGCATCGCCAATTAAGCCTTTCTTGGTCGGCAAGTGTGCCGCCTCCACCATACCCTACATCCGGAGTGTTTCTACCACCTGGTGTGCCAGAGCGGCCAAGCGGGCTCAGACTTCGGAATCTTCGCTTCTTTTTCGACCTTTCTCCGCGTCCCATTCGTTCCTCCTCGACTTCTATGCCCAGGCCGGGAATGCCTCCTATCATACCGGCATTACTACTGAATCGTGCTGTCTCCCGGCGAAGACGGCGGACCTGTCGTTCACGGTCGACTTCTCGCTTTTCTATTTCCTCCTTCGATAGAATCTCCACCTTTGGTTCCCACTCATCGGCAAGGTGTTCGGGGTCATATCGCCAACCTGCATCCGCACCGTGAGCAGCCTCGTTAGGAAATTCGGTGCCCACCCCACCCCAGCCTGCCACTAGGCCACCGGCTTCGCATGCTTCCTTTTTCAGGCGCAATACTGCTTCATAGATCGCGTGCGTCAGAGCAGGCACCCATTCACCAGCAAGACCCAAATCAGCACACGTTATTTTGGCGAACGCCTCGGCAGTACCTGGAGGATGAAGAAGTGACCATTCGAATTTATCTGTGTATAGCTGGGAAGAGAGGTTCACGTTGAGGGAAACGATACATCGATAAGTGTCGTCGTGATTTAAATCTTCCGAGTCGGCAGGAATCGGCGTAGCATTAGCTGTTATCTCAGGAACCTGTGAGCGCGGTACCTTGGAAGGAGTATCAAAGCTGGTGTCGAGACCGTTGCGGAACGGAGTGTCAGGGCCACGCATCAAGCCAGGGAGAGGTGTGGCAGGAGTAGCAGGGGTATCACGAAAGCTGGATTGAGGAGCTAATCCGGTGCCATTCGTAGGGGCCTGGTCTTCGGAGTGGAAGAGCGGATGTAAGGCCACGCCGGCATATTCCTCCAGTTGTGTTCTGATTTGCTTGCTAATCTCAGAAGCAATCATGACTGGGCTGGGAAGGTCCAGATCTTGGACAAGGCTCAGCGCGAATTGATCGGTAGTAATCAAGGTCTCGTGCAAATTCCACAGAAATATATCTCTTAATTTGTAAGGGACGGTCATCTCGCCAGTCTTATACAAGGACGGGTCCATGTGTGGTGGTGGGTGAGTAAGGCCCCGGGGTAGGGGCAATGAGGCTGTAGGCATAAAGCCAGGAATGTCGACGTCGATACGTATAGGAATGAGGGTGATAGGCAGGGCAGCCTGTGCCTGGTTGTTTAGATCCGATCGATTCTTAGTCTTCAGCATCCAATCTCTCCAGATACCCTGAACTTGTACGGGGGTAGTAGTCTCTTTTCCAAATCTGTCGCCGGGATCTATCCTAGATGCGCTGTCCTCGCGCCGTAGGCTGCGCAAGCCCGTAGGTCGTCTTCGGGAATCGTCATCTTCTTCTTCATCGTAGTCATAGCCATCCTCAGCATAATTGATGACAGTAGTGCCGCGTTTTGTCGTTCGCGATATGGGGCCTGCAGGTGCAGCAGGATGGATGACTGGGGTGAGGAGAGAATTGTTGTAGACGCGCAGTCGCGGCGCGTAGGAGGAGAGAAGCGCCTGAGGAGTGCTTCTAGTCTCCATTTTGTATTATAATTAATTCGCCTTGTTTTTATGACATTGAAGTCATGCGGGTAGAAAATGATGTGAAGTAATAGGAAGGGGGAGGGAAGGAAGAGGGAAGCTAGGCGATAGGCCTAAGGTTAGTAGGCTTTAGTGTAGAGAGGTTTAGGTTCGAGGGGCCTAAAGTTGTAGGTTAGAGGATTGAGATGGAAAAGAGATGGAACATTTGAAGTTGAAAAGATTGAAGAGATTGAAGATACAGTAGGCTATGTACCTCCAGCCTGGCTAGGTATGTACCTAATTCATTCGTAGAAAGGCGTAAGAATTGTCATAACAATTAATAACAATTAATAACAATTAATAACAATTAATAACAATTAAATAAAATAAAAACTTAGTAAAAGTCAAATTTGGATGCAAAGGAAGAAGTGGAAGTCGCAGCCAGGTTTTTGGTTGTAACTACCTATATTCATATGTAGTGCAGCACTTGCAACTTGCATGGAACTTGCACCAGTCGTTTGTTCTTGTCGCAACGCGTCTTGTCCTTTTTGCACCTGCAGTTGCCAGTAGGTACCTAAGTTGTAACAGGGTACCTAGGTACCGACTTAGTACTAAGGGTGTTGGGTGTAGGGGTCGTAAAGGGGTCCAAGCTTTATAGAGTTAGGCTAGTAGAACTATCTAGATCACGTGGGGCGCCGACGTTTAGCCAGCTACTTACTTACTACGTATGTACATATGCAGATGTACATATCAATCACCAAGTGACACCAACAGCTTGAAGTTCTCATTTATATAAGATCAAATTCGGATTATTTTAAAATAGGTGTGGTCAAATATTCAACTCATCATACCCAGCCGTTAGGTCATCATCTTCTATCCAAGTCCCCTGGTTATATCCAAAACATGCTTTGCCATCAACTTGCAGGGCAAAGGGCAGTGAGTCCAGTGAGTAGGTAAATATGTTATGTAGGAATAAAACAGGGGTAAACCTATGGTGTGCTTACCTACCAATGGTAGGTACCTAGACAGCCAACAGCTATCGTGATCAGGTCGACCAATAATGCTCCGCTAGCTACGCTGGGAGATGTCCCTGTACGGTTGAGGGGGCTATGATCGAAAATAGATATGTCGGCCACGAAATAGTTTATACCAAGCACATCGATAGCCAGGAGCATTTCAATATCCATAGCTATTGGATTTAGACATTACGAGGTTACGTGGGAAAATGACTCGGTGAATCACCGCAAATGGTCCGAATATATTTCCTCGTCATTTAGTACAAGTTTTGGAATCGGCTAGGTACCTAGGTATGCACAATTATATCAACACATTTGTCCAGAAGATGAAGACACTGGGCTAGGGTACAGACGGTGGAGCTAAGCTGAAAGACAGTATGCTTCTTTTATTCGGGGTCGAGAGCCGTTTCCCTTACGCGAATTATAGACCACTGAGCAAGAGAAGCTACACCTAGAGATCCTAGCAAGCCGGTTGTTTATTGAGAAAGCAGAGATGTAGTAAAGAAGTGCCAAATCCAAGTGAACAGTATCCAGGCCAAGCACAGGTGTAGCGACATTATAAGGCCCTTCGTCGCCAGAGTGCTGTGGACTTTTCACGGTTTTGTGTGCGATTTCTCGTCAGAATGGCCCGGCTTGCGAAAGGAACATGTCGATGGGCGGAAGTAGACGTTAGGACACGTCGAAGGTAGGTATGTAGACATTACATTACACTAGGCACTTATGTAGATACTCTTCGAAGCCATTTTTCTCAACATTTCTTGACATAGGACTAGGTATCGTGACTAAACTATACCTACCTCCCCACACTGATAACCATCTCGTTACCGTCCACTATGAGGTAGGTAATCTTCCCCCTTCACTTCCCGTTCTTTCGTAAACCCTTCGCCGCAGGATTTTTAATTATCTCACTGCATCCGGTACTAGTCTCTCGGATCTTATCGTTACGGATCTGCCTCTCTTTGCAATCCAAAAAAGGGGGAGGGGAATAAAAGAAAAGAAGAAAAAGCCACCCTATCTTGCCTGCCATAGTTTATAGTGTATATATACTCTCAACGAAAAGCGGGACTCTCATCTGCAAGATATCCCCTCAACCACCCTTCTAACCATTAGGTTCATACTGAGAACGATTATCCAAATATCCAAGACTCCTGCGCACCGGGTATGGTCTAAATCGTGGTTGACATGATGCTTTAAAAATGAATATAGTAGCGGATATTATTGTTAGGTCAGTCCCTTATCGGTGGCTAGCCCGTAAGCTTCTGCCTCGTTCGTCTGTTCGTTGTTTCGAGTTCGTAAGCATCGCCCAGTCCTCCCATTCTTTACTTATCTCCATCAATACGGAGCCCATCACAGTAGCACTAGCCATCAATCCATGTCCTTCGCCCTCAAGCACTCGAACTTCGCATCGTCGCATCGTCTTCCCTAGCCATTTTACGTTCTCAACAGGAACCCGTGTATCTCTGCTACCGTGATGAATTATGACTGGTCGAGTTATATCTACGTATCGAAAACCAATCGTGTGTCTCCGCTCTAAACAGACAAGGAGATCTACAGCGGGATTGGCCCCTGTAGTGGCAAGCTCCCAGATTGCGTGGGTAAGCCTCATATCATAAGTCATCTGCCTTTCTTTATCTGCAATAGCATCGGCGGCGGCAGCAATGATAGCCTTCTGAGGGTTGAACTCATTATCAGCAGGACGGAACCGATCCATATTTTCGTTGGCGGATACTGGAAAGCGCTTCCCATCTAGGCCTCCTTGTGTTATATTCTCTTTGTCCAAGCTAGGCGCAGCGTCTCGGCGGGTTTGAGCTGAATCTCGCCCGGTAGGAACAGTGGACTTTCGCTTGTTACGACGAGAATTGTTCTTCGGAAGTGAGCTGGTGATCGAGCTGCTGGTGGCTGACATAAATGAGCTGTTCGCTGCTTTGAGGAAGGGGGTGGGTAAGGCTCGAAGAATTCGTTGAGACGTAGGGATGGCGTTAGTAGGGGGAAGGGCTTGCGATGAACCAAACACGTTCATCTGCGATGGGGGAATCCATGGAGCTAAAAGGTGAATGCGACCACGGATGTGCTGCGGCATGCGGAGTGCAGTTGCTAGAGCATAAATAGCGCCAGCGGAGTGCGCAAGAATAGAAAACTTGGTGATTTTCAAAGCTTGGCAGATAGCATAAACATCATCTGTAGACCGTTAGTTTCTGTGATAGTGGTTACCAACTAGGATGATAGACATACCAGGCCAGCTAAGAGGTGTTGCCGTTCCGTCAGCATACGCTTCGCTGTCACCTACACCAGGACGATCGGGCGTAATGAGTCGCAGTTTGAGTGTCAAAGCTAGCTCATCGTAAAATGCAGTGATATATCTAGTCAGGCCCATGCCTACACAACAGAACACTGCTGAGCCATCGGCGTCGCCGACTTCAGAGAACGATATGACTCTGCCCGTTTGGGGATGTCGGATTTTCTGTGATAGTCTTGGGGAGCATAGGTAGGACTCAACAGCATCATCGACGGAATCAGCGCTCTGTGGCCGTTCGTATCCTACCATAGGCTCAGGGGAAGTGATTTCCTTTCTTCTGTCTGCCGGCTCGGGACTCTTTGGTCCCGCTGAAATACGCTTCAGTCGTGAACTGCTTCGTTTTGGCCGGATAATCTCACCCGGGTCTGGGGTCGTGTGCCCCAACTTCCTCCGGTCGGTACTATGCGCGCTGCGTCTTCTACTCTGAGATACAGCCGGGAATGGGGCGCCATCTTCGTACCCATTCGTATCGGTCGAATATGATCTCGCGCGCTGGTGGGAATAATGGGGTTCCTGGGGCTTCTTAACAGCGGAGGTCAAGCTGGCCTTCGCAGAGTGCGGCATTTCGGGAAGAGGGTCGTCCCTCGTTCGCCTTCTCGTGTCAACTTCCGAGTTTGCGCGACTAGAGTGTCGCCGCCCAGTGTTGTAGAGATCGCGCGATCGGCTTTGTTCCGAATCTTCAGGAATAGTGTCGTTGAAGCCGCCCTCACTATCTCTCTTCGATCGCGAGGACCTATGCGACGACCTCTTGGCGTTGGTTCCCGTTTTGCGCAACGAGGAGTCGCGAGTCGGGATCGGTCGGTGAAAACTAATGAAATCGGCGGATGGGCTTGCGCTAGGCATATCTGTTTTTATTGGCGAGTCACTTGATTCTTCTCGAATCGGGGTCTCGGCAAGGATAACGTCAGGTCGAGGTGAAAACCCGTTCAAACTGCTGGATACAGCACCAATAGATCCTACACTTGCGCGCTTCCTCTCTGACTCACTGGCGCGCAATTGTTCTTTTGAGCTCATGTACATCAATCCCTTATGATTACGAAGTTGCTTCTTTCCCCAGCTGTCATGCGACCGTTGCCTGCGCAACTCGGGGGTAGGAAGGCCACGTTCAATTGAGAGATTGCCGATGCTACGTGTATCATCATACGACGAGACTGAACCCTTGGAAGATGGCCGAGACGAGTTGCGCAAAAATGATTTGAAACCACTAGACGACTCGCGACGTGGCGATTTCGGAGCGGTTAATGGAGAAAACCCGGAGGGTGGTTTCGCTGTTCGAATGGTCGGCGGGCTCGCGGCCAATTCGTCGATACCAGCACCTTCTTCTTGTAGGCGGTCGAGTCTCTGACCGTACTCGATACCAAAGCTGCCGTCGCCAGCGGAACGCGGAAGAGATAAGGCTTGACCCTCGAAGTGCTGATTCGCAGGTTCCGATATGACAGATAAACTGGTGATTAGGGATGATATGACTTCGGGTGATGCTGGAGGTACGCCGGTGCGGTCTTTGTCGTCGTCGCGCAGACGCAGGTGCTCAGGAGGATCAATACCTCTCCTCCGGGACAATTGGGGGGTTTGACGGGGAATAGGGAGTAGTTGTCCGGAAGTATAATCCATGGCGAGCGGGACGCAAGGAGAAAAGATCGATCGAGGAATGCGTGTTTTGCCTAAACCGAATCCCAATGCTAATCCTATCTACCTGTCTGACCTACTAGGTAGGTACAGCCAGTACGTAATCTACTGGCAGTCTTACCTGCCAGTTTGTTTCTGTTTTTAGGGGTTTGGTTGTGTTTTGTTACTGCAATCAGTGCAATGTCCAGCAGGAGCGGTGTACTATGGTACAGCTCCTACTTGAACACGGTACAGGGTGTAACAAAATGTGGAGGTCAGGAAACAGAAGGGAAGGAGGTAGGGAATGTAGTGTGGAAGGTGAGACTCGATAATACTAGGTAGGTAGACAGGATGCAGGAACGTTAGGTTAGACTGGTCAGTACCGAGACAAGACAACCTTACAGGCCAAGACTCCCAGACTCGATGCTGCAGGTCCCAGATTTGGAACAGGCGCTTCGTGCCGGGGGGGTTCGCACCAACCGGTCGAGGTTTTTGTCTTGTTCTGGATGTACCGATGTAGATCTGACTCGCTTATACATACATCAATGATCTATGTTAGATAGTACCTACCAGGTAGTATGCACCATGTAATAACGCATTTGCATAGTACTGGGTATAATGTGAGATGGCCTGGAGGATAAATCGAGAAGATGTCGAGGATGCTGATGTAGAGGAGGGGATATGCAACTCGAACTTTGGCTGAGGAACGAAGAAGGATTATGTTGGTTACAGTACAAGTCGTATCTCTACCACCTAGTAGTTATTTGCAAAATTACAAAAGATGAACATTAAAAGTCCAAAAGAAAAGCATTCGAACCGTTTCAACTCAGGGGGGGAAATGGGAGTAGAAGTGGAATCTTGGCCGATCGATTTATTAGGTAGCCCGGGCCATATTATAATTATTATTGGGTAATGCAGGGAAGGTAACTCGACTCAGGGAGGGCCAATTAGGTATGGAAATTGGTGAAATTGGTGAAATTGCACGATAACAGCCTCCTACCTGCGGTGACCAGAAACTTTTGGAAGCTGTAGCCTGTAGCCTGTAGCCTGTGCTTGGGGGGTCCATCTTGCTGTAATGGTTATAACAGCCATACGTATTGCAGCTTTATTGCAGCTTAATTGCAGCTACCCCGTAAGGTTGAACCCCGTAACATGCAGGTAGCTGTAACTAGTGTCTGCGGGTGATCACTTGCTTTCCCTGGATATGACTGGTCGTTTCCGAGAACGTGAAGCGACCAGAAAGTTCAGATGAGACGCTAGCTATTTATTCAAAGTTTTCTCTTTGAGAATGTTCCTTTGTGCCAACCCTTGTAAAACAATGCCTAGTACTACCTACTACCTACATATGTAGTTACTAGTAGTATCATACCTGTATATGTATACCTAGGGTATGTAATATTCACTCAGGGGAAACATATAATGAATCATACCTACTGTACTTGAGCACATACAAATCTTGTTAGTTAGTCTAAACTCAGACAATCCTGTAGGTTATCCTAGGTAAGAAACCATTGAACCGTCAATTGAACCGTCTTGAATAGACCCTTTTTTTCTTTTTCTTTTCTATTTCCTTTTCACACTATTTGCTCCACCAGACAACAATAGAGAAGTGCCAAAGTGGAAGTCGTTCAGAGGCTGACCCAAATTGAGATTAACGTGAATTATTGGGGTCCTCTAATCAACCACTACTACCTACCTAAATATGTACTACTATATGCAAGTCCACCCGAGAAGGGGTTTCTTTGCAAGTCGTGATATCCATCTAAAAAACGGGAGGATTGGCATGCTCGAGTAGTTACATACATGTAGATTCAAGTTGAGGTAAATTAATACGACATTGTACCTAGTATATAAATACTAACGGTTGCAATTGTAACAACGCTGTTCATTTGTGCAACATTATCAAAGTAAGCGACAACATTGAAGAGGTGATGGCATCATTTCAATTTCTAAACTGCAGTTCAATGTTCTCGTCACTTTCATGTACAGTACCCTAACCTAGATGCCTAACCTAGGTACATAAGAATGATCAATTGATAATAGTGAGTCCGACAACTCCGATGGCCCGGCAATGGGTTCATGCACTGGGAAGGATGGTGAAAAGTTGACAGGCTGCGGGCAGTGAACACCACGTGAATGCGGGACCTTGGCAAGCTTGGACATGTTCAGGGTTCCTTGGAGCTTGTGTATTTGAATAGCCTTAAACCCGGATCACCATGATAACAAGGACCTTCCATGAAGGGAAGAAAAAGAAAAAACCCCATGCTCGGGACATAGCGACATTGGGGGGGCCCCTTGTTTTTCTTTTTCCACTGGTTCATCTTCCAAGGTTTACCAAGAGCCAACCATGAGAATAAGTTGTACGTGTACAACTGTAGAAACGTCAATAGAAACAATTGGGCTATCACATCTTTTGTGAGATGATTTTCTTAAGGTCGAGATTGTAGAACAAGAGGAGCAAGCACTTGTTTCCACAATGACATGCCCAGGGCTACACGTGGCACCTGGTGGGCCATTCAGTGGTTCGAGTTTATCTCAATCTTCTTTTCTTTGAGTTAATCGAGACAAGAGTCATAAGAGTCACAAAAGTCACAAAAGTCACAAAAGTCACAAAAGTCACACAGTTCACAAAAGATATCAATGCCCTGTCGATGGATTGTTTGACTATACTATGCCCCGCAAATTCAGTCTGTTATACTACTACCTACCTAGGTACCTAGGGTATGTATGTAAGCTCGCCTTTTAGCATCGCAGCTCAGGCTCAAGCCGCAAGATGTCGGCCTAAGGAGTCTAACCCGTCCGGTCTTACAGGGGACGGAAGCTCACCAGCTGTCTGAGTGTGTGGCCAATAAGTATCTCCCACACCAAATGACAACACATACGTCATTGAGTTGTTCAGTGAGAATGGTAGGTATACACATACACACACACTAAGTTAGGTACGTAGGCATCAAAATCAGGATTGTAAGGCAAAGGTAAGACCCAAGTATCAGGAAGTCTCTAATGAATAAGTGAAGTGCCAAATTATTCCGTTATTTTCTTTTCTATCTCGGCTTCTACTACTAGCAGTAAATGAGTAAGCTGGGTGTTGAAAATATCACTGGTATTGTTCTAAGTACAACTCTCTTGCTATATCAGATACATACATATTAGATATACTGCTTGCTAAGTATCTACTGTCTAGATTCTGTTGCTTTACAAGAGAACAAGAAACTTAAGAAACTTACCAAGATGGATCTTCTTCTTTCCCTTCCCCTCGCCTCTTACTTCGCTGGGCCGATGTTTACTTCATGGTCCGGCTCTCTAAACTTATTGTTCTTTTACATGACCTGGACCACGCTCGTCCTGTCACACTCACCCCTGAGGATCGAACTAGTCGGGACTCTCGCAGTGCGCATAGTATTTTGGCTATTACCTTCCCTCCTCTTCTTATTATTCGACACACTACTCCCAAGCCTCGCGGAATCGATCAAGCTCTATGGTTCCGTATCTCTACCTCGGCGAAATGCCGCCGCCCTGGTCAGGCAGGTTCTCCTCGCCATTTTCAACCTGGCGCTCAGCACCGCTGTACAAGCCGGCATCTCGGTCGGCGTCGGGACTTTCCTACATCGCCCGCTCTTCAAGACGAGTACGGCGCTGCCACTCCCTTGGAATATCGCCAGGAATTTGTTGACGCTGTATATCGCGCGCGAATTCCTAACGTATTATATCCACCGATATATCCTCCACACACGCGGGAGAGTAGCCAAGCTACATAGCTCATATGCGCACGCTCGCAAGAGGGGTGCACCGTACGCGCTGATGTTGTACGCCGATCATCCGCTAACCCTCCTCCTGAATCGTACCCTACCTGTATATCTACCCGCCATCATCGTTCGGCCGCATCTACTCACCTACTTCCTATTCACGATCCTGACGACGCTGGAGGAGACAATGTCTATGTCGGGCTACACCCTCATCCCGGGGATCATAATGGGCGGCATCGCCCGACGTACTGCCACGCACTATGCCAGCGGAGGTCGCGGGAATTACGGTGCCTGGGGACTCTTGGACTGGGTTAGCGGTACCAGCGTAGGCAAGGACATGGCCGAGGATATTCAAGATGAGGCCGATAAGCACCAGGTTAAGGAGCGGGGGCAGAAGGCCGTAAGTGATACGGGCAGTATAATGCAAGAGGGCATTGACGGGTTGAGAAAGGGCCGCAAAAGTCGAAAGAGGAATGATTACTAAAGGTACCTAATCATACCATTTTTTTTCTTATTCCTTTTTTTGGAGCACACGAAAACATACAGAGAAGATATTATTCATTGGGCACATAAGTAGTAGGTAGGTAAAGAAGATATCCGGGTCTTTCTTGGGAACAGCTTGTCTGGGGTCAGGCGCAGGGGCGTGTGGTATCAAAAGGGGGTAGTTTTGGGTGATGAGGGTATCAATGAATAAATGGACGGTGTTCATGATTTTATGAATATATGATGCACATGAGGAAAGAATACTTGGAAAGTATTTCAGTGATCCCATTTACCTCTTTTTTAGAGTTCATTCTCTACATCATCGCATAAAACAGTGCATATTCCATATTCCATTCCATCGATAACATGATGATGGAAGTCCACTTCCAAGGACTAGGTAGGTACCTAAGGCTAGTAGCTGATAAAGCTTGAACCCTGGAGACTGCCCTGCCCAGGTGCTGAGGGGTGAGTGGCGTCATAAATAGGTACCTTCTATGTAGCTCGCCGCGGGGTACTACAATATTTCTTTCATGGATAAGTCCAGCTGTTTTAATTATGTAGGTGCCTAGTTACCTTCTTTCCAAACAAAACAAACATCCACCAAGAAATTCCGCTCGTTAAGCCGAGAAAGGTTCTAGATACTCAAGTATAGTAGACTAGGTATACACAATAAATACCATCTACTTTTCCATAACCTGCCCACCAACCTCAAAGCATCACACCAACCATGTCCACAACGACAAACCCCGACCCAGCGCCAGGCTCGCTAGCCTTCGTGCCACTGGAAGCGAACCCAGAGCTCATGACCTCACTACTACACAACCTAGGCCTGAGCAAAGCTCTGCAAATACACGACGTGTACTCCATCACCGAACCCGAACTTCTAGCCTTCGTGCCGCGGCCAGCGCTAGCCCTCCTCCTCGTGTTCCCTGTCTCCGCCACCTACGAGTCCGCGCGCCTCGCCGAGGATGCCGGCGTCCCCGAGTACACCGGCAGCGGTGACAAGGAGCCCGTCTTGTGGTACCGCCAGACCATCCGCAACGCCTGCGGGCTCATGGGCCTGCTGCACGCCGTGTCCAACGGCCCCGCTAGGGGTTTCATCGGTTCGTATCCCTCCACTTCCCCCTCCCCCTCCCACTCCCCATCTCCATCATAAATAGCCAACTAACTAATCCACCCGAACCCACAGAACCAGATACCCCCTTACACCGCCTCCTCAACGCCTCCATCCCCCTCCACCCCACCGAACGCAGCGCCCTCCTCGAGAAGACCCCCGAGCTCGCAACCGCGCACCAAGAAGCCGCCAGCCGCGGTGCGACCGCCGCCCCAGATGCCCAAGATGACGTAGATCTCCACTATGTCTGCTTCGTCAAGACCGAGGTTGGTGGTGACGGCAGCGGCGGCACGCTCTGGGAGCTCGACGGCCGCCGCAAGGGCCCCATTGCCCGCGGTCACCTCGGTCCGAACGAGGACGTCCTCTCCGAGCAGGCCCTCCTATGGGGTCCCCTCAAGTTCCTCGAGCGCGGCGGCGGCGACATGCGCTTCAGCTGCGTCGCGCTGGCCGGGGCCCTGGACTGAAGCCTCCCCTCCCTCTCTAGGTAGCGTATTGCAGTGTATTGTGTGGCCAAACCCACCTATCTACCCTACCCAAGGCAAGGGGCCTACAGCTCACAAAACACAAACAAATAAAAGTATATAACAGCAGCCCTTTGGTTTCTTTTCTTTCTTTTCTAGGAGGAGAAGAAAGAGTTTATACTTCACTAGGTCTCCATCATATAATGTGTATAAATTCTCTCAGCTTTCAGTACACCACCACCACCACCATCACATACACACATACATACCTACGTGTCTAGGAGGTAGGTGTATATGCCTAGATACTAGATATGAATGGAATCCCATCGCGTTCTACGTACACACCTACATACATACATACAAAAGGTACTACGCGCCTAGGTACCTACTGTACATATCAAGCCAAAAAAGGGGGGATGGAGCAAGGGTACCTAGTAGAGAATAAGGGGCCAACTAAAAAAAAGAGAGAAAAAGTATTTGGTTCAATGACCATTCCTCCGGAACGATTCGATATCTATAGGTACTGTTGTTGTATTTGTAATTCTAGCCTCGGGAGGAGAAACAAAACGAGAGAAAAAAAAAATACTGAAAAGTCTTGTAATACCGCCTCGTAGTTTCTCCCCGTAGGCACCTACGTATCTAGAGAATACCCTCACAAAACATTCTTGAAAGACGTTCCTCTTCAGTATTGCCCAGTCAAGCCTTATAGAGTTGCCTCAACCCTATTCCATAATGTCTTCTTTGACCAAACCTCACACACAGGCTGACAGTGTCACCATTCATGGCTTTGATCTGAACTCCTTCAGGTTCTTCGTACATGGGCCAATTAGGTATCCTCGGTAGGTACGTAGCTAGGTATACAATCTCAATTCCTATCACAAAGATATCTAGGTAAAGGTGTTCCCCCAGTCTAATGCGCAGAGAGGCTTCGGCGAGGTGTGCTAGCAGGGATAGTCTCCGCGATACCGAACGGTTCGAAATTGAACGGGGTATGCGAGAGCGAGTGAGGCGTCATGATAGGCGAAGCAAAGCGATAGCTAGCATGGCTGCAGCAAGGAGACTCGAGACACAAAGACGAGACCAGTGAGACGGGAACACAGGCGTAGAGGGCGGGTTCGTGATGTACGACGTGAGGACAAGCATGCGCGCCGAGGCAAGAAGAAGTTGGAGGAACGCTCCTCATCCGGCTCGGGCTTGAGCTAAACCTAGGCGGAGAAAAAAATCGAATCAATAATCCCAGCTCATGCTGTACGGGAAGAGAGGAGTGGCGAAGGTAGGGGGATCGGAATCAAATTGCGGCACATACCCTCTCCTCGGCCATGATGTATTGCGTGTCAGATAAGAAGGGGGGGATTCAGTCATCTTGAACCCCAGGTGTTCACACCACGGAGAGACGCAGCGACTCGTTGGAGATTGAAAAGGCGAGTAAACTTGGGAAGTAGGCTGTGTAGTGGTGATTTCTGGAGTTGAAATTGGCTCCATATTGCGAGGTACCCGGTCTGGCATGGCGGTTATAAGCCAGTCTCCATTACCGTCCAGTCCATGGCTGATAGGGTCGTCATTTCCATGACCCTCCTGCTGCTGTTTAGATTCAGGTGCTGCTCCAATTTGGGAAGGAAAGGAACGGGACCTCGGAGGCCACGTCTTGTCTGTTGCCTTATTACCTCTTCCAGACGGGTTGGTGTCCATGTATTGATGTATGTGCCGATCAATATGCTCCGCAATATGCTCGATTAGTTCCTGTTCGTTCCAAGGGGACTCTTGGTGATCAGCTTGTTTTCCTCTTTTTTCTCCTTTTCCTCCCTTAGACTCCTCCTTGGCCTTTATACCGAGCCATCTCTTTGCCATTGAGGTTAGTTCTTGGAAAGAGGGCAGGCCCTGAAGGCCGTCCAGTGTCTCTTGCAAGAAATCAACAGTCGCCTGCTCGTCGGGTTTTTGGCATATTTGACACCCTGGATGGGGTTGCGATTCAATGGCAGCAGAGCCGTCGGCCCCAGTAGGAAGCTCTGGAGGTGGAGAGCCAGCACTCTTTCCCTTCTTCTTTTTTTCTCTTTCTTTGCGACGCGCTTCCTTGATCTCGTCCTTTAATTTCTTCTTTTCCTCCTTTTCTTTAGCTTTCTTCTCCTTTTCAGCCTTCTTGGCCTCTTCTTTCTCTTTCTTCGCCTTTTCCTTGTCTTTTTTACATTTCTTACCTTTGGGCGCTTCGGCTATCGTGGGTTGGATAGGATCTTCGTTAGACGGCTTCTTGCTTGGTTCTGCTTCACCTGGAGGGTGGATGATACTCTGAAAAATTGTGAAGGCATGTTGGACTCCATGGACAACTTTTTCTTGTAAGGTTTCTTCTGCAGCTTGTTCTTCTTTTTCGGGGGATTTCTTTTCTGATAAGCTTGATGTCAGCTAGTTAAGCTTAGATGGCGGAAAGATAACAAACCTGCTTGAGGGGCTTCGGGAAGTTTTTCTGTTATACTTTGGTTAGCATTCGAAGATGATATGAATCGAATATAGCAACAGACCAGTCAATGGCACATTCGGAGGCTTCTCTTGAACTTCTGGTTTCTCTGTTTCTCTAGGCTTTGCAGGGGCGTTTTCGGCACGCGAGGCTTCCCGAGACTTTGGCGATATTCGGGAGTCAGAATCATGTACAAGGTCGTCTAGCTCGGGATCAGGAGAGTCGCCCTGCCAGCTACAGACCTCTTCAGGTAGGTGATGGCTCTCGACGTGGGCGAGATCATCAGCCTCTAGCTCAGGGCTATCGCCTCTCCATTCGCAATTTTCAGCTGCCTCAGCCTTGGCCTCGCGCTGTGTTTCGCACATGGTGTTGCCGTCTAGACTAGGCTGGGATCTTTGGGTATGTCCAGACCCCTTTACAACGGAGTCCTCTTCTGCAAGGGGTAAAATGGACCCAGGAACGGGGGATCGGGCCATGAAACGAGGGGAAGTTACATTTAAGTATTGTCAGTAGGTTGTGATCATTTACTTAGGGAGATGTTTTGGGAAGATAATAAATATGGGCGCGGGAGAATAGGAGGTAAAGGTGCTATAGCATCCCGATGTTCAAGATGGGCAACTCTACCAACTACTAAATATGTACTAGGTAGGCAGGTAGGTATTTTCTTGAGCTGAATGAGATATTATTCTCTCCTCAATGTGGAAAATAGTGAAGAAAGGTTACTGCATTGTGGATGCTTATATTGTTGTTATCCATACATAGTAGCTGCGACTCCCTCTGCAAAGGGGAGAACATCTCAAGTAGGTTAAGTAGGTATCTACATACGTCACTGGTAATAGTGTTTGAAGGAAAGCACAATCCGTGCCTACATAGAATCATAGATTCACCCAGTGTACCTACTTTTTATTTATTTAAGTCGATCCCTCAAGCAACTACGACGTTAGGTACTTGATAACTTGAGGACCCCTATCTGGCTACTTACTACTAGGTACTAGGTAGGTTGTAGGAAGTGTTCATTTGCACATATACATCATATGTTTATTATTTAGATCCGGGGTGTTCAAAAGTACTGTCGATAAACAACCCAGCTGGATTATGTTGCGTTTAAAAACAATTAAGCATACAAACATTATGCTTATCCTAGACAGACTTAAATGCGGTATCACTGTGTTTGTATGATACTACTAACCCCCTATACCTGAGACGACTTTAAATTTATTTATAAATAGAACCGCGCCCGTCTAGGCTAGGCCAGTATACTGACAGTAACTGACTGACCTTGGTAACATGAAGGATCTCAAGTGAGCATCACGAGGAAGCGGTTTGGGGTGATGTTTTGCCTCCTTATCTGTCCATTAAGACCTTCCTACTCCTGAGTCGTGCATAGTGGCACAACGCTATTAACTAACCTAACCTAGGTATATTCAACAACAACATCAGGATTTGACGAGGCATACTCACGCAACGTCACACACACGACCACATTGGTGCGAGCAGCAAGATTTCTTGAGGCAACCTTGTTACACAGGTGCATGTAGTTAGGGGCATTGGAAATGATTGCGTTAAGAGATATGTTGGACTTCTAGAAATAATCCATGGATATTTATGAACTGATATGTTGAGTAGCGGCCTCCTGGCTCCTGGCTAGAACGTCAATTGACTCCAGGGCTGTGACGCTAAATATCTTAGTCAATTGAATGGCGTTGGTTGAATACTACACTAGGTACGAAAAGGCCAAGGATTTGGACAATTGTTTCCGAAGCTAAGGTTTGAAAGCCTTTAAAATGGCCTTAAAACGGACCAAGAATACTACTATAGCCCCGCAAGTTCTAGTAGCTAGCTAGCTTCGTGACCGTCACTTAGGAGGTAACTTACTGGGTTAGGTAATATATCCCGTATATTAAAGTCTCTTAGATCCCGATGAAGAATAACCCTCTCGGATTAACCCAGAAGTACGAAGTAGTATCGCATAAGATTGCGGCTGAGACAGTATCTGGGTAAACATTTCTCCAGTTGATTGGCTCACCGCGAGTATTGATATGCTATCCAATTTTAACACAACATGAACATTGAAGCTCATTGAATATATGTAAGTACATGTATGTATCATTCCAGAGACAGTAGACTACTTCCAATGTACGCACCTATGAACACAACATTGAAGAGATGCTTCAAGTGTAGTGCATCCTCGGGTCCCTCCCGAGTTATCTAATCCGCCAACCTGGTACAATACATTGAGATGATATTATCGCAATATTAAAGCTATGGGCATATAGTGCCCTTAAATGATTGCAACTGGCCCCTACGCGGAGATGAGTTTTAAAGTAAGATGTTGACTCTTCAAGAATGGTGCGAGTTAAGTTATATTATCATCAGTTTCAAGACATTGTAACAATAATCTATCAAAATATAGGTACATACATAACATCAATGATATGTGTACTACAAATAGGTATGTATGTAGTATTGATGGAGGAGTTGAACATCGCCTAGTTGGAAGTAATGACGAATCAAAAAGCTCGACTTATGTAAGTGCAAACACTCTTCAGGGATAGGCATCCTTTCGAGAGATGTGGGCTTTTCAGGGATGGTGACGCTACTACCCGATTCCCCTTTCCCTTATTCCGATTCTCCGCCCTAACATTACGGGATCTTTAACCCTGATGTCATACCTAGTATTTATCTACTACAATGTAGCATATTATATAGGTACAGTAGGAGGCAGTAATACGACTACACTATATATGTAATAGGTATATATTCCGCAGCAGGTAGTTATCAGAAGATTCAATGTTGAGTGGCTTCAGGGAAGCTCGAACATTCAATGTTGTACATATCCGCGAAGTACAAGCATTGAAGTCACTACGTGTTCGGTCACTTCGGTGAACTTCGGTCACTACTCTAGTACATAGGCACAAAACCAATTGGCCAGGAATTGCTTGTCATCTGAAGATCGTTTTATCTTTCACATCTGCCGTAGAAACACACTTCCACAGGGGTTCACCTTGTCCCGGAATAGTTGTAAGCACACGTTGTTTAGATCCTAATGTAACACTACCGACATCTATACATAAAATCATACATACATATGTAATAATGTTCGTACGCGCATACATGCGGGTCCACGCCTAATAAGGGATAAACTTCAAGTTAGGTTTCTTGTGGCGGTCTCATTGAACAGGTACTACTAGTTAGGTAGTACAAACAAACATAAGGTACAAGCTACATAACTTGGAATTCAGCCTCGCTTCGATCATAATGAAATGACAGAACTGACACACCATACACGTGCACGTCTAGACTTTACCTGTCTAACCTGCCTAACCTGTGTTGTAGATATGTAGTATCTTCATTCCCGGCGGTTAGTTGCAACAACTCATGATGGCAGGGTTGTGCAGAGCGTGTCCTCCATGTGTCGCAAACGACGGCGTCCCAATGGCCAATAGGCTTAGAGGACTTGAATCGAGGGTTGCGGGTCGGGTTAGTTAGATAAGTAATTAAGTGGAGCTATCTCGGTCTAGTCTAGTCAACATTGAATAAAAAAAGAGGATTCATGGATTCATGGATTCATGGGATGCATTTCAAACGCAAGGTACGACTGCAAGTGGCTTTAGCTGCAGATTTCTGTGTGTTTTCTCCAACAGTAGTTACGACCTTAATTCACCAAGTTTATGTATCCATACTACCTTCATAAGGTATTTACCTACTACTAGACTACTAGTACCGTGTAAGTAATACATTGAACCCAGTAGTTACATACTACATAGAATAATTGAAGCGACTTTGCGTGCATTAATCATTCTTCATTCAGCCTTAAAGTTTCCAAGGTACAAGACCCTTGCACCACCCCGTTTTCCTTCGCTCAGACACTCATCTTCTTCTCCTTTCCACTTTCTAAACACTGTTGTGCCTGTACCGTTGCTACATAATCTTCTTCTCCTTCTCCTTCTCCTTCTTTTCCTACGATGCCACCATTTTTTGGCATCCCATCATTCTTTTGACTTTTCTTCTTATTTTTAGGCCTACGTACCTACCTACAAAGCATGTGGCCGAAACTGCCTCCGTCCTCGTCTTGATCCGATGGAACCCCACGTTCCCCTTGGATACCTAACTTTGCAAACAAGGGAAGTAAGGAAGTAAGGAACTAAATAAATACTATCGCTACATGGGCTTCAAGTTCCCATACTTTGATATCTAAATTTCAAGATGGGCTGGCTGAGCTTCTTTACCAAGAAGCAGCAGCAGCCCTCCCCCAATAACTTGGATAATCATCTCAAAGTCCAAGCCTATGATAAGACGGTAGCTGCCGAAGCTCCAATTCGCGGTATGATCCGAATGACTATTGATTCCCAGTAATTTGGTAAATCTCCGAGCTGACCTATCTTACTCAAAGGTACCTATCCGGTAGCTGGCAACGGTCCCAACCTTTTGGACAGGTTCGAAACATCTCACCCACAATTGAGAGACGCCAGTTCCTATGATAATTCCGCACCACCTCCTGCAGTTCCTCGACTTCACGAGGCTGACCGTCCCAGTACCGCCCCCTCCCACCTACTACAGGAAAAATTGTCCCGGCCAAAATCCCAGCCAGGAACGTCGGCGAGAGTTTCGCGGGAACCTCCCAAAAAACGACATGGCCCCTACAGACTACATTCAAAAAAATCAATTGACCGGAATGATGGCACCAATAAATCCACCTATAGCGTTACTTCGTCGAATTATGTTCGTGCCCGTAGTCCTTCGGTTTATAGCACTGCCACCTCGCCGAAATTCGGCCGTGGCCGTGGCTCTTCAGTCTATAGTGCAGATTCAGGATCCACGAGAAGGTTTGTTGACCTCCTAGATGCTCAGTCATTTATTAAGCCATCGGATTACTACGGACGTGTCAAGGCCACCGGCTCAAGAGATTACGGCGAAGATGTTGCGGATCGCAATATCACTGATAACCATAGCCTCTACCTTGACTCCATGCATGCCCATGATTTTGATCCTCACCATTTCTCCTTTGAAGGCCAAAGCGATGATAGTGACTGCGAACAGTCTTCTTCGCTAAGGAAGAGCTATTCTGTTGGCTCCGGGTTGCGGACCGGGTCAAGTAATTCTAATTTTCACAAAGGATTATCCAAGAAGCCATCCTCTAGATTTTCTCGGGATCACGTGGAAAGGAATGACACCCGATTAGCGCAGAAGGGACGTCGAGGATCCGTGCATTCGTCCCTTCGAACTTCCCTAGACCGACCAAGGAGTGCCTCTATTAGAAGTACAACAAGGGACGTAGATCTGGGCTACTTCCCTGACTTCCTCCGAGAGAAAGCCCTTGTGGCAGTTAAGGAAGACCTGGGACGCGATGCATCCACAAGCCGACATAGAGTCTCGTCAAATATATCTCCTCTATCTGATGTGAAACTACCATCCAAAGGAGATGATCTGCAAAGCTCACGGTCCTTTGGACGCCGAGAGCTTTCCACCGAAATCAACACAGGAGGCTTAAACGAAGGCCTTGACAGAGAAAAGCAACCCAGATCTTCTAGGAGCTATCGTGGGAATGACGACGACTTTCATGACTCACTCTGCGGATTACCGTCGTTGCAGTCCACAGACATACCGCGTTAGTAATCTTTAAAGAATATCATACTAGCTCTATCACTAACATACTATGCATAGACTTGAAAACGACTCGCAGTCGCCTTAGTAGCAAGGATGAGTTGACACATAGCCGTCGAGATCGAAATACTGTTTGTGTATCGGGAAAGAATCTGCAGCGTTACGAATTTGAGGAGACGATGCTCGAACGAGGTAACAGCGCCCGCCATTGGTCATTGACCTCCGAAACGGCAGGATCAACAGAGAGCTCCAATCCTTTCAGACCACAATCAGGGCATACAACCAATACTTCGGTTGACTTGAATCCTCATATGTCTGTGCCCAAGATTACGTCGAGTCAAGGCCCCTTGACGCCTGGAGGAAGTCACACACGAGAGTACCGAGCTGAACCCGAAAGACACGCATCTTTACACCATGGCGTTGACCCGGAACTATTAGCAGGATCGCTTGCTAATTCTACTGGACGACACTCGGTAGATTATGAAATGGATGAGGATAGATCATCAATCGACTCCTTTGAGGCACCGCGGCGTTCCACAGGTGAATTCGAAAAAGATCTTCTCTTTCAAGGGTATGGATTTGAAGGTTCTCAACTGCCAGGACTTCCAAGCCTCTTTGAATCTATACCGCCACCAAAAATTGAGCCTATCACGTTGCCAAAAAAGCAAACATCTTCGCCATTTAAGCGCCCCCTATCCATTTTCACTTCTAGTCTTGAAAAATTACGGCCGACTAAGTTGGACAAGCAATTTTCGACTCGATCCTTACAGCATGCACCCCAACCCAGACCAACATCGCAGCTACGAATGCCGGCCTATAGTTGCCCCGATTCGGAAGATTCAGACGATCATGAGCAGGGTTACGAGTCTGATGAAATGAATTTTGATATTCCTTTCAAACGTTCCAGCAGTTCTCGATACAACCCCCACGGCAGTACGCGGGCACACGAGACAGCTGGCGGACTATTCGAAGACGAGTCGGGATTTACTGATCTGTCTCATATCGTGCACCTTCGTCACGATGCCAAGACGAAAGAACGCATGAGTAGTGCGTCGCTGCGGAAATCAAGGGGTACAGGGAAGGCTCCAGCAATTTATGTCCCTACATTCGGGTTGGATGATCCATCTGATTATGCAGATGCTGAGTCGTAGAATGATGGACATGGACGGATGGACACCACATTTTGACAAGGACTTAAGCAAGCGTTATCTCATGAGCCCACGACAAGGCTTTTCTTATGCCTGATACCCATTTTCTCTACCATTTTCACTAAGGAGGGCTTACACACCATGCCTTTTCCGAAACAAGTACAAAGTTGTACATTCACGAAATGATTGCCGTTACGGTTTGATGTTTGGCGCATAGAATGGTTGTTGGCTCTAAAGCCCGGCGAGGCTTGTGCCTGGTTTATACCCCTAGAGAGTGTTATGGATTAAGACCTATTGCAGTAGGTACACACGCAAGAAAATAGTACCTAGGCGGCAGTAGGATATTTGTTTGTATTTTCCTAGCAACCATAAAAGAAGACGACAATTTGATTGATTGAATATTCACAAATTTGGCAATGAATGGGCAACGAAATGCTGTTTTGATATGTTTGTCGGGTTTGTTGATACCTAGATACCGTTACATTTGAGTGCCTCTTTAATCACTGGCATGTTGGCTTGTAATGGTTATATCGTCACTTGGTGCAAAACCTCACATGCAGAGCCCCCTGGTGGTATGATACACAAGGTAGTTGGGAACAAACCTAGATGAATAAAACAATAGAGAAGGGAACTGTCATGCAATGGATGGTTGGAATATATTTGATGTTAGCGATGGCTACTTGGGGTTTGGATTTTGTGATGAATAGGGGGGCCTGGTTGGTATCGTCCCTTCATTGAGTTTTTAGTAGACTAGGTACCTAGGTAGACAGCAATAAGTGACATTATGAATCTCTTGAAACCCTTACGTACTATAAAAGTAGTTATTCTACCTAGTACCTAGTATGTAGGTAGGTAGGAACAACATACCTAAGCAATAACTTGAAGCCTCCCCCTTTTCCCTTTGTATAGATCAGATCATCGTACAAGAGCAGCACTTCACCCCTTGGTCATATTGCACCGTACTATAGGTAAGTAGGTATACACATACACACCCACACATCCATATCATCCATATCATCCATCAACCTACTAAGCTAAGTATCCTACCTATCTAACATAGGTAGGCACCCACTCCCCCAACCCAAACTCAAACAGCAGTAGCATGCGCCAACGGATCCGCGCCCTGCTCCTCTACATCCTCGGGGGAGCACTTGCAGCCGAACTCGGCCTTATACTGGTCGACGGAGAGGTCCTGCAATACGAGCATGATCTTCTTTGCGGCGGCGATCTTGGCGTAGCGACCGCTGGCGGCGATGGCGTGTTCGCGGACGCGGCCGTGGATCATGACGGCGCAGAGGACGTGGGGCTTGCTGGTGTAGGCGGCGGCAGCGCCATTGCCGTCGTCGCCGGCGATTTCTTGGACCATGAGGCGCCAGTCGACGCAGCGGTAGTGCAGCTGCAGCATGTTAGCTAAGAAGGTGACGGGGTGTCGGTTGGCGAAGGTGTCGTAGATGTGCATGTCCTCGAAGTAGGGTCGCATGTGCGTGTCGAAGAAGCGCTGCACCTGGCCGTAGTCGTACTCGCTGTCGACGAAGAGAGCGCCGACGTAGGCCTCCACGAGGTCTGGAAGCGCCTTGGGGGGCTTCTGGATCTCGACCCAGAAATTCCTCGCGTACGAAGCGCGACCGAGGTTAGCGGATTCTGCTTCTTCCTCGGCTGTCTTGCGTGCTTGCTCTATAGCTGCCACATACTGTGTAATTTCAGCTTGCAGTCCAGAGGTCATGGAGATCATGTGCGTCTGGAAACCAAGGGCGACGCAGAGACAACCTAGGAACTGGTTCGACGCCATGGCCATCTTGTGTTCGGTCAGCCACTGAGGATCTGCGTTGGGGTACCGATGGAATAGGAAGTCGACGCAGACCATGTCGAGAAGTGCGTCGCCTAGAAACTCAAGCCGTTGATAGCTAGGGATACGCTCGTAAATCGTACCGTATGATGGGTGCATGAAGGCACTACGTAGTAGACGGGGGTACTTGAACTTATACCCAAGCTGCTCTTCAATCTGCCTGGCTACTTCACGTTGCACTGCTGTCGGCTCAGCGCTCTGCCACTCCGGAACCTCATACGCCGCATAGTAGTCTGCGTACTTCATCATCTTATGGTTAGGATGATTGACAAACTTTGTGACGGCTTGTACAGCCAAGTCGAACCGATTTTGTCCATGGGTCGTGAGATATGACGCCCCTATGAGAGCTTCGCAGACGTCGGCAATGGACTTGTCTGCAAGTGTATGCAGACCTCTGCTGGCACCCTTCTTTCCTTGAATACTGTCATTCTTCTTTCCTTTCAATAGTTCGAGGCCGTCTGGATACCAAATTCGTCGGTTGAACCCCTTTGAGCGGATTGATTCCTCGAGTTTAAGTTCACGAGCATTCTTAAAGAGAGTGCTGTTGCAGATGAGCTCCATACGGTAAACATGGTACCAAAACTCGTTGCTGTTGGGAATCTGCGTAAACAGAGAAATGGTCGTGCTCATCTTTAGGAACGAATCTCCTAGAAACTCAAGCCGCTCGTAGTTCTTCCCCATACCTCCTTGAATGTTTACCTGCTCTTCCAAGCTTTCTTCAGTATTGTCGCTGTCCTTAGTCATCGCCTCGAGGGCCAGATCAGGACGTATGTCGAGGGATAAGGACTTGCAAGCCTCTAGCACGATGAGACATGTTTCAAGTCGATATATTATGACAGGTAAATTGTAAACCATGGCAACTATATCAACAGGCAACTTGACTATGGTTAGACTTACTACTCTGATCAAATGTTTTGGTAGAACTTACCACGGAAAGCTTGAGAGTCTCAAAAACGATGTAACACTTTTTCTCTACATCCTCTGGCCTATCAAGTTCATCAAGGAGGTTTCGGCGGAGTGGAATGTACTCGGCTTCTATGACGGGCAATTCATGGCGGATTGTCAACCTGGCGCGCGATTTAGTCCAGAGACTGATACTGAAATTCCATATATCTTTTGGCCCGTCACGCATGCCCCTTCCGCCTTGCCCTTTGGGGACTCCTGATGGTTCTGGGTCAGTTGGTTTAAGATCATGGCGACGGTGAACTGTATAAAATTTCCGCGAGCCGTCGTGCGGGTCGATGACGAAACGTTCCTTAAAGAAATCGTCCGGTTGGTCTTGAGATGGAAGATGTCGGTCGGCATTCTGTAGCCAAGAAAGGTACTCCCAATCAATCAGAGGTCGGACATCTGTAGTAATACTGGCGAAATCGAAGTCATGAGTGGGTATGAGGGGTGCAAGAAAGTAAGGCATCTTCTCTGGCTCCGAACGATACTCTTTACTGAATACGTCGTCGAAGACCTTCAGCGTGAACTGGTTGACTTTCGCGACATCTTCCAATGTTGTCTCTAAAGGGCAAGACAGTGGTACACATATTACGTTCGAGGTTTGCTGTTGGCTGAAGTATAGAGGAAACTGGGCCACTTGTGGGAGAGGATGCCTAGTAAGGATAGCTAATGGTCTTGACGACCTTCCCAAGGCTTCCGGAGAAGATAACTTTAGTACTGTCATGAATAACCTTTCGGGCATACCTCGCGTATCCCATATTTGGGGCTTTGTACGCATTTGGTACGCTGCCCTGTCCTTCGAGCTGATAGCCAATTGTGCGTTACGCATGGTTGGGAGCTTTTTAGTGTATGTAGACTGCAAGTTCTCGTCGAGGAATTTCTTCCTTCTTAACTCCAAACACATCTCAAAAGCTGCTGAACATTTAGCGACCTGCTTGGTGGTTGAGATTCGTCCAACCGCATGCCTGACCGGGGATGTCTCTGGAAGGATAACCTCGTATTGATATTCCCGTCCAACGTGCCGCATTATATAATCTGGAGTATAGATGGTGTCCAATGGTCGTGGTAGGGTCGAAACAAAGTTGGCTAGTACTACAAGACTGATCTTGTAGGTCAGCTTCGCCTTCGTCGAAGGCACGATATAAATGCGCTGGTCCTTTTCCTTGGACAGGAAATAGTCGATATTGTAATCGCTTCTGCTGATGATTCGATCTTCCGACAACGTACTGTAGAACCTACGAAGCCTCGCCTCGCTATCTTCATTTTCGAGGATAGAACGGTAGTGGCTGCGATTGGTAGATTCGACCATGTGAAAGAATTTGGAGTCTTTACGACGGGCTCGACCCCTTGATTGTATGTATTGAATCATGGTTTTGCAAAGATCAAACCGAATGATGATATTGCAGTCTGGAATGTCAATGCCTTCCTCGCCAACACTCGTGGCAAAGATGCAATTCAGATCTCCGTTTCGAAATTGGTGCATGGTCACAAACTGTTCTTTCAAGGTCATCCCTAAATCCCCCCTTTCACTACTCGAAGCACCCAACTGTAACCGAGTTAGTATCAGGTGGGCAACAGTATATTTCATGTGGGAGACTTACTAGTACACCAGTCTTGAGGAATGGCATGTTTAAGCTTGGTTGTTGGAGAAGGTCTGCCAACAACATCGCCGTAAGGCGCTTCTCCACGAATACGATACACTTGTCCTTGCTTGGATCCAAGTGCTGAAAAAGCATTTTGATCAATGACTCAACCTTGTCGGTCAAATGGAAGGGGGTGCGGTCAGGACAGGGAAATGGATGGTTAGCCACCACCTCGTAGGCTTCCCGAACTGCCGCCCTCTCAGCATCAAGGGCAGCTATGGGAAATTGCAATTTGCCCGTCATGAAATTTCTCTCCGTTCTTGCTTCCATCTTTTGGGCCTCTTGTTCGGTAAAAAATAGTTTCCAAACTCGGTCTGCGCACCAACGACCTAACTCTGCAGTGCAGTCTTTTGCATAGGCAAACAGTCTTGCTATGACGACATTGTGCCCAACCAACTTATGCAACTTCTGCCAGAGTGGTGTTTCAAAGGGAAATGGCGCAACATTGTACTCGATGAGGTTCTCCTTTGGGCGGTTGATGGATGACTTGGTAAAGACAGATATGTCCTCTACTGTGGCTATCTCGCTGTGTAGTAGCCCTTCGAGTTTCGCGGCGGCTGTGGCTGGGTCTGTTTTAGCGTCGACGGGAGAGGCAGTCATGCCTAGAATACGTGGGCGTATAGTTCCCTTCTTTTCTAAGGATGCATAGAAGTCCTTGATGATCCTCGCGTAGGGATGGTTCTTCTTGGCATGGTGAGCCTCGTCAAATATTAAGAGGTTGATACTCTCCATCTTGATGTAAGAGTAGTGAAGACACGAGAGAAGGATTTCTGCAGTGCAGACCATCACAGTACCCTCATTGATCATTTGATTCCAGAAAGTCTGGGTGAGAGAAGAGCCACCAATGTCACCATGGACTCGCTGGACAGGTCGGTCCAAGTTAGCTTTGAGAACTTCATATTGCTGAAGAACTAATGCAACTTTATCGACCTATACGCATGTCAGCGTGGTGGATCGTACGTAGTAAGTTTGTGAGGAGTATATATACCAAGAAGAAGGAAATTCTCGGCTGCTTTCCAGCATTCCTATCTTCAAGCTCTTGCGCGATAGTATGACGGATGAGGAGTGCTGCAATAAGCGTCTTTCCAGTCCCTAGGATGACGATAAGCAAGGAGATAAAAGAGATAGCCTTAGAGGTTGGGGGTTATGGGATTAGGTGGACGAACCAGTATCTAAGACAGCAATGATATTTTTCTGCTTAGCCCTCTCGAATAGTTCGGTCTGGTATTCCCTTGGACTTTCAATGATCTTTTCACTCTCTGCTTCTCGTACAAGCAGGTACATGGACTTGTCCTCGTCCTTAATGGCCGAATTGGAGAGAGAGTTAAAGATACGCTCTTGATGATCTCTCATAAACTGAGTAAACTGTGCACCGTCCAGTACTTTCCGTGTCCTTGACTGTGGCTGTACCTGCACCTGTACCGCCTTTGTCGTGTCAGAGAGATCATTGTCGGACTCCGAGTCTCCTTCACCGTTCAATGAACTTTCTTGTACTTGTGGCCGTCCTGGTGAATCTCGGGGAACAGATGCGGTAGCTTCATCCTCGCATGTGGCGTCAGTAGAAGTGATTGAAGAAGACATCTTGTGCTAAAGATGATATAATAAAAGCTGTAGGTACTTTTCACAAATCAAAGCGAGACCGAAAACCAGTTCTGACTACTTAACGCAGTTATTGAAGTGACGCGGATTAGTTGTAAGATGGAATGAGATAGAACCGCTTAAGTTTTATCCGATAATTGTCGATGAAAAGGCTAACGATAAGAGGGAGGAGCTCCTTCCCAAAAGTACTACATAGGTAAGTACCTACTTAGAGGTATCGAGTGTGTGCGAGGTACATACCCTGAGAATCAAGGCATCAGGCATCAATTCAGAAAATAACTGAATGAAAACCTGGAACCAAAAAAAAAGAAGGAGGAAGGAAGACCAATATTAGTACTAGGTAGTATAAGGTGAGTGCTATATGATTTTACCTTTGGAAACAGGGAAGTTAACGATGTTGTTTGCAGTTTCCACAGCTTTTACTGCTTGGCCCATTGATTGGAATATCCAACATTTGTAACTGGAATCAACATTTGGCGTCTTCCATGTTGTAGGTACTCCCTCACTCTCCCACCCATCTTGGCCACGATGCTACGCACGACATTACGGGTGATCGGATCCATGGTAGGATAGGAGGGAACCTAAGGTTCCAGGTAGCTATTCGCATACCTACATAGTAGGTACCTAGGCGACGTTCTGATACACTTGACTTCCTTGGTTACTAGAGTAGGTAGGCACTACAGGTGAAGGGAGAGATGCTTCTGATTGCGAATATGTGTTGCTTGGTACACCCAAGACGTTGCCAAATTCATGCAGTCATTTATCTTGGATGTTCCAGTCGCAAGATAACATTTGAAGTTCTTTCAAGGTTCTTTCCCTTTAAGATTGTTGTATATGGTACATTTCGAATCTGCTCTGGAAAAGGTGAGAAACATTGAAGAGGTAAGGGTTAGCTAAAGGAAGGTTCCTTCTTAAAATGCTATATCATCATTGATTGATGTGCATAATAATGTTAATGTTGAACTTCAATGCTGGAAGTGGCTGTCCACTTAGATACATGAGGTACCTGAGCACTTACATAATGCATGCGTTACTCCAATAATTTGCTTGATCTGGGGGCCATTATGCACTTAATAGGCTTAAAAGAGCTCTAGTGCTACTAAGCAGTATTATACTAGATAACTAACCTAACCACTAGCACCCGCTCAGACGTCAGTGCCTTCACACACATGTGCAGCAAAGAGATCATTCCCCATTATCAGTTCATTCAATGTTGTTGAGTATCTCCAAACCTTTCTAATTAATATCCAACACAACTCTCACATTTCATCATCACAACTCTTTCGTCATGAGCGAAGAACCGAAGACGTTGAAAGCGGTCTTCCAAGCTGCCGAACTCAAACGTACAGCGCTTGAGAGGACTTATGAGTCCAACTCTCCTACCTATCATGAAGATCTCTCACAGGCCCTAGAGTTGTACCAGCAATGCATCCAAATCATTAACAAGGTTTCCTTATTCAGTCCTAATGAAAGCCTTGAGGATATTGCAACATCTGACATCCCTTATTTACTGGTCAATTATCACATAGCTGAACTCCTTCAGAGGGTCTCAATATCCTCTGTCCTACAAAGAAAGGCCCAGTTAAACACAACTCGGAATGCATTTGAGAAATTCTTGCATCTCCTGGACAACTATTCGATGTTGTCTCAGTCAGACAAGAAGCTCTTCATTCGGTACAATGAAGACCCTGACAACTTCTCTACCATATCTGCCACAGACCCTGCAGCTAGGCGTAATGCCAAGATATCCGACTTTAAGGCAGCAAAGGAGATGAAGAATAAGCTGGAGTATATGCGAAACTCGCCACGATATCTAGAGGATGGAGGAGACGAAGAGGCTGTTCGTGAGCTGTATCTCACAAATATCACGTTCTGCACATACCTGGCTTTCCAAGCCCTGGATGGTATCAGCCGAGAGATGCAAATACTAGCACAGGCACCAATACCCCTAACGTCCCAAGCTAGTGCAGTCCACGAAGATGATGAGCGACGGCGCAGGGAGTCGCATAACAACGATGGCTACTCTGACAGGTTAGACCAGCCTCTAAATTCATTAACTACCAAGGGCCCGCTCTTGAGTAAAGAAGGAAAGCCCCTGAGGCCATTCACGCTCACATCCAACCGGCAAGAAATACAAAAGGGCGTATTTCGACCTGGACATAACCTTCCAACCATGAGTATCGACGAGTATCTAGATGAGGAACGGAGACGAGGAAATATCATCGAGGGTGGTGGAGAGGCCAGCGGAAGGCAGCCAGAACCAGACGAGGACAATTTCGACAAAGCAGATGCGGAGACCATGAAAGCTAGAGAGTGGGATGAGTTCAAGGAGGCTAACCCGCGAGGAAGTGGAAACACGTTGAATAGGGGTTGAGGGTACTAGCCTAACCTTAGGTACCTAGTAATAGCAACAACCAGCCAAAAACACGTTCTGTGTATTCACATAATATTTTCTATCTTTATAGATATATGCGTCTGGCTAACCTACATATGTAGGTACATACTAAAATATTTAGGTGTGGTGCTTATGATGGACTCATACTATTGATATATCTATAATCTATATGTGCAAATGCACTTAGTGTGCCTATTGTAACGTTGTTGTATCAAAGATCAAAGATCACGGCGTCCAAATGAGGCTTCAGTAACTGATCAGGATCTAAAATAATTGGCGTGGTACATACATACATGTACCTAGTAGGCTTGATTACATAATACTTACTTTCTGATCAGCGCTAGATCATTGCGTAAGTGCATAAATATACATATGCATATATGCATATGTGCACAGGCCAAGCTCCAAGTTGCAGTTCAAATCCGAGGCTGAATCTTTTTGATCTTTTTCGAAGCCTTCCTTGTTCTCACCTTCAATGTTTCCACATCCCACATCCTTTCACCTCATCCTCTCAAGACCTTTTACATTTTGGCATCCATTTTCTCACAGTTGATTACCTCGAATTGATTTGGTTTTCAATTAATGAAGATGGCTCCTATCGAGGAAGATTCGCTTCTCCTTCTTCGCCAGTCCATCGCGTCGGGTGGCTCGATTTTACCCACCGCGTCTGATGACCCGTCCGCTCCAGAAGTTCCATTGTCACAGGCAACACACCTTACCTTCTCATCTCCTACCCGCATCTCCATCCCTATTGAGACCCAGACTCGATTCACCTCCAATGACACGCCTGTCGATCTCCGAAGTATTTACCTTGCCTGGATCAACCGAGAGGTCGCAATTCCCGAGTACAATGACGCCGCATCGCGACTCAACGAGGAGCTTGGAGACAAGGGCCAGGTCCGCAAGTTCGCCTTTGTCGAGCGACTAGATCTTATAACCTGGCTGGAGGGCATTAGCGACGAGAGCGAGTACATCAAAGCATTAACCAGCGACAAAGATGGTTCCGCCTCTGCTGCCGCCGCAGCTACTGCCTCTAAAGGCACAGCAGCTCCTGCGACTGGCGCAAAGCCAGGACGGTCGGGCAAGGGCACTTTGGATCCCCGACTAGCCGTTATTTACAACAGCGAACGTAAGATGGGCGACAGGAACAGCGTGTTGAGGGGTATCAAGCCTACGGTACGAACTGATCACTTCGCATCTGACAGAAATCAAAGCTAATGTACTCTCCTCCAGGACTTTTCTCATGTTCGCAAATTCTCGGCGCTCTTCATGTCTAAGAAACCACAACAAATCACAGCGTCAAAGGCTCCTAGCACTACGTTACCAACACATCTTGGAAAACCACCACGCCGACCCGATCCTATCATCCTTCTCTCACCCTCTGCCTCTTCTCTCCTCCGCATGTCCAACATCAAGGCTTTCCTTGAAGACGGCATATACGTTCACCCGGACTCGCTGAGCGCTAGCTCCACCAACACTGGTAACATGCTACAAGTAAACCGACTGATGAAGGATATCGACCCGAACCGGCCCATGAGATTTGTCTTGGTTGAAGGACCTGAACAGTTCAAGCCTGAGTACTGGAGCCGCGTAGTGGCCGTCTTCACGACGGGTCAGAGCTGGCAATTCAAGAATTATCGCTGGAGCAACCCTACGGAGTTGTTCCGCCATGTCCCTGGCCTCTACGTCGGCTGGAAGAATGATAAACTACCTGATTCCGTCCGTAGCTGGGGCCACCGTGTCAATACTTTCACTATTGATCCCGTCAAGCAATCAGTCTATAACAACGCTGACACGGGGCGATGGCGAGACAGAGAGATTGTGGAGCATGTTTGGAAGGCAATCGAGAATAATATGAGGAGCAAGGGCTGGACTAGAGATCATGCACCTTCGTCCATATGAACATGATCTCACAAAGCATTTCGGGCTTTCCCGTTGGAAAGGTGCTTTGGGCTCTTGAGAATTCAAGATGGCGATGTGTTTAGGTCAGAAATGAGATTGGGCGCGGCCCTATTAGCCACGATACATGCTTGATGTTTGAGAGCATCCAAAAGCATAGAAACATCGTGTGTACTAATTTGTACTACTATCGACATCCAGGGGCACTATTATTCTTGTATGCCAAAATGGCTACAAAGGTCCCATGATACACGAAGGCGTTGAGGGTTTAAGGCTGTGCAGAAATTTATATAAAGGGATACCCTGCTAAGATATAGCAGCCGTCGTAGCATACCATCAGCAGACTGTTAATCAAGATGATACCAAGGATGTACGCGTCCCCACGGCTGCATATGTTTTCGTTCGTTGATAATGTGTATCCCGACACGCCTACCTACTTTCCTGGGGATTACGTATGTACGTGTGTACCTGGCATGAAGTAAGGGTGATGACGTCGAAAGGGGCAATAGCTAACGAGACGGAACTTAGAGCTCCCAAAAGAAGGAGGTGGGAGAGTTAATGGCGTGGGATATGGAGGGGAAAGGAAACATAAGCTCAGAAGTGGTCAGATGGTTACTATAAGTAGCAGCTCTGTCTCTCCCTGGATGTAGGGAGGAGACGAAAAGAAAGACATGTGAGCGAGGGATGGCCGGGCAAGGGGGGCAAAAAGGGAGGTTTCAGGTGAGGCTGGGACACTAATGCATGTTTAGATGTCCGTGGTACTAAAAATGTATTCCTTTTTCGGCCGAATAAGAATGCACATTCGAGAAGGTGATGTATTCAGCTTTTTGCCTAACCTAGGTACCTAGTAGTTCCCGAACGCCCTCCTGTCCTATACCTATATGGACCGAAACCAAAGCCCTCCAAGCCCCGTCCCTGGAACCCAAGTTTACCCAACCAATACATCCAACCCCCAAGATGCTCAAGCCAAAACCCGCATCCAGCCACAAGTACCATTCAGTAGTCAAGAAAAAATATAAGGAATGAAAAAAAAGGGGGGGAGAGACCTGTGGAGTGAATACAGGACAGAAGAAGAAAGAGACTTAGATAAGGAAATGAAGAACATAGAAAATAGATAGATCGTATGATTAAGTATAGTAGTTAGGAGATCCTTTCCCCCCCAAAAGAACCGCCCTCAGCTGTGCAAGGACGTAAGACTGAGACACATGGTAGGTAGAACCCCCCTACGTGCGTTAGGGGCGATCTGCAGACCGAGAGGTTATGCTGAGGCCGGTGAGCACGCGTGAAAGCGCCGCCTCCTTACAAAGCCACGGCGCCAAAGAAGGCGGCAACCATGACGGCGAGCAGAGACTTGCCGCTCCTCTCGGCGCCCGAGATCTCGACACCGGTGGGCATGGCGCTGTACGTGGCGCTGGCACTGGCAGGCATGGTCATGGAGGTGTGCTGCGGCATCTGCATCGAGGTCGTCATGTACGACGACGCGGCTGCGGGGGCGGCGCCCGCGGGTACGGTGGCGACGGAGACACTGGCGACAGGGGTGGACATGGGGTACCCGGACATGTCGGTCATGGTCTCAGTGGCCACGGCGGTGTGGGTGCCGGTGACGACGGTGTTTGGGGCGGAAGGGGTGTTGACGACGGTGACTTCCGCGACGGTCCCAGGGGTGCCGGCGGTGTAGGTGTGAACGGATGGGACGGCGGGGGCGACGGCGGTGGGGGTCGCGCCGGGGGGGCAGACGGAGGAGGTCATGACTTGGACGTTCTAATGTTCTGGTTAGCGAAGTGTTCTGATATAGTCAGTTGAATGATTATCTTACCGTAGTAACAGTGCAAGGGCAGTTCGTGACGGTGATAGTCTCGCCCTTGGTAGCAGAGTAGTGGACGCCGTTGTACGTCATGGTCGTCTTCTCAGGGCAGACGGTCGTGAGCTCGTGCACGACGACGGTGGTCGGCACCGTCATGTTGTAGTACTGCCAGACGGGCGTCGGCGCCGTCGCGTTGTTCATCTTGGTCGCGTACGAATGGGAAGAAGCTGGGTATCCGGTCTGGGCCGAGACGCCAGAGACGGCGACGAAACCGAAAACGGCAGCGGTCTTGGTGTACATCTTGTTGGTTGTTAAGGGAGGTTTTTGGTGGTAGGCTGGTCTTGTTCGAGTGGAGAGAGAGGCAGATAGATAGATGATGATATTATTAAGATATAAAAACGAGTGACTGTCACAACAATGGCTGATCAAGGATGAGGAAACGAACGTGGTTATATAAGATGGTGATCTGGATGGAAGGATATGAATTCGGAAAGGGGGAGCTGGAGCTGGTTTAAAAGGGCCAGACACGGAGAACAAAGGATGTCTTACTTGAATCGGGGAGAATCTGCAATTAGACAGGCAATGCTCAATAGCCACCAATAAAACTGTGGCCGAAAGAGAGACAACCAAAACAAAAGCATATCTCACATTGCCTCCCTCGTATCATGGAATGAACAATAGGTATATCCGGATCTTATTTCATTCCTAGCCCAAGACTCGCAAGGCATTGAGTGAAAGTTGAGAATAGCTTAACACATATGGCAGATCACGTTCCAGTCACTCTCATCCGAGACATGGCCTCCTTGATTCAAAAATTTGTTCTGCATTTTCAAAAATCACGGCGCAAAGCTGGCCTACTAAGGTCCAGCTGATTGTATGTACAAGTCGCCAATAGCATTGCCCAATCATTCCTCCACTGCTTAATCAATGTCCATAGCAGTCACTTATCCAAGCGATTGTAGGATGATAGCTACAACGCGAGTCCGTCTTCTCTCTATGTCCATAAGAAACACCATGATCATTATAGGGCGGTAAAACTCTTGACGTAAAACCTCCTGGCGTCGTAAGCTTTAGTTCGCTGGTAGCAAGGATTACTCCTCGATGCTATCGAGCGTTCTATCATGCGGGTTGCTGATAGAAACTCTTTCATGGCAGTTGACCTATTGCATGAGCCAGAAATCCCAATATACACACTCTGGCTGCTTTCCACCCTTCGCGTTTTACGGTAAAAAAATTCAAAATCAAATGAGCCACTCGATGATAGGTGCGGTTCAAAACGCCGATGGGTGTCTATGCAGGTTTATCCTCTTAACGCCGTCCAGGTAAACAAAAGGTCTTAAAGTCGAGAAATATATGTTGCAGATATTGCTATTAGGCTTTCACAGCCAAACACCGCCTTCAAAGCGACGTCGCCTTAGGAAGATAGATGGAGTTAGATCGGTGGGTTGTCGATATCGAATGGAGTAGCCCAGCCGGAGTTCAAGCAGATGCCCGTCGACATCTTATCAAAAAAAAAAAAAAACAACAAGAGTTGAGAGTTTCTCGAGTCGTCATCGTTCTCTTTCTCACTTGACGTTGTTTCGATTTTGGCTTCGATCGGGAGCGCGGCCTCCGACAACAATCGCATCAAAATCGTAGTTTTTCAGCGTATGTTCATATTTGGTGTTGCGCAAGAATTTTGGAACAGAGTCCTGCACATAAAGTTAGCCATGAAACTGAAAGTAGATATCGTCTTCCAGTCATTACTTACACTAGCCATCAGTTTGAAAACTGCGTTTTGAGCATCTTCGAAGAGAGCCGTGACCTCGTGTAGAGTATCGATCATGGCAACATCCTGACCAACTGCCTTCGTCATGCGAGTAGCAAGATTGTTTCGCAGTTGATGGTCAATGTTGAGTTCGCAAGGTGAGCCCGGTGCTAAAAACGCATTATAAATGCCGTATGCTTGTGCCATGATCTCCTTAATCCCGTCCATCGAAGTTGCGGTAGGGCTCTTCTGAGCCGTCTTAATCGCATGGCGGCAGCCCCGTACGAAGTCATCCACGTCTAGGTAAAATGATAGATTCTCTTCGCAGTGAGTTTCCCGCAAGTTCTCCCGAAATAGTAGTCGTAAAGCAGCATCATTCAAGATCTTATCAAGACGTTGCGTGTTAGAGTCCCTGGCAATCCCTGGGCGTGATGCCACTACTCCTTCGCTCTCAGACGTACGCCCTCTTCCTCCTCCACCACTGATTATGTCTTTTCCTTTGGCAGTCAGTTGGTAAATAGCATTTTTCGTGGGCTGGAATGAGACGGATGTGGGTGACGTGGCGATGTAAACTCGGTCCTGCTGAACTGCCTCCATGAGTTCATATTGCACGAAAAGTGTGCTCATCTCATACGTTTCCCGACGATCCACTGTGGTACAGCAGTCCATCAACCAGTCGGAACATGATTTGCCAGTGAATGTGTCCTTGTAAGTTCTTCCGTTGATCTTGCGTTCTCCAGCCATCTTCACACCAGTAAGGCCATCCCGGTAATCGCTCAACGTGTCCGAATCGGCCGCACTGACGCTTGATTTGATGTTTAGACCATTTGAACCAATCATTCTCCTAAAAATGACTTCCATTGTTCCCCTATCCATCACCAACTTATCGGTTTGGTTGTCTCTTTCCAGAATGCACAAGTAGCTCATTCCAAGTTGTATCAGATCACTGATCTGCCTTTGTTGAATGCCATTTCTCGAGCAAAATCGATCCAGGACGCAAACTCCCTTTGGCGTTAATTGCCACACGGAGCCCTTCATAGTATATACCTGTTGTAATTTGCCATCAGCTGATTCGATGAACCTAGCGTCGAGAAACCTTTGACATATGGATCTAGCCATATCCTTCGCCATGGAGAAGGTCGTTGTCGTAGTAGTCGTTACGATGCGCGACGGGTCCTTCGGGTCGGGCATACGATTTGACTGCGAAAACTTGAGCGAGCCTAGATTGTTGATCGCATCTTCAGACAAAAATGTGTGTTCGATTCGTGTTAACCGCACTCGGTGAGCAGATAGCGGAAGCAAGCTGACGATTAGGGTAGAGAAAAGATCTTTGAAGTCCTTCACGAGGTGATCAGCAAAAATTAGAAAAAAAACAAATGACGGTCCTTCGCACGATCTTCCACTGGTTGACAGGATTGTTTCAAGGTGGGACAAGCCGCATCCAACCTGCCAATCACCACATCGCTCGTCATGTCTCATCATGGGATCTCCCTACTTACTCTGGTGAATGGGCGGTCATCATCCGTCATGCGGAGCAACCTCGACGAAGTTTGATGCATCTTGTTTAAAGAAGTCGACAGCAGAATGGGAGGTGGTCGGTTTGGGTCTGTCTCGGAATAGGGCCTCGAGATGGGATCCTTCGAGGATAGCTGACTCGATGACCTCTTAGAGTCTAAAGCAGGACTCCGAAGAAACGGTGACGAGGGCGTGGACGAGTTAGTCGAAACGTTGCTAAGTTTCAAAGATCTGTCGGAGCTCGAGATTTCGCTGTTTGTAGGCGAGTCTAGCACAACTGACAAGCGACTAAGTCCAGAGATGGACGGGCGGCTGCGAACACTAGGCTCTGATATATTGGCAAGGGTCTTGTCAATTGCGGCAGCGGCAAAAGCAAACAGGCCTCCTGATTTAGGATTTCTAGCACCGAGGGAAACAGAGCCTACCGAGGCGCTTGTCTGGTGTTGGCGGAATTTGCTAGAGGCTGAAGAAGCAGTCGGATTATCAGTTGCAAATCCGATGGGATGTCCTGGATGTGTAAATTTTCTATGAGCAGCAGAGGAAGAAGGGTTCTCTGCTTTAGTAGGCACGGCTGGGTGAGTAGTTGTATTTGTATTTGTATTCGTAGCTGTATTTGCTTTTGTTTGAGGCTCGTGGTCGTGAGGAGGTAGCGATGTTGTTTTAGAGGTTTGAGGGATTGCAGCCATCAAACTACAGGTACCATTGAGACAGGAGAAGCTTAGGTAGATGTATACGGCGGACTAGGCGGACTAGAGATGTAAATGCAAGAGAGGCAAGCGAGACGGAAGAGGCAAAAAAGATATTAGGGCAAGAGAGGTAGAAGAAGTGGCAGAAGCGGTAGAGGTAAAGGTAGAGGGGTCGTTTGGGGTTGGCATGAGCGGGCCTTAGATAAAACACATTAAGATCATAAAATGGATCGATTCTCGTAGAATGAATGGAAAATAAGGCAGAAGAAAGAGGAGTTTGTGAGAGTGGAGTTCAAGTGAAGACGTAGAATGGGAGGTATTGACAAGCGGGAACGGGGGTCTGGTGGTAAGGAGGATACCTAGGATACAGGATACAGGATACCTAGATAGTATTGGTATTAGTATTAGAGTAACTTATCAGTTCAGAGTACCGCATGTATTATGTATCAAGATGTATATACATATGCACAGTAACTAGTAGGTATGGTAGGTAGGTACATGTAGCTGGACGTATGTACATATAATAGTAAAAATGCTCAATGTTCCTCTACTAATGTATGGCTTCCATGTAATGGAGTACAACATCAATCATTGAAAGTGTGTAATGGATACAAGCAATGAAGTACCTGGGCAAGACATCCATCTGGACCCAAGACCCGTTCAATAGACTGGGCAAAAAAAAAAAAGTTACAGTAGGTACTTAGTACAAATTAATGCTTGAACTGACGGGACAGCGGGATAGGTGCATTGCATTAGATGTTGTACCTGATACCTGCCTCAGATGGATTTATGGATAGGGCCATTGAGATCGAAGTCAAGAGAACCTCGAGTCTAGAGTACATTTACCGCAAAAATCACGTATAAGATACTAAAAGAAATTGAAAAGAAGCTGGTACTTCACGTATGCGGACGCACGTACAGAGTACCTAGTACCTACAAGGCTTCTTACTTCGAGACCCAGTCAGCAAAGAGCAACGTCTTAGGGGGGGGCTAGCATGTCTGGTCCCAGCGTAACAAGTGGAACCTCTATGGATCATGGATCAATCTACCACATGTGCAGTCTGTACCCACATCACACAGTCAAAGTACCAGGTGAATATCACCGCAGCGCCAATACATATCTACGAGACACCAAAGTACACGATACCATACTAATTACTAGGTACATAATGTACTACATACATATATGTATGTATGTATGTATGTATGTATGTATGTATGTATGTATGTATGTATGTATGTATAATACATACAATCAATTGATTGCCACCCTCAGATGCACATGCTGTGCCCCGCTATATGTAGGTATGAGGTATTAGGAATTGTACTACACATGCGACATTGAAAGTGAATACACACACACACACATAATTACACGGAAGTCAAGATTTTCTTCAATCCAATATTATGCCTACACAAATGTACACCAAACACTTCCAAGTTCCAAATCCAAGGCATGAGTAGGCTACCTAGATATGTTTCAATGTTATTACCATGTGTGTGCTGAAGCCTAATTACTGTATTATGAGCCCACCAAAACGTGCTAATTGTTCTAGAAGATATGGATATAAGCTGGACCCATTTAGGACAGAGACATCCTGGCTTTCTTTGCTGGAGTGAACTTGCAATATCATCATCATTTCTTGATCCACCCGCATTTGAAACTCCAATACATAGGGAGTACATGGCCCGTTTTCGGATCTGGGTTTAATAACCCAGGCCGAACCCATTAAACCTAGTAAAGAATTTTGGGATGAGGTACATAGCAATTGGTCATCTATAAAGTGGATATCTACTTTAGCGTATCTTCTAAGTGGGCTGCCACCTGCCGTTAGAAGTTGGAGCGACCCCCGTCATTTTGAAAGCTTGCCATGTGCGGTAGGAATAAGCACGTTCGTTTGAAGAGGGACTAGCAGGGTTTAGTTAGGCTGCTGAGTATGCTGATTGGGAGAAATGCGGTACCTTCAGCGCTACAAGTAGGTACCATTTACAGTTGCATCCCTACCACCACATTTTTAGGTACACCACCGTCGCGGTTGCTAGTCACACCTGCCGGGCGGCCACGAGGCATCTCAGAGACCTTGTCCTAGTACCTAGTCCTAGTCCATAACACAGTCTGGTGGCAGGGAGCACTTACCTGGTCCAAATTCCATTCTCTTACATACATAGTACATACATGGTAGGTATGCTACCTAGTAGTAAACACCTAAGGAGCAGGGAGGTACATTACCTGAGTGGCGGCAATTATTCCGTACGTCTTACTATTGACCGTCAGTTACGTAGATTTACCTAGAACTACACTACACTATGCATATGCAACTAGTATGAATACATAGGCTATAACTAGTACCTATCTATCCAAGAAATAGCGGTCGCCGTTTTCAACGGCAGGTACCGACCGACCGCCGACCTTACCTCTGATCGCTCAATAGTGTTCTATCACGTGCATGTGGTAGTTAGTAACCATGATTTCCTACTAAGGATCCTATATTCGGCTCGTCATCATCAATTATAGTTTAGATCTTTTAACCCTCTCACTTCCTCCAGTCATTTTCACCGTTATTTTCCTTTTATTTTCAAAAGTGCGTGCATACCTATATCACATATATATATATGTCAACACCAGACTCTATGCGAACTGTAGGGCCAAAAGGGAGGATCGTCAGTGTAGCAGCAACCCATCCACGACATCGTCCAAAACACGAATAGCACCTGATCTCAGTAACACGAACATGAAGATACAGGTAAAACATACCCACGTACTGCAGGAAAGCTACTGTGCATGACTACAATACACAATACACAATACATTGCCATAACGCCTACCCCTTAACATCGCTAGGGACAGAAGTGGATAATTCTTTGGCTCAAGTGCTTTTCATGTGGTACCTAAAGACATAGCTTTGGACAGGATAGTGGACTTGGGTAGACCGATCTCCCATATTCCCATATCCGCCTGACGATACCAAAACCAAAATGGTTGACATTTCCATAGTGGTACCTACTTACCTGGACATTTTCGCCTCATTCAGCCGAGTACGAGAACGAAGTAAGCTTAAGACAACATCGATGTCAAAACAAGTTGACCTACATACTCATACCTACCTAACCTAGGTATTTAGTATTCAAGAGAATTCCAACCCGATTTCCATTTCCATTTCCATTTCCATTCCCCTTCTATTAAGAACAACGAACGCTCTTCGGCCTCTTGACGCCACCCCTCAATTCCCCCCCTCCCCTGTGAGCGTAAAGATATTTCAATGGTTAAGGGCCTTTTCTGCCTCCACTCGAGTGCAACTCTGCTCCGCTCTTAATCATGCCTAGCATGTTTTTTCTCCAAGTGGCCCGATTTGTCCAACACATTTGGCAGACCGACAGATCTGCACGTGCTGTCAGGGATATCTCTCAACTAAATAAACTACCTAGCTCATGCCTACTCCTGAATGGGTATGGTTGATCTTTGTTACATATACATATGTACACAATAACTAATGCCCAGGTATTTACAGTACTATGTAATATTTATTTTATGTTCGATTTATGATTAATGATCTATCTAGTAATTATCTATTAACCTAGTATCTAGGGAGTTTAGCTTGGATTAGATCCACGTTCTTATTAAAAGAAAATGGATTATGGTATTAATTAACTGTTCGAGTCGCGCTGCTAACTTGGAGCTGAGGTTTTGATACACATTTATCTACTTTGTACTTTGAACCCAACCTCGGCGACAGGCAATATATATTACCTGTTCACCATCCCACCATCTCATATCCCCTTAAATGGCATAAAGCAACAACAAACACACCGTTACTAAAAATAACACCAAATACATCATTTTCAATCCACTATTTCCATCTTTACCCACAACCCCATATATTAATCCATTTTTTATTTAAATATAACGTGGTATAAAGTTAGCCGGCGTTAGGTTATTCCAGCATTTAATATAATTATAATTAAATATAATCTTAATAATTAGTTTTTAAAAAGGGCTTAATACGTTAGCGTTATTTAGGTTAATAATCTAATTACATATCGTTTAAATGTTTTTTCTAATCTTAAAATCGGTACGTTACGCAACCTGGATAAACTATATTTTAAATAAGGCTATTCCTTTTTACGGTTTGTTTATACTTACACGTAAACACAGCTTTTAAACGACTTATAAGGGGGGCAAATTTATTAAAGAAATTATATTTAAGGATATTTTCGTTAAAAATTAAAGTTAATACTAAAAAATATAATAAACATTAAGTTATAATTTTAATATAACACTTGTATTGTGGCTTAATATAATTTTAAGTATTATTGGTATAAATGCTATATGCAAAAATAAATGGTAAATTAAGTACTTACAGAATTTATTAATTTTATTGGATAATAGATTTATGGGGTGGTAGGTAAATTGACTTAGTTATATCTGCTACTAATTTTAGTAATGGTGTGTCTGCTACTGCTTTATGCCACTTAAGGGGATAATGTTACGGACAGCAACATTGAACAGTCCTGTGATGGCTTTTACTACATACATATAAATGTATTGTACATACATACATACGTACAGTATGGACACAAGCAGGCCAGATAGACGACATCAGGTTCGACTCCGTTCGAGGACGTAGAACCCAGATCCGAAGGTCCACACCTACTTTTAAGCATAGTTACTAATGACACTTATAATAATTCACACTGCACGCTATCGATGTGCGATACTGCATTGTATGTCGAGACACCGCACTAGAACCAATAGTCTCCGGTTCCACGTGTGACGGCCATGTGGTTCATTAACTTTGGTGCCGAAACGGAACAGCGCCACTTGCTGCTTGGGTATAGTGCATGGCCACGGCAGTCACTTGTGTAGCTGGCCGTCCCGCACGACCGTCAGCGAGTTGGAGACTGTTCCAGGACATGAGCACATACCTACAGTATGCAGCCTAATATAAGGGCTATTGCATACATACATGCGTACGTGAACAGCTCGAGGGTATTAAGTTTACAACAAAAAAAAAAAGCAATTGGTGTTTAATAGAGACATGACGCTGCAGCGTCACTGACTAGGTACTACTACATAATAGTATGCACATACTTAATAGCACTAAAGAGATAGCTATGTAGGTACATAGTTCTGGATTGTACAGGTACGAATACTCAACATGCTCAAGAAGGATATGTAGCTTACAGTATGATACGCAGCAAATAATTACCTACACTACTATGTGGTATATGTATTGTGGATAGTAGGTTACCTAGGTGGTTACAGTATGTATTTCTTCATGCGTTCCGCTCCTGTCTTGGCAAAAGCGTTGCGGAGGTTTTATGTGCTTAAGCAATTCATCACTCCTGGTTATTACCGGCTCACTCTCAAGTGTGTATGTAAAAGTGGATGTGGTGGACCTGTGGACACTGGACAGCGTTCTCCCCCAGGAATGCTTACCGACTTCTACTGACTGCTTGAACATGTTCTCACTATGTAATCGTATGTAATGTATGTTGTGTACATAATATGCACGAAGTAATGTAGG